CTACTTTATTTACTTAAATGATAATATAGTTTTAAATTTTATAGACATTAACAATAATTAGGATAATGTAATTACTTAAAATATATTTTATTATTAAAAACTAAGGTATTATATTGTACACAAGGTAATATTATTAATTTCATTTATATAGTAGAAATACTTTAATATTAAATTTTAAATAATAAATATAAATAAAATTTTCTTTTTTATTAATTGATAAATTATTTCAAAGTAATTAAATTATAGATATTTTATATTTCAATTTTGTAATATTATACAATTTCTAAAATATTTATAAACTTTATTTAATCAACTTTTAATTATTTTAAATGTTATTATTTATATATAATTATATTTATTTTAAAATAATTATATTGTTTTTATATTCTCCAAAAGAATTCGTTAGTTTTTAAAAATATAAAATATTTGACAATAGTATTGAGACAAATGATTAAATAATATATATTTAAATTTATCAACATTTTATAATTTAAAAAAAAATTATTTATAAATGTCTGAATATTGTTTATATTCATTAAATTAAAATATTTATTAAGATTTAAAGAAAAAATAGTGGTAATTTTAGAAAATATATATTGCTTATTGAATGTATTAAATTCTCTAATCAAAAAGTTAAATTGAATTACTTTATAAGTTATCATATCATATTTACTATTCTGTAGTGAAGATATTAATATATTAATTAATTGAAACAATTGAAAAGTCCTAAGATATATCTTAATAAGTAAAGAAGAAAAATCCCCAACTTCTTTTTTTCTTACAATATTAAATATAGTTATATATTAATTTTCCTATTAATATAATATTTACAAAGTAGTATCTATTGATGTAATATCTGCAAAAGGAGTATCTATTGATGTAATATCTGCAAAAGGAGTATCTATTGATGTAATATCTGCAAAAGGAGTATCTATTGATGTAATATCTGCAAAAGGAGTATCCATTGATGTAATATCTGCCAAAGGAGTATCTATTGATGTAACACCACCAAGTGGTGTTTGTATTGAATTATAATCCATAAATGGAGTATCTACAGAAACAATGTTGCTAAATGGTCCAGAGAAATCACCAATGCCAATATAAGGTGAATAAAATCCTTGTATTGGGTATTGAAATCCAACATCAAAAAATGTTGATGTAAAAAATGGATCATAAGAAAAACTTAGAGGGCTAGAGAATAAACTAATATCAATATTAAAGTAGTTTGAGCCGAATAAATAAAATGCTGAACCAGGATTAAATAAAAATGGTTGAAAATAACTATTTCCAAAATATAAATTCACATCATAGAAATCTGGACCAAAATATGGGAAAAGTGGGGTATATGGAATAAATGATCCTATTGGAATTGGAACTGGGATAGGACGAAAGAATGGAACTTCAACATTGTTTATAACTATTGTTGTTGTTCCTATTGGTCCATTTCTTCTGATTCTTGGCATTGTACGTACTTGATATCCAAAAGTATCTTCTAAATAATTTATTACAGATTTTATATATTGAATTCTTTGTTTAAATGTTCTATATTGGAATTCATTAAAGGATCCAGATGTAATTCCAAAGCTTCCTAACTGTTCTAATTGGAAATTAAGATCATATAAATCTTTATTAGCTCTATTATATAAGCATTGAGCATCGTACAGGTCCGATACTTGAGGATATGGGGAAAATGGTGGAATTCTTTGTAAATAATCCTTTGGAATTGAGTTTTGTTGAGGTTGATGTTGTTGTTGATATTGTTGAGGTTGATATTGTTGAGGTTGATATTGTTGAGGTTGATATTGTTGAGGTTGATATTGTTGAGGTTGATATTGTTGAGGTTGATATTGTTGAGGTTGATATTGAGGTCGATATTGTTGTGGTATATTTTGTTGAGGTATTGCATCAATAGTAGTAACTTCTTGTTCTTCTTTTCTTGTAGAAGGCTCATCCACTGCTACTTCTTTAATAAGATATTTACCAGATCCATCAGGGCAAATCATCACATTTCTGCCATCTGGAAGCTGTAAAACAGATGTTGGATGCATGGTCATGGTCATATTCCCTTCACTTAATTCTCCTAATTTCATATTTAGAAGGCTTGGCTGAGTATACCCAGTTAATTCTAACCTATTATAATAAAAAATAAATATATTTAATATAAGTAACCCAAGAAAGTACATCTCCTTAGATTATAAGGTTATATTTCCATTATGTTACATCCTTATATTACGTAATTTTATAAAAGCACGGATAATGGCGCTTGATGTATGGTACCGAAGTTTAAAATATTTGGGTAATTTACTGAGTAATCATCTATCATCTATAAACCCCAGTAATTTAGATAAAATCATAATACAAACCTAACAGATCCATAATATATACATGTAAATTCCTTTTTATTTAATTTCAGACTATTTTTATTCAAAAAAAAAAAAAAAAGACATTAAGTGAACATATCAATTATTATTTATTTGTTCTCTCTTTTCTCTTCTCTCTTGATGGCATAAAATTATCCGAGGGAAGAGAATCTATACTATTATAATTTTAGCAAATATTTATATAGCTTTACATAGGACTTATTATAGAGAAGATAAATATTGACAAAGGGATGGATTAGAAAATCAGACCTAATTTAATAAATTATCAAAAATGGTGTTGGCGCCTTTTGGCGATTTAGAGACGTGAATATTAATTTGGCCAATACATAAAAGTATCAGACATTGACTCTCCTGATTAAGTGAACTGAAGGAACCAACTTTTTTTTTGTTTATTATGTCAAGTGACTATTTGTTAAAACAAGATCCAGATAATTTGGATTTGACAAAACTGACACCTATAACTCCTGAGGTAATATCAAGACAAGCAACAATTAATTTGGGTACAATAGGTCATGTTGCTCATGGTAAATCTACTGTTGTAAGAGCTATTTCTGGTGTACAAACAGTTAGATTTAAAGATGAAAAAGAGAGGAATATTACTATTAAATTAGGTTATGCCAATGCAAAGATCTATAAATGTAGTAATCCTGATTGTCCACCACCTCAATGTTATCGTAGTTATGGATCAAGTAAAGAGGATGAACCTATTTGTGAAGTATCAGGATGTAATCATAAAATGAAGCTAATGCGACATGTATCATTTGTAGACTGTCCTGGCCATGATATTCTTATGTCTACAATGCTTAATGGAGCTGCAGTAATGGATGCAGCTCTATTATTAGTTGCTGGTAATGAATCATGTCCACAGCCACAAACATCTGAACATCTAGCAGCAGTTGAAATAATGAAGTTAAGACATATAATTATATTACAAAATAAAGTTGAATTAATAAAGGAGGCTCAAGCAATAGAACAGCATAAACAAATTAAAGATTTTGTAGCTGGTACATCCGCTCAAGATGCTGCAATTATACCAATATCTGCTGTATTAAAATTTAATATTGATGTATTGTGTGAATATATATGTACTCAGATACCAATTCCAATTCGTGATTTTACATCATCACCAAGAATGATAGTAATCAGATCATTTGATGTAAATAAACCAGGTGAAGATGCAAAAAGTATGCGTGGTGGTGTTGCTGGAGGATCAATTATTAGAGGTGTCTTAAAGTTAGGAGATGAAATTGAGGTAAGGCCTGGTATATATAATAAAAATTCAGAAGGAGCATTTGTATGTCGTCCAATAAGATCAAGAATAGTATCTCTATTTGCCGAACATAATGATTTACAATATGCTGTATCTGGTGGTTTAATTGGAGTTGGTACTAAAATAGATCCAACTCTAACTAGAGCAAATAGATTATCTGGTCAAGTCCTTGGGCACCCAGGTCATTTACCTGACATATTTGATTCTATAAATATTACATTATATAGGATGAGGAGATTATTAGGGGTTAGATCTCATGATGGATCAAAGGCACAAGCTAAAGTATCTAAGTTAAGAGAGGGTGAATTACTTATGGTTAATATTGGTTCTACCACGACAGGTGGTAGAGTTGCCAAAATTAGAGATGATAGTGCTACATTTCAATTATCATCACCTGTATGTTGTAGTGTTGGTGATAAATTGGCTATTTCAAGGAGAGTAGACAAACATTGGAGATTAATTGGTTTTGGGGACATATTATCAGGTACAACAGTACAATGTATTGAGGGTTGGTAAATATTTACTTTAAATTATTAATAACAAATTGTACATTACATAGATCACTTAATGAATTTTTTTTTTCAAACTATTTTACCTTATTAAGGATTTTTTTTCTACAAATATTATTAAAATATTTCTATATTCACAATTTTTAATTATCTAGTTTAAGAATATTATTAATAAGGTATTACAAACCTATAATTATTTAGGAAACTAGTTTATAGAAGTTAAAGTGTTTTTAATAATTGTGAGTTTGTATTTCCAAAATTGGTTAATCTTGTTTTTTTTATTATTATTTATTTATTAATGAAATTACAATTAATCTTCAATTTAAATGAATCAGAAGAAAGATTTCTTCCTTTTTTTTATGTGAATATATTCATTAATTTATGATTAGAAATTCCAAATAATTATACTTGGTAATAGTAAAGATTTTCAATTATTAAATATAACTAATGTTAATATTGTATAATTTATGCTATTAATAAAAATCAGTATAGTTGAAATATGGATAATATTTTTAACTTTTTTTATTTTATATAGTTGAATATTTAAGGAACTTTAAATAATTATTATTAATTTAGATTATTATTTATAAATAAAAAAAAAAATCTAAATATATAAGCTAAATATGAAGTTTTATATTATAACTTTTTTATTATGAAATACAAAACTATAGAAATTAAAGTCAAGAATAAAATAAAATGACTTTTTTATTTAAGGGGAATAGTATTCTTTTTCTTTAAAAAAAAAAATTAGAATTAAATGATTCAATACAAATATTAAATTTATTTAGATCTTAAAGTAACTAATTTTTAGAACAAATAATTTATATTTTTATAACTTCAAATGTTCACTTTTTAAAATATCACCTTACAGATAATATTATTTAGAACTTAATATTTGAGTTAATGATTATAACAATTACTAATTATTTGAAGTATAAATTAATTAAAAAATAGTTAATATATATATCTCAATAAGATAATGATGCTTTATTTTATTAAAAGAATTATTATAAAAGAAAGGAAATTTATACATATTATATATTAAAATAAAATAATATTCCAACATCTCATATTTTAGTAATCTTATACTTTATATATTATAATATCATAAGTTTTTCTGTATTAATGTTTCCTTTTATCTTCAAAAGAAAAAAAAAAAAAAAAGAAAAATATTTATGTAGCTAACAAATATATCTGTAAAGTGAACTAAATTAATTTAAGAATAGGTTTAGATGAAATATAAATATTCCATTATCACTTCTAGTTCCCAAATTAAAGATTATTAGAGAATTTCATAATATTCTCAAATACTTAACTATATACAGTATACAAGTCTTAATAAAATTTAAGCTTGAATAGCTAATAAAGTCTTGTTTATTTAAAGTAGAAAGTAAGGTCAATTTATTACTCAATATAATATTAAATTATATATTAAAACATGATCTCTTAATATAATTAATAATTTAAAGTTGAGTATCTTGAGGATAAAAATAATTCAAGTAGTTCTTTCAGAATAAATATCTATAGTAAGTGCAGAATTCAACCTATTTCTAAAAATTAAGCTTTTTTCTGAGTCTTCATTTATACCAAAACTAAGACTAGATGATTTATGGAGTTGATATATATCTAGTGAATAGCTAGCAGTAAATGTCATCATTGTAGTAAATATTATAAGCTGAGATATACTTCCTATAGACATCCTCAAATAAAACACCCAATCCTGTTCAATAATATCTGAAAAATCATTTAAAAGAGAACTTGCATCCCAGTAATTTGTTTGAAAATATTGATTAGTTGTACTTGGAAAATCACAATAATATACTATTATAAATATAAATACAAAACGTGCAAAAGCTACAATGACCATTACTGAACAACAGTAAATCTTAATTAACTTTGAAGTCAAAGTTATAACAGGTCTTTTGTAAACTATTACATATATTGATATTATTAAACAGTGAAAAAATCCAAATATATTGAAAAATAAACTAGGAGAAACAAAAAATATAGTATCAATATATTCAATTATGAATTTCATTGTATATTTAGTAGACTTTGAAGCAAATAATCTCTTAAAATTTAATCCAAATGGAAAGAAAATAGATAAAAATGCAAATAATACCGAAATAGTTAAACATATGAATGCTATTTTCAGCATAATTGTTGCAATTGTTCGGTGTAAAACTCCCTGTTTCGCTACAATAGAATTCTTACCATTTGTTAAATTACATTCATTAACTTGTTCAATTTTATTATAGATATAGTCATTTGATATAAATGGATCATTTACTGATAAATTATCTTCCAGATTATCTTGGTAATCATCTAAACTTTCCAAATCACCTTGGTATTCTTTTATCTTCCCTGAGTCCTTATTATTATAAAGGCTCTCAATATCTTTAGGTAACCATACTTCAAGTGGTTGTGGTAAATGGTAATATAATAAATGATACAACATAGGAATAGAAGATACAAATAATAACCACCCAATTAAATATCCAAATACAAAGATTGACCTTTCTGGGTAGTAGATAGTTAAGAAATGTATATATGGAATAAATATACCTCTATATGGTAAATGAGATAGCTTATTAGCTAATATATGACATAATATTAGTGTTAAAATACTTTGGATACTTGCAATTAAAGGTAGCATATATGTATAAGGACAATCTAAAAGTATACGAGAAAATCGAATACATTCCCTAGGTGTCGAAAAGTTCCAACAACACCTTCTTGTATTATAGTACATCTGAAGAAGTAGAATCTGAGTTCTTGATAAGCGTGCATCTTTAGCACCTCCTTTTAGGCCATACCTATCGCCATGGTTCATAATTTTTAAGTCAACTAACTTCTTAATAGTTGCATAAAAGTCTAATTATTCCAAATTTGAGTTTACAGGTATCTCTCCAATTTCAAACTTTTTTTTTTTTTTTTTTTTTCTCTCTCTTAATATTTTATTTCTTCCATCTCGAAGCAAATCGTATACTAATCGAATATAATTACCGCCTATTAGAAATAACTTCCCGCCTCCAGTAGTTTAATATTTTAAAATATTATCTGTATCCCAGTAACCCGGTAACTAGTTAAAGATTTTCACTTATTTTATTTTGTTTTATTTTTTGGAAATATTATATATAGTAAAAATAAAAACATATGAATTCTTATTAAATTCTAATTTAGCTATAATCAATACTTGCTAATTATTACATTTAGGAATATTGTATTCGAACTAATATCTTAGATATGACTTGAAATTGAAAACTTTTAGAAATATTACAGTTAATATAAAGATAAATAATAATTTAAATAACATCTACTTAAATTAGTATAAATCTTAATATATTAGCGCATTACATAATTATGTATAAGTAGGATTACTTATGAATTCTAAATTCTGATTGAATATTATATATACCAACAGATTCATTAGCTTCTTCATCAAACTCACACCATTCATTTTCTTGTAAATCTATATTAATAAAAGATTTACCTGATATACAATTTACATTATAACCAAATGTTGGATTCCATCTTGTTGGATTCAATCCACGACATTCAAATGCTATAATAGGGACAAAATTACCATTATCTGTATTACAATATTTCATCTTTGTAATATCTTTAAGTTCAATAACTCGAATAGTAGAATGTCGTTTATCCCCATCCCATTTCATTACATAATTAGCTGTTCCCCTACTATTTTCTATTGGTATCTCTTCATTAGGATCTATAGTTATTCTACTCTTAGTTAAAGGGCCTGCACTTTGTTCTATGTCTATACACCAAATATAATTAAGAGGAAATATAATTTCATTAATACCATCAATATCAGCCTTTATATATAATATAAATATTGTCATCTTCTTTTTAATTAAATTTAAGTTCTTAATATATAAATTAAAATCTAATTCTTATTAGTAATCCCGCTGTGAAAATAAATCATTTTAAAATATAAGAATTATATATTATTTAGTAATAGATCAAATTATAAATATTTTATATATTATTTTGTTATTTAAGATGTATATAGAAGTATGTGTTAATTGGTCTAATAATATTGAGAAATGTATTGAATTAATTAAAACTTCATATAGATTGGGATATTCAGGTATTGCTTTTAATCATTCAGTTAATTTATCTGAAAAATGTAATAATCTTAAATCTAATAAAAAACAAGTGAGTAATTTACTTACATTATTAGTTAAGGAAGGTCATTATTGTCCAATACAATATATTTATTTAAATCCTAATGAATTATCATCTACTGGTATCCATAATAAAAGATTCTTTCCAAAAAATCAATTTGTATCTTTAAATCTTTCTTGTCATAATATTAATATAAATAAAAAATATCAAAGTGAAGATGATATATCAAGTGAATTCTTACAACTTAGAAGATTAACTATAATATTTGATAATAATGATGTAATTCCTTATATTAATGCTTTATGTAAGGGATCTTGCAATGAAGCCACTGATGGATGGAGTAAAACATTATTTTCAGATATATATCAACAAAATTATGATTTAATTGCTTTAAGACCAACTACTCAAGCAACATTTATAAGTGCAATTTCCTCATCTGATTGTGATATTATTAGTTTAGATTTATGTTCTAATCCTCGTTTACCATTTGTTATGAGGAGAGCTCAATTAAATTTAGCTATATCCCGTGGTATTTTTTTTGAAATAGATGTTGGTCCAGCCTTATCTAATACAAATTATAGAAAGAATTTATGTTGTAATCTTTTGAATTTTGCAAGATATATCCCAACCAAACATATATTAATTACATCAAGTTCATCTAATATAATGGATTTGAGAGGGCCATTAGACTTGTCAAATCTTGCTTCTACATTATTATCTATGGATTTAGATAGAAAACCAATTATGAATCCATCTGATTTTCTTGTAGATAATGTGATAAGAGCTCTTTTAAAAGGTACTAATCGTAAAACATATGCATCTGTTCTTTTATTAGAGCCTAATAATTAGAATAATTAAGATTTGATATATATATTGATTAATTTAAGTTAGATAGATATTATTAATTTATAGAGTGTTCTAAATATTTTTTTTATTAGTTACTATAGGAATATTCTGGAATTAAAATACTATTAAGAAATCTAATTTTAGATTTAAGAATAAATTATTGCATTTACCGCCTAAAAAATATTTTATTATACTAAATGAATTATAAATAATTTATAGATATAATCACCTTGTTTTTTTAAATTAACAGAATTTTATGTTTTAAGATTTGCATAATTATCATTAATTAATAAAATTAGAATATTTATAGCTATTTATGAATTGTTTGGATTATTTTTTTAACTAGAAGAAATTGATAAAGGTACCGATACAAATACCCGCTTTTTTCTTTTTTTTATTTAAATTTTATCTGACAAAAGTATCTAAAATTTTTTTTATAATCAGAAATTACATTGATTTTACATTGTGATGGCTAAAAAAATATTTGAGATTACCTCTGCAGTTAGAAATTTGTTATTTTATATTTAAGCTTGAACTTTTGTTTTTTTGAAGATAAAAATTATAATCTTACAAAGTTTATTTCCTGATAATATTAATTATTTATATTGGAAATTAATATTTACATTAGATTCTTATATATAATGAATTATAATGGGGAGTTACAGAGAAATTTTACACTATCCGATTCAAATTCTTCAGTAAACTCTTCAGATTCATTTCACTCTACAATCAGTAGTAAATGTGAACGCATAGAAGATACTCAGAAAGATTTAAGATTATTTCCTAATTTATCTATATTAAGGAATCTTCGATCTCGTATTAATTATTTAAAGTTAAAGATGGGAGTCAAAATAAATAGAATGATAAAATTAGTAGTTAATGAAAATTATGGAATGTTTAGGAGATTTGCAAAAGTAGATATAGAAGATTTTAATGAAGATAATAGAGTATCTATTTCTGAGGATAAAGTGATACAAAATAATGAAGATAAAATAAATAGTAATTTAACAGATTTTTTAACAAATGATAATAATTTCAATGATAATAAAGTAATATATAAACAAAATATTGATAATAATGAGGATATATCTCAATATATACCATTAATTAGTAAAGATACTGATTCTAATTTATTGAGAGATATTCATCCATTATTATCTAATAATACTTCCTTATATATAAATATTGAGAATTTTTTAAAGGAACGTTTTGATAAATTTGAAAATAGACGTATAGAATTCAATGATTTCTTAAGATGTAATAAACAAGATAATTTAGATAAATTTGATTGGTTAAATTTAAAACGTAAGAAATATAGAGAATTTGCATCTTCTTTAAGTGAAGTAAGCTTAGATTGTCTATTAACTAATCCAATAGAATCTAATTGTCAGTTAGTACATAATAAAGAAGGTGTTAGAGTATGGAAGAAAGAGTATGGAGCTGGACGTTTATTATTAAGGACAGAATTTATAGTACCTATAAATCCGAAAGATTATGTTGCATTTTCTTCTAACAGTAATCAAAGAAAAATATATGATAGCAATACATCTGATATAAGAAATTTGGAAAATATTGAGTCTGGTTTAGATATAATTTATGTTGCTTCAAAACGAATTGGTACAATATATCCTAGGGATTTAGTAAATATAAGATTTATACATGCATTAGATGCTAGAAAAGATCTTAGTGTAATATTTAAGGATGATGCAGATAAACTAGGTAAAGACTCTAGCAATTTACTTTGGGCATCATGCACTTGTTCAGTAGATCATCCAGATATTCCAGAGAAACCAGGACTTGTTCGTATGGATTCAAGAATTGGAAGTTATATAGCAGTTCCAATAAAAACTCCTTTTGGTCTATGGAGTAATATTGCAATGTTTAATGAAGGTAATCCAAAAGGTTGGATTCCATCATCTGTTACAAGATTATTAGCAGCTAAAATTATTCCTGGATCTATTGAGAAATTGTTGGCTACAATGTTTTCTTATTATGGAATAAGTCTTGATTCAGATAATAAATCATATTCTGGTTTTGCATATCGTAAACTTATATCATTATTCACATCTGAAATGAAGTTATATAATCAAGTATTTCGGAATATTGAAAATTCTGAATATTTGATTCAAAATAATGCCAATAATTTAGGTTTATTTAAGAGATGTGAAGTTAATAAGAATTTGAAAATTTTGCAATTAGAAGAAATTGAATATAAAAAACGAAATTCGGAAGAATATAGAAATTTATTATCAGATAATATGGAGACTAGAAAAGAATCACAAGAATATCAAATTAATAAATATAATAATGAATTACAGCTTAATTTGAATATATCTGATCATGAAGATAATACTAATTCAATATCTAGATCAAAATTTTTTGAGGAATATTTTTCTTATGATATATCAGAATTTTTGGATAAATTTTATAGTTTTAATTTATTGAGAAAGATGATTTTATCTACGTACTTAGTTAATAAATCTAGGACAAATAAACAAGATATGAAAGATTATTTGAATTCAATATCTAGTCCAAAAAGTGGAAATATGGAATTAAAAGGGTGTCTAGATAATTATAGGAATTTCTCAAGATGGAGATTACTTGATACTATTGACACAAAAAAAGTAACTCAAAATAAAAAATTTACTAATAGTATCAATTCTCCAGAAATTATAAGTTCTTCATCACCTATATTACCATTAACATTAGATATATCTGAAGTAAATTATGATACTTTGAAATTGTATATGGATGCCTCTACAATTGATCTTACTCCAATTTCAGAAAATAAACTTACTTTGGAAGAATCTATAGATATTGATAAGAGAAAAATTCCTTATGAGCAAGATAATATAGAGATTTTAGCTAAAAATAATTTATTAGAGAATATATCGACACTTTCAAGTCCTAAACAATTATATAGAAGAATTAGTCCATCATCGCCTATATTTGTACTAGCAGAAATATTTGATTTAAATGATAGTTACTTGATAGATCAAACTTTTTATCTTGATGGTTTAGATTCAGATATAGATCAAAGTTGATAAACTAAGTAATATTGTACATAGTATATGAAGTATATCTCTAAATAATTCTCTATTATCTTAAATAAAATAGATATTTAATAATATTATTTTCTTATATTTCGAAATATAACTTTAGCTAAGGTTTCTAGTATTATCTATAACCTAATTATGATATTTCAAATTTCTTTTTTAAAGGATATATTAATGTTAACACTATTACTTTATGTATTTTTTTAACAAATATATATAACTTTTTAGACCTTTATTAAAAAAAAAGTGATAGTTTTAAATCTTAGAGAGGAATTTTAAAGTTTTTTTATTAATATTTCAATAAGAGTTAATAGTAATGATTCCAAGAATGATTATGTAAATTATTTGAATTTTGACAATGATCACATTGCATATTAGTTGGATGAGTTGGACTAATAGTATTATTTTGTATTTGATGTTCTTGCATACAATTAGAATTCTGGATTGCACCTCCTGTATTATTAGATAATAAAGGAGTTGGGGTTATATTTATGTTTGAATCATGTACAAATTTATGAGATTTAAATGGATTAGAACTATTCATAGAAGCACCTTTACAACTAGTAGTTGTAGTTACAACAATCCCAGCAGGTATATTAATAAATTTAGACTGAGATCCATGATTCATTGACATTGGTGACATACAAATTGTAGGACCACTAGCTGGAGAATTAGGGAGTGTAATTATTCCAGAAGGTGACACAACTCCTGAACTATTGAAAAATCCATAAGGTACAATTGCTGAAGGTAGTTTTCTGGGTTCATGGATGCAAATTGAGTTGAGGTTAATATTGGACATTTCAATATCCTCATTAGATTTACATACTTTGTTTTCATTTATTTTGGATGATTCCTTTAAATATTTAATTTTTAGTTTGTGTAAAATTATGCTATAAACAAAAGCCAAGAAGCATAAGATAAATGATAAAGTTGCAATGACAATACTTTGAATATAAAAACGATACATTGAAGCACTTTCAGATACACAGAAAAATTCCACGGCTTTGCATAGATCATATGCAAATATTTCATCATTTGCTAAGGCATTAGAGCAATCATATGATACCACAGATTGTATTGGACAATCTGGTAACATTGTCATAATTCTTACTGAATAGAATTTACTTGATATAAATATTGATATTATACCACCAATAAAAGTAAATATCCCCATTACAACGAAGTACCAAGGTTGAATAAATTTATACTTTTTGCAAGCTGTACACATTGCAAAAATTAGTAAGTATACCCCAATAGTAATAAATGATATAAAACATAATATAGATACATTACGACTTACTAAACTTATTGGAGTAACTGCATGCCAAATTATAAATTCTCCATTTAAGCCTTTTAGTGTTCCTTCGATTATTTCCGAGTTATTATTTTCAAATATAAAAGTCTTATATTTCAAAGTATAAGAACAACCAAAAATTAAATATGCTAATGATACAAGCAAAGTTAAAAAACAAATAACACCTCTTAGAATATTATAAAGTGTATTATTTGGAATAATTGGATCTTTTATTTTGTTTTCATTTATTTTAACTTTTTCATTAGTTTCTTTATTAAATATTTTTTTCATGATCCACAATCAAACTTGTATTTAAGTACTAAAAAGTTGAACAATTAAATTAGGATATTTGATTAGCCAGTTTAGGTTAGGATCTGACCTATAGATCACTTAATTAAGAATATCTTCGAAAATCTTAAAAGAAACAAAATATTGTTATGGTGTGTAGCAAATAGTACAGTATACCGCTAAGATGCATCTGTGTTAAATTTGCAATATTGTAATATATCATTTAAGACACAAAGGCAGATAAGTAAGCGGTAAGTTATTTAAAAAATGTTTTGGCTGTCTTTTTAAGGGTCTCCGAATAGAAATATTTTGAGTCTCCTATTTTTTATTGAAAGAAAGAAGTAGCGCCTTTAGGGTTTTGAGGTATTACATTAGGGTTTTAATATTTAATAATAATTAGATTACTTAATCTAACAAATTAATCTATTAATTAATAGATGGTAGATTAGATATAGAAATTATAGAATAGTAGAAGATATTGATAATGGGTAAAATGGAAAAGAGAAATTCAAATAATAAGAATAAGGATAATACGAAATGTATACGAAAACCTAAAAGTTTTAGAGATTTGAATAAACCTGCTTTAAGTATTGGAACACTAGACTTTATAGAAAATGGGCTAAAGTTTAAATATATGGCCCCAATTCAGGAGGTCAGTATTCCTGAGATTTTAACAAATAAAGATGTAGCAGTAGAAGCTTGTACAGGCTCTGGTAAAACATTATGTTATTTAATCCCAGTAGTAGAGATTTTATTGAGATCAAGTATAACCAATTTAAGTATTCAATTTATTGTAGGATCAATTATTGTTGCACCTACTCGTGAATTAGCCCTTCAAATTAACGAAATACTTGATCATTTTTTAAGTTTTATAGAGAAATATGAAGGTAATAAATTAAAAAATATGTTATGTATAGGTGGTAAGGATATATCAGCTACTATGAAATATATAGATACTGTAAATAATATAGAAGTTGACAATAAAGATGTATATAGAACTAATAATAGTCAGCTAGTGTATCATATATTAGTAGGAACACCGGGAAGGTTGTTTCATATGTTTAATATATTAAATGATGGTAAAGATTGGTGTATTAAATCATCTCTTGAGATTTTTATTTTAGATGAGGCTGATAGACTACTAGATTTGGGTTTTGAGAAACATATTAATGTAATTTTACGTGCATTACCTAAACAAAGACGAACAGGTCTATTTTCAGCAACATTAACTTCTCAAGTTTGTAATCTTATAAAAACAGGTTTAAGAAATCCAAAATTTATAAAGGTATCTATGGGATTATCGGATTTTAATGGTAATGATGATAATAAAAAAAAGAATGAATATATTCAACACTCAAGAGATGTTAATATTCCATCAGGACTAGGATGTCATTATGTTGAACTTAGTATGACTGAAAAGAACGAATTTCTCTTATGGTTTATTAATGAATATCTATTTCCAAACAAATGTCTTGGTAAGAATAAAGGTACAAAGAGTATTATTTTTTTTTTGACATGTAGTTCTGTTGAATTTTATTATAAATATTTATCAAGTATATATCATGAGCATGATAATAAAGAGAAGATAGCAGAATTTAATACTTTGGGAAATTCAACATATATTACAAATACGAAAATTGGTGTATTATGTAAACTTCATGGGCAGATGTATCAAAAATCTCGTGAGACATCTTATAATAATTTTAAAAAGAGTAATTGTGGTATATTATTAGCTACAGATGTTGCAGCAAGAGGTATTGATATTCCAGATATAGAATGGATTATTCAATTCGATGCTCCTCAAGATCCATCATTCTATATTCATAGAATAGGAAGAACAGCTAGGGCAGGGAAAAGTGGTAAATCTATTATACTTTTACAAAAACATGAAGATTCTTTTATACCATATATTGAAAAGCAGACATGTCAAGCTTTAACTAAATTTAATTTCGAATTAAATAAATTAGATGAATCTTATAAATCTAATATCGTCTCACTTTGTAAATGTATTCAAATAAATGATGAAATTTTGAGTAAGGATGAATTTTTAAGAAATTATGAAGGTTTAAATTTGTATAGAGCTCAAACTCTAATGAGAAAGCTTGTAATAAGTGATCCAGCTACTTATATATTAGCAAAGAAAGCTTTTGTTGCATTTGTGAGGGCTTATAAAGAGCATCAATTGAAGTTTATCTTTCCTTTTAATATTTTATCTTTAGGTAATTTGGCATCTAGTTTTTCATTATTAAGAATTCCAAGAGTAAAGGAAATACTTGGTAAATCCTGTATTAAAGATGATTTTATAACTTATTCAGAAAATATACACCCAAATGATATTTTGAAAGGTAACCATTATTCAAATGAAGATTTAGAAGATAAAAAACAGATAAAATTAAAAGATAATACGAAAGATATAAATTCATCTAATAATAACTTCAAATCTAAAACAGCCTTAAATATTGAGAACAAGGTTAGAACAAGGACAGAAAAGAGAAATGCTAAAAGAAGAATGGAAATGAACGAATGGGAAGATTTACAATATGAAGAGAAATTAACTAAGAAATTAAGACAAGGTAAGATAACATTAGAAAACTATAATAAACAATTAAAATCCTATAGAAAAAGTAATATGAATAATGAAGATTCTTATACAGATGATGATTTAGGTTATTCATCAAACAGTTGTAATGAATTAAGTGATGAAGAAATAATATATTCAAATAATGGAAAATCAAATTTAAATATTAAGGTATATCCTAATGTTCTTACTAAAAAGATTCCAAAGTGGGTATATAGTAAGAGCAAATCTAAAAAGAAAAGATAAGTCATATTTAATATTATGTATTTGTATTTTGAGTTTCTATTATAAGGTTCCAATCAAGATTATCAATTTTAATGTCAGCAGAATGAATAACAAGCTGAAATAAAGATTCTAATTTCCTATATATTCCAAATTCAGAATTTGTATCTGGGACTATTTTTTCTATTGTAAACTCAAGGTATTTCTTGGTTTTGTCTTTAAAAAAGTAGACATTTTTGGGTTGTTCCTTTAATCCATTAATTATTATAGTGTTTATGTTAAGATCCATTCTTGAACTCCATTTATTCTTAATCACTTCTAGATCTGAATTTATAACTTGAAATTGTTTCTTTTTTGAATTTATAAGGTTGATACTTTCATATTCACCCGAGAACTCATAAATATTTTGAGTTTTAGAGTGTTCAAATTCATCTTCAAGAGAACTACCCTTTGAATATTGATGACTATTAGATAAATTACATAACTCCGAAAATTCTGTAACTTTTTTAACTTTCCAATTTATACAAAGAAATTCCCCTTTTAAGTAATTGTATGATTGCCCATCATCCAGATAACTCTTCCCAGTAGATATAATAGGGGAATCTTGATAAATTGGGAGGAATATTTCAATTTGAATTGGGAACTTATTTTGCAATTTAGATGAATGAACTAAGTCTTTTTGTAGTGTAATAATACTTGATTGTTTAACAAAGCATGGTGTGTAATCTTCTAATTTATAAGAATAATCAACAAAATGTTTGTTAGATTGAACAATATGATATTTAAGTTTCTTAAATTCATACCAAATTGTATCTTCAGTAATTAAAGGTAAATATATTGGTTGAATTATATGATCTTCAGAACATCTACATTTTTTAAAAGAGCTATCTGAATATATAGAAATCAAAAATACATCTGATACTATAAAAGAAGAATTTTCAATTTTTTTTCTTTGTATTTCATCAATTTGACCTATACTTTTAGCTAACCAAAATACAGGAGTTATTATTGGTTGCCCTTTAAATGAATATATTGATGCTGCAGTATACCAAAAAGATATAAGCTCATATCTTAATAATATTTGCTGTCTTACTATCTCAAGAACTTCATCATTATAAGCCCAAGGTTCACGTCTTGGGGAATCAATATGAGAGTGGCTACGATAAAATGGAAACCAAATTGCTAATTTATGCCAATATATAAATAAACATGAACAAGGATGTCCATAAAATCCTCCCACATCTGAACCTGTATATGAAATACCACATATTGAATTAATTAAATTCATTGGTATAACTGCTTGATAGCTTTTCCAAGATGATTCATTATCACCTGTCCACACATAACCAAATCTATGTGATCCAATATAAAAAGAACGAGTTAAAATATAAGGACGTTGAATATCATATAAATCACAAATTTCCCAAATATCTTCTTCATGGATAATCTGAAATTTTAATATTAAATCTGAATAATTTTTTTCATATTTAAAATCTTTATTAAATATATTATTAAGTTCCCTTTCTTCTTTAAGATAATCTATTTCTAACTTCTTATAATCTTCATTATTGCATCTACTAGTAGTTAACTTTAAATTAGCAGTAAGTATCCCCCTAAATGTAGATTTGAGATGGTTTAATCCATATATATTATGTACTTGTCTATGCTCTATATTCTTATAATGAAATGAATATTTTGGTAAAGTTAATTCTGGACTTGAAAATACAGAAGGTTCATTCATATCAATCCAAAATTCCAAATTTAATCCTTTAGAATAATATTTATGTATATAAAACTTTGAATATATATCTAATACATATGGATTCAAAAAATCAGGATATTTTACTTTACCAGGCCAACATAAGCCAATAAAATCTTTCCATTGCTCATTATTATATACTCTAACCCAATTTGATAATTTTGAAATATTATACAATTTTTTATAACATGTATCAAACTCTAATTCATGAGTATCTTGTATATTTTCTAATATATTATAAACAAAATATTCATTTTCCTCAGATTCTAATAAATCTTGAATTTTTATATGTGGATCTGCTATTATTACCAAAGTCCTATTTTGATCATCTAACTTATTTAACATCAGTTCTATATCTGGAAATTTTGTTTTATTCCAAGTAAAACATTGTCTTTTATCTAAATGTTCAATATCTAACCAAATAGCATCCATTGGAATTTTAAATTGATTAAATAATTGCGATAATTCTAAAACTTCTTCTTGTGTAAAATAATTCCAACGAGATTGATGTTTCCCAAGTGCAAATCTAGGGGTCATCATTGGAAATCCTGTAATCATATGATATATAAAATAAAAATTTTTTATTGAATCAGACATCCACAATAAAATATCCATTATACCAGTTTCAGATATCCACCATGAGTCTGTATATAATTCATTTTGTGTTTTTGAAGATATCTTTGATAATCTTCCTCTTCTAATACTCATAAATGTATCTGAAGGATTATTCCATAATATACCAGAAATCCTACAATTCTTATATTTATTATCATCAATGTTCTTATTTATTAAACAATCTTTTCTATTAGAGTTTAAATATTCAACTTCATTATATTCATTATTATATACTCCTATTAATATTGGAATATTACCATAAAGAGAATTAGGTTTATTATACTCATATGTAAATACATCTAAATTATAGAATCTATATGAATCTTCATATTCATCCAAATTAATATTTGTACTTCGTTCAGCACCTCCATAAATATTATGAGTTAAATGAAATCTGATATCAGTTCCTACAGCTGTTGGTCCATATACTTTGTAATCTGGATATCCATCAAAAATATCAAACCAACCATTGTTATTATATATACTATATGCATCAATAATTTGATTACTGAATCTATATTCTCTAATACTATCATTCTTTATATTCAAAATATTAAAGTCATATCCAAAATATTTTATAATAATTCCTAATAAATTATATATAAAATTATTATTTCTCTCTTTTATTTGAATAAATTTAAAAATCTCATCTATTTTCATATTATTTGTTATTTTATTATTATGTATTGAATCTTCCTTCTTATCTATCTTCATTAAAGGTCTAACCCTTTCGAAATTAAAATGACCATTATAATTAATACTATGTATATTTTCATTATTAAAAAAAGTTTCAATACTAAAAGGGCTAAAATTTATTATTATTGTAAACTTATTTTCTGTACTTTTAAATTTATAAGTATTGTTATGTTGATTATATAACTTTTCACTATATTCATCAATAGTATAACTAAGTTTTACTATTCCCTTCATATCATTTATATCTAATTCAACATCATTATTATTATTAATAAGAAAATTATCTAGTAAAGAATCCATTATGACTTCATTTGTTTCAAATTTAAAACGTTTAAAATTAATAAGTGGTTCTATTTCATCAATTTTTAAACGTATGCAACCAAATGAATATGCATTTACTAACACTTTTAATGGAACTATTTCAGGTGATAAAGGATTATAAATAAGTAATGAAAGTGTACTATTCTCTATATTATTTAAATCATCATTATTATTATTAATACCAATATGTGAATGAATTCTTACAGATCCTGGTTTTACATGCCATGGTGATAATGTCCTATACTTAATATATTTGCAAAACTTCTTATATCTAATAATGAATGGTGAAGACTTCTCGGTTCTAAATATACTTTTGTTTTTAAATGAAGTAACAGTTCCAATTATAAACCTTGCGATATAACTAATTGAAAATACAATATTACTTATAATATTCGGAATACAAATTCCTTTTACATACATAGTAATGAAATCTATTAATCACAATATATATACAAGAGTAATATAAAAATTATTTAGAATTACAAGTCAATATTATAAATAGATGTTTTTATTGCTCGTAACCGCAACACTTTAGTCATCTAATTAGTGTCTGAAGTCAAGTCCTGCAATAACTCCCACCATTAACCCATATATACATATAATTTCATATAAGAATTCAATTTAATAAAGATCCTTTATATGGTTTTATATTTTACAAATTAGTCCTTTTTTCTTTGTCTCCTTTTTTCAATATAAAAATTTGAAATTCTATGGATGCAACAACACTATAGGCGGTGTTATCATAATAAATATGTCTCCTCAATATTTTTTTATTATATATATAATAAAAAATCACTACAATTTATATATATTAGAAATATGTCTTAATAATATTTTATTTATATAAATTAGTACCCCTTATATTTATAAAATGAAAAAAAAAGTAAAAAGAAGTAATTAAAATAGCGCCTATTTTCCGCGCTTATTTTTAGAGACAGAACTGTTTTATCTGCATGAAGGCGTGTACATATCTATGGACTGCATGAATAACGGTAATAAATTGAAAGATATTTATTTCTCTCTTTCTTTTCCTTTGGAAGACAACTAGAAATCTTATTTATCTGTATTTTTAGAAATAAAATAAAGTTGAAGATATGGCATCTGCATGGGATAACTTATTAAAAGAATGGCTTATTGACACTAAAACCGTCTGTCTAGCAGGATTATGTTCTATAAGTAGTCATTCAATATATGCTGCTTGTTCAGATGAAGGTGATCCATGGAAAGAACTAATTAAGGAAGATCATGAAGTAAATGTCACGCAAGTAGATGGTGTTTCTGAAGCACCTGAGACAGTTAATGAACTTTCTACTATAATATCAGCTGTTAGTGAAGGTTCTTCACCTAAAGGGGTATGGGTAGGTGGTAAGCAATATAGAATTATCAGTGTAGAAAAAGGTTTTGAACAAAACAATATAAATGTCATTTTTTGCACAAGAAACCAAGGTGGTTGTTTTCTCGTAGATACAGGTAATGATAATGTAGTTATATGTGTCTATGATGAAACAAAGAATCAAGTTGCAGGTAATTGTAAAAAGAATGCCTTAGTATTTGCAGAATACCTTGCTGCACAAGGTTACTAAGTAGATCAATTTGATAGATAGCATTACAATAAGTAAGGAGAATGTTGTGTAGATGTTAGAATAGACCTTTTGTTTATTCTTATTACTAAAATCAATGCAATTGCCTTTTTCTTAGTAAATCTCAGATATAACTTTCAGTATTAGGTCTGTATATTGCATTAATAGTAGAATATTTTACTTTATCTCAATAAATATTAGATATATCCATTATCTAGCCAGTTATTATGCGATGTATTAAGGTCAATTAGATCGTTGTTTGGAATATAGTTAGTTGTAGGTAATGTCTGTGCTTTAGATAAATTGCGAAATTTTATATCTTGATTATTCATTACTGAGGAGATTGGATTTTCAATTAATTTATCATGATTAATTTTATTATGTATATTTTGTATATTATAATTATTTGAATCCCATGATACTCTTAAAACTTTGGAAATGATTAAACCATTATATGTTGGAGGAATTTCATCATCTTCTTTAGGATCCATCCAAACATATGAATCTCCATTTTTAACTTTAAATCTAAAGTAATAATTTCCTAATAAAGGAAATTTACTTCGAATGTGTTTTATAGTAATATTAGATTGTGTATTTATATGAAACATATTTGGATATTCTTCAGAGTCATAATCACTTGGTATAAAATAATATATAGGAATTATTTTTCCTCTTCCATTAGTGGTCATTCTATGAATACAAAAATCTTACAAATATATTAGCAAGATTGTAAAGAATCTAAATGTAGAATTAATTTAATTATAATAATAAAGATCAAAATAATAGTAATAAAAAGGTTATTGGCGGTAAAATAATACCGCCTTTCCTGCGGGTATCGGGTTTCATCTAAAAACAAAATATTTTTAGATTTTATAGTAATGTAAAGTACAATAATTATCTTTTTTTTTGTTATTTAGAAACAATCTAATTGATATTTAAATTTAAGATTTCTAATAATTTTTGTTTTATAATATTTTTAAATAATAGAGATCAATAAATTCAGTAATAGTAATAGTATTTTTATATATTTCGGTATGTTGTATTAAAATAATACTCTAAATTAATAATAATAAGGTAATATTACTATCATATAAATAATAAATAATATGTACATGTATATGTATAAGTTAAAAACAATTATATAACTTGTTTATAGGATAATTATGTTGGTGAAATAACTAATAATATAACTTCAGTTAACCACTTCAAATATTCTACCTTTTATTACATATTCTTAAGATATTATCATATATATTATACATATATTGTTTTAATACAAATATTTTAAATATCAAAGATTCTTTTAGTAGAGATTTATTTATATATTTATATTATATAGTCTAGGTCTATTAATTCTATAGAAATTGAAGGAGTTTTTATAAATATATATATATATATAGAATAATAGTGATCTTTTATGATATAACTAAACAAATAAAAGTAAATATTTAAAGTATTGCCTATTTTATTAAAATCATATAATAAATACTATTAATATTTAAAATAATACTCATACTAATAATAATAAATTAATAATAATATTATCAAATAATTTGGATTACAAAAAGTATATTTAATTTAATTATATTATTAAGTTTGGAATAAAAAAAAAGTGATAATTTTTAATATATTAATATTTAATATTATATTTGTTATAAGTTAGTAGGATATATAAGTTAAATAGTACTAATATATATTGAAAGTTTTAAGATATCATTAATAATAAGATTTCGTTCTTTAATTTAATATTTATTTATTTTGATTTATTCCAAAAAATGATCTATATTAGATATTCAAATTAGGTTTAATTATAAATTATGATTAAAAAAAAAGGAATCCTAATAACATAAAAGATTTAGATGTAACGATATTTTAAGTTTACTTCATTTCTTAATATATTTATTTAATTAATATCACGTAATATATGTTCTATTAAGTATTAATATTGAATATTTGAATATTCTTTTTATAATGAATTTTTATTCATTAATAAATATTTTCAATAATTTATAAAAAAAAACAAAATTTTAAATAGTTCTTAATGATAATATATTTATAATAAATGATTGTAAATATATATTTGATAATATTAAATAAAATAGTCACCTAATACTTAATATAATATATTATAGTAATTACCCTTTGATTATTTTTGTAAAATTGAGCATGAAACTAATAACAGAAATTTATTAATTTAAAAAATCCTTTTGCTGTATGAATATTAGAAAGATATCGTTTAAAAATTACTAATAATTTTTCTAAAACTACATTATATATTCACTAATTTCTAGGTTGGTTACGAATATTTACAATTGAAATTTGTTACCAATGAAAGCTACTCACAAATATCTAAAAGTAGGAATATTACAGTTTATATTATCAAGTAGTATATAATTTGTCATTTTAAGTAAATATTACAATAATTTTATCTAGTATTTAAGTTAATCATTTATTTAAATGATTTATATTATGATACTTGAAATATTTAGATTTAAGACCAAATAAACCATGATATCTTTCTAAGTTTAGTGATTTTTGAGTATTTTGATCTAAATTATTACTTGTGCAACTACAAGATTGAGATTTAGTATTATATTTCTTACCTATATTATTAAACCACATTAATATTCCACTATTTAATGACTTATTGAATATTCTTTTAAATTTTGTTCTTTTCGAAATTTTATTGAAATTTTGTTTATTATCATTTAATATAGTTCCTTCTATAGATCTTTCAACTTTGTTATTCGTTAAATTTGGATTTTTTTGATCTTTATCTTTATCAAAAATATTATTCTTATCAATAGGTGAATAAGATATAATAGATGGTGAAAATGATATTGAAGGTTCTGAATTAGATCTTTTTTCTTGTTGAATATCTTTTTTAGAAATGTATTCAGTTTCTTTATCACTTATATTATTAAGATCATCATTACTATTTATATTCAATATTTGATATTTTGGTGAAGTCATTGCAGTACTTTCTGAATTTGGTGATATTTCATTCACTAATTCTTTTCTTATTATATCTGCACCAATTCTTTCAATACTTGATAAAATAGTAAATGATTGAAGTGAATCATTAATAACATCACTAATAATAATATTATTAATTGTATTTGAAGCTGCACTACAATAACTATTTGTATCATCAAATGTAAGTGAGGAAGAATCTGATATTGTTTTTATTGAATATTCTTTAATAAATGATATATTTGAATTAAAAAAGTGTCTTTTATTAATAGTATTATTAAGTTCATCATTTATTATTACTTGACTATTAGAATTATCTTTATTATTTGATTCTTGAGATGTTGATTCATAATATTTATTACTACCTGAAGTAGGTGTTATACCTGTAATTGAAAATTCATTATTCCCAAAATTTTTATCTATATTATTATTTTCAGATAAACTATCATTGACTTCATGATCTAATTTATCTAAATATCCTTGTTCATGAATCTCATTATTTTCACAACATTCATTTAAATCACTACTTGTACATGTATGATAATGATGGGTTATTTGATCTGAATTATATTTTAAATATTTATGTTTATTAATATCCTTTATTTCATTAAGATTATTTAATAAATCTATTCCAAGTATATCATAAATATCTTTTTGCAAATAATTAATACCTATTGGATCCCATAATATACTTTTTCTATTTCCCTTATAGCGTACAGTACCATTTGAATTCTCATCATTAAAAAGTAAATGACATTTCTTTATTTTTCTGAAGTCTGGGATAATTTTATTGTTATTTTTACATTCAATTATATATCTAGTAAATCCATTATTAGGATGAAATCTTGGATCACTATATTGTATGTTACTATTACTTGGAAATTTAAATGGATAAAACGGGAATGATTTATTCTTCTCTGTTCCACCAAAATACTCCTCTATTTGACATGGATGTATAATTTTAAATAGTTGATGTTTTATATCATTTCTACACAATACAATCTTATGCTGTTGTAAATCTGTTAAAAATTGCTTCATTATATTCCAAATAGCTTGTATAAAAACTGAATCATGTAATACAAACATTTTATATAATCTAAATGAGTATTGATTTGTTAATAGTGAGGAAATTTCACTTAATGTTGAAATAGGGAAAGATGTTAAACTCACACCTCTTACATCTATCAAGGCTAGGCATGTTTCAATTTTACCAGGTATCATCAAATATCTTAATCCCCATTCTAAACAGAATACAATTAGACGAATAAATCTCTGAATTGGAAAATTTTTCCCTATCTTTGCTAATTTTATAACTAATATAGGTCTTAAACTAAAATCTCTACCATGCCAGTATATTATTCCATCTTCTAAATCTCTACGTAGTTCTACATCAGTATCTTTTAAAGGATATATAGATCTTCTCCAAGAATACATATTTTTAACATGATGTACAGTTTTTACTATATAATTACTGGGATATCTTCTCTTATTAAATATTAATATACGTAATAGTATAGGACTTAATTCCATAGGTACTTCAAAATTATTAGATCTACAGTAATTATCAAATTCATCTAATAATTTTGTTTCATTTTCTAATAAATCAACATGTAAAAATATTTGTCTAATTTTGAATTCAGATGATGATCCAGTATTAAATTTTGTAAATACATCCTCATCTACAGGGTTATATACTAATACTTCACTAGGTATAGTATAATCATCTAGTGACTCTGTAATTTCTAAAGCTCTCCCAAGTTTTTCCACCATATTTATATCCAGGTTTTGAATATCATTACCCATATACTTTAAATTTCCTGTCATTAAAATGAATGTTCTATATTATTCGTAAAGGAGTATATAACAGCCTTTGCTATTATTATAGACTTATTCGGAGTTTCTTATGATCTCCATAAATATATAAATTATTCAACTGGAATAAGTTTTAATACTTCTTAAATATAAGAATGACCGAAGTCATTAATGAAAAATATACAGTACGAGATAAACCCGCCTAAACATCCTAAAAATTCTAGTTATATTAATTAAAGAAAATATAAAGAAAATATTTAAAGGTAGAAATCTTATTATCTCGAATATTTTATTAAATTTTATCTTAGTATAGCTTAATAAATATCATATTAAGATATATTTGAATATAAGGAATTTGTTTTATATTACATATATTTGGAAAAAAAACGTGACTTATTATTAAGTGTAATAGAAAATTAATAAAATAGGAAAAATATGACTTTTGAAGAAAATAAGTGGGTAAGTAAATCTATTTTTTGAAATAATTATGTTTATATAGCCTTATTTTATATTATTACACTTTAATTAATTGTAGTAAATATGAGAATATTCAATTCTTGGAAATTCTAAATCCACATTGTATTAGTTATACACCCTTTAAAGTATTTAGAGAATATTTAGATATATCTCAAATAATATAAGTTTTGATTGAACTAATATTTATAAAGTAACAATATAATGTATTTATTTGTTTTAGCATTGATTCTAAGATCATTATAATATTACCGATTATTTCCCAATTATTTATAAAATAAATAGAAATTTGGTCATCAGAGAAATTTAAAGATAATAATTTTAGAAATATATTCCACAATACAGCCAATCTTAGTTTTATTAAAAAATAATAATGTTGATATGAGTATTACTAAAGATATAATCCAAATAATTAGAAATTCTAGCTTTTTTTTTCTTTGAAATCTTTATAACTAAGTTAAATATTTCAAATACAGTTGATAAATTATCACTAATATAAAAGTTCCCAATTTTAAATGAATTGAGTTATTCAATATAATTTTAAGGTAAATAATAGTTGAATATAAATATAATATATTAAATTGAAATTACTTTAAAATTAATTGTAATAATAAATAACCCCATAGTTAAAATGAATAATAAATTTTTTGATTGAGATTTATATTTCATATCTGGTAAGTAGTAATACTTTATTTAAAATTAAATCAATAGGTTGGTATGAAGAAAAATGGGAGAATTAAGTTTGGAGAATATTGAAAGGAATACCTAGAATACTTGTATTATTTGATTATAATTTATATAGGCACAGTTTTAACCATAATATTGAATAGCTCCCACTTTACATATTTTATTTCTGTAATTTTAAATAATTTCCTTGATGATTATAAATTTTTTCAATAAAATTCAATAATAAAAATATAAAAAATGCCATTCTTATTGTGACTTGGTATGATTATAGATGATATTAACAATAAGAAAGGCTAATTATTAATAAACAAACTAGCTTTTAAAATTTTTTAGATATAAAGTTTGAATTTTTAGTTATTTTCATTTAGAGAAATTTTTATTGGAACTAATTTCTTCGTATTTTTAAGATACCAGCTAATAGTTGAGTCCCAAGGAACTAAACAATCATTAGCAGAACTTTTAAAATAAACTGAGGTATTTGGGTTATATCCAATTAATTCTTGAATTCCAATAATCCATCCATCAAAATTTTTGTCGAAAAATACTGATGTTAAATAGTTAGGCTGTGAGCTATAATTTTGTTGTGTAGCGACATTCTTCTTAAAAAAGGAATTTGTAACTGGGAAGTGTTTATACAATGGACGACCATTGTATATACCATTAAAGCGATACAATCCTTGAATTACCTCCAAATTTGGAATATTATAGTTTATTGGAAGAGTTACAACTATAGTCTTATATTTATGATGTATATTCCCATTATTTATCATTGAATTAGCCTGGTCATGTAGCCATTGTCCATTTTCTGGACAGATTACTGGAGAAAATGAGGGTTGAGAAGAGTTTGAACCTATAGTTTGATTTAATTTATTAGATTCAATAATAATTAGCTTGTTCTGTGTATTAAGTGGAATATTTAATGATGAATATGTTGGCAATTCACTTTGCTCATAATTATTTGATTGTACTAACTCAATTTGTGAAGGTTTGTCTTCAAGATTTGAAGTTTTTTGTATTACTTGGGATTGGTTAAAAGTATTACTTGAATTATCTTGTTCTTTTTGTAGATTAGTTTTAGAAGATTGTTTATAAGAGGTTACTGAAGTTAGTTGATTCTGGTTTAGTGTAGTATTTCTCTGTACTCTCAAAGGTAAATCTGATTCAACACCTTTGATATCACCTAGAGAGGTATTTCTTAATTGTTGATTTAATTGGCTAGAGTTAATCTGTGGATTATCGGGAAATTCCTGGCTTTTTTGATCATATAAAATTGACGAATTTTGTCTGAGGATAGGAGTTCTCATTGCTTCACTTGGAGCTGAAGTTGACGTTACTGTCTGTTGAGGCATCTGCATTTGCGTCTGTGTTGATATTCCTCCTTGATTATTAGAATTTTGTTGAGGTATTAATCCACCCTGATTTAGTATTTGCATTGGTATCCCTACTTGATTATTAGAATTTTGTTGAGGTATTAATCCACCCTGATTTAGTATTTGCATTGGTATCCCTCCTTGATTATTAGAATTTTGTTGAGGTATTAATCCACCCTGATTTAGTATTTGCATTGGTATCCCCCCTTGATTATTAGAATTTTGTTGAGGTATTAATCCACCCTGATTTAGTATTTGTATTGGTGCCCCTCCTTGATTATTAGAATTTTGTTGAGGTATTAATCCACCCTGATTTGGTATTTGTATTGGTATCCCCCCTTGATTATTAGAATTTTGTTGAGGTATTAATCCACCCTGATTTGGTATTTGTATTGGTATCCCCCCTTGATTATTAGAATTTTGTTGAGGTATTAATCCACCCTGATTTAGTATTTGTATTGGTATTTCTTCTTGATTATTATAAATTTGTGGTAACCCTTGGCCTGGCATTTGTATTGGGAAATTCCCCTGATCAATATTATTTGGACCATATTGTAATGGCTGACTTTGAATTTGTGGTATGAAGCTATTCTGTTGCATAGCTTGCTGATATCCTTCTTGAAATCCTTCTTGAACTTGTTTTTGTCTTAATTTTTCCTGTCCTTCTGTAGAGAATTGATCAAAATTCGGTAAGATTTCTGAAGCTGGACTATTATTTATTTCATTTACATCTGCTGAATTCCCATTGTCAAACTTTTTAGGAATAAAAGTTTTTGCAATATTTTCTATTTCTGGTATTGCTTCTGATGCCAGTTCACCAATAACTGGTAAAGTTGACATAAAAGGTATTGGAAGTTGCCTAACTGGTGCACTGTGAACATTAGATTCAATTTCACTTAATGGTTGTATATTATCATCTAAATCAGTACTCAATTCCAAATATGAATTATCTTCTATAGATCCGAACTCATTACCATTTGTTGCATGTATACTTCTTGACTCTTTTGTTGTAAAGGATGTTTTGAGTTTATTACTTGAACTACTAATTACCCTATCTTGAAGAGTACCCACTGAACCATTATTTCTAGAACTCATTAAACGATTACTTTCAAGTTCACTACACTTCACATTGAGTTCCATTGATACCCACCTCTTTTGAGTTATATCCCATAATCTCCAAATTCTTGGAAATTTACTTCCTAAATCCCCACCACCTAATGCTATAAAACCATTTAATGGTGTGAAATCATAATCTAAGAACCATCCAGTTTTATTTAGTGGAGCACTTGCATAATATATGTATATAGGACTATCTGTTGACTTAGTATATTCATATAACCTCAAAGTATGTGTATTTAAATCGTCATAATTAGAATTCTCTGAGTTACTATTACCTCCATTAGTAGGTACTTGTTTCCATATTCCATTAAACATAAAAAGTGAGTCTTTAAATCCTGTAACATTATAACGATTACATGAGCTTTCACCTTCTAAGGACTCTTGTAATCTTCTTACACTTGGTCCAATTGAAACTTTTTTAGGTCTATTCCTAACTCCTAAAGTAGAATTAGATGTATGTTTATTTTCTAAATTATTTGTATGATACTTATTAGTATTCTGATTTATATTATTATCATCACATCTAACATGAATTGGTAAATTTGATAATACCTTTGATGAGCTTGAAGTCACAGAATTTCCGTTGAATAATCCTTCTTGAATATCTGAAAAATCTTGAGTTAGTATAGATAACCATTCTACAAAGTGTCCATCTTGTCCTTTATTAAATGGTGTTATATACCTATTTGTATTAAATGCTACAATATGTAGTTCCTGTTCATTCAATTCGGTATTTTTACCATTTTTACTCTGTGAATATTCTCCAATTTCAGATTCCATAGATTTTATTTGGGATATATCATCAGTTATTACCCAGATTCCTACAGTATTATCAAAATATAAATACCATATACAACCTGTTCTATCATGATGAGTATAATAATAGTAATAATAGTTATATTGAACTTTATTATCCTGATGATGTATAGATCTAGTATTATTTAGATAATTAGAGACTTGGTTATTTAAAATTTTATTCTCAGAACTACGCTTTGTTATATTTAAACTTGTTATATCAGTTTCTTTTTGATTTGATTTTTTATAATCTATCTGTATTTTTTGTAAGTTCCACTTTCCATTTAGTATACTAAGTTGTTTTGGCCAATTATCCATTATACCAATATTACATAAATCTGAAGATTGAGTTAATTCTTTTCTAGACATATTTTCGACAAATTTAGTTTCTTTAAGGCACTTCACTCTCGTTATAGTGTTTATATATGCACCATTCTTAGTATCTAATTTGTTTAACCAACTTCCCTGATTCATTTTATTATCTTCAATAAAACCTATTATTGAATTAGTACTATCATTTCTCGTACAAATCCACTTTGTACCAATCCAATAGAATAACCTGATCTCCCCATTACTTTCTATTTTAGTCCAAATACTTAATTTTCCATTTAACTTTTGTAACTTAAACACACCAGAACATGATATTGCCTCAATAGATGTACCTATAATTTCAATATAGGGACAATCATCCTCATTAATATGAAATTCACCTTTAGGTACTGTCTTAGGTACAAAAAATAGCTTGGATAAGTCTATATTTGGCACAAAGCTTGTTATTGGAGATTTTTGACTACATATGACTGGTTTCTGTTTGATAGCATTAATGTGCATCGAAGATTGTGAGTACTTAGGATCTTTATTATTAGATTTACAATATACATCAACAATTGAGTAACTGGAAGATAAATTTTTATTAACTTCCTGATTATACTCCCTCTCAGAATGTAACTGATCTGCTATTAAAATCCATCTTCCAGTGGGAGGTATAGTTGAGTCATTGAAATTTACAGCCATTAGCATCCAACCACTATGTAATATACGATTACTTCTAAGAGATGCAAAAAGATCTAAAGAATTACCCTTAATAACAGACGTCTCATGCCTCTTGTGTATTTCCCATTGCAGTTTATATGAGTTATATAACATTACTAGTGAGCTATAAAGTTTAATATATATAGGACGAATATCTCCATTAAATCTATCTGCCAAAGTTCCAACAGTAGACCATATACCATTAAGTGTAGCTCTAATAGACCATCCTTGCATTGATATATTATCACAGGAATTTACATTTTCTACCTGTTTAACTGAGGAACATTTAAGCTCAACTAATGTTGTTTCTGGAGATCCTTTATTAGTTTTAGATAAATCTGGTACCCAAACTAAAGTATTATGACTACCAATAGACGTCAGTTGTACTGGATTTGTATCATACATATAACCTAAAACTTCATTTTTTACAGTATTTATACATACCCAAGTATTCTCCCTCCAGAATAATACTAATCTATCTCCATTTATATCTAAACTTGTCCAATATGTCTTCTGTTTATTACTTCTTGGTATAGAAGTAAAAATACCTTCACAATCCAATTTTTTTACAGGTATCTCACTATTCATAGACTTAATTTCTAAGTATTTGCAAGAATATTCAAATGGACTTTCACACATGCTATCAATATTCAATGATTCTTCATTCATGAAAGTTACGGAGACCATACTTAAATCTCTAGTTCTTGTACTGGAATTTCCAATTTTGTTGCGATAATTACTGAATGATAAAGGACGCAATTTCCCATCATAACATTGTGAATATATATCCACATTCAAAAGAGCATCAGATTTCATCCTATAACCAGGTGGACATCCCTTTTCACAATATTCACCATGTTTAAGTAACCCTGTACATGTTGAAAAATTTAAAATTCTGTGACCATTTTTATAAGTTATTTTTGGGGCTGTCATACATGATGAAAATTCTTCACATGGTCTACATGCCCCTCCACAATCTACACCTTCTTCATTATTATCTTTTACAGAATTCATACATGATGGATATACAAATTGAATATGAATTGGCTGAATATATGAGGGACTTAATGAAAGTTGCCATGTATTTCCCAAATATAATGGGTCCGAAATATCCATATTTTCTATTCTATATGCAATAATATTTTCCCCTGATACAAATACCCATACTTGCTTGTTCATTTTATTATGGTAAGAGTACAAATTAAATTTTGGAAATCCCTTTACTAAACTTAACATCAATCTTTCATTGTAATATCCATTTCCACTTATTTGCACATATTCATTACTCCTTGTTCCATTAGTATTTGGAATATAGCAACCTGCTATTGGTAAGGATGGTGGAAAAGGTATTACAGTAACATCTTCAAGAGAAAATGGTAATGGACCCGTATACACTTTATTAACCAAAATAATCCAAACATTTAATAGGAATATATAGGATTTTAACATCATTTAGATCTTTTAAAAACAAAGCATTCAAAAATAACTATATATAAAATTGCAGAGAATATTTTTAAAATATCTTATATCTTAGTATAATATATAAAATTCGTATATTCTACTTTTTGCATGCAATAAAAAGTTCTTAGTTATTTGTATACCGGTATGAGTATCGAATATATATTCAATACCGGTTTATATTAAAAAGAAATTAGTGGGTAATTATTGCATGCATGTATGATTTTTATATTGAAAGTTGAAATAATAATTTAATTTAGCAATCTAACTTAAATGATAACGGTATTAATGGCAAAATCCCTAATTGTGATCCGCTTTTGTTAGATGTTTCTGCTGACAATTTAGAGATCCCGCTTGGAAAAGGTATCTTTGACGCTATCTTTTTGAGGGATGCTCGAAATATCAGAAATTGAAGATCAAAATATCTAATACTGAAAAAATTAAAGATATAAATATCATAATAAGTAGATGAATTCTATAACTGGTAGATTCCTTCCAGGTTTGTATCGTAGCTTAAATAATATTCAAAGGTGTCTATTACACTCAGAGAAAAGATTGATCACACATAAATTTGATGCCTTGGTAATTGGAGCTGGTGGATCAGGATTACGTGCAGCTACAGGCTTATCAGAGCTGGGTTTTAAAACAGCTTGTATATCAAAAGTATTTCCAACAAGAAGTCATACAGTTGCAGCTCAAGGTGGAATTAATGCAGCATTAGGAAATATGACAGAAGATGATTGGAGATGGCATGCATACGATACAATCAAAGGAAGTGATTGGTTAGGAGACCAAGATGCTATTCAACATATGTGTAGAGAAGCCTGTGATGCAGTTATTGAGCTGGAAAGCTTTGGATTACCATTTAGTAGAACTGAAAAAGGGTTAATATATCAAAGAGCATTTGGAGGACAATCTCTAAACTATGGTAAGGGAGGGCAAGCTTATCGTTGTGCTGCAGCTGCAGATAGGACAGGACATGCAATGTTACATACACTGTATAGTCAGGCTTTAAAACATGATTGTACATTTTTTGCGGAATATTTTGTATTAGATTTAATAATGTACCAAGGCCAATGTTGTGGAGCAATAGCAATTTGTTTAGATGATGGATCTATTCATAGATTTTATGCAAATGACACAGTTATAGCAACAGGAGGGTATGGTAGAGTATATTTATCATGTACAGCAGCTCATACATGCACTGGTGATGGGGGTGCAATGGCAGTAAGGGCTGGCATACCATTACAAGACCCTGAATTTGTTCAGTTCCATCCTACAGGTATCTTCCCTGCAGGATGTCTAATTACTGAGGGATGCAGAGGTGAAGGTGGTATACTAAGAAATAATGAAGGAGAACCATTTATGGCAAGATATGCCCCAATTGCAAAAGACTTGGCTAGTAGGGATGTTGTTAGTAGAAGTATGACGATGGAGATCATGGAAGGACGTGGATGTGGTATAGATAAAAATTACATACATCTAGACTTAACTCATTTACCACCCTCTATAGTACATGAGAGACTACCTGGAATTACAGAAACTGCAATGACATTTGCAGGCGTAGATGTTATGAAAGATATGATACCAGTATTACCTACAGCTCACTATAATATGGGTGGTATACCTACCAATTGGAAAACACAAGTAATTAAAACTGATAAAAGCACTGGTGAAGATCACATTGTACCTGGTTTATATGCAGTTGGAGAGGCTGCTTGTACAAGTATACATGGAGCTAATCGTCTTGGAGCTAATTCTCTGTTAGATTTAGTGGTATTTGGAAGGCAATCAGCTCGCACAATATCTCAAGTATCTAAACCAGATGGAAAACTAAAATATCCAAATATTCCAGATTCAATATCAAATGAGTTAATACGTAGAAATATTGATAATATTCTCAACTCAAAAGGAGATATTCCATATTATGAAATATACAATAGAATGCAGAACACTATGCAGAATCATGCTTCCGTCTTCAGAAATGGAGATTCACTTAAAAAAGGAGTAGATACAATGATTGAAGTGTGCAAATCATTTGAAAATATACGTGCACCTAAGGAAAAAGATTTGATATGGAATGTTGAACTCATTGACATACTAGAACTGCAAAATCTTCTTTCACTAGCTACATTAACCATGATGTGTGCTGAAAAAAGAACTGAGTCTCGTGGAGCTCATTGTAGAGACGACTTTAAACATAGAGATGACAAGGAATGGCTTAAACATTCTCTTGGTTGGCAAACTTCCTCAAATATTCGGGATGCAGAATTTGATATCACATACAGGAATGTGCAATTACAACCACTTGATGAGGAGATGAAATATGTTCCTCCAGCTAAACGAGTATATTAAACAATACTAAATCAATCATAATTACAATGTTATATTGCAGAAGTATAGCAATTAAAAGTATACATTATAATATTAATAAAAGTACATTTACACAATAAGTACCTTGTCTATAAATATACAATTATTTTCATTTATTTTGTCATTACATACCTTTACTTATAAACTTAGCTCTTTTTAAAGAAAGCAAGGCTCCAATATTGTATTTTAAAAAGATTTATGTATAGATAAGTTATATAACTATTTATTAAATAAGTCATCATTATTTCTTATTGCTCAATGGTATAGTCTATATAATAATTTGTCCATATATTCTCTGTATCTTGCGTACTTATCTTATTTAATTTTTTAAAGCCACTTTCTATAGCGTCCTGAATATTGTCATATCTATTAACTAACTTAATTCCATGAGTTTCAAAATAACTCATATTATTGTCAAGTTCTCCTATTTCTTCATTAGTATCATTTTCTGAGCGACAAGAATTATTGACACTTGAATCTGTTACTAATGAACTTTTTTCATTCCACTTTTTAATTTCTTCTTCAATATGAATATTGAATATTCGTTTCCCTGTAGCGAAGTCTCTACATGAATCTATATTGAGATTTTTCTTGTTAATCTTACGTTTTTGACTTTTTATAGTCGCTCCGAAACCTCCTTTACCCCCCATTAAACGCCCCACTACTACTTGAATAACTTTCCCAAATAAATTGCATAGTTCAATAGAATCTTTAGTTATTGGTTTCCCATTTAAAAGTAGATAAAAGTACTCATCTTGGTTTTGTACTTTTTTTCCAACAAAGTTTTTTAGTTTCTCAGCACTAATAGTTCTCTGATCGAATTCTTCATACTCAAAAGATCGTAAATTCCCATTATAACATATATGAAGGTACATCTGAAATATGACAACTCATCTCAATATTATAATAAAAAATATTACCAGTTTGACCTTCTAAAGAGAAATCTTGCAAAGTACGAAATATACGCGGTTGGTACCTAGAAAAGAAATCCGCGTGAGGCTTTTGTATCGATATTCCGGTATCCAAGGGGGTGCATCGAGCATGTAACATTTAAAAAGTATTTTAAATATCTACTTAGTATTATAATATATTTAAGTTTTATTAAGTATGGATAAAAAAATTCAAACATTGCAACAATTTAATAAGTATAAAAAAGGTAGGAATTGGCCAAATAATGATTTGACGCAAAATAAGATAGATATCCCCACACTACTTAGTACTAACTCAATATTTCACTCATCTAACTCCAATATCAAATATACATATACACATGGCTATTTAACACCAATATCATCTACTGGAATAACATCTACAGTTACCACATCTAAAGATCCCAGTTCGAAATCTCGATTTCCAGTAAATGTTATGCTAAATAACAAAATAATGAAATGCAAAAATATTGAATCCCTACTCAACTTAATATTTACACATTTAGGATCTTTTAATGAAGTAAATATGGTTACTTTATTGCATAGATTAGCTATAAAGTGCCATGATAGTCATGTAAAACGAAAAATAAGACAAGATGAGAGATTTGGATTACTTTTAGATAGTTTAATATACAGACTTAGTTATTCAAAATCATTTTTACCTCAAGAACTTGCAAATACAGTTTGGTCTTTAGTAAAGATTGGTATATATGATCATATAATATATGATCTAGTTAGTAATGAAGCAGTATATCAGTTAGATCGGTTTATTGCTATTAATCTGAGTATGTTACTCTGGTCTTACAGTAAATCAGGTAAAAAATATAATTATTTATTCATCACTGCTATTCCAAAAGTTTTAAGTGAATTAGATAATTTGCAATCTCAACAAATATCAAATATTATTTGGTCATATGCAAAAATTGGTTTAATATCTCCACATCTATTTGAAAATATTGCTAAACGTTGCACTAGTATACTATCAGAATTTCTTCCAATCCACATATCTATGACTGCCTATGCATTTGCATTGGCAGATATATGCCCATTAAAATTATTTTCTATGATTTCAAAATTAAATATAGAATCTTTTAATCATAAAGCTTTAGTTCATATTATTTGGTCATTCTCAATAACTAAATTTTCTCTTTCTTTGAATTGGATTCAATATATTTGTGAAGATAATAAACTAGATATCTTATCATTACATGAAATTAATCTTTTATTATCATCTTTATGCCTTAACTTTGTTGATGGATATGTTAAAATAAAGATATATGTTACAGAAAATACTCAACATGAAGTGAATGATGATGTTGTTCTATTACCAAGAGCTTTGGCTATTAGAGATCGTAATCCTGATATAACATGTATTGAATGGAATCACTCTTTGCCTTTATTACATGCTATTGAATATTTTACTTCTAGATCTTTAGATAATTGTAGAGCAAAACAAATACTTTGGAATCTTATTGATAAACTAACAGAAAAATTATTAAATAAATACCAAATATATAACGATATTTTAGATATTATATGGCTATTATATATTATTGGTAAAGATATTAGAACAATAAGGTATCATATTTATGAGCATTCAAATGCAACAAATATTAACGATATAGATTCTTTACTTCCAGATAATGATCAATATAATATTGTTAAAAATGTATCTTTAGATCTAAATAAATTTGTAATAGATTCACCTAAAGATAATTTACAAATTGTCAGTCCTATATCTACTTGTTGTACTATAGATGAATGGTTTCATGGTGAAAATAACAATATAACTTCCTCTAAGGAAATAGTTCAATTTCAACTATATGAGTTTACAAATACAAACCAGTGTAATTTACTAAAAAATATTGTAATGATTTCATATACATTATTATTCACAATAATTGTCTTATTTAACATTACTCAGATTAACAGCTCTATATAAAAGAGATTCCAAATACAACTTCTATATTTACTCACCACTTTGATTTATTAAATATCTTTAATTTATGGATTTTTTTAATTTATAAGATTAGATTAAGAATAATAAGTGAATATTTTTATTTAATATAAAATGGTTTTGTAAAACATTCACTAACCTTATAAATCGGTACCTATTTTCGTAAATTGCATGCATGCACAAAAAATGTCGATTAATATTTTTCCAACAAATTTAACAAACAAGTGATTTAATCATGATTGTCACTTTAATATTAAATTGTTTTATTTTTTGATTTCTTTTTTTCAAAAGATAAAAAAAACTGCTTATAAGGGCTTGATCGGCGCTAATTCATATATGTCTACTAATTGTAATAGAACATTTCTACTGCATTACATGAAGAGAATTTACATGGAGAATGTTAACTAATAGGCGCTTATTAGACATAAACATCATAGTACCGGTATAATACATTTTATTGCAATATAACTAGCCGGTGATCTTTACTAAAGTATTTGATTCTTTAGAATTGTATCTTACAAAAAATAGGGACCTGCACAATTCAACCCCTCTTCCTGAAAATATAAAAAAAGAAGGAAATTGGTAATATTTTCAACTTGATAGTCTGTGCATCAATGTGCATAGCTATCTTATGAATGTAAAATTGCAACTAAATAAGGGTACTGGGCACAAAACAAATAATATGGATATACGACCAAATAAATCAAGATGCCAAACAGATTACTCCAATACATTTGATGATATGCAGGGTTTAGAAAATATGTATAGCATGATTAGGATAATAGGTGAAGGAACATACGGCATTGTTTGGGAAGGTATGAGAAAAGATACTGGGATGATGGTTGCACTAAAAAAAATAAGATTTGATAGTGATGATATATTAGATGAAGTCGGATTACCCTCTACTGCTATAAGAGAAATTGTATTATTAAGGGAACTTAAACATAACAATATAGTCGGTTTATTAGAAGTAGCCTGTACTGGGATGCAACTATGGCTTATATTTGAATATTGTGAAACAGATTTAAGGAGATACTTAAGATTAAATAGAAAAAAAGGTATATCAATAAGTCAAGTGAAATCTTTATTATATCAATTACTAAGTGGACTAGCATATTGTCATGGACGTCGTATATTACATAGAGACTTAAAACCTCAAAATCTACTTTTGAGTGATTCTGGGAATGTGTTAAAAATAGCAGATTTTGGTTTAGCAAGAAGTTTCACACCACCATTAAAGCCAAATACACATGAAGTTGTAACATTATGGTATAGGGCACCTGAATTACTTTTAGGGCAAAGATGTTACAGTTGTAGTGTAGATATATGGAGTGTTGGCTGCATAATGATTGAAATGCTCTCAGGCAAACCAGTATTTCCTGGAGATAGTGAAATTGATACATTATTTTATATATTTAGACTATTAGGTACACCAAGTGAAACAATATGGCCTGGAGTAAGCAAATTACCTTGTTATAAAAATGTATTTCCTCAATGGAAAGTTAATCCCAAACTTAATCTTCACTCATTACTTCCTAATTTAGATCAGATTGGTATTGATCTTTTATTAAAATTTCTTCAATATTCTCCGCAAAAGAGAATATCAGCATATGAAGCTTTGCATCACGCATGGTTTTCAACAAGTGAATGAAGATCCAATAGCAAAAGAGATCATCTAATATTTAGAAATAATTGAATTTTTTTTTTGCAACTTTAAAAAAAAGGAATTCAATTAAAACATTCATTATAATAACATGTATCACATGTGTCCTGATGTTTCAAAGTTGATGTAGAATTTTTCTCACCAGAAACTGCATTTCCAAGACAAGTATTAATTCTAGTTTTTAGCCAATATAATAAATCAAATATTTGTAGAATTTCTTTAATTTCCTCTATATCAATATTAGAAAGAACTTCAGTAAAATTCGAGTTTTCTTTACTATATTTACTATAATTATTTACTTCATGATCCTTTTGATTCTCATCTACTGATGTTTTCAATCCTAAATATTTTGATAAATAATAAACTTCTCTATTTAAAGATGTAAATTCTTGTTTCAATAAATAAATTATTTGTTTAGCATTTTCAGTATATTTTTGGATTATCTCTTTATTGAAATAATTACTACCGTTATTTAAGAATATTTCATACCTTTGATTAAATCCAAATTCTATGCGCAAAATTTTCCTATATATCTCTTCAATATCACAATTCATTATGATTTTATCTATATATTCTATTTCATCAAATACACTCAAAATAGATGGATATTGGTCATAAATACGTTGAATTGTATAATCTAACAATGTTATATTTCCCCCATTAGTTGCATATATTGTATCCATCAATTTTATTGACCACAAAGATATATCAAGAAGCAAGTCTAGGGATCCAGATTGTCTCTTTATCATTTTGTTATAAGTGTGGATACAATCTATAAGAATACTTAATAATATAGGTAGACTTTTATTTTCACATAAGCTATTTATACCATCCTGTAGTATTATTAAATTATTCATAATTGATTCATTTTCAATTATCAAGGTATAATGTACAAATTCAATGAGTTCCATGATATTCTTTTGATATCTTATGTCTACATCCTAAAAGGAAAAATTTACAGCATATATATAAAAATATTTCTAAGTTAAAGCTCATCTCCTCTAAAGTTTTATATTATCTGTACATTACTTGGGAATATTAATTTCATAATTTTGTATATAATAAGATATTAATCTATACTCATTAATATTCCACTATTATTTGTGTATATTTCAACTTACACCGATTCTAAAATCATCACTTTCTACTAATCTAGTCAGTAGTACTACTATTTCTTGAAATTTTTCAATACTTTGATCCTAAAATATAACAATATAAATTTGTTCATTTATTAAAAAAAATCCAGATTAGTAATTACTAATCCTCACACCATATTATAGGCAATAAATAACTTACAAATATAGTTCTAACATACCTTTGGATCTAATGTAGTTGTTACTTCATCTATAAAGTTCTTGTTTTGTAAATAATAGGACTTTAAATCACAATTCTTGAAAGTATCAATAGTCTACATAAAGTCAATATTATATACCACAAATATTTCAATTTATTAAAAATCAAAACAAATTACCCATACAACTTTATCCTTTGTAATATTATTTACATCTAAATCATTCATTTATATTAGTTTGTAATAATCTTAAAATTAAAGAGATGTATTATTATGCTGTGTGAAAAACTAAACAGGCTTTCCATTATAGGCGGGAGTTATGTCTAATACTAATTGAATATCACCAAAAATTATTAACATTGTTTCTAATGTTTCTTCTATAAGGTATACAAGCTATATTATATATATTTTATGTAATATTATATTCTAAAAAGTGCTTTGAAATGGCTTAGATTATAAATATAATGTGGACACCAAAAGTTTTTATTTCTGAAGTACAAAATAAACCATTAGAAGATGGAAATTGCTATTGGTTTCAAGGTTATATTACAGAGGAAAATCTTGAATTAAAAAATTATGCTGTAATTGATGATAGTACAGGTAGCATTCCAATTCACATATATATAGATAAAGAATGGAAAACTGACAAATATATGGAAAATATATCTAAATTTGGTCATAAATCTGACACCAGCTACATGTATCCAATCGATCTTTATGATAAAATGGTTAAACAATTATTATGTAGAGGTAGATACATATCTGTAATATGTAAAGTAATCAATAGTGAATTCTATATAATTCATTTATCTGATTGTGTAGCAAATAATCCAGATTCTGAAGCTGAATGGCTTTGTAATATACTAAAAGCAAGGTTTTTTAATCAGCTGTTAGAATAATCAAAATTAAAATGTCTATTATTTTTGTATTATTAATTGACTAGTTGGTTGTAGCTTGCTTATTAAACTTTAGAAATGAGTTATCAATTTTCAGCAAAATAATACTTGTATCATCAAATACTTTCCTTTTTTTCTTAACATTCTTAAGATCTTTTAAACTATTAATACCAGCTTTTTTAAATACTTCTTTAATTAAATTTTCTATACTTTTCTGTATATCTTTACTCTTTGTAACAATATTCATAGTATCTTTAGGAGTAAGAAAATCCCATAAACCATCAGTACCAAGGATCAAATAACTTGATTTTTCTTTCTCATTATTGTTATCACTATCTATATATGATAAAGTAGGGGGGTATATATTTTTAAGTTTTGACAGTGCATATTCTTTAATGTATTCACCTGTGCTATTGCACTCACTTAATGGTGGATTTAAATATTCAGGTTGTATGATATTTATTGACAAAGTGTGGTCTGTTTTATTATTTTGAACATTTGATATTAGTTCATAATTTTTATTAGATATCTTATTTATTTGAGTATTAGTAGTAGATTCCAATCTTTTAGTTAATTCTTGATTATACATAAATAGATGTAGCATTGGTTCAGTTCTAACATAAGGAAAACTCTGAGGGTTTTTGACATAAAATCGATCATCTGATCTACTCATATGTATAGAATTACTTCCATTTATTAAAGAATATGAATAAGGACATGAATTTGTTATTTCTTTGGAATCTGAGTTATTATTGGGTATAACCTTACAATCATCTAATGTAGGCTCATGAGTCCCAGATAAACTAGTCTGATTGAGAATATTATTTTCATCTTTCGTCTCATCCTCTAAATTTTTCAAAATATATGAAAATACTGATGTTAGTTTAGATGATGACAAATCTTTATCCCAGTTATAATTAAAATCCATATCTTTTAATCTAAAATCTCCGATTGCTCTTGAAGGTTGTAATATACCTTTTACATAACATCCTTTATATTTTAATTCTGATAATAACCCTAACAAATATCTTTCTTTCCATATCTTTTTGCATATAATTAAATCATCTATCTCATTTGGATGTATTTTCTCTAATCTTTTCTGTTCAATTGGATTCATTGCCGATAGTTGCTCATTCATGGGTAACCATAATCCAGTTTTATTACAAAAAACAGCCAAACAATCGCCAGAATTTGCTGTTAGTATACCAAAATCAGTAACTATAGATACAGTTAAGCAGGCACCAATAGATGCTAGTCTAGAAAATCCCATATTATATACAGGTTCTAATATTCTTTTTATATCGTCATTTAATATCATATAAGACCTTCTTAAGCATAATGATAAACACGCAATAAAGTCAGTTTCATTTAATTCTTCAAAACTAAAATTTGTATTTCCCCATAGCTGATCTATATAATCATATAACTCATTTTGAAATACATGTAAAAATTTTTTTTGCAGATATTCTGCTATCTGCCAACCTCCATGACCATCAATTACTGCAGCTACAACAAATTCCCTAAATTTTCCATTTTGTAATGTCAACTTCATACGTTGTATTATTAATCTATCTTCAATTGGATCATTTGCATTTATTTGTATTGCTCTTGCAGATAAAACTGGTAAAGTCTTACAAAGTTCATCATTATCAAAAGGACCTTGAGCTCCAACAAATTCCACATTAAATTTATGCTCTTTATCTTTATTTAAAAGTAAATTTACTATCTTTTTATCTTCACCTTTTTCATTGTTATTTGATGCACATAATGCTTTAAAGTATTTATTCCCTATACAGTTTTTTGCATTTAGATTCTTATATATACAAAATAATGATGTACCCCCAAATATAAAGATTAAGCCAGAAGTCCCAATATTTTGATTTTTTTTATATAGTCGATGAAATCTATTGCATATATTATCAAGTTTTAAGAACGATCTTCTTGAAAAATAACTAAGTCTCATATTCAACCCCACACTACAAAATCCAGTTTTATAGTTTATATATTGTGCGTAATATTTATTTTTATATTTTAGATAAACAATTCACGTCTTTCTCTTTCTATATCATTAAATATTTTTAAAACGTGCATGCAATCACTTTTCATGAAGTGGGGGGAGATATACCGGCATTTTATGTAGCGCCAATCTACGTACACTACAAAAGCTTGTTATATATTTAAAAATAAGAAATACTATATGACCATTTTCTAAATAAAGAAACGAATTAAATAATTATGATATAAATATTATTTTTGTTGATAATATCTATTGCTTAAGCAAATAATGTAATAGCTCTTAGTAATTTTATATTAATTATTATTTTTTAATTTGACACTTTAAATAAGGTTTTATTAAATATTTAATGGCTAACTTAAATAAAAACTTCACATAATAACAATATTTTGATATTATAGTAAATATGAAGAATGGAAAATGTAATGACAATATTCATGATATTGCGTCTAAACTAAAATGTCCAAGGCGGTCACCTTAATTGTGTGCATTAAACTTAAAATAAAGGTTTATGTAAAATGGATGCATTTCGACGCTTAATAGAAAAGAGATTATCCAGAATCTCTTTAATAGAATCAATGAATGAACTTAATCAAAATAAACAATTAGATCCCATAGCTATCTATTTTTATTATGCATCTTTAAGGATTGTTCACCAACTACGTAGAAAGCTACCAGAACCTTCAATAAATCTAAGAGTTCAGGATATATTAAGATGTTTAACCTTATTAGAGAAATGTGTTAGTGAATATGGAGCTTTAGTAACTTCTTTTAAAGAAGAGGCAATTACTAATAATAATAAGGAATATTTAGAAGAAACAATATATAAAACTATAAATGAGCTTGGATATAAGGAATTGCTTAATAAGGAATTAGAAGCAGCAAATCAAGAATCATTAGATTTACATAAGGCACAAAGAATAATTCCCGGAGTATACTTAGGTGGTGTTGTAGTTGCAAATGATATGGAAAAACTTAAACAATATGGCATTACGCATATTGTATCATGTATACCAAATGGATGCAGATTTCCTAAAGAATTTCAATATTTAAATATTCCACTTTGTGATAGTCCATTTGAAGACATCAGTAAATATTTTGTATGCTCAAATGAGTTTATTAAAGATGCATTACAAAATTCAACTGTTGAAAAACCGACTTGTGTATATATTCACTGTGCAGCTGGAATAAGTCGGGCTCCTACAATATGCGCTGCATTTTTAATAAAAGAACTCAAGATAACAACCCAACAAGCTCTAAAACTTATAAAATTAGCAAGACCATACATTGCTCCAAATCCAGGTTTTTTAAAACAACTATATTCTTATTATTGTTTATTAAATAGCACAGGTCATTTATCAAATAATCAATTATTGAATACACAAATATTAAGTATAGATTCAAATTCAATTTCAGGAGTTAAATGTTCCACAATATGGAAAAGGAATATAAAAAGAAAGGATAATAATACATATCAAAATAAATCTTCAAAAACGAATTAGTAAAATTTAAAGATAAATTGATAACAAAGATATTAAACAATTTTATCTATTACTTTTTCTAATTCCTTACATTTTTATTCTTCAAAGATTATATCTGCTGGCCTATTCTTCCAATTATTATAGCAATGAATAAATGTTGGTGGAGGATCTTGTGGCATTTTCTCTAAATATTTATTTAAACTATTGCTCTTATCACTAGTACATAATGTCTGTAAATATGAAAATAGAGAAGTTTGAAAAATAGCACCAATACTTGGTGCAACTAATCTTCCAAATGGTTCTAATAGTCTAATATCATTTTCTGTAAATCTTATCTTCTCCTTAAATGTTCCAATGCGATTGATAAGAACAATTAATGCAATTGCTTGGGGATTTGAGTTTAGAGTCGGTTGTGTACATGGAGATAATGATGCTGAACGTGGTGATGTACCAAGTGTATTACGATAATTACGATCTGATTTTATAGGTGATGGTGGTAAAAATATATTTGTATTTGAAATATGTGAAGACAGAAGTCCATTTACAGAGTTTGAAACTAATATATTATTTGAATTAGCTAATTGATCATCAATATCATGTGATATTTCAAAAGATGATAATGCTGATGATAATGATGACATTGAAGATACCCTTGGACTTGGTACAGGTAAATAAGACCAATTATCTTTTTCTGCATATATTGGAAATATTAAAGCATTATATATTGGTTTATTATCATTAATTCTCTGTAATAATCTTAAAATATCTTCATCTTGACATTTTGAAACCCGTTCTATTCCAATTTTACATTGAGTTGTACTTTGATGGTATGTTAACAAATCCACAAATATATTTTCATAGCAAGATATAGATGAAGATTCATTTTCAATATTTGTCAATTGAATAATTAAGGGATGTTTTGATTCAATTATTTGATATATAATATCATTATTATCATAATTATATACAATATCACTCCCAGTATCAGAAACAAGAGATATTATTTGTTGTCTATCTGGAATACCAATTAATGCAATACAATGTTCAGATTCAATAATTTCCTGTGCATGGATACATAGTGTAAATAAATTAGATTGTAATCCTAAATCTTGACGTAATGATTGTATTAGTGTAAGCAGATTATCAGCACGTTCTTTAGTACTTAAGATTTCTTTGTATACTTCACAATTTTTAATACAACTTAAAGATATCCTCGATATATATTGAAGAATTATCTCATCATCTTCACCAAATAATATTAAGTCACTTGATATATTTATTTTATTATCAAGAACTACATCACAATCTATAAATTGTTTATCAATTGCCTCAATAATACCAAAAAGAGTCCCATCATAATTATTATTATTTTCTAGTATAGGTACATAAAGAATACTTTTCATAACCCTTAAATTTAATATACCATCATGTATAATATTTTGAGTAGTCTCAATTTGTTCACTTATTTTAGTTGTAAGAATTTTATGTAACATACCTGTAGATGACTTAATACAATTTCTTGTATCATAACTAAAATAAAAAACATCATTTTTGTGATCATATATATATATATTGCATTTTCTGCAGTTTAGTAATTTCTCACATGACTTTGTTATATTCTGAATAGTTATGCTTAGATCTAAAGATGAATTAATAACTTCATAAGCATTAATAATAGATATAAGTTTATTAGATTTTAATTTACACATTGCAGTTTTAGATTCCATAAATAAATAATTGAAGTAAGATAAAAAATTTATTTGTACCTTTTTAAATAAAGATATTGTTACTTGTATGTAATATAATAAGATGCGCTAGCTCTTTAGGGGGAATTTAATTACTCAGTAAACTTAAATGGTGGCGTCAATTTTTAAATATCTCTCTACTTATTACTATAGCTTACTGCATTGTAAATTTTATTCTATATTATTTTATACGAATCTAAAAATTTCCCTTTTTACTTCTGTCCAAACAAATAAACCATGTCTTACATGTATATTTTGCTTAGTCATGTCTCATACGGTTTTCATATTCAATACTTTAATCAGCTATTAAAAAGTTATTAAATATTTAAATTAATCTAGGATATTGTATAGCCCACTTTTTTTGTTATTATATATCTTATTATTTATATATAATACTCACTTATTTCTTAATTTAGTTCCTAAAACAATACCCTTCAAAAAAACTTTCCCGCTATTTTTTATTGCGCTAAAATCTCGCAACAGTGTGAGATTTCAAATTATTGTGATCTCCACTATAATAAAAAAGTTATCCTGTAGCTGTCTTACATATTTAATTGTGGTATATAATTAGTTATTATCTATTTTGGGGGAAGTTATAGGAGAAATATGAATACGTCTATATGGATTGAGAAGTATAGGCCTAAAATATTAGACGATATGGTTGGTAACGAGGAGGTCTTAATACGTTTGAAAGTATTAGCAAAACAAGGTAATATGCCAAATTTACTTTTATCTGGACCTCCTGGAACTGGAAAGACAACGAGTATACATTGTTTAGCTGCTGAATTACTAGGCCCAAAATTCAATAGAGCTGTACTAGAATTAAATGCCTCAGACGATAGGGGAATAGATGTGGTTAGAGATCGTATAAAATCATTTGCAAAAGAAAAAATAGACTTACCCTTTGGTAGACATAAAATTATCATTTTAGATGAAGTAGATAGTATGACAGATACAGCTCAGCAAGCATTAAGACGCCTAATGGAAGTATATTCAGATAGTACTAGATTTGCTTTAGCCTGCAATCAATCAACTAAAATTATTGAACCAATACAAAGTCGTTGTGCTATAATTAGATATTCGAAATTAAGTGATGAACAAATTAGAGAGAGACTATTTGATATTATAAAATTTGAAAATATACCATATATTGACTCTGGAATTGAGACATTAATATTTACTGCTGATGGAGATATGAGAATAGCAATAAATAACTTGCAAGCTACATATAATGGATTTACTTTAATATCTAAGGATAATGTACTAAAAATATCTGATATCCCATCTCCTGAGAAAATAAAATCTATATTAGATGCATGTGTTAAATCTGACTGGAGATTAGCTCATAATATTGCTGAAGAATTATACTCAAGTGGATATTCACCACTTGATATTGTAATTACTATGCGGAATGTTTTAAAGCGCTATCAATTACAAGAAACTCTTATTTTGGAATATCTTAAAGAAGTTGGTAGATGTCACTTTGTGATGTTAGATGGATGTAGCACGGAATTACAACTTGATAAATTATTAGGACAACTATGTTTAGCCTCTGCTACTTATGAAACCACCCGGTAGAAATTGACTTGTCAAACCCCGCTAGAAATGAAATAATACCTTAGTAAACTTCTTTAATGACTTTTCTTATATAATAAGGTAAAAAAGATTTTATTAAATGATAGAAAATAAGATATCTAATAACAGATATTATTGTAATATATGTAAGATTTGGATTGCAAATCATCCTGTAAATATCAGACATCATGAAGATGGTATAAGGCACAAGCGTAACCAACAGAAACTTCTAAGAAATGAGAAGTATAAAGCTAAACAAGACAGAATAAAGGATTACATGATACAAGAGGAACTAAAGAAGATGGAAAACCCTAATTACATTTCAAAGAGTGATATTAAACAAACTACAAGTTTGTCACCAAACTTATTAAAGATATGGACAAATAAGAGTGAGGACCCATTTATAAAGAATAATATTAATGAGCAAATGAATGATGCAACTTCATGTAGAGCAAAACGTAAATTTGAGGGGTATAAAGATACAATCCCCACAAAACGGAATTCTTTTCTATCAAACAAAGCTATTGATGATATTAATAAATCTAGTACATCTATAGGGAAGTGGGAAGAAGTTACTCCAGGGGAATCTATATATAAAAGTATTACGGAAGAAACATATTCAGATGTTGAAGTGCAATATAAAGAGTTAGATTCTGATTTAAGGCTATTTAGTAAAGAACCGGAACTAGATAATAAAATATATGATATAAATATAGCAATCCCGCCCGTGGGAATCGAGACGGAAGACACAAAGCGGGAAGATAAGTATATTATTAATGAGCCTATCAAGATCAGATTTAAAAAGAAAGATGTCTCTAATAAAGTATTTATAGCATAGAATATACTAAGTAATAAAGCAATATATTATCTTTGGTCTTTAAAATTTCATCCTTGCACCTTATAATTAATTTATGTGATATGTAATATATAGAGTATCATGTGTTATTGGGTAACATTATTAGATTGACTATTTAACTTAGAATATATAGCGAGTGATTGAGAAATCATTCCAGATATATCAGATATATTTGATGGCACAATGATTGTAGAGTTATTATTTTTCGTAAGATTTCCGAATGCTTGTATATATTGTTGAGCTAAGTATAACTTGGATGCCTCATCATTACTAAGAAGTTTTCCAATTGTCTCAATTGACTTTGAGATAGCTAAGGTTTTTTCATTTAATGCCTTAGCTTCACCTATAGCATGTAATATATCACTTTCCTTCTTACCAAAAGCTAAATTTATTCGACTTTCTCTCTCGCCTTCACTAATTAAAATATCAGCTCGTTTCTTTCTTTCTGCCTCTGCTTGCCTCTCCATAGCATTTTTTATGCTAGTAGGTAGTATTATATCACGTATTTCATATCTCATACATTTAATCCCCCAGTTAATTTGAGCTGCCTCATTTATAGCTTTAACAATAAACTTGTTAAGATTATCACGCTCTAGAAATGTTGAATCAAGGGAAAGTTTGCCTAATTCCGACCTCATTGTTGTTTGTGCTAACTGCACTATTGCAAAATAAGGATTATCTACTCCATAACTAGTTGCATGTGGATTTTCCACTTTAATATATAATACACCATCAATTTGAATAGTCACATTATCTTTTGTAATAGCTGTTTGGTTAGGTATTAGAATTGCCTCTTCTTTAAGAGAATGTACATATGCTATCTTATCAACAAATGGAATAAGCCAATTTAAACCAGAATTCAATATTCTATTAAATCTACCAAACCTCTCAATAACAAGAGCTATTTGTTCTGGAACAATTACAAGTCCAAAATGATGATTATAAAATCTATACAGTCGATTATCATGAGATGAATTTACATTTGGTTTAGTTAAACTAGTGGTTATACTTTTATATGAATTATATGTAGATTTATTTGTTTGCCAAGTTCTGGTAGATAATTTATATAAAGGTGATAAATAGACTGATGTTAGGTAATATGGAATACTATTTAATCTCTTCAGTTTAAACAATACCATAGAAGAAAATTCTTAAATAATCCATTAGTGTACACAATTAAATATTTACCAAATTTTCTTAATTTATTGTAGACATTAGAAAAAATGAATACAGAAAATTAAGACTACAAAATAAAGATGAGCAAATTCTACAGCTATACAACTAAACCTTATAGACGAGATTATTTGGAACTTGCGCCAATAGTAATTTATTTACTCTTTCTGAAAATATTATTATTAATTAGTCTAGATTAGCTTGATGAACTACAACTTACTGAAGATTGATGACCTAAAAGAGCTACTCCGTGAACGTGGCTTATCAGTTACTGGTAGGAAACAGCAACTTATTGATGCATTATTAGAGTACGATGCTAAATTGGAAGCACTAAACAACGATCCCATCGATATAATAGAAGAAAGCAGTATGGAGAAAGAGTGTTCAGTAGTACCTAGTATAGATAATAGTCACATTGAATCTAATAAAAGTGAGGCAAAGGTGTCTATGTATTCAATTCAATCACTTTCGGAGCAAGAACGTATTGAATTAAGAAAACAAAAATTTGGTACAACACTAACTATGGAATCAGAACCTGAAAGACGTTTAGCACGGCTTAAACGATTTGGCACAAATATTGAAGACGATAAAAAGTTATTAAGAGCTGCTCGCTTTGGAATTAGAACAGAACTAGATAAAATAGAACATCGAAAGAAAAGATTCGGTAGTACATCAAATATAACAGATATTGATCACAAAAAAAAGATTGAAGCTAGGAAATTACGCTTTGGACTAAGGTGACAGTAAGGGAAACCTATAGAGAAAGGAACTTCGATTAAAAGAGGAGTTTATCATTATATTTAGACCAATAAATAATAAACAGAAATTAAGTGAATAAATAAACACAATAACATATACTTCTAAGATATAGTGAATATATACTAACAAATTAACCAAAATAATACTTATTTTTGCCCCCCCACCGCAATTACACTGTAAAGAGACAATACCAGTGCATCTAACCTATCTATATAAAATAGTCATAAAACCCATTAATATGCATGAAATAGACACATATGGGCTAAGTCTATCTCCTATAACTGCCATCTTGCCAAGAATACCAAGAAATCCAGCTTTTTTATTGTCAATTAAACTTGGGATCTTTGGTCTAAGATATGAGCAGGTGCATATACACAAAAGAACCACCACAAGCATACTTTGGAAGTTAAATAAAGCCGACATATCTAATATTTTCGTTTTTTTCTCTTTTGGCCGCTGTCACTTGCACTCTATTACCCACCTTACAGTATAAAAAAATTACGTGGTACAAAAAAGTAACACGGGTAATAAATATTAAACATCACAAATAGGCGCATAAATGATGCAAACTAAATTGTCTCAAAATGACCCAACTCCTATACCTGCGGCGGTCATTTTCAGAACCATCATAATGAAGTGAAATAAAGAAGTCCTCAATAGAAATTCTAAAACCATACAACAGTAGACTGGCTGGGGTAACGCCCAGCTGTAACCAAGCGGAGTCACTAAGGGTGTAGGATAGATGAAAAGATGCACTACGACGACAGTCCCCTACCAAACATGACATAGCTGCCCATCGCAAGGCTGTAGTCTCTAGAGGTGTACAGATGGAGATCAGTATATCTTGTGAGATAATGAAGCTCGTACCGCCGGAGGCTGGGAACAGAACACGGACAAGAGCTCGCTGTGGTACAGTGCGAGGATAACAGCAGTGTCACGGGGAGACTGCACCGCGTGGGACGGACATCAAGACTACACCTCCTTTTTGACAAACAAGAATTAATACTGCAATCTAAATACACACACACTAACACTACATAACTCTAATTATCCTAACGAAAATTTACTAGGACTACTGATTCCATGCCCAAAAGGTAATCTCTGCAAACATACCTTTGTAAACATCATTACAAAACCAGTACAAAAACAATTAATTCACTAAAATAAAGATAGAAAATCACACTTTTGAATAATAATAAAGTTACCTTGATTAAACTTTATATTAAAAGAGTTTCAAGATAATGCTCCGATATATCTAGAAACAGATAAACAGAGTTTAATTCAAATATACATCTGAATATTTATTTTTAGATAAGAGTACTTTGACAGCAAAATAAAATTTCCTTTTAAGTTAGAATTACAACTTTTTTCATATTACGTAATTTCATTCTTCCTTTATTAATAACATAAAAGAAACACAAAAGTAATTATATCTAAATAGTTGATATATCTGATATAAGTTTATAAAAAGTTTTATTAATTAACTCAATTAATGTTTGATTTTGTGCAATCAATGCTTAGTAAATCAGTAATTAGGTTAGTCCCATTATATGATATAGGACAAGAGCTACTAGTTGTTTTTGTCATTAAATTAGATTGACTTGATGTATCATTAATTCTTTTTCTTTTTGAGTGAGTAGATTGTATATTGATAAATGATTGTACACTTCTTAATAAACAAATAGTAGTTTCAAGTGTAGTATTGTTAATACCAAATGAACATGAGTTCTTGATACTTCTAGTTAAATCATCTAATTCCTGTAACATTTTCACATAGTAGAATTCTTCCTCAAATAGGGTTCTATTAATTATATATTTACTAGATCCATAATATTGCACAGGCCCAGGATTTATATAAACATTATTTAACTCCCATTTCTCAATTGCATTAAGAAATAATTTATAAGGTTTTGAACAAATCATATCAATTTGATTATTTCTACATGATAAATGTACTTTTGTCATTAATGAATTATTATAAATATTGTCACCTTTATTTACTTGTTTAACATTACTAGAAATAGAATTTCTCTTATTTGCAACCATCATTTTTTCGACATTATCTTGCATATTTAAGTGTAATAAACTAGTAAGTGGTATTGCATAAAAGTACCAATCCTCAATTTTACTACAGATACCTTTAATACCAGTCATATAACCACCAATTAAATTCTTCTCAATAATCTTGCCAGCTAATTTACCATTCAAATATCCTAAGTTACAATCTAATTCTGTAGGAACTGTTGAGGAAACTTGATACCCAAAATTGAAACATACATAGCTGAAATTCCCTTTATAAATTCCTTGTGTCTTGCGATATATTAATTCTTCATTCACAAGTTGAGCTATTATAAGTTCAGTAGGTACATCCTCAATTAATGGACAAGTTTCAATTTTTCTAATTAATTTTTCTTCAACCTTTTTAAATATTGATTTAAAATCTTCAATCACAGAAATTTCATTATTTGTTAAATTACTTAATTTGCTTATATTCTTTATTGAATCTTGATTAGCTGTTAAATTAGTTTTAATTCTATAATTTCCTTCTTCATTATTATCGTACTGATCTACAGCCAATTTTTCAAAAATAAGTCTTCTATATTCTTTAGTAGGGTATACCTGATCTAATATACCTTCAGATATAATGATTCCTCCAAAACTATCTCCTATATTATTCCTTAAACATATTATATCACATATCTCTGTGATAATGTCATCTAATGTAACTTCCATTATACCAGATTCAACATATTTGCATTCACTACTAGAGTATCTTTCGGGAATAACAACAATATTTGGGTGAGTTTGTAGACTTGTCTCAAGTACTAGATTTGAAGTTTTTGAACCAATAAGTTTCATAAAATACCAATATTTTGTAGCAGATGCTGCATCTATAAGAAGATTTCCAACAAGTGTTGAACAGTTATGAGTAACAGTATCAAATCCAATACATGTATCAATCATTGGATTCTTAACATTATTTTCTAAGCTTGTTGGTACTGTAATAATACATGTTTTATTATAATTTATTCTACAAAGATTTTCAGTTAAATATGAAGCTATTGTTACAGCATCTGAATCTCCTAATACAACAAGCCCACTCATATTATAATAATCAAAAACTTTCCATACATTATCCGTTAATATATTTCCAAAGGGAGCCCATACACTTCTGTTAAATTTCCCATCACCTTTTTCTTCTATATTGTCAAATCCTTCATTATATTGTAAATTTAGTGTTACTGGTTCATATTTAGAACAAGGAAATTGACATCCACCATTATTTAACAAATATGAATATATTTCTCTTGTTGATTCATCTAAATTTACTACATAACCTTTTCCACTATATAATGAATCAATAGAGTTAAATATTACTATTTTATTGAGATTTATAAAGTTATCTAAAATACCATTAATTACATTTTGAGTACCTGGAGGTTGAAAGAGCCCTATTAAAAGAAATCCAATACAATAGGGCGAATTTGATGATGGAGAAGGAGGTATCGAGTATCCAGAACCAAAATCACAGACATTAGATCCTACATTTGTATTTGTAAAGTTTAAAGAATTAATAATACTTTGTGGAGTTGATGTAGATTGACTATTATTGATTATACTCAAAGGATTGCTAAATTGTAAAATCTGATTTGTTAAAAGGTTACCATTATTTCTAATTAAATCATCATCTTCACGAAATACTAGAGTTTTATTATTTGTCTTATTTAACTGAAAAGGAAGTTTAGATAATAGTAAAGATGTCATATCAGTATCACTTGAAAAATATTCTTCTTCAGTACATATTGTTTTAGATGAAAGTAATGAAGGAGTTAATAATATTTCTTTGCATCTATACATTTGCAAAGGACTTATACAACCTATACTTGTTATTTGATTACTATCTTTATTTGGTATAGGAAGTAAATCTTCAATTTTAGGATGACAAATCATATAATTTGATATATCTGCTAAAGGACCATCAAATTGAATAGGACCAGGATTTCTATAATAATCAATAACCTTCCAATGTTCTCTAACTTTTGAAAACAAATTAAATAAAACCCCATCTAATTCAACAAGATACTTCTTTATTACGGGTACTGACTTCCCCTTCCTTACTTCTATATTCATCATATTTACTAAAGGACAACCAGCTGGAATCCATAATTTAGGATGCTCATGTAAATTCCTTATAATTGCTATATAACCTGTACAATGATTATCAATTAAAGCTCCTGCAGTATGACCCAAGGCATAACAATAATTAGAATCAAAATTTGAAGGTAATGCACAACGTCCTTCATATCCTAAATAATGAGTTTTAGCATTATTAAGTAAATATTCCTTTCCTATCTCTTTAAGTTTTGTAATTGTAAGATATACAAGAAGATCTTCAGTAGCTATTTTTGCTACTTGAACATTACCATGAGGATCACGTTCTAAAAGTAGCTGATTTTGAACTTCTGAAGGTAATTCTTGAAATAAATTCCTCGCTTCATTAGATAGACGAGAAATTATTTGTTCTTTATTCGTATCAATTAATAATGTACTATTAAACTCTTTTATTAAAAGTTCAAATTCAGGTATAAATTCAATCAAACCTTCCGGTAATAAAATTATTCCAAATTTTTTATCCATAGATTCTCTAAGTAAAATCATTTCTACTATCTCATCTATAATTGACATTAATGACCTATTTTTTTCTTTTATTTCCTCTCCAATAAATGTCAAATTTGGATGTGTTTGTAGGGCACATTCTAATGTTATATGAGATGCTGATCTTCCCATTAATCTTACAAAATGATATCTATCTCGTTTAGTTAATAAACTTGTCATTATACTACCAATTTCTTCGCAATAAACCTTAGTAGCAGTATCATAACCAAATGATGTTTCAATTACTTCATTCTTCAAGTCACCATCAATAGTCTTTGGACATCCAATAACTACAATATTAGATCCTTCTTTTTTAAAATATTCAGCTAATATTGCAGCATTTGTATTAGAATCATCGCCTCCAACTATAACTAAACCATTTAACTGAAGTTTTTCGCATACATTTAATGATGCTTGCATTTGTTCCTCAGTTTCAATTTTATGACGACCTGAGCATATTATATTAAAACCTCCTTGATTACGAAATTGAGACATTATTAATTCTTCTTTTAATTCTATATATCTTTCAGTATAAACACCTTCAGGACCTCCTATAAATCCAAATAATTGACTACTGGGATTACATACTTTTATATATGACATTATTCCAGCAATTACATTATGACCCCCAGCTGCTTGACCTCCAGAAAGAACCACTCCTACTCTTCTAGCTGGGTAATGTTGCCAGGTAGATTCAGAAATAGCTCTTAACTCTACAAATTTACTCCCAATTGTTATAGGAAAAAAGGATGAAAAGTGGTCATATTTTACTTTATTTAATCCATTCTCAAAATTATCTACTTCCACAGCTTTAACTGGAGAGCGAAGTATATTTGGTAAACAAGGATCCCACTTTCTTCTTATTTTTTGAAAGCATGATACACTTTCTAGTAATCCCGTAGAAGATAAAGATGCATTATCTTTTATATCTCCCTTTGTTCTTTTTAATTCTATAGGAGATTGAATTATCATTTGCAGTTCTAAAACTGATAATTTTTATATATTAATAATTAATATTAATTCCAAATAAAGCCTTTATAATTTTACCAATAAATAAATATAGACTTCAATATTTGTGAGAGTATTTTTGTTAATTAACCCTTATATTAGAAAAATAAAGAAGATCCAGTTATTTAGATTATATTTTTCTTTAGGCCTTCTTAAGAAATATTATTGAAAAATATATGATTCTTATAAGTATTCAAAATATAGCCACACCTATTTTATTAAAATCTTCACTTGGGCCTATCAAAAATTTAATTTATATTTTATTATTTCTTTTAAAGATCACTAAATTGCACACACCCTATTTCAACCGTCAATACAATTATTACTCGGGATAGGGTCAGACCCAACAAGGCGGTAATATTTATTTCATTTGGCGCCACCATGCAGTAATTTAATCTCTTATTAAAGTCTAGAAAAAAATATAATTTTTATAAGTTTTAAAGTAACTTTTTGGGTTATTCTAAAGTATGTATATATATATATATATAATACACTTTTGTAAAAAAATATCATATAGTATATAGTATATATACTAAAGAAAGAAGAGTGAATAAAGAATAAGTTTAGTTAATTTTACGATTTCTTCTAAATAAAAATATTATATACAACTTATTTAATATGAATAGATTATATTGTACTACTTAAAATAAGATATTGCAAATCCTATACTAATAACAATATCCAATCTTATTTTTCTCTCTATAATACCACTTTTTTGGTAAATTGTTTAAAATGAACTTTAGCTCCTCAAATATGTAATAAATCTTCTATTTCTTGTACATTATATCTTAATATATCAGTTCTACTTGGCCATATTGAAGATATCTTTTTATATAAATGTTCATATTGTTTAGTAATATTTAGTAAAAGTTCCATAATAATCTTTGATTTTATTGAATTATCCAATATTTTATCTATATTTGGAAACGGGATAATTCCAAAACGTAATATAGTATCATAAAAATTATCTAATATAACTTGAGAAAGAATTAATAATGGTTCCTCTGTTGAATTAAAATGATTACTATTACAAATATTACTATCAGATTGAGATGATAATTCTTCAAATAATTCCTTAAAACGATATCTATCCATAAATTCTTCCATTGAAAACTTTACTAATTGTTCCATTTCTCGCATAATTAATTGATTAGAAATATCAATATACATTTTTATAAATGATAATTGTTGCTCATAATTCTTCATTAAAAATTGACATTTAGCAATATTATTTATTCTAATTAAGCATGTTGAGATTGATTTATATGTAGTTGTTGCTGTACATATAGCATTAAACATTGGATTAATAAATGAATCAATCATAGAAGAAATTGTTTCATTAAATTTTATTGGTTCATTGTTTTCTTGAATTTTTATATCTGAAATATGACAAAAATTTGGAATTTTAGTTCTTTCTTGACTCTTTTTTAATAAAGAATCATCTGCTAATATAATAAGTATATCATTAAGTAAAGTACACCATTCAAGTACAATTATTGAAATTGTACAATCATTTGTAATTAAACTTGATAAATTATTTGATAAATATTCACGTATTATACTTGAATATACATAAAATTGAGCAATTGCTTCATCTTTAACATCACAAAGACGTTGTATAAAGTGAGGAAATTGTATTGTTGTATTTAAATTAGCAAAATTAGGCACTAATTTATATAATGGTTTAAATATTAATATATAATAATCAATTAATTGTGCAATCTTTAGAACAATAGTGATTCCAAGTTTTAATGAAGTTAAACTACCAAAATTAAATGTAATAGAACCACTTCTCTGTTGATGATGGAATTGACGTAAAATTCCACGTATACTATTAGAAAATGGAATACATAATACTGAAGTAATATTATCTAATATATTATATGCTAATAATGTCTCACTTTTATTCATATCATCATTATTAATATCTTGTATTTCAATAATAGATTTTCTTTTATATTCAAAAGTACATGTATCATCATATTTATAATGTAAGCATCTTATTAAAAATTCAACTTCTATATTAATTCCACATATATCAATCCATTCAAATAATGATGATAAATAATCAATAATATTTATATCATAGTCTGAATCTATATTTGTAATACCATGTCTAAGAATTACATTAAATCTATAATCCAATAATTTAGATCTTAAATTTTGTATATTAATTAATATTAAATTATATGAATCTTTATGATATAAATATAAAAGTTCCATTATTTTAGAAAATATATCCTCTTCAAACAAATCATTTATATTATTATCATATTCATCTATTTCCTTTTTAATATTTGTATTAATAGGTATTAATTCTATATAATCAATTATTATCTTTACAATTTCATCAACTAATTGGAATCTATTTGATTCAATATCTAAAGTCATCTTATTCAAATTTATTAATGCTTGTGATAATATTGCTGGTGATATAGATATAGATATATTTGATTTATTTAAAATATTATCTTCATTTCTATTATTAACTAATTCCTCCATTGACATATCATTAGATAAATATTCTTTAAATATATTAATTAATTTTCTTGAATTTGATTCACTAACTAAACATTTCTTATACATTGTATATAAAGAATGTAAAATATCTTCCTTTGACTGCATTTGTAATTTTATATTCTTAATATTACCACTAATTGATGAACTTAATCTTGATAATAATGAATTACATATATTTTGTTTTATTGTTATCTTTTCAATATCATCTTCTATATTTTTAAATTCAGATAATAATGGATATATAACTTCATGCCATGATGTTGTTGATTTTATTATTGTATCTTTAAATAATTTCTCAATTCCATCTAATTTTATATTAAGGGATCTAGTATTATCTATAAATGGTTTTAAAGACTCCATACATTCTTTTATTTGGATTAGACGATATTTATCAATAATATTACAAGAAGATCTCCATTTTATCTGTTCACTAGATAATAACTCACATAATAAATCTTTAGATATAGAATTTGAAGAATTTTCAATTTCTTCTAGATAATGTAATATATTAAGAAATTCTTCATTTTCATCAAATTTCAAGTTTAATACTCTTTGTAATTTTTTTTTTAAAGGATGTATAGATGACTTTTCCATGTATGACAAAATACTACAATTAATTTAATCTAATTCCCATCTTATTCTTAATATAAAAAAAATTCTAACCTTATTACTAAATGTTAAAAAGACATAAATGAAAAGTAAGAAAAACAAATTCAATTAGGGGGAATCATTAGCGGTATACTAATATTTGAAATAAAATGGCGGCTTATTAGTATTTGAAATAATATTGGCGGTACAAAAAAAAAAAAGTAAAGTACTTGAATTATTAGGAATAGTAATATTTTATTATTAAATAAGAAAGAAAAAAGTTAACATTTACTACTTCTAATTTAAATATATGATTAAAAAAGAAATTTTATATTCCTGGTGACATAATTTAAAATATATTAATATAGAGATCAATTGTATCTAAACTAATTGTTTTATTAATAATCCTAATTATAAACGCATAAATTTTTTAAAGGAATTCCGAAATTCAGAAAAATCCAACATTAGTGATTCAATAGTCTTATTCAAATTACCATCATTAACTTTCAAAGTATTTTCGGCATCAATTAGGGATACATCAAAAAGTCCTGAAATGACCTTTATATCCTCAGGTAGGATTTTAGCATTTGATGAATTCTATGATTTTTTAAGAGAGAGATTTATAGTTAGTATAATTAGTTGACAATAAAATAAATTGTACAAAATAATTATATTACGAGTTATATAGTAAAAACATACCTCTATATCTTTTTCAAATGCTTTAATAGCAGCCTTTAAAGATGTTTCTACTTTAGATGAGTCAAATGACTCAGATATTGTATCATTTGAAATATTAAGGTCATCTAATTGCTTTTTAGTATTTTCTCTTTCACAATTCTTAACTTCCCTTACCTGGGAATCAGATTCCATAATTGAAGATGAGAATAACTTCTTAATATTAAAGATATTATAAATTATAATATCTTAATATAATGGCGCTTAGGCGCCAAATAATTATATATTTCTGAAAATACTATCTATTATTATATTTCTAATATTTTATTATAATAAATTGAAAACTTTAATATGATATTATAGGAGTTAATTATCTTATTAAATATTACTAATATAACCTTCAAAATACATTTTTATTTATAAATATACTAAAGTAACTTTAATATATTGCTAAATTTATGCTGAAATATTCTAAGTAAGTGGAACTTTTATATTATAAATGAATAATGACGTTATTATTAAGATATTATTTGTTCTTTACCAGAGGATCTATCAATAATTGAAATTATACAATGATAATAATATTTGGGAACTTATGATTTGCTAAATATATGTAATTTAATAATGATAAGGTTTTTTTTTATAGTTTAGATTTTATAATTTTATATATATTGGGAATTTTTAAATTTAATATATTGGAATTTATTTATTTATTTATTTATAGATATATGAACAAGTATTATGACTTTTTTTTATAATATTTATATTTTAATTCAATAAAACTAAGATTATTAATGTAAGAGATAATATAATTTCAGCATTATATATATTAAATTTAACATTAATTTTATTATAGAATTTTTTTCCAGTATAAATATATTAATAAATGAAAAATAATTAACTAAATGAAATATAAAGGACAAGTGTATAACATATATATAAATATTAAAGTAATATGATCTTATTCCTAATTCAAATAATAAGATAGTACAAAAGATTTGATTATATTCTATTTTCACTATAAGTATGAAACTATATATTTACATTTAATAATATTTTAAATAATAAATTTGAACAATAAAAGTTCCAGATGATGATAAAATATTATAAAAATTAATATAGTAATAAAAGAATTTATTAAGAATAAATTTTATTACTTCTTAAAATTAAATATTTAAATCTATATATAAGAATTTTAAAGAAACTAAAATTTAAATACTTTAAATAGTTGGTTAATATTTCTGAGTTTATAATATTACTTAATTAAGTGTAATATTTCAAATTATGATTTTTTTACGACGAAATAATGAATTTATTTAGAAATCTATATAGTTAAAAAAAAAAAAAAAATTAATATTAAATCTAATTTAAACTAATATATTAAAATCTAACTTTTTTGAATACTTCTAATAAATGTAAAATAATATATATTATGTTTGTGTTTACGAAATTATGAAGTAATCATTGACTAAAAAAAAAAGTTTAAATAAGAAAATTTTAATATTTCAAGTTATATCTTTACCTTATTTATAATTGAATAAATATAAAATATGATTTATTTTAACTAATATATTTACTATTACAAGGTTTAACTTTTTTTTTGAAAATTTAAAATATTAATTATTTTATAATAAGATATTATTAATAATATCTTATCATTGAGTATTAATCTAAATAAAATACCAATATATATGTAATTATTACTGTTTAAGTTTTCATTAAAAACACAATGTTTCTGAAGAATTTTATATTATAGTGTAATAAAGTTTAGAAGTATATATAGTTTTCTTAATATTAGATAAAAAAGAATGTTTCTAAAATATTTACTAATATAATAAGAAAAAAAAATCTTTAAATTTACTAATGTAAAGAATAACTACATAGTTTTTTAATTATTTTTGTTTTATGTATCCTTTTACACACCACATCATAAATAATCACTTCTATTTAATAGTCACTAGTTATCATCATTTAAAAATAATTGATTAAGGATATCAATTAAATCTCCTGAATAATCATCTTCACTGAGTAGTTTGCTGTAATGTTCAGATTTACAAGAATCAATATTATTTGGAGTATATCCAGCCATTGTACTACTAGTATGTGTTAAGCTATCAGGAGTATTCAATTCAAAATTTTGTAATAGATTAGTCTTATATTTTTCATCAGTATTGATTAATTGTCTAGGTGTAAATATCTCAAAGTTATCATTAAAATCTATTGATTGAGAGGATAATTCATTATGGTTATTTAATATGCATTTATCTGTATAATTATCAATTAGAAACTCTTTAGATATATCTAAATTTTCTTGTACTTCATCAATTTTATTATCAATATTATCAACTTGTTCCAAATTTGGATTTTGTTTTAGATGAATTCTTTTCAATATTGGGCATATATTATCACGTAAGTACTTAAAAGTACTAGGATTTTTATCTGTAATATGTATTAGATTAACAAACTTGAATTTGGGATGTTTTATAATTTCTAAGGTTGAATTACATTGAATATTAGTTGAAAGCATTAAAGAATTTTGTTTATTAGATATTTGAGTTGATTGATTACAATCTATTAATTTTTTATACTTTTCTAAGTCTTCATGTATATTATTATTATATATAATTTTAAATGCAATTTGATAAGTTCCAATTGGTAAAAAAAGTGAATATGTAAAACACTGTTTATTTTTATCAAACCACATTTTTTGAGGAACTTTCCATGGGGGATAACTATGATTAGATATTATATAAATACTATCTATTTTATGTATATTCCAAGGCCAGTTAATTTGAGTTATTCTATAATATTTATCAATAGCTTTTCTTGTAATAATACCTAATATATATTTATTAATTACCTGTGCAGCAAGTAATCTTGCAGATAATATAGATTCTATAAGAATAGCCTTCGAAATTTCATAGTCCATTATATATACATCTCGCCAATACTTTTGAATTTTGGATGCACTCTTATTCCTATTATATATTATTGATAACATATATTTTTGATGTAAAAGAGTCCAATTATATTCAATTCTATTTGGAAGTTTTGAACTATTATTTTTCTCTTTATTTATATTTAAAATATCATTATTAAGTGAATCACAATTGGACTTTTTAAAATCATAAATAATTCTATTTGTAAATTTATTCCGTACAACTGAACAATTTATCCAATTTTGATACATAATTCCTCCAAATCTAGTAAGAAATCCACGCCAACAAGCTTGAATTTGTTTAGCAGAAGAATTTAAAATATTTAAAGGTCCTAACATTTTAATCTTATAATCTTTCATACATTTATATCTCCTATAATAGCATTGAATAACAATAGCTGCTAAATGTAACAAAAATTGGAATCTAATCATTAAAAAAGATTGTATATTATATTTAAATGACATTCCATTGGAATAATATAATTCAGGTAATCCAAATGAAGAATATTCTAATTTTGTTTGTTTAATTGTAGGATTTTGTATCTCTGATAGTATTTCAATACTAGGAAGTATTATTTTTTTCAAATTACTAGAATTAGATATGTAAATTGGTTTTTCTAAAATATATTTTGGATTTTCTTCAATAATTGAGTTACATTGTTTAGATTTTTTATTATTTGGATCAGTAGATGATCTAATATATTCCATAGATGATATTGGACTTGTTTCTCTTGTTAATGAAGGTTCTGTTACTGTATTTTTCACAACTCTTTGTTCTTTGTTTGTAATTTTATTATTAGAGACTTTATATGTAGAAAGTGTAGAAATCCGAGGGTTATTTTTAGTGTAATTATTAATACTAGGTTGACTATAAATAACATTAGAATTATAATAAGGTCTTCTACCATATGCAATAGAACCACTTTGAACAGAATAATAAATTATTCCATTTAAATTTTGTTGAATATTAGATAGATTACCATTATATTGATAATTTGGTTTATTATTTAGAATCTTACTTTCTCCTGAAAGTAATGTATTATTACATGGACCTGTGCCATTAATAGAATATATTTGCCTATTGAGGGTAGGTATAAATTGATTATTGGATAAGATTATTGGTTGCGTTATTCCTTTGTTATACCGAATAGGAGGACGTTGTTGAAGGTCATTTCTTGTATTTCTTAAATGAAATTTGTTATACATTTTGTAATATATTCAAATAATTTATTTCATTATATCTGATATTTAATTTATTCCAGTATATTTATTACTTCTATATTTCCATTTAAGAAAACTGTCTGATTTTCTGTAATAATCAAGATAGACTTCACACAGGTTAGTTTAGGCGGTTTACTCTTAAATTTCCGACATTTTTGCACCCATCTAGATACCAACATTTTCCTTGTACTTTTTTTTTATTTTTACAATATTTGAAGATGATTATTTAGATTTTTGAATTGATTTCTTATGTACTTAACTGATTAGTTTTAAATTCATAATTTAATTAATTAATTTGTAATTTATAAGGAGACATATATTAGGTATCAAGTAATTTTTAGATAAGTATAAGTATGCAAAATTATTGTAGATCATAATAATTAATTGAAATTATATAATATTATAAAGAAACAAAATAATATAATATAAAATAAAAAGAACAAAATAAATGAGAGTTATTTCTTTTAAAAATTAAAGATATATCAAAGTAACTTACAGGTACTTGTATTTGAATCACTTATTTGAATTTTATTAGCAACTCCAACAATAGGTAATACTACTATTTCCATAGTTCCACATGTTCTTATTTCATTATTAATAATAAATTGCAAATAATATATACCTTTTGATGCATGTATTATTGTTTTGTAACATTCATCTTCTTTATCCCATTTTAAAGTAATATATTCTTGCCATGGTTTTGAAGTAAAGGAACCCCGTATTAATATATCAAAAATATCTTTATTATCTTGTTCATTATAGTTTATATTCCAAATCCATCTAATTGATAAACATCGAAATAGATTGTCATACTCTTTGCGTATTTTATACCCTCTCCAAAAAGCTGCTATTGTACTACTAGCCTTATTCCTATTATTAAGTACACTCTGAATTAAATTTTCTTTTTCAATATTGTTATTTAATAAAAAAAACCTCCAAGATCTCTGAATTTTATATATAGAACTTAATATCTTATGGACTGAATATTTGCATAGTAAATCTGAATGAATAAATTTTTTAAGAAGAGCTCCTCTGTAATTTCGATAATATTTTTGAATAGTTATTGCAGCTAATTCCATAATAGCTTTATTTAATCTTCCAATAATTGTTTTTTTATCATTATTATGAAATGTTAATGAAAATGGTGAATTAATATTTTTGGAATTTGTAAAGTTATTATTAACAATATAAGATACAATAAACTGAAGAGCTTGTGCTAATTCAGGAGGTACAATTAATTCAATTGATTCATCAATACAATTATCATTATTATTGGTTAGTATAGGGGATGTTGTAAAACTATAAGTAAGTGGACTAATTTGACTTTTAAGTCTACTAAATTTTTCAGATGTCTTTTTATAATTGGAAATATATTTCCTATTATTTACTATATTTGCTCTATTATTCATACAAATAGTTTTATTATTTTTATTAAAATAATTTATATTATTGATTCCACTATTAATATTTTCAATATAGGGAGATTTATATGTAGGACCTATATATACTTCCCAAGGTGAATAAAAGTTTGATGTCGTAGGTGTATGCAAATCATTAGGTATTATACATAATCCATTATTTAATGAAGGGTGTGAATAAGGAGTTATTTTAGGACCAAAAGGAAGACTCCATGATATAGTATTTAATGATGAATAACTACGATTATTTTTTGTTTGTGGTAATGGATGAATCATTGGTTCTGGAGATGGTAATGTCATAGTAGGAATATTATTGACTAACATAATTGGAGATATTGGAGAAAGTAATCCTAAACATGGATTTCTATTATTTGTATTATCTATACCAATAAGTGATGCCATATAATTAATCATACGATATGCAAATGGTTCATTATTCATACTTATATTCTCATTTGAAATTAAGACATTATTTCCCTTACTTAGATATTGGATTTTTTGAGTTTTACCCAAATGACTATAATTAGAAGACATTAATAATAGTAAGTATCAATAATTAAAAATATTAAAAGGTAATTCTTAAAAAAAACACTTTATATCTAATATTTATCTATACCCTTTAAATTATGCCACACTTTTCAAGGGTTAACCCCACGGTAATAGTAGAAAAAGTACTGATATTACGGATCTTCTCCTATTTATTATAATAATACCAAAATACTATATCCTAGTTTAAAGTATATATACTTAATAGTATTTTAAACTCAACTCTTTATTACCTTCTTTTCTCTTTCTTCTTTTTTTTTAAATTACATAATTCTACATATATATATATAATATCTATATTACAACAAGAGAAGACTAATAAATAACTAAGTTTAATATATATACAATATATATATAAAAATTGCAACTAAATCTTTAAAGTAAAATTTATAACTTGGTTATTACTTTATAGAATTACCAATGTTTTTAGTAACACATCAAAACGTCTCGTCTAGGAGGTAATGTTTTTAAAATGACAAATTTTAAGGTTCTTTATTCTACTGATAAAATTTGTTAACTAAAATAAATTAGAGAGATCCTGTATTTTATTTTTATGTTACTTAGATGAATGTTTGATATTTTATATAAATGGTTGGGATTTTTTAATATTTTTGCAATTTATTCCAAATTTAATATATATAATAATAAGGTAGAGTGTCTAGACAAAATTAATGAGATATATGAAGCTTTAAATAATGCAAGAAGTGAAACATGTTATCATTATTACTGGTCATCAAGTAGTGGTTCAGTTGATGAATCTAATGCACAGGAAGCACGAATTATTAAATTAGATACTATACTAGATGAACTGAAGGAGATGTATGACAAAGTTAATGAATCTAATATCAATGATTTTGAACAAACTATTGAATCACTAAGTAAATCTTTAAAGTCTAAACAATGCAGAGATATAGCTTTATTATATATTTCAAGAAATAGTAATACAAATAATAATTTAAATAGTAAGTAATAAAAGAAGAAACAAATGAAGCTAGAACTTATTTAAAACAAAATCTAAAGCGATCTTATTTATATATTTACAATCTAAATGAATTATCAATAAGCTTAAAGGCATATTATTCATTATTTTTTTTCAATTTACATATATATATGTAGTGAAATAAGTCAGGTCTATCACTATTATTATTACTATCTTCATTTTGATAACCATCATTACTATTATTATTATGGGTTAATTTATAAATATTACTTGACATAGGTTTTTTTACAGATAATACATCTACATCCCATTTATTCATTGTTTTTAAGTATGTTAATCTGTATGATGGTTGCCCATATGATATACATATATACTTTCCATTCTCCTTATTTAGTATTCGATATATTTCTTTCAACATTTGGTCTGCCTTTACATAACTATTTTCACTACAAAGGATTGTATCAAATGTCCCTTTATCTAATACTATATTATATTCATTATCTAAAAATTGAACCATATTAAGAACATCAGAAACTTGGCATTTAATACCTCTACTAGCTAGCCTTTCATGCATTATATCTACTGCAGTTAGGCTTATATCCATACATTCTACATTTCGAAATCCACCATCGTATAAATCCTCAGGTAATCTACTTGTTCCATTTCCTACAATTAATATTTTATCATCCTTACCAATATATTCCTTAAGTAAATTTTCTAGCATATCCCACTTTTGATACCAATCATATGGGTTTCTGTCCTTCTTATATCTTTCTTCCCAATACTCTAAGGTTCCATAATCAGCCATATTAAAGTTTTAATATAAATTTTAGAGTATTATATATATATAAAGTTGCACAACAAATAATACTAAAGACTTAGTAGGATTTACTGTATAATTGCCGCCATTTTCTTGTTGTAATAGATCCCCCCCTTCCCCGTTTCCCCCATTTTCACTTTAGTTTTAGGGAAGTTACTAAGAATATTTATAACTTCTATTATACTCTTAATATGGAACGTATAAATCAATATATTCTACTATATAGATATAATAATGTTACAGATCTAGATATTATTAAGATAATTTCATTTTAGCAAATATATTTATTAATATAAACAATAATAAAATATAATATTTTAGAATATAAACTAATATATTAAATATACTTAAATTTAATGAGTATGAAGTTATCTAACCTTTATTATGACAAATATTGTCCATTCACTTATTTTATCTTTTTTTTTTTTTTTTTTTTTCATTTCACTTTATTTTATCATCATTATTATTATTACTATTATTAATAATCTGAATACAATTAATATATCCTAGTATATTTTAAAATATATTTATTGCATATAAACCCCACTTCTTATTTAGATATGCTTGATTGATATTTCCCTAAGTATTCAAGTACTCTTTTAATATTAGGGAATCTTTGCTGATCACATAAGAAATCAGAATCACTTCTAACTCTTTCCAATAAATCATTAACTAAAAGTGAAAGATATGAACTTTCAAAATCTTGGAGGATACCAGATACAGATATTTCAAGATTAAGATTAGATTCAGTTTGATGAATTAACATTCGAAGTAGATCAGAAGATGATGGGATATTACTTGAAAATACAGAAACCGTATTTCCTGATGACCCTCCATCAAAATTAGAACTATTTGGAATAGGAGATGTAGCCTGTGAAATTGAATTGTTTGAAGAAGGATCTCCACTTCTATAAGCATTACTAAATGGGTTAGAAGATGTATCATCAAAAATATCTTTTGAAAATTCCTGAATATCTTCAGTCCAATATATCCAAGAATCACGTATATTTGAAGGTAATTCATTAATAATTCTTTGTTCAGATGATACCTCTATATCACTATTTTTTCTAGCTCTTTTATCTTCTCTATCATTTGGAGTTCCTTGATCTGATACTGCTTGTTCAATTTCATCCTTTGATCTAACTAAGTGACTTCTTTGATTTTGATTTATAGAATTATCATTAATATGATCTATAATCATAGAATTACTATCTTGATGACTAGAGGATACAGAATCTTCTATCTTATTATAATTTTCAGGATGATTATTATCATGATTAGAATCAGTATTCTTTAAGAAATTCTGAGAATTAGATGTCAATATATCTGAATTATTTGAAGTACGTACCCATTGAAGAGATTCAACAAGGCGATCTTGTTCAACATGTTGAGCCATATTATGAAATAACCAAGCTAATAAAGCTCCAAGATGAGCTGATACATGAGATATCAAAGCTAATAAATGAACAGTTCTACATATTCTTGGTACATCTAAACGGGAAAATCTCTCTTGCCATGCTTGTATTTGCATCAAATTTACCTGAATAATAGCTAGTACTTGTAGATATACTGAGATAAATACAGCTAAAGGCCCTACATCAGGAGGTTCTATTAAAGATGGAGGTATTGTTATTCTAGGACGTTGCCATCCAGAATCTGCTTCAAGTATATTCATAATCTCATTTAAAGAATCCCAAGGTAAATAACGTTGAATTATTTCATTTGATATATATAGTCTATGAGAATGATGTTGAATATATTCATTTGGTGACATTGTATAAATATCTGGGATACTAGAATTATTTGAATTTCCTATTGGTATTGGTGGTAATGTAGATGATCCATTATAGGAAGGTTCAGTATTAGCCATTGTATTAATAGCTTGAGCAACTACTTGTAATTGATTAGCAGAACTTTCTAAGATATTTGAAATATTTGAAAAAAAATTTAATGAACCAATTCTATAAGCTTCATTATGAATATTCTGAGTATTTTGAGATAAATTTGCATTTATATTTGTATTTATATTTTGAGATGAAATTGTATTTGTATTATGAGGTAAAGTTGTATTTTGTGAATGAGATTGAGATGTTCCATTTGATTGTATATTTGGAACACTAGTAGTAGCTCTAATTGTTATTGGAATAGATAAACTAGAAACAGGAACAGTTGCAACTGCTAAACCTGGACGTCCTAAAGGTAAAAAACTTGCTCTTGTTGCACCAGTTAAACCTGATGCATGAGCTAATTGAGCCCAATTAATACTTGAAGTTTGATTTATCCTATTCCTTGATGTATCATTTGATGTAGTTTCATTTTCAGTTACTCTATTATTATTAATACCTGCCATATTAGTTGTATCTGTATTAACCGTAGAGTTATTTGTTCCTGTATTGAGATTATTATTTGTATCTTGAGAATTAGGTGTTGATATAATATTAGGATTATTAAATGCTTGAAATAATCTAGAGACCATAGATCCAATTCTTCCTATTGGAGTATTTACTCCATTATTATCAGGAACTGAAGTAGTTCCAGTATTTGAATTATTTCCAGTATTACTTATATTATTGTTAATAGATGTATTTACATTATGGTTACTTGATGATGTATTTGTTTGATGAGTACTACTAGAATTACCCCCAGGTAAAACTGATTCTACTTGATTATTTACTAAACTATTAAGTCCAGTAAATGTAGATATATTATTTAAATTTGGAACTTGGTTTGTATTAGATGTAGTATTTAATGTTGCTATATTTCCAGTTATAGTCCCCCCATTTCCTGAATTAGTAGTATGAGATCCTAAAATTACCCCTTCTCCATTCAAACCAACTGCTGCTTCTCCAAAACTTCTCAAAATACGTTGCATAAAATCTTCAGCTTCTACAGGAATATTACCATCACCCCCAGTATCTAAACGTACAGCTCCAAACATCATTGCACCGGGAAAATGGCTAAATGTAGCAGTATTTAGACCAGAAATAAAATTTGTACTTGTGTTATTAGTATTATTAATATTATTAGTATTGTTAATATTATTAGTATTAGTATTATTATTACTTTGATTATTACTAGTGGATGATTCTGAGTTATTAGATTGTCTTAAATATGGGACTAAATGTATTATAACACCACTCTCTTTTATATATGTAGAAATAGCTTCATCATCTTGCATACATCGTCCTCTAAATATTAACCTCTGATTATTAGCTTCTATTCCACTTTTAGCCTCAATTAATACTTTTAATTGACGTATTGATGAATTTGGAGAAGCCCTAACAGAAAGATCACGTCCATGTAAAGGTCTAACATTTATTTCATATAATTCAGTTTCATTATCACTATTTACTTCATCTATGGATTCAATAACAACATAACCATCTCCAGTATTATTTATTGTTTCGTTTAAAGTACTCTCTGATTGGATATGTTGATTGGATTGTCTACCCTCAATATGTTCATTATTGTCTGTTTTTTGTAATTCATTATTTTGATTATTTAAGTTACTATTAGTTAATTGTTCAGTATTGGATATTTCATATTGATTGTCATACAATTCTCTTGAATCTAGCATGCACTCATCTGCATTAGAATCAGATGAATTATCTTCACTATTATTCATTTGTAAATATAATTTAAAAATAAGTTCAACAATTTATTATTCCTAAAAATGAGGGGAAAATGTAAATACCAAAAATTGTTCAACCTTAAAATTTTTTTTTACCTCCAAACCCCTTTAATTATTTGTTTAGTATTTAATATAGCGCTGAATTGTTAATATTTTGTCTTTACGAATTTCTCTTTCTTTCTTAAATCTATGTAATATTAATGAATTAAAGCTTCGGAACTTTTTAAGTATGTCACCTTAGTTTATTTACCAATTTACGAGAAAAAAAATTCTGTAACTTTGAAACTATATTAAAATTTCTAATTAACAACTTTATACTGAAACTGTTAAAAGATATTTATTATTAATTTAGTCTATCTATAGATTACAAAAAATGTGGGGATAAAATTTATATTACAACTTTAATAGAGAAGTAGATTTTTTTTTTTTTTTTTTTTTCTTTTTTTTTGTCTTAAATACTAAATATTATTTAATATTATATTAGGAAATAAAAAGTTAAAAAAAAATAAAAACCGCTAAAAATGTGGCGGTAAATAAAGTAATAAATAGACTATTTATAGTCAAATTAATATTAACAAGAAAATAATTGAACTACTTATAGCTAAATATAAATAAAAACAATAATTAATTATTATTTAATACCTAAATGACTAACTACTATAATGACTTAATGTATTTATCAGGTGAAAGGCCTCAATATATGATGTGTTGTATATGTGGTATAACAACTGACATAAACCCTTCTAGAATGTGTATAAATTGTATACGTTCTGAAGTAGATATAACTGAAGGGATTTCAAGACAAGTAATATTACCTTATTGTAAACATTGTAGAAGATTTCAAAAACCACCATGGATTTCTTGTGAACTTGAAAGCCGTGAATTACTTGCATTATGTTTGAAGAAAATTAGAGGTTTAAATAATGTAAGACTTATTGATGCTAGTTTTATATGGACAGAACCACATAGTCGTCGTTTAAAAGTCCGATGTGTTATCCAGAAAGAAGTTATGAATGGTGCAATAATGCAACAAACTATTATTGTAGAATTTTATATGCAAGGACAACAATGTGATGATTGTAAGAGAAGTTTTACTCCTCATATATGGAATTCAGTTGTACAAATACGTCAAAAAGTCCCACATAAGCGAACATTTTTATATTTAGAACAATTAATTCTTAAACATGGTGCTCATGAAAAAGTATCAAATATAGTTGAGAAGACAGATGGATTAGATTTTCAATTTCAACAGAAAACTCATGCTCAAAAATTAGTGGATTTTGTAATTCATTATTTTATATCTAAAGTAAAGACAAGTAGACAATTAATATCTCATGATTCTCATAGTAATACACATCATAATAAATTTACTTTTTCAGTTGAACTTTGTCCTGTATGTAGGGATGATCTTATTTTTATTCCAAAACATTTATGTACAAATTTATTTGGTGGTATATCATCATTTGTATTATGTAGTAAAATATCATCCAGAATGTATTTATTAGATCCATTTACAGGTAAAGAAGCAGAATTAGCTAATGAGAAATATTGGCAATATGCAGGTTTATCTACAAATAATATTGGTGCTTTTGCAATTATTTTGAATAAATTACATTTAGTAGATTTTTATGTATTAAATGTTGAAAAAGATTTAACTCAATTATGTGGAAATAAGAAAATAGTAATGGCTGAAGTTGAAGTATGTAAACCAAATGATTTAGGACAAGTAGATTCTACTGTAATAGTTAAAACACATCTTGGTGGAATTTTACACCCTGGAGATTGGGTTAGTGGTTATGATCTTCGTACTCTAAATAATATTGGTGAATTAGAAAATATTAAAGAATTTCAACAATGGTTAAATGCAAATCATGATGTTATTTTAGTAAGGAGAACTTATGCAAAAGATTTAGAATCTAAATATCAATCTATTTCAAGACCTTGGGTATTACAAAGATTACCACGTGAAATAGATGAAAATAATTTAGATAAGAAATATTATCAAGATAATATGAATAATGATATAGAAAATTTCAAACGTGAGATAGAAACAGATATTGAAATGCGTAAAGAGATTAATTTATATTGGGATCCTAGATCTAATATTGGAATAAGGGAACAATTTTATCAAAAAGCTAGGAAACCAAGATATTTAATTAAAAAGAAAAAGAATAATGAAACTTATTATGAAAAAATGATAGATGACACAATTATAGAAAATGTTACTGAATGTGATATTGATGATTATATACCTCAAGTTGATATTTCAGAACTTCTGGATGGTCTTACGTTAGATGATGAAATTTTATAAATATGTCAAATTATTAAGATAATAATAAAGATTATTAAACTTATATAATAAAGATATGAAGTAAAATATTATTTTAATATTTAAATTTATTATATATATATATTTAGCTCCAAATGTAAATACAAAAATTGTATAGTATTTAAAGGTTATTTTTTTTTTTCTCTTTTTTTAATTATATTAAACAAATTATTAGACTATAAAAGTATTTACAATCTAAAAATAAAATATTGTGAATTTATTAGTAGATATATTTCTATATCTCTTATTAATTATCTTCTTCTTTTTCTTCTTCTGTACCCTGAATACTACTATCTTCAATGTCAGAATTCTCTCCAGATGATGATAATTCAGAAGAATTATTAGAAGTGCTATTTGATAAGGGAGAATCTTCATCTCCTTCCTCTTCTTCTTCACTTACTTGAGATTTATCTTCATCTTCATCTTCAGCTTCTTTGTTATCTGGAGATATATTAGATTTATTAGAAGATGTTTCAAATAAACTTCCACCAGTTAAAATTGTTTCTGCTTCCTGAAGTAAACTTTTAGCTCCACTTTCAGCCTCTTCTATACTGGATGTTATAGTATTTGTATTTTCATCCTTTTTTTTATCTTCTTTTTCATTATCTTTTTCATTAACTTTTTCATCATCTTTTTCATTATCTTTTACACTTTGTTTATCTTCTTTTTCATCATTTCCTTTATTACCTTCATTTTTATCATTATTTTGATTAACTTCTTCTTTATTTAGATCTGTAATTAGTGATTTTTCATCATCTAATTTCTCATTCGATGCTTCTAATCCTTTAGAAAGACCTGATTTTACTAATTGCCTAAGTCTACGCCTAGTAACAAATTTAATTTTCCCATTTTCACTAACAAATGGGATTAACATATCAAATGGTTTTACTTTTTCATCTTTACCCTTTATAAGTAAATCCATTGTCTTAAATTCTACACCATATTGCCCACTTGTTGCATCTAAGACTAATGGTAAAAATGTTGCTCCATTAGGAAATGAAATAGTATTGGAATTTCCTGAATTTGGTATTGAAATATTACCTATTGGAGATGGTATTGCATTTTGTACTTTATTTGTCACCAAATTTGGTTTATTTGAATTATCTGCTGGTGTTGGTGTTTCAACTATTGGTTTTAAAGTTACAGTACCACCTGGTTTTACATTTGATGCAGCCTCTATTATGGATTCTGTTATATCAGATTTATTTTTAGATGTACCATATATTGCTTTATGACAACATTCAGTAATTGATTTAGCTTGTTCAATTTCAAGTTGTTTTGAAGCATCTAAAACTTCATTTTGAGGATGTGAAACTATATTTTGATTATTTGAAGGTGAAGGTGGAGGAATAAATGGAGGTAATCCTGGTAGTGGAGATCCATTGTTATTTGGAATAGAGGTTGAACCTGTATTAGCTGATGTTGAAACAGGTGATGCAGGTATAGCACCACCAGTATCTTGACCAGCAGATTGTATAGGATTAGGTTTATCTGGTTCAGTAGTATTATTATCTTGTACTTTTTTATCATCCCATCCACTAAAAAAGAAACTTTTTATTTTTATTCCTTTACTATCTTTTATATTTATTAAAATAAAAAAATATATTATATATATTAATAGATATTTTCTACTTAGAATAATATTCAAATATCTCTTTTTTTTATTCCCCATTATAATATTTCTCTATATGTCATGGAACCTAGTACAATTTATTATCTTTTTATTATTTCTCTTTGTATTATTCTTAGCAATTTTATTATTTATTTTATTTTATTGCATCCAAATTGCACATGTGTGAAGAAGTTAACACACAGACAAATAGTCCAAACTTTTCTTTATTCTCATTATTAAAAAAACATAAATATTCACATTACTTAATATATATTACTAAATATTTTAAGATATTAAAGAAATTCATAATTATTATAACTTTAATTTATCCCTTTAATATTTCATTTTATCAATTTTAACATTAAGTTATATAAAAAATATAAAATAATTACATATATGTATATAAATATATAAAATACTGTCTAATTAGTTATATATATTTAAAAAAAAAATAATAATAAATCTTAGTTTTTACAATTTTTTATTATTTTATTAAATCATACCGCCAGAATTGTAATACTTAAGGCGCCTTTATTATTATTATTTGTTTTTTCCCTTTTTCTTTTATTATTATTATGGCCCCAATATATAATCAATCATTTTCCCCAATTTCTACAATTTCACATGGTGAATATGGTAGTTCTGATGAATTTGAGGTATATAATAGAGCGGAAAGTGATTGTGATGAGACAATGGGACAAGATTGTAATGTAACATATAATATTGACCAAATTCTTGATTATGTATCATATTATATAGATACACCTAGTAATTCAATAGGTATCAAACATATAGATGAATGTATAAGACGTTGTAGAAATGTGGGATTCCGCAGATCAAGCATATTAAATTATTTAATTCAATCTGGTTATATTATATCTAGTAATTATACCACTCATGAAGATTCTATTGAAGATAGTTTAAGTTATATACAATCTATGTTACAAAATAAAAGATCTATTCCAAAATATAATGAAGAACTAGTAATAGTAATATCAGCTGTTGCAAAATTATTTATATTGGAAATTATGACAATAATAAATAAACAACTCAAACTTGAAGATATTAAAAAGAATAATGATAATAATAATAATAATAGTGAATTAATTATAGTACCTGCCCATATTCAAAATGCATTTTCTGTTCATAAATTCAAGATACCAAAATTATAATATCTAATCTATAATTTATAATATCTTTAAATTAAATATAAAAATAAAGAGGGGATTTTATTTATATTAATTCTTATTAGCGGTAGATATTAGAAATATTAATTATATTACTATTTAATAAAATTTATATAGTGTAAATAATATATATGATAGAAGAATCATCTAATAATGATAGCCTGATAGCTACATTTTGTGAAATAACAGGATGTAATGCTACAAAATCATCTGAAATATTGGAATCAACAAATTGGAATTTAGAAAATGCTCTCATATTATATTATGAAGAAAATAATAATGAAATAAATGAAATAACAAATGATAATACAGAACAAAAAGTAGAAATAAGTAATAATCACGAAATAAATAGACAACATAAATCAATATATGAAAATTTACTTAAATATATCAATATAACTATTAATTTCTTTATAAATACTATTTATGGGGTGTCTTCATTTATAACATCAATATTTACTATTCATAATGAACAATCAATATCTAGACAAATAAATATGAGAATATCTCCTGAAACAAGTATTACTAATGCTCAATTTGAGGCAGATCGTAAATTACGACAGGAACAAGATCAGGAATATCTTGATTCTCTTTATAAAGATTCTTTAAAAAAAGAAAAACTTTTAATGAAACAAAGAACACAACAACTTATTATTGATAGACGTAAAGAATTAAAGGAATATTTTAATAATGAAAAGGAACACATAAATGAACCTATTTCTACAGTATGTATTAGATTGCCAGATGGGAGTAAATTTCAAAGAATTTTTTGTATAAATGATCCTGTATTTAAGATATATGAATGGGTAGAATCACTTGGAGCAGATGAAACTAAATTAATACCAAATAATTTCTCTTTAAGGATGTCTCGTTCAACAAGTATTGAAATAGATAGAACATATAATAATAAGGATACAACATTAAAAGAATTAGGATTATATCCTAATGTTGTATTATTATTACATCTTCAGAATGATGAAGATGATGAATAATTATATTTTATATTTTAGGACTAATTTGTAAATAATACATAATATATATATTATTATTATGTCTATTTAATTTTTTATACTAAAAAAAAAGATAAGTACGTAATATTATTGAAATCATATATTTAAGAGTTTATATTCTATTTTAAAGATAATTTCTAATATTAAATAAAATTTAATAATTTTTTGAATTACCGCCTTCTTAAATTAGTTAAAAGTAATGTAAATACTCTATTACCCTAAAAATTAAATAATGAAATAGCGCCAATATAATATTAATTTTCTATTTTTAGGTAGTTAATAATTTAAAAAGGCGGTAACTCAAAAAATTATTAAATTTTATTTAATATTATAGGCGGTTATAATATTAATATTATTGTAGACAACTAAATAATTAGTGTAGACGTAGAAATAATGGCGCATTAAAAATAATAATATAAGTTGTCATTTGTTGCAAAGAAGACGGGAGGTTATAACGAAAAAAGAAAATATTATATAATTTTGTTTTACCTTTTATTACTTTAGGATAAAATAAGAGAAGAAAATGCCACCAGTAGGTAAAGCAGATCCATCTGAAGTCAGATATTTGTATATTCGCCAATTAGGAGGAGAAGTGGGAGCAACATCTGTCTTAGCTCCAAAATTAGGTCCTTTAGGTATGTCACCAAAAAAAGTAGGTGATGATATTGCTAAAGGTACTATGGCATGGAAGGGTATGAAGGTTTGTGTTAAACTTACAGTTCAGAATCGTCAAGCTAAAATTGATGTAGTCCCAACTGCAACTTCCTTATTAATTAAAGAATTAAAAGAACCACCACGTGATAGGAAGAAAGTTAAAAATATTAAACATAGTGGGAATTTATCATTAGAACAGATTTATACTGTTGCTCGTGCAATGCAATTTAAATCAAGAGCTAAAGAATTTTCTGGTACTGTTAAAGAAATTCTTGGTACCTGTAGTGCAATTGGATGTACTGTTGAAGGTCAGAGACCTATTGATCTTCAGGAGAAAATTGATGCAGGTAAAATTGATGTACCAGCTTCATAAATTTATTATTGGATTTTATTAGAAATTCATAATAAATGGAGATAATATTTTTAAGTGAAAGAATTAGACTGTAAAGATATTTATTAGCAGCTCTCTATAATTTTATCTAAGCTATTAAAATCTAGAAATGAAGTATTTCATTATAATGATCGTATCTAGGGATTTTTATGTAGGATCTATGATAAGTATTCAGTGATTTATTTATTATAAATATGTAAAAAATATAAATCGTTTAAAGTAAGACGTAGATTTTTATTAAATTAATGTAAATTATTTACTGTTAATAACTAATTTAATAGCGTAAAGTTTTAATAACATAAAATTTTAATAGCATAAGATCTTTAATAATATTTATTAATATTTTAGGAATATTATCTGGATGATATTTTACTAGAAATATATCCCCCCACATGCGCGTAAATTTTTAATGTGTATTTGCGGTTTATAATTAATAATAGGCTCCAATAATGATACATATATAGGTTGTATAGATAATTATATATAATCTATTACTGTAATAATATTGCGCATATATGTGTTGTACAAAGTGTGTAATATATTAATGTCTAATAGAAATAATAGGGGTTGAACTAGATAAACATTTTTTTTTTATTTTGGAAATCTAATAGATTTATTTTCAAGGGTTAATATATAATATTTCTAAGATTAAGAGTTGATATTTTGAAATTACAATGACAGAAACAACGAATATGAGAGAATCAAATGTATATATGGCAAAACTTGCTGAACAAGCAGAACGTTATGATGAAATGGCTAGATATATGAAAGATGTTGTTAGTAATCGTGAAGAAACTGAGGAATTGACTGTAGAAGAACGGAATTTATTAAGTGTAGCATACAAAAATGCAGTAGGTTCTAGAAGATCATCATGGAGAATTATCTCTTCAGTAGAACAAAAAGAACATAGTAGAAATGCTGAAGAAGCTAGTAAAATGTGTGCTAATTATAGAAGTAAGGTGGAAGTTGAGCTTACTGATATTTGTAATGATATTTTAAATATGTTAGATACTCATCTTATTCCATCAGCAACTACTCCAGATAGTAAAGTTTTTTATTTTAAAATGAAAGGTGATTATCATCGCTATATTTCGGAATTTTCTACAGGAGAAGCTAAACAAAAAGCTGCAGAAGATGCTTTAAAAGCATACAAAGATGCTACTTCAGTTGCTAAAGAATTGGAACCAACTCATCCAATCCGTTTAGGACTTGCATTAAACTTTTCTGTATTTCATTATGAAATTCTTAATGAACCTAGAGCTGCTATTGATATGGCTAAGGAGGCCTTTGAATCAGCAATTGAACATCTTGATAAATTATCAGAAGATTGTTACAAGGATTCTACACTTATTATGCAATTATTAAGAGATAATCTAACTCTTTGGACTGCAGATTTGGGAACTGCTGCAGAAGAAGGTGCTCCAGAAGCTTCATAAATGAATTTTTTTTTCCTTTTTTTTTATTATTTTATTCTTAATAATAAGATAATAAAACAAATAAGATAAACAATTTATGTAATTTTAGATAGATTAAGTTAGATTTGGAAGTTTAATATTTTACATAACAGTTTTCAATGTAAAATTTTGATATTATTGATTTAAATTTGTAACTTTAATATTTGTAGATATTTTTATTAAATATCATATCATAAGGCTTTAATGTTAGCAAATTTGAGCTAGCTTTAATTTAGGTATGATTATAGATCATTTTTCTTTTTTTTTTCTTTTCTTCTTCTTAATTTTATATTATCTTAAATTAAACTATTAACTATTATTAGGAGCGGTGTTAAAAATAAAATAATATTATATAATATAAAATAAAAAAAGAAAGAGATTTAAAGAGTTATTGTTTTTTTAATGGAGAACCAAGGTATACAACAGCTTGATTTTATATCAACTAAACGTAAAACACGTAAGGCATTACGTCCTGAATTTGCTGATACAAAATATGATATTGAAGAAACAAATCAATTATATAATACAAATGGTATATATAATGAAAATATAGAAACTTTTGAAATTGATAATAAAAATAATCATCATCATAAAGATAAAGATAATCATATAAATAACAATACAGATAATGAATATATTGATAATAATATACCTAAATCTATTATTAAAATATGTAATTTAAATAATAATATTTCAAATTCTAATAATATAAATACTAATATAAATATAGAAGAAAAAGATTGTACAAAATCTATTAATTTACATCATAATATAAATGATATATTATTAAATCAAGAAGAATTATGTAATATAAATGAAGGATCACCTTGTCCATTTTTAGTTGGTTCTAGTTCTGAAGCTTCATATGAAAGATCATGTACAATATACCCTACAATATCTCATATAGAATTTAATTCTGATAATGAAATAGATATAGATATATCTTCTTTAATATCAAGTTTACCAACAAGTATTTCTAATTTACAATATTCAGGTGGTATTAATGAATTACAAATTTGGTTAGGTGAAGTTATAGATCGTTGTGAAAGATTTGGTCTAGTTATACAAAATCGTTTAGAAGCTATAGAAAATGAAAAAAAGATTAAATATGATACTTCTCAAAATCAAAATTTAACAAAATATAATGAATTAATTTTACGTAAAGAATATTTATTAAGTGAATTGCAATCTATTGAAAATGAAATAAAAACTGAAGAGAAATTATTAAAAGATCAAGAAAATGAATTTAATATTCAAGAAGAAAAATTAAATGAAGAAACTAATAATCTTAAAAATGAATTAACTGATTTAACAAAATTAATTTGTTGGCTTGAAGAAATATTGCAATTACGTTTTATTCCAATTTTAAGATTTCAACATGAATTATTATTAGAAAATACTCGTGAAGAAAAAATACTTTTAAGATTAAGAAATGAGATCATTAAAATTGAAAATGAAGAGATTAATTTAAGAGAAAAATTACAAGAAATAAAAAAACAGAGTATTAATAAAAAGGATAATATAGAATTACTTGAAGAACAAGTAAAATTAGCACAAAATTCTAAATCAGAAAAATTACAAAAGGCTAATTTTAAAGAGGCTTCACTTATTACACAAACTATAATGTCTCTAAATAATCAGATTTTACAAGCTGAAGAGGAATTTAGAAGAATTTTATATAATGAGAAGGAAATTGATGAACGATTAGAAAGAATAAAGAAACTTCTTAACGATGAAACATCTAGATATGAAGATACACAGAATAATTTCATTATATCTAGAGACAATAGAAAGAAAGATATGACTAGGAATTTGCAAGAATTATCTAAACAATTAAAGGATTCAAATATTAATCTTTCTCATTCTACAAGTGAATTTATAAAGGATATTTCAGAAACTGTAATAAATAGAATGAATTCTGCAATACTTATTGAAGAGGCTCATCAAGAATATGACAAAATGGAAGTAAGGGAAGGAAGTAATCATTAATAACTATTTCTATTATTTAAATAAATAATATTGTAAATATTTAGAGATATTTAATAAAATCTAATTATATCCTATTTATAATAAAAATAAATCTATTGGTATTATTCTTAATATAAATAAATTATAATAAAATATATGAAGGGGGGAAGAACACGTCCATCTTCTAGTTCTTTTAATTTTACACGTAGGACAGAATTAAGTGAACAACAACGTTCAGAAATTCGTGAAGCTTTTGAATTATTTGATAGTGATTCTACTGGTTATATTGATGTAAAGGGAGGTAAAAAGTCGCAATGAGAGCATTAGGATTCGAACCAAAAAAAGAGGAACTTAGAAAAAATATTGTCAAATGTCGATATTAATGGAATGGTCAGTTATTCAGATTTTCATGATTTAGTTGAAATGAAAATTTTACAAAGGGATCCACGTGAAGAGATGTTAAAAGCTTTTAAATTATTTGATGATGATAATACAGGAAAAATTACTTTTAAAAATTTGAAGAGAGTTGCTAAAGAACTTGGTGAAAATATAGCAGATGAAGAAATTCAAGAAATGATTGATGAAGCTGATAGAGATGGTGATGGCGAGATAAATCAAGAAGAATTTATTAGGATTATGAGAAAGACAAATCTTTTCTAGTATATATAATACTTAATTAAGATACTTATATTGGATATTCGTATTTCTACTTGATATATTACTTAATATTATGTATATATATTAAATGAAAGAAATAAAATATATACAGGGAATATTAAAATTGTGATATTTTGATACATTATAGTAATAAGGTTTATTATAAAATATTGCTAAATATTAAAAAGGACTAAATAATTTAAATTTAATAACTCCAAATATTACTTTTATTATATTATAGGCGGTAGTGACGCTAATTAAATTTAAATAGTATAGTATATTATTATTGAATTTATCTATTCTTATTTTTATCATATTATTTATTGATTATTTGTATTATTTTCAATATTAACTAAACCGGAAACACACTGCCTGCATACTGGACATGAGATTTTCCTAGCAAGTAAATTACTAGTACATTCAATACATAAGCATGCATGTCTACAAGGCAATAAAATTGTTTGTTTTGGATTTGTAAGGCAAATTACACATAGATCATCTTGAGAATATTTATCATTAGATTTATTTTGTTCATTAATACTACTATTTGTAATATTTAAACCATATAAATCTTGTAATTCAAATACTTTACCATTATATTTTACACATTGCCTAATAACTCTGATTATATTTAATTTATCTTTTTGATTATTATTTGTTATATTAATTCTACAGAATGTAAATTGAGATATATCTGTAATATTTTGTATATTTTTTTTATCTGAAGCAATAGAAGATATAGTGTAGTTTGTATTTTTATCATTATCTTTATCTTTAATATTTATATCATTTCTAACCAAAGAAAGTGGTTTCAATAATATTAAAAATGAATTTACTAATGGTTTATCTAGATGAATAACTTTTGATTTATTTATACCATTAGGTAAATGTACCTTTAATATAGGGTTTAAATTTTCAATAATGTTTTCATTAATACTATCTGTAGAATATAAACTAAATAATGCATCTTCAGTGCAATCATATAAAAATTCTAATATTTGACCATTATTTGAAAGATTTATTGATTTTCTATTAATATTGCAAGGATTTTTGATAGCCTTAGCACTTTTTACTTTTAAAAAATGACAAGAATTTACATTAGATGTTTGAAATACATAATTTAGATTATTTGTATTTGAAATATCACTTTGATCTCTTATTGTATTAGAATTTAAAATAACTTGTTGTCTTGTTGGTCCATGATGATCATGAGCTTGTCTTATAAGGCTAAGTCCCATTACAATATATTAAGATATTTTTGATTTATATTTATTAGAATATATTTATAAATATCCTTCAAATTATAAGGATAAAGAAAGGCGGTGAAGTAATATTTATAAGTTTTATAAATAGAAGAAATAATTAAAAAAAAGAAGAAAAAAGAGAAGTAACTAGTTAAATTACTAAAAATGACCATCTATTTACTTTATAGAAAACTTTAGCTTATTTCCTAGAAGTTTTTTTTAGTTCAGCCTTAACTAAAGCCTGTCGTTTCTTACGAGCAACCAATAAAGAGTGCCTTTGAAAATCAGTCATATTTGCCTTAAATATCTTGGTAATACTAAAAATAATAAAAAAAAGAGTTATATAATATATATATGTAGATAAAGAAAAGTCATATCAGGCAGATTATTTCGAATATATCTTTATTTAATTAATGAATAAGTAGTATGTCAGTAAGTCAGATATTATATTATCACCATAAATATTAAATAAAATATATTCAAAGTAAGACGAACGAGACAAAGAAAGTTTACATCATTCTTGCCTGACATAAATAATTTATTCCTTTTATAGATAAATTTGAACTTACCATTTCTTACCAAAAGTAGTTTGATTAAATTTCTCAATTGAATCATCCTTACGAAGAATCTTTGTAATTGTACCAGTTCTTGCACCTCTTGGTATATGTGCCTTTATTTGTGTTAATGTAAGTCTTTTCAATGGAATACTTTGTCTTCTAACTCCTGTAGTTGGACCATCTACCAATACACGATTAAAATTGACAATATCAACAATAAAGCATAATTTCCCTGTATCTGGACCAAATTGGATACGGCATAAACGACCTGGTTCAACAAAACGGCTAAATAAAGTCATCTTTATAAGTTAAATTATATCTTTATAATTTTAGTATAATTGTCTTATTATTATTAAACACAAAATTAAGCCGGAAAATATATTATTACTTAAATTCCGCGTCTTCTAGAGTACACTTTTTTTTTTTCTTCTTAATAGCTAAATATAAATAATCAATATTTAGTATTTAGTATTAATAATCTAATAGCTCTAATTATTATTTAAAAAGTATAGTCTAATACTATTAAGTATTAAATTGTCTTTGAATGAGGATGAGACGAGACGAGACAAATGTGACCGCTTAGCAATGAATATTATCCTTAATAATCAGATAGGTACCGAACTACTTTTTAAAATGAAATTTAAATTACTTACATGTAAATTTTATATTATTTTAAAATATTTAACAATAATTATAATTATTGTAATATATAATATATTATACCTTTTTATTTTTATTTATTTTTAGAAATAATTTACTTAATTTTACACCGATCTTTTTAATTAAAAGTGACTTCCCAATGACATCTTGAATAATTTCTGTGTTTTTATTATCTTCACTTCGATTATTATCATTATTATTATTTTGATCTAATTCTGCACAATAAAGAGAATAAGCATAATATAAGCTAGTAAAGAAAATAGTTCCATTTTCAAGTAACATTAAATGTCTTGGCCATACCCAACGAATATGATGTTTATTTGGAGTATTTATATCAACTTTTTTAATTATCTCACCTTTTCTATTTAATAAGACAATATTATCTGTTTCTGTTAATATAATTAAATATAATGGATGACTTGTACAAGTTGATGTAATAAATCTACTTGGTGATTTTGTTACAAATCTTGTATTCATAAATGAATGTATATTATTAGAATTTGATATACAAATTGTAATATCAAAATTTACAATCATATAATTTGAAATTACTAATACAATTGATTGATATCCCCAGAATTTTGCATCATTTATATTCCATCTAGAATCTAATAATTTTGATTTATTAGATGTTAAATTTGATAATTTAAATAAGGTTGGATAATGATATCTATAATTTGGTAATATATAACTAATTTTATATTGATTTGAAGAATTATATGAAATTTCTGATTTTAATTTTGATGATAAAAGGCACCATGGTTTAATTGGAAAATTAAGTAAAAATAAAGGAGGTAAGTTTAATATTGAAATAATTCCTTCAGAATTATCTTGAATAATATTATCAGGAATATGAATAACTTGTAGTGAACATAATATAGAATGATGTAATCTATCTGGTGATCTTTCAATAGCAATCACAAGTTTATTTTTATAATCATAATCTAAAAGTATAAATTCTCTGTCTGGTATATTAAAATTTAACCATTTAATTGATATTTTATCCACTTTATCAATTCCTAAATATGAATTTGATATAGAACATACTATAAAAGAGGGAATTTCATTATTATAATCATTAGATTCATCAATATTAGATGATATACTAAGTTTATCACCAATCACTTGTCCATATTGTATATTAGATCTAAGTTCTAGATGTTGAAAATATTGTGAATCAGTTATATTAATATTCATTGGGATAACAGGTGTGTATTCTGATGTCTTTACTATAAAATTTGTAGTTGAAGAAGAACCTAATAATATATTTAATATTTCAGTATTTCTAATATTAATATGTCTAATTGAATATATAGGCTGTATTATAATAAAAGGATCTAAATTATTGGATTTTTCACTTAATGATAATTGCTTATTAGTTTCATTTATATTTTTACAGTATATATAACCATTCCATGTTCCAATAATAAAAATTTCCCCATTAGTATTTATTGTACATGGTGGAGATGTTAAAGGTATTCTAGCAATTCTTTTAATCTGGTTTTGAGAATTATTCGAATTCATTAATAACAAATTTATAAAAACATAATATCCAAGAGTTGGATTTAACCATTCCTCTTATTTAATAAATTGTCATTATCCAAAAAATTTGCAAATTTTTCTACTGTATATAGAAACTTTGTATGTAAATTTTTAAATAAAAAGGCGGGAAATAAAATATTATTAATAAAATAGAAAAATAGAAAATAAAAATAATAATTGAGTAACTTCTTTAGCCTGAATATTAACAATAGTATTTCTATTTTGAATTTTTTTTAGGGAATTTTATAACTAATTATTTGGTTTTTTTTTGATTTGGATTTCATTGTCAAAATATCAACATTGAATATGACATCTCATAGAAGTCAAGAGAGTTTGAATACAACTCCAGAAATTCAACTTCAAATAACAAACAAGCTTAAAGAGATATTTGGTGATGATGATGTCTCTGTATTAACAGATTATATATGTCATATGTTAAGTCATAATCAACCAAGAGAGCATATTATAAATGAACTAAAAGAATTCTTATCAGATGAAGCAACACAATTTGGGACATGGGTTTGTGATTTTGTAGAATCTGAATCAATAAAAAATGTAGAGAATAGTGACAATATATCAATTAAAGAAAAAAAATCTAATGAAGGTAATTCACTAGACGATGCTATTTCTAGTGTCATAAAGGATAAAACAATGAGTGGAAGGTCTATGGCAATTATTGGAGCTCAAAGAAATAGGAATTACAAAAATTTACCAACAAATACTTTTGGAAATAAATTTCCGAAAGTATATAATTATAGAAGTGCTCCATATACTGGTACAATTGGTAATCAAAATGGATTAGTTGGTAGATTTTTACATCCTTATAATCAGGTTTCAAATACTAATAACCAAACTGGAGGGCTTACAAATTCTGGAAATTCAATACAAACAGGAGGATCTATTCAATCAAATAAAATAAAGATTAGATGTAAAAATTGGCCAAATTGTGAATCAGGTGATCATTGTCTTTATATACATCCAAATGAAGCTTGTAAGCTTTGGCCCCATTGTCCTTATGGACCTGGATGTTTTTATATTCATCCTGGTGTACCATGTAGGTATGGTTTAAGTTGTTACAATACATTATGTAATTATTCTCATCCAAATGGTTGGGATCCAAATCATATTGAAGCTCCAGTTTTTAAATATGGAGGATATAAGAATACAACCCTTATAATTAATAATAATAAACGTTTAAACAATGATGGAAATAGAAATAATGAGGATAATAATAAAGTTATAACTAATGGAGATGATATAAATAATGTTAATAATATTAGTAAAAAGTCTGTGATAAATAGTTCATTAGCACTAGTAACAGATACATCTTCAAATATACAATGTAATTCTACTGATATAATGAATACTGATGTAAATAAATAAAAATATCCTAACTTTATATAGAATAAATAGTAGATATCGAGATATATAAAGTGATTATTTATTTGTGTTATGAAATATAGTGATTAAGATACTATTATTGGTAATACTTAAGGATATTTAGGAATATAAATTAATATACATTACTTTATAAATGATCTAAGGGCTTTGTAGAGTTAATAAAAATATATTAATATTATAAATAATATGGTTAAACCGTGAGATTAAGCACCTTGGAATTACAATAGAACTTTTCTCTTATTAAGAAATTTATTATTAATAAAAATGAAATTATTTGAATAGATTTATATGATTGTGGGGACAATGAAATATTGATAGTTTTTAAATTGTAAATATATTATTATTTATAAATATCTTATAGATATTTATTTTTCTGACTTCCTTTTTTTCTTTTTTTCTTTTTATAATACTAAGGAGTTATATTTTCATATTAATTACATACAATGTTTCTTGAATATAGTTCATATATACTAATATGGGATCTTTTTCTCATATATGTATATATATTGTAGTGTTTATATCTAATGTCTAATATTAGCTTTTATTTCTTTGATAAGAAAATATACTTTCCTTACACTTCATAACCTATGAATATGTGAGACGAGACATGACCATCAATTTTAAATAGTATTATACAAGCATATTAAAGGCGCCATTATGGGACTCCTTGGTGTCTACAAAGGACAAGGTGGGACTTTCTTTTGGAAATTGAACCATACAAAAAGGAAATTAGTATAAAAGTATAGAATGCCAGTTATATATTCAATAAACACTAGTAACAAGTTTGCTGCATTGAGTGTGAGTGATGATGAGGGTGAACCTGTTAAACCACAATTAGAAGAGAAACTAAAAAAGTCTGAGCAGATAATTATTAAGAACAATATTAGTAATAATAAATCTAATATAGAAGTTAACTCCCGAAGTGAGGAGGCAATAATCTCGAGTCAGGTACCTGTAAATAATATTGAAAAGGACTTAAGAGGTCGTAGAAGAGGTGGTAGTAGTATTTGTAGAGGTAGTAGAGGTGGTTACATTGATCATCATGGAAGGACATTCGATCGTCGTGATGGGTCAGGTAGAGGTCGTAGAATTCCTAAACATGGAGCTGGAGTTGGTAATTGGGGCACAACTGAAGATGAAGTTAAGGCTGGAACTAAAGTAGATAATAGTATGACCAACTTTCAAGAAAATGAACATCATTCAGTTGAAGATTGCAATAATAATACGGGAATGAACAAAGTAGATGATTCACCATTAATAGTTAGCTATGAAGATTACATGAAACAATTAGATGCAAAACGGATTGGAGTTAAGCAAGATACCTATATAGAAACTAATAATATTCAGAAAGATTTTGAGAAAGAAGATTTAAAGCGATATGTTAGACAATATGGATCTACTAATTCAAGTATTAAGAAACAGCGTTCACCAAGGAATTTTAATAAGAATGAAAAAACTAAACTAAATTACTTTGAATTAGCTGCACAATATGGACGTAGGGCTACAGGTCGCAGAGATAATAATTTTAATAGAAAAGAGAAAGGTGATACTAATTCTAATTTACGTACAGCAAAAGTATCTGGGAGACGTGAGGCACCAGATGTTACTGACATTCGTGCATTTCCAGAACTTAGCAATTCTTCATCATAGTTTATTATTACAATTTTAACTAGCTTAACAAATAATAAATTACTTGTACTAATATATATAAATCTGAAAGAGTTGTTTTTTAAATGAAGATACTCAGAATAATAATATTTATAATATGCATGGAACAGAAATTTAGCAAATTAAATGAACATTTAGAAAAGTACTTTTGGAAACTTTTATTGAATTGTAATTGCACTAAAAAATGTAAACTAGTTTTTGGTTTTGTCATACTTTGTTTTGAATATTGCATTTTTTTAAATCATTTGGCTCCTAATTGTATTTCTATCATAACTAAACTTTGTCACTTTTATTCTCGTAATTATTAAAGCTATTTGTAATACTTATGTTATTGAATCCTAAAGTGTTCAGAAATCTATATACTAATATAGCTATTAATACAATATCTAAAGCTTTGATTTCCTTGTTAATAGTTTATAGACTTCTCTTATATTTATATTGACTTTATTATTTCTGTTAATTTATATTATTAATCATTATTTTTAGTTTCTTCAAATAAATCTAATTTAGGAGCTACAGTATTAATAATATATATATAATACACTATTATCAATTAAATATATTCATATCTCAATGCTATTATTTTGTACACATCCTATAGATTTTTGGTATGAACTTTCTAATTTTTCCTTTTTTGATTGAGATGTTGTTGAACGTGATTCAGAAAAATCAATAACATATTGTGAATTACGTTTCTTTTCTGTTTTAAAATTTTCTAATTCTGGTGTCATTCTATTAGTTTCTGAGTCATAACCTGATTCTATTTGATAATTTGTCATTTTTATATTTGAAATACAATTTAAACACATTACTTCTTCTTCAATATATTCACTTGAATCCAATAAATTTTCATACTTCTTACCTTTATTGACTATAAATTGTAATAACTCCTTTGATGTTATTATTCCTTCATAATGTATACTAGAATTATCTGATGAATATATTAGCATAGATCCAACTTTATTAATTGGAATATAAGATAACAATGACAATAGTGTTGCAATACATATTTTACCATCAATACATAATACTTTATTCTGCAAGGTTTCAGAATTTGTAATTAATGAAATAGAATTTAATCTTTCAATATTAGAAACTGATTCATCTGATATTAAAATATTTGAAAGCTTTTTAAAGCATTCCCGATTAATTAATTTCCTAATTTCATATTCACATTTCCTATTATCCTGATAAATTCTATATTTATCTTCTTTCAAATTTATTAGTTTTGTTAAATCTAAAAAACCAATAATAACAGTATTTTCATTCAAAATTCGAAAATTATTATCTAGTTTAAATTCAATATCTTCATCTATTGTATTATTACTATTATACTTCATTAAATTATAAGATAATGTTTCATTAGTTAGATTTCTCTCACCTTGTAATAATTCTTTACTAACAATATTTTCTTGCTCATCTTGTACAATTAAGCTACAACTATTGTGACCAGAATTTATAGAATATGATAATGATAGCTGCTTTGTTTTAGTTGTTCCCATAATAATCAATTCTGTTATTCCATTATATATATATTTATTTACTAGTTCCATATTAATACTATCATTTACATTATAAAATACACATTTACTAATAGGTAACATTATTGTAGAAATATATTGTTTGCCTGCTAATAAAATACTTTCCATCAAAAATAGTTCATACATACTTATTATTTTTCCCCTTGCATGATACTCAAGAAAATTTTTTAATTCATCTCTTTTATAATATATTTCACCATGATATCCTACTGTATTATCTAAAATATAAGCAATTGGCTTAATTAATGGAAATAATATTAGTTGTATGATTCTTATTAATGGAGAAAAAAAACCACCAATCAATAATCCATATTTTGCACAAATAGCTTGTGGAATTATTTCACCAAATATCATTATTAATAGTGTAGATATTGCAAAACCTAACCATCCAGAAGTAAGTTCAGATACTAATATTGAGAAACCGGCATTTACAGTAACATTACCAAATAACAACGTTACCAATAAGAGATTTCCATCACGTCTTAAAGGAAGTAAACGACGAGCATACTTCGACTTACGTTTTGATAATCCTGATTTTCCAGTGATTGTTGTAGATACCTGTAAATACAATACATCCAGTGTCATCATACCTAGAGTAAGTCCTGAGAATAAGGCAGATCCTATTGCTAAAATGACTGATGTTGCTATAAGGACTGGGGTTGATAAATAATGTACTGTCTCCATTTTCAAAGGTTTAAAGTTTTATTTAATAAAGTATCTTTAATTTAAATAACTATTAAGCCACAATTATAGATGCTCGTAAATTTTAGCGCCTTATAAGCATTACATGTATCATTTACAAAACTTAATGCCACGTAATTGTTGCAGGTACCTAATATATATAAATAATATGTATAATAGTTCTAAAATATCTCTCTGTGAGTTCGTTTAGGTTTTAATTTTAAATATCCAATAATTAAATGAATAATGATATACTTAAAATTATATATTAAAGATGGAACTAAGAAAATTGACCACTTTTTTTTAAAAAAAAAAAAAAAAGATGAATAAGATTAAATAAAATAAGCTAATAATTCCCTCTTTTATCTGTATAACTTTGATATATTTCATAAATAGCTCAATTTTGACTTAAATTACTTATAATAAGAGTTAAGAGGTTATTGTGATTTGATATTTTTAGCTTGCTTTACTTTGAATTTTTTCAATCTATCAAAAATATAGATAAATAATATTAAGATACTAAAATATATAAAAATAAAGAGTTAACATACCTTTGATGATTTCTCTATAAGTGTCTTCTGAAGATCTTGTGAAACTTTTGATATACTTTGGAGCTCAGATTTAATATATTCAAGTCTTTTTGAGACATTGGCTTTAGAATCTTCAAGAGATTGTTTGACCATAACATTTCCAACAAGTTTAAAAATAACTGCATCAGATTCTAACTGTTCTAATTCTTTGAAAACCATATCATTTTCACTCTGTTGGGTTATCAAGAGTCGATGTCTCTCAGAAATTTGTTCATACTTCTTTTGAGTATCAACAAACTCTTTTGTTAAAGTTTCAAGTGATTTGAAATCCATATAAGAGGTATTATATAACAAGTACTAGTTTGTTATATCTTAATTTTTTTCCAATTAGTACTACAGACACTAGGTAGCCTCTTATTAACAAGTTAGAATAACAGTCAAATACCCGCTAAGTTATGGGACTTAATACCGCCACTGCGTTAATTAGCAGTAAGGAAGAATTTGAATGGATGATAATAAAATCTCAACTTTTTTTCTTTATTTCGTTCTTTTTTTTATTAGAAGAAATAGGAGATAAATTAACAAATAAATGAAGATTACAATCCCCAAAGGGGATAATTATATATTGGCAGTCTCATCATTATCACAATCGCAAAAACATTTGATTGAGAAATTAAGTAGTGCTAACAGCGATAAATACAATGAATATCTTGATGATTTCCAAAGATGGATATGGGATAAAGGTGATGTACAATGTTGGGCATCTGCTCTAAATAGATTTGATGACTACATTACTAAATATATAATTAAGGAGAATCTAGGTAATGAATTCTTAAGAAAACATTTGATCAGTCCTCAAGAATCAAATGTCATTGATTCTAATATTATAGTAGATGATGAAATAATAAAAAAAATTCTAAAATCAACTTTTCTGATATTAGAGAATTGCACCTCAAAGTCATTGTATGCTAGTACTGTTGGGTTAATTGCTTTACTAGACTCTTTTAATCCTGATATTGTATGTTGGTCCCTACGGACATTAACAACAACATGCTCTAATTGGAAGAAACCTAAGCGTAAAGTAGATTGTGGAGCTGTATATCACTTACAATTTAGATTATCAACATTATGCTATATACCAATATATCGTGGTTTAAATATTCATACAGATAGGATTACCAAAAGTACAAGTATCGGTGAAAATGATGGAACTTCAATATTATCAAGTTTTTATAAAGAGGAAGTATGGCCATTACCAGATGATAATGAGCTTATTGAAATAATTGTTCCTCCGTTTGTATGTAATCATACATTAGGCAAACAGGATGAAGGTTTGAAATGTGATGATCTTGAGTGCTTCGATTTTCATAAGTCGCATGTAATGCTTATTAAATTTAAGGATTTAATTATGACAAAGTCAATGGGAGATTTAGATGAATTGCTAAAGAGGCATTCTATACCAAAGTGTTTGAAATCAATTATTGGGCATTATGTCCGTATATTTCATAGTTATAACAATGTATGGGAACGTAGACGTTGGATAGATGTACGCTATGCAACTACACTTTGCTTTCCTGGTTTTTCAACTAACAATTTGGTTAACATATGTCAAGTGAATACGACTCTAATACCAGATTCAGTAGATATTTTAGATTTTTGTCATTCAAAGATATATGGTAATGATTCTCAAGTTATACTTTCAGATTTTAATGAGCAATATCGTTATATAACAAGTATGAGGTCAATAGTTGAACTTTTAACATTAATGCTACAAGATCGGATATTTCCAAAAGTTATTGTACAAGCATTGAATTTTACGCATCCTAATGGATTAATAAGCAAAATAATATGGGATACTTTATATTCTATTAATCAATATAATGGGAAGAATCTTCCAACACTTATTTCATCATCATCTAAATTCATGGAATTAACATATCCCAAAAATAATAGCGAGTCAAGTTCTACATTTCATTTTTCTGCAATTTTAAGACTTTTAGATGAGAATATATTTATAAGGACTAAGTATCCTTTACCTAAAGATTCTGTTAGTGGTGATGAAAGTAAAGATGTCAATAGAATAAGATATGATGATACAACTATTAGCATTTCATATGGAATTAAGGAGAATTGTAATGATAGTAATAACATTGAATATAAGGAGAAATCATCTTATATAGATTTTGTAACAGTTAATGAAGAAGTCTCTGAAATTAGTCAATATTATAAACAATTAGGTATTGAATTTACTAGTAATCTTAATAAGAAGTCGTATTTTACACCTGAATTAAGTATGGCTGAATTTGAAGAGGAAATGATAAATTTTGTTATGGAATTGATTGGTATATATATTTTAGTAACACAATTATACTCTCCGCCTCAATCAACAATATCTAATTCGTCATCTTCCACATCTTCATATTTGTATATACCGCATCATTTGGCTGTTTTGGTTGCATTTATTGACTTTATATCATCTGTAAGACATCCTTATTATATTATTTTAATTTTACCTATATGTAGAGCACTAGAAACATTACTTGAGAAGAAGACATATTTGTCTCACTTATTACAACAAGATGACCCGATACATAAGTTGCTTCTGATGAGATTACAGTATGAAGTAGGTATTTTGCATACTGACCAATCTAATAAGGAAGATGAAGGTATAATTTTAATAAGGCAGTGGATCATTAAAACAACAATGAAGTTCATGGAACTTTTTATACATCCTAATAGTAATAATTTAATATCAAATTCAGACAATAATCCAATAATTTCACAATCGAAGATACAAGAAGAACTACTATTTTCCGAAACTTCTGTATACAAAAGTTGTTTATTTTTAATTATCATGTATCCGGAAATATACTCATTATTAAATTATTCATTAGTAATACAGATGATAATACCACTTGTATCAAGTGATCCAACTATTGTACCTGCTCTTATAAGCAATAATTTAATACCAGCTATATTAAAATCAATTAATTTCTCAATTTTACAAAATGATGATATACTAAATATATTAGCAGTAAATTTACCTGTTTTCTTCCTTCATAATGATGGTATTAAGTTGATGGAATCAATCTTTTATAGACCATTAATATATTTAACCCAATTTTTGACATCCACATATGCAATACATATTGATAGGATGGGTGAAATTGCAACTCTTATTGGTAATGCATTTGAGGAAATTGTTAGGTATCATCCACAACTTGTAAGCACAATATCATTTATTGCTGTATCTACTGTTCTACAAATAAAAGTTATACAGGATGACTTACCAAAGTGGAAATCAATTGAAGAGGACTTCACAAAAGATGAGGAACACGATTATTATAAACCGTTAGAGATACCCTCAATACAAAATGATGAGCTGATATCAGATAGAATGGCTATTGTAGGGCGTTTCTTATGTGGTTATCTTTCAAGTCATGATACAATACAACAATTTGTAATATATGGTGGACCTTATTATGTGTTGAAATGTATCCTAGATGATTCTTTACCTCCAGCATTTGCTTCAATATTAGTTAACCATCCTTTTGTATCTTTGTTTACATTTTTGGGTACAAGTAGGAGTGTACCTGTGGCAGATTTACAATATCAAATTTTACCTATTTTGGAACTTGCCTGTGAGAAGTTGCAGGAAATTGGGATTTCTAATGACTCAATTATTTATATTTCGAAGATATCAACATGTCTTTCAGTTATAAATAGCATGTTCAGAAATGTCTCAAGTTATAATCATAATAGGATTTTACAGTCAAGTTTTATCTCAAATGAAATGGTCCATTTACCAGATTTTACTTCACCTAAAGATTATTTTCCATACGGTTCATCTATACTTGAGCTGTACAATAGAATTATAAAGTGTACATCATTCATTTTTCCAAAGTTATTACAGCACCTATACTTTAATACCTCAGAAAAATACCTACAAGAAATGTTATTAATAAATAATACCTCAATATCATTACTATCTTCTAAATTACAATCTCATACTCATCCACTATTGATCTCTCAAAATGGAAATACAAATATGTCAAATTCTAGGAGTTTATCTACTACAAACACTACAAATACATCAGGGTTAACATCTGTAAATGGTATATATAACTCTTTGACTTACCCAATTTTATCCCTATGGCCTCAATTAACAACAAATGACTTTTTATGGTCCACTCAAATTGGATTTGCATATTCAAACGTAGCATATTCTGAATTACCTAGATTTCACCCTTCTACTATACTTTTAGAACTATGTAGAATGACATGTGGGAATATAAGAAGTAGTTTAATATTATCATCTCGTCTTTTAAACACTTTCAAGAGAAGAAATGTAGCGAATTCATTACTTAGATCTGAAAGTAATAATATCTCGGAACCAACTCCACTACAGTACGATGCTGCTATTCAGATAATAGCAATATTTAATGCTATTTTCAGTGCAATACCAGGTTTACCTCAACCTATTATTGAAGAACTTGGTCAAAATGTGACTAATTCAGACATTAATAATTTATATAATAAGGATTCTTTATCATGCTCTGTTGGACAGCTTTGTTCTTATATATCTGATGCTATTGATTTATTTTATAGAATGTGTATTGACGATAAACATAACCATACATTTTACATTTTACTAATTGATTTGGCATATAAAAGTGGTACATTTAACAAAATAATACAAATGTTTCATTTATCTATGTCAATTTACTGGTTAATTCTTGGAAAAATAATTAACTCAAGAAATAATGAAGATAACAAACTAGCCGACTATGATATTTTACCACAGATAAGTCATAACTCACCTTATAAATATAATGAGTTATATCTGAAATACTTGGTTAATTTGATATATCCCAAATTAAAAGATACTTACAATATGAATGGTTTATTACATCTATCAATTAAAAATATGCAAAATAACTTCCTCCTATTAGAACATATGTCTTCATGGAAACGTTACTTAAATTCATCATTGACAAATTATCTACATAAATACAAGTTCCACTTACCAAGTAGAATTGAAAATGAAAATACCATATCTATCTCTGATGAGAGCATGAATGATGGATCTAAACAAATGGAAGTTCAAACTGATGGTTCAAACTCTATAAAAGTTCACAAAATATATAGTGAAGATTCAGATAATAGAAGTTCCATTAATAAAAAATTATTAGATTTACCTTTTGATGCTGTCGAGTTAACAGAATCAATTTTATACATTATAATGAATAATCTCCAATTTTGGTGGAGGGGAGTTTTAACAAATAAAGAGCTAGAGATGTCTAACAGCAATTGGTTAACTCTCTTTCCAACTCGATGCTTATCTTCATTATTAAAAATAATTTTACATATCTATGACTTACAATCAGATGGATACAGCAACTTTATACAAAAAAGTTTGTATACTGTATTAAATAAAAAAGGTGAAACTTTAAATAAAACTAATAATGCAGATACAAGTATCAATGCAGATACAAGTATCAATGCAGATACAAGTATCAATGCAGATACAAGTATCAATGCAGATACAAGTATCAATGCAGATACAAGTATCAATGCAGATACAAGTATCAATGCAGATACAAGTATCAATGCAGATACAAGTATCAATGCAGATACAAGTGTCAATGCAGATACAAGTGTCAATATTACACCATCTGCGGGCAATGAAAATGAAATATCTGATGAGATAAACAATTTTGAAGCAAGTACTTCACCAAATGTACCGGAGAATATAATTTCATCACTACTGGATAGGCTAACAATTATGGGATTTGATAGGGATGTTTCAGAGAATGCAATATATTGTTATGGAAATAATATTGATATAATAGTAGAATACTTGACAAATGTACATGAAAGGAATGAGAATAGAAATGTGAAAGATTATATGGAATATCTACACTCATATAAAAAATTGGACATAAAATGTTCTGAGTGTTTATATGGTTCTAATTTGGTATTATACAGCCCACTTACCAAGGAACAGAAGAGGAATGAATATCACTCTTGGTATTTACATTTAATTCAAGAATTATATAATGTAAGTAAAAATATATACTATTCATCATCTATAATAGCAGATGTATTACTCAAACTACATCCAATAATAAGGAAAGTTAATATTATGGAACATTTCTTATCATTAATACACTCTTCTATTAAAAATTTAACTGATAAGCGAAATATTGGAATTAGTACTTTATCAAAATCAGAAAGTTATGAGATTTGTGGAAGTGAGGTAAAATTCTTAAGTAATATTAATTGCAAAGATTTTCCATTAATCTTTAGTTGTTTTAATGCAACGCTTAGTAATTCATCTCCAATGATAGATGGAATTCTTACACTTAACAAATTGAATTTGGAACAGATATACAGTAATCTCAGTATTTATATAGAAACTTGTACCTCTACAAAAAGTATTCATATGAACTTAATACCAGATTTATCTATACTTTCAATTTTACTTTATAGAAAGCCTGAACTAAGAATATATTGGGTAATGTTGGATAATCAAAGCTCTACAAATAGCAGTAGTGTTACACAGTTAAAGACTTCTAAACAATCTAAATTAAGTACTAATACATCTCAGGGTATACAATACAATAGTAATAGTACAACTAACTTTGTTTCTACTGATTATCACCCAATAATGACATTATTAAGATTTATGAGCATATTTATTGATGCTCACTTCATTCTTGACAATGAGTATGATGGATATGAAATGAAGGGAATGGTTAAATATCTAACTTCTAGTGAAACTAAAGAAAATAACTGTGATACAACACATTCAGCATCTTCATGTATATGGTTACCATATTTTAACAAAATTGAGATGGATGGAAATGCTATTAAAGATACATGTATATCATCTATACCTAATAGTGAGTGTATAAAACTGATTAGTCGTCCTCCTATATGGTTTGAATATGCCTGCCTGGTTTTATGGAGATTACTTCCACTATATGAGCAATATTACACCTCTACAAATATGTATTTGAGTAGTAATACTCTAGCTGCAAATAATAGTACATTTACTACACTAAATACTTCTACTCAATCTATGTTTGTACTATCACTAACTGAACAAAGAAACATAATATTTTCAATGTTAGATATACTCACTCATTTCCCATATAACAGCGGAAGCACAGCAATGGCAATATTGGGTGTGATCAGTATACTATCAAGGAATTTCAATAATTCACTATCTATCTTGAGTTATACCCCGTTTTACTTGTTGAATAAAGATATTGTAGGTATCAATGAAGGTAATTTAAATCAAAATTTGAGTAATAATAATTGTATCTGTACTAACATAAACTTAGGTGGAGGGCTTGGAGTTTTGTATCGTCTACCTAAAACTGCCTACTTTGATGGTATACTACAAGTTATTTCCTTGATAACACTACAAGTAATAGAAGATTATACTGTTTTACTACAAATGATAGAAAATAAACTCGACATACTATTTTCAAAACAGCTTTCATTACAAATACAAAGTAATAAAATATATGAGGATAGAGTTCAAACCCTGGAGATGAGTGATAATGAAGAGTCTGAAAGACCTTCATTTTTACCACGTAATTTTACTATGCATGATACAGAACATAATAAAAAGCTAAGTGATTTAGGTCTTAAACATCCATTCATACTTTTAAGCCTGAACAGTGTTATTGCTGAGCTATTTCCCTATATACAAAGAAGTCCACAAATATTTATGGATATAATTTCGTACTTCTGTGTATTGCATGAAAGGAAGAATACTAGTTATATAGATAATTCATATAGAAACAATGAGGCCATACCAGAAAATAATAATGAGGATTCTAAAACTGCAATTCAGTCACTAAATAATGAGGATAATTTAAGTATAAATATTGATAGTAATATATTGGAAAGTAATCAAGATCAGGATACTGAAGAGAAAAAGAGTACTACATTCACTCTACTGGAGAATGTGTTATGTGATGAATTACTTAGTTTATATAAAATACCAGTTAATGATAGTTTACTTCTACAATGGAAACCATATTGCTATCGTGAAAATAATAACAGAAACTCAGCTCCAGTATTTAATGTTTTGAAATCTGGAACACTGAGAAGACTAAGATATTTGGAAAAAGATCATGCTTTGAAGCCTAGTATAACTTCTATAATTGTAATTTCAAATATATTTGATCACATTTCATTATTTGGTGATAATAGTGCACATGAGAAAAAAGATATATTTAGCTTATCTATAGACTCGCTTATTTACACATTGTTACGTATATCTTTGGAATATCCAATAAATATCAATACTATTTTAAGGCCTTTTTCAATACCATGTAATAGACTAGCATTACAGCTTTGGTCTGAAGCAAAACAGTCATTTTCTTCTTATCGTTATAAGCTAGCATTAAATACAAATATACCGATCCCTATGATAAGTTGTATTTCACAAAAAATTGAAGAAATAAAAAAGAAGAATCCTGGGACTCCAAACTTGCAGCTTTTGAATTTAATGTCAACTGATATTAAGCAAACTTCTAAATTAATTCCACAGATACCATGCTTACTATGCTCACAGTATATGTTGAATCAACTATCTCAATCTATTTCATTAAACAGAATAAATCTTTTATCTTATATATTTAGAAATATAATACCTATTATATTGTCATCTAACAGCAGCTTATTCAAGCCTAAACCTCAATGTACTTGCTTTGTTTGTCAAAAAGATATTGAAAATAGTTCCAAAACAAATGATACTAATATAATAAGAACTGCTGGATGGCAATTAAGTGATGATTGGACAAATAATCACTTGAGATTAGTCCCAAATTTATCTACATCTCGTCGTTCAAATATTAAGGAAATGCAATTTGCTCAGATGGACCATTTTATCTACTTTTTCCATATTGTTATTGGATGGAATAAGCTTGCACTAAAAAAATTCTTAATTTTTGCAGTTAACTCTTTGAAAAGTATATTAAATGACGATGTGTCCTCTTATAGTGCACAAATTAGAAATAATAATGAAGTTACTCATTGGACCTACAACTATATGAACTCATATTTAGTACTCAATTTGCTTCAATTGTTAATAGTATTGCCACGTATAAGCCCAATGAATCGTTGGTCATCTTTGATTAAGCATTCAAACTTATATCATTTGCTTTCAAAGCTCTATATTAAACTACCATATTCTGACTTATCAAGTATTATTTTATTTTGCATGAAGAATATACTCTATCCACGCTCTATAATCTACCCAAAGAGTAAAGACTTACACAATAAAAGTGATGGAATAGAAATTGATGTAGAAGATGGAGATGTTGAAACTTCTTTGGCATCATCTCTGCAACATTATGATGTGTTGTTTCCATCAACTGATGAAGATTTTGAATATGATGAATATGAAGATGATGAAGATGACAATGACGATGAAGATGACGATGAGGATGATACTGATGATGAATATGATGATTTATTAAATGATAATCTTGAACTTAGTGAAGTAGTGGAGGGTGGTATACTCAGTGAAATGGATGATGGTGATATACTTGATGATGTACTGGATGATGATGTTATGGATGTATTAGATGGTGACTCAGATTCTTTAACTGATGAATCACATGAATCTGATGATATTAGCGATGCTGATGAATCGATGAATGAATCTAGAATAACGTCAGATTCTGATTCCGATGAATTCCGCAGAACTCCTAGATTACGTGATGAATATGAATTCAACTACATAGATCCAATAAGTAATCCAATGAATATTACTGGTTTGGAGGATATACCAATTAATGGCAGTGATAATGATAGTGGGAATGATAATATAAATAGTAATGAGAATAATAATGGCCAAGATCCTGATATTATGGTTGGAGTGGATAGATTAGGTGGGGTTAGTTTGTCAAGAAGACGCAGAAGACATCGTCGACATTTGTTAAATAATAATATCGAAATTATGGACGATATTGGTGATGAATTTGATGAAGCACTTCTTGATAATGATAATGATGATAATGACATTGATGGTGATAATGATAATGATAATGATGGTGATGATGGTGATGATGATAATGATAATGATAATGATGATGATGATGATGATGATGATGATGATGATGATGATGATGATGATGATGATGATGATGATGATGATGGTGATGATGATGATGATGATGATGATGATGATGATGATAATGATGATGATGATGTTGATAATAATAGTCACAATAATATCCTAATTACAACTCCACCACAAAACATTAGAACTGGAATTAACATAAATACATCATTACAGGGTGCAGGTATTACTAGTGCTTTAGCATCATCAAATCTAGCTAATAGAAATAGTAACAATGGTAATAATGATAATGATAACTTTAATAATAATAACCTGTCTTCATTTAGACGAAGGATTATATCGAGAGGTACGAGCTATTTAGATGATATGATGATGGTACTACTCCGTGATGAAGATGACTTTGATCTTGAAAATTTGCAGTTTTTGGAAGAACTTGGTACCTTAAGCAATGTAAATAATGTAGATATAAATAATTCATTACTGTACTCATCATCACCTTCAATTGTTGTGGGGGGTGAGTTTAATTCTACATTTCATTTAGAATCTATAGAATCATATTGGCCTCCTATTCCAATAAACCAAAGAAATATATTTGTGAATACAAGAAATCTCCCACTTCCATTTTTAATATTAAACTCCTTAACATTTGTACCGACAGTATCTAGTATAAACACACCAGTTAACAATGACTTAGTATTGCAATGGTTAAGTTATGGTGGGTATTTGACAACCTCTACTATTAACTCACTAAATAATTTGTATAATACAACAGATAGTAATATCAATAACGGAGTACAACCCACAAATAATAACAATCAACCATTATTTGGTTGGAATTATATAAATGACTTATCATTACCAGTTGAACATCCGTTTTTGTCAAGGAACAATAACTCAAATACAAATAACAATGTATCATGGTATAGTAATGGTCCTCTTAATGAAAATCAAAGATCACTATTTGGTGAAATGTCAATTATCAGCAGGACTAGTACTTTGGGAGGTGGAACTGAACTATTAACAAATGCAAGCAATAATAGACAAATGCGAGCTAGCACACCAACATTATCTGCAATATTACGTAACATTGGTGATGTTGAAAATCCGATAACAGTGGATAATACAATAACCACTCAGCTTAATACCATTATTCAAACTGTAGATAGCTTGAGAAGATCTGTAAGAAATAACCTATCTCGTAGCACAAGCAATGGTCTAATACTTATAAATCAACAAGTTGATACAAATGAAGTTGTAGAATATGATCAAGTTTCACCAGTTAATGATGTAGATGTTCCTCAATGTGAGGATATAAATGATACAGTTAACAATACGGCTAGTCATATTGCCATTGAAGTATCAAATAATGATTTGGAAGAATCAACACTGGTAGAAGATCTAGATTCTGACTTTGCAATGGTAAGTCATGAATTAACTTCAGGAAATGAGTTAAATGAAATATTAGAGAATACTGATAGTGACAATATTATGGAATCTCTTGATAACTCAGTAGCTACTAATATTATTGATATTAATCATACTGAAACTGATCATATTGATAATAATCATATTGATAATGTAGCAACTGAGATTTCTGCAGGTGACAATTTAGTCTCTTGTACACTATTGCGTGTATTATCTGAGCGTACTGGTATTGGTTGTAGTAGAATTCTGGATATAGTTGGTATTGATAATACTGTATTTAATGAATTACCTGAAGATATACAAACAGATGTGTTGGTAGTGCAGTTGCAAGAAAATGATATAACACACAGGCTACTTGAAAATATGACACTATCTGCTTCATCACCAACTTCAATCTCTCCATCAATCCCATCACTACAATCATTACCATCTAATACTCTGGAATTATTACCATTATCATTAAGGGAAATAATTTTGATGGGTTCTTCAAGTAATAATACCTCAGAGAGTGATAGTTTAAATAATCGTGATGGTATATCTGGTAGTAGCAATGAAGACAATATACAAAATCAGAATATAAGAAATCCGGATTCAGAAAATGTCCAATTTATCACATCATTGGATCCCGTATTACGCCAGGAAGTACTTTTAACAGCAACAGAGGAGTTTTTAAGAACACTTCCAGAAGAAATAGCTGAAGAAGCTAGAATACTACAACAGAGGATGTATCCCTTATTTTCAAGTGATATTGGCGATAGAGTACGTGGTGAGAGAACAACTCGCAATACAAACTCGAATAACATAAATAGATTGAGGAATATAGCAGCTAATTCTAGTGAAGGATCTACTTCCAATAATATTACCAATAATGATTCCATATACAATACCGGAAATAATACTGATGAGGTTGTATCTAACCGTAATACAAGTAATAATGCAAATAACCTGTTTGATATACTACCTTTAATATCAAGTAATAGGACAGGTAGTGTTACAACAATACGATTTAATGTAAACCAGTCAAGTAATCGTGTAGGTATTGGTGGACTACTATCAGCAGCCGCTGTTCTATCAGACTCACAAAGAATATTAAATAATGCATCTGTTCGTATTCCTGGAAATACCAGAACATCTATAATATCAAACAGTACTAGTCAAAGAAATAGTAATTCCAACAGAGTTCTAAATACAGGCAATCTACCAGTTTTATCAACTTCTGCATCATCATATGATATACTTTATGAACTGTTAAATGAAATGTCTCAACCATCATCTAGTACAAATTGGAATTTATCAGGTGATACAGATGGTCCAACATTAGAAAATTCTGTATATCCACCTACTGGCAGTACAAATACAAGCTTAAATAGACGTAGACAAAGTCAACATAACTTTACTTTAAATTCTTCTAATAATTCATCATCTATACCAATACAAAATGTTCTTCCATTACTACGTACTGACTATCAACTAGCAAATAATATACCTAATGGAAATATGAGTAATTCTAGCTTTAATTCAAATCGTTTATCAAATTTATCAACATTTGTTAGGGTATTACCTACAAACATAAGAATATCTAACACAATGGGTGAGATTATAGAAACAGATAATGTGGATAACAATAGTGGAAATAATAATAATATAAATGCAAATAACAGGAATAACTTAATTAATAACCAAAATAATACTAACTTAAACAATAACACTGCGATAGTTCCTTATTACAACTCATCTATGAATGATCCATTCTATGGTTTTCCTGATCAACAATTCATTTCATCTTTTCTTGAGGACTTAATTTTAAATTATAAGAATGGAAGAACAAATATTAGTAGTGTTTTTTCAATTAATTTAATACCTAGAATTATACTTAATACAATATTTTCTCGTCAGAATATCTCAAAACCACTATTTCAAACATATTTATTCTATATGCTCACTTCACTTAATTCAAATAAAATAATAATTTTAGATACTTGGTTTACGATACTATGGCTTAGTGGAAATGAAAAAATATCACCTATACACTTACTATCAAAATATAAACAAATTAAACCTAAGAAGTGTGAGAATGATTCTATTTTGAATATAGACTATAAAGTGGAGATTGAAGACAATCAAAATAGTGACAATTCTAATGAACATATATTAACCTATGATGAATCTGGAATTAATGGTATATGGTCAAATGTCGTTTCATATGATTCTATACTAAATTCTTTGATTTATAATTGTGACATACACACACCTAATATAATGTATTATGCAACTTTACAAATATTAGAATATCTCATAGAATATATTTCCCATTTACCAATATTGATAACATCATTATCTAGTCCATGGGATCCAATTGGTACATATATGAAATCAAATAGTGAATTTATTAATATAAATAATGAACAATCAAATAATAATACTAAATATATAAAGAACAATTGCTTGAAGGCTAACAATACTAATAAAACAAGAAAAGTTGAAATTTGTTATAATAATCACCTTTCAACTTCAAAATTAAAAGGAAAATCAGAAGAAAGAAGAAGAACTTGTTCACCACAACCATTGGTATATCATGAGTCATCTAGGAAAAAGAAGAGAAGATTTACTAAGGAAGGATTGGATAATGCACAAATTATTAGAAATGATGAATCAAAGGAATTAATAAATACAAGAACTACATTTAATAATATGTTTGAAGGAGTTGGTGAATATAACAAACAATCAACTGATGTTCCATCTTCTACTTCTTTAGCCTTACATACTCCTGATAGAAACTCGAAACATCTTCAAATATATAACTCTGACTATAGTGGGCTTTGTGATTCACTTGAATGTAGTCCAAATGGTGAATTTGATGATATGATAGATAATGATGAAGAAATTGTAGATATTAGTGGTAATTCTCCTTGTAATATAAATGGAAATAAACAAGTAAATATGCCAGATTTCCCATCGAAATTAGTTAATATGCCCATATTTACACCTTTATTATTATTAATTGATATGCTCAATTATCCAAATATTCAATGCTCTCCTCAGCATACACAGAAACTAATAAGTTTAATTCTACGAATACTTACTACTACTGTTGAAGATATACCAGAAATTCAAATTGATCTATACAATATCTGTGATAACAAAATTAATGAAAATATTAAATGTGAAGATCTTAGTAATGAGAATCCTATTCTTACTAAATATAATGAAGATAAGTATAATATAACTTATAATCAATCAGATAACAATAATTCACTCGGAAAAATTAATTTGTCACTACGAAATATTTGGACTAGTATGACATCATGCCCATACTACTTGGAGACATTTCTAATGCCACTTTTTAACCCTATTTCATTTATATATGGAATTAATTCGAATTCTCAATCATTACGAGATAGTAGTAATTCTTCATTCAATCAATCACGGCAAACAATAAAACTATATACAGAATTGCTTGGAATTTTATATTCCAATGATATTTGTAAATTTATGATTCATGATATATTAATGGAAAAGACTAAATTAATAATAAAAGATTTAATACTAATGTTAAAACAATTAACTAATTGTTTAAGAAGTGGAAATGAGAGGGTTAGAAATTGGCAAGATCAAATGAGGGTACTAATGATATCAAATTCATCAAACTATTGTGGTATTGATGATGCAATAATTTTCCTTAGAATTGTTAATCAATACATGGATATATTAGGTGAAGCATTAAATAAATCTAATTCTGGCAATTTTGCAAATAATCTAAATTCCAATAATAATAATAATAATAATAATAATAATAATAATAATAATATTGCAAATACAAATGAAAATAATGGTGATATTAATATGAATGAAGCTTTTGAACAAAAATATGAGAAATCTGAGTATAGTTATTATGAAAGTTGGAGTTATTTATATCCAAATATATCGGAAATTCAACCAAATTCACTCAGATTATATTTATATTCTGAGTTCTTTTTATTATGTGGATTTGATGAATTATGGCAAACATTAGATCATACTTTAAGCGAATTTTCATGTTATGATGGAATAAGAAGAAAGTCTTATTTTGATATAGGCACTGATGTATCTATGGAGGGAGATACTGTTGTATCACAAACTCAAACAAATATAGATGGAACATTGAATTTATCTACTAATCATCTATCAGATGTCATTATATTATTAATTCCATTGTTAGAAGCATGTTATACAATACAACAAGCTTCAGTTGCATCATCAATGGGACTTTCTTCAGTATTGGCACTAGATACAGATATAAATGTGAAGTTATTAAGTGCATCTGCAACACAATTAGAACTACAACAAATGGGAGATAAAAGTCATATAAATAATAATCTATTATCGGACTCAATTAATAAAACAAAAGATTCTAAAACTGCTGAAATCTCTAAATTAGATGATATAAGTTGTAATGGAAATATAATTGAACTTTTAAATGATAAATGCAAGCAAAAACATCATGAAATTATAAGATTTAGTTATCGTCATCGTCGCTCACTTAATTCATTATTACAATCATTTCCTCAATTATTACTACCTCCTAATGGTAGCCTAGTACCATTGCTACGTTTAGCACCAATGGTTGTAAATTTTGAAAATAAAAGAACATATTTCCGTCATAGATTACGTCAACTAAGGCGTGAAAGTAGTAGTTATCGTAATACAGATCATCATCAATTAAGATTAGTAGTACGAAGAAATCGTGTATTTATGGATAGTTATCAACAAATAAGTACTAAAACATCAGATCAATTAAAACAAAAATTACATATAACATTCCATGGTGAAGAAGGTGTAGATGCAGGTGGTGTTACTAGAGAATGGTATAATATACTTGCACGTGAGATGTTTAATCCTGATTATGCACTATTTAGACGTGAGGGATCAAAGAGTGAATTTAATCATCCTAATCCATTAAGTTATATTAATGCTGATCATTTACATTTCTTTAAATTTATTGGTCGAATTATTGGAAAATGTATATATGATGGGCAACATTTAGATGCATGGTTTACAAGATCATTTTATAAACATATGTTAGGACAACCAATAATACCTGCTGATGCAGAACCAATTGACCCAGAATTATACAAAAATCTAAATATAATGTTAGAACATCCAATTGAAGATTTAGGTTTGGAATTAAATTTCACTACAACCATAGATGAATTTGGAAGAAGTAAACTTGTAGAATTAAAACCAAATGGTGCAAATATTGCAGTTACAGATGAAAATAAATATGAATATGTATGTTTATTATGTGAATATAAAACTGTAAAACTTATTGAAAAACAATTAAATGTATTCTTATCTGGATTCCATGAATTAATTCCATCACGTCTTATTGCAATTTTTGATGATAAAGAACTTGAATTATTAATATCTGGATCTCCAACAATTAACTTAAATGATTTGAGAGATAATACAGAATATCATAATTATACCAAAAATTCCCAGCAAATAATCTGGTTTTGGGAAACATTAGAAGAGTTTGATCAAAATCGTCTGGCTACTTTTGTACAATTTGTAACTGGTACATCACGTGTACCATTAGGTGGTTTTAAAAATTTAATGGGTATGAGAGGACCACAAAAATTTAGTATACATAAAGCATTTGGTGAAAATAGATTACCTAGTGCTCATACATGTTTCAATCAATTGGATCTACCTAATTATTCTAGTAAGGAACAACTAAGAGCAAAATTGTTACAAGCTATTACTGAAGGTAAAGAAGGGTTTGCACTTGTATAAATTATTACAATTACTTCTTATTATCATAATATCTACTTTGGAAATTAAATATAAAATATCTAATAAATACTAAATATTTCTTTTTTCTTTTTTAGAAATTAATGTAAATGTATATAATATATACTATAGAGAAAAAAAAAAAAAAAAAAAATTAAATAGGGTAAAATAGAAATTTATTAAAATTATATTAATTTATAGGATAAATATAGTAATTTTAATATTATAAGGGTTAAGATAATCTTTATTTTTATTTTAAAATTCTCTAAAAAGTAAAAGTATTGGAATTATAATCAAATCAATATCTAACTAATAATCTTAAAATATAAGATATTAGTAAAATATAAATTAAATTAATAAAGATCTCATTATATTTGAATAAATCTAAGTATTGTAATAATTGATATATAATCATTTTCTCTAATATAAACAATATACAAAATAAAATAAACACTGATAATATATAAGTAACTTTATATTACAGCTACTTTCTTATAATTAAATTAATTTTCTTATTAACTAATAATAGATATATTAGCTAATATACCTTATAAAATAATTGTTATATTTAGGGACTGTATATTAAGTAGTCAAAGTATGAAAATTAACTTATTTGTATATGTAGGTTATTTGTAAAATTAATATAAATATACAAGTATATAAAAGTTTATTAAATTTTTTAAATATATTTAAATATTTTAAAAAAAAAAGTAAAGGTATTACAAATTTTATTGTTTATATATCATTCCTTTTTTCTATTATAAAATATTTCTAATTAAGAAATTTAGATATATTCTTGAATACTTTCTTAATCAATTTTATAATTCCAAATATTAAATATCTAAATTATATTAATAAATAATCATTATAACTCAATCTAACTCAATCTATTTATAATTTTTATAATCTATTTTAAATAAATATATTAAAATTATATATTAACTTAATTATTATATCATATTTTAAAAATAAATTTATTTTTAATTAAAACTAAATAACCTTGTAAACCAATAAATCTAAATGTTACCTATCATATATATATTTTTCAATAATGTGACTAATAAATTTAAAGAAATGTAAATGATTAGTATTAATACAACTTAATGGATTAGGATGATTAAATTTACTCTTTGATCCCTCATTTCTAAAGAACCATTAATTCAAATAATATATTAAAAGTATTTCTATTATCACCTAATTTTAATGTAATTTACACTATTTTACTAGCGGTGATCAATTTTAGCAAGTAAATTAGTTATTTTATACTTAACATAAAACTGAATTTGTTTATTATTCAAACCAATCTAAATATTATAACATAAATTTATTATTTGATATGCTAAAAATATTACTTTTATATATCTATTGGTTATATTATATTTTTAAAGTCATTCCTAACTATGATATCATAAAGATACTATGTTTATCAAAATTATATCTAAGAACAAATAATAAAATTGAAAATGATATAAATGAAAATCTTATAGATCAACAAAAGTCTCTTAATGAAAGCTTAATTTCAAATAATTTTACTAAAGATTTTTATATTCAAAATAATGGAAAAAATATAAAACCCTCTATTAAAATATCATTAGAAGAATTATCTATGGAAAGTTTAAACGCAGAACATAACTTTCTTTCACATAAAATAAAACAATTAAATACTCAATACCAAATTTTAAATTCGGAATTAGCAGGAATAAAATCAAAATTTCATAATAAAGAAGTACCTGATGAACAGAAAGAAATATTATATGAAAGAATAGATGAAATAAAAATATCTATAAATAGTATTATATCAAATATTGATAAGGAAGTTTCAAAATTGCTTTTGTTTTATTTTGAAATTTATGATAGAATGTTACTAGATAAAAAATATATGAATCATAAATATATTTTATCATGTAGAAATAACAAGAACAAAATATATGAACTTAATTTAAAAATGTATAAAGAATTATATTCTCATCTTTGTTTTGAATGGGAAAAATCAATGTGTTACTTATTACCAAAAAATATAGAATGTATAAAATTACAAGATATGATTACAATCATAAAACAATATATTGAATGAGTAAAATTGTGATATAATCTTGAGGTAATGTTAATATTAGATATTTACAGGATATATATATTTTTTACATATATATACATACATATACTATTATAGTTTATATTCTAAAATTACTTTATTTTTACAATTTTTATTAAAATTTAAGAAACAAAATTTAGTGATATATATTTTGTTATAAATTAGAAGATATGAGTTATTTATATATATATATATAAGTAGACTATTTAAAATATGATCATTTTTAATAAATAAATTTTACTAATATAAACAATTTCTTAAATTATAAGTAATATTAATTTTAGTTAATATTTGATTAAATAAATCTTGAGATAACTGTGTATTTTGGTACAAATATGATATAATATTAATATAGGTAATATTTTAATTATAATAATTAGATAATATAGTGTTTTATATTGATACAAATATTTATACTATTATTATATTATTATTATATGTTAGTTTAAATTTAATTTTAGAATATTTTATTTATTATTTATAATTAAGTAGAAGTTTAACAGTATAGAATGATAATATTTTACTATAAAAAGAGATTAAATTCAAAATAAATATTACTAACCTAATAAATAATAAGAATTTATATAAATTTAAGCTTAATTATATTATAATATAATATAAATAAATATAATAATATTATTTCTTTATAAAAGAATAATTATTGATAATTAACATTGGCGCAGTAACCTTATATTTTAGAATATATAGGATAATAACTAATAATTTATTAATAAATAATGATAAGATAATGATAAAAGATGGATAAATTGTTACTTGAATACTTAGATTGTATAAATGAATTAAAAAAGATTCGTACACAATATTTTAGGAAATATATGAAATATTGTATTTGGATTTGGCAATATGAGTTAATAAAGAATTTTAATGATTTAAAATATAGAAAGAGACCAGGAATTGAAGATAGAAGATATGATAATATGTCACTTTTTACTAATAATGAGGGGATATCTGCTCCAAGTAATAGTGAAACTATACTTAAAAATAGAGCACGTAGATTATTACCAAGTTATAGAAGAAAATATGATTGGAATCATGGTATATGGTTATCTAGTGAAATAAAAAATCTTGCAAAATTAGTTGATTTACATTTGGAAACTTCAATAATAGAAATTTCTGCAAAATTAAGATTATATGAAAGTTGTTTAAGTAATGAGAAATCAGATGTAACATATAAAATGAAATATTTAGATGATTTACTAATACAATTGAAGGATAAGAATACAGATCTAAATATTCAAGATTATTGGATTGAATTTTGGAATCATGTAGCTTTAGATATTGGTGGAAGATGTGAAAGAACTGGGAAAGATTGTCAAATTACTTGGTATCATCTTATTGATCCAAATATAAATAAAGATCCATGGACTAAAGAAGAAGATATTTCATTAATTGGTTTAGCTTCTCATTATAATGGCCATAATTGGAGATTAATTGCAAATAAACTTGGTACTGGTAGAACTCCATATCAATGTATTGTACGTTATCAAAGAAGTTTAAATAAAAAATTAATTAAAAGTAGTTGGAATAAAGATGAAGATGAAAAATTACTTTCTATTGTAGAATCAATGGGTGGATTTGATATATTAGAAGCTCATAAGTGTACAAGTAAATGGAATTATGTTGCAAGTTACTTACCAGGGAGAACAAATCAACAATGTAGATCAAGATATGTACGTAGTATTAAAAAAACATTAAAGCATGGACCATGGACATTATATGAAGATGTACGTTTACAATTTGCTGTATCTATATATGGTCAAAATTCATGGGTAAAAATATCAAGACATATACCAGGTAAAGATGATGCTAAATGCCGTGAACGTTTTGTAAATTTACTTAAACCTGAAATATATAAAGGTCCATGGAGTATTAAAGAGAATGAATTATTAATTGATACTGTACATAGGTTTGGGCCTGGGAATTGGAGTAAAATAAAAGATTTTGTACTTGGTAGGACAGATGCTGATTGTGCAAGGCAATGGGAAAGATTAGATCCTATATCTTCTTGTAAATATGATTTACTAAGAGCAAAATATCAAAGATTATTACCCCATAGTAATAAATGGATTGGACTAGCAAGATCTAATCATAGGTTATTTGTAAATATTCAATGTAATAATAATACTAGTGAATCTAAAGATAATAATAATAATAATTTTAATATTAATGATAATATAAAATCTCAATTATCTGGATTAGATTTTTATTTAGAGCCTGCTCAGAAATTATTAGATATAGTTCAAAATGTATTTAATAGCAATAATTTTAACTCTTCTTCAAATTTCAAAGATTTAGTATTTGAAGATTGTACTACTATAAATAATGGTTCTAATATAGATAATTCATTAAATAATTTACAATGTGAACTTAAATCTTTATCTTCTGGTGATATTGAAGTTGATAAAATATTTAAGAAGGTTAAAAAATCTATTATTAAGAAATTATCAAATAAATTACATATTTGATTATATAAACGATATATTGTTTCTATTTTATATATGGTTAATGATTAATAGTAATATTTAAATTTAGATATTAGTGAGGTTATATTATATATATATATATTTGGAATTCTATTTAATTTAATGACAATATTATATAATTCTATATTTCAATAATGATATATATATAATATAGTACTTTTTTTATTATTATAAACAATAATTGATTTCATTATATTATTTTAAAGAATTAATTATTAAATTAATGATTTTGTAATAAATTTAAATGAGTTTTTAGAATTTATATAGATATTTATAACTTAAAAAGAAAATAAATTATATTGATTAGTAATTTTAATATATATTAAAAATATTTTGTTTAATTATGAAAATAATAGTAATAAAATCTTTTAAGTTTCTATTTTTGAGATAAATACATGTAATATTCTGTGGGGGCGCTATTTTTATATTTTAAAAATACCGGTTTGCAACAGTACTACAGATACATTGTCAAATTAAACGCTAAGATTTTTCTTTAAATATTTTTTTTTAAATATAATTTTCATAATAGACTATAAATAATGTTATAAGTAGTAATTAAAAGTTTTTTTTTCATCTACTTTATTTGAATCTCTCATAAGAAGAAAATCACAAAGATATAAATTGAAGACGAGATTCAACACTCGAGATAAAATAATTCAAGACTTGGTTTTAAACTGTTAATGATTTAGGTATATAAGATATTAAAAATGTCATTTATGAATGTAGAAAAGCGTATGAGCTATATAATGGCTGAGACTGCTGGGGATATTTCTAATATAGGTGAAGATCAGAATATTAAAGGTATAGTAAAGAGACCTGTATGGGTAACAAGAAAAATTTTATTAAATCCTACTAGTGAAATGGAAGATGTAAATAATTATCCATCTAACCAATATTCAAGTACGGCTTATAATTGGTTTCAATTTCTACTATTAGCACTATGGTTGCGTTTTCGAAGAATTCCTGTATTAGTTACATTTATATCAGTAGCTTTGTCTTTATTAACTGAGACAAGATTGGGTAATTATCGTTGGGCTATTTTAGCTCCATCTATTTTATTAACAATTTTACCTCCTTTTACAGTAGATTTATACTTTTATATAAGGACTCGTTTATCTGATTATAGAATAAATAATACATATTGTTTAGTATTTAATTCAAATAAGATGGAATTTAGTTTATTAAAGTGGGGTAAATTAAAAGTTGGTGATATAGTGTGTGTATTAGATGGTGAACAATTTCCAGCGGATGTTGTAGTTTTACAGTCTAGTGGTAAGAAAGCTTATATTTCATCAGAAGATGTAGATGGCTCTAGATTAGTTCGTACATGTGAACCAACAGGTTCTCAAACAGATTTAGAACGTGCTGTACATGAAATAATAATTGTTCAGGGGCGTTTAACATGTAGTATTCCTTCGGATGATATATATAATTTCGAGGGTTCTTTAAAATGGGAAGGGAATCCAAGAGCTACTGCATTATCAATTGATAATTTTGCTCAGATGTTTTCTAGATTAAGATTTGCAAGTTGGGTTTTAGCAGTTGTGGTTTATGCTGGAACAGATACAAGAATTGTTTGTAGACAGCATAGAGTGACCGATAGATGGTTACGATATTATTTACATTTAAAAGTTGAAAATATTTCTTCAATTATTTGTCTTGGTTTCTTTTGTTTATTACTTATTTTTATTATAGTAATTTCCTTTACAAGAGAATTTTCAATATTTGAAATTTACATGGATAATTTAGTTACGATTAATTCCAATTCAGTTATAAGGAATTTTAATAAGGATCGTTGGTTTTTACCTTTTGAATTTGCAGTTATATTTCATTTAGGTGTTCCAATTACACTAACAGCTATGACTGATCTTATTCGGATGATAAGTATATTAAGATTTTCAAGAAATAAGACTATAGTATCTAATACTAATGAAGAGAATTATAATTTACATAATGCAATGGCTTTATCAGTAAATTCACAGTTACACTATCCTAAGATAAAATCTGAGAAATCTTGCGAATTAGTATATAATAAGGATATTGAGGAAATAAAAAAGATACAAGACAAAATTGTTATTACAAACAATAAACAAATTACAAAAGATAAATATAAATCTTTTGAAGTATATTCAAATACAGAAATTTCTTTAGAATATCAAGATTTGAAATTAAACTTTGATAATAAACAAAACCACTTTAATACAATAAGAAATAATAATCTACAAAGAAAAAAGTATTTATATTCAGCACAGAAACAACTTAATAATATGATACAAAATACAGATATAAAACATAATTCAGAAATTATACCTCATTTAGATAGAAAGCAAATTACTGAAAATTATTTAGATAATTCTGAAGATTTATTAGAATCTCAACCGAACATTATTGTTAGAACTCCAGATGACATTCCAGCAAAACTATTAGAAAATAATAATGAAAAATATAATACAATTATAGATAAAAAATTAACACCAGCACAATCTGTTTCTTCAAATCCACCTTTACATAATAATATAACAATAAACAGCTTTGAAGACTTGGGCCTTAATAAAATGGAATCAAGCAGGGAATCTGAAAAAATAAAAGTATCCTTCCATAAATATGATTCTCTTGATTCATTTGGGCAAGTTGACTTTGCAATGACATGTCAGTCTGCAATAATGGAAATACCACCAATGAAACTTAAAGTATTAAGCTTATGTACAGGTGAATATTTCAAATTTTCAAAAACTGGAAATCTAGATGTAGCTCCTAAGTTTCCAATAGTATCAGGTTCTGTTTGGAAGTTTCATTCAACTTCATGGCATAGACATGAAGCTTCTAGATTTTGTAATGGTTCTCTTAGAGTAGTAAGACCTAATATCAATTTACCAATTGAATATATTGGCCTAAAACCACCTGAGAAATTGGAATTATACCGTTATGCTTCTGTTTTACTTTCACTAAGTAGATTGAGTATATTTAATACAAATATATCTGTTCTAGCTGATATTGAGCCTGATAATAAAAATCTTATTATTGAAGAAGATACCAATAAAAAATATTCATCTTATCCAAAAGAAATTCCATACTTAAGAAATACAATAGTTGAAACTCCACCGGATCTTTGGGTACCAGAGTATAGAAAACCATGGCCACCAGTTCCTCAGATCAAAGTTGAATCTCAATTACGGCAAAGAGTCCCTCCAGGGTCATTAATTGATTTAGAAGCACAGTTAGATATTACTGTAGGTGGTATATCTCAGTATAGAAATATTTCATCATCTCATTTATGGCATCCAGCTCTACCAATTCATCTAGTTCCTCATCATGTGATTAGAATGTTAAGTCGCATTGTGTTTAACAAACGTACTTCAAACTCTTATATATACTCATCTTCAGGGCATAGTAGTGATTCTTTTTGCCATAGTATAAGCTCACATAACACTGAAGAAAACGATAATCCTATAGAGGATGTTTTATATTTACTATTCAGCAATATTGTAGAATTGACAAGCAGGTTTTACAGTTGGTCTGATAAAATAGAATATGGTCTAGAGAATGAGTATTCATCTGTTATAAAGAGATTATTACTGGATTCAGTAGAATACTCTTTAAGATCCTCTCTCCGTAAGAATAAATTCACAAGAACAGAAAATAAAGTTGACTTATTAGGGAATTCTTCGATATCGTCTAAGAAAAAAAGTGACTATGAAGATCAAGAAATTGATTTTACAAATAGATCTGTTCTAACTGATATGTTATATGCTATGGCTATTTGTAATACAATTGTTCCACATTTAAGAGTTATACAGTCTAAAACTCCGAGAGGTTCAATTCATATACCCTCAGTTAAAACAATATGGGACAAGCAAAATCAATTTAAACATAAAACAACTATCAGATCCTCTTTTTTATCTACTTCATCAAGTATGAAAAAAAAAAACAGTTTTAAAGAACAAAAAAAAAGGATTAATCTTTTAAATAATCATTCTAGAATAATAAATTGCTGGAAAGGAAAAAAAAGTCAAGTAGTTAATTTTTTTAAGAATATACTTAATATTCACAAACAAATACCTTCAGAAAATAAATTGTCATTAAGTTTTGGTACTAAGTTTTCATCTTCTAGAAATACAAATTATTCAGAAATTGTACAAACTTTAAAAATTAGGAATTCATTATCATCATCGGGTTTATCCCCAGGTACTACAGATTTAAATAAACTAAAGTCTTCAAGATCCCTAAGTTCAAATTATGAAATTCTATCTTCACAAGATATTATCTCAAGAAGATATAATAGGAATTACGAGAAATTTCTTAAACAGCGTAGAATAAGTGGATTATATTTTATACCTAGAGAAATATTACTAATTAAAGCCTATTTAACTTATTCTCGTTATATTAAATATATTTCCTCAGATAGGGATATAGGAAAAAACAGAAAACTAAGAGAAAATATTGGGTTTACCTTAAAGACAGATTTTTCTTCACCTAACAATTCAAAAGTTGCTGTTCCTTTAGGAAAAAGTAAATCTAGATCTTCACATTCAATTGGAAAATATTACTTTAGAATAAAGCAAAGACGACAGAGAATAGCGTTATACAACTCTTATTTCCCTAGAGCTTATGTTCAATATTCTGGAATAGATGAAGATGACTTAACTATTGTACATGCAGCGGCAGGATGTGGAATGAGATTGGTTTTAATTAACACTCAACATATTGTAGTCGAAAGCTTTGGACGCACTATTTTTGCCTCTTTACTTTATAGAAGTGAAAATAATTTGAAACAAGAAGTTTCAATGCTTGTTAGATTTCCTCATACTCATATAGTAACTTTATATACTAGAGGATTAGCAGAGCACATGTTACCTTTGCTATCTGCAGAGTTTCTAACAAATGAAGGGACGGAATTTGATTATGATGGTAAAGTTGGAGATATTGGGATAAATAATTTAAAATCTGCTAATAATTCACCAATTGAAAGGGCTACAAATCTTGAGGAACTTATTTATAGAATTAAGAAACTTGAGTACGAAGGATGCAAAGTTTTCATCTTTGCTAAAAAAAATATAAGCCCAAAACTGGCACAGAGAATAAGTCTAAGACGTTCTCTAATAGAAAATTCTGATAATTTTACATTTATTTTAGATAATTCAGTTGATGATTACTTTGAATCAATTAAGATTAATATGGATTATCTTGGACATGTTGGATTAGAGTATAGATTGCAAGATAAAGTTCCAAGAACAATACAATCTATCATTGACTGTGGTATTAAACCATGGTTTTTATTTCAGCTATCATCAACTAATTCAATTAAACTACTATACAAGATTTTTCCTTTTTATAAAAAAATAGCTCTTATTAGACTCGATAGGCTGCAGTTGAATTCTACTCAGAAATGTATAACACTACTTTCGACAATATTAGATGATTTAAAAGCTTTAGAAGATTATTTATATAAAGGGAGTTATAATTCAATAAGTAGTCCAAACATTGAAAAAGATTTACAAAAAAAACAAAAAGCACCAAATATACTCTCAAATTTTGTATCCTTATCGACACTTTCTGGAGAGCAATCTATTAATTGGATTCAATCTTTATCAAGCACAAATGTTGGGCTATTACAAAATCCCTTCATTAAATCTATTTGTAAGGGAGGACATGAATGGTTAGGATGGAGTGGTAATTACCCAGGGAAAGGAATTACAAATGTTTTGCCAGGAATTATATTTTCTGCTAGGCAACTGGATGAAATCTTCTCTTCTAGAGATATGCTTAACTACTTTTTTTCTGTTGTTATTATGTGCCCATTTGTTGTAGTTAGTGATACAATGCCTACTCATATTGAATCAATCTCAACTCATTTAAGGAAAAATGTTTTACCACGTCCTGTAATTATGGGAATTTCTGGTAATACTGGAAATATTCCTCTAATGGCACCTTGCGATATATCTGTGAACATAACCAATAACAACAATATTTTTAAAAATACTAAAGCAAAAGCAAGAGCTAATAGACAAGATAATCCTCATACTTATAGAAAAGTAAAAAAAGCTAAGAATAATAAACCTGAGGATGAAAATAATGGAGTACATGTATCTATTTCAAATAATTTAAACGATGAAAGTGCAATGTACCTACAGGATATGATAAAAAGATCACATACTCAAACCTCATCTAAAGCTAGAACATCTTCAATAGCAGCTATTTCTGATGTTTCAATCACTAAGTTCTATCAAGTATTTCCTTTACTCTCTAGGGCTGGAAGATTGACATGGTATAGAACAAACTTAATTTTATTCTTCTCACTATTCAAAACCATATATTTGATGACTCCACATGTGGCATATCAATTTTATTGTCAATGGTCTGGAACTCCTATTTACTCTGTCCCCCTGATAAATGCATACTTTTTAGTATTGACAGTTGTACCTCCAGTTGTGTATGGATGCACTGGAGTTGATGTATCACCTGAACTTCTAGACTTACCTATTCTTTACAATGTTTCAAGAAATGGATATTATATATCTTGGGTAAATTACATACAATCATTTTTAGAAGGCTTGTTCTTAGGTATTGTGAGTTTTTATCTTGGTTTAATTGTTACATACTCAAGTCCATTTTCTTCAGCAAAATCTACAGGTCTTCCAACATTATCTGCAGCTTTAACTCTTTATAGTGCTTTTGGACCTCTTTTATCATTTTTTATGAAGGTTAATAGCATTCCTTGGCCATTCCTCTTTTTTCTAATTCTAACACCATCCACTTTTGTTATACTACTGGCTTTTATAAATACCCATAACCTTGTACAATGGTCAGAAATTTTCTTTACAGGTTTTGAATTTTTGGGATCTACTCTATTTATTTTAACTCTGCCTCTTTTATTTATGTGTATTGTTATATTCAACACTATCTGGTATTTATTAATAAATGCATTTTATCCTAATCCAGTTTATTCTCTTAGAAGCTGGTGGTACATTCATGTAAAACAATCTAGAGATGTAGCTCTAAAACCTATTTGGGAAAGTTTTAAGCAATATATTTACATTAAAAGATATTACAAAAGTATAAAGAGACTCTTGAAATATTTCTATATTTGGATTTTCTATTCGATTAAAATATTTAAACGGACTTGGAATATTGGGTTTGATGAAAAAGATTCTCCAAATACGAGAGAATTAATTCATTATAATATGATACCAGTACTTGTGGACACCAAAAATGATTTTTATCCTTTAAATTCTCAGACAAAAGGTCAGTCTAAAATAGCTAAATCATTCTTAGATGAGAAAGCTTCTGCTACGCAAACCTCTTCCCAGAGTTTAGTATCTAATACTATTTCATATTTCAATAAACTCTCCTTTGTTGACCAATATTATTCAGCCTTTAATAGAGAATTAAGTAAATCGGAAAAATTTCCAATGAATTATTTAAATCCAAAACTTGATTTAGGAACAAGTAACTTAGAATCATTAAATTATTTTTTACAAAAACAATTAATTGGTAAGGATAAACTTTTTAATGTGTTAATAATTAACTACTTAGAAGGTGATAATTTAGTATATTATTTGGATTCATTTACTGAATGGCTTAACCATGTAGCTTATTATAGTAGGTTAATATGGCATCCCAAGCAACCTTATATTTCAATTTACAATAAGCCCCTCAAACATATGAGAATTAAAGGTATGAAATCTTTACAATTTATTCAATATCTCAGAAACTTAGCAGGAAAAAACAAGGAAGATTTTCGTGGAGCAATTGTTGAATTTGGTTTATCACTAATTAAGGATTATAAATTCATTGGAAATGAAAGTGGTACTTCTGCAGGTCATTCTACATCTAACTTTGAAAGTAAATTATTATATAATGGAATAAATACAAGCACTGCAGGAATCTCAAACTATGGAGGAATTGCAGCTTTATCCCAAGAAATTAATAAATTATTAAACCCATACAAATTAACTTTTAAAATTAATCAAATAGAAATGCAATACCAAATCGAACGAAAATTAGAGACACATAAATACCGGTATACATTCAGAGCTGTTCTATTGGTTTTATCTGGATTATTTTTATCTTTAGCACCTGCTGCTATAAATTTATGGGAATATAGTCATAAATGGGTTGGTTTACTTCTATTAATATTTTGCCTGTCATTGTCAATCCAATTTGCTTTAAGTTACACAAGTGCTAAAAGCAATTTATTATTTAATTCTCAACTTCCAATTTTAATTATAATATCAGTTAGCTCTATAATAGCAAGCTGTCATGGATTCTCATTAGCTGTAATATACCCGATTCTATCATTTATTATATTTCGCCTTGGTTTTATACCAGGAGTTTATATCACAATCATTGGGTTTATAAGTGTGGTTCTTAGTCAACTTATATGGTTTGTTTCATCCTTTAACTGGCTTAGATTTCTTCCAATCCTGTTGGGAATAAACTCATTCTGCGGTTTCCTTGGATATAGATCTGAATTACTATATAGAACTCAATTCTTACTTTTATATCATACAAATGACTTGAGACAAAGACAAAGACAAATTCTCGATACTATGCTCCCATCTTTTATTGTTGACAGATTACTTAATATCCAGGGCTTTGCTAATACTGTAACTGCCGAAGATAGGGGTATTGTATCTGTTTTATTTTGTGATATATATGATTTCCATACTGTAGTTGCAGTATTACCTCCAAAGAAGCTTATATATTTGTTAGACAAATTCTTCTTATCTTTGGATTGTCTTACTGAGGAATATAATTGTACTAAGATTGAAACAGTATTTGAAACTTACCTAGTTGCATCTTGCTTGAACCCAACACACAACACTACTGGATGCAATAGGCACTCTGCTATGAATGACTTATTCAATCTTTTTAAATTAGCTCTACAAATGCATAAACAAGCATCCCTAATATTCTATGAAATTTCATCAATGAACTTTATTATTCCCGAACTGGATACATTTAAACAAAATCAATCTAATCAATTTAATTCTACTGTATCTGAAAATTATCGATCAATAAATATTAATGATATTGTAAATCTAACTTTAAATAATAAAGGAAATCCTTGCATAATTTCAGGTACTGGTATAAATTTACAACAACTAAAATTAAAAATAGGAATCCATTCAGGAAGAGTAATATCAGGTATTGTAGGTACAAATAAACCTCAATATGCACTATTTGGTGATACAGTTAATACAGCTAGTAGAATGAAGTCATCTTGTGAATTTGGAAAAATACAAGTTACATCAACAACTTATGAGTTTTTAAGGCATATTCCACAATTAAAATGGAAATATAAACGTATATTTGTAAAAGGAAAAGGGTTCATGGACACATTTGTTCTTAATCGTGTTATTGGCTCTGCATATCCAAATTATACTATAATATCACGTAGAACACTTCGGGGAAAAGGAGTAAACTCTATTCAAGTTGGTGAATACTCTATTAAACTCTATCCAGATGCAGACTTGTTGAATCTCTATTCGACTACAAGAAATGAAACAATTTATAACTCCAACTCTGTTATTAAGACTCCAGATTCTGATATAAGTGCTGTTATAACAAAATCACCTGAATTATCTGTATCAGCTTCTCTTGAGTCTATTAATCCTCCTTTAGATCATCATGAATCCATAAATCCAATTCAAAACCATTTTTCACTTGCTGAAAACATATCATCAAATCCATCACTGAATACTTTAGATGATATCTTACAAAATTCAAATCAAGATCTAAAAGAAAAAGAGAAAAATGAGGTATCAAGCTTAGTTCTTAATATTAAAAATCATTTCACACATTTTGAAAATATTGTTAAGCATTTTTCTCAAAAACATTTAAACAACTGTAATAATCATCATGATAATTATAATCACAAAAATGGTGATACTGGGCAAAATTTGACAAGGAATTCACATTTATATACTGTTAGCAGCAACTTTCATGATTACTCTGATGTTCAATCACAATGTAATTTGGGAGCTAAATACGATGATTATAATATTGAACATCAGCAACTACATGAACATAGTGTTGATTCAGAAAATTATGACATTAATATTGAAAGTTCTAGTGAAAGTGATTATAATTTTCATTCTTCACAAAATTCATTATATTCTTCATCTAATTCAACTGGTATAACTGGGGAAGCTATATCTAATTTAATGTCAATAAATCTATGCTTTAAAGATAGCTTAATTGAGCAGAGATATCTTATTACTTACTATTCTAATTTAACAACTTTACGTACTATTGAAGAAAGTTTGGTTATAGTTGTTGTAACTCTAGTCTTACAAACTTTAATATTTACTATAGTACCTTGTGGAGAAATAACTGAGTTGGAAAGTGCTGGATTTAGAGTACTATGGACTGTTAGATCTTTTTATATTGCATCTATATTCCTCTCATGGCTTGTTTTATTTAGCAGCTCCTTGAATTACCAAGAGCAAAACCTTCAACTTAAAAAGCAATCAATATTAAATTCAGACTATATAGACTCAGAAGCTGATATTTTCTATACTAGTACTAAAAACATCGGTGGACCTATTTTATTTCTTAATGCAGTTTTAGCAGGAGGTGCATCGATGCTGATGTTAACAATATTATGGCAATATGCAACTGTAGAAAGTTCAAGAGTCTTATGGCATGATGAAGGAGTAATTGAATTACTTTTATTAACTACAGTTTATCATAATGCTGGTCTTCTATTTCGATATATTATATTATTTGATACATTGATAATATTTTTCTTGATTATAATATTTATAGCAGGAAGTAGTAACATGAATTGGCAAGGAATGATTATATATTGTGTAAGTCTATGCATTAATATCATTGCATCATATACACGTGAAAAAACCGGTCGTACTATATTTTATACTACAGTTGAAGCAGAATACTGCGAACAGAAAACAGAGGAGTTACTAGTTGCAATGCTTCCTAGAAGAGTACTAATTGATATCCAAGAAGATTGTTTAAAGTTAGTATATGTGCATAAAAATGTAACATTTCTTTTTTCAGATATATGTGGTTTTACTCATTGGGCTATGTCTGTTGAAGCTGAACGTGTAGTACTAGTACTAAGTAACTTATATGCTCAATTTGATCAGGCAACAGCTAAATTTGGATTATTTAAACTATTCACTATTGGTGATGCTTATGTTGCAATGAGTGAGCCAGATCCTTCCTTAGATGTACAATCTAACTCAACATTTCAGCATAAATCTAGTAGTTCAAATATATCTAATAAACAAACTCCATCAAATTGTTCCAAACCTCTATTATATCAAAATAATACATTACCTACATATATTGATGGATATACTCCTGCAGAAGGAGCTAAACGAACCATAGCTATGGCTTTATCTATGTTAAAACAAATAAGTTTAGTTAGAGAACAGCTTCAAATACCAGATTTAAATATGAGAATTGGTCTCCATTTTGGAAGTTGTATTGGGGGAATAGTTGGAAGTAGCCGATTGAGGTATGAAATTTGGGGTCATGATGTTATTATTGGAAATCGTATAGAATCATGTGGTATTCCTGGTTGTATTACCATATCTGGAAAATTACATCAATTACTAAATAAGTATTGTTCTAATTTATTCAAATTTACTTATGTTGGAAATGTAACTATAAGAAAACATCAAATATCAATGTTTAAAGTGAAAATCAAGAAAAATGTCAAACTACAAATTGATAAAGTTACTAACTCTGAAAGTATTACATCTAATATAAAAAGGAATATACTATCTTTTAGACCAAAAAGAACTTATATGCAACAGCTACTGAATAAAGAATAATATTCCAAGTTAATTATTTTATATATTATTAATTGGATAACGGAAATATATAACAAAATAAATAACTTAAAATTATTATTGGATCACTAATCTAGAATGAAATAAATATAAATATATTATTAAATGTTAAATATATTTTGTTACATTTAAAAAAGAATCAAATATTATACAATTTTTATTTACTACTTAAGAAACTATAATTTAACAAATATATAGAAACATTTAATCTATTTAATATTTACAAATTTCTATTAGACATTATTTGAGATACCTGCAGACATATTATATTCATTTCTCGCTATTGAACAGACACCATGTATACGTACATCTACATATCCAATTGCACATTCATCCAGTAAACTTTCTACTACATTACTAGAAAAAAACTTATACAAAGGATATCTAGTTATGGAACGTACTTTTTCCTTGCCTACAATTACCAATTGGGTGTTACTAGTTTTATTTTTCTCTATATCTAGTTCAAAATTACATACTGCTACTATGTCCTTGTTGTCTTCAATATATATACTATACTTACAAGTTCTTCTAACTTCATTTAATATACTAACTGGTAAGAAGATAATATCATTACAGATTAGTTTTATAGAATAAGAATCTATGAAATTATTGAAATATCTTTTATTATATATATTACAGAGTTTTCTAGCAAAATGTTTGGATATCCCAGTATGTTCACTCTCAAGTCTATGCAAATATACTAATCTTTCATTATTTGTATCATTTACTAAACGAAGATTTAGCTTTAAATTATTATAAATATTAAAATGTTTACTTGCAAAACCGGGCAAAAGGGCCACTTGGACTATATAAAATTCAATTTCATTCTTTTTTTTATGAATATATTCAGGACTAGTTAATAACTTATTAAGATTTTCTGTTTTAATTTTAGCTATTTCACTTTGAGTCGTATATTTTGGCTTTACATATTGTCTATATTCTGCTATAGTTTTAATTTTTATATCATCAGTAGAGTTCAATTTACATACATTTAACTGATTACTTGTTCTATCTTCTACTTTGTATCTCTTGTCAGTTATTTCACTTTTAGAGGGCCAAATTATATTTATATTTTGTTTTGGGTATCCATTATCTTCATTATCACTAGAATCTTCATCTGAACAAGATGAAGAATTACAATACTTAATTTCTTCAATATTATTGGTTATTGCTGATTGTGGGAGTAAATCTAATTCGGAATTTACATTACTTATATTTTCAAAATTTGGATATTCTATGCTTTCAATAAATTTACTATTTGATTTCCTCGAAAACATTTCAGTTTTATACAGCGAAAACTAATAGTATATAGTTTATCTCTATAGAGTTAGTAAATTATTTGTATACCTGTAAAAAAATATCAACTGAACTCCACACAATATTTGTAAATTTTAATGCAATTATTTTAATTTTATTTTTTAGTTATATATAAGTCATATTCTATTATAGACTGTTACTTATACCACGATTATATTTATAAAAAAATATATACTCTCAAATCTTAATACTCAAAATAAACAATACTAAGAATAAATTTAATATAAATTTTACCAAAAGAGACAATATGTACCTAATTTAAAAGATTTGGTAGCAATCAGATAATATATTATATTAATTTTCTGAGATTATAGTAACATTACATCACATGCATCAAAATACTACTAGATAGTATCGAATATAAATACCCGCTAGCGGTCATATGCCACGTAAGAAGAAATAGTCTTTTTCTGGCATTTTGAAAATATATAATACAATATTTCTATATATTATAATTCGTAGTGAATATTATAAATGAGAGATAAATCAAAAAAAGCAAGCAAATCTCAATTGAAACGCATAAGAGAAAGTCTAGATGATGAGATCTCTTCAGATGAAGAGATACAACAAGAAAAAAAAGGTTATAAAGATATTAGTATTGAAGAAGATGACTTTTTTGAGACTTATGATGAAAGGAAAATATCAATGGCAAAGAAATATCTGAAAAAGTTAGATATCATGGATAATGAAGGCAGTTATGACTTATCTGGTCTGGAAGATAAAATACAAAAGAAAGAATTAGCGAATAATTTGAAACTCTCAACTAAAACCTTCTATAAAGGCCATAAATTAAGTGTAACATGTATTTCAGTATCTGATGATAGTAAAATAGCATATACTGGGGGTAAAGATTGTGCTATGATTAGATGGGATCTAGAAACAGGTAATAAGACAATATACTCTGGTAGAAGAAAACAGTTTGATTGTGGAGGGCATTTTGAACAAATTAAAAGTATATGCATACAAAGAGATAAAAACTTGATATGTACAGCTGGAGTAGATCGCGTGATTAGACTATGGGATTCAAGAAGCCCTAATTGTATAGATAAACTACATGGTCATACAGATACAATAACGGGCTTAGTTAGTGAACCAAATTCTGATATGAATCAAATAATTTCAGTATCATATGACAAGACATTAAAATTATGGAGCTTAGATTCTAGAGCTCATATGAATACATATTATGGTCATACAAATCATATTACATCTTGTGATATTGCAATCAGGGATCGACCTTTGACGGGTAGCGAAGATTATACATCTAGATTATGGAAACTTTCAGCTGATTCTCACTTAATATTCCATTCAGAGAATTCTAATAATAATAAAGTTAATACTCCAATAGATTCAGTTTGTTGTATAGATAATTCTACATTTTTAACTGGGACACAAGATGGAAGTATACAGTACTGGTCACAATTTAAAAAGAAACCATTATTATCTTGTAGCAAAATACATAATAGCATAATATCTATAAGAAATATTAAATTTTCAGATTTAGTATTTACAGGAGGTCATGATGGAGTTATTAAAGCATGGAAAATACAAAGTAATCAGATAATTAATCTGAATGCTAACATAGAAATTGATGGATTTGTTAATAGTATGGATGTTACAGATCAAGTTTTAGTAGCTGCTATTGGACAAGAACATAGATTAGGAAGATGGGAAACTGTAAAATATGCTAAGAATGGGATACTAGTACAATCACTTGAGTTTTGTTCTGCTGATTAAATATTTCAATATCCATTCTATATATTTAATGGTTTACAGAATTTCATTGGTAGATTAAGATAGAACTGTTACTTAATAAATATTTTAATATATTATAAAGTAAATAATTACTCTACATAATTGATAATATCAACTTTTTTTTTTTTCAAGATTTCCTTTTTGATTCATTAATATTTTCTAATATGGAAAATAATTCCGAATATTTCAACTTCAAAGAATTATTCTCTAGTTCTAATTGATCTGCTTTAGATTTCAAGTCTACCAATTAAAACAAAAAACATTTATTTATTATATAGTATAGAATAATTCTTTTTTAACAATTTATAACAGAAAAGGTTAAATAATTCCCTCATATAATACTATATACATACCTTCCAGTTCACTTTGTGTCTCTAATATTCTGTTAACTAAATTAGATTTTTCCATATCTTCATCATTATTTAGATCTTTGGATGTCAAATCCCCGTTCATTATAAAATTTATTATACCTAGTTTATTACTCAAAAGTGAGATTAAAATATTTGGGTTATTTGGCGCTCATACGGGTCTTGTGTGTTAAATATTTTCTAAAAACATTGCAACTATTTAAAAGGATTTCATAACATTTAGATTATTGAGATCTTGTAATTGTAGTTCATATATATAGGAAAAAAAACTTTAGTGAAAAAAATAAAAACAATTGAAGTAGTATGGACCAGACCTAAATTAGTAAATTAGGATGGTTAGCTAAACTTATGACTTATATTATTCTTGAATTAAAATGAGTTCAAATTTTTTTTTAACCCTAAATAAAAATTTGATCTATTCAGGTTTAGGAATTGTAGGTAAAGGAGTTATAATTTTTTCTTGGTATGACAAAATACTTAGCGAGATCAAGGATAAGGTAAGCTACAATTTCTTGAAATTGATGAATATATGAATTATAACAGTATAGAACTTATCTGAATGGTTAAAATTACACTTTTCCATTATTTTTTAATTATCTAACTTGTAGTAATTGAATATTCTTATTAATTGTCATTTCTAGATTCATGACGTCTTTTCAGATTCACTAAACTGTAACTTAGGTTGCAATACAAGAACAATTAGACAAGTTCATGATAATGCAAAATTATATATTTGGATACCAGAAAAATCTAATAATATTGCATATGCAATATGTTGTATTTCAAAAAATTATCCTGAGAGGTTGATATATGCAGCTTTAAAAGAAATGGAATATTTTACAATGTCAATGATTACTATTGATAATTTAGTTATACTCAAGGAAAATGAATTAGTAGATTATAAAGATTTCAGAATTAATATAAAGGAGTTGATTCATAGATATGATAATCCTAAAAATATTGATAAGATATCTCAGATGCAATGTACTGTTAATGGAGTCAAAGATACTCTTCAGGATAACATCCATATAATGCTTGAAAATAAGGTAAGTTTTATTTAAAAAAATAAATAAGATTATAAAATAAATAAACCATACTTTTTAGGGAAATCTTGAAAGTTTAGATAATAAGGCAGCATTATTGGAAAGTGAAGCAGGTACATTTCTTAATGATTCAATAACAGCAAAGAGGCATTTTTGGTGGAAAAATATGAAATTGAAACTAATCCTGATAGGAGTTATTTCTCTTGTTATTGGAGTTATCGTAACATCTTTAATTAATATGTTTTCTTTTAGCCATACACGTACAATAACAACATATGTACATACAAAAGAAGATAATAATACAATAAGAGATCAGCTTAAGTCATCTATAGATAACAAACAAATTCTCAATAATACTGAGCTACCATTACTCTGAGTTTTATTAAGTTGAATAAAAATTTGGTGGGAAACCTAGTTTTTCCATTTCATCTTGTTCATCTACTTGAATATTATTATCATTTTGTTTCAGTTGTTTCTTCTGCAAAATTAAATTATCTAATTTTGATTTTACAGATTCAAGTGATTTTTTTTCAACAATCATTGTCATACCTAGCATTCTGTTATGTTTTTCACTGTTTAAATGAGCTACCCAAGAGTGAGAATCGTGAGAAGAGTATTCACAGACTTTGCACCAAAATCCAACACTTTCCTGTTTTTTTGTAATATCTGCTATTATATGAACTTTTCCAATATCTCTATCTAAATCTAAATTCTCCTCCCTGATCTTTAAATTTGACTGTATTTCAGCTAAATTCCTTCTGCTATTACTGCTATATGGTGACGTAGATTTAGCTGCGCAGTTACCAGGTCTTTTATGACTTCTATAAAACTCCTTATCCCATATCTTCCTACCTAAAACATCTTTTCTATCATTTTGTTCTTTACCTTGACTCATACCTCTTACATCCTATATCTATCTTTCTTATATACCTACAGTACAAAATAGAGAGCATTAGTCCGATTATATATCGAGACAACCCGCCAAGACATATTAAATCTAAGAGTAAATTTCAACAATACATATTAAACTTTTTTACTGTTTTCATTACCTAAGCAATGTGCATGTATGCAACTACCATTGGGATAAACAGCACATTGTTTGCTACCAAACTTAAGTGAACAAACAGGACATATCATATCTTGTGTCAGTGTAATATGCTTCGATTTCTTTGATGCCCATTCTTCAAAACAACGTAAATATGATATAGCTGAAAGGTTCATAGATATTGACTTCGTAGTATTTATATTCATTGAAGATGATAGACTACCTTTTAAGTAGTTGATAAGTTTCATAATAGGCCATTCATCTGGTAGTATTGGCAAAATATTAGAAATATGTAAATCTGAAGAGTTGGGATATTTATTCAAAATATGAATAGTATAATACTGAAGCTTCTTGCATTCACTAAATTTAGATTCTAAATTACACTTTTTCCAAAGTCTGACCAATACTTCTACTAAAACTTTTAAACCATTTGTTTCAATGTATGTAGCCATATTGAAATTATGTTTACTATCTGAAGTTAGTATCTTTATTATTTCATCTTCTATATAAATATTTGAATTATTTCTTTCAAATTTTCCAACAAGAGAAAGCTCATTAGATGACAAATTTAATAAATCAATCCATTGATTTATATTAGCATCATTTATAAAGCTTGTATTACAACTAAAGTAATTTCCATGTAGATTTTGAGATATCAAACTCTGCCACATTTTAAATTTGCTGAAAAAGTAAATATGCCTGTATCTTCCCTTTAGATAACCTATTTTTTCAGATTGTATGGAATTTTCATTTAAATTAAAGCCACTATAAATGTCCTTAAAATATTCTAAATTTGCTAAAGCATATTTCTCATGAAAATTCCATGCTAAAGAATATATTTCAGCTAGTTGGAAGTTTCCCAATATTTCAATAATATACTCAATAGCAGATAAATGCTTATTTGAACGAAATAGAATAGTTATATATTCCAACACAAGCGATTGATATATTTGCCCTGAATCTTTGCAAATAAACTTTTCCAAAGGTAATACATTATCATCTAAATTTGGAGTATTTTCGAGCATTAGCAATAATTGAGATGGAACAAAATTAGTTAAAAGTAAATGTTCGTAGTTACCAAAGTTCTTTGTAATGAGTTTTGGATATTCATCAGAATTATCACCGATTGGAGATGAAAAGCTGTTATATACCATTGTGCTAATATTTGGAGAATTGGAATGATCATTTTGTTTATTATTATCAAGTGAAGATAAATTTTTTTTTACGTTATAATTGACTTTTAATTTATTTATTTTACTTTCATTTGTTATAGATTCATCTATGTATATGTTTATAAGAGTTAGCTTGTGTTTTAAATCTAAATTAGGATTCATTTTAATTATATATTCCAAGAACACTCTAGTCAATTTAAGAGAAATATCAGTTGTACAATTACTAAATATATCGAGAATTTCATCAACACTTAGAGGATATTGAGTAATTGGTTTCAAAGTAAAAAGTCTGACAATATCGAGATAAGGTTCTTGTAATATATATATAGAATATCTTTTGAGTAAATTAGCCTGAACATGAACAGGTGTTGTTTCTGATCTACACATATTTAATAAAATACTATATATTAATTGGTAAATATTCAGTAATTTGTTAAGTTTATTTCCATTTTCTAGTATATTAAATACAGAGTTTGCAGATGGTGAAGTTACTTTTGATTCAAGCATCTCCAAAGCTTTAAAATATGATGATTGATTTGCAAGTATAATAGCCAAAATATCTTCACGATTATTTTTAATAAGAAAATCCTCACAATCCTCAGTAAGGCATTCTGATAATATAAGTTGCCCCTGTAATTCTAACCCATCAGTCCCATAATTTTCACTCAATATGCTTAACAATATCTCCTTATTATCCTCATACTCCTCTTCATTTGATGAATTCACTAGTAAATTTAAAAATACTATATCCATCATTCTTCCAATAGTGTACCCACTTTGCTTATTCAATATATTAGTTTGTTTAGTAAAACTACTGTATGGTTTTGATCCTGAAGACATATATACTAAGTAACGCCTTCTCTCTCTAAACAAAAATGATCTTAAAAAACTATTCGCAATTTCGACTATATCATTAATACTTTCTTTATCTGACAAATAGTTCAATTTATTCTTTGTATCAAAACTCTCTTTGCTTAATTTCTTGTTTGGAAAATTACTTGTATCTTGAAAATGATCTTCAATTTTCAAAATACTTTTTGTACTATACTTTTCGCTCTTTGAGTGTCGTTTATTATTCAATGATATACTATATTCTATAAAAGCTTTAATATCCCAAGGTATTGATCGTTCATTGTTTATTAAAGATCTTATTAAAGATTTCTGAAACCTTATAGATGGTGAAATATCCTCTATTACATTACTCTTATTATTTAACCATGAAATTCGAGCATATTCATACAATATATCATCATCTTTTGCTTGTTTCTGAGATTCAGAATGCAAAACTAACCACTTTTTTGGAATTAAATTCCTCCAAAATAAAGTGATCAAAACTCTTGGGTCCATGTGTGCCTCTTCAAACCATTTAAAGGCTTCTTTAAATCTCAAATTCTTAAATTCATTCCATCCAGCTAAACACTGAATCTTAAATTTTAAACTCGAGTAGAGCAAGTCATCAGATGAACAATATGTCCTTAAAAAGCTTAAAGCTTGATTACCTTGATTCTTATTAACCAATTCCTGAACTGATTCCTCGAATGGAATTTGAACAAGTGCATAAATTGTTGCTGTAGTAGAAACAATAATCATTGGACCAGTTACTGCTGTTATCATTGTAGGTGGATTTAACTGAGAAACTTGTTGAGAACTTCCATTATTCATACATGTTATCTCACCATCAAGCTCCAAAGTTTGTACAGGTTTTATTTGCTCATTTGAGTAATTAGCAAGTGAATAAACATAAATAGTTCCATATCTTGTTCCTCCCAATATATATGGAGCTGATAAAACAATATTTGTTAAATGCTCAGTTGGCCATTGAATCATAGGTTTTGGACATGGTTGTTGAGTTAAAAAATCAAAAAATGCACCTAAATTATCCTGACATACTAACATCAGTTCAAAATTAGGTAAAACTACAATTTGTTGATTCATCTTAGTTGATAAATTATCCAAATGTAAGATATCATGTAATATTTCATCATTTATATTTAGTATATAATATATATTAGAAATAGAAAAGCAACACCAATTATTGCACCATTCTATATTTGTGACTGGATCAGAGATATTCAAAGATTCAGCTGAAATATGTTGCTCCCTTTCACAAACAAATTCAGCATGAGTTAAATATTTAGAATTATTTGTATCATCTTCTGTTTTACTATTTTTATTAGATTGTACTGAAGCAAATAAAAACCAAGGGTTTATTCCACCTGAATATGTTGATTCATTATTATCTTGCAATGTGTTAGTAGTACTTCTGTCCTTTTCTGCCAAATTCCTTGAAATTATAGTATTATAGAAATATATTACTCTTTTGGAACAAAAACAAAATTTAGTCTCAGAATAACCTAAATTATTTGTATCTTTCCATTGGGAGATACAAGTAATTCCTCCTTTATAAAGTATTGAAATAGGACCTTTTAAGGTATAGTCTAGATAGTATAAAGAACCTCCACACAAACACATCACAACTCCTAAAATCCCTTTCTCACCAATAATGTTGTTATATTCAGGTTCACTTATATATTCAGAATAGTTCGGTTCTAGTAAAGTGATTGGAAAGATCTTATCAATACTTTTCCTTCTTGATATGCATCTAGAATTAACACATTTCCCACTCCAAGGTTGCACAGTAGAATACAAGGTATCAGATCCATTTTGTTTTATCTCATCATATTTATATAGTAAAATATCACCAGAATCTGTACCTAAATAAATATAGCCATATGGTATGTAACATAAAGCTGTTATTCTTATATTTTGCTTCTCACTAAACTCAGAAGTAATAGGTAAAACATCAAATCGTCTCATATACAAAAGTTTTGTTTTTTTCTTTATTAAAACTTATTTCATTAGTTACTCTTTAAGAAATCCTATAAATATTAAAAATTAGTGGTAAAATAAAATGTGAAAATAAAGCGCTAGCGCTATTGCATTGGTTACTCTTTCCTAGACTTTATAGTATTTAAATCATAATTTTTAGATCCAATGGAATTTATCTAATATAAATGGAAATGCAAAAATTTTAAACTAAAGAAGTCCCAGAAATTAATTTTGTCTAAAAAGAATTACCTATAAATTCTACAAGTGAGGGTGCAAATTAAATGTGTGCCCTAAATTTAGATCAGCTTAAGTTTTATTCTAATAAAATATGGAGATATAACGAAGTATGAGATGAATAAATATACTAACAATTTTATATTCTTAAAATATGAACCTGAATATCTTAAGGTTTTAAAATCAAAAAGAAAAAATGACCATTTTTCTTTATTTAAAGATCCCTTAATAAAAATTACAGAACTATCAGTAATAAGCTTGAGTAATGTATATAAAGTAATACATGTAAGTTTCGAAAAATTTAAATAGTTCTATATTTTATTTTTTTATATTCTTTAGGATATTACAGATTTTTTTAAAGCTCTTTCTTTAAGATTACTACATTACTATAACAATAGTAGCTGTAAAAAACAAATAATATTCAATAATTTTAATAAAAAAATTACGGGTTACGAACTAAATGTACAATATAAAATTAACAAATCGCAGTATAAATCTTATTATTTAAGTACTAGTACAGATATTAATACTCATCATGAAATACAAACTATTAAGGACAAGCTAGCCTTGTACATTGTCGAAACAACATCTCTAGCTATACTTAAAGATGAGGTCAAATATACTTATGGACTAACTACAGAACAAGCAACTCAATTTAAGATAAAACTTATGGAGTTATTTAATAATAACTTGTATTAAAGATTATCTCTCAATAGCCTAGATATTTTATTAATGCTGTTTTTAACTGGAATATCCCTCAATATAATGCAAATTATATATTCTATTTTACAATATCTTAAGACAGAATGTTTAGCTATAATATTGCAAGTTTTAGCTACTCCATACTTAATTCTCCTTTAGTAATATTATTTTAAATATTTTGTATCATCGAGATAACTTCTAATTCATTAATCTAGGATATCTAACTTATTATATTTTAATAGAACTAAATATTCTATTACAGAGATTTAAGGATCCCCAAATAAGTTTAGTGAATAAGACATAAATTCAGCTATAATTGAATATCCTTGTATCCCTTATAAATTTGTAATAGCTTATCTTATTTAATATAAGTGTTATTTTTTACTTTAATATAACATTCAAGTATATTATATAAACTATTATTTTAATTGTGAGAAATATAAAACTATCTATTAGATAATTTAGTATACTAATACTTTTGTAATTTTAAGCTCAAATGTTTCTAGCAAAATATTTATATATCTTAATATCTTCAACTATAAATTGAGTATATATTTTAAAATCAAATATTAATAAACAATAACCTAAACAATACGATATTTTTATTGTATTGATTTTATATTATTAAAATTACTATTTATTTCCCTAAGTAATTAAATGTTTTACTAATAATATTAAGGTAAGCACTATAGTTTCTGTTATTTCTATTTTTACTCAAAATCTCAAATAATCTTTGTATCTTAATAAATTTACATTATTATTGTACCAATAAATATTTTAATTAAGAATATATATAGAAAATAAACTTAATTAATTATTAGTAATTAATAGATAAAATTCATTGATATTATTCTTTAGCCATATGATTATCCTATTTAGTTTACTACTCGAAATTAAACAATTTTTTAATTAAAGAATATTTAATAGTAAAATTGTTTAATATATATATAACCTCAATTAAATACTGTAAAAAGTTAGATATAATTCATCTTAATTATTTACAATTGCTATAATCTGAATACTAGTTTACTTATTTGAGGAGCTTATAGTACTAATATTACATTATAAAATGTATAAAGTTATTTAAATTATATTAGATATCCTTACAATTAATTTATTATATAAGAATTTAATAACATAATAAATCCTATTTCCTTGTATCTTTGCATTTCACTGAAATATTTCCAATTAATATTCCACCTTTGATCTAAGTAGTAAAATATATCAAAATAGAAAGAACTCCAATGCTTAATACTTTTCCAAACTACTCCCTATATATTCAGATTATAATGAGATCATCTTTATTTATATATTGAACTAAATTTATATTTCAAATAATATGATCAAAGTAATATTTCTATTAAATATGAACACAATCTTAAGTTTGTAGAGCTACTTATATATAATTATATATCAATTATCAAGTAAATATAGTAAATTTAAATATATACTGACAAGTTACTAAATATAAATATTTGTTTAGTAATGATCACGTATTAAGAAAGTTATTTTGAGATTAGACCATTTTTAAATTGAAAGTATCCCACTCAGTAATTTACCGCTCAACAGAAAATAAAGCGCCAATACCAGGTACATGATGAAAACTTAGGAGATTATTTATAAGGTTAGAGATAGAAAACTTTAGTATTATCTAAATGTCCTCAGTTAAACCAAACAGTGATGCAGCTCAAGCTGCAATAGTTGAATTAAATGGATTAGCAGATATATTTAAAAGGTAAGCACATCCTACTAATTTCATATTAGATACTGTATATATATAGAGTAATTTTTTTCTTTCTTATATCTGCCCATAGAATACAAGAAACTTGTTGGAGGAAATGCATCAGTGATATATCAGACTCATTACTTTCACCTGGTGAGATAAGTTGTACAGATCGTTGCATTGCTAAGTATATGGAGACACACACTCTAATTGGCAATTATTTACAAGGAACAAGTGAGAATAAATCTCCAAAGTAACAAAATAAATATGCTCAATATTTTGAGAGTAAGATATAATATTTCCTATATGACTGAAACTAGTATTATAGAGATATTTGGATTTTCACCGATATTCTAAAATATTATAGACATTTGAAGATTATATTTTAGTTAGATCTATCCTTCTTTTTTTTTGGTTATCACCAAAATTTGGATAGATTTCTTCCTGATAATTCGATATATCTGCCTTTACAACCTTAATATTTTCATTTTCGGAAAGCTGTGGTTTACTGAATGTTTTTTCCTGCTCCATCATTTCCAACTTTGGAACAGCAGAAATAGGTTTCTGATCATTTGGATCAATAGCTAACTTTTTATTTATATCATCTAAAGTTATCTGCAAGTCTTCTATTGTTACTTTATATATATCTATAATTTCTCTACTTGGGGGGGTCATTCCATTATCACCATTAAGATGCTGTTTAACAAGTGTTAGGGCCCTCTCAAATATTTTTTTGGAATCTTTTATCTTGCCAGAAAATAAAGTACTTTGAGCTAAACATATTAATGGTGATTCAAGTGTATCAAGTGGAGCATTAAATGATTCTAGAACGTACAATGCATATTTATATTCCAATCTAGCCTCTTCATATTTCTCTGCTAACTGAAGCATATCACCAAGTCTCATAAATGTGAATGATAGATCACTAATGTCTTTAAATAATACATCTTTGATTATTATGTTTTCATCTTTTCTATGATTACAAATAGTCTCGAGTAAAGATTCGAAGCTTTGACTGGTTGCATCATTTATAGATGAGAATATATCAGTAATATATTCAGGAATTATCCCAGTATTACAAAAAGACTCATAGCCACTTCTTTTATGTAATTCAATGCGCTTCATATATGCAAGTTTAGCTGCTTCAAAATTTTCCCAGGCTATTTCTTCATCTGTAGTTTCATTGCTCTGTATATTTTGGATTTCAATAGCTTTAGTATCTGATGATGATGAAGATGATGATGAAGATGGTAAAAGAGAAACTTCCCTACTTTGTAGTTGCTCACCATGATTAGGTGATAATGTAGCTATATAATCAGTGCAATGTTGACTTATTGTCTTAGATTGGAAAAAATTTGTAGAGTTCTCCTCTTTTTCAAATAATACATCAGCATAAGAAAGATAGTATTCAGCTAGTCTTGGATCAACACCACAATCTTCGCTAATTCCTAACCTATTTATTTTGTTAGTCAAGGCCCAATAAAGCTTAACTATGGCTACATCAAATTCCCTAGATTTTTTCAATATATTACCTTCTTCTAGCAATGTTTCAGGATCAATTTGGGAATTTAACTCATCTTCATCGTTAATGTATGTAATATCCTCATCCTCTACATCTTCATATTGGATATTTTCATATTCTCCATCCTGTTTTCCTATTTCTTCACTCATCTGTATATCCTGATTAACTTTACCACCAAACATTTCTCAGATATATCACACTCGAGAAGTTTGTTGAAAGTGTATTCAGTATTGTGTGTTACGTATCTCCTATCTCTAGTGGGGTATTTGTTGGCTTACTTATTTTCACAATTTGGCGCTTGAAAGTGTACCGAATTGTATATATTTAGGCGGTATATATAGCGGTAATGAACACCGGTAAAAGGAAGTCTTATAAAAGTATTAAAAAACTACCTAGAGAATGTCATTAGCTGACAACCACTGTATTAAATGTACTATTATAGATTAAAAAGGAATGAAAAATTTTATAATTGATGAAGATCAGCAATCAGATTTTGATAAATATTGCAGAAAGATAAGTGAGAAAATAATAGGAAATAATTATGTTATAAATACACCATATGGTATTCGTCCATTAATATATTGTGATTGGACTGCATCTGGACGTTGTCTTTCATTTATTGAGGAGTCGATAATCCAAAATATAGCACCATATTATGGTAATACTCATAGTATAGCTTCTTATAATGCTAGACAATCGACATGGTACACAATTGAAGCAAGAGAATCAGTTAGACAATTTGTAGGTGGTAATCCAGATGATGCAGTAATATTTACTGGCTCAGGAACTACCGGTGCGATTTCTAAATTTTTAAAGTTAATGAGTACTTCTAAATGGAGTTCAGTCATCTCCAGATCAAACAAATATCATAATCTTAATAAAAACAGATGTAAAGATCCAAATGTTAATCCTAATTTAGATTATTTTTGCCATAATACACATATTTCTTTAATGTCATCCCAAGATAGATGGAGATCATATAAGTGTATTATTTGTAAAACTCAATACGATACTGAAGCAGCTTTTAGACGTCATTGTAACAAAGTTCACTCTGTACTGAATAACCAGAAAAACAAGAGTGTCATAGGTTATATGTCATATTTAATATGTTTTATAGCTGATTCAACAGCTCATCATTCTTTATTATTACCATTTAGAGATTATGTAACTAGATACAAAAGTGGTATTGATTATGATAGGTATAAAATATTGTTTGATTACTGTGAAATTGGAATACTGAATTACAAATTGGATATAGAAAATTTAAGAAGATATTTGGATAAAATGGAAAAAGATTATCCAAAAAACTTTATCCCTATAATATTAATATCTGCAGGCTCTAATTTGACAGGCATAATAAATGATTATATTATTCTATCCTCATTAGTACATCAATATGGAGGTATTAGTGTAGTTGACTTTGCAGCATTAGCTCCTCATATAGCTCCTAATATGTCTCCTCCCTTAAATATTAATGGATCCACAGATGTTGGAGTATTTTCACCTCATAAATTTTTAGGAGGACCATCAACCCCAGGAGTACTAGTAATTAAACGTGATTTATTAATCACTGAAAAACCTGCAGATCCAGGAGGAAATTGTGTCTTTTTTGTATCTTCTGAAAGACATGATTATATTCTTGATCAAGAACAAAGAGAAGAATCAGGTACATTGGACTTACTAGGTATATGCCGTCTTGGGATGATGATTAAATTTGAGATGCATATTACACATAAATTGAAACGTCAGAGAGAGATAGAATATTATATGAAAATATTACGGAAATTGTCTAAGTATAATAAAAACAATACAGGCTCAAAGATTAAAATTTTAGGTATTAAGGATATTTTGGGTAATAAATACAATGAAATAATACAAGACGAAAAATATCATATAAATATTGATGAAATTAAAATATTACCAATAATTTCATTTTTAATTAAACCATTTCCACCTGAAATATTCCATTCAGCTAATTATGAATTGGACTTATCTGAGAATAAGAAAGAATCTGCTTTACCAAATGATTTGTCAAACGATACAATATTATTGAAATTTTTGGCAAAAAATAAGAAGTATTTAAGATATATTAAAAACCTAAGGCATCAATATTTACATTATAATTTCGTATGTGCCTTGTTGAATGATATTTTTGGTATACAATCCAGAGGCGGATGTTCTTGTGCTGGTCCCTACTCACAAAAGCTACTTGGACTAAATAAAGAAACTGTATCAACCTTATATGATGAGTTAGTTATAAAAGGCATTGAATCTATTAGACCCGGTTTTTCTAGAATATCATTCCACTGGTCAGACTGTGAAGAGAATATTGATTATATAAGTGATGCTATTATTTGGATTGCAAAAAATGGCTGGAAATTGCTTCCATTATATGCATTTGAAGAATTTTATGGAATGTGGAGACATAAATCTGAATGGAAGTCATTGGAAAATTTATATAGGGAATGGCTTGAAGATTCAATTGGAGATTATTTCTTTGAAAAACCAAGAATATATAATAACAAATCTAATTTAGAGCTTAATAAAGAAGTAGAATCTAATTCATTTAATCAAATATGTACAAATTTACCAAATAATAAATGTAAACCCTTATTTTCAAGTGGTAACCAAATATTTGAACAGGCGGATAAACTGATCTCACATATAGATCGTATTATTAAAAATTATAACGATTATAAAGAAGGTTTAAATCCTTCTAGTAACAAAGTTGACGAAATAATCTTTAGAGATATTCAGCTTTATCATTATTCACTGGAACATAACGATTATAGAATAAACCAATTCGAATTACAGTCAGAGTCTTCATTATTGTGGTTTTTAACTCCAAAGATAATTCAATCCCTAATATTATGTATTCAGGACAGAAATGTTGATTTTAGTATCTTTAATAATGAGATTAATCAACCAGTAATATCAACTGAATATGAAGATTTAAATACTTTTTCAGAAAGAGCCAATCATAATTCTAATGCTCTTAATCAAGAAATAGCATATAAAGTAGAAAATGGTCAAACCAATAAAAGTTGGTTATATGAAAAATCTTATTATTATCAAAATGAGGATTTAAGTTGTTGTATCCCTAATATTAATCCTAATGATGCAAGTTATGAAACTGAGAAATATAAATTTATTAATAAAGATCTTTATGATTCTTGCCCAAATAATTTGAATAATAATGAAATGACTTTTCATGGAACTCTATCTCAAATAGATCACGAAATTATACAGGGAATTGAAGATATTGGGAATAATAAAGAAATCCAGAAAGTATATCTTAATGAAGATTCTGTGAAATCTAACTCCTATAAATATTCCTCAAATATGGATATTTGTGATTTAGTAATACCTGATCCTTCATCATATGGGATTATAAGAAAACAAGTTGGAATAGCTATTAAGACATTTAATATGATTAAACAAGGTGATAGAATTCTAGTTGGTGTGTCAGGAGGTAAAGATTCTTTAACAATGTTACATACACTATTACTATTGCAGCGTATTGCTCCAGTAAAATTTTCAATAGCAGCTGCTACTGTAGATCCACAGACTAAAGAGATGGATGTAACCAGTTTAAAACCTTATATGAATAGTTTAGGAATTGAATATCACTTTTTATCTTACCCTATTGTTCAGTTAGCTTCTAAATTAAAATATAAGCAACAAAAATTATCATATTGTTCATTTTGTGCAAGGATGAAACGTGGTATTTTATATTCATGTATGAAAAAGTATGATTACAATGTTTTAGCTCTTGGACAACATACAGATGATATTTGTGAGAGTTTTTTACTCTCGATAATACATAATGGAAAACTAAATACAATGAAAGCGAATTATCTTGTTCCTAAATATAATATACGTGTAATAAGGCCTATGATATATTGTAGAGAAAAGGACTTAGAAAAATTTGCACTAAGATGGAAACTACCTGTAATTACAGAAAATTGTCCTGCCTGTTTTTCCCAAGCTAAAGAAAGAAGAAAAATTAAACAACTACTTAGTCAAGAAGAAATTGACCATCCAAATGTACATTCTTCAATAATTAAAGCTTTGCAACCTTTAATATCACTTGATAGAACTAATTCAAAATTTGATGTGGATAGTCTTAATCTAAAAGATTAATCAATTAAACTTGTGATAATCTCAAAAACAGTGATAACTCTTTAGTTTATCAAACTATCAATCTTATATAAACTGATATTTCTTAAAATAGACTAATCACCATTATAATCTGTGAAAGATAGTATACTAGATTATATATTGTAAATATTCAATAAAATATTTATATAATTAGAAATGAAATTTGAAATTTATTAAACTATTAATTTTAGTTATTATTCAATTATAAAATTATCTAAATATATGTTTAATATTGAAACTTTAGATTTTTTATATTAAAAAAAGAAAAAGTATCTAATTAGGTTCTAATAGTTTATTTTAAAATAAAATAAAAATATATCATTTCTTAATAGGTAAAAATATTTATTTATAACTCTTACAAGATAAGATCTTGATAGTACAAAATATTATTGATAGAATAATAAATTTATTAGAGTTCAGTAATAATAGACCATGTTTATATTATATTTATTATCGTTAAATATCTAATATTATTACTACTTATTTGTATTACTATACATAATTTCAAAATGTAAATTACACTATTTTTAATGACTAATAAGTATAAAAATCCTTTATAGGAAAATTAACAAATCAATTTATTTTTATAATATAAATATTAGATTTATTAATTTCAATAAATCATATATATCAACTAAGGAAAAAATAAAAAATAAATCTTCCATATTCTCGCTTATTTTTATATATAAGTTATCTTTTTTGTTTTTACTTATGAGTATGTTTATTTTGTCAAATATCCTATATTTATTGGTTACATACCTAGTTCAAAGTCTTAGAGTGAAATATCATATATTTTGTTTTATATTTTAGCTAACTAAACTTAGAATATAATTATCTGCTATATATCTAATTATATACTCCAATTTATTAATGGTGTTAGATTCTAACAAAAATAATATTTTGCTATTGTCTTCTCAACTTATCTAGATTGCAACCTTCAAAGATAGGTGCAACATCAATTTGTAGTAACTGTCTATATGTAAAAAGGTAACCTTTACAAGAATATCCTCATAAAAAAGACTATTTAATATTAAAAAGTGTCTTTACAAATATTATATTTAAGGCAGAAAATTTGATAAAGATATTTAAATTCACTTTTACATCTAATTTACGTGATTCACAATAGGTATTATATGGATCTTAAATCTAGTATTTTAGATATTACAAGGTGATATTGAAAGGTACATATATTAACTAGATATTATAAAAATAAAGATTATTTAATATTAAAAACTAATACTTATTTGTACAGCAAAATTCATTATTATTTTAGTTGTAAAGTGCAATAAGTCCCAAAAAAATTTATTATACTAAAAAAAAGATTATTATATAACTAATAAATAATCCAAATTTATATTAATAACTTATTATAAATCATCATAAATAATAATTTAATACTAGATATTATCCATTCTGTAGTTAGATATATTGATAATAAAATAAACCAATCTGAAATAATATTCTTAATCAAAAATATACATTCGATGGTTCTCTTAGTATTACCAATTACATTTATTCTCTCTAAAATATTAGTTGATGAATATAGCTTTAAAATATGAAAATTTTCTGCAAAATTACAACTTAAATTAGGTTTACAATGAAATTCATCATCTTTGTAAGTAATATACCTATCAATCATCTTAAATCCCACAGGTTTCCAATAGTATAAAATAATTACATATTGGATTATAAGTAATTGTACTAATGAGAAGATATATATACCAGATATATTATTAAGTTTTATACCTAAATATTGGTGTTCATCACTAATAAAGTTATGAACTATATATAAAAGGAATCCTAAAAAAGAACATATAAATATACGCAATTGTTTAGAGTACATATACCAGAATTCTGGAAATGTTAGTTTAGTATTACAAGTTTTAACTGAATCCATAGAATTCATAAATCTGAATTCTTCTTCATCCATAATTTCCTCATTTCTATCTGTCTCCATTTCATCATATGTAGGACATATGAGTCTCATACGTACATTACTACTTCCTAGTAAGCGTTGTTTTCTAGCCTTTGCTTGCTTCTTCACAATACTAGACATCTCATCATTATCTTCTTTACATATTTCTTCAGTCATTTTTTAGTAAGATAATACATTAAAATATTAATCCCCACTTTTCCTTTTTTCTATAACCTCTTTATTCAATACTAGTGGAGTACATCCGTTTTTTTGTAATTTAGTTATATTAAGCGCTTTAGAAACAGTAGCTAGTAAATAAATAAACACATATTTACAATACTCTTCAAAATAAGGATATTAGGTATATACATTCATATATAATTTAATATATAATATATATAAGAATACCTTAGAAATTTTTAAATTTAAATTATTATTAACTACAATAGAACCCTTAGATATATTCTTATAATAGAATTTTATATATTTAATCCTAAAATAAATGTTATGAGTAATAACTTAATTATGATATATTACCAAAAGTACAAGATAATTTTTTAATAAAATTAAAATCCAAACTCCCCTTATAAATGAGAGTGTTGGAACTTCTTTCTAAATACTTATTAAGGTGATAATACTTCTTTAGCCCCTTAATTTCTTAAAATCTAAGTTTACTGAAATATTTACTATAAAATACTGCGATATATTTTTTAATAGAAAGGTTGTAAACGTATTACATATTCCTAGAGTCAGTAGAAAATAAAAAAATAAAAAAACAAATTTGAGTGATATCAATTAATAGTATTGTGTGTATTAGTGGTTTTATGAGCGCCAAGATGCATTAACACGCCAGGAATCTAAAATGTAATATTAGACTATTCTCTGACTGGTTAGTAAAGTATGTTTCTAAATATATTAAGATTAACACCACCTGGTGGTGGTCCTGCTCCATTAATAAAGAATAAGGCTATTAGGCAATGTTATGGTCTAATGTTTTTGAATATGTTTATAACTATATGGAGTATATTTTCAATATTATATAGTAAATTTTTAAACTCTCACTTCGGAACTGAAATATCTGCATATTTATCTGTAGTATTTGTAATGGGAAGTATAAGCTCTTATTTTTTTTCAAAACTTGGTTCACGTAAATATTCTAGTGATACAGAATGGTCAAAAATACTAATATTAATACTAATAATTAACTTAATACAATATGGAGCTATTGTTTGGGGATGTTGGATACTATATAAAGTATTTATGTCTAGACATTTAATTGGTACTAAAATGTACTATTATTTTATTTTTTCAAGATGGATGTATAGTACATTATTTTGCTTAACTGCACTATACTCATTTTCAGTTATTCTTACTTCACTTACTTATAGTCAATTATTAATATCTTTAGTGAATCAAAGGATATCGTAACCTTATAATAGTTAATATTTTAAGTATTACTGTCTAATATTTTAGATCTGTTACTTTTATTACCGTTTACATAGTAATATAATTTTCAATATCTTCATCCTCTTATTTAGAAATGATCAATTGTGCTTAAATATATAATGCTTAAAGAAGTAAGATATAAAACTAAAGAGAATCAAAATATAGATAATAATATTTATAAACTATTAAAAATATTGAAGAGTAAACCTTTACAAGGTCTCCAATTATTAACATTAGAAATAATTAGGACTATACTACCTTCTAAATTAATTAAACCTATAGATACTCCTTTACCTTTTGTATATTATATTAAATATTAGTTAATATTATTATTCAAGCTAATTTTGTTTGAATAGTAAATAATTTTAATATTTATTCTCATTCTAATTTTTGTTTTTTTTTTTTTAAATGTAAATTCTAGATTGGATAGATTAATATCAAGAAACTATAAAATTAAAAAATATTGAGATAGTCTCATAATATTTATTTAAATGGTAGGAAAACTCAGATTTGAGGTGGGGATGTAATTCAAGATGAAATTACAAATGAGGAATTACCTAAATGGATTGAGTTATTTATGAAATATTTAGTCAATACTCATTTATTTGATAACTCTACACATTCCAATCATATTCTCATTAACCAATATGATATAAATAGAGATATATTACCACATAAAAATGGTCTATTACATTATCCAAGAAGTTGCTGTATTATACTTGGATCGGATGTAGTTTTGAATTCTTGGAGACCACTTACAACTCTCAAATTATCAATAATAAATAATAAATCTATAAGACTATCAAATAAAGTGTTTATTTTTAGTATTTGTACCACATCGAAGTATATTTGTTTTTATAGATAAATATTACACAGACCTTTTACATGGAATATAAAACAGATAACTTTAAATTTGTTATTTGCATAATACTTTACAATATTATCTTTTATAATAGTTGCTAATATATAATAGATAATAATAACTTATGTGGAATTAATAAAGAATTTAAAAGCAAAATTACAAAAAGACATTTTAGAACAAGTCTTACTTTTCGATATATTGGAAAGGATCAAAGTTGAGATATATAGAACTCATATCACGGTACTATTACTAATATTATATGCCATTATATTATTTTATTTCTAAAGGATTATCCTAAATAATCCTCTATTTTCCTTTCTTTTTTCTTATTGTTGAATAAAAGCTAATATCTTAGAATCCTCATTAATAAGTATACTTGGCGCACAAAACCCCTGACCCTCTAGTATTGAAAAATTATTATTATAGAACTAATCATATTACACTAAACGTAAAATATTATGCTCTGAAATTGGAAATAATGTCTAATATACATCGATTATCTGATTATCAAAATCGCGGAGACATTATTAATTCATCTCAGGGCCAATCTGGATTAACTTTGAGATTTATTGACTTATTTTTTCCTGGTATAACATGGAAACATACCATTGTATGGATTAGTATAATACAAACTATTATTTATATTGCAACATGTATTGTAGGGTCTTGGGCATTATCTCCATCTGTGTAAGTTAAATATTAAAATCTTATTTTTGACTTATAATCTTTATTATATTCTAATTCTTTAGACCAACATTAATCAAATTCCAAGCAAGTGTACCTAAACTTATTAAGCAAGGACAAATATGGCGTCTTTTAATTAGCTTGTTTCTACATGCTTCTATATGGCATATCATATTTAACATATTTTTCCAGCTTAAATTGGCTATTTCGTGTGAAGATAAATATGGCAGAATTTTATGTCCTTCAATATACTTTATTACTGGAATAATTGGGAATTTATTTTCAGCTGCAATTAGAAACAGTTGTATTGTAGCCGTTGGTGCTTCTACATCTGGATTTGGATTAATTGGTACTCAACTAGCTGAACTAATATTATTTTGGCATATTATACAAAATAAAGAAAGAGTAATTCTTAATATATTATTATTTGGTATTCTTATGGTACTTATTACATGGGGAAATCCCACTTCTGCCGTTGACCATTGGGGACATACTGGAGGTTTCCTCACAGGACTTGCAATGGGAGTTTTTGTAAATTATAATTCTGAATCAAAACCTAAATGGTATAGAATTGCATTTGCTATTGCAGTATCACTTATTATAGGGCTCTTAGTTGGTCCAATTGTAAGAATCTGGGCCTTTAAAATGGCTTCTTGTTATTTCGTATTTGCTGTTTAGTTCTATATCTTATAACAGATCATGATATATTAAGTGCTGTTCTACTCATTTTAAATATATCAATGTATAATGGCTTCTTTTTTTTTTTTTTTTTTTTTTTTTTTTTTTTTTTTTTTTTTTTAATTTAATAATATAATCAATAACATTACACATTAATTATCTCTTGTTATTTATATTACTTTAATATTTCATAATAAATATGCAAAATATATATTGATTAATATATAGAAATAACTGGAATATTATCTAATATTATCTTACTTGATAGTATGGATATCTATATCTATCTGGTGTGTAAGATGCCATTGTAATTGCAAAGTCTACTGGAGATAAGTTCGGATCTTCTATTAATCTTCTTCTTCTTCTTTTAGAAGTTTTATAATCTTTATCCGGAACTATTCCTAGTAAACATACTGCTAAGCTAAATGCAATTACTCCCAATATTACTGCAATGACAATCAATATCCAAAAATACTGATTTCTAGCAGCATCATTATTAAAATTATTATTGTCATATATATTCAATTTAGAAGGATTTTCAGCTTTATTGCCAATTTCATATAGCTGTCGCGTTGTATCCATTGCACTCTTATTACTTCTGTACCACCCAAATGCTGCAAAAGGTATAAAGTATGATGGACCTCCTGAGAGAGTTGCCATAATTCCAGATTCAAGTGCACCAATTGAGCTAGCAATATTAACATAAGTTGAAGTACTACCATTCATATTTATATACTCAGTAATAAAATATAATAAAACTGTTTTATTATTACGACATTTAATATTGAGATCTATAATATTACAGGCGCTATTTCATATTTTGCCATTATGAAATTTAAGTTTGTAGTTATAAAATCTGAGTAACTCTTGAATATATGTAAATATTTTTTTTTTTTAATTATAAAAGATCCATATCCTTAATCATATAGTAATAAATTATTACAAGTAAATTTTTTAATGAGGAAAATATCCCAATTAACTTACAGCATATTTTTAATAATTTTCTCTCAAATATATTATTGATACCTTTCAGGTTTTAAATTAAAATGTATCTTTGTGTTCTATTTTGTTGTTTATCAATAATTTCATCAAATATTTTACAAGTTTATTGTCATGGGCAGTATAATCCACCTAATACAAATGATGAAGATTTACGACATTTCGGAAGTTTTGGAATGAGTCCTGGAATGGAATTTTATCATTCACATAGGGTATATGGTACGCCATTATTATTAGAAAACCAAGACTTTACATTGTGGATAATTCTCGCAATTTGCTGCGGTAGTGTTCTTTTTTTATCAATTGGTATCATTTTTTTATATCAATATATAAGACATGATCCTGAATATAGTGAAATGAAAAATGAAACCTATAATAATCCTTATTTTAATGAATTCCAAAAAATTTATGAAAATACTCCTATAAATAATATATATATCCCAACTAACCAGAACTTACACCACTATCAACCAAATTCAAATTTCCCTGTTGCAAGCTGTTGTAAGAATTATAATATTAACACTTGTATTCCAAATTCTAACAAATGTAATATTTGTTATACAAAATACTAGAACCAAATACCCACACATTATGTGTAAAATTATTTTTATAGGTAGGATTTATTGTAAAAGTTCATTGCCTTTGCAGCCAATTAAACATCATTCAACAAAAAATGAATTTCTTATATATTTTAAACTTTATAATCTTATATATATAAAATTTATTTCCAATCTAAATTTTATTTGATATTTCTTAACTTTCGTTTTAATTTCTTTTGGTCCTTATCTAGTATACTAATATTCTCATCACTTTCATCTTGTTTCACTTTTTTTTTTCTTGGATATAACAATCTAAGATCAATACCTCCCTTAATATTATCATCATTAATAGATCGTAACTTTACCATAAATTCGCCTTTGATAAATTCTTCATCTTCATTAGATTCATTATCTATTGAAGAAATTTCGATATCCTTATTGTTTGATAACATCAAAGTTGCTAAAAATGAACGGGATATCTGCCATTTTGGCAAACCCTCTACAATACTTGAAAATTTTACGCTGTCAATCCCCATACTTATAATTTGAGTTCTAATTTTCTCTATAATTTTTTCTCCCTCAGATTTAATATCAAAATCTGGTCTTTTATTTTGAATTTCCAAAATAGGTTCTAGGTATTCTGTCCAAGAATTTATGCGTGCATGTAAATTAGTCTTATGATCTTCCAAATCAAATTCACTAATTTTTTGATCATCTTCTATATTTCCTTGTTGAACATTACTAGTAATAAAATCTTCCAATATATGGTCATCTACCATATCTGCAGAGTATTGTTGAGAATCTTCGCATTCATCAATATTACAAATGTTTACATCTTCAAATTCGTTATTATTATCAAAGCAAATGTCATCTTTATTATCCTCAGTTTCACACAAAGATAAATCGTTAACATTAATATCACCTAACGTAGAATCTTTCTTTTTTGCATTTCCAAAAGATTGCTTCGAATAATACTTTCTCCAGGCAGTTATATTATTATGTATATCTACTTCTAAACTAGCTAATAGACAACTTTTGAACTGGTTCTGTATAATCAGTTTATCACTAAGTAATATTGGCTTTTTTAAATCACAAAAAAATGGAATATATTGATCTGATGAACAATTAATATCTTTTTCTTCTCTATATTGTGTTAGCCCCATTATATAAGAGCGAATACTGTATTTATTTATAAAATTAAGTATACCAGCCTTTTCTCCCATCTTTACTAATGATAAGGTATATGACTTAGTAGGAATTTTATATGATTTACCTTGTTTGATTGCTCTATCTCTTCCAATCTTTATATGTTCATCCATTAACTCCCATGGATCATTCTTATTTTTTTTTGTACCACTTATTACAGCCTCTATAGATTCTCCCTCCAGTATATTATTGCAAGTAATCACACCTTTTTCACTTATATCATTGTTACTTAAAGCTAAATCATCTTCAATATTATACTCCATGTCTATATTAGATTCAGTATATTCATTTATATTGTCATAGTTGCTAGTATTGTGAACATCTTTATTATAGTCACTACAATTTTCTTTAGAATTGGATACATTTTCACAAAAACTACTGTTATTTCCTAATAAACCAATATCTGATTCATCTAGAAATAAAGTAAATGTTGAGGGATCAATACGATAAATTGGTAGTGATATACATGACTGTGATACCCCAATAAGTGGTGAGCAGATTATATTTATACATTTCGATTCTCCCTTTATTTTGTCATTTAATTTCGTATCAAGTGAAATATTTAAATTTCTCCCAAATTGTAATAATTCCAATGGAACTGAAAAAATATTATCCATTAAGAACGCAGTACCTTTATTATTAGTTGGTTTTCGGATATACCCATTCATGTTTGTTGATTGTTCTATATTACAATTATTGATGGAGCTTGTACATTCCAATTTATTACTATTTCCCAAAGATAGTAACTTTAATGTCTCATATACTAAAGTATGTAAGTGCTCTATCTTCTTAGAATATATATTCGTTGAGTTTTGTATTATTAGTGCTGCTTCAGCAAAGTTAAATAATTGAGATGAACTATGAGAATTATCATTCATATTTTCTGTACTTTGACTATAGTTTATCTCATCTTCAAGAGTCTCTAGTACTGATAAATATTTCTCTAATTCTGCCGAAACATCTATATTCCAGTTTAATGAAAGATCTTTGCATTCTATAGATCTTAATAACGATAAGCTGTCACCAAGTTCGTTATTACATAGCATATCGTAATTCTCTCTATTTATATACCTATAATTTTTCCACTATTTTATTTACTAAAATAATTACACAAAATCTTCAAATCTTGCTATTTATCTTTATTCGTGGGGTTTTTTTCCTTTAAAAAAAAGAATATAAAAATTAAAAGAATACGGCGCCTTTAAATTTTAAATATCTAAACTCATCATAATGTGATAAAATATCATATATATAATTAAATAGCTACCTTTTAATTGAACAAGTCAATAATATTAGAATTACACTAAGATAAATAAAACCATCTATGAAATTTATCCAAAACTGTTGCAATTCTTCTTATGGATACTAAGTTATATTTCAGATCGTTACATGCATGCAATTACTTGCTGCATGTAAATATTGACACTGAAACTTTTCTTTATGATAAAACTATTTTATATAAATTAGACTCAATTTTTTACTTATTTTTTCGGTTATGGAACAAATTGATGAAAATAAGGTTAGTATTCACAAGGTATATGATAACTCGATAAACTCAAGAACCTATAACCTACCCCAATTACCAAAATTAGCAAGACTAGACTTAAATATAATTAGAAGAGAAAGAAACTCTAATAAGGAAAATAAATGTATGAAATTTAACTATGAAAATGAGGCTGTTTCCCAGTTAGGAGCTAGTATTACTAAAAAGAAAAGTGTAGAAGCAGTAAGAAATGAAGAAAGTGGTTTTAAGGCTAAACAAGAACCACCAAATGAGGATTATAAGACCTTTATGACTGAATCATCTGAACCAATGGATGAATTACACGAGATATCGAAATTTATCAAAGATTTCGAAGAAGAAAGAAATAAAGAAAGAAAAGATTTAGAAGATGATATAGTTAAAGTAAAACAAGAAATTTCAGAATATAAAGAAAAACTACTGGATTATTGGATTGAAATTACATTTCTTCGAACTCAACTTCTAAATTTAAAAGATGAAAGTAGTTCTTAACAGTTTTAATAAGAATTTTGTTAAAAATAAGCTAGTATAACTAATGTAAGAGCACTGGTGAATAAAAAAGATTACCATAAATTATTTTATATAATAAAAAAAGGTATTAAAATTATTTATTTAATAATATCTATTTTAATGTGATATCAAGATGACAATTGAACAAGTATCACATGGGAATAAATTGAAACCAACTTCAAGATCTTTCTTCTCAATAAAGATTGTATCACCACATCTACAGTCATAGTACATTACTCCTGAGTTATCTTGAAGACACTTTAACTGATTATATTTAATATTATAATGCCAAGAAGATGGATTAAATTTCTCTTTTTCACACTTTATATCATAATTCTTTCTTCTCTGAGGATCTTTTAGTAGACTGTATGCATCATATAAAGCATGATATTGAACAATTACATCCGAATATTCGGCATTTTTGCTGTTCTTTGTAATATCTAAATTAGTAGAATTCTTATTAATGTACTTGACTTTTTGATAAATACTTTTATCTGGATGAAATATACGAACAAGTTTTAAAAATGCTAATCGTATATCCCTATCAGTTGCATCTTTAGATACCCCCAATAAGGAATATGGATCTGACAACATTGAAGTATTTACTAGATTACTTTCTCTAAGGGTAATTATGTCAGGCGGTAACTTTTTGTCACCCATTACCGAAGCAGCGGCATATTTGTCTCTTGTAGGATATGGAATATAACATGTAAACTTAATTAACATCCTTTTTCCCTTCACCTTGTAAAGTAACAATAATTACTATGAACAGGTAAGAGCTATTTTAATACATATATAGTATTTAAAGATATATTACTATTCTTTATTGTAAATGCTTTTTATAGAGTGCCTTTATGTCTAGTTAATGAAGCTGTTGCAAAGTAAGTAAACTGAAATATAAGGCAAGTACTTACTATTTTAGCCAATAATATCTTTTTTTTATTAGGGCAAGGCTAAAAAAAAAAACGGAACAGGTAATATTTATTAGTACTGTATTAAATAGATCCTGAAGAGCAAATTTCATATACTATTTACTCTTCTATATTTTAGACCTTTGAAGGAGAAGGATTAACTCCAGAAAAAGAACCTGATAATATATATGATATGTAAGTTAGAAATAATATTAAAAATATTTTGAAATTATTCTATACTAAAATAATTTTGTTAACTCAATTTTCTAGATCAACATTACCCAATATGATTTTAATGCCTGGAATGTCTTCACCAGATACTATAGAAAAAATAAAAGAACTAGCGTAAGCCTATAAATATAAGGAAGCACTTTAATTTATCTGTATATATATATATATATAATACTTTTTATTATTAAACTTATTTATTATTTCAGAATTAAAAAAAGAGGATATTCGGCAAGTAGCACAAAAAAATATCAATATGACTCAGAATCATTAATTAATAATACAAATGTTACTCATAAAGATATATCTCCTGGTTCTGAGAATAATATTGAACATAATCAAGTTAGTAATGATGATAATATCACAAATCAAAGTGAGCATCTTGAAATAAATGAGACTGAGACTCAAAGTGAAGTACCCAATATTTGTGAAGATAAAAATACATTTGAAACTGACTTTGATAGGATCAGTAGTGAAGGTTCAATTGCTGATGAAGGCTTTATAGCGAATAATAATATAACTAGATAAAGTCTTGATTAATTTTCAAGAATTTGTAATAGAAAGATGTTTAGTAAATATCTAGCTAGTAGTATAATTTTTTTTTGTGAAAATAATAAATTAGATATCACGAAGTACTACGAAGGAATTATATTGTCATTCATTAACAAAACAAAATACACAAATTATTGAGACCAAAGTGCAGATAAGTATACAAGTATTGATTTATATGGTTAATATTACCTTATTCATATCTTAATTGAAGTTAATAAAACAAAAAGTCAAATAAAATATATGCTTTAACTTATCTTTACCCATCTATCATCTCCAAAAAGTGGTTTGGTAGTTAGAACAATATTTCTAATTCTGACAGTGAATTGGTTATTCTATTAAACTGAATACTTGAAATTATTTTATATATTATCCAAAAGTATATTTTTTAGCACTTTTTTTTATTTTACAAAAGGATCTTCTTTATAACTATATCATCTCAATTTGAATATATATAATAGTTTTTTATAACCCTATTCAAAGGTTATAAAAGACATAATTTAATATTAAAGATTTGTATATCAAATATATTCAATAAGATAATTTATTTGGAATTTACTTAGTGTCTATATATCCACCAGTATAATTATTTTTTATTTATTAAAAAATCCATTGCTAATTTCTAGATATTTACTGGCACTTCGCTTACCTAAAAAAAAAAAAATACATCAATTTTATTTAATTAGAACATGGAACAAGATTTTGCAACATTTCAACAAATTCATTAAAATCCACTCCTCCATCATTATTCTTATCAACTTGCTTTATAATCTTTTTTAATTCACTCATCTCTATTTTGTCGTCCTCTTGAGAAAATAATCTAAAAAGTTCTTGAGTTGAAATTTTACCAGACCCATCCTTATCAAACATCTGGAAAGCTCTTTCCATTCGCTCTTTACTTAATAAGACATTTCTATCAATAGCACAAGTGACAAATTCTGAATATCCAATAGATCCAGATTTATCCATATCTAATAATGGCATCAAACTATCTACCTGTTCTTCAATATTTATATTACTAAAATTTGTACTAGTACGGTTATTAGATAGGGAATCAATATCTTTAAGTCTAACAAAATCTTGATAACCCCTAATAAGCTCATTTCTATCCAACATCCCATCATTATTAAGGTCTAATTTTCTAAAAATATCTGTAAGTTTTTTTGTCTCTTCATGAGTTGTCAGTCTACTAGCCATATATAATAATGCTGCTTGTGCAAGCTTTTTTTCAGCTTGAAAGTGTTGTATATTAGTCATTGCTGACTCTAAAGAAGGTAAATCATCAATTGATGGGGATTCTATTGCATACTTTTGTATCCATGAGTGTTCAAGGCACTGAGCAGCTGATATTCTAAGTGAGGGATGAAAAGTGAGCATCTTACGAATAAGATCCTTTGCCTCTTCAGAAACACTTTTCCACTGTGGTAAATCAAAGGCATATTTACCAGTTTCAACACGTTTAAGAATATCATATTCATTTCTTCCATAAAATGGTGGAGTACCAGATAATAATATATATAAAATTACACCCATTGACCAAATATCACATTTTTCATCATAAGTACCCCTTAAAACTTCAGGAGCAATATAATATGCAGTTCCAATTCTATCTCTCATCTTTGTATTCGGTTGGAAACAAGTAGACAAACCAAAATCAATTACTTTAATATCACAATTCTTTTCTTTTGATTGTAATAAAATGTTTTCTGGTTTCAAATCTCTATGTACAATACTATGTTTATGCATATATGTAACTCCAGAAAAAACTTGTTTAATTATCCTAGCTGCATCTATTTCACTAAACCTTTTTCTTTTAATAATCTCATCAAATAATTCTCCACCTGTATATAATTCACTTACAATATAGTAACTATTAGAATCCTCCAAAATTTCAAATAATTTCATAATATTTGGATGATCTAATTTCTTAAGTAGATCAACTTCTTTCAAAATAGTGCTGGTATCTTTATTTTTTGCATTCTGTTTGTTAATAACCTTAACAGCATATTCCGTACTTGTTACGCGATCTTTACACTTTATAACTTCCCCAAATGAACCTTTACCTAACAAACATATTATACTATATTTTTCAGCAAATGATCCACTTCCACTCTGCACAAACATACCAGTACTTACACTACTCCTCTCAATACTAGATATACGACTCTGATTCATAACAGCCGTTCCACCTGAAGTCTCATCTATTACTTTATGTACTTCATTTTCAGATATTTCTGCTTTATTACGTAATTTTGCACTATATTGACTTGAAGATGATCCGCCCATTAAAGTTTTTATAATATTCCTTTATCTTTTAAGTTGTGATAGTCAAATTTGCACACTTGACCGGTTAGTTCACTACTTCAGACCTATTCCTGCATCTTGAACGTACCATGTCTTATCTTGCGTATCTGGCAAATAGACAGATATTGTCATTGATTTCATAGGAATGTATATTTATAATTAAGTCTATAAATGAACCAATATATTAACAAATACTATTTAAATTATTATTTAAACATATCTTGAAGAAAATTTAGTTTTTTTTTTTTTTTTTTTTTTAAAAAAAAAGAAGTGACTCACTAGAACATTGTATCAAGAGTTGTGAAGTTTAAAGATGCAGCTTATAGTATTAACTACTTGAAGTTATCAGTTTATTTCTGCCAGAATTAAGCTATTATTTGTAATATACTTACAATTTATATTTACAAATGTCCAGCTTTCTTTTAAATCAGAAATATTATACCAGATTTATAGATTTTTTTTTCAATAACATGAATATTATCAGGCATCCTTTACTATATGTATATATTTATATATTCACTGACAAGATATTTAACCCAAGATATTATTATTTAAATATATATTGAAGTTAATTACTTATACTTTTCCTTTTTCTTTCTTTATTTGGGAAGAGATACAAAAAAAGAAGAAAAATAAATACTCCACTATAAAAAGATCTAGCTGTTTACTAGATAATTTTCATTTGTAAATTTACTTTTTTGAGAGTTATATTACCTTAGCTATTAATGTGTACTTTTTTTTTTTGTTTGAATTTAATGTTACTATTAAACTTTATTCAAGATATTCTAGTGCATGCATATGTCTAGTATACACACTTCAGGCGCCAATATTTGCTAAGACTAAGAAATATTATAAATAAATAGCTAATTTGTTAGAATGAAGTTAATTATTCTAAGATTAAATAAAGTCGAAAAGGGGCTAGTATAATCTATTAGATTTAATATAATCAAGTATATATAGCAGAGTATGAATAATTAATCTATTATATATTGTTGATATTTATATAGGACTAATTCCAATACCAATATTATATTAGTTTAATTGATAAGACGATTTATAAATACTATTATTAACTAAATATTAGGATAAATTAATATTGTAATTAGCTCTAGATTTTATTTAATAGTTTCTCTAATTAAATTTTGCTTATTATATTCAAATTTATATTGTATTATTATCAGTTTCATGCGCATGCAAATACCAGTAACATAACTACAACTTTTTTTTTCTTTAATTAATTTAATAATTATGTTTAAAAAATCACTATTATACCTTGTGATATAAATATTATAAAAAGAAAGTATTTACTGTGTGCGTGTGTTTGGCCACTTCTGTGATAATTAGAAATTGGGATGTATAATTTTAAGGTATAAAAAGACAAAAAAAAAAAACAAAATGACTGGTAGAAATTTGGTGATATTCTATATAATAACTTTATGTAAGTCTCTTTAAATATGTACCTTAGTATTTAAAAAAAATAGTATAAATTATAATACTCATAGTATTGATTTGTTTAAGATCTTTATTTATATTTATTTTTGCTTATAATCTTTAGATCTAAATTTAATTTCAAAGATACTATGTAAACCAATTAAATATTCAATATGTGGTAAATGGGAAACAAAGGAAAGGCGTGGAGGTTTAAGTAATAAAGATGATATAAATATATCTGGATGCCAATGGATTGGATGTCATAGAATACATATTAGAGAGAGTAGAAAGTACGCAATTACCCCAAGAAATATTGTCGAATTTACTAGATATGAATATAACTCAACTACAGGATGTGAACCTGAAAATTTTAGACGGCTAATTATGGCCAATGGAATATGGGAAGTTAAAGATGAGTCAAAAAGTAAAATTAAAATAATATGGAAGAAAATTATAATCCGTACAAAGCCTAATAATATAAATATTTTAGATGATATCAAGAAAACAAATTGGAAATATAAATCGATTGATCCAGAATATTTTTTGAATTTAAATTTACTGAATACATGTATAAAATATGCAGGATTAGCAAATAATTACTTTTTTGAATCATATAATTCATCAACAATTACAGTTAATGGTCAAACAATAAAAGTTAGTAATGAACCAATGATTATAGATAATATTGAGCAATCTAAAGCTGAAGAAGCTTTATTACGTAATTTGACTGGATATAGTGGAAATATAATAACAGATAAGTTACCTCAAGAAGATACACTTGAAGACAAGTGGGCATTTTTCTTTAGATATGCAGAACCATGGACTAAAAATGTTTGTAAGTGGGAAGAAATTAGAGAGTTTTGCTCAAATTTTCCAGTTGAAGATAATAATAAATGTATAACTTATGAATTAGAACACATTATAAATAATACTTCTTCATCATTAAAACTACCTTTATATCCATTTAAACCAGAAATGGCAAATACAGATATGATTGAATTTTATCGGTTTAGAAAATGTAAAGAAAAAGAAAATGATATTATTTATCAAGATAAGTAATTTTGTATAAACATAAAGTTTAGCATGTAAGGTAAATCTTAAATATTGGCGGATAAAGAATTTTTTTTCTTATTTATATAGCATTAATTATTTTAAATAATGGAAAGTGATTATGAAGAGAGTATTTTTGGTCATGATATATCTTTTAGTAAGAAGAGTGTAGCAAAACGTCTTGGAATACAAATTAAACCATCTGTTAAGTATAAAAGTGTGCAAAAGGAATTAACGAATAATGAAAAAACTTTGATTGAGCTAAGTAGCAGTAGTTCAGAAGATGATAATAAAGAAGACAATATAGATAATTCACTACCTAAGGAATATGGCTCACATGCAACGTCAATATCTTCTTCATCAGAAACATTAAGAGTGAATGTAAAGGTGTATACTAGACAAGGTGCAGATATAACTGTGATAAAAACATTAATAGTTACATTATATAGAAGCGATTTAATAATGAAATTAGTTACATTTATATCTAATAACTTATTACCTATGGTCAAAATAGAAAAAATCAAGGTTTTTTTTGATGGAGATTTATTAAACTATTCAGATAACTTTAACTCTATAGGGATTGAAGATAATGAACAACTAGATGTAAAAGTTCCATTTGAATGCACATGGAAAATTTAAAATATATAATATAATATTAATAATTGAATTATTATTGAATTCCTCTATTTGAATTTATATTCTTTTCATATGGAGCATTTATTGGTGGTTGTACTGGTTGTAATGGGGCTGAATAATTTGTTTCATAAGTTCTGTCTGGATCATTAATAGATAAATCACCACAAGCAATAAATGGGACACTAAATGGATCAGAAATTAGATCTCTTGTTAATTTCGCACTATTAAAATTTCTACATACAATAAATGCTTCAAGACTTGAATTTCTGGAACTAGCAGGTTTACAACAGTCAACATATTCAAAATAATAAAACATTTGTTGATATATGAATGCAATATTTTCACCTCTAAATATCTTAGCAACAAATGACCCACCATCACAAAGTAATTTAGTTGTGATACTTAATGCAGATAATAATAATTGATTTTGTATAAATTCATCAATATCATGAAACCCTGTAACATCTGGTGCACCATCGCATAATACCAAATCAGCTTTTTCTCCCCCAAAATAATCAAGAATAATATCAACTGTATTCTGTGATGTAATATCACCTTTTATTATATTAACACCTTCTATTGGAGCCATATCTTGTAAATCAACAGAAACAATTAATGCGTTATTATTTTCGTTGCAATTTAATTTTTGAGATAAAACTTGACTCCAACTACCAGGAGCAGCACATAAATCTACAGCTCTATTTACCCCCTTAAAGATTGGATAATATTGATCAACTTGCAATAATTTATATGCAGATCTTGCACGATATCCTTCTTGTTTGGCTCTTCTATAATATATATCTCTTCTATCACGGCTAAGTTTCCCCATATATTTGAATAAAACCTTAAAGAGAAAAAATATTATTTATCAAGTTAAATATTTTAATATATTAACCTTATATATTTTAATTTATTACGCTACAATTGATATTATTACTAAATAAACCCAATTTTAAGATAATATTGTTGCTTTTATATAAAGCGGTCAGGAAAAATCGGGGCTAATTGTATTGATAATAAGCAATTTAACATAAAAAAAAAAGATCAAGTACAATGTAAAATATATACAATACCATTCTCTAACTAATATATAAATATTTTCTGTATATTCTTAGCAAATCAAGCTATTACAGTTATAAATTATACAATATTATTTAAATATTTTATAGTACAAGAAAAAAGAAATTTATATACTACATTAAATTCATCTTAAAAACATTAACGCAATAAGTATATATACTGTGTAATATTATAAAGGATATTATTGAAGTAAGTTCTGAAGATTAAATATTATACGAAAATTAAGTAAGTATTTGTCATAATAAAATTAAATATTTATATTACTAATGACATCTTATTGATCTTTATGAAGAAAAGATCACAATTTCTAACTAAAATATATTTGGAAAAGATTCACCTATCAAAGTTATTTATCGAACTTAATGTCTAATTTAACCGAAATATCAATAGTAAAATAAAGTATACTTATTTACTTACCAAATATTTGAGAATATTTTATTAGGGTTATTTCAATATTAGATATATCTGAATTTTATATATATAAATTAATTTCAAATATATCATTAACTTTAAAAATATTATTTCAATATATTATTACATAATTGTTTACAGAATCAAAATTCAAATAAAAGATTTTGTCTCTAAATATTATAATTACAATCATATATAATATTAGAAATATCATATTTATATAAAAAAGAAGTAAACGAAAAACTTATTCAAATATAATGATTAAGTTATATTAATAATAATATGCAGCTATTTACTCTTTATTAATATTTTTGATTTAAGGATATTAATATTGCAGGAATCTACAGTATAAAGCCTTTTATAATATTAATGCCATATATAAATCTTATTTTTCATTTTAATCAATTATAATACATTGTGATATTAGATTAATTTATAGTCTAAATTTACCAATTGTGATATAAAGATTAAAAAGAAAAATGTAAATATTAATTTAAATAATCCAAAAATACTAGTATTTCATTATACAGTTAATATTATCTTTTCATATTAATCTAAATAATATATATAAAAAGTAAGAATTCCAGATATTCAGAGAAATTCCAATGACAATCTATAAGATTTAGGTTTCTTCAATATACCCTTAATATATTCTCGTAAAATATATGTAATAATTAGTTATACCAGTATTTTACTATAAATCTTGTATATAATTAGATATACTAAAAATTCACTTATTTCATAATTTACTAGTAAATACTTATTTAATAGATAAATTAAGTACAAAATCTTTAATTGGTTTATCTAAAAATTTTCTTAAATTATTGCAAATTTATGCGTAAGACAAGGCGGATCATGCGAAAAGTATAGGTATCGAATACTTAAGTAATGTAATTGGTGAATAAATTTTCTAACATTAAGTAGAAATTCTGTAAATAATATACATTAGCAATAAAATATATCTTTGGAAAGATATCCACTAGAAATGGTTAATATTAAATCACCGAAGAAAGATATTTCGGTTTTTTTCCAGTGCTTAGCTCCAAAACCTGAAGAGGTATTAGAAGATATTGTATTTCATCCAGATTCAGTTATACTTCCACCTGTTTCAGCAGTTCCATTTGATTATTATCCATATTCTCCATGTTATAAGTATCCGGAAGTTACATGTAGTTACCCTTTTGTTTCTTCACCACCATATGCTGTTCATTATATGACTAATTTAGGAGTTCCTAGTATCTTCCATCCTTTAGATATCAGCCCAGAACAGAGAAAAAATGTATTTCAAAGGAACATTGGTAAAAATAGACATATTCATGTAGAAAAAGGTGAAGAAAATTTGGGAAAGTTCTGGTCGGCAACTTATCCACAACGACCAGTGGGTTGTATGGGATAATTACATAAAATTTATCAAAATTAAATTAGAAATATCTATTAGCAACTTAAGGAAGATAATTTATTATTTTATTCCTTTTCTTTATTGAAAACTCTTTTATTAATAATAGACAATAGATAATCTACTATATAATTAACTGTTAGTAATGCTCCAAGCCCTTCTTCACCACAGGCTAATTCTTTGTAAATTGGTTCAACTATTATGAAACCAAAAGTTTTTAGTCTATTAATTTGAATATCTGTTATTGGATGAGACCACATCATTGTATTCATAGTAGGAAATACAATGATAGGCTTTGAGAAGTCCCATGCTCTAGCTATATTTGTCTAAAAAAGTGTACAAATAATTTTTAATACATGATAGGAGAACAATTTTAATAATAGATTGACTTCTCAACTTACCAATAGATTGTCACATAGACCATTAGCTAATTTCCCCAGTGTATTTGCTGATAATGGTAAAATAATAAACATGTCTGCCCATTTCCTTAGTTCTATGTGAATAATTGGATCTCCTTTAGATTTCCAATTAAGTTCTTCCTCATCACTTATAATATTCATATAAGTTGAGTTAAAAAAGTGAGTTGAAGATTTTGTGACTACAATTTTGGTGATGATTTCAATATTAAGTTTCTTAGCAGAGTTAGTTAATAACTTGATAATATCTTCAGTTTTAATTGCAGCTACGCTTCCCGATATTCCGACTAGAAGATTATACTGAATCATTTATGAATATCAAGTATTTTATTATCAAATTATACTAAAATTAGAATTATTTTAAAGGAATATTGTCAATATAAAAAAAGAAAAAAAAAGTTAGAATAAATGCAGAATTGCTCTAGACATTAAAATTAATACTATAAATTTAGTGGAAAAAGGAAGGACATACTCCAGAGGATTGTCGAGCACAGTTCAGCACTGCCCCCCCTCCATAACTCCGAACATAACATCCCTCCGGTGCTTTGGGTTACAGGAGATGATGACCTCTATAGTTGCCTGCTGGCAAGACAGACAGGACTTCTTCCCCCCTAAGCCCAAGCTAATTACTCCCACGCCGGGAATCGAACCCGGGTCGCCCGGGTGAAAGCCGAGTATCCTAGCCCCTAGACTACGTGGGATTACATACTCTCGCCCTCTAAATAAATTAATATTATAACTATATAAGTGCCTTAAAAAGGTCAGATATTATTATTAAAATAGGCTCTAAAAAATAAACTCCTTTTTTAAAAAGGGTAATATTTTATTATTATTATACTATATGTGTAAGGTTTAGTATGATACTTGTGAAATATTAGAAATACTAATTTTAGCTTAAGTTACTTTTTTTTTAGTTATAATATCTTTTATAATATCTATTTATAATAGTTAATCCTGCATTCTGACAAATTCTATTAAAAAGGGGAGTTTTTATACTCTAAAATTTTTATCTATGTATCCATTTATTAAAGAAACTATCTTTTTATTTCACTGTTTAGCTATTTTAAGATATTAAGTGATAGGCTGTGTATTTATACTCAATTTATTATAAAAAGTATTATTTAAACAAATAGCTAGCTTAAAATATATTGTAATTAGATAAATATTATTGTATAGTATATAGTCCTATTTTTATTTTTAGCTTTATAATACCTTGAAGATAAAAGTAATCGATAAATACTAATAATATATTATATAGTTCTAGTAAAATATAAAAATATACTTTTAGATTAATTATAGAGATATTGATAAACTATTTATTTAAGTAAAGAATTTATTTATATTTATTTGTATAATATATATTAGAAGAATTAATTAAAATGTTTTATAAAGAAATTTAAAAGACTATTCAACATTACTTTTTATTATTATTATTACTTAGGGTATTTTTAATATAATACCTAAAACAACAAATAAGAATAATAAATTTGCCAAAAAAAAAGTTTATATTTTCAAAACTCAATTATTAATTATTTCTTTAATATTTTATTTTATAGGTTATAAATATTTAAAATATTACCTAATAATATATTTGATAAAAATAATCTTTTACAATAAAATCTACCTTTAATTTATACTATATACTATAATTGATTATAATTTATTTAAAAACTCAAACCTGATCTAATATTTGTATAATTTCAGAAGTTTCTCTATTAATAGAAACCTTCTTTCAATCATTATTAAATTTTATCTTAAATTAAATAAAGAATCCTTAATATTTATTAAGGTATAAGGTATTTTGACAATATAAGATAATATACCAAGTATATAATAGAGATCATCTCTTTAAAGAAAAGTATTAGTAACAAAATCTTGGCAACTATTAGATTTTTTCCATAAATAAATATTATTATGGATATTTATTTATAAACTATTCCTAATTATTTCTCTTTTTTTAAAGTTAAGATACTAACAATTTACAATACTATATCTCTTATTACTATTCCAAAAAAAAAGAAAAAATAAATCTCATATCTTTTCTTAAATTCATAGTTTAATTATTTTGCTTTATTATTATTATTACTATTATTTTTCTTTTTATAAAAGAGAATAAATTAATAAACATTAGTTATCTAAGCTACATTAAAATTAGTACTTCTAACTACTACTTTTTGATGCTAAAGTCCTTGATAACCAATCAAGACCTTCATACAAACCATCACCAGATGTTGCACATGTAGATTGAATGTACCAATGTCTATTCCGAATATTACTTAATTGAAGTTTCTCTGTAACATCAGTAGCACTCATAGCATTTGGTAAATCTTGCTTATTTGCAAATACTAAGAGGGCAGCATCACGTAATTCATCTTCACTAAGCATCCTTGCTAATTCATCTCTCGCATCATTAATACGTTCTCTATCATTACTATCAACGACAAAGATTAAACCATCAGTATTTGAATAATAGTGTCTCCATAATGGTCGAATCTTATCCTGACCACCTACATCCCAAACTGTAAACGATATATTCTTATATTCAACAGTCTCAACATTAAACCCAATTGTTGGTATTGTTGTCACTACCTCACCTAGCTTTAGTTTGTATAAGATAGTTGTTTTACCAGCAGCATCTAACCCAACCATTAGAATTCGCATATCCTTCTTACCAAATAAATTTCTCCATATCTTTGTTAATGCTAGTCCCATCGTTTAACAAACCTTAAAATAATCAAAAAATCTAATCTTCCAAATTTTTTATTTCTTTAGAGACGACCTATTTTATATACTCAAATTGACATTTATATTAGATAGCCCCACAAGCGCTGATATGTCTCTCTCGTGTAGTACTTAGTACTATACACTCACTCGCAATTATTATTAGTCACATTGATATATTAAATTAAATATCTGTACAGATAATATACAGAACAAATCTCTTAAAAGTCTGAATCTGAATCTTAAGAAAAACCAGAGGATCTAGTTAGGTTTACTAGTTGATAACAATAATAAACTAATACTTAGATATTTAGTAGAATATAGATACACATGATCTAAATTTTTTATTATCAAATAGTATCCATACTTTCTCCTATATAAGATATCAAAATATTAGTGTTAATTTATGTATTATTTATTCTATATCTCTACTAGGGAAGATAACCATAATATTGGGATATTTAGTATTATCTAAGTCTATATTATAAACAATATTTATAAAAAGAAAGAGTATTAAAACTATACCAACAATAATATTACTTTATTTTTCTTTTAGTAATATTAATAAGGAACCTTAGGGTTTTATAAGTATAAAGAAAAAAAGTGTATCATATGGCGCCATGTTTGTTTTGGCGCTATAGGGTGCACTTTTTTTTATTGATTTTTTGTTTTGACCTATATAATGGCATGAAAAGTAGTAACGTAAGATATAAAATTAATGGGATTAAATTTTTGTAATATAAATTAATTAAAAAATGATTCAAGGAATATTAAATTATTGGTACTCTAATGGTGCTAATAACTATAGTGGAATTGAATCAAAAAGTGATACTGAATCTAGCTTAGAGAGTGAAACAAGTAGTGATAGTATAGATGAAAGTCATACATTAAATTGGGGATTTTTAGATTATGTTGAACATCTTCTTGTAGTATCAAGGTCTATGGAGGCTTCATCTGAATTGAACTCTACAAATAACCCTATATTTCAAAGTATATGGTCTAAAATAGATGATAGAGCTAATTTATTACATAGATTAATGTTACATAAGGTAAGTATAGAAATTTCAACTATATAAATACTAAAGATAATTATTTGAATAATTTTTTTTTATTTTCTCTTATATTATATATTGAATAGGCTGAAAAAATATATAAGAAAGGTATCAAGACAGTGAATATTAGGAATAACCAAGATATATTAAGGAATATACAACAATATTATTTTAATATTCAGGTTAATATTAAATTATTAAATAAACCGGAATTTAGTAATACAGAAATTAAAAAGATTGATTTAAAGACACTCATAGTTTTAGATTCAGAAAATTGCCAACAATTTGAAGATAAAAAGTCAAATAAAATAACAGCTATTGAAGCTATATATATAGAAGCTGCTAAATGTTAATTAGTGTTTAGAAGAATTATCCAGAATTTTTGTATTTCTACCTACAAAATTAAGTTAATTAGATAACTAGTGCTTAGTATAGCGCTAAACTTAACATTTTGAGCGTGTATTATTTTTATTATTACATAAGATAATAAGCAATATCTTTTATACTTTAGAGGGTAAATACTAGGAAGAGTTTTAAATTAGCAATTTTACCTAGAATGTCAAAATTACCAGAGTATGTAAAAGAATTTGCAGAAGAGTTATATAATCAATATGAGAGCCTATTAGACTATGAGAGACTTTTGGACGAGACTATAATTCAACAGAAATATAGCTTAAGTGATGTGTGGTTAACATTAATGGATGATAAAAGTATTAGATGTTATAGAAAAAAATTAAGAGTTCATGTATTTAATACTTTTACAAATCAGAAAGCACAAGATATAGAACTAGAATCATTTAATATGAATAATGATTGGACAAGTAAAAATCCACCATCATGGACATTAAAAATTCAGGGTACTATTTTACAAAATGAAAGTATATTTCCACGATTTACCTCATTATTTTCACGTATTGTAGTAAATTTATCTGAAAATGAAACAATAATATGGGATAAAAAGACTAGTCCATTACCTGAATGTGATGGATTAGAAATTCATAGAATAGGAGGAGAAGAAAAAAATATAGACATATATTTTTTTATTGATTATAGAATTCCACATTATAGCTTATCTAATATATTAGAAGATTTTATGGGTACAAGTATTTCTAGTTTACCAAATATTATTAAGAGATTATGGCAATATATAGAAATAAATGGGTTACATAGTATTCAACAACATCCAACTAGTATAAAACTAGATTCTTTATTAAAAAATATATTTTGTGAGGATATAGATATTATTCAATTATCAGATATCCCTGATTTACTTAAAAAACATTTATTTCCTCCAAAACCTGTCCATGTTTCTCATCATTTAACATTAAAAGGAGATTGGATTGATAATGAATCTACTTATGATTTTACTGTTGATCTAACCGAACATGTACCAGGAGATATAAATCTTTGGTTACCTAATATTTCAACAAGAATACAAGGAAATAGTGATTTTATAGGTATACATAAATCATTAGAAGAATTATATCACAAAAATCAAACTATAGTATCAAAAATATATCATTCTTGTAATAAACGAAATTTTTATCTTGGGTTTGCTAATAAACCTATAGATTTTATTCATTCATTATTAACTACAAAACATTTTCAACTTTATGGTAGTAATGCAGTTAATAATATTTTATCTGATCCTAATGCTCTTTATGAGTATCAAATAGCAGATAAATATGCAGAATATTATAGGCAACCATGGGTACCAAAAGCAGTACAAAAATATTTATTTGCTAAAAATAGAAATTTTGATGATAGGGTTAATAAAACTATTGCTTCTGTTTCTGCATATGAGAAACATAAAAGAAGACAAACTATTCCTCATGATCAACATCCTTCAAATAGAATACACTAAATAATAATTTCAATATAATTTAATGAGGTTCATATTGTGAAATATTTAATCTCCTTTTAAATATATAATACAAAATACTAACAATAAGTTATAATATAATCTTAATATTTAACTCTTAAAAAAGATAGAATTAATGTTATTAATCATTTCTAGAGTACTATAGTTTAAGTGAATAATTAAATTCTAAATTTCCATGAGTATTAGAAATCAAATAACTTATGTAATGATAGCAAATTTTCTTCTAGGAAAATTTAAAGCCTTCTTACTTGCCTTAACTGTTAATCTATTTGCTTGAGTAGCTGTTAAAGCACGTCTCTTTGCACGGGTTAACTTTGGACGTAAATCAAGAGGTACATATTTACGATTTGCATATTGTTCTCTCAATGCTTTCTTTGATCTCTGAGATAAAATTGTCAATATACGTGCAATTGCTTTCCTAACAATACTAATTCTTGATAACTTGTTTGGAGCTGTACCAGTTGATTGTATAACTCTTAAGTTTGCTAATTCTTTCTTTAATTCTACAATCTTTGTCATCAATTCTGTCTCAGATAAAGAAATTAATTCACGAATATTTACTCCACTTAATTTTGTCATCTTAAATAATGCTTAATAAAATTCTATCTAAAAATAATCTTAATATAAACTTTCCTATTTTAAAGGAAGAGTGTCTATTATAGTATTCAGTACCAGTATTTATTATGGTACCCGGTTATAGAATATTGATGTAATAAAATATTTTCCGTCTCAACCGCCAAAATTATAATTCTCGGTTTTTATTAAAAGGGAAAAGGGAATAGGGACATATAAAAATTAATTTAGAAAAAAAAGTTAAAATAACATATGTAAGTTAACTAATATTAAAAAAACATATATATATATTAATTCTATCTAATTTATTGTACTTCGATCTATACTAATTCTTGAAGGACTACATAAGGATTTTAATAGAATTGCACTTTTCAACCACAAATATTCTATTTTATCATCTATTTTATGTTGAGGTGATATCCCCCATATTTTACATTGATAATTCCTCTCAATATTTGCAATATTCTGGACATACTTTATATTATACTTTTTATCAAATAAATCTATACCTGGTTAAAATAAAATTATATATAATTTATTATATTGTTACTTATTTCTCCTTTTTCTTATAATCACTAAATTCTAAACTTACCAAGAATACAAGAATTAAGCCATTGACAAATTGTATTAAGAGCAATAAGTTCCCATATATTTAGCATATATAACTTCTTTTTTAATTTATATGAAACATCAATATCCATATCATATTTATTAAAATAATAATTATTAATAAAATTCAATTTCATATTATATGATTTTGAAAAATTCTCAATAATTGGCTGCATAATTTCTTTATAAATATTATTTAGTTTATTATCTTGATATAATGTTAAAACAAGATCATTTCCTAATAAATTTAATATCTCATTTATTAAATGATATTTGTATATATTTCTTAATTTTATAAAATCTCCTTCTGGATCTTCTTTATACTTTTCTATTGCCCACTTTATAACATTATTTGTAATCCAATATAATGGTGAAATATTTAAATGTTTTCTTTTTTCTTCCCTCATAAGTGCTAAGACAAGATTCTTTGTAGGTAATATTATATTAGTTCTAATAATATAATGTTTATTTAATATTAATAAAAAACCAAATTTTAAAATTATTATTTATTTCAAATAACAATAATTAATAATAAACTAACCCAGTTGTACATAACTTCCACCAACAATATCTATATTCTTTATATCCTGTAATCAGGCTACTCCATTCTGGAGCCCTTACTTTAGTAATACAATTTTCAATAAGTAATTTTTTTTTAATCATATATTCATATTTTAAGATCTTTCTTATATATCTAATAGTATTTCAAATTCAAGTTATTTTCACTTCTAAGACTTTGAGTAACACCGCCGATTTCTATGCAATAATCCTTAATTATTTACACACAAGAGTATTATTTTGTACACAATACTACATTACTATTTACTTTTTATATAAAGAAAATAGTAAGATGAAACTATTTATATTTACTTTTTTTCTTATATATTTATATTCAAATTATATAACATGTCAAAATATTTTAGTTGATAATTCAAATGGACTTCAATATTCGAATAAATATAATAATTTATTAAATAATTCTAAAACTACTAAGCTTGGAATAAGAATATTAGATACACAAAATTCTTTAATTCCATCAATTAAAACAGTTGGAAATACTGTAGAAGATCATGCTTCTAGCTTATGGAATTATTTATCAACTGGTGCTAAAATTGGGACAATTATTGGAGTTATTGCTGCTTCTATATTTATTATTATAGGTATACTATATTGTTTATGTTTCTTTAAGTTATGTTGTTGTAACTGTTGTATAAAATAAAGCAATATAAATGGTTATAATAGTTATGATTACTTTCTAATATATAATTTAATTAATTAACCATTTATAAAGTTATTAATAGTTAAGTTATAATAAATAATCTGTCAATATATTTAAAAGAAATCAACATTAAGTTAATATTTTCAATATAATCTAAATTATAATATTTAAATTGGATTATATTTCATTTTTAGATCTTTAATACTGTAAAATATAAAATAATTCGTTATTGCATCAAATGGTTTGGCGTCACTTTTGCCCGCCTTCATGCAAAATTTTGTTAGATACAGGTACATGTATGACAATAAACAGAAATTTTGACTGTAGAAATTATTAGCTAGATGATAAATATAAAGAATGATAAATTATATAATATGATGTTTAATAAATATGTATATGACCCGAGATATTTCCCTCCTTTTTCAAGTCAATTTCAACAATTATATAATAGCTCATATATTATACATAATAATTTATGTTCACCAATATATTTAAATCCTCAGCAACAATTATATACGTGTGGAGCATCTCAGATTTATAGTTACCCAAATTTTTATCAAAATATGGTGCAACAACAAATATTAATAGAACAACAAAAACAATTAATAGAAAGCCAAATACAACTCCAAAGACAATTACATAAATTACATTCTGCAACTCTTAATGAAAAACAAACTTCATTTTCAATTTCTCAAATACAACATGATAATAATGCAACATATGTAGTAAAAACATCTACTAATAATATATCTTATGAGGATAGTATTATACAATGTAATATGATAAATCCAAATATTAATATTGATACAGAGTACCGAGATGAATCTGAAATTGAAGTAATAATTAGAAATGATGACCAATATGTACAGTTAGAAGTATTAGGTGATGAAGATTTGAATGATGAACAGATTTCATTTGAACCAGTAAGATCTGAGATAGTTGAGATAATTTTAGATGATAATATTTCAATACATTGTAATGAATTAGCTAATATGAAAGATAAAAAAGCTGAGGAATATACTAAAGAAGGAATTATAGAAAATAATCAATCAGTAGGAATAACAGTTTCTAAAGTTGAGCTTATTGAAGAGATAATTGAGCCAATTTCAAACTTGTATGAGTTAGTAAATAGGCAACAGAGCGAATTTGAACAAAATGAAGATAGTAATAATGAATGTAATTATAATAATGATATTGAAATTAATAATAATCATAATAGTATAATTAATGAAATTAAAAGTGATAATAAAAACTATGAAAATAATAAAATAGAAGAAAATGAATCTAAACTATTAAGAAATAAAACATGTGAATCTAATAATATATCAAATAATTTATTATATACTACATCAAAATTAATAAATAAAAGTAATTGTGAAAATACCAGTTTAGATAGTATTAACCAAATCAATTTATTAAATAATAATAAAGATATTAAATTATCAAATTTGAATTTAGAAGATAATACATATACTAATATAAATTCTTTAAATCCACAAGATTTAGATACTACTTTAACTCCTATAGAAAATAATATAAAGGCAATTAAAGTTAAAGATAATGTTAAAGAAAATAATTTTATTACGGAAATAGAATCAAATAACGAATCTAATATTGAGTCAGATTGGGAAAATATTTGGGAATCATATTATAGTTCCAAATCACCAAATATTATAAATGATGAGACAGACTCTTTATGTTATAGTTTATTAACAACATCAAGGACTGATATTGAACAAGATAATCTAAATCAAAATGAATTAATTGATTCAGAAAGATATCTTTATAAAATTACAAATAAATCTGAAAAAGAGATTTTATTTAAACTTTCTCAATGTAGAGTAATTAGTTCTAAAATAATGAGAAATTCTTCAATGAATTCACCTATTGAAAATAAATCAGATGAGATTAATAATGAAGTTATAGATTTCAAAGATATATCAAATAAATTATGTAGTAAATCAAATAATAATATCTTTCTTGATGAAATGGATTTAGGATTTAGATCTCTAATTAATAATGGATTAAAATTAGATATATCTGAAATGGCTAAACCTAGGATAATAAGGAAATAAAAATTATATTATGAAAAAGTAAATAAGTAATTTAAAAAAGATAAAAGAAATATTTCAATATAAATTGTTATATAAAATTAAATAGCATTAATAGAGGCTTTATGTCTAAATTTATGTTTTATTCTTTCCGCTGGATGATAACAAAATTGGGTACCAAATAACAATATTTTATAATTATCCAAATGTATCATAAAAGTACAACCAGATTTTATTAAGGTACGAACTTTATTATCTTTAGAAATAATTACAAATGTTTCTTGGGTTTCCTTTATTATAATACCCTTCAAATTAATATATCCCTTATTATTACTTCTAATAATTTCTAATAAAGCTCCATGAAAATCACATTGGGTTATATAATTACAAATTTGGGATAATTTTGTTATATTTTCAGAATTTATTGATATAATATTATTTATATATTCTTTCCAAAGTTCATTTAAAAAGATAAAATGTTTATAAGATAAATTATTGACTCGAATATCATCAATAATATCAGATAAGTTACTATATTTCATTGCTTTTTTATTTTTTTTAGATGTTTCACAATCAGATTTTTCTATTTTCTTCTTATCTAATCTAATTATTTTAGTAGCTATACCACTCAATTTTGGATTATTATTAAAGTTACTATTCAATATATCTTCTGAAATATTATTAGAATTTACGAATTTATTGATTGACTTAATAATATTATTATGTGTTGGAGTATTTATCAAGGACTTCTCAAGTGATTCTGTTATATTCAACCATTTCTTACATATCTCCAAATTATCCAAGGGATTATAAAGTAAATGACTTGATCTATCCATCGCTATATTAAAATAAAATTAAAAAAAGAGAAAAAAGAAAAAAAAGATGAAAGAAACAGGATCTTTCTAGTTTAATTTTTTACAACCTAATAATTTATTATACAAGAGACATCTTAGCGGTATCGTGGTATTATCTAAAAAATTAAAGATACACGTGATAATTTTCTAGATTTTACAATAAATAGTGTAATTTTTCTGTTAATTATGAATAACTTTAACTTTATTATTATTATTAAATTATTACTTAATATTAACTACATCCTAGACTTCATATATCTTAACCACAATTCTTTAAAAACATGATAATCATCAAATAAATCAGGTTTAAATTGAAATATTTTATCTATATAATTCTTAATAAAATCATCTTTTGGATATTCATCAAAAATCCATGAAATATTACAAACCAATGAAGAAAAATATATTGTAGATAATTTTAATTTAAAATTTGGTACAATATCTTTAAAAATACTCATATGTTGTTTATAAGTAAAATATTTATTAAATGAAGAATCTTTATTATTATAAGTAAGATAATACAACATACAAATCATTGAATATACATTAAATTTTATTTTCTGTATATTTGTTATAATGTCATTAAATTTACCAAAATAATAATATCTGAAATATAATTTATTACTAATTAAAATTGAATTTAATAAATATTTAAAATGATCGATATCTTCTGAAGTTAATTGAAATTTATTTATTAAATTATATTTATAATATAAATCTTTTGTTATATTATTTAAATTAAATTTTATATCTATAATATCTGAAGATATAAAGTATATTAATATTTGAGATAATAAATATTTCATACATATCCATAATGAAATATCCCAAGGAGTTATTTCAATCATTTTAAATGTTAAATTAATAATAAAACATATTAATAATGATAATCTATAATTTTTATAATAATTATTATTATTTAAATATATCTTATTTGATAATTCTATTAATTTATAGATAATCTTCACTTTACAAGGATCACCACATAATTCTGATAATTTTTTTAATATTAAATTAAATTCATTTTCAAATAAAAAATCTAAATATTCATTATCATATTTTGAATCAATTATTTTATTAGTTGCTTTATCTATTATTATATAAAAAAAAGTTTTAGTCATTTGAAAATTTGGATGTTGTAATAAATTCTTAATAGGTAATGATATTAAATATAACTCCAAAATTATTTGTGGTAAAATAATATTAGAATCTAAACAATATTTCATACAATTCTTTACTTCTTCTATATTAATATTTCCTTCTTTTAATAATAAACTTAATATTAAATAAATTGGATTATTTATCATTTTCCATCTTATTCCTTTTGATTCTAAATCTTGTAAAGCTAAATATTGTTCATTAAAATTAAAAATACTAATAATACTATTCATTATATATTCCCTTATTATTAAATTATGTTTACCAATATTATTTAAAAGTAAAATCCAATTATTTCTTGTTTTGTTAGATATTAATATTTTCATTACATAATCTAAACATTGTAAAATTTCAAGTGCAGTAATACTTCTATAATGATCTGATGTTACACTTTGAACAAGAAGTCCTAATAATTGTAAAATTAACTTTTCATTTTTATTATTAAAATTTATTTCCCAATTTATTAGATATATTATTTGTCTTCTTAAAGTATTTAAAATGCCTAAATTACCCCTTCCACCTAAGAATTTTCCCATATATAAAAAAGAATTTTTTCATATATAAAAATTATTTAATTACCTTATATATATTGTTATTATATTTTTAAACACTTTTTTTTTCTTTTTTTTAATAATAATAAATCTTTATATCTTCTATAAGACAATCAAGTTATTAGATTTTATTATTATTTAGCGCCAAATTGTTTATGAATATTTTTTACTATTTAGCGCTAAAATGTTTATGAATATTTTTTTATTATTTAGCGCCAAAATGATGTTTATGATTATTTAAATTATTGTAATTTGAAATGGATAGTGATAATTTCATTAGAGTTGATAATAAAGTTTATTTACCCGGTGATGATATTGAATTAGATGGAAAAAAACATATTTGTAAGTATTTACATATTATTGGGGATAAAAAGGGACTTATTAATTTCAAATTATATATTATTATTTAGGTAAAAATAGTGGAATTAAATGTAGAACATATTATTGGCCTTATAATGAAATAATTATTGGATTAAATGGTATTGTAAGTAATCATATTATCTAATATTTATTTAATCTATTATTAAAATAATTCTATTAATATAAATCTATTTATTAATTTTTAGTATATTCCAAATAAAGGTGATATAATTGTAGGGACAGTATTAAATAAAATTGGAGATCTTTATAAGGTAAGTTTTAATAAAGATGTATATTTAACTTCTTTATTTTTTTTTAATATTACAAATATTTAATTTATTATTAGGTATCAATTAATGCTCCATATAATGCTATATTACATAATATGGCATTTGAAGGTGCTACAAAACGTAATAAACCAAATATAGATATAGGTAATCATATTTGTGCTAGAATATCATACTCTGATATATCTAGTGGTGAAATTGAATTAACTTGTATAACTCCTGAAGAAAAACGTATATGGACAAGTAATGAAAATTATTTGGGATTGTTAAAAAATAAAAATATAATAAATATCTCAAATAATACTAAAAAAATTTTAGATAATAAAAATATACAATATAAATGTATTAAAGATGGAATAATTATGAATATACCTATATCTTTAACAAATATATTATTAGCTGATCATTGCTATATACTTAATACAATTTCAAAATATTTCCCATTTGAAATATGTGTTGGACAAAATTCTATAATATGGTTTACTGCTTCAACCGTACAACAATTATTATTAATAATGAGTTCTTTAAAAATAGCTAATAAATGTTCTAAATCAGAGGTAAGATTATAAAGTAATAATTTTATTTCTCTTAATATATATTAATTTTTCCTTCATTTCTTTTTCTTAATAAATATAATTTTTAGTTTGAAGTTATAGTTGAAAATTTTTGGAATAAGATAAGAATTGAAAATAATAATCATTTATAAATATTACTTATCCTAATTTATGAATCTCTTTTATATTTATTTAAACGATTAGATAAAATATCAAGTTTATTAGCTAAAAATGAAGAAATTGGACCAGAATTATTTGGTATATATAATTCTGAATTATAATTATCTTGATGTGAATTTGAAAAATATGTTAAATATTTTAATTCATTATTATTATATTTAATTTCTAATCCATTATCAAATATAGATAAAATTTCTTGTTTAATTTTCATATTATAAATCCAATCAGGATTATCCCTTATTTTAATTATTATTAATTTTAAAGATATTCTTCTATTTTCAATCCAATTATTAGAAAACCACTTAATATTATTTTTTAATGTTTTTTTATCATTGAATTTATTAGATCAATATTATAGTGAAATATCCAGTGAATATATTCTATTAGATACAAACCACAATCATATCCATTATATTGATTAGGTATATTATATGGATTATATATAATATACCAATCATTTGATATATTTTCTGAGAAAATAAAACCATCTCTTCTCATATTTTCATATTCATTATTATAATTATATTCAATATTTAAAAATTTTAGAATATTTATAATTGTTGCTTGTTTTTCTGATTTTTTTACATTTGTATAACCAAGAGAATCTAAACAAATAATCCAACCTATTGATGATTTTAAAATACATTCATTATTTTCATTATATTCATTTAGTATATTTATATGTTTATCTTTATTAGAATCTTTTATAATTTTAATACCTTTTTTTGGAAAACATATAATTAATATCCACCAATGACAAGTATTACTATGTATTGGTATTAATATAAAGTCATGTAATAATAAAGGAAATGTTAAACGTTTTATCCAACGTCTCATATTAATATATTCTTCTTTTTTACTACATTTACTTAATAATACATTAAAAAGTGTACTAAATATATTCCATGTATAATTATTATGAGATATACAAAATTCTTTTATAAATCCTAAAAAAAAATCCAGAATAGAATCATCTAAATAACCACATCCTTCAAGTTGGGTTAATGCATTCTTAGTATCTAATATAAATGATCTAAATCTTATCTTATCTTCATTCATATATAAGGTTTCATAATTATTTTATTAAATTTAAATTTAAGAAAAAAAAAAATAAATATAGCGGGTAAATTTTTATTTTATTTCTTAATCCCCCCTCTCTCTCCTTTCCTAGAATTTACCACCTTATTTAAATAATATTGAAAAAAAAAATTTTGAATCATTATTCTTTAATAAAATTTAGGCGGTAAATTAGGTAAGAATTTATTTTTAATTTTTATTTATTAAAAGAAAAAGAGAACAAAAAGAGAAGAATAAAAAGGAAAAAAAGTAAGAATAAAGATTATTCATGATCTAACTTAGACATAATTAAATAAAAATGTCGGATCAAGAAAATAAAATAAAAAGTATTTCAGTTATAGCAGATCCAATATTGGAAGGAAAATTATTGGAACGTTGTTTAAAACTCTTAAGAAAAGTACATGAATATGAAAGAGAATCTAAAGAACAATCTGGAATCAAAAATAAAAGATTTATACGCCGAGGAGTTCATGAAGTAACTAAAAGTATAAGAAAAGGTCAAATAGGTATTGTCTTCTTAGCTTGTGATATTTATCCTGTAGATATTGCTGCTCATATACCAATATTATGTGAGGAAAAAGATATTTACTATGGTTATTTGGGTAGTAAAAGGACTTTAGGGGCAGCTTGTAAGTCAAAGAGACCTGCAAGTGTTTTAATGATAGCATTTAATAAGGGTCAAAGTGTAAAAGATAAACCATTTGAGGAGTTATATCATAAAGTAACATCGGGTATTAAAAAAATACATCCATATCTTTAATTTAATAATAATAATAGTAATAGTAATAAGATTTCTTAAGAAAAAAAAAGGAAATGAAAGTAGAAAAAAGAAGAGAAGAAAAAAAAGAAAATATATACTTTGTAGACCTATAAATCATATTAATTAATAAATTATTGATATCTTATTTGTATTCAAAGCCTTTAATATTATAATATTCCATTATATTTCATTATTAATTATTTCATTAGAGTCTATAGTCTTAATAGAATAACATGAATCATCTTCTGTTGATAGGATCTTTATTTTAGGTTTATTTAGTGAATTCATTGATGCTATATTTGGTATCTTATCTTGAATTAATTTGTAAGATGATAGATTTAATAAATTTCTTAATTGTAAAAGTATTAAATTTTTTTCTTTATCTATAATAATAAATAATTATTTTGAAATATGATAAATAATTAATTATTATATAGTTACCTGATAACTTAAGATTATTATCTAGTATATCTTTAATCTTTATCTTTCTTATAAAAGTAGGGAATAATGATAATATATATTCAGCATATAAGGTAAGTTTCTGTTTTTCTTGATAAGTTGCAAAATTAATTTGTTTTTCATATGATTTTGTTAAAAATTTTAATATTTGTGAATCTAAAGATAAAATTTATTTTAATTATATATTCCTTATTATTAGAATGACAATATCATAGTTATAGTTTAGTTTTGTATTTTTGTTTTAATTTCACTTCTCTTATTTTCTTTTTTTGTATTATATATGTTAATACTTACCAAGATATTTACTTTCAGTATTAGCTATATTATAATCTTGATTCTCAAAATTATCCATATTCCAAAGAAAACCGTTTAATTTGATTTAGTTGAAATATAATATTAATAAAATTTCCTATTTTTATTTAATATTTAATAAACAAAAAAAAAAAAGAGAAAATTACTTTCCTCTTAGACCAATCTACGCGCGTACTATTGTTATTTTTACTTTATTAGTAAAAATTATTAATAAACAAGAATTATAGGAATTACAATGCTGTATATATAATGAATAAACGCAAGGAACGTCCAGATTATGAATTGGACCAATTTATAGATAAACGACGTAATCTTGAGGCAGTTGTAACCATTGAGGAATCATATAATGAATTGCGTACAAAGTATGAAAATTTACAGAATAGCCATAATACATTACAAAAAGTAGTGAAATCTTTATTGGAGAAACTTCATTTACTTCAGGATTCATGTAATCAGAAAGATAAGGATATACAAGAATATAAGACTCAGTTAAGAAGATTAAAAGATGCAAATCAGACTCTTAATATATATATACAGTCATCTCATCCATCTGTAATGAATAATTTGACTAATACATTTGGTCCTGATGTATTCTAGTAGTTATTTAATTATATTATTATAATATTTATTACTATTTCATTATTCTCATAGTATTATAGATACTTTCTTAGCTTAGCAAGGATTTAATAATTTAGATAATATTAATATATGTATATATATAATATATACATATATATGACTGATAGTTTTATTTTAATTTGTTAAAAAAAAAAAGAAGGAATTATATTAGTATATAATTAATATTCTATTATATTGGAAATTTGAAATATTGACTTATTAAATATAAATATATATAGATGGAAAAAAAAGGATATTTCATTTATATATCGATATTATGAAATTCTTAATATTTAGAATTTATATTTAAGAAAAAATTTTAATAAATATTTTTCTAAATAATTTATCCCCTTTTTTTTTTTCTTATTTGCACACAATGATATTTATAAATTTTCAGTTTTTTTTTCTTAAATATATAGAAAAACTGAATTGTTTAAAAATAATATTATAGATCTTAATTAATAATATACTCTTAAAATGACTAATAATGAAATTATGAGTTTTGAAGAGATTGTATATCCAAATATTGAATTATATTGGAAATCTTTTTTATGGGAATTTCAACTTTCACATTTATATTTTAAAATAAATCGAGGTGATTGTAGGGTTATATTTTCATCTAGTTGGTTACCAAATATTAGTATATTACAAGTTTTAATATTTAGATTATTATGCTTATTAATAATTATAGTAACAATATTATATGATATTTCATTAGAAATTAAAATTTGGCATATAGAAAATATTGTAAGATATTACACTACAAATTGGTGCTGTATTGTAACAATTGGATACTTTTCAATTTTTACTTTAGCTTCTATAGAAGCTATAAATAGTATAAATATTTGTTTAGATGAAAAAATAAAATTGACAAATAATAATATAATATATAAATACCTTGAACAAGACAAATATATATATTTAAAGAATCAAACACAAGATAATTTAAATAAACATGAAGAAGAATCATTAATATCAAATAATGATAAAATAATACCATATGAAGAAAAATATCAAGAAGAAAATAATAATAAACAAAATTTAATAAATAACGATAATAATAGTAATAGTAATAACAATAAAGAATATGATATTTCAGAAACTCCCCATTTAACATGGATATGTTGGTGTGCATGGATGATCCAAAGTTTTTTATTACCTACTGGTTTAATCGTAAATATTGGATATTGGATGGTTTCACATCCAAATACAAATGTAACATTTATTCTAGCTATTGTTAAACATGCATTAGCAAGTTTATTTGTATTTTGGGATTCTTACACAACTTATCAACCATTTTTTTTAATGCATGGTTTATATTTATATATATATATAATAGGATTTCTTACAATTGTATGGATTAATGACTTCTTTCCAAATACAATTTTAAGATATTTACCAATAAATATGAATGGATTATATATATTTTTTAATTTTGATGATGATAAATATTTACAAATAGCTCCAAGTTTATTAGTTTTTATATTTACATTATTTTATCCTATGTTATTACTCTTCTTATGGTTTTTATTTAGAGATAAGAATTTATTGGTAGATCCAATGCCTAATTTAGAAAAATCCCGTTTACGTGCAAAATCTGACTATATATTTAGAAATAATCATAAAATATTTTACAAATAAATTTTAAGAACTATAAATTAAGAATGGAAAAAAGAATAAGAGATATTATTTAAATGAATTTCCTTTTTTTTTTTTTAATTCACTTTAAGATCTTTTTCTAATATTATAATTTAACTTTTTTAAATAATGATCTTTTTGTTGAATTATTTCTTTATTTTGATTATATAAATTTTATGAATATTTCATAATATTTAATACTACTAACTAATCATTTATGATTATGTTTATGTTTATATTTCTCCAATAACTTTATATATGTTCTTATTTTCAGATTCTTTTACATTTACATTTTTATAGAATTTCATTTTATGACTTAGGGAATACTAAAATATCCTTTAAGCTAATAATAAATAAAATTGGAATATTAATACTTGATATCTTATCTTATAAGAAAAAAATTTAAGATGTTGTATAAAAAGTAAAGATAGCTTAATAATTATTTATAAAAATATTTTCAAGTATTATTCCAGTAATTTTTCCAGGATTTCTAAATATTAAATTAATAGTTATTACTTTATCTAATGAACAATCAAATAAATAAATTTGATTAATATAAATTATACCATATCTCGAAATAATATAAATCCAGTATTACTTGAGAATCTTTATATAATCCCAATTCTGAAGATGTATTTTGAGAAATTCTATAACATCCATAAGATATAGTAAATATATTTACATTTAAAGTTATATACATTTCATAATAATTAATAATCTTAATGACTTATATTTCCTGAATTTCCATGAAATATAAATAATAGTTGGATATTTGTTAGATTTATTAAGAATATCTGGTTATATTAGAAAAATATCTTATTTCACTTTTTTTTTCTTTTTTTAGGAGCTTTATTATATTATTTATTATTAAAATTATTATTTATTTTATTATGAATAATAAATCAACCATAAAGTTTAATATTATCTTGAGTTATTATATAAATACCTTCTACATAAAGTCCTCTTTCTCTAACATATTTGAATTTTTAAATATTAAATAATAAATCATATTCATTTTCTTGGAAAAAAAAATGAAAAGTTTTTCTTGGAATAACCATAATAATATAATAAATAAGATGAATATAAAACTAAATAATATTATTTATAATATTTGTAAATATTAATGGTATCAACATTTTTTTTTTTTTTTTTAAATTATATTAAATCAATATTATACTATATTACTTACAAATAATCATATTCAGTCCTTTCTTTTAAAATTTCCCCTTCATATCTTGAATATGATATAATAAACATAATACATGGTATAATATAACAAACTTGTATAATAGATACAATTAAATACGATAATGGTAATTTAAATATATCAGTATTAATATTTTTAAAAATAAACATATTAATAAAAAGATTAATTGGTATAGCTGCAATAAAAAGTAGAGTAGCATGAAACATCATATTACTCATTGGTAATATTTGCCACATAAAAGTATTCCTCATTTTCTTAAATAAATATTTTGCAAGCATAGTGGGAGTTTCAAAAAATGAAATAATAGAAGAAGTTATAAATGGTATTATAACTAATCTATAATTTTGATGATAAAACCAAAAATACCATGTTGAAGCTGATAATAAATATGATATAAATACAGATAAGAATGATGCCCATGGAAAAATTAATTTTGAAAATTTTATTTTTGGAAATCCATATCCACCAAATAATTTACTAGGTGTATATACTGGAGTATATAAATTGGGTAAATCTTTATATTTCTCATTTAATAATTTAGTACCTTCATCAACATTAACTTTAGTAATATTTGGACATGTTGAGACTGTATGTTGTGTTGAACCTAAATGTGTTTCATAATAGACAATTGCAAGTTCACCTTTATCAGGAGCTAACCCTTGTAATGATGGTTTATTTTGTAATTTCTTTATTTTAGGAGTTCCAGTTGTAGGTGTTTCTTTTTCAAGATCTATAGTTTTTTCTATATAATCATAGATTTCTTCTTTATTTTTTTTATTATCCATTAAAATATTTGGAATTAACAGAATTAACAAAAAAAAATTAGGAATATAATGTTATTTAATTCTAAATGTTTATCAATAATATTAAATATAAAGAATTAGGAATGTTGTATTTTAAGATCTTAAAATACATATTTACAATATTCTAATATTTAAAGAGAATATCCCGCCATATGATTATTAGTTATAGGTCTTATTTATATTTGTCTAATATTTTTTAATAACCGCTTAGTAATCTTTTTATTTTTTATTATTAAGATGAATTTTAATGATTATTATTAATATTATTAATAAAATTAAACCAGTAATAATGATAATTTTATAATTTCCAGAAAATGAGGAAATAATAGAATTCTTATCATTAATATTATTTTCAATAACTAGATTTGGTGGAGTTGTTGTTCCTTGTACTTTATTATCATTTTGATTAATAGTAACTGGACCTGATATACCTGTTTTTATAGTTTCACCTTGTTGCACTACTTGTCCAGGTGCTTTTGCTGTAGGGGATGTTGGTTTATCTATACCTTTAAGTTGTATATCTTCAGTTATAGTTTTAATTTCACTTGTACTTCCTCTTGATACTGCACCTGATGATATATTTGACATTTGATTATTATTGACTGAATCTTTATTAATTTGATTAGATTTAGAATTCATTTGATTTTGTTCAGGTCCAGATAAGATTGATTTAACTTCTGAATTTGCATTTTCTAAATTAGCTTCATTATTATTATTTGTTAAATTAGAACTTAATGAATTCATTTCAAGTTGAAGTGATTTTGGATTTGGGAATAAACCAACTGGAAATGCTTGAATAGATTTTTGTTCTTGTTCTTGTTCATTTTCTGATTGAGATAAATAATCACTTGAAAGTATTGAGATACCTTTTGTTGCACTGCCAAGTAATTCACTAAAGAATCCTGAACGTTTATATCTTAAATTAATTAAACTAATATGTATATATCCAAATGTATATTTTTTAATAATATAGAATTGAAATATATATAAGATGATTATATTTATCTTATTATAAAAGATTTTTTTTATATATACTTGGTTCATTTAATAAGTTATATAAATAAAATTTTTCCATTATTTCATTAAACTTTGTGTGTATGTTAATTTAACACACATAAACCGCCAATAGGCGGTAATTTTTTTTTTTTTTTTTTATAATTATTTAAAAGAATAATATTAAGAAATGTTTATTATAATATATATATTACTTTCGGAAGTTATTAATTATATATTTTCTATATTAATAAAGAATTTTTTAGAATGGTTAACTAAACCAAATTTACTAGATATTAAGATTTTAAAATTAGAGAAAGAAATATGTGAACTTAATTACCCTTCTACATTTACTTTATATGTACAGAAAACAAGAGAATTAAATATGTTAAAAAGGCAGAGAGAAATATATTTGGAAAAAAATAAGTTTAATAATATAAAGCAGAATTTTATATCTATATCCAAATATATATTTAATATATGGTTAATATTACCTAATTATATAAATTTATTAATTATATTTTTAATAATTTCAAATTTGTATTTAACAGATATATATTATATATATATAGATCAAAGAATTTACTATCCATTATATCAAGATAAATATGGAAAGATACAATTTAATCGTATTATAAGCTTTAGTATAATATTACCTATATACAATTTCATTAGAAGTATATTTAAAAGATTCTATTCATATATTTTTATTAATTATATAGATAAGAAAAAACAAGAACAATACTATAAATAGATCTTATTTAAATAAATATTTTAAACTTTTTTTTTTTTTCTCTTTTAATGATATAAAATTGGCTATATATATATAATACATATTAAAATTTAAAATATAAAAAGTGAGATTATACATAAGATCTTTATAAAATCTAAAATTATACAATACCTTACAGATTTGATGATTATAGTCTCATGCTAATTCACACAAAGACATGTGCGCAACGGATAGCTAAAGTACAATATGTAAAATTGCGTGCATGGGAATTAGGAATAAGTTGACTACTTTGAGTAAGATAATTAGTTGATATATTATAGCTATTATAGAAGAGCACAAAAAAATAAGTTCTACAATATAGAATGAGCTTACCATCACAATCAACAGCAAATTTACGAACAGATGGTCAAACCGTCTCCTTTGGACAAAGAAAAATATGGGATAATAGCCGTGATTTAGCTGATGTTGTGAAAATTCTTGATCGGGAATATAAAGATACAATTCCTCTAAGTACATTACAAAATAGAATGCTCGAATGGAATTTTATACCTAAGGAACATATAATAGAAGCATGTGAATCATTAAGACCTCTATGTGATTCAAATGGGAATATTAGTTTACATAACTTGGTAGATGAAGTGACTGGAATATTTGAACCATCTGAATTAGATACTATGGATACAAATATTGATATATTAGAAGCTTACAAAATATTTGATACTTCTAATAAAGGATGCATAGATCTAAATGATTTAAGAAAGTTATGTAATGAATTAGGTGAAGAATTAGATGATGAAACTCTCATTGGAATGTTAAATTTAGCAACTCAAGATCCATTTAGGAAACAACAAGGTATTATTAGTAGGGAAGATTTTTTTTCTCTAGTAAAGAGCCGTATTATTAACTAACATTAATGGAATATTAATATTTCTTTTTAAATAATACTAAATAGATAAAGATAGATGAATCTTCTTAAAATAACTTTGGTGTAAAATCTAATCTAAATTACACTGGATAGAGAAAGAAGAAAAAAGGATAGATATGGTTTACTATAATGAGGAACATTTCTAATATCTTCTCCGATATGTATAATTAGATTTTAGTTGAAGTAGAATATTAATTTTTGTCTTAATATTAATCTTGAAAATTACATTTAAGATTTAATATAAATATATTATTTAAATTAGAACAATATTAAATTTATTAATATTTACAAAAAAAGACTTTGAGGTTTTGAAAAAAAAAAGATTATATACAATGTACAATTAAACAAATTATTCACTTCCTATATCTAATATTAAGACAATTCTTTGGAAAAAAAGTTTTTATTTTTATTATCTAATTCTTAATTTATATTTCCAATTATATTATCGATTATTTATTAATATATATTGAATAATTTGGTAATTCTTTATTCGATATTAACTTATATTAAGTTGTTTTGGTTTCTCTAATGGTATCAGTTGAATATTTGAATAATTTGGACCCCAATTATAACTCATTGGAACTGGTTCAAATTGTTGACCAATTCTAAAAAGTGGTGGTGTCAACCATTGAGAAAATTTTGGATGAGGAGGATTAGGATAACCAGTATCTATAAGATATTGTATAGCAATATGTTCTCTTAAAGCAGCCCTATGGCATGCTAATTCCATTGCTTTCCTTCTATCAATTTCAACTTCCCAAGGAGCTTGAGTTCCAGAAAAATCTGGTAATATATTTGGTGGTACCAATTCAGTTGCATTACTTGGTTCCCTTGATAACCATTCTATATTTTCATTTGAATTATTTAAATAATCAAATAATGGTTGTCTAGATGTTTCATCTTGAACAAATAAAATATTTGACATTTCTCCATAACCAAATTGAATTAATACTTGAATATTATTAATTCTATAACATCCATCATGGAAATTAAGACGTTCAATAGTATTATTTGCTAATAAAATAGGATTATTATTAAGCATATCAGATATTTCTAAATCAATTGGATCATTATATAAGCCAACATATATTAAAGATTTATCAGAATGAGAGTTTTTACCATCTCTATAGTGCCTTTTGCTCATAGAATTTGGTTGGATGTCTTCAATAATACCAGTCATAACACGCATAAAAGATACTAATACTTTTGGTTCATTAATTCTACAGCTATTTTCATCATCTATATTTAAACGAAAAATAGCTTCTGGTAACATATCACTATAATCATTGTATTTATTTTTTTTATCATTTAATATTAACCAGAAACGATAAGTCTCATTAGATTGATGTAATACTGATATTGGTATATCAATCATCAAATCATTTCTTTTATTATTAATATTAAATGTTGTAATTTTTAATTCAATAGATGACTTTTCATTTCTTATAGGTATATAAATATTTTCTAATCTAAATCCAGGACCTTTCAATTTAAAATCTCCACATGTAATACTTGATTCAACAATTTTGTTGATATTCTGACAACATAGTACAGACATTAATATATGAGAACGTGTTAAATACATTTTAGTATGGTTAGATAAATCTGGAACATCATTATGTGGTAATTGTATATTATTCCCACTAATTATATTATATAAATTTTCATTATATTTTGGAATATCTTGAATACTTGAACATTTGGATAAGTTACTACTACCACAATTTTGAACTTGAGACAAAGATGATACTCTTGTTGAGTATGAAGATATACTATTAGAATCTATTTGATAACCATTTATCCTATTATATTTAGTGATTTGATTTTCATCTAATATTATTTCAGAATTTTCTGACTGCTCCATACCATTAGCAGTACAAGCTGATTGTAAACCTTCATATAGTCCTACAATTAAATTTACACTATCATCAAGAGTTTTCCAAAAATTTGATGGCATCTCATAAATAAAATATTCCAAAATAATCTGAGATACTTCTTTACTAAAAATATACGCCAGAAATTGTAATTCCTTAAATTGAAAGTATACAAATATAAGATATAAAGGCCCAGAAATATTGTTTAATTTTTCTTTTCTATAATTCTATAAGACCTATAATCTTTTTTTTTATTTTATATAAAAAAAAAAAAGTTTATCCAAATTAATACATAAATAGGTTGAAATTTATTATTATTATATTATTATTATATTTCATTAGTTTAGCAGAATATAGAGGGGGGAGGGGATAGGGGGAAATGCAACTTTTAACTATCCACACATTTTGTGTGTTAGACCTTTAAAGCAGCACTTAAAAGTTAGCGCTATAATCTAACAAACAGGGATAAAATCTCAAAATACTTAAAATTTTTTATTTTTTTAGTAATATCTCGTTTTGTAGTAAATAAAAATATCTATTTCAAATTATGTTATAAAATCTTAATATATAAGATCTTAATTACAATATGTAATTATTAGTATTTTATAATATTCTGACAAAATTATTATATTGGTGGCCATTCAAGTCTTAATGTATTATGAGCTTTTATATTATACAAACTTAAAAATAAATCCAAAATAAAAGTACCATCACTTTTCCATCTATTTATTAAACTTTCTTTTGAATCTATATTATATTTAAATAAAAAATTAACTAGTTTATTAAATAATTTTGAAAAGTTAGTAGATGAATAATTTATAAAACTTCTGTATTTCTCTAATTTTGTAAATACTAAACCATCAATCAAAGCTTTTAAAAATATTTCTGAGGCCAATATCCCACTAGAATTTAATGATATTTCTGATGTAGGAAGATTTATTATAATTCCATTTAACTGATATTTCGGTATAGCAAATCCTATTATTTGATCCTTTTCTTGATTATAAAAAGGATTTGGCAATGTCAATAAATTTGAACAATCAATCAATGTATGATCCAAAGTTGTTGATTTAAGAATATCATCTGGAGATATCATAATACAGTCACATAAATATTGTTTAGTAAAATCTGTTGATATTAAAACTTGATTGTATACAAGATATTTAGGTTTCATCTTCTTAATAGTACTAATTGGATGAATATTTGATATTATTGAATCTGATACTGTAGTACTAGTAATTTTATATCCATCTTTAAATAACCTGTTTGTATCATCTCTTACAGCAATATGATCAATAAATCCAGATATATAACATATTCTGATAATTTTTCTATGTTCAGGATTAGGAAAAGGTAATAGCCAATCAGATTTTTTAATAGAAAATAAAAGATTTTCATTATTAAACTTTAAAATATTAATTAAATATCGATTTATTGATATTGAAAATATTTGACGAGACATTAATCTCATCTCATTCATTGCACGATTATTTAATTGATAATATTGACAATATTCTTGCAGTTTAATCATTTGAACTATTTTACCTTTATTTTTAAATTTTTGATAAATTTGTAAGTATCCAATAGAATACCACAATAATCTTTCAATATCATTTGTATAATTGAGTGGTATATCTAAAAATGATTCCTTTTTATCTATATTTTGAGATTCCATAATATTTTTGTTAAATAATTGTTCATTATTTTGTATATCTCCAATAGATAAACAAGATACCACTATACATATATATTGCAGTAAATATATCAGATTTTGTATTTGTATATCATCAATATAATTACAATTGGACAAATTTACTCTTATATGAGCAATTACTAACAGAAGTATTTTACCAAATCTAGGTAGTAATGGAAAATATGATAAACTTACACCTTGTGATGTTAATTTAACTACTTTTGATTTATTATCCTGTTTAATTGCACCAAGTATATTTAATAAATTGTATGATTTTTCAATATGTTCTTCTTTTGGGGGAGATGGAAACGGAAAGTTATATATATTTGGAATTCCAAGTGAATGCATATATAATAATACTGAATCTAATGGTATTGATAAAATATTAATTGGAGGAAATTTTTCAAATAAATTTTCATATACTGGTGATGAATATAAACGATAACAGTGACCAGGACCAATACGACCAGCTCTACCTGCTCTTTGATTAGCAGATGCTTTTGAAATCCATCTTACTGCAAAATATGATGATTCAGAGTTGTTGATATACTCACGTCTTTTCTCTTTTCCAGTATCAATCACATATCGAATATTTGGTATGGTAATTGATGTCTCTGCAACATTTGTAGATATTATTACATGGCGTACATTAGATGACTCTGGTAATTGAAATGCCTTCATTTGCTCATCATAGTTCATAGAAGCATATAATGGTATAGCTTTTAATATAGATTTATAACTTTTAATTTCTTCTAAATCATGCTTTCCTGAATTTTTATATTCAGTAACTAAGTTTAAATTTCCTCCCCCACCTTTCCATACACTAGAATCAACTGTTTGATGTAATCTTATCTTTCTTTTTCTAGTGTCCTCTTTATTAAAAGCTTCCCATGATGATCCATAAACTATTTTATCTTCCTTATTATCCATTATCACAATATTTGTAACTTCATCTTCTTGATCTTCCAAATTTTTTTTTTCATCTAAATGTATATCATTAGTATACTCATTATATTTTGCTGTATCCTTATCTAAAAGTAGATCTAAATCCTTACTTTGTATAGGTATACAATGATTTTCATTAGAATTTTCCTTAATTTCAGTATCTCTTAAAATTTCTTTTTCATTATTACTTTCATTCTTAATTTCATCAACACTATTTTCATCATCATTATTTTCATTATCACTATTCTCGTTATCAATATTCTCGTTATCAATATTCTCGTTATCAATATTCTCATTATCACTATTTTCATCATTACTTTCATCATATTCTTCATCAAATAAAGTTCGATTATCACAATCTATCTTGTCTTTTAATATTTTATGTTTCTCCTTATTTATCATTGTCGTTAATTGTTTTACTTCTCTTTTTCCAGTTACAAATACTAATATAGAACCAGGAGGTAATTTTTCATGTATCTGTATTATTTTTTTGTATACTGCTTTCATATAATCACTAGGGGTTTTTTTACAATAATGAATAGTAACTGGAAAATTGGGAGTTTCAATAGATATTATAGGAGGAATAATAGGAAATAATTTTTTATTTTCTGTAAAATCTGTTATTCTTAAAGTAGCAGACATTATTATTAACTTTAATGGTGGAAGTAAATTAGAAGAATTAGAAAATAAATCTCTTCTTAATTTTACAACACGGGATAGTAATCCAATTAGTATATCTGTATTCACAGTTCTTTCATGAGCTTCATCAACAATAATTACACTATATTCTGAACATTTCAAATCTTTCTGAACTTCTTGTAATAGTATACCATCTGTCATTACTTTTATGCTAGCATCTTTTGGACAATTTCCTTTATCATAGCGAACTTGATATCCTACAAAATTATTATCTCCTAGTTCTTCACCTATTCTTTTACTGAGTGAAATAGCTGCTATTCTTCTTGGTTGAGTTAGACCAATTTTGTATCTCTTCAATTTATCTTCCTTCATTGAACAATATCCAGATTCATATAAAAGCTGAGGAACTTGAGTAGATTTGCCACTTCCTGTTGATCCAGTTACAATAATAATATCACTTTTTTCTAATCCTTCTAGTATATCGCTTTCAAACATTCTTACTGGTAGATTATTCCTTATAGCTTCTATTTCAGGTGATCTAACAATGTTAGGTCTATTTGGACCTTCTGAAGGGACAATACTATATACTTTCCGTACATATGTTTTTATATCATCTTTTTTATCAGATTCTTCTTTATTCTCATTATTAATATTTAGTTTAGGTATATCATCATGTAATATGTTGTCTTCCCTTACTAATTTATTATTATTATATGTCCTGACACTTAAATATTGCTTTGGTACTTCCAAATCTTTTTTATTAAAATTACTTTTAGAAATATTTAAACATTTATCTTTCTCACAAAATTCAACTTTATCTCTATTTTTAATTTTTAACTTCTTTATTTTTAAATCTTCTGGTACCTCTAATCCTGCATCTATAAAACGTTTTGCTAATATTTTACGTACTCTATTATTAGATCCAGTGCTTGTGCAGATATCTCTCATCAAAAGCATCTCTTCTTCATTAAGACTATATATTTCTAATTCTTTAGTTATATCACTTTGTTCTAATTTTCTCCTTTTTCTTTCCTCTAGTTGTTTTAATTTCCTAAGTTTTCTTTTGCTAACTTTAACTCTTCTTTCCTTTATTCTGCTTCTTTTGTTTTCATTGTTTAGTCTATCTTTATGTAATTTCTTACGTTCCTCCTTGTTTGATGGAAGGATTAGTACATTACTTCCTAAGTTGTTAGGTCCACCATATAGATCATTATCCCCAATATCTAACTCTAAAATCATTTCATTTTCCTTCATAGAACTAATCTTGTTTCATACTCAAAATAACTTATGTAAGGGGTATTTGTAATTTTATATAAAATAATAGAAATGTCCCAACAAGACCGGTATATGCAATATTTATGTAACAAAAATTAAGCGCTAAAGAGGTTTAATATAACATGCGCCACAATTTTAAATGAATTAAATGCTATTGGAATAGCCATTAAAAAATAGGAAAAAATCAATAAAGTAATGAATAAAAAGAAAAAAAAAGTGGTTACATATGTATATTCTACAAAATATTAATATAAGAATAATTATTCAATGTATTTTGATATCAAATTTCCCCTATACATATATCTTCATTTTTTCTATTAGATAATAAATTAAACTATAAATATTGAGATCGTAATTTTTTTTAAAAAAGAAAGTTAGATTTTTTTCTGGAGAGATGAATTAGAACCATCATAGTGATGTGTCAAGTATCCTCTTAGCCGCAACCATAGGGACGTGATGGCATACCTTCTCGGCCTTTTGGCTATGATCAAGTGTAGTATCTGTTCTTATCAGTGTGACAACTGATATGGATCCTACGGGATCCAAACTCTAGTCACAGAAATTTTTATACGGGAGATATAGATCACTGAGCTTGCTCATATCAATGTCGAAATGTCGCCTCGTCCTTACACTACCGATGAGAGTGGCATGCCCTACGACCCCCTGGGTCGAAACATTAAACTAATCTATCGCTAAACTTACGTCTTAGAGGTCTATAAAACCTGAAGACTCGTGATACTCTACCTAATCTATACTACCTCTATACTACCTGTCATCAGAAAGGATCACACCCTTCCTCTTGATGATCAGACTGCCTGACAGCTATAACCCTTGGGGCTGGTGGCTCAGGTAGGGGGGTGTCCTCATCTATCTCAATAGCCTCACCCTGCACATATTCTGGTTCTAAATATTGTGGCGGTTCCTTAATATACCTAGCACTACCTTGTTCAACAACAGGAGGTAGTTCTTTGAACTCCTGTGACACTACAGGCTTTATGATGGTATGTCTAACAAAGGGCACATACTGCTTAACCTCAACAACCTCATCTTGAAATTGAGGAACTTCCACCGTACGTATCTTTTCAACAAATTGAGGAACTTGTTTAGAAACTACCCTAATGTGTTCTTGAGGGACTTCTATTGGTACTTCTACAATTTTCTCAATTTCAACTTCTACTGGAACAGGTATAATTCTACCTTGAACAGGAACTTCTACAACTTTTTCTACCGTAACTGGGATATCCACAGGTATATCAATGAAATCTCCAACTACTGGATTAAAGATAGGAACTTCTATCACAATTTCCTGTGGAACAGGAACTTCAACGACTTTTTCAATAATATATGGTACAGGTTTTAGCGTAATTCTTTCAATAGGAATATCTATATATTCAACTGGTCCTAATACATATCTCTCTTTCTCAACAAGTTGTATTTCTACTTTTGGAACTTGGACAATTTTTTCAATTTGAACATCTTCTACTTCTATTTTTGGTACTTCTTTTACTATATGATGTATTTTTGGTACTTCAACTATTTTATCAACAATTTTTATTTCTGGAACTTCAACAATCTTTTCAACATATTGAATTTCAATCTTAGGTACCTCTTTTATAATTTCCTTGTATTCTATTTTTGGTACAATACGTTCAATATATTTAGTTACTGGTTTTGATACATATTTATCTATAACCCTTATTTCTGGTACTTCAACAATTTTCTCTTTATATATAATCTCCTCTTTTGGAATTTTTCTAATAACATCCTTTACTATGACTTTGGGTTTAATTTTTTGTTTTAAGTGAACTTCTGGAACTTCAATTATTCTTTCTCTTACATTTACTTCTTGTACTAATGGAACTTTTACTACCTGGGCATTATTTGTTGTATCAGTATCTTCATCTATATCTTTATATTTTTCAGTATTAATTGTTTTACTTAAATTAAACATACTATAATTAGAATATTTACTTTCCTGATCAAATATATTGGGGGAATCAGAATTACCAGAGCATAATCCCATATTTAATAGCTTATGCCTATCATTTTCTGAATTTGTCATTTTATTATTAGATATTTAAATATTATAAATTTACAAATTTCATTAAATTAAATAAGTTGAAGTTGTTGATTAATTAAATTTTTTTATTATGTATATTTTTTTTCCAAGTAAAAAAAGGAAGAAAAAATTAAAATACCTTCTTACTCGTTTCTACATGCAAAAAATTAGTTTCAGCAGTATTGTAGCTCTTAGTAACTTCTATTCCCCCCCTCTTTCCCTCACCACTTTGTAAAAATTAAGTTTGCGTATGGCGCCTTGTAGTAGAATCTACTATTTTATTTATTTCCCTATTTCCAAGAATTACTATCTATATATACTTTTAATCTTCTTTCTTAAATATATATTTATATACAGTATATGGGTAGAATAAATATATAATATTTCCCTTATATATTCAACCTTTTTCGACTATCATAACATTTATGGTCATTGAATATAAGTATTAATATTACTAATGATTATTTTGAAATAACAAAAAGAGAGTTATTTAACATCATTACAATTTTTATTATTTTAAGATTTAAAGTATTATTGTGGGTTATAACTACTAATAGTATATCTGGCGCTTTGCAAGCACTTTTTATACCTTATAAAAAATAAATAAAAAAGGATTCTAGTGCAATATCTAGTTATAGTATCTTCTAAACTATATCTATAATGTTACAATCTGAATATCCTCCAAATGAATTAACTTCATTTGAACAAATTAAGGAGAAAGGAGATCTCTTAAATTCTACAGAACCGACTATTAATGGTTTTACATTAGATCTAAAAGAAAATGAATCATTTGATATTGATATTTGTATAGAAAAACTACTTGCATGTAAGCCATTATCAAGTAAAAATATTAAGTCACTATGCTCTAAGCTTAAAGAAATTTTAATTAATGAAGCTAATGTACAAATAGTCAAATGCCCTGTAACAATAGCTGGAGATATTCATGGTCAATTTTTTGATTTATTAGAACTTTTTAGAATAGGAGGTATGCCACCAGATGTAAATTATCTATTTTTAGGGGATTATGTTGATCGTGGTTATCATAGTATTGAATGTATTTGTTTGATTATGGCTCTTAAAATACGTTATAAGGATCGTATAACAATACTCCGTGGTAATCATGAATGTAGACATATTTCACAAATATATGGTTTTTATGATGAATGTTTAAGAAAATATGGAAGTGCTTCTATTTGGCATGAATTAACAGATGTATTTGATTATTTACCATTGGGAGCTTTAGTTGAACATCATATTTTTTGTGACCATGGAGGACTTTCTCCAAATGCAAACACAATTGATTATATTAATTCTATTAATAGATTTCAGGAAATACCTCATGAAGGTCCAATGTGTGATTTATTATGGTCTGATCCTGATGAGAAAAATGGGTAAGTTAAAATATCTTTTATTTTTTTATATTGATTCAAATATATTTATTATCTTATTTTATTCATAACATTTATAATTATTTTAGTTGGTCAATGTCTCCTAGAGGAGCAGGTTATATATTTGGTCCTGATGTAAGTCAGAAATTTATACATACAAATGGTCTTTCAACAATATGTAGAGCTCATCAACTAACTATGGATGGTTATACTTGGGCTCATGATGACAATGTAGTAACAGTATTTAGTGCTCCAAATTATTGTTATAGATGTGGTAATCAAGCTGCTCTCATGGAGTTAGATGAATTTGAAAATAAACAGTTTTTGACATTTGATACAGCTCCTAGAAGGGGCGAGGCTAGAAAAAATATTCAAAATACAATACCTCAATATTTCTTATAATTATTCATATATATATACATAATATATCCGATAAGACAACAGTTTATAAATATAAATAGGAGGAATTTGGAATTTCTTGAATAATAAATATATATATATATGTATAATTATATTCATAGTACTATTTTCTAACATGTCGACTATTAATATGATTATTATAATTATAAGTACTATTATTGGTATTATTATATTGATTATTATGTTGATGATCTTTATTATGTATATTCTTATAAGAATTTCCAAATTTTCTGTTAACTTTATTGTCATATTTGTGAGCTTGTGATACATCCAATTTGTTAGGTACAATCATCATCATATAAGGTTGTTGCTGATTATGAGGTCCTAAAGTCCCTATAACATTAAAATTATTATCGTATAGAATTGGGGGATCAAAATTAGGATCTTTAATTAGATTTCTGTAAAATTCAATTTTATTATTTATATGTTTTCTACCTAGGCTATGTTGCCTCCTTCCACCAGTAGAACTATGAGTTAGATATATATCACAATAGTCACAATAAAATTTAGGCATAATATTACTTATATAAGTTAATAAAAGTAGTGAATCAAATAAATTTTAATTAGCTCGAAATAATATAGCGCTTGAATATATAAGGTATATTATTTGAAGTTAATCCTAATTATTATCTAATGCTTATGTCTAGAACTAATACTGCTGATTGTTTTCCCTTTTTTCTCCAATTCTATTTTCTACTCTTCATTTATTTCCCATTAGTATTACTTAGACATTATCTATAATTTGTATATTTAATATCGGTTTGTTTAAAAAATTCACTTTACTTTCATAATCTTGGAAATTTGTATAGCTATCTGGAATGTTTGTTGAGAAGAATTGAACTATTGGTTTACCCATTATTTTGTCGAATAATTTCGACAAATTGTACCAACACAAACTAGTCACAATCGGTATAGTTATTATGACTTCTATTCCAGTTAAAGAGGCTTCTATTATATAATAATGTAACAACTTATTTTGTAAAGGATTACCTAGTGAAGAAGGTAATGAGACGTAGCTTAAAAAAGTTGAATTATTTAGATTTATAGAATATTTATGAGTTATTAGAACTCCAATACTAAGGATAAAGCATATATAGTAAAGTATTATCTGATGAAATGTACTTAATAAGCTAATAGTGGCTATAGAATGAACACTTGCTCTAACTCCACACAATATACGAATAATTAATAAAAAAATAGTGAAAGCAAAATATACCAATAATTCACCAAATAAAGTAAATATAATAGTTCTTAGGCACTTCGGATGATAGGAGAGGATTTTATAGTTATTATATAGTATATAATAACCAAATAGCATATTTATTAAACAACAGGCTCCCATAATATTTGTAAATATACAATAAAGTAAGGATGAACCTTCATGATTACGGCTCCAGATTTGAATAGATTCATCCGTATGCTTACGTCGAACCATATTATATTTAAAGAACCCCTTTTTACTATACACTTAAAAGCCTTACTTACATAGTATACAGAATCCTAATGATTTATTAAGCGGCATACAAAGTGTTAAATAATAATATAGATCTGACATAAAATTTAACATATAATTAATAGAATATAAATATTATATTACTAGAAATATATAAATTGTCTATTTTATTTATATAAAAAATTCTTTTAATGGAAGTGTATCTCTAATTTTTTATAAGTTTGATTATCTGATTTGATAGATATTAATATATTAATTATTTGTTAGTAAGTATTCAATACAACTTTGTATAATTTTAAAAAAAAAATATTAATAATTATAAATATATAAAGAAATTGATCTAATATTAAATAAAGGAAAAAAAAAAAAAAACTAAAGTGGACACATGCAAATGCCGGTATTGTCCCCCCCTTTCCCCCACACAAAAAAATTATTGTCTTTCTCATCTTTTTTTTCTTAACCCTTCATAAGGATAATTAAGTAAAATTAGAGTTTATTAATTGATGTTACAACTAGAAATTTGATTGGTGCCTATATTTATCTAATTTCCACAAACTCAAGTCCTTTAAAGAAGCGACTTGTATAATTAATGGCCAGAAAGCGGAAATATCAATCTGCAATGGGAGATATCGATCCCTGTTTAAATCCAGTATATCTTCCAAATGAAAATTATTATAGGAATCCAACAGAAACTCCTACTGAGTTATTACCTCCGCATATATCAACAAATCCGGCAAAACCTGGAAATGCAAAATGTAATTCAAAGATCTTACCAATATATCAAAATCCAGCTGAGAAGATAAAATTAAAGGGTATTAGACGGGATTTGTTAAATAATAATACAATTATTCCATGTAATAAACATTGTGACATGGTTGATATATTGAATGACGATATGTCCTTTGTTGAAACTAAAACTAAATCAATAATAACAAATAACATGAGTAGGAAAGATTCCAGAAATAATAAAAATTTAAATAAAACTATTAAACCACGTATTGATAAGGGTAATTCTAACTTACCACCATTACCTCGTACTGAAGATTATTGGCCTAAATTAGTTACAAGTGGATATGAAGAACATGAAAACTACCTAGATAAGATAAGAAAAGAACATTTAGATAGTCAATATCAAGAGATTTCAAGATTAAGAGATGAAAATAAGAATAGGAATTCTCAATGTAACCATTATTATAAACAATATAATATTCCTCTTAGTAGTTCTAATTTAGGAAATAATAATGCTGGGAATTCATATTATAATAAATTATATTTAAGAAGTGATGAAGGGATATATTGTGTTGAAACTCCACTTAGAAATATTAGAGATATTGATAATAAATGGAATAATGTTAATGCTAAAAAGCATGGTATACTCCAAGATATTTCAATTAATAATGCTAATTTTAATAATTTACAAAGTAAGGGTACTCAAATAGATGAAACAAAGTATTTAGATAATAAGAAAACTATAGCAATTTCGGAATTACCCAAGAACTTAAAATGTGATGCAATAGTAGGTGGGAATACTCCACTACGTAATATTATTGATAATAATAATCTTGATGAAGTAGTTTTAAATAGAAATAAAGAACGAGAATACAGAAAAGAAACTAATGATATTGCTGTTGGTCCCTCTCCAAATTCCCATATATTACCTCATGATTTAGAGAAAACACCTAAAATAGAAAAAATAAGACCAAATAGTATACTTAGAAAAAGTATTGAAATTTTTAATGAATCATCAAAACAAGTTAGATTTTCAACTAGATATAAATCAGATAAATCTAAATTTTTATTAAAATTTGAAGAATTAAATTTTGATCCAGCAGAAGAACCATTAGTAAATATGGAAAATGACGAATATTACAGTGAATCAATGGAAGGAGACAATATATATGAAGATTATTCTTTTTTTGATTCTATTTCTTTAGATAGTCGTATATTATTACGTTTAATACAGATTTGTAGAAAGGAGTTAAATTTGGTTGAAAATTTAACTACTCAAATAGATGATATTGGGACTAATTCAGACTATACATTGGTAAATAAAGCAGTAAATGGAATATATAAATATTTCTTAATAAAAGCTGTAGATTATGGATGGAAAAAAGATAATGAATTTAGTGATGTTAAATCTGCAATGGCTAAGGAATATAGGAATAATAATGTAAATTATTATAATAGTATTATTAATGAAAGAGAAGTATTAAAAAATAAAATTGGGATATATAATTCAAATATTCAGAAACTTAAGAATGCATTAAGTGAAGCGGATAAACTAAAGGAATTAATTGAATTAGATTATTTTAGTGAAAATAGGGATTTAATAGATACTCCTGATATTGATGAAATAGAAAATGTAAATAAATTTGGTAATCAGGAATATAAGAAGTGGATTCTTCAATATGTGAAACATTTGTTTAATGGAATTAATGAAATAATAAATAAGGGGGATACCTTAAGTAATATTAATAAATATAATGAAGATACTAATAATTCATATGAAACTGATCATTCTAATGATTATTCTCCTACTCCTGTATTAAAAGTATTAAAAGATGACAACTCTGAATTGAGAGATAATAAGTTGGGAAATATTAATAATTCATGTGATAAGAATATCTGTGGATCAAGCATAGTTGATGATATCTTAAGCGAGTGTTATAAGATGCAATTTATTTCAATGGAAAGCATTGCATTCTTAAATGATTGTATTGCTCTTCTTAATGATGCAGAAATTGGTATGCAAAATTTTCAAAAGTTATTAGCTCATAAGGCATTTAATATACATGAAGATGATAAAAATGGGAAGTTAAGCAATGATGTTGATGAAGCTGAAGATGCAATGCTGAGGTTGCAACGTGGTGCATCAATTACACCACGCTTCAGCATTGATAGTAATACAGGCAGTTATAATAGAACAAGTATTAGTAATAGGATATCTATGACAAAAAAAAACCTTCATAATTTATTATAAATTGTCAATTGTCTAATTTATATCTAAGGATAATGAAGAAAAGTATTTAATAATAAAGTTAATTAAGTAGAAATAGAATTAATCAAATGAAATCAACTGTAATTTATATATTATATTTGCAAATTGTTCTTTCCAGTGAAATATCTTATTTTCTGGCTTAGGCGAAATATCGATTATTACTATTCTGTTCCATATATATATATTATAATCAGTACTTGTATTTCTAGGTATATTTATAATCTTCCATAATTTAAAATTGGAAAGTTGTAAATATAAATTATACTGATAGCTACAATATAATGATACAATCATTGAACAATCGCAAATAGATCTTCCAAGAAAAAAATTTGAAAGCCATTTATTTGCCTCAGAAATATATTCTCTTTTTCTATTTATCAAATTACTTAATATATTTAACCCAATTTGGAAATTTCTTTGCATTTTAACTAAACATCTGTCATATAATAGATGTGGATCTGCAATTAAAGTATCTTTAAGTGCCATAATGTCTAATTTTTCTGTTCTTACCATATCCATAAATGTATTATTTAAAATTTTATTTTCTAATAAATAAATATATATATAATATGCTAAAGGTTGTTGTCCAGCACAATATACTTGATAATATAATAAATTATTTGTCAATTCTCTATTATTTAATATTACATCTGATATAATTTTAATATATGAGTCGTAATTCCCAGTTCTAATATTACTAAATATATTGCCAGATATTTCTATAGCTTTTCTTAATTCATTATTTATTATATCTGAGTTATTTGAAAAATAAATTTTTTGGGGATTATATATATTGGATAAACTTAATCTTTTATTCTTTATAACTTTTTGTAGTGTTACCTGACTCAAAAAAAGATTATCAGACATCTTTTCAAAAAAATTGATAATTGATAAAAGTTCATTGTTAATATTACAAATATCCAAATGATTTCCAAATGCATCTATATTGGTTAATACAGTTTTGTACAAGTCAATATATAAATTGATATTAGGACATACTAAAGGAAGTGTACATTTTGGTTTGAATTCAATACAAAAATATTTGCACATAAACTGGTCTTCAGATAATGCCGGTATAATACTTGTCACCCCTTTAAAATGCATGCAATTTACATACATCATTCTTTTATCTAATTTTCTACATATTTGTTCAGAGTCCATATAAACTTTTAATAAATTCATTTCAAGCCAAGAAAAGTAGAAACTAGTCTTTTTAACTAAAATAATTGGGATAATTGGTTTATTACAATAATTTGATAGTCGTGAATTGTACTGACAATTTATATGGAAAGTTATTTTCGATATTATATCTGATATTTTATTGCAAGGCTGCTTTTCTATTTTGAAAACATAATATCGAATTTCTAATGATTGCAAGTTAAGATTGGAGATTTGAGGAGTTATAATTGAAAAGGGAGTAATTGGATGATCTTTAAATTGTCTAAAGCAATTAATTTTCTTATATTTTAAATTGACTTGTAAATTGGAGTTTGTATAAAATACAAAATGCATACCACCATTTCCTAATAAGTTCCATTTTGTATTCTTAAGGTCCACTTGATAAATATTCCAAGATGACAGTAAATTATTTAAATCAAGATACAAGTAATTTCTAATTTTATATAGGCGGTATATATGGTAATTTAGTTGGGTTTATCAGAATTCTTAATGAGATAAAAATTTTGATCAAATATAATGAAATATTAATGATTTATAATTTCCAATGAGTGGTACTGAGAGATTGGAGTTTCTTTACGATCCGAAAGTTTTGAGAGATGATGATAATGAAATATATTTGTTAGGTAAGTGCAATACTTAGAACTTCCAAATAGATATATTTATATTGAACAGATTATGTATAATTTAATTTGTAATGAATTATCTATGTAAATTTATATTTACTAACCCAACCTTCAATTTACTACTTCTTATCTTAGGCACTCAGATACCAAGAAATTTAACTGAAATAAATGATTCTAGTGATGAAGAGTCAGTACCGCCGGGTATAAGGAATGAAGAACTTATTAAAAGATTGAAAGAAGACCCACTAGTAACTATAAAAAGTGCGGAATTAAAACATAGAAAGATTATTGGGGAATTTAATAAGAAAAGTAGTAATAGAAATAAATCAGTAACAAGAATACATAAGAGGTCCTTCTCTAGATCCCCCCCTTTAGCCTTTAAAAAGAAAACTAGAATAGCAAGCAATAAACATACAAAATATAAGGATCAACAATATGGCAAAATTGATAAGGAATATAAATTAAGAGAGATGCTAGAATGTGGTGAAATACTCAAAAAGCAAAGATATGATAAATTTAATGGTAACTTTGAGAGAAGTATAGACTCAGATATAAATGTGACAATACGTGGTAAACAATATATTGGAGAGGTTCACAGACAAATTAGTGATGAACTATTGGGATCTTTAGGTAATAGAATAAAGAGACTTATTAAATACAAAAAATAAATTGCATATTTAACAAGATTTAAATAATTCAGATAATTTGCCTTTTAAAGAAACAAAAGTTGAAAAATATAATTATATTATTTTAATTAATTAATTTGAATTAAATTGATCCATAATCAAAGTTCTCACTTATTATAAAGTGCAATGTTATGATTTGCAATTTTTGGAAAGAAAAAAGTGACAGTTGAATATGTAAAAAGTATTTATTTAATACAATATTACATAAAAGTAGTTTAATAATAATAATAGTAATAAATATATTCTTAATGAAACTGGTAAAGTGTAGATGACAGAATTTATGAAAATAGAAATAGTGAAATCAAGATATTTATTCAAAACTAAGGTAGATTAGCTCCTAAATATAATCTAAATTAAGTTACAATAATAATGATTGGAGATGGAAAACTGTTATTTATTTTTGATTAATGCGTACAATAAAAGAATAGTATACTATATGTGAGTTATGAATTATTATTACTATTATTGTTATTAGCCTTACAATGACGTGCTAAATAATATTTTTTAGGGTCTTTAACATAAAATTAGTATATAAAGCTTCAAATTCGATTGTATTTATGCATTTTATTATTAAAAGTTAATAAATCACTTTAGCAAAATTCATATTTAAAATATTTGTATTTACTATTTAAAGAATCTTTTAAAGAAAAAAAAAACACATTCAAGATTCTAGAGTATAAACCAATTTATTAATAATTTTTTCTAATTATAATTTTTATAAAGAAACTATAAAGCTATTATTTTATATATTAAATGATATAATCTCAAATATTATTAAATAATTTTAAAGGAATAAATTATTTAATAAATTGATCTTTTCTTTAAAGAAAACAACTCTTTAAACTTCAAATTTTGTGAGATTATACACTTAATAACTAGCTAATAAAGGGAATATTCCACTTAATAAACAATTTTCATTTTTATTAACTCAAATATATCACTTTTTAATAAGAAAGTGTTCTAATATGTAGAAGAAAATCTGTTTGAAGATATTAATATTTAAAAAAAATTACTAGTTTAGTCATTTTTTATATCTACAAAAGGAAGTACATATATTAAAATAAATTATTATATATTAAAAGTAATATTTGCTAACAAATAATTGCATGGAATTTGTTACAACTAAATACTATTACGAATTTAACCATTTATCAAATAATATATCCATATAAAGTAAAATATCTGGATAATCTGTATAGAAATGAATAATAGTAGTATTCAAAGTAATTGAAAATTGAAGAATTATATGGAAATTAGGGAGTAAATATATGCAAAACCACTTGTAATCAACATGCATCAAAATGTCATTATCCCTATAATTATGTTGACAATAGTTCCCTATATTATATTTTTCAGAAATTAATATATCATGGTGAAAATCAAAACTTTCTTCAATATTGAATTCCCCATTAATCAGTTCAACTATTGATTCATGTGCAACATTGTATGGAATTAGACATTTATTAATTTGACAATATATATTTTCACTGTTTATATCAAGAACTTTATTACACGTTACAACATTTCCAGAAGGATATTCTAAGTTATTATAATCAATTTTTTTATCCAAAATCTTATTTTGATTCTCTTTATTTTGTTTGTAATGTCTGTATATGTATGAATATACTGTATTATTCCAGTTCTCTGTAGGAGAAGGTAAAAATAAATCCTGAAGTTCAATTTCAAAATCTTCAAGGTCTCTTTTTAAAATTTTTCCATATACATCACTAAATTCCATAGAAACACCGATTTTAGATGGTTTTGGGAATTTAATGTAGACATCTAATAGTACGATTACATTACAGCTATCTATATATATAATACCATTATTTTCTCTATAAGTAGTACTCAACTCATTATTTTCATTTCTATTATCACCATTTAAATGACATATAATATCCTTACTTTTTAATTTAATAGATTCCTCAATATCAGTAGGAATTGAACAAGGTTTTAAAAAAGGTACTATAACAGGACTTATTTGATATAAATTATCGGAATAATCAAAATGGATCTCAATAGCATAAAGGCAAGTTTCAGAATTTTTATTTTCTATATCTTGTAAAATGATGGAATCCTTTAAACTTAATATAAATGGGAAAATAATGGAATTATTCTTATAACTTGATTTACTTTTCTTATAAAAAAAAATAGCAGTTCCATTATCATCAATATTTAAAAACTCACTTCTGAAATGTTTTATTAAATGAAAATTGACTATTGAACTGTAATAAATATCATTAACCAGTGTATTATCTTCAGAATTTAGGTTATCTTCAAATATTTCATAATTGGTTATCTGATCATATGTATTTGAAGATCCATCAAGCTGAAATATTTTAATTATAATATCATTGGAACAGTTACCAATTAAAATTTCCATATAATTAAGGAAATTACTGAGTTCAACATCAAAAATATCTAAGTATTCCTTAAGGCAATTGGATATCTTACTAAAATACTCATTTTTATAATAGCTAGATTCTTCATTTGATATAATAACTAACAAAGTCTAAAAATAAAAAATTAAAGTTATTTTATAATATTATAAATAAAACATATTTATTTGTATATGATTTAAAAACTTACTGAGATTATCTTATTTCCTGTTATCCACCTTGTAACTGTATCATTTGTATTCACAAAACAAACAGTTATTATATACTCCAGAATATCAATAAGAATACTATTTGATGGTAATAAAAGTAAATTATGGTTTAATTTTAAATTCTTCCTTTCAAAAGATAAATATACCAAAAATAAAAGAAAGACTTCAATATCATTTGGATCGGTTAAAGTCTTAACATAATCCAGTACATATTCAATAAATTTATCTAGATATACTCTGTAATGATATTTTATTTAAAAATCGTATAATTATTTTAATTTAATAATAATAAATAACAAAAATCGAAAACATACCTATACTTAGATTGTTGGATATCATTAACAATAAAACTGATTAGTTGGATCGTATTTGGAATATGCCATTGGGTTAAATAAGGAATCTTAACTTCTGTTAAATGATTAATATTATGACAAGTATAATTAAAAAGAGTCTTAATAAATTCTTCATCCATCCCAAATGTTGCAGCTATTCTGTACAGAATTTTCAGATAAGCACAATGAGATCCAATAGGTGATTTTAACAACATTAACTCTGTCATTGAGGATAATAAATTATATACATTTGTAATTGATTGCTTAAATTCATTAATATGATTTAAATAATATGTCAAATATAACCATAGACATGTCTTATTGTATTTTAATGCTGTAGGATCATACCAACTTGGTATTAACATTGTATCTAAAAGTATTTTAGTCGAATCTTTAATATCCACCAAGTCATCTGAAATTAATGAATTGGTATTTTGATAATTCCTTATTAATTTTTCTAATAAATCATTAAACAATGATTGAAGCCATATTGTACAATATAATCTAATTGGAATAGATAACTGAAAATTATTAATGATACTAATAACTCTATGAATTGCATCAGTATATAAAGATAAAGATAGTTTAGATTTTTTAAAAGATGTATGTTCAGATTCAATAGCTTCAAATATTACATGTAATCTAAAAGAATATTTGAGTGGTATCATTGCAGATTCCAAAATATTACTGGGAATTGATAAAATCGATACAATTCTATTTAAGGATTGAATTAATATCTGGGTATTCCAGCATGACGATATTTTTAGATTATCTATTATATAAGACATAAGATGTGTTAAAAACTTTTTCGTATATTTTGATAAAGGATTTTCTAAATTAGAAACAATATTCAATGCTATTGATGATATTAACTCTATAGACAAATCATTTGAAAATATGATATTGCTAGTATTATTTTGTATTTTTGAGTTATTTGTATTTTCAATACAATCAGGCCATATTATTGGATTAATATTTTCACTTAAAAAAGATAAAAGCAATTCATCACTTTTAAAGTCTATTTTACTTAAATCTTCATTACTCATCTTGTCATCTTGCTGATTTATAAAATAATTTTCTTCTTTATTATTGTAGTCTTCAAAATTATTATCTGAAATATTAGAATTTTCAATACTTTGTATATACATTTTATTTGAATTATCTGTTATATTTTTTGTGTTATTTAGTGTCGTATCTGAGTAGCCTGTAGTATTACTTAAGTTTGTCGTCCTATTTATTAGTTCAGTTTTATTTAAAGTATAATCTTCTAAAATTTTGTCATTCAAAAGAGGTTTAAGTAAACCAGGATATGTTCTATTTAACTCTAGTAGACATTCCATTGCATATAACTTTAAAATATTCATACCTTGAATATTTCTGAGTTTTAGTTGAGATATTTTATATCTCATAGATAAAATACTACCCTTAGTAATAAGAAATAAATTAACAATTAATCTTGAGAACCAATAAGGAAGTACTGAGTATATATTACATCTAATTATAATACAAGTTAATGTTACAAGTGCTTGAGATTGAAATGTTACAGTAGAGCGCATATAAAATTTTGACTTTAAAGCTTTATATAAATTCTCTTCATTTACTGAATTATTCCCTGCAAGTTCTGTACTAGCTTCATATAATCCCAAGCATACTTTAGCTAAATCTCTGAGATTTACACATATTATATCATTTAATACTCTAAAAGTACAATTATATCGATACCAATATCTATAGTCTAATTTCATGTTATCTGGATTACCAAGTATATATAAACAGTTTTCTTCTAGAATTGTCAATGCTTCTAGTCTCGTATTTATAGAAGGTGATATAATTATAGTTGATATTATATGATCAAATATAACTGATGCCATATTCTCTTCTGCAAATAAGTCAATAAAACCAAGTGAACTTATATTGGCTTTCCTTATATCTTTTTTTTTCTTTTTAATATATTTTAATTCGTTATTATCTACTTTTTCCTTGTATATATCTTTTTGTCTTAATTCATACATTGATATGGATGAATCTAATGAATTATATAAAGATTGCAATACATCTTTTCTAGCTTCTAAATCCCAATTAAATTTCAATCTTAAATCTGATAAATCATTAGAATTATTTACTTCATACTCTTGTTTCATTGTTAGGGTAAGATTATTAATTTATAATTTAGATATATCTCTAACCTGTATATTTGTGATATAGCAAATATTTATTCAAGCTAATTATTATAGCTATAGCAATAAAAAAAGACAATTTACAAATATATACAAAGTATAAATACCTATACTAATCTTTAGGGGTTTATGAAATTATGCAACAAAAAAATTTGACGCCTTTAATAACTGACTATATGCTGTAATAAGGTCCGGTAGTAACTTCATGTCGATATTTTTAAAAAGATAAATAAGTGAAATAAATAAATTTATAAATATCATACTAGAAAATAAGTTAAGTGTATATAAAAAGTCCTCTGACTCTAGGTAGAAAATATAATATTTCTCAGTTTAAATCAATAAAGGTTCATCCTAAAAATTATTATAAGCGGTTAAGTTATACCGCCATAAACGGGATTTTAAATAATCCTAATGGATTTATTAGCTTATTAGGGGAAAACCATGCACTAAATAGATGAAGTACTAAAAACCTTAGCATTAAGTATTTAATTGTGATATTCCTTAGCTATTATTACAAGTGTTTATTGGTTTGTGACTATTGGAGGTACTGATATATTTCTTATGTTATAAGATCTATAATTACTTCTAGATCTTTGCTGCCTAGATCTTGATGCAGATCTACACCTTAACCTTTCCATAGAAGTTACTGATACTGAAGCAGCCCTTCTTGTAATTGAAGAAGCTTGAGGGTTTCTATTTGATAATGTATTGTTATGTAGATGTAGGAGCTGACGTATTTCAGGATGATAGCATAAAATCGAGTCACTACACAATACTCGTAAAAAAGGGCTTCTATTCGAATTACCGAGATTATTATTACCATAATTATTTACTTCACTATTGCTGTTTGATACTAGCTGATAATCAGTTGAACTAACTTCTGCAACTACTTCTACATTATATACTTGTGAATGGGAAGAGCCAGTTGGAATTGTATCTTTATTATTATTATTATTATTCATATGATTAGAATCTTTAGATTTCTTTTTTATTCCATCTTCTATATCTGAACTAATTCGTAGAATTTTAGAAATTCGTTCTCTGCATATATGACAAGTAGGATGCTGCCTCATTTTAACTGAATGAGCAATATAATCTCCCAAACATTGTAGGCAAACACAACCATGGCCACAAGGTGAAAATATATTTGTAGTAGAACATTCTAAAAAGCATATTGAACAGTAACAATTTCCAGATTGTGTCTCAAATTCATTAATTTCATGTTCAAAATTTGGGTGAGATTTATTTTCATTATCATTTATTGATATATTTGATGTAATTTTATAATTTATTTGAGTATCTCCACTCTTTTTTGTAGTTATATTAGTTTCAGAATGCTCAATTTGATTATCTTTACTTTTTTTATTTTCAAAGGGTGTTTCTATACTTATTCTTGGGTGATTGGAAAAACAAAAAGAGTTTACTTCAATTTGTTCTTTACACTCAACTTTTATAGTATAATCCTTTTGTATATTATTATTACCCCAAAATGGTAATTTTATAATACAACTATTTGGATTAACTTCATGAATCCTAAAATAAGTGGAACTCACAGGAATAACTATAAATCTTTCTCTATCATTATTATTATTATTATTATCTACTAGCTCTAAAGTTCCTCTTTGGTGATTAGTTGTATTAAAATTAGGTCTAAATAATAAATAGCTCCATATAGTATTTCTAGTATCAAAATTATTTCTCATGTTTAAAGTTGTGTCTCGATGTATGAATTTTTGAAGATTCTTTTCTATTTCCATGTATAGTGCTGTAACCCAAATCATAATAATCCATGGTTTCAATAAACCTAATATACAGAGGCATAAAGATATCATTAGATTAAGTCCAAATGATGTATAACTAAATATTGCTAATAGATCAATTATATACTTGTATTTATCTAACACGTTTAGGTACTTGTATATTAGCCAATGGATCACAGAAAGCAAAATCCCTATACTATATATGATCCAAGAAAACCATTGAGAATATATTATAAATAGAGGATTACTACCTAAAAACCACCAAGTTATACAATTTTGACCCTGTACACCAATGATTAAAATAGATGCTGAAGCAAATCCTATATATATTAATGGAAACATACTAGATGTCTTCAAATAATTTCCTCTTATACTCACCTTAATTGAGGTTAGAAACTCTATAATCACTTTACAAAGTACACCCAGCCATCTTACACATATTAATATAAAGGCCAAGATCATTTCAGTAATAGGAGTAACAAGCCAATTCTTTGAATCAATAAATAGACTCACAGTCTGAGTTGAATCATTCAATAATTTATTGTTCACTAAAAAATTTGTATTATTTATATATGGTGTATTTAACATATTCATACTTTTTACTCGTACTATGCTTGAATATCCCCATATTTGTTCAGTTTCCCCTAACTGAATTTCTTCATTACTTTTAATTGGAATATATTGATTTCCTTTATATTTGTCTGAGTTAGTTTGATTAGAATAATTATTTGAGTCACTGTAATAACTACTTATTAATGGACAATCACATTCTAATTTTGAAAACTTTAATATTGACACATTATTTGCTATATTACTACTAAAAGATAAATTTAAATTGTTAATATCACCAGAAATTGCTTCTCTAATATTATTATTTTTATGAATCATTATTGAAGTACTGTTTATGTAAAATTCATTACTCTCTTTATCTTTTAACAAGTTACTTCCATTTTTATATAGAATATTACCCATTAGATTCTGTGAGTTTAGTATTTCTGTATTTTTTTTTTTTCTATTCAAATCTCTTAGAATATTATTTTTAAAGTGATCTATTTCTTTATGATCCTCGCCTAAGTTTATAATGTTCTTCTGTGGATCTGAAAGTAGTAAAATTATACCATTCTTCATGGAACCATTCCAATCAAAATTATGGAAACCTGGGACATATATCCACTGTTTATTAGAGAATAAAAGGTTTAAATTTGGTATAAGAAAGTATATTTCTATTACAACAGGAATTATAGTTGAGACTATTAGTATGGATCTAAATATTTTTTTTTTTAGTGATATAACTTGATTGTTTTGATCATGTACTTCATTTTCCTCAACAAAAGGTAGTATTATATTTGTTTCACCACTTTGCATTCTATTTATAATTCCTGTTAGGCATTTATATCATTCATTGTAGCCCCTTTACAACAAAAGAAATAATCACCCCATGACCTTCCCAAAATGCACCCCTATAGCGCCATTATAGAGCGCCTCTTTTTTTTACATGTCTTTATTTAGTGGAAAGTGCAATTTTACAATATTCCTTGATAATATTTGCTTAATGAGTTATGATAGGTAAGTCTTGTTATATAAGTAGGTGTTATTTTATTGTTTTTGTCTACTAAACTAAGGTATCTATACTAATTTAAAATAGAACAGATAGACACTGTGAAGATTAGTCAATGTACTTAAATGTGTTCTTATGTAATGGAATCTCTGTATATATACTTATAAAAGTTATGTGGGATATATTCCAAGTATTTATAATTAAAAAAGCTAATATTACATATCTTTATCTGAACTATCTTTCAAATCCTAAAATTAAATAATACAACGAAGTACACCTAATATCTAAGTTAACCCAGTCATATATTAAAGATAAATAGCTCTGAATTATAATATTATTTTTTTAGTAAAATATACTTTTAATAAATGAGTTTAACCTTGTAAATAACAGAGCGGTGCAAGGCTGCAAGTTCCTCTCGCTCGCTGCGCACTAAATAGTACATAAATACGTGTATATATTAGATTCAAATGTTCATTACTTATAAAATCCTATTTCAGATTGATATTATAATATTAGTCTAATTATATATTCAATATTTATATTATTTGTCAAAAATCCTCAACTTCGTAAGATATTTTATTATAGTATTTGATTTTCATCAATTGACTACCACCTATAGGTAGTGAAATTAAAAATATATTGTAATTGATATATATATATTTATAATTATACAATAAATTATGTATCATCCAGATGAAGAGTCATCTTTCAACTATTTATCTATTGGACCCACGAATTTAGATAATGTAGACAATAGCTTAAGTGAACAAATTCACAGTACATATAAACAATTTAATATATGGAAGTATTTATTCTTAATGGTTTGTGTATTTGTAATTTTAGGTTGTTTTGTATCTCCATATAAAAATCAAATTAGTATGATCGATTCAACTGATTATATGGTGGATTTTAATTATACAGATAAAACTAATAAAAATATTGAAGAAATGAATAAAGTAGCACCAGAATTTGAAATTGAAAGATTTGGTATATCAAATATAACTGAAGATGTTTTATTAGGTAATTTAACAGACAAAGAATTTATTAATGATTCTAGTTCTGAGCTAAGGTTATTAGATAAACTACCATTATCTAGGATTACAACAGATATGTCTGGTTATTATTCAGGAAGTCATTACAATTCTCAAGGATTAAATAAAAGAGCACTAGATAATAATATATGCAATGACAAAAATTATACTAAAGAAGTCTTAAAAATGGTTTATGAATTAACTTATTTTGCCCTACCAAAAGATATAAAGAGCGAAACTAAATTTGAAGCTAGTGATTTAAAAATTATTGGGGATGATATCTGGGTTGTTTGTGATAATTCATGGCATTTAGGACGCTTTGGTTTAAGTTTGACTCCATTTTCAAATAAAAATAAACTGGTATATATGAGAACCACAACAGCTGGAGGACGTCCAATGGATATTGAAAATTTACTAGATGGGACAGATCCAACAAAGGAAGATTCTCAATGGGAAGCTATTATCTATGATAATGTAACAAGACATCTTTACGTAATTAGAGAATCTATTCCCCATATAATAGAGAAAGGAGTTGGTAATTATAACTATGAAAATGAGATAGATTCTAATATAGAAATTAATAGAGGGAAAGAATTGAAGTATATATTTGACAATATAAATGAAAATTCAAATTATATTAAGGGAAAATTTGAACTTGCAAGTAATAGAGGACATTTAGATGATATCCAAAAAGGTATAAATGATTTTGAAATTCAAAAGAAGTATCGGGATTTTGAGAAATCCTGTCCATATAATACGAACTTAGAGGGAGTCAAAATAATAGATAAAAATGATCAGAATTCACTATATACAGAAACAAAGGAAGTAAAAGAGAACAAAGAGTATAAAAGGAGAACCAAGAAAGATCAAGATCACTTGAAATCGAAAGTTGTGGAACCTCATTATCACTCTCACATAATTGAACTAGCATTAGTTAATGTAGATGGACAGGATTTCTATGAGGTTATAGAGAATTGTGCAGCTGAATATTTATTTATGTTTGATAATAAGGGTTTTGAAGGTGCTATCGGATTAAGAACAAGACAAGGAGAGTTTTATATTTTAGGACTATGTGAGGGTAACTATTGTTTAGGAGGAGTTCAAGGAGAACAGCCAGGTAATGGAAGGCTTGTTTTAATGAAAAAAGTTTACATAAGTTCTCAATATAATGCTCTAGCAGATATAAAGATAGCTAGGAACAATCAAGTAGTCCAAAATATAGAAAATAAGGATTTTGATAAAGATACAAACAAGTATAAAAATGGAAATTATGATTTAAATAATGAGAATTCGGATATTGGTGCTTATAATATAACAAAGGAATTAATAAGATGTATATGGAAAACTGTTAGAATTATTGAAATACCTTCAGAAGTAAAATTCCAAGATTATTCTTCAATTGATGTCAAAGGTAGCAAAGTCACCATTACTTCTCAAGAAGATTCTGCAGTATGGATTGGAGATATTAATTATGGAGATGGAGAATTTCTAGATCCTCAAAAGTTGTCGTTAATACCTGGTGGGAAAACTTACTACTTTCCTAGAGATCACGATTGTGACTACAAGTACTGTAATATTGAAGGAGTTTCATTTATTTCCGATAATCTTATTGTAACTGTTTCAGATAAAATGAAGAAAAATAAAAGACAGTCCCCAAAGTGCTTAGAAAAAGATCAATCAGTTCATGTCTTCTCCATCCCAATATGAATCAAGTAGTGATAAAAAGTAGATATTGTAAAAGAAAATCCATATATTGCTAAAATTCTGTTTTATTTTTATTATTATTGAGAAATTATGTTGATTAATTCCTACTTATTCTCTAACTCCTCTTTAATAGAATAAATTCTTTAATTATTAAAAATGTAACGTCTTTATATATTTACTTATATTCCAGTTTATTTTAAATTTAGTATTAAATACAGAAAAGTTGAAACTTCAAGCTACTCTAAAAGTATAAGTGCAAATACAGGCATAAATCTATAAATATTTCAGTTTTTTAATGAGATGGTAGATTTTATGCTACCTATAAGTTACAAAGGATAGATATATTCCTAAGCTATATTAAATAAGATTTTAGAAAATATTCAAATCAAACTTTTTCAGTTTCTTTGTATTAATATGGGGTATATAACTTCTATGCATGTCTGGGAAATATATTCCTCCGTTGAATAGTTTCCACTTTCCTTTTCATCATTTCTTAAGTCTCTATTATTATCTAATTGCCAGGCTATTTCAATTGGACAACGGCATAAGTGACATTGAGGTGATTTTTTTAATTTGCATACTGTCCACTTTATTATCTCATCAATACAATTGCTGCATATCCCACTATGATAACATGGGGAGAGTACAATATTGCTTACTCTATCATAGCATATCATACAAATAGAGATCTCATCAGAGAGTGAATAGTTTGATGATGATGATGAACATGGAGAATTATCATCTGTCTTCTCAGATAATTCAGGGTAGATTACTAACTTAGAATCTTCTGATGACAGCTTTTTCATTAAATAAGTATTTTCCCTATCATAACTATTATTTTTACTTCTCTCTTCATTCTCTTTTAAATCCTCTACTTTACTTTCAAGTGGTAATGTATTTATATTGCAATATTCTCTTCCCTTATTTGATAATGTAATATTATTTTCAAAACAGCTTTGCATATAAAAAGTTGGTGAAAGTTTTTGTAACTTTATAGATATAAAAGAATGTCTAAATATTAGTGGAGGAGGATTAGATATAGATTTTACAATCCATTCACGTTTACCATCACCATTGCAGTTGATCTTTTCTTCTTCTCTTAATAAGTAATAAGGGAATATATATTTATAACAATTGATTGATCTCTCTTTGGTTTCACAATTTATACTATTGTGTAATAAACCAAGATAAGCACGTAGAAGTAAATCACAACATTGACATATAATTGTTACTAAATTTGAATTTATCCATGGACTTGTCATTTGTGTAGTTAACAACATTACACTACCACTTAAAGAAAAACCAAATCCACAGCATGCTAAAATAATCAATGCATGGCCCAAAATTTTTTGAGTTGTACTTTGTCCATTTGTTGTTTGTGATGTATGGATTATCTCTACTGTATCATTTGTATGTGATTCTCCAATATATCTATCTGAATTATATTCCTGTCTACCTTGTCTTATTTTATTTATTTTTGCAAATTGAAAGCTTAAGCAAGAAGTAACAAGGGATATCCAGAGAATCCATTGTACAGATTCATGTAATGCAATTCTTGGAACATGTGTACATCTATTTGGAGTTAAACCATATAATAAGTATACCGAAGATAATGACCAAATATAAAAAGTACTAAAAGATAAGAGAGATTTGCACTGATTATAAAATATTAACTGACTTCTAGCAATATCACTATATCTTTCATTAGTATAAGTATTATTATCTTGATTAGGTAGGACTTGCATTACCATCCTAAATAGTAAAATGCACCATCTAAACACAACAAATATTAGTGTTGTTACTTTAAATATATATGATGGTTTATATTTATAATATAATTCTGGAAGTATAAAGGTAAAAAAATATTGACCATTATTATTATCTTTATGAGTATATAATGAACACCAACTGTTAGGTACATTAATAAAGTTTACTTTAGGTTGTAAGTTCAAATTCTTATTCTTATAATTTCTTTTATTATTAATTGGGCATTTCATATTAAAGATTTTATGCAAACTTAATAATGAGTAGTTTATACATATACTAACTTGTTCTTTAGTATATTTCTTGTATTTATATTTTAATATATTACCATTAGTATCTCCAATCATTTGTGTATGGTTATTGTTTTGTAAATTTGTCATATATATTTGATATTGACGAGAATTTCTCGTTATAATTTTGCTATTATCTATCAAAAACTCATCCTTTATTTCGTATAATGGTTTAATATCAGAAGATGATAGTGAATCTGTTACTTTAGATTTATGTTTCCTCTTTCGTATAAACTCTTTAATGTCATGTTTAGGTACATTATATCCATTATTATAAAATCCTTTTTGTTCATTCTCACTTGTGAATGAAGATAGAGCAATGAATTCCCATGAATTTACTCTAATTAATAAATCATTATTTATTTTTCCTTTATTATATATAGAAGGTACTAGTAACCAGTCTGTATCTCTAACGAATACAGATAATAATGGTACTATGGAATTCATCTCATTAATTAGTGGTAAAAGTGTAAATATCAAAATAATCAAAATCTTTACTAGCCATTTCAAAAAATAATATTGTTGCATTAGCACCATAATGCATTTACTTGCTACATGACCTACATACTCACTGACTCGTCGCCAATTACTGGATTCCCTTATACCAACAATGAACAGGGAAGACATAAATATATTAATGACACCTGTAAATGATAATTAAGATAAATATTCTATAATGTTTCAAATCCAAGCATCTATTATTTATTAATGAGATTGTTTATTTTAGAGCTGACTTGGGCTTTAGTATAAGAAAAATCTTAATATTTAAATAAAATAGCTTTAAGTATCAGCACTAGTATTTACTCAAATTCTTAAAATATTACTTTATTATTATTACAGGTAATATATCATGGTACTCTTAATCACGCGATGTCGCGATGCATGAGTTACTGCTGATAACTGAGCGGTAAAATTAACATGCATTGACGTGTTACAGACGTTATATTATTGAAATTAAAATAAAGAAAGTTATATCGCTGAATATTTATAAAATAAATATTCGTAATTAAAGAATCAGGTCATTATACTAAAGTCATTTGTAAATATCTTTTAATAAAAAAAATTAGAATTAAAGTGATAATTATAAATAATTATAAAGTAATAGTAATGTCGAAAATTAAGATACTAATTATATAACCAATAGTTAAGTCAATAAATAAAATATAAACAGTAATTATATCTGTAATTATTGTGAAAAATTATTCCTTAAATTATCTTTATAATATAAACATTAATAAGACTAACTTTAAAGTATATTCAAATATTTACCTCTATCATTTATAATAGATATTTATTTTATATTATCTCTCCTCAAATAGTAAATAATATATATAAATATTCAATGATTATATATATATTTATTAAAAATACTATAATTTTGAGCTTCTAATTTATTATGAGAAGAGTATGATATGAAACATGTCCATAATATATCAACAAAAGAGTCCCATAATGGTCTATATGAAACAGGTAAATAACGTATATTAAATATGTCTGATAATGGCCAAAAGTACCAACTCGAAATATATATATTTAAAAATTTCTCTTTAATTTCTTTAACTCCATATTTAACTCCGGATTTTAAATGAAAATAGCTATTCTTAAATGATCTATCATATTTAAAGATATTATTTAAAGTTATCTCCAATATTGGGGTTAAGAAGAGAAAAAATCCAAGTGAAAATGGTATAAATATAGTTTGAATTAAAATAACTTTTTTTAATACAACTAACCAAACGTGTTTATTATAATATTTTAATATAGAATTTTTATTAATATTTAATAATTTAGATTTGTCTTGAGAAATTAGGTTTATTTTGGTATTATCAAATAAATAATCTAAAGTATAGTAAAATGGAGTCAACAAGATCCCATTTATTATACATCCTTCTAATGATACAACAAATGTTCTTATCAAATTCAAATTTTTTAAATAATTATTAATATAAATGTTCTTTTTTTCTAAATTAAGTTTCATTAACCTATATAACTTATATATCCGATTATCACTATTTAGAAGAATTTCATGATCTATAATAGAATAACTTTTATATGATATATTGGGGATATTATGTTCTATTGTACCATGATCTATTTTACTCTCATAAATTTGAGCAAATATGTCTCCAATACCACACAAAATAGAAGCACCAATAGAGTTGATAAAAACATCTCTCTTGATATTAGAAATATTTAAAGATGATATACGATACTTCATTTGATTGAATAAGACATTTGAGCTAATAAATCTTATTCAACATAAATAATATATAGGCCAATTTCGATATATAAGCTAAATATTTCATACAATATTCCTTAATTACCAATTGAAAAGACCAAATTATCAATATCAAAGACTGTTTCAATATATATATATGGTTTAAGCGCTTTGTAGAGATATTTAAGACGTGAATTTAAGAACTTATTCATTGTAGAGAAATACAAATAAGGCAGTCACAGAGGTTTCTCAATTTCTTTAAGAAGAAACTATCACTGTATAGTATGACATTAAATTCGCTATTACTTTTTATTCTATATTTAAGTACTGTAGAAAGTTTTAGGAGGGGAGTCGAAACTATTGAAAATAGTAGGTATGTAACGCTTTCTAGTGGTAGGACGAAATATCGTATATTTGGTACAAATAATCCAATACATAAAAGAATTGTCACTATTCATGGTCTCCTTGGTTGTGGTGAAGAATATAATAGATGGAGGGGTACTATCGTAGGTCGTGGGTATCATTTATTGCAATATGATTTAGTTGGACATGGATTATCAGAGTGGAGGATAAAAGGTCTTCTTAAGATAGATGACTTTGTAAAGCAACTTCGTGAATTATTAGTAGCTATTGGTTGGACTAATTCCAAGATTATATTGATTGGATTATCTCTTGGTGGCCTAATATCGGTGAATTATTCAGTAAAGTATCCTGAACATATAGAAAGTTTAATTTTGTTGGCCCCGGCAGGTATAATTTCAAGATATGATTCACCTAATTTATATAAACTCTCAAAGATATTTAGTCCTTCTTTAGCTAAGAATATTCATAAATACCCGATATTTCTCAAAACTATGAAGGATTTTTTAAATTTACTAGGAATAATATCCAGCCCATACGATCCTTATTACATTATGAAATGGTCCACTATATTTAAAATAGGATTGGGTGGAAGACTATTTGAAAGATATGATGATTATAAAAGGCTAGCTAAAATAAAAGATATGTTTCCAATATTGTTCATTTGGGGAGGAAATGATTTGGTATTACCATTAAAATTTGCATTTTCATTTTTAAAAGCGAATTTCCCAGAATCTAGAATTGTGATTCTACCTTTTACATCACATGTACTTACATTAGGTAGTTTATCTCCAATAAATATAGCATTGGAATTCCTTGAGAAAACTACTGTTGGAAATACTTTAGAATCACTAAACGAAGAATCTAATGAATTTCAAATAATTGAAGGAATTAAATTCAGATATACTAATAATTCAGTTATTTATCAAATAAACACTGAAAAATATCTAATTGATGATTATACAGATATATTAAACTATGGATATTCTTAAATAATCCAATAATTCACTAAATATAATAAAATAAATAATATTTAAAAAGATGAAATTTCTATGATATAGTTTTTTGTAGATATATAAATTTTATTAAAATATGTAAAGTAATCAGATATACTCTTTCTAAATTATTATTCAATGTTATCATTAAGGTGCTAATATATTCCCTGTACATTTATATTACTGAATATATATGTCTTTATATAACGATATTAGTAAGTTTTAGTTTATTCTCTCTTATTTTGAATATTTGATGATGAAGATATTGTGTTAGTTGGACGGACTACAAATGATAAGGTACAAAATAATGAATAAGGTATTAAATTAAGCAGATATATCATTAATTATATTTAGAATTAATTAATACTCTTAAATTTATTCTTATTTGTATCACTTACATATTGATAATTGAGTTATTATAATGAATATAACAAATTGTAAAGAGATCACTCCCCACTAGTAAAGTATACAGGTAAATAATTGAAAAACTACTTTAAATTAATGAGAAACAATTTATCATTATTCAAACATACCACAAAAAATTCACTTCTAATGACCTTTGCAATAAGTTGCCATTTTGTTTCTGGAGGGGTTTCTTGAATATAGCCGTTACAAAGATTTGCCTTGAAAGTCTATAGAACAAAGTTAATTAAAATTACTTATATTAAAATTTCTTATAAATAACTATTTAAAACTTACAAAATATATTACAACTAAATAGTAAGAAATAGGTATTTTCATTTTTTTAGAACTACTGTTAGCTATGCAATAAAAATACGATACCCGCGATGGCGGGTCCACAAGACGAAATTACATGCATCATCACTTTGAAATTACTTCATAAATTGATAGGTGTTTATATAAACAAAATCAGATACAACTTAATTTTAATAAATAAATAAAGTTATTTTTGTAAATATTAATATTAAACAAAAGTAGATCTTTAAAGTAAATTCTAATAGCTTAATATTTTGTGGTATATCTAGGTGTAAGTAAATATGTGATCTATATGTTCTTTATTTCTCTTGACTTTTAGATGAATCTATCTTAAATTTACCTAATTTATCAATCTCTTGCTCATTATCATCTTTAGTGTACTCATCAAAAAGTTTCATATTTATAATAGCAGCTTCTTCAAATTTTTCCTTAAAAATATCTGCTTGTTCGACCTGACCAAATTTCAAGGCAAATTGTTCAAGTTTCTGATCTTCTGAAAAGTCTTGTACAGTCCAAACCCAAATTTTGTTACTTCCACTGTTAGGAGTTAATTTACAAAAGCTACCTTTCTGAATAACATAATGATTTGCAACAATCTTAAAAGTTTTCTCTTGTCTTAATAAAAATCTAATTTTCTTAGTTTCCTTATGTTGCAAAAGTTTTGCATTACCAACTCCTCTCTCTTTCCATTCTCCATTAACAAAGCGATATAGTTTTGCTCGATGTTTCCAAAATTCCTCCTCATCTTCTTCTCCTGTCATCACTTCAACCTGCTTCAATTCAACCTGCGGAGTATTCCAATTACCCTCAGTAATCTCTTCCTCTGGATAATATTTCTCATCACCACTTCCTTCACCAATATTACTAGGTTGTTCTGTAGTATTATTCTCTAAAACCCGTGAAACCACCTTCTCTTCAGTTACTGTAGATTTATTCTCACATTCTACACCAGTCATTTCAGTTCTTTTGCATATAACAATCCCCAGTAATTAATATTAGAACGAAAATTTCTTATTTTCTTCTTTATATTACAAAGTAAAGTTTACCTCCTAGACTTTCGTAATAAGTTTATAGGGGGTGTCTTACATTTGTCCTACTGAACCGCCCAAGATAATGATTTATTCTATCAAAATTAATTTAAATAGTTTTGTATTCAATATTACTTAAGAGCTGAATATTAAAAGGTTAGAAATTAGGTAAATTTAAAAATAGAGATTTTAAGTGCCACTGTAACTGAGATTTTATTAGGAAGATTGCAGTCGAGCTCTTTCCAATACAACCTGTTTCATATACATTAGATGTAGTTCAACAGTTGTAAGAATCACTACAGTAGCTACTATTGCAATTGGAACTAATCTAGATAATACACATGTATTTGTAGTTTCATCTAAATTATAAAGTAGCCATGATGAACATGGAGGAGGCATACATTCATTAGTAGGGGCAAAGTATGTTGAATTTCCTAAACAAAATTTCTTAACAGTACAATGCCGATTGTATACCTCATAGTTGATGTTATTATGCATATTCTTATTATTCTTAGTGTAGAATCCAACCTGTCCAGATTGTGAGTTAACAGTTATACCAAATGACTTCAGTACCAAAGTTCCAAAAAGAATGAGAGGTGAATTAGCAGGGGCTATAGATGGTCCTGAAGTATCGAAATATTCTTTTTGTATGTAAATTGGAATGATATTTCCAGCTGAATTAATAATTGATACAGTTAAACATAAGTAATCAATATCTTTATTCTTAACAATCAAATCATCAAGTAGGATAACTATTGGTGTTAAACTTCTTTCTTCTAAATGTAAAATTAATGGAGGTAAAGGACGTTTTAAAATAATACAAAGTAAAGGAATATCAGAATTTGAACTTTGTAAATTATTGTATTCAATTTCTGAGCATGAAACTGGTAACCAACTTATTAGTCTTTGGTACAAAAAAAGTGGAAGAGATAGACAACTAGAACCAAAATCCAATGCACTCGTCCAATGAGATGAAATACCTTGCATTAAATTTATTCCACAAACACCAATATTATATACTTGGAACAAATTTAGAGCATCCTCAAATATTGCACCAGTTTGTTTAGATTCACTCCATATGATATTATTAATATTCCAATATGGAGATGACCCTCCTAAGTATAAAAATGATGGCTTATACCTTGAATTTTCAATTTTATGCAGATATTCTGAATTTGAAGTCATAGGTAATGATTCATTATAACTATCTATATTTATATCAAATGAATAAATTGAAGCATTATATAATAACATTAAGTTATTCCATAGTGAAGATTCACGACATGAGATAGATGAACCTACAAATATATAACATTAAATTAATATAAAGTGAAAATAATTTTGTTGTAAAAAATCAATACTCAATCTCATATTCTACTTCTGCTCATACATATAGGTAAATTTATCTAGTCAATATAGTCAGATTTTCCCCTTTTATCAACATCTAAACCTAAGGTATTCAGACCCGAAAGATGGATGAATATTGTGGGAATTCATCATATTTGTAAATATTAATATCCAAATTAAACTAGATATTTACAATATATTATGAGCAAAAATAAAAATAATCGTTTTTATTCCTAGATATATATAAGAATATTCTGTTATTTTTAAACATACCTACAATGCCAATAAGTCCATCAAAATCTTCCAATGTAGGCCAATTACTATTACAAATATTTGAACGTATGAGTTTTATAGGAAAATTTTGTAAAACTAAACGTGGTGATAGTGATGGTAAAACAACCATATCATTTCCTTCAAGAGAGATTTCATTTTGTATAATTCCATCATAAACCCTTTGAAAGTTATGTAATAAGGCAAGATTTGAAATATTACTATTAGTGAAATCAGGAAATTCAGTATGTTCATCACAATTATACACTGATGAATATAAACCTACAAAACATTTATCTGAGTTATAACACCAAGTTGCACTTGATGATATTTTTGGATCATAACAGTTTCGTATTTCAGAGAATTTACTATTTCCAGTTCCATATTCTCTTCTATTTAAATGTGTTAATTTATTACAAGCTGGACTTAGCTTTTCAAATAACCTTATTCCTTCAACTAAAGTATCAATTGCTAATCTTAGGTGCTGATCTCCAATTATTATGTTAAATCCAATTCTGTTATTGGATATTTCCAATGGTATTTGCAGAACCTTTTTAGAAAAAGTTTGTGTACCATTATTTTCTATACAAGAAGTTTCATTAGATAGTACGAGTACAAATAAAAAGAACAGAATTCTCTTTAAAAATAAATTTTTGTTCAATACGTCATATACAAAATTCGTTACAAACATTAAGAAGCATATTCAGCCAGCAATTTCCACTTCTAAGAGGCTCGTTACACCATAATATATATATAACTAAGGTACAATATATTAATTACTAAGAGCATATAAAAGTCCAAAATAAGGCTTTATATATAATACTACAAATTCTACTCTAGTAAATATTATTCTAAATTAAAATAATAGTACCATTTTTACCGCCAAGTATCGAGTTTTTTTTTCCATCCCTAATTTAACAAGATATTATAGAAAGTGTGCAAATATATTATTTTAAGTTAAAATTAGCTTAGAATTTTTGGATATTAAGGGATTTGTATTATATATATCTGATTTATAATTTAATAATTTTCTCTATATCAATTCTCTGAGCTTGATCTGTGTAGTAACATCTTTATATTTGTTCGAAATCGATGAATATTATAATAAAATTCACTAACAAAGGTCAGGATATATCTCTGACATTTCTATTTATAAGTCACAACGAAGTAAAATGAATACTTTTTCGATATTTATGTTTATCTTTATATTCTGCTCATATTCAGAAACTTGTTACAATGGTAGATTATATGGTGAATATAACCTTAGTAGTAAATCTTTTATATCTTCAGGCAATATAGCGAAATCTCGATATGAGGAAATTGAGTATTTTCTTATAGCTTTCAGCACTTTACTTAACAACTATCATAACTATTACAGTGGTTATAAATCAAATCTAGAAGCAATGAAAGTTAATATTGAAGAGTTGTTTACGAAAAACTTAAGTACTGATGAATTGATTATAAAATATTTGGAATTTGCAGCAAAATATTACCATGAAATAAATGTCAGAAGTGACATATACAGAATTTTAAAATATCAAAAAAATTTATATGAAGATACAAAACGTTATATTCATTATGAACCCTTAAGTAATAGTATTTTAAATATAAATTTGCAGTTTACAACAAATTTGAAGATTATTTGATATCTAGTTAAATAATAGTTAAATAATGTAGAATGATAATATTTTTGAGAAGCTAGTCTAATCCTTTAATAAATTCTAAATATTGAATATTTGATATATAGAACTTTATAGATACATAAATATGCCAAATTATTTTTTAATTAACTAATATTTATTCTATATTAGAATAATTTATTCATTTCAAAACTATCTTTTTTATTTTATTGTAAATACATTAATCTAATTAAGTATTGGTTTTCTATTGTATTCTAGATAACGTTTAATCTCTTCATAGCTAATAAGCCCATCATTATTTTGATCAGCTATGAAAAGTAGTTCATCAGCTTCATCTGGTGTCAATGGAGAGATACCTTTTGTAATTAGCATTTGTTTAAGTTCTAAAGCTGTTATATATTCACTATTATTTCTGTCTAATAATCTAAAACCGAGTTGAATTTCATCATCGCGGTCAAGTCTCAATATTTTCATTCTTGCTAGTCTACGGAAATCTTCGAAATCTAACATTTCATCTCCATTAATGTTAAAGTCTTCTTTTAATATGTTTAATTCTCCTTCGATATGATCACCAGTTACCTCTGCAGCTATTGCTTCATATCTTGAGAACGTTACAGTACCATTATCAAAAGCTCGCCTTAATGCAGCAACTAAATCATCTAAACGTATCTTATTATCACCATAGGTATTCAAAGTATCAAATAAACCCTTTAAAGCAGACTCATGCTCTAATGTTAATTCGGTAATACCATATGGAATCCTTCTAGTTCGCTTTGACTGATACACTTCATTTGCTTCTCCACTCATAGGACAAACATATTGCACTACTCTAGCTGAATTAACACCACTTTGGGTGCGATTCAAAGCTAATTCAGTTTCACTTTTCATGATTTTGCTCAAAAAAAATTAAATATTTGATGTGAGCACTTTTATTGTGAATTCACTCAAGAGTGTCACATCACGACATGTACATATTTGTGTGCAAATGCATCGGCGCTATATGCATCATTTCTAAATATACAGAAATAAATATAACTTAGAAGTCTACCAATTTATAAATCACAAATTTTTAACTTCAATATATTACTAAAATTAAATAAATATAAATTTGTTGATTTCTTTCTCAATTAATAAATCATGACTCTTTTGAGGTAGAAAGAAAACAATTACAATATTCCTTGTAGCCTAACATCATGAGTTATCTAAAGGGTATTTTTATACAACCCTATAATTTCATTTTCTATCTTATTATTCATTGGCTTTGAATTATATTTTATGTTTAAATAAATCTCTTCGTTCCTTCCTTGACATATCGATGTATTCTGCATAAATTTTAAAGTAAAGAAAGCTTTAATTACTTTTACTCTCCAGATTTTCTCAAGAATATGGAATAAGGAATTAATCTGATTATAACGATATAATCCTATCAATATACGTTCTTGTATCTTAATAGTATAAAGGCAATTCCAAGCAAATCTAAGCCTTTTATTAAAAATTGATGCTAAAATATTAATCCTGTTAAATTGGTTACTTATTAGTACTGGAAGTGATTTTTCAAAATAAAATGAGTAACATCTATCAAATTTAATATTACCACTTTTTTCATATAATATTTGTTGATTTTTAGTAAATAATGTTTGTCTCTTCCAAATATGAAATAAGTCTCTAAGAGTAATCCTTTCATGTAATATACAAGTTGTTGTTTTATGCTTTTTAAGAATATCCCAATGTAATTTCAGCCTACTCTCAACAATTCGGGAAAATGAAAACATACTTTTTAATATATTTACAGACATTTGAACTTCTTTCATAAATCTTTTTAGAATTAAAGGTCCACACTCATTTTCATTGCTTTCAATAGAAACCACAGAATTTCTATTTTTATTTAATAATAATATTTTAAAGGAATTTGAAAGCAAGATAATAAGTCTTTTCTTGATAATAAAATTTAATTGATACAGCATTAAAGCTCTATTTGATTTTTTTAATTTACGAGTAACCTTCTCAATTATTCCTTCTGCAACACTTCTCTCTATATATTGGTCATTACTAATAAGATTCTTTGCCGAATTTTTATTATTCTTCCATGATTTAATATTGTTATTAATGTACAAAACCCATCTTTGCATATCAACTGTAGATGTACACTTCAATTTTATTTGTACTTTTTTTTTTCTACAACTACTCATACAAGAATCATCTGACTTATTTAAAAAAATTGAAAATACACATGAATCAATTAAAGAAGCTTCACATTTTATTATACTTGCAACAGATATACTCTTAGTTATATAAAATGGATACTTTACTTTGTGAAATACCAAAATATTAGATTGTATCATACAATACTCTCTTGTCCAATAAGATCCAAAAATTTTATTTACTCTTTTTCTAAGGACTAAACCATAACATCCAGCAATAACAACTGGTAACTTTATTATATCATTTTGTATTGGAATAGAAGTATTAGAAGTTGATTGTGATTTACAGTTCAATTTTATTTCTGGCAAAACTGCAGCTACAGTATTAATATCACATATACTACTACTACTATCATTATCCATTATTTTTTATAGTGAATATTTTATGCATACATATAACTTTAGAATATAACTTATCAGCTTATTTAAAAAAAATCACTTCATAATTTCAGTTATTATTATAAAAAATTAAGATTAAGATTGAATATAGCGGTACAGACTAAAATATATTCACTGCATGCATGCAACCTTAAAAAAAAATTTATTTATATATAGTAACTACATGTAAACTAAATTTATTGATTTATATATTTACTCTATTATTTATATTTTAGAAATTTAAGTTTTAAATTTTAGTAAATCTTCTTTCTTAGCCAGCTTTACACCTTTATGATAATAACTAGCTTAGTTTTTTTTTTTTTTTTTCTATTATATATACTAACTAAACTGAAGATGAGACATTGTATTGTTGTAAAGACATATTATACATTTTAATGAATCTGATACCATATTTAGATATTCAGAAAGTATTTTAGAATGGGATATCTCATAAAAATAACAATAATAGTGGTATGAGTGTCCACAATTAAAAATAACAATTGAGCCTTCATTAACATCTTGAAAATCTTTTAAACTAAAATTATTAATATCTAAACTTCCAGAACTTATACCTCTTATCGAATTATAAGGATAATATTTTGGAGTTTTATTATCATTTAAAATTGATTCCACTTTTTTTATTTTTTTGTGTAGTTTCTTGGTAAAATTTGGGTTTAGTAATAATCTAAAGCAAATATTACAATAATCAGTATCTTTTGATATTATAATTGAATTAGACAATTTCACTAAAAAATATTGTTTTAAGCTTTTTTGAGCAGATAAAAGAACATTTGAACTACTTGATGCTATAGTTAAATTGAATTTTAGATGAGATAACACACCTAAATCAATAAATGAGTCAATAGTTTTGACATTTTGAAAAATTTGAACTTTACTAAAATTAATAAGCCTTTTTAATTCATCAAGTAATTTTGATTCAAATAATTCGAAGTTAAATGGTAAATAGTGCCAATCACAACAAAATATAGATAATGAGCAATTATAATGAGAATTAAAATATGCTAATATATTTTCAACATATTTCCGTACTGGATTATTTGAATATATATTTTGTAATTGATAACAATTCAAATCTGAATTAAAAGCTTTTTTTGAAATATAATCAGCCCAAATAATAAAATTTTCAATATTTTGGTTATTACTTGAATATAACTGCTCGATAAAACTTAACCATAAGAATTCAATTTCCTCCTTATAAAGTATAATTAATGATATACAACTGAATACAAGATTTCTGTTTAATAAAGTCTTAAATAAATCATTATAAAGAAGTTCTTTTTGATTATTTGATTTATTATTTAAAAATAATGAAAGGCACTTTGCTTCAATTAAGTATATATGTGAATGTATTACTTCATTATCAAAATTTCTTCTATTTAATTCATTATATTCAACAAATTTACTAAAATCAACATTTAAACCCTCAATTTTATTATTAATTTCATTAACTAAAATATTAAAATCCAATTTTTCCTTAAATTTTAGTATAAAATTTAATAATTGATGTGGAGCAAATTCAACATACAATAATGGTAATATTTTAAAGCTATTTTTTATACCTTTTACATCATCTAATAATAAATAATCATTAATATTTTCATCAAGACAATATAAAACATTATTTGAAATATTCTTTATTTCATAGTTTGCAACAATGCTCTTTTTTTTACGAGATATATTAAAACTAAAAAATGAATCCTTAATATAATTAGTAGAATCTACCAACTTATCTTGCCAATAAACCAAAAATTTAAAAAATATAAAAGTTGAATTTTTATTATTCTTTATACAATCATATAATATTTTAATTGATACATATCCACCAAATAATAATAATTCCAAAATATTTTGATTATTTATTAATAATATACAATTTATATGCTCAATAATTATTTGACCAATATCATTACTTGAAATTTTATCTATAATGTCTATTAAAATTTCTTCAAAAATATTATTATCAATACATTTATTTAATATATGTATACAAATAATAAATATTTCTTCATATGATGATTTTCTCTGGTATAGTTGTAATATTTTAATATAACCAAATAAAATATTCAACTTTCTCTTACAATTTATAATATTATCAATATAACCCTTTTCTTTTTTTAGAAATAATGAAGATAATCCTGAACATAATTTTAGTTCACTAATCCATGGTTCATTTATCCTAATAAAAAATAACAACTTCTCCTGATAAGTTATTTCATTATCAGAAAATTCCTTCTTAATAACATCAAACCAAGAATTTAAAATAAATATAAATAATTTAATATCATATACAAATACACACTTAATTAACTTAAAAAACCATTTCATTGAATTAATTGATATTAATATAATATATTTATATTCAATAAGTAAAGTAACAAATTCTTCAAAATACCCAAAAAAATTGTAAAGGTTCATATATACAAATAATAAATCCTCTATTTTATTATTTAAATAATACGAATATATTAATGAATTATTAAAGTATATTCTTCTTTTTAAAATATCTAAAGATTCCTTAACCTTATTTTTTTTTAATAAATCAATTATTATCTTAATTTCCATATCATAAGATATATTCTCATCAATTAAATATAATACATGATTAATTTCATTTTTTTTATTATACCACCATAATAAATCATCACTACTTGTACGAGATATCATGATAAATGATTTATTGTGATTAAAATTAATGATCATTTGTGTCTTCAAGAAATTATAAATTTTTGGTTTATTTACAAGTAAATCAATATAATTATTTGAATTAATATTATTATCTTCATTATATAAAGATCTTGTCAAAAATTTTATATTATGATGTGTAATCACATGAAACAATTTATCAAGTAATATTAATTCAATTTCATTAAAGCATTCTTGATTCATTAATAGTATAGCAATAAAAGAATTTTTAAATGGAGTAATATAAAATGGTCTAACTGATATTATCTTATATTTCTCTGGTATTGTTAATATATAAATTAATTTAATATTTCTTAAAGTAGATTCAGATAATTCCTTATATATATAAATAGAAAAAATTCTATTTTGAATAGAAATATATTGTTGATTTGAATGTTTAAAGAGGATTATTGAGTTACTTAGACTATTATTATTGTTAATATATTGTTTTAAGGGATATATTACAATAGTATTTTTGTGTTTAATATCATATATATATAAATAATTGTTAACTACCCAATATAAAAAGTACTCTTCATCTTGATTACTATAGATTATAGTTAAATTTCTAGTATCATATAATTTATTCCTATATATTGTTCTTATATTTTGAATCTGATTATCATTAGGTATATTAGCAAGTATTATATGTCCTTCAGTAGTAATTAATACAATTTCTTCTAAACTTTTTATTATTTCAATTAATTTTATAGGTGCTATAAATTTTTTTTTTATTATTGAATGTTTATGAGAAATGATTAAAGATTCCTCTTTAATAATCCAATATAGTAGATTACCATCTTCATCAATAGCAAATAGTCTTATTGAATTTAATTTCCCAGTTTTTATATAAACATTTATTATAGATTTTGAACTTTCTGTATTAATTTTACTGATAATCTTCATACTCATTTTGTTTATTAGTATTATTTCCCCATCTTTAGTTCCAACACAGAAAATATCAATATCTTTATTTATATCAATACATAAGATATTGTAAGATTTTAGCTCATCAAATAAAGATCTATTAATATTATACTCTAAAATTGGTACAATCTCCTTGTTATCTATTCCTTTATTAAAGAAGCTGTTAATATTAGAAACTTCAATATCCATATCTTTACCTATATAAATATATAGATGAAATAATAAAATTGAATATTGATAAAAATCAAATATATAGTCCTAATTATATCCTAATAAGCAAATAAAGTTAATATTATATTAAATTATCTATATACAAATATTCGAGTATCCAAGTACTTTATTAATAGGATTTATTCTAAAAAGAATAGTTAAAATAATACAGTGAATAACCTACATAGATAAAAATTTGATGGGATTGAGTGCAATAACTTAAAGTAAGATTAGAAATGTACTGACTTTTTTTTCGTCTTAACTTTTCTTAATACTTTTTGCTTATATTTATTGGAAGGTGAATACGGAGTAATGATGTTTTAGCGCGCAAACAGTTGGCGCCTTTTATGGGCATTAATTATCTTCGAATAATAATGAAATTATTGAAGTACTATAAAGGGGATTTAATAATTGAATAATTATAAAATAGAAATAAGCTGAGGTAAAGGCTCAGCTTAGATAATATATATATATGAAAGATAGTTCAAGCAAACTTCAGGAGGGTAAAGGAGTTGATGAAGCTAATAATTTTGATAATTTATCTAAATTTGAGTTAGAACGTAGAAGATTAAATTTACAATTACTAAAACGTCATGATAATGATATTGCAGAGATAGTAGCTTGTTCTAGTTTTGTTAGTGTATATGTAATGGATACTTCTAGTCAAAAGTGGGTTAGAGGAGATGTTGAAGGCTTTTTACATATAGTTAGGCGTTCTACAGAACCTAAATATGAATTAATAGTTATAAACCAAAAAAATCCAGATAATCTAATTCAGAATATAACAAGAGAATGGGAATTAAGTGGTGAAACAAATTTTCTATTTTATAAAATACCAAGTGGTAACATGGTATCATATAATGATATAAATAATACTGAATTACAAAATGGAGTTAGAGTATGTTGTTTATGGTTTTATGAAATAGAAGAAAGGAAGAATATTGAAAATACTTTGAAACAAATAGTATCTAAATTATCAAATATAATACCAATATTATCTGAAGGAGTATGCTCATATTCCCAGGATGCAGGCAAAACAATTCTTGATATGTTAAATAAGAAGACAATAAAACAAAATAATGCTAATATTGAAGTGTCAATAGATAGTGAACCTTCTCCAATAATTGATTCAGTACAAAAATTATTACATTATAAGGATATTTTAGGTAAAAGTAATAGAAAAATGATGCAATCAACCATTAACTCAGAATCATTGATAAATAGTAATGGTACATTATTATCTTCAAAAGATATAAAGAGTTCAGACTCAATTACAAATAATGAGCATTTAGTAATATCTGATACTTATGAAGTTAAAAATACTCAATATACTGGTCATAATCTAAATATAACTCCTGATATGATACGAAATATTATATTAGAGGTCCTCTCATCATCGCAGGTTCGTCAAATGATTGAAGATCGTATAATGACATTATTTAATAAAGTTAGAGGAGATAATATAAATAATGTACAATCATTCCAGACACAGAAGTCTTGGAATAATAATAAAGTACACTCAGAACAAAAAGTAGGGGGTAAACAATCAAATTCACATGGATCTAATCCTCATTCTTATTCTACTAGTCATTTATAATGAGGCATCTGAATTATCTTTGATTATTTGTTTATCTATCCAAGAATATTTGAATATATATTCAAAAATCATTTCTAAAGTATTGCAATTGTTGATTGAATCTATTACTTGCAATATGTTATATCTTAAAGATTTTGATTTCAATAACAATTTTACCATTTCAGGTAGTTTCATATATAAGATTTTATATACATGTGTACTTGTATTAGATGTAATCTGAGTATTTTTTAAATAATCTATCATGTGGATGATTGTAATATTTAATAAATCTTTTTTTTCAGCATCACTTATAATATTTCCAAAATTTGAAAGAGAGATACACCAACTTAATAAATGAAGCAAAAAGTTATAATCTGAATCATTTAGATCATCATATAAACTATCAAATTGCAGATCTGATACTGGAAATATAAGTTCCTTGAAACATAAAATGAATTTTTGTAAAAGAAGTATCTTTAATGAGGTCTTATATTTTGGAAGTTGTTGATCTGGAATGATTGAAAATATGATACTTATAGACGATATAATATCATTTGTTTCTTCAATATTTAGTGGTATCCAAATATTTGTTATTATCTCACAAATATAGTTTGTAAAGATAAATTCAATACCATCATAAATAATGCTACTAAATTTGCTAATATTCATTATATTAATATCTGTTTTAGTTTGCTGATCATTATATTCTATATAACTCTCTGAAGTCATATTTAGCATTCGTAAAATAAAATTATACCACTTAAAGCTCTCTATACTAAAGTTATTATTCCACTCAATTATATTCTTATTTTTAAGTAATTCAGAATTTAATATATTTTCTTCTAATTCCTTTGATTCCTTAATTAAATGCAATGGGTCCCAAGAAAGCATTTCTAGATATATAAATGGAAATATTATTTGATATAAATATTTATGTATATGAAGTTTGCAGTAAATTTCCGGGTAATCCTTTTCTATATTTATAATAAAAGTTACAAATTCTTCTAGACTTTTACTAAAATCAAATTCTATGAGTGGATTTCTTATTTGATTATACACTTCTATTATACAACTTTTATATATGTCAGTTATATCAATGATATAACAGGGTTGGTTCATAGAATCGTATAATTTAATACTTTCAACTATTTTACAATATAAATTTCCTTCAGCATCTTTACAATGAGTGCAGTAAATTAGATGCCATTGTTTAATAATATTATATTTATAATATGAAAAACGTTTAGAGCCATATTGAATCATTGACATCTTAACCTTCTCTAAAAGTAGGTTAAATTTTTCATCATTGTTACTTAACCTAAAAGCAGAGATCTTAGTTAGATATATTTCGAATTTGTCAATTATTTCACTTTTATTATTGTTTATTTTAACTTTACCCTCTATATCCTGCTTTTGTAGATCTAGTTGATGTTTCTTAGCATCCAAGATATGGATTTCCTCCTCTATATGATTGATCTTTTTATTTAAGTATGTGATCGCATCAGAGAACTTCTCCATAATATATATTAATCTAAAGAAAGTATTTACAATAGTTCTTAAAAACTCCAGACAAAAGACCACCAGCGCTTTATGTTAAAACTATAATTTATTATACAATACTAAAAAAAAGTTTGAAAAGTATTGTTTATACCTATATTTAAATTTAATTACAAAATAAAAACTGTATTTATTACACCAATAAGTACTTTAATTAAAAATATTTTTTTTATATCAAAGTAGAGATATATTTGTACAAGGTTTATGCTGCAATTTATAGCCTCCACTTTTTACAAACGTAATTTTTCACTTTATTTTAATCTTTGTTGGCTAATTAATCTAATTTTGAATGAATTTATGTCTCATAATAAAAGGAAGCTTGAACAAAGTAATAATGGTGATGAAAAAGGAATTATAAGAGAGGGATATGCAAAAGAATTGCATTACCAAATTCTTCAGAGACTTAAACTATCAGAGACACTTAGGAGAATTTTAGGTAAGTATAGTCATATAAAAATAATACTACCGAAATTATGGAATAATGTAATATTAAATACATTATATAGTAATTCCTTTTCAGTTTTTACATTGTAATATTTTTTTAGAGATATACAACAAACTTGTTCGCCTTAATAGACAACCAAAAATTTCAACTATCCTCTGTGGTATATCAGATGACTGTTTAAGTTCTTTAGGTAGATGTCAGAAATTTCATGGTGAGAATTATTTACCTGATTTGTTAAAGATATTAGAAATATTTGAAGAAGATATAGAGATGATCGCATTTAATAATGTTTGTGTAAATATAAGAGAACTTTCATTATCAGCATTAGATAAGTATACTATAATATTTAAAAGTAATAATAGAGTGAATAATAAAATATTATCAAGAAGTGTAATGGATAAATTGTCAAGTAAACTGATTGATTACTTATCCAAGGAGTCTATAAATACGAACTTAGTTTCTTTAAACAATAACAGGCTATCAGAAAATAATGAAATAAGAGAATCACCTTTAAAAATAAGACCAAAGTCTGAAATATTAATAAATGAAAAAGAATCATTAGAAATTTCTTCAGAAGACGAAATATTACATATTAAAAAGAGAGTACAACAAATAAATAACTTCAATTCAAATGACTTAGATAGACTTCACAGTATAGAGGAAGTAGCAAATTTCATAGCAAACAGTAATATACTAAATGGTAAGATTTGTTATAGAAAAATTGAAGAGAAAAAGGATCCTGTATATTGTGAATCAAATGATGATATATATAATATATTGCATGAACAAACTCTTATTGCTCTTGAGAAATTTATAAATACTGGAAAGGATAGTAATACTATAAATAAAAGATTTAAGTTTTATATTCATCAATCTAAGGCAATTAAAAGTATTCTTATAGAAAGAAAGCATACAATACTATCAACTTCAACATCAAGTGGTAAGTCTCTCTGTTATATAATCCCAGCTATAGAATATTATCTTGAAGATCCTAAATCTATAACTTTAATATTATTTCCAACTAAAGCCCTAGCTCAGAATCAATTTAATTCAATAAGTAGATTGATTTCATATTTTTTAGAGAAGCCGGTATTAGGAATGTTAGATGGAGATACTGAGAAAAATAAACGTTTTGATATAGTTACAAAAAGTAATATTATTTTATCAAATATTGATTTTATACACTGGAATATTGATTTTATTGCAAGCAGTATATATGACAAACTTCGTCTATTTGTAATGGATGAGGTTCATGTGTATAATGGACAATATGGTTCAAATGCCAGTTTAGTAATTAGAAGGTTTAGACGTTCAATAACATATTTTCTGCAGAAAACTGTAGAGATATCAACAATAAACAGTGAATTTAATATTAATAATAAAAGTTTTCCAATATATATATCTTGTTCAGCTACAATTTTTAATCCTTTACAACATTTCAATACCTTAACTGGTATATCATTATATAGTATAAAAGGCTATGAAACATCTAAAAGTGAACAGAATAATGAAAGAACAAATGATAATACTTCAAATACTTTAAATAATGTACAAAATATTACGCTTATTGAAGAGGATTATTCATTAGCATCTAAATGTCTAACTATAATTTGGGATAGTAACGTTTTTAATATTGCAAACTCACAGGTAGTTAAACCACAATGTGACTCTATAAGATCTAATTCAAATTATAAGGAATGTCTTAATTTATTGCTAGAGTTGTATTTTCTAAATAAATCAACTCTAGTATTTTGTAAAAGGAGAAAACAAGCTGAAATGATGAGAAATGACTTACAAAATTTGATATCAAAGATTGAAAATATCAAATCCAAAGATCAGAAAGGTTCTATTTTTAAATTTAGTAGTGATTTGAAAGATAGCTATAATAATAATAGTCAAGATTATATGGATTTAGAAAAGTTAAGTGAAATTAATTCTGAACATGTGTACAATATATTTGATGAAACTACAAAATATTCTAGACTATCTGACAATTGTAGAAATAAAATAATTATATATCGTGGTGGACTACCAGTTCAAAAAAGGAGAGAATTAGAGTCTTTATTATTTGAAGGAAAGGTAAAGATAGTATTTTGCACATCTGCGTTAGAATTAGGAATAGATATTCAATCAATCCATTGTGTATTAACATATGGATTTCCTGACTCAATAAATAGATTAAAACAACAGTTTGGTAGATGTGGAAGAAATCCAAATATTGAAGGCTTAAGGATTTTATTTTTAGAAGAAAATTCACCTATAGATTTGTACTGGAGAGATCACGGAGATGAGCTTTTATCTAAACCTAATGAACCATGTATTATTAATCCATATAATCCACTATTGTTAATTCTACATATTGCATGCTGTACTAATGAAGCATATAAGAATTTTCAAATAAATAGGGATAAATTATATTTTGGAAGTCATATTATTGAGTTGTTAGAGATTATTGATATACTAAAAATAAGAGGTGAAATTAAGATTTTAAAAAATCAATTCTACTTGGAAAATAAAGTTACAGATATATATAATGATGAAAAACAAACTGAATTGGATTTTGATTTAGACTATAACAATTTAGATGACAAAGTTACTGATTTGAACAACTGTAGTATATACCATACTAACAAAACAAATATAATTAACGTAGAGGGCTTGCCTTGTAAGAATTATTCTTGTATAAAATATGCAACAAATTTATTCTGGGTATATGACTGGGATTTAGTGGAGTCAAAATGTAATCATTTTCAATTTGATAAATACATTAATAAGTCAATCAATTTGAATTTATTTTCTTTGCTACTAACTAAACAAGATACAGTTATAAAATCTTTAGTTGATGTTTACCAAAGAACTCCTATAAGAGGTGGGGAATTTGAAGTTTTTATATATAATGAAGAGAATAAATTAATTGATAAGTTACCTATTATTACTTGTATATGGAATGCTCATCCAGGAGCTATTCATTATGTTAATGGCATTTCCTATGAAATTGAAAAACTTGATATAAGAAATCGTAGAGGTAATACTTAAAAGAATATATTATCTTTTTAAGTTTATTTAATAGCTTACTAATATTTTTTGCTTTTATAGGTACTGCTATTAGATACAAACCAGAAGATTTACAACGATCCTATAAAACAGTATCAGATGGAGAGGTGTCAATGGAAATGTTTGGGGAAGGAATAAGATATACAACTCAAAATAAAATAAATTTCTACTTTGCCCTATCAAGGGTTACAAATTCTGTCTACTCATTTACTACTAAAGAGTTCATTAATAATCAATGGCAATATATTAAAGAAAGATATCTGAAAAGTCCAATTCAATATTCCTTCAACACATTTGGATTGCAAATAAGATTTCGATTAGATAGTCTAATAGATATTCATGAATTAAATAAAGGTATACATTCTTGTACTCATATTATAATGAATACATTTCCGTTAGTATCTACTAATTTCCCTATACTAGATCTTGAATGTGAATGTCCAGATAGTAAGTTTATACTAATGATTACTCTGCTAAATATTAAGAACTAGAAATTAATTCAATATCTACATTATCATATTGGATATAATTCCAAAGATAATAATCTTCTGCAAGATACTTTATTGTGATAATGTCATATTTTCAATACTATTGTACTGTATTCAGTACTTTGATGAATTTCATATTGAAATATTCTAAATAACTTTTGTTTTGATTTTTTTTTGTAGTATATATTTCAAGTGGAAAGAACAGGCAATCAGATGTTGTAACTTTACTATTTTATGAGAATAAAATAAACGGCAACGGATGTCTGAGTCAGGTAATTGGAATAAACTCTCAACCAATTAATGGAAAAACTGATACATATACAGGTAAAGTAAATATTGAGGTTGTTGCAAATAGAGCTTTAGAGAATTTATTATCATGCATTTGTGAAAATGGATGTTTCAAGTGTGGAATGTATATAAATACATGCAAAAAGAAAAATAAACACTTCAATAAAAAGATAAGTATAGAAATTCTTAAAATATTATCAATAGGAGCAAATAATAATTCAGAAATATCTAGAGATATTAAATAATAATATAGCCAAGTTAAATATTTTAATAACCTTATACATTGTTTAGAATATTGTAATTACATTAGTGTCCATATTTTCCCTTTAAAAGCCTTTAGTTATTAATTTATATTTTTTGTATATCAATTTATTATCTTATATATTCCTATAACTACTTACCTAATATCAGATAGCTTGATTAATAATATTGTTAATAGTCAGTTGGTATATTTGCAACATTTGAATATTCTAAAACCGATTGTCTATCAATATTATAACTAATGCGTAGTTTCATTAATATGGGTTTATTTATAGTTTCATCAATTCTCTTAATCTTAATTTCTTGAGTCACTGGATTCATAGAATTATATGGTGGTATAATATCATTACTAGCTGGAAATAAATGGATATTCAAATATTTGGGTACTGCAATTTCTAATTTAAACTCTGAGACTTCACTGGTTCCAATATTAAAATATTTTGCTAAAATACTTGTGGTATTTAGATCTTTTTGCTTAGAAAGATCAATAAGAATCCTAATATTTGAATTCTCAAATATTTGTATTGTTTTGGTTGGAGGGAGTGTATTATTAGAATTTAGCAATAAATTATTAGAAGCTGATTCAGGTAAAGCAGATAAATTAGTATTTGTTAATAAATCTCCAGAAATAGAATTCGTAGTATCTAAATAGAGTTTATTATTGCATATATCATTATTGGTATTTATATTAATATCACTAGATAAGTAGGTACTTTTATTAGTGGTAACACTAAACAAGGGTTGAGTTAAATTCGCACTTGATATATCCCCAATATCTTTAGTTTGAGATTGTTCAATATTTTCCGACTTTAAATTTTTAAATTGAGAGATATCTTTATTCTGTGTACTGGATAAGTTCATAATTTTTGGAACTCCAAAATCTAATAAATCATCTAATACTGAATAAGTATTTGGTTTTTTTGTTATACTTTGAGAAGTAGGTGATAAATTTAATGATGGTAATAAACCAGAAATATCCTGCTTTGATGTATTTACTTGTATATTTACTTCTGTAGAGGAGTCATCTTTTTGAGTTGAAATTGGGGCAAAGTCATCAAGTAAATCAGTAACTAGAATTCTTTCATTATTCCTCTTATCAGCTTCTTTGTTTGTGTTATTAGTAGTATAAGATGTATTATCAGGTGAGGAATATAAATCCAAAAGATCTATAGTTATTGGAGTAGAATTCATATTAGTATTGAGATTTGTAACTGTTCCATTATTTACTTCACATAAAGAATCCTTTTTTGCTTTGTTAATTCCATATAATTTATTATGTAGAGATGGTATATGAATATTACTCACTCCAATACCAGTTAATGAAGATGCTCTAGGAGTTGTCTGTATTTTAGAAAAGTCAAATGGAGGCATTAAATCAAAAATTGTTTTTCTATTTGCGTCCCAACAAGGCTGTAATATTTCAAAGTATTCAAATGTGCGTTGCTGTATTTCAACAGACCATGACTTTAAGTGGAATTTTAGTATAGATTGTATTCTTAATTTTTCTTTTGGAAGACGTGTAGAACACTTTATTAATGCTACTAAAGTTAATAGTATTGTTGTTTCAATTGTATTAGGAGAATTTACATACCCTATTCCATTTAGTGGAGTTGATATATCTATATTTATGGGTAAATTAGTTAATAAGCAATTTGTAGAGTTAAATTCACGAATATTCTGAGTTAGTATATATTCCAAGAGGTCAATAATTGACTCACTAGTTATTGCACTCATGTTGGATATACCTTTATGTAATACATTATCTACATGCTTGCTATCTTCAACTTTAGGATCTATCATATCATATTTCTTAGTATTTGAAGTTCCATCATGTACAAAGTTCTTGTCTTCGTTGTTTTGAAATAAAAATTGTGAATACTCGCCAATACACCAAACTGTTGTTTGAATTAATAAGAGCTGATCTAAATGATTAAGTAAAGATAAATATAATTTTTCAACAATATATGAATGAATTTTTAAAGATTCCCCTAAAGATGATAGGTAAGATAAAAAACTATCCCTTTCTTCTTCTTTAATTAAATTTCCAGCTAAACAAAATAATTTTATGAATGTATCAATAAACCATATTGGATTTGCATGCGTACATGCTTTAATAACTATACAAAGTCCAGTTGCCAATTCAATTGCAAAGTCATTATCGCCCTTTTCTACAGAAAGTAGTAAAATATTGAGTAAATCTTTCACAAAGTGTTTGATATTGTCATTATTTACTATTGTAAATATAACTTTTAATGCCCTTCTTTTAATAGAAGGATCTGGATCTTTTAGACAATCTAGTATTAAGCTTTGATGAGGAGCTATTCCATATTTATTTCCAGTTGTTATACCAGCATTATCTATAAAATTACCAAATTTAAAATTTGTCATGTTTTCTAGTAATCCAAGAGCTATGAATCTAGTATTCATATCTATATTTTGCAAAAATCTTGTAACAACATTTACTGCCAGCATATACAAACCTTCTTCTTCTACAAAGGGCAAAAGTTTTATTATGGAACGGACACACTCATATAAAATTGAGTTACCTCCATTTTTAGAGTGGTCTGTATTTGTTAATAGCTGAGCCAACAATGCACATACTTCTTCTTTAATTTCAGGTTGTATTACACTACAAAGATTGCCAATTACACGAAGGATATGTACATGAAGAAATTGATCTGTTATACCACCACTTTCATATTCAGTTGAGTTTAAGTAGCCTGCCATACTTATTGTATTCAATATCCTTATTAGAAATGGTAAGAAATGCCCCAATGCTTCTATTTGATCAGGGTGATACTGTATTATTGTATTTAATAGATGACAGGTCCCCAATAAAACTCCATGGTGTTTATCCTCTAATAAAGATGGTATATATGGTAAAAAACACTCTATTTCAATATCATCCACTACTCTAATAATATGTACAGCTGATAAGAGTGCTCTCTTTTTTATAAATGGATTTCCAACCATTAGTAATTCACAAACTTCGCGAAATACAGCTCTACACATTTCCTTTGGAGCAATATTTGCAATAGAAGTTAGGGCAAGACCATTGACATATTGATTAGAACTGTTCAAATCATTTTTAATACTATTAGTAGCCAGCAGTAAAATTTCTGAATCTTCATCTAATAATTGGCACAATGCTAGGTATCCAACACGTTTCTCAGAAAACTTGTTACTTGCAATAAGTTTTAAGCATTCAACCTGACCAAATGAACTTGAGTACCCCAGCATATGAATAAATAGCAGTTTTGCAATGTTCCTTTGCCTATATTGACTTTCCTCTTCTTTGAAAGAAGCACGAATATGGGCACATTCTTTAGCTATTACTGATCTCTCTTCAGCAGCTGTTTTACAGCTTCTAACAAGCCTTATGAGTTCACGAAGCTTTATCGACATCTATATAATAGCTTCTAGTTTCTATTTAGAACAGTATAGAAGCCTAATTGTTAGCTAATTTCTTAAAACTTAATTTATTATTTGTATTTTGGTAACTCCTGGTTGCACTCAAAAGGTAACTTCCTCAGAAAAACTAAGCGGTTACTAGGCGGGTTAAGAACTCTTCATGCTTTTATTGTGCTGCAGAGACACTGCAATTGTTTATGCACCACAACCCTACGGTTTTTCTCCAATTTTCATTAAATAATAAAAAAGGTATATGAAATAATACACTATATCGAAAGAACTTATTTTATAGTGAAACTAGGGCACTATTACTTAACATATATATTTGTATATAAAAAAACACCTTTTTTAAAATTTTCCAAATTCTAAATAATTGCAACTAACCAATTTATTAGTATATTTAAAAATGTTTTATAGGAACATACAATGTCCTATATATAAACAAATATTCAAATTTTTTCTTAGTGTATTTTATACCTTTAGACTTATATTGACCACAATATGGCGCTAACAATATATCCCACAAATACGCTCCAAAGGTGGGTAAAAGATGGTTTTTTTTTTAATTACAAGATTTCGGACCTTTCCAGTTAAATTCCCTTTTTTTTGGAAAATAGATTAGCTTTATATATATTAGAAATTGTATATTCAAGCTATTCAGCTTATCCAAAAAAATGAGTGTAAAAGTGGACACATTCTTTGGAGTAATACTTCTTGTAACTATTGTATGGACTGTAGCTCAATGGTTTTCTCTAACAAACCACTTTTATATTGAAAGATCAGCTTCGGGCCAGCACTTATTGTAAGTTTCAGACTACATATCAGATCTTTGATAGTATAGTTATTAAGTATTTTATTTGTGTGCTATACTCTTTTTTTTTAGAGATTTATGTATTGCAAGTTGTTGTATATGTGGAGTTATAATTATACTTTATTATTGGACTAAACCATACTTAGAATCATTAGCTGATAGTGCAATAGATGGTCAATTACCATATCGCGTGAGAGAAGCTAAAATCCAAAGATCTTCTACAATGGCATTTCGCATGTTCTATTTTATATTTGCGTCGTTATATGCATCGGTAATATTATTTTATTATAATATTGACTGGTTACCACCAGAATTACTTGGAAATGGAAAGACGGGATCATACTGGGTACAATATACAATGATACCTGTATCAAGGGGGCTTGTCTGGTATTACTATTTATCTGGTGGATATTTCTTATTTAGCTTATTCTGTCTGTTAAATGAAGAACCTTTACAGGGCATTTGGGAAAATATATTATTAATAGTAATTGCATGCTTACTATTAGCCTTCTCTTTTACTGGTGACTTTATTCGTGTTGGAGTTATTGTACTATTCCTACATAATGTATGTGATATATTAACATGTGGCTGCAAGGTATTTGTTGATACGAAGTGGCAAGCTATAACACTTGGTTTATTTGGAATTTTACTAGCTGCATGGGCTTATTTGAGAATATATTGCTTTTCACGTATTGTCTTATACCCAGTTTATGGACAAATCAGCCTTGCACTTAGTACAAGGTTATGTGCTTATAGTACTTTTTTACTAATGACATTGCTTTTAGTAAATATATATTGGTTTATACTAATGCTTAAAATGGGTTGGTGGTATATTTACTCAGGTCAAGCAAAAGATATACACTCAAGAATAATACCTAACGACTCATTATCACTAAATAATACATCTGGGTCTGAATCTTGCATTGTTACTACATCCAAAACTAAATATGAATAAGTAGTAGTAATATTACAAGATATTTAGTATATAATATATTAGAAAATATACCCTATTCGACTAATCTAACTTTGGAATATGAAATTCTAAGATTTAAATAGTGAAAATAAAGCTCTGGAGAAAACAAAAAAAAATCATAAATAATAAAAGCTATTTCAAATAACAGTATCTATGATTGATGAGAATATTATTAATAAATACCAAATTTACAATTTATTAACAAGTTTTGACATCCCCAAGCCTTTATGTTGAATTACAATTATCTTATCTTCTGTTGACTTATGAATCTCACAATATCTCATTTATATTTTTATCTGTTAAAGCTCAATTTGAATAATTGATTAACTCAAGCTTCTGAATATTAGGAAATACATTATCTGAATAGATACAATATTTTTGAGATTAAGGCCTTGAATTACTCACTAGTCAGATTTCCTTTTAAATCTTCTATATTTGATTGGCAAATATCTGGATAAGGGATAAAATCCATACCTAAATATGGTTGAAGAACTGCTGGTATCTTTAAGCCGGTTGTAGTTTGATAATTCTCTGCAATACAACATAAAGTTCTTTGAACAGCACATAAAGTACCATTTAAAAAGTGACAATAGAGTTTTTCACGATCTCCCTTTTTAAATCCCATACGGCATTCTAAAGCCCTAGATTGATAGTCTGTACAATTTGAACATGATACTAGCTCTCTATAATTATTGTAACCTGGAAACCAAGCTTCTAAATCGTACTTTTTAGCTGCTGCATCATTTAGTGCACCAGAAACTATTGATACAACCCTATATGGTAATCCTAAAGACTGGTAGAATTCCTCCGAAATATTAATCATCTCTTCATGCATTTCATTAGATTCTTCTGGAGTTGTAACACAAAATTGTTCTACTTTTTCAAATTGATGAACCCTAAATAAACCCCAAGTATCCTTACCATGTGCTCCTGCCTCCTTCCTAAAACAGGTTGAAATACCAGCATACTTAATTGGAAGGTCTTTCTGTTCAATAGAAGTATTTATGTGCAGTGCAGCCAAGGGTTGTTCCGAAGTTGCAATTAAGAACAAACTATTTGAATCTGCATCTTTTGTATTATTCATATCTGCAGGTATGTGATACAATGTTTCCTCAAAATCCTTCAGTTCAGCTGCCTTTGCCATTAAATCTCTCTTCATAAAAAGTGGAGGTTGGATAGCTATATAACCTCGTTTTACCAAAAAATTCATGCCATAATGAACTAGTGCCATACTTAAAAGAACTCCACTTTGCTTTAAAAAGTAACCACGATGGCCTGCAATTTCTGCCCCTTTAGCACTATCATAAAAGCCTAACCGACTCATGACTTCGTGATGATGCATCTTCCCTGGTGTACCATCCACTATAATATTAGGGATATCACCCCACCTCCGTAATACTTTGTTGTCATCTTCAGTATTTGATATTGGGACATCTGGTTGCACTATGTTACCTATTCTGTTCCACAACTCCTCACGTCTATTCTCAACTTCTAAGACCCGTTTCTCAGTTAAAAGAATTTCATGTTTCAATTCCATACTCTTCTTCTGTAATTCTTCACAATTGGCCTTTGCATCTTTTTTCTTTATTTGAGCTATTTCCTTCGAAATTACATTGACCTCCTTCTTAACTTGTTCTAATTTGAAGATATCTTTACGCCATTGCTGGTCGATTTTCACCAACTCCTCCAATCCTCCTATACCCCTATATCTTGCCATTTCAGACTCTGCTATCTTATCATAATCTCCACCCTTCTCTACTCTAATTCGATTAATATCTATAGGCATTCTTCAATAATTCCAATTTTAGTCTTCAGATATGTAATTTGAAACTTCTCTAATGTCATAGAATTATTATTTAAAATTTTGTCCAGAGTGTGGTACCGCTATAGTACTGAATCCTAACCCGATTACTAAGGTATTTTATTCCAAATGTAATGTCAAAAACTAGTTAAATTTTAAAGAGATAGAAATTCTTTTAGTATACACATAATAGGTCTATAACCTAATTTTATCACAGTACTTTGTCTGGCTATAAACCATTTCATTTCACAAGAGTTAAAAAGTCAGGTATTAGCGCCAAGTTTTCTTAGGATAGAAGTTGGTTTATTTTGACATTATCTAAAAACATAATTACTGGCTTTCTCCTATTGCCATTTGTATCTAATCTTATTAATATGATTTAAACATATGTTTAGTGGAAAATTAAGTAATAGGAAATTTAGTAAAGAACCTAGAAGATGGAACTATAATAGTAAGTTAAATAGGTATCCTATTCAAGAAATAAATTATAGACAATTAAATGAACATAAATGGTCTATAAATAGGAATTCCACTGTTGACAATTCAGATGAAGAGGAAACTGTATGCTCTATTATCTCAAAATATTTGGATAGTGATATATTATGGGACAAGTATTCCGAATATTCATTAAATCTAAAGGATAAAAATCACAAATTTGTGAGAATGCGCTACTTTGATTATATGAAATCTTATTGTATTACTAAGAGGATTCCAATGAATCTAATTATTCAGCAAAAAAAATTTCTAACTGTTGATAAAAGAAAAATATGCAGTTTTTGCGTCGATGTTCATTATGGAACTCATTGCAATAAAAGTCGTTGCTATATTTGTACAAGTAAGTATCATAGTTCTAATAACTGCCCCTGGAATAGAGGAGATAACAAAAATAATATAAGTTGTAGACATTGCAAAGGTAGATGTTATAATCTGAGCGTTTATTCATCATATTTAAATGTGAAAAGGACTGTATGCTACAATAATGACAATGAAACAAATAAGTGTATTAAAGTAGATTACGAAAATAGTATAATTGGATTAGCTCGTAATTCTATTAAATATAGATTTGCAATTTGTAGAACATGTCTAGAACCTGGTCACTTAATTTGTGATACTAATAATAGACCATATGATTGTCCCAAGATTTCCTATTGCCCTTTATGTGGAGAAAAGGGTCATACTTATCGTTTATGCCAAAAAATCCAAACATTTATTGATTCTGATAATGAATTAAATTTATCTTTGTCTAAGAATGATATTTCTATATGTAGTGAAAATTCTGATACAAGTATAAATGAAGATACACATCGAAAATCTTCAATATACAATAGTGGATCAAATACTCTGAATAATACTGAGTGGAAATTACTAGATAATAATACTATTGAACATGAAAAAACTTACGAAAACAAAGCTAATGCAATAATAATTAAAGAGAATGAAATACAGGTAGATAAACCACAAACAAATGAAAATAATATTCAAAATAAAGGTAGACATTATGTAGGCAAGAATATATTGTTCATATCTAATAATGAGGATAGTATCCTACTTCAAAATACAAAAGAAAGGAGTACAAATAGAAATTCAAAGGATATTTATCATAGAAAAAAAAGTTCATTTCTGAAGTTAAATAAGAACCTGAGAATAAAGAACAGAAGACATTTTAACAAAAATACTAAAGGTATTAAGAGACGATTGTCTAGACATAAAGCACGTAAGCCTTGACATTTTAATATTATATTACTTGAAGGTTTATCTTAATCATTTATAAATCTAATTAACTGTAGTTGATATTTGATTTCACCACTTACTATATGGCGCCTCATCTCGAATTTTTATTTCAAACTTAAGTCTTGTTCTCCTTTTCTAAATAATGAATGAGCTTATAAGTAATAAAAACCTAATCTATCAAGGAGCTGAATCTGTAGGTTTGAAATCCTTTTTAATGCTTTGTTACTATATCAATAATTTCATTGAAATAGCGAGTATATGAAGTTGAGTACATGGGCTTTAAGGCCATTCTTAAATATAGATTTCAAAAGAGTTATCGTCAGATACAGTTAGATAAAACTTTGAGGATCTCAAGAACAGCTGCTGAAGTGAAAAATACTGCTAGATGCAAGCTTAATGGTATAAACTGCCCCTTAATTTATTATGCTGACTGTGATAATGGCTTAATTATAATGGAATATATGTCTGGGGTAACATTAAAGGAGTATCTCGATTCTAATAAAGATATTTCCTCAGAAATATTGCAAAGTATGTTAAATGGATCCTTTTGATTTGAATTTAGCATTAATTTCTTATTGTTTCACTTTCTTTTTTTCTAGAGATTTGTCTCAATATAGGTAGTTCAATAGCTAGGCTTCATTCTTGTGTAATACATGGGGATTTAACTTCTTCAAATATTATTATAACAAACAGCAAGTTGGATGATGATGTGATCATCCAATTTATTGACTTTGGTTTAAGTTATTGTGAAACACAATCTGAAGATATGGCAGTGGACTTGTACGTTTTAGAGAGATCTTTACAAGTTGCTCATTCAAATAATTGCTTGGTATGTTTCTTTTTCACCACAAAAATATTTGATTATTCTAAAATTAGTGTCATTTTTATAATATAATTGATTTGATTAATTTACTTAAAATAGATTGATTTTATCCTTGAAGCTTACTCTTCAAATCATCCAAATGGCGAACAAATTATCCGTAGATTAAATCAAGGTAAATTACTAATTAAGTCATTATAAAAAAATATCACGAAACTCTTTTTTTAGTTCGATTAAGAGGAAGAAAGAAAGTATAAACTATTTTTTTATTTAATGATTAAATGACGTGTCTCACCAAAGTAATATGCATGCATACATGCATGCAGTAGAATATAGTTTATACCTTTTTTTATAAATCTTGTGATAGGGTATTTTATAAAATATTAATTGGATTTTTATTTGGTACGTTATTATTATAATCTTATTTAAAAAGTTTTTCAATCATTCTTGTGTGATTTTTGCTAATCAGCGTCATGTCGTCTAAGTTGAAGTGAGAAATTCAAAAGTAATATAGAAAGCAAGAAACCTGGACGTATTATACTAGTAAAATAATTTAGTCTCAACTCTTGAAGACCATACTGTGAAAATTTAATCTTAAATTTCTACACTTTTCTTTATAAACAAGTAGCTAAGGTTATAAATTACCTCATGTCAGTAAAATATAGTTACCCTTGCAGAAAAAAGTACTCTTTCGTACTTTTATTAATATTATATGCAGTATATTTGTCTGTCTGTTATCCAACAGTTGAAGTTGGGATTATTGACAAATATATTAATAGATACTTGGAGCATACTTTGATTGACAAAGATTTAATTGAGGACTCTAGACATGCAAATGATTACGAAATGAAAGATAATTTTATATATAAAGATGGACTTCAAGATTATTCTGATATCAATAATGTTGTAGGATGGGATATAGGGCATCTTTATTGGTACTCAATTCGTATGGATAATATATTACAGCAGCTAGCTGGTACAAGAGATAAATTAATTGATTTAGTTGAGTATTTGGAAGAGAGTAAAAAAACCGAAGAGTTAAATATTGAAGAATATTTTTATAAGAGTTTATCAAAATATAATGGTCAGATATATGATGGAAATAGAGATTTAGACTGGAGGAGATCTATTTTTTTAAATAAACAGATTGAAACACTTCAATATAGATTACGTTTCCTAAGTAATAGTATGAATAAAAAAGAATTTCAAGGAAATTTTTTGAGGTTAGATGATGAAATTACTGCATATTATAAACTTTTGAATGAAGAAAGTAGTACTAACAGTATAAATTCACCGAGTTTAAAAAAAATAGATATATCAAAGGGTTTTTTAATGTCGCAGGAAATATTAAATGAAGCAAAAATAATAAATCGAAATAGAAATAATCAAAATAAATATGAAACAACTTTGGAAGGCCTTTTGTTTATAGGATCACCGGTAGTATCAATGGACTTTAACAGATTGGTACTTGTTGATAAGATAGTATACCGGATGAAACCAAAAAATTATATCCATAAGATATATTATTCAACTCTTAAAAAAGTATATCCAAAGTGTGAAATACGCTGTATTTTACGAGATCTGAAAAATCGTTTACAATGGAAGGAATGTATCATAAAAGATAATATATTTAATCTGAACTTCTCTTCAGTAAAGTCATATAAAGTATGCGATAAAATTCTTTTTCATAATTGTGTCGGTTTAGAGATAAAAGAAATATATTTGACAGTTTTAAAGGATTATGAGAAAGCAATAGCTTTATGGGAACCACCAAAAAAATTAGTTCAGCTGTTCGAAGTTCAAATGCAAAGTAATAATGATAATGAAGATCAATCGACAAGTAGGTATATTACTAAGATGAATCTAAGTACATCTATTGCTATCCATGAACTTCTTGAAAAAAGTGCATATTTAATAAAAAGGGATAAAAAAACAAATTCACTAAATATTTCATTGATAAAGGCATCCACACTATCGAAGGAATTTTACACACTAAAAGAAATTGTTTCAAATCCAAATCTAAGACTAAAACTTAATAACAAAAGAAAAGTAACAAATAGAGATGATATATCTAGTATCGATGACAGAAGAATTAAAATATCTTTGGATAATAATAGTGATAATCAAGATTTTATGAGTATTGAACAACTAATTGGCATATTAAGACAAGCAATAGAGTGTTTTAGATACAGTTCCGAAGTGTCATGCAAAAATAAATTAAGTCAATATTTTGTTCTTTCGATTATAGATAATAGAGTCCGTAGTTTTTGGTATGAAATGTTAATAAATGAATATAAGCAATTTTTGAACTTGCGCCATTTCACTTACTATATCTCTGCTGAAGAATTAATTAAACTAGAATTATTCTACAGTCTTTCTTTAATTAGCAATGTAGAAAGTGCCGAAAATGAAGACAAAGAAATATACTATGATTTTTTAGGTAACAATCACAATATAGATTTAAACATAAATCAAGTAGGTAAATGTAAAGAGATACCAAATCATACTTTCTTAAATTCAGATTTCAGAGTTTTAGAAGAGATAAATATAAAAGAGGACATATATACATATCAAAATAATATAGAAAATTTTGGGAAAATTACATCATTTATCCATTATTATCACCAACTTGCTTCAGATCTTGATCATAATACTATATCTTCCCCTCCATGGTGGATGACATGGCAATATAATGTTTATCCAAGTATATTAACTCATAAAGATCCAAATAATCTATTGGAAAATAATGAATATAACACATGGTTAGAACTTCCTGTTCATTCAGACTTTCAAATTCATTCCTTTGATTCTTATTCAATTATACCCAGTGATATTTTATCATATGATATACTCAAATATATTTTTATGGAAGAAACTGAATTGAAAACTTCAGTAAATGACCAAGCTAGCAAAAAAACGTGTGCTAATACTTCATATGATATAACTACTTTTATTAAGGCAAAGCAAATGAAAAAAATTGAGTATTGGGCTAAATTAGATATAATGAATAGTGAATTCTCGAATTATCAAAATGTTTATGAAAGTTATGAAGAAAATAATCCATGTCTATCTAATTATTTTAATGAAAACCTATCATTACTCTGGAAAGAAAATTGTATTAAAAAGTGGGAACTATATATTATGCTAAACAAGGAATTTCATGTTCAGTACAAATCAATCTATTTTATAGAATATTTTACAGATATATTAGATGATATGGTCAGTGCTTATAGGTATGAGAAAATGTCAAAAATGATTAAACAATAATGGAGATTTTATTCAAACCAAGTAGCGTATTTTATTCTTTAAGAGATATAATTAATATTATCGAAATTATCAGGTTTTAAAATTAAGATATAACTTAAATACTATTACTTTTCCCAACTTCCTTAATGAAATCAATTTTGTAATCTTTGTAATTTAAGAAGATATGAATATTAAGTTATTCGGGTTTCCTGTTTTAGTATTAAATATTACAACTTTTTTTTTTTTTTTTAATATTTATAAAGTATATTTCTGACTTTGCTTAAATTACTAAAGATCTATATTCTTCATATCTTTATTCGTACAAATTTAGATCTTACTATATATTCTAGATACTTGTATGATATAAATTCTTAATGCTATTATTAGTACTCATCATTGTATAATTACAAATGAGTTTGCATATTTTATTAGTCCATAGATATTTGAAAATTTATTTCAAGTATTTCTAATAGCCTATATAAATAGAAAACTTTTACAAACATCTTTATTATTGTTAGAAACGTCCAATAATATATTTTGTCTTAAGGTCTTTATAAAACTAAATATAGACTCTACTTTTATGTATTTGTTTTTAATATAGTATTAATAATAGTAACAAATATGTTAATTTCAGTTAATTATAACAATAATTGTGATAACAATACTTAGTTTTATTTTATTTCAGTATACTGGAAATCCTTCTAACTTTTTACTCTAATTAGAGTGATTATATTAATAGTTAGATCAATATACTTATTAATTAAATAAATATAGTACAAACTTAATGATATCTGGAAAGTAATTGAGTTCAGAAAAGTAGGATTATATTATATTATCTATTATAGATGTGAATAAGTTACAATGTAAATATTACATATTCTGAAATTCAACCGCCAAGTTTTTGCTGTACCTTTATGACCGCCAAGATGTTGCCTCATTTCTAACTCCTTTAGTTTTAGATAGGTACCCGGTTTAGGTTAAATAAACTGTAGCCGAAGTAGTCAGATTATACAATCTGGTAACTTCAAACTAAATAATATAGGTGGAAGATAATAAATGAGCAAAAAAGTCATAGATAAATCAAAGAAGCTGAAGGGATCTAAAAGGAAATTTGCGGTGAAGCGTGAAGGATTAGTTCATGAAGAAACTAAATGTCGCCTACTTATAAAAGGTTTGAAATGTAAAGAAAATGTTCAAAATTTACTTCGTGATATCTATAAACTGTTTCCACGTACGTATACAAAAATGGTGAGGGGGGTATCTAGAGGAGATGTAATTAATTCTCCTTGGGATGATATGGTGAAAATGGAACAATTGGCACATAAACATGGAGCAGGTATTAGTATATACGCAAATAGTTCTAAGAAGAGACCATTTCGCTTGGTGTTTACAAGATATTATGATGACCATGTACTAGATATGTATGAATTCAATGTCCTAAGCTATATCCCATTATCTATAAATGCAAAACTAGGATTACCTAAATATGGGAGCAAACCACTAGTTATATGCCAAGGCGCAATATTTGAACTTAATGATGTATATAAGAATTTGAGAAATATGCTATTAGATATATTTTCGGGATATTCATGTAGAGGCTCGAAGATATACTTGAAAGGAATTGATCATCTAATAGTTGCAAGTGCAATAGAAGATGAAAATAAAATAAAACAATCAGATGGTGATCAAGAGCCACATATTATTATAGATATAAGAAATTACGCTATTTTAATGAATTCTAAAGAAGATATAGTGGAAGAAATTAGATCAGATGCAAATTTAATGCAAAGTGGTGTTCCACACATTTCACTAATTCCTCTAGATTTTAATTTAAAATTGAAAATTACAAAATACAAATTAGCTGAGAAATTAACTTTAAAGGCTGCTTTAGCTGTGCCAAAGGAAGTTAAACCTAAGGCCACTAAGAACATTTCCACTAATATACTAGGTGAGACTGTAGGAAGAATCCATGTTGGAAAACAAGATCTATCTAATTTAAATACTCCACATGCAAGTACTTCGTCAGGTATTGGAGATAAAAAGTGAATTAAGTCACATATTCTATTTTATGTAATCTAATAGTACTACAAAAAAGATCTATATCTCAGCGAATTTTGAAAATATAAATCTTTAGTATTTTAAGAGTGATAAGACAGTAAATTTTACATTATAAAGTGGTTCTTTTTTTGAAAGATCTTGAGTAAATATATATATATATATATATTATAAATTTAATTTACTATATGTTAAGATACTATCATAATTTAGACAAAAGATAAATATCAAGATCCATTTATATGCTTTATGTATTCACATATTATAATTGAATAATAAATATTTAATATACTTCCGAATTTAAAATTTAATTTCTAGTTTGTTTTTATATTTAAGTTATATCCAGCAATACTTATCACGATTCTTTTTGACACGGATATCCAATAAGTCCTCTCTAGATAGAGTTGAATCTACACTTTCTACAGTGGTTTTATATGAATAGAAACCTTTTTTTTCTCTATATGAAACTGTAGTACCACTATATTTACTTATTTCATTTTTTACCTTACAATTTCTATCTGAGTGTATAGGCAAATGAGTGTCTTCATTGCTCTTGCTTATAAAGCTAAATGTACAAGTTGATATGAGATCTGTGCTGAACTCTGTATCAATAATAAGAGTTCTTTGACTAATTATATTCGACACTTGACGTTTTTCAAGACTTAAACTTTTAGGATGTTGAACCAATATGATGTCCCCAGTTTGTAATTGTTCTTGAAACTTTGTATGAAACCCATGCACTGTAGTCCCCGAAGAAATAATTCTGCCCTCTCCCTCTTGTTTATTTATTTTATAAACCTCTTCTGTATGGTTACTTTCACCTTTTAATGTTGATATTACTGCGTCTCCTTTTAATACTTCCTTGTTTGTATTATCACTTCCCTTGCTACTTTTAAGTTTTAGCTTATTGTTTGGTTTACGGACACGTTTATAAGGATCACAGTGGTCATTATTCAGTAGTTCCATACAAATGCAAACTAAATCAATTCAATAATTAGTTACAAGAGATTAGATAAAGGAAGTGTAAGACAGAAACAAAGTTACCGGCGCCACTAGCTCTATAAGAGTCATGCATGCATAATTTAATCGCTCACTTGTAAAAAAGCTGAATAATTCGATATAGGTAAAAGTTGATAAATACTTACTTAGTATGTGTATACATCTATCATATTTATAATTATTCAAGTTTTTACTAAAAATCTGAAAATTTGAAGTAACAAATTCTGTAGAAGAAAATAACAGAAATATATAGAAATATATATAATAGTTTGATAGCAACAGATGATGAGTTTAAGGCTTAAGTTTCTAGCACTTATTGGAACCATTATTTGTATAGGGGATTCTGTATATGGAGTTCTTTTTGATCAGGCAAAGACTAGTTGGATATTTAGCAGACAAGCTGATGCATGGTTATCTAAAGTGAAGTCTTATTCTACATTTGTTGTAGCTAAAGAAGCAAATAGTACTGATATTAGTGAATTATTTGCAAGTTATGAGGTTGCCGATAATGAAACTATTAAGAAATATTTTGGTGATACTACAGACTTTGTATATGAGTACTTTTTAAATGGATACGGCTTGAATATTGAGAAGCTCAGATACCTATCACTAGATAGCAATTCAACTGATACAACATTCTTTTGGCCAGATGACACAAATAAATGGGCTCAAGTATCTTTTGTAAAATCAGAAGAAGTCACTAATCCAAATTTCACAATGACTACATTCAATAACCCTGATTATTTAAAGTCTGTACAAGAAGTCTCAGTAAGATTTGAAATTTTAGAAAGTGACAAGTTTATTTGGGGTGGTCAATATTTGTGTAATGAATTAGTTCAATTTCAGTTATCTAATGAAACCCCTAGGAGTCCTATGATTCCATCTCCTCACACAAATCGTAATCTATATGCAAAACAAGGGCAACAATTATGGTATGGCTACTTACTAAGTACTATGAACAATGAAACTTCTATTATTGGAACATTTGCAAGTTCTGCCCCAGAAAATGTGAATACCGTGCTTAAACAATACATATTTTCAAGATCATTTGCCTTCCAAACCCCATTTTTGAAAAAACAAAAATATCCTGAACTAGGTCAATATGACTCTATTACTTCCTTAGTAGCTATTTCAGATATTAGAAATAAAAATACTTATCTCAAGACAGGTATTTTGTCTAGCCCTGCTAGACCAGGATTATTGATACCTTCCCATAAAACTGGAAACAATGATGCCTATCCATCTCCAGCAACTCCATACAACTATAAAAATCCTTTGGGTCCTGTCTTTACTCCTAGTAAGAAATGTTACGATTTTCTATATACTATATAGAAATTTGGAGGTTAGACTGAGACTTAGGGGAATACACACAAAATAGAAGGGTAGAATAAATAACTAAAAAAAAAAAAGCAGAAGTATTTTATAATCTTTCATTCAGATAAGGTAAATTATTAATATTAAATTTCGAAATAATATATTATTATTTGGTAGATGACACAAATATAGTATTACAGATAAACACGTACAGTGTGATACATCAATGTGATACGTGACGTGAATGAGATAGTCATGAGCTACAGGTCAAGTTTTAGGAAAGATTAAATAAAAAGAATTACAGTAAATACTTTGGCTCTTTTTTTTTTATATTATTATGGTCAGTCTGTGTTCACTCTCAGAGAATACCTAGTAAATGATGGCTAAAAAGAGGATAAAGAAACAAAAAGTTGATTCTATACCTTTAGAGCAAGCTCAACTATCTGGATTTATATCAAGTAATATCAGAGATAACGAAAATAATGTGAAAGGCCTTATAGTTCAGAGGGAATCCGAATATACTTCAGTATCTCAGGATAATGAATTTACAAGATTACTAAGAGAGTTCGATTTAAATCCAATCTATGGTCCATCAACTGATATTACAAGAATAGAAAGATTAAATCGAGCTAAGAAGTTAAGAATACCTATCAAAACCAATACAGAACAAGCCATTATAATGGATCATTCAAGGCTTTCTACAATTGACGAATTTTTAAAGGTAGTAATGAGTAATTAACGAAAAGTTATAACTCATTTAAGATAGAATATGCTAAGGATTAGTCAATATAAATAGGAAGTAACTTTAACTGTTCAATAACTCTATATACTATCTTTCCTAACTATATATTACTTCTTTCTCCTTTATAGCCTAAGTAACAAAAATCTATAAGGCGCCAAAGAAATCGAGTATGTAACTATACGATAAAGTTCATCCATTTAGAATAAAAATAAATTGAGATGTTTGATGATATTCTATTATCAAGGAGATCTCCACCTGAAAATGGTCTGCCATTATTTAAACAGTCATATAATATTCCAAGAGACTGTCTAGGATACAGAGCATCAATTAAAATGACAAGACTTCATGACTCAAAGCGCAAGCACAAAATATACTCTATAGACTGGATTTGTAGTGGTGACAAACTACTTATGTGTAATCGTGAGGCAATTCAGGTTGTTACTCCACAATTCTCTGCATCGGAGATATCTATACAGGGGCAATGGTACAAGGCTATCCCAAGCTACAATGATCCTAACCAATTCCTCGGTATCTCCTTAAATAAACCAACAATTGAACTACATGATACAAGGACTAAAACAAATATGTTGATTACAATCCCTAGTGATAATTTACTAAATGTAGCATGGTCTCATAATGGAAAGATGATTGTATCAGCTGATCGTACTGACTGTTTATATAGTATTGACATTAGGTATGCTAAAGATAATATATTACCAATGCAATGTACTAGATATAGTCATAATTCCTATTCATATGACATAACTAGTCAAAAATCACAGACTTCATATAATATACAAAGTAGGAAAGACTATAGTGAAGAAATAAATAGCTTATGTTTTGACAAAGATGATAAGTACCTAATTATAGCTAAAAATGACGGATATATAGACTTCATTGATTTGAAAATAAATCGGGATATTTCAGATATAAATAACATTCTATCACAGCAGGTACATCTATTTAGTGCTACTCTTATAACAGAGTCATCGAATTATCTAGCTAGTTTTGGATCTGACCAATCCTTAGTTGTAATAGACTTAAATAAATTGTCAACCAAAAGTACGATGACTAATATTGATGGAAATATAACAACAATGAGTTTTAATTTTGAGACAAGTATGTTATCAGCTGGTATATCATCAGATAAAAAAAAGAATTCAGATATAGGAGAATCACTCATTATAATGAACAAACAATTGGATACACTCAGTAGTTTTGATATACCAGGACGAATAGTTGATTTAACATGGCACCCTTATAGGAATATACTTACATTTGCCTGTAATGCTTTTGAATTATCTAATATTTCCAACGGCAGTATAACATCCTTAACTAATCAACACAATAAGCAATTTTGCAGTGGCCTAGTCGGACCCAATATACCATTTATTGGATTTTTAACTATTGAATAACTAGTCACTTTTCTTCTTGTTAGCTGTAACCCACTCAATCAAAGGAGTTTCTTTAGTTACATATTTCTTGATAAAGAAATCAAAGAATAATATGAGATATGAGATATACATTAAACATGCTAGAATACCATTTGACTTATTGAAGTGGCATCCAACTTTAAGTGGTTGACTTAAATAGGTAACAGGGAAAGTATTTGAGAAGGGATAGTAATGTGAATAATATAATCCATAAATAGTGAGAAATGTGCCAATGATCATTTGGCTTATTTGCAAAATTGTAATCAAAACCCCCCAAGAGGGTTTTTTACCAGAAGATGTTAGATAATAGTAGTAGTACATTATCGAATGTACAATGTAGTTTATTGTACAGAAATACATACCTATTGTCTGTGTAGAAGTATAAGCGTCCCAGGTATATAATAATACTGTCAAGTGATGGAACCAATGCAAAAATGTTAAGGGTTTTTTCCTTAAAACAATGAATAAAGTATCAACTAGTTCTGCATATTTAGAATATATAAATAAAGTCAGCCACAATCCTGTTGGACCTTTAATAAGAGAAATGTAAGCAGGTGTACATATTGAAGTAATAAAACCATAACGAAGATTAATTGTTATTAAGTAAACAGACATCTTTATTGATCCAATTATTGAAAACATAGATAATGACAAATTCCAATATCTCAGAAGACCATCAAGTTTGAGGGCATTTCTATATCTCATTATCTTGGGTCCAAAATATATAAGCAATATGTATATAATGGATGCAATAAATACTATATAATAATGGTTATATGACCATGTATACACATTCAAACCCTTCCAAGTTCTCTCAATACTTGAAGTACAGATACTAAGCCATGGCAATTCCTTTAATAGATCCATAAAATCAGAGTCTAATGGGGCTTCCCATATACCTGTATCATAATTAATTATAAATACCCCTGGGTTATTTTTAAATATCATACTTTTAATTCTATATAATTATTTTAGTTAGCTAGTTGAATAAATTAATGTTAATTATTGTTGTGTTAGATATTCTCTAATCTAACCAATCGTTTTATAAGCCCCAATATTTCAATAGGAAGTTAGTATTTGCAAATTTTCTATTTTCCTCTAATATATTCTACTAGTCAAGTATAGCCTTTATTTATTACTAGTTTAGAAATTCATCCAAGTAGCAGGTATAATGCTAAATTTACTCCCATATGTGGACATTAGGTTCAATGCCACTCTAAAAAATTATATTAGGCGCTTGGACTCTTTTATGTGGATATATTAAGTAAGCTGCATAATGAAAAAAGTCGGAAAACAAGTCTTCAGTTCATCTATCTAAAAGAAGGACTACTTCTATATCTTTAATAGTTGATATATAATAAAATCAGCGGCTTATTTTCTATACAATTTATCTATCTGGGAAAGTTGGTGTACTCACACTTCTGTTATACTTAACAGTTAACACAAAGTGTCCTATAATATCTCCATATTTAAATATTTATATTTACGATGCTCTAAAGTATAATATCACGTCAACTCACTATATTATTTTACTAGGTACAGTAGAAATAGGAATATCAAGTCCCCACAACTTATTGATATAGGTGATACTAAATACTTGTGTAATTAAACTAAAGAAGATTTTATAGACAAGTCTCATTAGTTCCAAAATAAAAAGATTTTGAAAATGAATAGAATATAAGAGGTGGGAAATTTAAGGTATGATTAAAATGACGTCTCATTGTTTAGAGAGATATTGTTCAAGCGGACAATAGGTGCAGACAGACGCGTGATATAACAGCAAGTAACCGTACATACAGTTGGGCAGTCAATACGTCTGTACGTCTGTATGTCTGCTCCATTAAATATTTCGCACAAAAGTAGATAAATTTAAGGCGAGGATTTTTTTTTGGTATAATAAATTAATACAATTGTTCCGTGCCTTGTATTATGGATTTATATTAGGATACCTAGCTCAACAATTTGTGTATATTATAGAAGCAGAGGTGTATTATAAGAATTTGTAATCCTGTTTATATACTGTGACTGACAACAGGGTCTATAAATCTGCTTTTAAATTACCAATAAGAACTCCTCAGATATATTATGAGTCGACAAACAAAGGGATTGAGACGTTATTGCGATATTTGCCGTGATACAGATATAGATGTGAAATGTTCACAGTGTGGTAAAGTGTATCACTGGGACTGTCTACGCAACTGCAATTTGATAGGAAGTGATGTAATATTGGAAGACTCATTTTATTGTCCAGATTGCAAAAACAATGACGAGTTTTGCTATATTTGTAAAGATGATGATACAGGAGATACAATGTTATACTGCGATGGATGCCCAAAATCTGCTCATTTAAGGTGTTTAGGGCTAACAGAAGAACCAGATGTGCCAATGTGGTATTGTCCAAATTGTGAAACAGATACGGGATGTAAGAAGAAGGATAAACAGAATGGTGATGTGCGAACTTTAGGAGGAACAAAGAAGACGAATGATGACACAGATATTAATAGTGATACATGTTATGTATGTCAGAAGACTGGAAAACTTCTTGGATGCGATTTTTGCACATATTCATATCATCCTAAATGTATAGAGACGGAGGTTTTTGCTTTTGATAGTGATAAATGGAAATGTCCAGTTTGTAGAGGTGAAGATCCTTTAAAAAATATGAGGCATAAACGGATGACGAAGTCTGAAAGATATAAACTTTCTCAGGAGTGGCAGAATTGTATTAAGAAGCAAATAAAGCAATCAACAATAAACCGTGATATATTTTTGTGGGAAAACAGGCAAGCTATATCACCTTTTGTTTCCCGAAAAGTTATGGAGCGCCTAAAACGAAATGCAGAAAATGCCAAGAAACTGAATACAAACAGTAAAAGTGGTAGAATTCGGAAGATAAGGATTGATGAGGATATAGAGGCAGAAGATTGTAGGCTTAATAGTGAAAATAGTGAAGATGCTTATAGATATTATGAAGCTCAACAAAAAGCAAAGGAAAAGTCGATTCAGATCTTAAATGAAGGGGTAGAATTAAAAGATTACCAAAGATTTGGAGTTCATTGGCTCTTAGATGCTTTTTTGATAAAAGGTGGAGCTATTTTAGCAGATGAAATGGGACTTGGTAAGACTATTCAGACATTGACATTTCTGTCATGTTTAAAAGCTTTAGGTATTACAGGTCCTCATTTAATTGTTGTCCCTTTATCAACAGTTGGGAACTGGGCAAGAGAAGTTCGAAGATTTACTCCTAATCTAACAATAACAAAGATATGTGGCAGTAGATGGGAACGTGAACACGCAATGATGGACCCTGTTGCTGCGGATGGGTTATATGACTTGTATATTACTACATATGAGACTGTAGTTACTGAAGAATCCTTTTTTGTGGATAATTTCCGTTGGCAATGCATAATTCTGGACGAAGCTCATAGGATTAAGAATGAAGGGGGACGGATTAGACATTCGATGGATAGAGTTAGTGGATCAATGCGAGTCTTACTAACTGGAACCCCTTTACAAAATTCTCTGCGAGAACTGTTCACATTACTAAATTTTCTCTTTCCTGATATTCTACAGGATTCTGAAATTTTTGAAAAGATATTTCAAATGAAAGATATAACAAAGAGTGCAGTAACATCTGGTTCTGCTATTGGATCTTCTTGTGCAAGTTCTGATGATGAAATAGAGGATTTGGACAATTTAGGTATTAAAGTGGACTCAAAACGTATAAAATTATTCCATCGTCTTTTACAAAAACTCTTACTAAGGAGGACTAAGGATTTGGTAATTAAACTTCCAGACAAGATTATTAGAGATATTTGGCTTCCACTATCTCCTTTTGGATGGCAGTGGTATAAACGGCTTCTTGATGTAGGGAATGTTCATGGAGATGTTTCATTTAGAAAACTTTTAGGATTAGTAATTAAAATGAGGATTTGTTGTTCACATCCTCGTGGATTGGTAGCTAGAAGTTCCCAGCTTGACAAGTTATTCAGTGTATTTACAGAGGCCTCTCCTGAGCTTTTAAATGAAGTTACTGGTGATGCTTACAAGCTAAAGAGCATATTTGGCTGGGACCACGTCAAAGGATCTTCTAAATTATTTTTTTTAGATAAATTATTAATGCAACTGCATAGAGAAAACTGTTATTATATTTCAGATTATGAAGTTAGTCACAACAAATATATTACTGAGCAAATTCGCTCGATAAAATCGAGGATCAGTGAGCTAAGATGTAAAGGGATGGAGGATAGTAAGAGTGGGGATACAAAGACAATTGTTGGGACTTTATCTTTTGAGAAGGGTTACGAGGAGGAGCGGAGAGCATGTTCAGATTTTGACGAGAATGAAGAGAATTTCTCTTCAGAGAAAGTATTTGTAGATCTTTATTCTCACTATATGTATGATAAGGAAATAAACAGTGATAATAAACAAATTAAAACTGAACGGAATGATGAGGTAATCGAAAATACTGAAGAAAATAACTATAAATCGGAAAAGTTAGATAAACCAAAGAAACGTTGTAGAATGCATAAAGTTTTGATATTTACTCAATTTCAACTAATACTAGATGAGCTGGAAAACTATTGTTTATGGAGAGGATGGCAATATATGCGACTTGATGGGAGTACTAATAAACTTATTCGTGAACTAGATATCCGAGAATTTGGTCTTCCAGATAACTATGTATTCATATATTTGATTTGCACAAGGGCAGGAGGTTTAGGAATAAACTTAGTGAGTGCAAATCATGTAGTTATGTATGATGAAGATTGGAATCCATTTGTAGATTTGCAAGCAGTTGATAGAGCCCATCGCATTGGTCAGACTCGTGATGTATGTATATGGAAACTTGTTACTGAATGGAGTGTAGAAGAGAGAATGGTTTTTGGACGTGAGCAAAAGCTTAAATTGGATAAGATGGTAATAAAAGCTAGAGAGGAAGAAAGAGAAGATGAGTTCTTAGGAAAGCAGGAAGGCAAGATAAAAAAGGATACACACGACTCATCTTTTGCTCCTGAAGAGAAGCTTTCTGCAGAAGAGGTTACTAAACTTGTGAGATATGGTAGGAAAGCACTTATGCACATGGATGATACTTCTAACATTTTTGAGATGAATTTGGAAGAGCTTATGGAAAGGAAGCGAGTACCTATACCAGATGAAGATGTACTGATGCAAAAAGAAGAAAAAGGTGAATTAGGAGAAGAAGATAAACCTGAAGTATTAGATACTGAAGAGGTTGATATAACTGAAATTTTGTGTGATGAGATGGATGAAGCTGGAACTATTCAGGGGGGGAATACCGGACCTAATCCCACTTGCTCTATAGGTGCAACTACAGTTAGTACATCTCCAGCTGATGACATATTAGAAATTAACATATCTGGTGATGTATCTACAGTGGCTATATCTCCAACTACAAGCGGAGGAGATGATGATGGTATATTGTGGAGATCTAAACGTACCCGCAAACCCCCTCCTCCTATTTATGACCCATTACACTGGGAATCTCGATCAAAGGTGAATGAAGATAAGAAGTTAATATTGAAGCATGAACGTTGGTGCTTTCGCTGTGGTCAAAGTAAAGCTGATGGAGTTGGAAATACAAAGGGAAATGAAAACAGTAATAAAAATACTGAGAATGGAAACAAAAGTACTTCTATTAGTGGATGTTGTGGTTCACCTCCAAATTTTGGTGATGTTGCAACAAATTCTGGAAATACTTCATCTTCATCTCGTAATAATAAGTCATTTGCCCAATCAGATGAGTATATGCGCAAATTTGGCTTGATTAACTGTAGTAGATGCCCAAAGTCTTACCATTGGTTTCAATGTTTAGGATTAGACAAGGTTCCTCCAAAAACATGGATCTGCCCATGGCATGAATGTTGCTTATGCTTTAGAAGAGCTACTCAAGCTGGTGGCTTATTGATTCACTGTAGTGAATGTCCAACAACATTTTGTATTGACTGCTTTCCTCCAGAATATGCTAGACATCAAGTTTTGGATAGTTTTTTTGAAAACTTAAATAAAAGAGGTTGGAATGTATCTAGGGATTCAATGATTGTATTTTTATGTTCAAAATGTAAAGCTCTACAACAGCAAGAGATTCGCAAAAAACTTTCTAAACAGCAACTAATAGAGGAACAGCAAAGGCGCAGAAAGATGAATGAACAGCTCAAATCAGATGTTCTTAAGTCAGGTCAAAAAACTCTTGATCAGTTAGGATTTGGAACATCTTCAGGTTCAAGTAGTAGTATTCAAGGTAACAATAATCGCTTAACTCCTTACATACCCGGGAGGAAACGAAATATTGAAGCTATTTGGAAACATACAGAGGCTCAGATACGGAAGGGCTTTGAAAGATTCTTCCCCCCACTTTTGTATCAATTACAACAGGAGTATATTCAAGATAACGCTAAGCAAGAAGCTGCTATAATTGCAGGTGCTTCTAGAGAAAGAGAAGGCTCAATAACAGGATCAATAAATAGTGACAAAACTTCAGAGCTAACAGGTAGCGATAAAGTTTCGGGAGAAACTGGTCCAATTACAAATAGTTCTACAGAGGACTTCAACATTGGAAGCCTACGTAGAAGTCCATGGATGCGTCCTCCAGGTGAATGGTTACGATTGTGTGACAATTGCTTGCTTCCATTCCACGATATATCAGGATGTTCATATCCTCTGGAAGTTGTAAAGGTTTCTGTACCTTCTGGAGTCACTCAAATAGATGTTGAAACAGGTCAACCAATGCAATTAGCTGATGGAACTAAAATTAATTCTCTAGAAGATTTAGCTGCACTAGCAAAAAATCCTGGATTTGACTCCAAGTTTCAGACTAGGTCATATTGCTCATTGTGCGGTTTGTCTGGAAGGATGCATACTAGAAGGAGTTGTCCTTTGCTACCAACTAAAGCAGAAGCAGAGTATGAAGAGCGACAAGTTATTTTAGAAAGATTTATTAAAACTCTTAATAATTACCCTGTTGAATTTCCTCATGATCTTACAGAGGCAGATGAAGCTACTGGAGGATGGGAATGCTACAGGAAAAGAGCTCAAAAAATAGCTGAAGAATATCTTCTTGATTGTTTTGTAGCTTGTGGTTTACATGAAATTATAATTCCATCTGGTACAGCTTATATTGGACGTCAAAATGTTGCTAGGAGTGTTGTATATAACAATTCTGCAAACCAGCAATCTGTAGTAAATGCAATGAGCTCTTTAAAGACACAAATCAACAACTCCTCTGGATCAAGTGCAGTTAGGTCTCTTAAATCTTTAAACAAACAAACTACCTTAACTAACTCTAACATTCCAACATCTTCATCAATGACTGCAGCTGCAGTTGCAATCCAACAGAGGATGAATGATGCAGCTGTCTCACTTGCTAGAGCAAGATACGCTGCAGCTGCAGCTGCAGTTACAGTAGCTGGATTTAGACATCCACAACCTATAATACCATTTCCTATTGTTGCAAATAATCCATATAGTATGTTTACAGTAGCTGGAACTCCAACTTCAATGTTATTTAGTACAGCAAATCCTGCAGTGGCTGCTGCTGCCCGTGCAAATATGATTGTTGGTGCCAATGTTGCCGCTGCTGTAAATGCATTTAGCAGAAATAGGAAACGGAGTTCATGTGATACTACTGATTCAGTACTAAGCTCTACAAATATGAGTACTCTTGGTGAAGCTCCCCCTACGAAGTCAATGTATATATCAACCTCTTTAGTACCCTGGGCAAATGTTGACCCACCTACTGGAGGTGGAACATCATCATTTGCAGAAGATCCTAATAAAGTTCTCATTGATGCTAGTGTGACATTAGATTCATGGATTAAGAAAATCAAGCCTGAATAAACATAACGACTTTAAGGATACTTAAATACTAAATTGTGATTTATTCTATACTAGTTTCCTGGTTGTCTAACAGAATTAGTGCCTTTGAACACACACCTTGGCTATGCCTTTGTATACTCTTAGCTGCTTCTTTTAAGTCTTTTATGAACATAAATGAGTCATGTTCACTAGATAAACGTAGTATTGAACCCTCACCTGAACTGGATTCTTTAATATAATTCTTGTCATAATGGCTCTTTAAAATATTACTAAGATCGTCATCATTTATTTCCAAACAGAAGAATTGCCACTTCCTTGGGATTCTTGTATCTTCAAATCTTATAAGGCGCTGCATATTATATCTTACATCAATCCCTGTTTCTTCGAAAAGTTCACGAGCTGCTGCTCTTTGAAATATTTCTGTTTGATCTGACTCTCCAACAAAATCATTCTCTTCTAACCTACCACCTGGTAGTTCATATTGCCCCAGCTTTTTAGGCTTATTTGAAGCTGACTTTAGTACTAAATACCCATACTTGCTATGTTTTACAATAACAAAAGCTTTGAAATTTCGTGCATTGTGCAACTCAAAAGCCATTAATCCTATATACTATACGGCAACTTCCACCTTGAATAGTAATGTATTTTGGACACTTATGTTTATAAACTATTACAGAGTAGCTAACTATTAACTTCTTTTTATTAAATAGTGCAATATTTCTAGATGCATTAGTAACTACTAGAACTGTAGTAATGCAGCACCAGATTAAAATGTGGCGGTATGTATAGGCGCTTTATCTCAAGTAATTTATTATGTAGTAGCAACAGAAGAATGCCTCAAGTTCAGTACAAGTAAAGCTTCAAATGACAACAGAGGCTCACTATGATTTTATGCATACAATTATATTGTGTACTTTATCTAACTTGAAAAACTTCTAGATATTTTGGACTAACTATAATTTTAAATTTATTTTTAAGTTATGGATGGGTTGTGGACAGTGAAACTTAACTCACATGGAATCTATGAATTTGGGGCATGTATCACGTAAATCAACTGAAGTTGTATATAAGGGAATAGAATTCAAGCTCGTTGTATCTGTACTTACATATGGTGAGCAGAAATATGCTATGAAGTTATCACTAACTTCGTTTTCACCACCTGATATTGCTGCTAAGCTTGGTGGTCCATGGGAAGGTATTTACACTTGGAATTCACTAAAGAAAAGTTTTGGAAAGTTTGTAAATTCGAAATATACCATGCTTGATTTTGCTGATATAGTCCTCAAAGTATCAAGTTGTGTTGATGAAAATGGAGAAAATAAATTGATGGAATTAGTGAAATGCTCGAATGACTTTAAAGATCGAAGTAACTCTGCTAGTATAATTAATAATATTGAGTTTCACCCTAATGATTATTTTTTGATAATGAGAATATTTGAATCAGGTATTGTATATCCATTTCACTTAAAGTCTTTATATTTAAATAGGCATAGATCAAATGTATCTGAAGACCTAAATGACTTAGTAAAACTATTACAACTAGAAAATAGTATGCTGGAGACAAGTATTGCAAGTCTAAATAGTGAAATTGAGGAAAAATTGCAATTTGATGGAAGTAAAGTTCAATGCTCTTGTATACATAGAGGGCTTTCTGATAATACAAAAGAAGATACCCAAGTAGATGTTATTATTAATGAAGATAATAAAGATAAGTCTAACATAGAGGAAATTAAAATAATAGATAATAAAACCGATCAGAATACTGAAGTTATGGGAAACTTGCAATTTAATGAAAGATCAATCCAAGACAAGATGGTGCAGTGTGAATACGATACACTAACTGATGGAGTCAGTAGTACTAAACACGATAATTTCGCTTTCAATAGAAAGTTGGATAACTTTGAAGAGGAAAATAAAGATATATCTTTCTTTAGAAGTGATCAAACTTTAGATAAAGAGATATTGACAGAAATATCAGTGCCTCAGAACCTTGACAGATCAGCATTTCTTGATTCTCCATTATCTCGTAATACTTTTAATATATCTGAACTAAGAGGAAATGAAAAATATAGGGACAGTACTAGTAATACTACAAATTTTAATGGCAATTTATACAACAAAATATATCGTAATAGACCCTTTTCAGGTGGAAATTATTCTTCAAGAACTAGTATAGATAAACCTAAAAGCTATAATAGAAAAATAACTCCGTTATTAATTGAATCTAAACGTATTATTGACTTATGCAATGATACTGCAGTATATGGAACGAAACCTTCAACTATTCGCTCAACATTAGCCACTATCAGACGTGTTCAAAATGAACTTGATATTATAGATGGAGTCCCACTACAGAGTATTGGCAAATCTTCAACAAAGTCGTATTCTGAAAAGAAACTTAAACACAATGATAAATATTTTGAATTAAATATGAAAAATGAAAACATTCGATCTCCATTAAGAAATAATACACCTCAACCTATAATGTCAAAGGAAGAGTTAATTAATGAATTATCTAAAACTAATGATATCAGCCAAAGAATTAATATATTAAAAGATATTATTAGAACTACGAAAAGAAATAGTAATAATTCACAGTTATTTTAATAACACTATACAGTAACTTTGCTAATATTACAATAATAGTAAGCAGTACGTTTCAGTATTATAACAAGTATATATTTATATGTCTCAGCCTTCTACCATCTTTAAAACACATTTTGTCTCTACTTGTTTTGTGCCACATAGATATTATACTTTAATATAAAATTTGAATATAAAAATGAAATATTTTGTATATCTTCCCATAATTGCTGAGCTTCATATCCTAGTTTTCTGCCCTTAATTTCTAAATCATCAATCTTTTTTAAAAGTTCATTAAAATTACCATCTATTTCATAGTTCACAAAAGGTAGTAAATCGTTTAGATATTTCATCTGTCTTCTAAGCAACTCAAATTCATAATAGTGTTCCATTATATATGCTTTTCTTGCATCTAAAGTCAAAAGTGCAGCCTCAAAATCTGCGGAATCTGTTTCAATATATGCTTTTATGCTATCATAATACGATTCCCATTCCTCCAATGGTCCTAAACTATATACTTTTCTAATAATCCCTTCAATAAAATCCAACTTCTCATTTAATGGTATCTTTTCATCCTGAGATATTACTGTTCTTAGTTGATAGATATCATGTTCTAAATTTGCAACTGCTGTGCTTTGCCCTATTGTTATCCTACTTTGCAAGATATTGTTTACTCCCTTATTTTTATCACTACTTTCTTGAAGTTCAAAGGTATGAGTGTTGGTATCTCTTTCCTTTATATTAATTAATTTCTCACAGGTTGATAATCTAGTTTCTAATACTTCCATAAATTCTGTTAAGTCATTTTGATTGAGAGTATATCCCATTACTAAAAAACTTAATTATTATCTCTAAAGTGTATAAAATTTAATCAAATACTCGTATTCCTATTTATTATGTATGCAATCGTTTATGTTATTTCTAGTAAGCTCCAAATTACTGTGCGACACGCTCAGGTTACAGCTCAAGTTACAGCTCAGATTACAAAGCGCCTCTCTTGGAAAAACTGGTTGCATGGATTTTAAATCACAAGGTGCTAATCTCTCATAGAAAAGATAATCTTAAATATTAAGACCGAAATTATTTATGAATAATACCGATTACGCTGAATAAGTCTCTTCTGTACACTTTGTCTCTTCAAATGTCCTTCTAAAGGATATTTTATGTACTTTTTTATAATTTCATCTACAGATTGCTTTGTATTAAAATCTAAATATTGATTATTATAATTAACAGGGTCTGGATACTCCTCTATAGCAACAGTATCAATTCCTTTATTATCCAAATTGTCTCCAAATATAGTATCATTGTGATCTTGAATACAAGAATAATCACTTCTAATAGATAAGTTTTCTGTATCTCTATATAGTTCCAGATAAGATATATCACTTTCACTTTCTCTAGAGTCTGTGCATTTTTCAAGTATAGTAGATTTTTTGCATTCTTTCCTATTTTTAGATTCTTTATTTTTCATATCTGATAATTCTTTGAATAACTTTGCTTTTTCACTCTTTAAATCATCAATTTGTGACTTGAGGATCTCAACCACAGAGTTGTCTAGACTTTTCACCTTCAGAACTTCATACTTTTGCTTCTTCATTGCTTCTATTTTCTCTCCTCTCGAAATGACTTCTTTTCTAAGCTTTTTTATTTCATTTTTCGCTTCTTCTAAATCTTTCAATAAAAAGTTATATTTTAACTGCAAGATATTTGACGGTAATTTACTATCAGATGTCTTCTCTATAGATATATCTTTCTCTAAATATTTGTCTTTATTGTTCTTCTCAATATTATAGTCATTTTCCACAGTTTTATCTAAATCACTAACTCCTAATTCAAATATGTCATTATCTCCATTCCAAAAAGTATTATCCTTTATCGTAAATATCTCTATTTCAGCATCCCTTGCCCTATCTTTGATTTCTAAAATCAATTTAAGAGCCTTTCGGATATTTGACTTATTAATTAATAAATTAGCAATATTGTCAAGTATCTTAATTATATTGCAACTATTACCATAATAACTAGGAAGATATCCTTCTGAGCTCCCAATAAACTTTCCTGTTACTCCTATTATTTTATCAATACATTTCCTATAAAGCTCTATTTGATTAACTGAGTTAAGATATTGAGCTGAAATTTTCTCTGAATGTTGTTTTAATGTATCCTTCTCTTCAATAAGTAATTTACACCTTTTTTCAAGGTTAGATAATTCTTTACTTTTAGATTTTACTTGAACAATTGCTTTCTCTAGGTCATTCTTTAATTCTACAAAATTCGCCTTATACCATTCATTGTCTTCAACAACTTGTTGCAAAATTCTCTCAGTCCCTTGTTGCATACGAACTCTTTCCTCATCTCTTGCTAACTCAATAGAATTTATATTATTAACTAATTTATTATTTTCCTCCAAAAGTTCCTCTATTATTTTCTCCTTCATTTTTAGTTGAACTTCCAATTCATTTACTCTACTTAAACCAATGCTAGTTTTTCTAATTTCAGGTCTTACAACACAAATATTTGTCTCATTTTTTGTTTCATTTTCTATATTATTTACCTTTTCAAATTCTTCTACTGAGGCTACACGACTTCTATCATATGGAGATGGAAATTTAGGTAAAGTAAACACTGTACTTGCCCTAGTTGATAAGTCCATATCCAACCTTCTTAATCCAAAACACAAATTTTTCACAATTTTTGCGTTTCATTACTCAATTATAATCTTAAAGTATAATACTGTCAGAATATTACAGATTAGTCCTATAAAGACATGACGGCTGCTTCCAGATGTAAAAGTACTGCTTTGTATCCATTATTCATGAGAATAGAAATTATTCAAAAGCTATACTATAGATTCTTCTATTTATTTATGTCAAATTTACCTTTATATTCTTTCAAGCTCTATAAAAATACGAGGAAACTAAATCCAAAGTTAAAAAATTCCAATATATTAAAAATCGGTTATATTAACTATCTGATAGATAAATGTCACCAAAAGTGTGTTTAAGTATTTAAGAGATTTAATATTTCTTGTAAGTAGGTAAAATTTTAAATTTTTGCTAGATTATCCAATGATAGGAACTTTACATGACTCCATAAAAAAAGATCCAAAATTACTTATCACGCGCTTTTTTGGCGCTATTATCAAAGTTGATACACTTTTACTTTATAATTAAAATTCCTTTACAAGCTTTACTAGCAAATTATATAAGAACAGATAGAGTAATAAGATATCTAATTACTGCATATGTTATTTCTGGATATAATTTATTTAACTTTTAGTCTAAATAATAATAAAAAAAAAGTTTGTCTATATAGACTCAGACGCAACATGACTTTAAATATTGACGGCATTACGGTATAATCAGGTACCGTAGGTCTCCGCTGCAGAATTAATCATTGATTAATTGGCCGTAAAGGAGTTCGGGATTTCTCTAAAAATCATTACTATTCCAAAGTTTTACTGTAATATAGGATCTGTCCCACTAGAAGGTAACTAGTAATATAATACAATTTTGATTTATAAACACAAATTGAAGCGGATTTTTTGATAATTACTTGTAATTGAGATTATTGTAGTAAAGATTTGAGATATTTTTTATAAAGGTAAATGCATGACTTTACCGAAAGATTTAGGAGAGGCCTGAGGCTAATATTTAGACGTTACCAATGGGAATTCAATTCGGCCAGTATAATACCAAGGATTCAGTTTAGATTTAAAGAATTTGACCCATCTCTCTATTTCTGCTGTTCTTGGTTATTACCACAATGGGGTTTACTGACATTTAGAATTTTAGTATTCTTGTACCTACTTGCTATGACTGGTTGGGATATCTATCACTACTATTCAATCGATGATCTACAATTTTGGGCTGTATATGTTACTAATTGGACATATACAATTGTAATACTATATTACCTTACTGGGATAATAATAACAGAAAACTCTTACTCCCACAATATAAATATGAGAAGGTCACAGATACAAAGAAGACATTCATGCGTTGAGATGTATAGAGAAGTTACTTCTACTCAAGAAGAATCCCAAAATGCAACAGATTCTTCCTCAGCTTATGAAAGCTGTGATAAGGATCACAAATATGACTGTCCAGAAATAGCGTGTGTTACTTCATCATATCCAACTATGGATGTAAATAATATGAAAAAGAAAATAACAAATGGTCCATATATGGAAGATATGAACTTGGAGAATCAAAAATTGAATGCCTCTATTAGTAATTCAAGCGTACAGTCAGTATCAACATCTCATGAATCTCCTGTAAGTTCATCAAGAAATAAAGAAATAAATATTACTATAAACGAAGAATCAGTTCCAAATATATCCACATACAATGATTCAGCTAATAACATTGCTTTTAATACAGAACTAATAAATACTACGAATAAAGGTTTGGATGTATATCACAGTGCACAAAGAAGTGGATATTTATCATCATCATCATCATCAACAAGGGATCATTCCAGCGACAGCCATAGTGCAAAAAGTGTTAAGAAGAAAGTGAAGATAAGATCAAGGAGTACAAATGTATTTGTTAGAATTTATGAATACTTGAAAAGAAATGAATTCAAAGTTATTAGGACACCCGATGATGAACATCCCATCTTGGCTGATCCATTCGACAATTTAAATGGACTTTCTAATTCAAATGACTTCAGAAATAATAATTTGGTTCAGATTCCATTTCGTTATCGCTTGATATGGGTACTTTATTCTATTTCATTTCCTGCAACCTATATAGTTGCAATTGTATATTGGTCTATGAGTATTGTAGCTCCAACAGGAATTGATGGATTCTCATATTTAACTTTCAACAAGCATGGCATTGTGGCATTTTGTATAACTCTAGACACATATTTTACCACTATTCCATACTTCTTGGCTCATGTCTTATTCCCATTTATGTTCTGTGTTACATATTTGGTATTTACTATTATATACTACTTTTTAAGGCTACCTAATCCTCAAGATCACCGAGATTTGGGTTTTGTATACTCTGCAATAAACTTTGCAAATCCCTTAGTATCTGCTCCTTGTAGTATTGCAGTGTTTATCTTAGTATTTATTGTTGTAACTGTCATTTGGTGTTTTGTTGGATTTAATAGAAATCATCTTGTGGATCCTCTTCCAAACCAACAAAGACATCCAGTTAGCAAGAACATCCATACTCAAATAAGTATTGAGAATTAACTTAGTTACTTAAGAATACTCCTATCAGTTATTGCGTAGACTATCACTGAAGCTATTAATGTCAAGGTCATTATAAATCTCTAGAACTTAGTGCTTAAAGAAGTACTAATCAATTCACATGTATGTTACCTTGTATATAGCCTTTATATTAATTAGGACACTTTTATATAACAGTATACTTCACAAATATGTTTAACATTACTTCTTCTTCTTAAGTTTCTCTTTTTCATTGTTCTGTTGGACTTTATTAGAATTTACCTTATGAAGTATAATCCTTGCAAGAATGATCTGCAAGAGTAAGTTTAATAGCACTGATATATAATAAGGACCTATCAAATCCATTATAACATTCGAAATTAATTGAATACCACAACTACTTAGTAAAGACAAACATATGGCCTTTTTTCTTTTAAAATAATTTGTTTTAGTAAACATATAAGTTCCATATATACTAGATAGTACAGAGAAAGATGCTCCATAAGACAATAATATTTTATAAATATATTTCATTGAGAATTCAGCTAATAAAGATTTGTCAAATGCCAGAGGAATAAAATAAGATAAACAAGCACTTGTCGCACTCCATACTAATGCTGAAAATTTTAAGCGAGTATCTACTTCATATTGTTTGGCTACTTTCCCTGTTATTAAATTCCATATAAATATTAGTGAGATTGAACGAGTTACTATATTGAAATAATGAACTATTTGTGGCTTCAAGACTGGTATAGAAGCCAAAACTAAAGCTCTGGTAAAGTTATATGCTACACAATGTAGTATAGATGCAACCAAAAGTGGCGATGTGCCTACAGCATCATTTAGCGATGTATATGAGTTTATTACAAAATAAGGACCCAAAAGTAATGTAAATAGTACAATTGAAGAGAATATAGGAAAACCCATTATTAAGAGCCTAAATATAAAGATCCTTTCTCCAGATTATAACATATTCCCGTAACAATAAAGAAGACCTACTAGTTAAATGTAATACCACATCAAGCGGTACCATTTTCAAATGATCTTATTTAGCGCTATTTAATTTAATCTTTTACTTCCTGAGCTTTTAACTGGCTTTTCTTTAGAGCTTCATTATAGTTAGAAAGACGCCTTTGTACCTCATCCTCATCCATATTAAAGGCTACTGCAAATCTATGTTGTATCTCGGACTCAAAATCATCACATTCACGTGCAATCTATAAATAACAGAATTATGATAATATATATTAAAACTCAAGCCTCTGTAACGACTCACCTTTTCTTTTAGTTTGTCAATTATGTCGTCGAATATTTCTCTCTCTTTTGCTAATTGAACCTGTGTTTCAATATAACCCCTTCTAAACTCCTCTATTCGTTTCTCAGATTCTTTAAGAATACTTTTCTCAAATTCCCTCTTTTCCCTTTCGAGGCACTTCTCTCTCTCATTCCATTGTATATGCATATTCTTTTCTTTTTCTAACACTCTAGAGCATGTAGCTTGTGCCATCTCTTCATATTTTCTGATTGATTCCTTCATTTGCCTCTTAAGTTTTTCTTCAAAGGCTAAGCACGTTGTTTCAGCAAGCTGTTTTGCTCTAATTTTCATTGCTTCCATCTTTTCTTTCTGACGTTTTAGTTCCTCAGTGGCTAAAACTGCTAAATCCCTATACTTTATAAGATAATCTTCGACATCATGTAAGACTTTATTTCTAAGAATTTTTTTTTCATTTTGGAAATTTAATTCCATCTCATCCATCTATTTGAAAGTTTAATGATATGTTTTTTAGTTTTCTTTTTACTTAATTAACTCACCTGCTTTTCATATTCCTTTCGTAAATTATTTATCTTAGCATTATGCTCAATATTGGAAATAGTATTAGCAATGATCTAATAACAGAGAAAATAGAGGTTGTAATGTATAACTCAACAATTCAAGTAAAAATGTGCAGTTATCAATGGTAAATAAACTCCACATACCTTTAACTTAGAAAGATCTTTTTTACCAGAGTGCTCATAATAGTCTCGTTGAATAATTAGGGCATTATAAGCCTCATCACGTTCATTCTTAATGTTTTTAATTTCATGCTGAAGCTGTTTACTAATACTTATAAGCTTACTTAAAGCAGTAGGTATTGGTAAAGATGAGGCTACCTTTTCAATATCAAGAGAGGATATATCCACTACTTTATATGAAGATACTACTCCTGAATTTTCTGCAGAAGATATACTTTCACTTCTTCGGGTAAAATTTCTCTTTTTCATAGTCTAAACCATAATGGCACTATTGTATTACCAAGATAATATTAATAGATCATATCTTAGATCCCTCCCTTATTTTTATATTGATTCTATGAAAATCCCCAAGTATCTCTTTTATTAAGTTGTATATAGACCTTTAGTATAAATACTGTTAAAATTTCACTACTGTGGAATTTCAGAGGCCTTTGGAGTTTATCAAAATCACACCTAATGGCTAGACTTAGACGACATGCGCGCGTTCATGACCTGTATGTAGATGACATGTTTAGATTATATGGAACCTATATTATTAAATATAAAAATAAATTTTGGAAATATAAAGGGTCTCAATAAGATCTAACCATAGGAATTCTTTATATTTTATTTTAATGTGAAATTGAATACAATATATAACTTCTGCAACTTTATATATAGCTAGTATAATGCAAAATAAAGAAGTAGTAGTAAAATCCTATGATCCAGCAAATATAACTAATAAAGTTGAGCTGAGAGTTCAAGATGCATCTTTACTCTCATTAGCAAGGGCTGCAACTGTAGATCCTGAATGTTGTGGCTGGTTATATGTACTTAACAATAAGGGATCAGCTATTAATACATCTCTTCAATATCTAAAGTCATTACAAGATAGTTGGGAACATTACTATTTCAATATGAAAGGTGGAATGATGTTTGGATCTAGTAAAAAAGATGGATCTACACTAGAGGTTGTATATATTTTGTGTGATATGATTATAAGTAGTATAGATTCAAGCACAGCTTTGCAGAAAGAATATATAACAAGAGAAGAAGAAGCAAGCCTACAACAAAAATTAGGGAAAGAAATAACGTTAATAATGTTATTACATCATAATCAAGCAATTGGTATTGAGTCTAATCCTGTAATATTTGCTTCAAGTTCCTCAAATGTAGCCTCTCGTTGGTGTATTGCATTAAACAAAACCTTACAATATGGTCAAATGAGATATACAGATGAATACTTAGATGATGATCTTTCTAATAATGGTAGTAAAACTAGATTAGTACAAGGAAATTCTTTAATAGGTTCTACAGTATCATTTTACAGAACTAGAGATATGACTCAGGTATCCCAGCAGATTGATAAGCTAAAGAATCAGTTGAAACAAATGGAAAATACTAACAAAACTTTAGAAAGCAGAAATGACCAGTTACAAAATCAACTGAAGAAATTACAGAGTACATTAAATGTTACTGAAAAAGCAACTAGTGAAGCAGTTGAGCAAAAAACTGTAGAATTAACTCAAATTAAGGAAAATTTGAGTAATATAAAAAGTGAAAGAGATCTTTTAATTGAAGAAAAGACAAGTTTATATAGTAAATTATATCAACTACAAAGAGAAAATCAAAATATTCTGATGGAAAAATATAATCTCCGAAATGAATTTCAAGAGCTCCAAAATTCAATTACTTCAGCTATAGGAGGAGATAATACACTACAAAAGTTAATAGTTCGGCTTCAATATTTGAAGAATTCGAGTCAAAAGTTATTAATTGAGAATAAAAAATATAAAAAAGAAATTCAGGATATATTGAACCATTATAGACAGGAACAAGAAAAGTCAATACAACAATTAAATACAGTTAAGGAGCTATTATCACAGCAGGATGTATTTCAACTTCTGATTCGCCAAATGGATTTGGTACAAGCTAAACTACAATACCAAGAAGAGGCATGGAAAATGCCCGAAAATCAAGCAGAAAATCTTCTTTTTTGGATTCAACAATTGCAAAACCAATGGAAAGTAGACGAAGCTGTTGCTAGAGCCTCTTATTTAAAACATAGAAGCATAATGTTAGGAGAACAAATGCAAGCATACACTTTGGGATTACCTTTGCCAAAGCATTATACAATTATTCAGGAACTTTTAAAAAAACTGCAATGTGTATTTAGAGAGGAAGAATTTGCAATTGCAACAAAATCTGAGTTATTTTATAGAGATATTCAACCTTTAAATAATGAGGGTGGCTCTCAAGATAATGGAGATCTTAATCAACCTTATTGGGTCAATGACAACTTTCAAGAACCTCCATTAGCAATTGTCCCTTCTATATTCGGTGGAATAGAAAACAAGAGTAGCAATGGCATTGATGGAAATACATCTGATACTGATACTATGGCCTTTGTGTTTAGGACAAATCAATATACTCCTAAGATTCATATTGATCTACTTAGCCCTCCAGAAAAGAAAGTACCAGAATCAGAATACACAAGACTTAAAAGTACATATAGAGAACTAAAAGATAGATGTGATATGTTAGAATCTGAGAATGAAAATTTAATTGAGAAAATTCAAAAAATGATTAAATATAGTCAAGTATATTCCAAGAGGCCAATAATATTTCGTCAACATACTGGAGCTAATAGCCTTACAGATATAGGTCATATATCACCTGTTTATTCTAAGAAATCTAGTATGAATAATATAGATAATTTAAATTTACATAATTCAGTAACTGAAATAACAGATAAATCTACAAGTGTAGCTACAGATGATATTAATAAATCTTCTAAGACTTCTAATTCTTAGTTTTCTTAATCAAAATACTTGTATAGAATAAGATATAAATATTGTTTTATGTACCTTCCTACATATTATTTAATGAATCTCTTTTGAATATCTATTTTTAATCTGGACCATGTAAACGTGAATATTTTTCGCGCTACTATATTTGTAGCAGGACGCCTTTAAGAGGTATCTGAAGTTACCTTTTGTATTTCTCTTCTCTTTTTTAAATATACAAAAATGAAAATAAAAGTATTACAAAGAGATCCTGCGATTTATGAAGGGAATAGGAGGGATTCTATAAGACGTTTATTTCATAATCCTGATCCTCGCCTACATCCTTTTGAACGTGCTCGTGAATACACTAGGGCATTAACCAGTGTTAAACTGCGAAAGATGTTTGCAAAACCTTTGGTATCTGTCTTAGAGGGCCATATTGACACTGTAAAATGTATAGCTAGGGCTCATCATAATGTTTCCGATATTTATAGTGGTAGTTTTGATGGAAGTATTCGCTATTGGAATTTGGGAAGCCAAGATAAATGTGAATATATGATTAGAGCCCATGAAGGAGCTTTACGTGGGATATGTGTTACTAGTAATGATAAATATATTTTTTCTTGTGGTGATGATAAGAAACTACAGATGTGGAAAATAGAGAAACGTGAAGATGTAAAGTTAATGGATATAAATTGTCTAACAGATCGTGGTAATGATCAAGACAACAGTAATGGTTATGATAACTTGGGAAATTTTAGGAAACAGATAATTTCAGAGAATATATTCCATTCTCCTTGTCAACTATATAGTGTAGATCACCACTGGAATAAATCAACTTTAATTAGTAGTGGGATTAGTGGTATACAAGTTTGGGATCACAATAGGAATACTCCCATTCAAGTCTTTGATTGGGGAAGTGATACTGTATATACAGCAAAAATTAATCCGAGTGAACCATATATTGTGGCAACAACGGCATCCGATAACTCAATAGGATTATTTGATATTCGCTCTTCAACACCACTAAGAAAGTTAATAATGAATAACAAGGGAAATGCAATTTGTTGGAATCCGCAACAACCTTTAAACTTTACTGTTGCTAATGATGATTCGATGTTGTATACATTTGATATGAGAAAATTAAATTCAGCTAGATTTATATATAAAGGTTTTGTTCAAGCTGTATTGGATATTGATTATAGTCCTACTGGCAATAGTTTCGTTGCAGGTAGTAGAGACAATACTATAAGAATATTTAACATTGATCAAGGATTCTCAAGAGATGTTTATCATACAAAAAGAATGCAACATGTTTGGTCTACAAAGTATACTGCTGATGCTAAATTTATTGTAAGTGGCTCATCTGATTTTTGTATAAGATTATGGAAGAACGATGCAAGTCAATCTCTTGGGCCAAGGGTATACAGAGAAAGACAAACATTAGCTTATAGGAATAAACTGATTGAAAAGTATCAGCACTTACCAGAGATTAAGAGAATTGCTAGGTATCATCATATACCAAAAATCATTAAATCAATACAAGAAAGGAAATTGACTCAAATAAATGCTCAAAAGAAGAGGGAAGAAAATATGAGGATTCATAGTAAAAATAAATTGAAACCTACTCCAGAGAGACAAAAACCTGTTAAAGTTATCCTTGAATAGTAAATTAATTTCAAGATCTCTATCAAAGTGTACTAATATACCTTTGGGATGCACTACAAACTTACAAGGTTGAATAGATTCCGTATATTACGTTGAAACTTTCTTATTTTAGAAAATCACAATTTAATAGGATGCAGAAATGATCTTAGAAGTATTATATGCAATACTTTGTGTTATATTCATACGTTGGTGACTATATTTCTTAGGAAAGCGCCTTATAGAGGAAATACTTCGAATGCATATGACCGCCTGATATGGCGCTTCATATTCGTTCTTAAATGTGGTTTTTCTTTGACTAAATCAATTTTCACTAACTAGACTGTAGTTCTGAAATTCTAAACATTGTGTGGCATATTATAAAAAAGCTTAAGGTATATATCTTGATTAGGTTTCCTAATTTAGGTGGCTTCTACATAACTTAATATTTTATTTATTTAATTACTATTATAGTTGTAGTTTTTAGAATAGATCAGACTCTGGTAAATTGCATATTATCTAGTAGTAGTATACTCACCATTTATTTTAAATGAGATTAAATAGTCTGGATTTGCAATAGACTAGTTAGTTCCATACGCGCGTAGCCCCACGCACTAGAATTTAGGGCTTTGCACTAATGGAAGATTTTGTAGAAAGCTCCAGCCCGTATAAAAAACTTGAGAAATGTTCGATATACGGACACAGAAACCTATAAGTGATGAGAAATCTGGAGCTGGAAGTGGGATATCTATTCACTTGAGGAGATGTGATTTAATTGAGAGTTCTATTAATGGATGTCTACAACAAGACGAAGAATGGTCAGAAATTGAACATTACTTAAAGGGGCAATCTTTAATGAATGAGTATGAATATAGACCTGAGATATTTGATTTGAAGCAGCTGAAGATATTCCCAAGAAAAGTTAGTGAGATGATCACTTTAAATATGGAACACACAGTGAAACCTGATTCAAGCATATCAAGACCATGGGGTGCCATTGGATCGAGTAGCATTTTTTATGTATATTACTCAAATGAGCTGTTATTTTGGAATTGGTCAAAAGGTGATGTTGCTTACTCTATTCAAAGTGAAGAATTTTACAATGAAGTGTCTGGGGAAAAGTCTATAATTACAGCTTTGGGATATGTAGAAAGTGAAGATGGTATTGTTAAATGTCTAGTTAGTACTTTAGATTACATTATTATGCTAAAAATGACTAAGAAGAGCACTGGGGGATATATTATAGATCGTATTAATGACAGCTTAATACATCTATATGAATACAATGCAAAGATAACTAGTATTGTGGGTCACAATGCTTCAGATCGTTTATTTCTCGGATGTAGTAATAATGGTTCAATTTTTGAATTTGCACTATTATCTCAAGAAGTTTCTTGGAAATATAGAAATGTAAGGAAGCTTATACGTTCAGAGTCCAATACTGAGTCAATTAGTATGACAAGATTGATTTGTATATCGTCAAATGGGATATTAAATTGGATACCGAATTCTTTAAAAAGATTTCTCACGAAAGTTAATAGTGTTAAAATATATGGGATGTTTATTGATGAATATAGAGGGCTTTTATATGTTTTACATGGTAACTCAGATATTGACGTATACGCAATCCCACCCACACCAGTTACAATAAATTACCTTGATGACATTTCTTATTTAAGTGTGACAAATTTGGATTCTTATCAAAAGCCTCCCGTAATACACTTATTTACATTATCAAATACAAAACTTTCAGCTGAAATTTGCAAGAAGCTTGAATCTACATCAAAATCTAATTTGAATAAAAATAAATCAGTGCCTGTAGTAGGAAATAATTCAAATAATATGAATATACAAGGGTCAAATTTCTCAGTTTCTTTAAACATTAAGTCAATTCATCCTATCTCACCTCTAGAAAGTGATTCAGCCATTGTTATGCTGGTCAATGATAAAGGTGACAGATTTTATATGGAAGCTTCATTTGACACTCAAGGAAGTAGTTTAGTAGGTCATAATTCTAAGTCACTTCAAAATTCTGAGTTAGTGCAATATATGCAACCAAAAAGCCTAAAAGTTAAGAATATCAAAGCATCTCCCACAACTTTAGAAGATAAACCTGTTTATTTTTCTGTATATTCCAGTGGAGTATTTATTCAAATGACAAGATCAAGTGATAATATGGATAATACTGAATCTGAAATTACAAGACCTACTGAAAAAAAACACTATATTGGCAATTTATCTCCTAATTCACTAAGACATCAATTTTCTGAAAGAGACTTTATACCATCAACTTTTATGGATGACCATAGTAATTATAATAGAGTAAGTACTGATAAAACAAGTACTAATTATTTAAAAGCTATAAAATCACATATTACTGCCTGTTGCAAAGATGTAACAGTATTGGCTCAAAAGCAAGCTCCAAGTTATCCAAATCCCACCAATATCAAGAGTTCTTTATGTGAATGGTATTGTTCGTTTTCTCAAGTTGACTTAGGCTATGTTTTGTTTGCTTATGAAAAACCAGTTTTGAAGGATTATTGGAGATTATTTTACAATTTGTGGAATACCCCAAATCCTTTTAATCCTAACTCTATATCATCCAATAAAGCGTTTGTTAGACCGAAAATTTCAAAGGAAAATTTTAGTGTTATTTATTCAGCTCCAGGATTTGGAGCTAAAACTAGTGGAAGCTTATTTTATCATCTTTGGAAGTATTTATTTGATACAAATGGAGCCAATTCAATAAATAATAAACCTGACTTCTCTCCTTTAAACGAATTTACAAAATCACTTCTATCCACTAATACCTTGGGATTAAATACATGTTCTACAGACTTAGCACCTATTAAAGAGAATTCTTCGTCTAATATAACTGGATTTGTAATTCCGAGATATCCTCCCAGTGGTCTATGTGACTTATCATTAGATCAGGTTGCTCAGAATCGACAGTGGATTGTAATAACTACCACTGGGATATTTTTGTTAGAAAAACGCAGAATGATTGATATAGTTACACTCATGACTTTGGAACCCCAAAACTATTCTTATATGATTGATATTTTTGATAATTCACCTTTAACCAGCCAAGATCCATCCCTTCAATTATCTGGATATTCAATTAATTTTATAACGAAACTGTTGGGGATATTTGCTCATACAGTAACATTTGAGCAATTTTTTGCAGTATTATGGCAGGGTATTATAAGCTTGACTGCAAAAGGCACTTTGAATTCGGAAGTATTTGAGAAATTATCAAATGGTAGAATTTTGGACAAGTTTAATCTAGATACACATAAAGATGCAATAAGTATTTTTCCAAGAATGGAATATATTTCAAATACAGAATTCCCACATATAGTATTAATTCAAATTTGGCTTACACTTTTGTCAGATTCTTCTATTCAAAACCGTCCAGATTCTTCCTGCTTAATTAGCATAAATAATTTAAATGAATGGTTTGTAGTTACACCAAGAAGTAAAGGATTATTACTTTTAGTAAGTCGGATTTTAAGATGTATATGGTCTATTCCACTATTTCAACAGGAGATTACAGACTCTGGAGCTGTACAAAACAAGACTAGTACTACTCCATTACTAGAGTATGTACTTACTGCAGCAGGTAAAAGAAGGAGATCTACAGAAAATGTTTTTGTTGATAATTCTTATACGAAAGATAATAATAAGTACTCTTCAGCATCAATTTTAGAGTGTAACTCTGAAAAAGGTAAATCTATAATATTAGAAGATTTTTATAAACCAGAAGCTTCAGAGTGGTTTGAAATACTCAGCTTGGAAGATATCAACTTAACGCAAAAATTTGAAACTGGAGTATTTTCTGTAAATTCAGAAAATGAACTAAATTTAGAACAACATATACTAAAAATTCAGCCAACTTTAACTAAGGCTCAAATTAAACATCTACAAAGTAATATTTCACCAATTATCACTTTATTGGATATGTTACTACCCATATGGTTCCCTAACTACAAGACTGAAGTACAATCAATGCAAAAGTGTACTTTAAATTCAAACCACACTGATGAAGAATCAAGAATATCTTCTAGCACAAGTCCAGTTACAGAATTGCAACTTTTCATCGAACTATCTTATTTTTTATGTAAAGTTCTTGAAGTCCTTGCTGTCATATCCTTAGTTATTGATAAAAATCCAAATGGTATAAAATACACTATATGTTCAAGAGAGCAGGACAGTTCCAGAACTTTATACTACCCAATAACCCTATTAAAGAAGTCTCTTTTGAATATCACTTTGGAGAGTTTGGCAAATAACCCAAAGCACCAATTTTTGTATAGATTATTTTTAAGATATGATTTAATACCTTCAGATGATACTCTTAGAAATTTACCATTCAAAGATACCTCTTATATTCTCCCTATTTCTATTATAAAAGTGGAATATATTGTTGCACTCCTCAGAAAACGAGTTCGGGAATGCAGACTAGACAACTTGACTGGAGGTAGGAAAATAGTCAAAGTAAAGAATGTTGATAATTCTGATGAATTTGAAATGCAGAATATTTTCAACACATTATATGAGAATGTTCAGAATGTACCTTTAAATGTGACTATACCTTTGCTTTATGAATTAAAAGAATACCAAGCTATAATGACTTTGATTTATAACCAAACTGATCATATATATAAAACTGGAACTTATCCAATGTGGATAACTAATGGTAGCTATATACAAGTGAATACTCCTAAATCTCTTGATAATTACAAAATATATACCTCTAACTCATCAGGATTTTTTAATGATTTCTTACAAATGATACTAAATGAAATTATCAGCATAGGTGCACCTTCATCATTGCAAACAAACTCTATTGCTTCGTATCATGTTATTCTTTCTCAAATTGATACGAAAAAGGAGAAATCTCTACTGGAATCTTGCAAAAAGAATGAACTTGGGCACTTATTTGCTATGTCAATGTATACTCTGGAATTTCACTGTGTATTATGGATATACCAAAGTTATTATCATATACTAGTAAGAATTTTTGAAAAATATGTTTCTGAAATTGACTCAGTAATGCCAGAAATTCTTCAAATTTTCGATGGAAATACAAATGATTTATTGGAGACTGAACAACTACCTTTGGAGTATATCAAAACACATCTAACTCATACAAACTCCAATGCTTTGAATGAAAGTAAATCAAAAATTAGTTCAATTAAAGAGAAACTTTTGTTTGTGAAACAAGAAATTATTGAATTAATTACTATATCACTTAAATACTCTCGTGATAACGCTAAACTAGGTAGATCTAGCAATCATATGCTGATGTCATCAAATAATAGCTCTAATTCCACAAAACTTCCAAAATTTAATGAATGGTTTCATTACTTTCTATTCTCACTTTTATCTTACAATGAGAACTGTCTAATTAAAACATTTGAAGAGGAGCTCGGAGTCAATAAAAAGAAAATCAAAGATATTAGCCCAATAAAATCATGGTTAATTTCGAATCTCTGTATATCTGTATTTGACTTCAGTGAAGCTTCACCATATATTAAAAATTGGCTAGAATATTTTCAAAATGCTGAGATAACTAATTCAAGCATGAAAAATATTATTAATAACCGTTTACCTGACTTACTATCCAATGATGATGTCAATAATCATGGTTATCTGTTGTTTCATGCTAAACAGTATATTTTGGCTGGAAATTATTTCATAGAAAAGGCTAAGAAGTCTTGGAATAGAAGAACATTAAATCTTGATTATAATATATCACCTCATCCTAATCAAGCTTCTCATATGAAAAGTTCTGTACTTATACCAAAATCTATATCTGTAGATTCTCCAATATACAAATCTCTTTGTGGTACATTAAACTTACGTTGGAATAATTTTAAAAAGTTGATATTATCTTCAACATCAATACAAGAAAGCTGGAGAATAAAACAGATATTTGTTATATTTGAGGATATTTATCAGCAATTAATAAGTATTCAACAAGAACCAACCTTATTACAACGCAAGGCATACTTGCTTCAAGCTCAAACATGTATACAAAAGGATAGAAATGACAAAGAAAATAAGAGTTTATTGCAAAATATTTGGAATAATATTCAAACTATTGATATTCAGTGGGAATTAGTTATTTCGTTTATAGAGCTTTGTGTACATTATATTTTGATAGCTATGCAACAAAATGTAGATATTATTCCATTGGTCCATTACCTGTTCGGAGGCTTGGCTACTGTACAAAATCTGAACAATACTCAAATTGATTCTTCAATTTTGAAATCTGAAATATCAGCAAATATATCAGAAGAAGGGATTGACATTCTCAAATGTACAATATATGGAATATATAGCCTGCAGTGTATGGTTCACAGCGAAGAAACTTTATTTCAACTTATGGATGAATTCCACAAAGCTACTGGCTATTCATGTATAACTGAAATTAGATGGGTAACTAACAAGCTAGGCACTATATTGGATCTCTACTACATAGATAATAAAATCTCATACATGTGTGAATTTAGAACTAAACAAGCAATATATTTTGATTCCCCTATCTTATTTGAATTGGACATAATCCATCTACTAAACTTGTATGAAAAGATACAACTAGACAATAAAACTGAGAATTGCATTCAAATTGAAACAATTTGCTTGGAACTTCATCTCTTTTCAACAATTTACTATAATCAATACAAACAGAATGATCTTGTTGATATATACAGTGCTGACAATATCTCAGAAGTTAAATGTCGAGTCCTCTGGTGGACTTGGCCTATTAAATTCATTACTTTTCATTTAAGCAACAAGGTACTATGCAATAGACTATTTCCCTTATATTCTGGGCAATCAAATAAATTTTCTACGCTCTCCAATTTTATTAATAACAGCCAGAGAGCTGAAATTTGTGAAATAATAAAGTCTAATATACATCTGGCTGCTACTTAATATTCATTAGCTAAATATTTGAAATTCTCATTTTGAAAATTCTACATATTAGTGATTCTTTGGGAAAATGACTTAACGATTGTTTGTGTCTTTTGAAGCCTTTGAATATGCTCTTCGTTTTGATCTCTTAATCTCTCCAATTTTTCTATAGCTTCACTATAGCACTCTAGTGATTTCACACATGAAGCTTCCAATTGAGCTCTTGATTTTTCTATTTCATCATATAGTGTATTTAAAAAACCTATTAAAATGTCAAGAAATTGTAAATTTTTTTAATTAAATTGTCCTGCTTAAAGACATTTTACTTACTAGTCATTGCTTTATGAAGTTCTTCCTCACTCCTTTGGAACTGTCTCTATCATTTAACTTATATATTAGTTCAAAATACTGGTGGACTATTTTTCTGCAAATAATGATGGTTACTTACCTTATATGTATCAATGTCAGAGAGTTCACTTTTAGAAGTAGCTTGAGCTCTAATACACTTCTTTTTACTAATTGGGGTATCTACTGGAAGACCTGTTTGTATAGTATTCAAGATAAATTACCTATATACTATTTTCAGTTAATTGAATTGACATACCTTTATTCTGTGAGATCACTATTGAATCCTGGTTTAGTGAATGGTTTTCAATTTCCTTAGTCATCAATTTCCTCTTTTCTAAAAATACCTCCACATGTAATTTTGCATGTATGAGGGTGAGTTAATATAGAAATGTGCAATACCCACAAATACTTAGTAATAAGCTAGCATATTTCATAAATACAAATTTAAATTACTGATTAAAATATATTTCAGTATATAGTAGTATAAATTGCATAAAGGTACTGTTACTTATACTCTCAAGCACGTGCATAGATAACATGTGATATACCTACTCAATTTTAGTCCTCTCAGCTGCAATATTATATTGATTTATTACAATATATTAACTTTTTTTTTCAATATACTGCCTCCTATACCTTATATTTTAAAATTTAATAGCAAAGTTTCAGTTTTATACTATTAATTATGACCGCCAAATGAGACGGCGTCTCTACAGTCATATTGGTGCAAAATAATTTACTAATCTTTAGTATAGAACTTTTTTGCGGGCTATACCTAGAGTATATTGTACCGCCCTATTTTTTCAAATGCAATAACAAATATTAGACTATACTGCTAAAGAAGCAAAGTTCCCAATTGACCAGGACCCGGGATACTTATATACTGATGTATATAGGCATTGATATACTAGAGAGGTAGTAATATGTGGGAAGGGCTAGAGTGCAAATGTAGAGAATATCGCCATTTCAAAGATTTGAGCTGAGCAGATAAGAAAAAAAATTATTGGCATTACTGTAATAAGGATTGGTCGAAAAGGTTGAGTTTATCTTTTTGTACCTAAGATTAAAGTTTAGTCAAATGTCTACGCAAACTAGAAACTCAAAAGGGAATTTAACTAGTGATTCTCATTCTCAAGCTAACCATTTAAAAGTATACCATATACAACCCATAGTTACCGATACTCCTTTGTCACCAAGAACTGCTAAGTGGATAAAAGAATTAACTCCAGTACTTGAGCCATATAATTTTGATGTAGGTGAAATATCGGATCTTATACGCAGGTGTCACTACGATGCAAACCAAATTGAATTAGCTGTAAGTAATGTGATTGAGGACTTTAGTGGACGTGAATCTGGACAATGGACTAAAGTTGGCAAAAATAGGTCAGTGAACTCTAATAACTTTTCGAAGAAACCTAAGGGACCTTCATCTAATACATTGATAAGGAATGAGAAGATGTGTCCAAATAAAGGTAACAAACAACATAAATCTAAGTCCGGGATATCTATATCACATAGTACACATGTTGATGAGAAGAATTCTCAAGTATTGAATAATGAGATACATAAGAAGATACAGCAAACTAGCCAATCAAGTTTACAAAAATCTCCTAACAAGCAAAGTGGTAGTATACAGTCAACTGAGAAAATAGCTACAACTTTAACTCCTACAAATTCAAACACTAGTTGGGCTCAGCTAGCCTGTAGAAATAATAAATATGCAACATCTAACAAAGAGTCACTTGTCTTGAACACAGTAGATGAAACATGTGTATCTTTAAAGGACATAGTTTCTAAAAATGTAGTAAAGGAGTCTCCAGAGAGTAGTCGTTCTAAAGAAACTACTAATACAGCTACAACTGCTGGTACCACAACAAAGATAATGATGAATAACCAACATCCAACTGAGCTCTCAAGGGGTAAAGCGATAGTAGAGCATTCTGGTGTTGAACTAGGTATTAAGGTTGGGAGCCGTAACTCTGTATCTGCTGGTATTCAAATTGGTGGTATGGAATCCTTATCACCTCAGAATTATAACTTAGGCGTCTACCTACCAGAAGGTAGGACAGTTGATCCTAATGCTAGTGAAGGTTTATTATTTGGAAGTTTTGGAGCTGTAGATATAAGTAAGCAACCAGTAGAGGAGCAGCCAGTACCTGGGGTTCCTGAATCTCCTGTAATCTCCAACTCTTCAGCACCTTTATTAGATAGCTGGACATATAACTCATCAAAGGTAATGGCCAATACACAATCTGATTCAAATAATACACAGAATAACAGGAATTCAATACCTTCAAATGTAAAAAGTAATCCCAATTACATAACACAAGTGCCAATAACTAACCAGCAACAAAGTGGAACAAATGTAGCTACTATTTTTAATGGAATTGCAGCTCCTCCAGGATTAAATAATGCAACAGCTGGGAGTTCTTTGGTTAATTCTAATTTAATGGTTTCATCCAGTGCAAGTACAGGGAATATAACTAACAGTACATATAATTCTAGTATGGGTGCTTCAGTAGCACCTCAACCCTCAAATGGGACCTCTAATGCTAGCAATAACTCTAATATAGCTATAGCTGCGGCAGCAGCAGCAGCTGCTGCTGCTGCAACTCCTTATAACTATGCTTATCTTAATTATGCGAGCTATGCGACTAACTTTCCCTATATGGTTGGAGGTACTGCAACATTTAGTTTCCCTCCATATGGTTCTAAACCAACTGCTCATCCTCCTATGTTTAGTCAATATACGCAACCAAATCCCAATCATCAACACCATCCAGCTGGAATATATGGAATTAGCCCAAATTATGATTCTTCAAGTAGTAACAATTTAGCACCCTCAGCTACTACAACGGGTTTGATAAGTGAGGGAGGTACATATCATCATCATATTTCAACTCAAACTTCTGTTCCAGGTGGTTCAACCTTGGTATCAAGTAATTCGAACTCATATAACAATATTCCACCCATTGCATCCCCAGGAATAACTCAACCAATTGCTGTTGCTACTCAAAATAATAACTCTATGCCTCAGGCTATGAGTCTACCAATAAATTTTGCAACTAACTCTAACGATTTTGCAGTTGATCAGCCCATACCACATGGTGTATTTTTAGGTCAAAACCAACGCTCTGATCACGTAGGTAATATACTACCAAATCATCCTAGTGATTTTACTCATCCTGGATACAGTCCACTTCAAATGAATCACTTTCAGGCAGCTGCAACTTATGGTGGGAAGTCAATGGCTAACACATCCAGTACAATCATTAGTCAATCTGTACCAACTCCACCTATCGACTTGAATACCTCTACTGTTGGTACAAATGGTAGTACACCTGGGAATAGTAACGGCACAATGTTCTTATCTAATAGAGCTACAAACAATCCAAATAATCCGGTAGTAGTTGGAAATAATCAAACGCAAAGTGCTGCAGCTAACGGTACTCCTCAACAAGCTGGCAAACCAGTCAATTTCTCAAGTTTTCATTCAAATAGGACAAATAATCCTTCGTTTCTACCACACCATAATCCAGTGTGGAACAATAGTTAGTCCAGTGGTAAAAAGGAATAACCTTTTATAACTTATGGGTGACTAATACTGTAGATATATAAACAGGCGATAAAGGATTATTTTTACTGAATTGTGGGTAAAAATAGTGCATAAGTATGAAATATTATTTAGCTATTCATGGTTTTGTAAGGCTTTTAAGATCTTCACAATACCTATAACTAAATTTATCACTATCTTGGAGCCTTCTCAGTAGAAATCTAATTTAAAGTGTGTAACTTGTGAGAATTTCAGGATCTAAGTGTATAACAGAACTATAATTTTCCAGATGATGAGTCTTTTATAAAACATATGCTGACTTGGTTTTATGAATGCAACCACAACTACTAGGATAATAATAGTGAAAACAAAGCAATTAAGGATTAGCAATTTTATCCATTGGCTAATTGAACAAAATCTATTCTAGAACACTTGGACAGTTCTATTTTCATTAGGTTTATGAGAAATGTCTTAATTGCCTGAAATTTTGTTGAATATCACTAGATGTTTTTAAAAATAGATTTAAGAAGTTGGGAGGAAAAAGTATAGGTCACTAAACTAAAAACACTAGAAATCTTCAATTTACTTTTAACTCACAACTTAAGAATATATAATCTTATACTAGAACTTGCAAGTTAACTTTTCACTTACAAGGACTACAAGTCTAGGCATAGTTAAACTAGAGTTTGGAATTTAAGTAGTCTTATGTATTTTTGGAATGTTAGACTTCTAAGTAATACTACTAAGATTTGCAAAAGTTCCTTAGATACCAAAATCTCATGCAATTTCCTATTTCCGAAGATTTCATCAATCCACTATTAATGTAACTAAAAGCTATTAATGAATTCCCCATGAACACTAAAAAGATAGAAGTGTGTTAATTCTCTATATTTCCTTTCCTTTATAACCCTATTTTGCTTAAAATAACTCACAAGTCACTTTATATACAAATTCTAGATTAAAAATTAAATCAAGTATACAATATATGTGAAGAATACAATGTCATTTATTTAGATTATTATAAACTGTTAAAATCACTCTATGATATATGAAATCTCGTACTTCACTACTTAAAATATTGTTACTCCTTATATTGCTATTTAGTTATTCAATTGTTAATTCCTGTATAATTTATGAAATACTTTCTAATATACTTTTCAGCCTTTATAAATGAAATATCCAGTGCATTATCTAAAGAATTTTACAGCTATAGAATTCCATTTGTAAGTCTTTGGAAGGCATCATATTGAATTGATCTCCAATTATTTATTGACGTCTGAATAAGTTCCGAAATCTTTAGAATACACTGCTCCTCAGTAAGTTGGAGGAAAAAGCGATCTTTAATATCTTGAATTAGATAAATTTTGTTAGTTTGCAAGGCAAAACATGGTAATTTAGAAGAACTTGTCATTATCTCAATAGTTAAGATTACTTGATCAACATATTTCCTAGCAATAAGGAATCCTCTAGTAATAAGATCCACAAAGTATTGGAATTCTGAGGAATTTTCACCTAGCATAATATCTAAAAATTCTTGAGTTAGCTTAAATGGACTTTGTTCAAAATTTACATTTCCAGGTGAGTTACTTAGCATAAAACCATAGTCTATCTGAATAATGTGGCCGAAACGGTCTAGAAGGAAATTCCCATTGTGACGATCCTTAACTTGTAGAAAGTAACTTACTAAACTATAAGCTGCATGGCTTTCTACAAATGCTATTCTTGCTTTAGATCTTTCATTATTATCAGGAAATAACTTTTCAAAGCAATTTTGCAGATTGTCAGTTTGTAGCCTCCTTTTGAGCCCATCTATCGAAAATGTATCTGGAATATACTCTATAAATCCTCCATGAGCCCCAACAACTAAGACTTCATATGGATAAAGCCATAGTGGCAAGTTGTTACTACGAAAAATACCGTCAAATTGTTGCAATAGCTGAGAAGCTAACAGCTCTTGACGCAAATCGTCAGAAGATTTCAATAAAACCGTCTTTAAGCCCCAACTTCTCAAACTTGAGAATGGTGATGTTTGACGAATCCTTTCAACTTTTTCACACCACAGCTCTTGTGGCCAGTTCGTTTCTAGTTCATGTCTATCATTTACTAAAATTTCAAGATTATTCTCATTAGAGTTCATAAAAGCTGAGTCACAACTTGAATCATCTTCTAAATCTACTTGATCTTCAATATTAGGACTAGATAATTTCATACTAGTATTGTTATCCATTGAATCTGGGACACCATTCACTAGAATACTTAGAAAATTCAGCAGTGTACTAAAGTGAGGTGATACATTCTTAGATGACGCAGTAATCGAATCCTTAACCTTGCAAATATTCTTTGGAAGTGATATTCCATGATTTTGTAAGTAAAGTAATATATCCTTTGCGACTAAACTTTCTACAATATTACTCTCGGAATTGTCATCTAAGTCAGCTACCTCAACAACAAATAAAAAGTGTACACGCTTACGAGAATTAAAGACTTTGAATTCATTAGGAACAATCTTAAGAAATTGACAATGGTTTAGTGACAAACGTCTAGAATCTCTTGAATCCTCATAATAGTTGAAAGGAGTTGGTGCCTTTAAAGGATAACTTCTAGGCCCAATATGATCTAAAAATGACATTGGAAGAGTTAAACCATTTAAAACATATGTTGTTCTTGATATTGCAATTGTAAACCTTGAATAAAATAGCCATAAATTCAACTCTTCAAAGATAAATTCCAATACTTCACAACGATGCTCTTTGTGCACATGATTCTGCAGAAATGTTGATATATCCAGGATTTGTAGTACAAATTGATTTATCCTATTAAAGTAATTACATCTATGTTGTTTCAACAAGTAGTATAAAGACTCACTATGCTTCTCTATCTCCGATATACAACTTGCAAAGTCTTCTGTATTTGTGAAACCTCCCTCAAGTAAATCACTATAATCTTCATTATCAAGTGTAGTGGTAACTGCTTTCTTTCTTTCAAATCTCCCTTGAATACTCCTAATAACAGTTCCGACATCTATAAGCTCAAAAGGAGAACCAAGTTTTATAAAGAAGAAATAAGGAATTGGGACTTTGCCGGAATCTCCACAGCTATTTACATTGACACTAAATGGAATTGCAGAACTGTTGTATAAATTTCTATTAGGATTATAATGTGCAGCTACAATATCCTTAGTATAAAGCCTCTTGAATTGCCTATTAATTATACCCAAATTTTCTTGTATTATTTCAGCCCCATAACTATCTATAGAATCACTCAGTATTCTACGTATCCAAATATCAGGCAACATGTCACATGAACAAGATGAGGAAAGATTAACTGTAGGTTCAAAATTTTTAGAGCTTTTTGTTATAGTCTGCGATGAAGGTATTAAACCTATAGAAGGGATTGTCATTAAATATAGTGAGGATGAATCAGAAAATATCTTAGTATTATCATCACTACTTGGTTGACTATCTCCACATACTCCTAAAGCCTCTTCAATGCATATTTCTACCTTATCTCCCGTAGAACTACTACCTTTAGAATCCTCAGGAATTGGAGAATTTATAGAGTTATTTATTGATTCACAACTTGGAGCTGTTGAACACTTAGTCATAGATATTTCCATATTGTCTTTTTTATTATCTATTGTAATAGTTTTATCTTTATTATCATCTAAATTAAGCATGAGTTTTTCAATATATCTTGATTTAGGTCTGAATTTACTATTTACTACTGCCATCTCAATTTTATGAATCATATTTTGAGCTATTGGAGCTATATCTGCTATGTTATCTTCAACCATAGCTTGATATAGCCATGACAATACTAAGGAAAAGTGCATATTCTCACTAGCTTTATCTAGAAAGAATTTCCACAAACTACTTTGGCTGCTCTTTGTAACAGATAACTCACATAATTGAGGTAAATACCATAGTACATCATCAGATCTCTCATAAAGTAAATTTACCAAATATTCATGTACACCACACTCTTTATGGTGATATAAATAATACATATGCAAATGAGCGTCAAATACATCTGATTGGAATAGTCTCAACAATGAACCTTTCTTAATATCTGATATGGATAACTTTGTTTCATTACCTGGAGATAGAGGAAAATCCCCCAAATTTACAATAGGAGAAGCTGATTCATCCTTATTAGATTTAGATGCACTTCTACTGAATAATGCTGACATTGGCTTGGATACTAACCAGTGGTCTACCATATCTGTTATCAAAACTTAATAAATTTCAAAACATTAATTTTCCCAAGTATATGCGTCTTCCCAAAGTCAGATATATTCAAGACGCATCCCATTAAGTTTTTTTATTTGTCAGTAATATTGAAGGAAATCATCAAAAATTCACAACACTTAGAATTTCGTTGTGATTTATACTGATTCAGCTTCTAGAAGAGACTAACTTCATCCTCGTGGCGCATATTTTACCGCCCATGCAAACTTTTATTACTGAAAATTTTGTACTGATGAGAGGTAATTTTCTCTTTCTTCTCTTCTTCTCTCTATCTCCACCCTCACTTTTTCTTTCTTAATTTCCTTTTTAAATCAGAAGAAATCAAGACCTTTTTAGGAGAAGATAGGGACTAGTAGCTTAGTTTAAAATAGCTGGGAATAAAATAAGTCAATATAGTTAAGATAACAAAAGATAGATGAGCCAACTACTTTAACGACAGAGGACTCTATTAATATTTCAAGAAAATTAGCTGAGCTAAAATTTTAAAAGTGGATGAGGTATAATAATGATTAATCCCTAAAGATAGATTTTTCTTTTTATTAAAAGAAATAGATAATGAATTTCTAACATTGTATATTTCTTCTCCTGTTTAGGCTCCGCATGCTTGCCACTTTTATACTAGGGTGGTCTGTACCTACTGAAAAGATAATGTCCTCAACTTGCTTGTCAGGAATTGCGGTTCCAATATTTTTGGGAGATGTAGGTAGTGATTTTTTCCCACTCGTATTTGAATGAGAGATTACAGAACCATTTAAATTAGTCCCTGACGTAGAAGCTGCAGTCATAACAGCTGGATCCCAAAATAAATAAGCTCTTGGATCCTGTAACCCAGAACCTTGGACGGTCCATCCCTCCATTTTTAATCTAAGTTTTTCTTGTATCTCACGAAATACATCCTCAGAGAGAGTCCCAGATTTTGCATTAAATAGTTTTTGAGGATTCCTTAGTCGACGGCTATCATTTCTATATGATTCATCTGCAACAATTGGATGTATAACCTTTCCTACTGTATTTGAAAAACGAGCATATTCAGCAACGGGATCATATTCAGCTCCTGAAGATTTTTCTTTCAATTTTTCAGCATTAGAATCAGTAGTATCAAAATTTATTGCAACTCCTCTTCCAGTATTCCAGCCACTAGTACATAAAGCTGCATCACGATGAACCTGTCTTTGACGACAGAATTGAGATGGCATATATGATATACTAGAAACTGGCCTAGATCCTGTTTCTGTGTTTTTATTTTCAAGTAAATTCAATCTTTCTTTATTCAAATTATTATTTGACTTAGTATTAGTATATAATACATCTTTTTCGAATATACCACGTAATATAGCCACATTGTCTCCCACTTTTATATTAGGAGTATTTATTTTCTGATTACCATCATTTGGTTTACACATCTTATTATGTACTGATTGTATCAAATTCGATTTTATTTTATTAGACTTTGGGGTTAATTGTGATATTTCATTTTTTATTAGATTCACATCATATATACTATCTTCAAGTTGTATAACTTGTTCTACATTAGGTTCTATAATTCCCCAACCATCTACTACAAATCCTTTTGCATTCTTAGAGGTTTTCCAAGATTTATTAACTATAAGCCTTGCAGCACCACCATATATATTTTGGTTTACACAAGAATCCTCTTTCTTATTTTTATTCTTGTTATGTTTCGTATTATGAATATGATTATACTGGTGTTTTATAGATATGGAATTGTCTATTTCATTATTACTTCTTAAATTTGTCTCTTTATCCTCATTATTATTAAATCTATAAAATATTTCCTTACTACTTTTTTCCTTATTATAACTATTTTTAAGCTGTGAAAGCGTTTCATGGGTATATCTTGCTCTTGCCAAGAGCATCGCAAGTGAAATTCCACTAAATTTTTCAGATCCTAGATTTGGGATTGTATCATTAACCCTATAATTTGATTGGTTTAACATTCTCAATGTAGAAATTGGTTTATTTGGTTTTGAAGACTGGATAGAACTCGATGGAAATTGTAAAATTGGAGTATATGTTCCTGTAACATAAGGATATTTGATACGCAGAGGAGTTAAACAATATTGATTGTTAAAGTTATCATTTATAGAAATCTTCTCATCCCCTTCCTCTATTAAACGTCCAAAACAATACAACTTAGCTGATATTGCATTCTCCGTTCTAGAAATAAGTTTCATAAGATCTGTATTTTCTTCAGCTGTTCTCCGTATAGAACATAGTGCAGTCAGCTGATCCTGTAATCTTGAAATTGCCTGTTTCTGTATACTAACATCTAAATTTTCATCAGATTGAGTTTCCAAAGCCACCGATACAATACTTGTTAAATCACCTATACATCTCAAAAATATTTGTGAACTTATTTTAGATTTTATATGAACTACTCTTGAATTATGTACATAATTATATAAATCTCTTATACAGAGGTGTAGCTGTATATCAATTTCTCTCTCTATACTTTCATCATAATCAGGGTAATCTAAGTAGCAGCAGCTTTTTAAGCTTGGTCCCGGTAGATCCTTTTTTATTTTTAGGTGCTCAATCATACCTGTTAAAGAGATGCTTCAAGCTACCTTTCATAAATCCTCGAAATTTCTGAAATTTCACTCTAAAAGAAGAAAAATTCTTAAGACACTAAATCCAAAATATTAATATCTATACCCTACTATATATCAAAATCATCCACTTCTGCTCATTTATTTTATCATTTTTCTCCTAATATTTCTTACAACTAGCATGATTGGTCTGGGACCTTAAATTTACATGTTTGGCGCTAAACTCGCACCCCTATTGGAAAATTTATTATAACATAATTTAAATAAATATATAAAATTAAAGGACTCTATACTTTTATTAAGTCATAATATTTAATATGGCTTGTATAAATAAATATAAGCTAACATTTGGATAAAATAAGACTCTTCAAGAAGTTCTAAATAGTATTAGTAATTACCGCTATAATGTGGTCTAAATTTACCGTTATTTCATGTTTCTAAATTACATCAGGATGTTTATTTCTTATTTCTTTTTTATTTAAAGTGTAAAGAGCTGAGTTTCTAGTTAAGGATTACAACTGAAGAGATAAATACATAGAGGGCGACTATAAAATAAAACAATTAGAATGTATATCATCATGCTCATTTTCTAATTATCAACTGATCCCTTATTTTAATAGAAAGATGAATATATACTAGGCATATATATTTATACAAATTTTACTATAAATGATCGAATATATGCAAAATGACCCCAGTATATAAACTACTTAGCTATATTAGTAAAAGAAAAAAAGAGGAAATTGATACAGCTCATAAAAAGTCTTACCTATTAGCATAAAGTAGTAGAAATTTGAACGAAATATTAAGAAAATCACAATATTAATACTGAGATTCTAGTATCAGTAGTATAAGTATTAAATATATAAATTCTGAGTTCTATATATTGCAGTTTCTATATATAATAGAAGTAGTAATTGGTAACATTTTCCAAAATTATTTTAAAATAAACTTATTATTTAATGAACACTTTTAATATATCCTAAGGTTGAATTAGTTTGTTAGGGATAGCCATCTCAGAGTTTTTTACAGGAATTACTTGTGGTATTGTGATATCTTTATCAACATTAAGCCATGAATTCTCTAAACTCTTCTTAACATCTACTTGGATAACAGGACATCTAGTCCATGATTCAATCTCCTCAGCAACTCCTCTAATATTATCCCTAACAAATGATACTCTCTTTTGTTTCTTGCCCTTTTTTTCTTCTCCAAGAATGTTAGGTATATTCCATTGTAAAAGAGCATTAGAAGATTCCCATGCATCTATAGCATCTCCTAATGAACTAGAGACTCCCTTAGGACTTAAAAATTTCTTATCTCCACAAAATTTCCCGGAATTAAAAATTAAATTATTTTTTCTATTTTCCTTTATGGTTTTAATCCATTCAATTGGAAATCCATGTTTATCTACAGTGGCTGGTGCTTGAGGTTGTTTTTTATAAGGTATTGGGATGCTCACATCTATTTGTGGCCAAGGATCATTATATAGAAGTCTTTGATTATTTTTGTAGATTGAATTTTGTTGTAATGGATCTAGAGGAGGTCTCATGTTCTTCCCTACTCTATATATATTGTGCCTTAAGTATGGTTTATATGGAACTCCAAAGAAATATTCAAAATCCCTTGCATACTGTATGTCAATAGCATCTTCAAGACTTATATAACTAAATGTAGATTTTTTAGATTTACTATCCATATCTCCCTGGTTATGGGTAGATAGTTTGGAATATTCTTCTTTACAACTCATAGATTTAGACTTGTTCAATTCCTGTACTTCAGGTATTTCCACATCATTATTACTATCATTTAGGATAATATTCTCTACAATTTCTTCTTCATACTCAGAACTTTCGGATTCATCTGATAATAAAGATAGAACTTTTCTACCACGTAGAGATAATGGATATAAATATGGTCCACAAGGAGTACCTATTATATTATTTTCTGTAGCTATCTTATTTAAGTCCATCTTCAAGGATCCATATATTCCCACCTATATTTTAATTATATATGATTCTATATTAGGTATACATCTCATGTGTGAAATCAAAAAAGCAAATGTGTGCAAACCGCTAGTAATTTAGCCTTAAAAGTAATGTACTAGTACTAATATTTTAACCATAAAGTATATAGGTAATAACAATATTAAATCCTTCTTAATATAAATAATTAATATCTTGTTACAACTAGTACCTACCATCTTGTCTAGGAATCTAATACCAATACTTTCTATTAAATAAATTCTCCATAAAATAGTAACTCCTACAATAATTGTAACATTAAATTTCAGTGAGCGTATCTCTGGGGAATTGCAGCAGTAGTTCTTGGCATAACTTTGTTGAAGAAGTCCTGATAAGAAAGCATAAAACCTTGAGTTTTATCCTCTACAAGCGATTGGAAGAATCGGTTTTCTAAAGGATCACCTTGTCTTATAACATAAAGTTTCATAAATGGAGGTTTTCTTTGTTCTCTAATATTATGTAAAAGCCCAGCTATTTTTATTCCTAATGGACCTCCTGTAGATCCAATAACTGTCTCAGCATAGTCAGGATGAAGTTGATCTAATGAGGCAACCCCAAAAATCTGTTGAATAAAAGACGTTGGAATAGCTCTACCTAACCAAAGATACATAGATTCACCATCCTCTAATAAATAAGCTGCAGATTGTGTCATTTGTTCAGCCGTTAAATTTAACATTGGAGGTAAAACTAAGGATTGTTCATTTTCTTGTTGTTGGTGATTCCATGATGACAAACAAAATAGTCGAGGATAGAATAAAATAATTTGAGACTCCAACCTTAGACTTGCTAGTCTAGTCCAGTGATAGATCCTTAGGTCAGACTGAGAAGCTTCTTTACAATCTTTAAATGCAGGACATTTTAAAACCCCAAGGATGTATAAAGGTAGTGACTTTGCAGATTCAGCTATCTGATTTGACTGAGGAAGTAATATTTGTGAACAAATAGTTTGTAGATAATTTCGTCCATCTAACAGTTTACTATGTAAGCTAATATCCATTGCTTGTTGGCATATAATAGATACTGTTGCTTGAACATCCATGCTAGAAGCCAGTTCAATGTAATTTTGAGTGGCAGGTAAAGCAATTGTATGAACACGGATTCTCCTTTCACCATCACTGTTAGTATGAAGTAAAGCAGCTTGTATGTAAACAAAGGGATCTGGAGCAACAGTGACATTATCCTCCATATCAATAACAATACTGTAAGATTGGTCACTGTGGCAACTGGGTGCCAACAGTAAATCTGTACCACTGAAATAAAAATTTCCATACCAGTTAGTTATTTTCCAGCCTCTACTCACACGAAATCTAAGGCATGCTTCCCAGGCAGAACTTTTTGTTAGGACTGAAATTATGTCTTCACGTAATTTTTGGCCATGAAGGTATGCATTAAAGCCATAAATATATATCAAGTCCCCACTAGTCTTTTTAACAATAGGAGCTATCGTAGGAAGATCAACATATGGCTGAGAAGTGCACATGAATAAGTCTACACTTATGTAAGTTCTAACCATAGCATGTACAAAATTACTGTATCCGTCATTTGCAGGTCTTAAAAGCTCCACTTCACGGTCCAATACCTTTTCAGAGTCTTTACCCCCTTGTCTGGCATGATCTCGTATCTTTATCGCTTGGTCTCCCACTGTGGGAGCAGTAGATGCAAATAGTATCATCTTTCCACCTATATGTCTCATTGCCATAAATGCAGCTTTTATAGCTGATCCCATACAATTTTCTACAACACGATTATTTCGCCATAAAGTCGGTAAATTATCTAAAAGATTAATAATAGACTAAAAAGAAAAAAAAAGTTATTGGTTACTCAAATATAATATAAAGCCAAGAATGATATTAGATGTAGGATACAATAAAAATAAGCATCATTTCAATTTAAAGTTTGAATGTCTCAAAGAAAATGAACAAATAATCATCTATGAAAAAAATGACCACTGTTTACATTCATTGAAACCCAGATTATTTTCAGAGAATTAACTACAGAAAGTTCAACATAATATATTAAATAAACTCTCTGACTCTTATTCTCCAAGTAATAGATGACATATATTCTAAGTATCCATAATCTCTCATATTTAGCTTTATTGAACTTACCTGAGTTGAGTCAGCTACATTAACTAAAATGTCATCTGATAAAGGAAGAAATAAGTCACTCAAATCTGACACAATCAGCATTTGAGGTTGAGATAAATTAGGATTCAGATTATAAAAATGTATACTTGTGTCATATGTAATAATACCAATAAGAGCTCTTCCACCACCAGGAATATTATCCGACAATAAAGCTGCCTTTACAGCACTACAAACAGTCTCAACAAGGCCAGAAGAAACTGAAGGTAATGATACATCTAAAACTATAAAATACACGGGAGGTTGAGGAGGTCTGACCATATATTCAGCAGTGGCAATAAATTCTACACTTCCTATAGATAATTCAGGTCTTTCATATCTGTCCGTTCTTCCACCTTGTTCATCCAAACCACAAAAATAAAATGAGGGAGTTTCATTGCTAAAACCACACATATTACATACCCAACGTCTACCACCAGCTTCCCATTTCACAAAAGGATTTATATAGGTCCTGCATGGTTTACAGCGAACAATAATTCCACTTGATCCAAAAGAAACTGTTGGAACTTCTGGGTAACCTGGTGGTGGATTTGCTAATGGCTGAAATACCAATCCTACAGGAATATGAGCTTTCTGTTTTAAGCTAGCTGAGTTCGGTACTTTAGCAACAGTTGGACGTACAAAATAGGAAGGTGAATTTAAGTGCTGAATTTCCGATATTATTGATTGACTTGAGATAGACGTTTGATGTTGCATTAAATTGCTACTTGTTTCAAAATTTGAACATTGAGTATTTCCAGGAATAAATCCTAAATTTGTATTAACTCTATTACTATAAACCTGAGACATCATACTTGGTCCTGTTGGTTGAAAAGTTCCATATGAAGCTGATGTTCCTTGTGTAGCCCCAACTGTAGCTGCTAAGGGTCCAATCGGATTAGTATTATTAAATACAGGTACTGGTGGTGATCCATATTGGGCTTTAGGAGGCCCTCCATATTGATTTGCCGCAGGATTATGATGAGATGAGATCCCATAGGTATTGTTAGTTGAACTATTTATTGTTCCCAAGTTTTCAAATGGACTTTTACTAACAGTCTGACCTGTACCCGTGGAAGGTTGAAATGGAAATGTATTTGGTGCCATACCAGGCCTTGATTGAGATGATTTCATAAAGTAAGGGTTAAAGTTCCCACTTAAAGATCTATTTAAAGAGTTCTCTGGGAGTGATATGTCTTCAATTTCTCAAAAATTTTATCTCCTCTTGTATCGTGTTAGTACTGTTTAATAGAGACGCAATGGCGGTAAAAAAGGATCTTAACCAACTATAAGAGTGGCATCATAATCTTAAAGAGGAATATATTGAACCTTAAAATGAAAACTTAATTTCATATATTAAGATATCAAAGCTAATAGTATAAGAGGTTTGTCTTATCTTTAAAATCACGATAAATCACTTTCTTTTTAACTGTGTCTGCAGAGTCTCTAGAAAATATGACCTTAGCCATCATAAGTTGCTTTGCAGCAGCAATAATAAATACTAAACTGCACTTTCTAGCCACCAATATATTATATACAGTCCTTTAAAATCATTTAAAGCTCCTTATTGTGCAAAATATCAAATATTGAAGTCCAGTGTACCTATAATTCACATTCATAGATATTTCCAAGGATATTAGCCAAGATCAACAAATATTTGTATAAAGTTGATGCAACCATTTAGATGTAATTGCATCATCATCAAATATAACCTTAAAGTTTGGGGACAAAATTACTGAGGGAAGAGCTTGTTTCAGCGCATCCTTAACTTTAACATTCTCTGATAATCTTAAATAACATCTTATAATGTGCTTAAGAAGTCTAGGGGATGGGGACTCATTATGTTGAGTAACTACATTCCCAAGAACTTGGCAAACTGTAAAGAATCTCTCTGGAGTTGCACAAATATAGGAAAGGCCTAATTCATCAAGAAGTATCTTTTGAATTATGAATGTAGCAAGAGTTTTACTAAGTTCACTTCCAGTTTCCATCACTCTTAGGCATAATGGGATAATTTCTGTTTGTAATAAAAAACTGACGACTTCTGGATCATCCACTTTTACTAATGCGCCTATAACACCTAAGGATGTTAATCTGAGATATTCGAAAGGACGTGACTTTGTTATTGTGTTTAGGAAAGGATATAGATATAAAGGTATATGAGCTGCTAAAAAGTGTCCTCTAATTTCTGAATGGCTAGCCATACATTGTAGTAGGGCAAGGCAGTTACAAGTACGATTACTAGCTTGACTTGAAAGATTTGGAGGTGATAATAAGGGATAGATAGATATAATTTCTTGTAACAAAGCCGTAATGCAGCCAAAACTGTGCCATAATAAAGGAGGTAGATCTGAAAAAGTTTCACGATATTTAGATAACTTAGATAAGGCCACTTCGCGTTTTGCTGCACATGTCATATCAACTATATATTGATAAACTTTCTCTCTCTCAGATTGTATGTTGTCATTCATAGTTAATCCTGATGGATTACTTGTATTTATCCCACTTTGCATAGAAAGAGTACCAGAAAGAGGATTCGAGTGAGATATCTCATTAACAGATTGTCTTTGGTTCACAGGCATATTAATAGATGAAGATGGAGGAATCATCATTTAAAATTTAATTAAAGCTTAACTTTCAACTCCAAGGAAATTACCATTAGTATCCTAAGTACCATTAACTGTAGCGGCCTTATGGCGGGTATATAAAAAAGTATCTATTAACATATTAATTGGATAACTTTCAATAATATTGTTTTTAGTAGAATAGAGTAGCTTTTGATAGTATTGTATTTATTAGGAGACAATTATTGCTGTATATATAGTGTAATTATTTGCTAAGAATTATTACTTTTATCATTCTTATTTATAAGTTTAGTTAGAAAAATAGAATTGGCGCTATTATATATCAATATATCGGATATTCTGTGTGGTAACGAAATATCTCGGTAAAGTGTTACGTTACTTTAAATATAACCATATTTGTCCATTCACCTTAAAGTGTATTCAATACAATCTTTATATCAAATAGACAAATTAATGGCTAATAATTCAAGTGAAGATTTAACAATTGCAATTTCACATGCAATAAGCAGTCAAATGACTACCACTCTTAGCAATAAAAATCATAAAGTTGACATTGAAACTAACAATGAAAAAAATTCAGAAATTCCATTAGATAAATTATCTATTTATCAGTGTGGAAACATCTATATTAACGATATATCTACAGCATACACTTGTAGCTCATCGATAACTGATCCCACCTCAATTTATGATACAAGCATATTTGTAAATAGAATAATCGCTATGATTTTACTTTTAATATCTTCAATTATTACTGAACTAGAGGATAATTTTAAGCAGGATATTCTTACGAGAAAACATTGGTTGGATATTTCTTATACTCTACTTAGTATGAGTACTTGTATTTTTGCCTACTCTTCTGGAAAATCATTTATTAGATCTAGACAAATATTTGGAATTCTTTTAAAATCTTGGAAGTCTAATTATTCTAATACAATTAGAAAGATAATATCACATCCTATCTTAAAAAGTATACGAAGTCTGGTAACTTCAACTGTACTTAAATATGTTATGCCAGGCTTCCTGCTATTCATATTGATACATCCAATATCTCCATATATATCCAGTAAATTTCCTCATTGGTTTGAAAGAGCTATGAATACATTTATTAATTTCTACTTAGATTCTATTGATAATGTGATTTATAATGTAAGCAAATATAGTTCTAACTCAAACATTGCCTATTTCTTCCAGTTAATTGCAATTCTTGTAATTATTAGAGTGACAATATATCCTGTATGTATTACTCTTTTTGAGTATATATACTCTAATGATATTGAAAATTTAACTATTCATGAAAGTAATGAAACTGAACCCCTTTTAATATCTAATAACTTCAGTATAAACAGTACACAATTTAATAATATTGAAGCAACTCCTAAAATAAAATATCAAGGTATTGGATATACATTGACTATATTTTGGGTTATATACATGACTTACTATGGTTTATACAATTATCTTATTTTTTACATGATTACTTGCTTTACGATTATATATAGATCATATTATAGTTCTAATTTATCACAAAACAAAAAGTATCTAATTATATGTATTTATATTTATCTATTATTAGCCTTCATCTTTTTACCTGATAAATCATTAATATGGAAGATGGAATTAATATTTTTCCTTGGTAATCTCGATACATTTTACATTGATATAGCTCAAAAAAAGTGTCTCTTTGAAAGTTTTTCTATTATTGCTAAACTTATTCTTGGATTTCTTTCATGTATTGGACTTTACTTCTTTTTCATTAATAATTATACTACAAAACCTAATAAAACTGATTTTTTTAGTGAATATTATATATCGATATATCAAGTACTTGGAATTGTATCTATTATCTATGGGAGTTCATTTATTTCAAAAATATGTCATAAACTTAAAATAGAAAAAAGTTCTAAGAATAGGCAGTCACTCTTTATATTCTGTTCCATCATGTTTCATGCTATTGCTATAAAAAAGTCTCAGCTTTTCCTAGAAAAATTTGTGAAATCTCCAATATCAGATATGACCACTATTTCATGTATATTCATAATTACACTTTTGTGTATTGAAGTATATTCGATATTTCTATATTACCTAATAAAATTATGGCAGTATATTAACAAAAAGAGGTCTTTAAGCAAAATATCAGGTACCTTAAAGCAATAGTTAGTACATATAAGTAAAATTAGTGATATTTAATAAGCTTGAGTTCTATTGTTATACACTTGTATTTTTATTATTCAAATTAAGAGACAGGAGTGTGTACATGTCTTCTTTTGACAAAAAGCGCGTAATATTTCTTACAAGTAGATACCTTAGATAGTATTTAGTGAGTAAATGGAGCTAAAGGTACTAGGAGAGTCCCAAAGCAAATATACTTATTATAATTGTAAAGAACGCCTTTATGATATAGATTGGCTAAAGATAGTAGCAGTATGGCTGGTTATATTGGTTCATGTTATTCAATATCTTCGGATACTAAATATTAATATTTCAGAAACTCAAATAATTATTTCTACAAGAATGATTGTCTTTTTTCTTCAATTTGGTATGCCAATATTTTTTTATTCTTCAGGTAGAGTTAGTTTCAAACCACAAAATTTCAATTTCTATACTTTTCTCAAAAGAAAGGTACTTAGACTACTAGTACCTTTAGCTATTGGATATTTTACAATATTACCACTAACTCACTATATATCTTTTGGCAGACGTCCATGTGTAAATTATGTAGATATTTCAAAGTGTTCCTATTTTGAATATTATATAGAATATATAAAGGGTTTTTCATGCCATGGTTTTGAGTGGTTATGGTTCTTGTCATTACTGGCGATTACTAATATATTATTCTATCCTTTTGCAGTTATATTAGCAAATACGAATGCAGATCTGAATATCAAGAATAATGATGTTGGAATATTAACATTTGTATTTTGTTTTCTAATATCTATATGTTTCGGTCCTATTATTGCTTTTTGTTATGATTTAAATCCGATATTTGCAATTGGTCTTTCACTTCCTTACATAATTACTGTGATATCATCATTTGTAATGAGATATTCCCTAATTAGGAAGAAAGAGTTATTATATTTAACTGCTATTTCTTTTATTTTAAGTACTTTAATTATATCATTTTATGGCAATATTGATAACTCTTCTCAAAGAAATAATAACTTATCAAATGCTCTTCGAGGTACTTTTTCTCAAATAACTACTTACAATAAAGGAATAAATATATCTTTTAGAAGGGGAATTTTAGTTAATCTAGATGGTAGGAAAATGTTTTTAGCTATTATATACTATATAGCTTTTTTTGCAGTTGGTTATATAGATGGTACTATCAGATATATAAATAGTAATGAGTATTCTCAAATATTTTATTACCAAATAGAATCTGAGAAAGATAAAGAAAAAGTGAATAATATACAGGACCATAATTATCAACTATTATCCTACGCAAAAACTCAATTAAAATTGAGTCCAGTTCGCTCAGACCTAAGTATAGGTATAATTGCAAGTATTCCAGGTAGTTTCCGACCATTTATTATATTTATATCTGTAGCTCTTGGAATTCTTAGTTTAAGCTTAAAATTCAAGAATATAGGATATATGTGGTCTTATCCCCTTTATAAGGATTCACAAAGTGCGATGCTATATGTTACGGGTTCATGGATCTTTGTTTTTGGACTAAGTCTAATATCTGAGGCGTATATGAACTCAGAGTTCAATCCAACTCTTTATAAACATTTCATAATATCTTCAATCATATTTTATATAGTTCATATGTTTTGGCTTGAGGCCTGTATTTCGTATTTGATAATCCCCTACAACATTCCCTTTGATTACTCTATTTTCATTGTATTTATAAGTGTTATTGGACTCTGTTCTCTATCTTATCTTCTATTCACTAAAGTTATTGGCTTATGTACTCTTTTTGGAGTAAGTATAAGCTTGTCAGATAATAAATAGTGGTTTAACATATAGTAAAAGAACCACATTATTACAGATAGAAATGAATTCTTAACTTCTATAAAATCAAATTTTCTATTATGTGTCTCACTTCGAATGTTGAAATTGCTTCTTAAGGTAGGTTTAGAGTATATTATAAAAGTACGGATATATTAACTTATTTAAAGAGGAGATCCCTCTCTTTTTATTTGTCTCGTTCACGGAGCCTTCCACCTAGAGAGGTCAAGGGGAGGTCCTCCCTTATCTCTGCCCTAGGTGGGGGGTTCTTCGAAGGGCGAAAAAGTGGAGAACACCGGCATCGATCCGGTCACCTCTCGCATGCTAAGCGAGCGCTCTACCATCTGAGCTAGTTCCCCTTACGGGAGTAGGGTAACCCATAGATTACAGGGATTGTATACTGAATGTAATAAAACCCTTTATATTGGGTAGATCTTGGAAGGCAATATTTAGATTATTTCATTAGTAACAGACACTAACTTTAATTGTGTATACAAACAGTATATCCTATAGTATGACAATCAATAGATTTATATCCCTTACTTTTATACCAAATAGTCAATAATATTTAAAAAAGAAGTATATTCCATCTAGCATATTAAGTGAAATACAAAAAGTATGTATAAGGAAATACCCATATCTAATTGATTATTTAGTGATAGTGGCCACTTTAATAGCTATTATTAGATATTTAAACTTACTGATAACAATACTTTTACTTTATGGCGCCAGATATCTTAAATAACGGTAAGTTGTAGGAGGAGGATATTTAGTTTTAAATTTAGCACTTTTGGCCTATCATAAGGATACAAAATTTATTGTTGAATAAGAAGAAATAAATACATAAGAAATTAAGTGTATATTATATTTCACCGTTAATATCCTAATACCAAACATATCTGATGAATCTGCCAACCTTGATAGCAAAATAATGATATCGGGTTCATACTGTGTAATTTTGCCTTAATTTTATATAACAGATTAGCGCTAATTTCTAAAATAGCCTAACTATAACTTTAGTAGTGATACTTGTCAGCCGCCTTTTGCTGCTCTCAAAGTTAATGTTTGTGTCTTCCGAAAACTACAGACTCGTTTTTAATTTGCTGCGAATTGATACTTGTTAATGTCTGAAAAGGAACTAATAGAAGAAGTCAAGAAGATTGACTTGGGATATGACTTTGGAGAGAAGAAGAAGAAGAAGAAGAGTAAAGAGACAAAAGTAACTGAAGAAGAACCTGTAACTAGTTATATTGATGGTTCAGGATCAACTTTTATTCGTGGTGCTATATACCCATATGAAGAGCTTTTGGAAAGAGTCAGAAGATTGATACTCGAACACAATCCAGATCTATGGGGCACTAAGAGATATACATTAAAACCTCCACAGGTAGTACGTGTTGGTAGCAAAAAGGTAGCATGGATGAACTTCCAAGAAATATGTAACATCATGCAAAGGAATGCAGATCATGTCTTCCAGTTTGTTCTAAGTGAGCTTGGAACTGAAGGATCTATAGCAGGAGATGGACAATTGGTACTAAAAGGTAAATATGGTCCTAAACATATTGAAGTATTACTAAGGAAATATATTATGGAATACGTCGCTTGTTCAATGTGTAAATCACCCAATACAAGACTTGAAAGAGATAGTAGAACGAGATTATACACGATTGTTTGTGCTGCTTGTGGAGCTAATAGAAGCGTACAAAACATAAAAACGGGTTTCCATGCTGTCTCAAGAGCAGATAGAAAGAAAGCTAAAGCTGTATAGAAATAACAATTTGAATATTAAATTTTTATTTATTGACCACTTTTTATTAAAGAAATTCCTACTTCCAATTATTACATTTACAGAGACAGTCTAATTGGGGACATTTCCTATTATCTTCGAACCATTGCCTAAAGTGTTTAGTATGTCCTCCATGGGAACACTTAACACAGCGAGTGTATAGACCATATACATTGTCTAAACATATGCAGCATTTGAACGGATATTGGATTTCTTTAGATAATTTATCTGAATCAGATGTAGAATGGGTATGCTCATAGGAACTCTCTATTATGCAGTTTAGATGCCTTCTTATATATATACTTAGTTTTTTAACAGCTTTAACTAAATGACAAGCATTATAATTGTTAGTTAAAGAAGTACATATATATTCTAGTAGCTTTAGCAGATTATCTACTTCCAATTTAGTTATATTCAAAAAAAAGTCAGCTGGACGGTTAAAGATGTATATTAGTACTTTTCGGTTAAATTTAGGAGTTCTTCTACTCCTATCCTCATTTTTATTAAAGCTATGGCTACTATCAGATCTTATATTTGTTAGTAAGTCGTGAACTCTTGATGGACTCAAGAATGAAGATCTTTTTGTCTCTTTAGTAGTTGAAATATAAAAACTTCTTGCGCTTGTTATATCTTGATTTGCACAATAGTAAAATGTATTATTGAGCCAAATTAATACCTGATAGCAATATGACTTAAAGTCTAAATTTAAATGTTCAAATTCATTGTTGTTTGCGGCATAATCTTTAAAATCAATTTTTAAGATGTCTTTGATCTGATCTAAAAGATATTTGATGTTTTCAAAAGATTCATTGTTATTTACTAAAAGTTTATATTTAATTATATTTACTTTTGTAGGTACAAATATTGAATTATATCCACTAAATATGGAAGATGATTTCTTTACTAAACTAATGTTAGATATCTTATTGAATATATCCACAGATTGTGAAAATTTAACCCCTTCATTATTTCTTTGTTCAACAATTTGTTCAATTAAATCTTCATCTAAAGAATTATGAACTTTAGAAGTTACATTCAATACTTTTTTTGATATTAAGTTTGGCCAATTTAATAAAACCTGAGTCCAATTTTTAAATTCAAAAGAATTACCTTCATCTTGTGAATTATTTGTGTATACTTCTAAGAGATTATTTTGAAATTTGGGCATATTTAAAAATTCATTGGTGTTGTCAGTCAAAATTATATGATCATCCTGTAACTGTACTCTTATTTCAAAGGCTGAAAATATTTTTTGGAGTGCTAGTTTATCCAGATATTTATGACTACTTGTAATTGTCATCGGTAAAATTACTAAATAGTTATTAAATGAATATTTGGAATATCTATCAGGTTTTGTAATCTTAGAGTTTTCATGAGGTAAATTTTTGTCTCCAGAATTCCAAGGTCCTGCAAACATTGTACGGTTTATATGATATGTAACATGTATAAAAACACCATTTTTTTCGCATAAACTCAGTATAATATGAAACTCAAAAGAGTCAAAAGTGCCATCTAAAATTGATTTAAACTTTTCTCTATTATCTTCACAAATTATTTGATTTCTTAAAGATGTATGACGTCTTAGACGAACAAAAACTTTCTCACTACTTTGTACAGACATAAACAATATATTTAATATTAATTGAGGATTACTTTTCTTCTTCTCATAAATATTTAAGATATCATTTACACATTTCTGTAGTAAATTCTTCATTATATTCATACCCTTATTATTTTGGGTAAACTGCCCAAATTCCTGTTGAGTTCTGTTTTTGCCTAAACAAAGTAGAGAAAGCTTCTTATGTGATATAAAGTCTAATTTAGATATAATGAAAGAAGAACTTGGAAAACTGGATAATTCTATATTTGGTGCTAATTTTAATTTTATTGTTTCAAAATTAGAGTCATCCTTCACATTATATCTTAAATCCAAGTGTTTTGCTTCAGAAATAGAATGAAAAATAAGCTTATCATCTTTCCGAATAAAAATATCTATACAATTTGGTGGAACAAAGATGTTGCATTCTTGAAAACTTAAATAATCTTGAGTAGATAATATATTGCATTGTAGAAGCTTGTTAGTTAAACAGTCAAGTATAACTAGAGTGGAAGTATTTGGTATAAAATCTAAACTTCTGCATAAATATGGGTCACTTTCTTCATAAGATTGTCTTGATATTAGGGACAAGCTATTCTCACTAAAATGACTAGTTTCAGAATCATAATCAAAATTGGAATTTTTCACTATTCTAGCTATACCATTGCTACTTAAATTGCCTTCTCTAATAGTACTTTTAACATTTGAAAAATGACCTGCACCAAAGTAATCACTAAAAAATGATATGTCAATTACATAAAATGAATTTAATTCATTAATTAAAACTAAATTCTTGTTATATGGGACCCATGATAAAGATGCAAAGTTTCCCCTAGTTTTGTTTAAATTAAACTGTGATTTATTACATGAACTTATCCAAATATTTCGAGGTAAAATTCCAAGGCACTTTGGTCCTCTAATATCATATACACTCATAAAATTCCCATTATCATGTAAAGCAGCAAGATAATAAGCTTCTACTGGATTCCATTGCATACATGCAGTATTGTAATAAGATAAAAATGAATATTCGTCACTTCTAGTTCTAACATCATAAACTCTTATTACTGCATCATTTCCACAAGTTACAAATGTTCCAGTAAAAAAATGAGGACTCCAGCTTATGGCATTAATGCTCATTGGATTTACAGAGATACATTTCATTTCATTTGTTTCAGTACTCCCAAGCCAAACTTTACAACCATTATAATTTAAAAAATTATTCTTCAATTGAGGATGTAACCCAAACTTTAGACTATCTGAACGAGAAGGTAGAGATAGTACTTTATCAACAAAGTGAGATTTCGAAGGAAAATCAATATTGCAGAGTTGATTATTTATACCAAAAGTGTCTAAGTACTTCTCTCCATAGTTATCAGATACCTCTGGCCTTATAATAATATCATCATTGAATACTTTACTTTTATAATAAATGGCATCATACACCTCTTCAGATGTAAACTGTCTATTTAAATAATCTTTTCTGATATTTATAGGTCTACATTGTGAGTCGTACTTGATTTTTAAGTAATTTAATTTCCTTACTCTAACACAGTCAATAGTCCGCAAAATCCCACATGAGCCTTCTATATTGATGTCTACTGAATACATTCGAGTATTGAAATAAAATTTCACAGCAGAGCATATTAAACATCTTACTTAAAGTTAAAATATATATTTGGGCTCTAACTTAGAAAATCTCTGAATGCACATATTGGCGCCTTATGCAATGATATTGATGAAACTCAAACTGATGCAAAGTCAAACGTTTTAAGAAGATTTAGGAAATGGCTAAATTAAGATATCTATAGTGACTTTGAGTCCACTGAATTGCACTCAATGAAGTTATATGAAAGCATACGTGATACTGTATTACCGGGAACATTTGGAACTGGTCGTCGTGCTTACTTTACTGAAGTAATTGCTACAATCTATCAAATTGCCATCTTTATTTTCGTAATAGCAAGTATTTACAACTCCTTTCGCTTATATGTACATTATGGCCGTATAAATAGTTTTGTTACTACATATTCAGAATCGACTAGTATAGAAGCACCTTCTATTATATTTTGCTATAGCAGTAGTATCCAAGTTAATAAGATCTTACCTTTTAACACTAAAATATATGCAAGAATTTTGTACAATAATAATCTGTATTATAGCTTGCCGATAAAGCTGCGTTACTGTCAATTTGGTGTATATCTATGTATGTGTAGTGATATTTGGGCTCAAACATTTTATGGTCCCATGACATTTTACAACCAATCAATAGAATTATATAGGAGTAATTTTAAAGATCTTAATGTCTATCCACCTGGCAAATTTCCACTACCAAAGTTCACTAAAGATAAACTTGATAGACAAGTACATAAATCACTTACTAAAAAACAAGCAGAGAATAAACATTATAAGCCCCATCTAGTCAATTGGTGTAATCTAAGTATAATGGAAATAAATATAACAAGTGCTGAAAGTAAATTGTATTCTACTTTACAAGGTTATAAGACAAATTTTAGTAGGGAATCACTGAATGCTATTCAGTGTGAATTTAAAGATGCTATTGAATTTCTCATAATGGAAGATGAAGATATACCTGGATATATGGGATTTTATACTTCAAAAACTTATGAAATATTAGAACCTATGTGGATTAAAGTGAGTACTCCGAGTTTAATTTTTGCATATTTGCAACTAGAAAAAAACTGGATAATTGATTTCCAATGGGTTAAGAATATCTTCAATATTTGGCACTTGTTCTCAAGAAGCTACAGAATAAAATTAAAAAATAGCTCGAACTATAACGACGAATATGAAGTGCCATTACCATCATTAGTTACTGAAAGTCATCAGTTAGCTGCAGATATTGTGCAGATACATGGTAATGTTCTACCCACTCACTGGTGGATCCTAAATTCTAATGATGACGATATTCAAAGTAAAAATCTTCTAGATATTAATAAGACTTCTACATTATGGATTAGAGCTGAATATCAATCTTTTTTTACTCCAAATACTGTTCGGGTAGCCAATAAGCACTTTTTACTTGTATTATTTGGATTAGCTATTTCAATTTTATTCTCTCTAAATTATCTCAGTTTATTTTATTCAATATTTCCTTTTTATAGAGGCGATATTCCGAAATTAAAAGTTTCCTTTATAATAAAAATTTTAAGCTGTAATTTAATAAAATCTTATCATGACTATAATATTGAAAATGATAGTACTTGTTAATCTAACATTTATAGTTAGTCTTAATATCAACTATATAGAGAAAAACAACTTAATTATTGTGTAATTCCTTCTTAATTTAATCTAGTTATGTTCATATCTTTATATTTCTGAATTAAAATTTCCATCTATTTCCACAATTCAGACAACGCACAAAAGTAGTCATTGGTTCGTCAGCTGACCTAGTTTGCATTTGAAAATAAGTAGTTTTATTCGTTCTACACTTTCCACAAGTAAACTGTCCCTCTTTTTGTACTAAATTTCGTAAATCCCAATCAGATTGACATGCCTCTAAACTTTCTTGTTTGTGTTTCTCCCTTTCTTTTTGTTTAGCTTCTGAGGCCATCTCTCTACTGTGCATAGTTGCTATTTCATCTGGAGTTATTTTTCCAATATATAATTTAGAATTTAGTTCAGGGTTCTTCAGATCACCTAGATTCCACTTTATTGTTTTTAGTTGTAAATTATAATCTCTCACTGAGTTCCCTTGTTTGATAATATACTCCTTATACAACGCTGATTCAACCTCAGCTGAGATCTCACATACTTGAGAGGGATCCATCAGTTCAGCTTGAGAAACTGGTACTCCCATTACAAAAGCTTTCCATAAAAACTGTCTAGCTTTATCTCTTAGAGGTTCTCCAGTTAATGGACCAGTGTAAGAGTTGTGAACATTTTTCACTTTTATACTTGCCGTCTCAGATATATCCTCTTTTTCTGGAGTTCTTAGTCCATAAGACTCATCAATTTTTGCTACTTTTTTTGGTAAGGATTCTGAATCACTTTTTTGACTACTTTGAGATCTTTCCTTGCCTTCAAGTGCAAGTGAATTCTTCCACTTCCTTATCAAATTATCAGCCATATCTGCTATATCCATAATATTAATAGACTGATAGTTTCGTTTTACAGTGGTCATTAAGACTCCTATCTTGGTACTTTTCAAAAGCTGCCTATTAATGTTTACCAGACTTAACTTTTCTAAATGTTCCCTGATTCCATCCTTAGAATCATCTAACTTACCCCTTGATAAAATCCCCTCAATATCAATCTTAATTTGATTAATACTATGCAGTAAGCCTTCCATATTGTCTACCTTATATTAGCAAACTTGTGCAATTACCATAAACTCTCTTTTAGCTTGTACTATAACCTCTTTGCGCCAATTCTCTTGGGAGAGATATTTAGAAAATAAATCTAATACTTATTTAAACATACTGAAAATTGTAGTATATATACTTTGATAGAAATTTACTCTAATATATTGAACTAAAATAAAATAAATCGTTTTTTCTCAATAAGTATGTGATAAATATCAAACTTTAAATTTCCAAAAATTCCAACTATGCAAAAAGTATAAAGCCAGAAATTTACATTGAACATACTTAGAGATAATTTTCAACATCACTGATTCTTTTCTTCTAGTTACTATTAAAGAGGACTGGTTCTATCTGGTGCTAATAAACCTTTAGAATTATCTAAATCTATTATACCCCACAACACCCTGTAAGTCAGTACCGGTGTTATACAATGCATGCATGCAAATAGATGTTATCACAAACAGCCTCTCACATCACTTCGATCACAATATATACTTTAATAAAATTTCTAATTTGCAAAAAAATATATTAAAGAAATGTCGAACTACACAGAATCTATAAAGGCTCAGAGTGAGAGTCTTCTTGCAACAGCTCAGCAAGGGTTAGACAAGGCTAAAGAGTATGCAGATTATGATAAAGCTTCTGGCATTGTATTTCCTCATCCATTGGGGAAAGTCGGACCATTTCCTCTCAGAAAAATGGTGACCATTACTGCATCAGTATCATTAGCATTTTCAATATTTCAAATTCTAACAGCAATGAGTTTACCAGGACTGATTACGGCTGCTGCAAGGTTCGGAATTGGTATAATTGGGCTTTTATCAGCATATCAAAAGGAAGAATTTATAGCCAAAGTATTTGCCTATGCTCAGGCACTCCTGTTAATAGTCAGTTCTCTATTACTGCTTACAGCAGTATTATTTGCGCTACTAAGAATGGGCTTCTCAATTTTTTCATTTGTTGTCCTAATTATAGCTCTTCTTGCAGTGGCTTTTGATTACTTTGCTGCATGGATTGCAAGCTCATATTATGAAGCATTAAGAAGAGGTGTTAGTGTTGAATCAGAGGCATAAACTATATAGTGATTATGATGTTATATCTTAATTAAAATAAAGTATAGTTCCTATTTTCTTCGTACAGATTATATGTTGGTACTTGAATTCTTACTTATTTTATCTATTAAATGATCCAAACCAAAAGGGTCGTCATTGTCTCTTTCAAATTCCACAGGCTTAGTGCGTGTTTTCGCAATATCTTTGGAATTTGAGAATGATGGTACATGAATTCTTTCCCCTATATTCTCTTCAACTCTGTTCTCTTCAAATCTATAAAGACCCCTAGATTTGTCACTATTTACAAACAGTGGTCTATCATAAATGTTAATAGTCTCATGCTCAAATCCTGAACCTAATCCAGATGATTGATTATACAGACGAGTATCATATTGTACTTCACTATATGTCGGTTGTGCTTGGCCTAAAGCAACACGTTCTGATATATCACGATCTTCATCACGCAACATTTTATTTCTCTTCCCTGCTCTTTCTAATCTTAATTCTCTTTCAATTTCACGACGATGTTCTACCTCTACATCTTCAAGTACTGCATTGCTTCTAGCATTAGGGTTATCTGCTGATCTTAAGAGTTGTGATCTTTCTATTCTAGAGGCTTCTGCTAGTTTTCTGAGTTTCTCTTCTCTCTCTGCCTCTTCACGAATACGCTTTTGCTTTAACAGTTCATTTCGCAACTTTATCTGTTCTCTAGAGTTCTGTTCTGCAATATATAAAGACTCACTTAAAGCTGCAAATCTATCATTTACGGAAATATCAATCAAGTTCCTACTATCTACTTGTACACGTTTATCAAGAGGTATTGTATAACCCTTTGGATTTTTCCAATTTGATATACTAGGAGGAATTTTCCATTGCTCAATTTCTTCTTTAGTCAATTTTTTCGATGGTAATCTCAAAATAGGGACCATTGCATCACTTTTTACACCACCAATAGTTCTATATCTAAATCTTGGTAGCTCTAAAGGATCTACTGGTTTCTCTACCATCTTTATAATTCTTTCAGGACATTTTGGATTATATCCCACTGTATCTGGGTTAGATATATATCTCACATATTGAGGAGCCCTATTCTCACTACTACTTTTTGATAAAGACCCAATCTTTTTATTAGATAGGTTCTTATCTATAGCTGCTTTTGTCCTTGTATACAGATCTAATTTAGCATCTTCTTGAGGTTTAGGAAATTTTCTAACTCCACCAAGTGACTCTGATGGTAATTCTTTACTCTGAGATAAGACTCTATCCACTACCAAACATACAGCCGTAGAATCTGGGAAACCATTCATTTGTTATAAATACTCAATACATTAATTATCGCATCAATCACCTATCTCTAAACATAGATGCTCATAAGTATCAAAAATATGAGCTCCTCAAACCTTACCCTTTATTGCAACTCCTACAATTGTACCGCCAGTGCTCTACATAGAGAGATTCTAAGTTAGCGTCATTTCTGGCGCCTATACATCTGTGATCCCAAAAATCCGGTGCATAAAGTTCTTATAAGTGATCTATATTATACAAAAGTATTACACTACAAAAATTATATATTATTATAAAATTTTGAATACTAAGTGTTATTGAATAAGCCCGCTGGCAGTCTCATTACCACCCATTCTCCTATTGCTTTTTTTTGCCTTTTTATTTGATCTATAGGGTGCTAAGGAAGTATCCATGGTACCGCCGGTTGTCTTCATTTTTTTATATTCCGTTTGATCATGCTCTAACATCTGCATAAATGAATTGTAACGACGATTCTGCTTCTGCTGCCTTGTATTTCTCTCTTTATGCCAAATATTTGCAATTACTTCTGCATCTCTCCTTATTTGCCTGTTTGCTTGTCTCCTTGCTGAGTTAACTTCTTTCTTTATTCTTGATAGATATAGTCTCTTCTCCACATCACCTTGTGTTTCTCTCAAATTCTGTCTAGGTCCCATTAAAGCTTTTATAGCATTGGGTACAGAAGGGTCATCAATTTTAGGTGTTAGCATTCTTATTGATGGCACCAGTTTCGGCCATAGTTGTACAGGTGATAAAGGTCTTGTAGCTAATTCTTCTGATAGTATTATGACATCATTTAGTAACTTGTCATATGTTGAACAATCTGTGACCTGCAACTTTCTACTGTATTCAATCATCCACTTGAAGTTTGGAAGTACAAAGTGAATAATTGGAATATATATACCTGGATTTAATTCCATACACTTTATGACACGTATCAAAGATCTTAAAATATTAACACCAATAGATTCTCTATATTTATCTCTAGTATGAACCCATTTCACACAGCTAACAGATAACGCAAAATACCCTGGACTATATTTACCCTCAAATTCTGGCAAATCCCTATCTTTCTGTGTATATCCAATACATGCCATTTCTAAAAGAGCAATTATTCCAGTGATACATCTTAAGTCGCAAGACTCAGACAAACTAACTTGGGCATGTTTACCAATAAATAAGTTATTAATTGATTCATTAGTTCTGTATGGCTCAGTAAATACTTTCCCCATTCTACTATATCTTTCAGCCCATAGTTCAAGACAAGTAGTAACAGGAGTCAATATAGGATGACTTAAATCAGTTATTGGAAAAATTAAAAACATAATACGACACATAGTAACATGTATAATATCAAATGTTCTGCGAGTATCTTTAAGCTGGTGGGAGAGGTTTGGGCACCACTCTAAAGCATCAGGACAATAGTATTCACCTTGCTTACAAGTTAAGTGATTTTCTATTAATTGTCCTATTTTATATAATTTTGTAATATCTGGTAAAGTAAGACAGCAAATTTCCAAAGAAAATATTGCAAGAATTTCAATTACCTCTTCAGAGGAAACCTCCAAGAAGAAAAATAGATGTTCACACATCAATCTTAAGAACTCAATAATATGGCTCATTGACATTACATCCGATGACCCTACTTTTAATTTTTTGGCTATATTGAGAGGATAGAAAATTAGGAATTTAGTGATAAGCTTTGCATCATTAACCATAGAAGGATTTCCCTTATTAAAACATGCTCGGAATCTATGAATAAGCTTCCACTGAGAGATTGGATGAAATTTAACTAAATATTTCATCAGGTCCTTATATGAATAGTCATGGCCTAATATAGACGATAGTTCAAAACGATATGGTAACTCTAATTCATTCTCTTCATTCCTAAGCCAATCAATATTTCTGTTCTCAACTTCGTCTAGGTAATTCTGGCATCTACATATATCTGGAAGAATGAGTTCCAAAGGTTCAATATCCAGTGTCTCCATTAAGATATTTTTTTGGGGTTCGTCATCAAACAATTCAGCTAGTTCCAAAGTTGGTCCAACATCTTCTTGATTAGTGTAATTGTCGTACTCCTGTTTATTAGATATATCATTCTTACACTCTTCATCTTCTTCTTTATTGTCATCCTCACTATCTTCATTATATTCATTATACTCATTATATTCATCATCTTCATCACCCTTTTCTTCATCTTTATTACCCTTTTCTTCATCTTTATTACCCTTTTCTTCATCTTCATTATTCTTAATTTCACTGTCTCTACATTCATTGTCACTTTCTTCAAAATAATCTTGCATAAGCTCCATATGCATTCTTTGCCTTCTTTCTTCTTCAAGCTTAGATAGCTTCTTGGCATTCATTGCAGCTATTTCCTCCTTCGTCTTTATTCTATCACTAACCCCCGATCTAATATCAAAAACTAGTTCACTACGCAATAAATCATAGTCATCTATTTGATACTCTTTATTATCCATTTGTGAAATTTGTGCAGAATTGATACCTCCAAGTTTCTTAGTCACTACACTAGATAATGCTTGTTTAGTTGGCTTGAATGAAAGAAGTGGGTGAATTTCACTGAATGATTCATTATAAGCCTTTAATCTTTCCTCTAGCTCCTCTCTATGACGCCTCTTCTCAGCCTTGGCTACTTTACTTTTGAATATTATTTCTTTAAATATTTCCTGTCTTGTCATTGGCACTTCATTATTTGTGGTTCCTGATTCGCCTTTACCAAAATAGAATTCGGACGCAAATTTAGAGTGTAATGGATCCTCTACTTCATCATCTAAATCAGAGCCCTTCATATCAAATTTGCTAATTTCACGATCACTTAGTAATGATAGTGACATTCCTAAATGAGTCAAACCCAAATTATCATTATCTTCCCCAATTATACCTTCTTCATTTTCACTATTATCCTCCAGATTGAAACTTTTCTTCTTATTTCCTATCTTACTAATCTTTTTAGATAATAAACCAGCTAGAACTCTATTATTATTAAATGGATTGAACCTCTCTCTCTCATCTACAAACTCACTCCTCTTCCTCTCAGCCTGTAATTCCTTCAGAAGAGCACTTCTGCGCTCAATATTCTCTTTAATATTTGAGCTTAGCCCATCTTGTTTAAATTTCCTTCTCCCCAAAACTTTGATATGAGAAGTTCTGCAGCTTTTAGCTTGATCAAAAACACTCCTTTGTTTGATCATGTTCCCCAACTCTCTCTTCAATTATTGTAAATATATACTACTAAACTCTAACAGCCATTTATTTAATATAACTATTAACACATATCAGCTTATTAATATTGTCTCGCAAGCTACTAACATCACGTTTTAACAGTCAGTGATAGTACTTTTCAAAATAACCCGCTAAAAAGAATACCACTAGATATCATTTGTTGGCGCCTATATTATAGCGCACTATGTCAAACTTAATAAACTTCTGACGACGGCGTCTCTTATGCTTAATAGTAAGCAATTATAGTAATGTTAACTAGGCGTCCAGGTCTTCATGAGACAATAATTTTATATAGGAAAATATAGAATAAACCTGTACCAAATTAAATAAAGTACAGGGTGCAGTTACTGACTAGTTTTATATTACTGGGAAAGAATAGATAGGTAAGCTGCAAAGCGACAGGTTTCTGTGTTACACTCGTTTAGGGAAGAACCGGTACTTAGGAATCTTTTTTAAAGAAGGAATTTAGTACATTTTATAGAATAGCTTGAGAGAAATGGTTCGAGTTTCAGTATTAAGTGATTGCCTAAAGGCTATATTAAATGCAGAGAAGATGGGCCGTCGTCAAGTTCTAATCCGTCCCTCTTCAAAAGTTATTGTTCAGTTCTTACAGTGTATGCAACGCCGTGGTTATATTGGAGAATTTGAGGTTTTAGATGATCGTAGAGCAGGGAAGATATGTATTGAGTTATTGGGACGCTTGAATAAGTGTGGAGTTATATCACCCCGTTACGATGTTCCATTATCTGATATCGAACAGATAAGTACAAATCTTTTACCATCCAGACAATTTGGTTATGTTGTATTGTCAACTTCATATGGTATTATGGACCAAGAAGAAGCTAGAAAGAAGCATACTGGTGGGAAGATTCTAGGTTTCTTTTTTTAATAAAGGAACTTTGGGGATGAATTTAGGAACTTTTATAGGATATGACGGAGCTGTAGGCAAATATCACTTCGTCAACTTAATCTCGCTATTCAAATCTCACTAGATTTTAAAATGACAACTATCTCTTTAATATTTGGTAGTATTGATATACTGATTCAAGGGATGTTCAATAATTAACACATTTAATCACTTCGAAGTTACACAATTACTATTTAGTATAGACACTACTTATTCTCTTTTTAATTTCTGCAAATTTATATTGATTAGTAAACAAGACTACTACTATAACTGGAAAGGTGTGTTGAGGTCACTGGATTGCTGTATATAGATTTATCTGCTCCATCAGCGCTGACATTGTAGTGAAATATGTAAATGTCGGTGTTGACATTGTTAAAACACTTTTTGGCCTTTTTCACTGGTACCATTAAGTTAAAAAATGAGACGTGTTAAAATGGACATATAGCGCTTTTTTGTAGCGAGACACGTTTGTATTGTTGCAGCTCTGCGCTATAATAACTAGAACAATAGCTAGGTAGTAGCTTCTGTAATATAATCTAGTGTTTGTCTGTGTATCATATAGCAACTTTTTAAATAAGGTAATATTGTCTGTCTTGTCTTCTGGTGATAATTTACCTATAAAACTGACATTGAAAGAGCTCGTTTTGTTTAAAGGTAATTCATTAATTCTGTCCCTTATTTCTTTTTCTCGATACCTTAAGACCCTTTTATAATGGCTGACAGATTTGATGTATCATGTAGAATTCCACCAAGCGAAAGCAAGTTAGCAAAGGAAGCACGAGATAAGGCTTTGTTGGAGGCATTCATGGAGAAGACGAAAAAGTCTCGTGTGGCCAACAGACAGTTGCGTACAAAGGCTAAAATTGAGTCACTGAAATTACAAAAACAATACAGAGAATATGTGAACTCAATAATAGAAGCTAGGAGGCAAGCAAAAGCTAATGGTGGTTTATATCGTGATGCAGAACCAAAAGTAGTATTTGTTATACGTTTAAAAGGTATTAATAAGCTCTGTCCAAAAGTGAGAAAAATATTGCAACTCTTTAGACTTCGTCAAATTAACAATGCCGTATTTCTGCCAGTAAACAAAGCTACTAAGGAGATGCTGAAGATTGTTGATCCCTTTGTGGCATATGGATATCCATCTATTTCAATGATACGCAAACTTATTTACAAAAGAGGATATTTAAAGTTAGGGAGGCCAGGCAGCTTCCAGAGAATCCGTATTCAGGATAATTCTATCTTCCAGGAGAAATTGAGTAAGAAGGGAGTATTTGGTATTGAAGGGATGGTCCGTGAATTGTTTTTCTGTGGACCACAATTTAAAACTGTGAACTCTTTGTTATGGCCATTTAAGCTATCTTCTCCTAGAGGCGGATTTGTACGTAAGTCTACACGCTTCACAGAAGCTAATGGTGGTGATTGTGGTAATAGAGAACATTTAATCAACAAATTGATCGATAGGATGTGCTAGATTTATGAAATAGTTACTATCATGAAGTAGTCACTGACTATCATGAGATATCCAGAGCTATTAGCATACTTTTAGTACTTTTTTTTATTAGGAAAACTAGCTAATAACTTTTTTTTTAAAGACTTTGCATGTGTTTATAATCTGTGTTCTGTATGAAGTCATCTTAGTAATATAGATTCAAAGTAGCTTCCATGCATTTATATTCTACAGTAGCTTTACTTCTGTATATGTGAATACTTTCTAGTAAATATCCACTTCTCTCTCTTATTTTTAAAGAGATTTTTCTTTCCAAGAGCTTCAGATCTTTGTATAGCCGCCAAATCAAATTGTTGTCGGCCAAGAAGGGGCTCCTTTTTATATTGTAGTTTATTAGACGTATTTCTATACAACTCGCCTTTGCAGGAAGACATTTGTAACTTTCGTAAAGGTTTCTTAATTTTTCCTTTGTCATATTCACGATCATATTCTGACCTTCTACTAACAGCTGGAAGTATAGAGTCCTCAGCATCTTTAATCATTTGTTCCTGCTCATCAGTTAAATTAATATCATCCCAGCGTCGGACAGTTGCACTTAAGTTCACTTTATTAATATTTGATTGTTCCAATTCTCTGTCTAGCTGTTCATTATCATCTAAATAAGACGCTCTATATGCTTTTTTGTAGCCTAGTAAACGTAGAAAAGTAGAAACTTCTCTATGATGAATCAATTTTGAGAGACCACGACGTGTTCTAGAAGTCTTAAAACTAGCTGACAGTTTTAATAAAAACTGTAAAAGGCTTTTTGATAATGCCATACAACTAGTATTTTTGCTAATTTTTTTTTCAAAAGTCTCATTTAAGCTTACTTTATTAGATTTTATACTTTTTTTAACGGCCTTTAATGTATTTATATCTGAAAATATTTTGTTGGAACCTACCTTTTCAGAACTTTCTTTAAAATTTCTAATTGACAATACTATTCCCTCGCTATTTGCTTGTGGTGGTCTTGTGATAGGTATTGTATTTGTTAGTCTCGATATTGGCCCATCATTAGAAGTGAAATCTGCTTCAGTATTTGTTTTGCTGCTTTCAAACTCGATATCACCAAAATCAAGACCTGATGATTTCAAGCATAATGGAACATCTGGAGCCAAAATAAAAGTTTCATTAAATTGAAGTTGATTTCTTTGAGCATAAAATAACAGATATGCACCTATAGTTTCACTTAGCACTTCACTAGACTTAGAAATCCTCACAGTTTCGTCATTAAAACAATACCATTGATTATTCAATCCTTTAGCATAAGTATAGTAATGACCACCAGATAAAGATCCCCCAGAGTGGCATACAACTGACCATAAATCATAGATGAAAGACTGTCTACAAGTATCTAGAGAGTTATCTGGTGTATATACCTGAGAATTACAAGTATTTTTCGTAGTCATATATGAGGACATATCCAAAACTTCATTATACTTTATTGACTTGTAGGGTTTCCTATTCCCATGTCCAATAAAACTAAATCTCTTCAATTGAATTGTTAGTAAAGGTGGTAGCTTTTCAATAAGTACTTCTTTTGAGGCATCACTCTTTTTTTCACACTTTGGGCATTTATATTGATTAGCACCTCGCAAATACTCCTTCTTTGTGAATATTGAAAAAGCATTTTCTAAAGATGACACACCAACAATATCCAGAGGGATATCCATGAATGGATCATAAGTATTAGACATATATAAGCAGCTAAAACAAACAATTTGAGAGCGGAAAAAACCACAGAACAGTTGACCTATATATGTTGTTGATGTATCTATTGGATTTAATTTACGAAAGATATCATCACTTTGTAGATTTTTCGGAACACTTGCCTTATGCAGGCCTTCCAAAAAGTAACGAAGGAATTCGTGAGCATCCTGCATTATTCCAATACGAAATTTTCGCCAAATCAACTTCTGAGCACATCTTAGTATATTTGGAGCAATTGCTCTTTGGGACTTATTTATATTTTGGTTTTTCTCATTACCACTAAAAATAGTCAAGATGTGATCCTCAAACATGCATAGCAAGCATACCAAATTTTCACGATAATATTTACATACTTTATGGTGCCTCATGTTTAGACAATCATATAGTATTGGTGGAGCGTATGTTAAAGCTTGCAAAATTGAGTTTAAGTAGCAAGTATTCCATCCTGAATTTAATAGACCCTTTCCAACTGAATTCTGCTGGTTTAAGTCATATTTTAATTTGAAATTTTCAATATCCTCACTACTTGGTATTAATGATGGTGGATAATAATAATACTTAGAAGTTGATAGTGGTACATTATTTATTATCTCTTTATTTATAGTCTTTATACTAGAACTCATGCTATTCTTGATATCAGTTCCTGAGTTTAATTCCGCCTTTCCTCTAAGATATCCCTGTTCTACAAATACTATATGCCGTTCTGAGAGAACTAATGAGTTTCCATTAAATGTTTGCTCTTGGTATATTCCTTTATTTGACATAAAATATTTCAAGGTGGCAATTTCACTTTTTATTATACAAGTTGGAACGATAAGTCAGCGCTCTGAGTCCTACTGTCTCTCTATGTGATGTATCAGATTATCTCGTTAAAATCCTCGAAGACTTTGGCAAAGGAAAAGTCATAAATATATATTACTTACTACTGATACAACATAAACTACTGAATAACCAAAATGATTCTCTTTCTATAAAAGTCTCCTACTTACCTCTTTTGTATAAAGTAACTTACCTTGAACTTAAGAAGTGAAGTACAACTTGATATTTGTATGCAGAGTTACCTTCATATTTTGCTCCACTAAATACCTTTTAATTAGTGCAAGCGAACACGTTTAGAATGAGGAGTACATGTTTTTAATCTTTTTAATAGCTTTAATATAAATAATATGACATTAGCATCGAGGTATTGTTAAAAGTAAGAAGAGTAGTAATAGTAAAGTAGTTTAGGGAAGATATCTACTGAAATATTCACTTAGACCAAAATAGAGATGAAATGCTCAGTGTATATACAAAGATATCAATTTTCCATTAGAAACTGAAAACTATAAAATCTAGATTTTAAAATTAAACGGAGACAGGCATGGACCGCTCATAAATTAAGGATATAAGCGTGATTCAGTAGTAGTGGAGGGACTACATTTGTCAGAAGTTGACAAAGTAGTTCAAATAACTTAATTATAATTAATGAGTTCCCCAGCTTTCTTTAGAGGTGGTCATGGAGGTAGTCGTGGGAATAGTCGCGGAGGACGTGGTGGAAAATCAGCAGCTCAAGGAGAAAGTCCATTTAGAGGAAAAGGTGGTGGAAGAGGCAGAGGTAGTGGAAGAGGTAGAAGTAGTGGAAGAGGTAGAGGTGGTGGAAGGGGTAATACAGGAGGAATGAAAGGTGGTTCAAAAGTAGTAATACTTCCCCATCGCCACGAGGGTGTTTTCATGGCTAAAGGAAGAAGTGATGCACTAGTAACAAGAAATATGGTCCCTGGTATATCAATATATGGTGAAAAGAGGATTGAGGTGATGGATCCAGAGACAAATGAAAAAATTGAATATCGTGTATGGAATCCCTTTAGATCAAAATTAGGAGCAACAATTATTGGTGGTGTTGCTAATATGCCAATTAAACCAGGTTCAAAAGTTTTATATTTAGGTGCAGCAAATGGAACAACAGTTTCACATGTATCAGATATGGTTGGACCAAATGGTTGCGTATATGCAGTAGAGTTTAGCTATAGATCAGGCCGTGACCTGACAGATATGGCTAAGAGAAGACCCAATATTGTACCTATTGTAGAAGATGCAAGAACACCACAAAAATATAGGATGCTTGTTCCAATGGTAGATGTTATATTTTCAGATGTAGCCCAACCAGATCAGGCTCGTATTGTTAGTTTGAATGCACATTTGTTTTTAAAAACAAATGGATACTTTATTATTTCTATCAAAGCTAGTTGCGTGGACTCTACTGCAAAACCTGAAGCTGTTTTCGCATCAGAAGTAGATAAATTACGTGCTGAGAAGTGTAAACCTAAAGAACAGTTAACGTTAGAACCATATCACAGAGATCATGCAGTAGTTATTGGAGTCTATCGCCAACTTAAAAAAAAAGAGTAACTAAATCTTTCATTCATGAGTACCCTAGTAAAGCACCATATTACTATATACACTTGTCTAAGACTTTCAATACACAACTTTGTTGCCTAGAACTTAGATTAAATGTAACTTTATTCTAATAAAAGTACAATAGTAAATTCCTAAGTTCTCCCCTACTGGATGCCAGTTTTTTGGCGCTATATAAACCCGTCATTACGTCGTGTTTAATTTCGGATAAGTGATTCCTAGAGGAGAAGGAGAACGTCGACTGTACTCGAACAGGATCATTTCTATAGTGAATCCGAATGTACTGAGCTACAGAACTTGACAACACCTCTATCCGTGAAGATGAGTTATCCATCCCACCATAATGGGAAGTGTAGCACATCCCTAGGTCCTCATCTTTGAGTCTCAGGGATGCGGTTTTGATGACCTGGTGGACCTCTTTTCTTAGGGGGAGGGTCCTAATGGTGTGGATGATTCTGAACGGCTTAGTCCCTAGTCCCCAGGTACTCTCCTCCTTCCTCTACCACTGGGCGGGCTGGGATCCTTCTTAGGGTGTGCACTCTTAGTTAGGTATCTCGCATGGCACCCTTTACTCATTCACCATAGTACCTAGGTCACATATGGAGTCTGAGTATAGTCCGGGTGTATATGGAGGTTTAGGTCTTGACCAGGAGCCTAGTCAGAGTAATGACTTGGCTTATCTTGACAGACTCGAGTCTAACATAATGTTGGATGATGATGAGCTGTCAGATACTGCCAAACAGTTAATACACCAAACTACCGGTAGTGTACTTCGCACCTTAACTTTTAGCGATACAGGAGGTCTGAAAGGGGCCCTTGAGAGGGCTTATACATTAAGACAAGAAACTCTAAGACACTCAAAAGATGAGATCGTAGATGCCTATAGAAGACGGGCTAGGCTAGCAGCCATAGTGTCAAGACGTAGGATAACCTTACAACACCTCAGAGCAAGATATAATGTAGTTGCAAGACTTAAACAAGGCCTAAAGGTAGCGGGACGTAATGATGGCATAGATAGCAAAGAACCTACGGGTAGTGAGCCAAACCTACAAAGACAGAGCACCTCATTAGCACCTGTGAGATTTAGTAGTAGAAGTCTATCTGATGCCATAGCATTACAGCAAATAGCAAACCTACAAATTGGGTCAACCCCAGAAACTTGATTTACAAGGGAAACACAACTAGTTATACAATCCTACTTATATACAATACTGATTATTAATACCTCACCAGTCCCTCTAGATGAATATTATAGTCTCTAGCCAACTACAAGGAATTTATTAAGGCATCTAGACTTCTGTTACTTTCGGTTTGCCATCTTCTAGTCCAATGGTAATTGTCTTAATAGCAGGTCTGGATAATGACCAAACAGACTTTGATTTCTCCGTTTGCCTCTTGGAAGCCTCTATTGACGGTAATGTACCAGCCAAACCCACATTACGACAGAACCATGCCTCTGTAATAGCATTTATCCATGCAACTTGACTATCCTTACCCAATCCACACAGCACTTGATCCACACCGTGGTATTTGAACCCTAAACATCCTGGAGCTGCATCAACATTGTAAACTGGCAGTTCTATACCTTCTAGAGCAAAAGATGCTTTTGGAATCTAAAGAAATAAACCGAAGTTGTTTGATACTACTAGTTAGTGCTTTTATACGTTAAGAATCTTACCGTATTGAAATATAATGTTAGCATATTTCCATTTAGAAATCCCAAAGAGCCGTCCATTATATCTGTTACCTCCTCACTATTTGGCACAAAAGCTAATGGTCCAATTTTCAATATGTCACATTGTTTACTACTACCTGCTTCTGCTTTTTGTGCAGCAATTTGCATTTTCTTTGCCTCCTCTACAAAATTAAGTACAGATATTTCTAAAAATGAAATATGGTGAATATTTTTATTTTGTCATACCTTCCAAAATATAAGCTTGTGCTAGAAGCACTTTAGCACGTTTAGCATTTGCTATTGCCGCTTTCTTTTCCGGGAACTTCTCTTCATTAAAATCAGTCTTGGATAATTCACCTTCAGATATACCACTCTGTTCCTGTAAATACTTGGCAATTTTTCTTTTCTCAGTAGCCTCTGCGAATAAAATATTACTTTGCAGTTTAAATGCCTCTTGAGACAGCGGACTTTCCCTAAAAGAAGTTCCAGATGGCTGAGATAATTGACCTAGTCCTTGCTTTATCTCTTCATCTTCTGAGACTTTCTGAATTTGTGTCTGTAAGAATTTTATCGTTTTATATGAAATAGGTTTCTCTGTTTTATACTCTAGCTTTGCATGGCTTAAACCTTGTAGCAGATCAAATGGGTTTGTTAAATGATATACACTTAAGCCACTAGCTAGTTCCAAACAACACAAAACTAGTGCTAATTTTTTGAACATTTTTACTATAATATATTACTAAACTTTCTCCACTGTTATTAGCTACCTTTTCATCTGCAGGGAACTGCCACGTACCGATGCATGCATGCATTGATATGGACATTGATATATTATTACATGCATATGCCGGTACCTTTATGCTGTGAGCATAAATGATTTAAATAGCTTTCAAGGTAAGACAAAAAATATTGTAGTACTAATCTAACAATCTAAGTATGAGAGTTATATTGCTAGTCCCACTTTCATTAAGTCTACTATATACGAGTGTTTATGGAAGAATAGTTAGATCAATAAACTATGGAACATTGGAACCGCAATTTTTCCCGGGCACAATTACATCACTGATTCAAACTGCAAGGAAGTTGATTGGATCTAATATTGAACCTCAGTCTATTATTGGTGAAGGAACTGCCCAAAATAAAGCTGAAGATTCAGACAAACTATACAAAAAAGTAGTTTCAGAATCTATTTCAGTATATCAAAAGGCAATGAATGATGCAAGTACAAATAAATTGAGACAAAAGGATGCAGTTAACCAAATTCCACCATTTATCAATCCTAGACCCCCAGCATGCTCAGTGCTACTGACTACAGAACTGGGATTGGCACTTGACGCCATAAATATATTTGATGTCGACTTACTAACAGCAAAGATAACAAAAGATGCACTTATTTTTATGACGGACCCACAAGACTCATTCACTACTGTCCGCAGCTTTGCACTCGATAAAATCGAAGTACCTTTAGAATCAATACAAAACAGTAGAAAATGTTTCAGAATGTACTTTGACACTGAACCAATTGTTATCTGCGCAAAATCTGATGCTCAACGTAATGAAGTAATGAACAAATTGACTGAAGCTGTAAGTTACTATTTACATTGTATTTTTCTTAAATAAATCACTAATTTTTACACTTTCAAATTCTAACTTCTTACTCCAAATTTATTTTATTTATAGGTATTCTGTATAAATAGTGGAATTACTTTAACACAATCAATTGGTAAAGTTGTTGATACAGGATTCGCAGATACAGCAATAGGGATGCCACCATTTACAACGAAAGATATAAGGTATGTTTTAAGTTGAACTATAGCCATCAAGGTTTAAAAAAATATCTATTCAACTTATGAATACATTCAAATACTTGCCTTATTTTAGATGGATTGAACAAATTGCAATGAGACAATTGCAGTATGCTGGAAAAGTTCAATCTAATGTCCTTAACTGGCTTAAATCAAGGGGAACTCAGCATGTTGTCGTTAAGAATCCATTAGGAGCTAACCCAATTATTACTGTGAATGGTGAAAAGATGGTGTAGACTACCTAATAACTACTTGAGTAGGGAAGTGGATTATTTAAAGACTATTAAAATGTCACATTGAATAGCTTCTAGTTGTATCAATAATATTTACTATCTATCAAAACCTTTTAAATTTGAGAAGTTTAATATATTAACCAAAGAGTCCTACCATTCACTAGAATTCAAATATGTTAAATGAAATCATCTTCACTTTTTATAGACTTTAATAACTTTTTTTTTGCTTATTTTTTTTGGAACCCTTAGTATCCTCAAAACTAATACCATAGGCTTCCAGACGATGTATATTCACGTTACTAGGTAATATATGTTCAGTTTTTAATTTTTTGTTCTTCTGAGCTAACTTAAATGATGATTTATTTCCATTCTTAAAATCTCTAATATATCTATTAATATTTTCTCTATATGGTGCCAATGCCTTCAAAGATACCCTTCTATTTAACTCCTTATCATCCAATTCTAACAATTCATTCAAAGTAATTCCAAAGTCTTCCTTATCAACTTTGCTATATTTAAATCTTACCCGTAAATCTCCTCCTATTATATCTTCATAGTCTAAACCATAATATTCATCCATCAATTTCTCAACTGCATCAGTCATGCCTCTAGATAGATTTGTTATTCCTTCCGGTAGGTTTGCATGTTTGGGTACTTTATTTTTCTTCAACGGATGTTCATGATTTACAATCTTGCAACACATCTTACAAAGAGTATAATTTTCGCAAGTTGTACAATCAAATTTCTTATTACCTGGTGGTATACCTCGTAGACACTGATCGCATTGCCACCATTCATATTTATCATCCAGATCATCTTCGATACGCTTCTCAAATTCTTTTCCAATATTGTGTTCACTAAAATTTCCTGCAACATTTCGTATCTTAGTTTCCATGGTATTCTTATCATGTTCTTCAATATCACTATTCAGAAGCTCTTCAAGAGATAGGATCTCCTGATTACTATTGTAATCAGAATCAAACAACTTTGCCATTTGTTGATCATGTTTAATTGGATCAAATTCACTTTCCAAATCAAGTACTTCATCAGTAATATTTTTATTATCAGAAATTTCTCTAATTTTCTTAATTTTTTCAAAAATCTCTTGTTTTTTCCAGTTCTTTAGCTGTTTAAGCTCTTCAGCCATAGCTAACTTTTCCTGAGCTTTGCGTTCTTTTTTTTCAAGCCTTTTTTGCTTCCTACGATCATCTACCTTGCGTAGTGAGGGTATATTACGAGTATACCCTTGAATCTGGGTGCCCAAATCTGGCTCTTCATATCTAAAGTTGTATATATGCTCAAATTGTTCAGCTATTTCACAGTATTCTTCATCTTCCTTTTCAATATTAATATCAAATACCTCCTCATTATTTAAACATTCCTTATTATTAAAATCTTTCCATTCTTCTCTTAATATAAAATTCCTCAAAAATTTTTCGTTTTCATCAAGTTCTTCTTCTGGCCCCCAATATCTATTTAGTGTTTCCATAGGATCTTTCACTTCAGTATTTGTAGACACAAAATCTGCAGAATTCATCCCTTCAGACATATCTTTATCTTGTGTACCCTTTCTTTGGACTAATAACTCTTCACTTCCTTCATCTTCATTGTCTAATCCCTTGGCTGCTTCTAGAAAAGCTTGTTTTATCTCTTCTTGTTCTCTATTATACTCCAACTTTCTTACCTTTCGTTGTTTCTCTCCAGATTCATTCATTTCTTCCAATATAGCCTCACGTTCATAATCTTTATATAAGTAAGGTTTCTTCTTTTTATCTATCTTCTCTACTTCTGTAGAATCGTCATCTGAATCTGAAAATATAATATTTTTGTGATCATATATAGATGGATCCCTCTTTTTAATACGGCATAAAGTATCTAATATCTTTATCTGAATATTGGGTTTTAAAAGTTCTCCATATTCATCCTCATCAGATGATGATGTATCTGATTCACTAAAGTCTTCTACAGTTTTAGCTAGCAAATCTTTAGCTTTAGCAAGAGCCTCTTTACGTTTCTTTTCGTCGTACTTTTTTTTATAATCCTCATTTACCTTTAGAGTAGTTAAATTGTCTTCAGAAAAATTTCCAGAATCTAACAAATCCATTATTTAAGACTCTAAAAATTTGAAACAAAATCTTCAAGGTAAAAGTTGACGGTAGCGCCTTTTAAGGCTTTAATATTACATTTGACTTTTAAAGTAGTGAATCTAGATTTTAAAGGGTTGAGTTATGACTTTAAGCAATATTAAGGTTTCTCCCTTAAATAAAGACTGTAGTTTAGATTTTTATGATAGTGAAGTTGGTAAGTTAAGATACTTTTTCATTATTTGCAATATTAAACTTTAATATTACCTCCATCACTTTGAAAATATCTCAGTTAAACGATTTGAACTAACAAAGGAAATTCAGGAAGAGGCTCGACTAATTGTTGATTCAGACAATGATCTAGTACCACTCTTTTGGAGAGGTGAGGAAATCAACATTATATTATCACTCTTCAAACCATATATTAACTTAAACATGTACTTTAGAAAAATATATAAACGAGGCCCCAAAAAACTGGGATAAGTTTTATAAAAGAAATAACTGCAACTTTTTCTTAGATCGTCATTGGATAGATAAGGAATTTAGCGAGCTAATACAACTGGATAAAGGGTTAGATACTACAGAAAAGTATAATGTAGATAATATGTCAAAAATTATTCTAATAGAATTTGGATGTGGTGTTGGGAATTCACTTATTCCACTACTTAATTCTATAGGCAATCTTCATTGTATTGGATTTGACTGCTCAACTAGAGCAATTACATTGCTACAAGAAAGATGGAATGTTACTTGTAATATCTTAACTAAAGATCATTTTACTTGCAAAGGTATATGCCCAATAACACGTAAAGATGACCAATGTCAACGACTAATTGGACATGTTTTTGATATAGTTTTGTGTGACATTCCCCCTAGTATATGTAATGAATGTTCTGCTGATTTTGGATTACTAATTTTTGTACTTTCAGCAATAGCCCCAAAATTTCATCAACAAGTTGTAATAAGATGCTCTAAAGTTTTAAAATCTGGAGCAATTATTCTTTTTAGGGACTATGGGAGATATGATATGGCTCAACTACGTTTTGCAAAGTCCAAGAAATCAAAAATAGACGAAAACTTTTATGTTCGTCATGACGGCACCTTTGCATATTACTTCACTGTTGAAGAAATAAATACCTTGTTTTCAGCAGCAGGATTTAGAACTATCTCAAATGGTTACTGCCTCAGAGAAGTTAGTAATAGGAAAACACAATCAAGTATGCGAAGAATATGGATACAAGCTAAATTCCAGAAACTCTGATATAATCTCACTATACACAAGTACCATTAAGTTTAACTTATTATAAACACTATTTATTGTAACTATATAATGCAAATTGAGATATATTGTAAAATTTTAGTTTGACAATATTCGCAATATCAAGAACTTTAACCACTTTTAAGCCATTACAGCGGCTATTATAAAGTGGCGCTCAATAATGCTACGCCAGCTCTTTGAGAAGTAGAGATAGCTAATTAATACAAAGAGAATACTAAATAGAAGAGATGGATAATAATCAGTCAGAAGGCCCCATACCTGGAAATGAAGGAGTAAGTGATGTGGGAAATCTAGAACAGAAACCAATAATAGATCAAGGGGCTAGTGATGAGAACCAGTATGTAACTGTAAAAGTTCGAAGCCCAGATGGAGAACAAGTTTTATATCGCATCAAGAAAAGAACTCGTCTGCAGAAGTTGATGAATTCCTACTGTCAAAGAACTGGACAGAACGAAAATTCCATCCGGTTTCTATTTGAAGGGGAAAGGCTTAGATCAGAGATGACAGCTGAAGAAGCTGGACTACAAGAAGGAGACTTAATTGATGCTATGATTTCACAAGTAGGAGGTTAAGAATACTATATAAATCCTACATAGTTCTATCTTGCATATTAAGTTTATTTATTTTAGCTTGTGTCCAATCATACAAGTACTCTGCTGCTACTGAAGCTTTGTCATCCAAAGATGGTATTGCTGGATAGGGACCAATGTATACACCTAATATAAATGTATGAGAAAAAATCATTTGGCGAAACAATACACTAGTATCAGAGATAAACATGAATATAGTACTTACTGAGAAAGTCAGCATACTGGTCTAATATCCAAGATCCCTTACCTGGTAACCAGTATGGACTTAGATACAAAGTAGCCTTTTCTTCTGAACATAATGCAGCATAAATAGTTGTTTGAGCACCCTAAGTAGTTAGATATTAAAAATAAATAATGATTAATATTTTTCATGGATATTTAAGTATGTAATATACCTCTAAGATACTTACTTTTTTGATATTCAAAAAGGCGAAGCTAAACAGTTTTAGTATATTAAAGGGGAATTTATTTGGAAATATATTCGTTATAACTGAACCAGGATTAACACATGTGCACCATGTATGGTAAGTATTTAACTGTACTTTCCTTTCACTTGATGGAGTTGAGGGTAACTGAGAAAGACCTAAGGCAGTCCGTCGAAGCTTGAGTGAGTATAAAAGTATAGCTGCTTTAGAAGCACCATAAGACTGTATACTAGGTATTTCTGCATATTTTATTATCTTCTTTAAATTAGAACCAAGTATTCTATGAATAGGAGAACATGTATTAACAACTCGAGATCCTAATGTTGCATTTAACAAAGGAATCAGAGACTCAGTAAGTAGAAAAGTTCCAATGTAGTTAGTCTGAAAAACATAACTTAAAGATAAATCTGAAGAAATTTGATTATTTAAACCAATTCCAGCATTATTGATTAGAATATCTAGACGATCATAATCGTAAATAAATCTCTTCACAAATGATTTAATTGTATCAGCGTTAGCCAAATCTATATACATATATTTTGCATATCCATAGGTATTCCCCCTTAGCGTATTAATGGAAAATGCTGTAATTACTCCCTGCTCTTTATTATTATCTGCTATAATGACACTTGCTCCATAAGCTACAAGGACTGTGGATATTTCTTTGCCTATACCACTAGCTCCTCCGGTAACTATGCAGACTTTCCCTGTCAAATCTTTCTCTGGAATTTGTACAGTCCTTAGACAAATTCCGGTAACCTTTTTAACGAAATATTTTAACCAAGTAAATGGTAATACTTTAGACAATAGACAAATAAACAGTATATATATATATCCTATTATAACTTGAGAAATTAGCCACCATAAGAATGCAATTCCCAGTATAAATGAGATATTAATGTAGAATAAACTTTCACATATATAATACCTGAAGTATTGATACAAATCACTCATAGGAAATCTCCAAAAGTAAGATAAACTTTACCAGAAATAAGCCAACATTACATTTAATAGTCTAAGCGGGTACTAAATCTAAATAAGTATACTTTTGTACAATTATATTCTTCTTATCAACAAAGAGGAGTAGAGAATTAGAGATCTTATAAATAATAGTACAAATATTAAATAACTGAATATCTATGTCTGTTCTGAGAAGAAAAGAGAAATTATGTGTGAAGATATATAATAAATACAAGTTAGTTTAAATATTTATATATATATATATATATATAAGTTTAAGATAGGAAATAATTCTAGGACTTATGTAAAGTATCATATAAACTACAATACCCTTGTTCTAAGATCATCGAGCTTTTTAAAGATTTCCTGTATAGAGATATCCAATGAGGATGCAATGCGAGCTTGCACATCACTGCTATATGATGTAAACGTTTCGCACAAGTCCCCGTCAATAACATTTAATACAGGTGCATAATATGATCTAAACATCAAGTGATCTCTCGACATTAGTGATGGACTTTCATTGCGAAGAAGTAGTTCCAATTTGCATAATAGGTCTACGTCATCTTTATTTGTAATAGGAGTAAGAGTGCCAATACTACCAAGTATTGTTCCAAAGATCAAAGTCTCTACTCCAAGAGGGGATAGTTGGTTTTTGTGAATACAAGTAACCAGGTCTCCTACATGGAAATGAGCAACTGGATTAATTTGATAAGGTTTCATGTAACTTGATGTATTCGTTTGACTATTAAAGTTTGATGTAAAGTCGTAATTGCTAGATGCTTCTGTAGGTACCCTACAGACAATAAGATTGTCGAATTTGTCACTCGTAATTACTGTATGGTAGTCTAGAATTTCACAAGCCGATGTTAACCAACGAGGCATAATATCATTAGCTATAATAGAAAGCCTATTTTGAACTGAATGATATTTAAAGATAATAACGCCATGGCGAATGTCTCCAGCAAAAATACGATCATTTATAACCTTTAACCAAACTAAAACTTCTGGTATATTTCGATATTCACACTTTTTTAAAAGTTTCTTTTTTCCTAAGGAATATATACGAAGAGTTTTATTAATTGATACTAGTAAGCGACCTCTCCAGCCTATCATACATGTTGCAACATTTTCAATTGGTGTAACATGAACTAACTTAAGATTAAAGTTGGTATCATAATTGTAAACTTTAATAGTAGCTCCTAAAGTACTACTATTTTCATTGTACTCTTTTCTAAGTTTCATCCCATAAGTTGTTCCGACAACTAGACAAGGTAGGTCCATTTCATCAAATTTGCAAACGCATGCTGAAATGCAACCTTCATTCACATCTAAATATAATAACTGTTCTGTAGTTTTAGTTGTAGAATTCACAACTCTAATACATGATCCCCATATACCATCCCCAGCTAAAAAGCTACCCACTTCACTTTCTGGAAGTAAAGCATTATCACTTCCTGGAATACCCAGTATTTTATCTATAGAATCTTCTTGCTTAGCAGAGTTTGTAGTATCATCAACATCCATTACCCCTTCATCAGCCGTATTTATTGTAGAATGACTACTTAATTCATGTTTAACCTCAGTTAATACTTCATTCTTAGTGCCTATTTCTTCAAGACTTTTATTATCATCATCATACATCTTCTGTAGAGCCTCAATTATCTCTTTCTTTGTATTGTAATCGAAGGCATTATGATCAGTCTCAATAATTGCTATCATTTGGCTTTTTGGAATATCCAAAATACCTGAAACCATCAAAGTTTCCAAGCCACAGAATAGTTGTGGAGGTGGTAGAAATAACAACTTTCTGGGAGTATAGTTTAATTTTATTATTGAGTGGGTGAATGTACCACTATCGTCATATAAAACTTGAAATATTACAAGGGTTGTACCTGAAACAGCTACAAAACCATTTTTGAACTGTTTTGTATGAAAAGGTGCCACAGTATCTAGAGTTCTATATTGAATAGGTATATAATTCAAACTCCTACCATTATGATTCACAATCCAAGGTCTGTTTGCCATACAAAAAGTACTCAATTTATTGTATTCACCAATACCAACTCGTACCATCTTGATACTTTTGCCTCCTAAAAATCTACTTCTATTATCACTTAATGTTCCATTTAATTCATCAACTATACAGCACAACAATACTCCATTATTCAATCCAATTAACAAGTATAAGGAGTCATTCAGTCCTGGTTTATATAAAACAATATTTTCAGGAATACTAGATGCATTCGGCATCACTTGTGTGGATGTCTGTTTGAGTTTCTTATCAGCAGTATTTATCCAATAAACACGTACTGAATTATCAGTAGATGTCCCTACTGCAACATATTCACGACACAATTTAGTAGGATATATTAACTGTTGTATAGAAATGCAAATAATGTCATATGAAACTTCACGATGGCACAATTCTGTTAGACCCATAATAGAATTTGTAGTACCAGATATTAAGTCTATAGTGTTCATTTCCAAAATAACAATATAACCACCAGAAAGTGCCAGTGATATCTGACGTCCATTGGAATCAGCTGCTACAATATGACGACCATCTGGAGCTTTCCACTCATAAATTTTCTCTTCTGTTATTAGCTTAACATAAGTCTCTAAGATCTGCAAATATGAATTCTTCAACTCCATTGATGATGCATATATTGTACTCTCAGAAAGTGTAAATGGAGAATCACTTATTTCTTCTACTTGTTCTCCAACAGATAATACTAATGTTCTATCTATAAATGAGATAATAATGAAACTGTGATAATTCCCTTCATCTTCTAATGTTTCTGATGTTTCTTTATTTAAAATATATGAGGTACCTCCTTTTTTCAGTGTCCATATAAAACGTGGTCTACCAGGTAAAGGTGTCTCAGCCATTTCTTCCACGGCTTTACCGTAGGTACAAATTCTTAGGGTTGATCTTGGGCCTCTACCACAAGCAACATAGATTTGTGGACCAAATTCTCCTGAACTATCTGCTATTTTCATGTCTATAATTGGACTTAAGGAGTGCATTATATCTACCTTTCGTATACAATGACAATTTCTTGGGCGAAAAAAAACCTTTTCATAGCTGTTTATCGTATTACCAGCTAGGACAGATATAGATGATGAATAGGAATCATTTTCATCATCTCCTAGCGTTAAAAATTGGTAATTTGAATGATTCCCAAACTCGTGAGCTGCAAATAAAAACCCCGATCTTAAAACTAGCATAGAATTACATAAAGGAATAGTATCATAGTAATATATTTTTATTTTATTTACTATACCTTCATTGTGCATAAATTGAACTCGATAAATATCTCCACATTCTGACTGAATCAAAATAAAAAAAAACTTCCGTAGCTTGTGTAAAGCTGAACTAACTATTGCTGTACCAGCATCATTTGGAGCTCCAAATCTTTGTGGATACGAGCAAAATAGTACGGTATGATCAATATTATAGTAATATAGACCTTTTTGGTCGCATACAAGTACACCACCAGGACCCTCTGAACCACCAGGAACAGATAACACTAAATGAGATGTTAAAGATATATTAAATGCACTTTTTCTAATCACATGATTCAAGCCCAAATCTACCTCCCAAAATATCAATTGACGTTGAGTACAATCATCTATTTGAGTATCATAGGCTTGTTCTATTGTTGCAAACATTGGATTGTCATATCCAACATCTACTGCAACTAAAGAAAAACAAATCATATTACTTTTGTGTACTTCAATTGGTGATGATATATTAATAGATTTTGTGTCTTTATTCTCAAAATTTAGTGTATATACGAACTTCTGTCTCTCAATTGCAGATATCATGATGCTTCTACCTCCTGGATCAACTCCTAAATATTGTCCTGGAACAATTCTCCTGCACCCAGATTTACCATAAGGCTCTGAATGTAATTGTACAAATAGCTTGTTTTCTTTCTTATATTCCAACAGTACAATATTCCCACTATCACTAGTTGCTACAATGAAGTCCCTTGATGATCCAATTAAACGGAAATTTGCTATACATCGTATTAAGCTAAACACCTCCATCCTACATACACTTCCAATACGACCCGTTGATGTATCAATTTGCAATAATTCTAAAGATCGACCTCTATTTACAACTACTTCATGAGCTCTAGCAGCACTATAACTTCCCTGAATTGCACCTAGTATAGCACCTTGAGGTTCCAATGTCAACGAGTAAAAATAGGGCATATTTAAATCACCTAATAGGCTGCTTAATTAATTTGGAAATTCGCCACTATATCTTCTCTTTCGTGAAGTAAGTCCTAGAGATTCGTCTGTATCTGCCTTATACTGGATCCTTCAATAATAGGAGATAGTACTACCTGCCTTATTAACACTGGGTACCGTCTCAAGGCGGTAAAATGAAAATGCCTTCACACTAAAATCTTGATCTGTAATACTATAAATATCATAATTGGCATGCCAATATCATTTCTAAAGTTTATCAGAAATATCACAAATATATGTTGAGTTATTATATACTATTATTGTTCATTTATTTAAACTTAATTGTTTATAAACATTCATTTCAAAATGTCAGATATTTATAGACTAAAATTTTAGTTAATAATTTTCTTGCCAAATTACATGCATTTATTTTGTCCCAATTAATATTTAGTACTGTAAAGGGTTACAGATATTACATATATGAAAATATTTAAAAGCAGTAGGTTCATAATAAATATCATGTCCCAATATCTATCTAGTTATCTAAAGAAAAATCCTCAAAGTTAGATAATTTGAAGAATCTCTTCTGTAGAAACTTAGTAAAATTGGATAACACTAAATACAACAAGAGAAATAAATATACCGAGGAATAGACACATTCAAATTAAAAGTTTCAAGCTTAAGAAGGTATTAGATAAAGGCAAATATTAATTTATCTGACGAACTAGGAATTGATTTACTTAAATAAGAGGAATAGTTCACTAATGTTAATCTTGGATATTTCTTGATCAAAATTCTATTACAGTTCGATAAATAATAAAGAAAATATTAATAATAAAAACACATTTTGAACAAATTGTTTAAGTCTAAAAATCATTAAAATATATTTTTTTTTTTTGCTATTTAGAGATATATTGAATATTTTAATAAAATAAATGATCCTCGTACATGAGCTTAAAAACAAAAAAAAAAAGAAAAAGCGAAATTAGTAGCACAGACAATGAATATTAAATACAAAACTCCAAATTTACTAACTTTGTTGTTACTGGTTTGCTTCATAACTGTTTCAAGACATAACAGCCACGGAGTATCTAAATATATGGGCACTTCTATTAGTCTACTTAGATATAAAGACAATATGGATTACTACGAATTTAGTGAAAATATACCAAAAGATATTGAATACAATTATATTTTAGTTGGAGGAGGAGTATCAGCCCTTATATCAGCAAGAAGTATTTTGGAAAGTCTTAATAACGAAAAAATAAATATTTTGCTTGTTGAGAGAGGATCGAAATACATACAAAATAATTCGGATAATAAATATAATCCACTTGAGCAATTATCAGAGGATATAATAACAAGTGATGGATTTGTTATTAAACAGTCTAAAGTGGAAGGTGGAGTAACAAGTTATGGTAGTGTGCCTTTTATCCCAGAAGATCCTGTGGAAGGTAATTACTATAATAGCATAGAAAGTCACTGGGATAAGCAAAGGCTTCAAGAAGCATATGAATATGTTAAAAGTGTGGGAGATCTTGTACAACCAAATATTCAAACTTCATGGGTAATATCTCTAGAGCGTGCATTTAATGAAAGTAGAACATTTCCTATAGATTATGATAGATATCAGGTTCATCACAATAAACTATATTATCCAACGAATGAAAATCAGATTTTAAAAGACCAAGAGTATTTAGATCAAAGTTCATCTCATTTAGTTCCTCACACCTTTGTAACATATGGATTTAGACGTGGTAGTAGTAGAAGAAGTGCAACTAATTTGCTCAACGCTAAGTATTTATATAACCAAGGAATAACATTGTACAAAAAGTACAATTTCACTGTAGAAGAAGTAGAACTAGTAGAATTGAAGAATAAACTGAATGATAACGATAAAAACTCGTCTTTTTTTGCTAAGTGTATACTTGGACGAGAGTCTTCTAGTAGTAGGAAAATAGTCAAGTACTGCGTTAAAGATACTACTGGGCGTATCATCCTTGCTGCAGGAGCAATAAATACACCAATAATATTACAAAAAAGTGGAATAGGGTCGGCTGAGATGGTGAGGAGTGCTAATCCAAGATTACAAAGTCCATTAATCAGAAATGAGCATATAGGAAAGAATCTAAAAGACCATCCCGCACTTCATGTTTTTGGAGTATTTAGAAGTATTGAACTACCACAGAAATATTTACCAAGTTCTGATGCACTATTCTCTACCAAGTCATTTGGATCAGAGTGTGTTAGGACTTCTGACAAAGACGATATTTTTCATGGATGTAAAACAGTAGCTATATCAGAGTTTGAAGGTTTTAATAAAATGGATCTTTTGCATAGAAAAAACATAAATTATGAAGGAAATAATTATAAAGATAATTTCATCCAAATAGCAGAGCAATGTAATTCATTGATTAGAGGTGTTTCAATATATGCTGCAGAGCCCTATAGTAGGGGTGAAGTTGTGTGGGATGCAATGTTTGGAAAGCCAATTGTCCACCTTGGACTTTTAGACGACCTGAGAGATATACAAACAATGGAAGCTGCATATAGACGTATTCTCCGTATATTTAGATCTGCAAGTATTACTTCACTTTTGCTATCAAAACCTGTTCCAAATTCTAATAAGAATGAAAGTTTAATAGAAACTAACTTTTTTGATAATTCTAGAAGCATTTCTAATTTATTTAATTTTACAAAATCTGAAAATAACTATAGAAATGATGGTAACAAAAAAATATTTCATCAGAATCAAATGAGAACCATTTATGATATCTGTAGTTTGGTTATTAATAATGCTGCTAGCGAAAGAAAAAGTGCAATAATGAGACTTAGTGAAACATTTAGATCAGAACAGTTCAAAAGTTCCTCAAATTTATCTAGAAATTTAACACATAATGCAGGAATTCTAAATAGGGGGACTAGATTCTTCAACAATTCGAAAACAGAAAAGCAGTACTATGAACCGAGTTTGGAAGATCATCTCCCTCTTTTAATACCTTCAGTACCTCAACATCCGGAGGAAATGAGGCAATTTGTCATTGATCAGATCACTCCTAGTAATCATTTCACAGGAACTACAGCTATAAACTTAGTTGTTGACCCTGAATGTTTTAATGTGAAGGGTGTGCGTAATCTACATATACTTGATAGTGGTATATTAAGCAGGCCGACGCATGCTCATCCAGTAGCAACAACAATGGTTCTTAGTAGGTACGCAATGGTCAATATTTTAGGTAGTGAACCAAATTGCAAACTTGAGTTACAAAGTAATCAGGGCGACGTACACCACATTAATGCTGTAGAAAAGAATGTAGATGCAAATACAACTTTATATAGCTAATAAGAGAGATATTCCACACTGTTGAAATGCAAATATATACAGCGCGTATATCAGGTCAATTTTTTATAATTTATTACATGTATGAGACTACCAAACAAATTTAATTTTCATATAATTCAAAGTGAAAAGTCAGGTATTACTAAGCTAGGAATAGAACTCTCGTTGATTGGGTATGCCAGATAATGATTGTATTGAGGAATTAGGTGGAGTACCGGATGATCCTTGAGGGTGACTTGGTGAACCAGATGTTGTGCGATATGCCGCCATATCAACGAGATATTTCTGTTTGACATCCTGTGCTTTACGTTCCCAGGGTGCCCTTTCAATTTCAGGGAGATTCTTCCACATTTCAGCTAGATCCTTTATTTGAAGAGATCTACTCGGATCCTTTTCTCGCACCTTTTGCCTTATGTGTTCACACCACAGAGTATAAGCATTATGAGGTCTCTTGGGTTTATTCGGATCCTCTAATGGTTGCCTTTGTATGGGTCTCTTAAGTTGCTTTTGTTGATGCAAAACTTTAGGCCTCCATTGTGTTCCTGTTCTTTGTGAAACTCTAAGAGCTAAATCTACACTAAAGTCTGCAATTTCGCATATAATATCAACTAATAAGTTGGATGTAGGTTCATATTGTCCCTGTGAAACTATAATATTTGTCGCTGATTGTTGGTTACCTCCATGTCCCTGGGATGGAACATGAGAAGCTGTTGGAGATTGACCTCCTGGGCCATGGTTAGATCTGGGGGGAACCATCCCCGGACTTGTATTACTTGAGCTTCCTTGCATAACTGACCCTAGCTGCATAGGAGAACCCATTGGAGGTGAAGTTAACACTGACATACCTGCTCCTGATACTGTACGATGTTGCATCTGAGGATGGTCATGCCCCTGTAGGGGTGATAGCGTATGATGATGTGGTTTATGCTCCAGTTTTGCAAAGTCTAGTTTCAAAAAGTTATTTGAGCTTTGTTACTTGATATCCAGGAAATTTAGTATGAAAGATAAAGATACAATGATTATTTCCCCAATATATCTTATGCCCAAATTCCTGAAAATTTTATACCCTAACAAGCCCAGTTTTTAGCAGATCAAGTAACAGTCAAATATTTGCAATTTTAAATAATTGCACCAATAACTTTTAGTCATTGATACGTCTATTGGAGACGGTACATGGGAACCGCCACTGTATTAGGTAGATTACTGATTTCCAAGTAGAAGTACTCATACGAATTTGTTGCAATGGATTTTAGCTGAACATTGGAGTTCATATATTATTAGATACAATCTTAGCATAATTAAGAATTTACCTGCTTATTTCCTACATAATCGTTTAAAAAAAAAGAGAGGAGATCGAAATATTAGCTATTAAAATTATTTTGTAGATGCACTTTTTGGACATTTACCTTAAGCACGTGCACATAGTGGTAATCTTAATTATTGCTTGCAAGGAGTAACATACTATTCTTCTCTAGCTTCATAAAATTTCCCAATATTTCATCATAAATATTTATATAGAAATTCCAGCATTATGACCGCTAGATTCACCTAGGCGCCCTGCATCTATCCTGCATTTTAAATGCAACTCACTTTTGAGCTCTAAAACTACAATATGAGTGCTACTATTAATAAAGAAAATTTTTTAATTCTATCTGAGAAACACAAATATTATAATGAATATGCTGGAATAGGCACACCTGATATTAGCACAAGCCCAGGGACACCTTCACCAGATTCACTAGAAGTTAGTACTATGTCATCTCTCTGGACATATAAAACTAAGCTGGATAGAATCGAAAATACTATTGATTATATTAAGCGTGAATACCTTTCTGAGATATCTAGTTTGCAAGATAGGTATAATTTAGCCACTCTTGATACAATGGAAACAAATATAAAGGAGCTACGAAAAAAGTATAATTTAATTTTTTCAAAGTATGAGGAACACCAAATAAATAAGATCATCCAGATAACTAAAAAATCGCAAGTATCTCTCATAAATATACAGAATTTAGTTGATAAAATAACACGACGTAATCAGGAAACTGAAATTGAGCAGAACTTTAGATGTACCACTGAATTGAGTAAACTTGAGTTGGAGATTGAACTAGAAACTTTAAAATTAAGGTTGGATAGAGATATCAAATTTAATATATATCTTACAGTTTGTAATGACAAATTGAGAGAAAAATATAAGGAGTTATCAAAAATATATGATACACTTGAAATGTATCATGAAAGTAAAAGTAATTATTTGAGAAAAGAAAGTAATGAGACATATAGAACCGGAGATAGTTTATTAAATAGAGATTTATCAGATAATCAGAACATAATAGATTTATTGGTTTTTGAAAATGAGCTGCAAGCTGAAATACTGGGATATTTTAAAAACCTAAAATTAGTATTTTCCGAAAGTTGATATTGTATATAGATTAATTATATATTATAAAATTGTGCATTATTTATAAGTTAGGTAAATATCATGTAAATTTATTGAGTATTTGCATAAAGTTACTGAGTATCTCATACTAAACAAGCACATCTGGTTCTTTTACATCTTTTGGCGGTATATACACTCCACTTTTAAAAATACACTTAGTATTATATGAAGTAGATGTATTCCATAACTTCATAATTCAAGTGAAATGGTTGAAGCTGGGGCCAATAGAAGGGCTAAAAGGTATGCATTAGAGATACGTCAGTGGCTTGATAGCCTACTTAACGATTCAGATTTATTGGAGTGCATTGAATTCGAATCAGAGTATACCGTTGAAGGTCTATCAAGAAAGGTCAAAGAATATAAGAAGGAGAATGATTTATATAAGAAGGAAATTGAAGATTTGAACCTTAAGGTACAAGAAGCATCGGAATTTATGTTAAATAAGAATCGTTTATTAAGTATTACTCAAGAATACAGTGATTACAAGAGCAATATGACAGCTAAATTATACGAAGAAAGTAGGAAATATGAAGAACAACAAGAAAAACTAATAGGAATGGAACTTCACTATGCTAAGTTGGAAGGAGTCAATAACAGTTTGTCGAAAATGAATGAAGATCTAAGGTACAATTTAGAGAAAAAGACTAAGGAGATCCATAACATTCTACAGGAGAAAATTAATACTGATAACTCCTTGAAAAGAATAGAGAGTGAGATGAAATTTAAGATAGATAAATTGATATATGAAAAGAATGAATTAGAGAAGCAGAATAGTGAACATTTAAATATACTAGAAATAAACAAGAAGGAAATAGAGAATATTTACATGCAAGATTTGAAAGAGAAAGATTTACAAATACAAGGGCTCCACGAAGAATGTTCTCACAATAAATTTCGTATTACAGAACTTGAGAGATTATTGAAGATGGCTGAAAATGAGCAATTAGTTGCTAGAAACTACCGTTCATTGATAGAGCAATACAAGCAAAGATTACAAAAATTGGAGAATGTAGAGAAAAATTATTCAGAGCTACAAGATAAATGTAATAGCCTTGAAAAAGTTACCAAGCAGCAAAATGAGAGATTAGAAGAGGCTCAAACTTGGTTAGAAAGGATGATTGAATTAGAACAAATTAATAATACGATTTCTCAACAATTAAAACAATGGGAAACTATGGCATTAAAGTATACACAAAATCTAAATTTTAAACAAGAGAGTAGTAATAGTAATGGCACAAATGATCTAGCTCTTGACACTTTAGATAGATGTGGAGATACTGATGATAATCCCGTAAAAAGTGAAAATTCATATAGTACTATCTCACCAACTAGTGTGCTTAGTGCAATTTTTGAATTCCAAAGGAGATATCAGGACATTGTTGTTTCTAAAGCAGTATCCGACTCGGCAAAAATTGAGCTAGAAGATAAACTTAGGAAACTAGAAGATGAACTACAAAACAGCCAGAGAGATCTTAAACAATTGAAAGATGAATTAAATATAAAAAGAAGAGAATACAATAAACTACTAGAAAATAGCAAAAAACTAGAGTGTGAACTAAAAATTGCAATGGAATGCCTATCAAAAGAAGGGAAGTTTGGAAAACCAAACCCTAATCTCTTGAATGATGAAAACAATATTAATAAATTGGCATCAAATACAGAAGTAGATTATACTGGAAGAGATATAAGTGAAGTAAAATTATTAGAAGAGAAGATGAAGATTATTACTCATTTGGAGAATGAATTAAAGTTGAGGAATGATGAGATTAAGGCTTATTGGAGTATTAGAGTTGCTTATGACACCTTAGCTCAAGAGAGAGATTCACTCGTTGAATCTTATAGCATGTTACAATCACAAAATAATGACCTAAAACAGCAACTTTTGCTGATAAATGACAAACTAAAGAAAGCTGACAAAGACTTTAATGAAGCTAATGTGGTTTTAAGTAGAGAGGACTTGAGAGATGTGGAAGAAAGATACCAACAGGAACTTCAGCGTAACAGAACTTTGAATGAGTATTATATAACGGAAAAGAATAACTTGATAGATGTCATTGCAAATATCCTTGGATGGAGAATAGAGATGACCTGTGTTGAAGGTGGTCTAACCGCCTATAAACTATCTAATATATTTTCGCAACATAGTGGGGAATTGGTGTTTGTTATACGTCCAGCACCTACAGTTAGAGGCAGTATTTCTACTCATATCCAATCACAAAGCTTATCCCAAAGTAATGTGACAAACTCAGCACTTCTTATAAATGAGACCGTCGCGGCTGAGATGGAAGAACAGCTTACTCTAGATTTCATTGGTTATTATGCACACAAATTCGAAAACGATCCTAATTGGGCATTGCAGCTAACTGCAACTCAGTCATATCCAGCTTTTATGTCTTATACATGCTTAGAGGAATTTCATCACATTAGACTTCCCAATTCGGATAACCCAGAAGAATAATATGCAGATTTTAAGACTCAGACAGTATAGTACAGCTCTAGATACTAGTCACTAGTAATATTTACTAGAACATAATTCAAGAGTCAAGCATATATTATTAAAGTATAAATATTGTACTTGCTCACCAATGAGAGATTTTGCAATTAGTTATCTCCTAATGATAGGTGAACAAAACGTAATTATTAATATTGCATCCCTGGGTATACGCCGAAATGGTACATGACTTGCTTCTACATTAATGGCATAACCATCATGAATCAGACAATAGGAGAAACCTTTAGACGAGACAAGGTGGATGCTCCAAACTAGCAATGTTTAGCAGAAAAGAGAATGTAACCGTGCAATAGAAGTAACTCCCTTGGGAAAGTTCAAAGCTGAGCACCAACGATCACGTTTATACTTTCATATTGCATCATTAAATACGAGATAATGGGATAAGTAGCCATAATAACTCGACTCAAACAATGCACTATTAATAATAAAGTTAGTATTGACTAAGAATCTTTCTAGAGGACTTCCAAAGGTTTCAAGTACTTCTCTCCCAATTAGACAATACATATACATTACAATAATGCCCCCTCCCGCTACACCGTTTTTAGCGCTTTTTGAATAATTATGACGTTTGGAAGCTTAATAGCATACACTAGAGTTTATCTATTTAGTAATGATACGTTCAAGAAGATGTAGGAGTACTAATTTGACGGATATAAGACCTAACTTGAAGAAAAGTAGGGTTTCACGCGAGAATTTTGATTATAGACACTTGCCCTTGCAAAGGTTGAAGCAAAGGTTACTTAATCTAGATGATAAATCTACTGATACGAGGAAGATAGCTATTGAACTGATAGAGGCAGATCTAAATTTAATAAAAGAGCTGTTTGGTGGGCATGTAACTATGTCGATTAACTACTTTCAAGTTCTGAAGGAAGATAAGGTTTGCATGAGAAGTGAGAACAAAGTGGGATCTCAACAAATCCTGCAGAAAATAGAACTTATAGGAAATCAATTATCCCGTGATACTTCAACCAGTGATTTCCAAGTATCATATGGGCAGAATCAGGATTTTGAACGGAGATCAGAAAGCAATGAGATATTATTGAATTCGCAAGTACAAAGCCAAGTTGAAACAAAAGCTTTAGAGAGTTCACTTTATCAATATCAAAATAAAGAATATTCTAATCAAATAAAAGGGAATGGGGATCAACAATTGCATAGTGAATCAATCCAATCCTTGGTAAGATGTGAAGATTATAAATATGAAGCTAATCATTACCCAAATAATAGATCTCTAACTTCAAAATATACTGAGCAATCTACAACACAGCAGGAACATAGAATCCCAAATCAGAAGGATATGGGAGTACTTCAAAATAAAGTATATGGGCAGTACCAAATAAAAGAAATAAGGTACAGAAATATAGGGAAGATGACAGACAATATGAACTCAACGCAAATAGATATACCAATACAACAGAACACAGAAGTGCAAAATTGCACTGAGGATAAAAAAAAGAAAGTTCACAAAAGTGAACTAGCAGTAGATCCATTTCAGCCTCAAATTCGTCCTTCTAAATCGCATAAGCAAACCCGTAGTTACTATTCTAATTTCGATTCAAATAGCAATTATTATCTAATCCCCAAGTTTCCAAATGTAACTGGGAATGTACCTACTTATATACATTCTCAGGATTCTCCCCTGTTGCAGAACTTTATCCCAATTCAAACTAATATGACACCTGCATTTGCACAGGGAGTCATACTGAATAACCAAGGACCTGATATAAACCAAGAAATTCCTGTTAATATACACCCTAATATAAATAGAAGTGGATATCGAATAAACCCAAGTTCAAATATGGGTTTTCCCCTTGATTCTTTAAACTATGAAACAACAGGCTCCTTAACATCAAACAAGCTTTGGCACAATACCTATACCCAGAACATCTCTAGAAGCTGCACACTGCCTTCTTCGAGTTATAGTACAGTATTTCCAGTACAAAACTATGTCTTGAACCCACAGAATGTGCACCATGAAGGTTTAGATACTTCAGAAACATTTAATTCCACGAATTTAATGGGGCGAAACAAAATCTCCTCTACAGTTCCACTTTTAAATGTAACTTCTGAGTATACCTTAAATAAAGTGCCTAATGCTAATGTTCCAACCTGGAACAATTTCAGACATCCTTGACTTCTTTTAAAGGTATTCCATGCCTATATGAAGTTCAAGATCAATTCTTTAAATTCCGGTGTTTACTGTCATTTTGTTATTGAGGTTATATACTTACCAACTTGGTTTTCTTTTAGGTATAGAGAAGATAAGATACTACCTGCAATTTACTGGTTGTTGGTCAGGTTCAATATAAAGTGAGTAATTGTCGTGGTAATACTTGAAAGGTTATGTCAAGTACTTTGAAATTAAAGGAGATCGCTGAACTACTCAACTTCATGAACTTACGCGAGTTAATATGCAAAACGAATCAATATTAGAACAAACTGAAATTAGTGAGATTAGTGATGAACTTAACTATTATACTCAAACCAAGCTGAACAAATCTACAAAATTAACTGGAGAAGTAATGTTATTAAATATGAGATCAGGTTCTCATATTTGTATTCTAAAAATCAGTTCCATTTTTAATGGATACATCTTATATAAATGGAGTAGTCATTGATATTACAGATGTGGAACTAACGAATATAATAAGGAATGGTTATATGTTAGAACTTAGTAATAAGGATTTAGTAATACATTGTTTCAATCATAGCAAGCGATAATTTATACTGAATGAATATAAAAAGAATAGTTACAAATAATTTGAATTTGATATTTAAGTATAGAAGAAGGTAAAATATTGTCAAATTAAAGTGGTTGTTTGGTTGTATGAATGAGAAAAAATATAAGAGTATCCTAAATACCACAATCTTTAAGAAGCCATAACCAGAAGCAATTAATTTTACGATGCAACAATTTGAAGAGTAAATTTTGATATAATAAAAAGTACAAATTTAGTTCAAGTCTATTTTTAATTGCCCCATTTGCACTTAGAACATTTGATAAATCGGATTTTACAATACCATAGCTTTAAATAGTTCCTACACTAACTGAAATATAAAATCCAGTTGAGTATAACTTTTCAGAATCTAGAAGTGGACAATTAACTCAGGATTTTAGAATTTACAATTATCCCAACTTGCACAATAACAAAGTATCAATGTATGTCCACTACTGATGCTTGATGAGTCAATTTTGAAATTTGATATATTTGATAATTAAGCTCACAACGAATATTATCAGGACATTGTAGACGATTACAGCAATTATGTAAACATATATGGCACTTCCACTATACTATGTATTAGTAGTTATATTGGTTTGGATTTACTATTTGTATATACTTTATTGAAGAACTATACAGAATGTAACTAGGGCTCAAAAATTACCAATTGGAATTGTTCATATTGATACAAATAACTACAAACTGGTGTGAATTATTTAATTAGAATGCGTGGCATTAAAAAGAGTATGTGGTTCAAAGATTAGAGAGCTTTGCCAAAGTATAGTAGTCATGTGATTTCTGGAGCATTCAATAGTACTTTCATATTACTATTTAGGGCACTGAAATATTATACTTACTACATACAACTCACATCCTATGATGAGATATACTTCTAACTAATGAGTGAACATAAATATAGTAATGCTTTAGATATTATCATTGAAATTAAGAGATGTATGTTTGAAGAAACAAATGAAGTAATATATGATTATTATTTTGAATTGATAGAATATTTTAATAATGAACAAGAATCAAACTTAATGGAAAGTAGTGCATCTATAACTTCAGCTTTTTCTAGTAGCTGCTCTTGCTTTCCTTCTTTCACTACATTAATTTATGGATATATAGAATCGAATTATATAATTTAAATAACAATCCCATTTAACTTTCTATATAGTCCCAACTTCAGCTTATCTCCCAAAATATTAGAAACTAAACATTAAGAAAATATGGAAGACAAATCTAAATTCAGTAACTGCGTTAATACAATGGAATTTTATGGAGATAACCATACATATAAGGAAGTGTTTCATCCACATAATAACAATAAATTTAATTGTCCTTGCTATTTCTACACGAATAAAAACTTTATTTTAGACATTTTAGGATGAATTATTGGCAAAAAAACTATTACAAAAGTTATGAATTCATTGCTTAGAAATAGAGAAATACAATGAAGCTAAAGTATTATTTAATTAATTCAACAGTAATATATCTAATGGACACTACTTTTCTGATGAGTACTTGTAATCAAGTTTATTGGTGTTATGGTAAATTGAAGTATTAGACTATCTTCTTACAAAGATCTACTAATACTACTAGGACGATTCTCTAATGAATAAATTAACAGAATGAAGCTTCATATGGCTCAGTTGCATAGGAATGTGACTACTTCCGTAGTACTGAAACTGTACTAAATTTGCTTTATAGGTCTCCAGAGTTCAAGCAACATAAATATGGTCATGGATACTATAGCAAAATCACTATTTGGGAGTCTTTATTAATCAATAGGAAAAGATTTGTAAATTACTTAGAAGAGGATAAATATTGCTAAATGCAAGTGCAAATGTGCTTAAATATAGTTAATTAAAGATAGAACTTTTTACACATTAAAGTATTTATAGGACACATACCTCTTACTTAAGTATAAGAAATGCAAAATATTTTTGGATTGAATGTAAAGTTATCAAAGACTGTACTTTCTAAACCAGTAAGAAATCTGAATTTGCAATATGGATAGTTTAAAATAGACAATTACAGTACTCTAATACCAAAGATAAGTTGTACCAACGCAATACTTTAGAATGGGATAGTACTAACGATATGGAAACCAACGAAAAACAATATTCTGAAAGTTGCAATACTTAATTTTACTAGATATAATGCCCAAGAAGTCAAATTACACAAATCACCAATACAAGATTTCAGCCTAAGAAATGAGTGTTTAGAGCATAAGAAGCACAATTTAGTTATTTTGGTTAGTGACAACTATGAGACACCTATACTGACAATTAAACTTAAAGAATATGATGAAGATCAAGAAGCACTTAATATCAAGACTTTTCACTTATGTTGCAGAGAAACTTGTAGCTGCCTGTAGTCCTTATCATCCAATAGAGGACTGGAGTATACTGTTGCTTCTTTATTAACTATGAATAATCCTCAAATAAGTATTTAATATCACCCAATATTCTCTAACTTGGAAGAACTTCTCCTAAGATAGATAACTCCTATAAATATAAGAACCTATGATTTGAATATCCTCAAAATATTGAGTACAACACAATTAGAGGTTGCTAACTTACCTCATCACATCATTTAACCACCACTGGCCTGAATTTAAGATTGAGTTCAAGTGTAAAATTACAAATTTCAATAACTACAATATCTTCTCTACTATCTAGATAAATTATCTTATAGAAATATAGAACTCTACTATATTCTAGTTAGATTTGTATGTAACACCAAAGTACCCTACTATATATATTGTTATATAGCAAGAAATGAATAGTTAATTTTAAGAAGAGAAAATCATCTCCACTTGCCATCAATGTCGCGTTCCTTCTGATTTGACCACATAGTGCGACGATTCTGGGTATTACTACGCGTTATACTTGGTCCATCACTTTTATTCCCAACTTGTCCAGACTTATTGCTATCCCTACTGTTCATCCTTCTTAGATCAATAAAATTGACATCAGTGTTTGGATTCATTCTCCTCGTGGTGCCATTTGTGCTGTGTGTACTGTGTATATTACCTTTAGAAAACTCATCTTTGTATAACTTCCGTCGGTTACCTATAAAAAGGGAGTTCGTGAGATATTCCAAAATAGAATAGCTAACTGAATCATACTGACGTGCAAATAATAATGTCAATCATCATTATCTGGGGAAATAGAAATAGAGATATTGCTATTACCCAAGTCAAATTTCAAATCACTTTCAGTCAGTAGTCAAATACTTTGTTGAAGAGCACTATTAGAAAGTTAATTATAAGAGAGTATCCATCTAAACTAAACTTACCTTGGTTAATAGCTATGTCACTTTGACCTCGCCCCTCATGACTTGTATTTGCATATTGTTGTTTAAGCTTTGCTTCAATTTCTTCATCACGCTTACGTTGGATCTCTATTTGTTTCTGCATTTTAGACCTCTTTTCCTCTAAAAGTCTACTTTCTTCTTCTTTTCGTCTCTGTTCATCTTCTTTTTGTTTCCTTTCAATATATTCATTTCTTCTCACCTTAGCTCTTGCAATCTTCATCTCCTTTATCTTTTTAATACAGCGATACTTCTGACTTTCTAGCTCACGCTTTAGTTCATCTTTGCGAACTTCAAGCTGAGCTTCTTTCCATTTATTTAAGTATGGTAATAGGTTCTTTAAAAGTTCACGTTCGCTACGTGCCTCTTTTCTAGCTGTATTTAATTCAATTTGATATCTCTCCTGTAAATTTTCATTCAAAATCTTGTCTTTAATAATAGTCTCTTCTCTCCACTTTCTTAAAAGAGGTATCTCTTCTGTTCTAAAGGCTCTAGCAAGATGATCAAGACGTTTAGCTTCCATTTTCCTTTGACGGATCCTTTCTTGTCTCTCAAAGTTACATTGTTCTTCTTGGAGTTTCTCCAAGTCATCATACTGTATCCTTCCTTCCATCAAGTCATCCAAAGTGATGTCATCTAAAGCTTTACCTTTGATAGTTGTTTTACTACTATTTGCTGTATGCTTCAAAACCAGTTTTTTTATAGTCTCTAACATATTTTGACACGCTTCAATTTTTCCACGTCTTATTTCCTCTCTTTGCCTTGCTTCTTCTCTGCGTCTACGATCTTCTTCACGCTTCTGAATCTCCAAAAGCTCCTCTTGTGCCTTTGCCTCCTTCTCCTGTCTCTTCTTATCTTCTTCAACTCTTCGAAGTTCTTCCCTACGCTCTTTCCTTCTAAAACGAATTTCCTCAATGCGCTTATCCATAGTTGCCATTTCAATTGGTAGTCTCCTACCTACCATTTGAGATATCTTTGTATATTGATTAGAAACGCCCCCTGAGATATTTTCAGTATTTAGCTTGCGCATTAATGACTCTAATTTGAATGCATATATTGCAATATCAATATTCCACTTGTTCATATATATGTTATTTATACCCTTATCATGGCTATATATACTTCTTCTAGCATAGTCTATTCTTAGTTGAATTAAAGATGAATTAGATAGTTGGACCAATAACTTCTCAGTTTCTGTCCAAGGAAGAAACTCATTGGGACATATTTCCTGTAAAAACTGATCAATGCTTATAGATGAATATACACGGGATATCAAAAGAAATAACTTCGTTAGAGCTGTAGACTTTAATGGCCTTACATATTCTCTAAAATCCTCATCTGCACTTTGTAATGAAGTAAAATACCTGTGTGTATTGATGCATATCTTCAGTGTATTTGCTTTACCTTCAATAACATCATACAATTCACGACATATTGGGCTTGCCAGTTGCAAGATTCCCTTGGATAGTAGCATTGCCTTTAAAATTTCACGATTTGGGATATAAGGGGATCCAAGGAGAAGTGCTGCCCTTTTAACCTGGTCACTATGTGTAAATCCATCGCATATAGAAGATAGTGAAAGTGCAACCTGAGTTACTGTCTTAGATTTATTTAGAGTAGTCATACTATTTTCGCTCAGTGGAATAGATAGTGTAGCTAGGACAACAGTTGAGGCCATCTTTCCAAGCTCAGAAGATGACACATTCTTCTTAAATTGTTTTAGATGGAGAAAATATTTCATATGCGCCAATGCATGAAATGAATAGTTTTCTGTTAACAAAAACATTTTGCTCAGTATGTCATAATATAAAGCTATCCAACGCAAATAAGTTGGTCTCACCTTCATTGACAAGGCCGACATATCCAATCCATGTGAAACAGATGCTAATACTCCAGATGGTACCGACATATTAGTACCCGAAAATACGAAGTTTCCTGGATTAGAAGTATATGTAATTCCACTTGAATGATATTTACCAATTATTGGATCATGTTGAAATAAACCCAAATGAAAGATCTCTTCTGCTGTCATGAAGCATTCATTCCATAAAGATAATTTAGCTGCTCCTCTCAGTTGCACAATACGGGTCTCTAAATGGCACTCCGGTCGCAACATCAATTCTATTTCTGGCTTATGACGATTTGTAATTAGTAACTGGTAGTGACTGCGTAGTAATTCACATAAAGTCTTAAACTCACTTGCTCTATTGTGTTGCCAGCAAAATTCCAAGGCTTTTTGTGCTGTTTCATGATATGTCCTTTCAAGCTTTGGTGTTAATCTAATTATGTCTAATATCATCTTATATGTCTCCCACATAAATCTTAGTGTCTCATGCAACTTCTTCTCTTTTGCTCCTCTCCTTTCAATCTGCAGGCTTGCCAGTAGTAAACTTTCTGGTGTTTCCTCCTGCTCTAAATTCTCTCTAATTAGACTTGGATCCATACAATCAGTACACTCATTCTTAACACTTTGTAATTGTTCTTCTGCACGGTTTCTGAACTCTACTATTACCTTCCCAAGAGACCCTACATTAGACTGATGGGTAACATAACGATATTGATGTAAACCTTCGCGAGCCATACGAGGACGTTGTAAGTCAACAGAAAGTGCTATATACTGTATCATCATCAATTCTTGCGAAGAATCCCATCCATGTACTCTAAATCGGCGGTGATTTACAACAGAATGAAGTAGCTGTAATGCTGTTTCATCTTGTCCTATTGAGCGAAGTTCCTCAACTCGACGAATAGCATTCTCAGGCTTGTGGAATGTAAGCATCGAGCAGAAAGCGTATAATCAGCGCTATATACAATTTATTAAAGGTGAATAAAATATAATGACAAGAGTGCAAATCTTGTTTGTTGGAGAATGTTTTAACTTCTTACCCCTTCAGCTTGGTACGTGTAAAAAAAAAAAATTAGCGCTATGTAATATACGTCTCGGTACCAATTAAGCCGTCTATACACTTTTAGTCAAAAGATAAATTGCAAATAGTAAATGACACGAAACTTCTTGAGGAACTAAAATATCGAGACATTCTCACTAATCTGTGTATCTTGAATTTCACGCTTACTATATAATTTTTGTTTAGCAGTAGCTTAAGATACAATTTTGCTTCCTATAGTGTAGATCTTAAATGTACATCGGCAATACTTGTGAATCTTCGTAGATAGCATATAAATTAGCTACAAGTAATATTGGTAGTTAATATTACAGAGGAAATGAATATATATTACTGCTTTTCTATGGGTATTGATTTACACATTCATCTTCCCCCTCTCGAGGAAATTTCCTAATATTAGTCATAACAAAGAAATATAGTCTTCAAAGTGGTTCTGTGATTATGACTGGAGAGTTTTTCTATGATATGGGTAGTCGCAATATAGAAATAGAAGATAAGATTGGTGCGTTACAAAATGACTTTACATCTAATTCAAGGAGTAAATCTACAGCTGCAAGAGTATAGTTTAATTCAAAGGGGATTTTTTTCAGGAAAACTTTCATTTAGAGTTTGATCTACTATTTGAAAACTATGGATAGGATGATGAAATAAGTATATATCAGTTTGAATCTAAGAAACATTAAATATTCTAGTCACAAGCCTCTGGAATGACAATATCGAGAAATCTTGTAGAATGTTGTAGTTTGTTTAGTAGTCAAGACTTCTCCAAAATGATAATTTCTAAAAGCTTCTGTCGAAGATTCTTTCATTTGAAATGTGTATACCTATGCAATATTTCAGAATATAAATGGAAATACTCATATTGCAAACCAGGTCTGGTATAACTCTTGTAAATATGGAAACTCAAATTGTGGGAAATTCATTAAATATTACCATCCAATTTACAAAGTACTTTCATACAAAATGTATTTTTGGATATTCCTTGAATAATATATCTAATAAATTTGTTTGGACTTTAGAAAGAGTAAGTAATGTTTCAGAGTACTATCCATTTACTTATTCTGATATTAGAAGACCACAAATAAGTGGAATACTGGAAAAACTACCATTTAGAGATTTTGAAAAGGTTGAATCTTTAGAGTTTTCTTATAAACTATATAAAGTATATAGATTTAAATTTATTTAACCATCTCACTTTTGTTTATATACTATTGAATTATTTGCTTAAAGAAAGAATAAAAGGTGGAGAAGATATTAATAAAAGACTTACTTCACCGAAGCTGGGAAAACCAGACTCTCTGTATAACTGTATTAGGTATTGCAGTAGTTTCCGTGTAAATTGTCTATACATAGATTTGAAGGAAATTACTGAAAGTGCTTGCATTTGTTATTCATATATACATGAGGAAGTTATAAACAATAAAAACTCTTGTTCTTTTTTATCTATCAATTTTAAGGACATAAACTTAGAGCTGAAAAAAAAAATACATCTTCAAATACAAAAATAAATATATGAAAACTACTAATCTCATTTTGAATATGGCAAAATATGTAAGTTCTCTTATTTAAGATCAGAACATATCCTTGGTCGTTTCCAGGTCAATGCAAAGATTGGTTGACCTTTAGCATTGAGATTTTAAATAAAGTGGGTATAAATCAATTCGTAAAAGTATATACATGAAATTATTGAAGAACTCAGCTAAGTCTTCGTAGTTTCTAATTAGTGAGGATATATTCCTTAATAAATGCTTGTATAATGAGATATGTTTACCTGAAACTTGTCAGAATAGTGCTATATTGATGCAATCCAATAACTTGATTTGTGCATTAGAAGAGTTAACACAAAAGGAATTTTGCAAAAATTACCCATTCTCAACAAAAGTGATTTTAAATAATACGGTAATCGGAAATACTTTGAAAATAGTTACTATAGGCGACAGGGAACTTGGAGTATTTACAACCAGATTAATTCAGAGGAGTTTTTATTATTAAATATATTGGTAAAGTCTTTTTAACAGATGATTTTGTGAGTAAATATGAGGAGTACAAGAGAAGGGATCTCCAAATGAATACTTCAGTTATACTTAATGATAGAAACAAATTAAATGAACCTGTACAATAACTTAATATTAAAACAAAAACATTGGTACTGCATGGAGACTAGAACAGGACTTATTATAGATAGTACCTATAAATGAAATATTAGTAAAATTAATAAATCATAACTGTGTTCCAAATTGTGTAGCACAGAAATGGATAGTCGATAAACAATATCGTATCAAAATATTTGCTTTAAGAGACATCGAACCAAACGAAGAACTCATATATTACTATTCAATTGTAGCTTATGATATAGGCTTTCAATGAAATGTAATTCTTCAAAATGCAGAGGACATATTGGAATAGATCAAACTAAAATTCTAGGGGAACTAACTCAAAAAAGGAATAAACTATGCAATATTGATTCAAACTGCTCTCTAACCTCTTTCCAAGTATTATATAAGTATTTATTTGAAACTTCTCTATTAAATAAGGAGTTACTCAATAACTTGGAAGTTTCATATAATTATACTTGCACACAAGTTTCTAAGGAATCATTACAGGGAGATTTGCTTGAATCTTCTAAAGTGATCAATCATAGGATGAAATTAATGTCTATTCACAATGAATTATTATATAAATATTATAGTGAGTTACAAAGTTATCTTTTGAAGGATTTGCCACTTTAATCTTTTGATTTTAGTTATCCAAATATCCTTTATATATACTCATTATTGTATTTTGATCGTCCCGGAATATTTGAGGATTGGTATCTTAAGAAATCTAAAGCTATGATTTATATGAAGAAACAATGGGCAATATTGTCATTTTCTGTAAACTGTAACGAAGATTTCTTATTTTCAATGAAAAAGCTATATATACCTAGTCAGATTGAGAACTCTAGAAAATTCTTGTGTAGAAGGCTCTCTGTACAGGTTTACAGACACATTTGCATGAAATTAGATTAATGCAATTCCTACTCAATATTTTAGTACTTATTAGACAATAGCATTAGTGATTATTGTTCTATTTACAATTTACCGGGTAAACTAGTAATATGTGATTGGCATCACACCTTAATTCATAAGCAATGCATGAATTATAACAATAAAAGTCTTAATACAAAGCCTAAACGCCCAAGATCTCCTCTAAGTATATATGAACTAAATTAGAAGGAGCCTTAGTCTGTTTTTTCGTGTAAAAATTGTTTAAATGATGATATCTTCTTTCACTGTAAGTACTCGACTGAACTTTCTTATAAAAACTGCAAGATGATTTTTCTTAAAAGACAAGATATCGCTATTCTCTTTATTTTACAATTATAATAATTAAAGTGAAAGGACAGATGTAGTACCTAATTTAGTAAATAATCCAGATTCTAGTATTCTACACGTATAATTTTTATACTTCCAATCTTCAACTATATACTTTAACAGTTTTAGCTTCATTATTTTCTAAAGCTGTTCCATAGACCAACTATTTGCCTATATTTCTCTTTCACTAACTAATTTCTTTACATAATTTACTCTATATTTAGCTTTTTTCATCATTAGGATCATTTATTCCACCTTCTGTAATTGCAAATGCAGTATCTCCTTCCGGTAAATTGGGTGAGTCATATATTTTGCATATTCTAGTTTCTGCACGCCCCTTCTTTAGGTATAATCTTGTCTGTGAAGCATGTGCGATTATATTGCCCCCAATTGGTACTTTATCATTTTGAAATATTGCAGCCATTGCATCTACTTTCGACATAACCTGATTAGTAATGATTACTGCAACTCCAAAGGTATCAGCAATCTTCTGCAGCCCACGTAAAAATTGGCCTAAGTGGCTCTGTCTTGATGCTAATTCACCTCGTCCATTATATTCAGATCTGTATAGTGCTGTAGCACTATCAACAATCATCAATGCGAATCTTGACTCAGACATCATTGCAACAGCTGACTGAAGTAAGTCCATTTGATGTTCTGTATTGAAACCACGTGCATATGCTATATTATCTAGGCAGTCAGATGCATTCAATGAGAATCTCTCAGCTATTTGTACAATCCTCTCTGGACGAAATGTACCTTCAGTATCAATCCATAAACATTTACCTTCACCACCATTATGTTCAACTGGTAGTTGACAGGTAACTGCTAATGTATGACAAAGTTGAGTTTTCCCTGTTCTAAATTCTCCAAAGATCTCAGTTATATTTCCAGTCTCAATCCCACCCTGTAAAAGTCTATCGAGCTGTTTAGAACCAGTTGTAAATCTTATCAAGTTTGTTCGTGCTTGAAGATACTCTGATCCACTACAAAATCCCATAGCAACTAAATCTTTACATGCTGTTTTAATTTTTTCACACTTTTGTTCACTTATACCCTTTATACATAGCAAACTTCTTTTAGGAGCATAAGCTAAACACTCTACTGTATGGTATCCATTTTCTCGTAATAGATCCAAATCTCTTTTCGTAAGACCACTTGATAAGAGATGCTCCAATTTTAAAGGACCATTACTATTTTTCTCAGTATTTTCATCTATATTTGCTGAAATAAATTCTGTTACATCTGAGCTGCTATTTACGTTAATTATTGACATTAATTACCTAGTTTAAAGCTAATATTCAATTGAATAGGGATTTGAAAAGAATTATTTTACATAATACTTTAAACCAAAGCCAGGCCAATAGTATGCATGCGAGGGGCGTTGATACCCCACGTAACGGCGGTATTATTTGAGAAGGTACTACACGAAAATTGTAGATTATAAAATTATAATATAAAAGAAGCAAAGTTATATAAAGATACCTTCAATAAAATGAAAAAAAGTTTAATCTATCTAAGTTTTGCATTCTTTAGATTCCTATTAATAACATAAGAACAAAGGTTAATAATAACTGAGCAATAATGCATATTAAATTGTGAGTTAGTGCACTATTGGCCTTACCGGTGCATTTATTTTTTAGACATATACATTTACATATATCCAACAGACATAGACATGCTTTTATGATCTATGATTAATATGTATCTGCACCACCTCGTGCACGAGCAGAGTTATATAGGCAATCAATAAAACACGTAATTTGTGTTTTTTTTTTATAACACTAAAAATAACGAGAGCTCCACTAGCTGCATCATTTATTTCAGATAATAATATACATAAACTCATACCCATTTTGCTGAGTGAAGCCATTATATATATATATATATATATATATATATAGGAAATTCTTGATAAGGTATGAAGGCAGGTGGTAGTAATGCTGATGACAACATTGGAAATAGGCATATTCACAAATCACAAAACCTGGCTATTATATATAAGATGGCTGATTCAGAGAGTTATGACCACGAACAGTCACTTCTAGTACCACGGACAAGAAATGGACATCAACAATACCAAAATCACTCCAGCAGTATATCTCAACTTCAGGATAGATTTGATGGAGCTAATAATAATACTCTGCAAATGGGAATAATACCATCCTCTAAAATTTTTAATGACCACAATACGTCTAATAATAGTATATGTAATGCATGCAATTCTTCAAGTGGTTCTGGAACAGCTGTATCTTATTGTACTTGTAACAGTGGTACTGATGGCTCTCTGTATATGTATGAGTCGGGTCCAGCAAGTACCGACCAACAGTGTGTTTCTCTCCCACTTATTCCTTTACATTCTAATAATGTTAAACACTCTGGATCCAAAATAAATGATGAAAATTGTAATAATGGTCAGTTATTGTTTAATCAATCTCACACAATGAGTGTAGGTAACATTATGCAAAGTAGTTCCTTGCTAGTATCTGGTTATATGAATGGTACACCGGCTCAATCAAATAGTAGAAAAATTCTAGCTAGGGTTAGAGAGCTTTGGTTAAGTCATATTATGGATGGGTTGCCTAGAAAAATAGCAGCTTTCATACTACAAAGGCATGGAAACCAAATTCCCTATGATAGACAATTCTGGTCATATGCATATAAAACAGGTCGCTTGCATCCTGCAGAAGAGCAAGTACAAAGGCAGCTGAATGAAGGTATTCAGTGCCTTAATCGCTTTATTCAACAGCTACTTAAAGCATGTACTATTATGAGACAGAATATGACTAGACAACAACAGAATATAGGGAAAACATACAATATCCACCGTGTGAGTTCTAAAGGATATAGCAAAGATGATATATTCTCTCATATTGAAAATAGTCACAATAGCCATAGAGATAATAATCGTCTGAGTGAAATAAATAGGGATGGATGTTCTGAAACTGGTGATGAAGTAGAAAACAATCTGCATGAGGATGATGAAGATGGTCCAGTAGCAGATATTCCACTGGACTTGACAGATGAATATTTAGCTAAATGGCTTGATGGGAAAAATGCAGTAATCATTAGGAAACTTGTAAATGGCGATCGAGATGTACAAGCTATAGATCTTCCTTCATGTTTAAATAGTGAAAATTTAGATAGAGCACTTAGATTTGGAGGTTTATTAGTTCGAATACCACCTTACAACCAAAAAAGTTATGAATATTTCAATCTGCTTTCTCCAGGTAGAGGAGATACAAGACATACTCAGCTTGTAATACCTGATGGAGAAAGAGATATTGATGTAAAGAAAAGTAGAACTTCACTTGCTCTTCCAGATTTCCTTATTGAAGATATCCCACTGCCAAAAGTTTGCGTTTTTCAAATTGAAGCAAAACTCGAGCTATTATTATTATATAGAGGATGTTCTTCAAAAAGACCACATACAAAGAGGCCACGAAATTCATTTAGCCACTTATATCATCCCACTCCAATTCCCCCTCACTTATCTCATCACAATACCAATGCAATGGATACTCAGCTTCAGGCTCCAATTGCACAGTTTTTGCAACAGTCTCAGAATGACACCTCTACTCCCAAATCTCTTGTATCAACTCCATCTACAATGTCATCAATACCCTCGCCAAATTATTGCAGTAATTCGGCAATACAGCCAGCTCAGATAGCGAATCCTAGGTGTAATGTCTCATTTTACTACAGTAGTCGTAGCGAAGCAGTTCGTCTAGATACAGATTCTCCACAGTCTGGAAGAAGGCGTCACAACATTCATAATAGTAATAATGCTGGAATCCTGTTAAATACATTAGTCCATCCAAATATTAATCAATGTTCTGAAGAAATTATTCACCCCTTGCCGTCTACTTGCTATGGACCTATTGTAAATACAAGAAACAATGGTGGAACATCTACAAATTCTGAAATATCCAGTGGTAGATGTTCTGATCCTTATCATATTCAGTCTTGGGGAAAAGGTGATCCAGAGATGGAATTCTTAAATAATTTCACACAGCAATCATATTCACAGTGCCAACCTACAGAAGTAGCAAATAAAACAAATCAAAACTTAAGTAATACCCAACATCCTTCTCTTTCTTGGACTGGAAATGAAAGTTAATTTCTATTTTTTTAGGCTGATAAATCTTAAAGTAACTTGGATACTATCAACAATATATACAGTTATTTGATAATCTTTTGCATATATCTATCCAATATATCCATCTTAACTCTAGATTCAGCTGTTATGTTGAAGTCTGTAATGGCTTTATAGCAATTATAGATTAAATAAGTGAATTTGAATTAAAAATAGTAGGGATAGTTCTACAAATCCAATGGAAATCAAAATTTTTTGCAAGAATTGTGTTTTTCACATAAATAATGGGCCATAAAGATGCATTTGTAAGAAAAGTTAGTTTAATATCCTAAATAGCCCTACAAATTCTGGGCCTTCTAAACAGTTCTGCTAAATAGTAAATATGAAAAGATATCATTAACATTGATATAATTGCAGTAGCAAGGTATATATATAGGACAATTCAAGAATACATGTAATATTATGAGTTATTCCAGGATAAGGTCAAGTAAGAAACAGGTTTTTCATATAATCTAGCCTTTAGAAATAGTAGGATTGACAAAAAGATATATAAATGAAATATCTTCTTTTCATTATTAATGAGTCTCTACATTTGTAATAAGATAATAAGACAATCCTCTGTATAGAATTCTATAATATAAAGTTAAGCTATTTAAGTAAATATCAATATTTCAACTTCTTAATAGCTTGTTAGAGTAAAAAAAATCAATATATTGAGGAGAAACTTTTCAAATTTGCCCTAGTGTTAATAATATTTCAAAGTATTTCAATGTAACTCTTTTTTTTTTCTCTTAGATATTACCCAATTCAGATATCCAGAAATCTATTAATTATTACCTACATTCATCATTTTCTTTATCAATATTTTGCTTTCCTTATTGTAATTATTCTTCATATTTAATATAAGATTTCTTAATTTTATAAAGCACTCTATATCATCCTGATGTACCTGCGCTCTCGATGAGTTAATTGGCAAAACAATATCTTTGTTATGTTCCTGTGATTCTCTTATTCTATCTTTGTCATCACATATATAATTATTTTTAGAGTATTCAATATTAATAAGAATTAGGGATAACCTTTCCAAAGCTTCATCATATTTGTGATCTTCAAAGTAAGCAGTAGCGCTTCTATAAATTGCCTAATTTAAATTGTATAAAACAAGTTAAATTTAATATTAGTCTTAAATAAAGACTTATATTTAATAATTTCTCACCTTGATATTTTTAGGATCTAGATCAAGCACAATTCTACAATGAGTTTGAACATCGTTGTATATCTGAATAAACATCATAAATTTGTCGAATTTTTAATAATAAATATCTCACACACCTTTAACTTCAGTTTGCAAGCTGCCATATTTAGGTGAACTCTTATCTTTAACCTTTGCAGCTCTTTCTCCTCTTCAAAAGTTTCAGGAAACGTATAGTCAATATATATAAGAGCATTCATGTATTCAGTAATAGAGCCTTCATAATCATTCTTTGCAAACAGAATATTCCCTTCCTAAAGTAAGTTTTATAGAATATATTGCAAATATTTAGTGGTGAAAGTTACACATTACCTTACAAAAGAGTCCAATAGCTTCTAGCTTTTCTTCTGTTCTCCGCTCATAAAGCTCTCTTTCCTTTGATCGATCATGAAAACAACCAGTACTTATATTAATATGATCCTTGTATATACTATAATTTTCAAGTATGTCCTTGCAGAATTCATAAGCTTCTGAAGAGGTCTTCATTAAAGACTAATATCAGAAAGTATACCTAATCTTAGCGCTTGATATTACAGTTTTTGGTTAGCCAGGTATCGTGGGGAGTAAATAAATTTGGACAAAATTAGTATAAGTTTTATATGCATTGATAAACATCAGACTAAAATAATATCACAGATATTTTTAGATAAGCAAATAAAATTTAGAATAATGACTACCTATCCATATAATGGTGATGGAACGCTTTCTATTTTGCCCTTTGATAAGCTCAGCTTTGATACAAATTGCTCAGGTATTACAAATTCATTCCAATCACCTTCTTCATCTCCTGGAGTTAGCAAATTCATTTCACTCGATTTGCTACTGTAGATTTCAACTTGTTTACTTTCTTCAGACACATATATGTCTACTTTATTGCATTTATCGATCGAAATTGTAGGTACAATCCCAGTAACCTGAATAGTGATATTATCACAGTTTACAATCTCAACAGAGGCAATCACACTATTCACTAGAAGTATACACCCTACGCAATTATCAGCTATTATACTATTTACCTTGGTCCCTATAGATATTTTACTATTTTGGCAGCATCTAACTTGTACTTTATTCTTTATGTTACCTTCTTTCAACTCAATAATATCTTTTGAATTAGTGAAATTCTCCACTATATAAGTATCCTTTTGTAACTGTACTAATGGGTCTCCATTAGGTGCAACTTCTCTAAAAGTTTTCTTTGTTACCATTTCTAGTAATAATTAATAATTCCCTAAGGTATGTAAACCTACAAATAATTGGAAAGTTGCTCAAAACGTGTGCAAAAACGATATTACCGCCTTAAATTGCAGATTTAACTCACTATAACAAATTACACAGCGCCTTATAATTGATACCAAAGTTTCGCTGGGAATTAGGTAGTTTATTAAGCATAGAAATTTATAAAATCTCTTTTTGAAAGAGTTTTCCTACATTTTGGACATCTTTGTTTTCTTTGTACTAGGTTTCCTGCACAACTTAGGCATAAGTGATGACCACAACGGGTGATAACTATAGGAGTTTTAATATTTGGTAGACAAGGAACATGAGATGTAGCTCGGCTCATAATATTATCCCAATCATCTAGACAAATTGGACATGTAAATTTTGCAGCTTTCTCCTTTTCAGTTTGTGTGAGTTCTAATGGAGCATGAACTGTAGAATTTCCACTTAGTGTAGAGCTTGGATTAACTATATTGCTTATAAAATTTAGTAGATTAGAGTATACACCAAAAATTGGGAAATCTTTACTTATATTAGAAGTTTGATGTAAAGAATGAAAGTTACCTGACCTGTTGAATGTAGCTTCATTTATTCCAATAATTTGAACATCTTCAGTAGATGATTCTTCATCAGTTACTAAAGTAGAATTCTCAACTTCTACAATATTCCTATTTTCGCTCCTATTTGCATTGTAGCTTGCTTCTGGTGTTACTCTATTTGTAGGGGCTCTATGATTCCTACTACTTTCAAATATTTCTTCACATTCTATCTCAGCTACAGAATTAGTTAGTTCTTCCTCACTATCAGAACTTAAAATAACTAGATCTGATTGTTCTGTCATAATCAATGAATTCCCAGGTAGCTGCTCTACTTGAACTTTTCTTAGTTTTCTAGTTTGCCTACACAATTTATTTGTACTACACTGTAAATTTATCATTATAGATGCCTCTCATTATTTAATTACTGGTATTCAGCAAAAAATTTGACTGGACAATTTTTCACAAAAAAAATTATATCATTAACCTTTTTTTTCTGTATATAACTTTGCACTTTCCAAGCAAGACTTCAAAACCGCTTCTCATAATAACTCCTAGCTCATAACTCTTCTAAAAGTTTTAATATTACTTATTCTAATAGCTTGTAGCGGTATTAAATACCGCTATTTAATGTAGAACCAGCAAAAATACCAATATTATGGATTGTGAAGGATATTAAGCTCATTATATTTAATACTATTAATGTGTTTCTTGATAAGAATCTACAGGAAATTCTGATATTTATAATTAGCCACTTTATTACAATTATTATATCTAACCCAATCATAAATACAAATATATATCTGTATATACGTGAGGAGAAGACATAGTAGACTATTACAAGATATAAGTTATCTGGATAACACAAATATTCAGAAATAGTTGTTCAAACTATAGGGATCAATATAAGAAGTCATGATGTAAGAATTTCACAAATTATAACAAATACTTTTATAGAAACTATTAAATAAATATCTTCTAATATTATTAGTCTGGACATAATTAATAAGAATAAGCTATTTACTAAATATATACCATTACCACACTCACAAGGTCACTATTTATAAAAAATTCTGAGTTATACAATATTTTACTTAGTTACTATGAAATAAAACTACTAGGGAAGTACTAAGTTCATTTTCTTTCAGCAGATTTCATAAGAGTATAGCTATAAAAAGGGAAGTGTACACAATATTACTACAAATAATATATACTTCTTTACTTTATATTACAGGTAAGATATCTCTTAGTGTTAAAAGCAAACAAGTATTTATAACAGAAGAAAGTGAACATTATCGAGATAAATAGTTTTATATAAGGGGATTTTTTTGACTTCTAAATACTTGTGTAAAATATCTCTACCCACTTATACCGCTATATACTCATTCTAGATAATATTTAAGTTGCTATCTGGTACTCTATAAAAAATGTTGTCAGATTCAAGTCTCAATTACTTTAATAGACATCCTATTGAGAATATTCTCGATGAAGATGAACTACTGGAATGGGAATCTGATCTAAATACTATCACTCCGGGTATGTAAAAAAAATCCGATTTAGTAAACTGAAAATGATAACTTTTTACTGTATCACTAGAAACTGCAATAAGAATGTGTAATTTGGAGAAAATGAAAGGTACAGATGACCTTTTTTTACCATGTACATTCGATGAAACTTATATATATGAACAGGAGGCTATTGAAACTCAACTTTTAACTTTACAGCATGAACTTGAGTTGCAAAGTAAGTTTACAAAGTTCGGAAATTCCAATATATAATAAATCAGAAGTATTTGGTCGCATATCACCCAGATAATATAAGTGCTTCATTAAATAACAACTCCATAATAAGAAATATCTCAAATTTGAATAATGAACTATCAATAAATATTGATAGTCCGCCTTTATCAAGTACGTCAATTTAAACTTCTTATTGAAATATGTCTTCATAAACTAATTATTAGACAATACCCACTCAATAGGAACAAATGGACAATCTGATAACAATAGAGATGTTGCAGTCAGAAGTCCATTAATGGATTAGAAATCATTATTGTTGATAATCTAATAGATTTAATATATTTTTACTGTATAGTATCTCATCTATAAAAAGTCTAGATACTTTTTGAGCCATCATCATATGCTTTGTATTAGTTAGTAAATGATTTGCTCCATTAATTGTATATAATTTTAATAGATTACTTTTTTCCTTTATCTCTTGTAAATGTTTCTTAATTCTATCTATATACTCATTTATATTTAGATAGCTTCTCATCTCTTCGGGAGTACGCGATAGTAAGAAACTATGATAAAAATAGTCATATGTCATTTTTCCATTGGAAACATCTTCATTAAGTTGAATGAGATTTAAAGCCATATTGTAAGGTACATACTTGTCATCTGTGCCATGAATTAGTAAGGTAGGAACTTGGACTTTCTTCCCCAGTTGCTCATATCTTGGAAATAAAGAATAAGAATCTAGATACTTTCTTAACAACTTTATAGACCTTTTCTCACCATTGTTTGCAACTTTAATATTAAAGATTTCATCATTTACTATTGGAATACTTGTTAGTAGAGAACAATGACCATGAAGCCGAAAATCACAAATCTGTTGTTCATTAAAGTCAATAGAGTAGCTGGAAGGTATATCATCTACACAAGCCATTAATATAATACCACAAAGTTTGGGATGTGGATAAATTCCTTCTAATTTAATTGATTTTGAATGATCAAGTATATTTGAATGACTTATTTCTGGACATCCGCTAGCATAGGCAATTGTCAAAAAAGCACCCGTACTTATTCCAATTAAGAATAATTGGGATCTATTAAATATAAACATAAAAAAAGATACAATTAAATCTATATCTAGCATATCTTTTGCCAAAGTCTTTTCACAAAAAGTCCCATTTGTATTTCCAAATATTCCATTTGTGTTAAATGCAATAAAAACACTTGGTTCCAATATTGAACTAGTGGTTCCACTATAGTTTATTGATCTAAAAATACACTCCGACATCTTTGTAGCACAACGTGAAGCTAATAGGGTTGAGATATCCTTACTTGCTTCAAGATACTCAATATCTATCAGTGTACTTGAATCTTTTAAAAAAAAATGGACTTTTTCTGTTATGCATATATCATCACTAAATTCTACTGAATAATCTGGAAATCCATGATTATATACGAAGGTGCACTTAACCATTGATGAAAAAACGCTATGTAATAAGCAGTCGTTTCGCTCTATCTGTTTTGTAAAGCCTATAATAGATAAGAGATCTTCAATATATACATTAGATTCCACATACGTCACTAAACCTCCAATTCTAAGTAGTACTTTGTAGTTCATTTTTAATATTAATCTAATAGATTAAAGTTCATTCCCTGAATCTTCCTTCCGTTATGGTTATGTAAGCTAGAAAAGTCGATATTTGGGGTAAAAATAAACCTATTAAGATTACTAATATTTCCTGGAATCTCTTTATCTTCTTGTATATCCTCAACTAAGAATTTAATATCTTCTATAGCTAAGTCAGAAATATCTGGATAAAGAGTTAAAAATTTCTGCACCTCTTTTTTACGAAGAACTCTTTCCTCTCTAATGACTTTGGACAAAGACTCCTTTTCTAGTAGTAAAAATTTATGGATTAAGTTCGGGGTAGTGTAAATAAAAAAATCTCCAAGTTTCAATAGTGTATTTGTGGGTTCAAATTCTCCAAATTTTAGTCTTTCTAGCGCTGATCTTGAATTTCTAGCTGCAAAGCTATTTCTAAAATATGATAAACCCTCCCTATTTATATTAGAGCATAAATCAAGTTCAATGAGCTAAAATGAAAGTACAAATTTGAATATGGCTTTTTTTATCATTACAAATGAAATAAATAGTTCTGTACTTACTTGGTGATGACGAAGCAATACTTTATCTGCCTGTCTCGATATTTTTTTAGCATTATTCAAAAATCTACTGTCATCTGATATGAAATCCATAATCATAAGTGATTAAAGATAACTTATCAATGAAAATTGTGTCTCTAAGCTTTCAAACTTGTAAATCACATAGCCCTACTTATTGCGGGTAATTAATCTTTTACAGTCCCAAGTTAGACTCTTGTGAAGTCTATAATAGTATCAGAAGGCAATAAATAATGACTTTAAACCTATACTTGAAGAAAAATTTACTAAAATCCATTTAATATTTGTAAATATACCATTCATAATGACTCTAATTTTCTCGAAATTCCTTATAATTGTAAAGTAATTAATAAAGACCTAACTGATATAAGAGCTCTTGATGGTTACTAGTAAGCTAGGATTATATTTTATAATTTAAATAAACTATTTGTATAATTAAACTTAATCACCCACTAAATTCTGTATATATTATGGAGGAATATAGAAGTAGTAGTATACAGATAACAATTATTACTCTCTAAAATAGCCATAAAATGTCTTACTTTATATTTTGATTATTACTGCATATGTACTATATTATAATGGCCTACTTTTCTCCTTTTAAAATTACACTTTTCTAGTATAATACTATTTACTAACTTTAGAAGCTATAATTAAAAAACTTGCTTTTTAATTAAAGATTCAAAACAGAGAGATATGTTGTATACGTCATTATTAGAGCATTATACTAAAAAGATTAGTAGCTAAAACTATCAGCTCACTGTTTATTTAGTTTGTTATCGTTGTGCAATTTTTTAACTTGTTACTATTAGTAAATTATAAATTTTTCGAAATATATAGGTATTAAAATTTTTGTAATATTTTTTTTTTAATTTGTGGTTACTTGAGATTAATACATACTTAGCATGGATCAATCTTTAGTTAGCAAATATTGATAGAATCTAAGATAGATAATTCTGTTTAGTTACTATTTGAGTATAAATATTTATTATTTTATCATAATTGTGATAGTTTGGACTGAATATAATACTATATAGTAATAACAAGAGGCTAAATCTATAAATATTGAAATAATATATATGTTTGTTATTTGTTTGATTTAGATTTTTCTAGGAATAACAGTTATTTCGAAATCAAACCTTGTATAGTAAATAATAGACGTTACATATTGCAAATCAAATTTAATTCTTAATAGTTAATATATGGTGATATTTCATATGTATTTTTATGTAATAGAGTCAATAATTTATGTATAGGCTAATTTCATTATTGAAAAACATTTATTAAGAAAGTTTTTAATATATATCTTACTGGATAATAAAAAAGTTAAATTAATATTTAAATTAATAAACAGCTTCTCATCATTCCTAGGGTGTATCTAAATCGAACTTATCAGAAAAATGTGCAATAAGATTAACTCCTGATAAACAATAAAGTATTCACTTTTTAAATGGATATAATCTTACTAACAAAGTAGCTTGTTGGGAATAAAATACTGCTAACTTTATTTTGCACGTTTACAATTGTAAAATATCAGCCAACCCGCTCTTAGATCACTGAATTGGTTTTCAAGTTCTTGATAAAAAAAATTCTTGTATATTACAAGTGCAAAGGGCACATATTTACGCTACTTTAAGGGTAGAGATTGTACAATTTAGCTGTAAAACCAAAACTAGGTGAATATATAGGAGATAAATTTAGATATGGAAGGATTGCACAGTACCCAAGTATTAGTAAAGATCAAAGCAGGTAGACTATTTTGGGATGGTTACTTGGTTGTACCTGAAAAAAAAAAGGGAAGTTTGCAAGTGATAAGAAATGAAATTAGAAATGTCGTTCAAGTTTGCTGGGTAAATCGTGATAATGGGGATGTTGAAGAATTAATTGATGTTTGTGAGGGTATGAGACTTGAAGAGGTGCCTGAATGTACTTCGGGTCATGTTTATGTTCTAAGAGGACTACATGACAAAAAACCTCATTTATATTGGATTCAGGAGAAGTTCGATTATTTAGATAGTGAAAAAGAGTTAATAAACAACTTTAATAAGAAATTAAAGGATTCTTATGAACATACAATTTCTAATCCTAGACTACAACTTAGGGAATCCTTAGAAATAGCTTTATCCCAAACAGAGAATAGCAACTTGCTTGATATAATTCAATTAAAAAGCCATATTTCAATCAACAATATACTTTCGAATGATGTATTGGAGGCGATTCAATGTGATCATCATGCCATGCTGGAACTGGAAAGTTTAATGCCAAATGGTCAACAAGATTCTCAAAATGTCATTGATGCAATGAAATGTCCTCAAGTTCAATACACTCTAAGATTATTAAATGAATCAATATATTCAGATCAATTAATTCCTCTGCTTAATGCTCTTGGCTTAAAACCTTTACAAGGTATTTCACATCCAATGGAACAATTCCTGAGTGCATTGGAAGCAAATTATAATCAAGATAAATACGCAAATTCATAAAGTAGTAGAATAAAAGCTATTTTTAATATAATGTAGTGTTTATCAACACTTTTTTTCTGCTCCTTCAACACAAAAAAAGTAAAACTACATGAATGCTTTAATATTGTTTCTATTATAATAATCTCTTAGAAGTGTTGGCTTGTCTGTCATTATTCCATCTAAACCAAGTTTGCAGCATCTTTCTATCTCTTCTTCTGTATTGCATACCCATGCAAAACACCTGATTCCACGCTTTTGTAAATGCCTTATCATTAATCGCCTAGAAAATATCCACATCAGTATATTTGGGATGAGGTGAAGTTTAATATAGTTAGTAATATTACTTCCAAGAAAGCTAAGCTTTGATACAGTATATCCATATTTGCAAAAAAATATATAGCTCAGCGGAAAAGAGTATATATCCTCATTTATAGAAATAAATGGTAAGATACCTATAAAATATGCTAACAGTAAATATATTACTGTAGTCTGACTAGCACCCAAAATAAGTTTAGATCGAAAATTCTCCTCATTATTTTCAGAATGTATTCTTACTACAGAGTTATTTATCTTTCTTAAATACTTTATGTTAGAGTGTGAGAAAGAAGCTATAACTGTCAAATCTTCCCTTTTATATTTTCGGATAATTTCAACAGTCCTTTCAACAGCAACTAAGCTATTCGGATTTTTTATATCAATAGACATCCGAATATTTGGGAAAATTTGGAACAATGTCTCTAGTGTAAGAATTCTTTGTCCTTGAAATTTAATGGGAAATCCACGCCACTTTGATATGTCAAGATACTCTGAAGATGGACACAATGTATCTGAGTCTAGTGTCAAAGGCATTTCATTGTAAAGTAAATCTCCTACATATTTATCCACTCCACAAATATTACCTAAATGATTGTCATGTAGGACTATCAATTCATTCTCTTTAGTTAACCATACATCTGTTTCAATCATATCAGTACAGCAATTTAGAATGGCATGTTCAAAAGCCATTTGTGTATTTTCTGGCCTTTCCTCTGAGCCTCCACGATGTGAAATATGAAGACAACCATTTCCTTTCCCCAATATTCCACTTTTTTTCCTTCTGCGTAATTCAAATTTGATAAATGGAAGTAAAGTTGGATAGCGAAGGAAAAATGAGGAAGCTACGTAGTATATGGTTATTATTGTCCACAATAATGAATAATAACTAAAATAACCGTAAAAAAACATCTAGATCACTCCAATGTGTCTGAGCTACTTCCAAATCCTTTAAAGATAAATATAATTTTAGAATATCTAAATTAAAATTAACTAAAAAGTGAGCCTTTAGCGCAACTTAAAATCATACTTCAAAGCGCAGCTACTATTTGTCTTCTTGTTGGTATAAAGTGCTGAGTAATTGCATGATACAATTTCTAACAAATAGATTACACACAGTAAGTTTTATTATACATATATTTTCATTCCACTGGCAGTTCAGAGAAATTTGAAACTAACTACATAATAATACAATCAATATAAACACAACAGAAGTTAACAATCATAAGATTTATTATATAAAGATGACAGAAAGTTCTGCAGATGCTACTAATACTGAGAAAGGCGTCAATTTAGACTCCAATATTTTAATATCAGATAGTAAGAGAAGAAGAAGTAATAGGAAAGGAAGACAGGTAAGAGAAAGCATAAACTATTTGAAAATATTGAAAAGTAGTCCAACTATAATAGTGGACTGCAGTTTTGATGACAAACACTCAGATAGAAATGTCAAAAGTTTAGTAGTCCAGTTATCAATATCATATTCTGTAATAAGAAAGTCTTCTTTACCTTTTACTATGATCATTTGTGGAGTGTCAGAGCGTCTGAGGAAAGGCCTTACTAAAACTAATGCAGAGAAGTGGCTTGGAGTTACAATAACTCAAAGGAATCTCGATTTAGTATTAAAAGATTTTAGAAATAGAAATATTGTGTACTTGTCTGCAGACTCAGATGACCACTTGGATCTCTCATCAGAAGTGCGGTATACTAGTGATGACATATTTATTGTTGGAGGGTTAATTGATCGGAATAAATATAAAGATTTATGTAAATACCGAGCTATAGAATTAGAGTTGAAGACATCTCATTTACCAATATCAGAAAGTGGTATAAAGTTAAATAATAACTATGTACTGGCAATTAATCATGTGATTGGGTCTTTGGTCAAGTACAACGAATTTCTAGACTGGTCGAAAGCACTTAAATATATTTTACCAAAAAGAAAGTCATTGTAGTAATTTTAGTATATCAGAAACATATTGTGGAATAGATCTTAAACCCTAAAATTAATTATTGAACAATATATTAATTTATTATAGACAGGTAGTGAATATAAACTAACCGATCGTTTAATAATATCCAAACAGTCCACACGAAGATCTGAATTTGTCTCAAGCAATTCATGGAATATAACTTCAAATTCACTTCTAGGTAGTAGTATTAAACTAGGTAGAAGTATATTTTTGTAATCTGTCCACAATTTTTGTATACAATGTCGGATACCTCTCCATGTTAAAGTATCATCCCACACCTGATATTTAACAAGTTATTTATAAAGTAAATATATACACGCAGATATCACTTACCCTACGACTCCTAATAAGTGATGATATAACAAAAGAAGCAATGAAAGGTTTGATTGATGGAATATATAATATTGACAAAACCATAGCTCTTCCAAGGGTTCTAGGAAATGTTGGCATATCCTCCTGTGCAAATCTACCTAACACAGATGCAATAGTATCGGAATCAAACAATGGAGGTGAAATCTGAGTTAGTTCAAAACAACAATCAACAATGTCAACAGCACGTCTTGCATCGACATTCTTTACTTCTGGATAGCTATATGATACTGCCATTCTTAAAAGATCTTCAGATGAGATCTTTGATTTAATTCTTGAATTTTCAAGATGTTTTCCATCTGGAGATAGTATATTCTGTATTGTATGCTTTAACAATATTTTATCACCAGTATTGATCAATATGGGTAAATATTGTTTTATTATATCAATTTCATAAAAGCCAATCATTGGAATCACCAAGTAGAAGTTACCAAATTCCTCAAATATTACTTGAAGCTCAGTCAGTAAATCTTTGTTTATTTGACTTTCATCAGTAGTTCTTGAAGCGATAATTCTTAATATTAATGTGATGAATCTTAAATAACAATTATTATCCTTAGATTTACTCCCATATATTTTCACAATTCTAATATACTCGGGGTGGTAAACTTCTGGTATAGACCTTACTATCTCATCTAGTAGAGGCTCAAAAACAGATGTAAACATTGATGATGAATGGTTTACATAATTGGACAAGTAAAATAGGAAGTGTATCAATACAGGTTTTTTTATACAACAATATTTATATAAGTTGCACCTTATTTTGGCAATATCTTCCTTAATATTTAAGTCATTATCTTCATTTTTATCTAGTTTTACCATATTATCAGTATCAATCTCTAACTTTACATCTCCCAAATTTTTCTCCAGTAATTCCATATCTTTAAATGTCTCTGAGACTTTAGAAGTAGCAGAAACAGCTGTTTGTTTAGAAATACATTTGACACATCTTTCAATGAAAGGGTTACAACAAATTTTAAGCCTATTTTCAGAAAGAGAATCTTCTAAGATACAACTTTGAAAAGTTAAAAATGCAATTGCTTCTATCCATCTTTCACCATATATTTTAGAGTTGTACCACTGATATGAATATTCTACACAATCACAAAGCAAATTAGAACTAGGAGGTGGAGTATAAGCAGAACATATCTCCTCTGTATACGTTAAGTTTGTGGAATTCCTGTAATTATGAGTATATTCTATACTTTTAAACTTCGTTTCATGATCTTTAAGCAAAACATATGGTCTCTGCCATTCTGGCAAATCTTCGAAATCAGGCAAGTTATTTTTCTCACAGTTTACTTTATTACCATCGCATGACATATCTAGGTTAGAAAACCTATTTGATACATATCTTATAACATCTTGACGGATATAGATATCAGTAGCATAGCAGCATGATACTAAAGCAAAATATGCTGCTTTTTTAGAATGTGACTCTGGATTTTTCTGATTTATAACACCACATAAAATGTTAATTGCATACAGCCGCTTCGTTTGAGCCTCACCTAACATCCAATCATCATATAAACTAATTACTGAGCTTATTGGGACTTCTGGGCATTCTATAAAGTATTTATGTAATGTACTTAGTATTATACAAGATGACATATTTTCAGCTGGATGATCACTAGATGTTATTGCTGAACTAATTACTCTTAATCCCAAATCAAAAATTTGATTGTAATAGAACTCATCTCCAGCATCCCTGTCATTTCCACTGATTTTATTATCACTAATATTTTGTGTTCCACATACAATATTTGTAGATTCTTCTCTCTCACAATATAATCCGGTAATCAGCCACTTCCAATTAATGGAGTTTTTTGATACATCAATTTTCCTCAAGGTAAAATTAAGTGGATTATTTCCAACAATATTTAAAATCTTATTTGAGTAAAAACGGAACAGTATATCCAGTAAAATTTCGACTCTATATTCCCAGACAATACCATATGACCAAAGAAGACCAATGCAAATTATTTGAGACAATCCAAAAACTTCTTGAATTCTTTCACCGTTGTGCTCTTCTTTCAGTAAATTGTCCATGAACACAAAGACATATTCATTGCCAATATTTAAAGCGTCTCCAGTTTTATTTATATCAAACTTATTCTGTATATGTGAACTGGTGTCTGATACTAGTACTAGTGCGAGTAATAAATCATTTGTTTCTGAAAACAAAGTGAATATTATTGTTTCAATTAAAATCCATTGAAATGAATTTTCTAACTTGTTATGTAACATAGAGAGTCGTATAAGAATATTGTATTTCTGTTTGATACTAATAAAACCTTCGTTGAGTCTTCTCGAAAATAGCCCCCAAGCTAACCCAACTTCACTGCCATAACTCTCAAAGGAAGGTAAAAACTTTTCTTTACCAGAATCTAAAATACGTCTAAGAAAAAGTTCCCATGCAGATATAATTTGTTGACCATACTTGAGACTGCTAGCCAATGAATTATTAGTTGGATCTACAGATTCATATACACCCTCAGCAGATAAAGAGATAAGTGGAGATAGCAACAAACTGGATGCAATCTGAGCAAAGATAACTGCTTTTATAGAATTTGACTTACTTTTTAGCCATTTGCTATCTGGACAAACTACCATATTATAAAGATCTTTAACTAAGGTGTTGTTAGAATATTTCGTATCAGAATTCATCGTCATCTTCTCGATAGAATCAGTAATAGTACATTCATAAAAAGTGAGTATTTGGTCATCCTTTTCATGACAATCACTTTTTTTAGTATGAGAGTTTAATTTATATTGTTTATCTAGTAACTTGTTCTCAATACTAAGTTTATTATCTGCTAATGGAGAAAATTTATTTGACCATGGAGTATTAGAAAGATTCATAAAAGTATCCAAGTTTATTTTCTTCCCAGGACAATTTTGTTCTACTTCTACCAGTATGTCATCTGGTAATTTTGGATTTAGGAAGTTTGCTAAAACAGTATCGACAATACTTGAATAATTTTTGGTTGCAAATAACCAGCTTACTCCCTCTATTACACTTTGGGGTAATATTTCATAATGGCCTTGATCAACGTTGTATCTAGTCCGTTTATATGAATATCGTGAAGAAATACTTCTAGATCTTTGAGCTTCGGCAGGAGGAAATGGTATGAAGACAGGAGATTTTATATCATCCCCTATATTACTAATTCTCTTTTTTAGTTCCATTCGTATATCTTCATTTGAGCTCTCGGAACTGTTAAAAATATTATAGGCTTCAAGCCTTAACAAGTTGAAATCTTCAGTTCTACCCAATAGACGAAGTAAATTAACAAGTTCCCCCATATATAATGATATGTATTTCAAATTTGGACAAGCAAATATTCTTAAAAGTTCCTTTTGACAAATATATTGTAGTGCAAGCAACTTCTCATCTAATTTCTTCTCAAAGTTAGTAATATTTTCTATACTTTGTTTAATACTGCAAAGAAACCTTGATAAAAATTGAGGTCGTTTAAAGCATAGCCAACCTAAGCATTGAAAACCAAGACACAAGTTTAATGAACCAAGTTCTTGCTTAAAAGGATTTGCTACAGTTAATACTGATTCTATTGGTTTGCATAGTAAATTGACAATACTTTCTAAAATGCAAGAAGTATCTTTATTAACCAGTACTTCTATAGGGAATTCTTCTAAAGAATAAACTTTTCCAGAGTTAATAGGGTATACCCACCCAGTTCTTGAAGCTGTAATTACAGATGATTTATTCTCTGGTTCATGGGTTTTTCTGTGACCTGACAAGCTAAGCGAGCATATTTGCAGAATTAAGTTTGATAATTTGAGACACTTTCTATATAGATTTATGTATTGAGCTTCGTTTTTGCTTTCCAAAGTGTAAATTTTATCTCTAGTTTCTTTATTATAATCTTTACATTCAATTAAACAAGAGAAATGTATCGACTGTGGCATTTCGTTATGTTCTTCGTACCAAGAAATCTTGCTTGCACCCTCTTTACCATAGGTTTCAACATATCTTGCTATGCACTTGATGACTTCCCTCAAGTTTCTCAAAGTAGTGTTAGTTGCTAAGCATAATCCAATAGAAAGTTTTGATGACCACCAACCTTTACTACAACACTTACAGCCTTCAAAATCTAGTTGAGTGTCTGATACATGCTGGTGAGTGCAAGTGCATAGGGAGTTCTTCCAATTTTGTTCTATGTTCATATCCGTGTATACGATAGAATGCTTCACAGACAAGGGAAGTAATACATTAGGAATAATAATATTTATTGTCCTATGTAGAAAGTCAACAGCTGATATTACTACAGCCACATCCTTATCATTAAGTAATTGCAAAATATATGAAATGATTAGTGAAGAGTATATATGATCAGATTTCAATATTTTCTCTAGTTTCTCACATACTTCTATACGCTTCTCTACATCACTATCAAATCTTTCATTAGCTATTTGCTTAATAAATTCAATACTCTTCACATAATCATCATGCAATATATGTTTACCATAATCTAAAAACTTCTTCGATTCCGAACTATTTAAGATGTCTGCACTGAGAGTCAAACCATGGGACTTGCGTTGAGCTGTTAGATGAACAAAATACGAAATTAAAGAGTCACCATCAGAATTTACCATTGAAAGCGTTTTGCTACAAGCGGAGTCCCAGTTCTAACTTGTATCTTTAATTCAATTGTTCTACAAGAAAATATAATGTTGTGGATTACAACTACGAGTACCAATAGTACCGTCTTGTATAGCAATACAAACTTGGATGCCAGCGCCAAAATAGGCAGTCAGTCATCAGCTACCTTATTTAAATAGTTACACTTTAAACCCATGGTATAATAGGTGTATGTTCAACTCGGTAATGTCAGAAACTGGTTGCTACATATGTGGAGATCGTCCTGTAATGAGGCGCTGTGAAAGTGGGCAGCTTAACTGTAAATATTGTTTTCTGAGTGCTTTTGAGGAGGAAGTCCATGAATACATTACGAGTTACAAGTAAGTTTCTTGATTAGTTGTTAATATAAGCACAGCTAAGAAGTTAAGATAAATTTTTGAGTATTTACAGAATGTTTTCACCGGGAGAAGTAGTAGCTATAGGTATTTCTGGAGGGAAAGACTCAAGTGTCCTCCTAAATGTAATGTATGAGCTCAATAAAAGGAAGGAATATGGTTTAGATTTGCGACTAGTTGCAATAGATGAAGGTATAAAGGGGTATCGTGATGATGCACTGAAAGTAGTAAATTTCCAGAAAGACTATTATGATCTGCCACTGACAATCTTACAATTTCAGGACTTATTTGGTACAACAATGGATGATATCAGATTAAAAGCAGGCAAATCAAATTCCTGTACATTTTGTGGAGTATTTAGAAGACGATCACTTGATGTAGGGGGCAATTTATCTGGAGCAGATAAATTGTGTACTGGACACAATGCAGATGATGCGGCAGAAACTGTCTTGTTAAATATTTTGCGTGGTGACTTAAATAGGTTACAAAGATGTACAAACCCAATAACCTCAACTGAAATTAAGCAGAGTCAAGATAATGAAGTTGTTATGGGATTAGGAACTTTACGAAGTATACCAAGAGTTAAGCCCTTGATGTACTGTTTTGAGAAAGAAATTGTTTTATATGCTTATTATTCAAATCTCAGATACTTCTCTACCGAATGTAAGTATTCTGTAGATGCTTATAGAGGCTTTGCTCGCGAGTTTATTCGACAAATAGAAGGCATAAAGTGCAAATATGTAACGAACTTCATTAGAGCTGCTGAGAATTTTAATATTGCAGCTATAAATAGAGATAAAAGTAGCACTAACGAGAATAAAAACAACTTACCCAGAATTTATGCACAGCAGGTGGTACAAAGATGCACTTTATGTGGCTATATGTCCTCTGCTCGAGTCTGTAAGGGGTGTCTTCTTTTAGAAACATTGAGAACTAATAATAGCAAAATCACATTTAAAAGTGGATAAAAAAAAATCTAGATTTAAACTTCATACTTAAGGTAAATGTGAGTTACATTTAATTTTATGTAATTTGAGGACAAGACTTTTAGTTCCCACAATTTGAATTTCGAGACTTGCAATAGTTTATCTTATAACCAACTTAACAGAGGGGAGAGACAAGGCCTTTGTAGCATAGTTTTGGTCATTGCGTCGGTCTTGTAAACCGAAGGTCACGAGTTCGAATCTCGTCAAAGGCTCCATTTTTGGTGGACATCCAGTTCCTCTCAACCAACTACGACACTCAACCGCCACCTCATTACACTTGTATCTGCAAGTCAGTATTAAGAAAGTAGATGATATTTAGTTCCCCCTCCTGGTATACTACCTCTATATGCTAACTAATTGAGATGTTACCTCTCAACAATCTTTCTTCCCGAAGGGTCAATTCAGAATAGTATACCCTCATCTTTTTGTCCAAAGACTGACTCCGGGTCATCTATCTCTGACTGACACTCCTCTTTTCTACTTGCTCTCCCCAAAGCTTCAGCTTCAGCCCACTCTTTCTTTTTTTCTTGAATTTTCTTTAATCTAAAGAACTCCTCTCTCTCTATTTCATCTAGTTCCTTTAGTATATAATTAATTCCATCATCAAGCTTAGGTAAAACTACATTTTGTAAAGCATTAACGCGGCGATTGGTCATCTTTATCTCCTCGTCTAAAGAAAAGAATGCAGTCTGTAAACTCGCTAATTTAACTAAACCTTTCAGTACTCGTAGGTATATATCCTTTGTTGACTGAATAACCTGTCCACCGCTAGCTACACCAATGTGGCCTGTAACATCAACTGATGTGTCAATATTCAATTCAAATATGGGGAGGCGTACACCTGCAATATTTTCTGTGGCAACATCTAATGATATAGCTGGTTTTTTGCACGACTCTATAATTCGATCCTTGAAATCACCTGCTGCCCAAGTTGCCTTTGCTAAAGCAAAGGATGCTTCTTTCATCTCATCACCTATTAAACGTTTTGTTTCGACGATCTCTTTCAGCATTCCACGAAACTTATTTGTAAGTGCGTCACTCTTCCTCTTAAGTAAGTCATATCCCTGTTTTGCACCTTTACTTTTTTGTTTGATTGCTTGTAAATTCCTAAAAAAATAAAAGATAATAAGTTCAGCATACAAAAGTCTTAATTAAGAAAAACCACTTACATACGACTTGGAGTTGGTCTCTGCTCCATATCTATACTTGTCTAGATTTTTAAAGTGGTAACTCTAATTTAGTGCTTATTTCTAAAAAAAAAAAAGGAACGAAAGGTTAACAATATTCCCGGTTTTTCTCTTTTTTCTTTGGTCTGTTGTGCCGGGTATACATTCTAAATTCACAGTTACTATTATAATTTTCTCTTTCTTTTTCCTAGATAACTTTTCATACATGATATTACATTAAGTAAACTACGAAGAATTATGCACTAACTCGTATAACTTTACCAGTATATATCTACTTTTATAGTTACAATGAACTGCTCCCATTATCTTGAATACTTTGGCACTCAAGACGATGAGTACAATGTGATATTTCTCCTTCACAAATTTTGTAAAGATTAATGCAATCTTTTAGATTTCCTTTGTTTATAAATTTTAAAGTTTCTTTTAATTTATCGCGCATTTAGTGGGATGGATAGGGAATAGTAAAAATGAACAGAAAGCAAAAGATGGCTCAGCTACACTTCAAGCATACCATCTGCACTATATTGATATTATCCACAATATATGGTTTATTAATAGCAGATTCTGAGTTGAACTATCTATCAAGATATGTACTATTTGTCATCTATGATGACTTTCCATTAGAAACTAATGTAAGTATATAAAACTATATACAAATATTTTTTATGTTAATAGGAAAATCATCTACTCTTACGGAAATATTTAGAAAATATACATTATTAACTTTCTTGTGAATGAAGTAAAAGTGCCCAGTTCCCATATATATTGTCTTTGGAACCGAGATACCAACTATTTTTATGAAGATTCGCTACTCATACCGATACTCTTCCGCTATTCTGATAGCAATTTGGAATTTGACTGGTTTTTTATCCTTTCAGAAAATACAAGATTCGACCCATTTCTTCTTGAGGAGATCTTGAAAAAAGGGTAATTTGAAATATATATGTATCAAATGCAAATTAGTTTCTTAATTACTGTATTTTAGAGGAGTGAATTCAAAAAGAACTGATTACTTAGATAAATTATCAGATATTCCATTTAAAAATAGGAAAAACAGAATTTTTTTAAATGAATTTCTTGGAGCTCAACTAAATGATGAAGTTCCATCTATTGTTCACCACTACAATATTGATAAGCACTTTGCCTATCCGTACTATCCCTCAGGCTTTGCAATTAGTAGAAATGCGATAATGAATTTAAAAACTAAAATGATTGTAGAATTTAATAAATATGCTCAACCAAGGATATATACAGACCCTATTTACGAGGTAAGAATCTCTTAACAATTGAAGTTGAATTACTAATTTCTATTTTATTGCAGCTATCAAAAGTACTCAAAGAATTGCTTAATGTTTCATTAACTGATATAGTTCAATTTTGTACAGGTTTTGAAAGTCTAAGATGCGGAATATACATAAAAAGTAGAAACACACCTGTAAAGTGTGCAACATGGACCATCTCATCACGAATATCCCCTAACTGCCCATTACCAAATATTATCACAATCAATAACAACGAACTAATTGATCCAAATGATGTTGTTATTTCTGTTAAGACTACAGGGAAATTTCATGGTACGAGGGTTACACAAATAGCTCGATTATGGGCAAACAGAAATTTATTGAAATATTCAACTCATCCATTATGTCCAAAGCTAGACGTATATGAAGGTCATAATATAGAATTAGAAGTATTAAGTGACAAGTCAGAAACTATAGGAAATATACAAACCATCGATTTAGGTGTTGGAAATCAGATTAAAGGGCATTGTGTCAAGTTTTACTCTATGCTCCATTATCTTTACAAGAAATACTTGAAAAGTGGTAAAGCTACAAATAAGCGTTATTTTGTAATTGTTGATGATGACACATTAGTACTACCTAATTCACTATTAAATGTTCTATCTATTATTGATCAAACTAGATATAAGAACGAAAAACTTTATATGGGGTTAAGATATTCTCTAGGGTCTATATTACAGGGATGGAATATTGACTATGCAACTGGTAAGCTAAGAGAATTTTGAGAAAGCACTTTATTTCTACAAACTCTTATATTAATAACAATGAGCTAGTACTAAAGTTGATAAAAATTTCTGGATTATAGGCGGAGCCGGAATAGTTATTAATGCTAATACGCTTGTCTCACTTGTAAATTGTTCTGGTAAGTTTCAAACTTAAACTAAGATAAGATACTGGTTTGAAGTTATCTATACTTTTAAAACTTTTGTATTGTAAATATCGTCAATCTCATGTAATTTTAGTTTGCTCATGTTCTGGACCTACTGAACCTGATGATATGGCAATGGGACGTTGGTGCAAATTTTTGGGTATTAAAGCAATCAATTATCCTGGTTTCTACCAAGCTGAGCCTTATAATTATCATCCTTACTATATTGAATATCTACCAATTATAACATTTCATAAATTAAGTGATAACTTTAAAATGACAATAATAAATTATTCAGAGACACTTTTTTCTGAAATGTACCCACATATTGATAAAGTACGTTCAGAATCTTCTATACAACATGATGAACTTTAATATTAGGTAATAATAAAAATATGACAATTATAAGAAATAGGATATGGATATATTTGTATTTAAGCTTTGTTTGTTAGTATAAACTATTAGAACGATTAATTCAACATCATTAGTCTATACAACTCTTCGAATAACCAAATAGGTCTACTTTAGCGGTTTGAAAAGTGAAATAATTTTTTCTTGCAGATTTCTAGATAGTAGCAAGTAATGGTCTAATATCAAATAATTAAATATAATGAATGTGATATTCCCTCCTTTAAGTAATGTAGATGATTCATTATCTCCAGTATTCTCAATTATATCTTTTCACGGTCTCAATATTCTCTGCGATTGCCCATTACTTACTAAAAATTATCTCAAAGAGCATTATGGTGATATATTAGACAAGTTAATTACAAATATTAAAGAATTTAATGAATTAGGTGATTACTATGTATTTCCGGCAACAATTTTACTCGGATTAGGTGACAATAGAAACGAAAATATTCCTATTGATCTGATTTTAATAACACACCCTGATGGCTTAATGGGTATCCCCTTCCATCTTCATTACAACCAATTACATAGAGATTATAATTTGAAACATAATGATTGTGAAAAAGAAGCTAACTTAGAAAGTTTAAAACAAGATTTACCTGAGTGTATTTTATCTTTACTATCATATTTATCTTGTATTGACATATCCAATGCACTATTAGCTGTAACGCCTCCAGTTTTCCAGTCTGCAACTGTTGCTTTACAACAATTAATCCAGTATAGTGAAACTATACAAAGCAATATTTCAAATCCATTTATTTGGTTAAGGACAAGTGACATATTTAATCTTTTTACTTCGTTAAATAAGTTGAGAAAAGAAGGTACAGTGGAGTGCCCATATAAATTGGACAAAAGCTCTACATACTTAAGGCATCAAGTTATTGCCAATTTGCCAGAAAGTGGCCCTGAATATTTTTATAATCAGTCTATTGTAAGCAATACCTCGGAAAGAAACAACTTTACAGGCTCTGCAGATTCAAATATGAGAGGAAGTACAACAGGATTAGGTGCAGCTGTTGGAGCTGCTACGCACATATTTGACGGAAATACTCTTTATAATTATCCAGCTACAATCGGTGGACATAACTGCACTTCAAGTACTTCTAATCCTCCCTTGATTGGTCCCTTTTCAGGTGAGGAAATTTCTGGATATGCAAGAGGCATCATAGAAAGTGAATTATATCAACATATTTCAGAAGAAAATGATATAACAAATCAACGGTATATTTCTAATTCTATATTTACTGAGAATTCCAGATTTAGTATCAAGCTGTTGCATATTGGGCAGAGGGAGAAAATCTGCAAGAATCTTACAACATTTATACTATACCCACTAGATAGTGGATATTGTTTAGGAGGTGTTGGTTATTGTCTAGCTACGAATAATAGGTCTCCTGAAGATTCATTAAAAGATGAAAAAATTGTGATCTTTGGTCAGGTTTCAACAGAAGTCGATAGATATCCTTCTCCACTAAACCTTAATGACATATATGAAGCCTCAAATGTTGTATTTTATGGGAGTATGATCTCTATAAAACAAGCAGAGTATATTCATAAGATTGTGGAATCTACAAATATTGTACAATTATCTAATTTATCATATTACTTAACAGAAATAAAGATTATTCTTAATTATATAAAACATACATTATATAGAAGTGGCTCAATCTTAATACCTACAGATTTATATGGACAATACTGTATGGAGTTAATTGAATATATTGGACAATATGTATCTGAACTACCTATTCAATATCAAGTTCCTATATACATAGTGGGTGGTGGTATCTCGACGATATTATCAAATGCTGATGTATCTTCTGAATGGACATGCTCTAATAAAAGCCGTAAGTCTATGTTACCCAATCCAATATCCCCATTTCTGTTTTCACAATTGAAGTCATCAAATAGACTTTATACATTTCATACAATCGAAGAGTTATCTATTGTATACCGAGAACCAGCTATATTTTTTGCATCTTCAAGTGATCTTAGTTTTGGTCCGTGGATAAGAATATTAAATCAGCTATACTCTGATCCTAAAAATACATTATTAACTATTGATCCTTGCACAGATATCTCATATTTGACTATGAAGTATAATTTGAACAATGACAAAATTGACCATATTGAATTAGTTTACTTTCCACTAATATTGTTTCCGACTCTAAACAGTTTGATGACTGAAATTTTCAATAACCACAATTCAAAAAATCCGAAATTTAAGGTTTTAATTCCATTAAATAAAAATAATCACTCAGAAGACTCAGATGTAATAAATTTCCCTATAGAATACAAAACTAAAATTCTAGAAGTCCCTAGACAAATTCAGACTTTAACTAGGAGAAGTAATGATGAAAATGGAGTGAAGTACAATTGGTTTCCAGCTTCTTTATCTTTCAATGCTAAAAATAAATCTTTTCTCAAGTCAATATCACAGGGAGTTTATGTAGGCAGAACTAATGCTATAATTAATTGTAATGAGGGTAACATTTCAATTGAGGAGTTTGATCAAGATCAAAATACTGCTACTCAAAACACAAATAACAATGTACCTAAAGAGAAAATTCTAATGGGTTACACAACTGTATATTCTATTCTTTCCGCACTGAGAAAACATGATATTAATGATGCTGTGATACTTAAGTATATAGACAATACTGACAACTCATTGAATGATAGAAAAAATCTATCTACCATTTTTATACCTTCACTATCTTGTACAATTACCCTTACAAGTTCATGTGTATGCAATATATCTACAACAAAGTCAACTTCAAGGAGCATAGTATCTGGTATAATGAAATCTTTAGTTTCTAAAATCTAATTGCAGTTATTTTCACTTTTATGTCGTCTACCTACGTATATTTTTGATCGTTTACTATTTAGCATCTGATCATTTGTATTGTTTCTACTCGAACTTGCTATATACTTATTCCATATCCTTGCATTACCTAATGGAATTTGTAGCTTGTCATCATTGTGCAACACTTTGTACATGATTATACGTCGTTTTTTCTCAAATTCTCTACCATTATATGGTTTATTTTTACCTTGTTCTAGATTGTTTATGCACTCCTCCCTTGTGCATTGTCTTAAGCCACATGAGTATGAGCCTTCACTTGTTGGAATATCTGATAGCTGGTATGGTATTGATAGGAAACATATGTCGAAAAACACTACTAATGCTAGTTTGTTATGTAAATATTCAAAATATTTGTCTTGAATATAAGATATAGAATCTGACTCTACTAAATTAGGCGATGTATAATGAATATGAATTCTAAGTGGCCAATTTACTGTTGAATTAAATATAATGCTTGCTGGAGGTCTTGACATAAGCCCACAAGTAGTGGAGTGAGACAACTCCCAATGTGCCTTTTGACAAGCATTTGAGCAGTAGCTTGCGACTAAACAATTTTTGCAATATCTAAAATCTATCTCATAACTATCAGGCTTTAAATTTTCATCCAATTTCTCACCTATTTTGACTCTTGAACCGACTGTAAATCTGACACAATCTGGATGGAAACATGGTACCTTTATACTACATTCATCTGCACTTTCCAAAGCACTTTCCTAGGATTCAGTAATTAGAAAATATTATCTTATTTGTACAATCAATATATCTATTCACTTACTTTTATTCTTCTATCAGTTATCCACTCTTGTAGTTTTATTAGATCGATATCTAGTCCCCTGTATAACTGAGTGAGGTATTTTCTTATCATTCTAGCATCTTCTAATAAAAAAGGTATTAACGAACTTTCAACCTCAGTTTCCTAAAGTATATTAGATATAATTATTTTAGAAAATTTTTAACAATATTTTTTTTTAGCTCAAAGTGGTATATTCAAGTAATTACTTGTAACATTTACTTTTGAACAGATAACAACTTACCATTGTTGTTTTTTTTAAATGAGAATGCAAAATGGAAACAGACTTTATTAGTGTTTTTAGGTCTTTTTCATTCCAAGGTATTTCATATACAAATGCAAAGTATATGATCTCTATTAGCATTAATAAACTTGAGTGAAGAATTGGTTCCTTATACTTTGGACTACACAAAATAGCAAAGGCTTGCCAAATATTTAAACCCTTGTCACTAGTTTCTTTTATGTGATTGTGTTCGATCTTATTGTTCAACGTTAAACTTGAAACACTTGTAGAAAGTGAGTTATCTAGGTTTGACTTAAGACATTTTTCATTATAGCAATTGTTATAGTCTAGATACTTAAAAAATTTGTATCCTTCTCCAAATACAGAATCAGCTATGGAAGGTATCATAAAAGGCTCAGCTGATAGTTTAAGTAACAAGTCTTTTGAGTGTCCTATTAATAAACACTCATTTAAAAACTCAATATATCCAATGATCAATTTAGAACTGTGTCTATCATGGATTAAAAATAATGGGGATGTTAATATGTGGTAAAATATAACTGAAGTAAGTTTACTAAAAAATATTCTCATAGTTATTTGCTGAATATCAACATCTTGTGTCTCTGATAAAACAGTAATACAAATTCTTAAAGCTTCCATATTGCTATATAGAGCTTCCACTTTCATGTAATCAATCCACAGCATTGTAGAAGATTCACAAAATAGTATAATCGCATTAATTCTAGATTCAAAGTAGTACATTGCATTAAGGCGTACAAGTAACCTAATTGCACCAGGTATTTTGGTATCAACTAGGCCACACAATAAATAGTTTATTGCTGTAAAAGAGTCTGGGAATGATTGACTTTTTTGAATATTTCCATTAATGTTTTGTGTTGGATCACTTAAGCTGGGGAGGGATAATTCTGTTGTTAAATCTGCAGTTCTTAAATAGCTATGCTGAAATAAAATTAAAAATAACCACAGTTCATGAATTATAGTAGCCCAAAAGCTTGGATCACTATATTTTTCCTTGATAGCAGATAGCAATAAAGATACCATACCTATGAGTTTATTTGGATCTAAGTTAAGGAGACCCTTTACAACAAACTCAGGTAAAATATTGGGTATTTGTGACATAAGTTCTTCTTTCATATGTAATAATTTTCGTCTAATTTTTATTAATTCTGATACATCGTTTTCATTGATAAATTCAAGTCCTGACAAATTTAATATTGAATGAATATTTGTAATATCAAGTTCAATATCTCTTGCTTCATTTTCTAATACATTTAGATGACAATTAAGATTTTGTGCTGCAAATTTTTCTAAATTTAGTTGCTTAGCTCCGAAATCCCCATCTTTATCTTCTGTTTCATTGAGTTTATATTTGCTAACAATTGTAGGGACTTTTGCCTTAACATATACACATACCCCCCTCATTTTCTGAAGCATTACCCTTTCACTAAAAATAAGTTTTTTCATTTCACTATTTTTTACAGCCAACTTATCTGATGCAAGAAACATAAGTTGATCTATATTTGCTTCTGTAATGTGGGGATGCTTCTCAGGAGAATAGTCTAAAAATGGTTGCCTTAAAGATTCAGCTAATTTTACGCGTGATGCAGTACGAGATATTACTCTTAGTGATGCAACCTCGCTATCAATAGTCCTCTTCTTTCGTTTTCCTTCATTTTTAATATGGTATATTTTACTCACATTATCTAGAGGATGTACACCGGAAGTATCTGACTCATTATTAGAGAGACACTCACTAGTAGTCTTTGTATATACTTCTTTTTGCCTTTTTTTTTGTTTTATTAACCAAAATCCCATATTCCTTTGAGGAATTTAAGAAAATTTTAAAGGCATGCCGTTATTGCATGTGATGTCTACATTAGATGTTTGGCGCCAACATTTGTTTGCTGGGTCCAATGCCCAGGCCCTGACGCTAGTCAAAAGTTTACCGGAAAGTGCTGTGTTGTACTACTTGGTGTACAACCATAACTAGTGAATAGTGAAGTAGTATAAATATGAGGGTGAATACACCAAATCCCTTTAAGAAGTTTTACCATGACAAAGGATTGCTACTGGAGGTTGAACATAATGGCTTAGTAAACTCTACCTATACAAATGAGAGCCATGCACTAAACACAAACCAAAAATACAGGTTCTTAAAAACTAGTGCATTTATTACCTTAATATTAGGAGTATGTAGTTTATCTGGAATCTCACTACTGTATTATTTTTTTTGGAACTTTAATTTTGAGCTCGAGTATATTAATCTATTTTTAAATTTCCACAGCAGCTCTAAATATCCAATGTTAAATAGAAAAATTAGTCTAAACAAATTTTATGAGTGGGTATCTTTGGGTTTAACTGGTTCAATTACATTTCTTAAAATGTTGCTTCAGTATCTGGATATATTCATACATTCCACTACACTCTATCCCATTAAATTAGAAATAAAAGTCGTGCAAACACTTCAAAGTGCTCTAAAATCAAAAGATATTTTTTTTATGAGTGCAAAAAATCTCTTTACTTATATAAATATCAATCTTTACCTTGTACTTAAAAGATCCTTTAGGAGATTTTTTGGGCGCAAAGAGTTGCAAGCTATACTCAACCACTTTTATAATATTAAAGAAACTTTATCTGAAAATATTTTAATAAACTTCATCTTATATATTTACTTTACTCTTGTAGTACTTTCTCTTGCTAATTTTTCTATCGCTACTATTTTATGGAATGGTTTATTTAGGTATCTTGGAATATCCTCATTCTTCTGCTTCAGAATAGCAGCTATAATTTCAATTCCATTAGTCACTTTGTTCTTTTTACCAGAGTTCTATATTGCACTTCCTGATGCGTTTAGTGGCTTCTTTAGAAATATTAATACGAAATGTAGTGCTTTAACTCAAATTAGCAATGGTCTTATGGAAATACCAATGATATCAGAAAATTGGTGGCATTCAGGGAATTTACACAGTGTATTTAAAGGTGTTGACATTATTAACAAAATTAGAGAAGATCCTATATCTCCTAATGGTATATTTGTCACTAGCTTAATAAATGATTATACTTTGCAAGATAAAAGTGTTTGGGATAAAAAGGTTTTCTTAGACAACTTTTGTCTCTTATTAATAAATTATAAAAATTTCAGTACAATTAGTATTTACACAAGGGTTACTTTGGCTTTAGTTTCTATTTTTTTTTTAGCTTTCCTTCTTTTTAGTGAGAAGCGTGAAAAGCAATATCACAACATGAGCCCAAAGCTGCCAATATATGTATATAGGTACCTCTTATCAAGAGCAGCTGCTACTTATCTACTGTATTTCACGCAGGATTATTATGAAATGGACCATCTCAGTAATTTCCTCCCATTTGTGTTGTATTTTATATCGAAACTCACATTATATCATTGCAAAATTTTACAAATTATACTTGAATATCTTGTATGGAGTAGAGACGTGTCTAAGTTAAAATCAAACTCACAGGAATTACTAAGAAAGAGCGAGAAAATATCCCAGGACTCTTTAGAGGAAAATTCATGCAAAAAATTAGGGGCAAGAAGTTTAAGAACACAAAAGGTTAACTTAATTTTAAGGTCTGTTCGGAATAAGACTACAATTGGAAATCAGAATAAAAAACAAAAAGAATTTATCAAACTGGCAAGTATCATGAGCTTAAAACGAAGTACCAACAATGCACCTAAAAACAAAATATTCCATTATCTTATAAAAATATTTAGAGTTACTTTGCATTATTCTCAAATGATGACACTTTTCAACGTTTCGGTTAAATTCTCTAAAAGATCGAGTTTAATATTATATAATATAATAAAAATATTAATATTTGATCCATTAGAGTCACTTTTTTGGTATTTCTATGAAAGACAATATAGAGGTTTGATACTAGATGCCTTGTCACACCACAACTTGGATGAATTCCTCAGAAGAAAAAAAGTGAGCTTAAACATACTAGAGGAGTTACTAAAAAGCATGACACTATGCTATTCAAATGTTGGGAATATAACAGTTATCCGCAGTATTACTATAAGTAGAGCAAATTTGCTACATGAACTGAAATGGGTTATGAAGGTCTTCCCTAATGAGAGACAATTCAGAAAGTTGAAGGAAAATTGTAATAGGAATCTTAGTGATATAGAGAAAAAGTTACTACCATTTGCAGATATTCCCTCTATACATAATAGAATTTATATGGAAATACAATATTATATTTTAGATTTATCAATTGAGTCATTATTAACCTATTGTGAAAGGATCATTTTGGCTTGCAAAGCATTAAATAACTCTGAAGGTCTTATTGAGTTATTGTCACTATTAAATAAAGAAAAGTTGTCAGAATATAATATATTTCATGAGAAACTTAGAAGTAGTGATATAAATAAAATTACTAATGACTTGTTCAACTTAACTAAGAGAAAAGGATCAGCTAATGTATGGGAACAATATTCGACAATTTCCGGTATACTACTCAAAACTGAAAAGGAGCTAAAAGGAGTACTTCAACCAATAGAGTATATTGAACCAACTCTTATTTTTAAACAATGGGAAATGATAAAATTGAGTTTGAAAAGTATAAAAAGTGAGATTACACAAAACCGAAATTCCTACGAAGATATGTATATGAATGGATTTTCACTACATACAGTGCAAATGGTTTTACACCACCAAAATTATGCAGCAGTAGGAGCTTCAGAGAAAATTCAAGAATGTCTATCAGAGTGTATTGAATTATGCAGGAACTGTGGAACAATTATAGAAGAAGAAACTGATGAGTTCCAAAGGTCTTCAGAAGTACAACTAAAGATTTTGAGTGATACTAAAAGTTATTGTATAGGAATTTTGAGATTATTAGATAATATGTTAGTTGCTATGCAATCAGTTAATATTTGTACTATAAACATGGAATCTTCACCTATAAAGTGCGAGTTCCCTACTTTACAAGCTCACCATCCTAAAGTTACGACTAACAAACTAGAAAATCTATGTAAACTTCATGGAAGAGGATTAAGACAAACTTTTACTACTTATTCTGATGGGAATTATCCACCTAACACAAGTTTAAGCAATAATATCACAAGAAGTACACCTGAGAGGATTAGTGATGATAGCAAAGACACATTAGGTACAAAGCAGGGTGGATTAACCAAAAGACGTGATATATTCTCACCATGTACAGTAAACAAAAGTGATGCAAAAAGGAGTTTGAAAAAATCTATGATACCATTAATTAGTGATAATACTGTAAAATTAGACAATGATACTGATAAGGAGTATTTGCCATTTCTAATATCTACACCTGATGAGGTAGTTCGTGAGATAATTTAATGGGTTCAAATAATTTATATTGCAATCGCTTAAAGAATAGGCAGTTACATTTTATGTATCTGAAAACGAGCCTTTGTTAGATTTCCACTTAGAATGACATACATTGAGATAGCATTGCTAGGAGCTGGAAGTTGCAGCGGATATAAATCAAACTGACAATATCAATTAAACCAATGTGGAAATCTTTTTAAAAGACGTTTATATATGTGTGGTGTTAGTGATGCAGATAATATGGCTCTAAACGGTTCAGTTATTTTGGTAGCAACCCACGCTATTAAAAATCTTCTCCAGGGAGTATTGGTGCTTCCAATTGATAATGTATCAAAGCGATCACTTATCTTTAAAAACTCCAAGATTTGCACTAGAAACTCCTCATTTAGAATTCTATTATAAGATATAAGCCAAAAAGACCCTAGGGTAGTGACATAAACTATTAGGTAAACAGATATTCCTATGTAACCATATTTACCCCACAGATTCTTGATGAATACAATAAAATTATTTTGTTTCTTTTTTAGTTTTGCTATATTGTACTTATTTTTGTTGTTGATTCCATCAGCTATCTCTATATTATTATTATTATTTGTTTTTCCAGATATTTGGTTACTTCTAACTGCCTCAGATTTTACTAAACATATTTTAGTCCTAGTTCTCAAATCTACACTAGAAATCTGCACAGTCTTTTTGGACCACTCACTTTGTAAGGTATCTGATAATAAGAGGTGGTCAGCAGCTAAAACATAGTATAGTCTTTTCTGGTCAAGCTCTAACATATGGAAACCTAGAAACTGTCTACAAAAAAAAAGTGGCAATTTTCCCAAAGCCAAAAACTTTTGATTCAAGCTTATTTGAGAATAACTAAAAAGTAGTTTAGTATTCATCTTTCGACAACCCTTACTATTACTCTTATAAAATTATTACTACCCTATAAGTTGTCTTAACCGCCATTTGGAATTAATTACATATTTATGATCTGCTTTACCTTTCTAATAACCATTTTTCTGAACTAAACAATAATATAGTCATTAAAACGATTTATAGGGAACCATTTTATAATTATATACTTCAGAGCTATGAGCTATATTGTATTTGAACCTGGCAGAACTGTTTGTAGAGCTGCATTTGCTGGCAATCTTCTACCAGTAATAGAAATTCCTACTGTGTGCTGCTTAATAACTGAGATACAAAGTTCAACACTCAAGTGCACTATATCTCAAGCCCACGGTTTACTTATAGGAGATGATGCAGTAAAGCATGTAGAAGCAAATGTAAATTCGAAACTGGTATATCCAGTATCAAGAGATTTTGCTAGTGCGAATTGGGAACTGCTTGAACTTATCTGGGATAGAACAATAGAAATGCTTCAGATGCCTAAGTCTGCTGACAATTACTGTTTACTTACTGCTTGTCCATTCTCTGGAAGTGTTATTTTAAAGGAGAAAATCAAAAAGTGGTCACTCAAGCTTCGATTTAAGAAGACAATATTTGTATCATCTCATATATTGACACTTTATCCTTATGGGCTAGATACAGCGGTTGTAGTAGATATTGGGACCTTTTGGACAACAATTGTACCTATAATTAATGGTATTTCATACAATAACGCAGTTTGCTCCATGCCAATTGGTGGAAAGACTGCAGAGGAATATCTCGGAATATTGCTGGCAAAGAGAGGTCTAGTAATAAGTGGCGATAAATACTGTGAATCCCAAATTAGCACTTTAATATTACAAAAGATACTTAGAGAAAAATGCTTTGTTAGTGTAGATGAAGCTAAAACAAGGGAATTATTGGCGACAACGACAACTTTCTTAGATTATATAAAATTTTGTGGGAAAGGTATACTAATAGAAGAAGAAAGATTCCTTGTGACTGAGAATGTCTTTTTCTGTCCACATCATATAGGCTATGAGTCATTGTCTATATGCGAGGCGATATTAGATGTTGTATCAAAGTGTCCAGTGGATACAAGGTTATCACTTCTGGAAAATATAATTCTGTGTGGTGGGAGCTCCTTATTTTTAGGTTTCCCACAGCGACTACAAATGAATATTAAAAAACGGTTTTTAGATACTACCCTTAAGGGTGATACAGAACGTTTTGAAAAATACAATATCAATGTTATAGATGACCCACTCCGTGACTTGGCTTGCTTTAAAGGTGGTTGTTTATATGCTGAGCTATTAACTTCAAGATGTGATGATAAATACGGAGATTGAAGTATTTGAAAGCATTGTGATTATTAGGAAATTTGAATAAATCAAATATTCAAGCCTTCTCTATGTACTATTTGTATTCTAATAATATATGGAATTTCATTCGCAATAGAATAAAATTGCAGGCCTAGTAGGTATTATTTGTGAGACTTTATCAGAGGGTAAGTCTTTGCAATCAGAAGTTGCTTTCACCAATAATTCTCTTATATTCAAAATTCTAGCAATAGACTTAGAATGTAGAGAGAAAAAAGCAAATTCATCGAAGGGTAAATTTATGGATAGTGCTGATTTATTTTCTCTGTATTCAGTAACTTTTAAGGATAAAAATGCTAATGTATTCTTCAAATCGCCACTATCCATTTTCTTAATTTCTGTTGCTTCTCTAACTTTCGTGATAAAGTCCTTCGGTAAAGTCCCCTCTCTCTCAATAATTGACTGAATTACTTTTAGACCCTCAATTTGCCATTGCTTGTACTCCTTTGCTACATACACTACAGCATGAACGTATTTAGTGCAACTCTTGTTCTTCTTTTGGTTTGAAGTCCATTTATCAAGACTTTTTCGGAATTCATCAATTGACTTTAAGAGAAGTATCAACTTCTTACTATTAATAGTGGAATAATGATAACCATTTATGCTACTTAAAATAGGCCATTCTTCAGAAACAAGGAATGATTCACGTTTCAGTATATTTCTCCAAATATATTCGCAAGTATGGGGAGCAATAGGACAAAGAATCTTAAGTTGAATATCTAAAATAAGAGAAAATAAGTTTCATTGTTAATAAATTATAAGATATCTGGAAATTGTAATAATTACTTTAAAATACTAGCATGCACAAATTAGTGCAGAAGTACTATAACAGTAATTATCAGATTTAGTTTTATCCTGGAGATAAACCGCATATTGTAAAATTGGTTATATGCGGAATTAGAACAGGAATATATCCTAGATATTAGTACAAAAAACTTACTTATAAAAGCTTCAACAATAAACTTATTCATGTCTAAGTCACTACCACCACATATTGTACGATATTGATCGCGTCTCATTTGAAACTCAAACAGAGAAAATTTTAAAGCATCACGATATGAAAAGTTTTCATATGACTTTCTGCATTCATCAATAAGACGAATAATTTCGCTAGCAAATATTTCATCGATTTGTTCCAGTGACTCTCTTACTAAATTATGGTCTGTAGATTGTTCATCTGCTTCACTTCCATACCTCATTTTCTCCTTTCTATCCTGAAACATTTGCACAAATTGGAGAAGTGCAAAGAGTCTCATTATAGCAGAATTTGCGGAATCTCGACAGAAATTAGCATCATCAATAGTGTCTCCTGCATCAGCTAGGGCTATACGGCATGCATCGGAAGTGAATTCATTAATTCCATCATGTAATGTAATCCAATTTCCAAGAGACTTGCTCATCTTTGCTGAATCCACCATAATATGGCCATTACAGTAAAATCCTTTCGGCCAAAACTTGTCAGCCATAGTACTTTTGTCCCATATTGCTACATGGTTGTACAAGCACATTATCAAATGATTAAATATTAAGTCTTTCCCCGAGACACGACAATCCATTGGGTAAAAGTAGGAAAATTCATCACGCATTTTATGCAATTTCTCCATTGAAATGTTGTTAAGCTTAGGATATTGATCTGTCAGACAAAATATGTAATCAAAAAGTTCGTCAGAAAGGTCCTCCACATTAATATTTAAAAGTCCTGGTTTTTTACCATTAATACTACCTTGTAAAAAGTGAGCAACTGTATAATAGGCCATATAAATTGTTGAATCAGACAATGATTCAATAACTATCTTTTGATCACTCTCTGTTTCCCACGGTAAGAAAGTCCCCAAACCATAGGAACGAGAACATGCCCATTCCTTCAACCAATTGACAACTTCAGCTAACGAAGTTCTTACTTGAGGATAATAGGTTCTAAATTTAGATTGATTCATAACCCAGTCATATACTATTCTCCTCCAAGTCTCTTCACCATAATTAAGATACCATTGTTCACATAGTGCAATTATACAAGATTCTCCTCTTCTACTAACAACTTTGTTTTCAGGTTCTAAATAAATTAGAGCATAACCATCTTTAATTAAAGATTCCCTAATTAACTCCTTTGCATCACAAATTTTCATTCCGCTGTACTTGCCTCTAATTAAAATACCTTCATAAAATTCTTTTTTATAAATTTCCTCTTTTGCTTGCTTCAATTTAGCAGAATCATTTTGACTTTGAATTTTGTACTGATTACAAAGTAGTTCTGCAGTCATAAAACCAAAACCTGGAACCTCTATAATTTCTAGAGGATCAAGAATCCATTCATCTTTTATTGAATACTTTTCGCGGAGTAATGGCTTTGTTTTAATGTCTCTCAGTGCAGCATAGTCATCTGGTGAGTCAGAAGGTACAGATGTAACAATACCTGTGCCCTTTTCCATTGATATTGAAAACATAGGTAATATAAAAATCAAAGAGTAAGGTGTCATGGGTGCAGATAAAGGAGTACCAATTAGTTGCTCTCCATAGACTTTCCCCAAGCTCACTATCCTTGGCAACAATTTATCTGATACACCTTGCTCTCTCCCATGTATTAGTGGAACTATACCCTGATAAGCCATATTGTATGCAGATCTCTCCGAACATATGTATACTGTATTGCACTCTTTCATTGTATCTTCATATTTATCAAATATCTTGCATAGCACGCCATCTGATGTTTTAGCATCATATGGGATGACTTGATCAAAGGCTAATACTAAGTCATACTCACCATCTGGAAGTATCCAGCAATTTGTCTGGCCATACATAGTTTCTGGTCTCAGAGTTGCGCATACAACAAATACTTCGCGTCCCTTTACAATACTTCCCAAAAATTCTGGAATTAAATGTATCTTAAGCTTAATTAATGTATATTCCTGTGGTCCTATCCCCTCACCAGATGATCTATCATGATCAGCGCATGGCTGGTTCTCAAAACGACTAAATACAGCTGATCGCAGTCCATGCTTAATTTTATCCCTTTTATACTTCAATGTACGAAATTGCCACTTGACAAAAGCATCATAGTATGGATTAATATTAGTTGTAATGAAAGATCTCCTCCAGTCAACAGCTGCGCCAAATAACTTTAAATCTTCCATTGCTAAAGGTGGAAAGTATTCAGTCCAGTAAACAGGATCAGTAAATTTCGGAATGTCACTAACTTCAATCCCCATAGATTCCAATATTTCATATTGGGTCTTTAGCCCACCAATTTTAGCTGCAACCTTGCTCTTTAACTGATTTTCATGTTCACTATTATTCGTATATAAGTCATTATCTAGTGAATTATTTGCAAGTTCAGATTTTAATTTATCTGCACTAGCGCATATTGGCATACCAGTACAATGGAATCCAAATGGAAATAAGACATTTTTACCCCTCATTCTTTGAAATCTAGCTTGGAAATCTGCTTTAGTAAATGTAAAAGCATGGCCCAGGTGTAATCTTCCGTTCATGTATGGGTATGCAAATGTAATCATATACTTTTCACGACTTTGATCCATGTTTGCCTCATATATTTTATTGTGGCTCCATAGTTCCTGAATTTCATTTTGAATATGCAACAGTGTATCTCTGCGGAGACGGGGATTACTGTTACTGTTTAAGCCATTTGTATTAGACTCATCAGTAGCTGTTATCATTTCTCTTTTCAGTAAAGCAAAGTTCAAGTAGTAAATTCCAAAGAGAGATCAAAATAAGTAAATACAATTTACTTTAAGTGGAAGTACCTTTGTAAAGTTCCAAACCTTAAAATGGCGGTCCTGCAACCTTTTATTATACAAGTCCTTTCATGGAATCTCATCTATAAATATTTTATTTTATATTAGTACTTCGTAATACTTGTACATATTCTAATCTCATGACTGGGTTGGCAAAATACGAATATTCTAAAAGGGAGCTAATACAGAAATCACTATTGAATACTATAGCTATAGTGGATAAGACTTGTAAAATATTTCAGTCGCCTGTTCCACGAATACTAATAGTTAGTAAGCAACAACCAATTGAAGCTATATTAGACATATATATGCTAAACTATCGACATTTTGGGGAAAACTATGTCAAGGAGCTTGTTCTTAAGTCAAGTAGGCTTCCTGAAGATATTATGTGGCACTTTATAGGTCATTTGCAGAGAAATAAAGTGAGATCACTGCTAACAGTAAAAAACTTATACATTATTGAATCACTAGACTCTATTGAACTAGCATATTTAATTCAAAAAATATGTGAAGAAATGAAAAGATATGTCAACGTGTATATTCAAATTAAGACATCTACTGAAACTACGAAGACAGGTATTAATATCGAGGAGTCTAAGAAGTTGGTAAAATATGTTTTAGATCATTGTCCTAGGTTAAATTTCTTGGGATTTATGACTATTGCAGATAATGATAAAAATAAGTGTAGTGAATGCTTCTCAAAACTTGTAGATCTCCGTGCAAGAACTTTGAATTGGATGACAGAACAAGCTTATAGTACAGCAAGGTGTGATTTAAGTATGGGTATGTCAGATGATTTTGAAATTGCTATTACTCATAAAACAAATGAGATTAGAATAGGTAGTGCAATTTTTGGACTAAGATCAAAATAATACCGAAGCTATAATGTTTGAAAGTAGTTCGATTAAAAGTATTATACTAAAATAAATGAAATAATATATCTGTGAACTTCATTTAAATATACTTTAAACTATAAAGATCCCTTTCGCGGTCAAGTATTTCATCAATATTCTTCGACTTTTTCAGCTTAAGGAAGTGTTCTTCTATGCTTTTACATACCCGAGTAATACTAGATTCAGGTTTATTATATAAATAACAATTTTCAAATATTTGTTGTATATCGAGAATAGCATCAATACAAAGTTCATATTCACCATTCCTCAACTTTTTCCTTATTAAACTAAAGTCCATAGGTTTTTTAATTATAGAGTAGTAATCTGAACAATTCCATGCCTTCTCATCTACAGGCTTATCAAATATCCAGGCACCTTCTTGTTTCCTTAATTCATCAACTGTTTCACTAATAGTTTTGTGCCAAGCTGCTCTAAATGGATCAGCACTTGATTTTAAAGGAGGTACAGGAAGCGTTTTTGACCAAACAGCAATATTAGGGTACTTTTCTTCGAATTCCTTTATTATTTCGGTTGTAGCAAAGTACCACTTGCCATCACTCCCTTTAAATTGCAATCTATAATTTTGACGAATTTCAGAGTCTTTTAATACATTACTTGCATCTGATAAAAAATTTTGAGAGTTGTTGATCCCACCCATTTGATCTGAGATATTGTTACTTGCATTTGCTATACTATTACGAAGTAGATTAGCCAGTTGCTTGTGGCCATTCTTCAACGCATATGATGATGCCATCTGCCTGTTCTTGTCTTTTATAGCCGAATCTGCTCCTTTATCAAGGAGTAACATACATGTTTGAGATCGCCCATCTCTAGCAGCATAAAATAAAGCAGTTTGACCAACATTATCTGATAAATTAGGATCTGCCCCATGTGACAGTAGTAAACGAACCACATCTGTTCTACCATCTCTCGCAGCATAAAACAAAGCAGTTTGACTGGCACGATCACGATGATTCACATCACAACCAAGGTTAATCAAAAATTCAGCAGTTTTTGTATTCCCATCTCTTGAAGCAAAAAATAGAGACGTCTGGAAACTTAAGTCTGTAGCCTTTACATTCATATTTGGACACTTCTTTAATATTAATTGACATATTTCTAAAGCTTCTTCATCATTAGTACGTTGTACAGCATAGAATATCAAATTTGCGTTTGTTGACGGACATACTTCTTCAATCTCATTCTCAGAGGCTTCTTCAATTAAAGTTCTAACTTTTTCAATAGGATCTCTTCGTATAGACTGTACAATTTTTCTTTGTTCAAATTGTTGGATATTATTCATAGCTATGAACTCTGGAAGTGCTCCTACCTAGCTAGTCGAAGTATTAGATAAACCTGGCGCTCTAATATGTTGGATAGTCAATTACAGACAACATTAAGTAATTCCGCTAGCTTTATTAATACTAAAAGATATTCTAAATATTATAAGATTGATGTATTGGTAGTTTTAAATGCATAAAGTGATTACAGCACATCTCTGTCAAAACTTTTAAAGTTATATATATTCAATGCTCTTTTCATGAATACTAACCTTATTAACCTTTGAAGACAGTAACTCTGCACATTTTATTGCTGATTTGATTTAATATAATCAAATATAGGGTTATTTATGAAATCGATTTATATGGTTCTAGTGACACTTCAAGTGATCCTTCTGCTCATAACTAGCCTATAAGATTAGTCAGGAGAATATCTCAAATTATTATAAAACCCATTTATACGACTTATCACACCCATATACTATATAAGGTTAGTATGCATATGCAAATAATTTTGAAAAGGTGCAATCTTGCAAAATTCTCCCACACTTATTTAGATTTGTGGCGCCTAAATACAAGCATATAGACCACAAAAAAATTAGTGGGTTTAAAATATAAACATTTAAATAAGACAATGGAAACAGGTATGTTGCTCATTCAATGAATGTATTTTATACCTAAACTGCCTAACCAAATATATATTGTCAAAAGATTCCATAGAACTAAATTTACCACCGAACATCTCTCTTAATCCGCCTGAGATCCCTTCGAAATTTTTAGCCCAAAGCTTGTTTCAGGTAAGTAATTATTAGCTTAACGAAAAATAAGCTATTTGCTGGAAACTGAAAGTATAATTAAACTTGAAATTAATTAATTGTAGGAGCGGATTGTGGAAAAAGCAAAAATTATCCAAGAAGAAGAGTTCGTTGAAATAGAATCAATAGAATATCGCGAAAAGCTTGTTGAAATACCCAAAATAATTTATAAAGACAAGATTGTTCATGTCCCAAAGGTTGAAATACAGGAAAGAATTATTGAAGTTCCCAAAATAGAAGAGCAAGAAAAAGTCATTGAAGTGCCAGAAATTAGATATGTTGAAAAGATAGTCGAAGTACCTCAAAAGATCTTGAATGAAAAGACGATATATGTACCCAAAATTGAAATACAAGAAAGAATTGTTGAAGTTCCTAAGATAGTCGTGGAGGAAAATATTGTCGAGGTTCCCCAAACTCAATATAGAGAAGTTATTGTTGAGAAAGTCGTAGAAGTACCTCAAGTTCATCAACAGATTGTATGGAAGGATATCATAGTGCCAAATTTAAAGCCGAGAATCACTGAAGTTGATAAAATAATAGATATCCCTGTAGTACAAGTTATTGAAAAGCTTGTGCATTACCCTTTGCCACAGTTCAAAGAGATAAAAAAAAATATCAACATAACATTATCCAGCATCCGTACAGTTGAAAAGGAGTTCTCAGTAGAGAAGACAACATATATGCCTATTTCCGTTGACAAGTATCAAGAGTTCCAGGTGCCTAAATACATAATGAAGGCTGTAGAAGTTCCTGTACCAGTACCAGTAGAAAAAATCATTGAGGAGGAAGTCACTGTTCCAATATCTGTCGAGAAAGTCGTCCATGTACCTAGAATAATTCAAAGGCATGTCCCACGTCCTGTGAATATTCCAATTCCAGTTTATTCAGATGCACTGATTCAGTCTAGAGTTGGTTTGATGCCATACCAAACATTTCTATCTATAAATAGCACCTCTGGCTCTTCAAATAGCCAAGATATCTATAAAGTCAATAGATTATCTACTAATACCTTTGTAAATTAGTGGATTTATATTCAAGAACATAACTTTTCCAATTAAATGACCTCAATCCCCATTAATATGAATAAACATGTAATCACTTCCTGATACTATTGTTCCAATATCTTGTCATTGATATATCTCTAATTTTTTGCCTATAGAAGCACTTTGTGATATTTTTAGCTTTGTTAGTGCAGTAGCTATGGAGTAATACAAACCCATTCAGTGCAATACCATCTTACTTTCAAATACAAGGCGGGTTGCAGATCAGATTCCCTTCCAAGGATGAGCGGACGTAGTTCTAATCTAGGCAAATAATAACTAGCATATATTTCACTAGTTAAGTACCTTTAAGCTCCCTTTATTAGGTTTTGGATTTTGATCTTATGTTTTATCACTCTACTTAAACTTGAAAGAATAAGAAGGTAAAATTTTAATGGTTTTAGATAAGAAGAGTTGAATAAATGAAATTTTTCGACCGCTTATACCTTAAATTTCGAAGTAGCCTTTGCAATAAATTCAAATTAGAGCAATTGAGAACAACTTCGGTTCATCATAGCGAGTGTGTAGGCGAAGTTGAATTGTCAAATATACATACACCGGGTATCAGCTCGACCAGAGAAGTTACTACAAGGCTCTCTCCTGGGGGACAAATAGGGCTTTTTTCAAATATAAATACACTACATGGAATTACTGAATATTTTGAAGGTATAAATAGTGATGATAGTGTCAAAACTAGCAATGAGTGCCAGGAGGTTCAAAGTAGCCCCGATATTTCAACATTTGTTACAACCCTGAGTCATGATACATATTGCAGTAGCTCAAAAATACTGGAACCTTTTTTATTTAGGCTTAATGAAACTGGAGGGAAGATCTTTACATCATCTGAATTTGAATCAGAGATAAAACAACTAGTGGATAGACAACCAGTTGAATTTGATCCACTACCCGTGAGATCACTGTCCGGAGAAAGACACTCAGTATTGAACCTAGTGAATAATTTAGTAAGAGTATGCGAAATGTTACATGTAAATTCTGAAACAGATATTCCTGGTTTACCCTCACATGAAACTTTGTTCGAAGAGGACACTGAGATTGATTTATCTAATATTGAAAGTATATTGGAATATACACTGAATTCACTTCTAGAAACTATTAGAAAAATGATTTCTGAAGAAACACTTTTAAGAGCTGATAATATGAGACAATTTATAATATTTGAACTTAAATCCCTAGTAGCGAAGTTAAACCCAAAATATGATTCAAAATTGTTAAGTATTGCGAATTTATTTTTGAATAAACTTACATTAGATGAGGATATGAAGATACTGGCATTTAAAATGGATCAAATACGTTCAGCATTTAAATTTTTCCATTTAACACAAAGATTTAATGATTTCCATCTAAGTAATCAGCCAATTGACAAATTTGACACTAACAATACTGATAAAGTACTTTTACATTCTACGGGTCCTGCTAGTAGGACACGAATCCTCAGTCGTATTATAAAATGGTATAGATCATCTCATGTATTTGAAAAGGATGGAATATCACTTAGAAAAGGTCATAGTAATTCGAAAACTGATACATCTGGAAATAGTAAAGATGCTAATAGTATACTAGTACCAAATGTGCACTCATCTCTTCAGAGCCACCGATGTCATCACTCTGGAGATACAGTAGATAAATTCCAGCTTGAGACTGATGGATGGAGTACTGACAACTCCAAAGGAATTGTAGTTCTATATCGAATTGATCCTATGCCAATTGGATTATCAGTGAGTGTTATCGTTAAAGGTGAAATAAATTGCAATCCAATTCACTTATTAGCTATTTTAAATGAAGTTGAATTAGCCCATGAATGGGCACCTTATATGTCTTATGCGTCTCGTATTGCTAGCTTAAGTCGGGTTAGCCAATTGGTACAACAAATTTATGACTTACCATGGCCAATAGGACAAAGAGAGAATATAATGTACTGTTTTGGTGTAGATACACTACATGAACAAAATTGTTTAATGATTTCATGTAGTAATCCAAAACCGGATAGTACTGGACAGTTTTTGGGAGTGGAGATACCTGATCCACCTCCAAAGATACCAAGAGAAGAATGTAGTCATCTATTCTTTATAATTACACCACTTGACTCGGGTAAATCTGTTACTATGGAGATGTTTGCAAACTTCAATGTTTCTCGCTTTGTACCAAGCAAACTGGCCTCTTTCATTGTTAGACGCATGACGCGAAAGATGTACACCGATATTGCATATTTGGCCTCCAATTTTAAGGGATCAATATATGAATCTGCTTATAAAGAAAATGCAGATCTCTATTTATGGATAGAAAAGAAGTTTAGTGATTATTTACGTATGAGAAATGGTTGTCAAATAATGGAGTATTGAATATTTCATTCACTATCTCTGTCTAAATTTTAGATTTAAATAAGTAATATTGATATAAAGAGCTATCCTTTTTAGATATTTTCATATTTATTTAAGTAATAACTTTTAAGATATATTAAGAACTATAGGTCTTGAAAAAGAATACGACTTTATGAAACACTTATATATATTCTATAATTTGGTGCAATTATATGTATCCTGTCTCACACTAATGGATGAATAGAATGTTTGGTATTTAGTATAGGAAATATTTAGACAAGTATATTTGAACAAAAAAGCTAATATAGAACACTAATAACACTTTAGCCTTATATATACACTTTAGTTATATCATATTACCCTGGTTTTTTCTAAATAAAAGTTTCACTTCACTGTAAGAGTATTCTTTGAATGAATTAAAACATACCTATTTATTAACAATTAGTTCCTTACTCTCACTTTTCTTGTTAGCTAAGTAATTCCAGCATTCATTAGATTTTGAAACTGAGTGGATTAGAAAAGAAAGTACTATTAACTGTGTATCATACATTGCAGAGATTCATATCCTATCTGCTGAGTCATAAATAGAAAGAAACAGTTAAATATTTGAAAAACTGAAAATTTGATCATTATTCATTTCATTTAGATAAGTTGTACCAATATATGAAACTACTTAAAGAATATTCTGATAAAGAAAAAAGTAGCTAAGCACTTATCTGACAACTAAATATTATCAGTATGTAAACAACCGATGACAAAAAGACATCTTTTATTATACTACTTTGTATTATAATTCAATGTTATACATCTAACAGGCGCTAGTGTCAAACTTTTGGGAGTTGTTAGTTCCTACTAACTTTATACTAGTTAACTATTTCCCTAATCAATTAATTTAATATTTGCAGGTATTCCAATAACATGCAAACTTTATATTCTATAGAATTACAAATAAATTGTTAATCAATAATTCTGAAGTGTTGTAAAGATAACTATACATAATCTATCACTAGTAATAAAAATCTAGCTTTCAAAAGGAAAGGAAATACTTTGTATAAAATAATACAGCTTAGCAAGCTACTCTATTTTAACTTTTAGATATAATATAAATATTGAGGAATAGTTAAAAAACCATATTTATTTGAACTTTTATTAGTGGTCCAATTTAATTTAAGCTTGCTTCTGTATCTTTAAATTAAAAGTTGATAATATCAGAACTTCACTTTGCCATAGTCTACTAAATCTTCACCTACAAAGTGTCCAAATAAGCTATTAAGAAAAATTACTAGTGAATATCTAAATTAGTATTTTATCTTTGGAGGTTACAATCGAAGTTTATGTAACTTCGTATATAGGTGACTTGACTTCAAAGAAAAGATTCAACTAAAACAAGTAAAATTACTTCACTTATATTGCATCTTATGGATTTAGTCTTATCTGAAGGAGACAATAATATAATTTAAAACCTTTATAGTTTCAGAATTAGCTGACCCAACAGTATAGTATCCGTGTATAAACTTGAGCGGTATATGTTGTATCCTATAACCCTAAATTAATATTTCTACAAAATGATCATTTGTTTAGGTCCTTTGTGTATCCCTTTATGGCATATTTGCTTGTTTATTGCCTGTATATTTAAACCTCTTGTGAAATTCTTCAACAGAATTTGTCTTCGTAAAACTGAAGAGAAGAATGGTGAACAAGAAATAAATAAAAGCAATACTTATAGATATTCTGAGTTACGTAAAAAGATTTTTAGCCGAAATATTATTGAGATGGAATGTGATGCTGACTGGTTAGCTTGTAAAGTTGTTGCTAATGAGATCCAAATCCCAGTTATTATTGACTTCTACAGTGATTGGTGCAAGCCATGCAAAGATACATCACAGATCTATCAAAAATTAAGTAAGAACTTTGAGGCAATATTCACCAAAGTAAATGTAGACAAATTTCAGTCTCTCGTAGAAAATGAAACCATACTATGTTTGCCTACGTTTCAAATATGGAAGAGCTACAAGAACAAATTAATAAAGTTAAGAACAATTACAGGTGCAAAGATGGGTGAATTAGAAGCTGTAATTAAGGAAGAATGTAAGATGGTAAATAATTAAAAGTGTAAGATTTTACACATAATACTAATAAATTTTAAGTGTTAATTATTGAGAAATATTCCCCGATATTGGAGCAACTTCAACTTCAGAAAACAAATACTCTTGCTGATATTCAATAAGATACTGAGTACTCCTTTTAACATCAATAAATAAGGAATATGATCTACGTACATCTTCAATCTCAATATATGCATTTGAACTTCTCATCCTTAGTACTTGAGAAACTGTTAAGAGATGAAGTGCATATCTTAAACTAGTATCCATTGCAATGCGAGTTAGTAATTGATATGCATCATCAGATACTTTAATATCTTCTTCGTAAGCTCTCTCCTGAAGTATCTTCATAACGTCATCTTTGCAGTATGGAGTAGTTGGGATAATCAAGCATCTATCAAGTAGATCTATTGGGATACCATGAGGTGACTTATAATCAGTACCTCTGATTTTTGTAATACCTCTATTTGATGCCATTATTAGTATTGGGCTCGTCTCATCCTCCAATGCTTTATTCAGAAAACTAAAGCATTCGACATCTAGCATATGTACTTCGTCAATGAAAAGAATACCATGAATAACCTCAGCTCTCTTCTCTTCACGCCATTCAGCAACTTTTTCATCAATTTGAGCTCTAACTTCTGGTTTAATTTCACCAGTATCACCAGCAAAAAGTGCCAGGAAGCCTTGAGCTCTGCTGTTAATGACATCTATATCGTGTAAAGATACGGTGTGAACTACTTCCTTTCTTTTTTGTAGTTCCCCTTCAGGACATCCAATAAATCTTGTCTGTGATCCAACGGCATCATAATCACGTGAACGAGAAAATGACCTGCCTAATTTCGTTATCTTTCCACTAGTCTTATCTATAGATATAACATCACCTGCAACAATATTTTCAGATTGTAGACATTCAATCATCTTCCCACCTATATCATAAACAGTTTCCATATCGGTACTTCTGAGTGCCATTCTTCCGACTTTTAAGCCTGATGTATTAGAGCGATCTATTTCCAGTTCAGCAACTTCCCCTTCTATTACATCTATCTCTTCCTTAATTCTTACACCTATGGATCTCCTTATTGCTTGTGTTAATGCCTCTGTTTTATTCATTTCTAGGGAAAATACTTCCGAAGCTGAAATATGAGTAAATGGTGCGTCTTCACCTATAGCTTTTGCAATTGCCATAGCTATTGCAGTCTTACCAGTACCTGGTTGACCTGACAATAAAATAGCCCTTCCTGCTATTTTTCCTTGCCTTATCATTTGAACTATAATACCTGCTGCTTTCCTTCCCAATTTCTGTCCTATCATCCCATCAGCTGAATATTTCGGCTCCAAGGCATCTGTTAACCCTAGCCCACGTATATGAGAATGAGCCCCAATCCTTTCTAAACGCTGAATCTCATGTATATCTGGAATATTGGTGTGCATCATAAAATTAATCTAAGTGAATTAAAGCTGAAAATAATCTGTTATTATTTGCGAGACAGTTTATCCATTATAGGCGCATTTATCGTTTTTTGGCTCGCTGCATTCAAACATGTCAGCCTTGTCTCTTTACATAGATAATACTAACTTTTTATGTTTCACTAAAAATAATAAAGCTAGACATCTAATAACTATAACTTTACTAGTGCAATCGTTATAACTTCATATTCAAATTTCAATTATAAAAAATCATTAGTAATCTAATCGTATGTTATGGATCTAGCTTCAAATATTCATCATCAAAGTGGTTGATACGTACAAAACCATCTTCTCCACCAGTAGTAAATCCCATACCATCTGGAGAAAAAGTTAGTGCATTCATAGTACCAAAGTGTCCCTTTATTGCTCCTAATTCATTACCATATACCATATGAAGTATTAGAGTCTGGAATTTACCTTCTTGAGCACCTGTTGTAGTGACATCTTGAGCTAATTGTCCACCTCCTAATAGTATATGTCTTCTAGGACTATCATTACAATTGAACTTAGGAGATATAGAACAACCATTCAGTAGGCGGTTCGTTGTGTAACGTCGGATTTCCTTTAGATTCACAATATCCCATAGTTTGGCAGTCATGTCATGACTACAAGTCAACATTAGAGTTCTATCTTCTACAAAAGAGCAACATGTTAAGAGCTTTGAATGTGCCTTAATGACATCTAGTGGTTCTGAATTTTGACGAATATCCCATATATATATCCCTCCATCTTCATGACCAGAAATAATATTACGGTCAAAGATACCCCAGTGGGCTCTGATAATCCTACTATTTATTCCTGTTATTCTCAAACCTTCTGAAGATGAGTCACCTACTTTCTTAATAAGTAAATGGCGTGGTTCAGGAAAGAACTGATCAACTGCAACAACAAATTTATCTTGATGATCATAACACCTATTGAACTCAACAAAGCGACTAGTACCACTTGTCTGATACGTTGCTATTGTTGAGCCTGTCTCAATATCAAAACTAACACACTTCTGGTCTGCTGATGACATTATCAAAATTCTACCATCTAGTGAAGGATCACAATTCCATACAGCTGCCTTTCCTGCATCATATTTAGCTGCCACCTTCCCATCAGAAGTAAATGAGCAGGCAACTTGGCCATCCTAAACATAGTAGGTAATTATATATTACAATATTTCATAAATTACTAGGGGTAAATGCTACATACTTACCTTCCCACAAGAAAATATCAAGTCACCATCAAAGCTGTAGGTAACAAATGAAATAGGACGTTCATGAGCTTGTAATACAATTGGTCGCATTATACTTTGTATAAAGACTAGAATTAAATCCCTATAGTTTTTTCCCTCCAGAACTCTTCGTGGGACCTCAAAGTGTTAAGAGACACCCCAAGTATGCACTACGCGCTGAACAGGACTTGGACCTCATCACCAAAAGCACAAATCTACCTTATTTCTTACAATTAGTGGAATTACTCCTTGAATACCGAGAAATTCACATCAGTAAAGTAATAATATAAGTAACTAATATATACAAAGAATTATATTTCATAAGTTAATTTCAAAGGTGAATACTCACTACGGACAAATTTTTCGAAAATCCATTGTTGCTCCTTATAGTAATTGCAATCAAGAAGTTGAAGATTCAAGTCCTTATTACTGTTAGGTAGTACTGTAAGACATTTAGTAGAGTTATCTAAGCCTTTGTGGGTTAGTGCCAATGTATTCTCATTGTATTTCCATCTAGTTGTAATTTCGTCACAGTTCTCCATTGTCAATCTGTCGCTAATGCAGAAACTTTCTCTTGACATTAGTCTAATCTTCTCAGATCCCTTCAAAAAAATAAAACCTTGAGTCCCTTTTTCTCCATGACAGAAGAATACGCCAATTTTTGAACCAGACTCACTTTTGCTCATAGTATCTATACACATGTTTAAATTTGGATTCTTAATTTCACCCAGATATTGAACTTCATTTATGTCCTTTAAGTATGTTTCTGGTGCAACATTGTCAAGAAACCACTTAAAAGGCTTACATTGTAATCTCTGTTTCAGTTGTATCACTTCATTGAAATCACCTAAGTCAATGGATTTATTAGGTGACAGTGCTTTAGTGAATATATAAAATTCGTCCAACCATGCTCTGGCTGTTCTCAACCTATTTCTCCACAAGCTGTCTGGATGTGAAGTGTAGCCAACACCATTCTTTCGGAAAACATGATAGACACGTGAACAAGGCACACACTCAAGCTTACCACCGCATAACCAAATTCTAAGACTAAATTCAATATTTTCTGCGCCCCAATATGTGAAGTATTCATCATATCCTCCTAATTTCCAGAAAAAACTACGTCTAATAGCAAACAATCCACCAGCCATAACTGGAGATTCTATAGGGTCTGGAGTGCTTATTTCACCAGTTAAAGTTGCTTGTTCAACAATACTATACCGAAATCCTAATCTACACCCTATTCCTGCACTGGTGCTGTAAGTAAAGTTCACAGGATTTATAGAGTCAATTTGGGGCATCACTACTGAATTTGGACTTTCTTTGAGTCTTTTTAATTGTGGCTCAAGCCACTTCGGTCCTGGTTCTATATGACTGTCCAGGATAACAAATATAGGAGCTACAGCTAATCTGATACCATGTAGTCGTGCTCCAACAATTCCAAGTCGTTTTTGTAAGTGCAGAATACGAACCTTAGGAAGTAACTTTATATAGTCATCCAAAAACCCCCCGGGAACTAAATCTATCATATCTGAAGAGTCATCAACCAATATCAGTTCACGTAAAAGAGGTGGAGGAGTTGTATTTAAAATTGAATGGATAGATCTCAGCAAAGTTGAAAGTGGTTCATTATAAAATGTTATTATAATGGAAACATCCTCAAAATCGCCAATTTGATAATTGATTGTTTTACATACCTCATCTCTTCCATCAAAAGGTATTCTATCTAGTGGTAAGTAATCTGAATATTGTCTGTAGAATCCGCCCCCCTCTTCTAAAAAAAAAGATTCATTCTTCAGATCTAGAGCTCCTGGTTTTTCAAGGAAAACATAAGGTCTAGTTGCATTAGGAAAAATACCAAGGATTCCATGCATTCTAAGAGAGTTATAACCAGGAAAAACTGCAAGGGAGTTATAGTATTGTTGTGATTTATTCCTAAATTCATTCATGTACTTTGCATCCCCAATATAAGGGAGTAGTTTCTCTCCTGCTGCATATTCTCTGAGCATAACTATTCCAGTTGGAGAATTATAATCAATAAATTGTCCACTTATTGTAGTTGACAGTGAGGGAAAATATGACGTTATCATTTTAATATCCAAGATATTGCTTATATTTGCATAATTAGTTATGTTTATTCCATAAATACCACTTAATCTAGTTATATAACTCTGATGTCTACAATTTGCAAGAGGTATACGACTTGAAAATTCCAAGTCAGAGATATTTAAAAAACTGACACTATTACTATTATCACAAGAACCACTAAGGATACAAGAGTAATCTGAGCCTTGGGCCTTCAAACTTCTAAAGCTAGGCTTTTGTAGAAACTTAGATTCTAGAAAGTTAGATTCCAGGGTATTACTATATGGAGATTGACTCTTAAGTGAAACTTGATGTATGATAAAATAGAGGGAAATAAGCAGTATTAATACCAATAAGATGACATTATATATATGCCGTGTCTCACACTTCTTAGTTCTACATAACCAAAATTTCTTACGAAAAAGTAGTATAGATGATGGAGATGAGAAAGAGTTCGTCATTATCAACAAAGGACAAATATCTGCGAAGAAAAATCAAAGGGTCATGATGAGATTAAAGGTGAGTAGGCGGGTCGAAGTCTTAGTAGTTAAGTGTAAAGTCATCCATTACTTATATTAAATAGAATAGTAAAGAGAAAGAATACTTTTTAGTATAACTACACCACTTAGTTAGCTTAATGATATGTAAATTTTATATTCTTAGCTAGTATATACCTCTAACTCTTCCATGAGCTGGAACAGCACCAGGAACTGAATATGAAATTGCACCAGTGGGAGCATAACGTCCTTGGGTGTACGGACCAGGACGGAAATTTGAAGTATATGGAGGCCGTTGGCCAAGATGGGGGGCAAGCTGTCCTCTTGGAGCCATATTAACTCCTACATGTTGTTGACCGATATCATCTACATTTGAATTGTCTGCAGCAGTGAATTCATCACGATGGGCAGATGTATCATATGTTGACCCATCATTCTGGGGAGTTTCGTTAATATGTGGTGTGGAAATAGGTAAAGAAGAGGTTGTATATCCATGGTAAATATGAGCTGTAGGCCCTGCAGCTGCATACCCATAGCTTGCATACATGTATCTTGGATCATGGCGTCCATAGCGACCATACATTTGTTGCCCTTGTACTCCTGAATGGATTGGCATGTATGAATTACGGTAATACTCAGCATATCCTGATATTTGAGGAACAGAGACGGCCTGTATAATTCTATTATTTGCAATGTTACTATTTGCACCACCGGCCATAATCTCTCTTGGAAGAGCCTTCTTGCATTCTACCCACTTATTATCAATTTGATGATCATAATAGTGACGCATAACCTCTTCAACTGACTCAGGAGATTCATACTCTACGAAACCAAAACCTCTATGGCGATTCGTATCGCGATCAACCATGACACTTAGATTTTTTATCATTCCATACTTACCAAAGTGTTCACGTAACTTCTCATCTGTACAGCTCTGTGGCAAACCACCAACAAATATCTTTGTTGCATTAAATGTTCCAGATGAATTGTTATTTGTAACTGCTCCTGAAGATGAAACAGAGCTAGTCACTTTGTTATCTCCAGGATCCCCCCCCTCTGTTTCATTTGTTTGGATTGCACCACGTGGTACTGCTCTTTTGCAATCAATTTCCTTCCCATCTACTATCTGAGGTGAAGCTAAGACAGCATCTACTGACTCCTCAGAAGCAAATGTGATGAACCCAAATCCACGAGAGCGTCCTGTGGTCTTTTCCGTTAATACTACCGAATCTACTATTTCGCCATAAGGTGAAAAGTGAGTCCTCAGGGAAGTATTAGTAGTTACGTCACTCAAACCACCACAAAAGATCTTTGCAGGCACAGTCGGCCCACTCTGACAAGGCAGTGAAGCCATTTCAGTATAAGATAGGTAATATCTAAATCTGCTCAAAAAACTTCTTTACAAATTTATGCTAAATCTCTTCTAACTTATCGTTATCTACTTATTAATACAAGAAACTACCACAATTGTTGAAATCTAAAGAAATTCAATACTTCCACTTTTAAATATAAAAAGTCACAAGTACAGAGAGAATCTGAAATTTCCCTATTTCTCTACTATTAAAGTTTACAGCTACTACCCTCACTATTGTGAAAAAGACGAGGTAGGTTAAGGCGGGGAAGACACGAGCAGAAAGAAATAAAGTAGTGTAATACTTTGTAGACTTTGTGAAGTAAGTTGCACATAAGGGAAAGTATTAAAGTATAGAATACATGCAGTTATAGATAGTTTAGAAATCTATATTTATTGTTCAGTTGACACATTTAAATAGAAGGGAGAAGTGACCATAATATGGGGATCTGTATTATGGAAGCCACATATAATACTATGTTAGAACCAGATTTCTGATATGCAGCATTATACTGCGCATATAATTCTGATTTCATAATATAACTTAGAGTAAGATATATAACGATTACCGTTGATATTGACAAATATAAACTTGCAATCCAAAATAAATTGGACTTTATACCTCCAGTTATTAATATTATAATGTAGCATAATACTGTAGACACATATTTATATCCCAAAGCACTTATAATTTCTAAAATTGATTGTATCCTTCCAGAAAATATATATGAACAGAATTGAATTAGAGTGACTTCAGCAAACATTAAGGCACTTGCAAAAGTTGCAGTTGAGCCAAGTAACTGTGGATGGAAGTGTCCATAAGCACCATGGATCACTCCTACTGCCAAAATATATGTTATTAGACTCATCAGGGGAATATACAAATCAGGGAATAGGGTTGGCAGGTAAGAACATTCTTGGGAGTCACTTTGAGGTGATATTGACGATGCTGAAAATATGTGCTCACGCCCTTGTCTCGTTGCAAGAGCAGCAAAAGGACATACAAGTAGAAATAGTTTCCTCGCTACATATTCATGACTAACAGCAAAATGACGTCTTAAAAGAGCTATAGTATTTGGAAACCACAATTGTAATTGACTTATTTGTTCCGAATCTACTCCAGTTGTCTCTTTTACCTTGTTAGCAACAAAACCCATTACAAATTGAGAAGTTGCATCAATAGCTCCTTCAAACGGAGCATTAAACTGCGGGTTTTGAGTTCCTGCTATTGTTGTACTAAGGCTGGATTTATGTATGCCATTTCGATCTGTAGAAAAAGTGTAGTTTGGGTCTCGCTTAATACTTCCCCAACTCGAAAGTTCTGTATTATTATCCTCGGATCTTTCGTTATATATTGACTTTTCATTACTCCAATCTGTAATTGTAGATATAGCAAAAGGATCACTTAAAGGTAAGTCCTTATTATGCAATAGCCCACTGTTTAGTTGGACTGTATTGTCAAGTATATTATTAGAAGATCCTTGACTATATTTTTCACTTATATGGTGTTCAAATCTTCTCATAATGTAAGTGTTTATGGAAAGTACTAATTAGGCAAATCATTAAACTCTTAAAAATTCTTGATGTTGGTTGAAACTTCAACAGTACAACCATATCTAAATAGCCTGTACTATTAAGGATAGTAGTTAGCGCCAAACACTCAACTTCACTAAAAAAGCTGGCCTTCTGTTTGTTTAATGAAAGAAAGAAGTCACTTCGAAGAGAAAAACCATCTAACACTTTATGGACAAGTTTTGAATGACTGTTAATAATTTAAGTTTAACAGGTAATGTTGAAAGTATAGTCTTATTTCTAATTTTTCGCAATACTATCCAATATTTCTTTCTAGGTACTGAAAATCTAAACAAATATGAAGGAGCTACAATTGAGTCTAACTTTTGGCTGAATAATGCAAAAGATATATGTTGGAAATTATTGGAAACAGAATTTTGTTCATGCTGTTCAAGTAATTCTTGTTTAGAGACAGAAATGATCACAGGTGGACTATCAAACAAATTGGTGAAAGTGTGGGCTAAAAAGAACTCATTTTGTAATGTAACAAGGCAAAAAAATATAGGTAAATTGGATAAAATCTACTCTGTTAGATTTTACAGTAAAGAAAGACATCTATTTGTTGATGAAAAGAGAGACCAATTAATACAGAAACTTCTTTCAGATTTTGAAATGAGCAAGCAAGTAATGTCTTATTTTTCTGGTGGACAAATAGAAGAGTATATTCATGGTCATTCTCTTTCTGTAGAACAAATTAGACAGAAATCGATTTATCTAAAAGTATCTGAGAACCTGGCAAAACTACACTCAATTCCTATACATGAAGCAATAAGTGAACAAATTCGCAGACAATTTGGTGAAATTGAAGATAAGACTGACTCTCCAATATCTATATTATGGCCAACTATGAGTGTATGGATAGATAGGGCAGAAATCATTGTGAAAAGTAGCGATAATCACCCTTGTTTAAACATTAACTTCAAGGAGCTGCGTGGTATTTTAAAAAATATCCACCTTTTTTTACAAAGAGATATTGGCTCTATTTGCTGTAGCCCTATAGTTATTTGTCACTGCGACCTACTACCAGGGAATATTATTTCTACAGATGAAGGCAATCTTAAATTTATTGATTACGAATTCGCAGGAACAGCTGAGTGTGCATTTGATATTGCAAATTATTTCTGTGAGTGGGCAGGTTTTCTTTGTGATTGGAAATACCTTCCAACAGAAAGTGAGCAGCGAGAATTTGTTTATAACTATTTAAGATACCTACTTCTACCACCAGATTCGATAATATATACTGAGAATCTAGTTAAGAAGTTAAACGTTCAAAATAACGATCGCGATACGGAAAATATATGCCTTCACATAGGAACAGGGATTGAAATAACAGATCAGATGGTTGACTGTATGGTATCAACAGTTCAATTGTATATGCTGGTCTCCAATATATTCTGGGGTTTATGGGGAATTTGTAAATCAGAAGTTGTATCAGGTGACTTTGATTATGGAACATATGCATTAAAGAGACTCTCTTCAATATATGGTACTGAATTCCAGCATGCTATTAATAAAATAGTCAAGTTAATATAAAAGTGAAGGATTGTGAATATGAATTAAAGTCATTCCTTTAGATATGTGATCATTATTTAAGTAGTCTTCCTAGTGTCTCATTAATTAAAATTACTCTTAATTTTTTTAGATCTATTGGAAATACTAGAACCCCGCCCCTAGCTTTTGATGTTTAATTTCAGGTCTCGAATATTAAGTATCCATAACTCGTTTAATTTCTCTTTTGTTGCGGTTTTATTATAATAAAGTAATCAGTAGTTCACTCTATTGTATTATTTAATTTCGCCTATTCATTTGTAATATATATTCCAATATGACTTGCAAGAGATTTCAAATAGTGTTTGTTGCATCGGAAGTTTCTCCATGGTCACATACTGGTGGCTTAGGTGAGGTTTTGGGTGGAATTCCAGCTGCATTAGGTAAAATGGGTCATCGTGTAATGTGCATCTCACCTAGATGGGATCAGTATTCAGATGCTTGGGATACAAGTGTACATTTTGATTTTGAAATTGATAACAGGATTATAACTACAAGATATTTCCACACATTTAGAAATAACGTTGACTATGTCTTTGTCGATCATCCACTTTTCTTAGAACGTATAAAGGGACTAACACAAATGAAATATTATGGTCCACAGACTGGCATTGATTGGCCTGACAATCAGATTAGATTTGTTGTATTCTCACATGCTGCACTTATTGCAATCTTGAAGTTACCATTAAATGGATATCCTTATGGTGAAGAGTGTGCAATAGTATGCAATGACTGGCATACTGCACTACTACCAGCATTGATTGCTCAAGAAAGAAAAAAAAGTAGATGCCTTAAAACCTGTATATTTCTTTGCATACATAATATTGTTTTTCAAGGAAGATTTCCCTATGAATCGCAGCAGAAGATGTATGGAATAGATGAAGATATATTCAAGGCATATATTTGTTACCAGTCTCTCAAAGTAGGGTCTAAATCACCAAAAACTGATATTATTAATTGGTTGAAAGGTGGAATATATTTCGCTGATAAAGTTCTAACGGTCTCCAAGGCATTTGCAGAAGAAATTGTTCAATGTCCATCTAGAGGCATTGAATTAGATGAAGATCTACGTTCCAAGGGATGTGTTGGAATTCTTAATGGTCTCAAAGATATTATCTCTCCAATGAACTTGAAACTCTGTAAAGCCGCACAAATCCCTACATATAATATTTATGATGTAAATTTTAAAAAAACCATTTGCAAGTCTTCATTTCAAGCAGCAATTGGAATGACTTCAAATCCCACTGTACCTATATTTATTTTTATTGGTAGATTTGATGTACAAAAAGGGTGCGATGTATTTTTCGAAGCTATTAGAAGAGTATTCGGAGTAAAAGGAGCTAATGGCCTGAATTCTACAATAAGTACGGGGATTTCTACTCCCGAAGTAGAATTTGAAGATAACAAAACTACTCAGAAAAATATGGATATGCAATCAGCACATATTGTAATGATGGGATCAGGTATCCAAAGTTTTATTCAACAAGCAGAGGAGTTAGAAATGTTGTTTCCAAAAAGGTTTAAAGCAACATCTTATGTTAAAGGAGGTTTGAAGTATCTAGCCTTGGCAGCAGCTGACTTTTTAGTTGCGCCTTCTAGATTTGAACCATGTGGCTTGGTTCAAATGGAAGCAATGAGATTTGGATGCTTACCTGTCTGCACACCTACTGGTGGATTCAAAGAGACAGTCGAACATATGAGAACTGGAATTCATCTTGATCGAGAAATTGAGCTGGAAAGTGTTGTTTCAGATAGCTCAGTAACTTCACTACTTAATGCAATGAGTACTGCATGCTCAATATACAGATATGATACTGAAAAGTTAGATGAAATGAGGAGAAGAGCTATTGAAACTGCCCATAAATTTACTTTGACTGCAACTGCTATAAAATATGAGCAGATGTTTGAAGAATGCAATGTAAGTGATATCTCCCAGTATCAATCCCGTGAAACTACTCTTGCAAATATTGTCGTAACAGACGAATCTATTTTTTGACGATCTTCGATTATTACTTAGCGTAGTTCCTACCTTTTAAGTCTAGTGCATTTAATTTTTTTTCTTCTTACCCTTTTCTTAGTTCTTTTTTAAAAGCTATTCTACTTTGTACAATACATCCTAACCGCTAGGGTATTACTTAAGCGCGATAAAATGGATCCTGTACTTGATTCACCACTAAAACTAGGTAGGCCAATAAATTGTAGAGAAAAAACGGTGATATGTGACTTGATACTACTGGAATGAGTTCAGGTTTCATATGCTCGGATATTCATAATGCATTTTTTGAGCTACTATCAGCATCTGAAGTAAAGAAGATATCGGTTTGCCATATTGTCTCCTCAATCACTTTCGAATCAACAGGAGATGCGAAACGTGGTGGTCTACACGATCCTTCTATGGGACCTTTGGATATTCGTGATTTTTGCACTACCTGTGGTGGAAGAAGTGAATGTCCCGGTCATATTGGTCACATAGAACTAGAACTTCCAGTCTATCATCCTTTGTATATACGTCAGCTGGTAAACCTACTTAAATCTATATGTTGGCATTGCTGTACTTTGAGAATATGTCAAGATACATGTAAAGATTATATTAAGCGTCTATTTTTGTTGAAAGAGTCAAGATATACTGATAATAAACATTTTCTAAGTGATGGTAGAGCAACTACCCATACGGAGTATGCAGATAATTGTAGCAAACTAATTTGTGATTCAAATAGTCAACTGAATCAACCATCAAATATATTATCTGTGGATGAGAGAGCTAACATTCTTCCAAATGATGATATAGACATTCGAACTTTTATCTCTTCAGATGGGTATACCCTTGAACTATGGAATAACTTGCGCTCAGAGTTTTTTGATAAGGCGATTAAGCAGAAAGCATGTTCAAATTGTGGAAAGTCATTCAGAGCTACAGTAAAAGAATCACAATTGAGTATAGGAATAACTTTATCATGGCCTGAGAGTAGCAAATCACCTATTGGTTTAGGTAGTACATGGGGAAATTACAATTTAAAGGAAGGTCAGATTAAGATTGAAGATGACTTCTCTTCAGAAGTACCTGATCAAGCTAAGATACATACCAAAAAAGGACAAAGTTTAATTTCACAACATTTTCAGGCATTTCAAGTTGTCCCTATATTAAAGAAGTTATGGGAAAATAATGAAAAAATATTAGAATTTTTATTTCCAATGAGTCGTGAAATTTCGTGGGAGATGTTTTTTATGTTTGTAATACCAGTTCCAGCAAATAAATTTCGTCCTTTAGGTGCTCTAGGAGGGAGGAATATCCCATTATTGCACCCACGAACATCTGCACTACTGGATATTTTAGTTGCTAATGAACGACTTCGCTTCTATATTGATTTACAGAGACAAAATAAAGATAAAAGTACAGATGATATAGGTGGAAGTTCAAGTCAATCTGGATTGCTATCATATGTATCTTCTTTACAAGAGAGAGTCAACTCATATTTGGATAAAAACAAAAGCTTTAAACCAGCATCAACCCCACCAGGAATTAGACAATGGCTCGAACGAAAAACAGGTGTAATTAGACAAAAGATGATGGGTAAAAGAGTTAATTACTCAGCTAGAACTGTTATTGGACCTGATCCCTACTTGGAAACTAATGAAATTGGGATTCCTCTAATGTTTGCAAGGAATTTAACAATTCCTGAGTATGTTGGTACCCATAATGTACTTATTATGTGCAAGTTGGTAGAAAATGGAACAGATCATTATCCTGGTGCAACGAAATTACAGTTAGATGGCACTCTGTATGACTTATCCAGACTAAACATATCACAGAGAATATCTAAATCTAAATTACTACTTTCTTCAGTTTTTACCTCACCGAATCCATTAATCCAAAACAATTACCCAATAGTATTTCGGCAAGTAATAGATGGAGATGTTGTCCTAATGAACCGTCAACCAACTCTTCATAGACCAAGTATTATGGCACATTTCGTTCGAATTCTACCTAAAGATAATATAATGAGACTTAATTACGTAAACTGTGGCACATATAATGCGGATTTCGATGGTGATGAAATGAATCTACATCTTCCACAATCACTATCCTCCCGTTCAGAAGCTAAGTATATAATGGATGCATCACAACAGTACTCTGTACCAAAAAGTGGAGAACCTTTACGCGGTTTAATACAAGATTCATGCATTGGTGGTGCATTTTTAACGAGCAAATCAACATTTTTAAATCGTGAAGAATATTATCACCTACTCTACACCTCACTTTCCTTTATACTTGATGTAAAGTCTTCTGCTCTTTCTAGTTTACCAATAATGTATTCTGCCAATGGGCATGTTATATTCGGTAAAAATAATACTTCTTCTCAGTTAAATACAGCTTCTGGTACAGTAACTATTGATGAGACAATACTTAGGTTTCAATCTCACAAAAACAATAGGAGGGAATTTACTAGCTCAACAAATTTAGATGGAGTGATATTAGAACCTCCTGCCATATTTAAACCAATTCCTCTTTGGACAGGTAAACAGGTTGTAACTTCAATGTTGAAGACATTTATAAACAAAACTTCAAGTTCAGATCGTAAGATATATGCAGGTATTAACCTGATTTCGAAATCACGTACTCCGGGAGATTCATGGAATGGGATCAATGATGGTGACTCTGAAGAGTCAACTGTTATTATAAGGAATAGTGAGCTTTTACAAGGAGTTATTGACAAAAACCAGTTTGGAACCAATACATATTGTTTAGTACATCTTTGTACTGATTTATTTGGACCAGTTATTGGTGGAAGGCTTTTATCATCTTTTTTCTACTTATCCCAAGCTTTTTTACAAATTAGAGGATTTACGTGCAGTATTGGAGATATGTTATTAACATTAGAAGCAGAAAAAAGACGTAAAGATATCATTAATAAATGTACAAATGCTTCTGTATTTTTACAAGAAGCCTTCTCTAACTTGGTATTACAGAGAATTAATAATGACTACGAGATCTCCTCTATGGAATATTCCCTCCCAAGTATAGAATGCAAATTCACTGATAAATTAAAGGATATTTGCGACTTTAGTGACACTTCTTACACGAAATTTGTTGAATCTCCTAAAAGTCAAGCACAGACTTTAAGAATAATTATTGACAAGCTTTCAGAATATTACAAATCTAACACTGATGTAGATAACAAAATTATGATTAGAGAGCTCACAAAGTATACCAATTTATTTAATCTTCTTAATTTTAATTCTCACCCAACTGGCTTATCTACCAAAATAAAAAGTAATTATAGTAAACCCTGTAATCTCACTTTGAAAGATGGAAATAATCAAATCCCTTACTACTACCAAAGCTGGCTTGTTAATAGACTTGAGAATGCAACATGCCCTAATAATAAGAGTTATAGAAGGAATTTTTTTCTAGTATATCCAAATGAAGTAACAAGAAGGAGAGTTGAATTCGTTGTTGGAAAATTATTATCTCAAAATACTTCATCAGTAATGAAGATTATTGATACATTCTGCAAAATGGGCATTGGAAATATTAGCTCTCAAGTAGGTGAGATAGTAAATGGCTCTTCCACATTCTTACCCTTTCCTAAGAATGGATTTTCATCAATGGTTATTACAGGAGCAAAGGGTTCACGTGTTAATCATCAAATGATTTGTGCAATGCTTGGACAGCAAGAACTTGAAGGTAGAAGAGTTCCAATAATGATCAGTATGAAATCTCTGCCAGCATTTGCTCCATATGATTTTGGTTCAAGAGCCGGAGGTTTTATTACTGATAGATACTTGGATGGTTTACATGCTCAAGAATTTTTTTTTCACTGTATGTCTGGTCGTGAAGGTCTAGTTGACACTGCTGTTAAAACGGCTAGGTCAGGTTATTTACAAAGGTGTATTTTAAAAGGTCTAGAGAGTATGATTGTTCAATATGATGGTACAGTAAGGAGTGATGATGGAAGCATGATACAATTCATATATGGTGAAGATGGTATTGATGTATCTAAGTGTAGTTATATAGCGCGAGTTGATGACCTTGCTAGGAATATAGAACTTTTGTCACGCAGTTTGAATGCTTGTGAAGCTAAAAGGAATGATGTAGTGAGACTTTCTTTTTCAAAAGTTCTTGAAATAGAACATAAGTACGGACAATTTGCTACAGTAATGAATAGAAGCAAAAAAGAAAAAAAGGCTAGATCGAACTCAAGGAGATATTTCAGTTGGGAAATAGTAAAATTGGATGAGAGTGATACACCCATAACATCAGTATTACCACCTGCTGAATATTGTGGTTCTGTTTCAGAACTATTTGTTTCTAATCTTACAGAAAACAATTTGCAGCGATTATCACATCTTTGCAATAATCATCAATCAATTAATACCAAAGTAGAAAGGCTGAAATATGAAAATAAACGAAGAAATGGTGACTCTTCCCATAATCTTGAAGAATTAAAGAATATAGAGTACTTACTCCGACTGAAGTACTCACAGACACAAGTAGCTCCAGGTGAAGCCGTGGGATGTCTTGCAGCCCAGTCTATTGGGGAGCCTGCTACTCAAATGACACTAAACACTTTTCACTTAGCAGGTCATGGTGCAGCCAATGTCACCTTAGGTATACCAAGGCTTAGGGAGTTGTTACAAACAGGAGGAGAGTCAAAAACTCCATATTCATTTATACCATTAAATGTTAAGGGCTCTATGAATCAATTACAAGCAGCTAATGCTGCAGATCAGGTTTTGGCATGTTTCAAAAGTATTCCACTCACAGATATAATTGCAGCCATTGGTATCGATAATTCAATAATTTATGACTGTGTTGGTCAGTACAACAACAGCAAACCCTCTTACTGTTGGAGATACGATCTAACGATTCAATTTGAAGATTTAGACTCATTTTGTAAAGTAGTTCCTGGTTACTCAATATCAAATATAATTAATCAGATTTTTTCTAAGTGTTTACGACCATTTTTGAGACAGGTAAGTATATATAACCATATAAATTGGAAGCACATGTTGAAATTATGTAAGATGATGAGTAAATTACTTTCGTTCTTCTGAATATATTTCATCTTTTTACTGATACTGAAGATATAGACTAATTACTCTGATTTAAAATCTAATAAAATTCTGATGAAAGACTCTTTTATTATTTAACCTAATAAATTTTTGTTTTTAGGTAAACAGTATGTTTATCCTATCATGCTTGAAGTGTAGAACCAATAGTAGGTTTAGTTATTTACATGACGAAGTAGATGAGTTTACATACAAGTATATATATGGATGTCGGAGTTATAAGGAAGAGAGAAGAAATATTGAGACATATAAAGGCTCATCAAACAACTTATCAAATATTGAACAAGAGAGTAATAATATAGACATAGCAGAAAGTAGCCAGGATAATAAGGAAATTGAAAATGGTAAGTCTTTGAAAATTCTTTTCTGAAAATTATTAACCCTACTTTTACTCTAGATTATGTAGATATTGGCACATCGAGAGAAAAATCAGATGGAAGCAGTGACTCCGAGACTGAGCTAAAGAGTATTGGGACAGATGATGAATATTCCGATGAAGAGAAAATTGCAAATATAAACGAAAATAGTGAAATAGAAGTTGATGGTGATAGTATTGTAAATGAGGCGAAAAGTGAAGATATATCTTTTTCTTTTGCAGACACTGAGGATTTATCTAGCCATGCAATACGTCTTAAAATTTTAAGCCCCATTTTATTGAGACATGTTTGGGATATAAAGCTTAGTAGACTAACAAATTCTCTAAAGGTGACTATTGGATGGCCTATTGAATCCTGTCCTAATCGTATTGACTTATTGCCAGAATTATCACACTGCATCTCAAAAGCACACTTGCGCTCTGTAGAGAATCTTAAAAATGCTCGAATTACAAGATGTCAACAATCGGAAGGTAATACATTGGAGGTGACAGTTCAAGGAACTAATATTGGCTATATATATAATATTTCACCTGATTTGGTGTTACACAATAATATAAGATCCAATGATATCCAAACAGTATACAAATATTATGGCATTGAAGCTGCAAGAAAGTGTCTTATAAATGAATTAACAAATGTATTTGCAGTTTATGGTATCAATGTTGACTATAGACACTTGTCATTAATTGGAGATACAGTGACATTTAGTGGCTCTATACGCGTATTTAGTAGAGTTGGTAATGTAGCTCACAGTACATCTCCTTTTTTACAAATGTCATTTGAAACTAGTATAAAATTCTTAGCTGATGCTTGTTCAAGGGGTGCTATCGATTCACTAAAAAGTCCTGCAAGTTCAATATCAGTTGGTAAGATATGTTCAGTTGGTACAGGACTAAGTCGTATATTTACGATAGTTAATCATTCTAACAAGTCGAATGTTTTTAAAGAAATACATGGTAAAGAGAATGACCATAGATTCAGATTTGTTTCTAACTAGTATTCTCATAATATTAGGGTGATAACTTTGTTACTATATACCACTTGTAAAAGACTTCAGTCAAAGGAATATATCTGAGATTTGCCAGAATTGAATAGTGTTATCTTCAGATGCAGATGCAATTAATAAGGGATCTCCATGGTTACTATAGTTCCAAGAAAAGTCAGATATAGGAGCACCATGGCCTGCATGACTGAATATTATTTCTGAAGATGTCGAGTCACTTTGGTTTGATTCTTTGCATATATCCCATAAAACTACTCTATTGTCCCCACATGCTGAAGCAATAATATTGGGGCACCAAGGAGACCATTCTATCTTAGCAATGGGCCTGTGATACTTAATATTTTTAATAGGGTGTGATAAATCACGTAGATCCCATATATTAATTTTGCCACCTGAATCAGAAGTTGCAAATACAGTAGGTATAAAACAATTAAACGATATGGAATTCAAAATATTGCAATTGGGACTTTCAGAATATTGTGATGGGTTCATTGACTTTTCCCTAATATCCCATAAGGCTAGGAATTTATCATCGGATACAGAGGCAAATACATAAGCGTGTGATGGATGCCACTGCACATCGTTAATTTCACCCTTGTGCCATTCGTAGGAATTAAGAGCTTCTATTGACCTTATAGACTCTGTGCAACCTGTATTATCATTACTATAATATTCACAATTATAAATTCCACTCTTTGTATTACAATATGAACCTATTCCACCTTCAGTGTAATTTGCAATATCCCAAAAGCATATGCGACTATCCTTTCCACCTGATATCAAAAAACCTTCATTAGAGAAATTCCAGCTTAGTGCATAACCCTCATTATTATGGCCTGTTAATACGAGCTGTGGACGGACAAGATCATCTGATGAAAATGATTCATGTTTAGAGTAGTCAAATAATAGGGTATCACCCTTCTTTGTAGCTGTCTTTGTAGCAATGATGAATGGATGTTGGTGCATGTGTAGTGCTTTATTTACTTCTCCAGGGTGGTTAAGCTTTGCCTTTATTTCAAATTGAATTGATGAACTAATATTAGTATCATTATTATAGCGATACTCAGCAAAGCTTTCATGGCACATTAGATCTTCGGCTTCAAAAGAGTCTGCCAAGTGGACCTCTGCAACTATCAAATGATTCTGATCCTCACCATTTGTATGGGTACCAAATATAATTTTATGCACAGAGTATGTGCCATCAGCAGATTTATAAGAATTTGGTAGCCAATCTAATGTGAGTGTGGGCCATTCTAGTGTGTAAGAAAGCATTGAGTCATATAAGTAGGGGCAGTTCCTTCTCCAGAAATAAAACTCATCATCATTCTGTAGATCTAGGTGTTCCTGTGGTGATTCTTGGCAAATAATATTGTTATGTTCTTCCATTAATTTTAAGTGGTGTTACCTTCCCAAGTAAATCTGCTTATCCTTACGGCCTGCGGAACATTTAAGGCGGTATTGCCTGAAAATTACTTTCTCATTCCTTGCTTTGAAAACAATATACCAGTATTAAATGACCTATTTTAAAGCAAATAGTATTGTAGCCAATCTTCATTGGGTATCTCCGTAATTTCAGGTTATTTAGCCTATTTTTTTTACCTATTTACAGGTCTATAAGATAGAATTAATTCGTTCTACATCCCCTAATCATATATATTATTTTCTGGTAAATATAGTTATAGGTAAAAATGTTACATATGAAATTCAATTATTAAGATGCTTTATTACAAAATAGTGCCTCTTTCTATATAACACTTCCATTTAAACCCTCACACTCATGCACGAGCTTTTACTTAGGTTTTTAAATTAATTAACATTAAAAATGGTACTCTATAGAATTATTCTTTTGATTTACTCATATTATACCCTACAACTACTGGCTATATATGCTAATTTTAAGCTAATATACTGTGATATAAGAAATCATGTGGTGACAAATATTAGAAAATCATCTGTTGTTAAACCTATTGATCTGGAAACAAAGCTTCACGTATTTAACCACTCTGAAAACTATGGAAGGTTAGTAAATAGTAGAAATAGAATATAATCCAAAATTACTAGCTACTTTACAATCTATTATAGCTTAAGTAACATCCCAGTTTGGGAAGATGCAGGAGATTATGATATACTAATTGAAAATCCTAGTTCAGCAATATCACAGCTAGTAACGAATTTATCTGATGAATACATAAAAAGTATGCAAGAGAAACAAAGTTACTATCAGCTTAGAGAAGAGGATTATGATACCATAGACTCTCTTCATAAGTTTTTTCCTCAAAGTAACCAAAGTGCAACAGACTCTAAGATAATAGGAGTACTAAATTTGGTAAGTAGAATTGTTGTAGTAAAAATGTAATATTAATAACTTTTTATAGACGAGAAATACAATTTACTTTGGAAAAAACATATCTTCAGTAATAGAACAAGATAGAGAACTCATTAGAAATACATTTCCTGAGGTAAAGTGAACTTCTACCACTCATAGAATAAGTGTATATCTTTGGAAATCTTGCAGGACTTCGGGAATAGATCTGAATGCATTCAAAGTAACTGCTCAAGAATTAATAGCTTTGATAATTTACTGAGAGTAAGATCGATAGTTCTTGTTAAAATTGACTAAAACTTAAAAAAATAAAAATTATAGGAAATACACGCTACTCATAAGGAAGATCACAAAAAAATCGATGATTATTTGGACAGTTTGAATATAACGGCACCAGTAAGTAATAGTATAATCTCATATTATATATTATCAATACTTTTTGTGGGATATTTAGAAGGTTGTTTCTACAGCAAATGAGCTTTACGATTCTTATATATTATTATCAGCAACAGCAAGAGAATATTCTGAACAGGTAATTTTTTTTACCTTGATCTTTACTAGAATAAGAACTAAAAATCTTCACTACAGAGTAATGAAACTAAACACCATAACCCTCTGACAATTCCCATAAAACCCTACTAGTAAGTTTTTCTTCTTTCTTTTACTAATATACTTTTAACTTCTTGACTAAAGTATATGGGAAGATATTGATAAATTATGGAAACTACATTTGACTAAAACAACTACACCTATTCCAAAATACAGAAAAGCTATTGATTCTACTAATAGTTATAATGAATATGCCAAAAGGACAAGAAATTTACCATTTGAAATTTATGATCAGTGGTATGAAGCAAGAAAAGAGCGTGAAGAAGTGAATAATGTAATTAGAAAGGCATCGATAGAGCAGAGGGATCGAGTTCTTGAAGAGCGTATGAGAAGGCAACGAGCATATTATAAACCAATTAAAGAGCCCTTTGATGATATGGCAGTGGTAGGTGATGGATTTTACCTTGAAGACTTGATAATGTTATTGAATATATTAATTATTTAATATTGTAGGTAGGGACACAAATTTCTAATAAGATAGATGAGAAATTCGGTCAAAGTTTCGGTGAGGTAACTGATATTATGAATGAAAAGATTCAAATGAGGTATGTGAGGTGTAATTTGATTGTTAGTAGTAAAGTAATAAGTATTTTGATCCAATGAGTGTATTATTACAGGCAGGATAAATATTTTGATAAGACATTTAATGATAAATTAAAGGAGTTTTGTATAATATATCCAACTTGCTGTCAAGATATTACAAGGTGTCCGCAGTTTTTTTATAATTTTGCTCCATCAAGCACAAATTATGAATCATAGCGCAACACTTTATAAATGCAGCATCTTACTTTAAGGTATAGCATACTTTTTTTTGGAACTGCTCTTGTCATGGAAAAAGCTAATTCTCAAAGGCGCCCTAATATATCTGCACGCAAACTGAAACGTGAGGGACATTAGTTTTAGTTTTTTTGCTTTACAGGCAATATAAAGTTTTATCAATCTAAATTAATCTTTAGTACTATAAAGTTAGCAGGTATTTGTAGTGCAACTATGGTGGATGGGATGAAAATGGCAATATCTCCTATTAAAGTTCCATCACATAAACGTGGAGTAGATATCTTAAGAGATCCTTCTCTTAATAAGGGTTTGTCATTTTCAAATAAAGAGAGACGTATGCTCAAGTTAGAATGTCTTTTGCCTCCAACTGTTGAGACTTTGGAGCAGCAGGTTGATAGATTATGGTTGGAGGTAATGTCAATTGAAAGACCACTAGATAAGTATACTTTTTTGGAGAATATAAAGACTTCTTCACTGCTTCTATACTATGCACTCTTATCTACTCACTTCCGTGAGTTAGTTCCTATTGTCTATACTCCAACTGTAGGTGAAGCATGTATACAGTTTTCTAAACTTCCTCTTTCAAGAAATTGGTTGGGAACAGGATTGTACATATCGTCATATCACAGGGGAAAAATAGCAGAGTATTTGGATCATTGGCCTCAGGATGATGTTCAAGTTATTGTTCTGACAGATGGAGGGAGGATTCTTGGACTAGGTGATCTTGGAATCAATGGAATGCCTATACCTATGGGCAAATTATCGCTTTATGTATCTCTTGGAGGTATCAATCCTAATAAAACGCTACCAATTGTACTTGACATTGGTTCTAACAGTAATAGAATTTTAGAAAGTCCGAACTATATTGGTCTGCATGAAAATAGACTCAAGGATGAAGAGTACTTTCTAATAATGGATGAATTAGTATCAGCCATTTTTTCAAAATGGCCAAAAGTTGTTTTACAATGGGAAGATGTGACTACAACTCGTGCGATTGACTTATTAGAAAAATATGGGAATATGTATAGATGTTTTAATGATGATATCCAAGGTACTGCAAGTATCACACTTGCTGGAATTTTAAGTGCTCTAAATATCACAAAAGGTAAACTGGAAGATCAAAGGATACTATTATGTGGTGCTGGTTCTGCTTCTATTGGGATCACTAATTTGATTATTAAGTTAATGATATCTAATGGAGTTACTAGAAAAGATGCATTAGCACGATTTTGGCTTGTTGACTCAAAGGGATTGATAACTTGTCACCGTGATGTAAGTACACTTGATAAATACAAAATTCCATTTGTTCGTACTGATATTGAGAAGGAAATGAAATCTCTAGTTGAGATAGTGAATTTTGTTAGACCAACAATTCTATTAGGAGCATCTGGACAAGCAGGAGTATTTAACGAAGAAGTTGTCAGGTGTATGAGTTCATATGTAGAACGTCCAATAATATTTGCACTAAGCAATCCGACTTCAAAAGCAGAGTGTTTAGCATCAGATGCATATAACTGGACAGATGGTCGAGTTATTTATGCAAGTGGAAGTCCTATGGAGCATGTTACAAGACAAGATGGTAGTATTTGGAGACCTGCTCAATGTAATAACATGTTTGCTTTCCCTGGTATTGGCTTAGGTGCATATATTGGACAACTTTCATATATTCCAGATGAATGTTTTATTGCTGTTGCTACTACTATTGCCACTGCAGCCAGTAATTCTTGTAATGATGAGGCCCTTTTTCCTCTTTTAACTGCACAGTTTGGGCTTGATTTATCTACAACAATAGCAGCTGATGTAATAACCACTGCAAGGCGGTTAGGTATTATTACTTCAGATTATGAGCAACGGCTACCTGTAAATTACGACGAGCTAGTTGATCATATAAAGATGTCGTTGTGGGTACCCTGTGATGTTCCTTATGTTGATACTGAGTATAAAGATTTGTGTGCTGATCAAAATACTCAATGTGCTATTGGTGCTTAACTATTTTTAAAGGTTCCTTGGTACTTCAAGTTTCATAGCTCTATTTTACCTAGATATGATGAAACTTTATCTAAATTACTATTGAAAACTAGTATTTTTAATAGTTAATCAATTCTCTTTAAAAGTTATGCTCTACTATTGGAACTGGATACATGTACTCATAACTTCTTTGAATTAAGTAGAATTTTCAAAGTAAGGATCTTCCAAAAAGTTTGAATCGCATCACCTTATATTTAATCAATTTGTGAAATCTGAAGTTACTTAGCATATTGACCAAATACAACCTTACTTAAATCTTCAGGTTCTATTCCCAAAACTAGAGGGACAGGGATAGATTTAGGAGTAAATATGGATTCCCAGAAGTATGCAAAGTGATCTATTTTAAATTTAATGTTACACTTTATTACTTTTCTTTTCAGGCAGAAAACTTACTAACTTCAATTCCAAAGGCAAATATCCTATCTTTTATACCAGGACTGAACTCAATAATAACTCCTACGTCATCTAGTTGTGTTTGAAACGATACTACAGGGATCAGGTCACTTCCAACTCCAGCTCCAGCTAAAACAAACGATCTTCCTAATCTTCCAGCACCTGCACGGGCAATAACAGATGGATCATTATCTGTTGGAAAAGTTGAACTAAGCAAAAGTTGCCAACCGTTTCCCCAATTTCCTAAGATAATTAGACAAATTCATTTGTTGATGAAAATCAAACTTGGGAATTTATAGAATTTACCTAGCAAGTCTGTAGTTCGAGTAGTAAAGCTTCTTACAACTGTAAACTGATATCCCCTTAGTCCAATTGCAACTCCATAAGATCGCTGCTTAACATTTGTAGCAACATCAATAAACAATGTTTTATATGAAGCAATGGCCTATTTTAAGTAAGAATTCCTATAAAGTTATATTCTAAAATATGTAGATTATCTACTTACCTCTGTACTGAATTGTTGACCAGATATAATGGGTAGTAAGGGAGAAAAGTTATGCCTAGCCGATAGACTAATATCTCTTAATGTTATATGTTGAGCATATTCTCTTAATCCAAAAGTTGCTAGAGTTGATGATATTAAGTATCGTGACTGCAAATCAATTCCCCAAGCATTTAGTGTATTGGATCGATCTATACGAACTCCATATAGTCCTTGAGTATAACCAAATGTAAAGAACCTTCCTAGATCAGTTAAAGCTTTTGCTGATAAGAAGGAAAAAATAGCAGTGTTATATGACATTCCATATGTTACAGCTTGTTCAATATACGAATCTCCAATAAATGCAAAAGCATAATTTCGGCCAACTCTTATAAAGTTCCCATCAGAACCAACAAGGGGTGCATATCTAATGAGCCAGTCACGCCAAAGTAAATTTTGGAAGATGGCATGCACTACTGGAAGTTGTGGCATACTTCTGTAGTATTGCTCTGTTAGTTGCTCACTAGCTACTCTATCAACAGATTGCATATGTGAATTCATATTTTTGTTGAAGAGTAGATATGCTTTGTCACCTCGCTGATTAGTACCAACAGTTGGAGTTTTCATTACAGTTTTTCCAGTTATATGAGATTTCATTCCATGTGGATTAGGTTGTGCTAATCTCCTCATCTTAACATTGGAGTTCCATATTTCAGAGGACCACCTTTTGTTAGAATAATCATTTTTACTAACTTCAGTATCTTCCAACTGAATTTTTTCTATATTGAAATCTTCTTTAAATTGATTGGTTAGAGTTTTAGTATTAATATCTCTCCAACTATTTAATGGCAGATATTTGGAATTTCCTTGAAGAAGATTTGGTTGTTCAAAGCTTAGAACACTACTACAATTTTTACTGAGACTTTGAGGTTCGGCGAAGGTTTGCATAGCACACTTGAGAGATATCTGATAATCTGAAACATCTCCATCTATTTCTTGAATTAACTTTTTCTTAGATATTGAAAAGATGAGATGATATGGAATATTCAACAAGATAGTAAAACTTATATCTTTACTAGATGGACAGCCATAAACTACTATTGGTACCCTTGATAAATGTTTATCTTGATCCTGTTGATTTTTTATATATATGTACTCACAGTAAGATGGCCACAGGTAGATGTTAGGATAACAATTTTCAGTATAGCGTCTATCAATATGATTATCAAATATAAGATCTTCTTCGTTATTAGGAACATTAACTTCATTATATTCACCTGCAGTAAATATGGATGATATTAACATTCCATATATTGGTAGTTCTTTAGCTTTTTGAAATTCTTTACCATTTTCACGATTTGGTATTTCATTTGATTTTATGATTCCTGCACGAACTACATTAGACCATCTAACATTTGGATAACACTCCTTTCCCTTGAAACAGCATGAGCATACTGCGATTACAGTGAATTTTGATGGCAACCTCATACTTGCAAGGCCAATTTTATCACTCTCCTTGTTACTACTATCGATACTTCTTGACCAAATCTTTTTGTCGAGTGGATCAACTGAATACACAGAATATTTGTAGTTATGTGTAGAAAACGAATAATCCTCGCAAGATTTCTCACTTTTAATAAATATTGCATCAACTTTTTTATTTCCTGAAAAACAATCAATACTAGTCAAATACTTGTCAGATTAGTATCTCACTTACCACTGATTTCATAAAACTCTTCAACAATAAAAGCTTTACTACAACTACCCTTAGTTTCATCACTTATGGTAAGGTTTGCATTAAGTATTGTTGTTTCATCAATAATATGCAAATCAATACCAAGTGCTGAGATCTCATTGATCAACTTTTTCTTCAATATTGATGAGATTGGGATAGAAATAACAATGCCATCACTATCACACCAAGCAGATGGAGGAATCTCCTTTGGTACTCCAACTTTCATAAGCCACTGCTTTGCTATTTTGTGTAAGTATTCGCTCTTAAAAATTCGTGGTGTGGAATTTGTCTCATCATATAAGTTTAAATCACCGAACAAATAAGATTTTTTAGTATCTTTAAATTTTCTGTCAGCTATAGTTCTATTCACGCCATTTTCAGATATCCTAATATTATTGCTAGAAAAAGCTACATAAAATATTAAGAAGCTCAGAACCAACACAAATATCTTAACTGAAGTAATGATCTTCATACATAAGTGTTTGAGTGTGAGTAAATAAGTTTACTATTGAATAATTTCTTAGATGTGATACTGGCACCGCGCTTCATGCTTTCTAGTTCTTGTAGTAGTTCCAGAATGTTACTATATTAGTTTAAAGTAATTCTTTTTTTTCGTTCTCTTCATTCTACTTTCTATTTCATTCATTGTCTAAAAAAAGGCAAAATATGATATAAAGTTGACACAAATGAATTGAATTCAGATAAACATACAACCCATGGCAAATGAACACCTAAAAATATCCATGTCGACATTACTCCGCCTACCAAAGGGAAGATCTTGGTATGAACAAAAAAGTGTGCCTATAAAGAGGAAATTTAGATATGTTTGTTAGTATCGAAATTCACTATGTGACTTACCTCATCTTGAGGTAATTCTATGAATTTTTTAAATCGACGCGCTCCCACAATAAAGGGGCGGATATCGTTGGGATCGGCCGTAGAAAAGTGGACTGGGAATCCTGTAAATGTGCTTTTTGGTAAAGCAGGGAAGTCACATGCTTGCCAATCATAGTAAAGTTGTTCCATTCTATAGTACCAGTTCCATCTAGCTCTTTGATCAACTTCATATTTCAGAGGTCTTGATAACTTTCTCCAAGGTGGAGGTTCTATGTTTTCATCTTCACCAATTTGAGTTTTATTTTTTTTAATTATATTAGGCACAGAAGCTTCACAAGTATTTTTAAAGGTTTTCCACTCGGTGATCTTACTTTTCATCCCTAAAGCAGCTAAATTTACACCTTCACTGGGTAAATCCGACTTGTTCTTTGCTTCTTCTAACTTCACATCTTCTGTAACAGTATTCCAATACAGAGTATTGATATTATCATATGTATTATCAGACTCTGATCTAAGTACTGAGCTGCTTCTTTTTTCTATGGGATTTCGTTGAATTTTGCCCATTGTAAATTTTAGATTATCAAAATTGGAATCTGTAGTGTCAATTATTTTTGGTACAATTTCATCATTAATAGGAGGAAGATTTATTAAATCTAACTGTCCTAGATTGTCTGAGGTTTGGTTAAATTTATTATTAAAAATATTTTCTGTTTCATTCAATGATGGATGCTCATAAGCTTCAGTAAATTCTGGGTTATTTAAAGTAGAGTGTTCACTATCCTGCATTGAATCTGATGGAGGTACACTTTGAGAGTTTGTGTTTTTTATTGCTTTTACTGAATCATCTACTTTGTAAGGGTTTGGAATTTGAGGATTTGAGTCATAATCAAGTGAAGGAAAATCTGTTGCAAAATTCCTCATATTAATATTTTCTTTTTGTTTGCTCTGATTCTTATTACTAGTACTAATTACAATACTTGTATAAAATTTTGGAAGTGAAGCAGACTCAGTGCTAATTTCTGATTTCTGAGAGCCATAAAAACTTGTATTTATATATTTCATTTGTGGATCTTGATTTATACTTTGAGAGTAGTCATTAGAATGAATTTGAAATGAAACGATATCTTCTTCACTATTCTTCTTTTTAGGTGCACTAGTTTGGTTTGTCTCTTTGTAGACTTCATCACCTTCATCTATTTCCATGGCTGACCAGGCAGTATGACCACATGGTGGCCCAGGATCATAAAGTAAATCAATATTTAGCTTAAATTCAAGTAACGTTAGGTACGTGTCAATTCGACTCTTAATTTCATCGCTTCGGTCGTATAGTGTGTCTAAACCCAGACGTGATCTATTTAATGAGATGCTTTCTTCTAGTACCTCATTAATGCGTTCTTCTAATTTCTGGATTGCTCTACCCTGAAGAGGAGGTTCAATGATCAAATTTGAAAATATTGTGTCTGGTTTAGAACCACAAAAAGCTCTCCACCTATAACCATTATTCAAATCATATGATATTAGAGCTGGATGGTGATTACCAAGGTTACCCCATACTTGTCTATGGTTAAAAATGATCTCAATACTACTGTATGGGACATATGAAATTAATTCAGGAGTCAAATAACATTCCATAGGAACAATAGGTATATTTTCAATATATTTAGACATAACTTTCCTTACAGACTTCAAACTAGTATAGTCAAATTTAACCTTATCTGATCTTCTTTCTCCAATATCAGTATTATTCTTTTCTATCGGATTTAAACTATCAATTATCTCTGGATTTATAGATATATCTGGAACAAAAAAATCGCCCCAAACATTAATTCCTGTATTTTCCTCACTATGATCTTCGGAATATTTAATCTCTCCAGTTTGTTTTAGCAATTCAAACCACTGTTGCAAGTATATACCATTATAGTATTCTCTCTCTTTTTCGAATAGTTTCACTCTCTCAAGATCATCAGGTTCTTCAACATCGTTATCATCATTGTTTATTGAAGGAATTACTTCAGGTTTTTCATTAAGAGGATTGTATATAGGATTAAAATTTTGCATTCCGTATCTTCTAGGCAAGACATATCGTTGTTTAGTTGTAACTTCCCAGAACTGTACATGACCATTTTTATGACGTGACATGACCCATACGTGTTCTATAGTCCCGTTTTCAATAGTACCCCTGCATACATAAGCATCGTATCCCATCCCTAATAGACAACTGCAAAGTAATAAAGCATGATCACCAATTCCCCCCTTCTTGGAAACAAGAAATAAATTTGGTGAATGCCATTTAGGTGACCTCCCAGGTGATTTCAGCTGTTGTGGAGTTGTTATATATAGAAAATTACTGATCCAATGTAGCAAACTGCCTTCATTAGCTATTTGTGTGGGTACTGCAATAGGTGATATGAATGCACATAATGGTACTACTTCATTTGTTGTTGGATGAGGTTCTACAACATTAAAATTTCTATTCTTAGGCGCAGAAGAAAACCATTGTTTATATATATTTTTCCATCTGTGAAAATCACGATTCCATCTATTCGCTAGTTGTTTCCATATGTTGCTTATAGCCTTAGTTGGAGGGGGAGGAGGAATTATTACATCGGGGGGCATTGGGGGAATGAAGAAAAATTCAAAATGTATTGTAGGAGTTAAATATTTTTGTGTAGTAATATCCACTTGTAAAGGCAACTTAGTATTCACAACTAGAGTCTTAAAAGGCAGTGTGTATGATGAATTATTATATAATTCATTTTCTGTATCTTGATCTTTTTCACCTTCAAAATTAGGTCTTCCATCAGACCTCCTCGAAGTATTTATATCTATTAAACCTTCTGCTAAACACCTAGTATTTTCGCGTCCTATTGTATATAACTTATTCAAGTCTATTTGAGAAGAACCCAGAAACATGGAAGATGCATCATCCCTATTCCACACTTCAAGTATTATTGGACCCTTGCTTAATATATCTACTGGTAAGCACTTCCTTCTAAATGATGGAACTAACAATTCTCTTTTATCTAAAATTCTAACGGGAAAATATAAATTTTGGTTATATACTGGTCTTCTTGTTTTTTCACGCACTGATGAAACATTAGTCATACCATCCCATCTTACCTTGACAATGGGATCTGATGTACCTGTTATATTATCTGCTATAGGAAGGTTATCACACTTAAATAGTCTTACGACTAAAAATTGCTCTTTTAAATTAAGCTGAGAAATTAGTGCCGCACCTGCAGCTATTTGTGTAGGTCTATTTCTAATATTCTCCAAAGGATGACCAGTACTTCTAACATTGCAGAAGATATTTCCGATAAGTTCTCCTACTATTATTTTATATATATCAACTGTTACTCGCTTAACTGTTACACGTGCAAGAGGATAACTTTCTACTGATTTCAAAGATATTATTGCTGATCCAATGGTTGTAGGTCCAAATCTTAAATATGCAACTACCTCTACAATTATATATGAGTTCTGTAACTGCATGTTTGTCCCAGTGAATACGAATCTGCAAGGACTATCCCAATATCCGGCCACTGTTATTGGTGTTGTAAATATGCCTGTAATAGAGTAATTTATGTTCATTTTATAAGTAAAAATGATTACTTACCTTTTTTAATTTTATTTCGTGATATATTATTAGATAATGGGACTCTAAAACGTAGTAACTTCGGTGCTCGCTTTATTTCTAATGGTAATTTCCCATTTGACAAAAAACTCCAATTAGAGAGGGAAATATCATAATCAAATACTTCTTGTAACTGCAATGTAATTCTTGTCCTATGAACTTCAAAACTTTTTTGTGGAAGATCTTTCCTTGGATTACTATCCTTACCTAGTGGTTTAGGTAGATACTTTTTAAAGAGTAATGAAGTTTCAGGTTCATTATCCAGTACTTCCTTTAGTGTTAAGGTAACGGACGCATAAAGTTGATTAAATGTAAATCTACTTATTGTCCACATTTGTATAGTTATTTGATACATCTCTAAGTCAGAGTAGGAAATATATAATATTTTTTTTGGCCATATTACAATGGGAACATTTAACTGTTTCATTTGACCTGATGCTAATGAATTTGCAGCTGTATATACTTTAACACGTTTCAGTGAACCAATAGTATTTCTTTCTGGATTAATATGACTGAATTCAATTACATAGAAAAAGTTCTGTGGAATTAATTCAAGATTTTCGTTTGAATGTATAAAGAAGGCTGTTTCCCAAACTCTCAAAACTTTCATTGGATCTAAATTAATATTTGCGCGTTGCCTTAAACTGCTGTAATCTTCAATTACACTTTGCCTATATAAGTTCAAATTTATTTTTTCATCAGATAACTCTTCATCATCTTCAGTAGCTTCATCACTTTCCTTGTCCTGCTGAACTTCTAGTTCAATATCTTGGCCAAACTTCGAGTGTTGTGATCCCTTAGATTTGTGATGACCTTCAATATCAAATAATGAAACCTCATATCTACCATCATCTAGAATTAAAAACTACAAGTGTTATATTGATTATATTTGTAATAAGTTAATATATAGCAGCTCACCTATAATTTCTTCATCATTTTGTTTATATTCTTGAGAGTGGCTTATATGCCAAACTTCTCCCTCCTCAAATACCGAATTATTTACAAAAGAGTTATTCCTTTCGTCAATATTTTTTCTAGATACCATGATATCTAAAAAAAGCTTATGCAATAGATTGGACTATTTCATCACTTTAAAACAATACAACAGGAATAGCATGCGAACAGCAGCCACGTGCCATAGCGCCTTATAACCGCCACTCTTAGTTGACTATAGTGTTTTCATGCACCTTTGCATTGTTAATATTTAATTATAATAAACTTTCAGTGAAAATGATAATTTTGGATATTAGTAGTATTTATAAAAAGTACCTTTGCTTATTTAAATATTGTGCTTCAAATTTGTCAGAATGCATCATTTGAGTATCAAAATGTGGGGAGTTGTACTCCTTTTTCAGTTTTTCCATTTATTAGATCACAATTTACGTACTAGAAATGTAATTTTCCTCAAAAAAAGTAACATATCTATATTTGAAGAGGGAAACACACAAATTTTTGACAAATATTATAGTACAAAACAAATAGATGAAACTACTACTGATGACTGGAAGATGATATCATCCGAAGATAATCCTTATATAATATATGTATATTCGGCATATTTAGATTTAAGAGGTTTTCCTGAGGAAGAATCATATGGAGTTCGCATCAATTCTTTGATACATTATGAGAGTAGTCTGGAAATTGCACAAATTATAAAGTGTGATCTTTTTTCAGAAAAAAAGTATATTGGTGGTATACCACATATCGTTATTCACAAAGAGCACCACAACAAGCTATTTGCATCTTCAACGATATGGTGTAAACCTGAGTTAAAGTATAATACTTCTAATAAGATATTGAAAAGTATCACCCATGTGAAGATACGAATGGGTAGCTCATTATCAAGTAATTCATTTAAGACTAGTGAATTGATATTGGTAGTACATAGCTTGGAGATGAAAGATTTATTTTTATTTGAGGCTAGTATATGTATTAGACCTTGGTGGGGTGAACCTACAAAAACTATTTATAATGGCTCTGAGAGTAAAGAGTTTGATGATATTACACTATTAATAGAGTTTTTTGAGGTATACAGGCTGCTCGGTATAAATAGAATTACGATGTACAATAATTATTTACCTCTTGGAAGTGCTGTATCAAAAATTATACAGTATTATTCAAATATTGCTGGTTTTATTGAAGTAGTTCCATATACTCTTCCTTTAATCCCTTATAAAGAGGTATGGGATTATGCACAAATTTCAATGATACAGGATTGCTTACTTAGGCATACTAGGAAGAGTAAGTATGTGTTATTTATTGATACTGATGAATACTTACTACCAACAGTTCCAGGTATAGGACTTCCAAGTCTATTTGATATGATATTAGAAAGAAAAAAATTTGTTGGTGCCATTTGGGTACCAATGTATCTGCATTTCTTGGAATGGCCAGATGATCCTAGAGGGGTAAAAATATATCCTTCATTTAAAGTTATAACAAAAGAGTTACATTTACCTCTTGGTAAAATTTTTTCTTTTAATTTAAAGTCTCTACAAAAAACCTGCAGATTAGCATTTGCTGGAACACAGAAAAACAAAAAAAGTCGCAGGAAAATAGTTGTCCGACCAGAAACTATTATGTATATGGGAATTCATGAACCAGAGAAGATGTTATCAAATTACTCCATGATTCAGATGCCCATTGTAGATATTCGAAATAATTCTTGTATTCATTCTTGTAGAATAACGGCTAGTTTACATCATTATAGAAGAGCAATGGGAGTTGTAAGCAACAATCCGAAAAATAGGGAATTTCAGATGCTATTTAACTCAAATAAATGTTTGTTTAATGAAAACCCCAAAGTATCTGATGGTACTATAGTTGACAAAACTGCTTGGGATATCTTAGGAGCTAAATTATACAAGTCAGTTATTAAGGTGATTCAAGACATAGATTATTTTGAGAGTGAACAAATATTATAAAGAATAAATTGTATTAAAGTCTTAGTTCTATAATTAATCACGATGCAAAAATAGGTGGCGTAATGCAAATGCAATACAGTGTAAAGCTAAAAGAGTTATTACTATCCATGTAATACGATTTGCTTGTGCTGTTTGACGTTCTTCAGTAATAACTCGTAGTAGTTCCTGCATACACACAATTCGGCGGTTTAAAACTTCTAGTCTTGCAGGAATTTCAAGATAATCATGCAAGTATTTCCAGACATTGTGAAAACGACAATTATGCCAAAATATGTCAGGAATATCAAGAAAGTCTTCTACTAGATTTACAGCAATTTGATATGAATACAGTTCTGAAAATCTCTTCCTAATTGTAGGAGCTTCTACCTTCAGTTCTTCCTCGATAATAGTAGATGCTCCAACTTGGGCAAGTTTGAGTGGTAGATGTCTAATATTAACTACACAATCATCAATGCAATTTTCAAAAATTGAAAGTCTGATACTTTGAGCTATTGCTAGTGAAACTGCTAATTTTTCATATGCACTTCGTGTCTTAAGCTTAATAATATCTGAAATTACACAGCTGCTAGGTGGATGAGTAGGGTTTCTGTTTGGATAATTACAAATATATAGCATAGATGTGCTTTGGTATTTCTTAACTGAGTTTTTAGTAAATATACCTTGTGCATATATCAATAAGAAGGCTAATATGTCGTCAAGTCGTTCGTCAGTATTGGGAGGAATTGGAAGATGCATACCACCGCTGAATATTGATTGCTCATTTGACCAAGTAATCACAACACCATTTGCAAATACAAAAATAGGATTTTCTAAACTCTTCCAATAATCTTGGTCAGGATATAAATTCTCTTCATGTTCACTGTAGTCACTTTCTTTTTCAGAAAAGTTCCTACTGCAGGAAGTATTAATATTCCTACTTTCCATTTGCTTCGATTGATCTATATCATCACATAATTCGTCAATCCCAATTGAAAATGAGTTTTTGTGTAGGTTATACGGATCTTTGTATCTAGGTAGATGTGAGTCATGAAATACTGTATCTCTCACTTCGCTTTGCTTATATTTAATATTTGAAGAAATAATGGGAATGTCACTAATAGTTCCAAATGTAGTACATTTATTTAAAGTATTTACTAGTTCATTTACACCACAGAATATCCTATTTGGTTTGGTATCTCCTGTTGTGATCTCATTATATCCGCATTGGGAAGACTCATATATACCTGCTGGAAATAGCACACGACCACTTCGTCCTTGTAGTTTCCATGTTATTTCTAATTTATCTAAGTAGGGAGTCAAGTTAAAAACTAGTATTTGTTTTTCTTTATCCGCATACCAACAAAAGTAGTTGTGTCTTTGTAATGCAGAATATAAACTCTCAAGGTCATAGTGTTCGCATGGACAAAACCCCCTAACGACTTGAAATTTATATATATATTCCCCTTCACTAATCCAATAATTAGTATTTTCAAGTGATTCTAAATCAAATTTCCCAAATTTTGGCCATACCTTTGAGCTGCGGTTCCTTATACTACGCCCAAATCTACGTTCTATCCGATATTGTAGACCACGATTGGAATATTGTCGTGGAACTCCTCTATTTGGTACTTTGTTACCATTAGTTTGCAATACTTCAGGTCTAAAGTCAAATTTCTTATACATATCTTTGGGTTTCGTTGTAACTTTTTCGAGCGTAGATAGTTATTTACCGCAAGTTGAAGTAGTCACTTTAATATACTAAATTCAGGATAACAAGTTATGAATCATCAATATTCTTCAGAGCTCATATTCTCATATATATACAATGAGATTGTTATTTCACGTGAATATTGATATCTTCTTAGGGTGTAATTATTGCATATGCTACTTTTTATCTTCTGTTCCAAGTAAGTTGGAGATAGGAACCATCCGGCGCTTCCAGTCACTAAAAGTAAAAGTAATGTAATGAGAAATATTCAGAAAAAGAGATAATAAATGACATACCTGGAGTTTTCATATTGGTTAATAACCAGCGCTATTCCAAGTTTGACTCTTTCTCTTGATGAATCATCTAAAAAAATGATTTGAAGAGAGGATAATTTTATCATATCATTATTTTCATTTTCCGATGAATTTTCCACAGAATCTTCATCACTACTATTTAACTGTATTTTACCTTGAGGAATTGACTCTGAAGACTTTTTACTTTCAAATCTTGCACTTTGTTCTTGACTTGACTCATTAGGAAGCTGGTAAATTAACTTCATCTCTGCTTCTTCTAAAGGACTAAATTGCACAGATCTTAACCTATGTATACGAAAAGACCTGATCTTTTTGAACAGGTGTGACTTTGCAAGTTTTTGTCTAGTTTCAAACCACTTCTGAGATTCAGAGTTAAATTCCTTCAAAGATACATTAGTTTCGTATTTATATTGGACATTTGTAGATTTAGACTCTTGACTTTTCTCTTTTTCAACTGCAACTTGCGTACTGTTATCATACTCCTCATTTCTTTGATCAAGTACACCGAGAAAATTGGCAAGTCCAAGCTTAGATGAACTATTAAAGTAGTTCTGAGAATCAGGGATTTCTTGGGCCTCTAGTGGTAACGATATTTCATATCTAAGGTAAAGATCTTCGACTGTCGTTAACATTAGAGAATCTGGTGAAAACCAAAATTGCCAATTAATTTCAAATTCATATACTGAATTTAGTGTAATGACGAAATAGTGCAATAATGCTTGTTCAGGATTATGAAGTATTGCAGCTCTTGGCAATTTTGATTTTGGAAATCTCTTCTTATGAGGAAAGACTATATCAGTAGAAGCGAATATTTGATCTAATAAAGATTTTGATTTGTTTATTATGTTGGTAAATTCGTTACCACTTTCCTTATTTAATATACTCAAGCTATACATATCAACCAGCCCAAATTGTTGAGCACGAATATTTTCAATCCTCAAATATTCACCTAAACAACTTCTACTTATTATATCGTTGTTCACTGCAATTTTGTTTGAGAATTTGTGTTCATATAATTGAACTATATTTGATATCATATCATCTCTATCGCATATTTTTTCACAAATAATAATATCATACAGTGTAGTTGAATATTGAGGTTTATCAATATTTTTCATCTTAGAGTTTTGAAGACTATTTCTAGATCCAGGTGAGAACCAACCTAGCATAAGAACTTGATCTCCTAGGAAGCTTCGTATAATTTTTTGCAAGTCTTTATACTCTCTCTTTAGTATAATAATGGGATCCCTATAGTACTTATATTGTTCTTTAGCAAGAACATTGCGGATAGAAGTAGGTTTTTCAAAAAAGTAAAGGGAAGATGTGGTCAAAACAACGATTATGGTTTGAGGTTTAGTTAGATTCCTCAGCATCTCATCTTCAAGGTTACGAAGTGTGGGATTTTGAGAGAACACACGACATGGATAGAGCCCTAAAATTCTCTCATTGCGTTTATAGTAGCGTGACAAATATAGTTCTACTCCATACAAATAATGTTGACTATTAATTCCATCCAATAGCTCAAAAAGAAAAGAGCGTCGGATTGGAAAATGCCGAAATATAGATTGGTACATTATACTCTCAATTATTGTGTAACGAGATTTTGATGAAATTTCCATAATAAAGGTTGCTGCCTTTATACAAGAAATTCGCATTAATTCTCTTAGCTCAATAGACTTTTTGGCATGGTCTTTGTTATAAAAAGAAGTTTCCACATTCTCCATTAAAGGAACATGTGCTATATATGTTCCATGAGCACTACCGATTGATATCTGTAAATCGAAAAGTATTAGCCTTATTAAACACTCAAAAATATTTTTTGAAAAAAGAAAATTTAGTGATTTCTCAAGAAAATACTTATGTATTGAAGCATTGTGTGAAAATTGAATGTACTTCAGCAAATAAATTGATTGTGAAAGTACCTTTGAAACCATGGTACATAATAGTTGCTCACTCAACGAAAGAGCTCTTCTATTAGACTCCTGGAGAATATATAATACAGATTCGGATATTGAATTCAAGAACCAAAAGGTAATATAAAGACAAATCAATAAGTCCATAGATTCTACTGAATCTTCTGGTGATATTTCTAAAGCCATACTTGTTAAAAGTAGAAATTTTGATGCTACTTCAGATTCTAAATATCCACAGCACAAGACAAGTGATGCAATACCACTTAAAATGTGTGGTTTCCTTATTGACTCTTTAGTGTAATTGGCTAATTTTGGTGTAGTATTAGCATTGAGACCAACATAAAGTACTCGCAGAAAAGCTGCTATTGTTACATGGGCAGTTATGCTACCAGTAATTATATCATTCCAAAGAACTCCTTTCCCTTTTAGTTTGTGCTGTGCAGATAATGATTCTGAAGAGTTTATTGTGGAACTAGGTAATTTTATTGTTGATAATACCTGGGTATTTTGGTATTTATTGCTGAATATTGAGAAGTTTTGTGACACTCTATTATTACAATCCCATGACTCAATGAGATTTGGTCCATATTTATTATATACTCCATTCAAAATATTTCTAGCATATGGATGTATAATAGTAATCTCCTCATCTGGGTTTACCATAAATTGGGTTTTAGCGTTATGTACAATATCTTCTTCAGAGTCAGATATATTTAGCAGGATTTTGTTAGATTGATTACTGTCATTATTACAATCACTATCTTCTAGTCCATCAGTAGTCTCTTCAATTTTTTTTACTAACCTACTCTCAGCTTGTAATATTTCGCCTTTTATAATACCAGCCCATTCATTTGCTTCATCAATAATTGAATCCCTACCTGATTGTATGTAGATGTTTGAAATTCTAAGCTGTTCAATTGTAGATAAGTATGTATAGAGTTTAATTATTCCATCATTTTCAATGAACTTAGTCTCTTCCTTTATTTTATCATCTATTTCCATATTATCTAGAAGTAGTAGATTCACTAAATATGAATTTGCTTCTATATCCCACATTTTAGTTTCTTTATCAATAATAATTAAGAAGGAGCTTTCAATTGTTGTCAACTGTTTATTATCAGTAGTATAATATCTATTGTGATCTAACTGAGCTTTTTCAACTTCAAGCATTTTATTATCAGAAATACCTTCCATAATATCAGCTATTCTGCAGAATACTCTTGTTGCTAACTTTTTTTCTGCTGAAAGTCTGTTTTGTCCACTGAGAGTCCCCAATAGCCATTCTAATGACCTACCACACCATGATATCTCCAATGACGTATCTGGATCATATGCACCAAAGTTTAGCTCCTCCTTTTTTAATGAATACTCGAAAAATATGCGGAGATTTGGATCCCTTAGATACTTCCTAAATTCATTGTATCTTGATAGTGCTCTAACAACACGACAAGAAGCTAAAATTGTAAATACTTCATTTGATTGTTCAGAGCTTATTTCAAGTATAATTTTTGAGAAGGAAGAGCTAAGGATTAATTTTTGCCAAGAATATTGTAGTCCACAAAATATTATATAAGCTATTTCAGGAGCAAAATTATCACGAAATATGCACCAACAATTGCTATTTACAGTATCGATTAAACGGCGAATATATATAAGTAAAGGTAACCATAGAGAACTAAGAATCTTAAATGGTCTGTTAGGATATGATTGTGAATTTATTGAACAATAGTTCACAGTTTGATTTTCATTGTTGGAAGCTTTTTTATCAGGAATTATACCAATTTCATAACGAACTAAAACAAAAAATTCATTCATTGCACTAGAGTCAATCATACTTAAGTCTACCATTGATATTATATCCATAGCAGCCATAGGAACATCTTCACCTGGAACTTCAAGTAGCCTAATAAAAGTTGTACAGTAACCTTTACTATATATTCCATCTACAACCTTTGAGCATATTTCAGAATCCTTATTTTGAAAAAAAAATGCCAAAAATTTAAGTAATGAAAAGATAAAATTTTGAATTTTTTCAGATATAACAACTTTGGCTAAACAAACTTTTGAAGATTCCAAAAAATCAGTTGCATTTTCAAAACTGCTGTTATAATACATTAACATTTCACGGAAATTCTGATTAAAGTTTAAAAATTCAAGCTGTGGATATAAGTAATCCATCTGTTCTACAATATAACGAAGTATGTTTTCTGAATTGACTGGTAAATTATCTTTAGTAGGACCAATAATTGTATTATATGTATATATGTTGTAGGATGATCCTGTGTATGGTGAAATTAGGTGCAATGGGGAATACTGAAAAGATTCAATTTCTGGTTTTTTACAAATTGTGAGTATGCATCCTATAGCAGCCGATGCAATATCTGGATTGGTAAATGGGACTTCCTTGAGTGGGATCAAAACCCAATCTATTATGTGAAAATTAATAACTAGCTGCATTAATGCTATCCCACTAGAATTTAATAAACTTGTTAAAACATTAATTATTTCCGAACACAATTTTGACATTATTTCAGAGAAGAAGCGTGTTTCTCTTTTTGAAAGAAACTGTTGTAGTAGTGGCATTAAGAATTTTGAGTGTAATCCTATATCTGTGCAAAGAGTAGATGCTCTGTTTGATGCATCACAACAGTTCCGAATTATCTTCAAATAGTACACTATTAAGTCTAATTGTAAATTGGAGAGTTTAGCAAATTCTGGTATTATAAAGCTGCTACTATCCATTTCACTTGTTCCATTCATATAACTAGGTATTATAGATTTACCCTCAGCCCGTCGTTTTGCAAGTAACTTTACCATTTTTAAAATAGAAAATGTACTTCCAGATGCAAGATTACCAGAACAGTTGATATTTTGAGTATTCTTTATATCATCGCTATTTAAGATATACTTCAAAGAAGACCACTTACTTTGTAGTTCATGTTCTTTCTTTTGAGTAGGCCTATCTTTAATAAATTGTTCCTTTTCAATTTTTACCTCAGGTTCCTTCATAATAAGATTTAGCAATACTAGAGTTGAAGCTAAGTCAGAGGGAACTCCATATCCTGATAGTGCAATCGCATTTTCAGGATATAGTGAAACTATTGATAAAATAATAATTAGGGGACGATGAAATTCAGTTCTAGCATAACGTGCTGCAAAATCTAGTAACATTGGTATATGTCTGCTCATTAATTTAGCAAACAGATTTGATGGAGGTAATATAGAGATAGATGCAAGTACTGTTTGCACAATAGGATCTGAAAATGAACGTCCTTGGAGACCTGGAAGCACTATAGATGATATAATTTCGCTTATTTTTTGTGTAAATTCTTCTCTGATCATCATAATTGCAAAATAACGAGCTATAGCTATAGCTAGACCACCAGCAGGAATATGTATTAATCTTGCCAGGCCTGTTAATATCCAAACTTTCGAAAGGTTTTCGCTACCAAAATTATAGTCATCCTGTCTCTCCATAACCAAAGATACCAATTCAATTAGTTCTTCTGTTTCTCTAACTCTATCACTGTGGGATTTACTTGATGGCTTGAATATATTAATAAACCTATGTGCTTCAAAAGGATCAATATCGCCTAAATCTCCCCCGTAATCTGTTGACCATTGGCGCATAGATTCATTATATATTACTTCACAGCCTTGCAGGAAATATGCAGATAGTTTGACTGATGCACCTTCTTCTAAAATTTGTTCTAAAGTACTACAGAGATAGTCTAATCTTCCATGGCTCATTTCAAGTTTCTTGCTAAATTGTAAAGTATAGGCAGGGTTATAACTTCTACCAGCTCTAATATCATAAACATCATCATAATTTTTTAACAGTCCAAGATCAAATAGAGGCATATTTTGCCTTGTTAAATTGGTAACAAGGGTTCCATCACAAATAGCTAATGATTTGCAGCATGTAATAGCTAGTGAGCGGTACTCAGGAAAAAAAGTGCAGAGAGGATTTCCTTCTAAGTTCAGATAAGTCAGTGATTCACTAAGTAACTCGAAAATACGAGCTAGAACACTTGGAAGAACAGATATATTGTTATGAGAAAGATCAAGTCTTTTCAAATTCGGGCAGTTTTGTAGTGTAGTCCATGGCTTTATCGAATTATATGGAACTTCTATATTATTATTTGAAATTTCAAGAACTTCAAGTTTTTGAAGCCCTCCTAATTCTGGTATAGAAGAGAGGTTATTGTAGTTTAAATAAATCTCAGTGAGTGATGGAAGTGAGATATCGCTGCTAAGTTTATATATGTTATTGTTAGAAAGATCCAGTTTTCTGAGTTTTGCAAATCTCGTAGAGTTACTTGAACTAAAGGTACCATTGTCACTTGACAAGTTATTATTGCTTAGTTTCAAATATTCTAAGTTGGATATATCTAAATATTCATTTATTAGACCATGTCCATGTTCATTGCTTCCTAAAGAACTTAAATAGAATTCATCTCCACTAAAATCGAGGAGCTTTGGCTTTTGTTTCTTCCAATCTATACCTAAGAGTTTTAATAATTCTTTATTACCTATAGTAGTTGCACCAACCTGTCTAGTTGAGTAATCATCCATGAAACCTTTACTCTGTCCCAAGTATAATATATACATCATAGCTCCAATATATATGGCGCTATTTTGTGAGAAACCACTGGCGCGGTATCCATGCACATTTACTATCCCTAACGTTTAGTTCATCAGAAAATTAAAATAAAATAGAAAAAGGGTTTGGGCTTTCTTTTACGAACTTAGCAACTATATATATTAATAATAATATTAGTTAAACTTAAATATAGGCCTTGACCTAGTGTAACTTCACTAAGAACTTTTGAACTTACCAACTCTCTTGGAAAACAATAAGTTACAAAGTTACTTTCCAGAACTACTCTTCATATAGATTGGATTTAATAAAATGGGCCTTTGCCAATCTAAATTAGCTGTTGATGTAGCTGTAAAGAGACGAGTGCATACTAATAAGACTAATCATAACCCTTTGCCTGTAAATAATACATGTGTAGATTTACAGGCAACCCCTGGAATGTTTATTACATCTAAAAAGGGTCATCTTTCAGAAATGTATCAAAGAGTCAAGAAGCTAGGATCTGGTGCATATGGAGAAGTTCTGTTATGTACAGATAAGACAACAGGAGCTGAACGTGCAATTAAAATTATTAGAAAAAGTTCGGTTAATGTACCTGTCAACTCGACACTCTTAGAAGAAGTTGCGGTAGTGAAACTATTGGACCACCCAAACATTATGACTCTATATGATTTCTTTGAAGATAGAAGAAACTACTATTTAGTTATGGAATGTTATAAAGGTGGGGAGCTATTTGATGAAATTATACATCGTTTAAAGTTCAATGAAGTTGATGCAGCAGTTATAATAAGACAAGTTTTAAGTGGTGTGACATATTTACACAATCATAAAATAGTGCACCGTGATTTGAAACCTGAAAATTTATTATTAGAGTCTAAAGAAAAAGATGCACTGATCAAAATCGTTGATTTTGGTCTTTCAGTGGTATTTGATCATCAGAAGAAAATGAAGGATAGATTAGGGACTGCCTATTATATCGCGCCTGAAGTTCTGCGTAAGAAATACGATGAAAAGTGTGATGTTTGGTCAATTGGAGTAATATTATTTATCTTACTGTCGGGATATCCACCATTTGGTGGGCAAACTGATCAAGAGATACTACGGAAGGTGGAACGCGGAAAATATTCATTTGATTCACCTGAGTGGAAAAACGTTTCAGAAGGAGCTAAAGATCTAGTCAGACAGATGTTACAATATGACCCACAGAAACGTATAACTGCTCAACAAGCATTAGAACATCCCTGGATCAAAGAAATGTGCAGCCGTAAAGACTCAGGAATTGAATTACCAAGTTTAGCCAATGCAATTGAAAATATGAGGAAGTTTCAAAATGCACAGAAACTTGCACAAGCCGCATTACTATTCATGGCTACAAAGTTAACTACCCAGGATGAGACTAAACAGTTGACGGAAATATTTAGACATATAGATAAGAATGGAGATGGCCAGTTAGATAGAGAGGAGTTAATAGATGGTTATGCGCAACTACTTGTATCTGAAATGGCTATTTTTGACCGCCAGCAAATAGAGAATGAGGTCGACAATATACTTGAAGCAGCAGACTTTGACAAAAACGGATATATTGAGTTTTCAGAATTTGTAACAGTTGCAATGGATAGACGCTGTTTACTTAGTCGTGAAAGACTTGAGATAGCATTCCAAATATTTGACCAAGATGGAAGTGGGAAGATAAGCATTAATGAATTAGCAGCTATTTTTGGCCTCCAGCAAATTGAAGATTCTGTATGGAAAGGTATATTGGTTGAAGTAGATAAAAATAATGATGGAGAAGTAGACTTTGAAGAATTTTGCCAAATGATTCAGAAACTATGTCTTAATAAAGACCAAGTAGGCAAAGCATCTGAACTTGTATTACTACAAAATAGTAACTAAGCTTGAATATATTGGGATAAATTACCGTAAATTAATAACATAAAATAAAAGTATTATATACAGAATTTAAGATAAATATTTAAGAAGGGATATTACCGAAGTATAATTGCTAATTTATACTAATGTATTGTTTTATTATATTAAGTTTAAAGCTATTATTTGTTTATAATTAAATCTAATAAAAATTGATTACGCAGATATAAAATGATTCTTAAATCCCTGGTGTTCTTTCATATCCTCAACTTTTTCTTTTCTATCAAGTATCCCAATGATTATACCAATAATTACTAGTGCAAGTACTGTAACAGTTATAATTCTAGTGAAGGTCTTTGTAGGGCTTACAGAAAGTACTAAGGACCAGTTTCGTGGATTATTAATTGGATATAGTTGAGCTATTACATGTGTGTTTGGTATAAGACCCATCCAAATATTTGAATATTCTGAATTACCAGTGTCCCTACCACCAGAAAAATCGAACTTCAATAAGCTTGAAGGCTCCTTTCTAGATGATTCAGTAACCTTGCTCATAGCTGTTATCCCAACAAAGAGTTCCTCAATATAGTTATTAGTTTTCCCCAAACCGAATAACAAATATGGCTGCTGAATAACACCATTCGTTGATTGAGGAAACTGAGTTGCAGTCCTTGGGGTTTTAATTCCATTTAGGTCAGTAATAGTAATTTTCACAGTTGGTCCATGTGAAGTATTTCCAGTGCACTTCCCCCTGCAATAAGGTGATATATTTGATGAGCTTAAAATAGTAATTTTCATGAATAATGCAGACCCATCAGATTGAGAGATTGCACAATTGACATTTCGTTTACCATGTTCATTAGGTGAAGAGATATATATTATATCCAAAAGTCCGTCATCGTAGAAGTCAAAAAAAGCAGCTTGTTCAACAAAATCCATGTCATTTGTTGCAGCATCATTATCAAGTAGCTCAAAATGTCTATAAATAGACCCCTTATTTATAAATCTCTCTGAATCTATAAAAACTCTAGAAAACCAATGGTGGATATTGTTTAAAATTGTTAAAAATTTGCCAGTGTATCCAGAACTTACATAACTATTTATAATTATATGTGGATTGATTTTATCATTATTTTCGCTGGAACTATTTTGGAAAGCTGGTCCCATCTGTGCAGGAGCAATATATCTTGATTTCTCGCCATTTGCAGCCAAATTCTTTAGAACACGCGCTTGTCGAGATCCATTAGGTAGAACAACTATAGCTAAAACATCTGGGTAGCCATCTAGATCTTGATCCCCAATATTCAACACAGTTGGACTAAATTCATCAGTTGCCCACTGCAGCTCCAGAGCTTGAAAATGTTTCTTTGTAGGAAAGAATGAGAAAAATGATGCAACATGGCTTGCCATACTAGACTGTAATAAATGATTATTTTCTGTTTGACCTTTAGACCTTTTATCATCATGAATATTTTCACTGGATAAATTTATGGTTTCAAAAAGAGCCGATACTGTAAAACCTTGGAAAAATGCATTACTTCTTGAATTTATATTGTTATTTCCAAACCAAAATGACAAAAAAGACCTAGGTATAGTAGATTTTTCCTCAGAACTTATATCCTGTAAAATTGCATTATCATCCTCACTTGTGAAGCTATGTAAACTAAATTGTGATGAAGTACACAATTTATTTGAAAGTCTACACTTTGGGATTTCATCATGTTGTGCTTTAGCCTTGAAATTGAACTCATCTTTAGTGGAGCATATAGAGCCCTCTTGAACGTTAGGAACAAACACTATACGGCTATTAGAAACGCATTGTTTTTTATTATCATAAATACACACCGGAATAAGTAAATCTATTGATCCATCTCCATTAAAATCAGAAAACGCAATGTGCCCCGAACCCGAAGGTAGTATAATTGGAGAATAGTTACTACTGTTATCACTTTCCAATTGTCTGTGTACTCTATACTTTGCAATACCATTATGCACTTGATTGAGCCATATTTCCAGTGCTCTTTTTGAACTAGATTCGTTTGAGTAGTTTACTTCCAGAACTATATCAGCTCTGCAATCCCCATCCATGTCGACAAAAGCTGATGAGTGTCGAGAAGCTATTTGTGCATAGTTGATTTTAGGATCTTCCATTTCAACCCACTCTCCTAATAAGGCCCATGGAAGTAACTCAAAAGATACAGATGCAATATTCGATGATATATTATGCTTATTTTCACCCAAATTAACCCATACAAATCTTTCGTATGGAGTATTATTAGAAATACTTCTTTCCCCTAACAAATCCAAATGTCCATCATGATTAATATCAACTGCTAAAAACTGAACAGTAGAAAGACTATCTTCTGGAGATTCCCATATATCAACTAGTTGATTTGTCTCTGGATATTGGGCGAGTATAGTGAAGCCATATCCTGTTTTAGTACCATCATTTCTTTCAGTCACTACCAAAATATCCATATAACCATCACCATTCCAATCTTCAGTAATGAACATTACTGCTGTTTTATTAAAGGTTGTAAAAGGCCCTTTAATAAATTCTTTTGTTTTAGGACTCCATAGAAAGACACATATTTGTCCACTAGATTTCGTTGATTTTGGAGCATTATAAAAAAATATATCACTGTACTGATCACCATTATAGTCTGCAAAGCCCATAATCCTGCCATCAAGATGTGGAATTCCGAAGTTCTTAACCTTGTTGATAGATTGTTTGCGTGATTGCAATGGAAAACTAGCTTTAAGCCATTCTACAGGCCAGCTACAAAAGACCATTTTCAAACAATTCTCCAATGCAAGCCCTATTATAAACAGCCTAATATATAGTAGAGGTATGTCCATTGGATATTGAATGAGTCAATCCTATTAAGTCATCTGAAATTAGCATTTAGTTTTCAGGAAACGAGTAGCTGCAAGCTTACCGCTAATCTTCTCATCAACTTTTGGGCCTGCAAAAGAATCTGCAAATTACCTTCACTTACTATCAAGTTTATAGAAATCATATATAACTTATTTGTGAAAATACCTCTATCATATTAATATTTTACTAATAATTTCAGTTGGACTACTTCTTGGCTATTATAGAAAATTGGCTATGTGGCTAAAGTTTGTATTCCCTCTCTTTAATAAGGCAAGCACAAATAATAACTTCGTGAAGCATATGAAATCTATATATTTTAGTAAAAATAAGATCATAAAGATTAATAGACTGTTTTTGCAACTTAATACAGTTCTTAAAAAAACTACTTTTTCAATCTGGAGAGACAATGAAATAGGCATTTGCAGGCCACATGCTTTAGTAGCTAAGACTTACAGAAACTATCTTTTAATGAATGATATTGAACCCACTAAACCACAGCTGAACTTAATAAAGCGCTTGATCTTATTACACTTCCAGTTTAAGCTATATATTACACATGAAGCCAAAAAAAAAAGTTTCTATAACGAGTTACTTAACAAGATAATCAAGTTATTAGTTAATCCTGTAGATATAGATCCATTAAGAACACTTTTAAAGTTAGGAAGGGAGTATCATTGCACTAATAATGTATACAAAGGAAATACCTGTTATGGACTATATATATATGGAGAACCTGGCTTAGGAAAGACAATGCTCATGGATTTATTCTATGAAACTATTGATACAACTAGAAAGAAGCGTATTCACTTTCATGAATTTATCAAAGATATAAATGATCAAATCTATCATGCAAGGCAAAGGATGTGCACTGACTCAATAACTTTTGTGGCTAATGAAATCAAAAAAACAACTGATATAATATGTATAGATGAATTTCAGATCATCCACATTACTGATGCAATGATAATTAAACGTTTATTTAATATTTTGTTTGATTTGGGTATAGTTGTCATTATGACTTCTAATCGACCACCAAACGATTTGTACAGCGGTGGTTTAAATAGAAGTAATTTCATATCTTTTATTGATACTCTGATGAAGTTTTGTAAAGTATATAATTTAAAAGGAGAAACAGATTTTAGATTATCCCGAATATCAAAAACACATAATAAATTAGATAAACAAAATATTAAATGTTTAGTTGTGGATCAAATACATCTCAAGCATAAGCTTAGATCATCTTGCTACTACTTCTCACCAAAAAGATCAATTGACACAATTTTGATGGATATTTACAATAATAATGATAGCAGAAATATAAAAGATAAATACCAATCTTATACACTTAAAATAGGATCACGTAAACTCATTGTACCTTTTGTTAACTCTGAATCTGCGTTAGTATACTTTGCAGATTTATGTGGTGGTCTTACAGGAACTGATGACTACGTTATGTTAGCTAACACATTTGAAAAAATTTATCTTTATGATGTCCCACAAATGAGCAATATTGATACTTTCTCAGCAATCTTAAGACGTTTTATTTCACTTATTGATATTCTCTACGATAAAAGTGTAGTGGTTACTTTAGATGCAGAGAAAGATTTGTGGGAGCTTATAGATTGCATACCAACTGAATTATCACTGATAGTGAAACTAAGACATCATTTAATGAATAATTGGAGGTCTTTAGAGCAAATTATGCAATACTTACGTATTGAAGTGATCCCTCAGCTTGTAGCTAATAGTCCAAATATGCCACCAAGAGTAATTCTATATAATTGTATATTAACAATAGCTGACCAATTTGAACATGAAGAAATTAATTGCATTACACAAGTCATTACAGATGGTATTCCTGATAGATCACCCCTTGAAGCACTTAGGTAAGTTCTATTAATCTTGAGTTAATATATAATTAACACATATTTTGTTTAGAGAATCACTGCAATTTTTCGCACCTGTAAATTGCGAAGATCTTATATTATGGAATAAATTCGCCTCTAATGATCTGAGAAATACAAACTGTCACTTTATTTGGAAGCTTAGTACAAACAGGTATGCAACATCTTTTCATTACTAGTAAATCTCAATTATCACTTCGGTTTTTTATTTGCAATTTTGCAGTTCAATATCACAATCAAGTGGCATCCAAGATGTTAGATTTGCTATTGCTAGAATTTTATCTAGGTAAGCAGGCTACAATAGTCTAGGGATATTTTTGAAAACAGAAAGAAAAAAAATTATATTTAAAGATTGCATTATATGATGTCAGAAAACTATATACTTGACTGCAAACATAAAAGAAAACCTAAATTAAAAGGAAAAATATGAATATATCTTTTTTAAGAAAATATGGACAATCTACTCTTAATAAAAAAAATTATAGTTACTTAAATATATACTTAAATATACTTAGAAATATTTTTCGACAATTCAATATATTGCATTAAATTTTGTCAGATATAAACAATTATATTTCTCTCTAAATGTTTTCATCTGAATTATTTTGTTAAAGTTGAATTTATAAATATTGCTTTCATGACTGTGCAATGAAAGGCTCTACTTTATTACTTAGTTTCTGATAGACTCAAAAAATCTATTTTTTATTGCCACAAGAGTAATCTATATTTCATTTCATTTATGATGAAAATATTATCTGAATCTCTTAACTTCATCATATGTTGAGATCTTTTTGGAGCTTATTCAAATAGTTGTAATTGTAAAGTTAGGAACTTTATTCACTAAAAGGCTTGTTTACTTATTCAGAAATATGTATCTCGCCTTAAAAGTTTTATTTTGCTAAGCTGTACTGGTGTTGAAAACAGCACTACAAATCTACAATAGTATTTTTAAATCTACAAGTGAAAATAGGTGAAACTTTAGTTATATTTGTACAACAAAGCAATAAATTTTGCTGTTAAAAATTATTCTATTATATTTTATTCAAAAAATAGTTTTAACGTATCTGTAGTCAAAAAAATAGAATTTTAAATTACTGCCATAATTACATAGATGGTAACTTAATAGTCCCCACTGTTCTACAATGAAAATATAATTATTCGGTAACCTGGATCCAATTTCTGTTTTCTTTGTCTTTTGATGAGGATGTCAAATATATTGATGCATGCATTTATCCTGAAAAAATTGCACAGTTTTCCACCCAATGATCCGCAGAAGGCGGCCCCACATTTCTTTAACATTGCTATTTTTATACCCATATTTCACAAGGAAAAGAGAAGAATACACAATAATAACTATGCAAATATGCCAAATAACTCTCCTGTATGTACCGATATATTTGACTATCCCTGGAAGTTCGGGAGATATGAAGTTACTGTTGATCAAAACATAGGTATGGCTAAAGTAGAATAAACTTCTACAGTACAAGCTAAATTTCTATATTAAAGGTAGCAGAAAAACCCAAGAAGATAGGTTTTGTATTTCCCATCAACTTGTTGAAGGGTTAGATGATGTATGTTTTTTTGGAATATTTGATGGGACTGTGGGTATGTTTTGCAATCTCTAATTGTATACTTAAAAGATTTAAACAATTTTTAGGCGACTTCGCTTCAGATAATATAAAAGATATAATTATCCCAGCTCTTCTAAATGTACCCACATGGTATGTAATACAAAATTCTCATTTGTGTAGTAAGTATTAAAATATTTGGGTTTTGTAGGAAAATCATTTCTGAAAAAGCTAAGCAGAATAGCTTGACGCTTGATGAGAACACAAAAACTATCTTAAAAGACTTGATGATTAAGACATTTAAATCTGCAGACGAAATTTTAATTGATCGTTGTAGGATAAAGGAAAAACATTACTCCTCATGTACAGGAGTTGTGCTACTGTTTATTCGTAATATTTTGGTTATAGCACATGTAGGTGACTCTCGTTCTGTGGCTTGTATTAGCTCAGATAAAGGTTATGTCGGTCAGTTTTTGACACATGACCATAAACCAGACCAGCCCAAGGAGCATAGAAGAATTGTTGAAAGTGGCGGATCAGTAGAATATCTACAAAATCACAATAATAAACCATTTCTTCGTGGTGGAGATTTTACAAGAAGAAGGGCAAAAGGAGATACTCCCATGCAACTTCAGTACTCTCGTGCCTTTGGTGGGAAAGATCTCAAACCATATGGATTGAGCTGCCTACCGGATGTAACTCTCTTAAATATAACTAAAAATAATAAAATGTTTGTGATTGCAACTGATGGACTCTGGGATATCCTATCTGCACAACAATGTTGCGATCTGTCCATCTACTCTCAAGAGTTCGGTATATCTCCAGCAAAGTACCTTGTCAATGCTGTTGTTGACGAAGCAAAAAGTAGAAACATTAATTGCGATAATGTCACTGTAATATGTATCGTTGTTAAACAATAATTCTACAGGTAAATACTGTTTCATTTTGATAGTGAGAAATATAAACTATCTACTAAGTAGTCAAGTGATATTTTTACAATAAAAAAGAAGACTCTGAGGAGTGATCCCCAACTAATATCTTCAGGTTATCTATTAAAGTATTAAATGTCTTAAAATAAGATATTTCCCTCACTAATTCTTGTAACTATGCTACTTTATATTCTCTCCCCTATGTATCCCGCCGTATTGGAGGCTTTAACTTCTTGTCCTTGTAGGCCTGCTTTACTCTAGGATATTTCTGAACCCAAAGAATGGCATCCGTACAAAAAACTCAAACATTACACAATTTGAAGGTATATATTATTGGAGATGAAGATACTGTGGCTGGTTTTTTATTAACTGGGATGGGTGCTAGAGATACTCAAGGTAACACTAATTTCTTAATTGTAGATACTAAAATAACTCCTACTCAAATAGAAGATGCATTTCGTGACTTTACAAGTCGCAAAGACTGTGGAATACTGATGATCAATCAATATATTGCCGAAGAAATTCGATATCTTGTTAATACCCATGATAAGGTAATCCCCACTGTGTTAGAAATTCCTAGCAAGGACAAGCCATATGATCCTGTAAAAGACTCAGTAATGCAGCGTATTAAGCTATTTTATGGTGGAGTACTTCCTGAATAAATAGTGAAATATAGAGTTATTCTTTTTTGAATGTATATAATCTATGAATGATTTGAATATCCTCATATTTTAATATATTGAACTTTAAATTATATTTATCATTACTAAGATTTAACATGGTGACCTTTTTAGAGTTTTCCCATGATCCTAGGATATGACATGAGCATGCAATATTCTATTCAGAGTTCAAGTCTATGTCATCTTTATTTAATTCCGAATATTTTTGTATAAGATTATTCTTCAATAACACTGGGACTACTGAAGAATTTGCTTTTAAAAAGTTAAATATTGCACCATATCTCAACTTACACTGATTAATACGATTTTGTATCCTTTGAGATTCAGAGTTAATTACATCATACAACCAATCGTTATGCTCTTCACTTTGAAACTGCATCATTAAATCATTTATTGGTACTCTGTTATACGTTGATGAGTGACAACAATGTAACCAAGAGAATGGATTATCTCTGCTAGCATAATTCACTATAAACTCTTTATTTTCTAAAGATATATTAGGAGACTCATATTGAAAGTTACAAAGAAAACATTTTACGTGTTCTAAAGAGGAATTTGAAAAGCATTTTGCCAATTCTCTTGCATCATTTTGAATATATTCGAAGGTTTTCTTTGCAATATCCTTCTCATCACTACAGCTGTAAGGAAATAGAGTACCACTTAATAGAGGATCCATTAATTTAACGAGCTCTGATACAAACAATTTTTTATCTTGTGTCTGTTTCTGAAATTTCAAATGCCTACCTATTGCATTACTATTGAGCTCATCTATTAAATGCAGCATACTTCAATCCTTTTTCTTAAATATTTTTTATTTTTAGTATTGGCTGTCAAATTATGATAGAATCTTATTCTACTAGCGGGAAGCACTTTGCTGCCTAGACCTCAGTGCTATAAATACTAGATATACTTTAGTTATTGCGAATATATATTTTAAAAGAATTCCAAGCTACTTTAATATTATAGATTGTTTTATCTAATAGCTTACCCTTGCACTAGAGTATCACAACTAGGTTTGTATGCGCAGTAACACCTTCTCACTGATGAGGACATATCTACACACCTCACAAGTGGCCGCCACAAGAAAAATCTAAATATTGTGCAGTATAGTGAGTTGAGAAAGTTTTTATAATATAGGAGTTAATTAGAAAGTGTTAATTTCATCTTGTGTATATAAATTAAGAACTATACATATCTCTAAATGAAGTTAGAATATCTTTTTTATTATTAGCAAACTCATCTCAATGAGGATGCAGACTAAAAGGAAATAAGTGATTTTTGCCATACCACCCTTTCTGTAATGTTCTTCAGCTTTCAAAACTCTTCTATATGCATGTTCAGTCTTCTGTAGTGACAATTCCACATTGTAATCTATTCTATCAACTAATGAACCTTGCTCTATGACTAAATATGCCATTTCTTTAAACATTGCATTTAATTGAGCAATACTTTGTGTAATCTTGGCAGTTTCCTAATTCAATATCAGTAGAAAATATAAATTATGAAGATATTTCCTATTATATGTCTCAATGAGTTATTAACATACCTCTATAGTAGAAGTCCTTTGAATTTGATTATTAATAGTTGCCTTATTTCAAGTGATAGTTTTCTTTAAAATATAGGGAATATAGGGAAGAAACATACCTCACTTACTGAATTTAATTCAAAGGTGGAATTTAAGTTCACACTCTCTAAATTCTCAGTTAATGGAATAGTTCTTTTACTTAATTGATCTAAATAATATCTCTGAATTCTCCGGAACTGTTGCCCCAGTGGTTGTAGTTGGGTAGCAATACTATTTTCTGCATTTGTCCGTATTATTGATTCTCTAACATCTCCTCGAGATGTATGTATATTTTTAGATTCTTTAGCAGATATTTGATGGATCAAATACTCAGTAAATTTAAAAGAAGAGTAAATGGTAGAAGACAAAGATTCAATATCAATTCCTAGAGAAAGTGCTGCATCGTCCTCTAGGATGCAAATAAGTCGTTTTTGATGAAGTTTCTGCAATTGAGAGAGCAGTTCCTTAATTTTCGTAACTTCCTCTTGTGCTTCATTGACCAAGTCTGTCCATAATGGTGGCAAGGTTTCTTTCATTTCAACGTCTATATACCTACCATTTTCTGTAAAAATGTGCGATTCAACATATATTGTAAGGAAAGAAAAGAAGATAGTTCATTATTTATTTTATATTAAAGATGGGAAGAAATTTCTGAAGTATTGTTCCGTATTACTTACCTTTACTTTTCTCACTTCTTGACTCTCCTGGTACTCCTAATCCAAATCTATCAAGACGCCTTCTATGTTCATGTCTAAGTTTTATATATATGTTGGTTAGATCTCTATTACTTTCTACTAACATATACAAAACTTATCTGTTATTTTAGCTAATCTCAAAGGATTATTTATAGGTAGTGAGCGCATAAAGTGAAATTAGTGAAATTTCACCCAAATAAGTTAGAGCTGAGAATTAGATTATCTTGCGTTATAGTTCTTTGATATTTAGTTTGAAATTATAAAGTTTTACTTTATCTTACCTATAAATTAATATAAGGGAAGAAGTCGAAGTAATATTATAGTTCATTAGGCAACCTTTAAAAGTACACTAGCTATTGGATTTTAAGTTGTTTGTGTAATTTAACAAGAACACTAAGTTAAAGTGGAAATTAAAAAGGAAAGTAAGTGAATCACTACTAAATTATATTCGCAATATTGGATCTTACTGCTCGTTGTGCTGAATCTAGAAAACAAGGGTAATTTCACAACTATACTTACGAAATGAGATAATAGTAATAGCTATCTAAATTAAGTACATGCTTAGTGAAATTAGGAATAAGATCTTGAAAAACCAAAATTTTTGGTATACACGAAAGTATAGAACTTGTTACTACCTTACATCTCGTATAGGGAGCTATAACTATTTATTGTTATATAATATATAATGATTAAACAAAGTGGTGTATTTTCACTAATTAATAATGCTTTTAAAAGAATTACTTTATTTCAAAAGATAAAATTTAATTAGTTAATAAATTACTGTATATATTGTGTATCTTTTATAACAGTAAAAGTATTAGCTTAAGCAGATCAAGCGTCTAATTAAGCTTTGCCAATATTGGGTTTTTAATATATACAAAATTCACATACAAAATACCTCTATATATTCATTATGTATCTAATTACTATTCACACAGGAAGTGTTACAGCTCCAAGTAAACCTGTGTATAGAATTACTACTCAAACAATTTTTATAGTCCAATATAATATTACTTCAAATTTATTAGGCCTGAATAATATTTTAATAGAAATAGGTATACGTAAAAGTTTATTTAAACTTTTCTATTTAGATTAGGAAACTTCCTGTGAACCTGTTGTAGAATATTTCATTGTCAAATCTTGCAGAAAACTAAATAATCACCTCAAAACGAAATTAACCAAATATAATTATAAGATTCTAATCAATATTAATAAATTTTTAATCAAGTATTTATTTGTATATATAGCAAAAATAGCCTCTAGCCAATGTAGAAAGAGTAATATTATATCTATAATAGTTCAATGAAAGAAGTAAACAAAATCAATCATAATAATAGTTAAAATATATTTTTTATTAATATTATTTGTACTAAAATATTTATTTACACAGCTCTCAAAAAAAAATAAAATTTATTTATAAATGAGTAAATAAATGAAAACTATATGGGGATAAGGAAGAGAGATAAGGAAATATATGACAATATTAATCTTATAAAAAAAAAAAAAAAAAGTGGCACTTGAGCATTTTTAATATTAGAATTTCCATGGAATTTATATACCTGTATTTGATGAAGGTAATTACAAGTATTTCTTATTTTCCAAACCTTTAACCTGTATCTATAGTGCAATTAGAGTTAGTTACCAGATATATTCAAATATACTTCGAAGTATTCTGGAAGGTCAGACTTCAAGATAAAGCAATACTTTACTGGAGGACTTGTTAATTCAACCAATAAAAAAGGCTCACACCTATTATTATCTAATTATAGATAGTTATACATTTATATGTTACCAACATTAAAATTATATAATTTCTCATCAGTACAAAGTTCTGGTTCTAGAATACTATAAACAAAATAACTCATTTTATATTATCTTTCAACTAGCTGGGCAAATATTTTATAAGTATTCTATATTAAGTATGCGTATTAACATAAAATTAATACGAGTTATATATGCAAGAATAAATAGTAGCTTTATGTATACTAGCTAATATCTCAGTAATAATGTAGAATTTGAGTAATCAGTGGCCATAACTACTTACTAAAGTAATAGTAAAATATCGACTTGAAAAAGTTATAACTAGTCTAATTAATACCATAATTAAAGAATGCTTATGTTTTTATTTATAAATTCAATAATTTGAGTCCCAGAATTAATAAAAAAAACTCGAAATAGTATAGTTATGGTAAGAATAATACTATACATAGTAACAAGCAAATCAATATATAGCACATTAATATCAAAATAAATTATATTAACTAATCATAACCTTAGTATATAACTAAAATAAGTGAACTGATAAGTACATATAAGTCATATTAGATGATTTCATTCTATAGGGTATGATACATGTAAATTTGGAAATGCAATGTTTTTTACACTTTATTCAATGATTATTACTATATTTAAATTAAATAACAAGGTTAATTCAATGATTTTATATCAAGATTGTATCATTTTAACACTTATCAGAATTTATTGAAACCATATTTGGATAATTAGTTACATTAAACTGAAAGAATTTGTGAGATGATCAGGCAAAGTCATTCATAAAAAAAAACTGAAATTCTTGAATCTAAAGGTAAATTTCATCTACCTAAAAGTAACTATTATTTTGTTTAATATCAAACTCTGTGCAGCAGTATAGCTTCTTATTAAGTGGTGAAAATACCAAGCTATTATAAGAAAATACTTATAATACAAAAACGTATATATAGGATTTTGCAAAGTTTACGAATAAAATTTTATTTTTATTACTCTTAAGCGAGTTTTAAAAATAAATAGTGATGATATAGAGTTCTAAGTTTATTGGAAGGTAAAGTCTTGTTTACAAAGAAAATACAATAATTACTACTATAATCAATTGATTTTGTGTTATATCACTTTAAAATAAACTAATGACAATTAGTAATGAAAAGTTCTAGTGATACTTGTAGCATCATGAAAATCCACGTAAATTCAGAATTATACATGTCTTTTAGGTTTATTTATGAAAAATATTAATGAATACACTAAACATATGGTCGAGTAGCAATCACCAATCATTTTCTTTAAGAAAGAATCCATAATTTAGTAGTTTCAAGAGTCTCAACTATATTATATATTTCTAATCCTTTATAGTAGAAGTTCAAAGATTCTATGAGTTTTAAAGTTGCAAATAAAGAAGAAATTCCTTAGATCCTAAAACTCACCACATCAATTCTATTTGGATATAATACTTAGCAGATAAATAATCATTTAAGTAACAGAAAAAGCTCATTATAAGTTATATTTGTTCCTGTACTTTGTATATATCTGTTTCGGATTTAGGAAAATTAAGAAAATCATAATAGTAAAAGTAATATTAAGGCAGTAATATTTCTCTTAACATAGCACAAATTGTGTATTTCAATTAAAAGATAAATGCATTTATTTAGTAAAAATCTCTAACTATACAGTCCTTATATACCACCTTTTATTTGGCGCAAAATGCAGTGCAGAATACTGGGACACGTTGGTCCTAGGACCTTTGTGAAACCACTTAACATAAAGAAAACTATACTGCAAGTACTGTGCTAAGTATTTTCTCTAATTAATTATTTAAGTGTACGAATTCTCGATTTACTTGATGGTGTATTTATAATATTCTGCCTATAGATGGAGTTGCCACAATTACTACCTAGTGGTGTAAGTGAAACTTTGGAAGCAAAAACAAATAGACTAGTAGAGGAACTTAAAAATCCTACTGACTTTGTGCGTAGTTGTGTCCTTCGTGGTCCATCATATCTTTCACGATGTATTGATGAGTTTGGTGATGTTATTTCTCACATTGATGAAAAACTCTACATGAATTTGTCTTCATTGGGCTACTTGAGATCAATATATGCATTATGTGATGATATTAATATATTGAAATTTAGTACCTCAGAAATTATGAGTTTTATACTTTCAATTAAGATGTCTTCTAGCTTTATTACAAATTTCTTAGTGGAACCATATGATAATATTCAATTCAATATTTTTCTACTTGATAGACTCCTACAAGTTCAGGATTTATGTAATAGAAGTATTGAATTTACTTTATCTATTGTAAGATTAAAACAGCTTGTCAATCCTTTTATATCTTTAAACACAATGGATATAAGTGACTTGGACTCTGAAAATAGCAAGAATTGCTGCAAGGTACCACCAATTGATCTTGCAAGAGCAAGTGCAATGATTGTAGAATTGGAATCAATGTTAATGGACAACTCAAAGGAACTAGATAGCTATACTAATAAATTAAAATGTGGTAGAAATAGGATCTCACTAGAATTCCTGGAATTTCTCCAAGAAGATATATCTTGGTTGAGAAAAACTAGTGCATTATATAGACAACAAGGTCATAAAATGTTGATTCAAGGGATGCAAATAAGCGACAAAAATTTAATTAGATTGGGTTCAATAGTGCTCCATAACTTTGGAGAACTATGGGACCACATAGATACAATTGTTAATGATGTACTTCTTAGACAAGTCCACCATACATTTCAACTATCTGCGCTAAAGAATTGTATCAACTTAGAAGCAAAACCAGAAATCACCACACCAATCAAGATCTCTATAGCTGCAAAATTACTGTTGGGAACTATTAATAGGACTTTAAATGTTATAGTTGCTGGGTTACAGCAACTACTACGCCTGTATGAAGTCTTGTTAAATAATAAATATCAAGAGTTTCCAACAAGAGGTGAATTTCTGCTAGACAGGAATAATTTAAATTTTGTTGAGGAATATTGGTTTAAATGTTCATCTATTTTATCTAGTGTATTTAAAAGCTTAAATAATCCATCTATCATGTTAAATGAAATGATTGAAGAGCCTGAAGCAGAAATAGCATTTGTAGGACACTTATCATCGGAACAAGTACTTCAGATACTAGTTAGATTTTACCCAGATATCTCAAGACTACTTCAGACAACTTGCAAGTACATTAAGAGAAGATTACTGTTTTCACTACAAATAAATAGCTCAGATATATCTAGTGATATTTTTTCTCTGAATGTTGCTTGTAATATTCGTGAAGAGTATATAAACTGCACGAGATTACGTTTTGTTAAATTATTTGACTCACTGTTAAACCAGAAGAACCAACACTATATACCAAGTCAAATTACAAAAGACATACATATCTTAATAAAATCTATGATTGAGGTATTTTCAGAAGTCAAGGATACTGAAGATGTATGTTCAACTGTGTGTGAAATTTTTCGAAACTTGATATTGCACTTTATTGTAACCTGTGGCACCATAGTGCAACCCGAAGGTAGCAATATTCAATTCTACATATGTGAATCTCTAACAGAAGTCCAGAAGAATTTACTTCCTAAAAAGTCTGGCTATACTGAGTTCCAGTTCTCACTTAAAAAGCCATTACCAAAACCAAATAATTCACACATACTAAATGGTTACATAGCAACAGTCAGTGGTACCCTTTCTGCTGAGTTGGAGAAGATGTTCAAAATTGATACTGTATCAAGTATAAACTTTACAGATAAGAGTCATTTAGTAGACCTACTACGATCACTACAGTATAAAGCAACAGCTCGTTGGTTTGTAAATTTAGCGAGGACTATTCAGTTTTGTCTGCTACCACTTATGCATCAAGAAGCCCTAAATACTTCTGGAAACTACTATAAAGATGAAACTTTTAAGATAAAATCCAATAGCAACTATAATTCTTCAGAGAACATAATATATATATCACACTATATAACTAAGATTCGTGACTTAATCTCACATGTCACTGACAAATGGTTTACACTACTTTCTCCAATACGGCTGTGGCATAAGTGCCTTTTAGCTTTTTGTAGATATGTAACTTTATCTTTTCTGAGTAATTCTGCTTTATTAATAGATATTGATGAGACAAAGTGTCATTATATTGCTGGAAATATTGCTGAGCTTCAAGTAATAATGTCTCAAGTATTAGAAGATGGTGTTACAAGTAATATTTTGCAAAAAGAAATATATATGCTATATGATTTTAGAAGAGTTGTTTTTAGTGATATACTTACAATAGAGTCGACATTAATTAACCGAACAAATTTCTCAGATGATAATGAATTACTCTTTCAGTCAATCACAAGGTTACCCATTATATTAAGCTCTTTGCAACTACTATTTCGCTTACCAGTGGATGGAGCTATGGAAACCATTTATAAGGATATTCCATGTACATTTTCTAAGTATCTAGGTATATCTACTGAACATCTAGCAAGTATAGTGTTTGATACTATTTTTTCTGAATTGCAATTTACTGTGGAAAATGGCTCAGATAAGGACTTACTCGATCTCTTTTCCTATAGAAAACATGTAGTGTCAGATAGTGAACACAGTGACATTAGAAACTCAGCAGACCTATTGAAAAAAATTTCTGAATATGTAAGTTTGCTTGATCAACATTCTTCACTTTATAAAAACATAACTGAAAGAGAAAATAATATAATCTATTTAGTGAGAAGTACAGTAGCGTGTATAAACTATTTAGTCAATAGGAAGTAATACTGTCTAATTACATCATACTTAAAACTTACTAATTAGTGTTGTCTTTTTGGCGGAACCAGGTTGGAGCTTAGAAATTAGTTAAAAGGAATAATCACTAAAGATTAAGATGTATTCAGATTTTATCAATAGTAGTGATGATGAACTAGATTTTCAGAATCAGGTATGAATTTACTCTATATGTTGGGGTTTTTCAAATGATTGAACTTTTACTTCTCTTTAGATAGTTGAGTACTTGAAGCACATTTGTGTCCATGATACAATTCCATCTTTCAAAGGTGACAATTCTAAATACTCATACTTTGAAGATTCAAATATCCTAGGAACTGGGTTTATAGAGAGAATTTCTTCTGATTATGATCATGGTAAGGTATATCTTGATATTAACCCTAGCAAGCTATTTGTAGAGGGCAGTCCAAACCATGAATGTCTGACCTCAGATATTTGTGAGAAAATAAAGAAGGAGTTATTAAATTTGGGCTGGGTTACGGATGTTCTATATTCTATAAAGAATTATAATAATATTATACATCTCGATAATAATGATACAGGCAACTTATATCCAAAAAAGAGCAGTACTGAAGAGGAGATACTTGATTGCCTTAGGACTGTAATAGATCCTGACTTAAATAAAGACATTGTCAGTTGCAATTTTGTAAAAGATTTGGTGATTGATCAAAAGAGTAACTGTGTTTCTTTTAATCTTGAGTTAACAACCCCTGCATGCCCACTGAAAGAGTTTTTTAAGAAAAGTTGCACAGACGCCATAAAGAGGAAATTGAATTATATTAAACAAGTAAATATAGAGTTTAGCAGCAAAGCCCCAAAAACAATTCAGAACTCTGGGACTGCTAAATTTCATGATAATCTAGCTAATGTTTCATATATAATTGCCGTTAGTAGCTGCAAGGGAGGAGTTGGTAAATCCACATTGGCAGTTAATTTTACCTATACATTAAGTATGCAGGGAGCGAAGGTTGGATTAGTAGACTGTGATATATATGGTCCTAGTTTAGAACAGTTAGTTCCAGTAAATTATACCTCTATGCATTATATATCACCTAGTAGCAGTAATGAACATGTGTTGAATAAGCTTATTAAAGACTCTAAGTGTGGAATAGCTAGGTCTTCAATACAGGGAAATGAATTCATTAATTTAAATGATAAAGTGGTAGAAACAGAAGGAATAGTTCCTGTTTTTTTTGAGGGTGTTGCTCTAATGAGTTATTCTTATCTCTCAAACTCTTTAAATAAAAAACGAAGAGTTTCTAATGCTTTTAGAGGACCAATTGCCAGTTCAATTGTTCGTCAGTTAATTACAGGAACAGTTTGGGGTAATTTAGACTATTTAATTTTGGATTTACCACCTGGAACAGGAGATATACAACTATCTATAGCTCAATATATACAAGTAGATGGTGCAATAATAATAACAACTCCTCAGGATTTGAGTTTATCAGATGTAGAGAGGGAACTCCATTTATTTAGTAAGCTAAATATTCCTGTCTTGGCACTAGTAGAAAACATGTCTTATTTTATTTGTGATGGATGTAACAAGAAACACTATATTTTCAAGTCTGGAGATTTTAGCTTTCTTTATAATGAATATAGAATAGAACGCAAATTTTTCTTCCCAATCTATCCAGCACTTTCTCAATGCACATTTAAAAATGAAGATACAAATTCCGACATATTTCCTTTTGTAAAATCAGCCAGAGACAATAACTCTGTTTATCTTGAATTTAAGCAGCTGGCAGAATATATAGTGAGAAGACTTTCATCTGATCGTTATGCAGGAATAAGAACTATTGTAGATGTGATGCATGCAGAAAGGTTTCTTAAATGCACCCTTGTAAGTGCAAGTAGTAAACTGGGAGTAAATGAACAACGGGAGCCTAATATAGAAATATTTTATGTATCTTTTGAAGATGCAAGAAGATCTTGTAGATGTGCACTTTGTTTAGATAGCTGTAATCAAGAATGTACAATACTAAGCGTGGATAATTTAAGGAATATCAATTTAAATAGTATGAAACCAATGGGATCTTACGCTATTTCTATTGAATGGAGCGATAATCACAATAGCATTTTACCATATTCCCTTTTAAGGGAAATTGCTCAAAATTCACAAACAAAGGGCATACAAAGATCTTGCCGACAAAGTTCACTTAACTGGTGAAAATCTTAAGTATAGTGAAGATTATTTAGTAAAAAAACTAAATGTGCTTTATATTCAGTGGGCTGAAACCTGTAATCATTTCAATGGAATTATAACCTATTTCACTTAATACTAGTTATACTGCAACAGTTCATTATTATTGAAGTCTATAATCTGTGATACTCTACTAATATACTATTGCAGACCACTTAGAAAGTGTTCCAAATGTAATCATACAAATTTCGAGATTTTACTTATATAGATGAAGTATGTAATTTAGTAATTCTGGTTCTCCATATTGAAATTAGAGTTGTTTACTTTTATAAACCTTTGCAGTTCCTTATAGTAATATCGTCACTTCCACATACTATAGTACATAGATTAGGTTTAGTTTTATAATTATCCTTATCCATTATTGGGCAGAGACTTCCATTATCACGCTTTCCTCGTTGAACTGAGCATGAACACACGGATCTAATTTCATTTGGCCAAAAAGGCGGACTACCATTATAAGGTTGGTACCACCAATCTCGTTCATGAAGAAAATATGTACCAGAAGGGTAGCGACAAATTGCGGGCTCTTCATTTGGTATTTCCCGAACTAGTAGGGCTCTTACCAAATTGCTACTTTCACTACTTGACTTCCATTCAAGTTCATCATTTCCAACATGCCTATCAAATACATAAGATCCGATGCCACTAGTTTCCCACTCTTTGACATATGTCCTAGGTTCTTGTAACAATTCTATAGCAACTTGCCACCATCTACTATCACCTAGGAGTTGGAAAGGTGCAGAGTATAGGCCAAAACTTGCATATATGAGCGAAGGAGAAGTAAAAATGAAGAATTGATTAGGAATATGACCTTGCCTTATATGTACAGTTTTATTGTTTGGAATACGTAATCTACGATCTTTAATAATACTGGGAATAGCTTCAAATGTAGTTCCATGGTACGACAAATTCCAGTCTTTAGTTAATATTTCTTCATCAAAACTTGAATTCAGGGGATATCGTGACCAACCCAAAGGTAGAGAAGCTATTTCCGAGTAAATACCTCTTGTAATATACCATGATCGTGAAAGTCCGTGATTTATTTGGCAGTAGTAGCAAAAGCAAGAAATTTTATTCGTACTGATACTTGAAGTGATTCCAAGTTTCTCAACAACCATATTTGTCATCGAAATATATTTACAAAAACCTCTATTGTTTCTATTTGCAACACCCATATAATCCTTGTCCTTACTTAATAAATTTCTAGTGTTGGTTATTCCAGTATCTCGTAATCTAGCATTTAGGATTTCCTTTAATTTGTTGCCTAGAGTTTCGTCTTTGATGCAATTATTGATACTAACTTTGTAATTATGCATTTTCCGCCTGACTAAAGTGCAGCTAATAATTTCATCATTGGTTACAGGATTATTCCAAATAGTCATATACATCTATTTCTTTCTAGAATGCATCCATAAGATATTTCATAATATTGGTGATTTTACACCAATATCTTTGAAACAGCAAGTTTATTAGGGGTGTTGCAAAAAGCAGGATTCAAGTAGGATTTTATTCCAATTTATTACCCAAGCTATTATTAAAATAATTGCGTTGGTTATCCAACAATTTGATTGGATATTTACTACTCATTAATTTGTAGAAGTATATTAGTATAAAAGAAGTTTGAAAACCACACTATGTGAAGTGAGGTTTACTTGCTTATTTTCAAAATACATAAACAAAGAGATCAATTTAATGTCATAGGCTAGTTTACTATATTCAAGAGAATCTTGGTTTTATCACAAATGTTCAAACTTTCTTGATATTCAGGGTAGTATTCCAACAAACATGTTCGGAGTTTATCTGCGCACTTTAAGTTCCAATTCTCCACCCTTTTTACAACTTTATTCCACATTATTCCCTTATAAGGATTTGAATTTATGCAAGATTGAAGTGCACTTATCTGTGAGTCCTCATCTCCCAGGGAAATCTCAAAGGCAATATAGTAAATCCATGTATCGCCTATCTTATCATCAATTTTCAGTGCACTATTAAACCACTTTCTTGCCTTCGGAATGTCCTTGTCATTCCAAAATAGTCTAGCAATAGCAGAAATTACATATGGGTCATTTTCACATCTTTCTAGAGCTAAAAGAGATATAGACCTTCTAATATTTGATTCTAAAAATATAGCTTCTGCATATAAAATTCCTGAACTAGGACATTCTCGTAATGCTTTTGACATAATCTGTTGAGTAATTGAGCTATTCCCTGCACTCTCTTCCAATCTTATTGTAGCTAACCATAACTCAGGTGTTTTTGGATTCTTCAGTCTTGCACGGTCCAGCATAGTTCTAGCCTTCTTCCAATCCTTTTTTCCTATTAATATATCTGTTGCAGCTAGCCACAAGTCCACTGAGTTTGGACATAAAAGTAAACCTTTCTCAAAAATATCTAAAGCTTGATCTAAAAAATCTGTACCTTTGTCACAGTAAATTTGTCCATATATCATCCACAGGTCTGGTATATAGTTATGAAATTTTATTGCTTCTATGCAGATACTTATTGCTTTATCGTATTCTCTGAGTTGTCGCTCGAGTTGAATTGAGTGAGTCCATATATTAACAGTTGAAGAATGTGACCGTGCTTTCTCAAGAAGAACTCTTGCACGATGAAATTCACCAACATCTCTTTCAAGCTCAGCTGCTGCTAATATAATAGCTTCCTTATCCTTAATATCTGCAGTAAAGGCTTTAGAAAGAGTGCAACGTGCAGCTTCAATATCACCATGATCTCTTTGATATCTAGTTGCTCGCAACCACAGAATTTCCTTATTTGAACAATGAAATAGAGATTTCTGAATGACATCTTGAAAGTCACTTGGTGAACCATGTTTTTCTTCAAAGTCAATCCAAGCTAACCAAACGCTTTTCTTTAATTTAAAAAGGTCTGAAGCAGTTTTATACGTTGATCTTGCACATATTATATATAACTTTTCTGTAAATTTACGTGCATCTTCAAGAATAGTACTTTTTATGCTCTTTTCTTCTAGCCCCATAGTAATAGTATTTTTAATAATGGCTAAACATGTTATAGGGTGATCATCCTTTTCAGAAAGTTGAGCTAAATCTAACCACTCTTGTCTAGAGTGAATAAATCCTTTTGATGATAAACTATCAATACCACGTTTAATTATAATATCTACCATTGCTGTGCTTCCATTACTCTCCTCGAGCTTTGCTGCTGCTATCCATATCATAGGGTTAGTTGGTAGCTTTTTCCTAGCATCATTTAAGATTCGCTGTGCATCTTTATATTTACTAATACTTGCTAGTCTCAACCACATTTCTTCTGATTGTGGGACACACTCTACAGCACGAACTAATAAAGTCTTTTCCATTTTACTATCAGCAAGTTCTATAGCTTCCCTCCATAATTTGATTGAGTTTGGAATAAATTCCAAAGCTTTCCGAATCACAGATAATCGTCGATGTGGATTAGTCTCCCTTTCACTTGCTTTGAGCCATAGACGAATTGATGATGGGCTACTTTTAACTGCCTGTGCAATTACATTATCTACTAATTCTTCCTTCTCCAAACGAATTCTTTCAAGCCATATATCTTCACTTCTAGGGCAGGTTTGACACCCTTTCAGTAAAATTTCACGTGCTACTGATAGTTTTCCTACAAGTTCTTCCAGTCTAGCAGCCGCTATCCAACCCGGGGCATGGTAGGGATTTGTTGTGATAACAGACTTCAGCAGTAGTCTTGCTTTCTTGATATCAGATATATCACTATCTGATCTAATATTAATTGAATTTAATGATGTCAAATAGCCATTTGGATCAACTACAGATTGCCCTGAAACATTATCCATTGCTCTATCTAATTTTAGAGACAAAATATTTCCTTTAGCTTTACCTAATTCATTTATATTCTGATTAATTTTCAGATCATTTGTATTTGAATTTGTTAATATATTGGAACTCGGATAGCTATTAAGTATGCTACTTGTTACTGTTTGGTCAAAAGCTTGAATGTTTAGAAGGTGATCCGAGTTGTTTAATATTGTAGAGTGCATTACATGTTCAGGTAATGGTACTTCTAATTTTTGCTTTTTCTGCTGTTTCAGCCTCAATGAATAGTCCCCAATATCTGGAATACTATCCCATTCTTCTAACTTAACTTTATTCAAGGAACTCTTTAATTCTAAAAACTGTCTTTGTATTAAATTACTTCTATCTTTTGTAGATTTATCAATCAGTTTAAGTTCTTCATTCTTCTTACTTCGACTTTTAAGTTTCCTATCGACTTGGCTATATATAAAGTCGGCTATCCTATCATCTTCTTCATAAGTTGAATCTTTAAATAGGGCTTCAGAAAATCCCGTAAATTTGTCAAATTTCGCATCAGAATAATCACCTTTGTCAAAATCAGCATTAATAGTAGAGTCATCACGACTTACACCACTAGCAAGACCTATAGCACCTCGCCCTTTACCAGGAATATAATCAGGGGGAGGTTGCCCAAACATATCCAAGTTAGCATTTCTAAGAGATGAACTTCCTACCTGTGCAATACTAACATCTACAGCATGTCTAGTCAAGAATTTATGTACAGAAATAGATGGTTCATCCAACTGTACTCTATTTGGCATATTAACTCTTATTGTAAGAAGTTAGGGATTGGAGTCGCTAAATCACAGCTTAAGAGCGCTGCAAGTACCATAGCTAGTGTACATATACGCGCATAATCATCTATTATAGGGAGCAGAAATAACCTTAAATTTGATGATAAATAGCTGTAGTAAGTGCTATATCAAGAGTATGTGTATCTCTTATTATTTTAAAATAATAATTAATGTATTATTGAAATGAAGTAAAGATATGTATATTTACTTGCACTCATATAGTTTTTTGAATAAGTTCAATATAAGCTCGTGGGCCACATATATAACCTTCTTTGCATTGTTTAAGCCACTTTTGTTCTTCTAAATAAGATATAAGACTTAGAACTGCACAAATTGTATAAATTTATCTGCAAAGTGGGCATTAAGGAACATACCATATTGTTTAGAATACTTTGTATTGCTAATTATCAAGTTTAGAACTTCAGTCTCTGGGATTGGCCCATCTGAAGTAGCTGTATAGTTGAAAAGTTAGTAAAATTAAATATTAACATACCTTTCCTAATTACATAATGTAAAATATCTGGAATTGTGTATTAAAAGTCACTTGAGACAGTGTAGTATTTGAAAAATGAATAAAACGGACCTTTGCAAATATTATATTCTTTTGATCTCTTAAATCCTAATGTCCAAAAGGCAGCCTTATCTATATTAGGCTCACTAGGGAAAATATCAGATCCAAATAAATTACTTTTTATTCCAATAAATTCTCCATGGTTATATGAGCTACTGTATGAAATCTCCAAAAGTAGAGGTCTTAGTTTATCATTACAGTATACTATCATTTCATGAATATTTGAAAAGTCTCTTCCATAGTAATCCTAAAAAAAATATGAATGTGTATTTATAGATTAAACTGATTAGATTACCATACACTAAGAGCATTAAAGAATGCTGTTGCATCTGCAATACCTGTAACCTAGACAAAAATTAATTGTGTTTTATAGCACTATTGAAGTTAAAGCTACCTTTACAGATAATAAGCATTGCAGGAAAATCGTAGCTACTTTAGATATTTTATTCATTTGATAACTTTCGTATATAGCTGTTTTGTAGGTGTGAACTTCCGGTAATATCGGTACAGAATTTAGGTTAGCGCAATATGTTTTTCAGGTAGTTCCTAAGTAGTACTTAAAATGATCTCAGAACTAATAGCTAAAGATGAGTCAAACTTTGGTAGCATTCCAAGAGCAGTATTTATATCTTCTATAAAAGATTTTGTGGGTGAACGTCCAATTAATCAAATACTTGAGAATACTCAGATACTTTATAGAAAGTACAGGCTTATGGAAGCTTCTATTAAATCACAACAGGAGTCTTTAGTTGTAAAACTTCCAGATATTGAATCAGCTTTAGAGACAGTTAGATATCGCAAGAAGATACTGGTAAGTTTTATTTAGATCATTGTCTTTTAGTTCTGAAATAACCAGCGCATTACTTTAGGTAGAAAGTACTGCTAATCAAACATTCTATTTCCCCCTGGCTGATAATATCCTTGTTAGGGGTCTAGCTGAACCATCTGATAAGATTTACTTGTGGCTAGGAGTAAGTGACTATATCTTAAGTTTCTGAAAATTTACACTAATCTACTTTGAATAGGCAAATACGGTCTTAGAATATAATTTGGATGAAGCTGCTGATGTCCTGGCTAGTAACCTAGCTGCAGCTGAAAAGACAGTGAAGTTTTATCAAGACTCACTAGACTTTATTCGAGAGCAGTTAACAATCCTAGATGTAAACACAGCTAGGATTCACAACTATGGAGTAACTATACAGAAGTCTAAGTAACTTCAGAATTTACATATATTTTTAATAATAAACTAATTTGATATCTTAATATCATGCTGATAAGATAAATAGTGACTAAGTTATGAATAACCAAGATACTTAGATAAAACATTACTTAGATCTTTTAAATTGAGTTTTACATCTAAAATAATAATCAAGGCCTTTTTATGGGCTCATACCTTTCTTACCCTTTTTCCCCATAAGAGTCTTGCTCATTAAGGACTTTTCAATATGGGGAATAACACCACCGCCTGCTATTGTAGCTTTTATTAAGGAATCAAGTTCTTCATCTCCCCTAATAGCAAGTTGCAAGTGTCTGGGTGTTATACGCTTTACTTTCAGATCCTTCGAGGCGTTACCAGCTAACTCAAGTACCTCAGCTGTTAAATATTCCATAATAGCCGCAGCATAAACAGAAGCAGTAGAACCGACACGGCAGTCGCAAGGAATGCGAGTCTTCAGCATACGTTGTATACGACCAACTGGAAACTGTAGTCCGGCACGTGCAGCCCTAGAAGTTGGTTGTTTTTTACTGCCCTTACCAGACCCTGCCTTGCCTTTTCCACCGACCTTTCCACCAACCTTTCCACCGACCTTTCCACCAATCTTGCCAGAAACTCCGGTGCAATCCATTTCTCAATAGCTCTAACTAGAGTTCACCTAAAGGAAAACAGCAAATATATTTTTTTTCTTTAGTATAGTAGTAAATCAGATAATGTGATCCTAGGGGATAATAAAAAAGCTAGAGAATAGCGCAACTTAGTGTTTATAATATAATGTGGACAAGGGAGGCGCAGGCGCCTATATTCCAAGTATCCCGCTTTATATACCAAGGAGTTATGCATGCATGCATAGACCTTTAAGCTCTTTGTATAATTGCATTAACATTTTATACTCTTCTAATTCTACTGTTAATTTGTGTTAAAAATGATTAATATAAAGTACCTTATAAATAGGGTACTTTTAGGAGGCGATCGATTTTTTTCCTTAAAAGTATCAGGTGCAAAGTTGTCTACGATACCTGGTTTCGTGGACAAAAATACAAGAGTTATCTGTCAAGGTATTACAGGCAAACAGGTAATCTTTTTTTCATTTTTCTACTTTAATATCTGATATAAAAGTACTTTTGATATAATGTTTTTATAGGGCTCATTTCATACGGAGCAGTGTATATTATATGGTACGCAAATAGTCGGTGGTGTTGCTCCGAATAGAGGAGGTCAAATTTGGAGTGGTTCTGAAAATAAATTTTCAATTCCCATTTTCAATACATTGAAAGAAGTTAGTTATATATAATATTTTTAGTTTTAGTCTTTTAATGTCAGACTTTTTTGTAGGCAAAAAGTGTTACAAAAGCAACAGCTACAACAATATATGTTCCACCTAAGAATGCTACACAGGCAATAATGGATGCTATAGAGGCTGAAATAGAGATAATAGTTTGTATTACAGAAGGTATACCAGTTCATGATATGATATATGTAAAAAAAGCACTTGAATATTATAAAAAATCAACATTAATTGGCCCAAATTGTCCGGGTTTAATTCGTGTTGGACAAGCAAAATTAGGTATAATGCCAGCCTCTATTCACAAGCCTGGAGAGATAGCCATTGTTAGCAGATCCGGGACTTTAACTTATGAAGCTGTATGGCAAGTAAGCCAATGTGGACTAGGTCAATCAACATGCATTGGTATTGGTGGTGATTCTTTAAATGGTACATCATTCATTGATGTCCTATCTAACTTCCTTTCTGATGAACAAACAAAGGGAATTGTGCTTATTGGCGAGATAGGAGGGAATGCAGAGGAAGAGGCAGCAGATTGGCTTTTAAAAAATAATTTTGATGAGAAAGGTCAATGCAAAAAACCAATTGTGGCGTTTATTGCTGGAAGTACTGCTCCACCAAATAGGAGAATGGGACATGCAGGTGCAATTATCAGTGGTGGGAAAGGAGGAACAGCAAGTAAAATAGGAGCATTAGAAAATGCAGGAGTTAGAGTAGTCAAAAATCCCTCTGCAATAGGTTACGAAATTTCCACAATAATGTCAAATAGAATACCTGCAACTTGATATAATGTTTCCAGTTAGAATGTGCATTTATATACGTTAATTATCTTATTAGTTCACTTTCTTAACTAGATTTTAAATAGAAAGTTGGCACTTTCTAGAAGATGGTTTAGTTATTCATTAATTGGAAACAGGCCAATACCGTTCTTATGCCGCACAAAAAGAATAACTTGGCTAACTTCTAAAAGCTTATGGTTATAATGAGTTCATTGGACAATAATCAGCTTTTGAAATGGTTAGAAGATGTTGAAAAGTCGGTAGTCAATAGGGATGGTAAAATTCTCACTCATTTATTTGCTGTAAAGAATGTGCCTCATTTAAGTAAGCCTTTCCTTATTAAACTAACTTCCCAAAAAATTCACCACTCTATCGAAAAGTACTTTGCAAATCGAAAAGTTCCGTTTGCAAATTCCTTAAAAATAGTAACAGAAAATTTTTTGGAGATATGCCGTGAATGTACCAAAAATAGTTGTCAGTGGAATAATGTCATCTCAAATGGGACAATGTTGCTCAATGGATGGATTGAAATATACCGTGATCCTGATGCCCTGCCATGTCAATGGTTAGTTCCAGTATTAATAAAAGTTTGCTCCTTTTTATCACGTGCTGGGATTATTGCAGATTCACAGTTGAATATTGGATACTTTGAAAATGATGACAACGATGAAGACTATCAAAATAAGTACCAAATTACTGTACTTAATGCAATACGCCAACAAATAGGGAAATTTAGAGGTGATGAAGATAGACAGGCAGGATATATTGTGCTTATGACGGAAAGTATTAAATGTTGTATGCAACTTAGAAACATGCAGATGGCATCAACTTTCCTAAAACACATAGAATTATCTAACATTGATTCTAGCAAGGTGCTTAGAGGTCCTATGGTATTATTTCGCTATTTTTTAGGTAAATTGTATATGCAACAAGAAAACTTCTTACTCTCTGAAGAACAGCTTGCATGGGCATTTGGACATAGCAACTTTAAGAACGTGAGTTTCAAACGAAATATTTTGGAGTGTCTAATTGCAGTAAGATTGCGCCTTGGATTGCTTCCAAGCTTAAAGTTATTAAAGAAATATAAAATGTACCATTATATGGAAGTTAGAGAAGCTATCCTACAGGGAAACGTAAAGAGATTTGAGAAGACTCTTCACAACTTCTCTGCCAATTTTATACATCATGGGACAATTTTATGTGTTGAAAGGGTCAAATTTATAGTATACCGTAATTTAATGAGGCGTATACGATCTTGGTCTGATAAAAATCTTCCTGGTGATCCAAATAAGATATCATTTTCAGCATTTGAGGCAGGCTTTAAATGGCAATCAGACGAAATATTTGATCAGCAAGAGATGGCATGCATATGTGCAAATTTGATTAAACTTGGATATGTGAAAGGTTATATCTCGTGGGAACACCAAGTTATTGTTTTCTCAGCAAATGATCCATTTCCATCATTTAAAAATATCAAAGCATTATAAGCCTTATTGACTTGAGGATTTTAGTGTTATATTGAATAGTTGAAGAAAGTGTTTACTCTTTATTCCTAACAAATATTAAGTAAATAAATATCTATAATATATTTGGATTCCTACTAACCTATGATATGTACTTGCAATGACGATTTCAAGAAGTTGGAGAGTATCTCGGCATGTACAGATAACTTAAAAATACTCTTGAATATTAAAATCAGGTACTTTAACAAATTTTAGAATCTGCAACAAAAGTTACCTTTCAAGTCTTTCCTTTATAAATGGTAGTTTACAATTTTCTAGCAATACTCTTTAAAATACTTACATAGAGTCATCTGCAAGTGTCCATACTTGGAAAGCACTTATAATAAAGTCTTCATTTCTTGACAAACATGGTGAATCAAAAGTCACGCATGGCGATGACCAACCTCTAAGGAAGTCAGCGTCAATAGCAAGAGCATATGATCCACCACCGCCGACAGCGATATGATTGCTGTCTGAATATATATAAAAGCAATTCTTCCCACTCCAAGGAAAAACTTTTATTTGTGAAATATTAGATTCTTCATTCACATTATTCGGCACTTTTTCACTTTTACTACAATTGTCAGCTAGATTTTTTTCTGATAGCTTGTTCAAGAAAGACTTGTCTCCGCTTTTGAGAGAGTTTGTGTTAGACTGGTCACTAAGATCATCACAGTATACCATTCTACATATGCAGGTTGAGTGCTTAATATTTGTATAGTCTGTATTCTTGTAGATTGGACTTAATATATCAGAGACTTCACAATCACTTCTTTCCATTCTGTATGTGAATACAAACATCTCACCAGTTCCATAATAGCTGGTGGAATTCCTTATTGATTCGGAAATAAACGCACCAAATATAACTCCATCAGAATCACGAACGACAAGGATACTTGGGCCTTTCTCTGATACTAACCTATAAAATGAGCCGAATGAAATACCATGTAATTTCGTACAATAAGAAAGCTGCCATCGACGCAGTGCAAGAACAATAGGTAAATAAGAAGAAATTTCATTTATCATCTGCTCATTCAAAACTTGGCGAGCCCCATTAGGTATATCGAAACTTGTAGCCCACATGATGCTGCAGTACTCAACTCCACAACATCACTAATATACTTTGTTGTAACAACCAATGAGCGCAGCTATAAAGTTTATATCAACTATCCCGCTACAAAAGTGAAGAAAATACGACTTACAATGACTATTATTAAGTTTGCCTACAAAGCTACATATTGAAATTGAGTTAAAATACATACTAGGAATAGCGAATTTATAGGGAGAAGAGAGAGGAATCTAGCAAAGGAGTTAAATTAAACAACTTGAGATAGACCTCTCAATTCCCTAGTTAACTTCAGGGTATAACATGAATGACCTTGATATTTAGTAATACTATCCACATTGTACCAGTGAAGTACGTGAGCTAACATATTTAGTAGTCAAACTAGTATGAAATCTACTTAACACTGCCCGGCCGCTCTTAATATTTGTTGTTCTACCTCTGTTAATTTACTGAAAACTTGTCCTTGTATTTTCTTCATATTCTTCTCGTGTGCAACCTTCTTAACAAAAAAGGTATGGGAACGTGCTTTACGCTTTTCTTCTAGAGACTTAATCATTGATACCCTATTAAAACCCACTAGTGCAGAAAGTTCCCCTAAAACTGTATATTGTCTTCCGGGTTTGAGACGCAATACACGTAAGGCCGTTGGAACTACCATTCTCTTCATCTTATCAAAAGGGGCTGGGCATCCATCTGTAGTTGTCAGCCTGGCTAAAGCAGCTGCACCCCTAGCTGTTTTATGAGGTATCATTCCACGTACTGTTCTGAAAAGTATTCTAGATGGAGAACGGTGGTGAAAAGGACCTCTACGAGGGTTTGTATTCATTCGCTTGCGCAAGAAATCTTGATATTTCATACGATTTCTATATAAGGAGCCTGAAACATTTATGTCTTCACATCTCACTGCAATGATCTTCTGACCATTTAATAATTCTTTAGCTATTATAGAGGCAAGGCGACCTAAAAGAGCACCACGACAGTCAATGACAATCTGCTCTTTAAACATTGTAATAGACGTTCAAAATAATAAACAAGATAGAAGTAATCCTTCTAGAAAGGTATTTCCCGAAATATAATACGTATATTATCTATACTACTTTTCAATAGTAGTAGTCGTTGTAGTTGGGTCTTTATTATAAATACTATAATATTAAAGAGACAGATGACTAAATTGCGCGTCTTATACAATTGTGCTGAAGTAGAATGCGGCATTTTAGAGACTTACCCTATAGCTCCATATTACCAATTTCTAAATTAAGTACTTAGCAGTATGTTTCCCAGGGGTCCAGGTCTGCAAGATCAATTTCAGATGTGAATACCCCGCTGTCTTTAAAGTGTTTTATTAATTGTATTAGTATACTTTTATATATAGGTTTGACTCGCACCTCTCTAATAATCTCATCTACTAACTCATTTAACATTTCCTCTCCTAATTTACCATCAAATTTAATCAATGCACAAGTATACTCGTCTATCTGCAACTTAAGTTCATATTCCAGATCTGACCCTTTAAAGATGTAATGTGAAATTTCAAGTTTAGATGTTGCAGTAGTAGTGGCTCTCCCTTGGTCTTGTGTATATAATATGTTGCATTCATCTTTACCAACAATTGGAGTTTCCTTTATAGTGGTAAGGAGCTTTTGTTTCAAACATATAGAATTGTTTGTAGTATTTAATGAACAAGTTTTATTAAGTCGTCTTCCTGTCAATTTTCCTAATTCAACTGCATCTAAACCCATCTGTTCTGTGCAGGTTGTACATTCTGGAGTCGATTCATCCAAGATTTTAAGGTTTGGTGCATCTAAATTTAAACTACTACGGTTATTTAAATTAAGTATGTCTCGAAATAAATTATCTGTTAATATCTGCTCCCTTGATAGTAAGTATTCAATGTGTGCTTTTAAGTCAGAATACCCTTGAAGTAGTCTCTTATTTTCAGATTGCAGATCATTCACTAGCAATCGAAGATCACTGACGCTATTACTCAGTCGTTCTCCAATTACTTGCAAATCACTTAGTGGTAAACTCCACAAAATTCCCAAGTCCATTGAACTAGTCTTTCTTTCCCTAATATATAAAAGTGAATAATTCCCAAATTTTTAAACGATAGGCATTATTGGAGGAATCAAGATATTACACAAAATCAAATAGTTGCGCCACATTTCTTGTTAGGGCGCAGAATGTTTACTAAAGTTATAGGTTAGTGTTAATTAATGAATATTTCTCTGACTAGAGTTGTATTGGAAGAGTTAGCTCTATTTGGGAATATTGGATGTACAGCTAGATGTTTACTAGAATGTGTAAGAACTAGAATTTATGTAATTAGTGAATATGTTCCTATAAACCAGTTAGAAGATGCATCTTTCCAAAAGTGTTTTATTAATTCTATTGTAAGATATCCTTGTATTAAAATAGTCAGATTATCGGATGGAAGTTCACATGAAGTGGAGAATTTAGATATTAAGTGGGACAACTTAGATTGTTTTAATTTACATCTTTCAGAAAATATTCAGCGATATATACTAAATCTACATATATACTCAAATATTAATGATATAGATGGAAGATTAGCTGTATATATGGTCATTGCCAAAAGCCGTTTTGAAGGTTGTTGGCAATCAGAAATTTCGAAGATACTCGGAATGGATCCAAAAATGGTCTTCCAACACCTAAAGTCTCTATATAGATACGATTTGATCGTCCGTTTTACAATACCAATGCCAACAAGTTACAAACACCGGATTCTTAATAATTCTGATTGTCAATCAACTATATCTGGAGGTCATGTATCAGCTATAATTTGGCTGACTAGATTTTTTGATTTTAAAAAAATTCCTCATGAATTATCACAACTAATTTGGTATCAACATATACAACCTCTTAGTGCAGAGATTGTTCGTATTTTGGAACACAAAGCACCAAGAAAGATCGCGTGGGAAAGGGATATACGTACTTTATGTATTGGATTTTTGATTGTTCATGGTGAGGGGTCATCAGATCGATTAATTTGTACACAACGTACAGCTAATAAGGTATTCAATAAAGTTAGAGACTCTTTACTTACAAAAAGTGTAAGAAGAGTTTTTGCATGGTGCCCTTCAACAAACTCTTATGCTCCTTGTCTATGTTTGAAAGACGCTTTTCCAATATTTTCCAAAATTGATATACCTAATTCATTAGTAAAGTCTGAATATCTCAATACTGATTTACTATCTGAAACGGAATATGTAGAACCCTTGCAGCATGAAGAAACTTCGAGCTTTTTATTCCAGGATAAAAATTTGTGTAATTCTCACCATAATAACGAAGTAGATGACGATTCAGATATCTCATTTAGTCATAGATTATGTGAACTAACAGATGCCGAACAGGTATTCTTCTTGATCGCTGCAAGCAAATCTACAGGGTTGGTATCTTTGGACATATCTAGGCTTTTAGGGATTAATATGAAGCGACTAGGAAAGCTACTCGCAGATTTAAACCGCAGTAATTATATATCTAAAATACCTCAGCGATGCAATCGCACATTCATGTATAGATATTATCTTAATAGTTTAACTCTAAATTCTGTAAATGAAGTTATACAGTCTAATGATTTAGAAGCTAGTAAAAAAGATTTGAATATTGATAAATATGATATCTTAAGTGATATTACTGATGATTTTATAAATTTAGATAAGAAACCACAAAGTAATTCCTTAGTAGGAGCAACTGAACAGTTTAAAAAGAGACTGGCTTTAGCTAGGGAATGGGTAGAAGAATTTGGCTATTTAACAATTCCTGATTTTACTAGGCTCTATGCAAATGCAGAGAATTCTGTAAGGGGACCAGATAGAAAAACTATCAGACGGATACTTCTAAAGCTTTTAGAGATTGACGAAAATATTAAGAAAACTTCGATTACTCCTTCGAACTCTTTTAATAATACTTTTGAGTCCAATATAAGGTTTATTTCAGCTAATGATATCTCAGTTTTTTATTGGGCTAAATCATATACAAGTAAAGAGGCAGAGGAGCTAAAATCACTAGAACTTAAAAATAAAAGATCATCTTCTACTAGAGCTGCTATTCAAAGAAGAAAGAAAGAACTCTCAAGTGTTGCAGCTATAGTAGATGCTTCAACCTCAATTGGCTTAAATGAGGCAGATGATGCTACAATTTCTACAAATCAAGTTATAGGACGCATGCATGAAAATAATATTTTGGAGAATACTGATACAACTGAAAAGAAGTCACAGGAGTTAAAACTAGTAAGTTTGTCAAGTAACAATGTTGCTGTTGTTAATTCTGGGGATTTTACAGTTGCATCCTTACATATAAGTATTGAGGATCAAATAAGTAAGCATGATAGTACACAAATAAATAATAGTTCCAATAAAATATTACGTATTGGGGGTATTTGCCATGAGTTACCAATGCAAAAACTAAAATACTTTAATCCAGCCAAAAATATTAGTTTAAATTTTGCTGAGCAAAAAGCTGGGAAACCTTCGCTTTATAATAGTTCATCTATTTTTGGATTTCAACCTTTCAGTCAAAAAATTTTGGCACATTATGGATTTGTGTTTTCCTTGATGATTCGCCTAAAATTGCTACACTATCATCTAATAAGTACTCACTTCAAAGAAAACAAAAATAACAATCTTGGTCTTTTGTCAATCAAGCAAATCTTGGATGGGATGAATCTTGACACTTTTTTAAGAGTAGTAGGTTATGGTTACAAATCCTCATACATAGAAGACTATCTTCTTTTTGGTATGAGTGATCCAAGAAATCCTCACATATCTTCTAATTTAATTAAAGAACTACCTAAAACAGTATATGAATCTTTAACTGGGATGTCTGTCGAAAGCAGATCTGATCGACGTATACATCATAAAACCAATGTTTCACTAAAAGGGAGAAGAGCAATTGTGGTACTTAGACGGATGTTAGTTACATTAGAGAAGCTTAGACTTGTAGGAAGTAAAGACAAAGGAAGTAAGTACAATACTGATATAACAAATGTAAGCAATAATGGCAATTATTTTAGTATAAAATCTACCTCAATACATGATTCCTTTTGGCAGGTTAACACTATTATCAGAATATCAGATATAAAACTACTAAGGTCTGATTCTATATTTGAAAGTCAATTGAAGGAAAGATATAACTCTGAATATTTTGATTTGATGAATTTAGAGAACTTTGAGAAATTCTGGCTTAGTTTGCAGAATTTTGCTATGAAAATTAAAAAGAAATATGCTGATATTAAAAATTTAGCAATGAATGCAACCATCCCTGATATTTTTATTAAGAAGCATTGGAAAAATCAGGCTTTATTACCACTCAATGTTAGAAATTCTTTGGAAAAGTTTGCACGACATTTGATGGATTTTGAATTAACAAACTCAGGATGTTATGAATCTATAGAAAATAATGATCAAATAGTGTTATCAATGGCTTCTCCAGAAATTCAAAAACTTTCGTCTGACCTTAATATATCTCCACTAACCACTTTACGCTATTTGGAACGTGTTGTTGATTCTTTAACCACAACTACAAAAACAAATGGACCTATCCAAGTCTCAAGGAATAGACTATTATTTCGCTTTCTTAGAGATCCTAAATACAAATGCCATATATGTTCTGCACTATATTCTACTCACCCTGCTATTTTGTCTCATTACAGCATACTTCACAATATATCGAATATGTCAAATGCTTCTATGTATATGCTAAGAAATGTATGTCAACAATCACAAGCTAAAGCAAAAACAAATAATAGGACTATACTTTCTCATAAATATACATTTAGTGAAAATAATGTTCCTTCAACACTCGAGTATCTTTTAGAAGATCAGGGTTTGTTTGGTAGTCATGAAATATTAAGGAGAAATGACAAGCTTGAAATATTACATGCCGTCCTTTGTCTGCATAAAGATGAAGTCTTATTCATGTATCATATTTTTTCCTTATCCTTGAAATCATTATGTGTGAATAAAGTAAGTAGAGAAAGTATATACAATTTGATCTCTCAATTTATACTTTGCTTGTCTGTGAAAAGTGGATTTCTTAATATGAACCTTACTGGACTTCAATTTTCGAGATTGGTTGATCTTATTTCAAGACATAAAGATAATAGTAAGGAAGAAGCAATCAAAGCAATTATGTTTGCATATATTTGCATTGGGAAAATATACTCTTTGAATTCAAAATTATTAGATTTTATTCATTTAAGAGCACTCCAATATACCACTTTGAAAGAAGTTGGGTTGGTATTGGAAATAGACATCTGGAAGACCAATTTTGTGAAGACAATAGATACTAATGCTATTACATCATTTCTTGATACAAGAAAAAAGGAAATCTCAGATATATTATTACCTTCAAATACCAATGAAACTGTTATATACGGCAATTTATGTTATTCCAAAAGTGAAGTGTCATCTTCTGAAACATTCTTGCAGATGAATCTAATCCGAAGTATTATATTCAGCTCTGTATATCATAGCGATGAATCATGTCTAGATATTCTTGAAAATAAGATCGAGCTACCACATGAGCAAGCGATAGAATTATTGTGTGGAGATTTGATAAAAAGTGGTATAATCAAGATCTTCAACAAAGGCCAAGATAGTAGAACTGAAAAATGTGAAAGTACTGTTGAGAATAGGAGGATTTCTATATCAAGAAATACTTTGATAAAATTATTTGGTAAAATTGGAGAATGGCGCGAAATTATAGAAATTTGTAGAGTCAATTTAGCCCAAAAGCAACATGACGAAAGTATCTTGGTAAAGGTAAACTTATCAAATATTAATGGAATATTAGTTGCACATCACCTATCTAGATTTGCCGAAGATGACTGCAATTTTGACATTGTATGGAATGATGCAGACTTTTATGAAAAATCTGTAAATTTCACTGATGCAAAACTTTTCAATTTACTAAATGAAATTTTAATAGGTAATACAGATGACAATAATGAAGATACTTCATTTCAACAATACCATACAAATTCAGAATATAATGAATTGGGTAAAAGGTATATAGAACCAGATATTTTTCAGGGAAAATTTGCTAAAAAACAAAAGGTAAACAACTTTTTGTCTGAAAGTATAGCTCAAGACATCAGCCAAGGTGTAGGAATTCAACAAGAAAGTGCTCCTGAAGTTGTGGGTGTAGCTATTCATTATTCTAATCTAAAAAATGTAGAGGTTTCTACTAGTAAACATAATTTAAGTGAATATCACAATTTAATAGATATAAGCATGCCAAAATTAACTTTTGGAAATTTACACGACTCTGAGCCCTTAGTTCTTTTAAATATGGGTTTTTTTTTCTCAGTAAAGAGTTTGTTACTTGGATCTGAAATTGGTTCTTTTCACTTTAGAAAATCACCTTCAAAAGACCCTATATTTGATATATTAAGGAAACTCAAGAATATGATTGTTGGAAATAAAGAATATAATAACAGAATCTTCGATATTCTTTGTATAATTCTTGGCATTATTCATTATTCAGGTCCATGTGGGTGTAGTCTTCTGCAAATTGAATCATCATTTAATAATTTACACTTTGAGTTTATAAGTGATTTAGCATTAATTGGAATTCATATAAATTGTTCTGACTTTTCCTTCCCATTTTCTTTGGGTAAATATGCTTCAACTATTTATTATTTAGTTTTTTTACTGGAAATGTTAAATCTATGTGCTCGTATCCCAAATGAAGATAAATGGTTATATATATCAAAATATTATATCTCAAAAAATAAATATACAGTTGAACTAGAAAGTTTGAATCAAAAACAGTATACAACTAAAGCTACAGAAGACCAATTTATCCCTATAAATTTAGTATCAAGATTTTGGTTGTTATGGGATCCAAGCTCTATATTTAAGTTCTTTACAAAAGTAGAGTTGGAGGAAATATTTAATTTGTTTAGAAATTCTTGTAACTCATATTTATCAATAGATAATTCAACTGATTGGCTAGCTCCCTTCATGACAACTAAAGTACCCATTAATAGCTTTATCACTATAAATGGTAATATAAATCTCTTGCTTTGTGGTATCCTTTCTTATAGAATTTATTTTATGCTATACAAAATGCCAAATATTAGTATACCCGATTATTTGAGCTCATTTTCACTTTTTTCAAAATGTGAACTTGAATTTTTACTTGAGTCTTTGTATGCTGAAGGTTGTATCAATAGAAATAGCACGTTTCAAAATTTATATATTACTAAGAGTATCTCCTGTATATTTGAGATTTTGGAGGGTTAAGAAAAATAGCTTAGTGTTTATATTTTAATAAACAATATGTAGTGTGATTGCAAAAGTTAAAAGAATTTGACTTAGAGTAGAAGGTATTACATGACAAACTTCTTTCTATATATACTTATCAAAATAACAAAGACTATTTTAAGTTGTTATTGGGATGTACCTGCGTCAATACTGTTGATGGCACTTAACCGTGAGGTGGGAGTATGGTTTATTGTCTTCGAAGTGGCCTGATCAATATCCGGAGGGAGATTTCCTGAGTGAGAGCTTAGATCACCTTGAATATATGTTTTCTTTGCTTCATTTCGAAGTATATTGACATTTATTGGATTAATATTACTCTCTGTAGGAACTGGGATAGACTTAGTGGAGTTATTATTTGCAATTTCACTTGTAGGTGGCTGTGGTATTTTTGCAAAGTGTATTCCCGGAGAAACGAAAGGTAAATTTCCGTTATTCACACTAACAGATCCTCCATTTGCATTGCTGAAGATATGTCCTGATGAGTTAAAAGGTCCATGATTACTAAGTGGTAATAAAATGGGACAGAACGAAGAATTAGCTCCAAATACTAGGTATGCGGAACCATTACTGGTATCTGTTGGGATAACTTGAGTAAGTGGATACTGTGCAAATTGACTTGAGTTAAGTACTGTACCGAAACTATTTAGATTATTTGATGCGTTACTCAATAAAATTGGGGCATTTAATGCACTGAAAATATCTGGTGCAAAATTGGAATTTATTATATTTGAGTTTGAATTACTATGCACAAATGCCGTTGTATCGCCACTATCTCCACACTTATTATTACTTGAATCTTGATCATACATACTACTATTATTTTCTTTGCAGCTCTTAGTTGCATTAATAAGTCGTATATGTGCTGATGTTGGGGAGTCTGTGGAATCCATTGACATTGGAGTGGTACCTGTACTTGAACAATTGCTCAGACCATCTGACATATTTATTGATGTTGCTGAAGGTGTCAGTGATGTATATAGACCTGTAATTCTATCTTTTTCTGCAGTAAGTCCATTATTTATGGACTTCGCTCTTTCATCCAAATAACTTGCTAGTAAATCTTGCAATGAAACTGAATTCTGAGGAGAAATTCTACTTATAATTGCACCATAAGAAGTAGGTAATGAGGTTTGTTGAACTATTAAAGGTTGGTATGACTGTGAACTTAGTTGTGCTGCTGCTAATTGTAACTGGATATTAAAATCAAAACCTGTATTTAGTGAATCAGAGGAATTACATGAAATAGGGGGGACATCATAAACACCTATGGACTCTTTCTCATTGGAAGTAGGTGTACTTGAATTTACTGATTCACTCACTTCAGTCTCAGTATGAGAACCATTACTAGATGAGTTATTAGTTATTGGTAGTGCTATGCTACTATTAAATCCTTTAACTCTTGAATATTCCAAAATCCTCTGCATAACATTAATTAAAGTTTGTTCTGCAACTTCAGCTGTTATTTCTCTACTTTTAGATTTGTCTCTGTAAGTTTGTAATCTCCAAACAAGTCTAATAGACTGTAAATGGTCGCAAAAAACAATGTAGTCTTGTAAAGCAAACTGGTGTCTATATGAATAGTGCCAATTTCTATTTAGAAAACTAGTTTGGTTACTATGCTTTGCACAATAAGTTTGTTGAGGGCAAAGTGTAGCAGCAAAATAGTTACAGTCATCAACTACATCACCATATGCTTCATAGACACACCTTGGGACTATCAAATTTCCACCCTTGGGAGGCAAATATAAAATTTTCCACTGGCCTACAATTTTCTCACGTTTATCAGCCTTAGGTATACAATCACATGATGGGCAGAGTGTCCATCTTTTCTTTCTTCCAGTAAAACCTACTGTAACAACAGTCCTATCTATGCTATCATTAGCAAGTCTTGTACTTCGTTTGCTGAAATCAAAAATATAACCGTCAACTTCATCTTGATGTGTAACTGCATAACGACGAAGCCCTATTGTACCAGGCTCGTAATGGCTTGATATTATTTCTTTTTCTGAATCAGATGACATCTGATTAAAAAGTCCCTTTTCAAAATTATTAATACTTGAATCACTTAGGCTGCAAAATGATGGCACATGTCTTGGTTTTTGCCTATGAAGTGGTGTCTTAGAAGTATAGGGTTTTCGTGTAGCAATAGAGCTACTCATATTGCTAGATTTGGAAGATGTCTGACAATTCAGCAATGCTTCATGAGTGAAATTTGTTGTTGCGAGATTACTTTCTGCACTATAATTATCAGATTTGCTTTGATTCATCATATTTGATGCAAATAAATTTGAATTCAACCACATTATTAATTACAACTCTTATAAGGTAGATGCTTTGAAGCTTCCTTTAAATAATAATTAGTTTTATAGAATATACTATTTTACCTTAAAACTTGACTCTATTCAGAGAAATAAGTACTGTGTTGAAATAGCTGGTAGATGATGCAGAAGTTGTACCAAAAGTGATAGCTTACAAAGTTAATACGGTTCTACAAGTGATTAAAAGTAGACCATCTAAAAAAAAGTTACATCCAAATATTTAGAGAATGAATTAGAGAGCTGAAAACTCAAAGCGCTATCTTACCTTCTCTCTTAAGCTTGCAAGAATTACTGCCACGACTACGAGAGCAAACTATACTGTGGCTTGTACTTCTTAAAGCCACAATATACGTCTATTAAATAGCTTTACTATAACAATACGTATACAATAATGAAGCGCAAAGTAGTTGCTACATGCACCCAACATCTGATTTATAAGAATCGATTTCACGTATATGTATCACACTATTTATAATGCATCAATTTCTTATGTGTGTTGCATGCACAATTTGTTGCACTTGTGTCTTTATGTGTGTGTACCGCCTATTGGAACACTTGCGAATAAGTCACTAAAGATAAATATGATCTTCCAATTGAAAGTAATTTGGTAATCATTGAATTCTGTAGCTTTCTTTTTTAAAAAAAAAGTTATTGTAAAAATAGAGATTTCAGCTTATAAACTATAAGAGTTGATTATGAAGTATTGTATTCTAATCAACTAGTTCACTACTAACTTTACTAGACTGTATTTATTGAGATGGATATTTAGAGATCAAGGTACTATTTACTACCTAATTTGCTTTTATTAGAAATCTTAAAAGTATACTTAGAGTTAATCCAGTATCTTCCCTAAGTATCTATATGCTTATTTTATCTTTAAATGTAATTTACTGAGCTCTCTTTTTTATTGGGGATCAGCTCACTTATATTGCTCCACATGTAAAAACGCCTAGTAAAACTAATTTATAAAGAAGGAGAAACTAGAGTCTTATATAATTAAGTGAAAGTATACAATATTACTTTATATAATTAATGAAAATAATTGCATCGTCTAAAACAAGCTATTTAGTGTTATATAGTTTTATAGGCGCTTTAAGTTGCATGATATTACCGCCCCCACACGTATGGCGCTAATAGTGCATCAGTTACATACGTGTGTTAGATATTTATCGTGAACATTTAATTCCGCTAAAAAAGGGATATTATTATCTACCGACATTTTGTGTGAAGCTGCTGCACGCATGCCAGGTGACTATCCTGACTTATAATAAGAATCAAAGGAATTGATAAAGGAAATACTATAACAACCAGTGCCTAACTCTTTTTCTCATATTGACATTAAGGAAAAATTGTGAGAGTGAAATATTAATTAAATACTGCAATTAAATAATAAAAGTATAATATATACTCATATGATACTGGCATCTCTTTTATTTTAACAAAAATATATTTGCATAAACTTTTCTTAAGGCCCTGTATAATGTAATGTAAGAGTAGCATCTATTATACAGTCAAATAAGTGAACAATTAAATTAACTTGTTCCTATATCACTATCATTTCGAAGGTAAATAATTAATTAGAAATATTAAGATTGGAATAACTACTAAATATCTTTTTTTTAGCATAAGAGATGGCTAATTTGACGAGCTGTACTGCAAGTAGTGGAGATATGCTTTTTAATTTATACAATGAACATAGGATTACAAATGATATGGCTAATGGAGATCAGTACTCTTGTCATCGCCATTTCGATGCTATCTGTTATGATGACCAATATTATAAACCGTCAATTGAAACAAATCTTGTAAATAAGGGCAACAATAGTAGGCGAGGAGGTAAACTAAAACCACGCCATGTACCAGACTTCGTTTTAGTATCTTCAGAGGATGTTGATAATATATTATCAGCAGTCAGTACAACTGAAGAGAAGGCAGAAATTATGAATAATTTTGAGTTGGGGACAATTGTCTTGCGTAGGCTTTGCATTAGTGAGAGTAGCGAAATCAAAGCATTTATGGATTCTATACAGATGAGAACAACAGGTAAAGCATTAGAAAGCCATGAGAGGAATATTATCTGCTTGACATTTCGTGGTCAGCCCAAAAGGTGGGTATTTTGCCCTTGTAGGAGTTGCTTATTTAAAGGAAAAGCTCATGACAAATTAATGGGCCATTTTAAAGTAATGGAACAAGATAGTCAGAATTGCCAATTTCATATCTCTAAAAATGTACTCGAATCTTATGGAGTATTTATGGCTTCTTGTGGTTACTTTGCAGCTACATTCTGCCCTCAGCAAAATTATTCATCGCATAAAGTATTTATTGGTCCCACAGCTGCAGATCTTAAAGGTAGAATACTAGATAGATACATATTGTATGTTAATGAAGCAAAAGTTATACAAATGGCTTGGCGTATAAAGCAAAACTATAGTAGTGATTGTGAAGAGTTACTCAATAGAACTATGTCTAAATTACTAATTTACAATAAAAATAATAGCCAAACTCCAATTTATAATCAATTAAACAAGAATTATAGTAGCTTATTGTCATTACCATTAAGATTAAGACTACAAAGTGATGGGAGTGAGAAAGAAGCAAGTCAAGCAATTCCATCTACTCAGATAGATGTATTGTCATTTCAAAAAAAAAATAAGAGGAAATTAATAAAACAAAGTGAGGATTGGGATAACTCTAATTATTCGAATATACAAGAAGTTTCATCTATATATCAGAATAAAGGATTTTCATCCAGCTTGTCCTCTTCAACATCTTGTGCAATAAACTCTCCAAGCATATTGAAATCTAGTAGTCAATTTCAGAATCTAAGTATTGATAGTAATCCACTAACCCCTAGATGCAGGAAAAATTATACTTCTTTATCAGATAATATTCATGATATTGATGTAAATGGATGTATTACTAAAAATCGAAGTAACTGCATATTTGGTGATATTTCTACAGCTGCAGCAACTCCAATAATAGATAATCATATATGCTCTGCAAATAAACAAGCCAATGTTAACATGTTGGATTATATCAAGTCAAACTTGAATACATGTAGTTTAGAGATAAGCCCAACAAATAATTCGATGCAATTAACCAATACAAATAGCTCTGGAATATTTGAAAGTAGCAATATATCGAAAGAAACTTTTTCTTCAGGTTCTATGAATAATATATACAATAATAGCAATATCTTGTCTGCTAGCTACGCACAAGGCGTTGTGGGGCAGTCTGATATAAAATTAAATAAAAAAAGATGGCATGGAATAATGGAAAATAATGAGAATGACAATATTAACAATATATGTAGCGAAAATGGATATTTTCAAAATAATTGTATATATAGATCTTCAATACAACAAAATGTAATCTTTGATGGAGGTCATTTTTGTCTTAATCCTTTAATATCCCCAGATGGATTGATAAACAATTCTGAGATAGGTGAAAATATTGTGGATAAAAATAATTTTGCTTTAAATAATTCAGTGTTAAACAATAGTTTATCGACTTCACTATATGTATATCGCCAGCTATTTTCTATGAATGATGTTGCATCTAATTCTGCACTAGATATTCCATCTCTTATACAACCAATCTCTCATGGAGTTTTTATTCCAGATAGTATTTTGCAAGAACATGCACAAATTCAAGCATTGCCTACTAATCAAAGTTTCGTGAGCTCAGGGACATTTAATGTATTTGACGATGAGGCTCGCTGTCCATCTTGTGATCAATGTATAATAGATGGTTTTCCTTATTACTGCAGTTGCTATAGCAAGATATCAGCAGACTCTATTACAAACTCGAGTGATATTGGTGATTCTTCCAGTGTGTACCACTTGAATAGCCAATTTTTGCATAGCTCCCATGAAGTAGACTAATATTTCGCCTTGTGTAAATTATTAGTTATTATTTGAGCGAAAACTCCTTGAACATTACTAAAATATTTATTAAGAACCCTTTAAAACTCTTTAAAAAACGATGAAAGCTTGAAATATATTTAATTCTCTAGCCTCTAATAAAGCACGACTGAGGATTATGTGCAAAGTATATATTTTATATGGTAATTTAATTCAATTACTGAGAGTAATCTCTTTGATGGAATTTATTATTTTTTTTTTTTAACAATTATAGTTATTCGAAACTAAAAGTTGACAGCTATAGTATTAGCACTAATTACAGGAAATATACATTATGTCATAGGGATTTATAAATATCTTTTTTTTTTTTTTTTTGCTTTTAAAAGGGAATTAGTGACTAATGTTTAATATATATATATATATATAATACTTTAGGTAGTCAAATTAGTAGTACTTTCTTTAGAAGTATACTACTTATTTAATCTCTTCATAGTGACTTCCTTCATCAAATACAAGTTCATTTACAGCTTTTGGTCTCCATATTGTTGATTGGTATGATGAATTTCCATCCATTACTATAGCTGAGCTGTGAACATTGCTGGGAAGAGTCCAAATATCTTTATGAGGGAAAATAAGTTCAATTGAGCCCTTATTTTGTAATAGTAGATCAGATGCACTTCTTGTCTTCCTAAGCAAATTTGCAGATGCATTAGCAAAATATCTTCCAGCTAACCTTCCAGCATGAATCATTGTTAGAACACCCATTGATAAAGGAAGTTGCACATCTAACTTGCTTCTCACAGAATCTACATTTTCTGGCATAGACTCTACTTCATTATTATGTGGTACATTTTCGTCTACTGCCTTTTTAAAGGCTAGTATTTCTCTTATAGACATAATGATAACAAATACTGTCGTTATAATTATACCTATAGTAAAAATAATAGTCATTGATAAAGTAAAGCCTTGAAACTCATGGAATTTACTGAAACCACCAAATGTACTAAACAGAGTCCAGAAAACATAATAAGCAGGTACAACCAATGTTGCATCACCTCTTGCAAGCCCTAAGTTTAGGAAATGCATCTGTAACCAAGTAGATATACCCAAAACCACAAAAGCAACATAGGGCTGTATGTGATACATCCATGTAGCTGGATTCTTCATAGCATATTCACCCCATGCTACTATTTCTTTTATTTCAAGAACACACTGTGCGCCAATTAACCCAGCAAGCAAACCGTATAACATACTAATGTACTGTGGATATTCCGGTAAGGAAACTTTTATTTTGTTTGTGTTAGGTGAGGAAACTTGCTGTTGTGGAGAAGATTGATTAGAAGTAGAGAATCCAAAACTCTCTTCATCCATTGTTTTGAGAACAGCTCGCCTAGTTTGAATATCCTTCTCTTCATTATACTTAGCTTCTTCATTATTAATAACAATTAGCACAGCAAGTGCACAAATAAAGCAGAACATTATATAAAGCAAATAGTATGGATCAGACCAACTATCTATTCCATCATATTTCTTGCTCAGAGAATTAGATGGTAATACAGAGGCAAGAGCACATAGACAAATTCCAAAAATAACCCCAACTGTGGATACCAATTCAAAGCATCCAAAGTGTTCATCTAGAAGCGTTGCTGCTGCAAATGCATTAGCTACCAAACCAAAGCTGTTCATGGGTGCTAATATAGATGCAGGAGCAAATCCTAGTGCTATGACATGAATTAGTGCACCAAATGTATAAGATATAATCCCAATCCACCAAGTAATTTCATGATATGCCATACTAGGAATATATCTATCGGCTGTGCCTAAACACTTCTCCTGTTGTAGATGGAGGCCTCGTTTCATATATGTGTTGCCAAATGCCATAAAGCAGGAACCAATTGCAGTTAAGATTATACCCAATGCCACACTTCCAGATAGAAATGACGAATTAATGAGATGAATGACCGCATCAATATCTCTCACATGTCCATGGAATTGCCAATCCATTATTAGAATTTACTAAAAAGTGTAGTATTGAAGTCTTTATAATCAAATGTTGCAGCTTGCGCTACATTCGTGTGAAACACACTAGACGAGACGCGTTTTAATTTTAGCAGTAGCTACCTCTGCCTGTAGTTATTTCTAAGCGTAATATAACTCATTTTCGTATTTCCATGGTACTCTGTATGTGTATCAGCTACCTTCTTAATTACTTCTTGGATATCTTCGAAGTATTTATTCTTCTTCTTAACTTTCATAGCATCCAAAAATGCTTTAATTTGCATTCTACCGCCAGCTAAGCTTAGTTTGCGGATAACTTCAGACTCCAAATTCCTTGTATTTCCACATGTAGCCGATGATATTACAGAGGATACAGTAGGTGACCTAGTTGTAAACTTCTGTTGTGAATCTTGTGTAAGTATTTTCACATTCGTGGGTATTCCTGCTGTAATTGGGGCAGTACCACTGACATTACTTCTACTTTCTGCATCATCTTCCACCTCATCGGAATACGCATTAAGTTCATCATCAGCTTCCATATCTTGTTGATTAGCAATCATTGTCTTTAATGTTTGACCATATTCTGTTAAAATCTCATCAGGTCCATCCTCCTCTTCTGAATTCAGTGAGTCTATGCCTCCATTATCAGGAATATTCATATCTTCTCTATTAGAGCCTATATTAGCTTCATTCCCATCAATATATTCATCATCATCATCACTCATTTGGCCATCTCCATCATAATCCCAGTTTATATTAGATTTCTTAAGTGTAGTTAGTGAAAGTGCAGATTCTATAACTCTAAGATCGTCTACTTTCTTTTCACTCTTAGAAGCTAATGCAGCCAATCTTCTTTTCTTTTCCTGTTCTTTGAGTCCGAAATCTTGATCATATATATCATCTAATCTATCTTCAATACGCCTTGATATTGTATTTGGTTTTAAATTGGATTTTTTAGGTCTAGAGGTACGCATACTCAGTCTTTCTTCATAGTCATCTGCTTCTTCTACATCTACTTCTACTTTAGTCTGCAATTTAGATTCATGTATCTTTGCTGTCATTGCTGCATCTCTCACTATATAATCTCGTTTTATTATCTCAGCAATATCTGAATTTGAGTCATGCTTGCTCCTGACATCAGGGTGAAAGATAAGCATACCCTTCAAAGGCTTAACCTCAAAATAGCTTCCTTTATCAATAATCACAATATAGTTCTTGCAGTCAATTGCCACTGGTTTTCCAATACATTGCCTAGAATTACTATCACGAATTCTCATGTTATGATATGATATTTTTTGAGTTAACCCTGTATCAAGAGAGTATTCGTGCTTTACTGCTGTTTTAGCTCGATGATCCTAAGAAGTAGAAAAATGACAGTATTAAGATTAGAAAGGAATAAAATGAAGTGCCTTACATCATAGTTTGTATCATATTCAACAAATAACATTCCAGACATATGGTGAGCATAAGTAGGTATGCTGAAACGCCCAAAAAAGCAAAAACTTGCATTGTTATTGCTCATAATAAGTGGTTTTGAAGTTACATCCCTCACTTCCTCAAAGTATTCAGAATAATCACTCATTATTTCCTTTTAAATTTACGCAGATTAGTTAATTATAAATATCAGTAATATTTAGGATATCTAGCTGTAAGATTTGCAGAAAATTGCGATCTTATTAAAAGCGACCCTATTAAAGCAGGGGCAAGAGCAAAGGTGAAAGAGCGCTATATATACAAGCACTTTTTAAAGAAAGTACTAAGGTATAATACTGCTGAAGCTAAAGGTTTAATTAAATATTGATAGCTGTCACATCTATAATGAACACTATTTAGATGTATTCGAAATAAAAAGATCAAAATCAAAGTCAGCATCAAGACGCTTCCCCTTAATTAATAAACCTCGCTGAGTTTGAGCACTATATTGACGTACTTTTAGGCTAGAGTTCATAGTACTATTCAAGTTGTCTTTATTATCAAGTTCTAAGTAATCAACACTATGAGTATCACAAGATTTAGACCCTTTACAAAGACTATCATCATTGGAAGTACTTTTTTCTGAAGGCACACTGACTTGTAGAGTAATGTTGACTTCTTTGTCAAGGATTTGTTTGTACTGGCTCCCAAATGAAGAAATTGCATAATCCCGAGACTTTGCAGAAAACTGAATCCCATATATTTGCTTAAAGTAATTTCTTGCCCTTAAATTACCACCTATATTCATTCTTAGTAGCTGAGATGGACTAAACTTATCTAAGTCCGCAGAACGAACGAAACTTATATGGACGCCCATTTTTCTATGATCTGATGAGCAATTTAAGCAGATAAATATGGCATAAGAAAGAGATACCCATGAAGGATTTCTAGATTGGCAGTCAAAGCAAGTTCTGTTTTCTACTTTGCTTCTCATTTTCTGAAAGAAATCATCTCTAAATTTGTCCATTACGTATCCTTTATCATCTACTGTGGCATTTCCCAATTCTAAAAAACTCATGTTTTACATACAAGTATCCTTGAAATGTAGTAATAATAGTGGCTATTATTTTAATTTAAAAAAAAAAAGAAAAAGAAAAGAGAAGAGGGGAAAAAAAAAGTAAACAAAGATGTGCTTGCGGGGTAACTATAAGAACGAGAACAGCAGAACTAAAAAACATTTTCTAGAAGAAATAAGACTTGTTTAAGACTTTAAGTTAGGCCTTTTTTAATAGCGATATATTTTTGTCTAATTTTTAGCTTCTTCCAAGCAGAATTATTTCTAATAAGCTGTGGATTCCGTATGCAACATGTGTAAATTGTGATCATGAACAGTTGTTCAAGACTAAGATTTCTTGAAAAACATATGTACATCAGCTTCATTCTTACTGTAACAATAATAAATTCGGTTCTTGATCTTATAAAGTTGTAAGAGAACAACTTATGAGATCTATGTATATATGATACATATTGTCCAATTACAACAACCCATGATGCTATTGACTGGGAACTTGGTGCAACGAAATCTATAAATTTATTATTGCCATTTTCTAATACTCTAAGTGTGAAACATAGCCATGGTTGATATTTAGGCTCTGAGTCCTCATTGACTTCTACTTGAGATTTTTTTAGGAAAAATGAAAACCCGCCTTTATAAAATTGACGAATATATGAATTGGAAGTGTAACCATAGTCAAGACCAACTATGTCTTCAAGCTTAATTGACTTGAAAGATCTATTAGATGTAGTGTACTCAAAGGATGAGCTAATCATTCTACAATAACATTTGCTCAGTTTTCCATATCTGCCACTATATTTATGCAGAATAGATCCATTTCTAATCTGAAATACTGAACTAGGTTCTATTGGGGATCCTGGTCTTCCAATGCAATGGAATAACTCTTTTCTCTGTTTAAGAATTTTTTTTTTATCATCAATTATATTCTTTTCTAATTTACTGATTAAGTTTTTCGACTCGTCAATTCTTTTATGCTCATCTATTATAACATCCTTTCTAAAATACATTAAAGTGTTACTGAACTTCTGTATACTGTTTTCGACTTCATCGAGGTCGGTACGAGTATGTGCCACTTCCATAGTTAAAGCTTCCGTACAACTTGTCATATCCCCAAGAATCTCCCTAATTGTCTCATTCCTTTTAATTATAAGATTTTCCAGATATTTAGCAATTTTTTCAACCATAGATTTGGATTGAGAGAGCGAAATGTATATATCTAGTTGTTGCTGCATTTTTCGAGCCTCATTCTCCAACTCTTGATGAGACTTCGATAGAGCTTCAAATTTACTTTGTAGTTCTTCATTTGACCTCATAATTTCTTCATTCTTCTTACTTTTACCAGTGACTTCACTTTCTAATGAGCTAAGTTTTTCTTGCATACTCTAAAAAAAAAAAAAAGGATCAGGCTTCATGATTTTTGTTTTGAAATTGTTTATACTCACCTTCATTTCAGATTCAGCTTGATCTAACTGTTTTTTCACTCTTGCATACTCAATATTTTGTCTACCTAAAATCAGTTGATATTCTTTTTGAGTCTGATATAGTTCTTCTTGTGCACGGTTCCCTACTACTAACAGACTTTGTACTCCATCATGCTCCTCCTGCAACTTTTTGTATTCAGCCACTTTAGCCTTGAATGCTTCTTTAAATGATTCTTTCTGTTCAGCTACTTCTTCATATCTTAATATGAGGTGATTATACCTATTTTGCAATTCTTCACAAATAGATTCAATTTTGCTTTTTTCTTGGAGAAGTACCTCAATTTGTTGTTCAGATTTTTTTTGAAATTCACATAAAACTCCTTTAGCTAGATCTTCAGTTTTCCTTTTGTCCAGCGATGAGGTTTGTATATTGATATTTTCAATTTTAGGAGATGTAGATTGGTTTGTACCCGCATGTATTGAATTATTACTTAGTTTTCCAATGTATTTATTACTTGAGCTGTCTTTACTCAACTGTTTTGGAGCTGCGCCAAGATTATTAGCTAAATTCTTAATATTCTCACTCCAAGTCTTAATCCTTTCTTTGTCATTCCTCAACTTCTCCAATTTCTTATAAGCTTGAGCTGTAACATCATCACTTGTCTTATATTCATCAGGCAAGGATTTTTCACTAGCTTGCATTCTATTTACTAAACTATGACGATAGATAAACAACTGTGGACGCAGTTACTAGAAGTGCTATGATTTATAAAGAAAAAAAAGTGAGTAAGACCGAGAATCTATAAATGACACTTTTTATATCTCCACATGTATAGCGCCAACAATATGTGCAAGTGAATTTTCGTAATAAGGGGATTATTAATGAGATTAAGAAAAAGAAATAACCATAAGTTTTAATGTATTATTCAACTGTGTTTATCACACAAACTATCAGTTAATATTTAGAATTATTCTGCGGCATTCGTCTAAAAAGCTACGTGTAAAGAGCGCAATGGTTTCATAAGACTAGAGAGCTGCGCGTTTTTTAAGATTGCCAATTTTCTAAGTGATTCAACTATATCTATATAATCATAATATATATACGGTACAAATATTACTATAAAAAGTAAGATAAGGAAAAATGCCAACAAAAAGAAAAAGAAAAAAAGATCCAAGGAAAACTTAAAAGATAATCCAGCAAATCTCCGTACACGCTCCTTCTGTACTTTTTTTTTAAAGGGGCGATGTGATCGTGGAAGTACTTGTCAATTTTTACACACAGCAGAACCCATTACTAAACAAAAGCCCTGCTGGTACTTTCTTGGAGGAAGTTGTACTAAAGGAGCTGAGTGTCTTTATAGCCATGATCTTAGCCAATTTCCTTGTAGATACATACATACTATTGGATTCTGTAGAAATCTACAGAACTGCAGATTTAGTCATAGACTACCATTGTATGATAGCCAAAAAGAGGAATTTGTGCGTAATAATAAGGACTACTTATTATTATCACACAAAGATGGAGGTCCTAAAGATATGGATCCATCCAAAAGATGGTGGGAGCCATATTTACAAAAGATAGTTAAAGAAGATAATAAGGAAAGTAGTGACAAGATTATGATGAATAAGTTATACAAGGAGTGCAGAGAGGCAATACCTGATTCCATTAGTACCTGCCTACTAAAAAAGCAAAATGAAACCATAATAAAAACGCATCTAAAGAGCTCTAGTATAATATCCAGGGATAAAACTTTTATTCTATCACATAGTCCTGCATCATATCACTCTACTAACTCATTATCATATACTTCGGATTCATTAGAATACAAAGACTCCCTATTTAAGTCATTGGTATGTCCATATGTAGCTACCATCAGCAATAATAGAAAAAATGATATACTCCCATCTTATTCTCCAAAACACATCATTTGGCAGTAGTTCCTTGTTATATCCTGACTTAACCCTTAATATTTTTTGGAATAGAAATAATAAAATGTAGTATTAGTAACTCCTAATATTTACTTATTTAATTAAACTATATTGTACTATAGTATGGGACTGTGTTCTGAGTTATTACTACTTTCCAGTGATGTAAGTTTGCACAATGGACTTACTGGTTGATTGCACTGTCCCACTCAATTGATGATGTTGACTTGATGTGTATGTTCCTAAATATCTCTGACTTTTCTTTATTATAAATTGGATTCACTTTTGTTTTTAACACTTTTTTACATAATGAGTGAGTTTTCACGTATTCTCTAACTTTTTGTTCACAGAGGGATTTATCTTTTAGAAAAAGGGCTGCAGCATTACTATTGAGAGGATCCATGGGATTTGAGTATGTTAGTAATTGTGACAGGAATATGTCGAAGAAATTAACTAAGGAGTATATTGGAGTCCAAGTTTGGTTAATTATGTCAAGATATACAGAGCCAGAATGTTTGTCAATATTAGGATGAAGAATTTTACTCATAAAACCAATTGAAGGTGATACAAAGGGGTAATCATCAGGTAGGGTAACATGGACTTTCTAAATTCCATCTTCATAAGTAGTCTCTTTTGGCCCACAAAATATAACAAAAAAATCCTGTGCCGAAGAGTTATTTAACTCTATCTTGTATCCTGCTATGATTAACTTTATAAAATCACATTACTTTCTTGTACAAGATGACATAACATAAACATTAATATTTGGAAATATGCAAGGGTTTTCTAACCTAATGTATGAAAGTTTATATAACAATAAGAACTAATTAAAGTAATTAGATGCTTAAGATTTGATACCTTTAAATTTTTTAGTGGAATATTGCACACATTTCCACTAGTAACAATAGACTATTCATGCATGCGCGCTAATCTATTAAGGTTTATTTACTCCTAGGATAAAAGTTACTTTTTTTTCTTATATAAAGTAGAATATGTATTAATTGTTACATTTTCGTATAATCGTTACATTTATGATGGAATAAGATATATAGACAATTAATTGTTTAAATATATAGTACCTGGTACATTTTATTATTTTTTTTCAGTTCTTTAATGAAGTCACTTATATATTTTTTTTCTATTACTTATGGAATAATTCTAACACTTTCAGTTGTCTGGTTCCTGTTATCCTTCATGGAGTATTGCAAATATAATCCGGCAAAATTGTCATGCACTGAAGAACGCTCAAAATTCTATCCTTATGAAAGGCTTGATTATGGTAGAGTTTGCTTCTCACATTTGTTCATAGGAGCCATTATATATAGCCCTTTTAGAATTATGATATTTATGGTATGCGCAATCTTTACTCTCATTATATTATTGTTCTTGATTATTCTAGATAAATTACTTCCTGTTAATTCCCTTTGGATTTATAAATATATCCACAGCTTGACAATTAGATTTATTGGGTATTTTACTTTGTACGTATTTGGAGCTACAAAGATCTTTCACTACTCTATTTTACTTGAAAGTGAAAATAACACATTATTTTACAAAGTGGAAACTATAAAGAATTGCCCACCAACGGATAAAGTTGTCACAATTGTTTCTAACCATATTTCTATACTGGATATATTATTTTTCTTAAAATATATTTCATGCAACTTTGTAGCTAGAAGTGAAATCAGGAAAAGTGCAATTTTTAGCTTGATAGCAGATACAATTGGATGTATTTATGTTGATAGAAATTGTGCAGAAACTAGGAAATATGCCAGAAAAGTGATATGCAATCAGCAGCGTCTCAGATTTTCATTCATTAATAAAATAAATAAAGTAGGCTATTTATCTCACTCGGATACATTGAAATTCAATACTTCTTTTTATTCTACAAAAAGTACCCAGAGACATTTCACTTGTAGGTATGAGCTTCCACTTGTCATTTTTCCTGAAGGTACAACCTCAAATGGTTCAGATATCATTCCTTTTAAAGTTGGTGCATTTGAGTCTCTACTACCGATACAGCCTGTCGTACTTTCATATGAATCATCTTTTGTTTCTCCAGCCTATGATATTCTACCATTTTGGGTTTTGCTTAGTCTTCTACTTTGCAATACTGGAACGATCACAATCTCTGCATTTTGGTTACCCCATACTAATCCAGCAAATAATAACAAATCACCAACATCTGTTTACAAATTTTCAGAAGATATTCGTAATATAATGTCCTACATTCTCAAAAGTTTAAATAATATAGATCTAACTGTGAATAAAGAATATATCTTAATGGTTCCTTATACTCATTTGTACTCATCAAAGCTAAAACATCATATTGAACGTTTACATATAGAAAATAATAATTATGTGGAATCTAAACTTGCTAGTAAAATTGGATCTGGTTTAAATCAAAGTTTGTCAGAAAACACTAGTTCATTAAGACTGAAGCATGAATATATCCGTAAACTGAAAGATAGCTAGAAGTTATTGACAAATTACACTTGCTTAATTTATAAATAACAGCTAGATTGTATACTATAATATTTTTATAAAAAAGAAAAATAGTGATTTAAAAAAAAAAATTAAATTTTCAAGCCATACTTTTTTCTGATATCACTCTACTTTTATATATAAACAATACTAAAAATTATAATTATTTAAGCATTGAATATACAAAGATTAACATAGAGCCTTGATAATAGTCAATTCTATTTGAAACAAGCTATCAGAACAATATATACATTCAATAGTTGCAGATATATTTCTTTTTCTGGATGCTAAGTCTTAACAGTTAAATATCCATTTAGTAGAGCCTAAAGTGTATTTGTATTTTTAGTTAAAAAGTAATAGTATTCTATTTTAAATAAATATTTAAGACTAAATAATTAAATATAAATGCACTTTATTGTAAATTAATAAAACACATTTAATAGTCAGTAGCTATTATGAGACTGAAATTTCCAAAAATATGCTTCAGATATCCTATTAAATTTGTGTTAATTCTTTAAATTGTATAATTGTTTTTGTAAGGTATCTTATCTGAGTTTGTAAGTTTTGTTTCCTTGTGTATACAGCATATTGTTTAAATACATTATAATTAATAAGAAAATTGAGTATTAAAAGTTCCTAAATTAAAGAATATGTAAAATTATACAATGAAACTTTTTAATATATATATACTAAAAACTCAGACAAGAGGATTAGTTTTTCACTTAACCACAAGGATAACTATCATACATAAAACCTAATTAGCAATCATGACTGTTTAATACCCTACCAGTTTTATCTGAAGCCTCAGCTTGGAAATAATACTATTTTCTGATTTATCAAATGAACTTTAACACTTCCTAGAATATATTTTGTACTATTAACTTAATAAGTGCTAAAATTTATAATGAAAATCTTCTGAGTTTCTTCTTCAACATTCACATCGCAACAAATTGAAAATATTTTAGCTGAACTTGCAATTCTTGTAAGCAAATCTTAAATATTGTCCCTATAATAACACAGATAAGTCAAAATTAATTAATCTAGTTGATTATAGATGGGTACTAAAAAAAACTATTGTATAGCTAAAATAAGCATACTTTTTGTAGTATTTGTCAGGGTTTCAATTGATTAATGTGAAATACTTCCATAAATCGAGACAAGTTCAAATATGATTAAATTAAATTTGCACTAATAGAAGATATGGTGTTTATTTAAGTAAATTGAGTTCTTTCAAACTATGACCTTGTTAAAAATAAGTTGTCAACAACATAAGATAATCAGGTACTAAATCTAAGTCAAATCTAAAAAAAAGAATAACTTCTTTAAGCTAATCTGACTTATTAAAACATTTTAGAGATTCCATAATATTATATACTACCATATTTAGATATCAGTGTATACTTCTAAATTCTAACTCAACTTGAAACAAAAATTAAGTATTATCCAAAATACTTTTTAAGAAAATTAGAATTCAACGATTATCAGTGCATACTAAAATATAAATAATAAATTATACTAATAAAAATAATATTTAACACTAGAATAACATTCTTGTTTTTCTTCAAAAAGATACCTTTTAGAGATTAACTGTGAGTAGCTAAACTAACCTATATAACCAATAAATCTAAATCCAAAACAATTTGAATATATTGCACCTTATAATTATATTGTGAATTAGGCTATTTATTTAATAAAGTGCTGAGTAAATATTTTAAGATCTAAGTTATTTCTATTAGTCTACATTTCCCGCAATACTTCAGTAAAATAAAGGCATATCTCTACTTCTATATAATACTTGAAACTAAGTGGATAAGTATTATATATATAATTATCTCTATCTCTTTAGTTTGAAGTTTATGCACTAGTCCTCAAGTTACTCCTTGTAAAGTAGAACATCCAATAATAGTAAGGAATCATGAATCTATATTAATATAAAAAATCAAGTTTTTTACTTAAAGTAGAAACTACTATACTATATAAGCAATGTTCAGGATAAATTTCTATAACTAAAAGTAACTATGAAACTTTTCATTGGCTATTAATATTCATGAGAATATAATGCGGTATTGCAATACTTTATAAATACTCCTTTGTACCGCATTTAGTTGGTTCAACTTGAGACAAACGTAGCATTTGAAAATTAATAGCCCTTTTTTTTAAAAGTTTCCCTGGATAGTACTTTATTTAGGGTTTAAGAAGAAGGGGATAATAATTATAGCAGGTATAAAACCAGGATGAATGAGCTGATTTACAGATTATGTCTGTAATAATTATATCTTAGTCTTGACCTGTCACTTGCTACAACATTTATAGCACAAGTTTACTTGCAATTAGACCTATTATTCATTTATTTTATGAAGTTAGTTTGTAACTCAGTGGTCCTACTAGCTGAACTCTTGATGGTGTAATCTGATTATTTCTAATATGACCCATACACGTGTCATATGACCTTAGTACACTCGAAATACAAGGATACAAGAGGTGACCATCCTTATCTTTATTATATGCAAGTTTAGATATCGATTCGCCCCTAGCTATACTCTGTTTTAATTGCCAATCAGCCATGACCTTGTAATCTGTACCAGATTTGAGTGATGGTTTAGAAGTTTTTAGCAGAGCACTTACTTTTCTCTTTGCCAAATTTGAGCTTATTCTACGTCTCATTAACCTTGTGTAAAAAACTTTCCTACTATTTGTATTTGTTTGCTGTGAGTTCATACTTAAATAAATTCCATCCAACTCTTGCCTAGTTAGACCCTCGTGTAGATCTTCTATTTTAAATATTCCAACACTAACATCTTCTTTAACATTTAGTGACAAGGGAGATGTTGCAGATAGTTTAAAGTCTAGATATTCTTGTTTTAAATTTCTTCTTTTAAATTTAGGATTCATTTTCTGAATAGCTGTATTAGAATAGTCAAGTTCAATACTATTTGTATTATTGATTTCATTACTCTTCGCCAAGTTCAGTTTTGTATTAATATTCCGGAAATATGTATGCTTAAGTGTTTCTGGATTTTCCATATTGCAAAGTGCAGAGCTCTTCTGAAATTTGTTGACTCTACCAAAACAGCTATGAGGCCTTGTTATATAGCTAGAGTGGCCTGTTTTAAATGATGTGGATTTTTGAGGTGTTTTCTTAAATATGCATGGTACTTTCCCCATTTCATAACCAATCTGGCCGACTGTTGCCTCATTTGGTATATAATATAGTGAAGCTGGATGAATCAAACTTCTAGAATTTAAATTATGGTTACCTTCAGCAAAGTTATTCATCAAAACATAATGTGCTGATACTGGCCTACAATTATCTGGTACTGCTATATATCCCACTGAATTGATATGATCTCTTTCTTCAATAAACTTCTCTCTATTACCATTCTCAATGTAATTTGCATATGAATTTATTTCATTGGAGTACTTTAAAATAAGATCAAAATCGTCTGATTTTTTAATATCCTTAGTCCGGAGTCTTTCAAAATGTGTTTTCACAAATTTTTTAGTTACTTCTTTGAATATATTTTGATCTTCAAAAAGGTTTATATAAGGAACTGTCCTTCCAATTATTTTCGATGATGAGCAAATGTTTACAACTGAGCAACTAAACGAGTTAAGTACCTCTAGAGTCGATAATGAAATATAGCCCCGTCTCTCATTATTCTTGAGAGTATTAAGCTTGGAACATGATGAAACTTTTAATTTGTCCATAGTTGCTTGTATTCCTGGCATAGTTAACTACTCAACAGTTGCAAACAAGTGTGGTAATGGGAATGATCTTAATTTTTAGTGCACTTAATTGTTAACTAAAATTATTCAAGTCACTTAAGTTAAATATTAGATATGATTCGTACTAAAGTATAAATACAGACAAGTTGGTGCACTAGTTTTACAATTATGAAGTTCTTTATCCATTATACTTAACTAGGCGCTTACTCAAACGGGTGAAGTTGCATGTTTATGAAACTTTTAACATTTTTACACTGAGAAAAGCAATACAAATATTAATTAGAGTGACTATCTACAATAATACGACTATATACTTGCGAGTCCTTTATTTGCAAGCTTTATATTCCTTATTTGATACATTTGGAGTAATTATACTCCTATTTAAATGGAAACTGAGAGCTTTAATATTGATTAAATACTAATTAACTTTTAATTTTTTTTTTTTAATATATACTTATAGCTAATTATACATTACACTAGTCATGCAATTTGGATAGTGTCTTAAGCTCCAGAGTTAATTATATAATGGGCAATAAGTGAGCCTTTTTGCTTAAAATGATGGCTACAACTGAACGTCAAAGTAAAAAGTACTCTAAGGCACTCAAGAGAGAATGTAATGGATTCGTTTTAGATTTACCTCTATTTATAAATGAATTAGACAGTAGTATATCGAATTTACTTGGCAGTAAATTATCTTTTTTTTGTGAATTTGCTCCACCTAGTAATTTACATGTCAGCTCAAATGACATTGTAGTTGCAACACCACAAGGTTATTACAATGAAGAACAACTTAAACAGCTTGCGCTCATTATTGACAAGATACGAGGACTTTCAGAATTGAAACTCTGCAGATACTTTGAGATTTCCATTGATATAAAATCTCATGACGTATTAGCTGGATTGGATTACTTCCTACTTGACTCAAATAGTTCCAGTTATTTTCAAAACAAGGAAGTTATTGAAGACAAACAAACTAACTCGTATTATCAAAAGCTTTTAAGAGAGAGTAATAGTAAGCACATAGAAACTACACTTCAACAAGTTTTTGACGAAAATATCAAAAATAAAATATCAACAATACATGACTTGATGGATCACTTTATTCATAGGACACAAGAACTAATAGCAAATTCAAAAGTTAGGCTTGAAGAAAAATCAATAAATATAAATAATATATTAAGTGAAATTCAAAATAAGGTTATTCTACGTGAGAAAAAAGTTAAAGATCTCAACAACTTAGCATGGAAAATTTTAGAACATTATAGTGATGTAGGAGATGAACTCCTAGAATTAGAACCCTCTGAATCAAATACAGCTAGTGCTTTTAAGCCAACAAACGATGAATATCACACAGAAATCCTTACTTTAGATGAAGCTCTTAAGAGAAGAATATCGCATGGGGGATTTGGGTTGCCTGAAGATTTTGGTAATCCACAAAAGCTTCTACAACTTGGGGAGTTTCCAGGAGCTCCACATAATATGGATGCAGTTAAAAATGATCACTTGAAATATAGGGGATCAAGTACTAGTCACTTTAAAGTAGTTAACCAATCCAAGAGCTCTCTTTGGGACCCTATACAAAAAAAAATATATAGTATACACGACTTATATCACAATTATGATAACAAATACAAAGAAACTATTCATCCAGCAACAAATAAACTACTCTTAATTCAAAATAGAGGCGAAGTGCCGTTTAAAAGAGAGACGAGCTTGATACACAGAAATAGAAAAGTGAAAAAGTATGATCCAATTATAGAATATGGCAGACACAGTATCCAAGCTAAAATATCAAAAAATCACAAAATTGACTTTAAGGATCACTATCCCACAGTATTCAGTTATCTTGGTCGTCCAATTCCAGAGTTGAATCATCATGACCCACCACATATAACTAGAAGAGCAATAATAGATTCAATAAAATTGTCAATGAGTACAGATGCTTCTCGAAATATTATTTGGCAATCATATGGCAGACCTCTCCCTCCAAGACATATTCAGGAAAGTAACAAATTAGAAAATAGCAAATTAGAATGCTATTCTCCATTAGAGCATACCTATGCTGATAGTCAAATTGTAGGGGCTGATGTTTACTATGTACTAGTTTAAAAGTTTTGTATTGAATATTTTAGGAGAGATATATTATTAATTCAAAGTCTATTATATGGAATTTGCTGTTGATCTTGATTGTGCTTGTTTAATTAAATGCTGAACTTCAGGTGCATCTGGATGAACTTTCATTGTATGTTGAGTAAGCCCACTTTGGTTTCTGCACTTTCTCTGACAGTAACGGCAAATAAAATGTTCATTGTTCTGTATAGAATTGATATTATTATTTGAATTAGTTGAACTACCTAGCATTGAAATTCCAACACTGTTTCCAACTATATCATAGTCTAATATACCAGATGTTATAAGTTCATATTCTGTTCTTGGTATAGAACTACTATTTGAGCAGTTATTAGAAATATTAGCTTCAGACATGTGCTTATGGATGATATTATCTGTATTATTTGGATTATTAGCTCTATAGTCTATTGAGTTTGGGTCATAGAGAGAAGTTGGAGTTGTATTAGATGTTAGGAGAGGTGAAGTGGTTAATATATTTGGACTGAGGACAGAATTCGGCTCTGAGTTGCTAAGAGTCGATTTTTTTACTTCTAAAGAATAGTCACTTGGAAATATAGGACGAATAACATCATTGACAGATATATTCTTTTGAGCTTTAGGTTGATTATTTAGGTGTGCAAGAAAGATCAGATTTCTCTGTAACCTTGAAAATAAGGCACGTACAGCAAAGTCATTGACACACTTGCCCTTATTAAGAAATACATGCAACCCATATAATAATTGGTGGTTTTCTTCAATAAGCTTTCTAATAATATCTACTGTGACATATGATATTGAGTTACTTGCCATGTATTGAGTACTTACTAATGTATGACATGTCCTATTATTTATTCCACTCGAAGTATGACTGTTTGAGATATGTTTATATTCTGAAGAGTTCATATATATGTTTGGATCTGTCATAAGTTATTTCTGTTACTAACCTTTTTCCCCTACAAATATCAACTAACAAGCGGCACCACCTCTGGTTCGCTACTTACCTATTATGAAAAGAAGAGAAAAACAACTTTTCGAGAAAACTTTCTTCTAAAGCTGCAAATTTCTCCTAATTATGAGAATAACAGCTAATATATTATTATACTGGGGTTTTTGTAAAATTTGTATTATGTAGCGACATTGTTACTATAATCGGTAGTGAATTTTGGGAATACTAAAGCAAAGATAGGAAGAATTAATACATCAAATAACGAAGTTGAATTAGAAAGTAGTAACTATTTAATTATGGCCAGTTGTATTGAGTGTGGGAGTTATGTGGCTGAACTATATAAGGAATATAACTCAAAATATTCGTCTTTCAGTATGTGGAATATGTGGGTAGATTACTGATAAATATATAGAATTCAATAGATTAAACATTATTATAGCATTAATACTACAAAACCGCAAGTACACGGATATGTATTATTTAGTAGATCCCTTTTAATCTGTAAAGAGAATACTCTAAACTTCTTAAAGTACTTCTGTGCAGCTGTTATATTTGAAGCACATATAAACTTTTATTCACTTGGTTTCAAACAATATGAAGCTACTTCTTTATTTGTAGCTTGGATTAGAAATTGTTCTTATATATTCAGTATTTTATTCTTCAGAGATATATTCTATTTAGCTCTTTTTTGGTTCAATACTCTTGTGTTCTTTATCAAAGATGAATATACAATTCTAAGTTCAAAAATTACTGAATATTGGTATAGATTTTTACTAAAACAATGTGACTTAGTACTTAGACTAGTATTTAGGAGTAATGAATCAGCTTTATACCATGTGTTAAGTGTTACTTCTCAGTCATCAATTAGAAGTATATATCTTAGCTTCCAATTATGGACTGTTTTATATTCAATAATAAAAATATCAAGCTGTTTATTAACTGTACACACAGCTATGAACATATATTTTAAGATAAGTCCTGTGAAAACATAAGGGAATAAGTCAGTTTATAATTGAATATAGGTGTCTCATTATTACCATACTAATGTATATATTTGGTAAATTAGTCATTATTTCCATGTTAATATGGGATAAAGATATGAATTTGAGACTTCTTGTCGAAATATTTACAACTGCAAATGCTACCTCTATGCATGTCTGAATACAAATTCAATGGTTTTTTCCCATTAGCTATTGCGTATTTAGCAGATTGTGCAAAGTTACTTATATTATTTTGTTTAATTAAGTATATTACTAGATTAATGCAATATATATAGAAGTTAAACACTCCAATAACACCTTTATTCACATAGTTTTATTAAAAAGTGAATAATTTGAGGTTTCTTTTTTTCTAGGTAATAAAAAGTTTTAAAAGTTATAGAATAAAGAGGAGATAATTTCAAACAAATTTAACTACAAAAAATTCAAGAATAGCTTATGATTTTTCCTAATACCTAATTATAGTATCCAAATATTATTACTCTGAAGAAAAGTAGATTTCATCTCTTCTTGTAGTATGAAGATTAGTACTTTCCAAGTAGTTGCAATTCAATCTCTTTATTTGATCAAACAATATACTTATTTATACTAAGCCTTTTTTTAAAAGTCAGTTCTATATTCAGGATTTGTTTTATGTTAATATCTTGAGTACTTTAAAATTTCCGGACTCAACTTCGTATATATTTGTGTTAACTTTCTTAACCAAAATACATTTAAATCATTAATAATCTCTAGGCATTCTTTTTATTTATGAGTATATATCTTTAAACTATAAAGTGCAGATTCAAACCTACAGTAAATATTTAAGAAAGTGATTTAAATAACCTTTTGATGGTAAATATCCCAAACTTCATAGATAAACTATATCATTATAATATCTTGGATAGTTCATAGTATATCAATATTTAAATATTTTGCTATAAATGACATCAATTTATTATCACTACGTTTATTATTTCTATACTTACAAAAGAAGTGAATATTTACTTTTAGTTAGTTTGAGTGTGCAAATTCAAAGTACACCTTCTCCTTTCTATTGAAGCTTTTCTAACTAGAGTAATAGTTGAGTGCACTATGTTTCTAATATTATTAGTTTATTATACCTTCGCGGTGTGTAAAATAGTGAAATCTTTGTATGTACTTTCTCTAAGCTTGAAATGAGTTCTTGTGGAGAAAAAGAAAAGGTGGTATTTTGACATAGCATAAATAATGTTTTATAAGAAGTTACATTATATGTGAATGTTGAAGCTGTTTATTGGGAACAATTGAAGTTCGAAATAAGTTCACTTAACTATTATCCTTATTTTTTTCTTCTCTTTATTTGTCTGGAAAGTTCACTGTATGACTCGCACTTTTGTGACTGAAACTTCCAAATATACTAAGTTCTTATCAAAATATATTAGTAAAGAGGTTCAAAACTTCTTTGAAAATATGACTATATTGCAAGTGTATTTATTTACTTCAGTACCTAGCTTGTAATAGAAAGTAGTTGTGAACTTTCTTATCTAATATGAATATATTTTTCCTTTTTAATTTTCTTAATACTCAGAAATTTGATTAGTAAATGATAATATCTATAGCTAAGGTTGATTATTCATAGGGATTCAAGTTTAGTTTGATAACATTATTCCTATCCCTTTGCATTAAAAGTCATATACGTGAATTGGCTGCGTGCTAAATATTACACATGATACTAACTAAATATAAGAAATATGAGCTTAAAAAGAGAATTTTTAGTCAATATGAACTTATCATTAAATAGTAAATTTGATACTTTCCTTAAGGTTTTTGAGCTACAAAGCGGGTTTGTGTACTTTTTTAAATTATACCTTTAGGAAAAGGTAATTTTGACTTAGAAGCTAAGTTATTCATATTAGTTCTGCTAGTATACTCTGAACCACTAAATGTAAGTAAAATATGAGCTCTGTAGTTAAAGATATGCTTGGAATTTCTCCAAACCTGAAGATGGTTTCTCTTATGAAAGAAAAATTAAAATATGATACCTCTTCATTACTCAATACAAAGAAAGATAAAAATTTAAGAGATTCTATGGTTAGTATCCCTATTCAAGCTTTTTCTGCAACAAATTTGGCAAATAAGAAATCTGCTAGATGGAAGTGGGCAACTTTCAGCAATCCTGCACGTTATGATCAACTTTCTTTAAAGCATTGGGTCAAAGTGACATCTGAATATTTACCTAATATTGAATCTAACACAAATTTTACTTTGGATGATAGTACTAAGACTCCATCAAATAAAGAGACTGTTAATAATTCCCAATCTAAGATCTTGATAAATAATTCAGCAAGCAAAGATAGCACAATCACACAAAGCAACTGTGCAAACGATAATGCAGGTCAATATTTTTTCTCGAAGTTCAATAAACATGTGACTGTATATTCATATCAGCCAGAGCAATATACGAAATTTATAAAAGATTTAGATAATGACTGGACTGAAGAGGATACTTCCATACTCTTCAATCTATGTAGAGATTTTGATCTTAGATTTATCATCATACATGATAGATATAATCCCCCATCAGGAAGACAAAGGACTTTAGAACAATTAAAGCTTCGTTACTATTCAGTTTCTAGAAAGTTGGTTGAAGTCAATTTTGATATGAAACGTAGAGCTCTTGGAAATTCCCCAGATCCAGCTCTTCTAACAGCTCTTAAAGAAGAGAGGAGTCGTCATCCATATATTAGGTTTATGTATAATTTTGAAGCTGATAAAAATCGAAGACACTTCTTAAGCTCTAACTGGAAAGAAGTGGGGATTAAAAAAGAAGAAAGGATTTTACTGGAGGATATACAACTAAGAGCACAAAACTCTAATAACAGAAAAGCAACGCAGAATACACAAGCAATAGGCAACTTGTTAGATTTAGGAAATGTGGAAGATGAAGAGGAGTTTATATTAAATCAGATTAAAAGTATAGGTAGTTTTGGAATGAAAAAAAGTGGTGTTACAACAGCCGGGACATTGTGCTATCAACATACATCTGCTCTACCTAGAAAGCACTCTTCTGAGATTGAGGGATTTCTACGCCACTTCAAACTTGATACCTATCCATTACCTTATTTAGATTCAACTATTGCTGAACAATATGTTGCAGTAAGGTGTGACCTTGCAATCTTATTTTCTGTAAGGAAAAAGTTGCAGCGATTGAATTCACTAAAAAATGCATGGCAAGAGAAGTTGCGAAATGCAACTCTTCACTCTGATGAACAGGGAATATCTCAAATTGGTGATGTTGATGAAAAAGGAAGATTTACTAGCCAAACTACGCGGAATGCAACTTATTCTTCAGTTGGTATATCTCCCTCAACTACTACTCCGAGAAGTATCAGCTATAAAACTAAAACCAAAACTTCTAGAATTATTCAGGATGCAAACATGTTATCACCTGTTCCATCTTCTGCTACCCTATCTACAAGTGGACAAACATTTTCTCACTCAGTTGATCCACTACGTCGCGATACAGAATCAAGTGATAAACCAAAAAAGAGGTCAAAAGTTCATATTAGTAAACAGCATACTTCTTCAGAAACTATAAATGAACAAATAGGATCTACCCAAATAACTATTGGTCAGTCTACACAAACAGCGGCACTTACAGTGAATAACGATGGAGTAAGTCATTATTTGATAAGCTCAGAATCAAGTGATAACTTTAGAAACGTCTAGACCTTTGTCCTGAATATAAAAATTCAGATCTATTATATACTACACCTCTTATATACAAGCTATTAAAACACATAGTCACGGTCAACATTTACTCCATTAAATATCTCACTGCAAGACCACAACTTAACACAGCGATCAAAACCTACAGAGGCTATCTGCGTTCCATTAGGGGATATATCTATTCCAGATATTCTGTGGTCTTCAGAAACCAATATTTTAAAGCATGTATACTTTTTTCCAGATAAATTAGTCTCCTTGCCATTATAAAGGGAGTTATGAAGATCTTGAGTTGTCCAGAATTTTATATAGCCATCATATGCTACAGATATTAAGTAGCGGCCATATTTAGGCTCATAAAGTACTTCAGAAATGCGTTTTGTATGCCCAAATATACAATGTTGTAGAGGTATCTTAGTATTGCGTAAATCCCAGATTTTTATTGTATTGTCACTTGAAGCTGTTGCTAGTGTTACACCACATCTTGGGGAAAATTTTACAGACAGTATTTGACCTACGTGCTCAGTTAATGGCATTATTAAGTAACCTGATCTCAAATCCCATATATTTACTATACCTCCAAGATCACCAGTTGCAAGTAATGCACCATCAAGATGTATATCAAGTCTATTAATTCCACGACTATGTCCCTCTTGGATTACTACTTGCTTCCCTTTTTCAATGTCCCAAGAACGCCATGTTTCGTCATTACTTGCAGAAATAATATACTTAGATACTGGATGGAACTTTACACAATTAACTGTATCTTCATGATCTTCAAAACGCCTAGCAATTACCCCATTATTGTTCCAAAGATATATATGGGAATTAGCATCACAGGAAACAATGTAAGATAGATCAATGTCTGTGGATATCCAGTCGATATCATTTATCTTATTTTTATGACCTTCAAAGATTTCAACCAAATTTAGAAATTCTGAGTCCCAAATTTTTATATTACAACTCACACCAAATGTTGCAATTTTCTTATTTTCAGGAGAAAATTTGCATCCCATTAGAGGACGACTGTCTGCAACTTCACTATACTTCAATGTCATTTGCCTAGATATATGTAACAAATATTCACATATATGAGCTTCCATTTGCAAGATATCAACATTTTCTCTTAAAGTTCTGGCATTCTTAAGTCTTTTATATGATAAAGGAATAGAGTAGGCAGCAATAGTCTTACGAAAGGCAACTAGGTCTTCATCCCCTTCTGTAAAAAATCTTTCTATTTTTTGTTCAATATCTCTATTTGAGTTTTCCTGTGACTCTCTTGGATCTTCCTCAATAATAGTGGAAAGTCGTATACGGCGTTCATATGGTCCCTCACCAAAGTAGCATATTGGGTGTCCTAGTGTACGAAGGGTAGCCTTTACAACGTCGTCATTAGTAGGAACTGTGACACTTGGCCCCTCATGTAACATTATATATAATTCCCTAAGTATATTTAAATATAAAGTATATTACACTTATCTCCTTCAAACTAATTAAGCCTCATATAAGGAGATTGATGCCAAATTTTATGCAAGGTTTAAAGGTCTTTTTGACACGTTTCGCAACACTTATACCGCCATTTCCACTAAATTTCTTATTCTTCTATACAAATAGGTAGTGCATAAAGTAGAACAAGTGCCGGATATATTATCGAATTAAGTACAGCAAGTAGATGTAGTAGCTATAAGTTAAGAGGGATATAAAGGTATTAAAAACTAGAGTAACTGTCTTATTATCATTATTGACAATACAAGTTTAGTAATAAGTAGATATTAAAAAAAGTCTCATTCTTATTACCTTAACTAATGTACACGTATAAAAATAAACCACGAGGTAGTACTTTAGAATAGCAGATATTTTGAATTCTACCCCACATTTTTGGAGGGAAGTAGTCTATCAGTCGACAAGGAGGGGTTAACCGCACTTGGAAAAAAGGTGAACTGCAAAATAATACTAGATAAAGAAGGCGCAGAGTTCTCTTGAAATACTACATAAGTATTCATTGGTATTACATCCAGCTATTCAATGAACTCAAACTTAGTCAATACTGAAATATTGAGCAAAGAAACCGGGTTGGACTCCTTAGGAAATACTAGCTGTATATACCCTAAAGATTTAACAACTCAAGAACCTGTTTCAACAGCACTAGATGATATTAATTTATGTGCTGAGATATCACCTGCACTTTCAGATGTAGAACCTCCTAAAATTAAGTCTCCTAAGAACTCAAGTCCATCTGGAAATTTTATAAATTTTGGACTTAGTGGTAATCAAACAAATCAGAGAGATACAACTATACCTATCGGTCAAAGTCATCTTTCTGAGGTATTAAATCTTGAATATTTGGCATCTTATCACAAACCAATAGAATTCAACTATGAGAATAACAATGTAGAAATTCTTGTGACTGGTGCTACTGGATTTATTGCATCCCATATAGTAGAGAGATTGTTATTACGAGGATATAAGGTACGTGGTACAATAAGATCTTTAGAAAGTAGTACTTATAATTATCTTGAGGCACTACCTTATGCAAAACAAAACCTAAGATTAGTTGAAGCTAATCTCCTTAACTCCTCAATATGGAATGAGGTTATCAAAGATTGCCAAGTTGTAATTCACTGTGCATCCCCCTATTCAATGGATTTTAATGATCCTTATGTTGATATCATAAATCCAGCAGTTGAAGGAACAAAAAATGTGATTGATGCATGTTGTTTATGTAATGATGTTAAGACTGTGGTTCTAACTTCTTCAATAGCTGCAATTGTAGGTGATTATGAAAATGGCAAAGTCTACTCAGAAGCTGACTGGAATGAGGTCAGTAATCCCCTTATTGAACCATATCTATATAGTAAGACTGCTGCAGAGCGCCTAGCACATCGTACAATTGATGAACAACGTCCTGATTTAAATTTGATAGTTGTTAATGTAGGGATGACTATTGGACCATCTTTTCGCACTGATATTAATCAGTCTGTACAATGGATATATGACATGATATCAGGAGGTATTCCTACTTTAGTCGACTTTCAGACAGGGTGGATTGATGTTAGAGATGTTGCTGAGATACACATCCGCTTATTTGAAACAAAAGAAAGTCATGGTAGATATATTTGTGTTCAGGGTATGCATACATTACAGGATATTGCTCGAATTATTAAAGTCACAAAACCTCACCTAAAAACTCCGAGTATTGTAATTCCAACATTTCTTGCGAAATTATTTATCTCATTGTTTACATCAAAGAGTGCAGCCTGCTTCTTAAAAAAGACCATGGGGAAACATATATTGATTAGTAATGCGAAACTTGTTTCTCACTTGTCAGACTACAAGTTCATACCTATAGAAGAATCTCTAACAGATACTTGTACCGATCTTCAAAACAAATTCAAAATACAATCATCTCTCTTCAGTTTCCTAAGATCCTGAAATTTTTATAGTATTACTAAAAGTGAAATTCAGCTGTCTTTAGTAACAGTAGTTGCCTATGAGTTAATAGTCTATATTCAAAGTACACTCTAGGAAAAATCTTGAATTAAGCAGAATTATCTAACTACTTTAAAAATAACTTTGAAAATCTACATGCCCCTACCTTCTAAGCTAACCTTCATTGCATGTTTTGCAACTTTTTTCCCTTTATTTCTGTGTATCTGCAAATTTGCTATAGTACTATCTACAACTTTGTCTTCTATAGAATTATTTGAGCTATCATTCTGAGGTACTATTTTAAAATTGTAACCAAATGTTTGTGGGATTCTTGCAGTTCTAGGATTTTCAAATAATTTACTTGTACCCTTACTTTCACTATTATGAGAATGGCCTACAGCAGATATAGATTTGTTCATGCTAGCTGAGACTGTGGGCGGAACTGGTGTATCTACAGGTGAATTATTTTTCACTAAGGTTTTAAGCCACCGTTGTACCAATGAACGAATAATCTGTCTATTTTCTTGTGTTTCACTAGGATTTTGCCATAATTCACATAATCTATGGCCTATTGTTGTTCCAATAAGATCATCCTCTTTAATGGGAAGGTTGTTAAGCAAATTTAAAATTTTGCTCCTAAGTGCTAAATTCGGCAATGTTCCATCTGGGAGTGTAGATAACCATCTATCAAGTACGTCAAATATTCCTTCATTAATAAACCATCGGGACCACTTTGGCATTGCTATTTGTTTGCAAACGTCATCAATCATCCTTAGTTTATGAGCAGCTACCCTCCCTTTAGCATAAGCCTCCTCGTCTTTAATAGCAGCAGTATTCATACTCTCAAGGAAATTCCTAATTCTTTCTCTAGCATCTGATTCAGAGATATGATTGTATTTATGTGAATTACGTTTGGTTGTAGGATTAAATTTGGATTTATTAGCTATACTACTATTATCATCTTCTTCATCTGATGACCTTATCCCTCCTTCAACATGAATAATATCATCTTCATCTAATTCATAATCAGAGCTTCCATCCTCAACAATAAAATCCTTCAATACATCACTTTCTAATTGAGGGATAGCATTTCTCTTTCTCATGTTACTTTGCATATCATTTTCTTCACCTAGATTATTTAGTACTACTAAATTATCACTTTCCAAAAAGATATCAGGATTCTTACTAGAGAGCTTTGTATATAAGTCAGATTCTTTGAGAGATTCTCCACTGCCTTTTACTGATGCATTACTGCCTCGAATCTCATCTTCATTAATCAGTAATTGGTTACCGAGATCATCTTCCACAACTTTATCCTCTTCTAAAGCATCATTAGATAGCATCTTGCGGAATATAACAAACAAGTTGCCAGAATTCCAAATTTGATGCTAACTTAAACTAGGTGGTTAGCTGTACCCAACCAAAAAAAAAGTTTAAAGCGCTAGACATGCAATTATGTAATTTTACTATTTTAGTTAAAAGACTATCTTTTAACTTTATACAAATAATAATAATATGAACTACCTGATTAACTATAAAGTAAAAAACAAGAATAAATAAACTAAAGATAGATTTCTTTGTGTTGGTTTGGTTTCATCATTCGCTGCTTAGGCTATATATAAAGCGGTAAACTTATGGGAGGTACTTGCTGTTGTACTTTAAGCGGTTTGGATAGAAGAGGGGTACCTAGGAGAGTCGTGTTTTATGCTGATCTTTCCTATTAATAATATATAGATCTTTCAGTATAACTACTGTTTTATAGCACTGAGCAGTTAATTATATAGTTATTTGATATATGTCGAGTGTCAGGTGTGGTACCACAAAGATTAGTGTTGATGAAATTGAGTATGTATGGACTATTGAAGATTTTCCACTACTCAGGACACTGGCATCAAGTCGTGCTCTTCCAAATTACGATCGCATCTTAAGTCCTAAATTTGGTGACCCATATAATGGATATTGGTATCTGGCCTTATTTCCAGCTGGTGTTAATTGCGATGGTACACTAATCTCAGTGTATTTATTTTCTTCATCAGATATTGTGCAAGTTGCCTTATTTGAGATTTCAATTTTGGACAGTGATTTGTCGCCTGTACAGGGATCGGAAGTAACTTTGTCCCATCCTAGGTTATTTAGTGAGAGTGATCCTAGTTGGGGATGGGAAGATTACATCCAGATAAAAACACTTAAGAAGGATCAAACTAGTTGTACCTTTGATATGGAACCTTCAACAACCTCTTCATCAACACAAAGTTTGCCCTCACCATTTGACTATAGCACCCATAGAATAAGGTCAAGTAATGAGTTACTATTTTTGACAGAAGAAGACTCAGGAGCTTTGGCTCTAGAATCTCACAACGTATGCGAATGTGTCGAATATGAAGAGACAGAAATATTTTCCAACTGGGAAAATACTACTCTTCGCCATTGCATATTTGATGGGAATTTGAGGTTAAAAGTAACTGTAAAGGTACATCATGGACTAAAGAACTCCAATGGAAGTATAATTTTGCCTAACGAAATAACTAGAAGTGCATCGGAGGATTTTATGAGGTTAGCTAAGGATATTGCAACATTTTCTTCAAGTTGCTATGATATACCAACAGAAATTATATCGTTGCGAAGTGGTCGACAAGTATTTAATGTTCCAAAATTCACTTTAGCAGCACGTTCAAGATACTTTCGTGCACTATTTAGTACTAGCTTCCAAGAAACTAAAAAAATTATTTTCAATATACCTGTAACAGATGCATCATCATATGTGCTTGAAAATGCAATCGAATATATTACGACTGGGGACTGTAAATTGCTACACTGTGATTTATCATCAGAATGGCGTTTGGTACTAAATTTATTTCTCTTTGCTGGGAAATATGAAGTGGATTCTTTATATGATGCATGTATTTTACCACTAATTGCATCAATTAATGCTGACTCAATTTGGGACATTTTAATTGCTGGTCAGCAACAAAACTCTAGTACATTGTTAAATGCAGTACATGACTTTCTAAAGTCAAAAGTAGATATTTCGGCACTAGCTATTTCCTTTATGAGATATTCATTTGATTCAACCCACAAGGAACACGAGATTATCTTATCTGAACCTAATGTTCTTGAGACTAGAGCAGTGAATGCATCTATCAATGAATTTTCTGATAGCACAGCGAAAAGTAGTTTGGTTGGAAAAAGAGGACAGAGTAACTTGGTATTTGATAATCAAAATAAGAACCTAATTTCTTGCAATGGAACTAGAAGGAGTGGCTTAAATTATTTCCTAAATAAGAGTAAACAGTTTAGTAAATGCAACTACTCATACTCTTGTGATTTACAAAATACTTCTAAAACGGAAAATCCCCAGATTTATTTTTTCGGTAGGACTCGGGGTGATGGAGAAACACAATCTAACCTAGGACAGTAGATATAAATATAACTTTTAAGCTACAAAGCAAGGCTTTCTTCTATAATTTCTACAAATGATTTAATAATATCATCTGTTTCATCGATATATGACCACTTGATGTCAATTTCTGTAACAAGAATATTATTAATATTCTGTGTAGATGAACTATTAGATTTCCCTTCCAATATATTGGAGAATAGATCCACATTTAAACCGGAATCTGGGATCTTAGCAATGACTCTCATGCTCTTGTACATGATCTCAAGAGTTGCAGTTTCTTTTAGCTCAATAAAGATCAAATTATGATAGCAACAGCTATTACCACAAAACGATTCAGTTACACTTTCTCTTATTTTAATCAAACTATACTCAATGTCTTCATTTAATTTACTTGATATAATATCTTTGAAACATGAGCAACACTTTTTATGAGTTCTTAGCGAAATTTCTTTCATCCCATTTAGCGCACATAAAAGTGCTGATAAGGGAAGATCTTGAATTTTTATTGAATATGATAAAATATAGAGAGGTAGATTGTAATGATTTTTACTTGCTTTAGAATCCCAAAATTTTGGGGAGATTTTTTTATTTTTGCAAGGAAAAGTGAACCGTCTTGTTTTATAATCAGTACTGGGGCAGCAAATGAATTCGACTTCACTTGTTTTGTTTCTAATTATATTCAAAACCTCATTCTCTGTGCTGATTAGTATAATATTTCTATCAAGATTTGTTAATAAATTTATAATGCAGTTTATTGGTGAAGAATCCAATTGACAAAAATTCAAATAGTAATGCAATAATAGTACAATTAGTACCTCATATTTGTTTGTGCAGAACCAATCGTTTGATGGATCCTCATAAGAATTGAGGAAAAGCTTGTTATGTGCAAGTTCTATTCTTTGAGAATACAAATGACATATTTCATTAATCTGACTCTTTAAACTAGTATGAGACAATAGGTTATCTAGTTTATGTAATATCCATGAGTTGAGGACTGTTGAGGAAAGCAAACATTTCGAAATATTCAAATTATCAATTGGGATGCTTACGGTTGACCCATTGTGAGGACAGAAAGTTGGTATTTGAAACTGCTCTTGTACAAAACTAGCCATACTAAGCATACCTTGTCTTTCACCATGTAAAAATACAATATTATCTGGTTCAATATGTTGTATTAAAGATTGGATCCCAATAGAATCAGCATGTGAAGAGAAGCTCAAATATTTAACATCACATCTGATATCAATTGAGCTTGACGGATCTTTTGGATCCAATATAATGCGTTTTGCACCTGCAATAATTCGTGCTCCTAAAGTTCCTGCAACACAGAAACCAGGAATAATTGTTAGATTATTAGGATCAGGTGCCCAGCACTTGAAAGCTTGTAAAGATAATCCAGCATGAAGCATACCTGGAGTAGCAAATAGTACTGCTGGACCAGTATTTGTAAGTACAGACCTATCATAAGGTAAAACGTGAGGGAAAGAGAATAAATCATCTGATAAAGCTGTATTCGTCCAATTAGTATAAAGTTGGTAGTATAAACTTGACTTCTCCGTCATAGCACCACCAAAATATATAGGATATCGTAATTGCATTCTCCTCCAAAAAAATTCAAGTAGAATACAAAGCTCTTGTGCCCTACCAACAGCAAAGACTGGTATAAGCACCTTCCCACCTTTTTCTAGGCATTGAAGTACCATTTCACAAAAAATCCGTTCTGTTGAGCGTCTTGAAGGCCTTATGTATGTAGCATAGGTGCTTTCAGACAATAGCACATCGGGGAAAAGCTTCTTTATAGAAGCAGGCCCCAAGTGCCTATCTCTGACCATATTGTAATCACCTGTATATACAATACTTTCATTGCCAACTTCAACATGAAACATAGAAGCCCCTAGAACATGACCAGCATAATAAGGTGTAATATTTATTCCATTAACAGATATAGTTTGGTGTAGTTGAATGGCTGTCACTTTTTCCATGCACTTCCAAACATCACCTACACTAAAGTGCTGTGGATCTACTGGCTTTAAGATATCAGTTGATTCTGTATTTATATCTGAACCAAATTTACTCAATATATTCTTTTGTTCCATAACTTTGCAGCAGTCTGCAAGTAGGATAGGTGAAACAGCTTTTGTTGGATAAGTCATTATTATTGGGCCGGAATAACCAATTTTTTCAGTAAAGTATGGCAAAGCACCACAGTGATCAAGATGATAGTGGGATATTACTACTACATCAACCAAACTATTTATTACTACGGGGTCCAGAGAAGAACTAATTAGAGTAAAGTCAGGATACCTTCGATCATCCTTATATCCCATGTGCATTCCACAGTCCAGCATCACTACCTTTTCATAAATTCTAACCAATATACATGATCTGCCAACATCCTGACCTGCTCCAAGAGGAGTGACAGTTATAGGCATTAAGTTTTATTTTAAGGGTTAGGCTAGTAAAGATGCGCAAAAAGTGCAGTACAGACTTCTGCTGAAAAGGTTGAACAGTTTAATACCGCCAATGTCTTTGGTAAATTGTCATATTTTGCCGAAATAACTGTCCCTTTTTCTGAATTGATTAAAATGTGGCTCAGTACTAATTATCCTGAATATAAAATCTGGTATGATTAATTGGATATAGAAATATTAGGTATGAGAGGGTATTATGCAAGTAGTCATGCAAAGAATGCGAATAAAATAAGGGTCTCAAGAAAAAGATCTGTGGAAGGGTGTCACAGTAATCAATTATATGAAAATAGACAGGAACAACAAAGTTTGAGTGTAGATGAACATATTAGTCGAGACAAGCACATTGTATTATGCATTGCAGAAAAACACTCAGTTGCAAAGGAGATAGCATGGTGTTTATGTCCACAAAACCAAAATCCTAATTACTTAAATAGTAAAAGCAAAACTAATCCTGTACTTTCATTTCCTTATTATTTTGAAGGATCAAAATGTAATATGATTGTCACCTCAGTTCGTGGTCATATAAAACAGCTTAAATTCGATCCTCGTTTTTCAAGCTGGGAAACTGTGGATCCAATAGTATTACTTAACCTTTCTACCCCTTTAATTAAAGTAGTAAGCGAAGATTGCAATGATATTGCACAAAATTTAAAGCATTACTCTAAGTTAGCATCTACGCTAATTTTGTGGCTAGATTGTGATAGAGAAGGTGAAAATATAGCTTTTGAAGTTATCAGCGTCTGTTTGGATGCTAATCCCAAACTTAAGATATTAAGGGCTCGATTTTCAGCTTTAACTAAGTCAGATATTGAGGGTGCAATGAATAACTTAGTTGCCCCAAATCGCGCAATGAGCGATGCAGTAGAAGCACGACAGGAAATAGATCTCAGAATAGGTTCTTCATTTACAAGATTCCTAACTTTAAGGTATCAAAAGTTATTTCCCATACCTGAAAGTACACTTAGTTATGGACCATGTCAATTCCCTACACTGGGTTTTGTGGTAGACAGATACCGTAAAATAGTTAGTTTTAAGTCGGAACCATTTTGGCAAATTTCTGTTACGCTTTCTTTTCACTCAGAAGATGGAAGCCTAAAAGATAAGCTAATTAAATTTGATTGGATAAGAGATCGAATTTTTGATCATTTAGCAGCATTAGTTATATATGAATTTTGTCTCGAGGATCCTATAGCAACCGTAGTATCTGTACACGGAAAACAAGTTAGGAATTACAAACCTCTACCGATGAATACAGTAGAAATGACAAAAATTGCATCTATAAAGCTAAATATTCCACCTATAACTACAATGAATATAGCTGAAAATCTTTATCAGAAGGGATATATTTCTTATCCCAGGACAGAAACCAACTCCTTCCCTGAAAGTATGGATCTCAAGGTGATAATTAGAGAACAAATTAATCACCAAACATGGGGTAGATATGCCAGTTTGCTTATTTCAAATGACAAGTACTGTAATCCGAGATGTGGCAATTCCAGTGATGAGTCACACCCACCTATACATCCTGTAAAATGTTTGGATCAAAATGAAGCAACAAGTGCAGAGGAGTGGAAACTTTATGAACTTATCACGCGTCACTTTTTGGCTGTATGTTCTGATGATGCTATCGGACAAGAATCTGTTGTAATACTTGATATTGCTGGTGAACAGTTCAAAGCTAAAGGTTTGGTAAGTCTTTACTTATAGTATTATGACTCACTCACTAAACTTTTTTCAGGTTGTTTTAGAAGAGAATTGGCTAGATATTTATAAACCTTATGAAAGGTGGTGTGGAAATGTACTTCCAGAATTTAACCAAGGTGATAAACTCACTCCATATAGTATTTTTTTAAGTCAATCTAAAACTGAGCCACCACATCTTATAACTGAAGCAGAGCTAATTGACTTGATGGATAAAAATGGAATAGGCACGGATGCAACTATGCACGAACACATTGAAAAGATACAAACTAGACAATATGTCATAAAGAATCCTCGATCCCAATTGATACCCACCTCTCTAGGATACGCCCTGGCATTGGGATTTGAAGAAATATCTAAGGAAGCTAACAAGATAGAACAGCGAGATGGTCTATTATTAGCTTCGGATAGTAGTAGAAATTCAATATGTAAATTTGATAAAAATTTAATAAGGCCGAATCTTAGATCTGCAATGGAATTTTCGATGAAAGAAATATCTGGTGGAATTTTAAACAGAAGTACTGTTGTTGCAGAGATTCTTGATTCTATGAAATATATTTATCAAACAATGGTACATTCGATAAGATTTTTAGACAACTCATTTAAGCTTTATTTTCCTCGTTGGGACTCTGATCTAGTCTTTAAAAATGGAACTATCCGTATTAAGAGTTTTTCAATTTGTGGTGGTTGTGATTTATATATGGACTTAATTGAAGTATTGAAAAATAATGTGTCTTTACCTGCTTTGCCAATAAATAATGAGAGTATTAAGGCAGATACAATCTCTCTAAGCCGTAGTTTCCTAATGCTTGTATGCAACCAAAAAAACTCAAGTTTATGCAGTTCACCTCTCCAATTACCAAATAATAAAGGACTTCAACCAATTGATTTTAGATGTCCTTATTGTAAATATCAAGTTATTAAGTTAGAAAATATTCTAACAAAAAAGAAACACTTTATTTGTCCATTCTGCTTTAACAATCCTCCACGGGAATATTCATGTGTAGAATTAAGATGTTTTATGTGTTCGCATCCCACATGTTCCTTGAATAAAAGCTGGTAGCTTGTTTTCTTACTTATTAAATATGAATTATTTAATATAATAAAGAGGTAGGATTTTTGTACTTGTATTGGATATTGACACAAAATATTTCAGTAAATAAGGATGTATTACATTTCAATACCTCACTATTACTATAATCCCCATATTGCATTAGTTAATGTGATTGATTCAAATATTATATAATATGGTGTAACATGAACCAGATATTCAATATCCTTATAAAAAAAACATTAAATCTATTAAATCAACAAATACTAGATTGGAAACTCAAGAAGAATTAGAGATATATTTCATGCAAAATACTTTTAGACTATATATAGACAAATGTCCTCTGTAAACAAGTCGAAATATTATATTCAATATGGAAATTAGGTGCAAAGTGAAGACATAGTTAACTTTTAGTAGATAAATATTATAACAATGTATCTGGATTTTCCTTCAAGCACAAAATTTACCAAAAAGATTATAGAGTCGCCATATCTGAGATCAAAAATAAGTGATGACTTAAAGTTTGATTTGAACTGTCATAAATAATATATGTTGTAAATATAGTACTACCAATTATATTTCTAATACAACCTATATAACATTAAGCTCCTTAGACCAGTGATTGAATTATGGAACTTCTAAATATAGCCTTATGTTTACAATATTAATTGTGGCATCAGGCAAAAGCTAGTATAATGAACTTGTATATATTTAGGAAATGTATAGCATATTCACTTGGAATAGAAGTTAAGATAGTCGCCAAGTAACTTAGCTCATACAACAATCACTTCTGAAATTACATATACTGATTAGAATTTAAGAAAGTAAAAGAAATAATCAGCACATTGAATATTAAAAACTATAATGTTTGTATTGTAATGTAATCCACAGTTTGAGATTAATTCAATTCCCAATAGAATATAAATAATAAAGATAGTACTTCAGAATTAACAATATCTGGATATTTCATTAGGTCTTGTGATATTTATGTTTCATAAGTAACAGCTATTTATAGTGTAACAAAAGATCATCACTATCTCCTTATACTCAGTCGAATCTGCAACTATCTTTATTATTATTTATAGAAATCTAAAGTCGATATTCCCATTATAAGCACTGAATGTTTCAGAGAAGATAGGAAGAAATGTCGGAAATTTCAGAATCACTAGAACAAGACATATCTAATACCCTCAAAGATATACCAGACAGAATAGTCTTTTTCAGTTACCGCCCTAAGGCTAACCTAGTAACTCCAGGGTTTATTGATTACTAAGCAAGAAAATTAACGAGACTAAAGTAAATATAGATAACTTAGAAAACAGTAAAGTGGATACGATGGAGTCAAAAGGGAGTTTTTTAAAGAAGAAGGTGGGCAATTCAGATGTACACGACGATGTCGAGGAGGGGAAAACGATATTTCTTAGAAATATCCCCTTTGGAACCTCCGAATCTGATCTTAAACAGTTTTTTGAAGAACGTTTTGGTAAGGTGATTTACGCCCGTATTGTTTTGTCTAGAAGCACTCACTTACCGAAAGGGGTTGCCTTTGTTAAGTTCAGGGATTTGGAAGCGGTGAAACATGTACTAGATGCTAATGATGAGGCAAATCAATACATAGTGAAAACAAAGAACATGAATATGACAAATAAAAGTTCATGTACATACTTAGAATCTCTTGCACTGCCTCCTAATGTAGGAATACAAATAAATGGGAGAAGAATTTATGCTCAAATAGCAGTAAAGCCAAGTGAGCTAGCAGATATTTCAAGTAAAAAAGACACATGCATGAACGAAGGCATTATTAAATCGAATAATAACGGTCATCTTGCCAAATTCGGGGTCATTCTACGTGGAACAAATGAAGCGGTAGGCTTAAGTGAAAATGATTTAAGGAGGCGTGAGGATGCTTGGCTTGAACGTAAAGTAAAACTGAAAAATCCAAACTTTATAGTAAATCCATTTAGGCTCTGTATAAGGAATTTACCTAAGACGGTCAGTGCTGTAGAACTGCGAAAGATTGTTATTGACTGCATAACTTCACTAGATAAAAAGTATCTTTTAACATTAATAGAAAATTGCAAACTTGAAATTGAAAAAATTGGGTCTGCAGGTCAAAAGTATATGATAGATCACTCTAAATATAAGTACTATTTTGAAAGATTTCTGTTAAAGTCAGCAAAAAAATTTTCAAAAAACGAATTTTTAAAGATTTTGAATAAAATAGTTTCTTACATCAGAATAGTAAGAGAAAATAGTTCTTCGGGAAGTAAATCAAAGGGATATGCATTTATAAATGTCCTTTCACATGAAGTTTGCAAATTAATATTAAATACACTGAATAATAACCCCAAAATATTTGGTTCGGAGAGACGTCCTATTGTAGAATTTGCTGTCGAAGATCAAAGAGCTATTTATATTCAAAAGAAGAAGAGAGCACAAAAGGATAAGGTGAAAAGTACACTGAATAAAGAGTATAAATTAAGAGTCCCAAAGTTGAGTCGTGGGCAAAGACAACGTGCTAAAAGGAGACTGGAGAGGGAACAAGCTACAAGCCAGGTTTAGAGCAAAGATTATGCTAACAAAAATATAAAATTTGGTATATCAAAGTTATCTAAAAAATTTATTAATAGAGTATTTTAAGAAAGAAATAGACTAAGTATGGAACTTGAAGCCATGTATCTCACATGCAAACTGACGCCACAACTGCATTGCATCAAGACATGACGCATCTGTTAGTTTTGAAACTTTAAGGAAACTAACTTTTTTACACTTCATTTTGTTCATATTTTCCTCTATCATATTTCTTGAGGAAATTTATGGTTCATCCTTATTGAATACAACCCAGATTTACTCCCTCTTATTTGAGGCTGTGCTGGAGAAACATAAACTCACTTTATAACTTGCATTATTAAAATATCTAATAATGAATTGCGAACCTAATAATTCATACAATCCAGAATCTCAGATGTCAGTGAATGAAAAAGAGCTAACTATTAATGAACAGGCAAATAATGTAAATTTTCGGAATTTACTTACTAGTCCAAAACAAACAAGGTTATTGTTAGGTAATATGAGAGATATACTCGACCCATATTCAAGTGAACAAAATTCAACATTAATTTGCCATTTCTGTAATTGTACTACTATGGGTGAGAGCTATATATTACTGTCTTGTAGACATCGCCTTCATTATTCATGTGTCCTAAATAATATGTTTAATTTCTCACCTAACGGTGAATTTATGTTCTGTCCTATATGCAATTTTCACTCTGCAATACTTGATAATACGGGAGAACCGATTGTGAAGCATCTAGCTAGAATTCCTATGAAAGAAAGTTTTGGCTGCCAACCAACAAAGTCATGTATAGTATGCAAAATTAGGCCACCTTCTACATTTTGCATAGATTGCTGTGACAGTTTTTGTAAAGGATGTTTAAGAGATTTTCATACTAGTACTATTAGTTTACGAAGTCATACCATTCGTCAAGTAGGTAATGAAGTAGACAACGTTAAGTTAGTACCAATACCTAACGGAGAGATGTTTGCAAAGGAGAAAAAGATTTTAAATAGGCTTAATGGACCTGGAATTGAAGATGATACTAAACGAGTTTTATTCACAAGAGATCAAAAGACTAAGTCATTAGCAATTGAAAACTGCCCTGTTCATAACTTAGTACCTGCTGAATATTTCTGTTTAACATGTGAGAATACTTGTTTCTGCGAGACTTGTGCTCTTGGGATGCATCGAGATCACAAAGTATTAATGTCAATAGATGCTGTAGAATACATTAGAGATGTATTAAGAGTATTTCAACATGTCATATTAACTAGGACAGGCGAACTGGATTCTGTAAGTAGATCAACATCCGAATGGACTACACAGCAACTTCATCTTATAGATGAAGTAAAACCTGTACTTATTAGTAATACTACGAAAGCTTGTAATATATTGCAAGCAAAAGTTGATGATTTTCGAACTTCGATACTGAAAGAGTGGTTTGAAAATGAAGATATTGTTGCAAAGGAAATTGACCAAGCAAAGATCATATATGAAGATATAAAACAGCTAATTTCACTTATATATAATGCTATTGAAGGGAATGTGGAATTAGTAATGATGAATTTTTTTAATGAAAGGTATAATGATATAAATAAGTGGCTAGAAAAACCTACAAAAGGGAAAAGTATGGTTCATTTTACAGATCCGATATCATGCCTTGAGAGGGTTAATAATGCAACAAATAAAATGAATGATTTGGCAGCCGAATTAAATACTCAACAAACTGCTTTGAATAATTTGAAATGTATTTTTCAACCTAGGAAATTTCAATGCAATCTTGAAAACGATATCATTGCATTTGACGATGATGGTATCGATATACCAATAATGTCAATCAAGAAGATAAATTATAACTCAAGAATAACTGAAGTTCATTCAAAACTTGGAAAGTCTACATTGCAAATTAGAAGGGAAATATTTAATGATGAACATTTACTTAGGAAGATAAAGAAAGAATACCAAATTTGCAAAGCTGTTTGTTGTGAGATACTAACAGATAGTTTAAATACTAAAAGTACTGAACACTTAAATTATGAAAATTTAGAAGGAGATCTTTACTGTATTAGGAACAATGAGGGAAGTTCCAATATTCATAAAAGTTCAGAAGGAGATCTTTACTGTATTAGGAATGAGGGAAGTTCCAATATTCATAAAAGTTCAGAAGGAGATCTTTACTGTATTAGGAATGAGGGAAGTTCCAATATTCATAAAAGTTCAGAAGGAGATCTTTACTGTATTAGGAATAATAAGGGAAGTTCCAATATTCATAAAAATTCAGAAGGAGATCTTTACTGTATTAGGAATAATAAGGGAAGTTCCAATATTCATAAAAATTCAGAAGGAGATCTTTACTGTATTAGGAATAATAAGGGAAGTTCCAATATTCATAAAAATTCAGAAGGAGATCTTTACTGTATTAGGAATAATAAGGGAAGTTCCAATATTCATAAAAATTCAGAAGGAGATCTTTACTGTATTAGGAATAATAAGGGAAGTTCCAATATTCATAAAAATTCAGAAGGAGATCTTTACTGTATTAGGAATAATAAGGGAAGTTCCAATATTCATAAAAATTCAGAAGGAGATCTTTACTGTATTAGGAATAATAAGGGAAGTTCCAATATTCATAAAAATTCAGAAGGAGATCTTTACTGTATTAGGAATAATAAGGGAAGTTCCAATATTCATAAAAATTCAGAAGGAGATCTTTACTGTATTAGGAATAATAAGGGAAGTTCCAATATTCATAAAAATTCAGAAGGAGATCTTTACTGTATTAGGAATAATAAGGGAAGTTCCAATATTCATAAAAATTCAGAAGGAGATCTTTACTGTATTAGGAACAATGAGGGAAGTTCCAATATTCATAAAAATTCAGAAGGAGATCTTTACTGTATTAGGAACAATGAGGGAAGTTCCAATATTCATAATGAACAGCCGCAACTTACTCAAAATGATGCTAATCAGATGAGCCAAATGGTAACAGAACATTCGCAGATGGCTAACTTGGAATTTAGTGATGCAAGTAATCGATCCCATAATATTTTAACATCTAAGGGTAATGAACATGAATATTCAAATTCAGATTGGGATTCTCAATTTAATTCCAACTCCTCCAGTTTAAATTCGAACTTTGACAGCTTATCTGATTATAGTAGTTCTTTAGGTGTGATACAAGAGATTTGCTCTGAATCTACCAAGTTGTGTTCAATGATTTTACCGAGATGTGATCTAATTTATATTAGAGATGAAAATCCCTGTATAACAAAGGGTAGATTAAATTGAATTGGAGGCAAATTTAATATAAACTTTTAATACTAAAGTATTAATTACTTTATTAAGAATAAGAATATCAATATTTATTTTTGGGGAATTTATTATTGGGAATTCAAGCTACTTTAGTTTTTTCTCTTTACCCCCTTAAAATTAGTAATTCATTTCTGTACTTGTACCTACTTCTATAAAAGTTTAAAAAAGACCTTACATATATATTAGTTTAAAATAGCAAGAGAAGTTCTCTATAGAGTTCAATAATGATGTAAAGTAATACATGCAAATATTTATTGTTAAGGGCATTTACGGGTAGTTGGTAACTGAAAGTAGTACATTGTACTTACCTATACATCTCATTTCCTACGTTTAAAGTATACATTTAAGAGGTTTTAATTTCTAATATTTACATTCCCATATATAATATCAAGATTTAAATAGTAAAATTAGTCAAATTCTAAACTAATATATTACTAGATAAAATTCATATTTTCCTTCAAAAATACAATGACTTAGTTAAGAGCTAGTTCAAAAACACTATTCACTACTCATAAGTATTTAAATAAATAAGAAGTGAGATAGTAATATTTGTAAAGAATCTACTGTTCACTTTTTTAAAGTAAATAGTGAGATTAACTCATTAGAGGAATTCAATAAAGATGACTCATTTTACGTAGAATCTACATTTTGATTTACGAATCAGGGGACAACTTGACTTCCATTAACTGGGAGTATTGTATATGAGTTGTATTGAGAAGGTGAACCAACTTCCCTTGAACGAACCTCATATTCTTTCACATCATGGCCAGTTCTTACTTTGATTGAGTTGTGAGGTTTTGCTACAATACCATTAGTTCCATATGTATATGTAACAGTGGATGTTCTAATATTACTGGTAGTAGTAGCAGTTGTAGTAGTAGTGACTGGTGGGCTTCCATAAACTGGCTTCATAGAAAATAATTTCATCCCTTCACCATATATAGGATAAAGTGAATAGGGTATTCCTGATTTATCTCCATCACTTGAGTTCTCTATTCGCTGCTGAATTGTTGTCTCAGTCAGAACAGTAGTACTAACCGTTGTAGGTGTAATGGTAGTTGTAGTAGTAAGTCTTTTAGAACCAAGTTTTCCAGAAAGGAGTGGAACTCCAGAGGTGCTGTTAGAACCTATAGGATACAAAATTGGTTGCTGTCTTGTTCCTTTAGATAAATTCACTGAATCTGAAGAGGTAATAGCTGTAGTTGTTGTTATCTGACCTCTTCCAGGTCCCATCTTCATTGGTACTCTTAGTATACCTTCTCCAGTTTGATGAAGAAGTGATTGTAATTTTGAGGAGTCACTCCTCACAAAATCATTAGATATTTCTGATATACTGTCAGTCGTTGTAGTTGTACTCTCAGTTGTGGTTGTAGTAATAGCAGTTGTTGTAGTTGTTGATGGTGGTAGAATCTTGAAGTAGCCTGGTTTATGTGGTAAAAATGAAGTACCATCACCTCTTATAGGATAGAAAAGTGAATTGGATTTTACCAAATCATTTTTATAAGCATTAGGTAGTTCTGTTGTAGTTGTAGTCTCAGTTGTAGCAGTAGTAACAGTTGTTGTAGTTGTTGGTGGAATATTGTAGTAACCTGGTTTATATGGGAAGAATGAAGTACTATCACCTCTTATAGGATAGAAAAATGAATTGGATTTTGCCAAATCATTTCTATAATTACCAGGTTGTGTTGTAGTAGTAGTTGTACATTCAGTTGTTGTAGTAGTAGTAGTACTTTCAGTTGTAGTAGTAGTAGTAGTACTTTCAGTTGTTGTAGTAGTAGTAGTACTTTCAGTTGTAGTAGTAGTAGTAGTACTTTCAGTTGTTGTAGTAGTAGTAGTACTTTCAGTTGTTGTAGTAGTAGTAGTACTTTCAGTTGTTGTAGTAGTAGTAGTACTTTCAGTTGTTGTAGTAGTAGTAGTACTTTCAGTTGTTGTAGTAGTAGTAGTACTTTCAGTTGTTGTAGTAGTAGTAGTACTTTCAGTTGTTGTAGTAGTAGTAGTACTTTCAGTTGTAGTAGTAGTAGTAGTACTTTCAGTTGTTGTAGTAGTAGTAGTACTTTCAGTTGTAGTAGTAGTAGTAGTACTTTCAGTTGTTGTAGTAGTAGTAGTACTTTCAGTTGTTGTAGTAGTAGTAGTACTTTCAGTTGTTGTAGTAGTAGTAGTACTTTCAGTTGTTGTAGTAGTAGTTGTACTTTCAGTTGTTGTAGTAGTAGTTGTACTTTCAGTTGTTGTAGTAGTAGTTGTACTTTCAGTTGTTGTAGTAGTAGTTGTACTTTCAGTTGTTGTAGTAGTAGTTGTACTTTCAGTTGTTGTAGTAGTAGTTGTACTTTCAGTTGTTGTAGTAGTAGTTGTACTTTCAGTTGTTGTAGTAGTAGTTGTACTTTCAGTTGTTGTAGTAGTAGTTGTACTTTCAGTTGTTGTAGTAGTAGTTGTACTTTCAGTTGTTGTAGTAGTAGTTGTACTTTCAGTTGTTGTAGTAGTAGTTGTACTTTCAGTTGTAGTAGTAGTAGTAGTACTTTCAGTTGTAGTAGTAGTAGTAGTACTTTCAGTTGTAGTAGTAGTAGTAGTACCTTCAGTTGTTGTAGTAGTTAGTGATGGAAGAGGTGGTGGTGGACGTAGTGGTGGAATATTGTAGTAACCTGGTTTATATGGGAAGAATAAAGTACCATCAGCTCCTATAGGATAGAAAAATGAATTGGATCTTGCCAAATCACTTCTATAATTACCAGGTTGTGTCGTAGTAGTTGTAGTAGTTGTAGTACTCTCAGTTGTTGTAGTAGTAGTATCAGTTGTAGTTGTTGTTGGTGGAATATTGTAGTAACCTGGTTTATATGGGAAGAATGAAGTACTATCACCTCTTATAGGATAGAAAAATGAGTTGGATTTTGCCAAATCATTTTTATAAGCACTAGATAGTTCTGTTGTAGTTGTAGTCTCAGTTGTAGTAGTAGTAACAGTTGTTGTAGTTGTTGGTGGAATATTGTAGTAACCTGGTTTATATGGGAAGAATGAAGTACTATCACCTCTTATAGGATAGAAAAATGAGTTGGATTTTGCCAAATCATTTTTATAAGCACTAGATAGTTCTGTTGTAGTTGTAGTCTCAGTTGTAGTAGTAGTAACAGTTGTTGTAGTTGTTGGTGGAATATTGTAGTAACCTGGTTTATATGGGAAGAATGAAGTACTATCACCTCTTATAGGATAGAAAAATGAATTGGATTTTGCCAAATCATTTCTATAATTACCAGGTTGTGTTGTAGTAGTAGTTGTACTTTCAGTTGTTGTAGTAGTAGTTGTACTTTCAGTTGTTGTAGTAGTAGTTGTACTTTCAGTTGTTGTAGTAGTAGTTGTAGTAGTTGTAGTAGTTGTAGTTGTAGTAACAGTTGTTGTAGTTGTTGGTGGAATATTGTAGTAACCTGGTTTATATGGGAAAAATGAAGTACCATCACCTCTTATAGGATAGAAAAATGAATTGGATCTTGCCAAATCATTTCTATAATTACCAGGTTGTGTCGTAGTAGTAGTTGTACTTTCAGTTGTTGTAGTAGTAGTTGTACTTTCAGTTGTTGTAGTAGTAGTTGTAGTAGTTGTAGTAGTTGTAGTTGTAGTAACAGTTGTTGTAGTTGTTGGTGGAATATTGTAGTAACCTGGTTTATATGGGAAAAATGAAGTACCATCACCTCTTATAGGATAGAAAAATGAATTGGATCTTGCCAAATCATTTCTATAATTACCAGGTTGTGTCGTAGTAGTTGTTGTTGTTGTGGTAGTAGTATCAGTTGTAGTTGTAGTTGGTGGAATATTGTAGTAACCTGGTTTATATGGGAAGAATGAAGTACTATCACCTCTTATAGGATAGAAAAATGAATTAGATTTTGCCAAATCATTTCTATGATTACCAGGTTGTGTTGTAGTTGTAGTAGTATCAGTTGTTGTAGTAGTTGTAGTACTCTCAGTTGTAGTAGTCGTAGTAGTAGTATCAGTTGTTGTAGTAGTTGTAGTATTCTCAGTTGTAGTAGTCGTAGTAGTAGTATCAGTTGTTGTAGTAGTAGTAACAGTTGTAGTTGTTGGTGGAATATTAAAGTAACCTGGTTTATGTGGGAAGAATGAAATACCATTACCTATAGGATAGAAAAGCGATTGTTCCCGAGCAATAAGTTCCGTTATAGGTAGACTACTTGATTTAGACTTATTCTCGGATGTTGTTTTGGAAGTTGTAGTTGTAGTTGTAGTTGTCCTCTTAGAAATGGGCTTTGGAAGAACTATTGTTGAATTAAGTAATGGAAGTGAAAAGTTCATATTTCTTAGATCAACCTTCGATGAATTGGATAATGAAGGTGTTGGCTTCCTAACATTGCTCGATCTTGGTAAACCACTCATTGTGCGTGTTCTATTATTTTGATCATCTTGACTTCTATCGCCAGATTCTCTATATACCTGACCAATCTGGCTGCTAAATGAAGATATAGATGACGCATTTATAAGTAATAAACTTGATATAACTGAAAATATTAAAAAGACTTTCATTCTTAAGAATGAAATATTCAAATTAGAAAATAACTATTTATGCCCTAAAGGTCAAAAAGTGGTACCCATAATATTGGGTGGATTATATTAAAAGACTAAGCTAATTATATCGAAAACGCGATATTATCCATTAATAAATCGTCATGGGGTAACTTGTTCGCCATACCAAATAAAGTTATTTATAGTGCAAAATAACTAAAGAATACACATATATGAGTGATATCTAGATCACTTTTGAGGTTGCAATTCAAATACATTACATTATTTCTGTGGTAACCGGCAGAACCTAAGTCTAGCACTTCGGCTATTGGTATTGCGGGTTGTCATGGTAAGACATTTACTAATACCACTGTAAAAAGGAGAGGATGAAGAGATTACAATCTATTAAATCTTCATCCTCAATATGCGAAAAATTCAGAACTTCACCACGTATTGATTCTAGTGGAAGTGCAAAATCCTTAAAATTTGTACCTAATGTTGCTGCTGCAAACAAGGTACCTATTGAGCATCTGCAAGTTAAATTAGATACTGCTAAGGTAGATAAAACTAGTGATCAAATATCTGATGGTTGCAAGGATGTAAATATACCTGCTGATAACGTGACTAAAGAAATTAATATATGTCCCAAAAAAATATCTAGAGATGTCACTTCCTTACTTTTAAAGGATTTGGCTATTTCCAAGAATAATGCAGAGGCGTTTGGAGTCCATAAACTAACATCCAACGAGAAGTTGATTTCTAAAATTGTTGATAAGGATGGTCCCTTAGAGATGCCCTTCGATATTTCCAGTGTAATATGGCCTAATAATGAAAATGGTATATCTTACCCCGCACTATATAATGAACAACTTGGAACATCAGAAAATGAGCCATGGCTCTTGATACAAGTTCCTAAGTTCATGCCATCCCTAACTCCATTTAGAGACTCGAATACTATACTGGGATTAGATGATAACTTAGGAAATCCATCATTCTTGGCAGATATGCAATGTGGCTCAATAGGAAAGTTAACTATTAAGAAAAGTGGAAAAATTTCTTTGATAATGAATAAGAATACTAACTCCCCAAATTCAGAAGATGTAATTTTCGATATTAAAAAGAACAACCTAGCTAGTTGTGAGCAAAATATTATTGCACTTACTAGTATAAACGAGCTATCTAATCTGGGTAAATGTGCAACAGTATTTTATGCTACACCCCAATTAAACTTATCGTAAAAATAAAATATGGAGAGTTAGTAATTCTCTTAGGCATATGCACTTAGAAGTAAAATAGATTCTAATTAGTAAATATAAACAATATAATACCTGCCTAATTTAATTTAGTTATGTACTGGAAAGTTATTTAGATCTACTATCACAGATATAGTCACTGCCAAACCATGACTGAGGAAACCATTTGGGATAAACACGTTTATATAGTGACATACCAACTACTTCATTCTGTTGGACAGGTTTACTGAAAATGCACTTCATATACCCATGTGTTCCCACAGGTTCTTTTATAATTCCACGTATACCACTGCGAGTCTTCAATTCAACAGACTTAAACCACTTTATATCCTCAGGATTATTAAACATAAAACGTACAATAGCTTTGCATTTACGCACCTTAAATAAGTATCCTATAATTATATAACGTTTTAGAATAATACGACAAGGATCAGAGTCAATTATATCCCCCCAAGCTAATGGCCAATCATCAATTTCATCACTTAAACACAGTTTTACATTATTACTGGGATGAAAATAATCTGCGTTTTTTTTGTTAAAAAGACCTTTTAACGAAAAGAAAATTACTGGGCATGGTGGTAATGTGATTGTACTAAAGCAAGAGGCAATATAGTAATCACCATGCATAAAAAAACGACTCATCTTTAGTTTTTGTTGCCTATGTACTCTGGATGAAAGAATCATTTGTGGGCAGTTGCTAAAAGTTGGGCATATAAAAAATCTTCTGAAACCAGCTTGAACAAGTAGTGGAGTTTTGTTGCGAATTATCCCTTCATTTTCTTTAGTTCTCTTAACTTTAAAGTGAATAACTCCAACTTTTCTTTCATAAGGTAAAATTGAAGAGACTATAATAAATCTTTTAGCCAAATTTTCTTCATTCAAGGGGATGCAAGAGTTAATAGCAATAGGAATAAGCCTCATACGACAGTACTTAGTTTGGTAATCGACTTCTCTACAATGTTCAGTAAATATCTTTCTAGATAACTTGTTTATAGACTGAAATGACTCAAATTCAAATATACGAGAATATTCTGAAGGCAAATTTTCGTATGGATCCCAGTAAGAAGTCCTAAAAGAAGATAATCCTCTATATTTAGCAAATCTCTGTCTACAAATTGTTTTATTATCTACTCTTATTTCATCTGAATGTTCAAGTTCATTTTCTAACTCATCTTCCAACGACAAAAGTTCTTGTACTCTTTCAGCTCCTAATATATCTGAATTCCAAGAGTTATCTTCAACTTCAGATTGTGAGTACATTGAGTTTGTATCAGAGTATATATCATTGATACTATTAATATACTCATTATGGTTATTATCAACCATTTCATCATCGTCCTGAAAGTCCCACGATTGTTCCCCCGCAAATTGATCATATCTTTGTAGATATACTAATTCATTCTTCAAAACATCATTTTCACTAATTAAATTGTTCCTTATTATTGGAAAATATTCCATTGTTACATCTACTTTTGAAGGTTTTGAAGTTCTCCTTGTTTGTCTATCTTTCTCTATTGTAGGCTCAATAGAAGCCACTACAAAATCTCCAAATCCAGTCACATGTACTGGGAAATCTATTGACAAACCACTACCTCGAATATAACCCTCAACAACTAGCTCTATATTTGATTTTTCATCATTATCTTTAAAATTAATACTTGTATTTTGAGAAAGTAAGTATCCTCTATCATTTCTAAATGATAATTTTTTTATAGGATGACTACAAATTGCAGAAATCAGGGTACGTATACTATTGGTATTATGCAGTGAAAATAGCTTTGAGTTCTTCCCAAATTCAGCTTCAAAGTGTCTTTTCAAGAGTTTCTCATTGTTCAAGATTCTCTTTTCAGGTATAGTACCAGTGTCATCAAAATATATACCGAAAACTGGACATAATCCTTGTAATCGTGAAACTGACAAAATCCTATAACCAAATTCATCAATAGCAGAGCTCTCTAAACTAGCAGAACAAAAAGATCCAAGAATTATATCTGCGCACTTCATGATGTCAAGTGTATTCAGCATGTCACCATATGGTGCAATGCAGAAAGAAATATCTACACGCCCATAATGTAAAGTACAAATTTCGAAGTTACTTGATGTCTCCTTTGTTTGAAAAAAATATTCACTTGCTTTATTTGAGAAAGACTGTCTAGATATATAATTTGTTATAATCTTCATACATTCAAGAGGGTTACTTAAAACATGAAAAGGTACAATTACACACAATATCGGGGCTTCAATTCCTCTACCATCTTCTATTAACATATTTTTTTGTTTTAGGTTCTTGTTTCGTCTTATTTGGATCTTTTGATTATTTCTATTTTGACGAGATAATATTTTTATTGGGTACTGAGTAATTTTTTTCGCAACCTTTTTTATAGTATGAGATTTCCCATGCTTAAATGGTTTATTTTTTTGCTTTAGAGTTGACCTATGATGATGCATTATAGAGAAATTAGTATATATGAGAGTTAATTACATCGAATATGACAGGTCAGTAATGAACTAAGACATATATATTGCGCTTAGTTGCGGTATAATATTACTGGGAAGTCTCTGATTACTAGCTGAAGTATGACTGAGGCGGTTTCAGGACTAAACAAATCTTTCTAAAGGGAGATTGTGCTAATTGTGAACTGTCACAAAGAAGGGAAAAAGAGAGGAGCCATTAATAATACAATATATTACTTTCTACTTTATTTTGTTCGTGATTCAAGGTGTCACTTATAATCCATTTTGTACCACTCAGGTGAAATTCTCTCAATAATATCGGTATTATATAAATCTTTTTCTTTTTGTGTAAAATTAAAAAGAAAATTGATATTTAATGTATGGGTATTTTTATAATCTGACTGGTACTTATTTTTTTTATTATTAAGGCTTATAACAGGCACAATTATATTGGGACCACTAGTACGTAATTCATCAAAAAATGGATGTGCTAATGCCTCAAGTGGCTTAAGTCTTTTTTGTGGGCTATAGACCAGAATTCTAGACAGAAAGTCAATTATATGCATTTTATCTGTTCCATTTACTCCTTCTGGGAGAATAAGCGACCATGGAGTAGGCACTATACTTGGAAATTCAAATTTTGTATATGCTGGGTTCATATCACTTACTTGTTCCTTATTGGGTGTCCCTAAAAGTTTAATGATTTCCACAAGTTGATCAACTCCACTCTCTCCAGAAAATAGTGGTTTTCCTGTCATTAACTCGTAAACTACACAACCTGCGGACCATATATCTACAGCTGTTGTGTAACTTGTAGATCCAAATATTAATTCTGGGGCTCTATAAAATCGGCTGCATATGTAAGATACATTCATATCGTTTGATAGTAACCTTTTTGCACTCCCAAAATCACAAACTTTTAGAATACCAGAGGATGGATTTAAGAGCAAATTTTGAGGTTTTATATCACGGTGGCACACGTTTAAGGTACTCATGTAAGCTAAAGCACGGAATATTTGGTAACTATACAACTTAACTAATATTATAGGTAACCCATTACCACAACTAGGAAATGAATCTTTATAGCTTACATTATTGCATTGTTTTAACAGCTGATACATTGAGCCACCAAGACATTCCATAACTATATTCAAGTATACATCATCTTGTTTCTCACCTACAGTGTAGAAGGCTTGGTATAATTCCACAATAGAAGGATGGCAATCCAATATTCTCATTATCTGTAATTCTCTGTGCTTATACCTCTTATCTTGATATACTTTTTTTATTGCAACATAATCACCAGTCTCTAAAACTCTTGCTCTATATACAATACCAAATGAACCGTGTCCAATTACAGACTCAGTTGCATATGTTAGTGTTTTTTTTGCTTCTTTTAAAGAGGTGCAATTAAAAATTCCCATCGCATGCTGTGGGGGTGACTGTGTAGTAGCACTTAGAGGAGAGAATTGTAGAGATGACATTGTTTCATGGGAGTCTTCCTCACCATCATCTCGGTTGTAATTTAAAGTGTCATCTACTTTATATATATCAGATTTTTTATAGTAACCATTAATATTAAATACTAAATTGCTTTTGTGACATAAGTTGTCGTGACTGTTGACCTCCTTTCTTAAGATTTCTGTCATTCCTAGCATTCCACCTGACCTATAGATAGATACAGTTACTAATTCCGTATATTACAGTTTCAGTAATCTAGTGAAAAACTTATCACTATATTTATATATATTTACACAGTATATATGAATTTATCTTTAAAAAGTGTGCACTAAGTTCGTTTCCGAGAAAAGCAAAAAAAAAGAGAAAAAGAAATTATCAAATATATGGAAAATTACAAAATTCCACTCAAAAATTTTATTATGAGCCAGTTGAATATATAGAACAGATTTTGTAAATCACTATTAGTAACAAAATTTAGCATACATCAAGTTTGTATATTTCTAAAATTGAAATATATTTACTAGTGGTAATTTTTTAAGATAATTACTTCTCTTCACTATTTTATAAGGAATCTAAATTAAAACTACATATATATATGTAATGCTCTATACCTTATAATTATAGTAAATCTGAGTAAATGGAACTAAACTATAAGAAGTTTACAAATCCCAAAAGATACTAACAAGATTTTGAAAAACTGCAGCACTATATCAGCTATTAACTTTCATTCAAATATGAATACAAATATTAAATAATTTTTGTGGAATATATATTATTAATATGTTAGGTACTTTTATTATAGGAGAATCGGGTGAAAAATAATAAACAAATTTCCAATCTGTTCAGATATTTAAAAAAAAAAAAAAAAAACCATCTTATAACCTATTAGATATATTTGATATATATAACTTTAAAACCGTTAGGATATATTATTATATATACTAAGATACCTTCATATCTACTAATTTTAATTTGATAAAATTAATTTATACTTTTATCTTTTCTAGTTATATTTAACAAACTATAAAATCTTGTATTCAAAAATCTATATGAAAGAAAATATTACTTGACTGAAAAATATTCCTGGATAATATATAGTAGATTTGAATATTTATATACGGATTTGATTAGCAGTTAGTATATAGTAAATAAAGCTATTTAGCAAGTATTATCTATTCCATATTTTCATCTAATTCAAAAAAAAAGACTACTGTTGAATTTTGTGTCTTAACTAATATAGATTCTGATTTTATGTACTCTATAAAAACAATATATATGATATAATTTTAAAATTATATGGAATTTGAAGTAGATTTAAATTTTAGTAAAATCACTAAATTTTTAAAAGACAACTTTACATGAGAAATATATCAATAGGTATGAATACCAATAAGTGACAATAATAAATTAAATATTTATTAGAGGTATACTTATTAAAAAGAACCTTTTATGCTTAGTTACACTCAGTTACTTTATAGAGAAACATAAATATAAAATGTGTATTAAAGTACTATAAATATGATTTTAAAAGTGTGTAAATATAGTTTCTATAGTATCATTTTATTCTAATAAGTGTAAGCTCCTTTGTAGAAATTTATTTTTTCAACTTTTAAAATGATGTTTTTTAATTGAAATTTAAGTTATTCCCTTATTTTGTCTAAATTTGTAAAAAGAAAAGATAATTGGAATATAACCAATTAGATATATGGTGTTCCAATCTAAAATACTGAGGTATTATGAGTCTATGTGTCTGAATCTTTATTGGAAATTGCAAAAAAAAATTTTATCTTGTATATTTGAAACTAATTCCCAGATAACTTGCTTTGTATATATACCTTCATATTTTTCAAATCTTGTAAATGTATAATTTGGGCAATTCAGTATACAACTAGGTATTGAATGAGTTATGTACTCTTCCTCACCCAAGTACAATTTAATTATTTTGATGAATGTATATAGCTGGAAATCCGAATCATCTGAACAAATTTCTGAAGATAAGATGAAATTAGAGAGTTTGGAATACACAGTTTCCAAAAATATTAGTAAACTATCAATGTCAAAAAAGATACCATTAATTTTAAAATAGCAACTTTTAAGTTTCTCAGGTGATTGGTTTGTGAATTCTGGGGTATATTTATTGCAAAATTCCAATTCAACAAATCTATTAGTCTCTTGAATATTGCTACTTGAAGTTTTGAAATCTATGTTTATCATTTCTTGGAGTTTCTTTGCTTCATTACTAAAGGATATCCTAATAAATGCATAAGCAAGTTGTATATTTGAGATCACCTTATTATTTGTAGCTAAACAACTCCCAACTATCAGAAGTAAATTTCTTAAAGTTAAAGAAGTACAATATATAGTATTAGAAAACGATATTTCCGATTTTTTGTCATATTGCAAACTGAGAATACCATTTATCCGAGATATTAGAATATTACAATATTGTAGTGTTTTTTCAGAGACAATCCAGTGAAAATTTTCAACTGAAGAAGATAAATTTTGAATAATTACACATGCTAATTCGCATAGAAAGATATCACTATGTGTTTTGGAATTCCATAATAATAATTTTATAAGAGTAAGAATAATCAAACTACCAAGCGATACTATACTATCTGAGATAGCATACTCATATGTGCTGTTAGAGTAGTAATTTTGTCCTTGATACATCCCAATAGTTTTATTCAGTGATGAATCTTTTAACCAATCTGGAAGTGAACCAATTATTGTTCTATGAAGTGCTTTACAATAGTTTGGCTCATCTGTAAGTTTTGTTAATATAGTTAATAAGGGGATCAAGTGACAAGTACCAATAATAACATTTCGTTGTTTTTGTATAGGTAAAATGTATAGTACTTCAAGAATTGGAACTATTAAATATTCAGGATCACCTCTAGACATGCAATAGAGTCGAAAGTTAGAATTTGAATGAATTAAGAAGTAGAAAATATATGATTCAAGAATATGGTTTTTTAGTCCATATTCAGATGAAATTGTAGAGCATATCTGATCAAAATATGTGAATTTCGTTATCCCTGAAGTATCTTCATCAGAATCAACTTCTGATTGAATATCTTTAATTAATAAAGATGAGGTTTCAGGTAGAAAGCGAGGATCTAATATATTTCTCATGAAGTCAGAATAAACATTTTCTTTGAAAAATGGAGAGTGGAAAATTAACATTGATAAAATACAAAGAGATCTATTCTTAATACCAATAGGTGTGGGTGAGTGTTTCTTCCCATTAATAGTAGTTCTTGTTAAGAAAAAAAAGAAACTATATGGAATTGTTTCTGTATTTTCTGAATCATCCCTCTGAATTATTAAACTTGGATTCATGAGATGAACTGATAATATTTGGAAAATATCGAGAAAGGAGGGGAGTAGTATATTAGTTTTATTTTCAATTTTGGTTAAAGATGATATACTTCTAGATATTGAAAACTCACTTGTTGAGTTTAAAAAAAAAACAATTAAAATATCCATAACAATTGCTTGCAATGCATAAATAGAATGGATCATGTTATAATTCTTTCCATTTGATTCTGATATTTTATCAATATAAAGTTGGGAACATATACAATAACAACATATCTCTATCATAAGTTCTCCAATTACAGAGTTGTCTGAATTGTGAGTAATCATAAATGGATCTCTATCACTAATATTGCTTAAAATAAATAAAATAAACCTTTTATAGTAGTTGAGATCTAAAGTTTTCAATTCAGTTCTATATATGTCAAAGAAGTCTTTATCTAAATATTTGCTTATAGGACAAGTACCCTGTGAATTTATGCTACCAGTATCTAAACTCTCATTATCAAAATTTAGATAATCATGTTCAATTTGTAATAATAAATTTGATAAGGAAAATTTCTGAGTATAATGCCTTATAATACTCCTCAATAGTAATGCAGTACTAATCAATGTTGAATAAGTAGAAGGACATGGTAGTAAGGAACTCATATCTTTCTCTAGGTTCATGAGTATATCCTTTCTGCTTGAAGATAACAACTTAGTGAAAAACAAAGTTAATCTTCTTAAGTTTCCACTAGACTTATTTGTTTCGAAAAGTGTTGTTGAAATATGTTCATATATGTAATTGTCCAAAATATTAGGAGCTATAGGTGGCAGTATAAATTCTGACTTCATTTTTTCCCATATTGGATCCTCATCATCCACAGTATTTTGTCCTAAGAGACCATTAATCAATCTAAAACTATTTTCTAGTAGGAAAACAGGTCCTTCTTTAGAAATAGAACTCCCCATTATTACTTAAAGAAGTTAAGGATTCATTTGGTTGTGTAGTCATTGGAAAGCGGTTGGTCTCAACAGTGCATTATGTAGTAGTAGTAAATTTCTTTAATACTAATAACAACTTAGTTCAAAGATAAGTGATCAAAATATATTACTATGAGTGACAGTGAGATACATAAATACATTACAAAGATTTATGATAAAATTAGTGTTTAAATAGTCTTAAATGTAATAATACTATATTTACTTTATATTTACTATAAGAAAAATATTCTTTTAAAATCATCAGTAGTGTTTAAGTATTAATGGCTAACTAATAATGAAAGATGTATTCTTAATATATATAATGTGGGTATTCCAACTTAATACATAAATTTTAGTGAAAACTTTAAAATAAAGAAATACTCATGAATAAGGATGTACATATCCCATTTAGCAATATTCAGATATAAATTTAAGTACTTCATATTCATAACTATATGTAAGAAAAAAAATCTACCCTTATATATAATCTATAAATTAAACTAGTGATTATATTGATCTTTAAAAGTTCTTACATTACAAGATACTATTGGTTAATAATAAATTTATTAGAACCGTTTAGGTATTCTTGAAAAGTTTAATAATAAGTACAAACATATTTTTTGGAAGATTTTCTTAAACTGAAAAAAGTAGTTAATCAATAATAGGGTTTTTATTTAATAAGTATGACTTATTTAAGATTTCATAGTAATTATATAATCTAAGCAAATTTCTCCAATAAATATTATAAAGTTATGATTACAAGTTACATGTAATTTCTGTTTAAGAGGTAATATATCTGATAAGCCATAGAATTTAAGTTAAATTTCAAAGGGATAACTAAAATACTAAAGAGTACTAAAGAGTATCTAATCTTATAATAAAAGAGTTTATAATATATATTATTTGTATATTTAACTATATTGCTACAAAAATATAATAAAGAAACAGTTAGTTTGTATTATATAACCTAGTAACTTGTTTATTGTATTTATTTTCATCACTATTAACTTCGATAATTCCATCTAAAATCACCCAATCTTTACTTTTATTCGTCTTTAAAGGTTTTATTTCCTCACGAGATAATTCAACATAAAGGTTTTCTAAGAAATTCGGTTTATTATTGACTTGTATAGGTAATATCCAAAGTAAAATGTTGTTCCCAAATATATTTGTGAATTGTCGAGCAAAACCTTGTAGTTCTCCATAAACACTTTGATATGTCTCAACAAGTGAAGTATTGGATTTAATTGCTTCAAATTGATCTAAAAGAAAAACAAATGCAGCAGTACCAAAGATAACACTATATATAATATTAAATAAAATAAAGATATTATTAATGTAGGTCCAATCTCTCAAATCAAATGTAGATGATGTAATACTGAGTGTATATAGGAGTAAAAATACAGATAATAGTGATATAATACAACAAATTAAAATATAAATTAAAAATAAAATAAAGAGTTTCTGGTTTGAAAATCCAATGCAATTATTAATCCAAATACAATGATGATCCATTTTAAAAATACATGTTTTACATGTTGAACAGTGATGAGCTCGCAGTGGTTTCCATCTCTGGGGATTGCACTTTGTACAAGTTCTGTCATATTTCATGTCTGCATCTGGAGGTTTTCTCTTGGGACAACTCAAAACTTGTAGTGAACCAGGGTCTAAATTAATTAATTGCAAATAAGATGCAATTAACAAAGTTACACATATTTGATAAGATAACATTGAAACTATACCAATATATCGAATAGTCAGTTGTTTTGTACCTATAAGTATATTATGTACATAATTAGTGGTCAAATAATCTCCAGTAATAATTAGAAAAAAAGTAAAGATTACAGGCAGTCTTCCTAATATAAATTTTGTTATAATTACAATATGCGTGTGAACTTTACATATTGTTTCACTCAATCTTATATAAAAATATTTCCACTTTTCCATAATATATATTGTATTTTTGAAGATTTTTGTATGTAGGAATTAGTGATAATGGCGATATTAAGTACTAGACATGTAAAGGGCGGGGTACGAATTTAATTTGAGTCTATCAAGTACTTCTAGTGTTGCACAAGTTCTATAAAGTTTTAAATCCTTGCTTACTTTGGAATTTTTCCTGATATCTAAAATGTAAATGATTATCTATTGTATTACATGACTTATGTGTCTCATAATTATGATCACAATTAACTGAACAAAACCTACTTTTCAGAAATATCAATAAACTATGTAGTAGTTTACTCTGAAATACTTATATCTATAATAATTAAGATTTTATAAGCATAAATATATATATTAGAGCACTTTTTAAGATTATATAAGGCAACTTTTACAATACTTGGATGCATACTTGTGGTATGTAACAATATAAGTCAAATTGTGAAAATATATTGCTTCTTGTTATATACTTACAAAATAATCCAATTATTGTATAAATTATAAAGGATAAAAATATACTAATACTATATAGAAGTATTCTTAAAGTGAATAGTCAATATTTCAAAGATTTTAACCATTGACTTCTTTGTGTATATTGGATTAGTGCCTAAAAATATGAATTTCCAAATATACCTTGAGAAAAAAATCTAGTTCTGATTAGTTACTATTAGATACCAAAATAGATTGCAGTAGTTAGTATAATTAAAATAAAATTTCATTAGACGTATATACAATAACTAATTTGTCAAATTATTAGTGACTTACATGTTGGGAATACCTTATTGTCTTTAAATAATCTGTATAGCTTCTGTATATATCTTTAATAAGGTATTGTGTTTAAAATATGACCAAATAAGTCACATATATATGAATGAAGATAGGTAGCACTATTGAATCACAAATAGGTATAATGGAAGTAAAGAGGGAAATTCACTAAATAACTTGGTTTATAGCGCCTATGAATTATATTTTCTCTTGTCCTACACTTAAAATATCTAAATAAGATTTTAAAATATAGCTTTATTGATGAGTACAGATAAAATTGAATATGACCCGGAGTATTTGGGATTTGTGAAGTATTTATTTTCTTCAAAGACCGGAATTAGGACAAAAGGTGCAATAGAAGTTGGTAGAAGGGCAGTTGACTATTTTCGTGGGGTTGAATTTGTTCGATGGATGCAAAGAAATGCAATTGTACTAAAATCCACTTTCCCAGAACTAATGGATAAATTAGATTTTAATTCTTTAGATGATATACGGAATTTTGGAACTGAGCTTATTCGAAAATCTTTTATTTTGAAGGCTGAATATAAACCGGTTGGAACAAATGTAACCAAGGGGATGAAACAACCAAAGTGGCCTAGACGCTTAAGTGTAACTGCAAACCAAGTATTTGATGAGAATTTCTTTTACATTATTATTTTTGAAAGTCATAGAGCTATATACAAGATATTAATGGTGTCTATACTTCTATCTGTAGTTGCAATATTCATGTTCCCAGCCTGGCCATTGGCGATAAAAATATCTGTATGGTACATATCAGTGGTTTTATTATCGTTAATGCTCTCTATATTCTTTATTAGATTGGTAGCTTTTGCATTATTTTGGTTCTTTGGCTTTGATATATGGATTTTACCTAATTTGTTTGATGAAGAGAGAGGAGTAATTGATTCATTTAGACCTTTATATTCAGTCTTGTATCGACAAGATGACTGGTTTATGCTAATAATAAGAATTTTTTGTGCAATTTTTCTCACAGGGGCTATCTACCAACTTAGTAAGACACATTCTGCAGCCGATGTTGGACATTTTGCAAGACAATCATTCTTAGATGTATTAGATTGGGGATATAGAAAAATAGCTCCTCCTGAGGATATGTCACCAACATCAGCTGGGAGTCCTTTAGATAGGAATATGAAACAAAAAACAATGCAGATGACTCCTGAGATTGTATGCATTACAAAGTGCTTAAGGTTTGAATCTAAAGATGCTTTGCTTGAAGACTGTTGCAGTGGCTGTCAATGTATTAGTGAATTACTTGGTTTACCATGCCTTAGCTCTAAAGATGTTTGTCCTGTATCTTTACTTCAAGAACTGATGGATATGCAGAAGATAGTTTGTGCTAATCAAGATAGTGGAACTCAAGATATAGAGGGAGAGTTAAAGAGATTAATAGAACAATAGGAGGGATGATAATATTGGAATTATATAGATAATTTACAGTTTTTTTACCAAATTATTAGATTTTGAATTTGTTTGTCATTCACTAGCAAACTAAGATTATACAAAGAAGAATTCATTAATTGAGTAAAATCTAGATCTTTGTTCTGACTCTTTATGTTTTGTAATGTTTCAATACATCGAGTATAGAGTAAAATAGCTTCAGTTTTCAAATTAATTTGATGATAAGCTCTAGCCTTATTATACAAGCATTCTGCCTTAAATAATGGATTATGACCAAAAATACTTAATCGTCCTTGTATATATCGAGAAATAAATGCAAAACCCTTGAGTACTGCTGATTGTCTGTTTTTAGTATCCTTGGCTGTTGCCAAGCTGATAAAACTTATACCTAAGCAAAGGACTATTAAGTTGTCAAAAGGAGCACTTCTGTGTGCCTTGGTATATTCTAATACTGCCATTCCAATACGATTAGATATAACGTATAAGTGAGCAGTGATTAAGTTTAATTCAGCCTCATTACTAAATTGAGGTGATTGTCTTTGAATCCAAGATCTAGTTTCACTAATCACCTCTTTTTCTAAAAGTACTCCGCGTCTAAAGTTATTGTGTTTCACACAAGAGTTGAATATATGTGGTACTAAGAGGATACGACCAATCATTCCACTTAGATGTTTGTTTATAGTCGTCTTTTTATTGAATTCCAAACGTAAATAGCTTAGTAACGTACGCCACAGGCCACCGTTGAATGCTAAAGAAATTATTAAGTTGTGAATGGAATTTTTGGCTGCTTTTAACCTATCTAAGTATATTTCTGGCTTAAACATTTTAATATTATTTAGAATCTTTTCAAACACTTCGACAGCAACATTGTATTTCTCATTCCACTGCAAGACTATTGCACCATATGTAAGAAATTCCCAGTATTCATCTTCACTAGTTAATATTTCTCCTAAAGTAACGATACCTAATTCAGATCTAATTTTACTTGTCGGTATATTCACTCTACTTTGTAATTTTTTGGAGCCTTTAGATGTGGAGTCACTTGTGTGCTGCAGGCTTAGATCGACATTTTCTAGTACATCTCCCAAATTAGTGTTATTAACTGAATTTTGTTCATAGTTTGTTTCTTTATCATGCTCTTTAAATTTCTTGGAATATAATTTTTGGCCCACACGTTTAATATCTGTTAAGAACTCTTTAATTAAGTATTCAAACATGTCTGCAGTTCCACATATTTCCGGTGATATTTGTGATAACTTTGGTGGATTTATAGCTTTATCAACAAAATCTATTTGGGTTGAAAATTGAACAGTGATATTAGTAAACAATGATTTCATTTTTGAAAATAATTCTAGTATCATGTTACAACGCAGTTCTTGAGGAATAGGTTGTGATAGATCTCCCATTTGCACAAGATCTTCATATTTCATTGTGTATATTAATTTCTCACCAAGCTTAGTATATCCCATCTTGGAATATAACGAAGCTAAAAGAGCTTTTGCCTTGTAAACTTCAAAAGATTCAATTTGATGTTTGTTTTCTGTCAAAGAATCTTCTAGAATTTGTGCTGCTTCTTTAAAGTTTCCTAAAGACTGCAATGAGTATGCATACTTAATACTAAGTGCAATCGATCTTTCATATCCATCAGTATGATAAATAATTTCATAATGATCCTTAGATAAATTGTATATTTTTACAGCAAAATAGGCATCACCTAAACTTTGGTGTAGGTCGGTAACTTCTATTTTTTCCATATTGCTTTCTTTCAATATTGTTGTTAATTCATCAGCTACGCTACTATTCCCTATATATAAGCCAGATACAGCATATTTTACACTGATATCAATGGGTAATGTTAGAATTAAATGTCTTATATCTGTTTTCTCGAAAGAAGAAAGTTGACACTTATTAGACTCAGAGTTATTGGTATTTTCAAAATTTTTTGAGATCAGCATATTTTGAACAAGATCTAGGCATTTTTGGTACAACTTAAGATCAATATATACTTCACAAAGCATATTAATTATATGTAAATCAGTCTCTTCAATTAGACAACTTTCGAGAACTTCGGCAGCCATATTTAGTTTCCCTATTTGATGATAACATTTAGCCAATTCCTTGCCTAGTAAAGGATCTCCTGGATGTCTTCTAAATAGTATCTTTAGCTGTTGTATACAATGAATAATATTATTAGTCTTTAAGTAAGCATTACTTAACTCAAAACGTATTTCATCTTCAATCTGTGTAAATTCATCGAGTTCACCTTGGTTATCTGAGTTGCTTATGTTTCTTAGGCACCTTTTGTAACAATATATAGCTCTTTCCCACATTTCTAGTTCACAACTCATTTGACCAATCCTTTTCCATAAGTATATGTCGTTTACGACTAGATGAGCTGCAAGAAAATAAAACTCTGCAGCTTTTGCTTTATCATCCAATTCTTGCTCATAAATTAAGCCCAACATATGAAATGGATCATGTAAACCAGGTGCTTTTTTAACTACTTCTTCTAAAATTTCAATAGCTAACATAAACTTCTTTGCCAAATATGCATCATTTGCTTTCTGCAATAGTTTTTCAACTTCTGGTGAAACATTTACAGGTGTTGACCCAGTTTTCCGCTTTAATTCTTTATCTGATTTTCTCTTTTTTTTCTTTGTTAGCCTACTTCTATTATAACCCATCATTAACAAATCTTGAATGTCTGAGTCCTGGTCAGTATCATTATCTGACAAATTGAGTTTTGTTTCTATCTCTTTATTATGAAAGATACCATATAGTGAGCTCAGAAGATCTTTATTCTGGTATCTTGTCATATCTTGTGTATCATCAGTAATTTTGCAGTTCTCTTCATCGTCATAACCTGGAATGTAGGAAGTTGTTGGATGCAGCATATTTATTGTTTCAAGGTGAGATATGAAGCAATATAACTAATAAATAAGTTCATAGCTATTATTCTAGCGCTATTACAAGTAGGCAGACTACGGCAGTGATGTTTGTAAATCTCTGTACTAGTATCCAATAATATTAAAGACAGGCTTTAAATGACAAGATGATGAACTTTCTAAAAATAATTATACTGATACCTTAAATAATTGATTTTTTATTAGTAATGTAAAGTGAAGAGGGGTAATATCTACCAAATTATAGAGATCTAAAAAAAAAAATAAAATAAACAAATTACTTGTTGACTGTATCTATGATCATTTTAGGCTTATTTAAGTATATAGATTCCAAGAATTTAGAAATTTGAATATATGGAAAGTTCTCAATAAACAACTTATATTACATGGAGCTTATAACAAAATAAAAATAAACTGAGAAAAAAGACTATTGAATTTATAAGTATAATAAAAGAACTTTAATAAGAAGGTTCTATTTTAAACAAAGACGAGATATAGTATTCCCCTTGTCAGTTCAGTTTTTGTTCTTAAATATTAGACATTTAGAGCACAAAATATAGTCATTGAAAGATATTTGAATTTATTTCTAGTAATTATTTCTAAAGAAACTTGAATGAACTTCTAAATGAAAAAAAAAATGATTTAGTGACTTTATGTCTTTTAAAGGGTTGAAATATCAACTTATAGTATATCTAAGAGTTAATAAAATATTCAAGTTCATTTAAAAATATATCTGGCAGGTTGCTCAGCTATATATTAAATCATAAACTCTACTTAGTTAACCTTGGCTAATTTCCCCATATAGATCATTAAATTAAAGTATGAGTTAATATTACTTCTTTTTTTTTTTATAATTGAAATTATACTGACTATATAATTTGTAAGATGTTTTCATTATAGAGCACAAGTACATATAAAAACATCAAGGTTAACATTGTTTTCTATACGTATTTTAGTTAGAGAATATATAACATTTATATTGAATTGTGACATTAGTTTGATACATATACAATATTCTAAATACTAGGAAGCTAGTAAATATAGCAAAGCTGAATCTTTAAGATTAAACTTAAAGAGGTTGACCTTGCATGAACCCCCCCTTCCCCCCAACTTTAGACAACACTTTTGGTAGTAATTATTTAGTCATTAATTAATACTTTGTTTTGAAAAAACTAATCTTTCAAATACATCTAGTTAACAGTAACAGTTGACAATAAATTAAGGTTTTACAAAGTTTACGATGAAAATACTACTTTCTAGTAAAGCCTACAAACAATTAGAAAGTTAATAAATATTAAGAGAACTCTAATAAATATAATTAAGGAAAAATTTGTCAGATAACTAATCATTAAATATCAAATCTCGCATTTAAAAAACTTTTGATGTCAAGATCTCAGCTCCTGACCAGTTCTCACTAGGAGGATTGTTTAAGAACTTAATACATTTCCTCTGGAGAATCCTTATAGTAGGATCACGATTTTGAGGGTGTAACTCGTTAATCTTGTCTATATAAGTTAAAGATTGTCTAAAGTCTCTTTTTAGATAGTATGATAGGGCTTTAGCATGTAGTTTAGCTTTAAGATACATCTCTGGTAAGGCATCGAAACTTGTATCAACCACATTATACACTACAGTAGGTCTACTCTTTCCCTGAGTAATTACAATATCTAAAGGACAGATAATAAATCTTTTTTTAATTAATGATGAAGATGTGAATACCCCATTACTTATTAGAATATCAGTAGAATACCTCTTGCTTAAAGCTTCAATGCGACTAGCCAAGTTAACCCCATCACCTAAAACCCCATATTTCATTCTATGAGCTCCACCAACATTACCTACAAGAACATCACCTGTATGTATTCCACATCTTATTTTAATTTCAGGTAAATTATGGAATTTCCACTGCTCAGATTTTACATTGAGAATACGTCGCATATGTAATGATGCCTCTATTGCTACAGCTGCATGGTTCTCAATATTTACAGGTGAATTCCATATAGCTAATATTGCATCACCAACTATTTCTAAAAGTGTCCCCTTAGATTCATCAATAATTCTCGTCATTTCATCAAAATAGTCAGTAAGTAGTAAGAGTAGCTGTTTTGGCTCTAGATTTTCAGCTAATCTTGTAAAACCAGCTATATCAGAAAATAATATAGTTACTTTTTTAGGAAACATACCTAATGTCGCTGCCTTACCTTTTCGCATTAGTATCCGTACAACATGTAGTGGCAGATATTTAGAAAATGAGAGAATTCCTTCTCTCATTCTATACATCGACTGACTTAGTAACCATAAATTTAGTAAATGCTCATGTTCGAATGGTAATCTCCCATTAAATAGTGACTTAGAAGAATACCTATTATAGACTTGATTTTCATCTATTCTCGGGAAATCCAAGTTAGCTAAAGCATCCATATCACGTACTAAGATACTTGTTTGATCACAGATATGATCAACAAATTTCGAATTTCGATTAAATAAATAAAACATATTCAATAATACAGTTGAAATATATATCAAAATCATCAAAACCATCCTATATCCCATAGCCTTCATTTCTGCTACTTTACTTTTTTCATTCTGTGTCTGAATAGTATTTTCTGGAACTGCAAGTGTAAGAGTTAGAAATATAAATAAACATACAAAAATAGAGGTTGATAAAATATACTCATCAAAACGTCTTCTAGGAAATTTCAATCTATTTTTGATTTGACAGTTTTGTAGTTGAAGTTGAGGAGGGACCATTACTTCTCCTAAACATCCATTTATATCTGCAGCCATAATCATTGCTTCGAATTCATCATAATCCATTCTTTTTTGTATAGGATCGTAAACTCCCAGAGCAATAAGTGCATGAGAAAATTTTTCTCGAAGTTCAGATGCCAATTTATAGGTAGTGCTATCTTCATTTATATATTGATCAATGAAGTTTGTCGAATTACTGTCATTATATAATCCTGTAGGAGTTAGCATAGGAATATTTCTATCATTATCTCCATATCTAATAAGTTTCATGTCTTCAAACTTTTTTTTAGTATTTGAATCATAATTTTTTATATCTCTATACATAGAAAATTGTTCAGAGTCCTCATATATGTTATCTTCACCTTGTATACTAGTTGTATCTGTGCAGCTAGTATTACTTTCAAAATCAGAATAATTACTAAAAATTTCACAACTTTCCCATGTAAATTTTTTAATCAAGCTTTTGATTCTAAAATTTATAGATAGAAATATATTAAGTCTTCTATTTTTATTAGAAGAAAATAAATGCCTTTCTAATGTTTTGTTCTTATCAACTTTGACCTCCTCAGTCAAAGATATGCCAATAGCCGAACAAGCAAGTTGAAATTGTTGATAGGTTAATTTAGAATCCAAGTCATGGTCCAATACTCTAAAAAGTTTTCTAAGATGAATCCTTACAACCTCTGTTATTTGTTTCTGAAAGGATCTCATAGTACTTTTATTATTTGAATATATAAAAAATATACGGGTTAGTCTTATCAAATAAAAAAGTAAGTTTGTAGAACTTACAACATTTACCTTGCTATTAAATTTTGAAAGAGATAGATCCAGTATGAGTACTACAATGGTAACTACATCTATTATAAATTCTAAACTTCCAAAGTAGCCTTGAAAAATTAATTGAGCAAAGGATTCCAGAGATAAAAGTATAATATTAACAAGATAGAAAACTCCTAACACATAAAAAGTAGTATCTTCATTTTTAATAATGCAATTTAATGGCTCTGCAAGTACTCCCAATGAATGTGTACAAATGGTAATAAATTCAAACCATCCTGTTAAACAAAGTTTTTTAGAAAGTAGTAATATTGAATATAACACTTTGCCATATGTCCCTTTATCTGTAAAAACACTTTCAGGTAAATCTTCAGTATTATCAGCAAGATCATAAAATAAATCCTTAACCAATTTTTGTTGCCAGTCGTATTCTAAAATATTATTTAGAAGAGATCCACCAGTAATAGAAGAAAATAGTGAATGTCTCCTAGGGTAAAAAAGGTGCAAAAAAGCTTCAGAGTTAGAATGGTCCCCTTGACTTTTCATATTTAGATCATTAATCCCAGTATCTACACCCTGCTTTAATAATATATATTTATCTTCATTGTATGCAATATTCTCAGAAATATTGCTAGTTAATTCTCCATCTTGAGTTATCTGCACAGAGTCATTTACTTCAGGATTAGTAACTGAAAATATATCGTATAGCTCATCAACTAGACCAAAGCTATAAGATATACATTCATTATATTTCTTTTTGTTAAATGTTGTTATCCCATTACTATTTATGGACACAATATCATTAATCTGAAATATTTGTTCTCGCCCCCTATTAGCTCTGGAAGCTTCATTGAGACAAGAGTCCTTATTTTGGATATTTTGTCCAATATAACATGATAGCTTAATACCAACTCGAGCTAGATTCTCACAATTAATAAAGTAGTCCTGTTTCTTCTTCTTCTCTTTTTTATTAGAAGGTAATTCCTTATTGGAATGCTTCATACTTAATATACCCTGAAATTCATCGTCACTTCCAAAGAGAATTCCAACTAAATTAGATTTCAAAGTATATTTGAATACAAGTGCAGAATCGTCTTACGTAAAATTGAATATATTAAAATATTGAATTAAACCAAAAGGTATCTCAATCAATTTCATGCGCACCCGTTTATAGTAAAAAGGCGGGACAGATAACAAGGTACTACTGGGCACTTCAAGTATATAAAGATATGCCTCAGTAGATAGTACAATATTAGAATTGTGATTCCTGCAACTGAAGCTATGCTATTCACAACAAATAAGGCAATATATTTTAGATATTGAATATAAAATTAAGATGTAGAGGTAATGCTTAAAGAAATTAACAGCTTCAAGGAAATTTCCTTTAGAAACTTGAAAATACATAAATATTGGAACTTCTGAAATATTTTAATTAAAGAAAAGTTTTAGATAAAGTTAGGATCTAGATTAATACTCCTTAAATATAAGTAATATAGTTACAATTCCTCACGAAAAGTGGGGTCCGTTATATTAGAAGATAATGTTGAGTTAGCTACAATCTGAGTGCTATTCTGCAATAATGTATCATTATTTGTAGAAATTTTAAAATCATCTTCAAATTTCTCCTTCATTTCCCACCAGATATGCATATTAGGGATCTTTTCATTTTGATCTTTGAGTAGTCTAGGCCACTTTACATTGGATTCTTTTTTAGCTAGGGTACATGTTAACTTCCCAACAGATCCAAAAGTCCATTCAGACTTATCGGCATCTATCTCATCAAATAGTTCGAGCTTAAGTTCATATCTTTTCATCTCTTGTGAATGAGATCCCAGGGCTGAAAAATAGAATGTATTGTTAGTTATTGAAACTACCTCATTTTCTACCTTAAGAGCTCCCGGAGCATTCCATCTATATGTAAATTTAATATTTAAGAATATAAAATCACGAGATTGAGCCCACTGAAAAGCTGGAGACAGTAATGCAATTTCAGCATGTCGTTTATTGAGGAGTCTTACTAATTCATCAAGATGTTTCCTTATAATTAAGGTGGAGGCACGAACTGTAGAGCTCAAGTCAATATCTTGCTCATGAGTTCTCCTAACTAACTGCTTAGCCAAATCCCACCAACCTCTTGATATAGAAAGCTGTAAATCATCCTTAGTTACTAATATATCGGAAACACTCAAGAAATGTTGAATAGCCTCCTTTTCTAGCGAAAAAGTTGAATATTGTGAGCTTGCACTATCCGGTTCAATACAATTAGATATATCCACGCGAGTTACAAACAAAAGGATGAAAATAAAAGATGAATAAGTTCCAAATACCTCAAATAAGTTCATCTTAAAACCTTCTATACAAAATGTTTAACTCACACCATTACACAATAAATAGGTGCCACGCTTCATCTGGTTCACCGCTCAACAGGTGCGCGAAAGAATGAAGAAGTGAATAGTGCCTACTTGTTGGCTAAAGCATGAAGTAAAATATAAGTCTCAAGAATTTTAAAATTCTAACTTTCCTAGGCCTTTATATATAGTGTGTATAGTGACTAAGATCTATATAACTTTTTACAGTCTAAAATTACTTATTTGCTCTTATCTGCGTGGAATTGAATATATATGGATATTGTGAGGATCTTTAGTATGAACTTTGTTCAGCTGTCTGAACAGATATGGGTACTGAATAGTCGGATTAATTTCTACCAAGTAGCTTTCCTTAAGTTTAAATAATAAGTCTTTCCTCTCATTTATAGAAAGGCTATGGTCTAGGCCACGGAATATGTATCTAATAGTGCTAGAGATAAATGCAATAGCATAACCAGGTCTCTTCCCAGGATTTTTTTGGGCCACAAGTATACGAAATTTGGGACTATGAAGCCAATATCGGTCTATTCTTTCATTAGGAGCAGGATCAAAAGCTCTACAGTACCATATAACAAGAAGAAGACTTAAGAATGATGTCCAAGATGTACCAAAGAAACCGAAATTCCTGGCACAGAACTGTGCTTCAAAAAATGCCCTACTCAAAGGGATACGTTGATAGTTAGGATAGTAGAGTAAATTCGCTTCATATGGGAATATCTCAGATAAGGGGATTTGTCTAGTGAGTTGTTTATAGATACGATGCATTTATCCCTCAAATCATTAGTATATTCATTACTACTAATGTTAGGCGGTCAACTCTAATAAATATTGTGCGCGCTATTATTATAAATCTGGGCCTTTTTTCTTTAGCCACCTAAATATTTTATTTTTCTAGTCTTAGCTTAATGACCTTATATGTCAAAAATTGTGGTTGTTGATAATGGTTCCTTTAGTATTAAGGCAGGATTCGCTGGAGAGCCTCTTCCAAGGTTCGTGAAAATAAGAAGCTTTTTTTTTGGAGTGAACCTTTTGAAATAAGATTATATTTTTAGGGTATGTTTGCCAAATTGTATTGGCAAAGTTCGCAGAAGAGAGAGAATTTACACGTGTGATCAAATATATACCTTAAATGAGTATTTTTCTCATCATCCATTTTCGGAAGGACTTTTGATAGATACTGCTTTACAAAGTGATATATGGAAGTATACATTTAATAAGTTAAATATAAATCCACTGGAGTGCACTATTTTGGTTACTGAGCCATTTTTAAATCCAACACCTCTACAACATAGTTTGTCAGAGCTTATATTTGAGGATTTCCAATTCGAAAGTGCTATAATATCAACTTGTCCTCAACTAATACCTTTTGCCTTTACTCCTATTCAAATACCTAATGCAACTTCTGAGCAAGATATTAATCCCTGTTATTTAGTTTTGGATTGTGGATACCAGTGTTGTAATAGTGTTCCTATGTATCAAGGCACTCCAATTGAGAGCGGCTGTAGAAGACTTGATATTGGGGGATATTACTTGGATCTGCTACTTAAAAATTTTCTTGCATATAGACAAATTGATCTTTCTCAAAATGCCTTTTTAGTATCAAAAATAAAAGAAATAGCTTGTTATGTATCTACAGATTTTGAGAAAGATTTGTTGCAATTTTCATCAGATAAACACGGTGATAGATCTCTAGATCATTGGGTTAAATTACCTGAACCTTCTTCATCTCTTAGCAAGAGTAGCCAGTTTTACAATGAAGAATGTATTGCACCTGATCCTAATGAATTTATTTCGGAACTTCCGGAGGAATTGGTTGGGATACAGGGTATGTATAACAAAGGTATGAAGATGTCCCAAACTCAATTTGTAAAACTTTCTACAGAAAGAATAACAATTCCCGAGATCCTATTCCGACCTTCTGATGCAGGTTTTAATATGGAGGGAATTTCGGAAATGGTAGTAACATCTATAAAGTCCTGTCCTATTCATCTGCAGCCCCTATTGGCTAGCAATATTCTTGTTTCAGGAGGATCTAGCAAGTTCAGGAATTTCCATACAAGACTACAAATGGATCTAACTCAAATGTTACCTTCGGTAAGCTATATTATAGTTCACTAATCTATTTAAATATTTATTATATTTTTTTATAGGGTTGGGAAGTAAATGTAAGGAAAGCAGATGTAAACCCTCAGTACGTAGCCTGGAGTGGAGCTTCTATATGGAGTTCTTCTCCTGGATTTATGGGATATACTACATCACGTAGACAATATCATGAAGCTGGAAAGAATTAGTGTGAAATTCCACTCTAACAATATAGAATTCGATGACATTCCTGAGGCAACACAGGTACGTAGAGCGACTGACTAGTAGAGCTCTTTTAAGGGAGACCAGACTTGAGGCAAAGTCAAGATATACGAGACTATCTCAATAGAAGGATTTTCTAATATAAAATATTTATGAGTATTCAGACTGTGAAAGGCACCTTTATATCTTAATCTACCAAATGTTTGCAAAATTTATAGCTTATAATATTTTAACAACTTTTCTGTTCCCTATTCCTCTACAATCGTTTAAAAGTGCTTCGGTTCTTCTTTCTTCACTCAAATAGTGAACATTAATATAATGTGCGAGGTTAGTCAAAACCTTATGTTCATAATTACTCACTGTGGACCAGTTCTAGGTCAGATACTCCTAACATTTTAAAAAAAAAAAAAAGAAAGTTGGTTACTTTGTTCCCAACAGTATCTGGCGCCAAAAAACGTTTTTCTCTACTCCCGTCCCACGCGGTAGACAAAATTACCACTTAGCTTAATTTCCTTCTGTTTTATTGGCAATATGACTGAAATAAAAAAACGGGGAAGAAAGCCCCTCGCAAAGTCAACTGAAGAAGATAGTTCAGATTCCCAACAGTTACATAACAAAGAGGAAAGTGCAGTCTTATCGGCTGAATCAGAAGCTTCTGAGCACATACAGGAAATATCAACTGCAAGCAACAATGATATATCCTCGGCAAATGAGAATTCAGGTTCAACATCTGCATCAGATCAGAAGTGCAATGATCCATCAAGTACTTTGTACGTGTGCAGACTTTCTCTTCGTACAAAGGAGGATGATCTGAGGCGTCTTTTTGAGGAATATGGTAAAGTTACGGACTGTAGATTGGTTACTAATCCTCTATCTGGTGAAAGTCGATGTTTTGGCTTTGTAACAATGAGTTGCCCTGAAGAGGCAGCTAGAGCAAGAGATGCTCTTGATTGTAAAGAGTATCAAGATGCTAATCTTAAAGTTGAAATGGCTAGAAGAGCTAAACCTTACGAACCTACTCCTGGGGAATACAAGGGTCCTCAATATAGATCAATTAAATATAACTCTTCATCCAGAAATGGACCTCCCAGGTCTTATCGTGGTCACTCGAGTAGGCCAAGCTCGAGGAGTCGTTATGACTATCCTCCTCAATCCTCGTCTCACACAAGGAGCGAACAATACAACAGACACGATGATTACTACAATAGTAGGTATAGTGACCACAGATATCCTTCAAGATCAGATGACTACCACCATCCTTCACGATACCACTCTCCTCCAAGATATTCCTCAAGAGCAGATCCATACGACTCTAGATACTCAAGACGTTGAAGAATTAAGTAATTAATGAGTTGAGTGAAAATATCTGATAATTATCTGATACTTACATCACGCTTCTGATTAGGTTAAAAAGTTTAGCAAATCTCTTTTCTCCCTGTCTTTTCATTGATCGTCCGCTCTTTTTTGTTTGTACTCTCTTTTTTTTTTCTTTAAAACATATATTTGGTCTCTGGGATTTGATATGACAAGAGATTTGGCTAGACTTTCAATACTTCAGTTTTTAACTACTATGTATTTTGCCCTATGTTTCTTGGCAACATTGTTTAGCTGTTTCTCGTCTTCTCTCCATATCCTCTCTCAACATGGGAAATTGATTAAAAATGACTTAGATATAAGGAAATTCTACAATGAGGTTCCAAGGGACATAGTTTTAGTGAAATTACTTAGGAGATTATACGCTTCACAATTTATATTGGTCCGGAAGAGCTTGTTCAAATACTTTTACATCGTTGGTATTTTTGCGTGTCTAGGCTTTATGTTTATTCAAGATAATACATCTAATAGAATGATTATGTTCACGATACATGTTTTGCGGAGATTTCTAGAGGAGATTTTTATTGCTAAACATAACAGTAACAAAAGCTCTATGAGCTTAGTAACGTTTTTATTTGGAATATCTTATTACATAATGATGCCTATTGCCATTAGCTTGACGTGGAAGTCTACGAGTTCACCTTGCTTAATCCAAGTAGTTGTATTTTTTTTGTTTTCAGCGCTTCAATTTATGAGTCATAGGACTCTATCGAATATTAGAAGACACTCTAGAATGTATGATATTCCTTGTGGAGGATTGTTCAATTGGATATCCTGTCCACACTATCTTTGCGAAATTGGTATATATACATCATTATTTGCTGATATATTTGTTTATGGAGTTCATTATCTTTGGATATATTTTGCTATGATGTACATTACAACTTGCATGATTGTAAATGCTATACGTTCACACAAGTGGTATATTGAAACCTTTAGAGAATCATACATCAAACTCAATAGGAAGGCAATTGTTCCATTGGTTATATAACATGCTTTCTAGTAGGAAATGACTAAATTGGTATAGCTGTAGATTGCTACTATAAGAAATGGCAATTTTCTAATTTATATTAACTAAACTACATTTAAATACAAAGTCTAAGATACTAAGATATTGTTCAATTGCTCCTTTGGCTTGTATATTTTACAGGAGCTTTTCAATGATTTTAAAATTGGAATCTTATATTTAATTTCAAAGATTTAATGAATTTTTGCAGAATAGTACATGATTTCTATACTTATAATGTTTTTTTTTTTTTTCTTTGTTTCTTTTTTTTTAAATTAATATAGTTCCAATTTTACAAACTTGATATATTTGTAAGTGGTGACATTTTACTAACTATAAATTAATCACTTATTTAAACCTCTAATTTCCAAATGACAATCCAAACTCCTTTAGTTTCTGCGATTATATCTTAATTAAATTTGTAGATTTACTATTTTCAAAAGGCTACCAACATTATTAGAGAATATTTATAGATGATACCTTGATGGCTTCAATATTTGATACATTTAGATTATGAGCTTTGTTTTATTAGAAATAAGATATAGATGACTTTTTGTGAAATTTACTATACCAAAATAACTCAATATATTATTAATGGAATTAGAAGAAGCTTTGGAGTTTTACCTACTAAAATTACAGTGAGGATTTGCAGTCAAATCAAATATGAAATATCTTGTGATAATCTATAAATCCTCACCAACATACTTGAATTTCACAAGATAATTTGACATTACAGTCACATTATTAAGCAAATATAAGAGTTGTTCACTGCTTCGAAATTTTAATTCATGTTACCAAAAGAACTTGAAATTGACCATTTACCCAATATCTGTATGGATTTTTGATTAGTGTAAATTTATATTTTGAATTGGTTGTATTGTTTGAGCTTGGTCTAACTCCAAATACACGTAAAATCCAATAATTATCTTGATGTAATTGGGCGTATGACCACTCTTTACAAGTAATATGAAAAAACTTTCTATCTTTGCTTAATGAAGATTTCACTTCTATATATGTGGTCGATACAATTTCTCTAGATAATGGTGATATAGTATTGATTGTTATATCATACGGGAGGCCTCTTTCCATGTATTCATTTTCCCAAGTTATAGTAACTTTACCATTTAATATATCTTGTTTGTAAATTTCAGATAAGTAATCAAATCCTGCCTTCTCACCAAACTTTCCAATATCTATAGCTGTAGGATTTGGACCTGAATTTAAGAATCTGTCCAATTTTACAGAATTAATTGTCGAGTTATTTAATTCAGATACCACATCTTTAGATTCAAAATGCTTGAATGTAAAGTCTTCAGATGAGTTTTCATCATCGCCATAGTCTTTGTTAAATAAGAAGTACCTGAAGTTAAATCTATATCCTCTTATTGAGGTTTCAGCTTTTTTACTAAGTTTTACTATTATATCATTCCAAGAAATTTGAAAAGAGGAAGATTTAAGAACTTTTTTTATTACCAAATTAATGAGAATATGTGATATTTTAAATACTCCAAGATTACAAGAACTAGTTTCACTCAAAAAACTTGATACAAATGAAAGTAATGATGCTACTACATGCTTATAGTCACCAGTATTTAGACTTTTCAGATGTTTTATATATATAATATCAGCTTTGTTATCATAGTAAGAAGCAAGCCGGACTTTATTTATGGAAAAATTGAACTCTACAAAAATATCTTTTTCCAAAATCAAAACTTCACACTTCGAAACGCGAGCATGCCAATCTTTGTAATCAGACCTAGATATACAATCGAGAGAATCTTCACACAATGGACCTAAGATGTTAGCTATGAGCTCCTTATAAAATTTACTTTCCTTTTCAAAACTAGAAAGTTCGAAATGAGCGTCATCTCTATCCACTTGGTCGCTAGATATGTACCCATAAACTGCAGTAGTAATTGGTAAGCATAAAGAGTACCACTGCTTTTGTAAATTATCTATAGCAATTATTTCCTCCCAGTTATATTTAGCTAAATTATCATTTATATAAATACAAAAGGGAGACCATAACATTTTCATTTCTCCTGTTATTCCAGAGAAATTCTCCGAAAAAAGAATGCATAAATTGGACAGCGATGGAAAAAGTAATGGAGAGCTTTTTTTTCTATAATCAAATAGATCATATGATCCATTACTTACTACTGGAAGAAGTACAGAACTTGGAAATTCCAAGATACTTCCAAACTTCATGGAATTTGATAGGTATACTATTATCTTTATTAATGATAATAGTTGCTCTGAGTCTAGGTCATTTTTATCACTATACTGAAAGTTGTCAAGCTCAGCCAGAAGTTGTTTATCTGTTGGTGATAAAGAAATTCCTAGTTCAGTCACAAAAAAACTAAAAAAATCCGTTGTTCTACATCTGTGTTCTATATCATCATGTAAAAAAAGTTCACCTAAAGGTTGGGACCAGCTTATTAATTTGTCTTTATCTTCCCAATATACTTCACTAGACTTCTTCCAAATTATGCTTCCATTAGACAACTTTACAGGAATCATACAAACTTTTTTGAAGACATCAGAAATATCTATGTCCAAATCATTGTTAAATTTCATACAATATATAAAGAAGTCAAATAGTGTAACAAGAGAGAAGTATGATATATCTTTTATTTTATAAGTTACCAAATTTGTTGAATTTTCGTTGCAGCATATTGATTCGAGTATAGAGAAAATATATTTTGAACTATTAATTCTAGTATTAACTCCAAATGCAAATTCAAGTATTTCTATTGGATATGCATTATTTTCTAAGTGTATTAACCCGACAAAGGGCGAGATTATCTGTAAATATTCCATATTACTACAATATGTCAGTTGCTTGGGACGAGAAATGCCAATAAGCGAATATGAAGTTTCAGTTATATACTTCACATAACTAAATAGTGAAGCATTTTGCAGTTGATGAGCTAGTAGAGAATATGAATTTGGTATGGAACAATCTGAATTTGCTTGTCCTAAGTGCCAGAATTTGCTTAGAGAGTTCCAGTTAGAACATACAACTTTGCACAAATCTTCTGTAAACTTTACAAGTATTAAATCCGCTTTTTCTTGATTATTCACTATCCTGCAACTTCTCAACAACTCACATATATCTTCTAATCCTTCAATATAAAAATCTATCACTGTATTGAAACCTTTATCTCTCAATTTTATGAGATCGTTTATATGTTTTTTTAATACTGATTCATCTATATCACCCCTAATAATATCTTTAATATGCTTCATTAATTGATTTTCATCCAGATTATCCAAATTTAAATTGAGTTTCTTGATTATAAAAGGTAACTCCGTTATCCCAAAAAGTGAGAAAAAATATCTCCAATACTCTATATCACCAAATTCTAAATAATCTAGACTAAGTTTACTACGCGAAGTATCTCTCAAATATTTGAATTCATGTTTTATAAATGTCTCTTCTTCTAATAAATCTAAAATATATACAAAATTAGTTATATTTCCCAATTTTTCATGAATGTAAAAATTTTCTGAAGTTAAGGGGAGGATCTTTTCATTACTTGATACACCAAATATAATCACATTTTTATCAATAGGTTTCCTAACCCAAAATGAATTAAGTATACTTGATAATCTTATTATAGTTTTTGCATCAATTTTAGGGTCTAAATGTGTTACTTTTTCTAAAATAAATTCTATATATTGCTCTTCCTTAATATCATAAATATCCATGTCATTATAAAAACTATTAAGATTCTTTATATCTACATAATATTCACTTCCACTAATAACTGTATCTGAATTTTTTAGTAATTTCTTGCTTATAAAGTGAATGCATGCAACATTAATAGAAGTAAATAACTCGCTTGAAGGGAGAAATAGTTGATTCCTCCCCAGTTTATTATTATAGGATGATACATATTCATCTTTATCAGTAAGAAATAAAGGTAAATTTTTCAATGTCTGCAGATAACTTTCCGAATAAGTTGAAGATGCAATGAGCTTTCCCAAAAGAGTAAAAACTTGTATATACCATTCAAAAGGACGGTTAAAGTAAGAAAAATCCCTTATCATACCATCTATGAGTGTGATGATAATTACCAAGTTAACTGAATCTATTCCAAGATCATCAAAGATAGTATGTTCAACATATTTTTCAACATCACTACAAATAATTTTCTTTTTGCAATGTTTATCCAACACAAAACATAATTCATCGAGATTAGGGAATATTTTAGAGATAGTGTCAACCGATAATCCAGAATATGTATTAAAAGAGCACAGTACATTTCTAGGGTATTCAAAAATACCACTTTGAGTATAAATACATGGTACAGACTTTAGCATATGATGAAATTTTGTTATTATTGGGGCAAAAAAGTTATCAACATAGTCACTAGATAGAGGTATAACAGACAGAAATGATTTATGTAGCATGGATAAATTATCCAGTCTTCTCCAAGATTGTATCGCATGAATTAAAGCATTCGGAATACAGTCACGTAGTAGACAATTCCATTCATTATTTGTTGCTATTCCCTCCCTTGACGAAGTTAGTTCAAAATCAGCATGTATAATAAAGTGAAATCCATATGATCGAATAGGCAAAAATGCAAAAACGTCGCAATACTGTTTACCCAAACAAACTCCAGTATTTGTGGATTCATCTGCCTTAAGTTCCACTCCAATAACTATCTTCTTCTGGCGATTTTTGTAAATTTCGCGATCTAACCAGTGATTTTGTTTACATATTGAAGATATATCATAATCTACGAGTAAAAATTGTCTTTTCCAGTACCTTCCTCCAGGTAGTAATTTTCGTTTTTTAATGGTTCTCTCAGCATCTTTAGAATGAATATATTCTTGAATGAATATTGTAGTGAAGTATGAATTATCATCTAAAATTTCTGTGCACTTTTTAATTGAAATAGTCGCATTTTTTTGGGTATGCTCAAGATATACAAGCTTATTTGTAAATAGTAAAAATTCAGGTTTTAGGTGAATTCTCGTCAATTTTCTAGCCTTGAAAGGTAACCAAATTACTGTATTCCATGCGGATTTATTCACTTCATAGCCAGATATATCAAGTAGATCTTTAGGTATTAGTTCAGTGATTTCACATGATACCCATTCAGGGTATATGTATGCACCATATGGAGATTGGGCATCAAATCTAATTTTAAATCCATTACTGAAAATATATGGAGTATCCGTAATAGTGAAGACACTTTTAAATCCTAAACCAAATTTCCCTATTCTTCGTATCTTACCACAATCTATTTTAGAACTGTTAGCAAGATCACTAAGTGACATTATATCTAAAGGTGTAAACCCATCTTCGTTATTTAATACCAGAATTCCCCCACTTCCAGTAATAAATTTTAAGGATGGGACACTAGTTTGATGATATTTCAATTTTTCGTAGAAGTTATCATCTGCATTTTGAATAAGTTCAAGCTGAAAATGATTTCTATCACAATAAAGATTCTCGGATAACTTTTCTCCCGTACGTTTTATCAGCTTGGAATACTGTAGAAGTATATTCTCTAACTGAGGATCTTTTCTAGAATCTATCCCAATTCCAAAACGGTTTAACTGAATTAAAGAAACTATCTCCTCGGGAGTTTTGTGCTCTATACCATTTTCATCAATTTTTAAGTTTGATTCTATAATATTATGTCGTGATTCACTAACCTCTGATTCAGTAGAACACTTTTCCAATAAATAATCACCTTCAGAATTAATACTGTCCTTTTCACCTTTTACGCTGAATTCATAATCCTTTATATTATATTGCGTATTCCAGTCACCACTCTTCTTTTGTAAGTTAAGTAATTCAAGACTCTTATTGAAATTGAGATTTGGTAGTATGTTAAAGATAGTATCTACAATATTGTTTAAAGCAGAGTCATTTCTACATTCTATAAAAAACACTATAAGAGAATGAATGGTTGATTCTATTGTTTGATCTTCCCATAGAGAGATTATTGGTATAATTATATATTCCCAAATAAGATTATTAAAAGCTGGGGGTGTAATCGCTATAATAATCTGCAACATTTCTATAAAGCTACTTCTTTTTTTAGAACCATCTTCAACTACTAATTTAGTTCGTCTTATAAATTCATCAATAGGATATGCATCTATAAAATTCTTTACCCCATCTTCCCAAATACAGGCTGCCAGTAAGTAATTCACAACCATTATACCATCCAAAGAATCAATAGAATTAAGAATTTGATTTTCATAACTAAATTTTGTGTGTATTCCATCCTTATCTGCTGTTGGTTTAACTAATTTAATTATACACAAATTACCAACTCCCATAATGGGATTATGTATACTATTACCACTTTTTTTTATATGACTAGCTGAATAACATAGAAAAAAAAAATCCCTTATATATTCACTATTCTCATGCTTCCTAATAAAATCTTCCAAGCTACCATGAGTAGTGTATCTACTAGAAGCAAACCAAAATAAGTAGTTATTCAGATCAGTCATAGGAGGACACTGCTGAATAGATCTTAATATTTCCTTCTCGCCAATTATCTCCTCCATATAATAATTGGATTTATTATTATCACAACAAGTATTTATATATCTAACAAAATATAAGTTAGAAACTAAATTTGTAGCATTAAATACTACAGAATTAAGGTTTTTTCCAGGCTTTGTATTGAAACTTGGATCCTGAAGAATATCTTGGTAATTTTTTATGCCAATACTACTCAAATTTAGACCAAGTTGTTCAATAAGCATATTATTAATCATGTTTTGACAATTAACCTGAGAACTACTTCTTTTAACGCAGCTTTGTACTATACTCAGAACTTTTTGTCCAAGCTTAGTTTTTAAAATGCCACTTTTCGCACTCTCCCTATCTCTATCTGAATTAAATTCATATACATCATGCCAATTATATAAATAATTGTAAATTCCTCTCAATAATTTCTGTTTAGACAAATTACTATAGCAATTTTCTCTTAAAAAGCTCTCAATTATATCAACAATAGAAAAGTCACAGATTAAACCTGTATCTGAAGTAACAGCTATTTCTAATTGTTTAAGAGCATTTACTTCAGAGGTATCATCCCCTAACAAACTTTCTTCTAAGTTCTTGTCTAGTGCATCCATTAATACTTTTACTGAAATATTGTTTCTAACGATACTAGCAGTGTGAACAATTAATGGTAAATCTCCCTTTTGATCTTTACTTTGATATATTCTCCATGAAATACCACTAAGAACTCTTAAAGTAGCATAAATAACTCTTGAATATCTTTGCTTAGCTTCAATGTTATGAATCTCCGAAATATCCAAAATATTGCGAAAATAGAAGACACTATTTAGCCCACGAATTAACAAGTTCAAGTGATTATTTGGCTTATCTATACATGTAGCTCGCTTGTTCTTCATATTTATATCATTTAAAATCCCAAAAATATTGGAAACTTCGCGAGGATATTTCTCTTTATATTTCTTACATATAGCTCTTATATGTGAACAAAACGACTTACCTCTTCTGGGGCAAGAACATTCAAAAGTACACATATCAACTATTCGAAAATCGGTACTATAAGATGTGACATTATAAACATGAGGATCGTATGAACACTCAAAAATCCCTGAAGGATCTGATGATATATCTTCTGCTTTGGTGTTCATGTGGCTTTAATTTAATAATTTCCTGTTTGCATAACTTCCCAAAACCTTACTACATTTAACTCATCCTTATCTAAAAGTAAATGATCAAAAGCCTTTATAAATTATTATTTCTTATCAAGTCAAACTCTGATACGAAATTTAACGTATACTGAATCTTTAGATAAAAGGCGGTTCTACTTGCGTCTGGTGCTGGTTGCTTGCTGCTTACATTACTAACAATAATCCATGAAACTTTATTCTTTACTTATATGCAAGTGGAATCCTGGTAACTTAGCTTATATCCTATCATCTGCTTATAGTTTATCAACGTAAGTCTATAGAGAAAGAATCGGCTCAGTTAAAATGTAGAAGCAGAAATATTTATTTAATATGGTTTTTCAGTTTCTCATATTTTGAGAGAGGTTCAATTAAAGAATTGTGTGTGTTTATATCGCGAACTATTACTCCAAAGGTAGGAGATCAGAATTAATTACTTGCATTAATAATACTTTAATTGCTTATTTTAGCTAATTATACACTCCCGAGAGATCATAGCACATGATCAATTTATTGTTTGTGGCTACAAATGGAATGATGGTTTAACTATTCTCTCTATATGCGACTCTGATTATCCAACAAGGTAACTTTACTGATAATATACATAGTTCTACTTCTTTAATTTACTACTGGCATCAAAATTTTTTAGAATTGCTTTTCGCTGTATAATGGAAGTATATAATGACTTTTCCTCTACCTTCTCCGATGATACTTTAAACAAAGTAGACTGTGATTATAGTGTGCGTTATCCTCAGCTGCGAGAATTTTTACAGAGATACAAGGTATGTATGTCATGTTGTTTATTTCATCTATTTCCTTAGTTACCGGTTTTTTTCTCAGAATCCTTTAGCTGTAGATAGTATATCGCTTTCTCAAATGAAAGTAGAACAAGCACATGTATGTCCCACAATCACTTTGGAATGTACTCTATAACCCCTCAATTTCACAATTAATTATGATATGTTTGTTTAATAGGACACTCTTCGTCGTTCTTTAAAGGTATTTCTTGATAGAGGAGAAAATATTGAAGATCTAGTTCAAAAAAGCCAGGATTTATCTGAAACATCCAAAGCACTCTTCAAGTCATCCAAAAAAATGAAGAAGTCATGTTGTAGTTTACAATAATTATATAAGTGGAATATTTTATTTTATAATTAATATTGTCTATTAAATAAAAATTGTGGATTATACCGGTATTACATGCAGTTACATGTAATGTTTAACAATTTTTTTTTTGCCGGCACACGTGACAGATATAATTTACTTTTCATTGCACTGAATTATATGAACTAAAAATGTTTTTTAAAGTAAAGCCCTCTGAACAATTCCCAACTGCTCCTGCTAGCCCAGTATTAATCCCCTCTGAAGAGTCTTCTGTCCCCGAGGTAGCTCTTGAAGAAATCAGAAAAGTATTATATTTTGGTTTTTGTGGATTCTTATCTACTGCAGTGATCTCACTGGCAGTGCTTCAAGTGAATGTTAATGCTATATGTGATAGGGTAAGGATGATTGCATATTAAATCAGGAGACACAATATGAAAAGTTATTTGATTACCAATTTATAGAATCTCGATGAAGTAAATGCTGTTTCTGCATTGTTATCGCTTGTTATGGCCACTGTATGTTCTATATTATCTTTTTTCCCAATTCAAACAGCAGCGATTACTAGAGCATTCAAATATGGTGAAATACCTCTTTATGAAAAGTCACATATATGTCAGTGGGCCGGTATTACTGCTCTAATATTATTACCTCTATTTCTTGTTGTTCAAGACGGTAAGTTATTTAAACCAATAGCTACACTATATTATTAAACTAAATTGTTTTTCTATTAATAGTTGGTGGATTTATATCAATTGCCGAAAGTAATACGTGTAAATATACAGCTCCAGGATTATTTATTGGTAAGTGGTCACCTATAAAATTTTAAGTATTTAGCTTTGTAAGATACTTATATCGATAAATATTAGGGACAATTTGTGTTATTAGCCTTCAATTACTTGTTATGAGCATTATGGTTGCTGCATTGGTAAGTAGTTTGTTAATAAGCTTGGAAATGTTCCCCTACTTAATTTCTCTATTCATGTAGAATTCAGCAAGAGTTATGGATATTCTAAGTTCTCTGCCATCACTCAATATATCCCTTATAACAGAGGTATGTTTGGAAAATTAAACTTACAATGCAAAGTAAATAAGTGATTTATTTGCAACTTTTAGTGGCTCAAGTGGGAAAATCTGAAGAGTTTCATAGATGGAATCTTGAAGTTGCCACTAGTGATTAGAGATTTTATAATAAAAATATTTGAGAGAATAAAAAATTTAATGAGTTTGCAAAATCTCCATTCAACTGTTGAATGGCTTTTCACATCTATAAAGGAGAAATTTGTCAATTCATTTGCAAAACTAAAGAACTTTTGGGAAATATATGCAGAATGGTTAAAAAATATTCAGGAAAAAATCCACAATGGGATTAGTACTATTAAAGAGAAAATAGAAGTATGTTTCCAGTATGGAAAAGATATGGGAATCAAGGCTTTCGATGCTTGTAAATTATTTCTAATCAAGCTTAAAAACAGAATGTCAGGTAGGTAAAATAAGATCTTTATGATAGGTCACAAGTTCAGTATATATATAGATTATCACCTTCTCCATTAGACATTGTTAAAAAGGCTGGCTTGGATATTGAGTCACTCCCATTACTACCCAAGTAAATATTAATTGAATAGAGAATAAAATAGAGTGATCTTTATTAACTTTTATGTCTAAATAATCCATACAAAAAAAAACTAGAAATTTATCTGTGGTTGAACCCTAGATACTTCATCCTCATCATTTAGTATTGAAGATGAGTAACGAGAATTCCCATTTCTAGCTGCAATATCAGATTTTAATGAAATCATATCAATTTGTTCAAACAAAGAAGACAAATTGGAACTTGTGTTGTTAGGAAAGTCCTTTATGCAAAATAATTCATCGGAATTTATTGAGCTGCCGGAAGTTTCCGGGTCTCTACTAACACTTGGTAACTCGCAAAGTGAGTCCTGACAATATGTTACTTTAATTCTGTTAACGACATCGAATATTGTAGATAATTGAGTAAATATCTCCTCCCAGTACTTAGGATTTGTTAAATCCACATAATTAATATATGATTCAGGTGATTCTAACATACTTTGCCACTTAAAATTAAGACTCTTGAGTTCTTCACATGGATCATTCAAATCTTGAGAATACAACCCTGTAGAAAAATCTGACCAATTCATATTTATACTTGAAGATTGTTCAGTTCCTTTAGGATTTCCAAACCATGAATTAAAACAAAAAAGTCCTGGAGAGGAGGCTGTACTCATACTTTTGTTAGATTGTATTCCTTCATTAACTCCCGAATTAGTAATTGCTATTTCCTGTATCCCAGTTAAAGACCATTTTGATTTCTTTGTTACAGTCTGGTCTTCACTTAGTGGGGATTTAACTTGATTACTATCATTTGCAATTTGCACTATGCGTCCATTATCAGAAGAAGCAGGCTTATCAACAAGACTCACATTAGGATATATTCTTACCTTTATTCCACGAGTATACGGTAATGTATAATTCTTTTCAGGCCTTTTCTCAGCTAAACCATGAATTAAGTGACAGTAATAAGTTTTACATTCCCCCTTTTGAAAATCATCGCAAAGCTCAGTCTTATAACATAAAGGATGATAAATTATTTCCTCCATAGAATGAGCAAAGGGACAATAACCACCTCTATTGCAAGTACTTTCAATAGCTCCAGTCTCCTCATTCTTGATAATAACATCAGGACAAAGATCAGGTAGATATCTTAGAGCCATTGGATCAGACAGATAAAATGGACACCTCCGTGGCCAAAAGATATTATGGGAGTATTGGCAACGATAAGGACCGAAGTCACATCCCTCTTTTCGACTCCTACGACAAGGTTTAGTGCGAAATCTCGTCAACTCCTCCTCGCTAAGCAAAGAGTTAGCCATTTCTCAGTTAATATAATATCAGAATCTCCAAGAATTAGGTTCTATTACCAAATATAAATAGGAAAATATAAATCAAATAGATAAATATAGATTAAATATTTAAAGTAACTAAATATCTCCAGGCTTGAGGAAATTTCAAACAGAATCTAAGCTTAATCTTCTTTCCAACTATATTACTTGTCTTTTAAAGCCTAATAAACTGTAATAGCAATACACAAAACTATAAATTGAGTAAATGTTTTTCTATATTTGGTTTAATACATTCCAAAAATAAACTACAAGTCTGGTATTAATACTTTGTCTGCTAGTAAAACAAAATCTACTTGATATTAAGACCACCAAGATAGTGTCTACTAGCCCAAACCATATATTATTAACTTACAAATTATAGATATTGCTCCAACCTGTCCCCACCAAACACTCTCCACACTATCGTTGCAACGACATTATATCTCCTCACGCTGTTACCACTGTGCAGCGCTCAAGAGACGTGACTGCAGTTCCTATTTACTGATTCACTACAAATATGTAGTATTATATAGTCGAATACATAGTTGTTTTGCAAGGGAGTCACATATTTATTCTTAACAGTGAAATATATGGCAGTATTTTAAAGACTGGAATGTATATCTTTGAAGAGTACTTCAATGAAGTACTAGTTTAATTATTTAATGGGAAACTCAAAGCATATATTTAGTAATAGCATGCACATTAACCAAATTTGTTTTTATATTCAACAGTTTTAGGATTTTTCTAAAATCAACCTTAGTTCAGACTTATATAAGGCGACGATATTATCGTGATAAGTTAGGAAGGATTGGAAGTATTCAAGTTTTGCATTATACTTCTTATACCTTGAATCTATTTTATTTCCAATTTTATTTAAAACTAGAACTCCATAATTATCAGAAATTTGCAAAACATCAAACCATAAAAGTCCAAAAATTCCTTGAGATCCCTGCTTAATTGCTTCTTTACCATAAAAAGTACTAAGAAAATTGCAACAACTTTCAAGTAAATTCTGAAGTGATCTATGTGGCTGTTTTTTTCTGAGGTATAATTTGTATAACTTTCCTTCATCATCAAATCCTTCACCGATTGTTGTTCTATAAATAGATGCATATATATAAAAAAGCTCCAAAATAGAAAATACTACAGTGCTAGATAGTACTTTACCTTTAGTCATAGTACAACATACATGGCTTATTGATATTACATGACTTGTTGAAACTTCTTGAACTTTACTACACCAAAATGGTGAAAAATTCTTCCCTATTATTTCTTTAACTAATTCTTTATTCTGTATATCTTCCTCAAACATTTGAAGCTCCTCAACTGTCAAGTCATCAATTGAAATAGCATTCTTTTCAACCAAACCAATTAAATATTCTATTCTATCTTTATTATGATCAAATTTACCATTTATTAAACTGTCAGAAGAGTCTTCCTCTCTAAGCAGTGAGCTAATGCGTTTTGAAAAGTTTCCAATATCACTATCTGTCACCCTAAGGTTTTTAAGATTTTCGGCAACTAGTGATTGACAGAATAGAGAATGACACCTAGATTCACCATGACTAGTATAACATTCTTTACAGCAATATTTAACTGAACATCTTGGGCAAGTGTATAAGCTTCTAGAGGTTTTACAAACCTCACAATTAGATGACATCTCTGCTATTATATTTTCTGAATATTTGTTCTCCAAGAAATTCAAGTTCAAGACTCCCGACATGTTTAATTAAAGAGCAGAATATCTATATAATTTAGAACAGTAAGAGGTGCAGGAATTTCGACTATTATTATAAAACCTGAAACTCTAACAATAAACTCCCGCCTAGTATCACGCTTGACCTTGAAAAGCAGAAGCTTCAAATGCTTAGCAAAGTACTCAAATGGAGAGTCTTTGACATTTATCATTGCATTTATGCATAGAATAAGTGGGTTATAGCATTTATGTTATGGTTTTGACTTCAAAAAGTCATACATATCATCATAACTGGGAAACTGTAACATTAGCTTTTTGGAATAAATATCCCAATGATCTACAACCTCATGTCCGTAGGGTTGATGTATTAAATATTAATATTAATGAAACTATGCGTTGTATGTTTATGAAGCGACTACATTCTCTTAAATATAATGTTCCTGGGTGGATAGAAAGACTTATAGGATGTACAGCTCAAGGATACGCAGTTGAGGAGTCCTTTTGTGATTTGGATAGCAAAGTCTTAAAAATAAAGGGTGTAAATCATACATTCAATCAGTTTTTTCGTTTGGAGGAAGAGTGCAGATATGAAATACATCCTGAAAATAGCGAATGGACTTTATATACCCAAGAGTACAAATTTATTGTTGAGGGATTTGGAAAAGAAGGTAATTCTATAAGAAGATACATTGAAAAGTTAGCAGCTCAAATAGTTCATGAGAAGTCTATAAATGGTTTGAGTGCTATGAATGAAAAAATTAAAAGTATTGAACCTTTTATTGATAAATGTACAAAGAGCAAACTTGAAGACAAGTTAAATGAGATGTTAACTGTAGCACAGTTAAATAAAGAAATAATGGCTGACCCTGATATTGAGATTACAAACTGTTTATTTAATAAATTACACACAGAAGATAAAGTAGGAAATGAAAATCTATATGTAGATCAGCAAGATCACAACAAAGTAATTCAAAGACCTTACAAAGAAAGTGAATATTATAAATACCTCCAAATTCAACCTAAAGATTGTAATGAATCATATAAAGATCTAATTTATATTTCAAAGATGAATAATATTCATGCGAATATCTCTTTCAAACCCAAGAACAACGGTATCTATGACAAATTACTAAATAAAGTTCAAAATCGCAATCATCCATTACTCATACGCAAAATATATGATGCTACAAGATTTACAATTAGTCTATTGCAAAAAATAAATTATATACAGTCGAAAACTGTATATAAAGATAAGTGTACAGGCCTTGACCACTTTTTCAACTTCTTGTGTTCATAAAAAAATTTCACCTGTAAATACAATTACCTTTTATTTAACTTTTCTATATAACTCTACAATAAGCCCTATGGAAATACTATTCTTTGATAAATTGATCAACAAGATTAATGAGCAATTGGGCATAGCTACATTTCTCATTTAATTGATTAGATACATTTGCAATTTCCAAATCTAGTTTATCACAGCTCTCTTTTTCACTTCTAATAGCTTTATCAAGACGTTTACAGTTAGGTATTTGAATGACTTTGGCTGCTAAAGCTTCACATTTCTCCCAGGATTGCTTTATAAACTTTGCATCCATCAAATCCTTATAATGTTGTTTCAGTTCGCTCATGCAATCATTTACCTCTAAATCAAAGCTCTTACTTTGAATTTCCATATTTGATCTATCTACTTCACTCAGATTGAGAACTTCACGCAGCTTTAAAGATCGTGTTTTAAGGCAGTCTATATGGTACAGACATTGAGACTTTACTTCGGATACATATCTACTCTCTTTAGTCTCGAGACTCTGCATTAGGGTAATTACAGACTGTACTAAATAATTTAATTCAGATTTCCCCATCATACTGTGAATTAATTGAGTTCTAATACCCATTAATATATCATCCTCTAATAAGGCTAAACGTTTTTGATCAAAAATAGGAGCTACTTTAAGACGACTTGCTTCATTTCCACTTAAATCACTCTTATTTGATGATTTTTGGATTGATTCCTCTATAGGTTTATCAGATAAGCTACTTTTAGTATTTATGTGTCTGTTTTTTACAACAGTCATCTGTTTTGTCCCCCTGTATTGTCTTAGATTAGTATCTTCATTTCTTCTAACAGTCTGCTTAATATCTTGAGATATCAAGTCAGAATTTCTAAGATTACTTGAATTATATTGAGTTGAGCTTTTATTAGTATTAGTACTCTCAGGCTGACCTGAAGATATGTAAGTTTTATAAGTTGAAGAAGCTCTTCCTGGAGACTTTACAGAATAAGGGGTATCTGAGCCTTCCTGCACTGAACCTTGGGTAAATTTAGAAGAGTTTGAAGGCAAAGGGGCATTGGAATGCTGATAGCTCAATGATCGATTGTCTTCATATTGTTTGTATCCCTTGTTGTATATTGGTCCGTGATTGTTTGACCTTCTAGAGATAGGATTAGAAGAGTAAGATCCTTGTGTTGAGTGACCATATGAATATTTTCGTTTCATCTATAAATATGTCAATTATTTAAAAGCTTTTTTTTAGGTATTAAAGCAAAAGGAACTTTAGGTATATCTGCAGAGCGCCAGAAGAAACTCTTAATTAAACTTTTACTATAAAATGGTCAGTAGACAATATAAAAAACTACTTTTACAACAAAGTACTGAGAGTTTCGATAATGCAGAATCTATCTCATTTGAGGACTCAGGTATTTCTGATGAATCTAATGAAGATTTTGTCATTAAGAACAAGTTCTCTGCTTTATATACCAATTCAGATACCGAAGTACCGGATGTGGATAACCAGTCATCCACTTATAATGATAATACAATAAACACTCTTAGTTTACCTGTATTAGGGCATAGAAAACACCCTGGGAAGAGATTTGAAAGGGATAAGTATGAGGAGTTACAAGCAGATGACTTGGAATATCTTGAGCATTTAACTGAACAGTATAACTTTGAGACATTAAACACGAATAAAACAGAACTTTCTCCATACTTAAAACACTGCTTGACCATGAATAAACAATGGTTTAATTGTGAAAATGAAATTAGAACTTTATTTGGAGCAAAGGTAGTTACTGGGAGTAATAAACCACATCTGCATAATCGCAAAAAAATTTCAAGAAGCAGACATTTAAATATTAGACATTATTTTACCAAGGGAGAAGATGACTGGCCTCACTTAAGTAGAGAAGTTTGTGGAATCAAGATGCAATATAATGAAGAGATTGATCAATTTTATTATACTTTTGATCTTGATTATATTAAAAAAAAAGATGTATTTGATGCTTTGGTAGATACTCATCAAGTTAGTCACATTTATACATTTATGGCTAAAAATCCCTTTTTCTTTAAAGGTTTGATAAGATTAGCAGAAATTCATATCCTTAGAGAAGAACCTGAATTAGCTTTTAAGTGCCTTCAAAAATCACTTTATGTATTTGAATCATCTCTACATCCCTTATTTTCACCATTTACTATTTATAATAATAAGCCTAGAGTATCTTTAAATTCTAGTGAAGCTGAAAGCAAAGATATTTACTTGCTTCTTGGTTCTTATATGATTGCTCTTGGTTCAAGGGGACTATTTAGAACAGCTTTAGAATATGCAATTCTTTTACTATCTATGGATATTTCTCATGATAGATTCCATACTCTTCTTCATATAGACTACTATGCTTTGTGTTCTTCAAGTTATGACTTTTTATTTGGAATTAATGAAAATTTTTTGAAAGAATATCATTTAGAAATTTCATGGAAAAACTGCTCAACTTCAAATAGAAGGCAAGAATTTTTAATACCACAAACAAATGATGATTTGATTGTTCCAATCAGTGACATTCTACCAAACTTTGCATTTAGTATCCCCCTAGCCTTATATCGTAACTACACAAAAAAATTTTCTGAGCATAAAGGACTTGATACGAGTATAATATTTAAAGAACTTTCTGATATCAAAATTGAAGAAATTTTAAATAACAATTACTTGTTAAATAATAAAAAAAGTTGTCACATTTATCTCATGAAGGCTATTCTTGTTTTCCCAGAATTTATCCGATTTTTGCTCGATAAAATTGCTATTAACCAAAGTGGTAGAAATACTCCCAACCCAAATGGGTATAGCTGGAATGACATATTAAAGAATCCAATTATCATTGATTTTATACCTACAAATTTGCCGGATAGTAATGATATGCCTATAAACCAACCACATAATGAGGATTATAGGTACCCATATATATTGATGGGTAAGGTATTAGTTGAAGCATACGTTGAAAAATGCCACGAATTATGGAAGCCTGCTCAAACTATGTTATGGTTACATAATTGCTGTAGTTATTTATGTAAAATATATTTAGAATCTTCACATGAGACAAAAATTAGATTTGGTGAATTTATTTCAGAACAGCGTAGTATATTGTTGAAGACACATTTCAATGTATTCAGGTATACAGATATTTCGATAACTGAATTTTCCAAATCTGGAGCTTCACCCCCTCAATTTTTACGAGAAAATAGTTATAGTGGAGCATCAAATATAAGAAACAGTCCTAACAATTCCTTATTCTCTGTTTGCTTAAAATCAGATCCAATTATTGTATATTTTCAAACTCTTCTTCCATGGAGTGAAGTTGATTTAACTGGTACAAATGCAACTCCGATTCACTTGAGAAGTCTTATATATGACTGCTTTACTGCATTTAAAAGCTATATTTTATCTTATTTTCATAGAAGAAGTATTAGCTAGCTAATTTCTCAAATAATAGAATATAAACTACTTAGAAGTATCTCTCATATCTAAGTTTCTACTTCTTAAGGAAGCCTTATTTATTTCTCTATGCTTTTTTTGGATTGATGAAACCAATCCTACACGTTGATTTTCATAATCGTATATACTATAGTACTCTCTTATAAATGAATTTCCAAGAATCCAAATATTTGATTTTCCAGAGTAGCCTGTAAAATTGAGTGCATCCAAGTCAATATCGAAATATGTCTCTTTATTTTTCTTGTCTAAAAACACGAATGTTACTTTCTTTCTTAATATGTGCCTTTTATTTCCTATCAATACTTTTGACAAATTTTTCAAGTACTCCATTTGTTCCTCAGGGGCTAAAATTTCTGATGTTCCACTATCTACAATAGCCCTAAAGTTCATTGAACTATTTCCATTTAAGGCAATACCACTAAAAAAAACACTTTTTAGACTTATCTCCCATGAATCACTTTTAATTAGTGGGAACCAATTTATACCCTCACCATTTTGAATAAAACTACTATCATATCCACCTAATAGTAAATAGCCAGGGTCATAAGCACTTCTTGGGAGATATATTGAGATTATTTTAGGTATTTCCAAATTTTCGAATATTTTATTTATTCTTACGGCACCTAATCCAAATATTCCATCTATATAAAGGGATCCGAAGGGATCCCAGGGAATATCCTTGGCTATCCCTAAGTCTTGAATTCCAAAGTTAAATTCATCAATCATCAATTTATCTTGTCCCATCTCAACTATTACACTTCCACTATTGTATCTGATAATTATATGCTGTGAAGAAATGGTATTAGTATATGCTTTGTCTATTAAAAATATACTCAACATACTTCTTTTTTAGAGGTGAATGTAGAAGAATTACTACTGTCAAATCTTTCATGATTTAAACAAGCATCGCTTGTACACTCTTTAGATGGTATCCATAAAAAATCACTTCCTTCCATACAGAAAAAGTATCATTTAGAAATTTATTATACTTAATAGAGTGAAATCATGTGTATAAATTGAAACCTACTTACCTGTATCAAAGATGATCTTAAACTTCTGTCCCAGAGGTCCAACTTTAATGCTACTATAATACTAAAATAATTCAAAAAGTAAAAATCCCAAAAATTTTAAATTAAAATATTTATAATTACCTGATTTACATTAGAATTATTTAACTGAATCCTAATTATCTCACTTCTATGACTTTTTTCTATTCTAGTAGTCTGTACATCATCTATGCCCAAATTATACAATAATAGATCGATATGGCTTACAAGTACAAATTCATTGCTTACAGCTAGTAAAAAACCAACAAAGAGTAAAAAGTATCAGATTCATCTTATTTCTTTTTTATTGTTAAATAGAAAAGGTGACTAAATGTACATATACCGGTGATAATCACTGTGCATGCATGCACTCTGTTGAGACAGAACCCTAGATTATATTTAAAAAGTGCCTAGATTAAACTTTATACTCAGAAATCCTGTCTATAAGAATATTAAATCTTTCTTTAAACTCATTTTCACCCTTCATTCCCTCCTGGCAAAGCTCGATGAGTCGCTGAACCTTTCTAGCTTCAGAGTGCATCAACTCATATGCACTGTTCATTGCTTCTTGCAGATGAAATCGATAATAAAGGAGTTTTTTACCTCTTCCTATAATTTCCCTAGTTTTTTGAGCTGCTCTGACAGCTTCCTCTTCATTCTTTGGTACAAATTTGCTCAGTTCTGTGCATCTTTTGAGAATCCTATGTCTCTCATTTTCAAAGGCTTCAATCCCCTTATTTACATCTTCTGAGGCTCTATTATTTTCTTTAGTGAGATTTTGGATAATATTTGGACATGATTTAATAGTATAGAGAAGTTTAGAACGACTATTTTCAAGAGCTTTAAGTTGTCTTTGATCACTCGCAGATATGGTTGGTTTCTTGGTAATTACTTCAATTGTTACAAATAGTCTTTCTGCCACTTCTTTAGAAGCTAATTCAATATCTCCAATCATTCTTTGTAAAGCAGAATTTCGCATTTTAAGGCGATATAACCATTTTCTTGCATCTTTGGACTTAGAATTATTGATAAACTCACAAATTAATGGTAGAGAATCTACTTGTTCAATTTTATGCATTTCTACATTTGGATCTCCAGCAAAAATTGGAATTTCTCTTGTATTTTTACCTGCATCTATATTTTCATCTTGGAGAAGACCAATGCTTGTGGCAACAATATTTTTGTTATATTTCCCAACCATTTTTATATTGGAAGGTTCTATTAACTGAATAGGAACTGTTTTCATATTGGATTCACTTGTACTTCCAACACCCATCCCATGAATTCCATCAAGAGAAACCACACCTTGATTAATTGGCTTTTCATTTGAAATTATAGTTTCTCTGTTCTTCAAATTTTTATTACCTTGCGGAATCTGTTGATTAATATAAAATTTCTGATTATTTTCAGTATTCTTGTTTACCTCTGAATTAGCTGGAGCTCTACCTTTGTTCTCATTTCGCTTTCTTTTTAAAGTTGCGGATTTTTCAGGGAATATGGGACTTTTAAGCTTGTTTTGTAAATCAGCTCTATACATTCTAATTGGAGTTTCCCTTGCATTCCCAGCTTCTAAAGGACTACATGAAATGTACTCTCGCTTATCATGAGTTATAAAGGTAGATATTTCTTTAAATTTCGCAATGTAACGCACTAGAATATCACATAACGAATCTAGACCATCTGCGAGGGTTTCAAATGTACTATATAGATCTCTTGATTTCGCAAATTCCGGATCTTCTATCACGGCATCATGAAATTGTTTAAGTATATCCATATGATTTAGAATTCTATTTCTTTTCCCAGTAAGAGGCTGACCACTCTTTGTATTAGGAAATTCAACTGTCCAGCCTATTAAATTTGGGTGTGTTCTTTTATCTATAATCAATAATCTTGTCAATATAAATTTTATTCTCCACATATCACTCGGATGGCTGCATTTTAAATCTTGAATGCTCTCCTCTAAAGTACTCCTAGTTTCACCAAAATCTAAAATCTTAATATTTTCTGGTGTCATTAATAAAAGTGCATTAATATTATTCTCATAATCCCAACTATTTGGATCAAAACTCGTATTTGCTACTTGTATATTTCCACTATTCAAATCACAATGTACAATATACCCAAATTCAGAATGCATATAAAATGAAGTTAGGGTAGATAAAAGTGAATGTATAAAAATCCAAATAACTTCAGCTCTATTGTCCAATCTCTTTTGTAATTCCTTGCTATTTCTTGCCGAAGCTATCCAATTTAAATATACTGGGGAAGTTAGCCAACGTATCAGAACCTGAATTGTAACACCATCAATTTTTTCACTTATTAAAAGTCTAGTCATTACTGGATCCTTCGATGATGTAAAGCAGTATATTCTAGGTGTTATTCTGATTTTACCATATCCATATGTTTTAGCCGGTAACACAGGGAATATTTGCTGGGACAAAAGAGTTGTATAATATAACTCTCTAGTATATGTATAGTGGAAAGAAGCCTTTATAGCCAATTTCAAAGGAAGTTTCTCATCAAAATCAGATATTAAGTTAGAATCTGAATTATTTATAGGAATTACTCTTTTAGAATTTGTATCGAAGGTACATTTAGTAGCTATTCTAACATTATTTGCACTTTCAGGAATATCAAAAAGTTTCATAACCTCATTAATTTTCTCAGAACTAGCCCCATACATCTTTGCACCTAAAGTATATTTGAAATAAAAAAATATTACCAAATATTTCATATTGGACAAAATTTGAACTTACTATTAATATTAGCACTTATATATGGAACCACTGGCAATGGGCCTTCAGATTCTGCCAAAGCAACAGCTCCATATGTCCCATATTGAATGAAATATCCTAAAAAATAAAAATATCTAATAGCTAATATACTTAATTGATCAAAAAGGAAATTCTTACCATAATAGTTCTCATGACCAGGGTTTGCACCATCTATCTCCCTGTCTTCAAATTTCAGGCAATTTGCTATATTTCCTGAAAGCAAATGACACACAATAGCAATCTCATCCCTAGGAGCAAGAGTTCGTTCCCACAAGGGTCTATCCATTTTTTGAAAAAATTTCTTTATAATCTTGTCAGATACATCTCTTGCATATGTATATGATCGCTTGCTATTTGTGATAAACCATAATAGCACAGTAATAATTAGATATGCCTTAGTTAAGTGGGGCAATAGCCCCATTTTATACTATTATCCAACTCCACACTTTTTAAAGAATGGGATATAAGTGACAAAATATTTTCTTCAGAAGTTTTATAAGAATATAGACTAGGTCTCTCAAATAAACAATTATATTCCAAACTATTAGAGTCCTTATCTATTACAGAGTTTGTTTAATTAAAGTGAGTATTATTTATAAAGAGGTTTGATACAATGCATTGTTGCAGAACTTTCTATACGCGCTTGATTCAAACAATAAATGCGCGTCTGATCCCACGCTTTTCAGGTACTGAAAGATACAAGTTAAATCATATTTTTTGTTTTCCCTTAGAAAATGAACATCCTTATAACAATTTGATTTATACTCATTGCTATAAGTTTCTTATAATAAATAATATTGTATACCATCTTCCCATTATTCAGAATATTATTGAATCTATCTCAACAAGAAATAGCTACAAATATTTAAATACAATTAATTGATCTGGAAAAATTTACATATATATAGATTTTTAAATTTTAATTTCCAAATCTTAAGAATATTAGAAAAATTCTGAACTCTTCAGAAACTGAACTTTTAGGTTCTTCTTTGAATTAATAGTAGTCATAATAAGATTATATTGTAGTAATCTTAATTTTAAATTCAGTATATATGAATTAGAATATCATATATTAAATATTTCAACTGCAAAATATCTAATATGATAGACAATCTCTATAAATTACTCCATGTAAACGAGTGCGCGCCCTTGAACTGTCTATAGATCTAAGATTATTAACTAAATAAAAAGAATTAATTCGAAGACTTTTGTAAATACAAAAGATTATAATGCCAAAAACTATTAGTATTTGGGCAATATGAATATTGTACAAATACTTATTTTTTTGTTTTTTGGATTTATTGCACAGGGTAAAAGCTTACAGAATAACTCATCAACTGACAGTGTAGAGAGACAATGGGAATTTATAGTTACATCCCTACAAACAAGTCCCCATGTAAGATGCCGAAATTTAACAAATAAAGCTCCGAAATTGTTTTGGAAAGATCAAGATATAGAGGAAGTAAGTAAAGTTTCCAATAAAACCCAGCTATTTGAGGATAACTGCTTTAAAAATATTAAAAGTTTATTAGATCTCCACTTACCAAAAAATAAGCGTCGTTTTAGCTTTAAATTTTCTAATACAAGTAAAATAGATTTATTATTACGTAAATTTTGCTCCGAAACAGCAGACAAATATTATATGATTATACATAATACTGACAACCCAGTTTCATCACCTACTTATGAGAAATTAATTGAAGATTCACCCAAATCCCCTGAAAATAATAAATATAAAGATAGTTTTGAAGAAGGATTAGAAAAAAAGTTAAAACATAAAAATTTATACTTAGATAGATCTGAAACAAGCGTATTTCCAGAAGTTATTCCTTCTCCAGAAATACCTGAATCTATTAGAAGAGAAATGAGAAACCAAGAATCTTCTTCACCATTTATCGTATTTCCCTCACCTTCAACTGACGAATCTTATATAGGTCAAAAAATGGAATATAGTAACACTCCTGCAGAGCATAGTGCGAATGACTATTCTTTATTCTTAGAAGAAAGTGCACTTAAAGATAATTCACAGAAGTTCACCGATCAGTCATCAGATATTGATATAGCAGCTGAAATAACGAGTTCTGAAGTTTCTGAGAAAGCTCCTCGTATTTTAAAAGTATTACTTCGTTCTTCTCTAGAAGATATTAGGGATCAGTTACCTCAAGCTGATGTAGCAGCTGTTCAGGTACCTAGGGATATCCAAGAAAGAATTCTCTCTTTCATGAGATCCAAGGATATTGAAAGTATCGTAGAATTATTGTCAAGACAAAAGAGGCATGTAGTTGAGTCATTTTTGGATAGTTTGGAGCAGGAAATCAAAAGAATTAGAAGAATAAAAAAAAGTAATATAGAATTTACAACACAGTTACCTCAATTTGATGAAGAATGGAGTGCTATTGTTGAATTTATGTCAGAATCTGTATCTCCTATTCAATGTGAAATTCGAGATAGGAAAAATAAAGGCTCTATTAAACCTCCTAAAGAGTTTAAATTTAGTAATGGGATAGAAAAAAAGTTTATACAATATTGTCGTAGGGCAATAAGGGCTTTAGCATATGAGAAATATGTATCGGAGGATGGTACAACTTATTATGGATATAATGAAAATAATAAATATGGGATTTTGATAGCTGGAAATGACTCTGAAGATAGGAAACAGCAGGTACAGGCTTTTTGTTATATGGTATATAATAGATTATACTCTAAAAGAGAGAAGGAGCTTACGATTAGGCGTCATGCAAAGATGTTGGAGATGAAAAAAGCTTGGGAGGAGGGGGCTGAACAAGGTAAGATTATTGATGAATTATTAGGGGGATTTACGGATGAGATAAATGACGAAAGATTGCAATGGCTATATTTGGTCAATAGTGCTAGTGTCCCTAATCCACTTGTATATAGTGTAGATTTACCGAAACACTCTGTTCCGGTTTCCTTTACCCAAAAATCCACAGATAGTGTACTAGAGGTTACAAGTAAGATCCAAGTTTTTACATTTAATTGCAGAATTGCTCTTATGACTTTGGGTATTGAAAAACATCCAGGTACAAAATTTCCACTGCATAAGGTACAACTAGGTTATGATGGTATAAATGGTTTAATAAAGTTTTGTAAGTCTGTAAGTCAAAGATATGTTGGTCGTTTAGTAGAGTGGTTCAATATTTTACAAACATCTTTAAATGATGAAATTATCAGTTTAATTGATACCAATAAACCCGAATTTCGTTGTCCAGAGTATTTTGAATATGAGGATGATTCCCGTTTAGTAGAGAATTGTTCTAAGACAATACAAACTATGCTAGAGGATAACAAAAGATCTGAAAAAAAAGGCTTGCAATCTACTTGGCCAGGTTTAAAAATTAAGTGTCCTCCTAATCAAATTATTCAGCATATACGATCTTTTTGCAAAGCTGTTGCCTTTGAAAGGCCTGATATTCGTATTGCTACCATTCGTGAGTTATCTGGAGAAGAACAGACAGCTCTTGATGTTAAGTCAAATGTAAGTAATGAACAAACAGATGCTATAGAACAGGTAGAGAAGCGTTTGCAAATTCTTGAGCTTAAGCAAACAGAAGATATTGGTATGGCTACATATAAGTTAGATCGATGGAGTCAAGCAGAAGAAAAATTAGTTGAGAATCGTAGAATTCGTGAAAAAATAGACAAATATTCTCGTCATTATCTTCAAAGATTGGTAGATATAGAAGATAATTATAAACAGACCATCTTGGGGACTTTGTCTCGTGGAGATTCTGATGGTGGTATAAAATTTGAGCAGACACGTGAAAAGATACAGGAATTATTAGATCAATATATATCTGATTTTTTATCTATGCGAACAGAGTGGAGTGACTTAATATATCAGATTAGTAACAATAATAGGAAGATTACAGAGGTTGAAATGGGACTTTTGAGGTTTGTTCGAGAGGCTTTGGATTACGTTGCTGTTTCACATCGTGCCGAGCTGGCAAATTCTATTTCAATAATCAATATGATTAATTGGGAGAATGAATTAAATATAAAAGAGAAGGAATATATTAATTTGAAACTTGAAGAGTATGTCTTACGATTAAATAAAGAACATAAAATTCAGGATCTAAGAGATATTCATTTCAAAAGGAGGCAAAGCTTCGAACGTGAATTATATCATCTATTACCAAGAAAATTTTGGAAGAATATTAATACACTCGGTAGAAAAGGACTTTATCCTATCATACCAATAACTATAAGTGAGAAAGAGTTGCAGGAACGTAAAGTAACAATTCTTAAGCTTCAGGAAGAAAAAACTAATCTAGTTTCAATATTTGATAAAGAGACACAAAAATTAAATAGGCAACTCTTAGTCATTGATAAAGTTACTCAAAAACATTTTGAAGAATTAAATGATATCTGGGATAATACCTATTCTGTTGATTATGCTATGCAGTGGGAATTTCGTATAAAAGACATGCAAGAAGCATATATTCAGTTAAACAATGAGTATAAACAATATGGTGAATTAGTTACACGACAACAACTAAGACAATCTCAAGTAAAATCCAGTCATCCCCAATATAATCAGATTATTAAAGAAACAAGTGAAGCTATTGATATGGCTACTGAAGAAATGAAAAAACTGTTGAAACTTATGGAGGAATTAAGGCAGAAAACAAATGATTTGGATGCACTAGTAGAGGCTGATATGACTAGAAGTTACTCTCAAAAGATTGAAACACTTCGAAAAAATACCAAATTATTGGAGGAACAAATCAAAAAGGAGATTGATATTCTACAGAAAGAAAATGAAATTATGCAGATGCAACTCAGTAGAGATATAAAATATTATGAAATAACAAATCACAGAGTAGCTTTAGCTGAACGTAAAAAAAAATTGGAAGGTCTTACAGAATCTAATTTATGGCTTAAATCTCAAGATGAACAGTTAACTATAAATTTTGAGGAAAGATTTAGAGATGATTTATTATCTTTAACATATTCACCTAAGAATAAAGGAGATTATGATAAAGAAGCTAAAAATGAAGATAATTTACCTGAAGGAGCTATTAATGAAATTAAGAAATTTCGAGAGAATCTGAAGATGATCTTGCTTAGAGTAGATAGTTATAATGAAAATATATATGAAAATGATCTTAGTCAAGTTCAGGAATTTGAGAAGCTAGATATACTAACTCTATCTGCAAAGGAGTCCTTTGAGGCTGAAGGGGCTTTAGATGACGGAATTTTTTATAATGATTTAAGTAATATTGAATGGAACTTTATTCAGAGTAGATGGAAACTTTTAAAGCTTAAATTTTATTTCTTGCAAAAGAAAGAGGCTATACTAAAAGAGGGACTTGATCTAAGAACAAATACAGATAAGTTAATGTTGAAGAAATATGGACTAGTACCTACAACTAAGACTAAAATCATACCATCTAAGTCTGAACGTTTGATTATGAAGGGTTTTGGTTTGGATATTGAAACTAGATTGGATTTAGATCAAGAAGAACGAACCTTAAGTTATGATGAAAAGGTACTTAAGCTAGTATCTAGGCGACTTGAGGATGCAAATGTAGTGTTTGAACAAGAACTTACTACTCGCTTAGAGATTTTAGATGAGAAAATTTTAGAAGGGAAAGTTAGACTTCAAGAGGCTGCTAGAGATGTTGTTGCTAGTTGGGAAAAGCAACAAAGTACTGCTGCGTTTAGATATGCTTCTCCTCAAAATAAGGATAGAATGAGAGACACATTTGAGAAGAAATATTCAGCAGTAACAAAAGAAGAGAAGAAAAAAACCAGACCTTATATTTTGGAGAAGCATGTCCTTCTACAACAACAAAAAGATAGGGCATCTCAATCTAAAATGGATAAGGATTGGCTATTCACTTCAGGAAGAACTGCAAATCAACTAATCAAGTTCCAACAAAAAAAAATGGTTTTTGAAAAGAAACGTCATGATATTTATGAGAAAACACTCGAATTTCTCATTTATCAAGCTGAAAAGTTAGATAAAATTAGAGAAATAGATGAACAATTAGGTACTGATAAAGCTGGGCGTGTTGAGGGGGATCATATATCAAATGCAATGTTACAGAGCCTCATAAAGGAAAAGGAAATGATAGAAACTGACTTATCTTTGAAACAAAGGGAATATCATATCCATTTAGCTAAATTGGAAAGTTTTAGAGATGCCCTATATGATCCTAATAAGGAGTTGAAAGATGATGAAGATGAATAAGATAACTTAGACTCTAAAAAAGAAGTTATATAATTTACCAAACTTTCTATAGTTATGCAGTCTTTGTGCTGTGCTACTTTTTAAATTATTTTTGACTGATTAATATTTTTCTTTAGAATCAGTTAAACCACAAAGAAGTTATATCGGTTTATTAAACTAACAAAAACCACTTTCATCCTTTACATTATAAATTATAGAAAAAATAGTTGATATTAACAATCAATCTGTAGATAATGAAATTAGCTCTTATGATTAATCTATAAAAACTCTCAAGTATCTACAATATATTGTTATCTTTCATTGTATTCATTTAGTTCTCTATTCTCTATATTTGGAAAATATCATGAATGTCTTTATAAATTTTATCTAATATTTAATAATATATTGCTATTTCATTAAAATTGTTAATTAATAAAAAAAATACTAAAACATAAATACTAAAGGCTTCCATCTTTTAATTCTTTTTATGGTCCTTATGATTTTAAAAGTTATATTCAAAATACTAATGAATTATCACATATTAATCTCATTTTTAAAAATTAATATAGTTTGATTATTTTATATATCTTCACTTCTTTGTAACATAATATATTAGAAATTAAGTACCTATAAAACTAATCTAACCTATTATCTATTCGTTTTGGTAATTTTTCAGTGAAAATCTGGCTTTCTGAAGAAATTTTTTCTTGTTCATCTCCCATAACTAGTTTACATATATGCATTAGTTTAGACTGTTGATAATGTTCTCGAAATAATACTGGATTTGATTTCTTTAATATAGTAATGCAATGATCTACAGCCTCTTTACTATTAGGTTTGAATAATGTGGTTATTGAAATAGCCATCTTTTTGTCAAATATCAATGCTGAAAACAAATCTTTTTCTTTAGAGCGGATTAGCTCTATATTTTTCACTAGATCTGAATATCTTTTCCTAATTTGATTACCTGTAACAACGACTTTTGGTACTGTAGGTAAATTCACTTCTATATTTTTCTTAGATATATTTCTAGATATACTAGATTCAATAGTTTTTTTTGATTTTGCAGTAATATTTCTAGCTATTATAGCTTGAATAGACTTAATAGCATTTGTTATCTCAGCTTTCCAATTATGTAAAAACTTGGAATTTTCATCTTTAATAGAAGAACAAAATATATTGAATATTTTATCCTTATTTCCAGTAAATAAAGTGGAACTTAATAATTCGTTAGCCAAATTCATTTCAGATATACATCTACTTACTGACCAAGGTTTATTTCTTAGTAAGGAAGTTGGTACTATGCATTTATTACTATCTAGATATTGTTTGAAAAAAAAGTTAAACTCTTCAACAATGGCAACAAGTAAACCAAATCTTAAAAGAATATTCATATAATTACCAATTCCATTCTTCCAAAGTATCTTAAAAGTAGAATCCTTGAATAGTTGCGATTTATATATACTTTTTGGTGCCTTTCTAAGACTTTCTTGTGAATAATCAAAATCTAATTCTTCTAATGTGTCTGAGCTACGTTCCATTACAGGTGATGTTAGTAAATTTGATAATGTTGGTAATTTTTCATATTTCTTGTAATTCAAATCTAAGTTCAAATCTAGAGAAACTAAACTTCCATCTTGAATTAAAGAGTCCTTATTTATTAATTTATCTATGGATTTATCCAGAGAAGGAGTTCCTATATCAGATATTGATGGTTCTATATCTGTGAATTTACTTGGAGTAGGCTCAATTCCATAATCTAGCATAGAAAAACTTGAGTCAGAGTAAGATTGACCGTTTATCAAAAATGATTGAGATTTATCACTTAATAATAGAGGGCTTTGATCATTTCCTTGCACAAAATGTGACAGATATCCTATAAATAAAAAATCTAAAATTAGAATCATCAGAAAATATCAAAGTTTATAACTTAGTTACTTTATAGATGTAAGTATAATGCATGTCAACATCACCCTACCGCCCATATATAGTGGCCGCTCCAATAAAATACCTTCTAGGTGTTCTGCAATATATATTTTAAAAAAAAATATAATGGAGATTTTGGGTATTAATATCAACAACATATATATAAAATATCAATTTAGAAGGAGAAACCCTATATAAAAATAAAAGAAGGCAATCTTTATATTACATTGGCAATATATAAAGTATTAAAATTGAACAGGAAGTAGTGATTCCTACTTCTTAAAAAAAATATTATATAGTACTATCTAATCCTTTTACATATCCCTTTATATATCCTTTTATACATCCTTTTATATATAAATATATCTACTAAACCTTAATAATAAAAAAAGAAAGTATTATTTGAAGAAAGGTCGAGTTCAGGTGAAAGTTCTAGTCTGAGCGCCTGAGGCAATGCGTTTCCGGGTGAATCAAAACATCAACTGGATACTTGACCTAGAACTGTCCTCTATAAATTGAGAGTTTACTCAGATATATTGAATGAAATCACCAAATATATGCCATGATTATTTGGGATATCATATATTGGTTGTGTTTACCTATATTATGTTTCAGTAATATTTATTGTGAAGATTTCACTACTAAGTATACAGCAGCTCCTGATTCAGCAGATACTCAATCAAATATCGGTCAATTGGCTTCTTTACTGATTGTTTATGACGTTGATCATGTCCTCTTGTGTAAATTTGGTAATTTTAAAACAACAATAAATCCAGAATCTGTTCCATTATTGGCTGCATTGGATGAGCGTAGGAAACTATTTGATAAGAGGATTCTCCCACCAACTATATTTTCTCATGGATGTGGAACGGTTGCAAAATTTATGTCAGGTATAGGGAATAAAGGAAATATAATGGAAACAACTACTTTGAATAAACAAGGGGATGTATTTCCATTTGAGATTCGGATTGCAAATATGGGGACCGCTTATCTTATGAATGATATTTATTTTTTAAGGAGTTTTGATAATCATGGGGATACAGATTCCCCTTTAGATATATTGAAAGTCTTTTTTTGTGATGAAGATGAGATGGAATCAAATATATCATCTGATATTCCACTTAATAGAGTTTTGGAGCGAAGGTATCTCTACTCAGATATTGTATCTAAAGTATTAACTAAGCAAGAACTTCCAATATTTCAAGATTTTATGAAAAAGACTACTAGAGATCAAAGAATTATAGTATCTCGAGATACTCTTCCTAGTAAAAATTATTCACAAGGAAGGGAGTATGTCAAAAAGATCCTTGCAAAGATTTCTTCTTTGGCAAGAGATTGGCCTTATGCTATGAGGAGTTCTGAAGTTTTAGAAGTTAAAGATATGGTTAAATACAGAAATTATATGAAGGATAAAATTAATTTAGGAACAACCGTTGTACTTATAGATGATTATTTATATCATCTCAACTTTGCATGTATGAATGAGCATATAAGTGACAAATACAAGATTTTAGTTATATTAGTTAGGCGATTTCTCAATAAAGGTGCTCCTCATTTGGAAAGTAAGGGAACTCAAAAGTCTATTCCAGTACCTATAGGAACATTACCATATGAACCATTTAGACTTAGAGAAGTTCGAAGCAAACTTCTTCATATGTTAGATATTATACCACCTACAGCCTCGCCATTAACTTTCTATAGAGCTTTAAGGGATGAGTTTATGTTTAAAGAACCGACCTCTCCCAAATGTGGTTATGATGTAACTAACCCCTCACCATTTTATATTCTTATAGTTATGGATTGTGATATGTTGTCACATATTTTGAAACTTTTTATTGATGACAGAATGGCTGACGAAATATTGTTACTTTTAAATATTATAACATATATTTCTGTTATTACTAATAATAAGTCTTGTGAATCATCTTGTGACTCATCTTGTGACTCATCTTTTACCATGGTTCGTCATTTGATTACATCTGGAGTATATGAATGGACTAACAAGATATTTCCATTACCACCTATAATAGAGTATTCAAGAAGAGACACAGATAATTTATCTACAGATAAAATTTCTGGTTCATCACAATCTTCAAGTAGCTCGAAGGAATCAAATTTTTCTAGAATTTTGGATAAACATATTTTTATGGCAAAGTTTCATACAAGACTTCCCAGAACAAGAACGTTGGTTCTTCGTTTGGATTTTAATGGTAATCTTAGTAATCTTCAACATACAGACTATACCTGTTTCTTAAATGCTCCTACCACACCATCTGATGATATTCCTGCATATCCCTCCAAATCTGATAAAATAAAACAACGTCTTAATTTACAATTTGATATGAAACTATATAAATCACTTGTTACATCTAATAATGGCGAAGTTAAAGCTATAATTTTATTACACAAAATAGTAAATGTTTTGAAAGGAATAGATGAAATATTGGAATCTACTAGGTCATCATCAACTAAAACAACTTTTCTGGAAAGGTCTACTAGTTCAACATACTCATCACCTTCTGTAGTTCCTGTAGGTGAATCAGAAGCTTTAATGTCAACTGGCACTGTTGAAGATATATCCTTTATACAAATATTAAATTCTAAGAAATTTACTCCAATACACGAAGCTCCTCCTACTATATATCCCCCAGCTACTTATACTTTCCTCTCATTATTCTATACTTTAATTGAACTTTTAAAGAATGAATTTAGTAGTGACCAGATGTTTTGTATTGGATCTGTTAATAATTATATTGCTATATAATATATCCTAAGTTAGAATGGTTCAAATTTATAATAATTTCTTTACAAAAAAGTTGACTAATGAACTTATTCAAGAAATACTCTACATCCTTAAATCTACATAGATCTACGCTACACTTATTTTTTAAAGTATATATCTACACTTATTTACACATTAATTTATTCTTGGAAATAAATATATTTGTCTATAGCTCTTTCATATGCATAGACCTCTGATTCACAAAACCATACACTAATCTCCAAGTTGGCATTTTCAATAGAGTCAGAGGCATGAACTAAATTCCTCTCAACTTGCATGCCATATTTTGATCTAATTGTTCCTAAAGGAGAAACCTGAGGATTCGTCAAACCCATTAATCTACGAACCTCAGTAACTGCATTTAAACCCTCAAAGACAAGGGCAACTATAGGTTGATTAGCAGTACGACCAACTAAACTACTGTAAAACCCTTTTCCATAATGGTCCGCATAATGTAGTTCGATTTGTTCTCTGGTTGCTACTAAAAGTTTCATGGCTACAATCTTAAATCCTTTCTGCTCAAATTCACTTAATAAAGATCCAATAATACCTCTATGAACTACTTCAGGTTTGAATAAAACTAGGGTTCTTTCTTTTAATGGATCTGTTTGAACTAAAGTTATTGTTTCACTATATATCTGAGATATTAAGTTAATTTCATTATTTGAAGTTGAATTATCTGAATTAACTGATGTTGTTGAATTAAGAGTTGTTGAATTAAGAGTTGTTGAATTAAGAGTTGTTGAATTAAGAGTTGTTGAATTAAGAGTTGTTGAATTAAGAGTTGTTGAATTAAGAGTTGTTGAATTAAGAGTTGTCGAATAGGGAATTGTTGAACAAGGAGCTGTTGAACAAGGAGCTGTTGAATAAGAAGTTGTTGAATAAGAAGTTGTTGAATAAGAAGTTGTTGAATAAGAAGTTGTTGAATGAGGGCTTTCTGTATATGTTGAAGTTGAGTTACTTATAACTACAGCATTGTTGACAACAACTATGTAGGCAAGAACCAGGATACTTGAAATAAATCTCATATTACCTTAGTATTTAATTTCTAATAGATAGCTTGAAATAGTTTAGCAAAATTAAGAGAAAATGAGAGAGACATAACTGTAAGCCATTACTGTATCCTTTAGTTACAACATAGTGTTAACCGCATAATTTGCCAGGTTATATATCAAACGAGCTATAGCTCAAATATTAACAAAGATATAAATGGGCGCTATATATTGCAGCACAACTGATGACTATTGCAGTATAAGGAAAGACAACATATTAGTAGTAGTTAAAACGATCAATTTTTAATATAGACAGTTTCATATATAGGAGAATAATCGTATATCTAATTTAAACCACCTGAATTTTCATGAAGATACGCATGAACTTAATTTGCTGAGTTCCAGTTGATTTAAAGGACATTTGCACATTATAGTGGACCTAGTAATACAATACAATAATAAAAATAAATAAAGATGCACAATTTTACTAGGAGATATTGATCCATTAATTGTAATTATTAAATACTAAATGAAATATTTTGTATTATAGAGCTTAACATATAAGCAATAAGGTATAATACTATTTATATATTTCAATTGAAAGAGACTTTTTAATAGAGCAATACTGACTTTACCTATATCAATGTAGATCTAAAAATAGGACTTTATTATTAGTAGCGGGCTTCCTCTGATAATACATGGATTGTAGATTTTTTTTTGTTTTTTGAAAAAATAACTATATCGGGAGGAGAAATATATATTGTATATAACTAAAAATGATTAATATACATAGTATAAAGTTTATAAGAGGCATATCAGCATTATTGATAGCACAAGTTATACTTAGCCGCGGAGCTGTGTTATTCGAATCACAGATGCCTGTGACAAAATTAGATTTACCAAGCTCCAAAGTAAATCCAGATCTGCTAACTGAAGATTACATAAATACACAGAAAGGATGGGATTATGGTGATATAAACACAAAAAATACTATTATTCCTGGAGTTCCAGCTTATATGGGAGAAGTTGGAATAGGCAAATCAGGTCATGCAATTTCAAGAAGTTGCAATATTCATAGAGAAGATGTGGATCAGCTTGCAGAGAGAGTATTTTTAACTCAAGTTGATATTCCAGAATTATCTGATTATGTTACTTGGCAGCATATTTGTACTTTTGTAATAGATATTATAGATAGTTCTGCTAATTTTATGCGGAATTGCAAATCTAAAGGATCATCTACATTGTTAGGTAAGAAGGCTACAAAAATTCAGGAAGTAGCTATTTTAAAATTATGTAAGAGTTTGCCACAATTCATGACATGTAATGGCAATGATGATGCAGCAGACAATTTAGCAACTTCTCTTATGACCCGGACTTATTTAGCAATATCAAATTCAGCTCGATCTGCATTGAACATTGTTTACTTTTGTTTTGTAGCTGTTAAGAGCATTAATCAACCCAGTAAAAGCGATTATTTATCTAGCTGTCGTAATGGTTTAAATAAGTTGATGGATTTGGAGGAGTTCCGAAGATTAGATATATCACCCTTGAAGACTGATGAGATTTGTAAATCAACCTGGGTTTATAATACAAAATGTCAGGGCACTACACTATCCCATATAACAACTAATATAGCTTTTGATTTCTTCATTATGTTAAGGAAACATGGTATCACAAATGTAATGGTTAAAGATATGTGTCGTTTAGTTGGGGAATTATTACCGAGTCTCAATATTATATATAAAGATAATGAATATAAGGTGAAGACCAAATCCAAGTATAAAACTCAATGTCCTTTGTTGCTCATGCCATTTATAGAAAATGACGTTAGGTATTTAGATTCTATGAATAATCGACTCTGGGGACAACCTACTAAATTTTATTCAAGAGAAGAATTGCTTAGGTTACACTACAATAGAGCTAAGAATATATGTAGCAAGATGCATTTCTATGATGAATCAAATTGGTTTTGGAAAGTGAAAGGTTTTCTAAATGTTAATAGTAAAAAAGATAAGAAAGTAGAAGAGAAAGTATTGGGTGAGTCAATGTATGATCTATATATGGACTTTAAATATGCACTAGAAACAACTTCACGACGTCGTCTGGGTTGGTCAATTGATTTGCCTTTGCCAGAAAGTGAAGAGTATAAGGCAATGGCATCTTTGGGTTATTCATTAAACACAGTAGATGTAGGATCTCTAAGAAATCCTCAATATATTAGAATGTTAGCAATTTTGAAGAATAAAAGATATATTATGCCAAAGACAGCCTATGAAATTTGGCGAGATACTATTTTGGTAATGGGAATTGATATTATAGATTCATACACTACGAGTAAAATGTCTTCCATTATTTCTAGACCCACAAATGATGTTCTAGATCTTGGGCTTAATTGTGGTTCAAATAATGAGGAAATAGATGCTTTAGCTTTGGAACTTTTAAGTGCAGCTCATGAAAATAGTTTAACTCGACTTAAATTTAAACAATTTTGCCATTCTGCAAAAAATCTACTAGGAATAAGAAATGAGGATTTCTTTTCAAGTTGTGTAGATTCAATTCGTTATTTACCTGAAATAGACCAACAAACTGGAGATTTCAGTGGTCAATTCTCCATTTTATCTAATACATTAGCAGCAAAGTTATGTAGGAGTACTCTTCGTTGGGAAGCTGCTTCAGTTGGTTTGTCGTATGCAGCACTAATTATACCCCAAAACATCAATAATATATCGAATTTAAAGTCTAGTAAATCTGATGAACTTATAATAAAGGATAACCAGATTTATTCATATGTAATAAAAACTGCTACAAGGTCAGCATTAGAAAGGGCTGCCTCATTAAATCAAGTCTGTAAAAATCTACAGCCTCTATTCATGAAAAAAGTAGAATCCGATGAACCACTTGTAGTTGTAGAGAAAATTCAACAAGCAGCGAATTTGTTATTTAGAAGTGCTGTGAAACTAATTGATCATGATAAACATCTTGCATATATCTTATCAGGAGGATCAAAGATCATTACATTTGAATCTTTTTGTGCTTTAGCCATGGCTTTATCAAAAATTGAAAGGCGTTTTCATAATGTAGAATGTGCTAGAAATATTCGTCTAATGTTTACTAGCAATGTAATGATACGAGGGAAGCTTAAAAAAGCAACTATTAAGTCTCGATCAGTTGGTAGGATTTGTATAACTTCTCCATTTTATGAGTATTGTGGTGATCCACCAAATAAAGAGGTTGATGAAATAGCTTTTGATCTTTTGTTGGGAGCTCAAAGGCTTCGATTAACATCTATTACATATCGTCATTTGTGTGGTGTAGTTAGAAATATTCGCAGATATGAAATTAAAAGTTTTATGCCAAGTAATGAAAACAAAAGTATGCAATTTAGTAGCTTTTTCAATAGTGATTGTATATATGGTCTTAGAACACTTTCTGTAGCAGCGAGATATGCTGAAAGTATTTGTAGTAATTCCAATTTCTGGGTTATGTGTGGCAATTATATAGATGCTCCAGTTGATGCTTTGGCAGCTCAGCTATATGCCGGAATAGTTCAAAATACTGATCTTAACAAAGTAATGACTGTAGGACTTCTCAAGTTAGCTCAGTTCTGTCCAATTGCAGATGTGTTAATTAATGAAATTGATACTCGATACTTTAATAGGGAGTGTATTAATGCTTTAGCCGCTATAGGAATTATGAAGGAATTTGGACAAGTAGTTTGTCAAGATTCCAGATTCTGGCAAGGAACATGTGCTGGAATATTAGACTTCTCTACACTTTATATTCAAACAATAGATCCTATTGCTGGAGGACTATATAATTCTGCTCAGGATTTGGGTTACTTAGATATTGCATTTGTAGATTTCTGTACTGTTGCTGAGGAAATTAAAAATCTTAGAGAGGTGACGGAATCTGGTCAAGTCCTTGAAGGTCATAAGACTTCAATGTTTTCCTTTGAATGTCCTCGTATTTTGGGGTCTGCTTTGCAGACCATATCTGATGAGTATGCTACTGTGCTTGAAAGAGCTACAACTAGACGCGAAGTAAAAATTTTTTCTCAAACAGTTTCTGCAGAAAATTATGAAAAAGCTACAATGATATGTCAACATTTCTTCACTGTATATGATGAAGATTATGGAGCATCGCAAGTTGAAGACTACAAAGATGTACACTTCAGATCTGGAATGATAAGTAAAAGACCTGAACTATTTATGCTTAGAGAGCATGGTAAGAAAGCTGTTAAAGAATTAAATCCTAGGGAATACAAATCTTTAACTCATCCTATGGCACTAATAGATAAACATTCTATTCCACCACACAGATACGATTGGGCCAATCTCCTTGCTCAAAAGTTTTTTGTACCTGCTAGTAATTTCGGACATTATGGACTTGCTCCCATAGGTGGTGGAGTTCCCCGCTTCACACCTATGGGATCAGGTGGATCAGTAATGATACCAACTATGGAGAAGGGATTTGAAGCAAAAATTCCATCTCAGGGTGAATCCTTATCCTTCTGGGCTGGAGGAGTTTTTGCACCGGAGGGAAAAGAAGTCAACCAAGATTATCTTATAGAAAAAAAAATTAGAGATCCTAATTTAAAATAATAAAAAAGAAAAAGGATTTTATGACATCCATAGGTACCTATTATATTGTATCTACGACAAATATAGTATATAAATAAGGTTCTGGTATCTTTGGCACCTCAATAATTTATATTATAAAAAATTCCTTATCTATATCACAAATATATATTTAGTTCACTTAAGGAGGATTAATTGTTATACTTTTAATAGTTTTAAATTCACAATTAGGTTATTAACATTACAATTGAGCTAATGAAATTTTAAATCTTTAGATATATTGTACCCAATATTTTAGATATAAAGGCAATATATGTATTGTGCTGAATAGTAGGAGTAATTTGCACACAGAAAAGTTTTGCATTTCCAAGAAATCTAGTGCCCCCTTATTCTAGAAGCAACACAGTGCAACAGTGAAAATATCACGAGGGGATACATGCTTTTTGTGGGGAAGGCCATGTAGCGCCAAATCTTAGTACCGGCATAAAATGATAATCTGATCCCCTTCTTTAAGATTTCTTATACATGATAAGTTTTAGAAACTATACAAGATATTAATTTGTAAGCTTAATGGCACTTTATTTTGGATAGATTTGATTATAGGTATTAAAAAAGTTTTTAGTAAATACACTTTGCAAATAATGAGGTCATCTGTACTTATTTTGCTGGGCTTTTCCTTTTACTTTTGGTTAGTAAACTGCAATTATACAAGTGTAAATATTCGTGCTGAGAATATACTGTTATATATTCTGGGACAGTTTCAATCACTTGGCTATGTGAATATAGAAAAGAAGCACTTAACAGACGCTATTTGGAAGATCTTAGGAGGAGATTTGAACCACTTTAATACACATTGTGTAAAAGCTCTTTTGGAAACAAAAAAAGGTCCTGATGATATTTGGACTAATGAAGATGGACTTTCTGAATCCCCTGAGCAGATTCTATATCATATTATTTTTATTTGTAAGGAGCTTGAGGATTGGAAACGCATGTGTACTTCAGATGACAATTTTTCTCTGGTAGATTTGATTAATAGTGATATTCATTATGCAGTAATGATAATTGGAGAAGATAAGGGTATATCTTCGAATTTACCACTGGAATACTTCTGTGAAGTTGCAGCTCGATTAAGCAAGGAACCCCTGTATTCTTATAATAGTTTCTGTGTAAATTTATTACTAAAATTGCACTTTCCAGGTAAATCTGGAGAGAATATACTATTAGATTTAAGTGAGATTATTTCTATCTGTTCAGCTACAAATTTATGGTCTGAAATTTGTTTCTCAGAACACTCAGATTTCATTCAATCACTCCCTGAAGAGCTACAATTGTTTGTTTCTGCAATATATACTCAAATAAAGAATAGTGAGGAGTCATTTTCACAGAGCAGCCAAGAAGCTGAAGATTACCAAAATGTAAAACCTGTTGACTTCTGTGAAATTGCAGTACGGATGAATAACAAGGTCAATATTGGTTCTTATTTCAATACTTTATGCATGATTGAACTGACTACTCCATTGAAATTATCTGGTTCAAAATTACATTGGAATCCAACTCCTCAACAGGTTATCAACCTCTGTATAAATAATCCCCTATGGGAATCTTGCCCTTCATTGGGCTATGATGAACCTCCATCTTTAATAAATATTGAAACACCATCCTCATCAAAAATAGTAATTTCAACAGTTGATACGCGAAGTCTCCTCTCTTCTGCCATATTAAAAACAGTACACACGCTTCCACTAACACATTTTAGCTCAAATTTTTATCAATATGCAAATATAAAAGATATATGTCACATTTCAGAGAAAATTCAATTAGAATCCCATGATGCTTCGAAGGGAACAATTCCTTCAGACATATCACCCTTAACAATGGGTCACTATTTCAATGCTATTTGCTGGAGAAAATTATCAACTTATCCTCTTGTTCTAAAGACAAAAGTAGGTGTAATTGTTCAGCCTCTAAAATCTTCTGAATCTATCTTTGTGTGTAATAGTGCAGTTTCATTTTGGTATCCATATTGCGACTTTGAGGATATAAATAAGGGTCAACATTTCATTTCTGAGGTAGAAGTTTTGGCTCAGGAATTGCAAATTAAGTCACAAGATTTTTATAAATTACCTCATGGTTCTTTCTGCAATATAGCAAGACAAACTATAACCACATTAGATAGTTTTGGAGGGCTTGATGGTCATATGGAGATGGATGAAAATGATAGTCTCTCCTGGATACTACATAATATCCCAAGCACATCCTCAAATTATGGAGTATATGCTAGTAAAGTATCTAATGCACTTTTTAATAGAGAGTGTGTGAGAGAATTAATTGGAAATAGGCTTCAGAGGGAAGAAATACCCCTAAATATTGCTATTGAGATTTGTGGGAGCTCATTACGTTGGAAACAGTGCTACGATAAAGGAATATTTTCAAAACTTGTAACAGAATTTGTTGCATCTGAATTCTACTATGCTGCCCTTGCGGAGGAAATATACCCTAAACTTAACTGGAATCACTTTTGCTTAGCTGCTCATGAAATCGTTCCAGAAGCATATAGTACTCTCAATATTATCCCAAATTTCCCCTATTTTAACCATAAATGCGTTGAAAAGTTTATGGATATCCAAAACAATCGCCTTGATTTACTTTACGAAACTCTTAAAGAATCAGAACAGTCTCAGATTAATAATAGTCCAAACCTAATAAAAATGTGTGTTCATAGTTACTTTTGGCGTAAGATATGTAATAGTGACAACTTTCATGTTGACTTACTCGCAAATAGTTTACTTTATGGATCGCATCAATATGAACATATGCAAGGTCTCTCAGAATCTATCTTTTGCAAAGCTGCCTACAAGTTATCTTCCTCAAATCCACTACATTTTACGGGGGAATGCATGAAGGTATTAATGGATATTGGTAGTATGATTTCTACAGAAGTAGCAGAAAGTGCCTGTAGTGCCTCTCACCGAAATTTAGTTTGTCTAGGATATTCAACCGAATATACTAGCATAGCGCAAAATCTATTTTCGGCTATCTTGCAATTCAAGAAAGTTGAAAGTTTGGCACCATTTTCGGAATTTTGTAAGGTTGCATATGCAATTTCAACTGACTTGGAACTTAAAGAGTCAACTGCATACTTTCCAGCTATTTGTGCTAAATATCTTAAAAGTAGAAAATTTATATCCTCTTTGATTGAAGCATCCATAGCATGTAACCGGATATTAACTTTTGAAACAACATGTGCGGATCATTATGTCGTTGAACTATTGGCTTCAGAGTTTTTTAAGCAAAGCCGAAATATAGAGTCTTTGAAAAGGTGGGAATATCAGTATTTTTGCCCTGTTGCTCGAAAGCTTTGGAGTATGTTTACAGAAAAAGAGGTATATTTAAAAAGATTTAATTCTTTTTGTGTATCTACGGTCAGAGCAGTTATTGCATCCCCAACACACAAAATACGTATTGATGATGCCATTGATCTTTGTAATGGATCTATAGGATTTCAAATAATCTGTCCCAAGATCAACAACCCAGATATACAACACATGGCATCAGATCTCTTAATTGGAGTCTCTTCTGTAATGAACTTGGATTTTGAAGATTCCGAAAGTAAAGAACAAATATGTGTTATTACTAATAATATACATAGAAATTCAATAAGTTATATACCAATTGCTAGAGATGATATTAGACAGTATGTAAAATATCCTTATTTCTTGAACGCTTGTGTTGAAGAACTTTTATATGGAGATATTTATGATAATGATTCTAAACTTAAAATTAGTGCAGAGAAAGCAGCTTCTATATGTCTATACTATACAAGGGTATCTACAATATGTAAAGAACATAATCCTTTAATATCTACCCTAGCAGTTGGTCTACACTCTGAAATATCCTTGATTCCAGAGTACTCAACAATTAAGGCTGAGGACTTATGTAACTACGCAGCTTTCCTTTTTCCCCACAATACATTAACTTATTTGGATGTATGTAAGAATTCACTTAATAAAATACATGAATGGATTCCTGCAATAAAACCTAGAAAGCATCAAATAACTCAATACAAAAAAGTAAAAATATGTTCTAAACCATATATATGGCCTAAATGTATTTCGAAGCTGGAATTATTAAGGGTTATACGTAATATGCAATTAGAAAAGATTGCCATAAAATTTCAAAGTGTGCTATCTGATAATAACATTGACTTCTGGAACTTTAATAAATACTGTGACATGGCTGAACAAATAGTTAAATTTGGTTCAGCTAACAACTTCTTAAATTGTAAAGAACAATTAGAAAAGTTACAAGTAGTGGATACTATTTTACCTAAAAATAGGACAACAAATGAAGAAAAACCTCAATTAATTTATTTCAATATAAGTAGTAATTTAATAACAAAGATGTGTCTATCACATCATCTTAACTCTTTTTGTTCAAACTCATATGATCCCGAATTGGCTATTTATTTAGCGAATAGCTTCTATTCTACTTCCCTTAAGTACTTAAATGTTCCAAGTATGAAAATTTCAGATTTTTGCTTACCATCAGAATTGATTATTCGTAAAGATACAATCTTGGATATGATGCGTGTGTGCCCATATGCATATATGCAAGTATCGAATTTGGAACACTGGCCTTCTATATTGTTGACTCCTGAATTAGCTGTCACAGTATGTAGTGAGATACAGTTATGGAACTTTGAGTGTTTATCCAAAAATCTAGATACAGGGATAACTGCAGATCTTTCAGATGCATTAAAAAATATTGCTATTGAGATTTTTTTCATTCGTCATAAATATTGTAAACTAGTAACTCCTGAATGGAATTGTAATTTAGCTACAATATTTATTTTATTAGGTGTAAAGAACAAATTTTTTTCGAAATATTGTCCTCGTCTTATTTTTTATGATTTAGTAAATTGTGGAGACTATCCTGATAAAAGTAGTTATATATATGAAGCGAAGAGTAGTCAATATGAATTTATATATAAGTTAACTAATCGAAAATATAAGGAGTCTTCTAGAAATAAGGAAGTTGAGGTATTAATAAGGAGAAGTAATGAGATATGTGCTGAAATTCAAGAGAAGCTTAAGGTATTATATATTAAAAGCCATAATGGTGGTAAAAAAATTACATTTAAAAACAGATTTATATCAAATTACATGTATTATAAAGATACGATACTACGTAATTTTGTGGATCCAATAGTTCCATCCTCTTCAAGAAAAGGTATAGGAGATAAAGCTTATCTAAAAATACTTAAAGAAAGGGAAGATCGAATCAATTTAAAAAAAAAACTCAAGATTATTACTAAAGCAAAAGGCTTTATTGAACTAGATGATCATTTGCTTGAATCCTATCAACCAAAGTCTGTGGATGAGAAGCTTGTTAAGAAATACTATGCAAACTATCCAGAAGATTCATTAGATTCACCATTAAGTGGACCACTTATATATGAAGCTCCACAATTAGATTGGCAATTACTTGAAAAGTCCATTAAAAGAGTATCATATAATTTATTAGGCTTCGAATTTAATGTATCTGACCCTAAAAGTGGGGGATTAGCTGAATTGATTTACCAGTGGGGATATCTGCCACAAGGCACAATTCAAGGTGCTCAATACATTTACAGAGTAGCTAGATACATAAACAAATTTATGATAAATTCCAAAACTGCTTATATATTATGGAAAGATATTTTAATAGATATGAACCACTCAATTATTCCAAAATGGCGAGATATTTGGGATGAGGAAGTTAAACAATTGAAACCTGCTGATAACCACCCAATACCATCATGCGACTCAGTTAGTTCAAGTAACATTCTCAAACAATTAGGAATGAATAACAAGAAGATCAGCATACAAGATTCATCAAGGATTGATATTTTTGCAGCTCAGTTAACTGAAGCTGCCCATGAATTAAAAATTTCAGATGTTCAGTTTAAAGACTCGTGTCTAGTAGGTTTAATTCTGTTTCATATGATGCAGTATTCAAGAACTTCTTCGTTTAATTACCAATGTGTTAAGTGGGTAAAAGAAATAGGATACTTAAACTCCAAAGGAAATAATCTTGATAGAAATCTCACAAGTACTTCAACATCCCTAGTATATCATTTAACAAAGGGAGTGAGAATTGGTATCCCAACAGAAATTGCTCGTAAGATGTGTTCAAGTACAAGCCGTTGGATGAGCTGTAAAGTGGATATTCCCATAGATGAAAAATTAAAAATAGATATGCTAGCAACGGAATTGCTGAAACTATCAAGAATACAAGGGCTCGAATTTAGGGATATGTGTGAAGTGGCTATTCCAGTTGCGAATGCACCAGATTTTAATGATCGTTGCCCAATCTTACTAAAATCAGTACTAGCAGATTATAAAAGGGCTGTTCATATTTGTAAATCAACTAGTTTTTGGAAAAGCTGTCCTCAATCAAGAAATATTAGTGATTTAAAGTTAAGGGAGCATTTGGATAACTTGTCATTAGAATTGACTCTTGGCTTGCAAGAAGTATATCCGGATATATTCAGCTTTGATGAAGTATGTGAATTAAGTGAAAAATTTGTAGCGTCAGAATACTTTAAGCAGGATTGCGTTAAATATGTCAAAGAATTTATCTTCATTAACCGAATTTCAAAACCTACTCTAGGTGTTTACATTGGAGATAGATCAGCTGGACAAATACATATGACTGCAGTTGCAATTGCTCTATGCTGTGATACTCTCAGATGGCAACAGGTAACTTGTGAAGTTGATGAAGAGAATAAACATCTATCATTAATTGAGAGACAATGGGCAGATGTTGTTTCAGAAGAAATATATAGGGAGTTATATGAAAGAAGAAAAAAAAACCCAATTATAGGACTATACTTCAAAGATAAAAAGAGAGATGAATTACTAAGTAAATACATGGAAGCTAGTAAATATGAACGTCCAGAGTTCTCATTTATTAAGCTACCATCTCCAATAATATATCAAGATGTATGTAAACAAGTTTTTGGAATTACGAAAACAAAATACTTTAATATAGATTGTATTAGAATAGTTGGTGATATATTTCAGGTAAAATTGTCGGAACTGAAAGATCAATTATCTATTCCAAGTAATGGAGAACCTTTAAGTCCTCTTAATACCAATTTACTTCCAGGAATACCAGATATAAATACTATTGAAAGTATATGTAGGGGGAATCAGTTTTGGGAATCATGTTTTAACCCAAATAATCCAATTGAATTAATTGAACAAACTGATATCACAAAAGATATTATGAAGGTTACAGATATTGTAGCAAATGACTTAGTGGTATCAATACTCCAGTTAAGTAGTCATGAGGTTCCTATTATTGACACAGGAGATCTGGACTACACATCTTCTACAAGTTATTCAATTCATAAAATTGCTATGGATACATTAAGATCTCTAAGGTATACTGATCTATGTAATTTATCTCTCTTGTATGCCCGAAATATACTTAGATATATGTCAATGAAAGCACTTGTTGAATATAAACTCTATATTGAAAGTACTCTTGCAAAAAATTTTGCAGAGTTAATACTGAAAAAGATGTTTCCAAACAGAAGAAAAGAAGTTGATATGGGGATGGATATATATGAAGGCTCATTACAAGAGATGAATGATCTCATTTCTTTTGATCGTTACATGTCACGTCGTGTGGAACAGCTCCCAAAGGTTACACCTTTTATATTTACTGAATCTTATGATTATATATATTATTTAGATAATATAGAAGAGGTTTCATTTAGATATAATATATCTAACCTTATATCTAAATGTAAAGATGATTCTAAGGAGATCTACCACAAGTCGGATTACTGCACAATTTATGAATCCGACTATCTATATATTTATCCTTCTAAAGGACTGAAGTTATCGTCAATTACTCCTATATCTCCTTCTTATAAAGAAAATTTTGAATCTAATTGTGAAAAATCTGACTTGAATATTAAGGTTGGTTCTAATATTATGAATAAAATAACTGATTTTCAACTACTTAACCCAAAAAAATTTCATAAAGCTATAAAATTTAAAATAACTAGAGATATCTTTGCTGATAGTGGAAATTTAAAAAATAAACAGCTGGTTAAGTCATGGATAAAGGAAGTTGAGAGAGAATTTTATTATAAACAGGGTCTAACAATAGCTACAGAAGAATGGATGGAGAGAGAAGAATTCGAAGCCCAAAGAAAAAAAGTAAGTGATTTAAAAGACTATCAAGAATCGAGTGATGTTCAAGATGATGAAATTCAAAGTTATACAAGTAGTGAACCAATTAAATTTGAAATACCTAATAAGGAAAAACGTATCCCCAGTTTATTTACAGTACTATTTAGTCAAAAGGCCAGAAAAGAAAGGAAAGAAGCAATTATGTTTAATAAAGGTCTATATAGGGCAAGATTACATTATTTCTTACAGAAGAAGAGGATTTTGGAGAGGAAGAAATTGCGTGATGAAGCTGAGAAGTCTAAAAAGATGATTATAGATTTTAAAAATAACAATATTACTCCGAAAGGACCTCTAGTAAATAGATATGTAGATATAACATCTCTCTATTCTATTCAGGAAAGAAGTGCTGCAACTGCTATATCACATCTGATATGTTACAACCAAATAGCTTCTGATATGCTGGAAAGTTTAGATATCCCTAATTAGTGGATTTGGGTTTCAATACTATGGTATTTATGAATATACTTATTGTTTTATATACTTTATAAATCGAGTCCCATTTGTAATATTTAGGATTCTAGTATCAATACTACATTTTAGAGATGATTGCGTGAAAGTGCCTATTTGCAATGTACTATATGCAAGATTTTATAGTTGCTATAGGCGCCCGTGGTGACTTTTTACGTTCAGTGAGCGCGTTTGTTTTTTTTTTTTTTTTTAAGGTTTCTTATTTGGAGATCCAGTTATCATGCAGGGAGGAAGTAAATCTAAATATTTGTAATATTTATTAAATATTGATGGTTTCTATTGTATCAACAGCTCAAGTAGGCCGTATAGTGGATGACTCAAGTACAGGCAGGACAGGAAAGATACATCATAGGAAGTGTGGTATTTGGGGAACTGCTTACTGCTGCTTAAGCCTTAAGACAAGTGTTATAATGATAGCAGTAACCTATGGATTTCTATATTTGATAGTAAAGTTTTGTAAGTTTAATATTAGCTTTCTTTGTTCACTACATCTGTAAATATAAACTATCTTTTGTCTCTTCAGCTTTTCTAACGATTACAGCAATTAATTCTACTATGAATCTAGCTGGAATGAATTCTAATTTGGACATACTAAGTAAAATTTTGCCTGATTATCTAGAAAAGTATTTTGACAAACTCATTTTTTTACTATTAAAAGAGGTAGTCACTAAACTAGATTCAAATATGGTTTCTACATTCCAAGTCATTTTAATTAACTATCTAAATATTTCTTCATTTATTTATGGATATTTATTTATTATTGGCCTTATATCTGGTATTTTCTCGTGGTTCTGGGCAACTGTAACTTTTCTAGTTTTAATTTGGGTAGATGTTATCAAAAACATCACAGGTATACTCTTTTTCTACTTTATGATAGCTAAAAACTTCCAATCTTGGTGGATGTATTTCTACATATTTTTAGGGGTTACTAGTGTCCTATTATTTATTTTATTATGTTTTTATTATACGATTCAGGTTACATATTCTTTGTACTTGGTACAACTAGCAGGGGGGAGAGGAAACGAAAAAGTTCCTTACTTCAAACTTAGAAGAATGGTTCCAAGTAGCACAACATGTTTAGGTACATCTCCCCGTCCTAGAATAGCAAGCAGAATAGACCCAAATATAGACTCTATAGCAGATGAAACTAATCCTTTGCTACAGAAAGAGTCTTCTAATGTACAACAGCCAGAACAGCTAGTTTAGCTATTTAATTTTATTTATTAAGGTAACAAAGTCAACATAAATATAATTGCAGCTACTAAGCAATTCAGGAATTTGTATAATTGATTAATTATAAGCCTTAAAATTTAATTAGACAATTCCGTTCTTTTTTCTACTAAGAAGATATTTAAATAAATTTATTTCTGTTCATACTACTATTAAAAGTAATACGAAGTATTAATTTAAAATGTGAAGTATGAACCTTTCAAGTAGTTATTTGCTAACAAAGTCTTATTTTTCTTTCTTTAGTTCTTATTAGTAATGCAATCGTATATACAGATCATCATAGACGATTATGCTCTTAACTATATTTGGGAAACTTGCAGTTTCTTGACATCCAAAGACTAATGAATTTCCATTTATTTACTTTATATCTCTTGAGTAAACTGTCTACTTTTGAGTTATAATTTGGGCGTAATTCTAGTTGCTCTAGCTCGTCTAATTTTCAATTATTTCATCTTCTATCTCATCTTCTGTATCATCTGCTGTTATATCTTCAAATTCTATGCTTGAAGATCCTTGTTCCAGTATAACTTCAGGGGATTCTTCAGGTATCTTAAATACTTCTCTTTGATCCTCCTTAATCTCATTATTATCAGTTTCAGACTTCAATGATTTCAAATCTTTCGTTCTAGCTGCTTTATCTTCATCAATAAGCTTAAGAATTTTCATTTGAAGATCTTGGTCTAATTCTTTAATTGAATTTTGATAGTACTCAAATAGTTGAGGTTCAAAAGTATTCTTGACAATAATATGAGATCCTAAAAATGCATTTAATATTCAGTTAATACAGGTTTCATTAATAATCAGATAATAAAAAAAGTCAATTGCAAAAGTTTTTAATTAATCATTGATATTCATAGGACACAGATCAAAATCCAATAATATGAAATACTTGTTTAGTCACCAAAAACCATCCATACAAGCTTAATCATTAAGAGTATGCAGGTTATAAATTTTTTTTTAATGTTTCAGGAAATTTTATAATTGGATTAAAGTCTGGTCAATCAATATGACGAATAGTTGACCAAAAACTAACTTGGATAATCAATATTTTAATTGTGTTTGTACATAGTAACTTACCTTCAGGAGCAGTTTTAAGTTTTAATTCAAGTATTTTTAGTTGTTCAGATGAGATGTAGTTGGGCTCAAAATTATTGAACTCTACTAAGACATACTGTCCCCCATATATGTTCTGTGGAAGAGTTTCAGTAACTTCGGCTGATTGCTGATTGGCACCCTCACTTGCATCTTCAATTGCTACTCTATTTAAAAATTCTACTATTTTCTCTTCACCTATTAAGAATATATTACTATTAAGTAGAAAATACATAAATCAAGTTAAAATATTACTATTTACCTTCAAATTCTGGACTTGGCTGAGTCCTTACTGTTTCATCTGTTATAGATTTTGGTTTATCGATCAATATATCTTCAAGAGTATCATCTTGGATAGAACCTTCATTGAATTCTAAAAATATTTTTAAAAAACAAAATAAATTATATAAATTAAAATTACATTTTTTATTATAAAATTTACCTTTTTTCTCTTTAGAATTATCTACATTTGTAACAATAACTTCTGGGAAAATACCTTCCATAAAATCCACCATTTCTGGTTCCTTCATATCGTATTTTAAAATTCTACGTATGTATTTTGGTTTGTCTAACGTAATAGATGAGGGTTTTGAAGCATTTATAGATAAGCTATTATTATTATAGGAGCTTATAAGAGATTCATTCCTTGCTTTAGATACATTAGAGCTGTTAAAATATACAGGTACTAGCTTTTCAAATTTATTTATCATTGGTTCAATTTGTTTATTATATGATTCATCACCTTTTTGCTTGATCCCTAATTCTTTTTCTTCCTCTTTGCTATCACTAGCTTCGTTATGCTGAGCTTTATGTTCAAGTTCTACAAGATTTGGTTCTGCAGATACACCTTCTGTATCATTTTTTACCTCAAACAAATTCCGAGTATAATCTATTGCTGGTTCTTCTATAGATTTTAATGTAGAATTTATTCCAGGTCCTTTAGATTCCAATATAGAATTTATTTCTGTTTCTTCCATGGATTCTAATGTAGAATTCATTCCAGATCTTTCAGATTCCAATATAGAATTTATTTCTGGTTCTTTCATATATTCTAATGTAGAATTTATTCCAGGTCTTTCAGATTCCAGTATAGAATTTATTTCTGTTTCTTCCATGGGTTCTAATGTAGAATTCATTCCAGATCTTTCAGATTCCAATATAGAATTTATTTTTGGTTCCTCTATAGATTCTAATGTAGAATTTATTCTAGGTCTTTCAGATTCCAATATAGAATTTATTTCTGGTTCCTCTATAGATTCTAATGTAGAATTCACTCCAGATCTTTCAGATTCCAATATAGAATTTATTTCTGGTTCCTCTATAGATTCTAATGTAGAATTTATTCTAGGTCTTTCAGATTCCAATATAGAATTTATTTCTGGTTCCTCTATAGATTCTAATGTAGAATTCACTCCAGATCTTTCAGATTCCAATATAGAATTTATTTCTGGTTCCTCTATAGATTCTAATGTAGAATTCACTCCAGATCTTTCAGATTCCAATATAGAATTTATTTCTGGTTCCTCTATAGATTCTAATGTAGAATTCACTCCAGATCTTTCAGATTCCAATATAGAATTTATTTCTGGTTCCTCTATAGATTCTAATGTAGAATTCACTTCAAATCTTTCAGATTTCAATATAGAATTTATTTCTATTTCTTCCATGGGTTCTAATGTAGAATTCACTCCAGATCTTTCAGATTTCAATATAGAATTTATTTCTGGTTCTTTCATATATTCTAATGTAGAATTTATTCCAGGTCTTTCAGATTCCAATATAGAATTTATTTCTGGTTCTTCCATAGATTCTAATATAGAATTTACTCTAGGTCTTTCAGATTCAAATATAGAACTTATTTCTGGTTCTTCTGTTGGATCCAGCGTAGAATTAATTTTGGATTCCCCTGTAGACTCTAATTTAGAATCTACTGTAAATTCTGTTGTAGGTTCTACACTATCTTTAGACTTCACTACAGATTCTGTGTCATTATTATATAAGCCCTTTTGTCCAAACAAATTATCTATAGGAGTTAAAATAAAGTTTTTTGCGATGCTTTCAGTCTGTAGGTTACCATAATTAGATCCAGAAAATTTTCTCCTCAAAACTTTTGATTCCTTAGCTCTAAGCCGAACTGCAAAAGTACCCCATAAAAAAGACTGTAAAATAACTAACAATTGCACAACTAGTTTATAATTTATTATCATTTCTTAAATATTAAGAATGTTTATCTCTACTTACCAAGATTCAAAATATTGTTATTTCACCCTGGTGTGTCGCGCTAGTGATTTTTGTGTACTTGCACACATAAAGAAGTCAAAACAACTAGGTAATTATCCCAAATAAAAATATCAATTAAGGCTCCTAAATTTAATACAGAATTGAAGATCACAAATTTAATTTTTAGAAATTAATGTCTATAAATGATATAAAATTTGGTTTTTTAGATATGAAATAATAAAGCGTGATATTATCTAGTTCGAATTATTAAGTATTTTTTTAAATAAAAGACCAGCCTAAGTAATATTTATACTTTAATAAACTAATTGAGACATAATTAAATATATTAGATTCTCATTATACAATAATCCAATAAATAGTTACTGTAAATCTACTCGGTACCGAGTAATAAAATAGATCAATATTTTTTACGTTATGTCTCCTATGTTACATCATTTATTAGATTAACTAAAGTACTTTAAATTACTTCTTTTATTTTTGGTTATTTAATTAGTTCTTAGTGCTGAATTATTTCTAAAGGCATTTAGACGTTCTTGTATTTGATGGATTAGTTTGAGTTTTTGAGAAATGGAGTCGTCGAATTGCTTAACATTAATTCTTGCAGCCTTTACTTTCTCTTTCAGATTCATATTACCTTTCAGATATTCTCCTTCTACAGCTCTAAGTTCATCTGCTGCAGTTTGCATGTTGGTTTTGATTTGCTGAAGATCTTCTTGTTCGGAATCCAACATCTTCTGTAGCACATTTGGATCATTTTTGCGCAAAAGTTCATCTTTTGCCTTCTGAGCTATATCGACCTTGTCTTGCAATTCCTTTACAAGATCATTATAGTAGTCAATATTATCTTTGATTTCATCGTTACTAGGACTATCTTGTGCCTTTGCCTCCCATTCTATGAGGTTTTTTTTTGCATATGACAACTGTGGTTCATATACTTCGAGGACAGCTTGAACATTAGCCCAACCCAGAGATGAATCGCCATTCTTATTAGGACTTGTCAAATAAGTTTCCAATAGTTTGAGTGGGTCTCCTTCAGCCAGTTTCTCTGCTTCATCCCAATTGTTTGTCTTTTTTTCGACAGTCTCTATTTCTTCTAGATGTAGCTGTGCAGAAGCTAACAGTTGAGCCATTTGAGGATCTGCATTAACAACTGGCATACTTCCATTCAACTTCTCTAGAGTATTTACTGAGAGTTGGGGAATAGAAACGTCAGGAACGTTCAAATGCCTTAATTTATGTACATCATCTGGAGCATTTAATGCAGTTAAGATAGTTGGGGCTTCATCTTCCTCTGCGTATAGGGAACTTGTGTCAGATGCAATAGCTTCTTCTTTTTTATACTCCTTATCTTGACTACTTTTTAAAACTGTTGAAAGAGGCTTGGAAGGCTGATCTGCAAATGGAATAAGATTGTCTGATATCACTGAGTCTGTTTCATCACGTTTAAAGCAATCAAAATCTACCTGTGAATCCTGATGACAAATATTTACTGAACTAATTTCTGACAGTTCTCCATCTTCCAGCACAATTGGACCTCTTATTGAACTAGAACTTTGACTATGTTCACTAGTGTCACCTTTTGAATCAAGTACACATTGGGATTTATTTTTATTTTGTATTTTACCATCCTGTTCCTTTTTATCTTTTATATCATTATTTGTTTTCTTCTTGGTTGCTTCTATTAGTTGTTCACTTTCGTCTATATTAGTATCAAGTTCTCCGATATATTTCGGTTTATCTATGCAATCCCCTCCCAAAATCCCCTGTTGATTTGTTTTTATTTCAGATGACACCTCTCTATCTCCTAATTTTGGCTCAATCTTAGCTACATCAAGATTATTAGGTTCTTCTAAAGTTGGGTGATTTTCAATATGAGTACTAACTGGTTCTTCAGTATCTGGTGTTTGTGCTGACTGAAAGAAATCATGATCTTTTTTCTTCTTTTCTGCACTTTTGTTTAAAGAAAAAAGTGCCATTGCTGCTTTTGTAACTGGAATAACAGTTTCCTTGTCTAATGGGTATTGTTCACTTGATGAATTAATACCCAGAACTTCCGATATATCTGCTTTTTCATCAGGAGTTTGAGTTGATGTCTCGTATGTCGTTTCTTCTTCTTTAGGTATTTCTACTATAACAGGTTCTGATTTCTTATGTTGTACAAGAAAATTACTTTGACTAGTTTTGCTACAGGAAGACTTATTCTCGATATTTTCTTCAATAGGTGTAGTAGAGGATTGTTTACTAGAGGCTAATTGAGTAGGACGAGTTACTGTAGATTGTCGAAATTCTGGACTTGTAATTGGACTGCTTTTATTCCTTATATTTACTGGGCTTTCTGTATTTATATCCACATTATTTGTATTATTTGGTGAGAATGATATTTCAATATGGATCGACTTATTTTTTTTACTCTTTTTTGGCTTTTCTACAAATAGTTTTTTGGCTTGGTCTATCAAATTTTGAATTTCTGTTTTTGTATCTTCCAAGGCTTTTCCCTCATCTTTTAGTGAATTTTTGAGTAATTCTTCTTCCATCATCAAGGCATCATCAATTATTTCTTGTTCTTTCAATAGGGCATCACCCAAGATTTCTTGTTCTTTATTTAAGACCTCACTCAGCATTTGACCTCCCTTCTCCAACGCATTATTTAGCAACTTTTTTTGGTCCTGCAAGTTAATTTGAGATAGTAATTCCTCCTTTTCCAAAGTATCTCTTAATAATTTCTTTTGTTGTTGCTCTGCTTCTTTTAAAATATATCTCTCAGCCTTTAAAGCACTATCTAAGAGATCTTCCTCCAAAGCTAGAGCCTCTTCCAAAATAGAGGCATTTAGAGCAACTCCACTTTGATCCCCTGCACAATTTAAAGTTGCTTGGTTAAAAACTTCACTATCAGAATTAATTGATTTACAAGAACTTTTTATTTCACTAGGATTCCGATTTTCAGTTGAGTACTTCATACAATCTTTTGCTCTTCGAGATTCTTGTATTTTAGAAGAGCTACTAGGGCGTGTAGAGGAATTTTCAAAATCAGGTAATTTACCTGAAATATCAGTAATTAATTTTTCTGATGTATTATTTTCTGAAGGGTTACTATTTATAGGTTTGTTTTTATCAATAGAATTTGTAACAGGAATCTCATCCCATTCCCTTTTACAAGATCCCTCATTCACTTGTTTTAATTCAGTTACATCAAATTTCTCAATAGCTAGATCACTTCCAATTTGTTTGTCCTTTAGTTTTGCCTTCACATTATCTATCTCCTCTTTATCTACTAGACCCTTATGTACTTCACTGGCCCCCTTTAATGCAGATGTGCAACAATTTCTGCATGAATATATTGATGAGTTATTCGCATTATCAGTGGAAAATGTGTTACTGTATTTATGATCTATAATAGTAGGTGGAGGGCTTTTAGTATCCTCTATATTCTGTAAATACAAATTGCTATATCCAAATGAAGAATGAGATAATGAATGAGAAACAGGTCCAATACAGGTTTGAACCCCAATAGGGGTAGAAGGAGATAAGCTAAGGTTAGTAAAAGCCTCCTGTTTAGCAGGTCCCAAAGGTGTCTGTACAAAATTCGTAACTTTAGTCTCAATAAGTGTACTAGAAGGAGATGTACCAGGTACAAAATTTAGTGGTAGAGGTGAAATAGGACGCGATTCCGCTTTCCTTATGAATACTGGATCCGGTGATAAAGACTGGTTATATAATGGAGTAAAAACTGCACCATTTTTGGCGGGTGACCTACCACGCTGTGAAGTTAATTCCAAATTGCAGCCATAGCCCTCGTTTAGATTGGGAATGGGAGGTATAACTAAAAGTCTGCTAGTAGGTGAACAGGGAATTGAACATTCCTGCTCATCAATGTTTGAATTATTACAACATTGGAAAGCCATCTTTGTAATATTTAGCCAAATATAAAAAATTCCTAGTTTCACAGAAGAAATCCAATAAAAAAAAAAAAAGAATAACCAGTTCTGGTAAATATTTCCTGATAAAATAAAAACAAAAACCTAGAACTCTATTAAATTATAGATTTAATTTTTACACAAGGTAAATAACTGAAGTAAATCCATTGCCTCCAACCTTCGGGATGCCTGAACAAAAGAAAAATGAAGGTTAGACACTTTTATTTTTCATTTAAAAAAAAGTGGGCCTAAACTGGTTATTCTATGTGTGCTTAGTCTTACTTGAAATTCTTAATAGAAAAATATCAGGTTTGGGAATTACAAAAATATGTATGTGTGGATAGCTCCACACATGCAAACTACTTACATAGTTATATAAAACACTTCAGTTTTTATATTTTAATATTTAAACACCAAAAATGATATCGCATAGACAAAAGTGGATATATATTACTATTGTTCTTTATTTTATACTTTCTAATGGAGATTTTACTGTATTAGGGGAAAATCCTTTGAACAGCTCTTTCATATCTCAGTTAAATACTAACATTTCAGACTCTGTAGACTATGAGAATCTTTTCCAAAGTGAACTTTTACTAAATAATATAATAAATAAAACAAAATATTTGCTTAATTCAGGTCAAGAAATGCTCTCTACAATGGAATCAGTATACCAGTGTGATCCAAAGGTAGTGAAATTTGTAAATTCAATAGATCCTCCTATTAATATTGAAGTAAATCCTAATGAGAATCAACAAGTTGAAGATTTATCTGAAAGGATTTCTTCTTCTTTGCACGAATTTGTTGATAAATTAATTAATGGTTGGGATAATTTTTGGAATGGAATTTGGGGAGCACAAAATATTTCCAATACATTAGTTCCTCCCGGAGTTAATATTACATTACATACAAATAGCTCTAATAGAACAATTATTTGTGGCTCTGCAGTAGTTCCTTGGACTTCTTCTATGCAATGTTATCGGGTTTTTAAAGATATATTAGCAGAAATTAGTTTTGGAGATCGCTGTAATATTACTCAACCATTATACCAACTTGCAGATGTACTAAATTCAACGAATAAACTTACTCACATTGGTTTTGATAATTTACACTCAAAAGTTGAAGGAGTTTTTGAAAAATATCGTGAAAATATTTTGCGTGGTAATATCTTTTCTAGAGTTGATTTATTTTTCAAAAAAATTCCCTTTTTCTTTCTAGATCGTTCTTTAAGCAGAAATTTATACGATTTGGCAAATTCTCAAGCAGAAATGGCTTCTATTGTGAAGTATATGCATAAGGAGGGGATTTTCACTCGTGAATCTATACTTCAGAATATTGTAAACTTTATTCGTTCATTGACTTCCATATATACAAGAGCTCAGACAAATTTACATACATTAAGAACAAAATTAAAAATAAATGCTACAGAAGTAGAAAATTTGACATCTAAAATTGAGAACATGAAGAATTTAGAGGTTACACTTTTGGATAATGTTAAGGATACTGTACAACAGTATAATAATCAGACAAATATTCCACTCCCTACTATTACATCTCAAATCCAAAGAATTGCAAATAATGCAATGAATTCGGCTATTAACACAGTTAAGATATTAGAAAAGAAGAATTTAGTAACTAATGAACAACTAACTGATTTAGTTAATGAAGTTGCTAAATTTTCATTGTTCAACAATTTATCAGTACCTGTTAGTGAGAATGGAACATTAACACTACGGTATCTTAATAGTGAAGGTGATATTCCCTTAGATACTTCATTGATATCAAGAGAAGTAATCCATAAATATTTTATGGATATATTTATGGGAGCCCTGTTTTACAATGTAACTCATGGTAACCTTCATCCTACACTTTACTCTAGTACAAAAAAATTGATCAATAACACTAATAATGAAAAACTAAATCAAGAAGGAAGTCCATCAACCAATTCTGAGACTGATATTACAATTTTCCCCGTTTTGATTTCCTTCAATTTCTCGGAGACTAGCAAATTAAGTGGAAGATCTAAAGAAAAAGTATCTATTACTGGGGTACAAGATATAACAAATATTAATAATTCAAAATACATTGGAAATAAAGACAACACAGTTGAACAATTTATAAATAATAAAGATTTAAGCTTGAGTGAAGCTATAGGTACTAATCCTGAAAAAGGCTTAGACTTTTTTAGTGATAAGTATTATACAGATATCCCTATAGTAAATGGAACAAATCAAAATAGCATAAAAGTATTAGTTTCTCAGAGCAGTTATATTTCTTTGCCACAAAAACCTATAAGATCACCAAATCCTTCTGAAAGACCCAAAAACAATACTATTTCTAAGGATGAGGCTAATCAAGATTCCAAAATAGCGGAGAATTTAACAAAAAATAGCAATAGTAATACTAATGTAAAATGTAAGAATGATCAAGATAGATCTACAGTATTAGTAGCTACTAATACATCTACAACTAAACCTATAATCAAGAGTACTTCAGCTTTTGATAGTAAAGCTGTATATGAAGAAAAAGATAATACAAAGAATCTGAGAGGATTTGAGGTATCACCACATACACTTGCGAGTATTTATTTGAATACAAAGGAGGTCCAAAGAACTAATTTTAACTCTTCTGGAGTTACAAGATCAGTTGAGGATAATTTTGAGAGATTGGAATTTAAAACAAGTACAACTAACGAAGATCCAAATATGAAGCATTATCTGAAGACTGAAGCATCAACAAATACAAATACCCCTAATACTAATCTAAGTACAATACATAAACCAAACCACAAAAACTCAACAAATATGATCAAAGGTAAAACTACAGGGAGTATTGTAATTGATCCCTTCAGTATAAAGGAGACAATACAACACACAGTAAGTAGTGATAATTCGTTAGCTTTTGTAACCATTCCAGTAACTTCAAAATCTACCAATAGAAGTTCTTTACTTAATATTACATCTTCACTTCAGCCAAAGCAAACAGGTATTAAGTCAACATCTTGCACTTTTGATTCAGAAAATATCGAGAATTACAAAGAAAATACAAATACTGATATTACCTCTTCAGCTCACAATGTAGCAAACTTAAAAAAGTATCTAATTTCTTCAGTAAACAACAGTGAGTACAATGTCACTTCTGATACAGGGGTAAAAGAAGCACAAATCAGTACTAAGTTTACATTGCTTGACCACCAAGAAGACGATTCACCTAATATAACTCCAAGTACCTTCGATACATTCAAATTCTAAAGTGTAGAATTCAAGTACTTATTTGGTCTTATCTATTATTAACACGTCTTACAAAGTTAAATTCCACAATACATTGTTCATGATTAATTCTCTCTAATTAGGTCAAAATAACCTTGAATATCTGGTAATTCAAGTAATTACATGTCATTAACTTAAATTACCATTATATCCTAGTAGACCTGGGTTAGTACCACCATATGTAGTGGAGGTAGAATTATGCAAAATATTACTAATAGCTTGAATTAGACCTTGCTGCATTTGTTCATCTAATTTAGCTCTTTGCTGTTGGAGGGCTGAAATAAGTGTATATTTAGAATAGAAAATAAGATTTCTCAGGAAGTTGCGGAAACTTACAGTTCAATAATTGGCTGATTGATTCAATTGGCCCTGACATATCAGTAGTATTTGCGACGGAAAACGAGGGAAGACTTCCTGGTATAGTAAGAGCTTCATTTGCTATAAATTGAATTTTCATAAATTAATTTGTATTATATAAAACTATACAGTAAGATAAATGAAACTAACCATTATTTTCTGGTCTGTATCCTAACAGATGGTAAGAAAGCAATAAATGATATAGTAGTAAATGATAAAGCAATAAATAAAAAATTTTGTAGCTTCATTTTCTAGAAATAATAAATTAATTAAAACTTGTGATAAACTGCTTATGAGAAAATCAGGTAACTGACAGTAAAAGGGAGGTGTTGCAATACGTCATTGCATGCGTCTCAGGGATTCGGTATTGCATTGTCTAGATTGTATACGTAAATCTCAGATATCTTGTCTACTCACTAGTAAATCAGACTTTATACATAAGTGTTGAGTCTCCTTTTATTTTTTATGTTGAATTTTCTAACATCTCAAAATTCAAATAAATAATCAGCTTAGAGTTGTCGAATTAATATTCATCTTCTATTAAATATATATGAATATTTTAGTACTATTATCACTATATATTTTAAATTAAAGAGAATTATTCATTTTATTATATAACCTGAATATTATAATATTTATTTTACTATCTTTTCAAGCTAATAGTGAGTTATTACTATAAATCCTCGATATAATTGTAAAAGTAAATTGGGGGGATAATGTACTTCTATTGATTAAAATAACTATAGTAACATACTATAATTTCTAGTAGATAAGTAATATTGAATTTTTAGATTGAAGCATGTAGAATTTTAAGATTATTTTTCTAAAGTAAAAAGAGGACTTTTGCCGCATTATTTTATGCGCCAATATATTTAACCGCCTTGTATTCATGTATAATATTGTAATAAATATTTAGAGCCAAGAGTATTGACAAGTCTAGTCAATACCCAAACGCATTTTTGTACATGGACATTTTTAGCTTTAATTTATTGTGTGCCTAATTTTCAAGAGCTTATAAACATCTTGATCATATAATAAAGGATAATTTGACAATATCAATAAATTATTAAGTATAAAATTGTAACTATAAATTGAAGTAATAGAAACTATTACAATTCAAAGGAAATTGTAAAGTTGAGCTATATGAAAAGTTATTAAATTGTGGTTTACTGAGAGTATAAGGAGTAGTACAAATTAAAACATTTTCTAAATACAAATTTTAATGTTATTTGGGAATTATTCCCTTATAATTCCCTATATTAGATATTAAAGGTATACAAACAAAAGATCTACCACTAGTATATTTTATGAGTACTCAGAATATCCCTATACTTATTCCAGATTTCACAAGGTAAGTCTAGTATATAATATTATTGTATAGATAGAACCACTTTTTATAGTCTATATTAGTATTTTATTTATTCATGATTATATTAACTACTTTACTTTGTAGGTCAGGTAGTAAATTAGTTAATAATAAAGACAGAGGGAGTAATTATACGAGAAAAGCTCATAATCAGGCCTTAACATCAACCGGTTATCATAGAAGAAGACATAGGTCGAGTATTTTGAATTTACCAAAAAATATAAAGAATAATATCATTTTATGTTCTCATTGTCATCATTTAATTGGATATTACTCCCTACCAGAGCCATCATCTTCAATTTCTTATGTATGGAATTGTTGTGTTACAAGACCAAATATGGGAGCAGATGCAGAATTTGTCAAACATAGTGGATGGCAAGCACGTTGTAATAGGAGTTTAATAAATAATGATTTGAATACAAATAATAAAGACTTAAGTTTAAATGACAGTGAATGGGAAAATTGTGATGAATATGAATTAGAAGAGAATTACCATGATCATTTTATAGATAATGTGAGAAGAATGTCTGACACAGTTATTTCTAGTATTGAATGTGCAAAAAATTGGTTAGGCTCTTCAATGCAAAGGTATAGTACTACTCATAGTATTCAGCATGAAACAGATCAAACTTCTACTCAAAAAGATAATTTAAATAATTATACTAATTCTAAGAATAGGACACAAGAAGAGCCAGAAATTGTAGATAGAGGAATCTATATTAAAGATAAACTTTCTACAAACCCTGCTCAGGTAGCAATGGAGAAACATAATTTAGGCTCTAAAATAGTAGTAAATGATATTAAATTGGAACAAAATCCTACTTCTAATTCATTAAATACAGAAACTCTAAATCCTAAGTGTGATACCTCAAATAATATTGAACATCGAGACTCTCGTGTAGACAGTAATGAAGAAACAATTAAGAGTCTTAAAATCAATTTGGATAGAAATAAAGAAACTAAAGAAAAATCAAAAGATAATATTAAAAAACTTGGTATAAATTTAAAAGTTGATAAATTAGATCAGATTGAATTTGCTAATCAAGAAGAAATAATAAATAAGACAAAAATTCCAAGTTCCAAAGAATTCTCTAAATATGAAGGGATAGAGGGAAATCAGTCAACAAATGAGATGAAAGCTTATAAAGACCCAAAGAAGACAATTCAAGTGAATAGTAATGAAGTTATAAAAGATATAACCTTAGGTAATCTTGAAAAAATTGATAAAGCTGAGCAAGATCAGTTCACTTACAATACTTTGAATAATAATAATAAGCTGACATCAAATATAATGAAGTCAGCAAGTACTGAGGCCTCTATAAGTAGTTCAGGATTAGAAGATAGAATTAAGTAAATCAATAATATAATTAGAGAATTAAATATTCAATATTAAAAAATTTCTATTAATCTAAATTCATATTATCTAATACAATAAATATTTCAGAAAAACCGTTACCTATAATATGCTGTAAATTATTGTTATAAGAAAAAAATTTAGATATAATAAAGTGAAGTTGAAAATTATTTTAAGTATGTTCAGCACTATGATATCCAATTATATGAGGACTAGAAAGATCTGGAGATGCTATTGGAACAAAAGATTGAATGAAGGTATTTTGAGGACTTGAATTTAATATATTATGATTAACAGGACTTGGATTAAAACCTTGAGTAACCATATGAGTATTGGGAATTTTAAGTTCTAAAGAAGACTTTTGACCAGTTGATTCTAAACTTGCAATTATAGGTGAGGGTGATAGCTCTACAATCTTTTCAGGTAATGGCTTTATTTCATTAGTTGTATTATTTGATAAAAGATTAGTAGATCCAAATTCTAGAGGTCTTACGGAAGTAGATATCACATCTGGATATTTCGTAGAAGTAGATATTATATCTGAATATTTTGTAGGAGATATTATATCTGGATATCTTGCAGAAGTAGATATTATACTTGTTTCTAACTGTTGAGGAGTTCCAAATGTGTGGAAAACTTTTAATCCTAATTGAATCATAAATTGTACCATACTTTCCTGATCTTTTCTCTCATTATCTGTTTTATAAAATACATATACTGGGTGTATAAAGAGTGGAGTCTCAGGTAATGTTGTAGGAGATGATAATACGGCATTATCAAATCTTGGTGAGTAAATAGATTCTACCATTCCTGTAGTACTTTTTGAACTTATATCTTTAATATTATAGCCAAGTAATTTTTTTAACGACATTTCATATCCATCTTTAAGTATATCCATTGCATTTGTAAATGGGGCTTGAGGCATATTAAGAGAAAGTTTTGTTTTAGATACTCGGGAATTTTCAGGAAAAAACGTCTTAAAGTTACGAAGAATAGCTCTTCCTAATGTCCTACCAAACGGAGTATCTAATGTACCACGAGGGCAATGTATCTTAATTGATTGATCATTCTCATAAAATTTCACATACACATTTAATTGCCAGTCTAAGTTAGGATCTATATTTGGATGCTTTCTTTTCACCTTATTATTAATTTCCAAAAGTAAATCTTGACCTTCTAGACCATTAACTCTAAATAAAAATAATGGAACTAAAAACACAAATATCCCAAATGGTTTATTAAACATCTTGGAATTATAATCGGAGATCTTTGTAAGATATATATTCGACATATATTTCAAAGCCAATTTGGCGGCTCATGTGTTATTTCCAATGTTAGATCATGGCGTGGGATAAAATAGAAACCACTTAAAAAGAAGAAAAAAAAAATTAACTCTCTATAGTATAAAATAGGGATTAATATTAATTTACTATTAGAATTATCTATTTGAATTTATTCACTATCTTCTTCATCTTCTTCTTTATCTTTAAACCAACCTGAAGAAATGTCAAATAAACCCTTATTTCTACCAAATATACGTCTTAGAAATATCTTAAACTTTCTCCAAAAACGAGTAGAAGATGATCCTGATAAAGGTCCTAATGCAAACCACTCTATTCGTAGTTTCTCTCTTTCAAGGATATAGTAAAAGCACGCACAAATTATATAATCATAAATATCCCATCCACTTGTATTTAATGATAAGCGTGATATGCTATCAAGAATACGAACCATTACACCTTGTGGAAATATCTGCCATTTATTACCAAAACGATGCCATATAGGAATAGAATCTATTGAATTTATAAATTTCTGACTCTTTATGCAAAATATTGTTTTACATAACATTTTATTAAACTGTCTCCATGTCAAAGATGGTTTTTCATGTTTATGTTTATTTTTAAAATCTATTATTGACATCTGATTTAAGTATTGATATTTAAATGTTGTAAGAATAATTGCAGTAATTACATCTAATTCATTATCCCACCAATCTGGTAGTAATTCAATATTTGAATCTCCATTCTCAGAATTAAATTTTCTTTGTTTTTTAATATTCTTTACATGACGATAAGCGCTACGAAATAATTTAAAAGTATTTCTTATAGTTTTAAATAACTTAGTATATTTATTTTCATTATTAAAGTTTTTAATTTTATTATTTTGAGAATTATCACTTAATTTTTCAATTTGCATATTATATTCCAAAGTTGTATTTTTTTTTAACTTTAATTCAGTTAATATTCTTGTCTTCAATTCACTATGTGTAAGTTGATTTAAAAATGCATTATCCTTCAATCTTTCCTTAGAAAATACTCCTAATAAAGACCAATAGGGTTTAATTTTTTTAAAAGTATAATCTTTTTCATAAAATAATTTAAATGTTCCAAATGAATTAATAGTATAATACAAATGATAAAATTCACTACATACTTTTGTTATATTACTTTCTATATTCCACCATTTACCCCATTCAGGTAATTCTTGAACAGTTTTATTTTCTTCCGAAAAGGCATCTAAAGGGGGGACTCTCCCCATAACCCAGTCACTAAAATCACGATAATTAAAGATATTATGTGCTAATTTTAGCCTTTCTAAAAGAAACATAATGAATACTGCTATTACATAGTCATTATCTTCCCAATTTGTTGTAATTATAATTGAATCCTTTCTACTAGGTAATTTGTGCATGATATTTCCAACAGTACCTTTTTTAATTCCAAAACGACTGTAACGGGTCTTTAATAATCCAGGAAAATTTTTTGATAATTCCTTATCATCAATATATTCTTCATAGTCTTTATCTTTTAAAAGAATACAGCTAATATTGTTACACATCAAGATAAGAATAAACAAAAATACAACATTTGTTAAGAGTAAGTATCTATACATTTGTTAGCAATATAAACACATCCATATTATACTCCTTTAATTATATTTGATATTTATAGAATTTATAGCGCGTTATTATATTAGAATAAAATCGAATATATTATTTATTATATTCTAATATTAAGTAATATTAGAATTAACTTGGTAACTTTTTCTTTTTTTTCAATCATATCTTTAATTTAGTAATATTTCAATAGAATTCTAAAATTTATTATATATATATAATTTTAATAATGTAGACCTATATAAATAATTATATATATTTATATTATATTAGCTTTATAAATATTTTAATATAGTTTTTAGTTTATAATTATAATTTTCTTTTTAATTTAAAATAATTTCTAAGAATAAGGGAATTACATATAATATTCTAAAATAATAGCGCCTAATAGCGGGTTATTTATTATTATAAATTTTTTTTTTTTTTTAAAAGGATGTTATTAAAATGAAGGAAAATCTAAAAACTGTAAGTTTATTTTATAAATGACTTATTATATAGTTATATTATGATTTAAATATAATATATATTAATTTTAGGATGATCTAGAAAGTACATTATCAAGAATTAAAGGGCGAAAAGGTGTAATTGGAGTAATTATCTTAGATATTGATGGTTCTCCTTTAGTTTCTACTTTTGATAATAAAACAACTCAATTATATACTAATAATATATATGATATCATTAAATCAGCTAATGTCCTAGGAAAAGCTGCAGTTGGTCCACTTGATGAGATACAGCTTATTAGATTACACTTCAAGAAGCATACTATCCTAGTAGCTCCTGATAAAAAATTCACTTTTTTAACAGTACAAGAGACAAATTATTCTTATTATAATGGGGAAGTAACACATGAGATAACAAAAGATAATATATAGACTGCATATATTAATAATTACAAATATATATTATGATTATCTCTGACGAAATCTATTTATTTATAAGCTAAATATATTATTAATCTAGCTAATATTATCTTAGTGAAGAGAAATTGTATTATTTATATTCGTTGATGCCTATGTACACTTTGACTATTTATCCAATTTAATGTTATTAATGGTAGAACTAAAGGTATAATAGATGTAAATAAATTTATAAAAAATGATAAAATTTCGTAAACATAATCTATTAAAGTTGGTGAATAATTATTTTCATAAATATGAATATACGATGAATACGAATAATCACCAAATTGATTATTTGAATCATCGTCTTTTGTTGTATCACCAAATATAGGTCTCCATTTAAAGAAATATATACGTATTAGAAGTAACAGTATATTAATTGAATATAAAGCAAATAGAGGTTTCCTATATGAATCCAGGATCAAATTTTGTATCTTTAAAGGTAACATATTAAATACTATACCTTCTAGTGTACATATTTTGAATTTGATAAAGTTATATGTAGCCTTTAATTTTAACCATAATTGGGGGTTATTATTTTGTATATTAGGATTTAAATTTGATGAATCTTGATGAGATTGCTGTCTTTCATCTCTTAAGAGTCTTAAGAATTCTTCAAATACAAATGTATCTGCGATTTCACTTCTTAATTCAAAGGCTACATCTTGAGCAGATCTTGTTTCATTTGATAATCGTAAATATCGCTCAAATTGGTGTACAGAATTTCTAATTTGTTGAGTTCTTATAGTACCTTGCCAATACTGAGCAGATCTTAATGTTTTGATAACCACATCACGACATCTAAGAGCCTCTTCCCTATTAGTAGATGAGTTTACATCCATCTATTCTTGATTTGAAGGGAGCATTAGTTTAAGAAAATTCGTCACTAATTTGGAAATAAGGCGGTAAAAATGTGTATACCATTATTACTATTATATTATACTTGGATGTATTTTGCGGGAACTCTTTTTTTTCTTTTTTTTCTTAAGTTTTAATATAATTACTCGATTATGAATATTTCAGATAAACATCCAGATGATATATTGTTTATAAGTGGAGAAATATGTGAGGAGAATATTTCAGATGGTACTTTGGATGAATCTGTATTGACAACAATTATCCGTGATATTAGCCATGTATATAATAAAATGATATTTTATCTTTTAACATATAAGAGAAGTAACAAGGGTAATATTAACAATATGCAAATGCTTTATAACTGGGATTTATGGGGACCTTGTCTATTCTTACTTGTATTATCTTGTTGTGTATATATAAAGGCTCCATATACGAGTAAGAGTAATATATTTTCTACAGTTTACTTTGTATTTTTTCATGGAAGTATAGTTGTTACTTTAAATTCAATACTACTTGGATCTAAATGCTCATTTTTTGCTATTTTAAGTCTTTTAGGATATTGTTTACTCCCTTTTTCGATTGTTTCAGTTATATCTTTAGTAATTCCATTTACTCTAACAACAGTAATATTAACTATTATTGCTCTTTTACATACATACAATACAATTTCCAATTTGATGAGGGGCATAATCCCAGAAGATAGACAATTTCTTGTTTTATATCCAATATCTCTATTATATATTACAATAGCATATTTAGTTGTTGTGAGTTAAGTTTTTGAACTATATACTAAATTTCTAGATAACTAAATTGAAACAGTATAATTTGAATGAATTATAAGATATTTCAAATATATTTAATTTTAAAGTAAAATATATCTTGAGTTAAATCAAAGCTAAGACCTATATTAAAGTGGTTAGTGGTTATATTTTGAAAATTAGTTCTTTTTAAATTAAGGTTCAATATTTCTATATTAGAATTTCCCTTTACTTCGTAATATAAAGTTATTTTGATATAAACTAAAGATCACTCTATAATAAATGACTTATACCTAATAATTACAAAACCCTTAGTAAGTATATATAACACTAAATAAATACCTTTCTAATTAAGTTCTTATATATCATATATTTCCAAATAGGTTAGAATTTGTGGACTTTTAGTTACAGTATATCTACATTAATAAATCTCTACAGAAATCTTTTTAAGAAGTATTTAAAGATATAATAAGATGTAACATTTATTAATATCAAATAATGAAACATTCTAAAATTGGCAGTAATATTAAAAGTTACTTATTTACTTTTTTATTTTCGATTCCAACTTTGTATGTCTTATTTATTACTTAATATTGTATATAAATTTGAAGAAAGTTGCATATATATATTAATATATATAAACTTAAAATTATTGAACTAATATAAGTTAAGACAATAATAAATGTACTCAATCAGTTATCAGTAGTATAGAATTTTGGTTAATTAAACTTTATAATCTTTAGTTGAAAATATATACCGCTAATATAATGCAAAAAATAGGCGCCGTCTCGTTTTACCGTCTCATAGATAGTTATAAACTTAAACTGCTAGTATTTAACAGTATTGTCTTTAACTTTGAGTCATATTCAACTAAATAAGAAAAGAACCGGGCTCAGTTATAGCTTGAACTGTTATTACCTCTAGTATTTCCACTGAAGCTCAGAAATTGGTGATTTTCCCTTGTGAATTTTTTTTTTGGAATTTATATTAAAATAAAGAAAGAGAGATGTCTCATCGTAAATTTGAGCGTCCTAGGTCAGGATCTCTTGGATTTCTACCTCGCAAGAGATGTTCAAGAAATCGTGGAAAGGTTAAGGCATTCCCAAAGGATGATCACACTCAGCCACCACATTTGACAGCATTTATGGGATATAAAGCAGGGATGACTCATATTGTCCGTGATGTTGATAAACCTGGTTCAAGTAAGTTCCCTATATTTCACTTAACTAGGATATAAGAGATTATTGAGCGTCTTGTTTAAGTCGACGTATATTCGAAATCCTTATATCCAAAATTACTTATATCTTGTTGAGTCTAACTCCAAGATATATCCTTTCATATTCCTTGTCCCTAGAGGAGTACCTTATTTGGTCATTCACTTATGTGGATATGATCATGGGAAAAACCATGAAAGAGACAATATTATATTATACTTTTTGAATATTTAAATTAATACTTTTTTATTTTCTTAGAATTAAATAAGAAGGAGGTTGTAGAAGCTGTTACTATAATAGAGACACCACCAATGATTTGTGTTGGTTTTGTTGGATATATTGAAACTCCAAGAGGTCTGAAGGCTTTGACAACTGTATTTGCAGGTTACTTAAGTGAAGAATGTAAACGTCGCTTCTATAGAAATTATTATAAAAGCAAACGTAAGGCATTTACGAAATATGCAAAGAATTATGTTGAAAATCAAAGGATGGAAGTTGAAATTGCTCGTTGTAAACAATATTGTACAGTAATTCGTGCTTTATGTCATACACAAGTTAGTAAGACTGGTCTTAATAAGAAAAAAGCAGATTTAATGGAAATACAAGTGAATGGTGGTACAGTTACTGAGAAGGTAGATTTCTGTGTACGATGCTTTGAGCAACAAATCCCCATTTCATCAATATTTAGTGAAAATGAGATGATTGATGTAATAGGTATTTCCAAAGGTAAAGGATATAAAGGTGTCATTTCTCGTTGGGGAGTTACTAAGTTGCCAAGAAAGACACGTCGTGGTGTTCGTAAAGTATCCTGTATTGGAGCATGGCATCCTGCTCGTGTTCAATTCCAGGTTCCAAGAGCTGGTCAGAAAGGTTATGGTCAGAGGACGGAAATGAACAAGAAGATTTATCGAATAGGACATGGAGATGATCCAAGGAATGCATCTACATATGCAGATTTAACAGAGAAGACTATTACACCAATGGGTGGTTTCCCACGTTATGGTGTTGTTACTCAAGACTTTGTGATGCTTAAAGGGTGTACAGTTGGTTGTAAAAAGAGGCTATTAACTTTGCGTAAAGCCCTTGTACCACCAGTTTCTCGTTCAGCACTTGAGACTATTAATTTGAAGTTTATTGATACATCCTCTAAATTTGGACATGGTAGATTCCAGACTTCAGCTGAAAAGGCTAAATACTATGGACCAGTTAAGAGAACTATTGAAATTTCAGCTTAAATTGGTAATTTTAACATTTTGTTAAATTAAGGATATTTATGTGTTGGTTTTAATAAAATGAATCAAATTTTGTCTACTAGATAAATTCTTAGTTGGTAATTTCTTAGTTTAAGAAAGTCCAATTTTTAGCTTTATTAGATTGTATTCTGAGAGATAAGGAATTTAAGTTTAAATTTAATTGACAATATTTGTACCTGTAGAAATTCATTTATAAGGGGGGAGTTATTAGAGTATTAATAATCCTAGATTGAGCAAATTTATTAATATAAAATTGGAATTAGTGAGAGCATAAATAGTATCAATTATACTGGAAATAATAATATGTACTTATAAAGCAGTATTATATCAAAATTCCAACTTTTTTAATAAGATCCTGAGAGCTTGATAAACCTAAAGGACTTCTTTTTTTTCTTCTAGTTAGTAACAATATTTATTATAACCAATATCAGAATTAACAAATATATTTCCCACAATCCCCTCACATCAACTTTGGTAATAAACAGTATCTCAAGTTAGGTAAAGTAGAATAACTTAGCTGAAATATCTATATAGTTCTTGACTGAATTTATTTTATCTGAATAGAAGATTACAGTAGCTAATTACACTTTTAAGTTACTTGTATTTACTGAATTATATTCATTGATTGTAAGGGATACAATACAGATAAAAAGTAACTGTAATAGAAAAGTGTAAATCTACAAATTGCTTGATAGTTTCAAATTATATTTAGTATAAATTTGCTAAGTTAATTAATATTAATAACATCGGGTGATTCATAATTATACATATATAAAGGAGTTTTCCCTTTTAATTTTAACTTAAGATTTTCAGCAAATACAAATGCCCCTCCAAGACTATAATAAGAATTTAAAATTGTTTGCTGGGTTGTAACAAAAATAGTTCTTAAACAAGGGTATAATTTGCCTCCAATAGCTGATATTCTACCAATATGTTGAAAGGGATTTGGGATAATTGAATTTTGATATATTTGGTTACTTGTTAGAAAATTGTTTATATAATGATCAATAGGCATCTTTCTAGCATTATTAATGACTGAAAGTTCTTTAGTTAAAGCTTCATAAGCTGTTATAGACATTAATACAGTCCCAGTAAATAATCTTGGAGTAGTGGAATATGTTATTCCAAGAGAGTATGTAGGCCCAATATTTGGTCTCTCAATTGTAAGAAACAATATAATACTTATTGCCCAGAATATGAAAAAAAGTGATAACATCAGCCTCCAAGGTATTCTATTTTTGGATTTAGATTTTATATTAATATTTCCAATTTCTTGTCTTTCATTATACAAATATTTAGTTTCTTTCTCTGTTGGATATTCATATTGTATATCCTCACTTTTTTCAAAACATATATTATCATCTATATTACTCAAAGAATTCTGAATTCTTATATTTTTAGATCCACTTATTTTCTTAAAAATTAAAAATACTAACTTAAATAAATAATAAAGTAATAAAATTATAAATGTTGCAGAAAAAGCCAACAATATTGGATAAAATATAAATCCAGTAATAAAGTCAACTGAAGTATACCAATGCTCATTAGAACCTGAAGGAGGAGTATAAGATTTAGCTACAAGAATCCTTGGAGGGTTTTCTTTTGAATATTTATGCTCACAAGTAAAAACACCTCTAATATAATTACAATGTTTTGTTATATAATCTCCATTGCTATAAAATATATTATCAGTATCATTTGAAAATTTCCCCTTTATATTCATCTCTTTATATATTAAGGAATTTTCTTTATCTTTAATAGTAAATGAAGTCTTCCTTACATTATCTTCATTTAAAAGTTTATCCTGCCACTCAATAGGAATATCTTTAAAACCTATAATATTTGGATCAACTTCTAATGGAATATATATAGGAAATTCAACTTTTATTATATGATCAAAAAACCAATTACAACTTTTGTAGTTATATTCAATACAGTAATTCTTAATATATGATAATAAGTTATAAACAAGTGAATGATTATGCCACCATTGATCTATCATAGCTCTCCACCTTGTAAATTTATTAGTATCAAAGTCTTCATATGGAGATTTCTTAGGAGGATCTGTATAATTATTAATTATATCTGTTGCAATTAAAATCTGTGATATAGTCTTTGGCCCACTAATCAAATCTGCTTCATGATATAAAATAAAAGGTACCCAAAGATCTGGATCCTCTTTATAACTACTTTTATCAAATAAGGAGTATTGTTCAAAATCCTCTGTTTTCATTTGGCAAAGATGGTATACTGATGCAAAACCAATATTTTCATTAAAAATAAAAAAATCAGTCTTTTTATCAAATATTTGATCATGATATTGTTGAATCAATGTATATATTGGAATTTTATTAAGTATAGGTTTCATAAAATTCTCTTCTTCAGAATTATAATCTGTAGCTAATATAATAATTCTAATACGACGAAGTTCATCTAAGCTAGCTCCATGGAGTAAAGAACCAAGGGATATAGTCAAATATTCAATCTCTCCACGTTTTATAGAATGTAAAGCAATACACATATCATTACCTCCAGGGGGTATATAATTCAAAGCTTCTACATATTCTTTATTATTAAAAAAATTAATTAAAAATTGGCTGTAAAAATCTTGTCTGGAAGATTCTACTAAAACATAATCTGTACAATCAAATTCCATACAAAAAGGTGCATATAAAGTTCTAGTTGTTAAGTATCTTGCAGTAGTAAATACTAATAAAATTATAAACCACCATAATAACATAGAAACAGTAATAATAATCTTTCTTGTTGGGAGAATAAATAAACTTTTATATTTATCTTTCTTTGGAATACCTAAACTATAACGTAATAAATCAAATATAAGAAGTCTATTAGAATCTAAAGATCTAGATTCTGTCATATATCTTGAATTATTTTGTAAAGAGTTATCAATAGATTCTTCACTTAACCTTTCCGAATAAATTGAACTATTTCCAGATTTTCCAGAATATTTGTTATATAAACTCCTTGAACCTTCAAAATTAGAACAATTGGCTAATTCTATTTGTTGTGAATTATCTATTCGACATATATGGGAATTTTCTATTTGTTCCAAGGATTCACTTGTATTCAATTTTATAGAATTACATCGTGAATAAAAATGACCATATACTCTATAATTCATATTTATAAGTAAAATGGATATTATAGAGATAGTTACTGTAATAAAAGTAACCAATGATATCATTATATGTGATTCAGGGGGGGTAGGATCATTGTTAACTAAATGCCAATAAATTATCCATAGGCAACAGCATAAATATAGAAGGACAATAACTAATGGAATCCATAAAACACGAACCTTTGAATTATACATAACTTTGGAATTTCTAACTTTATTGTATTACATTACCTATATAAATTATTGTCAATACAGTAATGATATATTTTATATTTGCAATATAAATCGATTAAAAAGATGAAAGCTTCAATAGATTACAGATTAAGTCCCGACTCAATCAAAATCTGCCAATTCTTTTTATTTACCTTAAATATTTATACTATTCCAGAGTTATATATCACTGAAAATTTAAAAAAAAAAGTTCCAAAGATAGTATAATTTAGTTACTTCAAATTACTAATGAAAATATCAAAATTTATAAAATATTAGATATATTATAGTTAACTAATTATCCTTAAACAAAAAAAAAAAAAAAAAAAAACTCCTTTTTATTAGATATAAAATTAAAATTTGTGTTTTAACTAAAACCTAATGGCGGGTCATATTGTTAATAAATACAAAAATTAAAATTAACATAAATTAGATGGTCAGAATTATTAATAAATTAAAAATAAGAAAATAGGCGCCTTATAAAATATTAATAGATCTAAATGGTGTCAAAGTATTAAGTAATAAACCATAATTTATAAAAAAATCATCTATTTGATCAAATATATATAATGGTAAAAGTTTATTAATTAAATAAGAAATCATATAATAGGGATTTGTATAAACAGCTATTTATGGATTAATTTTTTTTTTTGGTTTTTTTAATAAAATAAACAAATTCTATATATATATTCAGTAAAATAATAAATTTCATATTTTTAATGATTTTTATATTACCTTGTTGCTTTATAGTAACTATTTGGAATTATTTTATACTTTCATTAATTAATATTTAAACTGTTATTAGGGTATAAGAACTATTAACAGCTTGTAATATTATACCTTATTAATAAGAAATATAAAATAATCTAGGCAGAAATTACTATTTAATTTATAATTTAAAGTATAAAAATAATAATCTTATTATAATTTTTATTATTTTGGTAATAATAAATGAATAGAATTTCAGATAACTATTGATATATTTTAAGTAAAACTTATTTATTTGATTTTTAATAATTAATGTCTTTTAACTGATACTTGAATATATATTGGTATTATATTAATGTTATTTATATGAAAATCAAACAAATATTTATTTTACTTTAATGATTAGTAATTGAGGATTTTAAATCTTTTATATACAATCAATAATTAATAGGGAAATAAATAATATTAATTATATATAAGGAATAAGGGATTATATTTTATATTAAGTATAAATATAATAACAAATAATAATAAATCCTAATTTATATTACAAAATTAACTATAACTTTGAAAAGAGTAATAAATGTTTTAAAATGAGAAAGTGATATGGATTTAATTTTATTATATAATTTACAATTTATAATATAAAATAGATTATAATATAATTTATTAAATATATAAATTAACTATTGAAAAAAAAAATGGATTAAATATTGATTATTGATTATATATTATATTTTAATAATGATTAATTTAAAATTTCAATAATTATAGTAATATTGTAAGGATTTCAATAAGAATAAAATAATATAATATTTGATTGTAATTTCAAAGATTTTAATTATAATGTAATTACAATAGTTAAATTGACATTTTATAAAAATGAGTGAATTATAATATTGAACTAATTTAAAAACTTGAAAGATACATATATAAAGTTATATTCAATATTTTGAATAAAATAATAATAATAATTAAAATATAATTTTTTAGATTTAGGTAAATTTAAATAATAAATGATTTTACTCTAAGGTAATTTAAAATATAATTTGATTATTTTTAGTTAATAATAAGATTTCAAATATATGTATTAAGATTTTTGTTTTAAGTATTTTCAAATTATATTTGAGATTTATAGAATAATTATTTACAATAATTTTAAATAATATAAGTAAATATATATTTAGGTAATATATTAAAATAATATAAATTTTTTTTATATTGAAGTTAAATAGTATTTTGTAACAAAAGAAAAAAGAAGAAAAGTGATGAAATATCTTTCAATATACGTATTTTTAGATAATTCAATAATTATATAAGAATTATATAATATTTAATTTTAAGGAATAATAATATATTAAATTTGACTAATATATATATTTTCTTTATAAAATATTACAAAGAAAAGTTTCAAATATTTAAAAGTTATATGAATCCTAATTATATATATTAATTTTTCCATTTTTAATATAACCCTCTTTTTCTTGACAAGGCATTGTTGGTGGAACTTTCTGTACATATTCTAAAGGATCAAATACATCGCTATCTGCTCTATGATAACATTTTGTAAATATAGTACCACTTATAGAATAGTTTTTTTGTTGATCATTTATTTTAGTATAATTTTGATATAGTTCTTTATTAATTTGATTTTCATTCTGCTCTTTTTGTGAATAATCTTTTTTAATAGGGTAATTTTCATCTTGAAATAAATTATTATCAATGAAATCATTGAAAAAATCCAATAAAATACATCCAGTACCAGGATAAGCTTTATTTTTATCTGGAATTTTTGGACAGAATTTGATACTTAAATTGGCAACTAGATCAATAATATAATTTAACCCTATTAATAAAGGCATGGAAAAAGTTTCTAATAAATTTTTTGTTTGAGCATGATGCCTAATAACATTAGATCTAATATTTACTGTATTTGATAAATTCCTATGTCCTTTAACTAGTACCCTTTTTGGATATTTATAAGTATATTTTTTGGATTGTAAATTATGTTGTAAATAATTATTTATATCATTATTTGTAAAGTTGAAATTATCTAGTATATTTGCAACTTTATCAGGTATTGCATAATATAGTTCTTCAAATGTTTTACTTGAGGTAATTTCTTTAAAATGAATAGATTGTTCATTAATCCAATTTCTTCCAATTTCCCCTAATTGACTGAAACTATCTTTCAAAGTACTATTTACATCATTGCATAAAGCATGAGTAGATTCTTTAATATCAAGATTTACATATCTCTTTATATTATTTTGTGTTTCATAATTTTTTCTTTCACGTTTTTCAGTAATCCATATTTCTCCTAATTGATATTGATTATTATTCTTAAAATTTCCATCATTATACATATATGGATATTTAATGACACTTATAGGTCTAGGTGAATTTAAATATTTATTCTGTTGTTTAGATATATTAGGACATGATACTGCAGTTCTGAAATTTAGTTTTGTTACAGTATTTAAAGGGTTCCTAATATTTATATTTCTATATTTAAAGTTATTATTATCCATTATAAATCCACTTTGTTATTATTCATTAATAGATTGTAAAACAAGGAAGGATGTATAAAATACATGTCTTTTCATTAATTCATAGATATCGACTACCCTAAAGACTAAAGACAAGACATGAATAATCTAAACATTTAATAATGAGTTATTGGTTATAAACAATACATTATAGTTTCCAGAAATAATGATTTAATAAATTTATGGTTTGGTTTTGATTTATTTTAATATTGACAATATATATAATTTTTTTTTTTTTTTTTAATTTAACCCTATTTTTAGTAATTAATAATATTTTTAAGAGAGGTTATTTATTACCTAATATAAATTCGATAATATTAAGATCAATAGTTTAATAATTATAATCCAGTGCCATTTTCTAGTGAATAGTTAAAATCTAGATCTATATCATGTAGATGGAAACGTGATTTACTTAGCTCATACAAATGAGAAGGAGTAAGAGATCCACTTTCTGTAATAAAGATACTAATTAAATTTCCAGGAACTAAGTCAAATTTATTTATAGCAAAGTGTACATTTGGTATTTGTTTTAATAAGTTCATAAATATATTGGGAGGTACTATAGAATTAGTTCTTTCATAATCAAATAAAGGGAAATGATATAATTTATATAATGCAGATATCATTATTACAGGAACAAAGAAGTAAGAAGCTGTCTGGGCTATTAAATAACCACCAGATAGGGTTACTGCTCCTCCATCAGGAAATATTGCTGAAGCACTAAGAATAACTTTATTTACTTTAGGCATAATATTAAATATACTTGAATCAGATACTAGGATAGCAGATATATTGATATCATGTGAAATTTTCACTACAAATTCTTCAGATTTTCTTTCTGGATCGCCATCAACAACAAATATGATTAGATTTTGTCTTTTTTTAGATATACTCCTTAATAACCGTTCTACAAGTGATGAATACCCATATACTAAAATTTTATCATTTGTTTGGAATATATCTAGACTAGAATCAAAATCCCATGATTGACCTAATTCATGTAAAAGTTCATTTATACCCTCAAAAACAGCAGAACGTAGTAAGCTCATACTTACAGATGTTGAATCGCAAATGTCAGATAGATTCATATTATCAAAATATGTCGGTTGTTTTACCTGAGATGTAGTAAGTTTTGCATACTCTTTACGAATAACATTTAGTAATCTCCTAACAACATTTCCAACAATAAAAGCTAATGGATCTACACTTGAAATTTCATTTCCAATTTTACGAATGATTTGATAAAGTTCATAGGCATTTTTCCAAGGATATCTATCAACAATTTGTCTCAATACTTCCAAAATTTTTCTACCTTGACTCTGAGAGTCTGATAACTGTCTCCGACGTAGTAATTCAATTAAACTATCTACATCAACTCTCCAGTTATCTTTAGCTTTTTTTTTATCATTCATTAATTATTGTACTGAAGAGGTTAAATTCTATTGGAGACAAGGGCATATTTTGTGAGGTAAAAAACGTGAACGTGGCGTCACATGTACGCTAAAAAAAAAAGAAAAGCAATAATCAAAATTTTAATGTTCTCTATATTACCTTACTTTAAAGTTCTTATAAAAATCACTGGTTGTAGTCATTTGAATAAAGAAGTGATTAAACTAGGAGATCCAACTCAATATATAAACATCTATATGGCCAAAGTACTTGAAAGTGAGACATCTATGGGACATTTATTAAAATTAGATGATCATGTAATATATATTGCTGAAGATTGTTATGTACAAACATCTATAAGTGATATAGTTTGGGTTTCATCTAAACAACTAATTAGATTGAATATAAATGACACTACTTATCCTGCTGAGAAGTTATTTAATCTCATGATTTGGCAACTTGCATGGAATCCCTTATACGACCTATATATACACAGTAGTAAATCTATTTTATCTTCACCTTTTCCTATATTATTAGTAGTCCCAAATCTTGATATAGGTTTAATTTATGCTTATCCATATCTTTTAAGAGATATTCCAGTATGCCTTTTACAATGCAATTCTGAGTCTTCAAATATATCTCAGAATGAAATAGAAACTTCATTTCGAGAATTAATAAAAATATTTGTTTTTTCAAATACAAAATCTATTTTATTTCAATTGTCAGAATTTACTCAATATCTTGGATTTACTAATGTTATTGTAGTTCCTAATATGGATAATCAGCCTTATGTAGTTAGTGTTGCACTTGCTAGTGTATCTGTACATGGTTACATAGCTTTTGGAAGTAAAGTAGAGCATTTTAATAACTTAGAATGCTCTATAATGTACCAAAAACAATGTATCATGGCATTTTTCAGCCAGATACATGATCCACAAATCTGGGTTGAGGCGTATATAAAGACTTGCAAAGATAAGCAGAATTTAAATATTTTAGAACTTAAACAGATTAGTCAAAATTCAGAAAATTCACATATTATTAAGAAAAAAAATGCAATAGCCTCAGTTATAGTTGAAATCTAAGAATTAAGAACTACTCATTTGAAACATTTAGCGTGACATATTGGCGCTAGTAATGCTTTAGTACAATGAAACTTAAAAGAGAGTTTTATAGAAAAAAGGAGAATTTATACGGTATATTATTATACAATTATACAATTAGAGATATTACTGGCTATTTTAGAAATATATTTTAGTATCATTTCTTTATGCTAAATAATGACAAGGTATTGACTGAAGTGGTTCCTGAACTTGTAAATTGGGCTCAATGTGAAATATGTAAGAAATGGCGACGTTTACCCTTGGGTATGAATCCTGATACATTACCTGATGAATGGGTATGTTCAATGAATACATGGGATCTCTCTTATAACTCTTGTGAAGCACTAGAAGAAGTTACATTAAATACTCCGGAAACTTTTCCAACATTTTCTCTTATAGAGACAGTAAATACTAGTAATACACAATCACGGCCAGCAAAGAGTAGAAAACGGAACTCAAATAATTTAACTAGTAATACGCAAGGATCTAATTTACTACATAATACAAAAAATACAGTACAAGGTATTCACAATTCACTGGATACTCGTGGGAACACTTCACTTACTGAAACTAATAAAATAAAACCTTTGGAAGAACATCTTTCTGAAGAAGTTGCAAATAATCTTAAGGAATGGTTAAAAGTACACTTTGTTTCTAATGGTGAATTGTTAAACAAGCAACAAGATACTTCAAATGAACCTGAAGTTACTATGGAACTCCCTTCAATTTGGCCAGATAATTATAGAGATATTAAGAATATTCAACTTATTCGCAGTAAAATATTTGAAATATTAAATGAAAAAGGATTGAGGATGAAATATAATAATTTAAAAACAAAAAATAATGATCCACAAGTAATTCAAAATTATTTAACTGGGAATTATTCAATTTGTATATATAGGACTCAAAATCCATGTGAACTATCTCATCCACTATATTCGCGTGTTATTATTGCAGGGAATGATTCTTCAATATATGCTAGATATTTAGCTAAAGATATATGTGGCTTTTTTCCTGCTCATACAAAAAGTATGAGATTAGTTCAGAATTTTGGCAATAATTTCAATACTAACATTATAGGAACTGCAAATACATATTTAAAAAATAATTCACCATTAATTATAGGTAATACTCAAGCTTTAAAACTATCTTCAGCTTGCAAAACTCAATGGGAACTAATACCTTTTGATTTTTATGAAGATAGTACTGATAACTTAGATATTGATGTAACAAGATTTGACTCTCAAAATTGTTGGAATCGCTGTGTTAATGCTTTTAATAGGCTTATTTCTAAGAGTGAAGATGAAAATATAAAGAGTGATATCCCTATTTATATGACATCAAATTTAAGGTATCCTGAATACCACCCAAAGAATAGCAAATTGAATGATTTTGGGTGCACAAATGATTTTCCCACTTTTGATATTTTAGATGTATTACCTTTATATTCTTGGCTTAGGAATACATTAAATGGAGATATTCTAGAACCACCATCAAATCTAACTAGTAATTTTGGAAGTATTGGTGCATCAGTTAAACGACCATACTATACAAGATGTGCCTATAATCGGGAAAAAGTGAAAAAACCCTTAGTTTCATTAGAAGGAACTCCAGAAAGTATTCAAAAAGTTAGAAGATCTTCTAGACACTTAGTAAAAAGGGAGGAACAGAAACAACTTGAAACAAATATTGAGCAAGAAGAAGAAACTATAACTACAGAGGGTATTGTAAACAGGGTTACTTCTGATATACAATTTGACAAACATGAACCTGAAGAAGTAAATAAATTATCAGAGCAAATAGAACAAGAAGTAGTCACTGATTATAAAGATCAAATTATTGAAATGCTAAGTGATTATAAATCTATTCCAGAATGTAAATCTACTTCAGAATGTGAATCTATTCTAGAATGTAAATCTATTCCAGAATATAGAGAATTATCAGATATAAACTCTCAGGAAAAACTTGTAGATAGCATTAATAATCAAGTACTAGAAAATAAAGTGGTGGAAATATCTAATGAATTTGTAGAAACTAACAAATATACTGATCAAGTACAAGTTGAAAATTCTGAACTTGAACAAGATGTTATATTAAAACAAGGTATTCGGGTAAGTGAAGAAGATACAGATAAGTCACAAAAACCCAAAAAAAGTAGTAAAATAGAAGGGGTTAGCACTAAAAAAAAGCAAAAGGAAACTTTAAATAAAAAAGTAAAGAACGAAATATTAAAAACTTCTGAAGAACAAAATCATTTAATTAAGGATATGTCTGCAAAATTTTGTGAAACAAGTAAACCTCATGAAGTTGAAGAACAGAAATTACATTTAAAATCTAAAAGAAGACTTAAAAAAATTTCTTCATCTGCTGATGTTACTTTTACTTCTAATGAAACTAATTATACAAAGCTTAAACATGAATATAGAAAAAGACTTCGAAAACTTGTTAAAAGTGATGAAGAGAAAGAGTCAGATGACCAAACAAATTTAATCCTTTTTGATAGAGAAACCCAAACAGGGAATCCAGAAAAAGAAATTCCAAACTCAAAAGATAACTTTATAAAACAACATAAGGAAGAAAAAACAACTGAAGAAATATCTTCACTTCCAATTATTCCTAGGAAAAAATGTCCAGACCATATAGAAAAAATGATATCCGTAGGCTCATCTAAATGTGATCCATGGACACCTATTTCAGATTCCCATACTAATAAAAGGGAAAATTCAATGGAAGATATCCAACAACTGCAATCTACTCACTTACTACAACAAATACAACCTACATCTTCATTTAGGAAAAGAAATTCCTCATGGCAGAGTGACTTTAAACGTCAGAAACTATCTGAATATAGACAGAATGATTATCAATCTCATAGAAAAACATATTATGAGTGTTTTGATCCAAATGATAGACATAAAGCTACAGATCCTCCTGTAAGTCACGATAGTACTTATAGCAGTAAAACCCCTACATATAATGGATACAAATATAATCCAAGCAATAATATTAATCTTACTAAACGTAATTCCTCTTATATACCTAATAATAGGAATAACTATCACAGCTTTAATGCTATTAATACCTCTAATGGAGGGAACTTTTCTAGTTCAAATACTTATAACCACCGTTTGTGGTATCAAAGTTATCAAGGGAGACATTCTACTGGGTAGTTTTATTAGGTTTGTAGATATAAAATTTTTCTGAATAACCCATATATTTCTCTTTTATTTAATGATTTAGCTTACATGAATTTGGCGCTACATTATTGATGTATTTGGAAATTGCATGAACTTTAAATAGTATAGTTTATGCTAGAAGTAGAATATATTCCCTTCTAATTAATAATAATAAATTGTCTTAATGGCATTTAATAGAGGTTCATTATTGTCTACTTTTTTATTTTTAGCTAGTTCATGTGTAGGAGTTGGCACTTTGACGCTTCCTTTGGCTTTAATGAAGACGGGTAAATGCAGCAAAGAAAAATTTAGAAATGTTATTGAATGTCATGAAATATAACAAAACTATTTTGTATATTTAGGGATAATATCTGGACTTATAGTATTTATTATATCAGCCCTAACATGTGGTTTAACAATGATAATATTGATAACCTCAGCACAGGTAAATTGTTTGATTTTAACAGATAAATATAGCTCATTTACATTTATTTTTTAATAATTGAAATACATCTAATTTAATATATTTAGTATCATAATGCAAAAGACTATCCAGATTTACTGTACTGTATACTTACACACCAAAGGAGATATGGCTCATTTAGTGTATCAGTACCTACTCAATTCATTCCTCTATTTTCTCTAGTCAATAATAACAGGTTAGTTCAGCTATAATAAGGTTAATTACCTATTTAATTATTAGAAATATCTTGAAAGTTATTTTAGTACTATTAACTCTTTTTCAAACACTTTAGACGTCCTATTTCAAAGAAGGTAATTAAATACATGCGAATACTGGATATATTCATATTTATGGATTGTTTCTTAGTAGTACCTTGTTATTTAATGTTCCTTGGTATGTATTATTGAAACTTGAATTACAAATTCTTGTATAAAATATAGATACGAAATAATTTTAATGTTTGCAATAATTTATGTAGGAGATTTTATGCCAGCTATTGCAAAATCATTCAAATTAATGAATAGAAAATTGTCACCTGATTGGCCAAATACACTTAAACAAGTAATAGAAATGCTTTATTATTTACTTAGCTGCCGTGAAGGTGCAATTATACTATCTTGTATAATATTCTTCATTTTATGCTCACCAAAAAATGTAACTCATATTCGATATTTCAGTTGGATGTCAATAGTAGCAATGGGAATAACCATGATATTAATAGGTGCAAAGGCCTATAGAATAGCTATAAATAGTTCATTTGATAATTTTTCTCCGAAATGGTTTAATTTCAGTTTTGAAGGGTAAGTTTTCAACTAAACTCTTAAATTTTAGTCAGTTAATTAGTACCTTTTTTTAATAATCAAAGGATATCAAATGCTTTAGGGCTTGGAAATCTTTTATTATTTATATTTTTTTGTCATTTTAACATTATAGAAGTTGGGAGACAAATGAAAGACCCAAGTAAACTTAAAAACTTGTAAGTTATCATTGTATTCCAGAATTACATGGTTTAATTTTATATTGCAATAATATTTTTTTTTTAGTGTTATAGTGAGTTTAATAATGATATATGCAGTTACATGTAATTTTACAATTGCTCTAGCTGGTTATATTGCATTTGGTGAAGATGTGAAACCAAATATACTTGTTAACTTTCCAACAAATGATAATGAAGCTACTATCATTAGAATATGTCTTACAATATCAATATTTATATTAATTCCATTATCAGTATATCCTATGATAGCCTCATTTATTAATATATTTAGCAAAGATTATACATTACAATCTAAGAATATATCTCAAAGTAAAAATATAACTTCATGGTCAAACTCAGAGTTACAAAACTTTTGCGATTTTGATTCATATACATCACAATTAAATGATAATATATCATCCTGTATGGAAATACGCTACATAGAGCTTAATACAAATATTGAATCTAACAGAGAACAGCATTATAGTCAAATAACAGAAGAAGAAAATTCAACTTCTATGCTAGAGCAACCATATGCTCCAAATGTTACTATATCTGTATCTGCTTCAGCTCCACGTTTTACCAAAACTAAGATATTTAGAATAATTTGCCTTTTCTTTTTACTCTCTTTTGGTGCTTTTATTGCAACCAGATTATCTTCAGTTGCTGTTCTTACCGAAGTTATAGGGGGAACTATCGATGCTATATTCATACTCTGCCTCCCTGCATATATCAGTTATGTAACTAAAATAAATGAACCTCACATAATAGTGATATTTCTTATTCTACAATGGATTTGTTCTACCTTTAAAGCTATTATGAACTTTTTTTCTAGTCACCATAACCAGCCCTCTAGCTAATTACAAGATCTCATGTCTTGCCACTTCGCCACAATATACTCAAGCCTCAAGTTTCCTATAGTCTATATTGGTAAATGTGAAAATTACTGTACATCATAGTTATTTAAAATATTTTGGATTGAATCACAAACAAAGATATACAAATTTAGTTTGTAATTTCCCAAAATTATTCTACCTTAAGCGCTGATATTTGCTGTAATACATTTGAGTAGCGCTATTTATGGTGGGAATTCAAAAGTAAATATAAATAATATAAATGTACAGGAATAATGAGCATACTCGGTAAGAATTCCTTTCTTTCAACATGTTTGTTATTAATAAGTGCAGCTACGGGTATGGGAATCCTGACATTGCCATGGGCATTTCTCCAGACAGGATTAATATTAGGTTTAATTATTTTAATTTACTGGAGTATCTTATGTGGTTCTACAATATATATATTAATAATGGCAGGTATACATTATAATGTGGGGACTATAACTGAACTTTTGTATCATAGTATTACAGGTGAAATAAAGATACCACATACTGAGGTTATTACTCCCTTAAATCCACCTAAGATGAAAACAAGACGTGAGAAGATAGCAGAACAAATTGTAGTTATTTGTGATATGGCTATTCTGATTGATTGCCTTTTTATGATTCCATGTCTATTAATTTTTTTATCGGATTTTGTTGTACCATTAACGAAATTAGTCCAAACTGAACTTCCATTATTAGCTCAAAGAAATCCTGGTTTGAAGGATTCCAAAATAGCTCATATATTCTATTATATATTCATGTTTATCTCGAATTTCTTTACTGAGCGTTACAGATGTGTAATCTTTTTCTGTATTATCGTCTTTTTCTTATGTCTACCAAATGATTTTACAGCAGTAAGGTTTGCCTCATTTTTATCTGTAATATCTACAGTTTCAACTAGTTTAATTATTACATATCGTTATTTGGGTTCATCTCAGCCTCCTCAATGTGATGGAACTACTATTCGTAATATAAATCCACATTATTGTAGTAAAGGCGATACTAAGCTTTTTAATATTGATACTACAAGTGGTTTTTGGGGATTATGTAGTATCTCAAACATTGTTCTGTTCTCTTATTTTTGTCATTTGGTTCTTTTACCAATTACAGAAAATATTAGAGATTTTTCTTCTTTAAAAATTAAGGGGATTGTGGTTGTATTCGCATTTGTAATAGCTAGTGTAAATAGTACTGTTGGGATGGCAGGATATGCGATTTTCAAGGAAAATACACTTCCAAATGTTATTAACAACTTTTTATACAATGATCCCTTAGTTGTATGTGCAAGGATTTATCTTACATTAGCCTTAACAGTTACTATATGTATGGAAACTTTACCTCTATCTAACAGTGTTGCTTCTTTGATTATTAAAACATATAAAGTAATTAGACGTAAAGTAAATCAGAATTTTGTTCAGACTAATATTGAAATAGAAGATAAATTAAAATTAGATAGTACTAATGTTTTGGGGAAGTCTCATAGTCACGAGGATGACCTGTTTTCTACTGCTGGAATTTCAACAAATGCTTCTACGATTCAGTTAGGAAATGTTAAGTCTCATTTAAGTTGGCAACAACCAACAAATATAGAAGATTCTAATATCGATCAATATAAAGATTGTTGCAAGTTAAAAAGGTTTTGTTGTAATGTTCCAAGGAAATTCTCTGCAAGGCACTACTTACATGCGTTTAACTTGATAATGGTCCTCACTTTTGCTGGAATTTTAGCAGTATCATTTAGTTCAGTTGCAAAGCTAATACAAGTTACAGGGGGAACACTTGATGGGATATTTGTTTTACTTATTCCTGCATGGGTTTACTATTCGACATTTTTTTACAAAAATAATAAGATATTTGGTGGTGTTCTAATAGCTCTTTATATCTTCCACTTTTGCATAGCATCTATTTCTGGTATTATGGCCCTGTTTATAAATCTAGAAGGTTAATGTATACAGGTAGTTTATATTAATATATTTCAGTGAATTCATTTATCTTAATTTACTATTAGGATTTGAGTACTGTAAAGACTTGTGGGATTTTACTATTAGTACATTTACTATTAGTACATTTACTATTAGTACATTTACTATTAAATATATAATCAAAGACTTTATAGCGAATTGAAACATATGAGGTTTACTATATCAATAACTACAAAACTATTTGAGTATTTTGATTGCCGAAATATTAATAATGATCCCTATAATTTGGAGAGTTTTAGAAATTTGATTATTTTCAACAATTTACAGGATTATTTACATCATTAATTAAGTTACATTATTTGAATGTTGTATATTAGGGTTCTAAGTAATCTACTCGCTCTTTAGTTAACTTCCAATGAGATAAGATATATAAAGCTCTATTTGATTATATACAAAATACCTAATAAGAATTTATTATTAAAATAAAATGTGTTACTTGATCTCGGAGATTAAAAACCTGTAATAACTTTCTTGAGCCCTCGCTAAGTTTTTGGATTTATTACAAATCCTTATTTGTCTATTATTATGCAATATATAAAACTATAAATAGTTTAGATAGAAGCATACCTGTTAAAAATAATATTTGATCATTATATTTAACTGTTATATTAGAACTTAAAATATTTCGAAATTTTTAGAGTTTTGACCTTTGAAATATCTCTAAAACCAGTGTAAATATATCTAATAAATAAAAGTCACTTGTAACCCCTATTTTCAAACTCAAACTTGTATAAATACATTATCTCTTTATCTGTAGTACTAGCTTTCACTTATAATTATCAACTACACCTATTCAATGTTTTGCAAATATAAAGCATTATTAAAATTGACAGCTCCTTGCAAAAAATCTATAATTAGTCTACAATTCAAATTCTATTTATAAGGCAGGACTATTAAATGGAACATAAATAGTAGCATTAATCTAGAAAACTCCTAGTCTCTTAATCAAGTGTAGTGAAAGTGGCTTTTTAAATCATTGAGTTGTACTCAAAATAAAGCATTATATTAGAGTTTGTTACCTTTCTCAGATTTAGAAAGAAGTCAAAAAGAAAGTTAGAGTAGGGATTTATTTATTTAAAACAAGCTTCAGTCATTCTCAAGATGCTTGTATTAGTTGGAACAATCACAGTTCGGATGAATTTCATCATCTATTGCTATTTGTATACTTATTGGGAGTTGCCATCATCTATAATAAATGTATTATTATTTCAATGCAACTTCTATGTGGAATTCGTAATATAATTCATACTACTATCACTAGCTATATTGATTATTTGAGCTCCATCATAGCAATTTAAGTAGTAAATTGAATATTAAATAGGATCCTCTTGTACTCAATCAAGTATATCCTATATACTATCCCTCATCATCTCACATTAACATGAACATAAACCTACTTTCTTACCCATACTATACTTAACTCTCTTTGCCTTTCCATTAACTGTTAAAGTACCTTCACCATGCCTTACATCTCTAAAGTATTCACCTTCAAAAACTTCTCCATTTGACTCTACCATACATCCTCTACCTTGCCTTATTCCATTCACAACTTCTCCAGTATACTTCCCACCATCTGGATAAATAATTGTAGCATCCCCTTCTACTTGACCATCCCTCCAATTAGCCTTTAAAATGCGACTATCATCTGCAAATGTCAAAGATCCAGGACCATCTGTAAGTCCATTCTTAAATCCTCCTACATAGAAATTCCCATTAGAGTAAGTATACTTCCCTTGACCATTAGGAGCACCATTCTGGAAGTCCCCTTCATAAGAACTACTATCACTAAATTTCAATAATCCCTGGCCATGTTCCTTGCCATCTAACCATTCACCAGTATAAACTGATCCATCTGTATAACGTGAAGTACCTTGTCCATTACGCATATCTCGAGAATACTGACCTTCATATATACGTCCAGTTGCTAGTTTGTATACACCATAACCCTCCTTTACACCATCCTTATACTCACCTTCAAATCTGTCTCCATTTGGCCATGTGTAAACACCATGACCACACTTAACTCCACGAACATACTCGCCTTCAAATACCTCGCCGTTTGACCATCTATATATTCCATGGCCCCATTTTATGTCATCCTTATAATGACCCTCGAACTTATCTCCATTAGCCCATGTATATATACCATAGCCACTCTTCAACCCATTTGCATACTCACCTTCATAAGTGTCACCAGTATTAACTTTGTATACTCCAGTACCATGTTTAAGTCCCTTCTCATTTACTTCACCTTCATACACACCGTTCGGATCAGTTATAACTGCTCTACGGCTCACTCCTGACATTTCTCAAACAGTAAGCTAGGAATAAAAAAGACTGTTTTTAACCAATGAATACAATAAATATTAGAAACGGTGCTTCGCTTGCCTCCTCATATACGTAAATACATTCCGGTTCTTGTATAAATTTATTTAGGTTAAATAGACACAGTTGCTATACGTATAATGCCATATGGAAAATTGTCTACGTCTAAGTCGCAACTTTAGTACACGCACATATATACTCAGAGACAGTACACAAGCGCTATTTAAATAAATATAAAATCTATAGAATACTTCAAGACTTATGATATAAGCTTTTTTTAATCTCTATATTTAATATTACCAACACTATTATGAGAATATTTACAGTTAGCTACTTATACTTATTACTATTTCTTTTAAAATATCTAAGAGTAGATCAAATCATACCAAGCCTATATACGCGCATATTTGTAACATTAGGCGGTTAATACATTTGAAGATTTCTCTGCATCCTTAGTAAGCGGTACCACTAAAGACTGATTCTTAAGTACCTGTTAAGAAAAAGAATTTTTATATTTCTATAGCAATCGAAGTAATATTAGGTATAGGTCTTGAAAATTTCAGTGTATACTAATATATCTTAACTTTAATGATATGATATATTAAGGACCTAATTATAAATTAACAGATTTTTAACTAATTAAGAGATGAAGCTGGTGTTTCTTTTTTTTTTCTTTAAATAAGCCCTTAGAGGTACTACTTTTGTGTTTAAAGTACACTAGCTAATTGTGTATTAATATGGGATCTATTATTTGCACTTTATATTTAGTAAGAATTACAGGAAATAACTATGTACTAAAGGTAACAACACAATTCCTACTATATTATTTTTAATAAATAGTTAAGCATGTATATCAATACATATTTAGTTGTATTCAAAGTATATTTTGTGTGCATCAAATATAGTTGGTTCAGTTATATCTATTAATATCTAGATTACTGTGTATATCACGATCTTATTAATATAAATATTCCAAAATTAATAGTCAGTTCTTATATAATGTATACTAACAGCCAGCAATAAATGGCTTGATGTTCAGTAATTTTCAAGTTCACTTTTAAATCTAATATCTGAAATTTGAATGTTGTATTCTATAATATAGTTACAAGACTTCTAGATAAAGTCTTAAATATAGTGATAAGATCCCTAGCTAATTAAAACCTTGGGAAATTACCAAAGTTATCAGAATCTTGTCAATATCCTGGGCGGTATTAAAATCTTTTTAAGGTTCGCTTTTTTTTTAATTAATTACAATAACAAGATTCAGATTGGCGCTGCTATTATCTTTTTACAAAGATTGTGAGATCTATCTCATTCTATTCTACTTAAAGAGATTTCTTTTTTTTTACCTCAAGTATCTTTAGTATTTATTTTTTTTTTTTGAATTATAATATATTGTGGATCTAATAAAGTGATGACAACTAAAGTTCTTGTTGCAATAGCTGACGGGGTCGAGGAGATTGAATTTGTTACACCTGTTGATATTATGAGGAGAGCAGGTTTAGATGTTTTAATAGCGTCTGTTGGTGATAATTTGAATGTGGTGGGCGCAAATGGTATTAAGCTGTGTGCTGATGTGCTTTTAAAAGACTTAGATAAAGGTTTTAATGCAATAGTTTGTCCAGGTGGTTTGGGATGCTCAAAAGCTCTTGCAGAATCCAACTTATTTAAGGAACATCTACATCATACAAAGAATAGTGGAGGTATAATAGCGGCTATTTGTGCCTCACCTGCTTTAGTTTTAGAACCACATGGTCTATTAGATGATGTTGAACATGCAGTTTGTTACCCTTCTATGAAAAATCAATTATCTAAACCTCATCCGGAACAACCACATGTTGCAGTAGATGCAAATGTAATAACTTCTCAAGCACCTGGAACTGCTATTGAATTTGGTCTACATTTAGTGGCTGCACTTTGTGGTGAGGCAACTGCTAAACAAGTTTCTGAAGGGATTATAGCTAGTCACCATTACAAATCTTAAATTTATTTATTTTGGGAATGTTAGATTAAATACAATTCAATGACCATTTATGTCTAGTTACGTACTTTTTAGTGAAGTTTCTGTGCTCTTGCAACTAATATTTTGATTATTTATATTTATTATTACTGTAATTTGAATATCTGCTTATATATAACATTGCAAATATACTTTTTTTCCTAATAAATTGAATATATCTTCATATAATTAACCTCACTGCTTAGTTTGTGTGTGTAATAAAGATTTACACGCAAATTCTCTGCTACAAGCTACACATCCATACTATTTAAAATAATGATGAATTTCCTGGTTGGTTTGCTTCCTATTATACTTATTACAACTAATTCCCAGATTTTAGAAGCTTTAGAATTGAAATCTAAAAAGTCCGACTTTGTATTTCAGAAAACTTTAAAAACAAATAGTATATGTCAGACATTGGATTGTAAAGTACACAAAGGCTATATAGGTACCAGTCCAGGTGAATGTTTCTTTGTAACTCGTTGTAGTAATTGTAAAAGGGCGACAAAATTGCATTCTCCAGCTTCTTTTTGTTCAACTTTTTCTTCTTTTTCCGAAGAAATTACTTTATTTCAAGGTTTTCTACAGTTAGAAAATATAGTATCAAAATCAGATAATAATGAAGATGCAGATTCTCTTTTAGATTCAGGAGATGATAAAGATAATATATCTGATTCAATAGAAGATTCTAAAGATTCTGAAGACTTTTCAAAAAAGGATAAAAGTGAATTAGATAGTAAACAAGAAGAAGTTTCTAGTCAGATAGTGAATGAAGATGATGAAAGTGTAAATAATATGTATTCCTTAAATTCATTAAAGTCCTCATTTCTTCAGTTACATTCTGATATGAGTACTGATGATTCTGATTTCTTAGAAGAAAATGAAACTCAGAAGAAACCCAACAAAAAGCATACGAATAATTCTTCAAAATATAAGAAAGTAAACTCAAAGGTCCCAGAAATTTTCAGAAATATTTTTAAAAAAAAAAAGACTGAAAATAAAAAATCAAATAAGGATAATGATAATGATATAGAAGATGATGTTGAGGTTGAAAAAAAAAAGAAAAAAAGCTCAAGGGGCTTTCCAGGGCTAAATATATTCGAGGGGAAAAAATCGAAAAATAAGCATATAGAAACCGAATATAAATACGAAAATGAAGGATCAATTATGAGAATGGGATCTAAAATAGAGTGGTTTTTAAAAGGAGAAAAGTTTCTTTCAAGAATAAACAATTGTGAAGTAAGTTCAATTATATTTCAGTACTTTCACCATAGTATCTATAATTTATTTCATATATAATTTTAGGTTATTAACAATTATGTGCAACTTACAGTTCATACCTTAATACAATTTTACTCTACAGAAATAAGTAACAAAGAAAATTCTTTTTTTACAAAACGCAAATATCCATCTTTTGAATTTAAGGTAGATGTTCAATGTAAAGAAGATTCAAAATGTATTAAACCTTCTCAATATATAGGAAAACTAAGGCCTAATCAAAAACTTCTTTTGTAAGTTTAAAAATTATTGTAATAAATCTAAAATATATTTTTCATAAATTGAATAAAGATCAAATGCTGTTTCAGTACCTATTGATGTATTATCTAAAAATGGCCTATCTACCATTATACAAGGCTTAAAGGCTACATATAAATGCAATAGTAAACACTGTTATCCTAATCAATATAACTCTTGTGTTAGAATTACTTGTTCTTCAAACCAAAATACTCTTCAACAAGACAAATGGAAAGCTAAACAGGTAAGAAATTAAATATTGGATCTATTAAACAATACAAAATATTGTGTTTTATCTTACAATTTTTTTTTTTTCAGGAATTACTTAATAAGGAAAGGTTAAATATAATGGATTCAACAGTATCAAAAGAGCTTCAAGTCTTTAGGTGAGTGAATAATCATTAGAAATATTATATTTAATGCATATACAATAAAGAATAAAACTCTCAATATCTAATTTATTTCAGAGATGAATCTACAAAAGCTGCAGAAGAAAGGAAGAGAATTCTTGATCAGAAGAGTGAACTTAAAGAAGAAATTCCTAAAAAAGATGTTGAAGTTATTGAGGAAAAAGTTTCATATGATAATAATTATGATATAATAAACAAAGATGAAAGAGAATCTAAACAAGATATTAATAATACTACTTTAGTAACTCAAGAGTTTAAACAGAACTCTAAAAATTTTAACAATAAATCAAATATAAATAAAGATGAAGAAACTAACTTGTCTGTAGAATACCAAACTATCCATGAGGGTGAAGCTATTGCACCTCCTACTGAAGAAATACGTCAGCAGAGCTTAGAGCAGCGTCTTAAACGTTCATTATCTATAGCTGATACAAATATAGATGAAGCAGAGGTATGTTTAATTTATAATAAATTAATACAACTAATATAATATATTGGAAAATTATAAATATTATTTTTGATTTTAGGATCAAGAACTTCATGAAAAAAATCAAGATGATGAATCTTTAAATCATATTGAATTCAACGAAGTACAGCCTTCAATACCTATTGATAAAGAAACTGATGAACCAATAGTTAACAAATCAAATGGGAAAATAGTAATATTTATAACAATTGGTATTGCCACCTTCTTACTTATTCTTGGAGGAATACTCTGTATAATGTGATTAACAACTAAAAAAAAAAATCTACAAAATTTCATATTATATTTTAAATTGGCTATTAAATATATATCAATAAGTTATTTATTTACTTATTAGCATTATATTACAAAAATACTTGTATCCTTCAAAATTTTAAATAGCTATAGTAATATTTCACATCTATTTTTCTTTTAAATATATCCAGCTATTAAGTTATTCTCAAAATTAATATTTACCTAGAATTCAAAGTATTTAATTTTAATCTTTATATTATCTTTACTAAATCACTAATGTTGTTATACAGTTAATATAATACTGGTTTGATCTATTTTATAAAATTATGATATTTTCTTTTATTTACTAATATTAGTATCAGTATATAAATAATTTAACTATTTATCATTAAAATCTATATAAAATTATATTTTAGACTCTTTAATTAATCAGAAATTTATTTTTATACTTAAACATTAACAAAAAAGTTCATTTTATAAAAATTAACTTAAAATATTGAAATTTTACAAGCTATCCAAGATATTTTTTGAGAATTTTCAAATTTAATATTAATGATATTATCTAAAGTATTCAATTAATAATACCTATCCGCAACATAAATGAATATTTTTATAGGTTTTATTATAATCTTGTTTATAAAGTTCAGTAATATCTCAAATCTAGTTTTATTTTATTTTCTATATTCTAAATAGAAAATTTTCTTTTTGTTATAGTTTATATTATCTTCTTTTATATTTAATAAGATCATAGAAACTTTAAAGGTATCTTTATAATTTGAGGCTAAATAACATTGAATTTATTCTAAAGTTTAATAAATAAGATAATAATTAATAAAATACGCATACATCTTAATGTTCCAACTATCAAAATATATTAGATAATATAATAAACTTTCACATCTTATACACCTCATTTATAAATACCTAATTACTTAAATTGATACTTTAATCTTAGTTCAGTCATCAGTACAAAAATGTTTATATTTATAATATTTTTAATAGTTAAATCATTAGTTAAAAAAATCTTATAGGTTTTATCATTTGTAAGTTTTATAGTTAAAGTTTCTGATTTTAATCTTAGAATTTCATTAACAACTCAAATATTCTCCATAATCAATATAAAATATACTTTTATAACACTAAATATTATATTTCCAAAGTTTAAAATCTATTACCTCTAATTTGCAATATAATAGCTAAAAATCATCAATGAATATATTATTAATATTAATTAGAAGAGTTGTTACTTCACAAAATATTATAGATCTAAATTGTATTTCTTATTATACTCTTAATAATTTAAGTTCAAAAATAATATTATATATTATCAATAAAAAAGAATTTACTACTTTCTTATTATTTAAAACATATATGATCACCCTTTTATATTTCAAAGATAAAGAAGTTATTACCTATAAATCATTGTATCAAATAAAATCTTCATAGATATCCTAAACTTTTGTATATTTTAATTTGGAAATACGAATATAAATATATGAATACTTATTGTTAATAACAATAAATATTACTTTATTTCAAGTCTTAAAGTTCCTCTTTATCCTATACATAAACTAAATAATAAATTTCAGTATTTAATATATTCATGTATAAGTAGAATTTATCTTCTTTTCTGAAGTGCTATTCAATTAAACCTTTAGTTTTCACATAGAAACGAAATTTAGTATTAACATTATATTACCAAGTAATTGTTAAATATATATTATTAGTAGTTAACAATTATATCCGATAAGTTCATTTTAAAGTATTTCGTAGCTTTACTTCTCTAGTTACCTCTTAATTCTAATAACTTAATATAAAGTGATAATCTGTCATATTTAATCTTCAATGTTACATCTATATTAGCAAAGTTACCCATGTAAAGTAAGAGTAAAAAGTGGATTTCTAATATTTTATATAGGAATAGTTAAATATAACAGGTAATATATTATAAATAGGATCTTCTAACTTGTTAATTATGCTCTGTACTAGTAATCTATAATACGAATTATAAAAGGTCCAATAATATTCAATAATAAACTAAATAAGTCCATAATTTAAAATAATCCCCTTTTTTTTTTTTTTTGGTAAATTTGATGGTAGTACTTTATCATCTAAAAACAGGATTCATATTATTCAATACAAATAAACCTCAAGTTCAATAACTATAGGCGGTAATAATATACCGCTTTATTACGTGATATTCTTGTCTAATTTCAAATTTTGTGATTTGTGTGTATATTATATTAACATGTCTATCACTTAGATATCAATATAAACAATTCTAATTTATTGATATATTTACTCATCAATAAGATTTAACAAAAACAAAGAACAGAAATTTTAGATCTATTAAATAAAAAGGATAGTAGTTGAAAGATGGAAGGTGATCAACCAAGTGTCCCAACAATTGTACCTCAATCCTCAAATATCTTGCTTCCAATTTCTGGTGCACCTTCAATACCAACATTATATGCTCAACCAAAGACATTTGTACCAGTAGATTGTAGAGTAATGCCAGGTTACCCATATGCAAGTTTAGCAGGCGTACCATGTGTAATGCCACCTTTATTACCAGAATTTGTTAGTTCTTGCAAGAATACAGAAACAAGAAGTTTGGAATTACCAGAACCTCATCGTTTTCATAATGGTCAACCTTTAAATCCATATATACCACCAACGGATCAAACTATAATAGTTAATGCTCCTTATCATATGGCACAATTTAATCCTGTAAATGGTTCTAATATGTATTCTCCATGTAATCCATTTGCAGCATATCCATATGGTATACCAGCAAGAGATCCAATTCCAGGATCCCAACCTAATAAAACAGGGTTTTATGCCTATTAGATAGTGAAATGGCTTTATTGTGAAAATAAGGTACATGGGTATATTAATAATATATTTCCATAGTCTTATTAAAGAGCTATTAAGATATTTACGATAATAAATCCTACTAATAGGGCTATATTTTAGAGTCCTAATTGCTATATATTAATTTAGATTGAAATTAGATTTTTATTAATACATGACATATTAGACTACAAAGAGACCATTATTGTAAGCATTTACTTAAGTAATATTTCTTATTCTATACATTATTTAAAAGTTATTGATTCTTTTTTCTTTTTTTTCTCTATTAGGAGTAAAGTACTACTAGATAAGTTTAACTTTGAATGTGGTACTACAGTACCATTGGATCCCCACTATTCAAGCGGTGTAATAGGCGGTAATATTTCGGGAACTGCATTGAAGCATACACAAAGTAGTATCTTGGAATTTTAAAAAATATGGAGGAGGAAATAAATGTTATAGATAAGAATACAGAATTCAATATTCCAGAATTTGCACCTAAGAACAATAATATTTATAATGGAATTGATTTATCTGCAATTCCTATACAGTCACTAATAGTAAGTAATGAATGGCAGATGAGAATTTATGGATATGAGAAATTAATAAATGAAATGGATCTAGGGGAGAAACCTAGCTTTTTAACAGAAATGATACCAAACATGATTTCAGATAAAAATGTTGCAGCTCAGGGTAAAGCAATTCAAGCAATATCCAAGTATATATTTTTATACTGTAGTACATCAAATACTGATATAGATTTGAGGAGAATATGGAAGGAAGATTTGGTTGATATATTGATAAAAAAGACACTTTATAATTCTAAGACATCTAGTCCATCTATCTCTTTAGTTGCATCAATATTTGAGACATCATTATTAATTGAAGGAGCTACTATAGACAGTACGAACTTTTTATGGGAAGATATGAATACATTTTTGGAGACAAACAGGAAAGCAAAAGGATTAGTAATAAGACAAATTTTAGGTATTGTTTCACTTTATTCACATATGATTGAAAATTATGGTATAGAGTATTTACCTATTACTCAATGGTGCAATAAAACTGCATTTTTACTTGCGGATTGTAGTGATAAATCTGTTAGAGATTCTGTTTATTCAATTTTTGTTCTTACATTTAGTTATACTAAGAATATTGATGGTATTATCCAATTACTAAGTTCTCCTCAACAACAAGAAGTTGAGAAGAGATGTAATGCTATAATAGAAACAAATGGAGACTCATTTGCTACACCTTTAAAAAAAGAATTTCTTGCAAAGTTACAAAGTAATAAGAATTTGAATAGTGAGAAATTGACAAAGAAAGGATATTTGGAACAAGGAACGAATAAACTTAGTTCAGTATATGATACCATAGAAGCAGTAGATGTAATTCATATGTTACCAAATAATTGGTTAAATATTGTCGGATCTAAGGAAATAAAATGGAATGAGAGAAAAGCTGCTGTTGATCAATTAATTCAGTTATGTGAAAAATATCCTAAGCTAGCAATTTCACAAAATGATAATCCAAAGGCAAGTAATAATCAGAATACAAGTGGTTCAAATAGTGGGAAAGGGAATTCACCTCCAAGTTTGAATGATTTCCAGAATATGTTTTCAATTTTTCAAAGAATGCTAAAACTAGAAAGTAATATAGCCTTATTAGTTTCATTATTACGTTTAATTGGAAGTTTATCCAAGGGTTTGCGTGGAAGAATCAGTAATATTTTGCGTCCAACAGCTGTACAGATAATGGTTAAATTAAAAGATCAAAATAGGAGTATTTGTAATGAGGCTGTAAATTCTTTGATGGCTATACTAACATATTCTTGTACTCTAGACCAACTTTACGAAGATTTACATATATGTGGTTTAAAAGCTGCTCCAGCAACAGCTAAATGTTCAGCAATGAGCATTTTTTTAAATTTGATCGATATGGTTATAGAAAAGAAGGATTTTCCTGAAAAACATTTAAAAGGATTTAAAATGTTAGTGAATGATATACCTCCACTTTTAGATGATGCATCTGCTCAAGTTAGATCTTCTGCTTCTGTAATTTTATTAAGGCTAAGAGATCCTATATTTGGGTCTACCATAAATTCGAATGCTAATAAGATATTTGATAGTTTAAATAGTGCAAAGCAAAAACTTTTGGAAGATACTAGAAAGAAACTGAGGATTTCTGAATTTACTACTGTATCGGATATTACAAATACTGATGAACAACAGGAACTTCAAGAATTTCCTACAGTTATAACGAAATCAGTTTCCTTGAACTCAAGACAAATTCCGAATTGTACAAATGTAGCAAATATTAAGAATTCGTCTCAGGTTTCTGGACTAGTAAATCTTAAAAATTCGATATTTACTCAAAGTACCTTAACTACAACTAATACAAGTGATATATCTTCACTAAATTTGACTGGTTCTAATTCTCAGAATACAAAAAATCCAACTAATTTAAAGAATTCTAAAATAATGAATACAAATATAAATTCACAAATAGCACTAAAAAAACCCTTTAAATTATCTTCACCCAAAAAGGCTGAAGAGACAGTGCAAATGAATTCTTTGAATAAATCTCATTTACCAGCTAATAAATCTACTAAATATATATCACAATCAAAAGATAATTCATGCCTTGATAATTTATCTCTTTCAGAAAATTTATCAATAAGTGGGAAATACTTGCAATCATTATCAGTTATAGAAACTCCAAAAACGACAAATATGCCAACTATGCTACAAGCTTTATCTTCTCATAATAGACAGAATGTAGATTTTAAAGAAAGTATCGATACTAAAATTAGTGAAAAATTGTCATGTACATCAGATTATATTTCAAAAATGAAATCACTAAAAATAGAAGATACAACTCGCTCAGTAGTTTATATAGATCAGATTGATAGCCAACTGTGCATATATACTAATTCCAGCTTTGATAATAATTTATTAATGAATAATTCAGAAATTCCTCAAAATATTTGCAAATATCTTACATCTCTAGTTTCTACAAGTTTGTTGAGTAAAATGTTTAGTGATAACTTGGCACTTGTAAATGATGCTATCAGATTTTGGGGTGGATATTTCATGGAAGAAAATCAAAATGTATCATTAGAGAAAGTTGTATTTATTAAAATATTATTACTATGGTTAGCTGAATATACTGAAAAAAGGGTAATTCTACAGTATGACAATCTTTTACTATCTATATTTCATATTATAAATAAATGTGATAAGGCAAGTATATGTAATCTTTGGACTTATAATGTGACTTATATATTATATTACATAATAATCAACATCTTAATCTATGACTTGTTCCAATTTCAGAATGATCCAGAATTGTGTAGTTTTGAAAGTGAAAAATATGAGAAGATTGGATCTATACTTTTACATAAGTATATTCAAGTTGAAGATGAGGATTACATGTATGATATAAATTCTATAGATAGATCAGAATATTTGGATCACAAGAATTTTGTGATTAGTACTATACTAATAATAGCTTTGAATAGAAATGAGATCAATAAGCCTAAAGTAGCTAATATGTTGAAATGCCAGATAATACAATCAAAAGATGAAACAAGTCTATTTACAAGTTTTGGATTATCAAATATTTTATTATTAATAAACATTTACTGTGAATCAGTAGTGCAAAATTTAAATTATCCAAATTTAGCTTTAATTAAAGATTTACTTTGGACTGTAGCTAATATTTGTGGCTATCAAATGTGGAATTATATAGTCTCAGAGTTCTTAAGCAACTGCAAGGCTGAAATAATTTTAAATAATATCAATATTACAAATAATAATTCTAACACTGTAGAAATATCAAAATCATTAGAATATTCCATATCATCTAACGGTATTTTTACATGTACAAATCTTTTTACTAAAAATATATTGTGGACATTTAATATGCTAGGATTTAATAATACACCTGGACCAAAAAAGAGATATAGTACTGATTTGACTTTAACATCACTTATGTCTATATCTATTGAAAATACCCTTCAGTTCCAAATAGAAAACTTATTTAAATTACTACCGAAAGTCCTAACAATTGAAGATACTTCAATTGTAAGTTCTCAAAGTTCAAAATTTGTACTTTTTGAACATATAAGAAATATATATATACTTGGATTTCATATATTTTTCTCACTACCAAGTATTATGAATCTAAATAAATATCAGTTAAGTGATAGTAAAAAGATGGTTGCAAATCCTTTCTATGGGATTATAGATCATATGGAACAATTATCTTCAATTTACCAGTCTTTTTTAGTTAGAGATGAATGTCCTACTAAAACAGTAATATTTTATGTACTTTTAATAATGAGTAACTATTTTTCTTGGAAAGAAAATATCCAAGATGAAAATTTAAAAACAAATCTTGTGACATCATTGAATAATATAATGGGAAACAACATTATTTCAGCATATCAACAATATTTACCAAAATTAGTTGTAACGGTATTTGATGTCATTCTGAAAAATGATAAAGGTAAAAACTACCTTAAATTTGACAAAGATCTTCTGCAAAGATTATTACCTAAGATTTTGAGAAGGGTTAAAGCCTCTTTTATTAATACGTCATGCTGGACTTCTCATATATCTTCTGTTGAACATTGTATAGAATGTTTGTTTGGACAAAATGCCGACCCTAGTGAATCTTCAATTCTTGTTGGATTTACTATTGACTATATTGCATTAATACTTGAAAATGGACATGAATTATTTCGAATGATTAAAACAAATGAATATATACTAAAGGATTTTATCAAATTTATAAATAGTTCTAAAGATCAATCTGAATACTTGTATAATCAACAGAAAGTACAATATATTCAATCATTTATGAGTATACCAACGAATTATACACTAGATAAGCAATAAAAGAAGAAATCATAACAGTGAAGTATTATTCTACTATTTGAAACTAAACATACAACTTAATATTTCAAATCATTTTATCTATAAATAAGATGTGAATACATTTAATTTAGTCCATTTATTCAATTCTCTCAAGCTTATCTTCTATATCTCATTGATTTAAAGTTAAAATTCAAATATAAAGTTCCATTTTCAAATTTATTTTTGAACCCACTTTTTGTATTTTTATCCCACTCTTTGTCTATTATTGAAAAGGCTATATCTTTGTAAATATTTCTATCACAAGTTATAACAAGTAAGACAAAATTACATGATGTATTTTCAAATATTAGCATATTATCATCTTCAAGGGTATCTATATTTTGTTTTTCTGATATTTCAATATTATTTATCTCAATATATTTCCTTTTAGTAGTAATATACCATCTAGGTACAATATGTTTATTTCTTCCCTTAAGTAATTCAGGAAATTTAACCTTAAAAGTATATCCATGAATAGTTTTAGGTGGTAAGCTATCTTCATTATAATAATTACGGTTATAACGATTCCAAACATATCGTGCATTGATTTTCGAATAAACTTGTGGAACTAGTAATTCATTATCATTTCTTTGATGATTAGATAAATTACCACTCCTAGATGGAATAGGAAATTCGACCATTGGTAATTGGACAAGTTGCTCATCCTCATTATTACAGTAAATTGCTCTTTTAGTTCCTTCCTCAATTTCTGAATGATTAATTTCTGATTTTAAACTTTCAATATTATCATTACTTTGAGATAACTCTATCTTATATTTTGAAGCTAAATTATCTAACCATTTACTAGCATTTCTCTGATACATTGATTCTATTATTTCGATGGTATTGTAAGTTATTTGTATACTAATAATGACTATTACCTTACTCCAATATTCTTGATCATCCTGCAACTTATTTTCAATATCTTTCTTCATTAAATGGAGCTCATCAAGATCTTTTTCTCTTATTACTTTTTTAATCTCATCATCATCATTCTCTAATATATTACTGTCAATTTCCGTTTTTTTTAAAATGTATTTCAACCCATATAAGACAACAGTCCATTCTGGTGCAAGTTCTATACTAGAATTATCATCTTTAAAAGATATATGGGAATCTACTTCTCTTATAATCTCATCCAAGATATGTTTGTCCTTGTGTCTTAGTATATGCTCTAGTTGACTTGATAATTTACAATGCCTCAACCAAAGAAGATAAGAAAGTGGAGTACCTAAACCTATTAAAATTAGAGAGTCAAGTGAGTGTGAAAGAGGTGATATATAGTTAGAAGTGTTGAAATGTTTGTTATTGTTATTGAAAAATGAAAACAAAAGAATTTTCCAAAAAAATTGATCCAACACAGATTCTCGCCTTTCTTTTAACTTTATTACTGACAAGCTTTTTATCTGATAACTTTGGAGTTTCTCCTCATCTTCTAACCAATTCAAATATCTTGTTTCCTCATCTTTAGTTAAATGGTTTTTTCTTGGAGGTTCATTAACTTCAAATTTTTCTCTTCTTCTATGTATAGCTAATACCTCATCAATTTCTATTGGACACACGCCATATTTAGACCATGGATACGTATTTCCTTTATTTTCAACTTGATGTTTCTCACTATTTAGTGTTTCAGCTTCTAGCTTCTTCTTCCAAATGAAAGGTACAGATAAACTGCTGTCACCAAATGGGTTATTATCATCTGTATAGCCTAATTCTTGTAGTATGCATAATCTATCTGATCTACATTCGTTTAATCGACGTAATTTTGTATATTTAGTCTCAGAATCCTCTTCCTCCATTCTATTAGAAATAAATGATGTCAAACCCCGGTATAACTTGAGACACCACGTTTTAGTTCAAATCCAAATTTGATAAAGAAAAATGTTTACCTGGTTATTTAAAATATATTAAGACACTTTAAACATAGTATATTTGAAGATTAAGGAATTGCATATAGATATTATTCAAAATGGAAACATATAATTACAGTGATAGCACTACTTTAACAGATTACACTATGAAATAGGCTAGCACTATAGTCAAAGGTCAATGAATAGCCACACTACAAAATATATGTATATTATTCTAATATATCAGAGTCAAATATAATTTAGACTAGTTATAATTAGGGACTATTGTTATTAGCACTAATATATATATATATATATATTGTATAAATTATAATTATTGTCAAAAACCCAAATACAAAGTGTGAACTTGTTACAAACTCGGAAATATTACAAATAATAACATATTTATGGTCTTTAAAAATCTTTTTCTAAAAGTTTATAAAAAATTAAATATTAATTTTGTTATTTCTCTAATATAATAAAATAAATGTAAGATTGTTATCTATATACAAACTAAATGAGTTCAACTTTATTTATAAGTAATATTTTAAGAGTCTCCTGTGCACTATATAAAACAATCAATAGATATGTTAACATAAATAATTAAACAATATACTTTACTTTTATATATACTATAGTAATATTGTCTCAAATGTACCTCCAAACTTTACTGGATTATTTCCTTGACAATTCAATAATTCTCACTTTTATTAAAAATTTCTAATATTTTAAAAGTTATTATTAGGCTATATTATACAAATAATCTATAATTTATAGTAACAGTATTTAAATATTCTTATTATAAGTTATTCTATTACAGTTAATTCCAGATATCTATTATTATTTAAAACATCTTTTTTTTAAAAAAAAATCTTAAATACTATAAATAATTATTTATTTTTGTACTTTTTAATTGTATATTTGTAAATAATAAACTTTAGTATTATTCAGTTTCAATCAGTAATAATAACCTCATAGGTACCTTAAAATACTTGAAAGCTTTATATAGAATTAATAATAAATTCAATCTAGTCAATCTAAAAATTATATTTATAAATTATGATAAAGATATAAGGCTCTTTTTAAAATTCTATTTTATATTTTATATATATGTAAATATATTAAAAATTTCAAGATCAGCCAATTATAATAGAATATTAAATTCAAATATAACCTATTTTTATTATTAGTGATATTGAATAATTAGAATATAATACAAATAACATCTATTTTAAAATGTGAAAGTTTGAATTGATGATAAAAGATATATTTACTTTATATTTTAATTGTGAATTACTGTATTATGGGGATATTTTATCAATATATAGTTATAAACATTTCAAGAATTAATTAATTAGTTAATATAGCAATATTTAGTAAGATTAAGTAATGTATAATATGTAATGAATATTATTTTACTTAGCATAGTAACTTTGATAAATGTTTGACTTCATGTAATTCAGATAGCAAAATTTCATTTTTTAGATATATTAACGAATAATATGAGATATCCAATTAAGTTGTCGCTATATAAATATATAGGCTTACATAAAGTAGATAATATTTATAAATAATTTTGATCTTGAAGTAATTACCTCCAATATAATACATCTTGACTAATCTAACTCTAGCTAAATCTAAAAAAGTAACTATATCAGAATGCATTTGGGCATCATGGACGTATATATGGCGCTTAAGTGCTGCAAAATAAGATGCGATTATCCCCAATTCTATGCACGCAATGGTTCAATTGAACTATACTAATATTCGTCTAAGATATCCCCTATTCATCATATAGTTCAAAATGGTAACTAGGCAAAAATTAAATGCAAGTGATTGGTTCAATGAATATATTCAATCAAATACTATGATGGTACCAACACCAGATAATTTTCTTAATCTTGTAGAACAAGTTGCTTATGCCTGCTATAGATTAAGACGATTTCCAGATGCCTTTAGCTTTAAGTGTGTTGAATACCAACAATCACTAAAGTATTTTCTACCTCCACCACCTATGCAGTTACCATTAACTGAAAAGATGATGTTGCAATCTAAAAATATGATATCTAGTCTATCCTATAGAAAAAATCACAATGTGTCTAGTATTGTAGATTTAACCAATAAATTAAATATAAATGGTGTTGTTATTTCTTCTAAAGGAATCAAGCACTTTCAGCATGACCTATTCAAATATATTCCCCTAAATGATATTGAAGAGTACGAGATACAGATGTTTAGAAAATACAAACCTAAAGATGGGGATTTAGATAATTTTATGCCTATGGAGAGCCTCAAAGGTTTTTTTGACCGTAATTATATACCTTTAGGATATATTGATGAAGATTTTATAAAAAATATTCAGCAAATAAATGATAATAAACAGAATAACAAAGTATCAATAGCCAAAATTTATTCAGGGATAACTTATAGGCATAGATTTTCCAAGTTATTACATTCGATTATTAATAAGATGGTATTTTTAATGGTTATGGCAGGTAGAGGGTGGTTTATTCATAGAGAGGCTCGTGAGGATCTTGTTAATTTTTTGTGTTGGCACTTATGGCATAATAGCACAGAAATTAGAGGAATTTATTTTGATTTTATAATAACAAGTGTAGAGAATCGAATACGTCATATAAGAGATTCTGTAGGGAGATATTATCGGAATCACTTAGGACAAACACTATCTCCAAATTCAACACTCACAAAACGTCAGAGCTATTGGATGAAAGCATCTGATTTCCAATTATTGAGACTTTCATCAATGCTGGAATTCTATGTTTTACGTAAACAAGCCTCTATAACTGTTGATGCTCTTATGGGTAACATAGAATATAATAACTGCGAGGATTATCTTAAGCAACAAATATATGCATTTTTATATTCTATAGCTACTCCTAGTGATGAAGAATTAAAATTACTACAAGGTAATAATGCTGATGACTTATCTAGAATTAAACATATTATGAAAATATTTGAATATAACTCATATTATATAATATATAGACGATGTGAATTTTGGTTTCAGCTTTTAGCTTTTAGTCAAGATAATAATTTGTCAAGTAATGCATTTTTAGTCAGTACAGTTCAACTTCCAATTAATATGGTTGCTTCTATTAAAGCTATTAAAACTCATATTTATAATTGTTTAAATATTAGTACTTCCAATAGAGTACCATGTATTCCTCCTGTAAATCCAAACATGGTCCAGTTATCTGATAAATTATTGATTTTACCTCCCAGTATAATGCAAGGATCATATTGTACATTGCCAGATAGTTCCAAAGTAAACCAATGTTATAATTCACCTTCATTAATATCTCCTACATTATCTCCTGAAATCCCCCCAAAATATATAGATAAAATTGATAAATCACCTTTGAAAGGTATAGATGCTCTTGCTCAAGCTGCAACTGATGAATTATATGAATTCAGTAATATACATTAAATAAGATTATAATTATATGATATATATATCTGTAATATTATAAAGAAATATATAATAAATTATAGTATTGAACAATTTGGATTAGTAATATACAAATATACAGATCAATCTATTTAAAATTTCATCCTTATTACATTAACTTAAATTTATTCCTATGCATTCTTCATCTATTAGATAAATTTATATATTTGTAACGACTTCGTGGTATATTCATTACATTATAAATTTACCTTGTTGAAGATAAATCTGAATTTTGATTAATTTGTATCTATTTAGGCTAAATATTATACTGTGAAGTTAATCAGTAATAGGTAGCTACTCTTAGTGTAAATTGAAATAGTATTGAAATTTTGGGGGATAATAATACTACATTTCTGGTTTTGTAGTCATAGTAAAACCTAAAGGAAATATCCAATATTAAGTAGTACTATTTATTTGGTGTTATTAAGTAAATTTGTTTTTATACTATTATTTTAGGTTATATTAAGTGACCATATATTTAGTATTAGATCACTTAAGTAGAGTTTTCATATACTTTTCTATATATATTCAATACAGTAAAATTCTAGATTATAATATATCTACAATTTACATTAAGAACAAGAACGACAATATTAGAATCAATTCGTTTTATACTATTAGATTTAGTAGTTTATATTAGTATTTATTGTCATACTGCCAGATAAAATCTTAATAATTAAACTGTATTTAGAATTTTACTTTAATATAAGCTTCTGTCTTTTCACTAAACACAATTCTACAATAAGAAATTAATATTTAGTGACATTTTCAGCTAGTTTGAGATACTTTAAATATTCTTGTCATTTTAAACACTAAAATATATTACAAGATTAATTATATTTAAATTATCAGTCAAGTAGATCATTTGATAAATAAGTTAGTAAATAAATATCTCCTTTAAATTCCCTACTCTATATTAGTAAAATTATGTTAACAGCTCAACTGAAAGTTTTAAATATACAAAAATCAGTATCATTTAATTAATCAGGTAATATAAAACTTCCATATAATATATTCTAGTTACTCTATACTTGTAATATTTAAGTGTTATACTTAAATTCACCTATATTATTTCATTATAAGTGCAAATCTTTTAAATATCTTCTTATATATTTAATGAAATTTATTTAAACAATATAATTTATACTTAATAGATATCTTTCTGAAATTCAGAGTTTGTACTCCAGTAATAATATAACCTTCACTACCCTTTCAATAAAATATTTAAAATTTAATTCAGCTTTCTACTAATATAGACTAACTTTTTTAGTTCATATATTTTTAATAAAAATCTGTGTTTCATTAAAACTTGCAACAATTTACAGAACACAAACAAATATTTTGACAAATCACTTCGGAACATTATTATTGATCCAATGACTAAATATTATGCATAAATATCCAAATAACTTTTAATTACTATTAATATAAATAACATCAAGTTTATTATTTTAAATTTCTATAATTTATTAACGAATAATCGATCAACTTAATTTTTATAAAATCCTTATCAATAGCCTTTGATCCTGTAACACATTGTGTGCAGATCAATTTCATGCTATTAAATTTGAAAATTTGTTTCTCCTTTCTTTTTTTTTTTTATAACTACAAGTCCCATTTTTTTTGTAGCTGTGTATATATCATAAAATATTAATTTTCTTATAATGAAAATTAAGAAAATAAAATATGCTAAATCAACAAGAGAGAAGCTACGTCGTTTCTTGGATAAAATAATAAAAACAAATTTATTTATAATAGTAACATTTATAACTTGTATTTTAAGTCTGGTTTTAGTAATTTTCCCATGCATCTATACCCATAATGGAGATAAATATGGAATTTCAATACCACTTTTATATAGTAGATCTTATATTGATTTTGTTCTATTAACATTAATAATAATTCATACATTGGATTCAGAACTAAATGCAGAAAGTCTAAAATATTATAATAGATCAAAGTCATTGCTTGTTACTCTGATTTCATCTTTAATAGCAACTTTTGCATCTATTATTACAGCTATAATTGGAACTTTGGAAGTTAGCAAAAGTTTGATTACAGTTACCATGATCATTGCATCAGCAGGTGAACTAGTTGTTATTATATATTTAGGCTCTTATATATATTCATGGTTTAATGCAGGAAGATCAGAAGTAAATATTTCTTTATTACAACAAACTTCTAATGATGTAATGGAGCCTGCAATTGTTTGAGCATATAAGATAAATTATATTATATATTAGAGTAACTAATAATCACTGAAGTGTTTATTTTAGATGTATCATATATAAAAAGTGTCTATACTCGAATATAGAGTAGTCAGGTATTGTCATATGTATTAATACTATAATTATACTTAAAAATAAACAAGAACCGCTTTAATGTAGTAATTCAGAGCATCTTTTTCTAATACTCAGTTACCGCCTAATATGTCGTATTTGTCTAAGGAATATGGTACTGTTTACTTGTCTGAAGATTTAGAAATTTCAAAGTTAAATTACTATAACACTTCAATGAGAGAATCAAATCGCTTAACATCACCTCGTTTACCATCAGCTTCGATTGATGGTTTCTATTCACAGAAACAAGTAAAATATGTGATTGTCACTGGAGGGACTTTGAGTGGTTTGGGTAAAGGAATAACTATAAGTTCTCTTGGGTTATGTTTGAAGAGTAGAGGTTATAATGTAACAGCAATTAAAATAGATCCCTATCTGAATATTGATGCAGGGACTATGTCTCCTTTAGAACATGGTGAAGTGTTTGTATTAGATGATGGTGAAGAAGTTGATCTAGACTTAGGGAACTATGAAAGATTTCTAGACATTAACTTGAATAATTCTAATTCTATTACAACAGGCAAGATATATTCTGAAGTAATTAATCGAGAAAGACGAGGTGAATATTTGGGTAAAACAGTACAAGTTATTCCTCATGTTACAGATTATATACAAGAAAGATTAAAAGTGGTTGGGATGACTGGATATTATGACAGTTCAGATAAATATTGTGTTCCAGATATATGCTTAGTAGAAGTTGGTGGTACAGTTGGAGATATTGAGAGTTCAGTTTACTTGGAAGCATTACAACAATTTTTATTTAATGTGGGGCCAGAAAACTTAATATTTTGTCATGTCTGTTATTTACCTTATGTTGGAGGTGAACTTAAGACAAAGCCTACTCAACATGGTGTTGCAAGATTGCGTGAAGTTGGTCTTAAACCTGACTTCTTGTTTGGTCGTTGTGAATTACCTTTGGATGATTCTTGTAAAAATAAACTAACAGTATTTACTCAAGTTCCAAAGAAAAATATAATATCTGTACATTCTGTTGAACATGCTTGTTGTGTTGTAGAACTTTTGGAGAGTCAGAAAGTAGCAGATAAAATATGCGGACAACTTGGTCTACCAATTGTAGAACCTAGAGAATTAATGGATAAATGGAGTAGTTACATTGAAATGATTAAATTAAATGATTGTGCAAATAAAGATACTGATAAATTAACTGACAATTATATTAATCAAATTCCTAAAACCGACGATCCATTTGTAAATGGTAGTGTTAAGATAGGTATTGTTGGCAAATATATTGCTTCTGCAGATACTTACTTAAGTGTATTTGAGGCTTTAAAACATGCTTCTTTATATTTAAAAGTAAGATTGAAGATATTATGGATTGAATCAAATCAATTAGAAGATGATGGTGATGATGATGATTACGATATTGACAATAGTGAATGTGGCACTTCAAGTAAGAGCGAAAGTACTTGGAAGATGTTAAGATCAGTAGATGGTGTCTTAGTTCCTGGTGGATTTGGACAGAGAGGTATTAATGGGAAAATGGCAGCAATAAATTATTGCCGCACCAATAATATTCCGTTTTTAGGAATATGTTTAGGGATGCAATTAGCTGCTATTGAATTTGCAAAAAATGTAATGAATCTTCCTTTGGCTATTTCTCAGGAATTTGAGAATGAATTTTCAAGCATTTGTAATCCTCCAATTACTAGTATAGAAGATTTGACACTTTTTCATCAAAAAAGTAGATCTTACAAAGAAGAAGAAATATTGAGTCAAGGAACTGTTTCTAATTTATCATCAAGATCTATTCACATAGTTATATCTATGGCTGAATTTTGTAGTTCGGTAAAAGGTGGTACAATGAGACTTGGTGGATGGAATACTGTTATTCGTGACAAGAATTCTCTTGCATACAAACTTTACTATAAATGCAATTTCCCTTCTTCTACTACAATATGTCATGATACAGGTGGAGAATTATATACTATTAGAGAAAGACATCGTCATAGATATGAAATCAATCCAGAATTTGTACCCTTAATGGAAAAACATGGTTTAAGATTTGTTGGTAAAGATACTGATGGTGAGAAAAATGAGATTCTTGAATTGCCCTCTCATCCCTTTTTCATAGCTTGTCAATACCATCCAGAATTTACTTCAAGACCAATGAAACCAAATCCCTTATTTTATGGTTTCATATTAGCTTCTCTAAAGAAGATACAGCATAATTGTGGTATTTATGACTTTATTTAGATCTCATGAATCTTTAATACTTTAAGTGAGTACTTTTAACTAACTGTTTATATATCTTGTTTCCAATATTATTCCAATTATAATATTAATATACTTTAGGAATACAATAGTTGTGTAATTTAATTCTATAGTTTATATTTCTATACTTAAGGCTGTTAAATAATTTCCATACATTGCCGCCACACGTGTTTCTGTTCTTCAAAGTACCTGTATAGAACTAAGGGGGATTTCTTGAAATGAAGAATTTGTTTAATCTGTATAGTACATTACTGCTGCTACTACTACTTGTCTCAGAGGTTTATACTAATGAATTAAGTCATATAGATGTTGAGTATAGATGTAATAATATTGTACAAAGGACTCATTTAGATATTCAGAATAATAACAAGTTTACACTACCCTTATCAGTTAATTATTCAGAGGGGGGATCTTCATGTATATATGTAAGTCATTAATACTTTGTATGTTCAACTGCATATAACTAATTGTATTATTTTGTTTTAGGAGGATGATGGAGTTTTGTTCCAAATTCCTAATTTAAATACATTCATAAAATCCAAAATAGCCTCGGAAATTATCTTGACAGTCTTCCTCTTAAATAGACAAATTATTGGTTTAAGTGCATATTCTAACTTAAATACAAGTGATAATGTAGTTGTAAACGTCGAATTTATAGAACAACACCAAATGGATGATATCAAAATAGAACCTTTATTAAGTAACAAGTCTGATAATAATAAACATAATAAAGAAATAAAGAATGTGTCATTTATACGACGTTATTGGTGGTTATTTATTATTGGATTTATTATTTATTCAATACTTTCTGTAGATCCAAGTACAATTGAAGGAATGAATAACTCTACAGAAAATAGTGGATTGCAAAGAGCAACAGTAACAAGTAGAAGATAATTTAGTAATTGATACAATTAATTAAATATAGGATAGACCTGAAATATAATAAAAACATATATACATAATATATATGGATAATCATCTTTACTTTGTTATAATTGAAATAAAGAGTGGGCCTAATCCACAATTACTATCTGGTAATATATATGCACCATATTTTGTATATTCCATAAAGAATTGACAATAGCTAAGATCTTGATTTATTACTTCATATTCCCTTGATTCTAAATTTTGTTGATCTGTTTCAATAATTTCTGAACAAGCTTGTTGTCTGTAGCTCAACAAATCCATTTCCTTTTTGAAATAGTCATTTATTTCTGACTTTGTTTCCAAAATATTGTCAATTTTTTCATTGTCGCTGTTATTTATTGTTTGGACTTTGTTATTTTGATATATTGAAGTATCTAATTCATCCAATTCTCTATATTTAAAATCTTCATTTTGTTTATAATATTTCATTTCAAGAGGATTTAAATTAATACAACAAATATTAGTATTTCTATTATTAAAACTGCTAACCACTTTGGACAGATCATGTAAACATTTATTAGGATTGTATCTAAACTTCTTACAAAATTTAGAAATAACATCATCATTTTCAATTAAGCTTAATGCACATGTGCAATATAATAACATTCCTCCCTTCTCTAATAGAGGATATATATTGGATAAGATTTCTAACTGTTTTTTAGCACTTTTTTTGACAGTCCCTAATGACCAATTTTGGATACTCTTATTTAGTAATAAGTGTCTATCTGATGTACAAGGTGCATCTAAAAGTATTCTATTAAATGTCCTTTTTTTTTTAAGGGCCTTGAGTAGTGAGATATCAGAAGCATCACTTCTTATTAATTCAATTTTCAATTCATTCATAAGATTCTTGCCTAAATATTTATTTAGGATAGTTTTTAGACGTTGTAGACGAGTATAGTTGTATTCATTGCAAACTAGTAGTACATTATTTTTATCAGTAGTACATGTATTAAGCTGTAACAATCTGGATATTCTAAAGCTAAAAATCAAGCTCTTTCCTCCTGGAGCCGCGCATGTATCTAGGATAGAACTTTGGTTATCTAAATCGAGAAGATAACTTACTAAGATACTAGCTCCATCCATAAAATAAACTTGCTCCTCCTGGATTATCCTTGTACTATTAATAAGTTCATTTTCTTCTTTTGTAATTATAAAAGTATTAGGAAAACACCAAGATTTATATGTTAGATCTTTAATTTTTAAATAGGATATCTCATTATTATAACATTGAATATTATTTGACAGTACTGCAATGTGGCTTGTAGGTGATGTAAGTGATGGAAGCAATTTCTGAGTAAATCTCCTATTGTCAAATCCATTTTCATGGTAATAATACCAGCCATAATAACCTTGTAAATTTGTTGGTATCATGATTAAAGTGAAAATGAGAATATTTTATTACTTTACAAGTTAAGAGGTGACACTGCCCATGAAGAAGCGCCGCATTATAAAAGTTTATGGATTTTCTAGATATCAGTACTCTTAATTTTAAAGCTTTGAGATATATCCCAAAGATGAAGAACATTATTATTTGAGAAAAAACTATAAGCGTCACTGCTAGAATGACAATAATATAGTTTCCATGATTTAAATAACTGTGATTTCTCAGTACCTTCCCATACTATATTACAGGAAGTTGCTTCACAATCAGAGGGTTCATCCCACTTTATTCTCCTTAGCATAAGATTTTTATAGAACTTAATGGACTTTTGGCTACCTTCTATATATATAATTGATGGTCCACTAGAATTTACAACACAACATCCTGTTAAATGGCAATCTTTAGCATTTCTATCTATCTTAAATATGTAACGCTTATAAAACAACTTTTCAACATGGAAAATTGCACAAAATACCACACTATCTGATGGTTTCATTTGCCACTTCTCTGCATTTTTTTTACTTCTCTCTTCAGGTGTTAGTTGTCTAGCTAAATTTCGTTGTTCATGTGCCTTAACTCGTTCCTCCATTTGCTTTCTAATTTGTTGTTCAATATTTGAGGGATCTAAAACAGCTCTATCTCCATATACATTTAATAGATTCGATAACTTTATTTTGGGTGGAGGTGGAGGTTCTAGTCCCATTCGAATTCTATCCTGTTTCTCTTGTTCTTTTTCTTGTCTCCTACGTCGACGTAGTTTGGCTCTTTCAGCAGGTGTAAGAGTAACAAGAGGGACTGCTGCAGTATCAGGGTCATAATAAGGTTCTATAGGGACTGGATGTTCTATTAGATTTGTTATTTTTGAATATAATATTTCAAATGGGAACTCTTCACTATATTCACTATTCTTCCTTTTTATAAATTGTAAGTCCCAGGATTCAAATTCAGGTATAGGTTTCCTTGACAATATATCTATATCATTCAAATAGCACATTTCATTATTTCCTCTTAAACTCCTCTTTTTTTTTCTATTTACTGATTCTTGTTCTGCTTCTTCTCTTTGAGTAAATGTGCCAGCTTTTATAAAGCGTAGACCTTTCTTAGTCTTTTTTTTTGTTATTAAGGTCGGATCATATCCAGTAAGATCTTCAATAAATTTACCAGACTTATTATTAGCTGAATCTAGTACCTCTTTTTTAAATTTCCTAGTTCTCTCTATATTCATGTTAACTTTAAGAGTTGATAGTACCAGAGGCTTTACAGACACAGTTTGATTCTCTCCATCTGATTCACGCTCAAGTCCACTAATCCTGTACGGTTCATCTTTTGGATTTAATAATGGGGTTTCTGAGTTTGAAAAATTGTTTTTTCTTAAAGCTGCCAGCTGTTGCTGAATTTGTAGTTGTACAAGAGCTGCTCTTCTTGCCTTTTCTAGGGCTTCTTGAGCTGCACTTGTGGCTAAACTAGTAGATATTCTCTCTTTATCACTTTTCTCATCCCAGCGAGATCTAGATCCCTTTAGTTTATTATTATTTTGAGAGTCCTCCATATTATTAATTCCTCTTTTATATTTCTAAGGGCTCAGAATTTGCCGCCTATTGAATTTGGAATACCGGTATTCGCATGCAACATTAGTAACCCCCATTAAATAGTCATGGTAATACCATTGCTTAGTATAACTTAAACTACTTGAATAATTAATAAATTAATTACAATGGCAACGACACAGATTGTAAATCAGACTCAACAGGTAAGTATTAAGACAATACAGCTCCAATATTATTAATGTAGATACCCACATATCACTTTGTTTCATGACTTTACAAAAAAAAACTAGCAAATAACACAAATCCAATCTCTTAATATGATGAGAAATGCAATAAGAACAGCTGTATCATCTGTGGCATATTTACGTAATCTATTTGATGAAGAAGCCTTTGAGGATAAGAATGTCTCAGGTTTGCAGCTAAAAGTTTTAAGGCCATTTAACAACGAGTCTAAACTAATTTTGAACTGGCTTGAAGATGGAGTATTTGATGCCCTAGAAAAGGAATACCTAAAGCTTTTAGTATTTGGAATACATGGGTCATGTGATGAGCTAATTGAAAGTTATCATTTTTATTTCAGCTATAATGCTAACGGTATGACTGATATAAACTGTGAAAGAGTGACAAATGAAAATAAAGTGATTGGTAGCTCAAGAATTGGAAATGAATATAGTGGATATAGCAAAGAGTATGCTCGACAACAGACTATTCAGTTGCTACGAACATTGATATTGCTAACTCAATCATTGTCTCCATTACCTGAAATTCGATATATGTCGATGAAGCTTTGGTATTATGAAGATAAAGTACCTAGTGATTATGAACCTAGTCACTTTCGTCCTGCAAGAACTTCTGATATTTTATCTTATGGTGATATTCCAATGGACACTACTATTGGGAATGTTGAAACGAAATTTCATTCTTTATCAGTGAAAGTGAGAAGTATAGTAGATGAATATGACGAGACCTTCAAAAAACATATCTCAAAGGGAGTTGATACTGGTGAAGAACTAATTAATGATACTCCGCCAAGTATGGTTAGGGGGATGGTGAATAAACAAACAATTCAAAGATATCAACATGAAGAGGGGCAGACTGTTAAGTCATCTGATTTATTACATAGGGAATTTAAAACTAATAGTCTTGTTCAACGTATTACATCTCCTCAAGATGATCGAACAATAAGAACTCTTAACAGCAATGTTGATATATATGACAGAGCTCTAGAAGTTGTCAAATTCTTAAAATTTGTTAACCGAGATAATCTTGCCATGGCTCTAGATATTGAACTAGAAATTGCATCTCAAGTTATTGAAATGCTACTAGAAACTGGAATTTTAGCAAAGGTAGCAGTTAGGGGGAAGGGTTACCCAGTTTTATCTTCAAATTCAAAAATTAAAAAGGGAAAGACAAGATCCAAATTGAAGAAAACAGCTAAAGGAAATTCCATAGCATCAAGAACACCATCTAGAAAAGTAAAACTTTAAGTGGAAATTAGTTTTAGAAATTAAAATAACGAGTATAAACAAGTAAGAAGAAGCAAAAAGTATTTATAATACTATTTAGAAACAGAATACGAGTTTAGATGGCATATATAGATTTAATTAGGCATTATTAAGGTCTTACTCTTCCACCTCTGAAACCACTACCCGGAGAGCCCCCTCTACCACCTCGACCTCTAAATCCTCCACGCCCTCTATCTCGTGTTTTATTTATGGAGCTATCACCTGATTTTTTGACAATTTTACTCTGGGCTGGTTTTGGAAGGAACCTAGATATTGGAAGGCATTGCTGTGGATCAATGAAGACTTTAGTATTCTCAGAAAATGACTCAGCCTTAATATCTTGTTGCATCTTTATTGAGAAATAATAGTTATTTATTGGACCTAGAATCTCTTCAACTTTGCCTATCTCCTGTTTATTTTCTAGAAATATCCTACCATTAAAATATGGAACTTGATCTTTCAATGAGCTTTGGCAAACAAGTTCATTTTCAGTAGAATGTATTACTTTACCAACTTCAATGATAGAGGATGGAGGACCATTGAATGATTGCCTACCACCTGAACTACTTCCCCTACCTCCTCTACCTCCTCTACCTCCTCTACCTCCTCTAAAACTCCCACCTCTACTACCTCTTAAATTTCTACAACCATGTCCATCTCTACTTGACATCTCAGCAATTTTATAATAAATTTTGTCCTTACTATGGCAACTTAGTTGTAAGTCCCCTATAGCCTTAATGTCAATCGAGGACATTGGGAATATTACCGCTTTAAATGTCTCGGACTATCCCCGGTTAAAATACTGTATGAAGATGAGAAAGTCATAATACAAGTAGAAACAGATATAGGCAAATTTATCTAATTTAAGAAGTTACATGTTTATACATGAATTAGAGAAGCCTCCAGACTCCTCTTCAGATTCGGAGCTTGAAGACTGCAGGAATTAACTAATTAATATTACTCTAAACAATGACAATAATATAAGGACTCACCAAATATCTGAGATCTATTTGCCAAAGAGAAGCGTTTGCATATATTAAATATAACATATCTCTGAACATCTGAAAATTATAAAGGGTGTAATATGAGCAATGTATAGCTGTATTTACTTGTGTAAAAAACTTACATGGTTGATGTTTTTGTTTGTGAGAGCTGAAACTTTCCAGAGTCGAACAAACATTTTACTCGCAAAATTTTCAATCTGTACTATGTTTTTTTCAACTACACTCTTTTCAATATTTAAGTCAAATTTATTGGCACATAAAAATACAACTGGTTTTATAAATGACTCTGTTGATTCTATAAGATTTTGGAATTTTTGATACAGAAATTCAATGGAATGAAGTGATTCTGAATCATTAATATCGAATACAAGTATAAAACCCATTCGACCTTGGCTGAGTGCTTGATATTTTTGCCCAGCAAACATTGGCACTTTAGGTGGATCCCATATTGAAAAGGGTAGGATATCCTTATATTTCGCAGGGATTGATAAATCTCTCCTATTCATATTGAAATAATGACTTATAAACTTTTCGTCTAAATAAGAGACGTTAATTCCAGGAAGATCCTCAATTTCAACACAAATAGAAGTTGGATCACCAATTTCTGAACCATCTGGAGGTAGTCTAATAGTACGATAATACAATCTTCATATTAAAAAAGTGTTGAGATTATGTTTATTTTTAGAAGAAGAAGCAAACTTACTGAGGAAGCGGCGAAGAGCATGAGCCTCCTGTGTATTGATTATTTACGAAAGTATCTGCGATTGTTGACTTTCCAGAATTGTATGGTCCAATCAGTGTTATACGTATCAACGGAAATGTCTGATATTGAGGCTTAAGTTTTGACATTTCATACTAATTTAAACTTTTACAATAATGTGTCCAGTGGAAGTAGACACTATTGAATAAGCGAGGGAACTTGAAATATACAAGGCACTTAGTAATACTAATTCACAAGAATGAGATATTAGAGTATATAAAGATCTAATTTCTACTTTTTCTAATATTTGAGAGTGGCTTTAGCAAACTATATATATTTTCATATATTATGTGACTAAATTTGGTTTACTCTTTGGGTTAAATATTAAGTATAATAGAACATAGACAGAGAAATGTAATAGAAAGTCGTATAGATACCTATAAATATGTAAATTACAATTTCATTGAGAAATGAGCAAGTTTTAGATAAAAGTTAAGTATTCAGCTTATCCACTTTCAAAAGTATCTAAAATTTACCCTGCACCCATCCCGGTTTTTTTCCATGGGTGTCGTTTTGGCGCCTACTTTACTTGCAGGAATGATATAAACTTGAATTTAAGCTTTCAAATACATAAAGGAGGGTAAGATAAGTAGAAGGTTGTATATATATCCCAGAAAAAGCTTAATAGAGATATATTATTGGTTTTTTGGGACATCTCTCGTTTGAAAGAGACTTTCTAAACTTTTTGGGTTGCGTGCAGAAGAATAGGGCCTGAGGAAATAACACAAGGATTTTGAATTAAACTACTTGTATGTTCTCAAACATACAAAGTGGTATATTTTCATATGAGATAAAAGTATAAGTACTGAGTTTGCGAATTAAAGATAATCAACCATGGTAAAGAGCCGTATGACAGCAATTGATATATGTGCTATGGTTCACTCCATAGCAAAAGATTTGAAGGGCCAAAAATTGGTAAATATATATGATATAAATCATAGAACATACTTACTGAAATTTGGTGGGGAAGGAAAGTTATTTTTATTGATTGAGGCAGGTATTAGGTTTCATACAACTCACTGGAAGAGGGGATCCCAACAAACTATGAATTCTTCTTCGGTTGTGAGTATTTCATATTTCAATAATAAATTAAGAAGGTATTTAAGGGGCAGGAAATTAGTTGATATGGCACAAATGGATTTAGATAGGATTGTTAAGTTAACTTTCGGATTTGGTGAAAATATATTTCATTTGATTTTGGAGTTCTTTGTAGCAGGTAACATTATCTTGACAGATAACAACTACAATATTTTAGTTATTCTTAGAGATAATGGTAATCTATCCATTGGTAAACGCTATAACTGGGAAAATAGTATTGACATTGATTGTTCTCATGCTGTATTTCCTTCTATACTTAGATCTCCAGCTCCGGATATAGATGTAGATCAAGCACCTTGGATGATCCAGTGGTTGGATGAAAGCTATTTAGAGGATCAATTAAACATTATGATAAAAGAGGCAGAAGCAGGATCTGAAGAGAAACAATTACAAATTTCAAGAGGATCTACAAATAAACGAAGTAAACAGGGAAATGATACTATTCCAAGTAATCAACCTAGTGGAATTACTTCACAAGTATTATTAGGGAAGATCTTAAGGTTTTGCCATCCTATTATGTTACAGCAATTATTAGAGAAGTATGGTTTAGATAAAGATCAACTGGTAACTTCTTCATCTATTAGAGATATTTCTAAGAAGTTTATTAAATGTATTAAGGACGCTAAGTATTTACTTGGAATACTTTGTAATTCAGAAGTATTGGGCATAATGACTCTCTGTTTAACCTCAAGAGATCAGATGAAGGAAGGTGATTTAATATTGAGAGATTTGCAGCAAGTTGAAACTCACGTTTCTTCAGAATGTAAAGCAAAAGCTGAGCAAGACAAAACTGAGCCATTATACATCTCTTTTTCTCCTTATGTAAAAGATCATGAATGGATATATTCAGTTCAGGCACTACCTAAAGATGGCTTAATAGTAAATCGTTTTACGTCAAAATTTAGTGATTGTGTAGATGAATTTTATAGCTCGATTGATATTAATAAGGAGACAAAGGAGATTCAACAAGAAGAGAAAGCAATAAATAGTAAGATTGATAAATTACGTATAGATCAAGAAAGAAGACTCAAAGAACTTGTTGAAGAGAAAGAGGCGTGCATAAAGAGGGCTAATTTTATGGAGTGTTGTGAACTATTACTTGAGAAGATATTGCTTCTGACACGACATTTGATAGCTACTGGTGCTCAGTGGAAAGATATATGCAATGAGGTTAGACAACAGCGGAAAATTGGTCATCCCATTGCAAAGTATATAAAGTCTTTGGATTTGGAACATGATAGAGTAGTAGTTTACTTTGGAGCGGATGAATTTCCTGAAGATTTTGATTACAGTCGATATGGATATGGAGAGTCAAATAGTAAGCTAAAAAGTCAAGAAGGAATTGAGATTTATTTAAATATATCAAAATCAATGCAGGCAAATATACGATCTGAGTATGAAGAGAGTAAGCATATATCAGCTAAACTTGAAAGGACAAAGAGTGCTTATAAACGAGCTCTTAACAAAGTTACTAAAACAGTAAATAGAAATACTGAAAAGTTAACTGGACCTTTAAATACAGGAGTAAATAGAATCCACAAGATTAGACAGAGTTATTGGTTTGAGAAATTTCATTGGTTTATATCTTCAGATGGCTTTCTTGTGATTGGTGGAAATGATTCAAGTCAGAATGAGCTTTTGTATCGTCGTTATTTAGAGAAAAATGATCGCTATATTCATGCTGACACTCATGGTGCAACAACTTGCATTGTAAAGAATCCCAAGAATCTTGCCGATATCCCAATGAATACCTTATGTGAAGCAGGGCAAATGAGTATTTGCTACAGTAGATCTTGGGCAAATAAGACTGTTATTTCAGCTTGGTGGGTTTATCCAGATCAAGTTAGTAAAACTGCTCCTAGTGGTGAGTACTTAACTACAGGTAGTTTTGTAATTAGAGGCAAAAAAAACTTTTTACCTCCTTTGAAACTTGAAATGGGCATTGCACTCGTATTTGTCAAGACTAAGAAACAAGCTGAGAAAGAGGAATTGTCAGATTTGGAAGACATAAGTTCCAAATTTGAGGATAGTACTTATAGTGAGACTGTGGATACTGAAATAAAAGTGAACTTAAATTCTAATATATCCGATAAATCACATGTAAATTCTGATAATGATTTAAGCAGCAAATTTAATCAGCCATATAATTGTCCATCAGAATTAGCTACTAGTAACAGACGTTCAAGTAATTCTACTGGAGTTCATGTTCACTTTTCAGCTGGAGATATAAGTGATGTAATACCTCCTTTAGAGATACCACATCGTGTTCAATTTGATGAATTGCCCCCTGAGTTGTTACTTTCAAAGCCATTTGATCCCTTATCAATTGATGAATCAACTAGTAATGGTAATACAACAGAAAATATAATGGAAAACTTATCTGAGATCTTGACTAGTACAGTAATTAAAGAGGATGATGATCAGATATCTGAAGTTGGTAATAATTTAAGTGATGAAATAAAATCATCTACAGATAGTTCAAAATGTGAATCCACTCTTAGAATCCATCAACAGTCACCCAGATTTTCATTAACACCACCTAGAATGTCTAGCAGAAGATCTTCTGTAGATGAAGGTCCTCCACCTTTAGGATTTTCTGAATCAACTTTACCAACACCAGCTGATTTACTATCCCATCGTGTAAAATTTCCAGCGGCTTCCTCATCTTCTGAAGAAATGATGGATACAATGAAAATAGATCCCAATGTATCAGATATAGCTCATGGTGAAACTAAAAATTTGGGATCTTCATTATCTATGGACTCATCTGATGAAAGTTTTGAGAACTCTGCAATTTGGCTAAAGAACTTAGATTCATCACCTTCACCATCTGCAAATCGCAAAGTTAATTGCTATTTTGAAGGGATTGACTCACATTCTGAATTTTATAATAAATTAAGAGAGAATTATCGTCGCCGTTCAATTGATGGTGGTCCAACTCCTAGAGGTTTTATTCCTGATCATGTTCCGAATGCTCGTGAATTGCTTCAAAAGATCAGATTTGACCCTATAGATTTGGAATTAGAAAATTTGGCCCATATGCGTGAAAGAGGAAGATTTATATCAGATGCAGTACCCTATCTACCTGAGGAGTTTCAACGGATGATTATGATTTCTCAACAGAAGACCTCTAAAAAACACAGATTTACAGTAGACACTAATTTTGAATTAGATAAAAAAGTTGATGTGAAAAGTTTTCTTGAAGATATAAATGATGAAAGGGCTCATTTAAATGACCTATATTCGTATAAGAAAGATGATAAATTACAAGATATAAATTTAAATATCTCAAGTAAATCTGTTAATGGAAAAATTGAACTGAAGATGCCAAATATATCATCAAGAGGTAGATCAATAGAATCAGGGAATAATCAAAGTACAAATCAAAAACTTTCACGAAGAAAAAAATTTAAACTAAAAAAGATGGCACTTAAATATGGAGAACAAGATGAACAAGAAAGGAAATTAAGGATGGTTTTAACTGGTAGTAAAGATATGAAACTTGCTTACTCATCTAAATCCCCGACTGTTGAGTCTAAAGAACCTAGTTCCAGTATAGATATTCCAAAGCCATTACATATAACACAACAAGAGAAGAAGAAGAAAGAACAAGAAAGATTAGAGCGAATTTACAAGGAAAGGAATGTTGACAATACTATTGAGAACCGTGAGTTTGAGAATATTCGAGAATGTTTATTAAAATCAAATAGAGTTGATATAGACCCAAATTTAATTGCAATTATTCCAATATGTGCTCCATATTCTTGTGTTAGAGATTATGAATATATTGTTAAGTTGACTCCTGGTGGTAACTTGAAGAGATCTAAAGCTGCTCAGGATATAATTCATCACTTTCTACATCAAAGCTTTAAAGAAAAGGATTCTAAGCCTAATTCATATGAATTTATTAGGATACTTAAGGTAGATGATATTATCAAAAGATTGATGAATCCTGTAAAGCTTCATTTTTCTTCTGAAAAAAGAGGCCAAGAACCAAATCAATCAAAGGCATTTAATTAAGAACATAATTATTCATCTGGATGAGATTCAGTTGATATCTTTGGTATACTTCTCATGATTGTAAGTTACTCTAATCATATTATAGATTATCTAGAACTGTCTTTAAGTTACAAGCCACTTCAACTTAGTTCATTTATTTTTATTAGCTTGAAGTATTAGACTATTAATACGGCGATAATCAGATCAATTAATATTGCAAATTTCTATATTTGGTTCAATTAATTCTTTATTATTAATTGTTCATTTTTAATATCCAGATAGATCATTGATACTTTGGTAGTCCTCTTATCAATAGCCCCTTTATGATCAAGTATTGAAATATCTGCCAAAGTTATTTTGTTTTAATTAAAATCTTAATTATATTGTTCAGTTTCTTGCAATGTTAGATATGTACATTTAATACTTTTGTAGTTCTAAATTCAGACAAACTGAACATAATTTAGCAAACAAAGGAAGTAATTATTACTGGCATTTATGAATTCCCTTGATAGATTAGCTAGTTATATTACTTGATGCTGAAAATATTCCGAAGTTTCATTCCTAAATTTACAAAAGTATACTTAGCATGTTTATATTATGAAATATCTATTTATTTTATCTAAAAAGAATTAACACAATAGAGGATGATTGGTGTTTAAATACTTAGGGATTTCCAAAATTTATTTCCTTAGAAGTGTTGTTAGACTACTAGTTATCTTTCATTGCACCTGAAGAAATAATAGACGAGTTAGTCCCAGGTACTTGTGCGTGGAATCACTTGAGCGGCAATATTGCTCATTGAAGTGAGCTTTTTCTACTATTGTAACTATTCTTCACTAAAAAAAAGGACCGAAATAAGTTTTACATAGAGATCTAAAATAGATTAATATGGCTCGAAATGCTGAAAAGGCATGTTCGATGCTGAATAGATGGCTAGCAGTAAAGGAGGGAATTATAAAAGGTTTTTCTCCTGTAGATACTGATAGACCACGAAATTCTCAAGTAATTACCACTGTAAGAGAATGTGAAAGAATGTAAGTTAGAATTTGATATTACACCCTGGATTTATTTTACTTTTCTTATTTATAATATATTGTTTATTTTCATCTAGACGAAGTCTGGTAATGAATGATATATCAAGAAAGGTTATAGAGATAAAAAATGAAAACTTGACAGATGAAAGTAAAATTAGAGAATTGAATGATGAAATTAACACTTTGCTTAAAGAGAAATATAAGTGGGAATGTAGAATTGTAGAGTTGGGTGGACCTGAGCATCGTATTAGGTATAATCAATATATTGAATCTTTAGGTGGGATTTCTATTCCAAATTCGACGTATAAATACTTTGGTAGGGCAAAGGCTCTTTATGAATCACAATATTATGTAACTGAGAGTGATCTTAAGATGAAATCCTCTCTTCCAAGTTCGATGCCCTATCAATACTATGGACTCTTTAATAATGATGAAGAGGTAATGACTTCTATAGAACGAGAGAAGGAAAAAGAACTTGTAATGCAAATGAATTTACATAAAACTTCTAGACTAGATATCTCTATAGATGAAGGTTCTAGAAGGGATATTTTGAAACTCATTGAAAAACGGAAGGAAGAATTAGATCATATTACAGAATAGCACTACAAATAAGATCCCCACATCTTTATGGTTAAGTTTTATGTAGTATAGTGATATGATAGGCTATATAGTTAATTATAAACATTATATATTAGATATAAGTGACTCAGCTATTCCAAATATATGAATTTAGAATACAACTTCATGGATATGTTACTTAATTCAAGTGCATCTACAAAATATAAATATTTATATACATATTGCTTACTAAGTTACTATTTGTTTTTTTCTTATTTTTTGTTAGAATCGTTCCAATTTGGATAAAAAGAAAAAAAGGTCACATTTTAACATTTGTATATATTGCGCTATAATCTATTTGTGGGGTGGCGCACTTTGGCATGTATTGACATTTGACTAGACCGCTGGAATGGGTCTAGCAGTAATTTGCATGAGCTTATAAAATAGGCAGAGCTCTCATAATAGAAAAGTTTTAGGTATTCCAAGGCTTCTAAATAAAGTCTTAGTAAATTTTAATATTTACTATTGCTTTTTAATAAATTGAAGCTAAATATTATTTAGAATTGAGTATATCTTTAGTAATAAATACAACTAAAGAAATTTAGATTCCAGAGTTTCTATGATATTTCAAGCTAAGAAAAATAAAAATTAAGTCTAATAAAATTCATATATAACTTATATAAGGTAATAAAATAGAGTGGTAATAAATTAGAATGTTTGGTAGTAACCAAGAAAGTGGAATATCAGTATCGCAGAATTTGGTAAATAAAGCAAGTAGGTTAAGTAGCTGTAATATAAACCCAAAAAGTGTGAATAGTCAAAGTTTACTTTATAATTATGTTTATGGTAGTTCAATCAATAAGGATCTTATAGCTACAAGTAACTTACTTTTTAATGGAAGTAATACCAATAATGATGTTTGGGTAAGTTCTACCGAAAAGGATACAGTAATGGAATTTAATAGAGCTAGAGAGGTGTGGGTAACTATTCCAATAGTTTTCCCAAGTGCAAGTATTCATAATATTACAAGCGTTGGAAATAGAGATTTTGGAGAAAGCATTGGTGGTAGCTTGTGCTTTTCACCTGAGCAAATAAATGAATCACGTTTATTTTCCTCAATACAAGGTTTAGCTGATATTGGGGCATCTTTCTTTCAATTAATATTAGCTAAAATTCACAATATAAGATGTGAGGATGAGATTGAAATTATTCAACAAGAATTTAGAAAACTATTTAATTATCAAAATATAAATAAAGCTGTAATATCTTTGAAACCTGTTGGATGGAGAAAACGTAACAACGTAGAATTTCAGTTGACTATACCACTAATTAATAACAATGAATATGAATGCCAGAGAACTAAAGAACAAACATATTTTTATAATGCATTATTGGTGGCTGAAAACAAGTCTGAAAAACAAGAGATCCTATATTGTCTAAACAATATTTTGAATATATTTATAAACTCAATTCAGCAGATGGTACCAACTCTTGAAATATCTAAGATAACAAATCTATATGATTTTGATTACTTTGAGATTACGATTCGTTTGCAGGATATGCCTTCTTATGTTGCATCTGAAGGGGAAGATTTAGACAGAACTGGTATTTCAAATCCTACTAACTGTAATAAATATTCTGAAAAAACAAGCTTAATACCTTCTATATGCTTTGGTGATATTAGACTGATAAATCCATATGATATACAGACAGATTCTAGATTTCCCTGTGGAATGTTCAAGACATTTGCTCTAGTGAGAAATGAAACAGTACTTTATTTAGCTGATTCACTTGTTGAAACTTATATTCCTCTTATATATAACCGTAAGCAGCATAACAGCTTTTACCAATTTAGTATAGACAATAAAAAAGATGACATGAATATCAATTTAATTACAAGTTATGGTCAATTTATTAATAAGACTTTAACTCCAAAATTAACATATAGCCAAAGTATAACAGAAAATGATACTATAACTCCTCATTCAATAGATGTGGTTTCTAGTCCTATAAGTTGTGTACCTCTACAGCAATCATTTTCATTATCAAACAATAATTCAATATCTCAATCTCGGAAAAAAAAAAATTATGTAACTCCTCCCACGACAAAGTTTCCATCCACCAAGCCCTCAATGACTCCATTTACATCTGCATCTTTTATTTCATATTCAGCTACTGATTTAGATTCATCTCCATGGATTTCTAGTGACAACACAGTACTCTCTTCATCATCAGTTCCTTACTATTCAAATTTGGAGACACAGCAATTGCTTCCACCTAGAATATCTACTCTAAATACTTTACCAAATGAAGAATTCTTTAATACAAAATCTACAAATAATTCTGTTAATTGTTGGATATCAAAATATGAAGAATTCCAGAATCATCACATTTTAAAAATGCTTGATGAAGATGAAAACTGTCACCAGGAATCTATATTGAGTGAAAACTTTGACTTTATAAATAAAAATAATAGATCATTTGTTAACAATCAATATAGTTTTAATAATCAATACAGAGAAAAAAAAGATATTAAGAAAATTGGTAGTATTAATGAGGAAGTAAGTGAAGAAGATATTATAGCATTGAAGTGTTTTTCTTTAGCTGATAAAGTAGATGTTAAAAATAAATCACAAAATATATTTACAGAAATTGAACAGAAAAATTATGACATATTATCAAATATACCTGTTTATACCAATTTACACAAAGGTGCTCACCAGGATAACAAGTTAGCTAAGAAAAATCTTGAAGTTTGGGGCTTGAATTTTCTTGATGATTCCAATTTATCAATTTCAAACTCATCATTATTTGTGGAGTCATCAAATTACTCAGGTTTACTTTCACACGGATATCATGAACGGCAATCAAACCCTATTTGGATATAATATTTAGTAATTGCAAATATGTAAATCTGTTATATGTTTTATGAATCCTAAAAACTAAAAAGAAGTTTAAATTATCACTAAGTTGCAAAATTCCTTTATATTCAATAAGGTAAATTTCACAATAATTTCATTATTTGGGTTTATAATACTTGCAATTATTTACTTCTTAGTATTGGTAATGAGGCAAATATTCATATAATAGTTCCAATTTAATACTATCTTTGACTTATTTCTTTATTTTTACATTTGGTAAACAATAAGGAATTTGCAAAATCAATATTCATAAAACAGCTGTGGAAACTTAAAAAGTTCATTATTGGAATTCTCAACTAAATATAAAATATAAGGTAAAAAAAAATTGTAATAAACAATAACAACAGTTATGCATTTGTATTATAAGTAATCAATGCTACAATAATTATTTGAACTTCTGAGGATTACTTCAATCCTGTTTTGTGAAATTAAAAAAGTAGAAATATTATCAACTTTTATATGAATATGAATTAGCTTAAAAATGGGAAAGTTATTAAAAAAGTTCGAGTTTCATTTGGATGAATACCCTAGTTGCGAAAATCGATTGCATTTCTTTTTTATCTCATTTATTACAATCGACTTTATTAAATTCAGATGAAAAGAACTCTTAATAATTGTTAATACACTGAGTTTATTATTTAAAAGTTTTAGGACAAAAAAATAAACTATTAAAGTAAAGACCATTTAATCTTGTCAACTTTATCTTATTTATCAAGACAATATATTAACAATTATAAAGGTGATCTCGATTATAGTGCAATGTAATATAGATAAAGTTTAAATCTAGATATTAACACATTTAAATATATACATTAAAGATCTCTGATTAAGCTTCTACAAATAGAATTTGATATTTTGAAAATGAAACTTCATTTATAATTTGTCAATTCTGGGTCATGGTTATTTGTGGCTTTGGTAAATAGCTAAATTTAGTAAATTTTATGTGAAAAAAGATGTTAATTTCTTCTTAGCATGGGGTTTAGAATAAGTGATAACATCTGAGCAAATAGTATAAGAGAATTGAAAATAACTATACTTCTGTAAAACTTTCAGCCATTTTCGGTCAGTTTTCACTATATCTTCGAAAACAATAGATATTAAGACCTAATTTAGAAAAAAAAATTTCTAAGTATACTTAATAGCTTAATAATGTATATAAATGAATCTAATATTTGAAAGTGAAAAGTGAAGTTATACTAAAAGAATGTCAAAGCAGTTATTATAATATCGGACACTTAAAATATACTTGACAAATTAAATATTAAACTCTAAAACTACAGACAATTAATAGTAACTTCAAGGATTTATTTAGTAAATTCTGAGAATTTGCAATATTCATTTATTGATAAAGTTAAGTAGATCATTGATTGCGCACTTATTACATCTAATGATCAAGCAAAGAAGTGAAACTATAGCGCAAATATCATACAAGTGGTTTTTTTAATAATATAGTTCCAGTTATATATCTTTAAATTCTAGAGTTTTTTTAGCTATTAAAAGTAAGATCTATATTATGCTAAAAATCCATTAATCCCTTGTAGAAAAACTACAATAAACTATAATCAGCTTCTACAAACAGTTTTATTTAAAGACAGCAAAGTTTATTGCAATAATAAATATCAACTACTAGCTTAATTTAAACACCTTTAGGGAAGGCTTTCTATATATTTTTGATATTTACAGTGTTTTTTCAGAGACTAAGCATAGAGTACTTGTAACTTGGGGTTTGGTCGAATTTTTCTGGCAGAACACGTTTAGAGGAGAGTACTTCCAATATTTACTAGTTAAAGAAATCCAATATATTTTTTAAAATATTAAGTATATATTTTATTTTTTACTTAGTGATATTTCCTAGTAGAATGAGTAATCAAACAATTATAGAAGAAGAAACAAAGGCTAAAGAACATAAACTGTGTGAATTACAAGATCAGTGTCAAAAAAGTGTGAGGAATACTCTTAAGATTGCTGCAAGTGCAAATGAAATATCTAGAAATAGTGCAACAAAACTTAACGAGCAAACAGAACAACTTCACCGCATAAAGAATGATATGGAAACCATTAAGGACAACTTAGATAAAACTGATGATGTAATATTTTCGTTACAACATCCCATACTAGCATGGTTTAAAGAACTCTTTAGTCACAAAGATAGTGAGCTACAAAAGTGTAGTCAGGATAAAAAGAGTGCTCAAACAAAATATGATCATGAACACTTTCCTATTAATGGTAATCAAATAGGGAATGATATAGATGGTAAAGATAGGGTATTAAGAAAAAAGTGTAAAGGTACTGACGATAACTTCGAGAGTTCTATCAACAAGGACCTAGATAATATTGAAGATTTATTAAAAGAGATGCATGGGAGAGCTTTAAACATGAACTTAGAACTCAAAAAACAAACTGAAGTTATTGAAGATATTAACAATAATGTAGATGCAAATTATACAAAGATGAAAGATCAACGTAAAAAACTAGGGGAGATTATCAAAAAATGAGAAAAATCGTGGTTTCCCCACCTCATAAATTGACAAAATTAGTGTAATATTCTCAATTTACTTATTAACTAATTGATATATCTTTAGTTTGTAATTATTAAAGTTTGACTATAAAATTATTTATTTTAGCTAAAATCAGGCTTGTTTTATCTCTATCAAATTTAATCATTCCCTTATTCTTCATAAGTTTCATTTCTAATAATCCATATAAGTTAAGACAACTGAGCTGGAGTTATATGAGTAGGGGGAGGAAGTCTATCTAAAATTTCTTGTATACTAGTATCCCTGTAAATATTAAATTTACCATTAGTAACAGAAGCCATCTCAACATTTGTAGAGTTAATTTTGTCCTCCATTACTTGTCTTAAAACTATGAGAGCTAAATTTTCTGCCTCTTTTAAAGTCATATTTGAATGGTATTGTTCAATCAGCATAGACTCAGCACCTTCTTGAGCTGTCCCAATTGATGCAGCAGTAAATTGAGTATATGTGCCAGATGGATCTGTTACCCAAAGAGTTGATTTTCCATCCTTATCTGCACCTGCTATAATTAAGGCTACACCAAAAGGTCGAGACATAGTCTTCTTCTTGCCCTTTTCTTTGATATCTGAAAAATCTAATGCTAAGTCACTAATTGTTTGTACTACAGATTCTACTGGCATCTGCTCATCATATGTAAAGAAGTAGTTTTGAGCTTCCACTCTGGCATGATCAATCATAGTTTTTGCATCTGCAACCAGACCACTCATACAGCAACCAACATGAGTATCTATATCCATAATCTTCTCAACTGAGCTGGGTTCTAATAAAGTCGATGTGATACGTCGTTCACTTGCAAGTACAACACCCTCTTCTGTCTTTATCCCAACTGCTGTAGAACCCAACTAAAAGGAACAAGAAAATTTAGTTATAAGATATTTCAGATAATTTGAAGTGCATATTATTCACAAGCAAATAACTTACCTTCATAGCAGCCATTGCGTACTCTACCTGGAAAAGTCGTCCTTCAGGAGAAAATGTATTAACTCCACGATCATATTCACTCCTAAAAGCATACATATCTTTATTCAAGGATAATTTAAAAGCTGTTATAAATTAAATTTCTTCGATTTCCCCTAGACGTAATACTTTCATTACACTAAAAACTCTGTTTCCCCTCAACACCGCTATATAATCAGATTTTGACTTTAATGAATGGGTCTTTACTTGTTAATGTCCACTCTGGGAATAAAAAAAGTTTTCAACAAATAGTAGAGAAATGTGTTTCTCATCTTAAAAAGGTATGTTAGAATATACTATCTCATATACTACCCTAATTTTAAAATAAGAACAAGTTTGCTCACTTTTTTATATCAGGATGAGGCAAATAAGTCAATAACAATTAGGGGGAAATTCCCTATCATATCTAGAGCTATATCTATTGCAGAAGCAGTGAAAACTCAAGTTCCAAATATGGCCCAATATACTAAAATTAACAACTTGGACGTATGTGGCGCTGGCGGTTTTTGTATATAAATAATTAACTTTTCTTTTTCTTTAGGATAAAAGTAAAAATAGAAGAAGAAATATAGAAATCACAATAGACTTAGTTAAACAATACTAGATGATAAAGGTAGGAAAATAGGGAAATTCTAGGATAGAGGATAGGGTTAGGATTTTTATAAGCGGAGTCTGTAATATAAAGTAACATATAGGTGGAGTATTTTAAATAATTTTAAGTACTTTTTAGCTTTTGGATATTAAATCTTAATTACAGGATTTAGTTTATGGCACTTTGATGGCATCTTCATCACCAAGGAGCAAGATTACAATTACTCCTATCAGGAAATCTACATGTCAGGTGAGTCCTGCGAACACCACAACAAAGAAGCGAAGATTAACACAGAATATAACACTAAGTGATGAGGAGTTAGGTGAATTTCGAACAAAACTATGTACTGACCATATTAAATCGAAATGCTTGGATCCAGATACATGTTTCTATTCTCACTGCAGTGCCTGGCAAAGAAGAAACCCATACAAGTACAAATACTCATCAGTTAAATGCCCTGATATAGACTTTCTTAGAAAAGGAATTAAAGGTAGGATGTCTTTAACATGTCGATGTAGAAAAGGAAGAATATGCCCATATGCTCATACAAAGGAAGAAGAGCTATATCATCCAGATACTTACAAAACAAAAATTTGCAATTCCTATCCTGATTGTAAGAGATACTATTGTCCTTTTTCCCATGGTGAAGATGATATAAGAAACATTATAAGTCAAGATTATAATACAAGTTGGGGAGTTACAAGCGAAGTAGAAACTAGTGATGATCCCACAGATGTAAAATTACCAGAAGACATATTTAATGTTGAACTAACTCTAAACCACATAAATAATGATAATAGTGAAAAAATTGAAATTTTAACAGTATTAATTGAGTGCCAAAAATCTGTACTTGATGGGGATTATTTAAATGCTTTCTTATTAACTCAGAAGCTTGCAAATACTTTTAAAAAGATAAATCAATCTATGGGTTCCTCTAATAATAGATCTATATTATTTTACCCATATTTACACTTCAATAGTAATTTATATGATTTTCAAGATGAAAATATTGATAAGTTACCAAATATATTGAATGAAATATTAAAACCTTCGCAGTTATCAATCAATGTGCAAGAAACTCTCGAAAAACTTAAATTAGAATGATGAATTTGCAAAATTATAATTTTTAATAAGAGCAATGTCTAGTATTTTAAATATTATTACTAATATATCTGAAATAATTACTTGATATAGTCTGATACATAACATTAATACTTTCTGGTTTTTTTATTCGATAATAGCGTGAATGAGTCTTTGACTTCATCAGGAATCATATTTAAATCAGATTTCTTTTCTTGATTAGTATTATCCAGTAATTTTGGAGTATTATCCCTCTTAATTTTCTGTTTACGTTTTTCTTTAAGTAAAGTCTCATTAAAATTTGTAGGTTTATATAAAGGATTTGTTGGATCAATTGCAAAGTCAGGGTTGGTAAATATCTCAGAAACTCTAGGATCATGGATACTTCCTGAAAATCCAATTTGGATAGATTCACTAGTTGCAACTTTTATAAGATTTTGTCTCTTCTTAGACTTTACTTTTTTATCAGACTTTTCAAGTAGACGTAGATTTTTCATATCGAAGTGCCTATCTTCATCATCGTCATTTATATTATTACCTTTATTATATAGTATATTCGAATTACTATCTATAATTTGATTTTTATTTACATCTAATTCACCATCCATATGTCGAATATTTAATGATCCTTGTTCTCTTTGAAGTCTTTGCTCTCTAATTTTTTCCCTAACTTGTAATTTTCTTTCTTTTCTCTTTTGTTTTTTCTTCTTTAAATATGTTTGCCAAGGAGTCAATGTCTCAACATTATCTTTACATATTGTTTCATCCTCCCATTTCTGTGTACCTTTAGTTATTAAGTCTATTGCTAAATCCTCTAATTGTGGTTTAAATTCTATTTCTAGAATATCACTACACTTACTTTTTTGTCTCATATTTTTCTTCATTTCATATATTGAAGGATCATATTCATCATTATCTTTAGAATTTGTATTGCTATCAAATAAATTTTGCACATCACCCAGTAGTAAATGCCTTATTTCATCAAGATTCTCTTCTAAATCACCACCTAATCCTGCTTTACTAATATTCTTAGTTTCATCATATTCATTTTCACTTTCAATATCTGATGCTAGATAAGCATCAAAATCGTTACTTAATAATTCCTCAGGAGTAAATTTCTTTCTTAAAAATTTAACTCTCTCAAGAGGTGTATCATCCCATATTAATAAGGGTTTAGAGTGTTTCAGTGCTGACCTAAAACAATCTGGTGGTTTATATTTAGTAGGAATACATGATGAAACACTTATTGGAGGATATGGAAATTCGATCAAATCATCTGGAACAAAACGTACATCTAAAGAATCTATGCAAAAATCCGCCTCCATACCATCCAATTCATTAGCCAGTTTAATAGCAGAATTTACGTCTGCGCACTCAATAACTGCATAATAATATAATGACTTTTCAACTTGATATCTTCTAATAGCTTCTAAATCCTCTTCCTCACCTGAATCTACATCTTTCTGTCTTGTTGATTGTATTGTAGGACCATGGACCTCCTCATATTCCATTCTTTCCTTTCCAAAATTAGAAGGATATATACTAACCCTAATTAATTTATTATTTGTATTGCCTACAGATAATACTTTTGATGGAGATAAGAAACTTGACAGAACTACATATATATCATCTGCATTAATGTTATCCCAATCCAAGCCCATAAGTGAAAGTCTGCTTGTAGCATCTCCTTCTGATATTCCTATCCTATAGATTGGATTATTTTCCCATATGGGATCCTTAAAAGTACACTTTTCTTCCTTATATGTTTGTGAGTCATCATCGTCACTTTCTTCATTCCATTCAAAAGGTTCTTCAGAGTCTAAAGAACTTTCTTCTCCTTGAGTACTTTTCTCACTCTCTCCAACTTCATAAAATTTGTGCATATCCTCGTCTATCTTCTTCTTTGATTTTTTCCTACCAAATGGATCAATTGGGGTAGATATACTGAATTCATCATCAGTGAATATTTTACTAAAACGTTTGTCAATCTTAATCTTGCGATCTTTCATTCTCATTTGTTTAAAACGAGGATCTGATTTTGCATTAAAACGTTCATATACTTGAGGCCTTACATTGGCCAAGCTATCTACTTCCTCACTCATCTTCCTCTTTCCAAATTCCTTTACAGAGAACTAGCCCTATAAAATCAAAATTAGACCACTATCTATGTTTACCGCTCTATATGCCGCGTATATATGGGTTATAAAACTAAGTCGAGGAAAGGACCGGTTCTAGCGCATCTATTTAATTACATTAAAAAACAATAGCTTAACTCTTCCTGCATGCAGAAATTACATAATACCACTGTTTGTATGAAAAATTACGTGTTTTTTTTATTTTATTAGATATTTATAGGCCCTGACACTCTATATCACTACATATCTAAAAGGTTGAATTGGTTGTATTCACTAACTTAATAAACAAATCTACAAAGACATTAAATGGTATCTCACTATATAAGCTGTTACATATAAATTTACTAGTATGACAGACAGAGTAATCAAACCCTTTATACTCAAAAGGATTATAAGAACCAAGAATATATAAAATCTGCCCAGTAAAAATATACTTGAGTAAATGAGATATATTTAGCTTATTTTGGATATCACTACACATTTCCAAGAAAAAAAATTTGAAAACTGGTGATGTAGGTGGATACTTCGTAAAAAAAGTAAGGACTATTTGATTTTTATAGTTACTACCTATACTTTTCAAGTATAATCCTGAATTAAAATGATCTGGATATATAAAGTACATTGTTGTAAGGAAATATGGAAAATGACTTGCTATATAAATTATCATATAGAATAATATATTTATTAAAAATACAGGTACCCAAATAAATAAGAAATTAACATAAAATATTGCAACTGTTGGATATAAAAATATTGAAATAGTGAATAAGATTGTACCAAAGAGTAACTGTTCTATATTATTAATTGTAGAGTCAACACGATTTCTAAGAATATTCCATTTTTTACCACGAAATAGATGATAGAAAGTTGAAATCGCCTGTATATTTATGCAGTGAAGCTTTGAAAAAAGAACATATATGTAGTGCAAGATGAATATATATATGTTGAATATATCCCAAACAAAAGATATAGCAATAGAAAATCCACCAACTGCTGACAAAAGTTTTAAAAAAAAGAAAATTAATTCAATATCAGAGAATATATAGTTAGTTATACTTTTCCATAGTTGGAATGCTTCAAACAGTAAGCTTATTAAAAATGAGCTTAAATCTTTGTTAAGTCGGAGTTCAGATGAGGCCAACCAATTAAATTGTAAGTAAATAGCATCATTGTACAAAAAATAATAAACCTTACTTATAAATTGAAGTATTTGCATTGAAAATGAATTAATAATATATATTAAAAGTACCCCAAATATATGATCAATAATAATGGAAGTTATTGTAGAATACAACAGTACTTTTATAGCATCATAATTGTGATTAAAATTATCATAATTAATAATTAAAATATTGTAAAGAACTATCCACTGACTTTGCGTATTAAACTTATAAGCTATTCCTTTGAGAGTCATTGATAAATTTTTATTTGTGAATGGATAACAATTTCTGAATTTTGACCCAAATATCAATAAAGAGTACGGAATAAATGAAGTTATAGTTATCCAAAAAATGAAAAAAACTTTAAAAATTGGAAATTGGAAGTCATTTTTGTGCAGATTATTTCTTGATTGGTACTGCTTTTCAAAATAAGTATTGGTACTCCTAGTCATTTGATATTTATAATAATCAAAAAGACTTAAATCCTTATCAGAAACTTTATTTTCTAAAATGTTACTATTTTGTTTCAGACTATCTAGATTTCCCTTTTGTTTTAATTGGTTTATTGCATTATACAAATCTTTGTGAGCTATTTCAAACGATTTGACAAAATTCGTCAGCATTGAAAATTTATATGAATAAACAATAATTTTAATAGATTGGGGTGATATATCTCTATCAATAAATTTAGATATATCAGTAACTGATACTAAATCTTCTGAATTTGTAGCATCCAATTTGATGTTTAAAAGAAGTAGTATATTACTGCAAAGTAAGGATGAAGCTCTTATGTAATCATAAGAATAGTCAGAGAACTCAGTACCATTTATATCCAGTGTAAATATACCTAATATCACCAGGTTATTACTCCACTTGTCAGTACTTATATGATTAATAGAGGAAATTACCTTTATGGATAGAACTACTTCAGAGTTATTCCATATATCATAGTAACCAAGTAGTATACCAGTTTTATAACATAAGCTTCTAATCTTATATATCAGTTCCACATCAAATAATAGAGATATTTTAGTTTGACACTTTATTATGGTCATAAAGTACTCGTACTCATAAGTATGCTCAAAAACAAAGTACCAATTATACAATCCCAGCACGTTCAAATATAGAAAGTAGGAGCGCCTTATATTAGATAGCTTGTAACATACAAGTCGGAAAGTGACTGAAGTTGTTTAAATATTAAAGTAGATACTTTATTTATGTCCAAGTAAGATGTTTCCAAATATAGTCAAAGATTATCGTGTAGTTCCATGGTATAATAGTCAGGAATTCTTTGAAATATATCAACTTTTGGTACACCCATCAGCAAGAAGTAAAAATATAGTTTTAAATAGACTAACAATTTGGCAAGATCGTAATTATGGCACAACAAGACAGACTCCAATAGCTATAGCATGCACGATCTATTTGTTACATTCTATGATACAAGATAATATTTGGGATTGGCCATTAATATCGGAATTATTACTCAATGATAGTATTGGTAAGATAAAATTAGCAGATCTCTTATCAACTGTTACTTTTGAAACATATACTTGCTCTAATATTAATCAAAACTGCTTAGATAAGGATACAAGATCACTAAAAATTGTCGATATATTGTCATTACAAGAACTTTACTCTATGGCTATAGTTAGAATTATAAATATGTATGTAGATCAATGCCAGTTAAGTTACTATGCTAGATCTGTGAGTTCAATAGCAAGTGAACTAGGACTGCCTAATTTATTGGTGGAAATAAGACATCAAGCAACTCATGGAAGTGAGTTACCTTCTTTAGAATCATGTCGCACTGGTGCGATTTTAGTCTTGTCATTTCTATTCAAAAATTATTGGAGAAAACAGTATAACAAATTATTTAGAAATCAAGTAACTTCAAGTGTTGAGTTGGAAGTATCTAAGTTACTGCACGAACTACTTAATTTAATACGCTCATTACCGTTTGATCATTCTAATCCTTTGAAGCTTACTATTGAAAAGGGAAAATCAAAAATTGATGAAACAGGGGAGATTCCAAATGAATCTTTTAGACTAGTAGAAAATTACGACTTTTATTGTCACTCAGTATTATCAAAGGTAATTCAACAAACTGTTGCAAAAAGAAATCCTACAAGAAAGGTTATTTTGAAGTATTGTCGTAATGAGTTAACAAAAGGACTAAATAAAAGTAGAAAAAAAGAACTTATAAATACTATATATACCTTAACAAAACTAAAGCATGATAATAAATCTATTTTTAAAGTCACTCCAAATGCTAAAACTTGGATAAGACTCTTTTTTTTATATTTAACAGACCTTTATTCGCTGATTAACAAAATAATATCTGTAATGAAGATCAATGATTTAGCATACCACCTTGTTGAGAAATTCATAATACAAGATATATTACCAACGATTTGTCCATTATGCTATCCTGTATCTTCTATTTCCATCTTGATTTTGTTGGGTTACACAAGCAACAATACTATGTTGAAGATATTATCAGGTTTACTTTTATCAATGAATAATACAGATATATTAACTAAATATCCTGTAAATTCTAATGAACAAAAAGAAGAATGTTTTGTAAATACTAGTATTTGTCCGTATGGGACAAGTAATAAAATTAATACCAATAGAAGATTCTTTTATTGGTTAACAAAATTACTGCCATTTAAATATAGTCAAAAAGCCAAAGGTGAATTTCTAGATGTCATGTTACTTCTTTCATATTACAAACAGCTACAAACTAAGAAAAGGAATATTTGTAATATTAATAATATTATAGATCAGATTAATGTAACAAGGAAGACCATGGTAATTCTCTTTAAAGGTTTATTTCCATATATTCCAAGCATACTATTTCAAGAAAAGGAGATAAATAACACTGAAGATAGTAAGGATTGTTTATCATCATTCTCAAATATGAGTATGCCTAATTATATTGAAAATGATATTCAAATTAGTCTTTGTCATCTGATGAATAAGTTAGATATATATCCAGAAACTGCAAATTTAATTGAATATTTTATACAAAATCCCAATTTGGATGGTATTGATGATGAATTAACAAGTAAGTACTGTGAAGTTGTATTAAAAAATCAAGAGAAACAAAAGTTCAGCAAAGTGTCCAGAAATTGCATATCTTCATTATTAGATGTTGGTACTAGTTGGGATCCTACTAACTGGACTATTTCTGACCATTTACCTAAAGCTAATATTCTCTTAGCTGATATTGAGGAAGTTAAGTGTGATAAATATGACAATTCAGAGCAATATGAGGATCTAGGAAACTTAACTGAAGACTCAGAATCTATATTTTCATGTGAAGATGAAACATTACCTAATAACCGAGGTAATTCATTGGGTTTATCTTCAAACTTTGATAATAATTCAAAAAGTGTTGGTATTATTCCTATGTATAGTGGCTCAGGTGGAAATTTTCGTGCAAATGAAAATATTCCAACTGCTCTTATTGAAGCAGAATCATATTGGAGAAAAAACTTCGGAATTAGTGAAGGTTTATTCGAAAAAGCTAACAATATAAATTGGATGGATGTTCAAATTTTGAAATAGACTCACAACATTACATCAATATCTTATTAGTAGATTAGCTTATAATTTCATGTACACTTTCAAATATATTTTGAACAAAATTTCTTCGAAATATTGCTCATTTAGTTCCTTTATAAGTATAGAATTCATTTTGTTGCAATTTTTTTCTCTGAGTTCATCTATATAATTTTTAATTGAAATTCCTCAAATATTTTTGTCAGTATACTTTTTTCCTTCACAAATTTCTGAATAATTTCTACTAATACTTTATTCAGAATATTTACTACTGCATTAATATTTGAATTTTAAACTTTAATAATATTTCTCTTTAAAATGATCAATTATCAATTTTATATTTATTAAATAATGAAATTGGTTTCTAGTAAATTTATGAGAAATCTCATCAACTTTATGAAACCTCTATTATTATTTGGAGATTATCCACATTAATTCCCTTTTTTTTTGATTCATACAATTCTGTGTAATACTAAGACAATCTCCAGTCATGCAAAGTACTCTATATTTCGAGTTAAAACCAGTGTCTATATTTAAACTTTATTTTAGATTTATTATCATTCTTGAGTTCGCGTACTTTCATAGATGATTAAGATGAATTGCTCTTATCCATAATAAAACTACTGCAGAAATATCGGGAATAGAAGAAATCTTTAACCACTGAATCAATTGTCGCCTCATTTCCTTTTCAGGAATGTCTAAAAATCTTATTGCTCTAGCCTTACAGCATTCAATCAACTCGTTATAGTCAAGATTTCCAACTCCTTCCCATAATATTTGACGATCTTCATTCATAATTGATAAAAGATGATATCTAAGACGTAAAATATCTATTGATTTTAAGCCATATGGCTTAATTCCAATAATTTTACTCATACATCCTAAAGTCTCAATAGTCATATTTTCAAGCTGGAGATCTGATTTAAAAAGCTTTGCAAATTCTAAAATTTCATCAATAGATATGTATTGAACATCTATATTTTCGGAATATTTTGATTTTTGTTGTATATTCTTCTGAATTTCCGATAAAATAGTAGTTTTAGTAGTAATTTCTGGCAGATCTAATGTAGTCAAACTACTTATATGTTGTTCAACCATCTCCTGAAGAGATTGGGCAAGAAGTTGTTTTGCAGTTAATTCTTTTCGAAGATTATTGTCTTCTTGTTTAAAACTATTTTGAAACGTTGATGGTAGCATATTAGGAAAAAAATGTAAAACTATTGGAAGTGCAAACTCTGCAAATGGTACAATGATGAAAAAGGAGAATGGAATGAGCTTTACAAGATCTGTTGTTGTTCTAGTGAGCATCTTGTACTCACTAAAAGTCAAGGGATATCCTTTAAACCTTTTTTTAGCTATTTGTCTGGAAGTCTTCAAGTTCCCATAAAAAAGTTGGAAACCTGTTTTTGTCCAATGCCATCCATGGGTTACTGATTTTCTAGCTTGGTTAAGATATCTTTGAAATTTGCTATCAAGTCGAATAAGGCTAGTTCTATGCATCTATATAAGCCTTATATCCACATTATATATATATATAAGAACTCCAAGCTATAAGGTTTATATATCTGTCTCAATAATCAAATTATATAAAAAGTACCCCCTAGTGCATCAACCGCCAGTATTATATTTAGATTAAAAAGATATGATAACAGAAGTGTCTAATAATATTATTATAGCATAAATAAGATGTCTACACAGTTCATTAACATAGATATATTCAATTAAGAAAATCCTAATATGATATAGATCCTGAATTTACTAGGAATTTACTCTAATCTACAAGTTATAAGTATCAAGACTATAACTTTGCTTCACAAGAGTACTAAAGACATGGAATAATATCATCAATCTTTAAAATCATCATTACAGTCTCAGTTGCAAGTCTTACAGCAGAGAGGTTAATAAGTAGAGGTTGTAGAACATCCTCTTTGAGTATATCTGAAACAGTAGCTTTACGTATATTTATACCAGAGTATATTTCACCAGCAGCATGTTTATTACGCAATTCAGTAACTATCTCAATAGGATTTAAACCTGCATTCTCAGCCAGAGTATATGGAATAATTTCAAAGGCTTGAGCATAAGCATTAATACATAATTGCTTTATACCAGCAAGACTATTAGCCCAGTGTGATAGTTCAATAAATATTTGTGATTCACAAGCACCTCCCCCAGGAACTAAAGCTTCTTCTTTTATTATGCTTCTTATGACACATAGAGCATCATGAATACATCTTTCTGTCTCTTCAAGCATAAGATTATTTGAAGCTCTGACAAAAATAGTTCTAACATCCTTTCCTGAAATCCCAGTAATGCGACAGATCCTTCCATTACCATTTAAATCTTCATCAGATACACAATTTGCACATCCTAATTTATCACTAGTAAAATTATCAATAGATGCTACAGGAACACAATTTAAAGCCTTTGAAAGGAATTCAATTTCATCCCTCTCAATATCTTTGACAACTAAAATTTTAGCCTTTGCACAGTAGTCTAGAGCAAGACTACTGATAGCATCCCTTAGGATACTTTTTTGTATCAAAAGTACATTACATCCTGTTGCAGCAATCTTCTTAACCATTTGAACAGTAATCATTCGTTCTTCTCGTAGAAGTCTATCCATTGCAGTATAATCCTTGACAATAATATTATTTTCTATATCTGTCTTAGGACTTGATAAGCAGAATTGTATTAATCCAATTCTTGCATTCTGAACACATGTAGGACCTCCTGCTGTTCTTGAGACTTTCTGTTGGTGTAGTATTAGGCCATCTACAAGTTCTGTATCATCTATTGTCCCCCCCAACTTCTTAACAATACGAATATTACGTAGATCAACAGTTTTAGTTACTTTGGCCCCTGAATATGAATCACATAAGTCCCCAGATTCAGTTGTAATTGCCTTTAAATTTGAACCCTTTGCAATACCCATAACTGCGTCTACTGCAATACCAGCCAAATGTTGAGCATTGTGGCTTACAATCTTTGAATTTAAGGATGTACATGCTGACTTTATTAGTACACTTTTATCATTAATATCTACAGGGATAGCCATTCGTCTCAGTACATCCTCAGCTTTGCTACAAGCTTCTACAAAACATTCAGATATCACTTGAGGATGGATCCCTTTATTCAGCAAAGTTTCTGCTGCACTCAATAAACTTCCAGCTATAATTACTACAGAGCTTGTTCCATCTCCAACCTCTACATCTTGGGCTTTAGATAATTCTACCAACATTTTGGCACATGGATGAACAACAGATATCTCTTTTAGTATAGTAGCCCCATCATTAGTAATAATTACCCCATCCTTCTCTATCATCTTATCCATACCCTTAGGGCCTAAACTTGTCCTAATTATGTCTGAAATTGTCTTTGCTGCAATAATATTTTCATGGCGAGTAGTTCTACTCCTTTCATTTCTCATTAAACTTTCAGTGACCATCTTAGACATTCTATATCACAGTACTTAGTGACCTTTTTACTAGTGTCCTCAAGTCCTATTTAGACTTAATAATATCTACTTTATCCCTTATATAACCTTAAGTAAAGCTTTTGGTGGGGGAGAGGGGGTTTACTAAGCAAGTAGGTCTACGGTACTTTATCTTATTGCCTAAGGTAGTACTATGTCTAATACCAATAGCAATTTTATATTATTCCGAATAGTAAACTGGTAGTGTCTACAAACATTAGCTAACCCGCCATATATGACCGCTTTATTTTTACCGCTATAATATTTATATTTTTACACTATGAAGCTTTCAGAGTATTTGCCACTTCAGATGTCAATACTTAGATTTTAGAATGTTATTTGGTCAGAATCAACCTTTGCAATCTAGTGGAAATGCCCCCTCTTCAGGTTTGAATTTATTTGGCTCCAATGTTAACTCTACAAATAGTAACCTAACAAACCAGAATAATTCACTATTTTCTACAACTGGACAAGTACAACCATCATCCTCCAATAATAATACGATGTGGGGTTCGGGGTCAAGTTCATATGGAACTACTACAAATCAACCTAATTTATTTGGGAATACAGGAACTAATTCTAATACAAGTGGATTAGGTAATATGGGAATTCTAGGGAATTCAGGGGTATCTACAACTAATTTTGGAGGCCTTGGATTAACTGGATCTTTAACTGGGAACTTAGGGGGAATTGGAAGTTCTGGTACTTTATCAAACACAAATATAATGGGGGGAATGGGTGGAATAGGTGGAATAGGTGGAATAGGTGGAATAGGTGGAATAGGTGGAATAGGTGGAATAGGAACTGTAGGTCTAAGAACTAATAATGGGAATTCCGGAATATTGGGTAATTTAAATAATGCTACTAGAACTGATGGTTTGGTAGGACTGACAGGCAATAGTACAAATAATACAAATAGTAATTTGTTTGGTACCTCATTGACATCTCAGACAAATTGTCCACCTGGTGGAGCCCATTACTTACCCCTTAATCCAACTGTTGGACAATTAACAAACTATATACAAAGTTGGAAAGTTGATTTTGAAAATATTGAGAAGCAATTACGTGAAAATGACAAACACATAGAATATTTAACAAATGGTAAACTGATAGAGATAACGAGACTTTGTACAACATACAAACAAGGAGTTGAACGTAGAAGTGATGAAATTGAAAATATTAAAGCTAGACAAGACCGTATTGTAGATTCTATAGAAGATATTATACCAAATATATCTACTTTACAACAATTAAGCTATGATCTAATTCAAATTTATGATCGTATAAAAGATATTGATTCTCAACAAGCATCGCAACAAATCCAACCCTTGCGTTTACCATTACCAATATTTGAATTCTTTTGCCAAAATATGTCAAAAAAGTGCCAATATATTGAGGAGACTATCAGAAGACTTGAAAATACAGTTTCCTCTCTAAGGAACGAAATAAATAATATGAATGGTAGTGAAACTAAAAGAAATATTATTCAAATTATTAACAATCATTTCGAAATATTTACAAATTTATTAACTCAATGCTCTGCCCTTCATGACAAATCAGAATCATTTGTAAGTATTTCTAAACTTCACGAGACTTCTAGGTCGTGAATATAGTCACAAACTTTCTATATTTTATATAGCTGTAATCAATCTAAAATATAAGAACTGATTATCTTATCTAAATTTTATTTTTACTTCTTTTTCTATTTTCTTGAAATGCAAGATCTTTTGATATACTAAGTAAATTTTTGCGATACCTTGAGTAGTTCCACTTTATGTATATACCTTGTTCTCTATATAATGGATGCTCTAAAATGCCACTCTCAGAATAATTCTCACCTAACCAAATATTACCAGTATTATCTAATGTCAAATTAGGAAAGACTTGCATTACTAAATCTTGGGGAAGTGGATAATTTATAAAAACTTTTTCATTGCTACATTCGGATGCATCAGTAGTTCCCTCAGTCCATAGATCTGAGAACATTTATAAATAATTTTGGTATGCCAATATGATAGTCAATTTTAATACATGTATGCACCCCTTTTTTAAAAGGTATTATGAGCTTATATATTACTGAATGTCCACTTTTTCCAATTATTTACAAAAAACAATTAGCGCTATATATTTTTGACAATGTAAAACCGCCATTTACACGTTTAAGTCTACGTCCTGACCTTTAACTATTTCTAATATTTAAGTTTAACTCTGAAATTACACAAGATCATTGCATATTATTAATACACACAAAATATCCTGCTCAATATTATTAAATATGTTTTTAAAATATTATAAATCTAGATTTGTAATATCGGAGTCTAAAAATAGAGATCTGACATTTTTATTGTTGTCTACATGAATACTCACTTTCATGAAACTATATATAATTTAGGTCTTAACTTTTCTATTTTTGACTACCTATTTGCTGTCATTTTTATAATTCATAAGTAATTTAGAGTATACCTTGTGTGAATTTAAAGGGAACATGATAAACTTCTCAAGTAGACTATTAGGTTTAAATGACTTGTAATTATAAGATATAATCTAATATATGAAACTTTAGATTTTCTGAATTTTTTTAAAAATAAGGTAATACAATGATTAGATTTAAAATATCTCTTGAATAGTTTGGTACTCCAATGTACTTGGCTTAAACTATAATACTAATATAAGGGACTAGATTATTATTGTAACATAATAAGATCAGTTTTTATATAGTAATGTTAATATTTATTTGCCTAAGAAAAATAATTATAAACTCTGGTTCTAATATACTGGTCACAAAAAAAAGGGAGAAATTGCATATGCATATATTAGTTTATATTCATTTTTTGTAAAATATATATTTTTATATATCTACATGTTACCCAGTTAATAAACTTTAGAATTATAGATTATAAACTTTATTAGCTTCTTTACTAATATTAATTGGAAAATCAAGTATAAAATATACTAAGATTTTATATACTAGGATTTAGAATACCAAATTTTTGCAGACTGTTCTGAAAACTATGAAATTAGAAAAATTTTATAAATTTTATTGAACTTATATTTTAATTAACATAAAGAAACTTTTCGATTAAAAGTAGCAATACAGAATTCCCACTAATTACTGACAAAGTATCATAAATATTGACAAATTGAATTCATAATATTGCAAATTTGTATATTTCTACAAATTTTCCATTCAAAACAATAATTAAATTCATATATATTAAGTATTCTAATATAAATGTTTAATTTCTATGAAAAATTTCAATAAGTTAAATTATCCTTTGCTTAATTTTGCTATTTTAAGTATTTCTTGTACTATCAAACTTCTTATTAACCCCAAAATTTCTGAATTAAAATATAAACTTCCCCTCGTTATAGTCCTTGTAGTAATTATAATTCCTTCTATTAATAAAAATGTAAAACCAATTTGAAAACATGAAGAATTATTTAATAATTGTTTATTCAATATATAAACAAAATTAGATCATTTCAAGTCCTTACAAATGTTTTAAATCTTAAATCTTAATGTGTAAGATGTCTTAAAAATCCAAAAGTTATATCACTTAAAATAATATATAAATTAACCCTATCCCGAAATAATGATTCTACATATTAGATATACTAATTTAAATGTGCCTAATATCTCCAATCTATACTACAAGAAACGACTAGGTAGGTTTAGCCGAACTTCTTGATCTTCATATTCCTCATCTAATTCACTTTGATTATTTTCTACTAAGTGATCTGGTATACAGGGTAAATTTGAAGAATCTCTCTTTGGTAATAGATCTTTGCTTATTTCATTCCATTGTTTTTCAGTTTCCATATTGCGTTTTTCCTGTATGATTTGTCTCCTCTCCTCTATCCACGCCTTATATTCTGTATTAAATTCATGTTCTGCATCCTCTAATTTCTCTAAATATTCTGGAAACCCACTTCCCAAAGCTGAAGATATCCCCACTGACCTCAAATCTCTAAAGTATTGAATAGAAAGTAAGATTATTCAATTGAAAATAAAGGGTTTCAAATTTTCCACTATATAAATGTATGAACTTACCTATAAAACTCAGCTAAAGCTAAAGCACAAGATCTACTTAGACTAGCCATATAAGTGTCGTCATTTAATAGTACTGCCTGAGAAAATGAATCATAGTCCTCCATCCACTTTGCACATTCATCAAAATCTACAACATCAGTCTTATTAAATACAGCCGTAAATGGGAGTTTACACCGGTACATAACACTGCAAGCATATAACATATTGGACATAAATGTTACCGGTTTTTGGGAACGGACTGTATCTATTATGTAAGTTACAGTAGTAGGGAAAGATAATGACAGACCATCCAAAATTATGGATCCACTTGCAGACCAATTAAAGACTTCTATTTGACCAGGTGTATCTACTAAAATATAATCTACGATGTTTCTCTTCTTTTCTAGGATATCTAGAACCTGATCAAAACGTACTGAAAATAGGCTTAAACATGTCATAATTGCTCCATTTGGTCCTAAACCATAATCTTTCATGATTCTCTTATAATCTAATGTGCTCTTAATATTGATATTTACTGGATAAGGGCAACTAAGGACTGCAGGATCCAAATTTATTGTATAAACCTTTTTGTTGAGTTTTTGTACCAGATGCTGATATAAAGTACTTACAAAGGTTGTTTTCCCACTCCCAGCCATTCTGAAAAAAATCAAAGCATGTTACCTAACTTATTCGTGTAATGAGACAAGATATACACAATAGAACTTTTTTTTATTTCCATCAGAGAGTATTCAAAGGTCAAAAAGTATTCAACTCTTGATATCTAAATACAAAAAGATAGACATCTACAGTTCTTATTAACCTACCCAATTACTACAATAACTAATGGAGATCTTTGATTTTCATTTGAGACATTGAATTCCTTTTGATTAGTCATTCTTACTAAGAAAGTCTGAATGTTCAGAATCTATCCAAAGTCCTTATATTACATGGCGCCATTATATAGCGCTCTCCGATAACTTTTCTTATTAGTCACTTTTTAGATTTATATAATAATGTAAATAGAAATAGTACGCTATTTAATATTAGATAATCCTAATAATTAGAAAAGTTGCTAATTTTAACTTAAATAACAGCAATACTCTAAGAATTGAAATTTCGAGGTTATGTAACTGCACCCAATACAGGTAATATTAGAAATGCACCCAAAAGTCCTTTCTTGAGAGGAAAAAAGGAGTAGAAACAAAGCTACAATACATTAAGTATATATTTCATAAAAGTAGAATAGAAGTCCTATTTAGATAAATGCTGGGAAATCTTCCGAAACCAGCACAAATAGGACGCAAAGCAATAGGTATCCCAAGTAGACCAAGGACATCTGTGAGTCCCTCTGATCCAAGCCAAATACGAGGTCCATTGAAGAGAAAACCAAGTACTGAATATACATCTAATATAAATATAATATCCAGATCTGCAGTACCAACGCAATCAACAGCAGCCAAAAGACCACAACCTATTTCTAGAGATGTGTTGGAGAAGGCGAGGGCACGAAGAGCAACATTAACACCCAAAACTTCAAATACGAAATATGACCAACCTAAAGAAGTACCAAATACGAAGCTCTTAACAAAGGACAAGGTTATAATTATTAATGATGAAATAAGAGAAAAAACTGAAAAAAAAAAAATCGCAACTTCAGCAGCTCCTCAAGCTGAGTTACTAAATGTAAGGAAGGAATTAGAGGAATTGAAAAAGAAATATAAAGAGCAGAATGAGATACTTTCTAAGAGTGAGGATCTCAATAAAGCCAATTTATCAGCAATGGCACAACTAGCAGCACTCAAAGCTAAGGAACTTAAACAAAGAAGAGAACTTGAGTCTGAAAAAAAGTTTAGAAAAATCACACATCAGAATAACATAGATCATATCAAACAACTACTTACAGAATGCCATAACCGATTTGAAGATGGTCCACAAGTATCTTCGCTTCTCGGAGTGTCCCATGTGACATCTCCTAAATGTCAAGTTGAAAAATCAAGAATTTTAAGTATTATGGATATATTAAGTTGTGAGGAGAATTTCAAACCAGAATTAGTAAAACAACTAGAGTGTATTGAAGAATGTAATGCAAATATTTGGGGGCTTGGGCCAAGAGACTTGAGTGAATTACTCGACGTTGCTACTTTCTTTGGTGGTCCTCAAGTAAATGTAGATCTTATCAAAACCCAAGTGCAAAGTTTGAATTGGTATTTATCTCAAACTAATTATGAGGAAGGAATGAATATACACATAGATAAAACAGTAAGAGATATCATGTTAACCTTGGAATCTATCCCCTTTAATACTATCAGTATGGAAGACTTAGTAACTCTCTTATTAGTTCCACTTTTTTCAACAAGTCATTATAGTTACATAACCCAATTATTCACGCTATTTGATATTGATAAAGATGGTTACATATCAACAGAAGATTTTAGAGATTTACTCAAAGAGATTGAATGGGACGGAGTCTTTACCAATGAAGAAATAGACTACTTATTTAGCTGTGTAAAACGATCCAGTAAACAGGAGTCTCAATCTAGATCAAATAAGCTTATCAATGAGACAGACTTTATTAATTTCTTTAGTGTGATATTGCAATATTAGTAAACTTAATGATATCCCGAAAGTAAATAAAAAATGATAGTGAACAATAGAATATACCAGAAAGTATAAAAGTAACTTCAAATAATCTATTTAAAAAATTTAAGAATTAGATTTCTGAATTTAGCAAGTAAATATGGACAATTAGATATTAAAACTGATAATTAACAGAATTATAGACCCAAATATATATTATCTGCAAAAATTAAGAAACCAGAAAAAAAAAGTCATTACATGATATCAGTAATATCACTTCAAAATGACAATATATTAATAAGATAACCAATAGAAGTATGTTGATGACTTGTTAGTTAAATCAAACTTCTTATCACTTTCTTTAGTTTATTATTTGCTATTTATTTTATTTTTAGAAATTGATCTTCAACGCTATGTCTGCGACTATTCCCAGGATATGTACCACTAGCTCCTGAACATGTAGTGATTCCAATATTTACAGAATCCTTTCTCATAATTACACAATCTGAGGAGTCTGCTATAGATGATTTTCTGTATGGCACAGCTCCAATTGAACCAATTGATCCTGTCCTACATCTAACCCATCCATTAGCAGACATTACCCCAGCTGCAGACCCAGTAGATAAGAAAGAAGCACTTCTTTGATTAGCTGTGCTCCAAACTGTATCATTAGTAGTTGCAATATTTGTTAAACTAGACTTCGGAGGTCTAACATCAAACATGCGGTTGTGAGCTTCATTTATACATCTCCAAAACTTTCCCTTGAGGCCTGATTCAGTTCTTATACGCACAACTTCAGCTTCTAAAGCTTTCCAATCAATATGGTGCCCTGTCCTATGTCTAATCTCCATAGCCTTTTTCAAATGTGCTTGAAGAGCTCCTGTCCATAAACCACGATCCATAGTATTGTCACAAACTTCAAAAATCAAAGCTTTCTTCAAGCTTTCAAATTCAATAGAAAAACGGTGTTTATTATGTGAAAGATCCATCTGTGCATAAAATAAAATGAAGTTTACACTACCACGTGCTCCATGTATACCGAATAGTCTGTATGATGACTCGGAATCAAACCAATACAAGTGGCATTCGTGAACAACCACATACCTTTTGTTCCATCTCATGGGAGGGAAACTAAAAGAGCAATCTGAGCGTTTATATAAATAACCAAATATAGGAGGTACAATATTTAATTGTAACTTCCCGTGCAAATCACAGACAACTAAGGTACCTTTGATAAATCGAAGAGACAAATCATTATCTGACAAATCAGGGTCGGGTCTTGCAGTTTCCGATGTTCCAATTAATTCAAACATTGCTCTTCTAGCTGTACTTGTATATTGAGGAATACAACTATTATTATCTGAAAAAGGATCTATTAAGTCCCTATTAGAAATAGAATACCATGACTTGCAACCTGTATCTTGAAAGGTATTTAACTGATATGAATGATCTCTACTATTATAACTGTAAAGTCCTCCATTATTTCTTCTCCAAGGATCTTTAGATAACAATAAACATAATAAGTGATTTGCTTCTATGGGACTCATTGACCGATGTACATGCTGAAACGATTTCCTCTTCACAGTTGATTGAGATTCTCCGGCACATAGTTTGTTCCTGTCATACTTATTTCTAGGATTATCACATAAATCCCCTCCTTCACCAGTATTAAGAGTAGTTTTATCATCAGATTCATCGTTTCTTATTGTACTGCTAGAAATAGTTAGTTCATCTTCCTTCATAAGTTGTGATTCAGAACCAATATAAGAAATACTAAATCTCCTCCTCGGAATGCCAGGTCTACTCATTTCATCATTATCTACTCCCTTGTTCGAATTCACTTGTATACTGACAGATTTCTTATCTCCAACTGAGTCGGTACACATGGATCTGTACTTCTCAATGGATTCATTACTTTGATTGTGAGATGAAAACCGCTCCTTCGATATATCTTTACTTACATTGCTAGAGTAGCACACATCTTTAGTTATTTCCAATATAGATCTACTTAAATACTTCGAATCTAAGGGGTCAGAGTGAGTTATAAAAGGCATTAAATTACCCAAAGAACCATCATATGACGAGGACACTCCACCAGACGATCTCCTAGATATACTCATTTAATACTATGACCAAATTAACCATTCACTAATTTCACGATTTCATAATTCAATTTCTTCTATATGTTCAAAATTGATACTAGCTGTTTTCCTTTATCTCTATAAAGTCGTGGGCTAGGCGCTAAATTTTGGCGCTATGTTTTTCTAAATTTTTCACTGTAGTCTTTGTCATCTCCTACATTTTTAGCCTAACTGCTAAAAAGATCTTATTAACATTACATGGGAAATTGAGACCTCTTTAAACTTAAGTTCAATCTTTTTTAAAAAAATATTTACCATCCGAATGCTGAATACCAAGAACTAGAGACACCACCTCCCTCTTGTTCTTGTGGCTTATCTACTGCAACTGTGGAATCTTGTGTAGTTGCTGTAGTGCCTCCGAACCATCCCCACATAGATGTTGTTGCTGTTTCAGGTTCTGGATTACTTACCTGCTCTGAAATAGTAGTCTTTACAACTTTTTTTTCTGAACTCTTGGAAGAACTTGCACTAGATATTTCTCCTTGAACCTGGTTCTTTTCACCATCTGTAATTACAGTAGGTTGAGTTGTTCCTCCAAACAATCCAGAATACCATGTTGAGGAATTATCTGTAGAGGATACTGCATTATCTTGACCATTATTAACAGTTGTCTGAGTTTTATCTGAAGCCTCCCCTGTCCCAAACAATCCTCCAAACCAAGGTGTAGAATTATCTGCAGGTGAAGTATTAGATTCAGTGTTACTTCCATACCACCAAGAATTATTCTGAGTATATTGCTGATCCTTAATTGACTTAGATTTTATTTCTGAATCTTCCTTATTAAATTTTGTAGATATTTTTGGTGGAGGTGGACTTGCAGACACTTTTGATTGAGGTATAATAGAAGATTTTGTCTTGTTTCGAACTATTTTTTGAATCTGCTTAGGTTTCGGTTGTAATTCCTTCATATCCGTACCCTTCTTTTTTATTGTAGCTTTTACTGATCTTGTTCTATGTGAGGATTTCTTTATTGGTGTACTTTTGTTTGTATATCCCCCAAACCAATCACTGAACCATGATGTAGAATTTTCTATAACAGGGGATGTTTCTGTTGATAAGGAATTTTTACTCGTTTTAAAGTTTTTAGTTTTAATTTCAGATTTATTAGTATCAATATTTTCAGTTTTAGAAGTTTCAAACCAATTGCTAAACCATGATGTAGATTCTTCTGTAGAAGCTGGAACTGCTACTGTTGATCTTATTTCTTCAGTACTCTTGAGATCTCTAGATACACTCTCTGTCTGATTTATATCTGATATAATAGAAGTAGATTCATTAAATAATCCAGGAAACCATGATGTAGGTTCACTTTCAGTAGTAGAACTTGTTGATCTTTTTAATGCCCCAGATTTATTTATCTCTTTACTTGATTTGGTAGTAGCTCCCTCTTTAAATATACCAGTTTTGTTAAGATCATTTTTAGTAGTTATAGGTGCGTTGATATTTGTAACTTCTACTGATTTTATAAATGGTTCAATTGTTTTAGAACTTACTTTAGATTGATCTGATATCCCTTCTAATACTATTTCATTTGTTACTTCTTTATTTGTATTATTTGCACTTTTGAGAGTTGCTGGAATTTCAGGCTTTTCACTCATATTAGAAGTACGTGAAATTATTTTTTTATCGTTGAAATCTCCCTTTATTATTTCCCCTAATGCTAAATTTTTGCTAGATATACTTACAGCTGCTATATTATTGACGGAAATATTTTTATTATCAGCTTCCCTATTAGAAAGGCCCTCATTTGTACTAACTGCTTTATTCGTATCCTTGGCTATACTAGTTTCATTATTACCAGTGGGTATTGCTATATTTTCAACAACTTTATGATTTTTGACATCTTTAGTGTCTTTCACTAAATTGTCTTGTGCTTTAGAATTACTTAGTTTATTTGTTTCTTGAGTAGCTCCACCAGAAAACCAGCTAGAGAACCAAGATGTGAAATAACCTACATCTTGATTTTCCTGATTCAAAGATTGTTTCCTAGAAATCTTATCAATACTCTTTCGTACATTAACTTTTTTGAGGGAATTCTGCTTCTTTTTAACACTAGCATTACTGATTTGCCTTGATAATATATTCTCATCTGTGTTTACACAGACTTTAGTAGATAAATCTGAAGAATTATTAGTATTAATAGGAGTAGTATTAACATTCGAAACCAAAGCTGGAGCTTTATCAAGAACATTAATATTGTTAGAAACTTCTTTATTTCCTTCTAATTTAGATATTGAATCTTTCAGTGTATTGGATTCTATAAGATTTTCATTAGATCTTGAATCTTTATTAGTAATTTCCTTTGATATCAAATTTTCTTTTAATTCATTTGAATCTTTGGAGTAATCTACTTCAGTTTGATTTAGATTACAATCTTCTTTGCTAACTTTATCTTGTTTTTTCTCAGGTATAAATTGACCAATTTTTCTTAAATAGATCTTTTTATCTAAGTTTATAATGTCTCCTTTGGGATGTTCAGGCTCATTCTTAGGTTCTATTGAGGACTTCATTTCTGTCATCACTTCCCTTGAATGCTCCGGGGAAGGTACCAATTTATCTACTAATCCCTGTGAATGTCTTAATACCACTGGATTCGAATCCACACTAAATTCTGTTATTTGTTTATTTTCATTATGGACTCCTTTAGAAGTAGTACCCTTTTGTGCTATTTTTGGAGATATTTCCTCACCCTTCTCAGTTAATATATCATGTTTTATTGAAAAAATAGATCTCTCTATTTTAGTATTACTATTCATACCTAACCTGGGAGTCTCTAAAACTTCGTGAAATGTATCACTTTTGGTATTTTCTTTTATTTCCAATTTAGTATTCGTTTTATCCTCAATAGGATCTGTACTTACATCATTATATTTATTCATTAAATTATTCTGTATTGATTTAGTGTCGTTGTCAGCAACCTCTTTTTTTTCAATAGATATGACTTTCATTGGAGCCAAAGTTGTTTTCTTTAAACTTAATTTTTTTCTCTCTTTCGAATTAATCTTCAAATTTTCCGCAGTTTTTTTATAACCATTTTTCAAAGAGATCTTTGTTTGACTCCTTAACTTGCTGGAAATCTTGGACTTTTCGTTACTTTTGAGATCAGTTTTATTATTACTAAACCATGATTCAAACCATGACAATATTGATGTATTCTGATCTTCTACAATAGGAGATTTTTTACTATTAATATTTTCTTCCTGGACTAATTTATGTTCACTGTCATTTCTAATACTCTCTACCTTACTTTTAGGTATTAAGTTGGTTGGAGGCCTTTCACTAGGGTAGTCAATTTCAACACCAGACATACTATTATCACTAAGTTCTTTTTTTTCTTTGTTTCTATCAATTTCCTTAGATTTTGTGGAAGGTAATTGAAGATATTGCCTTATATATGGTTTTTTCTCATCTTTTGGCTCTATCAAAATAGGGACTTGTGAGTGATTTGATTCAGCTGAATTTCTTAAACCTTGATCTCTAACTGATATTTGTAATATATTTGATTCTTCATCATGATTATTTTCTAATATACTTTGAATCTTAGGGATATCAGAAATATTTACAGGTAAAAAGCAAAAAGGGGGTAAACCAAATACAGGAGTATGACAATTACAAATATTACACGCATAATTAGAATGATCGATATAATGCTCAAAATAATTCATAAGCTTTTTATATTTCTCTTTGCTATACTCCTTTAACTTTTCATTATTTATTGTTCTTTTATATTTCTCTAGTTCCTTCTGTTTCCTTTTTTCTTCTTTAATAATATGTAAAGTTATTGGATCTATATTTAGGTGTTTTTTACATTTGTGACACTTACATTTTACAAGTTTCTTATTTGATTCTCCCATTATATTATCTTTAGCTGACTTTAATTGACGAGACTTTTTAGATTCTATTCTATGTTTTAAAGTTCTAGTAGTATTCATTCTTTTTCTAATCTTATTTTTTGCACGAATTATTCCATACATATCATAGAATCTATCTAATTTAGGTATATTCTTCCTAGGAAGTAGATTTTGAGGACTAACTGGGCTTCTATTAGGATTTGAGTCAGTTACTAAAGGAGTTAAAATTGTAGGTGTTTGGTTTAGTACAACTGAATTTATATTAGATATTTGAAAAGTTTTTAGAGATCTATTTTCCTGTGAATTATTTAAAGTATTTGGAGAATTTCCATTTGTTTGACATTCTTTAAATAAGTTATCTATCGGAATATCTGACACAGTTAAAATCTTGTCTGGTTTTAAATTAATATTGCAATTCAGGTCCTTGTAGGGGGTAGTATTTGATAAACTTACGACATTTTTAGGAAAATTATTGAAAGAGTTATAAACTGCAGTGCTTCTATTATTAATATTTGTACTTGTATTGCCTTGGTAACAAAAGTTATTTTTATTTAAGTACTTGTTTCCCATTTTTTTAATATAATCTTTCGATATTATTGGTATATATAGATTATTTAAATTCTTTCTTTTTATAGTATTTAAAACTTTATTTTTCTCTTGATTAGAAGAAATACTTAATTTATTGTTTTTATTAGCTTCATACTGCTTATGTGGAGGTTGTGAAAAGTCTGTACTAAAGAGAATATCAAGTGCAGAGAGCTTGGACTGGTTAGAACTTAGAACGTTTGAAAATTTAATTGAATTAGACCCAATATTACTTGATTTCAAAAGTACATTAGAATTTAAGGGATAACTTTCTAGACCTAAATCTTGTATTTCTTTTATTTTGGAGCAAGACAAACACTTTATCTGACTCCTAACTTCGTCTTTTTCAAAATCTTTTCTACTTTTAACTATAGATGAAGAGGAAAAATCTTGAAATCTTGAGCTATTTTCTTTTTTTTTCACTAAGGGTTCAAATTTATTTGGAAAGAATTGATCCTTTATATTAGGATCATTCAGCTCAGATTTATTATCTACTTCATTGGTTAAATTACAATTCATGGTCTTGTATTTTCGAAGAATTAACTTTGTACGTCTAGATTGAATTGAGGAATCATCAGTGAGAGTTTCAGTAGATTTTGTTTGTACACCCTTGCATAACTTGCCAGTTTCCATTATATTCGGTTTATTACTAATAAGATTATCAATATTATTTGATAATAATTTTACAAAATTGTTCATAGGTGCTTTTGTATCTGTTTGTATTGGAATTTTTTTATAAGCACTAAATGACCCATCTGGGCTAGTATATGACCTAAAGGGTTCGAAAAATGAACTTTTAGTAATAGAACCTCCATATGATAGTGTATGCACTAAATTAGGTTCGTAAATTTCCTTATTAACTAATTCACTATTAGGATAAACAGGAATTACGTAATCTCTAATTGGAAATGAACAATACCCATAGGGAGTATGTGTAAAACTTAAATTTTCGGCTATTGGAGATTCTCTTTGTATGGAATTAATTGGGTATAATTCAATACTAGGACTCTGTTTTCTAGGAGCTTCGAACATAAAATTCGGATTAGCCGATGGACCAATATATATTCCTGGACTAACCTTCATTAATTTTAAGTTAGAGGCTAAGTTGTGCGAATCTTTTCTAGGAGTTGGTATTATAAAGTTTGGATCTGTAGAAGGTCCAATATACATGCTATTTATTTGCATAGATGTCGGTAAATTAATTGTTGATTTGGAGGATCTATTGTTTATCAAATATTCCTGTATAACATTCCTTTGCGGTTCAACTTGTTCCTTATCTGTAATTTCAACATTGTGCAAAATTACTTTATGTTTTTCTATCATATTTTGTTTTTTCTCATGTAAGCACTTTTTTTCATCATGGTCTTTTGAGGTCAGAGTAGCTAAGCTGGGATTACAAGATAAATTACCATCTCCCTTCATAGATGGAAGTTTTTCTTTATATTTTAACTCACCTTCAGTTTTATTTAAGAATTTTTTTATGTTCTTAGAGTTTGTTCTGTTAATTTCATCTAAATTCAAACTTCTCTTAGATTTTTCACTTATTGTTAAAGCCTTAGTGTTAACGTTAGATAAAGTCTCAATTTTAGTTTCATCTCTCAAATAATCCAAAACGGTATTAGAATCATGTGATAAGATCTTCATTCTAGTATCTAGATCTTTTTTAAATTTATTTTCAGGTTTAAAATCTACAGCTATATTAGATTTATCATCTTTCACCAATAGCTTAGAATTATCAAAGATTATCGTATTTCTACTTTTATCTTCGGATAGCTTGGGATATTCTATATTCTGTTGCTTTTCTTCAGCTTGAGTATTTTCCATGTGACCACAGGTATTGGCTTTAGAAGTTTCAGAGTATGCACTTTTTATTTTATCTGATGGTCCAAATAATATTTTCTGATCTTTATCAGAATTTATTAATGTTTTAGAAACTTCATCTGAATTATTAGACTTTTCAATTCCCTTAGTAGCCAAGTTTGAAAAAGTTGGTAATATTACACTATTTCTTTTAGCTTTGCAAAAGTCTGGGTTCTCCTTTATACTAGGTCTTTCTAAACATTCCTTTGATATATTTAAATCTTTTGAGTAATCATTCTGATTTTGTTCTTTATATATCAAAGGTTTAAAATCTAATGACTTCTTTTTAGTTACAAGATTATCCATATTATCTTTTGAATAATCTCTTTCTAATTTTCTTGGGGTTGGAATCATCATACTTGGAACTGTGGATGGACCTATATAAATGCCTGATTTCGATTTAAGTGAGGTGTTTATTTGAACTTTTGAGTCATCTCTGATCAAATCTTTGGGATCATTTATAAAAGTTTCAGTAGCTTGACTATGTAAAGTCCTTAAATTCAATGGGCTCGTTACATTTTTAAGATCACTATTTTTATGTATTATCTTTGAAAATATGTGATCCTTTGAGTTCATTGCAACTGTAACGTCTTCATTTTTTTCTAAGTTCTTTAAAGGTAATGGATTTAATGAAATCTTCAAATTAGGTTTTTTATTCACTAGTAAGGAAAAATAATCAGAAGTCTTTATTTCAATAGATTTGAGACTCTCCTCAGGAATTTCTATATGAGACAAAGTGGGAATTGCAAAGTTAGGTGTGCAAGAGGGACCAAAGTACACTTTTTGAATAATTCCTTGTACTTTATTGATTTTTTCGGGTAGTTCCCCTAATTTGTGATCATATTGAGCTTTTGTAACACATGGCACAATAGGGTTTAATACTGAAGACAAAACATCATATTTTGTATCTGTTTTAACAGTTTTATCAGTCTCAGATATTTTTACTTCAAGTGCTCTTAAATCTTCATCTGTGAGCTTTTTCTTTTCTATATGAGTTGTAATTGCAAAATTTGGAGCTGCTGAAGGACCAGTGTGTATTTTGAAGCTCATACTAGTATCTATACCTTTTTTCTGGTTATCTAACAAGCTAGAAATTTTTGAACTGTATTCTCTAGTCTCAGTTTCTACATTGTCAATAGCTTTGATATATTTCAAATCTCTAAATTTGTCTATATTAAGAACTTTTTTATTAAATGGTTCTTTTATATCAAGATTTTCCTTTTTCAGAACTTCAGATGAATTTTCTGCTGCACTAATTTCATTGTTATTGATGAAATTAGTAGTATTGTTGACAGATTTATTATTACTTAATAGTATTTCACTATCAATAACAATTTCTGGTACTTCATCCAGTTTAATAGATTGATTTTGTGGTAGAAAAGAAAAATATGGATTACATGATACACCCAAGTGAATTCCAGGCTTAATTTTAATTTGCTTATGCTTCATTAATTTTTTATTTGAATCCTCCTGTTTACTTTCATTATGTTCTGAATTCCCAAATATTGCACGTTGAATAATATCAAAAAATCCGGGTTCTTTTATTTCGGTAGGCTTTAACCTAGAATAATCTGGAAATTTAATATTTGTATCTATACTTACAGGATTTAAAGATTTATTATCTGCTTCTGCATTTACAGAATCCGATTTTTTTTCAATTTTATTGCAATCATCATCAAATACTAACTTATTAGATTCAATTCCTTGATATTTCCTACTTTTTGAGTTTTCAGCTTTTAACTTTAATAAATTTGAACGATTAGAAATATTATTTGTTTCTATAGCTTTGTTTATATTTGTTATTTCCTCTTTATTTTGGGAATTTTCAATATCTGATAAATTTATTTTAGTTTCTGAATTATTTTCTTCAGATTTCGAGTTTAATTCTACATCTGAAATGTTTTTTAGATTTATAATATTAGAACTTAGTTGTTTATCTACTTGACTCAATTTTCTAGGAGTCAAAATACTTAGGTATGGATTAGTAGAGGGTCTAACAAACATTTGATCAAACTGTTTTTGTGATTTGTTATTAATAGCACTATTCCCCTGCTCTATTATCTCATTATCTAATTGTCCTCTAAAGTTTCGAATAAAAAAATTTGGGGTATATGATGGCCCTATGTAAATTTTAGGTATATAGGTAGAAGGCTCTTTATAAACATTTTGTTTGGAACTTATAAAGTTTTTAGGGGTTGGAATTGACATATTTGTATCTAATGAAGGCCCAATATGAATATTTGGATATTCAATAATTTTTGAGTTAATATCTTTTTGTTTTCCGATAATTTCTTTTTTTAATTGTATATTATCTAACTCTTTATCTTCAGAATTTGGAATAACTATATCTGGAGTTATTAAGGGTTCTTTATATATTTTAGAATTATCTATGGATAATAAAATATTATCATTATTTTTATCTTCACTAGAAACACTTTTATTAATTCCAAGTTCTCTGGGATTTATAATTACTTTATTAGAGTCCATTGATTGTTGAATATTAACATCTGAATTTCCTTTTATTTCTGAATTAAATATATTTAATATCTCTGGAATTTTATTAATTGATTTTTCTTTTAAATTATCATTTACATTATAAATAGATGTATATTCATATATACTAGATGTTAAAGTGGGAGTCTCAGAAACTTTATCAGAAACTTTATTAATATATAAATACTTCAAATTATCTATATTTTGTTCGGAGTCTTTTTCATTCTGTTTTTTATCATATGTCCTTGGTGTTATTATACAGTGGAAAGGATCAGTAGATGGTCCAATATGTATTGATGATGAGTTCAATTGGGGGCTTTTCTCTTCAAGTAATATAGGGATAGTATTAGGGTTAAAATTCTTATTTATTATCTGTTTATTTGAAGCTTTTAATTTCTTAGAATGGACAATTGGCTTTATATTTTTTAAAAAAGCAAGAGGAGAAGTTGACACATTATTTTTATTATCTTCTACTCTAGTTTCAATATCTTCATCTTTATTTGTATCTTCAATATCCATTTCTTTTTTTTGATCTATTATTTTATTAGATCTTATTTCATTCTTAGAATCCAAAAATTCTTTTCTATCATTTATATGTTCTTTTTCTACCTCTAATCCTAATCTTGGAGTTGGAATTACTAGATTAGGAGTAGAAGAAGGTCCTAAATAAATTTTAGTATTATTATGATCAGATATACTATTATATTCTTTTTCATTTATATCTGGTAACTCTGAAATATTTAATACATCCTTTGTTCTATTTTTATTAACATCAGTTATAATAGAAGTATCTTGTAAAGGTTTGTCACTCTCCTTTGGGTTTTTACAAATTCCTACATCTAGATCAATCTGTTTATTACTTCTAAATTCTTTAAAATTTTCATCTTCAGTATTTCTAGGCTTTTTCGGAGTTGTAATAAATAAATTTGGATTCATTGATGGTTTAGTCTTAATCTTATTAATAGGACCCTCTGTATTATTAAAATCTTCTTTCTTTAAAAAATTCAAATAATCCACTTTTTTATTCATACCTATCTTATCTTCTCTAGGGGTAAAAATATACATATTTGTATCAATAGATGGTCCAATATATTTCTTTGAAAAATCAGAGATCTTATTTTGATTAAAATCTATATCTTTACAACTTTCTAGCTGTATATTAGATCCAAAAGTTGGGATTACCATATCATCATTACTAGATGGATCAATATGGGTTTTATTAGATATTTGTATACCACTGTTATTCATTTCTTTATTATCCATTTTCAAATCTTTTATATTATACTTATATAATAAATTTATATCCATATCTGATTTATCTACTAACTTATTAGTTTCATCTAAATAAAAAGTCCCTTTATGTTGATCTTGTGATATCATCTCCATTGTTCTTGGAGATGGTATAAAAAAATTAGGGCTAGATGAAGGACTTGTAAAAGGTTTCATATTATGTAAGGGAATTTCTGGATAAATATCGTAATTTGGGTTTTGAACAATCATATAAGGTACATACTCCATATTTTGTATAGAACCTTCAATATTATCAGAAATATTACATGTTGAAATTTTCCTTAAATTATTTAATGAACTTGTCCCAGATCTAATACTTAATTGTTCTTCTAAATGATCTAATGTCATTTGTTCTTGTATATCTTGTATAGAACTCAAACTCTTAACATCTTCTAATTTTGTTTTATAATTATTAGAAGAATTATTATTTAAATTATTTGAATCTCCATTTAATCTAGTTAATTTCTTATCATATAAACTATCCCTAGTCATATTATTTCCTAAATTTAAATCTTTCAATTTCTCTTCATTATGAGATTTAATCAAAGATTGTAAAGTATTTCTTATTTTATCTGTAAATTTTTTAGGAATTGATGAAAACCTTCTTATTTTTGAAAATCTTTGATTTATATTTGATTTATTAGGATCTGTATTGTGATTATTGTACATACTATATTGCACATTATTTCCAAAATAATTAACATAGTTAATATCTGCACTATATGAATGAACTAGTTGCTTTTCATCCACACTATATTGCCAATTTATTGGTATTAAAGTAGAATGTGACAATCTTGGATTTATATCACTTAAATTCATATTTCCAACCAAATTTGCACCTGAACCTTGAGGTTCCTGTGGTATGGATCCTGTATCAGAGGATGTATAATTACAAATCCCTATCTTTCCACTTTCTAAATCGCTACTATATATGTCATTACCATCATCCTTACTCGCTGGAGTTAGTTTATTCATTTCCATGATCGACAAATCATCCTCATATATATTTTTTATCTTATCTAATTGTAGTGGTGGTAATAGGGACCCTCCGCTTGATAATTTGTGCATTTTAATCAACTTAGTTATATCATATAAAGCCAATTAATATTATATATTGTCTACATATTTCATAAACTCAATTTTTTATTTTTATTTTTACTTATTTAAGCCCTTATATATACTAATTTGATATTTAGAAATAAGGAATTCAAAAATCCAAATTTAGGTAAATTAATCTTTTCTTTTTGAGTGGCTTATTTAATTTTCTATACCCTGTAAAGTTATCTAAGGACAGGAGTGTCATTTTTTACTATTAATACGTATGTACACATTTCCATGAATACCGCCAAAAAAAAAGAAATAAAAATATTTCCAAAAATAAGGATGGACGAATAAAAAAAAAAAGAAAAAGAAATTTAGGGAAATTTGTGGATATTGAACCCCTATACAATATAATATAATGTTAATTGAAATATTATATACAATAATATTTGGTAATGTGAAATTAATAAGTTACAAAAACTGACTTTATAGAAGATTCTGGAACTTTAATTTATAAATATAAGAGTTTAATACAATCTTCTAGATTTCTACAGATGGTATATAAAGAATTAATTAATAGCTCACATAAAGTATCAAGTTACTGTCCTGTAGAATTTCGTATACCATTAGATATTTGGTGTTCAAGCTGTAATTTTAAATATGAATGTGGAACTAAATATCAAGCATTTAAAGAATCTAATAAGAAGAAATTCCAAAAAAACGGGACATATCAACTTATTGACATTTATAGAATATTTTGTAAAGATTGTAATGAACCTCTTATAATTGAAATTTCTGAGGATCCATATATAAATAAGTGTAATAAAGTAAATGTAATCCAAAGAGATTCAATAAAAGTAAATGAATTAAAAGGTATTCATGAAGGTCTTAATATCCTTAGGAATTTGCAAGATAGTAGAGAAGATAACTATAAAATGAATATGATAATGCGAAATAATATACGTAAGAAGTCTAAAAAGACAAATACTCTTTGTTCTTATAAAGAAACTTCTAGTTCATATGGAGATATATTTAATATATCTAAAAAGAAGAAATAGTCCAGTTTAGACATATAGCAACTAAAAAATGTTTTAATTATTTATAATTAAGTATAATATGTTTTTAATAATAACAGATATTTAATAAGTGGAAGTTTAGAGAATTTAAAGATCCGATATTATCCAATTTAGCGCCATCCCAAGTCGTTTTGATTACAATTATAGGATTGTTGAATCCTTTATGAATGATGAATTTAGTCATAAATTTATCTAAAATTCTTGTAATTGGCATATCACCAACGTTATGTGTTTTTTTATGTATGTCTATATTTTCTAATGGATGGTTAGCGATGTATACTATGCACTGGATATGCATGATGATACTTCCATGTTTATATACGAGGAATTTTTATATTAATGAAAAATATGTAAAATTAAAACTAGAGAAGATGGATATTTGTATATATATTGGATGTATTTCTTTTATTTTTGTATTTTTTACATTTATTTTTTATTTATTTTCATTTGGACCATTATTATGGCTTGATATATTAAATATAAAAAATATTAAGGAGAAATTAAGATTTCAGAATATTACTTCAAAAGAAGGGAAATTTCCAGCTTTTTCAATGTTTTCTTGTATATATTTTCTTATATTAAATCCATTTATTGAAGAAATATTTTGGAGATCCTTTCTTCAAAATGAGATAGAATCATGTATTCAAACATTTAATTATAGAAATGAATTAATACATTCAGAAGTGAATTTATTATCTTCAGATAACAAAGAATCAACATTTAAATATATATCTGTGAATAGATTGAGTTTAATGAAATTTAATGAGATTACAAGTATAATAACTTCTATTTTGTATTCTTTATATCATTATATAGTATTCAGCAATATAATATCTGTAAAGTTTGCTATATTGTCTTGTATTCTATTAGTTTTAGTCGGAAGATTCTTGATATATGTTATTATTGAATTCGGATTAATTAAAGCTATTTGTATTCATATAGGTATTGATCTATCTGTCGTTTTATCATTGGGATTAATAGTAGTTAATACTTAGATATATATATCACATAAAATTAGATTTTTTGATAAGTATTAATAATTTATGTGATTTTAATGAAATATATCAAAAGTCTATATAATTAATTTAAATTTAATATTAAGGTGAGATTGAAAATATCAAATATATAATAAAAGATATTTGAAACACAAAAATTACACTAGACTAATAAGTAAATGATAATTTCAACAGAATAACCACAAAACTTGGAGGACTCAATATATTACTAAGTACAAAGATATTGTACTATGAATACTAAATCTGAATAGATTTTTTGTTAAGATAATGGAAATGAAGTACATTCCAAGATATCTAAATAATTATTGATTAAACTAATCCATTGAAGTTATTTATTTATGTCCTTGAACTGGTGTTCTGAAATTAGAACCTGCATAATTTGAAGATTTCTCCAATTCCTCTTCAATTCTCATCAATTGATTGTACTTAGCTACACGTTCAGTTCTACAAGGAGCACCTGTCTTGAGTTGTCCAGTTCCAAGTCCTACTGTTAAATCAGCAATAAAAGTATCTTCAGTTTCACCAGATCTATGAGATACTTGGATACCCCATCCATAAGATCTAGCTAACTTAAATGCAGCAATAGATTCACTAACAGTTCCAATCTGATTGACTTTTAGTAGTAGACAATTACAAGCACCTTTATCTTTCCCCACTTTCATACGGGTCATATTTGTTACAAATAAATCATCACCCATAATCTGAACTTTTTCCCCAATTTGTTGAGTTAAAGCTGCATAAGCATCATAATCATTTTGATCAAATGGATCCTCAATACTAACTATATCATATTTCTCAGTAAGATCTTTCCACATCTGAGTTAGTTGTTGACTAGTTAGATATTTTGGTTCACTACCCTTAAAATTTAAATTATAGCACTTTTTCTCATCACAGAAAAATTCAGATGCAGCAGGATCTAAACATATCTTAACTTTCCCAGTATAACCTGCTATTTTAATAGCTTCTGTTATTAAATCTAAAGCTTCTTCTGGAGTTGCAATATTGGGTGCAAAACCACCTTCATCACCAATATTTGTTGCACTGAGTCCATACTTCCTCTTAATAACATCCTTTAATGTATGATATACTTCAGCACCATATCTTAGAGCTTCTTTGAAACTTGGAGCTCCAATAGGGAATATCATAAATTCTTGAGGAGCAAGGGAATTTCCTGCATGTTTACCACCATTTAAAACATTGAAAGATGGAACTGGCATTGTATAATGATGAGTAGAATTACCAGCTAAATGTGCAATATATTGATATAATGGCATTCCTACTGCAGCAGCTCCTGCCCTAGCTAAAGCAAAAGACACAGCAGTTGTAGCATTTGCACCTAGTTTTGCTTTGTTATATCCATATTCATTTTTGCTTCCATCAAGTTCCTTTACCATAAGATCATCTAATTCTTGTTGTTTTGTTGGATCCTTTCCAATTAAAGCTGGAGCAATAATCTTATTAACATTTTCTACAGCTTTTTGCACTCCTTTACCTTGATACCTATGAGGATCTCCATCTCTAAGTTCCTTTGCTTCATAAATACCTGTTGAAGCACCAGATGGACAACATGCTCTAAATAATCCTTGTTCGGTAATAATATCAACTTCAACTGTTGGATTTCCACGCGAATCTAATATCTCACGAGCTTTAACTGATTGAATAGTTGTCATATCTTATAATATAAAATACTAAAATAGATCTTATGTAAAATAAAATAAAAAACTTAAAATTCGGAAGGAATTCCTAGAACTGTTAGTGCGATTAATTAATTTAAGATTGGTTAATATGATAAACTCGAATTAGTTATATAAATACTCAGCATGCTGTACGCAAGAGATGCGACGTGGAAGCGGCTAGAATCTTACTACTATGAGTTTATTAAACATTAATGGCTAAGATCTATTTTGTTCATACTTCTATTAAGAATAATGATTAGAAAATAAAATCTACCTCTAAAAGGGATCAATCCACTTTCAAATTTAAGGAGACAATGTCTATTAAAATAATGTAAGATAATAAATAAAAGCTTAAAACTAATAATTATGAGAGGTCTGAATATAAGTCGTATTTATTGATAGTAGTATTCTTAATATTAAGATTGACTTATTTTGTCTTAAATTTTACTTTGGAAATTATGTCCTATATATTAGTATATATCTAAATATATGGAGTAGTTAAATAAATATATATTGATCACAATTTAAACATTAAGTAGTAAAGTATTTCATTCTTAAATCTAATAATCATGTTGAAAAACTGTTGGTCTTATCATTTGTCTCCCAATTTGTCCAATCCATTCTTCCTTCTCAAGTGGATTCTCGGCAATTAAGAAAAATACACGATGTGGTGTATCTACTCTAAATGCATTTTCTCTATTAATATCTTCATCAGCAGATCTTACTGTTAAACATTCAGATAATTTCAAAGATTCTGTAGGAGAGGAGAAGTCTCCTTGCTCTTTGAAACTTGCTAAATAGTTACGTGTTAAAATAAACCATCTACGACGCCAGTCTTTTAAGAATCGACTTTGTTTATATAGCCAGCCTTGTTTGACCACATCCTCAGGTCTAATTATCACCTGTGAGCCACCTAAAATCATAAAGATTACTTTATATACAAGAATGAATATGAGGACTACTGTCAAGAATTATGTGCGCCAATTAAAGGCTGGAATAATATCACGTACCATAAAGGAATGTTGTAGATCTGTAGTATCAACTTTGAGATAATTGTCAATATTGGAATTTAAAGTTATCCTATCATATGATATAAAGTAATTTATTAATATATATAAGATAGATAATAGTTTGAGGTAAATTAGAGAACACTAATTGTTTATATATTCCTAGTTTGTGAGTCTAGCTAATTGCTTATAAAAGTAAATAATTTAATTAACTAAATATCTCAATAGGAGAAGACTTTTATTAAAATTTAAATCTCTCTAATTTATTAAAAGTGTGTAGGTATTAATTCTAAAATAAGAATGATTATAGTAATTGATTTAATAACATAGGACTAATAGTTAAAATATCCAATATTTTCAACTGACTTTGATTTTAATGAGTTATATTTAGGTAATATAGAATCACTATTTTGATTATTCTCTTGTATAGGTGAGAGCTATAAAGATTTAACCTCAATAGAACTCCATTTTTTGAAATTGAACAGGTATTATTTGTTGAAGAAAGAGTTTTGTTTAGTATTGTAGATAGAATATTCATAATTATGTATATTTTCCAAGCTATTCAATTTGAATTTTTGTTCTACACTTTTATTAGATGTAAATATATCTTTAATTTCTTTATTTTCAATAAGTTCAATTATCTACAGATTTTTGATCAGATATTTTCTTGGTTGGATCAATAGAAACATTTATTAAAGGTTCATTAATAGGGTTTAATATACATTTAGTGTCTTCAGTTTGGTCATTTTGAGATTTATTTAATTCTATTATACTTGGATTTATTGGTAAATTTGATTGTACTCCTATTTCTGCAGTAGGTATAATTGATCCTTCTATAATGTGTTGTTCTGATGTAATTCCAAAATTTGTGGTTTTATATTTTTTGGTTATTTCTAAATGGTTGGAAGATATCTCATCAAGATCAAGACTTGCACTTAATGATTCTTCAGAACTATCATAAACATCTGGATCTTGAAGTAATTTATTATAAGTATTTACAAAAACAGGATAAAATGGATTGGAATAGAACTGTTCAAGAAGACTTATATGTTGTTTCTTTAGCCACTTTGGTACTTCTATAGGCTGTCCAAATTTGTTTTCAGAAATATTTCTTAATTCTTCAACAATATTCATTTTTTGTGATTCATAAGCTAAGTTTTCGAAATAACTTGTAAATCTACTTTTAAATCTCTGAATAACATGTTCTGTTTTGTTAATCATTTCAGTTTGTAAATTTTCTTGTAAACCAAATTCATTGATGAGAGAAGTTTTTATTATGTTAGATAAATGATCTAAAGCCTTAATACGACTTTGATCTTCTTCTTCACGTTCTTTTTCTCTCTCTCTTATCATGTCAAGGTAACTAAGTGGTTCAAGAGAATACTTTGATAACATTTGTGTGAGTTTTTCTGTCGAAGTTTTTGATTCATAAGAATTGGGTTCAAAAGAAGTAGAGATATTTTTCTGAAGTATTAAAGAAGATGAAATAGATTTATTTTCAATATTTTTAATTTTATTAACTTTTTTACGATCTTTTTGAAGCTTTAATTTAGATGTTGTCTTAATTTTATATAGAGAAAGTATAGTAGGGAGTCTTTCAGATATATCCACATAAATATATTCAGATTCATCAACATTATCTCTAAGTAAACAACATTTCGCCCAAATATACAAAAACTTTTTCATTGCAGAGTGATGATTATATCTAGTTATTGTAACCAGCTTAAAAGCTGGTAGTATCAACTTTAAAGTATGAATAAGACGAGTTATAACCAATTCTTTAGAAGCAATAGATGCACTAGTAGTATCATCATTACTTTTGATGTTCCTATGACTTGATAATAGTACAAAGAAAACTCTTAAACGTCTTAAAACTACATTTTCTAGAACAGAAGCTGCTGCAGATATAAGAGAAACATTTCTATTCCTAATAGGTAGTTTAGAATTATATAGGATCATTCTCATACCATAACCTAAAAGCTTCTTACGGATGTTCATTATTAATATATGTAACCTACCTGCACCATGACCAATTTGAAGTGAAGCTCTAACAGCTCTAGTAAGCTGATTTCTAGTTAACCTTGCATTATCTCTTTCCATTTCTCTAAGTCTAAGTTTCTCATCCTTCATCTTCACTTCATCCTGCAAATCACGGATATATTTTTGAAAGGCTAAAGCATTCTCACCAGAAATCCCACCTTCAGTAATATCCAAACGATTCATAAGTTTAGGGGTTATAAATATATTTGATGAAGTTTTATGAGTAATTGAAGTTTCATTAGTTCTGCTTGTAACTAGAGATTGACTATCATAAATTGTTTCTTCTTCATCTTCTTGGGTTTTAGACTCTGGTATTCCTTCTGCAGTTAAACTTAAATGACTCATAGATAAATCTCTTAGTGTTAATGGTTTTGATATATCCTTGCTAGAAACAGAATACTCAATATCTGCTGGTATATCATCTTTCAAAGTTAACATAAATAAGCTATTAATTGCATCCTTTGATATATTATCAATCGAATTATCATACTCATAGAGACTTAGAACTTTATCAGATATCTTTGTTGTAGTGGCATTATTCGCATCCCTAATAACTTTATTTGATAGTGTTATAAAGCCATGATTTTTTAGCCAAGAGTATGTGTCCATAGGTTTCAAATCCTTAAGTTGATCAAATTGACTACTTGAACTCAAATATGAACCTACAATACTGGATTCTTCATCAGAATCACTATGATCTGAATATTGGTGTTCATAGGAACTACTAAATGAGCTGTTTTCTGGAGTATTATTGTCAGATTTAAGTGTAGTATTGTCTTTTATATTAAGATCGTAAGAACTCTGTTCATCCTCTATCAAACCATCATATACTTCCGAGTTTATTACTCTCGAGTTCAAAGCAGAACTATTTGATGGCTTGTTCTTGATGGATGAAGTTGATTTTATAGTTGCACTATTAAGTGATTTTGTAAGAGATTTCATTTTCAATAGAATAATTCGAATTATATACTTGCAGCTATCTAAGACATTAGATCTTTCAACATTTCCATTACATCTATTTGCCACGGGTTTAGCTCATCTAAAAAATTGGAGAAAAGGTCACAAGAGATATTATAGTGCACTACACACACACTTTTGTAGCGGGAATATAACACACGCAATAATGCTCCAAGATTGCATACAAAGGAAGTATTAATCTCCCAATCCCATTGTTTAAAGTAAGGTCTAAGATCACAATTAGTTGTCAATGAGAGTAATAAAATCCAAATTTGTATCTTATCTTGATCTTGGATTGTTTCTGGAAGCTCACATTGATCATATAATTCAAAAACTTTCTTGATTGAATTCCATCCATAATAGATAATAATAACTAAGTATGTATACAGTGCAATACCTGGATCAGCCTTCCAAATACTATTAAAAAGTTCTCCAGATGGAAAGTTTCCATCTTTTACACTTCCAAGATATTCCAACACTTTAGATTTTTGGTCATTGATAAAATCAATCTGAAAAGGTTTTAAATAAGCATGAAGTTTATTAAAGGTATATAATGTAAAAATGTTCACTGTAACTTCTTCAGTTCCTGCAAAAGTCCATTGGGGTTTTTGTCTATTATGTCCTATTTCATGGTAAAGACCCCAATCTCCCTCTATCATTATTTCTGGGATATTCACTAATTTACCATGACGTTGACACATATCCATATGTGTCATAATTGGATACCCTATTTTAAAATAAAACTCAAAATATTATGACATAATTGTAACAAAGAGAAGTAAATAACTTACCACTATGCATATAACCATCTGAAATCTGAATATCACATACGATTCGTTCTTTCCTGTCATTTAATCCTTCATTTAACAACTCATCTTGAATTTGTATAACATTATCCCAAAAATCAACAATTTCTTGAGGATTCTCAATAAATTTTAAAGTACTTAGAGGAAGTGTAATTATAACTCTAAGTCCATGAAGTTCTCCCCAAGGAGCTGATTTTGTATTAATAATATCTTTCCATTCATTAATACTGCTAGTACATATAATCTGACCAGTTTCTCCAAGATTTACTTGTGGAAATTCTACATCTTTATTAATCTTAGAACTTACAAAAAAAGGTGCGGTTTCACAAGATTCACTACTATTAGTATACACATAACCCAGTATATTACTTTGAAATTTATCTTTAACCCATCTATCCATTAACTCAAAATATAGTAGACCACCATATGGTGACTTTATAGAGATATTATTACGAGAATTGTTGAGATCAATTTTCCAGATATAAGACTTAACGATTATTGGAAGTCTCTGTAGAGGACTAGAATCAGAATCTGTTCGCAAAATATCGGTATGACACCCTATTTGAACTCTAATTGTCACATAATTACTTTTACTATGTATAATCACATCTTCATTAAAATATTTATTAATAATTTTATCTTTAAAAAAAAAAAGTTCCAAGGTTTTATTGGGGATAATATAGAGACCAAGAGTCTGCCAACCATTTGAAATTAAAATAGGTAAACAATAAGATTTTTCACAAATAATTTTATTTTCAAAATTCCATGGAATTGTCTTCTCAATCCAATAATCCATTTTAGAAATTAAATTTAGTAAATTATATTCATGAAAATTACTCAATGTATTCTCATTTAATCTTGAGGAAGCTAGGGCAAGTAATAAAAGTACTTTCGGATCATTAGTATCAAAAGGGGCTTTAAAAAGATCATAATTATAATTATCTATAACATTCATAATCAATTTAGTCACTTCCTGTTCTGCATTAGTTTTATGTTTCTTATATAATAACATATTTATGTCATTTGACATATGTTCAACATCAATTCGTGTTATTTTATCAGGGTTTAATATTGCTTGAGTCCAACTTCTATAAGTATTGAGGTAATGTGTTTTATCACTATTTAATGAAATAGTAATTTTATTACTTCCTGATTCATATGAAAGGTATCTTGATGAAAACATCAACCCAAATTCTGAAATTACTGTATTAGCAAGGGAGTTTGATATAATAAGATCAGATAATTGCTCCCAACCCCATGGACACATAGCTACTATAAGAACCCCTCCTCCATAAACAAATTTCTTAAATTCTTCAGCGCAATGATCAATGTTACCTTCAAACCTAAGAGGTTCTATAGCATTCCAAACAATTATATTTGGTTTTTTATCATGTATCATTCTATTCACAGATTCCATATTAATATTCTCTGATACTTCAACAATATTCCCCAATAGAACTCTATTTATATTAATATTCTTCATAAAGTTCATAGCGTCAATTTTTCTTATTCCTAAAAAACCAAATCTCACTTCACTGGGACCTTTGTAAGAATAGCAAATTAAGTCAAATATATTACTTAACACTCTAGATAAACATATTGTACCCGAGATATCCAATAAATAACCTTCATGAGATATACCAAAGACAAAACCTTTACCAACTAAACTGCAACCTGCAAGCCATCCAAATGAGTATTCTAAAGAATCAGAACAACCCCAAAGTCCAAATGTATTATTTCCAAAGCAGTTTACTCTTCCAGGAGTACCAATAATGGGTATATCTTCTAGTAGATTATTTAAAGTCTTTTGTATATTATACAGATGCTTACAAACATAAAGGTTATAAAGATCTTCTTGTTCCATATTAACCTTAACTATATGATATTTCTTATCATTGATTGTAAGCTTTAAAAATCGGGTATTAATACTTTGTGCCTCAAATACCAGTGTATATTCTCCACCACTATTTATTTCTAGATATTTTCCTATTACTAGTTTCCATAATTCAGGAGATAGTCCTATGTTTGTTAATGCCTTTGTATTGCTAGAACCTAAAGCAGCCTCTATCAAATTGTCATCTACACATATTGATGTGTATATTCTGCACTTTTTATAAGTTTTATTACCAAATAGTTCCCTTACATCTAAAGTAACTCGTGTAGTAAAATTAGGGTCTGGATGGGTACATATTATCCATACTTGTGGTGTTATTTCCATATTACCACAGGTAAATGTATATATTCAAAAAACTAGTTAACTATAAAGACTCCTATTTTCAAGTTCAAAGGTCAAAGTTTGTAGTTTGAATGTTACGAAGTTTTGACTCAAACACCTTCTATATCATCCCACAGTTTAACTGAAGTTTGATTACTTTATAATAATCTAAGAAGGCAGCCTTAAGGACCTCGTTTACTAAACAGATAGCTTCTTATAGAACATAACTAGCTATTTGTCAATTAGTTCAATATATCGTGATGTCTGGTCCTAGGAAATCCAATCAATTATGAGGTTATATACTGAGACCTTCTATTCCCTAAGAAATTCTTTCACGAATATATCCTGAATATGGTATATTAATATAGGGCAAATGATATTATACTATTATTAAAAAAAAAAAAAAAAGTTAATATTATCTAGGGTTTTCTTGGAAATAATCTTAATTTTTGGCGCCTAAAGATGTATATTCACTGATTTATTACCTATGCTTGAATAAAGGGTAGTTTTTTAGGTACATGGTTTGTTATACACTTTTATATAACCAGTACTATTCAATGAGCGCCATAACTCGTAAAACTTAATATTAAATAGAATAAAGCGCTCAATTTATTGATCATTAACTATAGTAATAGTGGAAACTTTTTTTAATGCTCAATTTTGTTCAGAGATAAAATTATGGTTTTATACTTTAATATTATTCACATGATAATTGGAGTGTATCTAAATGATGATAATTATAATACCAGTAATATTGTGACTAAAGCAATGTTATAAAATATAAACTTGTATAGTATTTACAATACAATATAAATAATTTATATCTTGATATAAAATATTTAGATTGACTATAAATACCAAAGGTATAGAGAGTTGTGTATTACTTATAATAGATTTTTTGGAAAAGAAAAATGAGAAAAGTATAGCATATACTTATGAACTTTATAAAAAAGTAGAGATTACCAAATATTTAGAAATAAAAATACATTTAATTTAGTATTTGTTATTATTTGTAATATTTAAAAAATATTGTACTATTGAAGCTGGAGAATAAAATATTGAAATTTTATGTAGAAAGCTATTTAACAAAAAACTATCCACAATATTAACTATGCACTAAATATTGTAGTATCTTTCGAATTACAATAATATTAATATAATCTATAAGATAACTAGATTAAATAATAATTAATATTGGGAACTTTTTTCGTAATTCTAGTTTTTACTTGGACTTCACAATATTGTCTCGTGTTGTGTCGTGTCGTGTCGTATCGTATACATGCAATAATATTTCTTATTTTGTCTTGTCTCGCATGCATGAATAATGTTTTTATTTTATCTCGTGTATATAGAAAAAGAAATTTAAGATTTTTTTATTTATAACTAAACTTATATAAATGAAAATTGTGTATTGTATAAGTTTAAAGTGTTCCAAATCTTTAAAAAAAGCTTATGGTTTGATTTAGTAGTAAGGAGAACCAAAATAGAAGTGCTTTCCAAATAATATGGATTTATGACTTTATTATAAAAGAATAAAAAGTTAATATAATTAGTTAAGATAGTAGATAGTACAATAAGACTATTTATAATTACCAATTTATGATAATAAAATAATCTCTTCATAGAAGAATTTTCAATATAATTAACCGTGGGGTAAGGTAGATTTATAGTTGTAAACTTGACAAATATATAATATCATTTGTTTTGAAAGTTTTATATAGAACTTATACATATATATATGTATATACTAGCTGCTGTATAAAATGAAAAAAACGGATTTCAGTCTTATAATTTAATAGATGAGTAAAAGTAGGATTATGAAACAAACATATAGTATTAATGTCAGTATTATATTGATAAGAAAATATTTGTCTTCAGTCTCAATCTAATATGATAATCTAATAATTTATGAAATCTTAAGCTAAGTAAATTAGAGAAGAAGTAATATAAATAATTTAGTAAATTCCAAGTATTATCTATTAAAATGAACAAATTATTTTTTTTTATATATGTTTAGAAGAATAAATTATAACCTAAATATATCTGAAAGTAAATATATAAAGTATCTGCAATATAAGATAACTTGTTCATTATTGACAATTTTTTAAAATTTTAGTTTTTTTTTTGTTGTGTTTTCTTCCTTTGCTTTTTCTTTTTCTGTTTAATATGCTTAGGAACTTTATTCATTCGTTTCAGGCGATTTTCTTCCTTTACTCTCTGTTTCCATTCCTTCCGTGACATTCCAGTAGGTATACATCCGTCAAACTTTGCTTGATGCTTTTGGTCTCCCTGTAAATTACTTGAACTACCATCTTCTGAAGAATCACTATCAAGGAATCTTTCAGATAATTTACTTAAATTTGATAAACTAGATATTTCTGAAGTATCAGATTCATCTGAATTACTGAAACACTCAGAGTATTCAGAAGACTGAGATGTAGAATCCTTAGGATTGGGTAGTAAGTGTCCATATAAAAGATCTTCTCCACGTTCTTTTCTATCAAGTTCTTTTTCTAAAGTTTTCCTATCATTTATCTGGCTTAAATTATATGGAATCCAGGTCTCTAAAAATACACTTTTTTCATATTCAGTTTCTTGATTTTCTAGATGCAAGTTGCTTAAATTAGTTTCTATAGAATTTCTTTGATTAAAGCAGCGTGTAACTAAATATCTAAGGAATAATAGGTATGTTTTTTGTACATTATTAGCTTTATCCAAAATAGAGTTCTCTTGATATGGCTGAAAAGAAGTATATAGTGAGAGTTGACGTTCCATCAGATCGTTGTATGGCCAGATAAATTGATTATCCTTCACTTCAAGTATATCTAAAATGATCTTATCAATATCTTTGGTATCTTCTGGGATTTCTGAAATAATAGCAAGATCTTGAATTTTACCACTTAAAATAATATTGTAAAGTTCAAGTGGTGTTAATAATAGTGAAGTTGCACTAAAATTTGTCAAAAAAAGGCATTGATATGGTTCTAAAGCTATGTTATTTCCTTCTTTTTTAATATTACTTTCTGAATATGTGCAGGTATCAGTAAATTTCTTACTTTGAAAAACTTTGCTGAAAAATTCTGTTGCATTTATACAATCTCTTTTTAGGAATTCTAATCCTAAAGGATGATCATGTTCCATAGATTGTGATACATCTATAACGTATAAGTGGCCTTTGTAATACAATATATTATACTCAGACATATCTCCATGAATTAAATGGCACTCTGTAAACATAATAAACATAATTCCAATCATTTCAACATATAATCGAATCCATTCTCTTTCTCCTATATCTAGCAGAGCATCCTTTAATCGTGGAGCTACAATTTCTGCAAAGGTAAAAATATAATTACCATTTGCAAATTCAGACTCATCTACAATATCTTTAGTTTGAGTAATATCCCCAATTAGGGACATTACAAGAATATGTTTTCTAACTTCAATTGGAATTGGGCATCTTATTCCAGAAACAAGTATCCTCCTCAAGTTCCTAAATTCCTTTTCACACCACTGTGTCACCATCTTGCGAGGATTCTTTGATTTGGAGTAACCCCTTCTAAATCTAAACTCACCCTCTATATATTTTGATCTATCCTTAAAGCTAAGAACGGATGTTTTAAAAACTTTTATTGCTCTATCCACGTGAGTAAGATTAAATTCTTTTAATTTTTCAAGGAGCTCATATTCATTATAAGTTAAATGGTTTCTATCCTCTAGATATTTACCATAATTCAATATATCCTTCAATGTACTAGTTGCTTTATAAACGTTAGCCTCTTTCCCTGTGCTTATCGTCCCATATAATTTTGAATAAATTCCACGATTTTGAAGCTTTTTTAATATATTTAAAGTCCTTGCATCCAAAACTTGCATAACAGTAGCTCTTGTATCTCTTGTTAATCCCCTAGAACGATGTTTCTGACCCTTCTCATCACTGGCTTTGGCTTCATTTTGAACATTTTGGTTCATTTTACATATCTCACTGGGTATAACATCATAAGCCAAACTCTTACTTATAGATTTATTCATTTTATATATATCGCATTAGATTTCAAAACTTAGTTTAATTGATACTTTATGAGATAATAATAATATAATATATGACTAGATGTCAGAATAGAACCCTAAAAATAATGGGTATTACATACAACCGCCTTTTTATAGCGCTATATTATAATGGTAAATTTTGATTTTTGAGATTCAAAGTAGAGAAGTACAAAGGTAGGGAGCTAAAGGTATCTATAACTATTTTAATATGACAAGAAATATATTAAATAACCGTCTAACCAAGCTCTATACAAAAAATGATGAGTGTAAGCAGTCTGGTAGTATGAATAGCGAGGTCTCTACTCAAGAAAATCGGAAAAAGATAAGGAAGAGTATAAGAAAAGTATTAGATGAGGAATTTGCAGATATAGATGATAATTATGGGTTATTAGGAAGATCAATTAATCCAGAAGAGGCTCCTAGTGCTCGATTGAGTGATATTGGTGGTATTGATCATATCAAGAAGGATATTGAAGAATTCATAATACGCCCAATAAAAAAGCCAGAACTTTATAAGCGTATAGGTGTTAGTGCTCCCTGTGGTATACTATTACAAGGTCCTCCTGGAACTGGGAAGACACACCTTTCACTTTGTATAGCAGGCGAAGTTGGCTTACCATTTTTTCGAGTATCGGGGCCATCTTTAATTAGTGGAATGTCAGGATCATCAGAGGCAACATTGAGGAGATTGTTTGATAATGCTGTAGAAAATGCTCCATGTTTCGTTTTAATTGATGAAATAGATATAATATCTCCAAAGAGAGAAGGAAACGGAAGAGATATGGAAAGGAGAATAGTAGCTCAGTTTGCTAATTGTCTTGATAGAATTGTAGGTAAATTTGTAATTGTAATAGGTACTACAAGCCGTCCAGATGCAATAGATCCAATGATAAGAAGAAATGGTCGGATAGACCGTGAGATATCTATGCCAATGCCAGATGAAATATCTAGAAAGCACATTCTTCAAGTTTTATGCAGAGATATAAATATGGATAAAAATATTAGCTGGAATAAAATTGCTAGGATTACTCCTGGATTTGTAGGAGCAGACTTGAAAACTCTTGTTAATGAAGCCGCATTAATACGAGTCAACAAGATATGCTTGGAGGATTCAAATAATCATAATATGATTATGCCTGTAGATAAATTTGACCCTGAAGTTCAATATAAATTACTAGCAGCCTCTAAAATTTTAATACAAGAGGATATAGAAGGATATAAAAGTAACTCAAATGATAATAATAATAAGGAACAATATATTGAAAATTTAGATATAAATTTAGGTCTTAATAGGGAGTGTTACTCCAAAGTACTGGAGGAGGATTTACTGGAGGCTTTAAAACACGTAACTCCAAGTTCACGTCGTGAAGGTTTTACTATGATACCAGATACAAGTTGGGATGATGTAGGAGCTTTGGATGAGCTTCGAAAAGACTTAGAGCTAAGAATTATAGCTCCTATAAAGCATGCTCATATTTATGATAGCCTGGGATTAGATACACCTTCTGGTATTTTATTGTATGGTCCACCAGGATGTGGTAAAACTCTACTAGCTAAGGCAATTGCTCGTGAAAGTAATGCAAATTTTATCAGTATTAGAGGGCCTGAACTTCTGAATAAGTATGTTGGAGAATCAGAGAGAGCTGTAAGGACTGTCTTTGAAAGGGCTCGCTCCTCAGCACCATGTATTGTCTTTTTTGATGAATTGGATTCTTTATGTGCTGCTAGAAGTAGTGACGGAAATGGAGCCTCAGAGAGAGTAGTAAATCAGCTTTTAACAGAAATGGATGGTGTGGGCGAAAGAAAAAAGGTTTTTATTGTGGCTGCTACTAATAGACCTGATATTATTGATCCTGCAATTATGAGACCTGGTCGTCTTGATAGAATAATATATGTTTCCTTACCTAGTGAATATGGTAGAAAAGATATACTAGAACGAATTACGAGGAAAACTCCTTTAGCTAATAATGTAGACCTAGCAGCTATTGCAACAAAAACTATTGGTTTTTCAGGAGCTGATCTGAACCAACTAGTGCGTGAGGCTACACTGTTGGCTTTGGATAAATTAAGATTAGAAAGTAATATTATTTTTGAGGCAAATAAGGAAGATATTGATATGCAGAAAAGTAGCTTAGAAGGTATTGTAACTCAAGATTTATTACTTTCTGTGGTTAAAAATATGTCACCTTCAGTTAACCACGAACAAGTCCAATTTTTTGAACGCCTCCATAATGCAAGAAAAAGAAGTTAGAATAAGTAAGACTTAAATTGTCAATTATATAATGGTTATATATTGTATTTTGCAGGATTTGACCATCTCTATTCTAAGAAACCTGTTATTAATTTTTTCAATAATTAAAAACCTTGATTAAAATAATATTAGTAGTTTAATTTTGGTGGTTCAAAGAACTTTAGATGTTCATTGACAATTATGTCAATTTTAATAATTTTACTTCTATGTTTGGTATTTTTTGGTTATTTTTTGTAACCCCATAGTATAATATGGACTATATTAAGTCATATTAGTTGTATCATAGCCAATAAGGATCTAGAACATTAACTTATAGGAAATATTAAAATAGAGCGACAGGACAGCAAACTTGCATGCAGTCCATGTAGGAGACTGTCCTGCATACGTGGGCCCACAAATGCGATATTGTGCACCCAAAAGTTAGATTGTATAATTTTCTTTTCAATCTTTGATTCTAAGTTTTAATGAAAAAATAGAGTACTGGGGATTTTAAGAAATGTGTAGTATTTTAATCTCAGTAGTTTTAGTGATTTCGGTACTTCCAGAAAATATCTTAGCTCAAAGGAATATAATGACAGATGAATTTCGGCTCAAACTTCTTAAAGCTCACAATAATCTCAGATCACAAGAAGCAGTCTCAGCTACTTTTATGCTGAAGTTAGCTTATGATTACTCACTGGAAGGTTATGCAGCTAACTGGGGGATGAAGTGTATGAATGGGCAATTTCAACACTCTCCTGAACAGTGGCCTTATAGAGCTAGTCCTGGTGAAAATTTATATGCAACTACATTGGATGTATCTCAAGATCCTTCATGGGATCCCTCAAGTGTAGTTAAAAGCTGGTGGAAAGAAAGAGAGAATTTTAACTGGAGCACTGGGCAACCGAATAGTGGATATCCTGTGGGTCATTGGACTCAAGTTGTTAGGGCTCCAACGAGTACTGTAGGCTGTGCAGTAGTTGTTCAGTGCCCAGGATCATGGAAAACTTATGTAATATGCCATTATGATTTTGGAAATGTTGGATTTATACCATATCCTAATTTTTCAATTAATCCAAGTCTACCACAGAGGCCCTGTTCTCAGTGTCCAAATGGGTATAATTGTTGTGAAAATAATTTGTGTGTAGGTATTATCAATCCTAATGTTTCACCACCAGGTCCTTTACCTCTTCAGACAAATAATGGAGTTTGTAATGAATATATGATGAGGCTTTGTAATATTCGAAATGGTGCTTGCCCACAGAGATGCTTAGATCTTAATTATCCACCTATTAAAGATGGATTGATTGTCCAACAGTGTACATGTACAAATGGGAACTCAAATATCCCTCCTACAGCTGCTTGGCAATTTAAGTTATGGTATAATAGGGGAGTATGTTCTACAGCTATAGGAGAAGCTTCTAGTTCATTGGAAATGTTCAAAGGATTGGCAGATATTAGTGCTCATTCAGTTAATACTGAAATTCCTACCAAAAGAATGTCTCATACTTCGAAGTCATTGCTATCAAATAGATTTTCAAGAGATCTTAATTGGCACAATAGTGAGCAAATAACAGTAGAGCACCAAATACATGGTCCTGGAATTATTATTACAGAACTTGAAGATGATCAAAATGAAAAAGAAATTCCAACAGTCGCTATAAATAAACAAACTAGTGATTGTAATAATTCATACTGTGAAAATAAGCCAAATAAATCGAATAGTATGCAAACTGAACAAAAAGAATCTAATACATATTCTGAGGTAAGTAGTGCAAGAATCAGGAAATTAGCTAATGGTCATCAAGAGGCTATATTATAAATGAAATAATATTCTCAAGTCTCTCAGACTTGAGGCGGGTCCTTTAAATTGAGGATATAAGAAATTTTACTAAAGTAGATGTGATTTTATTGGTCCACAGTTCGAAAATTGTTTAGAAAGTTATGAATATTGACAGTGAGGCAATTAATACCAGATATATGCAATTACATTCTCTAAATAAGCAGAAAAATGAGAGAGTTAATCCGTCAGAAATAGATCTTGATTACTGTGTAAATGTGAGAGAAAGTTTCTTACTTAATTGTAAAGGAGAATTAAAGCATATCCTTAATATGGAGAATAATTTAAATCCAATATGCAGCGATGTTGATGAACAGATGATGATTAAGCTAAGTTTCGAAGAAGTGGTATCCATCACTCAATTTGGGATAAAAGCTTTCAAGCAGAGCAATCAGGGGCAAGTTATATGTAGTTCACCTAAACTTGTCAAATTGTATGTCAATTCACCATTAAGTGACTTTAGTGAAATTGAAGATATGAAACCTTGTCTTACCATTAACTTTAAACAGGATGATACTGAAAATTGTCAAATGAAAATTCTCCCAGGATCGAAGTTTTATAGAGTTAAACATTTAACTATATTTATTCAGGAAAATCAAGATAATGTCGATACTTCCTTTTTAAATTATATAAAGATAATGGGTTATGTACTTGCATCTTGATATAAACTTTTTTTTAAAATACTTTGTGCTTAACACTTTAAAAAGTCCAAAACAGTTTTACTAAGCCCTTTATATAACCCAAAATTTCATTTTTTCCAAGTTTGGATGTTCCATAAAGTCTGTCAACAAATAAAATGGGAACATCAGCTATCGAATAGCCTAGCCTAGTTGCTAGTACAATAATTTCCATCTGAAAAGCATATCCTTTACTCATCATGTTGCACTCCAATATTCTTTTGAATACATGTCTTCTGTATAATCTAAATGATCCTGTCAAATCTGTAGCTCTTGGCTGTAGTAAAATTCTACCTGGAAAATATTAGAAATAAGTATGTTTACATATCTCTAGTGGTCTTACAGTCTTACCTAGCATGTTTGCCCCATAGCTTATAAGAACTCTGTACCAAGGCCATCCTGAAATTCCACCACCATGGATATAGCGAGATCCAGATACAATATCAAAATCTCCTTGGTTTTGCTTTGCTATTAACTGAGATATATATTTAGGGTGATGTGATAGATCACAATCCATCAATATTATAAATTCACCATTTGAATACTTGAAACCTTCTATATAGGCAGACCCTTAAAATATTGAAATAATAAATATAATATAATCCAAGTATATATTAGAATAAAATTACTTACCTAATCCAAGTTTTCCTTCACGAGATATTAGCTTCTAGAAACAGTAGGCTATTTTTATCATTTGCTATAAATTTGTTCTAAAGACTGTGTCACATACCATTTGAACTTCTTTATAATACTCCTGGAGTTGCTGCACAGTATCAGCAGTACCATCAGGACTTGAATCATCAACAATAATCAATTCCCAAGTTGTCTTCCTATAAAAAGTTGAAAGTTGAAATATATGACAGTAGAGCTGTATATTAGGGATTAAAAACTATTAAACTAACAATTCAGAAAAAGACTCAAAAAGTAGTTTTACTAAAATCCCTACATTCTGTCTCTCATTATAAGTAGGGATAATGACAGTATAGTCAACTTTATGTTTGTGTTTTTCCTTTTCCATGGTTGTAAAATACAATAGCTATTATTTCCAAGTTGGAGTCACCTTTAGCGCCATATTGGCTTGTACCGGTATTAAGGAAATCAGATACCTACTATATCGACACTAAGTTATGCCTTTTCGTCTCATAAACATTTAAATTATCATAAATAGATAAAAAGTTAGCTTTAATTTCAAATATAAACGGTATTTTTTTAATAGGATTTATGATAGAAAATCGGATGATTCCTTTTTTAGTACTTTTTATTAGGTCATGTTTACAAATAGCGCTACTATTTCCCCATTTTATAAGACATGCACCATTTTGTGGGGTAGTTGGGAACTTTTACTATACAGTTTTATACAAAGGAAACGTTCTAAAATTACTTATAGTACCGGTTAATTGACATATTTTCTAGCTTTCTTACGTTGTAATGTTTTGGTGGTTAAAACCAGTTGCTCCTTGTTGTGATCCTTCTCTTAAGGAATCACTAAAACTTCCAATTACATTTGGTAATGAAGAGTTATCATCTTTAAAATACATTTTTGGAAGGAAAAGTGATTGTTCTCTAAGATTAAAAGATCAGTCTATTAGTGGCCACCATTGTGTAGTTCAAGTTGGGGATAGTGTGGAATGTCTCGTATTAACTGATACAAGCACGAATGGGACGTTCGTTAATGGTAAAAGAATAGCGAAGTCATCACCAGTTACTGTGAAGAGTGGTGATACAATTTCATTAACTAGGCCAAAAGTCATTGATGACAATGTTGTATTTCATGCAGTTTTTAAATTAGTTTACTCACAGATTAGTCCTGATGAAACTGAGAAGGAATCAGTAAGTAATATTTGTGAGCAGCCAGCTGAATCTCAGGAGTATTCACAAAATTCAAATGATAATTATTTAAGGGAATCAAAAGAACAGCATATAATAGGTAGTATTGTACAGAATAATGTAAACTTATCAGATTCAGTGACTCATGCTGAAGATCAGTCAAATTTTATGTCTAGGGACAATATTTCTAATTATACTGGTGAAATTGAGAAGTTGAGCGGAAGGTATAGTATAAATGTGGATAATATAGCACAGTTATTTGATAACCAAGTATCTCAAGATGTGTTTGCATCTAATTCTAGAGTAGTAACTGGCAATAGTAACTCGAACTTTGTGAATGGTGATTATGAAGAGATGAAAATAAGAGATGAATCAACATCCTTAACACTAAATTATCACAGACAATCAGTTGAAAAATTAGTTGAAAAAATCGAAACATTGGAGGCAGTAATTGAGAGTAAAGAAAATACTGAAAGGAATTTAAGATATGAACTAGCTTCAAGATTAGAAGAAGTTAATTGCTTGAACGAAACAATTGGAAAGAGGGAATACGAGGAACAACAATTGAGACAATATAATAAAAATTTGATGCAAAAGATGCATCAAATACAACAGAGATGTATAGATGTAGAACATGAATTGGAGGAGTTAAGTGAGAAACATAGAGTAGTATGTCTTACTGTAGAGACTATGGAGCAAAATTTTGCAAAGTTGAATGAAGAATTATCATTAACAAAACAAGAGTTGTCCGTAACGAGAGAAAAACTAAATCAACAAAATATAGCTCTAAAATCAATGGCTAGTTTAACTCAAAAGAAGTGTCTCTCAATTTTACATTCATTGAAAGATTTGCATCAGATAACAAATACATTTGGTTTAGTTCCATTATCTTCATCTAATAGAGTATTTGATCATACTTTTTTTATTTCTACACCATGGAGAAACTCAAAACGTCCTATTGAAAAACAATTTTATTTGTCTGGTGCACAAACAGAACGACCTCACAAGATGAAAGCCTCTCCAATGACTTCTGTTAGAAGTAATTGTGATTTCTCATATTATCAGACTTCAAATAGTAGGGGAAAAGTAAATCAAGATTATAGAGATTCTTGTAGTTTTCCTAGAACGAATAAAAGTGTACAAGATTCAAATATCGATATAGTGAATGGCATAGGTTTTGATGAAGTAGAAAAAAGTGTTAATTTAATAAGTTCTTCTGGATCAATTGATAAATTCATATCTAGTGTCAGCACCTTGGAAGATCAATTACTAAGCAAATCATCATGGGGTTTTGATTACAATGACAATAATAATGAGAATTTACCGTTTGTGAATAATCAAACTTCTAACAAGACTATTAGCTCAAATGAAGATTCCTTGACGGCTTCTAACTCTAATAAAGATATAAAATCAATTAGTGAACTTGTACCCACAAACTTAGCGTAGATCCTTATAAAAGGAGCTAAAGTTTCCAAATTCAGCAATATGGGATTAAAGTGTAGTATATCCCTCATATTTCATCTGAATCTTTACATTATTATCTTTACTTTTTTGATGGATAAAAGACTACATTGGTCTATCTAAAACTGTTAAATCACAAATATTTAAAACTATGACTTTCTAATATTAAAATCTAACTGGGAATTGAAATAAATTTGAAAGCTACCTTGTACATGTAGTTTTAGCAATGTATAAAAATTTGAAGATTAGTAATATTAAATTACTACTTAGGTGCAAAATATTTATAACTACATTTATCTCTATCAAGTAGTTAAATTTGTATAAATCTAGTCGGCTTATTAGTATTTAGTATTTCCAAGTTATTAAGGAATTGACTTATTAATTTATGCATTTCCATCTCAATTAGAAGTAGCTAAGATATTCAGATCTTTGAGGGTAATAGATGATTGAATTTCAGTTATCTCATTTAGTATATCCTGAATAACTCTAGAAGAATTAGAGTGTAGGCCTTTATTTTCAGTATTGTTAGTGATAGATTGTATTTCTACAGGTTCTTTTATGTTAAATTCTGCAATTCTGCCATCTGAAGCTGTAGGTTGAGTTTTTGAACTAACAGGTGTTTCAATTGATCCAACTAGTGCTAGTACAGAGTCAGTTGTCTGAAGTCCCATTTCTGGCAAATCTAGTCTCTCTTTAATAGGGGAATGGGTTCTAACAATACCCAATAATGGTAATTGAACTGATGATGACATATCCTTCGTTGTATATACTGGTGAACTAATCAGATCTACACTTGTAAGGTTTAAAGGTGTCATTTGTTCAGTAAACTCAGATACTTTAGGGGATTGAGCTGAAAGATCTTGAATAGATAAATTATATGGGTATTTAATGGGGCTTGTAGTTGTCTTATTGGAATTATATAGTGAATGTGAATATATTGGAATATCTGCAGAGTTTACTTCACTAGATGCTGAGTAGACTTCAAAATAAGTAGCTTTTATATCTGACTCTTCTTGGGGTTTAGGTGAAACTTCAAATTCCAAGACTTTAGGATTCTCCCCTATATCTTCAAATGAAACAAGATCTTTAAATTTTGATTCTATAGTTTTAAGATTTTTGAAATCTTTAGAACTTTTATTAAAATCTGTAGATCTAAAACTGTGAGGACTGAAGGTTTCTGTTGATAAATTATAGTCTATAGAATTATTATTTCTAGGTAATCCAGGGCTTATAATACCGATACATTCAGGCGAATTAGGGCTTGTAATGCTAACGCATTCGGATGATACAGGATTTATGGGATTGGTATTTTTAGGTGATGTATAACTTCCGGGACTAATATTTTTAGGTGATGTATAACTTCCGGGACTAATATTTTTGGGTGATGTAGAACTTCCGGGACTAATATTTTTGGGTGATGTAGAACTTCCGGGACTAATATTTTTAGGTGATGTATAACTTCCAGGATTAATATTTTTAGGTGATGTATAACTTCCAGGATTAATATTTTTAGGTGATGTATAACTTCCAGGACTAATATTTTTAGGTGATGTAGAATTTCTGGGACTAATATTTTTAGGTGATGTAGAACTTCTGGGACTAATATTTTTAGGTGATATAGAACTTCTAAAACTTGTCTCTTTGGGGACATCTGAAGGCGTTCTTGAGGTTTGTGGTGCACCAATTAATGCAGATGTTGGAGGAGTGAACTTTCTTGAAGAATTTACTTGTGCTGGTAACTCACTTTTAAGAGAAGTTGAAGGTGAAATCATTTCAGTTACAGAATCTTCTGTATAGTAATTATCTTCATCTTCATCTTCATCTTCATCTTTACTTCTTAGTACTCTTTTAAAAGGGCTTCCAGTATCTAATACTTCTAATATTTGATTACTAGGTTGTGTGCTATCAGGTTTAGTTGCATATAAATCTTCATATTTTGCTTCTCTTTTTTCTTCCATTGATATACCTTCTCCAACCACTTTATTCTCTGAAATGGTATTTTGAGAGTGTTCAGGAATTAGTATTGTATACAGGGGTGCAATTTTAAGATCTGTACTAACTGGCTGTTCATGAAGTAGATCCATAAAGAGTTGCAATTGTGAGGAGTTATCAGAGTATAAGCATGAATTTAGGATATCAAGTTCAGGGTGTATCTGACCAATAGAGTTATATGCAAAAGCCGACCATAACTCCTTAGCAGTTTCGTATTCACTATTTTTCTCTAACCCGTTAATATAACCAAGTTCAATGTCACCATTTGTCCACTTTATACTCTTCAGAGCTGAAAATATATTAGTAAGTATCCAAAATAGACGTTCTTGTTCTGGGAATAAAGGAATATTGTTTGATTCTCCACTCTTGCTCTGATCTATACCAGATACCTGGATATTTAAATGGTATTCAAGCCTATCTTTTCCAGATTGTGAGTTCAAGTTGTAAGGTAGAGCATAACCATTTGGGGATAGCAGTAAACGAACATTGCCTGTACTATCAGATAAATATGGCACTCCATTTTGCCTTGCAAATTGGCCTTCATCTTTAAGAATTATGTGTCTATTTACCGAAGTTAAAATGGATTCTAACACTTTTGGACAGTAATTCCAAACGTATCTAAGCATAGTGTAAATACCATGCTTGTGACTTAAATCTCTTATCTCTGATTCAGACATACTCTCCCCATAAGATGAAGAAATAATTTTATTTTCATAAGATGTGCAGATTGATGAATAGCATTTTGCTAGAGTATTTAAACCTGGAAAATTTTCAACTAGACTACGTTTAGCCCTCACCTGTTCAATTAGTTCCATTGGACCACTATTCCACCATTCCTCTGGGTTATTTGGTAAACCAACCTCCTGTACAATAGCCCAATAATCAAATGCTGCCCAGGCAACATTAAGAATTTCCCATGTAGTAAAATTGTCATTCTTTTCGAGGTTATCTGCAAGACGCTTCAAACTTTTACCTTCCCTAGCAAGAGATTTCCATCCTTCTGGTAATAGATCAATATTAATGTGATTTTCTTCTAAGGTATATATTATTTCAGATATAATGGCAGTAGACTTAACCATTTCAGATTCCACTAAATTTTTAACCCATAATCTAAGACTTGGGATGTCTCCTCTTCCATGTAGTAGTTGAAGTTTCCGAATAACTACCAGTTCAAATAATTTCCTTGCGAATGTAACATCTTGTTCTGAGCCCACAGACCATTCAATAACAGGATTTGGCTCTGGTATTAAGTCATTTATTGAAATTATAGAATCCGCTACAACGCTCATAATTTTAATAATCAAGAGGCCTAAATAAAGCAACTTCATTTCTTTTTATAATTAAGTAAATAGCTCTCTCACTTTAAGTATTATGCAAGGTTTCTATTTTTATTTATTTATCTATAAATCCTTAAATACTTTTAAAGAATCGATTAAATTGATCTTTGCGCGGTGCTCCAGCAAGGGATCCCGGTACTTCCCTATACCGGGATATTAACACTAAGGTATTGTTAACATAGCGCCTAGGCACAGTGTACTTTTGTGTCTTAATCTAGAGCTTAGAAAAAGTCTGCTCCAGTAATGTCTAATTTATGTGTTAGGCTCTGAAGTGTGTATTTAAATTTCAAAATCAAAGGGGGTACCTTAAAACTGACGAATTATGATCTTCACATAGTAAACTAATTTGTCAATGAGATATACAAGCAATGCAATGTAATTTACTCTCAAAGATTGATGTTAAGCATCATTTTTAGCTGCTATAATTCTATAGGTGTTATATAAAGATTGCAAAATTTCATTGAGATTTATCAAATTCTTATAAAGTGAAGTTGTAGCAGGAGCCATATCTTGTTGAATTAGATTAAATGAATACAAGAAGCGGTCTAATAACACCTTAAAATCTAGTATTAAGAAGAAGACTTCAGATACAGGAATATAATTCTTGCGGATAATTTCTGAAAATCTCTGAGTCTCATAGAAGTCGACCAGAAATGAGTTAAGTAAGGTCACTGTCAAGTACACATCTGAGTTTAATGATGAAGATTTACCTGAAATGTTTTGTGTTGTGACTACTACGGAATCACTATCTACACATGTCAATAAATCACTTGTACAATTTAATTTTGGTCTAGTGCTGTATATTAGTTGTTGAGGTGACCTAATGTCAGTGTCTTTACATCCAAGCAAAGACATAAAGGGAGTTTGAATGCATATATTTGAATTAGCACTCCCAAAGCTGTTAAGGAATCTTTGTAGTATCGACCCATCATTGATATCTGAATTACTTCTCAGATAGTAGTTAGATAGAGGTAATTTATACTCATATTCTTCATAATCCATGTCAGTACAGGCAGTAATAAGGGAGTTTTTTGTACTCTCAAATAATGAATTATTATATTCGTCGATACAACTTTGTACATATTTTGGTAGTGTTAGTAATAATGGCTGAATCTTACCTCCATAAAGCTGGTCCCTCAGATTACTCGATGAAGAATTCATTAGTTGATTGCGTATATGATGAAGGCAATTTTTAGTCATTGGTTTACATATTGAAATGTGAGCTAGTAGTAAGAGTAAGCGTTGCACTGGATTGGAAGTTAGCAGAAGCTTACCAGATTTCAATATTGAATCTGTATTCTCTGCAGAATATTGTTCAGTAGATCCCTCAAACAAGTACTTAAATATTATCCCTGATTGAATAAGTTTAACCAGTAGTAAATTTGTTCCTTCAAATTCAAACATATGAGAAATGATACCCGAGTAACCAGTACATATCCCATGTGCATTTAAGACTTGTGATCGCTGTAGAAAATCCACTGTAAATCTAAATTGAGAAGCTATAAGTTTATTATGAAATTCTTGAAAGTGTCCAACTGAGTATAGTGGATCCTTAAAGAACTTTACCAGAGCCTTAAGTGAGATTATTGCACGTTCTTTTGTTATATTTTGTCTACTTTGTTCGTTTAATATGTTATTAAATAGCATAAATGTACGCAAAACAGTTGTTGGTGTAACTGGGAAATTTCCTGTTAATGTGGGTAACTCAGATGTTAGTAATCGATTGCGTTTTCTTGCAGATATATCCCAGAAAATGATATTTCCTTGGATATCATACCCACGACGACCTGCTCTACCTGAAGCTTGGCGATATAATAGTGGAGTTAGTGTTATAGAGTCATTCACAAACACTGCTGTTCGACAGGGCATATTTACTCCAAGTGCTAAAGTCCTTGTTGATATAATTATAAGTAGATATCCAATGCGATATAAAGTATCCACAGCACGTCTATAACGTAAGCTCAAGCCATCATGATGAATTCCAATACCACGTCTTAAACCCTCTATAAATATTGGTGATACTTTTCCTTCGCATGAGCTAATCAAGTCCTGGATTTCGCGTTCCCTACCTCCCATAACTTTTCTATCACATAAGAAGAACTCTGCATCATATTCTTCTGAGATATCGATAGGTTCTTTTAGATTCTCTAAAGACTGTAATTCACTTTCATCAATTATAATTCCTTGTCTTTCGCGTTGTTGTCTACTCATTGTTTTTAGTTTCAATAACATGTCACGTCTTTGAATATCTTTCAAGTATTGTTCATATCGACGACGATTAATAGTTTTAGTCATTTGCATAGCTTCTTTTGTACCACAGTATTTATAGTGATGATCCTTCTCAAGTTTTCCAATTAAGCTCTGTCCTAAATGTTCTACAACACTCCGTTCCATATTGAATATAATACATGGCAATAAATTTTCACTTTGTAATTTGCGAATCATTTCCAAAAATTCATCTGCTAATTTGTATGCAGAGGGTAGCCGTTGAGAGTATACTAAGACCTCCTCACTCTTTCTAATATTATCAATAAACTCTTTGCTATTGAAGAGATCACTATTTGTTTCGTTACTATAGCTCCTAAGTACACCATTATTACCAGTATTCATTATAATATCATACATATCACAACCACTCTCCTTTGCTAATTGAACTAATTTCCTTTGATAAGTCAAACTTGGTGTTAAGAGTAAATTTCTAGTTATATATGTCCATGACTCCTTTGTAATTACCTGCCTTCTTACAAGTTGTACCATTACATTTAAAATAGTTACCAAGTAGAATCTATATTGCTTCTTTGTAATGGCTAAAGTGCCATTAAAGTATATATCTGGATCTAGCCAATATACATATTGTTCAAATGGTTCTTTCTGCTCATCCTTTTTAATTATTTCACTTATAGCCAAATATAAATCAAGACAATCGGCGGGTGTTAAGTAAAAATCTCCAGGTAGTTCGTAGTTCAATACTCTTTCATATGACAGTGCTAGGACTGGATTTAATGGATATAAGTCACCTTGATGGTATATCAGTGTAGATAGATCAGCATAGCGTTCATTATATGTAACTAAGTGGACTTGGCTATTAGGTGTCTTTTTAATTTTTTGCAACCAATTATAAAAAGAATATGGATTTCCAATTGTTGCTGATAGACACAAATATTGGCATGGGATTAGTTGTAGTATACGTTCCCAATAGACACCTCCTTCTGATTCATTAATACAATGAACTTCATCAAAGATAACAAACTTAATTTTCGATACCCATGACTGATATACACTACTCATTAGGAGTAGCTCAAGCATATATGGTAGTGTTATCAATATTTGACATTGAGTTGGAATGTTAATGGAATAGTCTCTACTAAGCTTACAAAATAGAGAGATTTTTGAGTGATTTGGGTATGTCTTAGATCCAAATCTATATGATATTTCTGCATGTACCTGATCTGCTAGGGCTTTAGTTGGTGCAACGAAAACAACTACACTCTCATTGTCATATCTTAGCACTTGTTCCATTGCATAATAACAAATAAATGTCTTTCCACTTGCTGTTGGTGCACATACTAGTGCAGAATCTCCCTTATCTATAATATCTAGTATGTATTTTTGCCAATAATCGGGTAAAAACAATACTCTTGAATCAACAATGCTTCCTGTAGAGCGTTCAAAGTCTGCTCCCATATATCTTAGCTGAAAGGCGGCTTCTAGGCCCTCTTTTATGTGCAGTGCAAGCTTGTCATATCTTCCAGAGTTAAGAAGTGATATATACAATGACTCCATTTCAGATACCATTTTCTCAACCTCTCTTAAATATCCATCTCTATCTTCAGCTATATTCTCCTCAGTTTTGTTTTTATTTCTTTTCCTATTATTTGTGTTGTTTTGTTTACCTTTCTTATTAGCTGTTTCGGTTTTACTACTTTCCTTTGTTTTTTTATTACTTAATTCTATATTGTTTTTCTCTTGCATCTTATATTTGTATAAAGTGATCATATTTCTTGCTGAAGTTGTAAATCCTATCTGTAATAGAGCCTTAATCATTTCACCAAAGTCATTCTTATCAATGATATCATAGTACTGACTAAAGGTCTCAATAATAATCCTAAATGTCATACATATTGCCGATCTTGCACTCACCAGATGATTAGCATCAGGTAAGGTACTGCATTTAAAACTACGTATTACAGACATACACGTTTGAATTGTCTTAATTAGTATTTTACATCGCGATTTTGGTAGCTTGAATGAACGTGACAAGGCTTTAAATCTATTAAATTCATTAGTTCTTCTCGGTAGGCCAATCAACATATCATAAACTGCTAGCATAAATGAGTCAGGATCTCCCTTTGCTAGTATTTGATTCAGTCTAATCTCATATTGCTTCAGTTGATTGTCATCATCCTGTTGCATCTTTTGTGACTTTGCCTGCTCATTCTTTCGTCTTATCTCTTCAGCTTTTGAAGATAGAGAGTTATTAGTTACTTTGTTAGGAGATAATTCGTTACAAGTATTCCATACATGAAAAGGATTCACGACTATTGCCTGGTGAAATCTCTCATTACCAGTCAGTAATTGTCCCAGATCAAACCAAAATTGTTGATTACGTTGATTATCTCTAAGCTTCCTTTTTCTCTGAAGTTCAGCTGATAGTCCAGATATACAAACATTATCAAACCTATATGTTGGGCGTGTTTCTTGGGGACGTTCTATTTCCCAAAGTGCGACATCTCTAATTCCAACAATCCCCATGACATCTTCTAAATATAAGACAGTTTCTTTTGAAGGTATATTCTTCGTATCAATACCCGTACTATCCAGCTGTCCTAAATCTGATATTCGGACTCCTAGTTCTGACATAACTCTATTAACAAATTTCGAACGTAATGGAAGTAATGTTGGTCTCCCTCCAGTATATATGTCCGAATTTATTGCTTCTTGAATGGACAAGTCAACATTCTCAGTATAAGATGACAGGATCCCATCTAACACAATGGGAAATAAAGAGGACGAATTGCCATTAACTTCAGACCAGAAATTTTCCATTTCTATAGTTTGATTCTCTGAGAAACCTAGAGCTTCTGCTGTAACACCCAATTTATTATTTTTAACTAAGCTCATCTCACCAATAAGTAAAAATATAAATTCCATCAAAGTTGGATCATATAGATCGCATATGTCTGCACAATTTATACGTCTTAAATTTCCTGTAAAATCATTTAATTGAATAGTTATTAGTTGTTTAATTGTTTCAGAGAAATATAGGTATTCTAGAGACTTGCATGGTTCATTAAGAAATTCCCAGTCTCTACTTTTCTTGTGTCTATAGCATATTGCTGCAATTTTAGAGCGATCAAGTAGCTTTATGACATAATTCTTCAAGTAAAAAGAAATTAACAATATCTTCCCAAAAAAATTTATCAATTCTATATTATGAAGTGTATCTTCATCACTAGATGATCTTAATATATCTTCAGTTGTTATTGAATTCTTTATAAAAGCATGTATAAGTAATTGAGAGATATTAATGGTTTCATCTCCTTTATTACCAATTATTTCATTAGCACAGTTGTATTCATGATCTTTGCAGTATTCAGGTTCCTGTAAAGGCTTATCCAAAATATTCTTTAAAATGACTTCTCTAGATAATTCTACAAATAGTTGAGTTATAGTTGAAGAATAAGAGAGCGCAATAATTTTTTGACCCTTTCTTTGAATTTTATAAAATAGTGTTACATTAGAGTAGCTTAGAATATCTAGACCAAAGGATAAAAGTGCTGTTTTCAGTGAAATAGGAGTTTCATCATCAATATATTCCTGAGTAATTGAACTTCCGTCTTCAATAAAGAAAGTTGTTGATTCAAGATTGTTCATATATGTCTGGAACTCCTTACTAACCCAGTGAATAAAGTGGGAATATGTAAAGATATTTGGATTAAGCTTGGCATGTAGTAATAATATCTCACGTACAATCAATAAACCAGGGTTGATATTTTCAAGATATACTCTAAAGCAGTCCAGAAATACTAATACAATTTGTTTAGTTCCTGCTTCAAGCATAAAACTTATGAACCTCTCGACTAGGTAGATATATGGTAGAGTCTGGGGAGAAGAAGAATAAGAGCATGAGCATCCATCAAAAGTATAGTAGAGATTTAGTAGCAAACCTTCTGCATGGACAAATACATTTTCGGCATCTGCTATATCTGGAGTTATATCATTTAGAGAGACTGTAATTGAGCCAAAATACCATTCTAATATATTTCCTAGCATATGGGTTGATTCTAGTATATCTTCTTTCTTCTCCAATAGCTCATTGAGCTTATTCAGAAGTATAGGGTTATCTTCTGGGTAATATATTTGCCCAGAGTTGAGAGATTCGCCAATATAATTGGAAATAGCTGCAAAGTCTTCTGATTTACTTACTAATTCGTCTTTTAATTTCGGTTCCAGTAAGTTGCTATCTAGATACAGATCTCCACCTACCTTAAGAGTTTGCTCCATAGCTCCTATATATCAAGTAATATTCAGAATATCACTTGTTTCTCTGAAAAAAGTATTTCAATATAGTTCCACAATAACAAATCCGGTTTATAGTTAAGTGTTTATGTATAGCTAATATTAGGTTATACTCTCAAATATTTATTAATAGGCGGGAATATTCTTAAAATGTTATAATTAGACAAATTCTTTAAATATTGTCTTAAATTGATCAATCCTAACTTTTTCATTAGTTTCATCACCAAGTATTTTACTAGATATATCGGATTTTAATTGATGAAGTTGTAAAATCCTCTCTTCAACTGACTTTCTGCATACAATTCTGTACATATGTACTGTCTTGGTCTGGCCAAGTCTATATATACGTTGCAAGGCCTGCTCCTCTACTGCTGGATTCCACCATAAATCAGTCAAATAAACTCGTGTCGCTGCAACCAAATTTAGACCTACCCCTCCAGCTTTAATAGAGACGAGTAATATCTTTTGTTTACTTTCACTAAACCATGATATGATAGAACCACGTTTAGACATACTTATAGATCCATCCAAACGTCGGAAGTTGAAACTGTGACAATTTAGTGCCATTTCTATTATATCTAGGAAACTTGTCCATTGAGAAAATATCACAACTTTTTGATTATCATTTATATCTTTATGTAAATATTCCAATAAAGTGCGGATTTTTGTTGAATATATTGTAGGCTTCCAGTAAGTACCAGAAGTATCTATTAGTGAATATTCTCTTTCATATATTACTCCTTTAGCTTGTTGAGATTGCTCCGGAAGCTGTGTAGTTTTACTTATTTGTAATAGATTTTTATTAACCTCACCTTTATTTATCTCTTTTATTTGATGCATCTCCATTTCTATTGCACTAAGAATCGCCTTGGGAATTTTTTGAGTTCCTGGCAATGCTATTAGTTCATTTTTCTTAAAAATATTTCTACAGTACGGACAACTTGCAGTTCCAACTTCCTTTTTTGAAATAAGCTGCAATGCACATATTCTACAAAGTATGTGTTTGCATGGCAGATTTACAGGGTCTTCAGAATAATCCATGCACACTGGGCACGATGGTAAAGGTGAATCTTGAGTTTTGTCTCTGGTTTTAGAATTATGGTAGATCTTTGTAGTTTTGGTAGACTGGATATGTAAAAGTAGTGGATGACATACTACTTGCCTTAATCTCAAAAGAAGAGTTAAAACTATACTAAAATTACTCATAATAGTCCCATTTAAAATTAATGAATCAAATTTTTGTTTAGATCTTTGATAAAGTGAATTGTATATTTCACTTTCAGTATAATCCAACTCAACCCATATTGTATGAACATTCTTTTCTGGTAGTACTATTATTGGATTGCCATCTATAATCGTATCCCTAGTTCTTCTTAGTATTATAGGGCTTATAATTCTTCTTAGAGTCTCTATCATTGTAGCTGTATCACTGGTTAATTGTTTCCACCAAGAAATCCTGCACCAGGGTTCTATCCTGAGAAATCTTATCAATGAATATATATCATTAATTGTATTTTGAATAGGTGTTGCAGTTAAACACCATCTAAAACGACCTTCTAAAGCACTACAAGCTTTAGATACTTTTGAATCAGAGTTTTTTATAAAATGTGCTTCATCTAGTACGATGCGATTCCAGTATACTCCATATATAGCTGATCTATTGGTTGTACAACTGCTTGTACTTTTTAATAAAAGGTCATATTCAGATGATAGTGTGCCATATGTCATTAAAACTATGTCATAATATCGGGCAATATTTCTCGGTTTGAGTTGGTGTCTTTTATTACCATAATAAGATAGTATATTCATAGAATTTACGTTAAGATGTTTTTCAATTTCTTGCTGCCATTGCAACATTAGAGATAGTGGTAGAATAATTAAAGTTCCTCCTTCTGGAAGATGTAAATTTTCAGAAATGGATTGTGAAGGTGTATAGAGCTCATGTGAAGACTGACTAGAACTTGCAAATAGCTGTTCAATTTCGTTAAACTCCATATTTCTTTTTTTTTTACTTCCACATATCAGAGCAAGAGTCTGAATAGTCTTCCCAAGACCCATATCATCAGAGAGAATTCCACCTGAATTCTCGTTAACGCAAGCTGGGAATTCTAGAGACAATATCCCCTCAACTTGATTAAAGTATATGAGTTGATACTCTTTATTTAACTTATATTTAATATCGATCCAAGAAAAGCTCTCTGTATCAAATTTATTTATGCTTAGCTCTTCCCAAAGTGGATGCAATTCATTCAAGTTCTCATATTTTCTCTCTCTTGACTTCATCCAGGAGTATCCTTGCTGCTGATAGGGATAGAGCTTACTTTTAAATATATTTGTATTCAGCTCAACTTCTTCAACTATATCAATATTTCTTGGTATTAGACAAAGAATTTCATCAATAGTTAAGCATTGTCTGGTATCTTCTGAGTAGACATAATTTTGGGACTTAGGATATGAGGCCCATAAACTTTTTTTTTTTACCTGTAATTTAACCTTTTCAAATAATTGGGACCATACTGTTCTTAGCAATAAACTATTATCATTTGAATTGTCATTCACTTCAATATTCAATTCTTTTTTACCTAATATTTTTGATTGTTTGAGTATAGTACTTTTCTGATTTTGGTAGAAGGCTTTTGATGTTGCAAATATTACCATCTCAAGAGGTACTAACTCTCCAAAGGAAAGATAACTAGTTGGAAAATCTGATCTAATTCTAGCCTTAATTAGTATCATTTCAGCTGCAATTAGTGGATATATAAATTTAACATTTGAAGAAAGCATTCCTACTTCTCTACCTTCTACTACTACTCTCAGTATACTGGAGCTTAATGTATCCTCCATTGAATAGCACTCTTCCAAATTGTGTTTTCTCTTTTTTCTTATACCAGATTGAGATACTATAGATAGCTTTAAATCAACGTTTAACCCCCCTGAAATCTCTATTTTTCCTCGTAAGTTACTCAGAAAATCCAAAGTAATTGTCCCTAGATATATTAAGAAAGGTTCTGAGATATTCTCTCTAAGTGAGGTTCTATTGAGTTGTGCAGAAGTTGAATTTTGATTAGCATCTGTTCCATTGGATATATTAGCTTTCTTTTTACTCAAAGACTCGACCATCAAGTTTTTAACTTCTTCCATGGACTCATCATCAAATATAGTGATATCATGGTTATTTTTATTGTTAAGTGTATCCAATATTTGATTTTTTGGGGAATGTGTAATTTGTAAATTTTTATAGAAAGCATCAACTGCAGAGTTTAAATCAAAACCAGAATGCCGAAGCAATGTGAACAAATAATTATCAGTAACATCGTGAGATATTCCAATCACATTCCTAAACTTACTTATTTCTTCATGAAAATTTGCATACATTTCTCATTCTTTATTTTTCTTGATTGTCCACCTCCCATGAAGCGGTGCTACATAATTTTGTCAAATATGACACCCCTACGTATTATCCTTAAGCCCAATTACATTAGGTTCTTATTTCTTAAGAATATCTTGACTAGAATTTGATTTAATTATATTTGAACAATGTTTTAATAGAAATATAGTGATTGTTTATGATATCTATCACTGATTGATAGTAGTAATAAATATTTATACTTAGGGCCTTTATTATTACTAAAGGAAACTCTATGAACTCTTAATCCATTAATTATCAGTTTTAAGGTACCCATATATTAAGTCATGTATTTTTTGTTTATTTACAAAATTGTATACCGGCATGACAGTAAGAATATGTAGCGCTAAAATTGGTATTACTAGGAAAATAATCGTGGCACTTCGATAGTTTATATTTTTCTTTCCTGCTCCTTCTAAAAGACTTCTTAATATTCATAATATTTTATATTTGATCTAGGAAATGAAGTAGCTATGATGGAGATATCAAAGCAGTTGAAAAGAGGAAATTTATGTAGTATCCGAGTTCACACTATGCAAGAAGGTGATGTTGTGTGGCAATTTGAAACAAGTGATATCCTGAAATTCATATACAAAGAGAAAGAAATCCGGATTTATGACTTAATTAAATTTTGTACTGGGGAAACTTTGGATAGTATTGAGTTTAAAGAAGCTGATAAAAGTGGAACAGAAAGTACAGTAGATATATATTCAAATAAATTTAACAACTTAGCAGAGCAGCTTGGTAGGGTACTTGATGAAATTGGAAGTGTTGAGTTTTATTCGGAATTTCACAAGAAATTAAGTACTGAGGTTGCAGACAAAGTGAGTGATGAAAATGTGATTACTAGGATTTCTATTCCATGCTTAACCCTTGTTAACTTATTTCTGAAATTTAAAGATATTTATACTCATGAAGAATTTATGGAAAAAGTATATAGAGTTTTGGGAATGCACTTAAGATATATCTTACCTAATGTATTTTCAGAGAATATAAAGATAGGAAAGCCAATGCTGGATGGGTATTTGAACATATATATTAATTCAATAGAGAACTTGATAGAAATTATAAAAACATTTAGAATTTCAGAACTGAATGCAATTCAACTATTATCTTTTTTACCATATATATTTGTACTACCAGATATACATCCAAAGTTGATGTTAGTTACAATTGAATGCATAGTGCAGCTATTTTTCTCTCATTTATATATATCTGATAAATTTATGGAAGGCTCATTAGCCTCAATTTTTGGTATTCTTGACAATATAACAACTACAAATAAATCTATAAAAAAATCTAAGGTTATGGTTGATTCTCAGATCTTAGTACATGGGTATACATTTCTTATACTACGATTAATTCATGGAGTTTCTTGCCCAAATGACATTTGGAATGGAAAATTTGGACTTAGTGCACTAGATATGGCTAAAAAGCACTATGAACTAGTAAAAAAAATATGTTCTCAATTTGCTGGTTACTATATCAACAAGCTAGTAATAACAAAATCTAAGCAAAGAGATGGCTACAATAATCATAATGGAGATATTGCATCTATGCTACTTGTTGACTTGGTAAAGTCTTCAACTTCACCTAAATTTTGTTTATCTAAATTATTAATTCAAATAATAATTATTCAACTAATAAAAATATCAAATAGTGCTTTAACATCGAATACTTTAGTAGGGTCACTTGCTCAGTTAGTTGATACATCTTCTAGAGAATTAAGTATAACTTTAATTGGTTTATCATTACCTATTGTGCAAAGTGTATGTAATATTAGTAAGAATATAGTATTGGGGGCTAAAGTTGACAATATCTCATTAGAAAATGAAAAGGTAAAAGTGAACAGTGAAGATATTGGTTGCTATTGCTTAAATAATGAAGGGATTTCTCAAGCAGCAATGCTTGATTGCGATAAATGCCACCGTTGGTTTCACATGAAATGTGTTAGTGTTGAGCCAAGTAATGTTCCTGAAATATGGAACTGTGATGATTGCATTTTGGAACAAGTTAAAGTCGAAGTTTGCCACGGAATTAAATCAGAGGAGCTTAAGTTAGATATTGGGGATATACTAAACATTTCGGCCATTTCAATTTTTCATTATCTGACAATTACGAATTTTAATATGATAGGAATGACAAGAGATATAATTGAAAATTCAACAATTTTTGATTTAAATTCCTCAATTAGAAGTTCTTTCATCTTAGAGATATTAATGAGACTCAATGCGCAATCAAATGATGAAAATAAAAAGAAAGAGATCTTCAGGCATAAAAAGTTGGGTAAACACGACAAAAATATAATAAAGAAGCATGGAAATAATAAAATTTCATTGAAATCAGGTAGTAGTGTTTTGGAATATCAAGATTTACATTCTTTATTTTTAAATGAATGGTTATCGCCTATTACAAGTAATATTACATCTTTAACAGCTTATTCTTCAAAATTACCAAAAATTATGCAATCAACAATAAATAGGTTGTGGTGTAAAATAATATCTTCAACATTTACTGTGTTAGTTGAATTGATGTTAAATTGCATATTAGTAAACATTCATAATTCACCAAGTATGTCACAACGGCGTACAGCAGTTAATGCTTTGGGAAATCTCTTGGTTACTCATCCAATATTGGCATTTACAAATGATTCAATATCTAATGCCTTATTAAATGCATTACAGGATAAGGCACCGAAAGTGAGGGAAAGATCACTTGTACTAATAGAAAAACTAATCCTAGATAATAATTGTGATTTGAACTTAGAAATTAATAGTAAAGAGTCATCTTCAATGAAAATTCCTCAATATATGTATGAAAGTATTTGCAGAATGTCATATGATATATCTCCACTGGTAAGGATTGCTGCAGTGCGCATCTTGCGTCAATTGTATGAAAAAAGGAATTTTGATCTTTCAATAGGGGCTTTGTTACTAAGAAGGTTAACATCCCCTGAAGAGACTCAGACAATACGACGTTATGTAATGGATGTATTCACTTCACTTTGGTTTAGCAAATCAAAAGTTTGCAACAAGATAAGTTGTACAAACTTCGTAAATATTTTGAAGATTTCACAAGGCAGGAATTTTCAGCAACTTCAAGGTTCTTCAAACTGGTTACTACATCAATTGATTGGTGCGATGCGAACAAGTATGTCTAGCTCTGAGATAGAAGAATCTGTCACAAGATGGGTTCCATTACTATTGGATATGTTTTTAGAGGGATTTGAGCATGCAAATAATGAAACAGAAGTAAGTGAAGCAAATGAAAGTGGTTTAATTACAGAAAGCAATGATTTACTCTTTTCAAATTTTCAAATAAACTGCTTGAAAGCATTAGAGACACTGGGGGAAATATTTCCCCATTCAACAACTGTAGTATTCCCTCACATTATCATTTACATGAGAGACATTAATAGTGGTTCATCAGATGCTCTAATACATATATGTAACATACTATCGTATATAATTCCTTTGGATATAAACTATGATATTAGCTCACTCGTAATAGATTTTATAAATATAATCAACAATGCCAGATCACCTCAATTAATAAAATCAGCTATTTGCTGTCTTTGTAAAATAATACAAAAGCCAGATATTGACAAAACTCATTTCCACTTGTTAATAATTGACAAAATTAATACAATATGGGATTACAATAACAAGCAAGATTTGAATTTATTTGATAAGAAAACAATAGACATTATTAGGCGTAATTGCTGGATAATAGGGTGTATTTACGAGTTTAGTAGCCCAGAATTGCCTTTGTCTCTTAAAAATGGGAGAATAATTGAGACAAACTATTGTAAAACCGAATTTGGCATTTCGTTTGTAACTAGCAATTCTAACCAGCAACTTATGAATTTTAAAGAGAGTGATAAAGAATCAGATGAAAACATTGAAAGCGATTACAGTGATTGTATAGAATCAAGTAATTTAGTATTCGATTTGATATGCTCACTTTACTACAAAATTGACTGGAAACTGGGCAAAAGTGTTATTTTACCTACAATAACCGAATTTTTGGTCAAACAAAAACAATTTATCAAAACAATAAAATTTAGCAAGCTTATCCAATGTGCTATTCGAATTTGTGATTGCACAGATAATCCAACTTCTAGTAACTCAGACTTATGCATTGCTTGTTTACAATGTATATTTTCACTATTGAATGCATACGAAACTGAGGCACTGAAACCAGTGGAAGATGAAGATATAATATCAGACAACTATAATGCTAGCTATTCATGTTCTGAAGACAAATTGAATACAATCTTTTCTGAAACAGCGAATGATAATGAAGAATCAGATATATTCCATACACCTGTTAGAAAAAAATCTGCAAAGGTCTCTGAATTTGAAACTGATAGTAACTCTCCAATATCATCTAGGACAAGCTTTGATTATTTTTCATCATTAAAAGCTTCTAAATATGGTTCTTCACAATACTTTAATAGATTGGCATCTGTATCAGCTGCACAGCCATTGGCTGCACATTTAGATCTACTATTGGACCTTATTAGATTACTAAATGAATGCTCAAATGAAAAGTTTACTCAACATCAAAAACAAATGGTCGCCATTTTAGTAATTTGTATTCTTGAACAATTTAATAGACAAGGTTTGGTAAATCCAACTTCAATTATTGCACCAGTATCTGGAATGCTTTTCTCACTAAACAAGGATCTAAGCGTCAGAGCATACCAAATAACTTCTAATCTATTTGATAAATTTCCGAACCTTGTTATAAACAAATTTAAAGATATCACAGTATATGGTTTTAATTTTATTATGGGGAATTTTCCAACTTTTCTCGGCAATTTTGAAAGTAATGGAGAAACAAGAAGAATATTTGATAATGATTTACAGAACAATGAATGTTGTGGAATATCAATACCTATATTTTGTAGTAATATCATGGAGTTATATAATCGTCTTTATGTTGAGAAGTGTAGAAATAAGAAATCACTCCGTGAAACTATAATAAAAGGGCTCTGTAAACAATTGGAACTACTAATAAACAGCGAGAGCATTGATAATTTATTGAATAAACTATTTTCCAAACATAAAATAGACAACTATGGAGTCATATTACTTTATGTAGAGTTTGTCTCTTATCTAATAATGAGTACTCCATTTGTATATGAATCAGAAGTACTCCTACTTATTTACACTATGGGAGAAATGTGCATATTATGTTCTCAATTTTTGGAAGACTACAATGAAAAGATGAATGAATACTGTCAGTCAAAATCATTTACATTATATACTTGTACACTATTAGTAACTATTTGCACTTGTATGCAAAAGGTACTTAAAACAGAATACAAGATAAATGACCAAAACTTATCTTGCTTTAACCCAAATACTTGTATTGTAAAGGAAAAACCTAAATATGCTCATCTTGATATTGATACAGGGGAATCTTCATCCATAAATATAGCTGGAGTTACTCTAACTCGTTCTACAGTTTACAATAGTTTGAACTGTTTCCGTAAAAAGGGTTCGAGTATTTACACATTCCGAGATGAACCAGCTAGATTAAGAAGTTTCATGAATGAAACTTTGTATTCACAAACTGAAGTCATATCTGAAAAAGAAATAAAGCTATATAGAAGAAAAAATAGAAAACGCCCAAGTAATAAAAAAGGAATAGATTCTGATGACTCTTCTCAGAGCTGGAGCCCAACAAAAATATCTAAAAATCGCTAGTATCTAGAATTAATTATTATAATTAACTTATATAATTACATATGAATAAAGTAAAGAACTTAAGGTCTTATTTTATATTTAAAAATGATCCAATATCTTTATATCTATGTTTTAGAATTTTATTGTCAGTGCTATGTACAAATATCGTTACATGCATGTATATATACATGCATGTGGAAATAAGACAGTACAGATTAAAAAGAATTATTTAAGGTATATTCCTAATAGGAGGATAAAGTGAATTAATCTAGATACTTGTGTATCTTTTAAGAATAATAGATTTCTCATTATTTTAATTAAGGTAAATGAAGTAGATATAAAAAATCTTCCAATAAAGTGATTATAAACCGCTTTACGGAACCGGGAAAGTTTATATTACTTTAAGCATTACTTTAGTGGGCATCTTTATAAAGTAGGGTTTACTCACTTTTTTAATAGGGGGAAATGGCAGAAGTTCTCTATAAAGTTGAGATATCTCCTGGTCAGGATAGTAATAGTGAATATAATAAGGAAGTTAAAGATAACCATGCTTACCAGGAAGAATTTTTGTACGATTGGACACTAATATGTATGAGAATTGAAAATGGTATAAAATTAACTGAGCAAGTGAAAACTGCTTTGCAAGAAAGAGTTACTCTTGAGGAAATGTATTCAGTTGGACTTGAGAAGATCTCATCTAATTTTTTTCCTCCAGCAACAGAAAGTTCAAGCATGGCATCAGCAGTGAAGGCTCTAAGGAGTGAAACATTACGTAGAGCACAACAATGCAGGGAACTAAGTGAAACTTTAAGACTCGATATTTTAAATAATACATTAAATCAGATGTTAGATAATCATAGGTTGGTTTATTCTAGTTTGCATGAAACGGGTTGCAAGTTGTCGGGGGAACTTCAAAATAAATACCTGCAATTTATCAAATTTAGGAATGAATATGCTTTAGCATATAATTATATTGGAAAATTAACTAATAAATACCAGAATGAAAAAGATAAACATGAAAAATCAGATATCATCATGATAGCAAATGAGATTATTAAAAGATCATGCTACACTTCATATATAGAAGAGAAGTATATTGAGAGCATAGATAATTTAAACAAATTTCGTGAATTTTATGAAGCTGAGACAAAAAAAGTATTAAATATTCTTGAAAGTATGGATAGCAAACGTTTGTTGTGTTTGAGGGATGTTTTTATGAAAACTATTATTTATGACATGAGTTATATAAGAAATTTGCAATATGATTCAGATAACGTTATAAAAGCATTAGAAGCTATTGATATAAGTAGTGATATGCAAGAGTATGTAGGAAGATTTGGGAAAAGTAGTAAAACTAGTTGTAAATCTAATGAGGCATATACTCATAGTAATATTACGACTAGAAAGAGTTGGGCTGAAATAGTAAGTGAACTGGATAGTTTTAACAGTTCAGATAACAAAATTGATGATGAGCTTGATTATTCACTTAACAACAAAGATAGTATAAAGGGATCTTTTGATCTTCATACTCTCGTTTCATCTTTTGTAGGTCAAGATGCAGCTATAAAGGCACAAAAGGTAGCAAAGTTGATATTTTCACAAATGAACATTTTAGGTGATAATCCTAATTTATTAGAAGATAATTGCAGAAATATTTATAACTCTAACTTGGAACTAAGTCATGTCAATTCTACTGAGGGACCAAATACTTCTTTAGAATCATTATCAACTAACTTTTCTACATGCACTATACAGACAGAAAGCAAGAAATTAGATTTACAGGGAAATTCTGCAAATTCAGAATACCCTACCATATATAAGACATTTATCAACAAAGTACTTAATTCAGTTTTAATAGTAGAAATATCTGAAAATATTTCAGATAATCTTATTGATGAAATTAAGAAACTTGAACAATTAGATTATGGATTTAGAGTCACTCACAATAGATGCTGGTTTTCTAATTTTTTACTTAAAGCTGTTCAAGAACATGATTGCAAGGTAATAATAAATACAGATGATCAAACAAAAACCTACATAACCAAATTCATTGATATAATAATGATGTTATTGACTTGTTGCCAAGATAGTAAGGATATTTGGACATTTAGGATTATTGTAAATATATCTAGTAAAATTATTATTGATAGGAAGGAATTAACACATATAATATATCATCATGAAATTTGGGATACTGTAAAATTCTGGGAGGATTCACTAATTTTGTGTATAGCTGAAGATTTCCAATTCAATTGCATCAAAACCAAAAAATTAACAGATAATTTAGATGATGACTTATATAACCAAGAAATTGAGCAATTCAAACAGAATAATTACTGCTGGCTTGAGTTAAATAATTTTGCGATGACAATGAAGTCATTTGGAATACCAGATATATCTATTATAACACTCTTCACGAAGATATGTGGCTATTACAATTTAGAAAAACCTTATTGTGACAAATTGCTTGAGAAGCTAAAGTGTAAAGAATAGTCCTTTTTATTGTTTGGGATTGTTGAATTGTCAACTTATAAATTTAATTTCAATATTCAATTCTCAACTGATTCAATAGAAAACCCCTCAAAGTAATACTTTATTTGCACAAGCTAAATCAATCATATAATACATCAAAATAGAAACAATGTGAATTGATATACTGTTCCCAATTAATGAGTATTGCTGTTTTAAAAATTCTAAAGAATCATATTTATATATTGCTGATAACCAATTTGATGGGAATCCCATCAAAGACAAAATCTCAGATGGTTGCAAAAATCGAATATTGCATTTTGATAAGTCAATCTCATTAATACATTGAAACCTGCTAGGACACAATTTACTTGTATCAAAGATTTGTTTATATACTGATGATGGTTCATCACAAGATAAATATTCATTAATATACTTTGTATTATCTACATTAGAACTTTTCATAAATAAAGGTTCACCTCGCCCAGCACTTTCAATATAACTTCTCGTTATTGTTGTTGAAACGATTGATAATTCATTAACTATATCAAATCTAAAAGAATTATTTCTCTCAATAACTTTATTCGCTACTTCAGAAAATAGTGAACTTTTAGCTGTATAAATAATATCACCTATTTTTTTTGGATGACTGTGTAATAGTTTGTAACAGAATTTTGATGAATATGGGAGATGGCATAATAATTCATCATAAGTAGATTTATTTTGAGGATCATTTATTATTAGTTTATATTCTAACTTTTTTGTGCCTTTACAATTATTTCTTAATATGTTGCTGGCAATAAAGTTTTCATACCTTGATAAGATTGAATATTTGCATGATAGTACTAAGTTTGAACATCTGAATGCCATACAATAATATCTAACTCTTGTATTTGGTATATTCAACAATGTTGGAGATAATAGGAATTGGATATATGTATAGTCGAGATCATTAAACATATCAATCATAAATTTATGAGTTCTAGACTGTTCAAAATTTACTACATTTTCAATAAACCAAATACTTGGCATATTAGACACGTCAATTTTGTACATTAAGTCTATTATTTTAAGAAGTGGTTTACACCTATTATCGTCGGAATCTCTTTTAGCTCCTCCCCTAGTAAATGGTTGACAAGGACCTAAAAGCCATATATTAGCTTTTGGAATATCATCAATGTTTAATGATTCAATACTTTTTGTGCATACTTGGGTATCTTTAAAGTGTCTTTTATATATGTTGTTGCAATTTTCATTTAGTTCAAAAGCTTTTATTACTTTAATATCTATAGCTTGCCCGTGTTCTACCTTCATTATTATCAAAGTACACATAATTTGAAGTTACATTTAGAAGTTGATATTAATTAAAGGATAATACCACATACCAGTTTCTCAATAGCATACTTAAGTGAAAGATGTAGCCCTCCAATACCACTAAAGAATCTTCAAGACAAAATAAAGTTTATTCGCCTGGAAACAAAAAAAAAAAAGGAAATAAGGGATTCAATATTATATACTTACTCAAGGGAAGTTAAATTCAACATCATAAAAAGTCTACTTCTTTATTGATTCATAGTAAACTTATAAATTTTTGAAATGTAAATAACTTTTGAATGAAATACTAATTTATTTAGGTCTCCAAAAGCGCTAAGAATGTTGAAGTAGCATAATTTGTGAGAGTTACAAGAGGTGTATATCGAGTAAATATTGTAACTCTAAAACTTAAAGTAGTATTTATATACCTAAATATATTGCTAGAATTATGGGTAAAAGGAAGGCAAAGAAAGTTGAGATAAAAAAGAAGCCTATTCCGAAATTAGATAGGGAATTCAACTGCCCATTTTGTAATAATTCTAAGACTGTAGGAGTAAAAATGGATCATAAAGGTGGACTTGGTCATCTATCCTGTCGTGTTTGTAATGTTGAATATACAACTCGTATAAATCGACTAGATGAAGCAGTAGATGTATTTTCCCAATGGATTGATAAATGTTATGAAGTAAATTCAAGGGTATCTCCCGATAAACATTTAAATGAATATATAAGCATAGTTAGTGAGGATCATAAGAAAGCTAAGATGGACGATTCTGTAAAGAGACATCACCTTGTAGATTATACAGAAGATGAATATGAGCACGGAGATGACGAGTTCATTGAGGGTAAACAACATATATTAGAAACTCAAAGAAAAGATAGTACTAAAACAAGATATATAGGGAATGATTTAGGTGATGTCATAGACAGGAATCAAAGAGATAGTGAGGTAATTAGTGAGGGGATAACTTCCTCATATCCTCAATTGATGTTATCCCAATCCTTTACAATGGATGAAGAGGAGGACGATGGATTGTTTAGTGACTAAACCTAAATTAAGGAGTTGAATGCTAATCAAAATGCTAATCAACACTATTTATATCGCTTTTAATTAGTAAATTATCCAACTCAAAAAGTTGTTTCCCAGTTAAACTGGTACCGATGTTGTTATTTGATTTCCAAATACCCTTATCTATCATTTCACTTTTAAAAGAATCTTTCCACTTATTAAATTCACTTTCAGTAACCCTTTTATCAACATTACATAAAATTTTATCTGAAAGATCTTTATATACAACTTCACCCTCATCTTGTGTGCTCTTTAATAAAGATTGATTTGTATTTGAAGAGTATTGGCATTGATTATAATGAGGATCCACAGGTTTCAGTTGTACTAATTCATCGATATGACCTTGGATATTTTCTATAATGTTAAAGATACAAATTTCCCCTATATGACTTTGAACACAATTATTTGCAAATTTATACAACTGTTCTAATTCTTGTTGATCATTAATTCCTTGTATATCTTCAAAGTAAATGATTGGGGATAATTGTGGATATTCTTTTGGTAAGGAAATTTTAATAGCAATTCTAATTAAACGATATGTTCCCTCTCTAGATAAGTGGATACTCACAATATTCCTATTTTCATCATATAACAATTCATCTTCTGTATATATTGATCTTAGAGCTTCTATTTCAAGAGCTCTATCATCAAATTCCATTTTGATTAATTTATAAATTCTCGTCTAATTTATTAAGAAATATTCGGACCCTCATTCCAAACCTAGACGCGCTCCCATGTTAGGATGAATAATAGGTTAATATTTAATATTTAAATTATATATGCTACTAATAGCTCAATTTTTCGCCCAATAAAAGATATAATCTATAGTTGTGATCTTTATAGACTATACTAGAGACAAAAAACTTGTTAATGGCTTTTAAATATAGTATCTTATCCGTTACCAGTCTAAATTTTCTTATTTAATGTACATGGTAGTAATAATCTACCAGATCTCGACGTCTTAATGGATTTATTAAATTCATCGACTAACTCTTCACATCCCTGAAGATGTTCCTCTGGTTCCCAAGTTGGCTGTACGGGATGACCAGGGATTTTCCACTTGACTAGATATTCCCTTTGCTTAGAAATTGGTTTCTCCCTGACACTCAAAATCTGTTCAACTTCATATTCAAGAAGGCTAAGTCTCCTTTTTGATTGGCTATCATCGTCTTTCTTATTAACTTTACTTTTTGATTTAGGATAATGTAGCTTGGCTGAGTTGTCTACAGCCTCTTGTGTAAAATTAAGATTACTTAAAATCTGTTCATTTTCTTTATCAAGTTGTAAACTCAACTCTTCAAGTGATCTCTTCGGACGTCCTCTCTTCTTCCCAGGTGTGTATGTTGAGTTCTCATGTAACTCAGGACTTTCTAGTTGTGAAGATGATTCCGTAGGGATATCATCGCTTTGTGGTGTGAAGGTATCAGTCTCTTTTATATATCCTACTTTATTAATTAACCTGACTGATTTTCTTATATTTTTTGATCCTTGGATGATTTCATCTTTAATATAGGATCTCTTATCAGGATATATACCTTGTAGATTCCACTTTATATCACAACTTTCCTTATTTTCAGAGTTATCTTTAGACTCTATATTTACTTGCACGTTATGGTTTATTTCTGTTTGAGATTCCCCAATTTTAGCATTATATTCAATAGATTTCCTCCATTTAGGATTAGATCTCAAAATCCCAAATATAATAACATTAGGAGACGTTAAAATACGATAGACTGGTTTTTCACGTAATGAGAGTTTTATTAATGATCTTTGAATAATTAAATTCTTTTGTTTAGGTGTACCTTTATAATATTCAGATAAAATACTTACAAGTGATATTGGATTTGCAGGTAAATAAGTACCTAATTTAGAAGCCCACTGCATACTACTAATGATAGATGATACCTTATTCATGTTCAGATATTTTGAGTTGTTTGATTGATTACTAATAAATCCAATTCTAGTATTATAGCCATCTTTGCCAATATAATTATATAAAGCTTTAAGAGTATTATCACTATATAAAAAAATAGTAACACCTTCTAGTAACCAAATACACGTTATAAATTTTCCACTTGAAGCTGGTAATAAATACAAATCATTAATTTCACTATCTAGTGTTATCTCATTTGTATCTCGAAATAAATCAAAAGTATTGTCATCTTGATCATAATCAGAATGATTAATATCCTGACTAAATTGCCATACATGCTTACTTTGCACATATTCCTTCATTTGATAATAGTGAAATACGGGAGTCCAAACTATAGGATGGACAATATATGGCCTTGTAAATAATGTATTCCTAAACTTATCATTCCATTCATGAACTAAACCATCTTTTGTTAATGCAATGTATTCTCCTAGTATTGCAGAAAAATCAACAACATGTTTGTTACTTAATGATCCTTTAACATGGCTAAGAAATATTGTCTTATCTATATTCCTAGTAAGATCCATATCATTATTTATATTAATTATAGAGATATTACCATATATTTTATTCTGATTAGTAGTACCCTTTAAAGCCTTTCTCCAAGATAATAGTATCCCATTTTGCAATAAAATAATCCCATTTATAGCATCTAAACCACAATATATTTTGCGGCATGGGTACGGTATGTTCATGATAACTGAATTAACATCACTTCCATATATAATAATAAATGACTCATTCCTCGAATTGATACACGACACCGCCATGCCATATTTGTAAGGAAAATGATGCATACTATCTTCTAGTATTAAATTGCTTTTATCACTAGCAATATACTCGGTGTCATTCATATCCCCTTTATTCTTTACTAATTCCGAAATTGATATATCTATAGCCTTTTTGATACAACTTGATTCTAAAACATTTAATTTATCTAAATCAATAGGATATAACAAAATTTTATTTGTATAACCACTATACTCTGTTATCCAAATATTACCGGCACCTGTTAAACCAGATAATATAAAGCTCCTCAGATCATTAATTGAGATCTCATCACTAATACTCAATGAATCTAATGTAGAAGATATCTTTATACCACGAATTTCCTTCTCATCTAATTCCTTTATATGTAGCCAATTATAAAGTAGTATATCACTACATAAATCTTCATTATCAGATGATGTATTATTAAAGCTCCTTTTTACCTTATTTCTACTAAGTACAAATTCATTATTAAAACTCTGTGTAACATAAATATGACCATTATTCAGTAGTACAGCAATATGATGTCGAGATAAAGCTATATCTCGAACAGGAATATTCTTCGGTAACCTCTTCCACAAATCAGTATAACACAATCTTACACTTGAATGACAATCAAATGGTGAAACTGTCACACTCAATTTATTTATACAATCACCAGTATTCCTATTAACTCCAGTAAGTTTCTCACTTATATTCCTAATTCCTAATCCAAAACCCAAGTATTCCTCCTCGATATCATAACAAGATAGTGTTGAGTCTGGAATTTTGGGATCCTCTTTTAGTACTAAGCTTATATCGCATATTGATGGTATATTTACATCTTTTTTACACTCATTATCAAAATTCCCCCTATCTATATTACTTGATGATGAACTTTCACTAATACTAGTTACCATTATTAGTGACTATTATCCATATAATTAAGATGTATTTGAATTATATAATTAATTAAGAGTTGGGTAGAAATATTTAAATGTACTAATAGCTTTGGATTAAGAACCTGGGATTCACCAAATTAATTAAAGATTAATTGTTGATTTTCTTCCTCACTCCGTCTATAATGAATTCTATAGTTGTAGCTTATAAATTTTTATCACTCAAAAAATGGCATGTCAATAGGCGGAACGATAACCCCCCATTCCCCACTTACAAAATTCTAACGACTTTTCCTAATAATTCTTTATAAGTTTAAAATTTCCATAACTAACAGCTACTACTTGATAAATTACTCCTAAATATTCCCCATATTATTAATTTGAATTATTTTTATAATATTTTCCAGTATAATTGTATCGAGTATTACAATGTCCATTATTTGTAACTGAAGTATCCTCAAAATAGATTGTCCTTGGAGACTCCCTAATATATATATATTGTTTTTGATTACCCCGATTTATCTCATTTCGAGACCTTCTATTTTCATGCAAATATGGAACTGACCCTTCTATGTACCTAGCATCTGTGCCACTAATAAATTGATTGCCAATATTACGAGTAGGATGTCCTTGTAAATTATAAGGTTGTTCAATATATCTATAAGGTATATTCTGGAAATCAAGATTACTATCTCTGTATATGTTATGTGAGTTGTAATTGGAATATATATGCTCTTGTCGATTATTATATAAATTTCCATTATAACTTATACAATTATCTAATAAGATCAATTGATTCATATTATTACTAGAATGCTCATTATTATATGACTTATATATTTGATAAAAATAGTATATACCTGATAACTGAGTTGTTTTAGGAAGCAAATAGTCTTCATTGTAATCAGCCTTATTATTTCCCTGGTATATTTCAAATCTCTTCGACTCTTCTGAATTAGTACTTGCTAAATCTAGAGGACTTTTAGCACAAGATATATGACCAAAATTTCCACAAATTGGACAAATACAATATGCAACATTGATTAGATTGGTATAAGAAAATTGAGTTGAATCATTAATAAAAAACATAAAGTCACGGTCCTTCTTTGCAGGAAAATAATAATTTTCAAAAAAATATCCATTTGATGTCCTACAAAATCTGGATAAATGTCCTTTTAGTAAACACTTAAAACATCGATTAGCTGGGCATGAAACTGCTCGTCTTTCACATTTGGAAGAGCCACAATATTGACATTTTAAGCAAGTCATCCCTTTTCTAATACCATTTTTTGCTAAATATATTGCTATTAATCCATGCCTAGCTGATTCTGTAGTATCAAAGAAAACAGAGTCATAAGTTCCTTCTTTTAAACCTTTTTTTAGGAGTTGTTTTGATATTCGTATAAGATTAATAAGATTGCTATAACCAACTTTGTCATTTAGCTTATCTATAGTACCCTCTGTATCTGTTGAATCACCTGCATTACTTATATTATCCTCTCTATTAGATTCTTTAGATGAAGGAACTACGTTGGACTTAATATCATTAAAAAAACGGGATTCTCTTATCCTTGCACCTGGTGGCGGATTTTCATATCGTAAAAATGATGGCCATAAATTCCCCATATTCTCATATAATTTCCACATATTCTGCCTAGTCATTACTGCCAAATCTTCATCACACATATCTTGCAACTTATTCAAGTATTCTCGATTTCGCAAAACCAAATCAGGGCTATGATTTAATGTAACTTTGCCATTCCCTAAAGCACATCCATTGTAATCAATCTCCTCATTATCTTGAATTTCACCTGTTGAAGATAATTCTGCATCTTTATCACTAGTAAGCACTTCATCTTCTATACTATTTGTATCTTCCTCCACTCCATATGAATCCAAAACAAAAATCTCAGCATGACCACTAGAATCTGCCCTATAATCCATCAAAATGACAATATATAATTAAGTTATTATACTAATATTATAGTAATCATAAACCAGAAATTTAAAAAAAAGTGATCTTGTTAACCTTTTTGTAAATTGGATAGTACTAAATCATATTAGGCGCCCACAGTTACCTTTAGAATTCGTGCTAATTCGCTATCTGTCTATCAATAATTGCATTGTTTTGCATTCAACAAACTTTTCTATTTCAAGCTCATATTTGTATGTGAAGAGGAAGAGCCAAATTTATAGGACTGTGACCTTTTAGCTATAAATTACTATCATAAGTACTTTAAATTAATTAATCAATATGCAATTGGTCTGGCATAAAGTTATTTGTAGTATCCTTATCTTCATATCTGCATTCTTTGGATACCTTTGTCCAATGTTAATCAACTCAAGTAAATATAAAACTAGCAAATTGGGTTTTGACCCAATAGATATTTTATGTGCATTTGGAGGAGGTGCATTTATTGCATTATCTATTGTACACTTAATTCCCGATGCATATACTTCAAGTGAAAATAAGATTCTTATATTTTCATTTTATGGATCTAAAGTTAATAGTGTCTGGTATATCATACTTTCTGGCTTTTCCCTATCTCTTGTATGTGAAAGTATAGTTCACGCTTTATTCCCTCATAAAACTGAAATTATTTGTAATAAAGATGAATCGAAAATAACTAGTACTAATGTATCTGAAAATTCATATATAGAAGATTACCATTCATTTAAAGTTAACATTAATAAAACACAAAATATAACATACTCTCAAAATCAAATTATAGATGATAATTCATCTGTAGTATGTAATAAGCAAAATTCTAGCTTGTTTTCATTTATTACTGGACTTGTATTAGTTAGTGCATTAGTTATACATTCTATATTTGAGGGGATGGTCGTTGGTATCTCAAAGTCTGTTCCAAAGATTTGGCTTACAACTGGAGTAATTGTTGCACATAAGTGGATTGAAATATTGATTGTTTATGTTACTCTATCTACACGAGGTATAAAACCACTTTATTTTGTTGCAATCCTTGCACTTGGCTCTCCTATTGGAGTTATTATTGGAGCACTTATTTCACTTTCAAATACTTTGGCCGAAGCAGTTTGTTCAGCTTTAGCAGCTGGAACAATACTGTATGTATCTTGTGTAGAAGTGATTCCAGATGTTTTCCATTCAAAGACAGGTTCAACATTGATTAAATTAGTTGCCTTCATATGTGGCACCATTATTGTATCAGCTCTAACCTTACTAGACAATATTGCTGAGAGCCCTGTTTAGCTCTCAATACATATATTCGAGATTTCACACTAAATATCTATAATCATTAATTTATCTAAAATTACTTTCTCTTATTTTATTATTTTAAACTGTCACAAAGTGGCTACTGGATACTTTTACTGACACCATGTAAATGTGTATTCGTGTATACAATAGTATATACCGACCCTGCATGTAAATTGCATGTAGAAATATTACATCTGTTAAGGATTAGTATTATCATATAACAACTAAATGCAAGGGAAATCATCAATATATTATATTAGTTATCAATTAGCCTAACCCTATTATCAATGTGGAATGGCGGCTGTATACTTTAAAAAGATTGAAACTTGACTACAAGTCATTTAATAATAATGTTAAAGAATTCTAGTGAACAATATATAATTTTATAATTAATTAATGATGGACGAAACTTTAGGGCTTTCAAGGGCACGTGTAAGTATCTTTGACACTTAATAATATCTTGAATAATATCTATTATATTATAATTCAGCAACAAGAATTAAAACAACTATTTTCAATTATGGATAGAGAGAAAACAGGAAGAATTAATGATACAAAACTTATCCATATGCTCAAATCTATTGGTGTTAAACTTAGTAGAAGAGACTTATTAGCTATATCAGCAGGTTAGCTACAAATTTACTTTTAATCATATATCATTTAAATTGATTATATCTTATTCTAATTTAGAGGTTAGGGAAAGAGGAGAATATACAGTGGATGATATATTAAAAATAGGAGAAGTTGTCTATAATGATGAAGTAATAGCTAAAGATCTTGTCGATGCTCTACTTTTCATTTCAGGTGGAAGAGATATTATTAGTGCCTCTGAATTACGTCGATATCTTCTTTTAACAGGTTCAATTGTCAAGTTGACAGAAGAAGAAGTAGACTGCATACTTAGTGATATTGGAGAATCCGTAATAAATATATATGACTTCGTTGCATATTGCATAACTGAATAGTAAATGTTCTAGTATATAAGTAAAATAATTATATAGAAGTTAACTCTTCAAGAAATATCCTAAAGTGAAATTGCTTTAAAATAACATGAATACTTGAATCAGAGAATATCCGCAAATTTTGACCTCAAATTTGAGTATTAGGATCAGGTCTGTAGGATTCATCACTTTCAAGTTACAACTTAGATTTGAATTAAGACTTCATTTAAATCATCTTAGTTTTAAAGATAATAATTCTAATTACTAATATCAAGATGTTATTAATAATCATAAAGATAGGAATGTATATTTATAGAATTAGTAGAATAATGTTAAATATTGGAAAAGTGCTCCAACATTTGACTAAATGTATCTAATATTTTGAGACAGGATGGAGATAAGACACTTGTGAGGCGCCCATAATAGTTTTTTGTATAATTTAGTGATAGTTTATAAAAAAGAAAAGGCCTATTTTCAGAAGATATGTGACTTGATATCCCTGTTAAAGGCTAATTCCTATTATATATTTTAATAAGTGTCATTATAATAAAGGATATGTAATCTTTAATCTTTATTAAGGAGAAGACAGATATTCTCTATATCCTCTATTTTTTATTGTAAATTCTACCCTTAATATATATAGTTAATACTAATTTTAGAATGGAAGATATTGAGATATTATGTGTAACTCTATTATTAAAGACAGAAATACGGATTTTCATTATTATCATCCTCCTTCCCCACAATCCAAAGTATGCAATATATGCATGTAATATTTAGTATAGAAAATTTAATTAGTCTAAAATGTCCAAGCTATCTGAATTTATTGAAAATATCTATTTAGATTCTTTAAAAAAGCTAGATAATCTTGAATATCCCAAGATAACAACTGAAGTTACCTTTTTTGATGTAGCCCTTGAGATGTTACATAGGAATGTAAGCTTGATTGGCTTAGTTTAATAAGATATATTACATTATTTACAAATATGCACCTTTTAGAAGCGTGAAGAAAATATTAAAAATAAAAAAGATGCTATAATAAAGCAACTAAAGACTTTTAAAGAGTATCAAATTAAATGCAAGATTCTGAATAAGGAAAGAAGGAGCTTAAAAATAAATATAATGAAAAGAATAATACAAGGTAATCTTAAATTTAAATTAAATACATCAATTTATTCTAAGATATAATAATTTATTTCTTTCAGAAAATAATGAAATGTTAATTAAATTACAAAGGGTAAGGAAGGAAATAACCTAGAAACATGAATTATTTAATAAATTAATATATTTATCACAGAAAATGAGCTTGGATTGTAAAATATAGATCTTGAAATTCGAGTCTATTAATATCTCAAAATTATAGATTTAATAACAAAAAATATTCTCCCCCCCCCTTTTTTATAAAAGAGCGTACTCACTTAAAATATTAAGGAATTTTTCTCAAAGTGATGCTTTAGTATATATATTATAATAATGCCTAAATTCATAAATCCTATTACAATGTATCGTATAGTTTCTATGGGGACATTTTGTAGAACAATATGGCCTATATTTGGACCTTTAATGTTATATCAATACATCAGACAGGTAAGAATTATATTATATATATATTAAAGATTCACAATACTTATAGATAATTTTAGATTGATGAAGAGTTAGCAGTAGTTGAAAAAATGTTTTATGCTTCTAATCAAGATTCTCCTGAAAAATATTTTAATCCTAACAAAATATCATTATTAGGGCACTGGCGAATATCACAAGATTTGGAATCTCTTCACAAGTTTATAAATAATTATAGTAATAAAGGTTCATTAGATACTGAAGCTTAAGTATATGCCTAATGTGTTATTATGAGAGCATATTATTAAATACTGTTAAGCTCTTTACTTCAGATTCTTTTTCTTAGCCATCATTTGCACAGTACTTTGCATCATTAAATTGGAATTTTTTTCAATAATTTTTGCTATATTTACTCTATTAATAATCTCTTCATCTGACAAGTACATTGGAGATATAACTTCGCTAGTACTTTCTACATATAACTCAATCCAATAATATTGTTCTTTTAAAGTTTGAAACCCATTATCAATAAAATTGTTAAGTGGGATATTTTTATAGTTATAAAATTTGTTCATTAGTTTGCATATTCCAATATCTATTTTTCTATTTAGGCTTTCAATAAGATTTAAATATTCAATATGGTCTATATAAGACCTAGGAAATGCTATATTGAATTGGTTATTCATTATATTATATACTATTTGAGATATTAAGTAGTATTATTTTTATTATGTTATTAATTTCAAATCTAGAGTCACAATACTTATTTGAGATTTTGAAGAAATCACTAAATCTATTTATTAGAGATTATCTGCACAATTTGAGCGGTTAAAATTCGGTACCCGTGTTTTACTGCATATAAATAAGCGGTAATTGTCCCATTAAACTCAATATTGATCATATTTAAATTGAATATTTTAAGTAGAGTAAATTGTATAGTATATATGATATATATTAGAACGATGATTTATTGTCAAAATATTTTATTAAAAAGTATAGAGAAATTGTGAATATATCTTATTAATATATTCAGGTAGTTAATTGTAGACATGTAAATTCAATAGCCTCTAAATAAAGATTAAAACACTAAACAAAACTAATTAAACAAGACATACATTCTTATAAATAATTACAAGTAATATACCCCCTATAATCTTGATATTGTTAATCAGTACACAGAACTAAAAGTAATTATATTTAGAAATATATATAATCCATATATTTTGATATTTAAATTGAAATATTGGTTATAATCTTTGTATATATGAATATATTATATTAATAAATATAAATATCCCTTCTTATATAATATAATATTAAAGTAAGCAATTTTATTATTGTAGGAGTTTTATGAATTGAAAGTGACTACTTAATAATCTAGAAATAATCAATATGATAATCAGACAATATATATTTTAATATAAAATATTAGTAATTTTCTGAATAAATAAAGTATTTTTATATAAAATAAATGAATATTTACAATGTGTATACATTTTTTTTATAAATCTTAATTAGATATAATGATTTTTCTAAAGAATTTAAATATTTTTATTATATATACAATTAAAATGACCACATTTAATAATAAAATACTAATTGATTAATTATTTCTTTCTTCTAAAGTTATTAAACTTTAATTCAATAATTTTGAATGCTTTTACTAGTTATAATATAATGATATCTAAGAATATTTTGATAACTAAGATTTTCAATTGTTAACTTTATTATAAATTAGCTACCTACAAAATTCTTTGTTGTATCTTGTTTTTTTTATTCTTGTATAATATAAACAATATAATTCTAAATATATATAAGTATTTTATTTGGAATCTTTAAAAAAATTTTTACTTAAAATACTAAACTTATATGTAACTGTCAATGAAAAAATCTATATTATTGTTAGTATTTCTAAATATCAGTATTTCTAAAAATACTCCTTAAGAAATGTTATACATACACCTATTAATACTATTTAGTCTGAAATAAATAAAGTTTGAGATTCCAGTTAAATTAAAATGCTTTTAAATATTTCTGTTACTTTATTAATACAATTTTTATTTATTGCATAATTAATACATCTTTATTTCTATAATACAAAGTAATTTTTTGTATTATAAAAAAAACAAGACAGAATACTAAAATATTCTAAGTAGATGCAAAGAGCTACTAAATTTGAGAGTTTTCAAGAGTTCATTACAAGAAATAAATAAGATCCTATAATATAATATTATAAATCATATAAAGAAATAATACTTTAAAAGATTTTTACAAAATGTATTAAGCTGTAACTTACTAAGGTATTTTAACAATTACGAAGTGATCTTCACTTGTTCACATAGATAACTTTATGGTGTTATTAAACATAAACTTTAGCTAGATATCATTATCATTAATGTCCTAGAGTGGAAATACTTTTTATAGATCATGAAACTTGTTAAAATTGAAGTCAATTGAGATATTTATTCAATACCAGAATAGAGCAAAAATGAATTTCAAATGATTATAAGTACAGGTTTCATAATAACAAAACATAGTTGTACTTGAAATCCAATATTAAGTAAATTATATATTATATGGATAATCCTTGGTTATAATTTATAGAAGCTTAGCCATATTAAAGAAAGCTTTAAATGGTTAATTCTAAATAGTAGAAATAAATCTTGCATCAAGAACTGATTACAGAAATAACTTAATAATATCTTCAAATAAAAAGAAAATATTTAAAGGATTTTTTGATAGTTCAACTTTATTAAAGTCTTACAACATAAACCTTGGAAGTAAACTCGAAGAATAGTTATTAGAAATTTAATTTGATAGTTCTACTGCACAGCCAACTATTTATTGAATCCCATATTTATATTTTTTTAGTTTACTTTTGTGAAATTCACATATTAAATTTGTTATACATAAGAATTGTCATACTACTTTCATGTTGATGATTTGGGGGTTAATGTCGCAAATTTAGCTTTTGGAGTTATTATAGAAGCCTTTTTAATTAGTGAAGTAGATGTTGGTATAAGAATTTTCTTTGTAATTAGATCAGATTTTGAAATTAAAGGTTCTAATTTTGCTTTTGGGACAATATCTTTACTTTTAATTGCAAACTTGGAGACTTTATCAATTTCAAGAGATCCAGATAGTTCTTTGATTCCTAATAACTCAGTATTAGCCTTTAATGGTGCTTGCTCTGAAGTAGGTCTCAATACTGATTTTGATAAAGGAGTCATTTTAGGTACTGGAGTTCTTAAAGGTAGCCCAGCTGTTTTTATAAGTGTTGCTGGCATTTTCAAATATGGAGTGTTGTTTATGGATAGAGTTGCATTAGAAATATCAGAATTTGAAGTATCTTTAGCTTTTGGGATGTTATTCAATTGCTCTGTATCTATATTAGTCTCTGATATGATAGGAGAGACTTTTGTAGATACTGGAGAAATAGTAGAAACTTTTGATACTATTGTTTTTGTCATTGGTATAATTTTCTGTACATCACCAATTATTCTTTCAATCTCTTCAGCCGGTTCTTTGATTCCATCTATTATATTTTCGGGTTTCTCATGGATTTGATTGGAACTATCTACCTTTAATATTGCTGCTCTTGATTCTAATGATGGAGCTTTTGGTGGGATTGGCACTGTACTCGGAATATTTGTACTGTCCTTATGTATCTCTGACATTACCTTAGATTTTAATAGGGCTGTGTTTGGAGCTAATGGAATAATTTTGGGCTGTATTTGTGCTACATTTGTGGCTTCCTCAATATCTTCATGTGCTTTTGCAACTATTTTAGATTTTGGAGGTATTTTTGATAGTATTTGTGCAGTTTCTGGTGATGTTGCTACTGCTTTTAAAAACTCTGGAGTATCCTCATGTGCATCTAAGACTACCTTAGATTTTAATGGAGTTGTTTTTGGTATTAATGGAATAGTTTTAGATAATATGTGTGCTACTTTTGCATTATCCTCAATATTTCCTTGTATCTCTTGAATTGGCTTAGATTGTCGTGGAATTATTTTTGGACTTAAAGTAGTAGTTTTAGATGGTAATATTGGAGTTAATGGTGTATTTTCTGGTAGTATTGGTGCTATATTCGGGTTGTCTGTAGTGTGCTCTACCTCTGGTGTTGCCTTAGACTTTAATAGGGCTGTTTTTGGTGATAATGGTGTAGTTTTTGGTGGTATTGGTACTGTCTTTGGTATCTCTGGATTATCCTCATGTATCTTTGTGTCTACTTCAGACTTTAATGAAATTGCTTTTGTGGATAGTGGTGCAATTTTTGATGGCATTGGTGCTGTCTTTGGAATTTCCTGATTATTCTCATGTACTTCTATGTTTGCTTCAGATTTTAATGAAGTTGTCTTAGGGGGTAATAATGTAGTTTTTGGTAATATTGGTGCCATCTTTGGAACTTCCTGACTATTCTCATGTACTTCTATGTTTGCTTCAGATTTTAATGAAGTTGTTTTTGGGAATAATGGTGTAGTTTTTAGAGGTATTGGTGCTGTTTCTGAAATTTCTGGATTATCCTTATGCATTTCTGTGTCTGCCTTAGATTCTAATAGAGTTGCTTTAGGGGGTAATGGTGTAGTTTTTGATAGTATTGGTACTGTTTTTGGAACTTCTGGATTATCCTTATGCATTTCTGTGTCTGCCTTAGATTCTAATAGAGTTGCTTTAGGGAGTAATGGTGTAGTTTTTGATAGTATTGGTACTGTTTTTGGAACTTCTGGATTATCCTTATGCATTTCTGTGTCTGCCTTAGATTCTAATAGAGTTGCTTTAGGGGGTAATGGTGTAGTTTTTGATAGTATTGGTACTGTTTTTGGAACTTCTGGATTATCCTTATGCATTTCTGTGTCTGCCTTAGATTCTAATGGAGTTGTTTTAGGGGATGATGATGCAGTTTTTGGAGGTATTGGTGCTGTTTTTGAAATTTCTGGATTATCCTTATGCATTTCTGTGTCTGCCTTAGATTCTAATGGAGTGGCTTTAGGAGGTAGTGGTGTAGTTCTTGGTGATATTGGTACTGTTTTTGGAATTTCTAGATTATCCTTATGTACTTCTGTGTCTGCCTTAGGTTCCAATGGAGTTGCTTTAGGGGGTAATGGTGTAGTTTTTGATAGTATTGGTACTGTTTTTGGAATCTCTGGATTATCCTTATGCATTTCTGTGTCTGCCTTAGATTTTAATGGAGTTGTTTTAGGGGATAATGGTGTAGTTTTTGGTGGTATTGGTACTGTTTTTGGAATCTCTGGATTATCCTTATGCATTTCTGTGTTTGCCTTAGGTTTTAATGGGGTTATTTTAGGGGATGATGATGCAGTTTTTGGAGATATTGGTGCTGTTTTTGAAATTTCTGGATTATCCTTATGCATTTCTGTGTTTGCCTTAGGTTTTAATGGGGTTATTTTTGGGGATAATGGTGTAATTTCTGAAGTCTCTGGACTATTCTCATGTACATCTGTATCTGTCTTAGATTTTAGTGGGTTTGCTTTTGGGGAAAATGGTGTAGTTTTTGGTGGTATTGGCACTGTCTTTGGAATCTCTGGATTATCCTTATGTACTTTTAGAGCTACTTTAGATAGGTCTTCTAAAGCTTTATTAGTTTCTTTACCTGATACTTTATTTGACAATTTATCTGAACTCGATACACTCTTTAATTGCTCATTTCCAGTAATATGATGTAATTCGTGAACAGAGGATTTTGTATTTATAATAGTTTTATCGTGAGATAAATTATGTACAGAACTCTCATTAAGTGCTGTTGATTGAACTGTAACCTTGGTTGGAATATATACAGATTTTTCTTGATTCTTAGAGGCTATTTTTGGAATAGCAGGTAGTATCCCTGTAGCTTTAACTACTTTAGAATACACTCTTGGGTCTTCAGAGGTTGTAGATCCTTTTTCTAGAACTTGAAGTACTCCAGTATCTCCTGCAATGTTTGGATCCTCAACAATGCCTTTAATATCTGTATTGTTCCTACCTTCTGTATACTTCACTAAATCTGGATTTTCTGTCAAATGTATCTCTCCACTATTATTGGAGTCTGGCTCATTAATTTTAGACGTTAATTTCTCAGAAGCTACTTCTGGCTTATTGAGAGGAGTGGAAATCTTCTCTATTTTATTGACTGAGGATAGTCTTTCGCTTGTTGAGACCGGTTTTTTCATTGTCCTAGTAACTTCTCGTTCTGTTATTGGAACTTTTGAAGTTTCTAGAGGCACAGATTGTCTTTTTGATCCCATGATTGAAACTCTTTTAGTGCTAGTGGTAGATGTTTTCGATGCTCCTATTGAGGCACTTTGAGATACTGGAGATTTAGAAGTTGTAGGAGCATCTATAGACTTATTAACTGCAATAGTTGCTTGGGGGGTTTTCAAAGATGTTGCTAGTGTAGAACTTTTTGAGGAAGTTACTATGGGATCTTTTACAGGTATTGATGTAGGATTTTTTGAAGACACTGTCGAAATTTTTGAAGATGTTGCTACAGAGCTCTTTGAAGATCTCGTTGCTACTTCAGGGCTTTTTGAAAATCTTATAGTTGTAGGACTTTTTGAACTAGTTGTTATAGGATTTGTTGGAGATTTTGTAGTTGTAGGACTTTTTGAACTAGTTGTTATAGGATTTGTTGGAGATTTTGTAGTTGTAGGACTTTTTGAACTAGTTGTTATAGGATTTGTTGGAGATTTTGTAGTTGTAGGACTTTTTGAACTAGTTGTTATAGGATTTGTTAGAGATTTTGTAGTTGTAGGACTTTTTGAGCTAGTTGTTATAGGATTTGTTAGAGATTTTGTAGTTGTAGGACTTTTTGATCTAGTTGTTATAGGATTTGTTGGAGATTTTGTAGTTGTAGGACTTTTTGAACTAGTTGTTATAGGATTTGGAGATCTTGTAGCTGCAGGACTTTTTGAGCTAGTTGTTATAGGATTTGTTAGAGATTTTGTAGTTGTAGGACTTTTTGAGCTAGTTGTTATAGGATTTGTTAGAGATTTTGTAGTTGTAGGACTTTTTGAGCTAGTTGTTATAGGATTTGTTAGAGATTTTGTAGTTGTAGGACTTTTTGAGCTAGTTGTTATAGGATTTGGAGATCTTGTAGCTGTAGAACTTTTTGGACTAGTTGTTAAAGGATTTGTTGGAGGTCTTGTAGAAATTTTCGGATTATTTATAGAATTTGGAGATCTTGTAGTTGTAGGACTTTTCGGTCTAGTTGTTATAGGACTTGTTGGGGACCTTGTAGCTGTAGAACTTTTCGGTCTAGTTGTTATAGGACTTGTTGGGGACCTTGTAGCTGTAGAACTTTTCGGTCTAGTTGTTGTAGGACTTGGAGGTCTTGTAGCTGTAGAACTTTTCGGTCTAGTTGTTATAGGACTTGGAGATCTTGTGGAACTTTTTGGACTAGTTAAAGGATTTGTTGGAGATTTTGTAGTTGTAGGACTTTTCGGACTAGCTATAGGACTTGTTGGAGATTTTGTGGTTGTAGAACTTTTTGGACTAGCTACTATAGTATTATTTAGAGATGTTACTGAATATGAGCTTGATCTTGTTCCAGGTATTTGTTGTCCTTGAGAAATAACTATAGATGTTGAATTTGAAGTGTGATACGCTCTAGTTGAGGCAATGGTAGGTTTCTCTGCTGGGATCCTCGAAGTTCCAGTTATTAAAGAACATAAATTACATTTTGCATCATCCTCTATTAACCTTTCAGTTGAAATTAGCTTAGATGGATATTTTCTATCATTAACCATATCTTGATTCCCATATATAATACCCTTATTGGATATCTTTTCTATACTTTTAACTAACGCGTTACTCCTAGACACTTTTGAAGCATTTACTATGCTACCTATATTATAATCAGAACTTGAAATAAAATCTTGGGAACCAGATGGTCTCATATTAAGATGACTACCAATATCTTTGATAGATGTATAGTTTCCACCAGTGCTGGGTATCTCAATATCTAAAGTACCAATTTCAGTTGATTGAGTATCTTGGTTATTCAAAGTAGATTTTATTGATAAGCCTGGAGTTGAAACTACTTTCTGAAGATGCTGTATAGAATTATCTAATTTAGACTCTAATAAATATATTCTTTGGAGTATTGCCCTTCGAACAAGAGTCCTTGCCACATCCAAACTGGGTTTAGCAATATTTTTTGATAAGTAATCCAGAATAAATGATATAAAGTGCACACAAGCATCTAGACACTGTTGGTTATATTTTAAATTATTGTTTAGTATATTCAAGTCTATATTTCTACTTTTTGCAAGAGATTCATTGGCTTCTTGTAAAGCTGCGTCAAGTTTAGCATTTTCAGATTGCAGAATTTCATTCTGCTCCTTTAGCTTCTCAAATAATTGACGCAATTGAGAATAGCAATCACGATATCGCCTAATTGTGTCTTGCAATTCACTAGAATCAACACAATCCCGATGACTTTTCTGTTGATTACTTCCTATGCAACTTGAAAGTAATCCCTTATTCATACTTCCTTTAAAGCATATATTACTAGATTCTCTATTAGTTTCTAGTAAATCATTTCTTGGTAAACTCAAGTTTCTTGTCGACTTCTTAGATCCAACCAAATGAATAGATCTATCAATTGGAGGTACCGAGACCTGTCTGGCTGAATGTATTAGAGAGGTAGTATTTCTTCTTGACTCATTACTATTGTACATTATAGTCTTCCTTACAAACTTATAAAAATAACCTTCAATCCAACTTTATCTCAGTTATAAATGTGTAGGTTCTATTTAGATATGGAAAGGGATATTTTAAAACGAAAATCCAAAAATACATGTCTAATAAGACAAGATACCGTGTAATAAATAACCGCCACACACATTTTGGCGCCAAACGTATATGGATTTGGAAATTGATAAATTTTATGTAGCTATAACTACAGATACAATCTGAAATTTTTTTTTACTATTTAAATATTTGATTTTTTTTTTTTCATTTGCAAGTTTGCTGGATAATTTAACGTCTCAAAAACGTCAATAATTCAGCTTAAGCTGGAAATAAAATGGTTAGGAATATCCTACACTTTGCATGTGGAGTTATTGTAGGTGGTACAACGGGTTATTTTTTGCATCCCCAGGCAAAGAAACTTGATAAACATGTAATAAAAGAACTTAAATATACTAGATCACTAGACCATGAATTAAATAGTCCTATAAATATGTCCAATATCTTACTAAATAATAATACAAAGAAATTGTCATCAATTTTAAACAATTATCCATCTTACGTCTTACCTAGTTATGATAATCTGCTTATACGTGATACTTACATATCTTCTGTATCCTTTAGATACAAAATTCCCAACTGGGTGGCTGAAAAAATTAATTTTGATACATATACTGGAGAGGCAGATAGAAGATCGTCTGTATTTCGAGCTGATCCAGATGTACCTTTACTGTGGAATGCAGAAAACAGAGATTATTATTGCAGTGGGTATAGTCGTGGACATCTAGCATCAGCAGGGCAACATAAAGATACGGAAGAGAACTTGTCCCAAACATTCTTATTATCAGGTAATATTGTACCACAGAATTTAGCTAACAATGGTAGCGATTGGTATCGAATAGAACGACTTTCTAGACATCTGACCTATTTTTATGACGATGTCTATATAGTCTCAGGACCTCTTTTTATTCCTCAAAATATGACTAGTGCAGACTTACGAAAACTACGCACAGATTTTAATGTGTTAGAATCCCCTCCCAAAGGATCTCTAGGTCAGATATGCGTACTCCATGAAGATGATTCAAGTGAAACAAAAAATCAAAATTACACAGAATATAATAAAGTAAGAAGTGTGACATTTAATACTTTAGGGGATAAAATGGTGGCTGCCCCAACTCATCTATTCAAGGTTATTATTGCTGTAAATCCAAAATCAGATGTGCTTACTAGGGGATCAGTCAAAGTTCCTAAGGAATTTGAAATACCTAAATCTTCAAATGAAGTGGTGCTAGATCTTTCAGAAAGTGATACTACTCATGGAACTTCTAATAACATCACAGCAAATGGTGACAATTCTATCGAGAATACTATTCAGGACCATAATCTCGTGACAAAAAGAACTAAATATAAAATCCCACCAGTTGTAGTTGGCTCTTTTATTATGGCAAATTGTCCTGCTACAGAAGTTCTACCACTTAAGGAGTATTTAGTACCAGTAAGGACTATTGAAATGCTTAGTGGTCTTAACTTTAGTGGTCTTTTAGATTTTGCAAAACAAAAAGCTCAGAACTATTTGAGTCCAGAAGCTTTTGATAAGGAAGTTGCTAGTATTAGTCCTGAAACTGCTTATAGCTCAGCCCTGGGCTTATGCCAGATTCAATGGCACCAAGAGAAAGGTCCTAATATATCATTGTGTAATGAATCAGATTCACTACGTATTATTGGTTGGCGTTATCTAGGGTATTTGGAATTGGCTAAGACAAAATCTGAATTAAATCAGATCTGGGAAGAAGTTGTGAAAAAAGGGCTTGATGCAAGCAACTTGTTTTTGAAAAAGGAATATGATTACAGACTTCAAATGTTAAACAATAAGGATTTAGAGACGGGGTCAACAGTGCAATTGTGACATTAGTAAGTCAGTCGTTATGTACAGCCATCTACATTATCTATTTAAGTATAAAAGATGTACTTCAACTTACTACTATATTGTAGTAATTCTTCTGTCAGTTGAATCAACATCTTTTTTGAACAGACCTTCGTTGGCACCTTTATTAAGTCACCAGTTCTGATATATGCATCTTAATTGAGGCTATGTGGCTCTTTTTAATCTTTATTTTCTAATGTAATATACTTGCAATATTTCTATTATATTAACATTGCTAAAATACTAATAGTTGCATATCACACTAATAGAATATTATAGATTACAGGGAAACTTCACTAGTAACTAGACGTAGCGCCATATTTCCGCAGAATACTTTGTGGACCGCTGTCTCTTAAAGGATAACGACAAAAGGAGATGTCAATTTGTATTGATATCTGAGCCAATTTATAGTTAACTGTAATAACTTTTCCCTCTGAGAGCATAGATCTACACTCTACAACTTGTCTTTTTTCCTAAAAGAAATTAAGAATTGTCTAAATTATATAGTAAAAGCAGAACTATTTAGACGTACTGTTTGGCGCTTATTAGACGTAGAACCTATTATTGAATGAGATAGTCAGATAACAAAGCATAGCTGCTACTCTGCAAGCAGTGAGTTATACTGTATTTGAATTACACGACAAGTCACTTTACTCAATTCTAAAGTATTTATAAAGACCTTATATACTTTTGTGAAGTAGTTTTGTAATTGTGAACTAAGGATTGTGAAGGCTGGAAGAATTAAGTTTGTATGTCAGATTTGGGGGATTTAGATTCCATTCAAGGGGCTGACTCATCTAGTGAGCAGTCTACGAAGTCAACAGAAAATTCATCCAATGTTGGGGAATCACCATTTCCTGACACTTCTTACTATGCGTTACTAAGTGGATTTGAATATCCCCAGGAACTGGAAAGTCTCCGTCGTGTATTAACTCCCTTGAGTAAAGATCAACTAATAGAGCTATTAGCAGGTGCTTGTGTGGATAATCAGGCTACTCTGCAAAATGTATTATCTGTTATTTATGAGAGTCGGTCACATAGACGTCTCTATGTTAAGAATCTCCCCTTCTCTGTATGTACAGAATCTGTTATTAAACTATTCTCTCAGTTTGGTGATGTAGAAGAAGGAATAGTATTGAAACGGAATGGAAAGTCAAGAGGTTATGCTTTTGTTACTTATAAAACCATTGAGTCAGCTCAGTTGGCATGTAAGGAGTCAATTACAGTTAATGGACGTGTTTTAATGGTTAAATTAGCTGCTGATCCTTTCCCTTTTGAAGCAAGGCGTTCAGATGCTTTGAGACGTAAATTATTTGTTAGGAATCTTGGATTTACAACTACTGAAGACTCTCTATCAGCTGTATTTGGAAAATATGGTGAACTTGAAGAGTCTGTAATTTTACGAACTAGAGAAGGAGAAAGTAGAGGCTATGGATTTGTTACCTTTGTAAATACTGAATCTACAATGAAAGCTCTACAGCAACCACATCACCTTGTAGATGGGCGTTTAGTATTTGTTCATCAGGCTATTGAGGGTAGGATTAGATCTTCAAGGAACTCAAATAAAATACCGAATGAAAATAAAGGGAAGAAGGGGAGTAAAGTTGCAGATGACTCGCAAAATTCTTGTCTTGGAAATTCAAATTCTAACAGTACTTCATACACAAGTAGTAGTAGAGATATTGTTGATTTTGAATCAAATAGTGATGAAATAAGCAACTATTCATGTGCCAGAAGTAGTCTAGGTATCATGAATGAACATGTTAATTCTAGTGGACCTACCTATTTCCCTAATAACTCCTGTGGAGATATGTCAAAGACATCTGGATCTTTATTCCCTCTGTATAACCAACATAATAAGATGAAGCAGACATGTAATTTAAGATTTTTTAATTCGAACACTATATTAAATATGGGTTTACATATGAATAGTTCCAGTTATGGTAATGATGTGTGTAGTGAATCTTGGGGGAATTCGGTCAAATTTAATGATGAGACCATTTCAAATTGCTGTTTGAGATCTATGAAAGGCAAGAATTTAGATGGAGATCAGGAAGGTAGTTTTACATTTGACAATTCGCCTTTGTTCCCCAAAGACTCTTTCTATGATATTCAGAGTCTTAGTAATAATGGTAACTTGGGGTCTAACGGGTTCCGAGAAGTTAGCGGATGCCCTCTTGACTCACCAACATTTCCCGAATCTTCGTATTATAATTGGCAGATAAAGGCATCTAATGAATTGAATGGTTATGCGGAATCTATTAAGTTGGATTGCAGTGGTTTTACGTGGTCAAAAGATAAGATACCATGTTGTTCATCTATAAACCCTACATGGACCAACAATTTAACTAATAGACACACCATTAGTTCATCGTTAACTAGTAGTACAGGTATTTCAGAATATTGATGGTTGACTTAATTTTAAGCTTTTCGTGTATTTACCAATCTCGAAATGGTCTATTTTTAATTCTGAAGTTGAGACTAATGAAGTGGTCTTATACAGCTCAGTTTTTGCAAATAAATAAGGAACTTGAGGATGTTTATAATTTGAATGCTACAAATTATCGGCAATACTTTTTTTTTGTATTTTGAATTAGAATTTGTAAAGATTTGTGCACTTTCCTTGTGCTGTCCATATTTTATCTGAATTTGATATGTTGAAAGTTTCTTAGTCGTTTTAACTATTTTTACTACTTAATTCTACTTGTGTATGAATATTTGTTTGTACAACTCTTTGCATGTATTTCTAAAACCTTGCCTAATACTTTGCCTAATACTTCTAGTAAGAAATACGAGACGGCGCCTCTAGGTACTATTTGGGGAGTTACGAGACATAATGGTATCGGATATATTATTAATTACTATTAACATAGCTAGTATAGTATTAGAGGTTAATATATAAATATACCTAATATTATATAGTACTATATCTAATAAATTTATTAGTTTGGTAGTCCAGCTACTAGTGTTACTTTTATTAACAGTCTAGTTTTCTGCGGTACTCGTTGAAGGTCTGCAATAAATAAAAATTTGAATATAACAAAAAGTCAAAATGGGTCGAGTTTATGGTCGTGGCAAGGGTATCTCATCTTCAGCAAGGCCATATAGGCGTCGTTCACCTACATGGATGAAGCTAAAGGCAATAGAGGTTGAAGATTTAATTTCGAAACTAGCACGTAAAGGTTTAACACCATCCCAAATTGGTGTTACATTACGTGATTCTCATGGTGTACCAATGGTTCAGTCTGTAACTGGTAGTAAAATTTTGAGGATATTGAAGAAAAATGGATTAGCTCCAGAAATCCCAGAAGATTTGTATTTCTTGATCAAACGTGCTGTTTCTATTCGCAAACATCTTGAGAAATTCAGAAAGGATACAGCTGCTAAATACAGACTTATTCTTGTTGAGTCTCGTATTCATCGCCTTGCTAGGTATTTTAAACGTTCAAAGCAACTTCCAGCAAACTGGAAATATCAAGCAGCTACTGCTTCTACACTAGTAGCCTAAATTCCTTTTGATAGAATACTAGATAATAATTTTAATAATTCACTTCTTAAGGTTCAAAATATAGTAGTACAAATGTAATTTTAGGAAGAACACCTCATTTAAAGTTAATCTTATAAACTAGCACTAGGAAGCTCATTTCTAAGTTTTAGGGTAGATCTTGATATCCTTTTTCATTTAGGTTGTATAATGTTGAGATTTACTTATTCTAGATCTTATTACCCTCTGAATAATTGAGGACCACCTAAACCTCTCCCTCTTCCAATCTTTGAAGTTACTATTGGCTTTACTTTAGGTGGTTTTTGTTTTGGAGTATCATCTATAAGCAAAGTATCTAAAGGTAGTGAATCAGGTAATATAAAGTACCGAATCGTACTACCACGGACAGTCAGCTGTAAGAGACTTATTGGATTTCGTTGTTTAACACTCATCTTCACATTCTTAAGGTATGTATTCATAGCCATATCAACATTTACAATGGTTCCCTGAACTATTGTCCCATTCTTCAGTTCTATAACTACGGAGTTATTTACTAACTTCATTAAGAAACGGACTAACTTCATATTTAAGTAAAAGAACAAAGACAAATTCACTAAAATCCAAATATCCCTAGTTTTCACAAGTATTTGGTAGATTAGCCTTTGAAGATGTCAGCTTTATACTGTAAAACCCAAAGTTATCACGCTCAGAGCCCGGCCCGCATTATAATATAAAGCGGATTGTGAATATATTTGAAAAGCAAGTGTACCTAATAGATTGAGAAAATTTAACCCCTTAGTAAAAACGACTGCAAAGAAAAAAAGAATGAATCTTAAACTTTTTCATCTGTTTATTTTGAAATTTATACTATACACTTCTGTATGTGTGAGTGGTGAAGATATTATAGGGGACTTAGTACCTAACAAAGACATATCATATGTTAAGGAGTTAACAGATGTAAATTTTGAACACTTCACACAATCAGCTACGGGAGCTACTACTGGAGATTGGTTTGTATTGTTTTATTTGCCAACATGTAAGCAGAGTCAAGCTGCTCTTAAAGAGCTTGATAAATTATCTGTCATTATGAAACAAAATCTTAATGTAGCTAAAGTTGATGTGACTAAATGCCACTATCTTGTTAAGAGATTCGGATTAACAGCAGTACCAGCTTTTAGATTTTTTAGAAAGGGTATGATGTATACTTATACAGGAATAAGGAATGCTGAAGCTATGAAGACTTTTATTTGGAGTAGAGACTATACAAAGGTTCCATCTCAACCCGTACCTAGACCCCTAAGTACATTCGATGTATTTATTTCTGAAATTAAACATACTGTCAGTGATATTCAAAAACTTATTAGACTGGCACCAATTGTTACGATAGTAATATTACTAACTGGATTCTTTAGTGGAATTGGCTTCACTACAGCTTTTATGAAGAGCAAAAAACATAACACAAATAAAGAACACCTTAGTGACTACGAATTAGAAGAAGATGAAGATGAAGATGAAGATGAAGATGAAGATGAAGATGAAGATGAAGATGAAGATGAAGATGAAGATGAAGATGAAGATGAAGATGAAGATGAAGATGAAGAAGAAGATGAAGAAGAAGATGAAGAAGAAGATGAGGAAGATGATGATGATAATGAAGAAGAAGAAAGATATGTACCGATACAGAAGAAAACCCCCTCAAAAGGAAGAATTTCTGCAATAGCTCAAGTTATTGAGGAGGATTACAATGTGCCTACTAGTGTAAGGAGATCTATGAGACTTCGAAGAGTTAAATAAGGAAAATTTATAGCTATCATACAATTTTTGCAAATGCTCAAAACTTGGCATCTTGAGCCATCTGAATTTACAAAAATAATGAGCAGCAATACATTGTTCACCTTCTATTTCTTAAAGTGCTCAGCTAAAAAAAAAAAAGAAATTAAAGTCCTGAATAACCTTGTAAATTTTAACTTTACTTTGGTACAACCATTTTTAATCAAAAAAGATCATTTCTGAATAATATACTGATTTTACTTGAAATAAATCCTCCTAAACAAAAAAGTCAATAATTCGAATGACTTATTTACTCAAATGTATTCTTTAGAAAATTGGAATATCTAATAAGGAAACCAATAATACATGATATAATCTGTAACAAAAATAGTAAATTAACCAAGGTTTTTTCACTCATAGGGCCAAAAACTTCTAACATTAGATTAAGAAGAGTCAAATTCTTTGAAGATTCTAATTTACCAGTTTTAGGATTAATTTTGGGCACTCGATGTCTTGGACAATGAATCAAACCAAATAACTGTGGAATTGAAATAAGAAAATTAATTATTTGAGGTATAAAGAAAAGTAGTAAAGTCTTAGAAAAATGTCCCAATATGCTTACCACTGCTAAACACACTCCTGCAAAGTATGTATATGTATCTCCAACAAAAACTAATGAGGGATATTTATTATAGTAAAATAAACCTAAACTACAAGAAATAAATGGTAACATAAATAGAATTGAAAGAAAATGCTGAGTAGATTTCCCTGAATATATTTCAAATTCAGTAACTAGACATATTTCCACAATATTGTGAATAATTATTGCTATTGATATTATTAAAGATTGTCCAACTTCTAAACCATTAATCCCTGCATATATATTTATAGAATTTGTACAAAATACAGTAAGTGCTAGCATATATATATAATAAAAGTATCCAAGATCTATTAAAAAATGTGTGTCTAACCAAAAAAAAGAAGGAAATGTAATTTGAGTACCTCCACTATAAGATACTAAAGTTGGAAGTGATGCAAATACTGGCAAAACCATCTTATATCGCCACCTAAGATTTAAAACATCATCTGCAAATCCCAAAAAAGTCATCATACAAATAGATAATAAACCTGAATTATATTCTAATAGTTTCGAAGGGTCATTATTGAAAAGTAACTGGTTACAAATAACTGCTATCATAAATATACATGCAGGAACTATTCCTAAAGCTTCAGGAACTTTAGTTCTATTATCTAGTAAATACTCAGACTTCTCCAAATTTTCTGATACCTCTTTATTAAAATTATTTTGTTTTAATTGTTTATTATCCTGTATCTCTATTTTGTTAATATCATAACCATATAACCCATTATCAAGTAATTTGGTACTAAAAGAAGGTATTAAGTTACAACAGGTTATATACACTATTATAGATAATATTGAACATATAGTTATATGTAAAAAGTAATAAGTTCTATATAATAAAGCTATAACAGCGATTAGAATACTTATCAGTATTAAATCTAATTGGAATTTTCCATGTCTCCGAAATTCCCTGGACTGAAATTCTACATTTCTCTCAGATCCCTTCATATCCCTTATTTTTATTTACTAACTATAAAAATTTTTCGGAGTATATAATTATAGATAATAAGCTACAAAGTACTTGTTAAGTCTTGTTATGCTTAATCTTCCAATATTTTAGCCACTTTTCAGTACTTGTGTAGCGCGAATATTTCATTAAAAAGTGACTCTAACTGTATCAATATTAAATTACTAGTATTGAAATATTTAATCCCTTAATTTTACATTTAGTTAAGTTTGTCCCTATTGTATTTTGTATCTGAAAATGATTTTTTATTAGTTATTACTTGGTTTAGCTAAAGTTTATGTATATTATATAATAATATACAGTTACTATTTAATTAATTACAAGATCTGATATTTATCTTAGTGATAAGTTTAGCGAGATATATAAGAATAATAATATATTCACATTGTATCAGATACTTTCTAATAGATTACTCTATTCCCATTAATATATATTGGTATATCATCACTTTTATAGTTATTTGTGTACTATCTTGTAATATTTATTATTGTGGGCATTGTTACAAGCCTCATATCCATTATATCTTTGTATATTATAATAGATATGGTTATATTGACTATTATTATAAATTTCTGGTTCATTTGTATGAAGTGTAGGATTATCTATATTTATTGAAGTTGTGAGTTTATTATTTGTTTGATTGTAATAATTCTTTTGATAGTTGTTTCCTTTACAATATATAGAAGAGAATGTAGAATCATCAGGAATACTTTCTAAAGAAGGTTCTGAATAATGTTTGATTAGTCTTTGGTAATGATCAAAATAAGTACTTGAAATTTTGTCATTTATATTAGAATTATATTTTATAACTTCATATTGGGCATTATTAGGTTTAGAGTATTTATATCTATTATTAAGATCTCTAATTATATCTGATTTTTTGCTTAAATATTTACTTTCGGTATTTATTTGATTAAAATCTTGAACTTCAGATTTTTTTTGTGAATTTGACTCTATTCCCAACATATCTTTATGTTCAGAGTTGATAATTATAGGAGGTATGTGTTTCTGATTATATTGAATACCCTTTTCTAAGTTGTACGATTGACATTTCTGATTATTATTGTGATTTTTTGTTATATTTCCAAAATTATAACAATCTTGAAGATCTGTATTTGTACCTTTATCTGAAGTTGTTTTCCCGACTATAAAGTCAGTATTGCAACTTTTTTCATACGTTTTAGTTTGATATATATGTGATTCTACTTCTCTTTTACAACCAATACTGATCTCTTTATTATGACTGATTTGTATTGCAACTAACCTAACAGTTATGAGTGGCTTTTCATTTATATTTATTGCAGGTAACATAATAGTATTTAAAACAATTGCATTTTGAAACTCAACAATATTAGATTTTTGGTTTATTTTTTCTAGTTCAATTCTATATTGTTTTTTCAGTACTTCATATTTTTGTTTTAATTTTAAAAATTGAATATGATAATCTTTTTTTTTAGTTCTTTTGAATTCTTTGGATTTACTACAAATATCTTGATTTATTTCACTTAATTTAGAAGTTTCATTAATATCACAGTATTGGATAAGGTCAGTATGTTTTTTATTTAAATATGATGAAGTATATTGATATTTATTGTCCTCCCATGCTTCATTTCCAATATTAACTAAAGATTTATCTTGCGAATCTTCCAAGGAATCAGGTAAATATTCTATATTACATTTCATATAATCATTTTGACTAGTTTTCACCAGTGCTTCTATAGATTTTTGAAATGTCTGTTCAGTTACATCATATATATCTTCAAGGATATAATTACTTGTACTAATTAAATCAAGACTTGATGGTTTGACAAGAAGATCTTCATAACTATCATAGGTTTTATTAAGTTTTTTGTCTGGGAAATTTAATAGATTTTCATATATATTGTCATTAATTTTATCATCATTTAGTCTTAAATTTTGCACTTTCTCCTTCTGGAAATTACTTTCATTAACTTCATTTAGAGAACTTGTCATAATACAAGAATTAGAAGTATTATCTTGATTTGATTCTGTTTCCCCAATTAAAAAGGGATTAATTGGAACTTCTATCATTTTTCTATCTAAAGTGATAGATTCTTTATACTTTTCTTTACTAAGATCTTTTTCTAAACAAAATTCTTCAATCTTATTTACTAATTTATTTAATATACAGCTTTCAAAATTTTCAATGTTATTACTACTTAAAATTTTATTTTTAAGTTTGTCATCCTCTTTTTCTTGTATAATATCTTCCTGTAGATCTTCAACTTTAGACACTGTATTATCCCCTTGATTCTTCGATATATTATCTAAATTTATATCAATTTTATTTTTTTGCATATTTGCATTACGCTGTCTTTCTTCCAATTCATCTAGTGAAATTGGTCTGACATAATCCCATACTGAATTAGCAAGTGAATATAAAACTTGTCTTTTTGATTTCCTCCTAGGTGCTGATTGTATTTTCAAATCTACAGTATTTTCTTCATTATTATTTAGTTGAAAGGTATTGGAATTTTCAATTACAAGTTCTTTAATAGAACTTTCTTCATTACTATTTGATAAATTTTCATTAGATAGTTTTGTTTTATCATCCTCTACAACATTAATATTACAGTTTTTAGTATAATCACAATTATTCTTACTATTATTTTCTAAACTTTTTGGATTATTATCTTCATTTGTAAGTACGCTATACGTAACACTCTCTCCTAATGTATACACTTTATAATTATCTAAACCAATATCAGAAGCATTACAATTATCTTTTTTATAAGTTTTATCAAGGAATTCTGTATCAGAAATTTCACTTTCACTTCCAAGTATATCTATTGTTTGTGTTTCTTGCTTTATAGTACTAAATTTTTCTTCAAGGTTATTAAAATCTACTGGCTTAACTAGATCCCATATTGAGTGTGCAAGTGAGTATAGAACCTGTGATTTAGACTTTTTATTTTTGGAATCCTTGTCATCTGTAGTCAAATTTAATTCCAAGCTATCCGATAATTGTTTTTTTTTTTCTCTATCTTCATAAATACCTTGATCTGATTTTTTAACTAATTCACTAGGATTAATTAAATTAGAATCTAATAATTGTGAACTATCAGGTAATTCATTATTTTCAGTACTCTCCATAGTTAAGTTATCAGAATATGGATATTTTTGAGTATCTATATAATAATCTAAATCTTTTATTTCATTAATAATCTCAATTTCAGTTGTATAATCAGTAGTATTTTGCAAATTATTCCATATTTGACTTGGACCATTATTTTCATATTCATCTTGTATATATTCATTACTCAATATCTCTTGAGATAAATTTACTATACCTAAATTTACTTGAGTAGTTTCTGTTTGATTATTAGATTGGGTTGATTTTGAATTAGTATCATAGAAATTAATTTCTTCACAACTTTGAATTGTATACGAGGATCCATTAGAATATATAGTAATTTCTTCAAGACTTTGATATTCATCACTCCCATTATTTGAGATTTTAACTGATTCAAAATTATCTTGAGAATCTAAATCTTCTTGCCCACTTTTTGCAGTCATTTCACTATTCTTTATTTTACTTGAGCTAATTTTCAATTCACCTTGAGTACCTTTAATAATATTTTTCTGTTTATTTCTACTAGCTATAATATTATCAAATTTCTCACTTTTAGATTTTATATTTTCTTCAGTTCTCTTTTCCTTTTTTTTCTTCTCCTCAGTTTTTTTAAGCTCATGTTTAGCCTTAGTTGATGCTAAAGATTCTTTAGACATATTCTTCAATTCATAGTATCTTCCTGACGACTGCTTTTTTTTCCCACTACTTGCATTACTTTTTCCACTTTTTTTTTCTGAATAATCGGAATTATTCACATCAAACATTGGTACTGGTGCTAAACCTACATCTTCAAACGTCAATTCTTTAAATCTACCTCCTTGCCTCTTAATTTTTGCCATTCTTAACTCAAAAAGTATATCTGTTTGTACATATAATGTGTTATATTCGTTATTATGCTACTTCGTAGAATATATTAAGCAAGTATTATTAATATAAACTTTACTATTGCAAAATAAAATAATATTTAAAGCCTCTAAAAGCAAGCCCTATTTTCTTTCTTTTTTTTGTCTCTGTACACCTATTTCCAAATATTAATTTTAGTTCCTGTCCTCCAACCTAAAGGTATCTAACAGCCCATATCATTATAAATGAGTATGCCAGAGATTAGTCTAATATTTATTAGTTACCCAAGTACCCACGAATATTTAATTTTGACTATTTATATTATACATGTACAGTTTAATATTTGACCGTTTTGTCTTACCAGATCAATGCACACACCTAAACTAATGTACCTTCACGATGTCTTCACGAAATTAAATAGGCATTAATATCGTTTCATACACTATGTCTTGTCTAACAATGCAATTATCTATTGTTTTTTTTGTAATTCTTATTATTTTTACAAGGAATTTCTGTAAATTTGTGTCAATATTATGTAATATAATATGGCAATTTATATTTGATTATTAATTATATTCCCTTATGCTACCCGATATAATTTACTTATGGAAGAGTTGAGTTTGCAATCTCTTGACCTATTAAAATAAAGTAGAAGAAGAGCAAATTAGTTTATTTATTATCTGTAACCCTATATATTTCAAATATTAAGATACTTTTAAACTTACCAGAATATATAACAATTCCATTACTTTCAACGTTGTTTTGTTCAATAAAATTGTCAGTATCTTCTTCGCTAGTTGTATTTGAAGTATCACCATCGCTATCACTATCACAATATTCTTCACAACATCCATGTTCATCTTTATATGGAAATACTGCTTGAATAGTACTTTCAAATGTATAAGACTCCAAAGTCATAGTGAGCCATACTAATATAAGATATTTTAATATTCCCATATTATATAATTAAAATCTTGTTAAAAAAATTAACTAATAAATCTTCTAAGTAGCTTTCTTTTGTTATTCTGTTAAATACCACAATAGGTACCGGTATTTGCATGCAATTATTTGCAATGGTTTATATACCTTTAAATATGGCGGTATATTAACAAAAGAACTTATTTGACAAGTACTACTTGGTACATATAATAATTAGTACCCTTTTCTTAAGATCTTAAATAGTAATACAAAAATTAGTAGAAGGGTATTAACACAGTATATGACTATTGTCATAGTACTATTTTTGCTATGTTGTTTTAATTATATACTATTTACTTAGTACTTAGGGAGGCCTTAGTTTTAGATAGCTATTTAAGTGGCTTTAAGCTACTCTATTTTATATATTGAAATAAAATTTTATTGTACTAAATGATAGATCTTTAGCTTTTACATACTTTACAACAGGATATCCTATTTTTAAGGTATCTGTGATACCTTTTTCTTTTGCTATTACTTTTGTATTTGTCTTTGCCCATCTTTGATTGTTTATTCTTATGTTTATCCTTCTTTTTAACATCTTTCTCTTTATTCATACGGCTCATCTTTGTCTTCTTATTTTTATGCCTTATTTTCTTGTGTCTTTTTCTTTTATTATGATTCCTATGTCTTTTCTGATTCTCAGATTTAGCCTCCAGGAGTGTAACTCTGCTGGCACTTATTGGTTGAATACTTTTTTCAGAAGAGTTCGCAGTATATATATAGTATAATACACAAAGTAAGATATAAGTAACTGCTGTATAGACTCTCATATTTCATTAGATTTAAAAAATAAAATAAAACCTGTGCACAAAAAGAATATTGCATGCAAATGACACTATTGATGCAAACATTCTATTTCCATCTCTGCATGCAAATAACGGTATAGGCTCTAGTCAAAATTTGTGTTTAAATATTAGTTTACTTTAAATCTATCATAATAAAATAACTAAAAATAAATCTAAATATTAAGTTTTTAAAATATTTATTAGTCAGTACAAAAGGTTTTATATACAATTTTTAGAAGGGGATGTATAGAAATAGGCCAAGTTGAAGTTTCATCTGAATATATTAGTACACATATGTCCTTGGAAGTAATATACAAAGAACCACTAAATTTCCTTTTAAAGAATTTTCTTTATAAAGAGGTGCTAATGTATTAGTATATATTATTTAAGTAGCGACAGACCGCCTAACGTATACTAATAGAACATACTTAGATTGTCTCCTTACTATTGTCTCCAATTATCCCCAGTTAGTTCAGACAATTTATTGTTGCGATGCAATATCTGTAACTTGTAAGTATTTTGTAATATATTATAAAGTTACATTACAACTTATATTCAGAAGCTATTTGGATGTATAGTAGCAAGAAATACCAATGTATTAGAAATATATTGCCACCTATAAAGAAAATTAGACAATATAAATTTCTTTGTATCTAAGTATAATTGGGAATTATAACCTGCATAAGGTGGATAGTTATTTACTTGATGAAGCTTCAATTTAAAGTATCTTCTTAAGTAGTCTATAGAAATATCCCAATATTATAAGTTAACATATATATGATGAAAATGAACAATTTATGGGTAATTTGCATCTGAAAGTAGGGATTAGACTGGTCACATTTATACGTGACTTATTTTTTCTCCTTAAATTGATGCATAAGTTGTGCAAAAACTGACTTGTTTTGACGTTGACTTACTGTTAACTTGTAGAAATTCACCAGATGATGAAAACTTTCTTTCCCCGTATGACTTCATTAAGGTTACTTTTCTTTATGATTAGTAGGAGTTTTCTGATGAAATTAGTTATTATTCAATCAGTGATATATTAGACTATTTTCGCTATGTAGTAGGCATTATCAGTATATTTATTATATATTTACTATATATTTACTATAGAATTATTATAGGATTATTATGGAATTATTATAGAATTACTGTAGAATTACTATAGATTTACTATAGATTTATTATAGATTTATCATGGACTTATTATAGATTTATTACTAGATTCGCTATGGATTGGATTGATTATTTTGATTTGTAATATGCCAGGTGTCCTGTCTTATCCTGACTTGGTAAGATATATCATTGGTATTCATGTATATTGTTCCTAGTACTATTATAAGCAATTTAAATAACTTATGTATCATATACTGTTTATATTTGACATTATGAATAAGTCTGTACTTCTTGACAATTAATGGCATATATATTACCCATTGATGGGAATTGGAAGATTCTGCAACAAAATTCACTATTAAGTAATTATCAAATTTTTTGGGATATTGAATTGGGAGGTGGCCATTTAGGTAGAGTATTGTTAGGGAAATGTAAACATCATTCTAAATATGTTGCAATAAAGATTACTACTAAATGTTATGCTAAATACTCTGAGAAGGAAATTTTATTATATATTCAACAGAACAAGGATAAGTATACTAGAAATATAAGCTATATGAATGAAATATCTGAAATAGATAAAAAAGTGACTTCATTATTTCCAGAGATATATAATATATTTGAGGATAATTATTATATATATATTGTGATGGATCTTTTATATGGTGGAGAGCTGTATCATTTATTAACCAGAGTAAATCAAAAGCTTGATGAGAAACTCGTTGCTCTAATATTCAGACAAATCTGTGAGGCTGTTGATTATTTGCATTCAATAGGAGTAGTACATGGTGATCTTAAGCTTGAAAATATCATGTTCGGCAAGCAGAATAGGCTAGATACAGTGAAATTAGTTGATTTCGGCAACTCATTTATAATAAAGGGTCGGAACTTAATCTCAGAGTATAATAATACTAATATAAAGTCAAGAAGTGATAATCAAATAGATTCAGATAGTACATCTGAATTTGTATACAATAAATTCATTGATTTTTGGTGTTGCGGAATTATTTTATATATTATGTTGACAGGTGTATATCCAGACGGCTTAAATATTATTGATAATTGTAAAGATATTTGCTTTGAACATTATGTTTCTAATTCAAAGGAGTTAGAAGATAATAGCCTTCTTGTTAAAGATTTATTAATTAGGCTATTATCGTTTATTCACTGTAAGGATAATACCACAATGAGTCAAATACTTCAACACTCGTGGTTTAGTATTGCAGATGAGGCTGATATTTATAATGAATTGGTCTTACCACATTCAGAACTGATACGTAATAAAATTTTGCCATAAAGTGTAGTTAAATAAATATAAATGAAGTAAATGATATTGATGTAAATGTTGATGGAGATGAACTGTAATTATCAAGTCTAGAATTTGGTCTGATATTTGATTCTGCAGATATTAAGTCCGTATTTGTTAAAGAAGTTGATTGATTACCTGGTATACTAATATAGGAAGATTGTAATGAAAAGTTTGGATCTTCTCCATCAATATCCAGATTTGGTAATAGATCATTAGATATAGTATATTGTACCATTTGAGTATTAATGAGTTGTCCATTTATTACTTTGAGATTAGTTTGAGATATTTCTTCCATTATGTACAAATTTTCTATTATTGAAAAGTTAAATTTTTTCAGTATTAGTAGAACAATATATATAATAAGTAGTAATATAGCAATATATATAAATATAACTATAATATTCATTACAGTTTTAAATGAAAATGATAAGATTTGCAATAAATAAATATATAGATGCTTTCCTATATTCTTCTGATTTGTAAATTTATCAACAATAACATTTTTTAATATTTCTAATATTGGAAATGTAGTATTAATTAAAGTTTTATCACATGTAAAGGAATATTTAATATACTTATTATCATTATCTTTCATCACAATAAAGTAAGCAACGCCTAAACGTTCACAAGGTAACTTTGTATAATATTGATAATTATATTGTGTATTCGAATCATCCTCATAACTTTGATTATACTGAAGCACTTTAAATTTATCGATCATATTTATTTTAGCTGCAACTATGTCGACTTTTTTCTTAAAATATAAGATTATATTCCATCCTCCACTACACTTTTCAACCTTAGCCATATTTATCTTGATATATGATATTAAGTTCTTATTTACAGTTATATTACTACTTAGAAGTGACTCCATTACAATATATGTATCTGATTCTGTATAGAGAGATGGTTGTTCATATTTTGTACATGTTTGTATATCATTCATTTCCAAGGTAGTAATATTACTAATGTCTTGACTTTCTGTGTTACTTTGTACTTTTAATAAGCCAATTGCCAAATCTTTTTCCCAAAATGACTTGGGAGGGATAAGCCTAATTAAGCCCCAATATTTATTATTACTAGTATCCAGTAAATCAAATCCAAAATTAATGTATGGTAGCAAATCAAATTCTTTTGATAATATTGGATAGCTAGGAGTATTTCCATAATAATTATTATTAATAAAATCTAAATTACCAAGTAATCTAGCTGGTATATCGCTTCTATATTTGGTGTTAAGAATTGGAACAGTTAAGCTTCCAACAGTGTTGAAATATTTGTGCTCCTTATAATTTAAAAAATTTATCTTTAAATAATTGCAAATTTTGCCTTCACTTATTGAGATATGTTTCTCCTCCTGTCTAAATCCTAAATATTCACAAAAATTATTTCGAAAATAGTTATTTAGATTGGGGTATGTACCATATTGGCAAGCTAGAAAGATTTGTTTCTGGTGTGAAGTATCAATATTATTTAATGTGCCAACTAGCAATTCAAGATCCATTTCCTTTATTGAATCTATAGCACGAGCAATTGAAGGTCCAACAATAGAGTCCTTAATAAAATTCCCACTAGTTCCTGCTATAGCTTCAACTATTGCAAAAAACTGTGAACTTAAAAGTACTGATGTGAGTGGTTTTACAGAAAAATTACTATCATTTCTAGAAAATTCTACAATTGGAAAGAATGCATATTGTTCATATTTTGAACACTCAAGAAGATCAGCAGCATCGTGTAAACCATGCAAATTATCTACAATTTTGAAGTGATCATAGCCAAAATTATTGCTTAGTGGGAGTGATTTACATATAGGTAAAAATGTGGCCAAAGCCAATAATAATGATTTCAATTGAGCCATCCAACAATTATCATCATTAAATCTTAGTCTTAACTGTTTATTGCAAATCAGTTCCTTGTAATCTTAGTATAAGGTTAAACTTACACAGATCAAGTACCATGATACTCGACAAAATATTACTAGCGCCAGGAGGCCTTTTTTTTCGTTATTATTTTATTTTACAAATTTGTGATAAACTTCTCAATTATGAATAAAACTCAAAAAAAGAATTCATCGGAGCTTATAAATAAGCATAATAAGAGTTCTTCAAAACTTACTGAAGTTTTTACTGAAATTATGACTTCATATTTAAAAGTAGTACCCAAACACATTCAAATTATTGATTGCTTTATTTCCTACCTTGCAATAATTACAATAACTCAATTAATCTACTGTATTTTGATTGGAATGGCATATCCTCTTAATTCCTTTATTGCTGGCATATTTACATCTGGTGGAACTGCTTTGCTTGTATCAGCTCTCAGAATTCAGTTAATAGCTCCAGAACTCTTTGATAATATATCTCCTAAAACAGCTATTTTTGACTTTCTAATTTGCTCCTTTGTATTTTTCATTGGATGTGCATCATTACTTGTTTAACTATTACAGTAACTGTTAAGAAGAAAAGAAGTGTAAGCTAAATATTAATAATAATATCTCTCTGTATCTGATAGTAGCTTTTACATTATTCAATTTCTAAAGATATCTTTTAGCATACAGTATATAGTAACTTCTATATCTGAATTAGGTTATATTATATTTCAAATGATTTCCATTCATGATCTACCCCTGAAATATCATATTATTACCCATCATTGAAAACTATTTTTATTCTTTATTATATTGCAAAGTATTTACAATATAATTCCAATATCTGAATATGAACTGAAATTGTAAAGTACTTTACTTTTTCTATTTATAACTTTAGTAATAGGGAAATAAAGTAATTCACTATTTTATATATTATTTTTAGCTGGATTATATTATTTCCTAATTTCTTGTAGTTACTATCTGTTTCCACTTTCTTCCTAGTAGAAATTCGCAATGCTTTAAGTGCATGTGAAATATTGTTATTGCATGTACCGGCAGCTGCATGTAAGACACGTGTCCTGTTATCTAAGATAATGTATAAATTAAAAAGGGCCAATATATAATAGCAATATCTGTCAAGTAATCTTGTATTATAATTATTTTAAATATTTGTATTTTGCCTATGATTCCTTGGAGATAATTATACCTACTGCAGATGCATTTTAAATAATTGAGGCGGTTTGAGTCTGTATTTAGTATTATATTCTGATAATGTACTATAAGGAATAAAATATAACCTAAATAGAATTAAATTAGCTAAAAAAAATGAAATATAATAATACAAATCTAATATCAATGTACTTAAGATCAAAAAGGATTATCCATATTATATTAGCTAGAAATGGAATAATACTTAACATATGTTCATCAGTTATATAAGTGAATCTCAAATTATAAGTACATAGCAAATATGAATGGAATATCTAGAGTAAGAGAGCAGTATAATATTCTAATAAAAGTTATCAATAAGACAGGTTAACTGTAGGACTGCATAGACTGATTTTAATCTATGGCGCTTTGTGGGACAAGCGGATCCTAAAATTCCCGCAACAATGCGCTGTGAAAAAGGGAAAGATGTCAGTTTGAGTTGAAGATTAAGGAGAATTGCAAATTTATTGTATCTGCCTTTTTTGGAAAGCTATTGTGGACAAACATATAGTGACTAGTCGCTTCCAATTTGGGGTGGACGAATATGGATGTGGCACGAGATTACTTGTCTCGGTTGAGAAGCCGTTGCGGTGAGGATACAGAACTGTATCAGGAATTTTTGCGAATAATGAGAGACTTTAAGCATGGGAATATTAATGCCAGGGTAGTTATTAGCCAAGTTGCGGAGTTATTCAAAGGTAATTCAGGTTTAATTGCAGAATTTAATAACTTTTTACCTGAGGAGCTAAGATTGCAAGTTCCTCAAACTGACTGTGAGTATGCTGCAACATATATTAAAAAAGTGAAGGAATTAGCACCCGATATATATGCAGATTTTTTGACACTTCTAAGTAAATATCAAGAAGGTGAGAAGACTGCTAGTGAGGTTAAAAATAAAGTTACAAGCTTGCTGTCATCATATCCAGATCTGTTGCGCGAATTTGCATTATTCCTACCAGAATTAAGCTCTGATAATTCAACTATGCAGCAGGGCTATCAAGGTAATGGAAGCCATAATAATACTGAGGATTTGGATAACTTTAATAATAGCACAGTTAATGATAAATCCGAATTTTTATCTTACCTAGCTAGTACAATCTCTTCAACTGTTTCTTGTGAGCCACCCAAAGTGGTCACTCGCAAAGGTCCTGTAGATGCATCTTATAACTTGACTGTGATTCCAGAACTGGATAGACTGTTAGAACAACAAAAGAGACATTTAAATAAGGTAGAGACCACTAAAGAGAAAAATGGATTTTCCACAGAGACTAGTGATAATCCTGAAATTAGAAGTCAATCATATCAGCATTATTATTATAGTCAAGAAGACTTATCTATGTGGGAATCAGACTATAGGATTTTTGAGGAGGTTTATGTTGCAATGGGTGATAATAAGAGATATTATAGTGACTTTTTAAAGTTGATATACTTGTATACACGTGGTGTATTAACAGTAGTTGAGACTCTTTTGGCACTTGAATGTTTCTTTCCCATGGATAGTGGTGATCTACCTTACGAAGTCAAGCGTATGATTGTTCAAAGAGAAGCAGCAAGACGAAAATATTCATACTTCTGTTGTAACTTCGCACAACTGGATTACTCAAAGTGTGCACGAAATGGTAACAGTTATCTTCACTTACCAGATGACTATCCAATAGCTATCTGTACTGGGAGAATTGACAGCGATCGCCAGAATCTCAATGATAACTGGGTTAGTATACCTCAAGGTTCTGAGGATTTTTCCTTTAAACATATGCGTAAAAATGTATATGAAGAAAACTTGTTCAAGTGTGAAGATGAAAGATTTGAACTTGATATGGTTATTGAAAATAATCGCTCAACTATACATATTCTAGAACCTATTGCTGAACAGATAAGTAAACTATCTATTGAAGAAAAAAAAAGATTTAAACTGAAAAATCCACCATTCTCAATAATTCATCTGAAAGCTATATCTAGAATATATGGGGATAATGGTTCTGAAATATTGGAACTATTAAAGCGTAGTCCATATAGCTGTATTCCTGTTATATTGAATAGACTAAAACAAAAAGATGAAGAATGGACTCATGCAAGGCATTTGATGAACCAAGGTGTATGGAGAGATATTCAAACGAAGAATTATTTTAAGTCTTTTGATCATAGATCATTTTATTTTAGACAATCTGATAAGAAAAATACTAATGTTAAGGGTTTCCTTTCTGAGGTAAGCAAGTTATATCTTCAAAGAAGAGGTTTTGATTTAGGTACTTCATCACCATGCACTACCGTTATACCTCCAAAATCTATCGATTCTACATCTCCTATAACTTCAAGTGAAAGATATCAAAATATATCAACTACCTATCGTAAAGAGTCTAATGGTTGGAGTATAGCTCCTGAATTTGCTCATACTATGTCAGATATTGAGGTTCATAAGGAAGTAATTGAATTAATTAGTTTTACGATATATCGCCAGGCATCAGGCCCTGCAATTGGGTCTAAGGCAAGAAATTTCTTACAGCGTTTTGTACGATCATTATTTTTACAAATGAATTATAATGTTGATAATGATTTGTTAACACTGAAGCAACTCCAGAGTGAAGGTTCTACTTTTCAAACAAGTGTTACATCTAATTGTCAAAATAATTCATGTAGCAACTCTTCAAACTCATTTTCAAATACTCACTTATCTAACAATAGTGATAAACAGATGCTCACCGTCGAAGCATATGTTAATGCAGTTACTGAGGGACATAACAATAATTTGATTCCCTTTACTGGTAATAACTCTAGAGGACGAAGGCTAACAAGGAATCATTCCAAGAAATCTTCAAGTATTCAAAGTAGCAATAATGGAGATCAACATGTTCCACTAATAAATATTAAACCACCTACAATAGAGGATGGAGTTATTGATGGAGAGGAATCAAATATATGCAAGACTATAGATAATACATCAGGTACTAGTGATAACAACACTGACAATAACTCTACAAATAGGCAGGATAATCATGCAAATCTTGAGACAGCTAATAATAATGTAGATTTAAATAGTATTTTTCAATCCTTTACGACATCTTACGATTGCCGTGGTGGACTGAAGTACTTGTGGAGTGACCATTGCAAAGTAAATTGGCACAGTTCTAATTTATCACCAGATTGGTTTGAACCTAGCACTAATGGAAATAGAACCGTATTTACAGATGATACCTTTGGAATAGAAGTGAATGATCATAATGAGATATCTGAAGATAATAAAAGTGCAACCATTGTAAATAAGGATGGAATGAGCAATTCTATTGTACAAAATCTTAATGTAAACAAAGGAAAGGGGTCTCTTTTTAGACCTACATCTTTAGTTAGATATATTATGGGTAATGATCATATATGCTGCTTTCTGCGCTATTATCAAGTTATATATGAACGACTACAAAGAGCAAAAGCAACAATAGAACAAAGAGAAAAAAATCCACAACCATTCCAAAGATGGTCACCCAATGGTCCTGATGTTCCAAGGCCTACTTATAAACAAGTGATATGGTGTTGTTTTGGTTTATTATCAGGAGAACTTGAATTAGGTTTATTCGAAGATATTTGTCGTGATGCAATGGGTAATGATTCATATTGGTTAGGCACAATAGACAAGGTACTTTTGGGGATTTCAAAAGTCATTGTACACATTGTTAATGATTTGGCAACATGTAGATTACTTGCAATGAATCTAGTATATAGAGATACAATTTTTGATCATTATAGAAAACTAGAAGAATTTATTGCAGCATGTCGTTCATTGTTACCAACAGTCCAATCATCATTCTATATAATAACATGGTCTCCATGTGAATACCTACTGAAAATTCGTATGAGACAATTGGACGATTATCACTTGACATTTTTGCCGTTTATTAGTAACACTAAGTCTAATAATCTCTCAAATAATGAAGTAGATCAGTGCCAAGGTACTGATATGATTGAAGAAACACTGATTCCACCCAAAAAATACTTATTAGGTGCTGAGGATGATATTGAATATGGAGTAGCAATCGATCTCACAAATGATATTGAGCTACTACAACAGATTTTAGTACATCAACTAACTAGTATTAATGATGATCCAACTATGCGGAATTCATTGCCACTAGAACAAATATCCGAAGCTGATAATGAAAATATATCATCTGTGCTATCATCAAATCCCGTTTCATTTTTTGTATATATGGAGCAGACATTCGTCAAACCACTACTCTTTTGCAGCATGAATATGAAATACATTGCTAAACTCGCAGCTTCATCTCAGTGGTTAGGCTTTTTACCAGATAACAGTCATCGTGACATAGCGAGGTCTCCATCTGTTTCACGTGATGCAGTAACAAATACATCTGTTAGTGTCACAAGACCAGCAGAGTCCAAAAGATCTAGCAGACGTACTCTAATGGTCAACGATATGCCAAATCCAACAGATGAAGATAAAGGCCAATGGTCAGAGGAATCTATAGAATCCAATAGTAGAGCTATGTCAAATACAAATAGAAGAGGTACTGTTGGTAGGAAAAGAACTAGAGGAATGCCAAGTGATATAACGACAGAAATTGATGATATTGACATTAGAGTAACAAGAAGAAGGTCTGGAAATACCACTAGGGGCTTTAGAAGGAATTAACATATAATATTGCTTAAAAAGCAATAACTCTATATACTCCTTAGTTCAAATATACATAAAAGTTTTGAATGTGTATTATATTATAGAATATGCATTTATATCTTAAATTAGAGACTTGAAATAAATTAGATTGGAACCTAAGCTTTATTTTAATAAAATATTACATTACTTTGTAATTTAGATATTACCTAAATATTGTCTCTACGTAAATTGACCATTTAAAAGATTTATTACTCCTAGAAATATAAAGTTTGTAACTTTGGGAGAATATTTTCATAAGAATAGAAGTCATAATGCTTAGATCTCCCCCTAATCTTAACAAATCTTTGCTATACATGTCAATCTTCCTGAGCCCTATTGGCATGCTGCCGCGGTAGCTCAATTGGACAGAGCGTTGGACTTCTAATCCAGAGGCTCGGGGTTCGATTCCCCGTCGCGGTGTGTAGTCTTTTTCAATTAAAGAGAGTGCATTGACCTGACCGCCTAGTCTAATTTGGCTCTTATGAACAAGTGTTTCAATACCTACCCTATCCTGCGGGCTTGGTGTAGTTGGATATCACGTCTGCCTACGGAGCAGAAGGTCAGGAGTTCGAGTCTCTTAGCCCGTGCCTTTTTCTCTCCGTGTAGGGAGGGAAAGAAGTGAGTTTATTAACACTTCATAATAGTATTGTTCTAACTTTATTCTACTCCTCAAACTTTAAGCTTTTACTTTAGGCTATTATATTATTTTCAAATGAAGTGTATTTTGACCTCTTTTATTATTTCTGAAATCTCCAAACTTTTTTTATTTGATCTCTAATAGCACTTTTTCAGTTACTCTCATGAACTTCCTATTAAAGCGCTAAATCTCTTTAAAATAGATCTCCCAATACTATTCTAAAATTGATTGATTAAATATAGCATAATACGCAGATAACTAATATAATATATAACTCCTCTACTTTTCTCTTAGTATAGTTAATTCATTGATACCTTAGCTCTTTTTAAGTGGGGTTATTTGTACGCTCTTTAAGAACTTTAGAAATATTACCCGCCTAAAGAATGTATCGGTACACTATAATCGATAAAAGTAGTAAGCTACAGCAAAAAAGTTACATGCAATCCCCAGCTTATGTAAAAAGGGAATTAATAAGAATATAACTTATAGACTTCTATACAATTTAAAAAATGATATTTTATTTTACAAAATATTCTGAGTTTATACAACTGAGTTTCAAAATTAGATAATGGAGAATTTCAGATAAATTACTTTAACTTAGTAATTAACTAGTTGTCAATATAAGCTCTATATAAATATTATTAAGTAAGTAAATTAATATTAATAGCTATATAATCTAATATATGAACTGATATTATAAAACCTCAAATCATTACTTTAAAATACCATCTGGTATATATTTCCAATAACTAAGACAGACTTATAACGAAGTACAGGCTCTGAAAAAAGTAATAGAAGATTTATTTTTATTATCTTGTGGTTTGGTAAGATTAAAATTCAAATATATCATGGTAATTTTGCAAAAATGAGAGCTGTAAATATTTGTTTAAAAATAAAGTTTCTAGTACTTAAATAGTAAATTTATATAATCAAACAACTTATCTAAATATTTCAAGTAAAAAAATTATATAGGCTATTTTTAAAACATTAATTATAAATATTAAGCTAGAAGTTGAAATTTGATATTTTGTTCTTTAAATATGGTTAACAAAAATCCTTGTTCAAGGAGAGATTTATACAAAACTATTTCTACTATCAACTATGCAAAGTAAAGTTATTAAATTAATATTTTTAATATTTGGGATTATATTAACAAACAATTATTAAATAGATTAAATCTAATAACACTATAGTAACTCAAGACAGTAGTCTATGATATATATCTGGATATAAAAGTAAAACGATCTATTATTTTAAAATAAGCATGTACAATTACTTAGATCTTAATAGTTTGATGACTATATATCATATCAACTACTGAAAATAATTATAGTAGAAGAAAAAAATTTACATTAAATAAATTTATATCTTGCTTCTTCAAATAATATACTAAGAATCATAGAATATCTGCAATGATAACAGATGATATATATATTCAATGGGAACTACTTCTTATATTAAAATTAATCAAATAATTATCTATTAAAATTTTTACTGGATTAATAGACAAGATTATTTTGGATTTAGATAAGTGATGAAGAATGTTACAGGATTTTAATTTTATCTTTTTAAATAATAAAAGAGAATTATGTACTTTTGATAAACTTTTACCATTAAGATATTGGATCTATTATACTACTCTATAGATTATCTTTCAAACCTTTTGTTTATTGTAAATAGAGATGAAAATATTTAATAAATATATAAGACAATGTTAAGATACTTAAAACATTAGAACAAAATAACTATTTTAAAAACTAGTATAAAATATTAAGATCATTGTTCAAGCTAAATATATGCTAAGTAATAAGATTAATAAGTCAAAATAAGATATTTTAAAGATTTCTTAAAAATAGTATATAGGTTTTAATATACAATTTAAAAGCAAAGAATAATCCATTTTAAATCATGATCTATCTGAATTTACTTAAAAGTATTTAACATTTATTTAACAATGATAAATAAATTTATTAATGTTTAAATTTTGATATGAAATATAATCTAAATTAAATATTCAATTTAAAGAAGTTACTTGTGTCTTCAGCTAGGACCCAGTTTGAAGCTTATGTGAAGAAACTAACACTGAATACTTATTATCTTTATATTATTCTTTTTGGTATTATGAAGAATATATAATAAAAGTTCCAGATATCCTTTATCATTTATAAAAAACTGAAATAATCCTAAATTAAAATGTTAGATATTCAATAAAAAAGAGATTTCAGAATTTAATTTTACACATTATCTAATTAGATTCTTTTCAATATGTTGAAAGCCTTATAATTTAGCAGATCAAGTTAAATACTAAATATAAAATATCCTTGCTACATAATGAAATTCTTTAGTATCAATTATTCTGTAATTATTAAGTTATATCTTTAAAACTCTAAATAAATGATAAGTATTTATTCAAATATGTAAAATGGTTCATATTGCTATTATTTACTGTTTAAGATTAAGTAACTCTAACTCTAAAAAAAATACAGCACACATGATCTTGATAATAACTATAAAAAAAAAAAAGAAATCGACTTATAAGTATATTAATTTACCAATAGTACATTACTAATTCTGTTTCTTCTTAAGTAACTGAGTATTTACTTAATCATATTTCTTAAAATATCTTTGACTAAATTGATTAATTCCTGCACTCTCACAAGTCGATTTGTTTGGAAGACAAGCTAAGTTTTATTTTAAAAAGTATTCATTTTGACATATAGCTAACTAACAGAATAATTGCTATTTTAATCTAGGCTAACAAAATTGGCGCTATGAAAGGTCATGATGCATTTAAATAATTCGGTACCCCTATACCGGTATTAAAGCAAATATAATGCAGAAAGAGTTACTTTAACCTTAAAACACCAATTTATACAATAATTTATTATCAATATAAGCATTAGTAATAGATAGTTGGCAGTATTTTGGAAGAACTTAAAGTACCTCATTCTAACTGGTAAATTTCTAATAAAGAGGTTCTATTTCTAATTAGGGATGGTTCGTTTCCCTTGGCCAAAATTTTCTTTGAAGAAAATGAAATTAAATGGTACTACACCTTTAATAGGTAGCCTTAGCTTACTTTTAGGTGGTTCAGGTTTAGTATTATCAAATAGTATGTATAATGTTGAGGCTGGTCATAGAGCTATAATCTTTTCTAGGATAAATGGAGTTCAAGATAAAGTATACTGTGAAGGTACTCACTTTTTAATTCCGTGGTTTGAGAGACCAATTATATATGATATAAGAGCAAAGCCTAGGGTATTAGTTTCATTAACAGGTAGCAAAGATTTACAGATGGTCAGTATTTCATGCCGTGTTTTATCTCGACCAAAAAGTGACAAACTTCCAGAGATTTATCGTACTCTAGGACAAGACTATGATGAGAGAATTCTTCCATCTATTATTAATGAAGTTTTGAAGTCTGTTGTAGCTCAGTATAATGCCTCACAACTGCTTACACAACGTGAGATAGTTACTAGAAGAATACGAGATTTGCTAACAAAACGAGCGCAAGAGTTTAATTTGATTCTTGATGATGTTTCATTAACACATTTAAATTTTTCGCCTGAATATGAGAAAGCTGTTGAATCTAAGCAAGTGGCACAGCAACAGGCCGAGAGAGCTAAATATATTGTATTAAAAGCTCAAGAAGAAAAGAAAAGTGTAATAATTAGGGCTGAAGGTGAGCAAACTGCTGCTAAACTTATTGGTGAAGCTATTAAGAATAATCCTGGCTTTATCTCCTTGAGACAAGTTGAAGTAGCTAAGGATATTGCTCAAATAATTGCTAAATCTAATGCCAAATCCTTAATAAATCTGGAATCACTGCTTCCAGATACATTTATGACTCAAGATATGACAAATTAAGCATACTTACAAGAAAAATATAATTATTATTAAAAAAAGAACTGATTTTTAAGATATTAAACTATAATATGAGTTGTAAATAAGAAAGTATATTATTTCTAAACATTTGTTTTTATTTAAACTTTTTAATATACTTAGCTATCAAACCTATATGTTCTAAAGTACAAACAACACTATAAAACCCTTATTATTTAGCTCATAATATATTACCAAGTTATTTTTAGGTTTGACTAAAACTTTTCAAGTAGTTCATAAAGGTATACTAACAACAGTCACAAGTCTGTCCTGACTGTAATTTATAACTTCCTCATTGTCTTAAATATAATTGCCTGTTAAAATTATATCTAAATTGTCTTTCTATGTACAACATTTGGCCCTTCCTCGAGAAATTCTTGCTTGGTTATCCATATTGTCTTAAATGTTGCTAAAGACCCTAATATAGATCCTCCTATCCAAGGTAATAATGTTCTATCACTAGAAGCATTTATTCTGATTTTTACATCTTTTGGTAGAGCTTTCCTCAATTCATAAAGTAGTCTATCACCTAACCCAGGGAACATTGTTGAACCACCTGATAATACTATCTGAGAAGCTAATGTTCGCCTTAAATCCATATCTGTTTTATTTATACTATGAATAAGAACTTCGTGGAGACCAGGATATTCAGAACCTATTAGATTTGGTTGGAAGAGTAGTTCTGGAGCTCTGAATCTTTCCTTACCTATAAAAATTGTCTGTCCATCAGGTAATTTATAAGGATATCCAATTGAAGATCTTTGACTTCCAGTTCCAGAATCTAATGAACTATTAACTAGTTGGTTTTCGTCATTTTCATCCTTTTGTAAGTTTGATGATACAAAACAGACTGTCTCTTTAATTTGTTTAACTATCTCCATTTCTGCGCTGGTATGAAATATTATTCCAGACCTTCTAAGCTGCAGATTTAAATACTCTGTAATATTCCTACCAGCAATATCACTTCTTGTTATACAATTATTCAGAGCAAATCCCTGATATATTGGCACTGCATGGGTAACTCCATCTCCACTATCTAGAACTATACCAGTAGTCCTGCCTGATGAATATAATGAAAGAACAGCTTGAGTTGAAATAAATAAAGCTGGAACTCTATATGTTTCAAAAAATATCTCTGCCATTTTTTCACGATGCTGCCTGGGGTTTAGAGCTACTTCTGTAAGTAACACAGGATGCTCCTCCGAAGAAATCTTTAACTCAGAAAAAATGTGAGTCCAAAGAGTCTCCATATCATACCAATCCTGTATTATTCCATTACTTATAGGATATGAAATTCTTAGTATGCCTCTATTTTCAATACTTTTAGTTCCAACAAATACATCTCCTTCCAGAGCTCCTGCCATACATCTCTTATATTTTGGACGACCTACACAACTATTTACAATACACCTAGGTATCTCTTCTCCTGCAAATCCCGACTTTATAGATCCCGATCCATTGTCAATAATGGCAGGTTGGCTTGTAATTACATCATCATAATGTAAAGTTGCCATTCCATATAATTAAATCTTTTTATTAGTTTTTTTAGAGCCACAAAAGTCCCCAGAACACTAATGTACCTTTTAAACTAAAGCTAAGCTTACAAAAGTATATCAAAGTTTGTGTGGATCTTGAAAAGAAGAAACAAATACCACGGAATTTTCCCGTTATAAAGCATACCCCACTAGGCGCGCTCTGACAATATACGGAAGGCAGGTGAATTATCTGATTATTTTCTTTTTATATTTTTTTAAAAAAGTCAGACAACTTGTATTTTCTAGAGGTCTAGACTTGTTAATATTAATTCCCATGAAAATTGTATACTTATGCATTTGGTCCCAAATAATTATGTAAATCACTGATGAAGAACAAGAGCTATCAAATGAAGGACTCAATTGCCTTCCATAAAAGATTGAAATTTGACCCATATAAGACAAATGAGACAGTTTATAATGTAATTAATACCGGTATAAAGATTAATAACTCAGAAGGTCATATACCAATCCTTTTATCTTTAGAACCACAGTGGAGTATTGATGATTTATCTAACAAAAAGTCAAAACAATCTTATACAGACATTAACTTCAATATTCATGTGAGTATTACGTGCAATACTAACGATAATGAAGAATCAAGGTTTAAACATTTAGAAGATTTATATGAACAAGATAACGATGGTATAAATTTGAGCTTTGAATCAGCCAGTGACTTCAAATCAAGCAAAACGGATGGAATATCCTTACTTTCAACTTCTACTTCTTTATCCCCTATATCTTTACAATTATCATGCCCTGATAAAAGTATGTGTAGGATTATAGAGGACTCATTAGATGATGGGTGTAAAGACTTGAATATGATAGTAGATAAACAAAATTTTGAAAATACCGAACTCATTAGAAAAAAAGAGTTGATGAAAAGTAATCTACGTAGGCAGTTATTGAGTAACCCATACTATGATATTTGTAAAAATCCAGAGTGGCCATTTGTAAAGAAGAGAAGTAGAGTTATTTCTAGGAGTTCGAAAGGTTCAGATTTGTCATACAAAAAAGATTATACTCAATGTATTAAATCTTCAGGACAAAAAACTACTATAGAGGGGAGTAAGACTGTAAAGGGACGCTCAAGGCAATGGCTTGAGTCATTAGCAACTTTATTTGATGGTATATATACACAAAGAAGTAGTTTAGGACGAAGCGCAGGCCTGGGACTTTTTTCCGATCGACATTTTAATAGGAATGAAATTATAACAGAATTTGTTGGATGGGTAATAGATAGAAATGAAGCTCTTAGATTAAGATCTGAACGGAAGGCTAGCCATATTTGTGATTTAATTAAACCTAGTCTATATCTTGATGGTGAAAAAGACCCAAAACCCTTCATAGGAGGTGGCTCGTTTGCAAATGATGGAAGTACATCCCTTGGTGGCCCTGGAAATAATGCCAGATTTTGGAAATGGTATGATGAAAGAGAAGGTAGGACACGAGTTTTTTTGAAAGCTCTGCAGGATATTTATCCTAAAGAGGAGATCTTTGTAGGCTACTGCAAGGATTATTGGGTTGATGTAGCTGAAGAAGACGTAAAACCTAAATTGCAAAATACGAAAAAGATTAGCAATTTAAAGGCTTTGCATGATGCACATATCGTCAAAGATAAGAGAATTAATAAAAAGGACTTTACCAAGAGAAACATTAGCATTAAAACACAAAAATATAAGAAGGTAAATAATATTTCTGAAGTTACAGAAGATCACATGATTTCAAACAAACAAGATAAAGAGGAGACAAAATTTAGTGAAGATAAGGTGACTATTATGAATAGTAAGAAGAGAATTAAAAGTTCTAAATTTCAGCAACACAAGACGTCAGAAATAGCAGAGGCAAACAATACTGTTGATTTGCAAAGTAATAATACAGACAGTGTTTCCTCATCCCTCTGGAATGTAGATTTTAACTGGGAAACTTCAGATGATGAGTGAAGATATAACTATTTAGGCCTTGTTATCATACTTAAAAGCAAAATATACTTTCAAAAAACGAATATATATACTTTATATAGGTATTTCATCACTTTTTTCAGATCAATTATTAGAAATTAAAGTTAAATAATATAGTGATGCATAATTATATTGTTCATAGCTTCATTATTCCAACTTATAAAGTTGCATGGCTTGTGAATAAAGAGAAATTGTAGCCTATATCACATTAATGTGTACCTTAAGACAGTATATTTTATTGCTTTTAAATTGATCCATGAAATTTTGTATATAAGAGGTCACTTTTATATTAGAGTTGAGTTTCTCATTATTGGGAGTTATGTAATCTTTATAAACTATGTTTCGATTTACATTGACAACGTATTCTATATTGAATATTTCTTATTATTCAAAATATTCATATCTTTAAATTATGAATTATTTCTTTTAATATTTATTTAAATATTGCTATATTTTTAATTAATACATGACACTTTACTTTTAGGTAATAGCTTTATTGTATTCCATAGAATCTTCTTTGTTTTCTTCAGGCTTAAACCATACAAAATCTCTGAGTTTATAAAGATCCTTCCTCTGTAACTCTTCTTTGATACAAATTTTGTAGTTCTCCCACTCAGTATTACATAGTCCAGTTAATTCCCCCTTAATAAAACTATACCTATACCACTTTATAAAACATTTATCATATATTTCCTTTTCTTTAGAGCATTTCTCCATATCTAAACACTAGAATTCATATTAAATTCTCATAATAAATTGGACAGTGCTAAATATAGCATGAAAGACTTATTAACTTATTATTTTAGGACTCTGGCATAAACCGGAGGAGTTAGTCAAGCGCTTGTTAACAGGCACTATGTACTGGTGATCAGTTGTTTTAATATTTCCAACTATTAATAGTCATTCTAATATCTCAATTATTGAATATTTATAAGATATTCATGATAGTTTGGGTTATAACTTCACTAGAAGTATTATTAGTAAAATGGAAAAAAAGTGTCCATTTTTATCTACAATAAATAGAGGTGTACTAGATTTTGATCATGAAAAATTATGCAGTGTGACACTTCGTAATGAGCATGTATACTGTTGTCTAGTATGTGGTACTAACTTTCAGGGTCGTGGTAAAGGATCTATAGCTTATTGCCATGCTTTAGAGATGTCGCATCATATGTTTATAAATCTACACACATCCCGAATATATTGTTTACCTGATAACTATGAAGTTAAAGAGCACTCTTTAGATGATATTAAACAATATTTACAGCCTAAGTTTGACAAAAAACTTATTTCTATACTAGATAAAAATTGTAAGACCTATGATGGGAGTGAATATATACCAGGCTATATTGGGTTATATAACTTTGGGAAAACTGATGCTTTAAATGTAGTCATCTTATTGTTATCTAGGATCATTCCTTTAAGGGACTTTTTCCTTTATTTCCCTATTTATGACTCTGAAAATTTTCAGAAAATAAGTAAAGTACCTCTGGATAAACTTATGTTCAGTATAATTGAAATAGTTTGTAAAATATTCAATCCCTATAACTTTAAAGGTATGGCTTCTCCTTTTGTGCTTGCTAATACAATCGAAAGAAAATCTAATAGTCTTTTGCCGGTAAGTACCAATACTGAAAAACAAAGTAATAAAACTTCTCAGGATACTCAATTTGTTGATCCTATGGCACTATTATCTTGGATAATTCACTATATGAAAAAAAAACTTTCTAAGATAAAATTGGGATACCAAAGATGTTTTTATCAAGATAAAATGAGTAAAAGTAAAAATATAATTGCTTCATGTATTGAAGGACAAGTTTTAAATTGTACAAAGATCAATGGAATAGAACCAAAAAGCCTAAACTTATCATATGATTCTATGAAATCTGTTCACGGATCAACTGTTAATTCCTTTATATCACTGTCTTTAAATATTCCATTACCATCTGTTTTGAATCCTTCTTTGGATTCTAGAATACCTCAAATTGCAATATTTGACTTGTTACAAAATAAGTTTTTGGAAAATAGTTCTACTTTTCAAAAAATATGGTTATTACCATGTTATTTGATTGTTCACTTTAAGCGATTTTCAATGGAATCTTTTGGTTTAGAGAAAAATCCTACAATTATCTCCTTTCCTATTAAAAATCTAGATCTTTTACCCTATGTACATCCAGATAATCTTCATGCTAATCCAAATACTAAATATGACTTAATAGCAAATATAGCTCATAAAGGAGATACTAAATCTGGAGTATTCACTATTCAAATGTATCACTCAGGTAGAAATGAATGGTATGAAATTGAAAACCTTAAAGTTGAGCAGATATTACCTCAGGCTCTATTATTAACAACATCATATATTCAACTTTATAAACAAAGTGATTTACATTAATATAGTTAATATTATAGAAAGTGCAATAAAGTGATAACAAGTGACAACGTATACATTTATTTACAAATTTAAGTTATGAACTATTTGAAGCCTTAAATAGGGAAATTACATTATTAATTATTTAAAGAGACTAATAAGTAGTATAATTTTTAATATGCAGAAGAATATTAATCTACATTCTAGTTCTTGACTGACCTACAAATATTAAGTATCAAGTTACTAAATCAAATTATTTAATGTATATCAGCCAATGTGATAAGATAAAGCTCTAATTAACAGAACTCACTAAATATTTTAGGATTTAAAGATAATAACTAATAATAAATTTAGAGAAGTGATCATGCTAGTTTTTTTTTTATAGCTTGAATTTGCCACCCATTTTATATAGGTTAGATAGTGCCCCCCTCTTGTTTTATTAAATAACCAATGGGATTTTATATATTAGAAGTTTGAAAGATCATTTAATAAACATTATTTTATTGCTCAATTAATGGATGAACTAATTAAACGGAAAGAGAATATTGAAAAGGAAGTTAAGGAACTTACAGAATTTTTAAATTCATTTGGACCTGATGTTGGAGTTAAAGGTAGCCTTGTAGATTCAGAAGGATTTCCACGTGCAGATATCGATTTATACGAGATTAGAAGTGCTAGAAATCGCCTAGCTATTCTTAATACAGACTACTCAGAAGTAATGAAGAAAATTGAAACCAAACTAATAGAACTACATAGTCAATCTAAAATAAATGTTCCTTACCCTGTTAAAAAACAATCCTGCCAAGATTTAGGGAAACTTATACCTTTTGCTCGTGTAGATGATGTTAAGGAAGCATCCCCTGCATATGAATCTGGACTAAGAGTTGGTGATCTGATTTTGAAGTTTGGATCACTATATGTTAAGGAAGGATCTACAGAACAACAGATAAATACTATTTTTGAAGATATACCAACTAAAGTAGTGGAGTCACTTAGTAAGATCCTACATATAACAGTTTCACGTTCCAAAGATAGTTCAGATCTTACTAAGGAAGTCATAAATATTGAGGTTACCCCTAAAAGGTGGTCTGGAAGTGGTTATTTAGGATGTCACATTGTAGCTCACAAGAACCTAAATAATAATTTATAAATGTGATTAGAAGTGTATACTTAGTATCCAGGATTTGAAGTAAACAATTTAAAAAACTTCGCCTACTTCTAAACTTAGTCAAATAATGAGAAACCTAAGTCACCTTCCTCTTCTTCTTCTGATTCCTCCTTTTTCACTTCAACAGGTGCAGCAGCTCCTGTTGAAGCAGCCGCTTGGCAAACTCCTGGAGATGCAGTAGCTGCAGATCCACAACTTGAGACGATATCAGAGACACTTACAGTAGATAAAGCTTGAGCAAATAATCCTGGATAGTATGGTTCAACAGTAGCACCCGCAGCTGTAATCAACTTCTTAATATGATCACTAGTTACTGGGAGATCTTCATCAGCCAAAATTAAAGATGCATATGAGCACATAAGTTCTTGAACATGAACTGTAGATAACTGAGATAGAGGGACAGCTGCCATCTTGGACTATTTTTTAACCAATAAAGCGTTTTAAGCTATCCAAATCTAATTACTCTAAATGAAGATTATTTATAACCAATTATGTCTTGGATGAGCTGTAAAGGTAGTGCCTAAGCGAGACGTTCATTATAACCTAATTGCATCCTGTCTCGTCTCATAAATGCCGGTATTTTATGAACAATCTTGGCGGTCGTATTTATTTTAATATAGAATAAGGCTACAAGGTGAAAATAAATTAATCCAACAATATAATGTAAATATAAACTAAAATATGAGTTACTAGATGGTTAGGCTAAATAGTTATAATTAGTTTGAGATACAATATCTGTGGTTGGTGATTTAATTCCGCTTTACTGATTTATTTTAACTTTATGTTTTGTGCTTAAGATTATTCTTTTGAACAAGAGCCTCTGCCTCAAACAATTCTTTCTCTAGTTCCTCTATTAAGGTAGTCTCTGAATATATACTCTGACTCTGTAAAGTTTTGATTTGATTCCTTAATGCAGTTATTAAGAGATCATATAACTTGTCTTCATCCATCTTTATTAAGTTGGAATAACATGGTTTATTTTCAATAGGCCTTAAGTCATGTGCAACACCTTTATAATCTCTAAATACTCCTGGGTAATTGGATAATTGATAAACTTTAGCGTATCCATTATCATCAATATCTACTGCATCTTCCCAATCATCAATATCTACCAATCTTAGTTTGTTTTTGTGTAGCTCTATATTGTAATCCATATTTGGTGGGGGCCAATCTGGTAAAGCGTGCCACCATCTACATAGTACAGCAGCTACTAATATTTGTTTGCGATCTCGATCCCTACGAGGAACATATGCATGTATACTAGTTCCTTCTAAACTATTATCATCATCTAACATGCCATCTTTCTTTTTACTCGTTCTTTTGCTATCTGCTTCCTTATTTTTAGGTATAGAGCTAGATTTACTTGACATACTTGAGGTAGCTTTTCGCACCTTTTTGTTAATAGAAGCTTTTCTATTTTTAAATTGTTCCCTTTCAGATGAGCTAACATCATCGCTATTTGAGGATAATGAATCTGAATCTGTAGAAGACCTACTTAGTGAGTTAAAAAAACTATCAGAGCTTTCATCTGAGTCAATTACTCTCCTAGATCTAGAAGATTTGTTTACTAAACAAAGGCTTGATTCCTTTGATGAAGGTTCAGATTTACTTAGTTCCAACGAATTTAATCTTCCGCACTTTTGGTCGTTCTGTTCTATATCATCATCAATCACTTTCCTTTTTTTGAAATATGTTAATGGTTCGAGATTTAGATCAACTTTTGGATTTCCCATTATTTGGTACCTTTATTATTACACAAACTATTGTACGACTAACAAAGAACCGCCATTAATTACCAGCTCTATAAAACACAGAAAAAAGGGTTAATTTAGGAATATGTTGAGGAAAATAACCAATACCATATTATTATATCAAAACTTAGGCAATCATTAAAAACTAAGTGACTGGTCAAAATTACTTTATTAACAAAGTCTTCTAAGTTTTAATGTAAACTGCTAAATATATGATCAAGTTCAATATTGTTCTAAATATAGAATTAAACTAATTACAGCATTAAATTTCAGTGTAGATTAAAGCATTTGCTAAAATCAAGTAATACACATATCAGAAAAATCTACTAAGATCTCGATATTACAAAAAATATAAGATACTTGGACGTTACTTCAGCGCCTAATTATAGACTACTTACCACGTGTAAACTTGTACTTTACCATTTTAAGATTTTTAGCTTAATGGATTATATTGAGTATTATAACTTTATTTATAGTAATGAATAATGAGTATAAAGTTTATCTGAATAGTTATGTCGTATTGAGACAAGTTTCAGGCTTTCAGAAACTTATACAAGTACTGAGTCCCACTGATCTATATCGTGTTGGTAAGCTGTCAATAAGGGGGTCTGATATACTGGGAAAACCATATTACACTACTTTAAGCTTAGAGGGAGACAACTGGGTTATTGGGACATCATTGAATAGTGGAGAACTGTTAGATGAGATATTACGTGGTTATGATAAAAATGAAATGTCTAATGAGACTCCTCCAACTAAATGTGCTTGCCTAAACCCTCTAATAAATAATAATGAACAATGTAACAAAGTAGAAGTCATGACTGATAGAGATAGAATTACTACTATAGCTAAATCAAGCTCTTCATTTCAAAATAAAACGAGGTTTTCACAAGAGAAATATATCAAAAAGATGCAACTTAGACATACGAAACAACTTATTTTAATTCCCCCTACATTAATGGATATAACTGAAACAGCTAGTTGTCAACCAGCTAATAAATTAGACAAACTTGTTCCTAATACACTTGGACCTAGATGGAGTCAAAATACAGTTAGAATAGAGACTGTAGGTAATATTCTCACTCATAGTAATGTATCCTGTGGAAAAAGAGTTATTCTCTTTGATAATCTTAGTGGTGGTATTGTTGGTGGTTCTATTTACAGGCAACTAGCTAATACAGGTTCATTATATGAAATTTCAATGAATCAGTTAACTTTCGATACAATAGAGGGTTACAATTCTAGCAAATTACCTTTATATTTTGAAGCTATTACCAAATATTCAAAACCAAAGGAGCATTATTACAGTATACCTTTTTCTGTACTAGAACAGTATTATAAATATAGGCTTAATTTAAACTTAGAAATTAAGGATAACTTTGAACATAAATGGGTAGAAATTAAAGAAGTAGAGCATCGAAAGGAAAATGATAATCGAGATGAAATTCTAAAGAAGAGACAGCAAAGAGTTAGAAATCGTCTTAATTTATTAAATGATTTATATTTATATGGAGTTGATGCTGTTGTGTTGGTTGTTGACTATATAAAACTTTTTGGAAGTATTAAAGGTACAGAGAAACAAATAAAACAAAAAATTCAAACTGAAAAATTTTTTTCTGAAACAATATCTGAAGATGACAAACCTATACAAGAAGATAAGAATAATTCTTCGAACTCCAAATATAATATACTTACATCTCTTGTTAAAGTTTCCCAGAAATATTTGAAACCTGGTGGACAGATTGTCTTGTTTACTCCCCACATCACAACTGAATTACTACAATTACATCAAGACTTGATATTATCATCAAGAGATAATAGTGGGGAATTTCACTGCTTCGTAGGTGTTAAGATGGAAGAAACATTTATTCGTGAACATCAGATATTATCTCAAAGAAGTCATCCTGCTATGGATGCTAACTTAGCTATATTCTCTGGGATTCTACTATCTGCAATACATGTTCTATAACTATACCTATGCTCCCTTGTGTTATATTACTACCATTGTATATAGTTTGTAGTTTATAGTTAGAAAAAAAAAAGAAAAAAAAGAGATGTTAATATTTTAACAAAACCTTTTATATTTTCTTTAATTCAGTTTACAATGCATGTTTATCTTCTATAATAGCGCCTACTTAACATATTTGACGGATTTTTTACCCGCTTCTTAGACCACTAACATGTAACTGTGATGATAAAATTGCATGATTCTCCAACTTTGTAACTTATTTATCTATTAAAAGGAAATAGAAATGAATTAAAACTTCCTAAGACAACAAATATAACCTTAATAGAAATTTTTAGGTTTATCTCACACTAATACGACAAGATCTACTTTCAATATAAATATTACTAAACTATCTAAAAATATTACAAATAAAAGTAAAGCATGAATGATTTGGATTCCTGGAATAGAAAGTGGAGGACTTTATGGTGCTGGACTTATATGTATGTGCACTATAAAAGAGCTCAGGCTCATGCCCGATCTTTACCTGAAGAAGCACAGAATATATATTGGAGTAAACAACATTCTCATTTTGCAGAATTAATTTGGCAAAATATATCGGAATTAAGAGGATGGTGGGTTAAAGTAGGCCAATTTTTATCAACCAGAAGTGATCTTCTACCACATGAATACATTGTATATCTAAGCAAGCTCCAAGATATGATGCCTACAACCCCATGGCCACAAATAAAAGAAATCCTCGAAAAAGAACTAGGTATAGAATGGAGTTCTAAATTTCAAGAAATAAAGGAAATTCCAATGGCCTCAGCTTCTATAGCTCAAGTACATTCTGCCAAACTTAGGGATGGAACAAAAGTAATAGTGAAGGTTCAACATCCAAATGTAGAAGAAATACTACAACAAGATATGACAAATCTAACTCAATTAAGTTGGGCTTTTGGAATAGTAGAGAAAAATATTAACTTTTTACCTATGATTGAAGAATGGCAAAAAGTAGCTAGTAAGGAATTAGACTTTACTTTTGAGCTGAAACACCAACAGAGAGCCTATGATTTACTCATGCAGTCTAATGTTGACATTACAGTACCAGTTACATATCCTGAATATAGTAGTAAGAAGATATTAACAATGGAATATATTCAAGGATTTAAAATAACTGACAAAAAATTATTAACAAAATACAAAGTAGATGTATATCAACTTTTGTATACATTATGCGATTCATTTGCATATCAAATTCATATTGGAGGATTCTTCCATGGAGATCCTCATCCTGGGAATATACTTGTAGTATACAATTCAATAAAGCAGAAATATCAACCAGCATTAATTGACTGGGGATTAGTAAAAATATTTGATTTTAAGTCTAGGAAGGCATTTTCAAAGTAAGTTAAGCAATGAGATTTGGTGACTAAGTATTCGATAGCGCTAAATTCATTACATGCTAATGCTGTTACAATTTCATCTGAGCAAAGTATTCTAAATTATTTTGCTCAAAAGTTATATTTAATTCTTGTTTGATGTATGAAATGAGATATTTATTATATTTTATGTAGAATGGTTTATTGTGTATCTACCCTTAATCTTATGGGTCTTATGGAATCTTTTGAAGAGATGGGCTTTAAATTTAAGGATAACAAAAATACAATAGACCCGGAGATGTATATGGATGCCCTGAGAATAGCATTTAGGGATAATGATAGCAAACCAAGTGAACATCGTGCAATAAAGGTAAGTATAATTATATAGCATTATTTTAGCTAGAAATATTAGTAAATATCTTCACTTAATAATTGAGATAGGAATCTAGTTATGCAGCTTACAAAGCAGCTTCTGAAATACCTTCCTTAAATCGCAAAGAAATTGAAAATTCAAATCCCTTGGAAGATTGGCCTAAAGATATAATTTTTTTTATTAGGATTGCATCTTTAATACATGGTATATGCATTGAATTGAATCAATCCATTCCGTTCCTAAAGATTTTGGCTAATAGAGCTCAACAGTTTTTATGTAACGAAGGTTCTTCAAGAGTTTTACTAAATAATAAAATAATAAGAGAATGTAATTGCAGTGAGATACAGAATTATTCATGTGATAAGGATATGGTAAGATCAAAAACTTTAGGAAACAAAAAATTATCTTATGGTAAATCAAAATTTGGAAGACGTCTTGACGACTTTGTAGAATCATTAATTAAATCAAAAAGCCTGCTTGGATGTCAAATAGTCGTAATTAGTAAAGGGAAAGTAATAGGTAATACATTCAAGGGTAAAATGGGATCTATAGATGGAAGACAAGTGAGAGAAGATACATTATTTAATGGATTTAATGCATGTTTAGGTATATTAGTTACTGGGATATTATTGTGCGTGGAAAAGCAGCTACTATCTTTAGATGATCCAATATGTCACTACTGGGATGGTTTCATACGTTATGGAAAGAGAAATATAACTCTTAGACATATACTAACACATAGGTCTGGTATTCATGCTTTTTTTCCAGAGAATTTTAATTTGACTACTATGTTTAACTACAAGAAGATGATACAAATAATTGAAGATACAATGCCACAATATTTGCCTGATAAATCTACTCATTACAATCCTTACTTACTGGGTTGGGTTTTGTCAGAGATTATATCATTAGTGACAAATACTCCAACTCCAGAATTCCTTCAAAATGAATTATTTTCACCCCTAAATTTAGAAAATGACATTTTTATGCCAGTACCCCCAGAAAATCAAGTTAAAGAAATTGAGTCAATTGAGCATGGAGGATGTGTAAATAATTCAAATAGAATGACAGAATATAAAGATAATCGAGAAGAACCCAAAATTAGTCTACCCGTATTTACAGAAGAAGTGAATTATAATTCAATAAGTTCTAATACACAATTTGCATTATTTATGAAGAATTCTATTGATCAAATTATTGAACTGGGAAAGAAACATTTTACTGATAAATTTCAAGTTAGAAATTTTGATATTGATCAACATAATAATGTAAAGAATAATTTAGATGATGAAAAAACAAATAATATTGAACAAAGTCCAAGCTGCTCAGAAAAAAGTATGATGGAGCAAATAGGAACTGAACAAATTTCAGCTAAAAATGAAGCTATATATGACCGAATTGCAAGTGTAAGTCGTATTGTAGAGTTCTCCTCAATTTCACATGAAGAAGTATTGAAAAAATTTTCAATGGCAACTTGTGCTTTAAAAGGTCAAATAAATGATAGTAATTACAATGGTAAAAATCTGCCAAGTTCCTCCAGAGATATCAGGAAGTATAAAAAAACTTTAACTCATACACAAACAAGAAAGTTTACACCATTCGGAATTTTACAGATAAAACCACATGTAATGGATCCTCTTGTACAAAATTCACACAAAGTCATGAATATTTGGATTCCCCCAACATGTGGAAAATTGACTGCATTATCTTTAGCTAGATTTTATCATCATTTGGGATGTGGTGATATTATTACCCAGGATATCCTTAAACAAGCTTCAATCCCAACCTCAACTGATCAGACATTTGAAAGCCTAATCCTAACTGGAGGTTCAAGTAGGAAGTGGGGATTTGGATATCAGATTATAGAATGTATCTACGAACCTAAAAAATATAATATTCACAACTTGATGTTAAAATCAAATTTAGTAGATAATTCAAAACTAACACATGGACAAATAGTTTGCGGTCTTGGACACGCAGATATGGGTGGTAATATTGGATGCACATTTCCAGATTTACAATTATCACTTGCCTTCTTGACAAATGACTATCTTAAAGGTTCATATGCTTCACAATGTATATTGCATTATGTACTTGAGAAATTTGGTTTGAGAATTATAAATTATGTCCCAGTTGTTCCATAGGTGCAAGGGGAATGAATCAAATGGGATCACTTTATTTTATAGTACAATCTTCTAAATTTACATGTATATACTAGAAGATGTTAGTCTAGAGCTTAAAAGTTCAATTGTCAACTTCTTGTTGTATAGGATATACACAATCTAATGACTCACCATCTGAGCCAGGAATAATAACTTCCTGATTATGTGTTAGATTCTGCACTTTTATCTCGCATCTCATGTTTTGCAAAGTAGAAAGTGAATTGAATCTATTTTCACTAAGATCTGAATTCTCACCACTAGACTGAGTCCATCTTGTAGGAGAATTAACTTCCATAGTGGAAGTTGAAGTGCAAGCAATAGCTAAGTTAGATTTATCACAAAATTTCCCTCTACTTGGAGTAAAACCTTCATTCAGATTAATATCTCCATTTATATTCAATAAAATAGCCGAGGCCTCATTTGAAACTGTATTGGTTTCTGTACTACATGTCTTATCAACAGAAATTAATGACAAAAATTCATTATTTACTGTTTCTGAGTTGTGAGATTCGGCCATAGCAATATTGTTAGTATTAACTATAGTACTAATTATTTTATCTGTATTATTAAACTGTCCTAAACTTACAGAATTATCTGCTGAATTCGACATATTAATATTAGATTCTTCCAATTTTACATCCATAGCACAATTAGAACTGTTTATTAACGTATTTACTTCTGTTTCCTTATCTTTTGTTTCATCAAAGGTAAGAACTAACTTCATTTTTTCTTTTTGATCTTCAGCTCTGAAATTAGTATCTAGGTCTTGAATAAGTTTCATATCATAGAGATATTCATCTTTAGTCGCCACTAATCTAAATAATTCTCCTTGTTTTTTAAGTTCTTTCCTAAGATTCTCTCTAGTATTTGGACCAAGTCCTGTCTTAGCCTTTTTACGCTCAACATTACAAGGTATATCTAACCAGCAACCAGCTCTTTCATTAGCAACTCTTCTAAGCCCCGTTAACCTATCAACTACTATATCTAAGGTTTCTTCAACTTTAGTGTTGCTTGAATCAGTATTTTCAGAAGACAAAGTAAGACTCTTCAACACCTGAGGAAAAAATAATGGATACTGTAAATTCAGGGTATTTCTCTCACTAGCCAAAGTACATTCAGAAATATCACTTCGAATCCTACGAGATCGTAATCCTTGTAAAATACTCGAATTATTTGTATGAGTCTCCTGGGTTTCAGGAGTTAAAGACTTCTTTAAAGGTGGACATGGAATGTAGGCGAATTTTCCTGAAAAAGCTGGTACGTATTCATTTTTCACTAGATGAGGAATTACATTGACTGACAACTGAATATTATCTAATTTTACCAGCTCACACATTGCATTGCTTCCACCAGAACTTATAAGGTTACTATTCTTAGAGTTTACTGACATCTCACTTCCTGTATTTGTATTACTCATAATTCCTGCTGTTGAAATCTTCCCAATAGTTAGGCTCTTATTAATATTACGTGCTGAACCTCTCTTATGAACTCTTCGAGCATGTTGAACTTTAAATTCCTCTGAATCAACTGAATTTGTATTCAATTCGGGGGGCATCAAAATTAATCTAGTATCTGCGGAATTTTTACACTCTTGGTTAGTGAGAGATTCGGATTTTACAGTTTTTATTCCTCGTATAGCTGAAGCACTTAAACCTAAAACAGCCAATAATTCATCCCCAATAATGGGGTCATTGCAATTTCCTTGCTTATGCAAGTGAATTGAATGTTGTTGCTGTCGTTTTTGTTGTTGCTGTTGTTGATATTGTTGATGATGATGATGATGATGATGATGATGATGTTGTTGTTGTTGTTGTTGTTGTTGTTGTTGTTGTTGTTGAGCAACAATAGCTGTTGCTACTGCCCATTCCTTTATTTGCTGTTGTTGCCTTTGAATAATTTGTTGCTGCTGAGCCATAGCTAATAGTTGCAAGTGTTGCAAAAGCTGCTGCTGCATTTGTTTCATTTGTTGCATTTGTTGCATTTGTTGTTGTTGAAACTTTTCTTCCTCAGAACTGCTTGGTATAGCCTGCTCAGTGGAGTGATTTCCCGACTCCTCTTTGAACTTTGACAATTGCTCCTGTTCCTCATTTGTTTGAAAGTGTTGGAGTTGTAACTGCTGAAGTTGCTGGAGTTGTAATTGATGCTGAAGAACAGCATGTTGATGTGGCTGCAACTGTGGTTGTATCTGTTGCTGGGCTTTTTTATTCCTAGAAATTACTGGAATAAGACCTACTGGAGTCATTGCTAATGTTGCATGTTGAGGGGGTTGTACAGGGAATTGTATAGGTGTTTGTATAGGTGTTTGTATAGGTGTTTGTATAGGTGTTTGTATAGGTGTTTGTATAGGTGTTTGTATAGGTGTTTGTATAGGTGTTTGTATAGATGTTTGTATAGTAGTTTGATTTGAAGTTTGTTGCTGGATTTGATGAAACTGGTTCTGCACTTTTTGTTGATCTTCAGTCCACCCATTGGAAACTCGGGGTTTGTTTATCTCATGCAAAATCATATTAGCAGCTGCTACCTTGAGAGTATTTGACTTTGAATCCTTATCTGTGTGAATCTGTTGAAATGTATTGTTCGAATTCCCTCCATATATCATTAAATTCGAATTTGTATTACTATTCGTACAATTACTAATATTACCAAATTGAGAACTATCTGAAGCTCCTGTATTGTTATTGTTTGGAGTTACATTGAGCATACCGATATTAGGCTGGTTAACCAATGGATTAATGTAAGGGTTGTATATGTATGAAAATGTTGGGGGCAGTAAAAATGGAGGAGGTACTAGAAGGGTAGTGTTTGGATTACTACTTACATTTCTATGTTCATCGCTATCATAACCAACTTGATTACCAGTTTCTAAAGAAGTATTATTGTTCATATTGTTATTGAAATCAAATTTTGATCAACTTTATAAAAATACTAAAATAGGAGCAATATAATCTTACTTAAAGATATCTTGATATTATTACAATAGAAATTAGTGATCTTGATCAATTACTTCATTATTCATCAGAAAATTATCTTCATGCTCATATTTCGCTATTTTTTTCCGGTTTAGTCAATTAGTACTTGCTACTGCTACTCACACAAGCCCTATTATTTAAACTAAAAAATTATATATACAACTGTATACTCTTATATGCACCTTATTGTGCAGCAATGTATATCTTATATAGGATATAGATGTTTCAAAGTCCCACACACGCTAGCGGGGTTATTATGGTACTATTAAACATTGATATATACTATCTCAGCCTAGTAATATTATAAGACTCTATACCCAATAATATATAATATTATTTACGTAATAGCTAGATTATACGGTGGAGTCTCCAACAGCTCTTGACTATGTATATCCCTCGATTAGTAGTCAAATATACGTATAAGTGGCTATCTCCATCCACGCTCCACTGTGTTGATGCTAGTATACGTAAAGTAGATTACTGAGACCGCGGGTTTCAATGGCGCTGTTTTTTTTAGTGCCAACTTAGAGGTACCGAGTTCTAAAAATAGCGGCTTAATATTTTAAAAAGAAAGCATTGTCTTATACTTTCATGTCATTCTGGCTAATAGATATATTAGAATTCTAGATATTAAATACTAAATATCTATATTTAGTAACATCTTAAATTATATTATACTTAATATATTCTTTATTATACTTTTGAAGGAAATAACTTGTGGATCTTTTGTCAAACTTTGTAAGCTGTTCGTTTAACAACTCCTCTTTGAATGACTAAAAATGTCTGAACTAGTTACTGATAAAGCTGAGGAAGGTTTTACAAAAGAGAGTATCCCCCTGAGTTCTCTACCACCAGCAAAACTACTCCAATTAAGAGAACAAGTACAACAAGAAACTAGTGATCTTAATCTGCGGCTACAACATTTAAACATTGCTCTAGGTAGATTTAAGAATTCTAGAGAAAGCTTAGAAAATTTAAAGCCAAAAAATAAAGATTGTGAAATTTTAGCTCCTATTAGTCAATCTGTTTATATAGATGCCAAATTAGCAAATGTTGAGGAAGTACTTGTGGATATTGGAACTGGTTATCATGTAGAGATGCCTATATCTAAGGCTAAAACTCATTTCGATAAGAAAATTGAGTTAGTTAGGAAATCACTGGATACCTGTGCTAAATCTTTGACCGACAAAAATAAGATCTTCGATGCTATAAATGGGATACTATTAGGTCGTATTAAAGCTAATAAGGAGACCAAAAAATGATATTAATATTATCCTTTTGTACATATTTTGATGATAAGTTTTACTATATACACTTTTATTTGCCAATATATTAGTTTAGGACTATTTAAATTTGTTGGATTTCCAAAACTCATTCTGGCGCTGATTTGTTGTCTCTGCTGCATTCTTGAATATTAGATGCAATAGTTTACCATCATTAGAATTTGTCAAATATGACAAGTGTAAATACACAATTACCTGAGGAATACATTAAAATATGTTTAAGTAAAAGTGAAGCTCCCTTAAATAGGAAATATCTTTGTTATATAGCTAACTCTGAGGATAATGAGGCTAAAGATAAGCAAAAGTCCCTAAGTATTGAATCTAACAATCAAGAAAGTATTCAGAATGTACATAATAATAAAAAACGCCAAAGAGGAATGTATAAAAGTACTGAAAGGACTGAGAATCGTAAGTATATTAACAACTTACAAAAGTCAAATTTTTGTGTTTCATTAGCTTCAATAGGAGAGTGTACAAAGGGAGAGAAATGTAATTATGATCATAATATTCAGTCTTTTTTAGAGAATAAAGTGATAAGTGAGGAAGAATTATCTTGGAAATATCAATATGGCAATATTTGTCCAAGATTTGAGAATTATGGAATTTGCAATTATGGTTTGAATTGTATATTTTGGTTACAACATTGGGATAAACATCTAAATAGAAACATAAAAAAATCTGGAGAAGTGGTGACTTTATATGATATTGAAGTATTTAGAAAAAATCACGAGTTAAATTATATAGATAATGAAGTAAGAAATCAATTATTAAGGAAAACGGTCAGATTCCCCAAATCAGATGATTTTATAAAGAACTGGAAGGAATCGAAATATAACCCAAATATTTCATTATTTAATAAGGATAAAAAGCAAAAAAACATCATATTTAAGCATGGTAACCCTCTTTTAGATCAAAAACATATAGGATGTACCGAAAAAAATAAAGATATTTTTTTTGAGAATACAAGTAGTAAAACTGAGAGTTCACTTAGTACAAATATTCTAAAAAATTTAGGTTGCAATGATAACAAATCGAATAAAGAAGATACTAAAAGTTGTAGTGAAGTTAAACAACCATGTCTCATCACCTGTAATCCAGGTATTGATTCAGATATATTCTATGAATCAAATGTTGAATCCCAAAAGCCTTCATTTTTCGATAATAAACTTATATTAGCTCCATTAACTACTCTAGGAAATTTACCATTTCGTAGGCTTTGTGTACGTTTAGGAGCAGATATTACTTTTAGTGAAATGACCTTGTGTAATGAAATTTTAGCTGGGAAATCATCTGAGCTTGCTTTACTTCGGAGGCACTCCGAAGAACGTTGTTTTGGAATTCAATTAGCAGGTGGAAATTTTGAAACTATTGCAAAGACTGGAGAATTTATTAATGAATATTGTGATTACGATTTCTTAGATATAAATGTAGCATGTCCACTTAAATCTCTTCATGATAGAGGAGCTGGAAGTATTCTCATAGATCGTCCAAAATTACTAGAATCTATAATTACTGGATTGAAAAAAGTTATTGATAAGCCTTTGACTATCAAACTGAGAATGGCAAATTCAGCTTCTCCACCCAACTTAAAATTTTATGAAAATACTTATATTAATAATCCCTTAAATTGGGATATAATTTACTCAAATATGGCTGCTCATAAACTTATAAAACCTTTGGTAAATTATAATATAAATGGAATTATAATACATGGAAGAACTTCATCTCAACGTTATAACAAAAGTGCAGATTGGAATTATTTGAGATATTGTTCTAAAATACTGAAGAACGAGTATTTAACTTATAAGGATACTAATAAAAATATAACTTATTGCCCTTCACTAATAGGATGTGGAGATGTTTTGAATTATTGCGACTACTATAAACACTTGAATGAAGATGACGTAAATGCTGTAATGATTGGAAGAGGAGCTTTGCTAAAACCATGGATTTTTACAGAAATTAAAGAGCAACGTATTTGGGATATTTCAGCAGGTGAAAGATTTGAATTTTTGAAGCAATTTGTATCTTTCGGTTTAGATCACTGGGGAACAGATACTGTTGGAATTGCCAATACAAGAAGATTTTTATTAGAGCTTCTATCATTTTATCATCGGTATATTCCAGTTGGACTTCTTGAACAACCAATAAACTCTCAAAATTTTAATTGGAGAGTTCCTCAATATATTGGTAGAAATGACTTGGAGACTTTACTTTCTTCTAATAAGGTTCGTGATTGGATAAGATTATCAGAAATGCTACTTGGAAAAGTTCCCTCAAATTTTGTATTTATACCTAAGCATAAATCTAATAGTGTTTGAAATTTTTATAATTGGATATAACTCTATACATTAAGGTATATATATTAAGATCTAATACAAGTTGAAGTTGGCTTACACAAAATAAAGAGGTGAGTTTTGCAAAAAATTTATTATCTATAATAATACCTAAAGTTAGATATAAATTGTCTCCAAATACTCCTGTATTTAGTACAGTTATCTTGAACTTTATATTATAATTACTTTAAGTGTATAGAATCGGTTACTATATATAGATAATATTAGTAATACTAAAAAAAAGATCCAAAAGAATGATTATTTAGATATTTAGATATAAAGTGATAAACTAATTAATTTTCTTGAGAATCTTATGTCTACATATTATGAGCTATTACTCCTAAAAAAATATAAAAGTCAGTAATCTACTTTAAAAATAAGATCTGATACCTGTCTCTAATAAATACAATAATCACTGGGCGCCACAATTCTTAAAAGTAGGATCTAAGGTTTTTTTTTGGAAGTATATAGTCTATAATAGCATTAAGCTAGTATCCGACTATGATGAGGTCTGCAGGTATAATTAGTATACCTGAAACCTGTAATAAACTTCGCCAAGTCGGTCTTCAATTATCTGAGATCTGCACTTTAGTCAACACACTTGGAGATCTAATGGTGAAAGATGAAATCCTAGAATCTTCTATGCTAGTAGAGCACATAAGCCAAGGTTTAGATCAGTTAGTGGATATACTAAGTCAAACTACCCATCCTACTGTAAGATATATTGCATTTCAAAATCTGAGATACTTTTTAAATGAAGGAATAGGTATTTATGATATTTCCACCTTAATATCACATATATGTAATGGTTTTATCCGATTAATATCTCACTGGAATATAGATGTTCAAATAGAAAGTCTGAGTATTCTCCTTGAATATGAAGGAAAGTTGGAAACACTTGCTAATATTAAATTATTCGGAATAATACTGAATTCTAATATAGAGATATGCCACTTGATATTTTCATTACTAATACAATTCCAAGATTCGAACTTTTATTTTTTATTACCTTCCATTTTGGAAAGTTTAAAAAGTGGAGTTTCTTATATAAGCTCTAAAGAAATTTTAATGCAAATTATAGATACTATATGCCAACTCTGTCGTAGTAGTCATCCTTGGCAGAGTTTAAAATATGACTCAGATTTATCAATAACTTATAGATATACAAAGTTGGAATATTTGCCATATATATTTGATATATTTGATCAAATTAGTTCCAGATTCCCTACTATTTTGAGCCTTTGTTTTAACTTAATATGGGATGAGATATTTGAAATAATAAATCCAGATATAGCTATGAAGGATTTTGTACTTAGTACTGAACAAATAAAAATATGTGATTATGGTTTTAAGATATCTACAAATATATCTCTTCGTTGTAATGTACTACTTTGTACCCAAGTTAAGAATATAGTAAAATTTATAAAATTCACGATAAACCTATTCGTGACACCATCTTCAGAAACTGTAATAAATACTTTGCCTAGTAAATGCAGTCTTTGTATATTAAATAGTTTATTAAAAAGCTTAATTTCATTATCTTTGAAGTCACCACTTATGCTCATTTTTCCAAGCTTTATAGATCCAATTATATTAGAACCAGAAAAAATCTCAACTGAGGAGGATTTGGGAAATCTTGATTTTTTTTCTAATCAAATGGTATCACTGGACCAACTTTTCTTGACTATTGAAAGTATATATAATTTTTTACATTTAAATCAAGAATACAAAGAAATAAATTTAGTGTTTGAATCCCTAAATAACTTAATGTTTCTAATTAATACTGGAATTTTATGGCCACAATTTGAAGATTTTGATAAATTAGCTAGAATTAATTACACGAAACTGAATACCATTAAGTTATTGCGAGATATAACTGAATGTAGCCTGAGCATACTTAATGAGACATGTAAATCCCAAGATATACAAGCTCGTAAACTATGCAACTGTTTCCTTGGCTTTTATCTTTATGGTAAAATTATTTTAACCCAAATTAAAGTCAGTAAGAAGTTTTCTACTATAGAATCTGATATTCAATTCACTAATTCACACCAGGATGAATGGTTTTCGGAAAAGATTCACAAATTCTTTATTTGGGTACTTGCTAAACTAGAGAATGTCTCAACCCTAATGACCGATAAATATACACTGGGCTTCTTATTACTTGCAAAGGATTTGGGAGTTTTAAAAATTATAGAGGAAAACTTAAATATAAGATCTCCTAATTGTGTTTCATTTTTTACGGGGATATTAACTCGTTGGTATGGCAGACTCGTCCAATTTAATATTATAGATGAGAGCAAATTCTTAGCTTTTAAATATGATGTATCAAGAAAGCCTTTACCTGATCTTAATGGTTTAGTTAATCTTCCCTTAAAAATATTTGTTTTTGTTTTACGTTGGTTTTGTGGGTGGACATTTAAAAATACTTTTAGAGATGAATGGTTTTGTTTACAGATTCGCAAATTTATAAATGAGCAGGAATTCAAACATATTATTGAAGCAAAACTTCAAGGATCTTCTATGGATATCAAATATAGATTTGCAAAATATCTATGTATAGCAGGATGTTTCGGTTTGGCTAAGGATATTTTTGGAACTATTAAGGTTAAATCTATAGAACTAAATTTGTGGATACTTGCTTTGAAGCAGACCTCTAACTACTTTGAATTTTTGTCTAAGCTTAAATTATATAGAAACAAAGCTGCAACTAGAGAATTATTATCTTTACAAAACCAGGTTGAACAAATTCGTAATTCATTATCTCTGCTTAAATACAAAGATTCCTACTTTATTAATCAAATAATGGATTCTTGGGATTATACTCTAAATCTCTTATTACTTATTTCGAAAAATTCAGATCTTGAGGATGAAAATGAAGAAATACAAACTATGGCTATGTCAGCATGGAAATCATGGAAGTGTCTATTAAATATAACAAGTAATATTTGCAATACATCCACTAAAATTATTGCCAAATATTGCTACTTTTTAGAATGTATTATTACATGTAAAGGGAATATAGATAATATAAAAATGAATTTTGCTCATTCAAATAAATGTAACAATTTTGAAGTGAATCAAGAGGGAGATATAAAACTAAGTAAAGATATTTCTTACTCTCATATAGTGGATAAAATATTTCTTTCAGATGTTTATTCTCTATTTCCTCCCATGATATTTTCACTCTCTAAGTTGCCAATGGTAATACTTAATGTAGATGTATCTAGTTGTAAGAATTTTTACAAAAATAACACTGCATCTATAACTGAGACATCTATATGTCCTGTTATAAAAGTATGTGGTACTTTGGTACATGTTTCCCAAGAATTCCTGTTGCCAAAATGGAAGTGGGTTCGTCTCATGATCACATATACAACAGAAACACAAGAAAGTTTTGTTGGAACTCATTTTCTTGAAATTTCAGTAAATAGGGGAACTTTCAGCTGGATACAACCTATTGAACTTCCAGAGAAAGTCTCGAAATTAACCGTAACAGCTTTACCAGTTTCGAAAACTATGGCAAATATAGGAATTGCTTCTCAAAAAGATGTAATACTCTGATTCGTATAATCCTGAAGTAAATACATTACACTATATTAATAATAATATAGATACACTGAGTAAGGCTCACTTGTTTCTTTGTTATGCTTAAGATATCTAAATACCGTTACTTAGAACTCTTCATATATTGTTAAATATATACCGAAAATTCGAAAGTCCTTATATAAATAATAATTCCTAAGTGTAATAATTATCATGGATATTGAAAGTGCCGAAATATATTTGTAAAAAATATTTTCTGACTTTAAAATAAAAGTATTTAATAGATTAATTTAGTTGCAATGATTTGGCTTGGTTTAGTTTACAAACTGACAAATAATTGTATGTCTTTAAAACTGTAGCAATATATTTGTATTGGTCACATTTATGACATTAAGTAATTAGTTGATTATCTTCTTCCACTACGTCTATCCCATACACAGCGTTCTATAAGGGGGCGATTATCTCTGTAAGATGATTTGGAATTTTTAGAGTTTTCCCAAGATCTATCAGAGGTTAAACTGTTACTCATTCCTGGATTAAGAGTATTACTCCTAGCACCTGATGTCTTCCAGTTTTCTTTTCTGACATTCCTATGTTGTCTAGGAAGTGGACTTCGGCTTCTGCTCGGGCTTATACTTGGGCTATGAAGCTTCTTTGAGCCTCCAACCTTGGGTAAAGTTTCTTCAGGAGGCCACTTAAACTTTTTTACAACATCTCCAGATTGTGAGATCTGACCTTCCATCATATCCTGAACTATTGGTCTATCTTCTTTGCGTGATGTCTTCCCAACTGTCATTGCCATTGAAACCTTGTCACATTCCATAGTTCTCTCCATATCTCTTCCATATATTTTGGAATCTCCTATATCAATATCTACACGATCACTCCTCTCATTTCTATCTAATCTAGGAATTCTATCACGTTCACCTCTATCAGTCCTATCTCCTCTGTCAGTTCTATCGTTTCTTTCTATATCTTCACGTTCCCTCTCGATCCTATCACGTTCTCTTTCTATTCTATCTCTATCAATTCTTTCTCTATCTCTATCTTTATCTCTATCTCTATCTTTATCTCTATCTCTATCTCTATCTCTATCTTTATCTTTATCTTTATCTTTATCTTTATCTCTATCTCTATCTTTATCTTTATCTCTATCAATTCGATCTCTTTCTCTTTCAGTTCTATCTCTTTCGGTTCGATCTCTTTCTCTTTCAGTTCGATCTCTTTCTCTTTCAGTTCTATCTCTTTCTCTTTCAGTTCGATCTCTTTCTCTTTCAGTTCTATCTCTTTCAGTTCTATCTCTTTCAGTTCTATCTCTTTCAGTTCTATCTCTTTCAGTTCTATCTCTTTCAGTTCTATCTCTTTCAGTTCTATCTCTTTCAGTTCTATCTCTTTCAGTTCTATCTCTTTCAGTTCTATCTCTTTCAGTTCTATCTCTTTCAGTTCTATCTCTTTCAGTTCTATCTCTTTCAGTTCTATCTCTTTCAGTTCTATCTCTTTCAGTTCTATCTCTTTCAGTTCTATCTCTTTCAGTTCTATCTCTTTCAGTTCTATCTCTTTCAGTTCTATCTCTTTCAGTTCTATCTCTTTCAGTTCTATCTCTTTCAGTTCTATCTCTTTCAGTTCTATCTCTTTCAGTTCTATCTCTTTCAGTTCTGTCTCTTTCAGTTCTATCTCTTTCAGTTCGATCTCTTTCTCTTTCATTTCTATCTCTTTCAGTTCGATCTCTTTCTCTTTCATTTCTATCTCTTTCTCTTTCATTTCTATCTCTTTCGTTTCTTTCCCTATCTCTATCTCTATCTCTATCTCTATCTCGATCCTTTTCTCTACCTCTGTAATCTCTCCTATTTCTAAAACTTCTATCCCTATCTTCTTCATCATAAACTGCACCTGCTCTATTTGCTCTCGCACTTCTGCTTATGTAGTTTGGTGAGGCTCTCTTTGGATTGCTTCCTTCATTGCTAATAGAATCTTCACGATCTTCAATTTCACTTTCAGCATTATTCGTAGAAATTGCATTATTGTTTCTCCCATTACGACCAGAATTCAACTTATTTGTATGTAGTCTGTTTGCAAGCTTTGCAGGAGGAATCATATCCTTGATATGACGTAAGGCTTCTACATAGAGAGGTGGAAACCATGAAGGAGTTCCATCAGGGAAATAATACGAAGCATAATCTGCAAATCTAGGTTGTACAAAACCTACTATAGTCCCAGTTTCAGGTTGTATCTCTAATCCTGCCGTTTGTATATCTACACCAACCAATTGACATATCATTGCTAATATATCTTCGTTAATAATACCTCCACGGCTCCAATGAGGGACAATATGATCCAGTGCAACATGAAGTTCTCCATGTAAAGGTAAAGGTACCACATATAATGGTCTTCCATCATACTTTTTTGCAAAACTAGCTGAAATTCCCTGTAATGCCTTTGGAGAACTTTCAGGATTTACATATTCAATTAAGCAAATTCCTAAAGATCTTCCATCTTTTGGACGTTCAATAATTCTAATTGCTCGCAAAGTTCCAAATTCCATAGCTAATTCACGAATTTGGATGTCATTTATCCACCACATAAGGTTAGATATAACAATGATTGAGCCTACACGTGTTACAACGCCTCCACTAGATATATCTACAGGAGCTCTCTCAGACAATTCTGGTGGAGGGCCCAGAAAAATTACCCGGTCTTTCCTACTCATCATCAAACTCTTTTGGCACTTTGATTGGACTCCAGAATTAACGGTAGCCTTAACATAGGGCAATGAGTGGTAACTTCTGCTATTCACCTCGTCAGCAAGTATTAAACCTCCTGCATCATCCAGTTCATCCCCATCTACATGCATATTACTATCCTGCACTCTCTGATTTTCCTCTTCAATAGCGATATTGTCGAAAGTTTGAGCTGGTTTCTCCTCTTCGATTGTTTCCTTCTGTCCCCTGTCTTCACCTCCTGTCTTATCTGTGCTAATTGGGACTACTCCTAAGCCTGCATACCATTCATCATCATCTATGGTGTCATTATCCCTTAATTTGTCCATTTTCTCCTTTACTACAACTATTAACTCCTAATCTATAGACCGTATATGATGTAGTAGATTAGTAATACCTACTTGTACCCCGTTTCTTTTCAGCGGTAATACATACAATACAGCTTTTCTACTTTTTGACTGGTTACAGTAGGTCTTTTAAACGACACTATTTTAATTGTCATTATTATGCATATTAAATGTATCTCGATAAGAAATATGAGAGATGTAAGGAGGGAGATCTAATTATCCTATTTGGGGGATATGAAACTATTTTACAGGTAAAATTAGAGGCAAACAAGCGTGTTCAAACTAAATCAGGAGTTTTTTTACATAACGACATTATAGGTAGCATATATGGTAGTAGAGTATGGGATATAAGTAAATGTAAATGGATGGCTATCCTTAAACTTTCACCAGAGTTCATCTCCCAAAGCTTAAGATATAGGACCCAAATTATATATCAAGCAGATATTTCTTTGATAATTGTTTTATTAGATGCATCTCCTGGGAAACGCATTATTGAAGCAGGTACTGGAAGTGCTTCTTTAACTGTATCTTTAGCTAGATCAACAGCTCCTAATGGAACTATATTTACCTTTGAATATGACAAGGAGCGCTATGAAGAAGCTGTAAAGGATTTTGAGAAATACCAGATTTGTAATGTTGTATGTGAACATCGTGATGTATGCTCATTTGGTTTTAAAAATCAGAATATTAATGATCATTCAGCTGATGCAGTTTTTTTAGACCTCCCATCTCCATGGAATGCAATCTGTAATGCCAATGAAGTACTTGTAAAAGGAGGTAGAATTGTTATCTTCTCGCCTTGCATTGAGCAGGTAATGAAGAATTGTACTGAATTGAACAAATCGAAATATATTCAGATTCGAACATTTGAAGTTCTTTATAAACCATGGGGGATAGTTCGTGGAATTTTAAAGAAGTTCCCAAATCAAGGATTAAGGTATCAGCTACCAACAAGAGGACACACTGGATATTTAACTTTAGCTATAAAGCCCACTATATAGTATTATCAAAAATCTTAATATTGGTTCTCTTGTCTCTATACATCTGTATTTCACTACATATACTTCTATTTTATTTTATATCATAATATTTAGCTTAAACAAAAATTTGAAATATAACTCAGTATGCATCACTTAGGCGGTTTATGCATCTATTTGATGGGGATGTTTATATCTTGTGCTAATTAGGTAAATCTCTATGCATTGTAACTAGATACTTATAACTTATAAATAGAAGATTTAGGTTGTAAAATAAGTTATTTTATCATGTCTTGAGTGACATATTTTGTAACGAGGTTTAGCTATGATTGATATACAGATTATTTCTCGTATGACAATAATATACAATCTATATTGTAGAAGAACTATCTAGTGTATATATAACCTAGTTTCAAAATAATTTATAAACTGAAAGTTTGCATGCATAACTGTTTCCAAACTGTAAGAACTTCTTACTTGCGTGGTTAATTGCGGTTGACTTCCATTTAGTATTTTAGTTTGGAATATTATAATACTGAACTATGGAGAATAATGCTATAACTCAATTATACCGTTCCATACAATTTAGAATCTTGAAATTTGCAACACCTAATTTAAGATATTACTTCAAGAGCAATGTAAGTTTTGACTAACTAAAATTTTATATTAAACTTCATTTTAAAAATTCTTACTAAATAATATTAGTGTCGTATGATATTCCGAGATTTTATGAGAATTAAAAATAAGAAAGAAAGCGAAGTTAAGGATTTTTTGCAAAGAATGAATGAGTATAAGAATATGATTGAGAGACAGTCTATTATTGATAGTATGTACTATAAGGGAGTTCTGAGATCAGTACGATAATAGCTTGTTAGGCTTTAAATTTCCTATATTTCCTTAAGAAAATGTAAATAATATTGGTTCTTGGATAGTCAATAGCTATAAAATCAAGTTTGTTTGCTTTTTACACGTTCCTAAACCCGCTTTTATAACATTTTGTTCGCTTGATATTAAACATAAATCCTGGATTCTAGTTTGAGTAGATTTTAGCAGCTTTATAGGTCTTTTTTATACTACAATACTGAGTTCTCTCTCAGTTCTATATTATGACTTTACCACAATTCCCAATATCAGGACTAGAACAATGGAGGGTGCATATACAGAATTCTATAACATCTGACGCAATTAAGAATGGATATACTAAATTAAATATTCTGGATTCTCTCAACTTTGAAAAATTATCTCTTGATTCAAATGAGATGTGCCAGCATAGTGTGATGTACACTTCGTGTGATATAAGGGAATTAGCAATGCAATGCAGTGATGAAAATAATGAATACATTGTAATGATACTCAAATTGATATTTCATAAGTTTCTAGAGCTTTTAAAGATATCAAATGATCTACCTGAATTTTTATCTTCTAGTAATAGTTCAAAATCTAAGGAATGGATTAGATGCAGAACTGTCCACGTAAACTGCCACAGTTTACCACTATCAACTCCCGGTGATTGGTTAAATTGTGATGATATAGAGCACATGACACATAATAATGCAGACCCTCTGTATTTTCATGATATGTTCTATATATGCATCCCTATTCGTCTTAAACATTCTTGTACTCACGAAGATCAATCCCGAGAAAGTGTTAATATAGTGGCTCAAAAAGAAATGGCTATTCTTTTAACAAAGCAATTTGCAGATTTATACAATCATATTATCAATATGAAACTTAAAGAGAATGAATATTTGCCTTTGAATATAGATAATTGGGCAAAATATTATCCTGCAAATTCTCTTCGAGTGGGACTTTTTACAACCCTAAAAGTTTCAACACTTCACTTATATCGTTTGAATCCGACAATATTCACTTCTCCTCTTTTCATTCATCCTTTAAAACTGAATAATTGCTCTTCTTGTAGTTATGCCTGGCTGCGAAAGAAGAAATTTAAGACTGACACTTTAGTTAAGAAGATAAAAAAACAAAAGTTAGATGAAAATATAACGTCAACTAATAACAATATAAATACAGTAGAAGCTCATATTTTGGCACTTGAAACAAAAAACCTTGTATTTTTGAATGGTCCTGAAGTAAATAGAAATAATATAATTATACATAGAGCTATAAAAACTAGAATAAATGGTACAAGTACTAATAACCAACAGCCACAATATGTTGGTGAGATTGGATGGCCCGGAAAAACAGCTAATGAAACTATAGACTCAAAGTACTTAATTGGTTTTAGTAATTTAGATTTTGTGGCTGTTGGAGTTTTAGAAACTGATGAAAAATCGAGCTCACCAAATATAGATAATACTAGCACTATAGAAAATTGGAATCAAGGTGGAGAGATAGCACTCAAATTTAAAGGTAAAGATCTTGAAATAGTAGGAATGGTGATTGATGACTATATTATACAAGAGAAATGTATTGATAATTTAGATAATGATACTACAGAAGGTCCAACAATATTAATTCGTCTTTGTAGTAAATATTCAGTAATTCCTTACTTCGGATTAAGAAGCCTATTAAGATTTCATGATTCTCTTGTTTATAATAGTTCGGCTTTAGGTATAGCTAGCAATAATCAAAGTAAACAAATGAATATATCAGTGCATTTATTATGCTGTATCTGCAAATTTCTCACAATTAGAGAGTTTGCAATGTTTCGCTCAATATGTCGCAGTCACTGCAATCGTATAATATTTAATTCTTATATACATGAAATAGCTCTGGAAGAGAAAGATCTCTATTTGCCTATACTTGGACAACTATATCCTTATCTGTCCAAAGCAAAATCTATAAGAGTTCTTCAATCTCAAACATCATCTTTTGATAATATGCAATTAATACCTCCTATTGTTATTCAATGCCTCGCTGCCTATACTCCTAGAGCAAAGAAGATGATTTTTTCAAATCACTCACCTGCAAATTTAGCAAAAATAGTTTCTAGAGCATGCGGAAGAAAACCTGAAATGATTGTACTAACAAAGAATGTAAATATAGTTAATGACGATGGAGAAGAGGAAGATGAAGGATTGAATAGAATTAACTTAATAGATAATATAACTCAAGAGGAAAGAATCTCAAGAACTGATCAAGAAGAGAGTGCCGGAAATTCTGACTTAGTCGATAGAAATGATAATATTAATAACGAAAATATTGAAAATAATGTAACTAATAATAGTGGTAACTTATTTGATAATAGTGAAGGTGAAAATAATTTATATAACCCTAATACACATGGAACCCAATCAGAAGTTGTCTCACAGCAACTAAGTATGCCAACTGTTCCACAACCTTCTCCTGCAACAACACCTAATATACAACCTCATATTGCTGAATTATCACTTCCAAATCTTATTGAAATCCATATTATTGGAATAATTGAATCAATATCTATTATACCAACTAGTATTTTCCGCATACCTGCTACTGCACCTTTTAGAAAACTTGTGAGATACTTTAGAGATGTAGTCTCCATTCATGAGGGTATTGTAGACTTCTATATAGTAAGATATGGAATAAAGGATCGATTGATACCTGATTTAACTCCTATTGACTATGGGATTTTACGTGGTCCTGCAGTCCTGCACGCAATAGGTTATAAAACATTACAATATTCTCAAAAAATTTGGATCTCATTATTCCTCGTAGGTTCTAGAAATTTCCCATATTTGGCTAAACTACGTTTTAATGCATCTATGAGTACTCCATTTTCTAGACTAGCTGATAGCTATTCTAGAAATGTTAATATTGCCGTTTCAGATGTAATTTTTTATTACAAGGATGTCGAGATAGACTTGAGCCTCTCTCCTTTTGATTATAATGTTAGAGAAAATGATACTATTGAAGTCTCATTAAGAGGAAGGTCTGGATGTCAGTAATTGCAAAACTAGTTTAATCTTAATTTTGTTGTCCTGTAGCACTTTAAGTATAACACGTATACACATAGCGCTAAGTTTATATTTGGAGCTGCTGTTTCTATTATAAAGGTTTTAGCTTCAGTATTATTAGAAAATGGAAGAACTTAAGTTTAATGTGGAGACTGTTAATTTAGATGGAGATAATGATATAGAACTAATGAACATTAAAGCTATTGGAGAAATGGTGCCTCTAAAACCAACTTCAAAAGATGCTAAGGATAAGAATAACCAGGAAAATTTGGATTCATCATCTGATTTAATCTCAAATATTTTAAATTTAATAAACCCAATCTATTGGACAAGTACTAAAGGTTATTTTGATGTAACAACAAGTGAAGTTAAAAGACGTATAGTTAAGAGTTTTGAAATTTCTAAGGATAAGAATAGCCTTAATCATATTTGGCGTGGAATAACGAATAATAATATAACTTTTCAAGATGATAAGGGGGATTTTGAAATGTTCTATTGTAAAAGTTTAGATGAATCAAAAAAAAGCGATTTATATGGACCATTATGGATAGGAGTTACACTGTCACTTATTATTGGCATGTATTCAAGTATACTACCACGAATTGGTACAAATTATATGATGCCTGCTGAAATAGGTAAACTCCCATCCTCTTTCTCTATCATATTTTCTTATATAATGGGTTCTGCAATTTCCAATTACTTTTTTCTTTGGTATAAATGTGATTATACACCACTGACACTACTTTTGAGTATATATGGATATAGTTTAAGTCCTCTAGTACCAGGATTTATACTATATATATTTTTGCCAATGAAGTTCTTAAATTGGCTTGTACTAATTTTTTGTTATTCAATAAGTATTTTGTTTAGATATGACTCTCTATATATCAAGGGAAAAAAGCAGCATAATGGTTTAACATCATTGAGTGTACTAATTATACCCGATTTAATACTATTATTGGCTTTGAAGATATTTATCATGAATTACTGAGTGATATATATATTTCTGATTTAAAGAAGTATATTATAATACCTAGTACTATAGTGATATAAATATGGCATAGTTTAAAAGTTATTGTGCCTGAATAGTACAGACCCAGCATACTTTAACAATATTTGAACACATATATCGAACTTTTGCCTCTAATTTTCTATTTCTATTGAAGGAATTTAAATAATTAGAGATTTTTTCAGCTCTCAAATTTTCCAGCCTTATGAATTCTCTAACTAATTTAGTTGGAACTAGCTTCAATATTCTAAGCTTAAACCTAGGTATTACAACCAAATCATGGGGGCACAAAGGACTTCCAGGCCTTATATCTTTGCTCAAATCTAATATATTATCGGAATTGTTAGTAAAAACCCTTGAATTTCCATGACCTGTTTTTTCGCTCTGAGTTTCTAAAATTAATTTTTCAATTTGAGCTTCAATGTCCTTAAATAATAATTGCCGTCTTTCACTTTTAGGTTTCTCCTTACTTTTTCTATTCCATTTATCTATATCATATTCTTTAAGAATGTTATTGATGACTTTCACATTTAGCACACATATTTCTTCTTGTTTATTATGATTTGGCTCATAATAGTACATTTCGGAGATCAAATCTAATTCACTTAAGCTTATTTGCAAAATGGCGTATAATTCTTTTGAGCATGAAGAACAGATCATATCCTTTAATATTAGTGGATTCATGCCAATTAAACCTGAGTTTTTTAATATAATTGAATCTTCAAATAAATTAATGTTTTGGATCTTCTGTTTTTCAACTTCAAGACATTCCAGTAGGCTAATGAATGCTTCTGGAGGAAATAGCTTTAAACGACCATTCCAGAAAGCTAGGGGGCTCAGTAAGATTTTTTTTCCAACTTCACAATGTATACATTGCATAGATGACAAATCCCATAAATCAGTTGTGTCTATTAACTCGCGATTCTGAAGATTCTTAATATTGTGATTGTCTCTCTTATATCTAAGTACAGTTTTACATATATCCATTCCATATATGAAATCACTCCACCAAGCACTCGGTACAGTAACGAATTCCAAGAAAGGGAAATTTGAAGCAATGTATTCATCATTTCCTTGGGATGCCTCAAGTACATATAACCATTTATCAGACCATTTCTTCAATGTAGGTTGCAGAACACAATCTCTCAAATATTCAACATGTTTTCTTCTAATATCGCATATATCTGATAAACACTTCAACTCAGCAGTAGATATTAAAGTTATCTGCTGAGGATAAAGTTTGGAACGATTTTCTTCTTTTTTAGGTAGTGGTGGGCTTGGAGCCAAATCTTCTGTCTCTTTAGTGCTATGAGACATTTTCAATTTTGGATCCCAATCCTTTCTTTTATATATAAGCATATAGCCAGTTTTACTTGTCATTCTCTTATTATCTTTACCTATAGTCTTAGGGTACCACTCTTGAACGTCCTTGTCATTAAAGTGTACCCAGTTCCAGCGTTTTCGAAGTTCATGATCTATTTTGCATTTACAATATGATATTTTGATGTTTTGGATTTCATGGGATGAATGTGAAACATCAAATTTATGTTTAGTAACTAATTTACTTGATTTTTTCGTTATAGCTTGAGAATTTTGTTTAAGTTGTTTGCATTCTTGAACTACTTTCTCAATATTCTGACCCAGAAAATTGGATTTATTACTTGGCACACCTTTGTTCTCTGGGGAGGAGGGTATCAATTGTTGATTTCTCATAATTAGATTTTGATTATCGTTATATTGTATAGATTCACACTCAGAAGGGAGATTTTGTCTTAAATTTTCATGAACCACTGTTCCAGAATATAATTTTGTGCATTCTGTATGAGATTCCATTTTCATTCCACTTGTTTTCTCTGAATCAAATCTTTCATTTATAAATTCCGTTTCTTCCTGACCATCTCCTCCTTTCAGTCCCCCATCCTTGAATTTTATTAAAGGTGATGATACTGTTCTAGAGTTATTTTTTGGAGTTATCTCACGATTTTGTGTGTTAGTTATATTATTAACAGGGTTACTATTCAGGTTTCTTGTCTGCTGGAATATCACTTCACCTTGTCTGATTTCTTGAATATGCTCTAAGTTTTGCATATCTTGTAAATTTTGCCCAAAAAGATTGGGTGTGTTAACTTGTAGAGCAATTCCATGTTGAAGTTGAGGTGACTTCAAAGGGTCAGCTACAGAATTTATATTTAACATCGGATTTCCCATCCTGTAAGTCGCTCCAAGGTTTAGTAAAGAAAAATGAGTATTTTGGCCTTGGTAAAAGAGTGGTTGTTGAACAGTAGATTGATCTGCATGAGGTATAGATGAAGTTTGATAGTTCAGAAGTGGATTCAAGAATCTAAATACATTAGGATTTGAATTAAGTGGCCAAGAATAAATACCAGATTTTATGTAAGAATCATCCTGAGGTACTCTCTGTATAGTAGACTTTTGTAACTTCGGACTTGCAGCTAGTGTAGATTGCTGTGAAGAATCTACAATCGTTGAATCTTGGGAAGATTCCAATATATTCGTCACATCAGATTCAGAATTCTGTATATATTCTTTTAATATTGAAGGTTGTTTAGCTTCATATGTAACTTCAGATTGAGAAAGGTCTATTTTAGGAGTCTGTGAATGTTCAGAGATAGTATATATTGATTTTGAACTTTGAAATATAGGGGAATAACAGCTCGATACATCTGGATTTAGTAGTGTTGCATTTCTACGTTGTAGTTCATGCAACATTAATAATGCATAAAGTTTATTTTGACTCATATGAGGTTCAGCTGCAGTTGGGGTTAAGGGTTCAGTTCTTAACATTTGGTCTACAGATTGTAATTTCTCTGAGAGATCCAAATTCAATGATTGATTATATTTTAATTGAGACATGAACTGAGCTAGACGATATTGTGCCATAAGTTCTACAGGAGCAGAGCTTGGAAATACCTCTACTTTTCTGCGACTCACAGCCTCATTTCCGGGGAGAACAGATTTCTGTTTCCTTTTTTTAATATCTCTAGGGTGTTCTAAGTTTGAAGACTTTTTTTGTTCATGTTTCATATTATTCCCAGGTTTTACAGGCTGGGACTCTATATTGGATTCTGGTGAAAGGTTTGAGTTTAAAGAATCCTTTAGGTTACATTCGTTATCTAAAATATCACATCCTAAAGTTTCAGGATTCATTAAAATTTTTTTATGAGAGTTCTTCCCATATTTCTTATATTTTGATATTTCCTCAGAAATACTTGATATATTTTGAAAAGTAGAAGATTTATATGTTGATTTAGAAGATAATTTTGCTTTAGTTCCATTTACATTTATTTTATAAGGACAATCTTCTGCTTGACAAGGTGACACGAATTCAAAATCTTTTAAAGAAGCAGTGTAATGACCACTCATTGCAGATTGTCCTTGGTGTTCTAAAATACCAATAAACTCATATTGAAGCATTTCATTTGGTAAGGTATCAATGTCATAAACCTGCGAATATATTATTTCATTATCACTATAGATATTGGACTTATTGTTTAGTTCCTGTTTTACTTTTCTTTCAATACGAACTTTATTACCACAATAAGGTTTAATATTTAAATCCATAGGAAAGTCTACTGGTAATGATAACTTTTTTCTTGTAAAGGAACAAGGGTCATAGATATATCTCTGTAAACAAATATGTAGATAAGGAGGTAGTTCTCGTAATGTACAGTGCTTAATAGCATCAGTTTTGTATCCACAAAGTTCGCACATATACTGATTTTCCCCTGTTAAACGTTCATGTCTAAAGAAATTATCAAAAGCTTTCTCCAAAGTTACACAACTAGAACTTTTTTTATCTCCAGATTCATCAGAAACAAAAGTTACACAGTTAATATCTTCACCAATTAAACTCAAGTCTTTGATATTATTGGAAGTATCAGAAGTCATAATATTGTTAAGTAGTATTTGAAGTCTAATTTCATAGAAATGATCTAATATATGAGTTTTGTTGAAACAAGTTTGACATTCTACATAGTAATCCAGCGTGCCACGAAATAATTTAGGGATAAAATTCGAATAGGAAAATTTTGATATTTGAGAATATTCAGGATTAGTATGTGAATTATCTGCAGAACTAGTATTCCCAAATTCAAGAAAATTATCTAGTAGTTTCACATGATTACTCTGTGTATTAGTATTAGAACTATCTAATAAGATCTCAGAAACTCCTAAATTATTAGTATTCTCCAATTTGTCTTTATTTAAAATTTTCTCCAATACCTCAATTTTATCTTCAAATAGGCTCAGAAGTAGAGCTGCAAATTCAGTCGCATCCTCTTGGTTCTCAGTACTTATCTTTAAAGCTTTAGCAAATGTAGAAGGATCTACAACTGGATGTTTCCCACTTTCCATTAATAAAAAAATTTTTTGAAGTTCACTTAATGCAAGTAGAGAATTCCTAAGTTTTGATGTGCTATTATAACTAGTACTCTCATAATTATCTTTCATTTTATCTTTTTTGTATTCAATATTCTTACAAAAGCTATCTTTCTCAGCTTTTGAAGGGGTTGCCATACAAGTTAAAAAACTCTCCCCACTTTTTAATTTAGAATAAGGATATAACGTAGATTTTGTACAATCTGTACCTTCTATAAGGTTATCAGTAGAGTCTACGAGGGAATCACATGGAATTTGCAAAAATTTTGATCTAAAATCCAAATTCATAAATAAATACTGAAGATAAGACCCCATATAACATGTAGCTCCCAAATTACGAATCCCAGAGTATTTATAAGTAGACTTATATAAGTTTATATGTTCCTTAGGAGTTACCTTTACAGAAGTTGCATCTCTAGAAATTTCATCGCTTAATTTAAACCAATTTTTAATTGATCCCTTTCTCCAAATACCTTTTGTGTTCTTAAAGGACTTACAATGTATATCAAGTAGACTAAATGGATTTTTATTTGCAATAGAATCATATAATTCTAGATTTGGGCTATAAATGTTATATACATAAAGACCCATAAGCATTTCTGTTATCACACCATTAGGAATTTTCTTAAAATCTAAGTAATTTATGTGATTTATTTCACTGGAACGCATCTTCCCTAGTATTATTGTCAATTGTCAGCCCTTTATAGTGCATTCAGTCAAAGATACTTGTAAAATTAAAATCCCCACAAGTCATTTCCTGTGGTTATACAATCCTCCAAATATATTAAAATGATTAATTTTTGAAAATCAACCCAATCACATACATTAAATGAACCCAAACCCCTTAAATATAAACCCTTACAGTACCTACAAATTCTACAAAGGAACACGTTACATATAATGCGCCAGCGGCCGCGATTGGCTCTGTATTTAGAGACTCAAGATTAAATAAAAGATTATCAGGGTTAAATTAAGAGGATAGAAGTAGTTAATATATAACTAATGCACTAAGTGAACTACAATTTCAAATAAATTCAGTGAATAGTTTGTGATATCACAAGTGATGCATAATTATCCCATATTCTTAACAGAGGAATGTAATGTATTAAAGTACGTATGCTGCATAGCGTCTTGTGCTGTTATTCGTTTATTTGGATCAAACATAAGCATTTTACTTAGTAGATCAATACCTGCAGAATCCAAATTTGGGACAACAGAACTCCACTGTTTAGCTTCAAATGTTTGGAATGTCCTTTGTTTCCAGAGTGGTAACTCCTGAACCTGAGGCCAGATTGTTGGATTTGGGGTCCCTAAAACAGAGAAAATCTTTAAAAGTTGATCTTCATCCGAAGTCCCTGGAAAAAGAGGCTTCCCATTAGACATCTCTGCAAAAATACACCCTATACTCCATATATCTACTGAAGTAGAATATTTTTTACTCCCCATTAATACATCTGGAGCTCTATACCATAGAGTTACAACTTCATGAGTATAACTTCTTACTGGTATCCCAAAAGCTCTTGCTAAACCAAAATCAGCTAGTTTAAGAGCACCATCATTATTAATAAGTAAGTTTTGAGGTTTGAGATCTCTATGTAATATCCTATGTTGATGGCAATGAGCTGCACCCCTTAAAAGTTGATATAAGTATGATTGAACTAGCTTTGGTTCCAAACCATGAGAATTTGCATCTAAGATCTTCTTCAGATCTTTCTCCATAAATTCAAATACCAAAGTTAATCGTCTTTCAGAATGCATCACATCACATAATCTCACTATATTAGGATGATGAAGCTCCTTTAATAGAGAGATCTCTCGAATAGCTGTCGAAGGAATTCCTTCATCCTCTGCTTCTAAACGAATCCTTTTTAATGCTACAATTCTTCCTTGGGTATCCTGCGCTTTATATACTACTCCATAAGTTCCTTCTCCTACCTTTTCTAACTTTTGATATTTCTCCATAAATATATGTCAAAAGTATACAATAACAAAAAGGATTAGGTTCAGTTAGCTTCACAGCAATCTTAGAATTTATCCTTTAACCATAAACTACTTATCCACTTAATTATATTGTCTAATATTTTAAGTAAATTCTAGAATAGATTTGAACAAGCATAAGCTTTGAAATTTTACATTGAGGGTGGGATTATTACATGGCGCTCGAAGTAGTCTTGCAAAACGTGACTAAATATATACTAATAATCAAATATTGAATATTTATATACAAATTCCACACTATTTTAAAATCTGTAGTAAAATATTTTGAATAATTTATGATAAGTGTATATTGGGTATCTGAGATTAAATTACTTTAATTTAGTAATTGTTAAAACCCTAATTAAGCGGTCATATTAGTCTGTCAATATCCTTATAGAAATTTCTTGGTAAGCCCTATAGGTTTAAGAAATGACAGACATTTTAGGTAACCCATTAAAATCATTTAGAGATGACTTATGGTTAGGCAGATTTGTCTTATCTCCAACATTAGCTCTTGAATATTTTTTCTTATCTCCATTTCATGATCCAAATAGCTTGAATATGCAAAGAAAAATGAATCAGCTGTCTTGCGAGTAAGTGTACTCCTAAATGACTTAAATAGGCTTATTTTACATAAATTTGTTTTATATTTTTTTTTAGAGAAGTTGAAGGTATAGAGTATAAATTAATATATGTAAATGAAGAGGGCTTAGATCGTATTTCTCTTCCACCCGGATCAACTTGGATAGTCCCAAATCAATTTGGAATATTTATTATTCAAAAATTTCTAATACAATATCAACGAGAAGTTCCTTTACAATTGTATTATATTATTGCTGGAACTATTTATGAGGCTCCAAGTTTAAGTAGTATTTTTTTGCATCGTGTTGCAGAAGCTTTCAGAAATCTAGAGATAACTTTTGATCTAATTAAAGGGATGTCTGAATTCAGTTTAAATGAGGGTTATAACTGGAATTCAAAATTAAATAAAAGAAATTTAGATAGCAAAATAGATTCTGAGCCTTTAGGTAAGTCTGAATGAAATATGTGAAAAGATTATTATTTCTCTAAGTTTCTCTAAATAATATTGAAATCTATGTAGTAACTTTATCATGTACTCCTAATACCTATCAAAAAGTAGATAATGTGTTAGTATCAAATAAAAAAGCTCTTTTAGAGATTTTATCAGTAGATCCAAAGGAATAGTTAGTATTTTTGTAGATGGTTATTCTTACAAGAAGATATTTAAAAGACAAACATTCTAAGATTTAAATTTAGATTTTACCCAGAAAGATAAGCAGAAAAGGGGATTTGTTGGAATGTGATTAGAATTTGAGGATTTTAAAGAAGTAAATTTAAATATTTTAGAGAAATTCTATATATCCAACCTAGGCTTTGTAATGAGTTATTTATTGCCCGTATAGCGCCAACAAGATGATAAACAAGACGAAATCTGTGTGTATATAAAGTAAATACTAACCTAATGGATAAGAAGAGATAATAAATTAGAGGTAACTAGAAAGTAATTCTATTGAATTTTTAGCATATATATAGCTTAAAATATCAATCTTACAACTGAAAACTAAGAGTAATGGTACTCAAATTTTCCAATGTATCATTAGCTCTTGCAGCCTCTCTTTTTGTTACACAGGCTACTTTAATATATCTTTGGATGTATAAGTATAGCCTCTTATTTTTAATTTTTTTAATTGGAGATGGCTTATTACTTCTGAATTTTCTCTTGAGGAGACATGAGAACAATAGTGCAACAGCAGGTGGTTTACAATGGTTTTGGTATAGTTTGGTATTAACTTTGAAGACAATATTTCTTGTGTGGTACAAACCTGATGAATTGTCTATGAATATGTCTTTAAAATACTCATTACCTTATCCAATATTTCCTACATCAGTTTTCCCTATAATTCTATTTATTACTCCAGCCATATATATATTATTATCATTTAGAGCAGCTCCTCAACTATATGGATCACCAATTTATGTACTATCTACAGAGGGTTTGTTACATTCAGACTTAGTAACTCATGTATTGTTAGATTTAATTGATATAGTGGTACAAATACAACATGAACAATATCCAATATCCGTTATTATAAATTCACCTTGGATATATCTTTATGCAGGGATGATTTTGATTATAGTACTATTTTTCCATGGATTGTCATTTCCAACAAGTGGTAGTGGTGAATATACACCTTTTTATCATAAAGGAGGAGATGTTTATATTGTTCGTAAGCATGCTGCATTAGTTGGAATATTTCTTGTTGATATTCCATTGTTAATTCTTCGAATTTATATATGGTTAACATTCCCTGTAATTCCTGGCTTTAATCCCTGGATTATGAAGAATCTTTTATTTATTCCCTTACAGATTGTTCGATTAAATCAATGTAGACTAGCTGAGAAAGAAAGATCAAAAAATTCTCAAAGAGCTTCTTTCTTTGATGATCTTGGGATATCACGAGAAGATACTCAAAGTAATCCTCCGATTATTCCTGCAACTCGTGGAATGCCCCAATTACATATTGGGAGATCAAAAACAATGGACTTAAGAAATCCATCACTTGAATTAGTTACGCCAGGAATTAATATGAACTTTGATAATACTTCAATAAATACCCTTAAACCTGATCATTCTCAACAAACTATGAACCTTCATTCTTATCAAAGATCTCTTTCTAATATTCTTTTCCGTCAAAAAGCAAGCAAGACTACAGTAGAACCTCTTAATAACTCACTTCTTATAAATAATCAAGTCCCAAAAGATGGGCCTATTCCACCTGAAACAACTCGTGAAGTTAAGGAATCTTTTTCACAACCTGATATACGCTCAAAAGAAATTAATAATGAAATAATGGATATTATTAAAGATGTCAAGATTAATAGGAAAATCCCCCCATACGGATTTAGTATTAAAGTTATTCTTAAACAGATATTTTATATATTTCAAAGAAGTGGTCAATCTGCTTATCTAGCTTGTTTTCTTGACAATTCTTTAGAGCTTTCCCAATTTCAGAATATTAGACTTTCATTGGCATTCATAATTCCACTTATATCCCAAATTATTATTGTTATTTTATGTAGAAATACAAATTCCCAAGATCCTCAGAGTCAGTGTTATTCAACTTGGTTTTTCCCATACTTGAGTAATGCCAAACATTCCAATACTGCACCCTGTAGTGCTGGATATATAGGTATAGTCCTAATAAATGCAATTGGTTATATAATCCTTTGGTATGGTACCTGTGGAGTTGTGGAGATAATAGGAGGAGCTTTCTACCAAATGGTTATTCTTAATTCCTTTTTTTTTGTTGTTCATACAATTAGAAATTCTACATATATAGATCCATATTTATCTAGAAATGGAATTGATGTTGCTTACATTTTAGTACTCCTTTGTATGTGTCCTGCAGCTTTGTTACTCTTGTTTAATTACTTTCCTTTATCAAGTGCTTTCCTAGGACGCAAATTTCTCCGCTTTGCAAGTCCAATAGGGAAAAAACAATGGTTACATAATAATGCACCTAGTCCTAATACTCCTAATCAGCCTAATATTGGATTAAATAATAAGCGAATATCTCGCGGATATACCAATGAACACTGTAGAGAAGATGAACTTGGTTTTATAAGTACAGGATCTGTACTATTACTATTAAATTGCAGATATGGACTTGCTCCAGTTAGTCTTAATGAATTACTAATAGGTCCTGATACAATAAAAGGAATTCGTCTCACAGATATTCTTCTAGGAATTTTATACAGAGATATTTTATTTCTACTTGTTACGAGAGGAACGATGCTTTGCATGTGTTTTACTTGGTTCTCACTTGCATCCTTTTTAGCTCATATATTAATAACATTAATTTATGGTATTACGGCTCACACAATCAGATTATTATCTCTTAGGCGATATGAACTTAAGATCTTATTTCAACAAGTTCTTAAAGAAATAACATATGGCGAAAACACTCAGCCATATAACCAATTAGTGCCAAATTTCTTAACAAATACATTAGGAACTCAAGGATTACGTAGAAATAAAGTTATTAATGAAGAATGGAGGAGTACTTTAACTAGTTCAAATATATTACAACCACAAATTATTAAAGAGCCTACAAAAGATAATTTTCCTACTATACAAAGTATTGCACAGATTAGTCAACCTTTCATATCAGCCTCAGATATTATAAAGAAATATTGGGAATCAGGTTTCTTTTCTTCACCTGGAAATATAGTTTTACCATCAGCTTTAGGTAGTATTCCACTTTAAAATTTAGAATTTAAGCATTCCTTATTTATCAAACATTTTAGGTCACTTCTGGATCCTATAAATCCAACAATAGACTTTGTTGGCGCCTACCTCACAACCATCATAACAAAGTAAATATATGTCTCCTTGAGTTTAATTTTCGAAACCACACAATCTTGACTCACCTTCGGGTGAGTCTAAATTCTAAAATTGGCTTTAAAAACAGAGAAGATTAGCAAACCCCTGCGTAAGGCTGGTTTCATGAGCCGATAGGTATAACCAATTTTTTTTTCCTCTTTATCCTGACATACTCAATAAGATAGCTACTTAAAATCTAATCTCTAATACCTTCCTAAAAACCTTAACTTCTAAGTATGATATATGATAGTTTAAATAGTGTAAAACCTTAGTCATATACATTCCCATCAGAAACTCTATATAGAAGTTATATTATAATCTGGGAAATTACTTAAAAAACTAACAAGATACTAGTAATTACTCTTATTATAGTATTATACTTTTGTATTTAAGTATTTTAAAAACGCGTCCAATTCCTGAGTGTCATGTCTTAAATTTACTTAAAATCATTTCATAAAACGACATGGCCTATACTGAATTCTTCAATTTATTTCTATAAAACTGCAAAAATGAAGTTAGAAATTTTGGGATCATTAAAACCAATAAATTCTATTATACAAATCGTATTATATGATGAAACGCTTATTATAGTAGGGTTTGGAAATGAAATTCGTCTTTATAATAATCTTTTAGAAAATATTTGTCCTTGTTTAATATATCATGAAGTTCACCATGTATATGGAATATCTACTGAATATGGAAATGACAGTAATTTTGTAGCTTATGGAATAGGAGGTGTTTTATGGGCTAAAATAATATCAAAAACATCTCAAAATGGTCAAAAGGATACAAGAATGGTTGAAATTAATCGTTTATTATTAAAAGATCGCATTTTAGCATGTTTTTATATTAGAGATCAAAAGTGGTTAATTGGGTGTGCTTCTGGAAATTTACAACTTTGTGATATTTCAAATGGTTGTGAAGTAATAACAGAGTTTTTTCTAGAAGAGTGTTCTACACTCTATTGTATGAAAATTATTTCTAAAAAAAATCATTTAGATTCTGTTACTATTATTGGGGGTTCAGCTTTTAGTAAAATTTTAATTTGGAATATTGATTTTACATATAAAAAACAACATACCCAGATAAATTTATCACAATGTCTGACTGGCCATAGGGGAATAATTTATTGTGTAACAGTTTCTCCTTGTGCTAATAAAATTATTTCTTGTTCAGATGATAGAGAAATTCGAATTTGGTATAGGCAAGAATTAATTGACAATAAGAAATCAAATTTCAGAAATATTGCAATTCTATTAGGACATAATGCCAGAATTTGGACTGTTGAGTGTTCATGGGAAAATGGATACATCGTGTCTACATCTGAAGATGGAGATTTATGCATTTGGATTATAAAACAAATGAAATTAGATTCTTTATGTAAAATAAAACCTTTAGAACAATGGTATAAGGTACATCAAGGACGTGGAGGAAGATGTATAGCTATTAGAGATATAAAATACGATAATAAAAAAAGTTGTGAATTTATTACAGGTAGTGAAGGAGGAGATTTGAAAATTTGGTCTTTAAATTTAAATCAGATAAATTTAACAGAAATTCCTAAACAAAAAGAAAATAACTATGGATATTATACAATTAAACCATATAATAGTGATAAATATTGGTTTCAAGGGACTCATTTCATAAATACTAAGGCACTAATTGCAGTAACTAGACAAGGAGAAATTTATTATGGACTCAGGAAGTATAATGATGTTTCAAATTGGAATATATTACCTATAGCACATGTCCCTAAATATATTTATTCATTATATGGGTCAGGTACTAATATTTGTATGGGATCCTCTAAAGGAGGAATATTTTTTTTTAAATTTGATGATATTACATGTACAATTACTTCTATATTATATTTCGAACACATTGGATGGATCCAAAATGTAGTTTATTCCCATATTATTGCAGTTCTTAAAGATTCAAGCTATATTATTATTGCCTCCGACTCAGAAGGTAATATAGGACTTTCATATATTTATAAAAATATAGAATATCAATCAAAAATTTTAGATACTAGTATGTTATCTAAATATGGAGAAATAAAATGTGTTGATTCTGTTTACAATTCTAATACTATTATATTAGCTTTAGGTACTGTACTAGGAAACTTCTATCTTCTAAGAATAAAACTTGAGGATATGAGTGTTAATTTATTAAATATTCAATATCAATGTCACAAAGGAAATGTATCCTCGATTAAATGGCTAAATAATAATAATTCTCTTAGAACAACAGGACAGGATGGAAGAATTATAGAATATATTGTAGATATAGCATCAAATCAGGCAAATATATCCATTAAATGGGTTCATAAATGGAAAAGTCCCTGCGAATATATCATTGATTGTTTTCAATCAGAATCTTATGGGTGCTTTGTAATTGGAGCTCTTAAACATAGCCTTATGTTATTTTCCTCTGATGAACCTACATCTTCTTCTTTTCAGCTAATTTTAAAGCAAAATTTTGGGGGAATTAAAAGATCTTTTTATACTAAGTTTTTGTTGCAAGGTACTAGTTTATGGTTTATAATGGTTTGGTGTTATAAACCTTCTATCAACATGTTAATTGTTGACTTAAATAAATTAAAATATATAGATTCATCTATCTTATCTATTAGCTTACAATTAAATTCGAATCCAATTTCAAGAGAGTTATACTCTTCTTGTTGGATCTCTTCAGATATTTTAGCTCTTGGTGGTGAAGATCACTATCTCCGTATATACAAAATAAATCAAAATAGTTCTTATTCAGATAATAACTTTAAAATATGTAAATCTATAAGAATGTTGCATCCTTTGAGAGATATAAAAGTTTTCAAAATCTCTGATCATATATATTTACTTATAGTTGTTGGAATAAAACAAATGTTAAATATATACAAAGTTACATATTCAAACTATGATTATAGATTAAAAACAAATAAATCTTCAGAAATAAATATAGTACAACTATTTTCAAATTTAGACCATATAATATGTGATAGTGATCATACTAAATCTCATTGTAGATACATCTGTTTAGATATATTATATTATTGGGATAAAGAACACATTATATCGTGTTATATTTTTGTTGGTTCAAGTAAAGGAGAAATAATAATATTCAGGTTCAAATATAATTTTAAAGAAAATTATCTTGCTAATTTAGAACTTGAAAATGATCTTTTAAAATTAGATTTTGTTCCTTTATCAATCAGATGTATATGGAATACTAAAAACCCTATTATATTAGTTGGATTGACAAATGGTTCTTTAAAAATATTTGAAGTTAGCTTTCAAGATTCGTCTATAAATTTACATTATATTAAAGATTTATTTCTTCATTCTTCTGGTGTTAATGGAATTTCAATAATTAGATATTCTGAGGACGTGGGTGTTATATTTGCTTCTGTTGGACATGATCAATGTTTAAATATAGCCTCAACAAATGGAAAAATATTTGAAACATTACATAATAATCATTTATCATCCATAAGGGATTGTTGTTATGATCAAAATAGTCGATTAATTTATACTATAGGATGGGATCAGAAGCTCCTTATTTATCGTATAGACAAAAATGATAGTATCATTAAAATTATGGACTTCTCAATATCAATATGGGATGTAGGTAAGTGGAAATTACATAAATATGTACTTAAAGTAAATTTAGACTTTTCTATTTTATTTCTATAGCCTCTATCAGACTTTCTCCAGATTTTAAATTATTGTGTATAACCGGTGGTGCGGGATCTACTGAAATATATAAAATATCAACCAGTTAAAATGAATAGGATATATTTCCTTTTTTTCTTTAGGGAATTCAGTGTCAGAGTCTGACATCAAATAGTTAAATTAAGACATAAATTTGAATATAATCTTTTAATACTAACAAATTAGCGAGATTTCTTTTACTCAAAGAGTCGAGGCCATGCAAAAATTCCCGCTGCAGTTTTACCGCCCCAAACACCCACAATGTCTATGTCGAGGGAAATAAATTTAAAACCCTTCGTTTTACATTTGTATTTATTTTTCTACCAAATAAGGAGCTAAATTATATTTCTAATTGCAATTGTGTAAGTTAATAGATTATACCGAATTGATCATATACATTATGGGGGATGTACTGCTTGGATGGAGAATTTTCTAACTGCTTTGCAGCTCTGTATGGCTATTAAACATCACTATAGTCTAATCGTTGTGCTATCTTTGGCAGTTTGTTTGAATATAACAAGGTTATGGATTATATATACTAATATTAGGTGTGGGAAATTCTTTAGGAGGACATATCTACAGATTTAGATGTGTCATTTTGGGTGATTGCAAATTGGACTTTGAAGATGGAGTGGGGTTTCTGAATTGTATATTGTTAAGCATTGGGATACATTTAAATTCATTAAGTATTTAAACTGAGGTACTTATTTAGTCATACTTAGTCATACCTTCTCAAAGAATTGGGGCTAAGTTGTACATTTTCTTTTTCCTAGAGAAGTGGTCATTTCGGGAGTTGTTTTTAGCTATAACTTTTATACTTATTTCCTTTTTTTTTTTCCTTTTTAGATCCTACTAATTATGCAGATTTTTGTGAAGACTTTAACGGGTAAAACAATAACACTTGAAGTTGAACCATCAGATACTATTGAAAATGTAAAGGCTAAGATTCAAGATAAAGAAGGAATTCCACCTGATCAACAAAGATTAATTTTTGCTGGGAAACAACTTGAGGATGGTCGGACTTTATCTGATTATAATATTCAGAAGGAATCAACTCTTCATTTAGTTTTACGTTTAAGAGGTGGTATGCAGATTTTTGTGAAGACTTTAACGGGTAAAACAATAACACTTGAAGTTGAACCATCAGATACTATTGAAAATGTAAAGGCTAAGATTCAAGATAAAGAAGGAATTCCACCTGATCAACAAAGATTAATTTTTGCTGGGAAACAACTTGAGGATGGTCGGACTTTATCTGATTATAATATTCAGAAGGAATCAACTCTTCATTTAGTTTTGCGTTTAAGAGGTGGTTCTTGCAATTAAATATTGGAATCAAGAGCATTAGAGAATCAAGTTTTTTGTTCCCTTTGTTTTTAAATTATCCATATTGTGATGTAATCAATTACGTTGGAAAAGTGAGGTTGAATATTATAGGAAAGAACATAGGTTTCTTCCTTGATTAGAGTTCCAATTCAACTCACTTTACAAGATTCCATCATTGCAAATAGTACAATTACTTTCTACAGTACGATACAGTGCATAATTCCACAGTTATATATCATATACAGTCATATAATCACAGTTATAAAGTTTTATATCACTCATAGAATGATTAATTGTATATCTTGTATTATTTTAGATGTTTTAGATATATTTAGCTAAAAAGGGTCGCGCCTTGTATTAGGTAATAGTTATGAGCTATCCATTTCACAAATGAATCGAATTAAACGTCTACCAGATGAAGTTATCGCCAGGATAGCTGCTGGGGAAGTTGTTGTACGTCCTTCTCATGCTGTAAAGGAGTTAATAGAAAATAGTTTGGATGCAGGGTCATCTAGCATATCTTTACAGCTTAAGCATGGAGGTTTAAAAGGTTTGCAAATAATTGATAATGGGTATGGAATTGACAAAGCAGACTTCCCATTACTATGTGAACGATTTACAACTAGTAAATTAAGATTATTATCAGATATTGATTCTTTAAAAACATTTGGTTTTCGTGGTGAAGCTTTAGCCAGTATTAGTTATGTATCAAGATTATCAATAACTTCAATGACAGATTCTTCATCTTGTGCATTTACAGCCTCCTTTATTGATGGAAAGATTATATCAGATATTACTCCTGTTGCAGCTAATCAAAGAGGTACAATAATTAAATTTTCTGATTTATTTTACAATATGCCAGCTCGTTTAAGGTCACTTGGATCTTCCTCTGAAGAATATTCTATGTGTTTAGAATTAGTACAAAAGTATTGTATAGAATTTTATAAAGTAGGATTTTCAGTAAGGAAATTTGGGAATACTTGTTTGGATTTAAGAACTCCAGGGGGAGATAATATACAACGTGAAGATGTAATTCAATTACTATATGGTAGAGAATTATCAAAAGATTTGATATATTTAAATATATCAAGTAATATAAATTCCCACTCCTCTGATGTAAAAAGTGAAGAACTTTCATTACATTCACTAATTCCAAAATATAATATTAATTTATATATGTCTAATCTTAATTATCGTCCAAAAAAGTCGACAGTAATAATATTCATAAATCAAAGACTAGTTTCTAGTTCATCAATTAAGCAGGCAATAGATATGGCATACCAATATACAGGTACACAATATTGGGTATTTATTTCAATAAAGGTACCTCCAGAAACTATAGATCCAAATGTACATCCTACTAAAAGTAAAGTCCAGTTAACTCATGATGTCCTAATTGCTGAAATTATACAAAATAGAATGATAAAAGCTTTACAAGATACTAGCTCATCAAGATCTTTAAATGTAAATGACTTGAATTCATTTTCAGATGTTAAAAAACCTGATAAATCTTCAAATAAACCTACTAAGGTAAGAACTGACTCTCAGCAATGTTCTATAAGGGAATTTACAAATTCAGAAAGTAATGTAAAAACAGCATATAAAATATACTCTATAGATGGAACATTTGAAAATAAGGGAAGCTTAGGAATTCAAACAAATTTGATTAATAAAGGTTCTATAACCCAGGAAGATACTAGTGAGGACTCTGTAAATAAAACAAAAAAAATTATAATTAATAAGAACAACACTGATGATTCTATAGATACAGAACTAACATCTTATTCATCTTCATCTTGTAAACTTTTGCATAATTCCTTGCATAGTCAAGTTACTCAATTAATTTCAAATAATAATAATTTAATTCAAGAAACTATTAGTGAAGATAAAGAAATCTCATCTAAGTTAGAGATAAAAAATCTTATAGATATAAAATCTTGTACTCAAAATATTCATATTTTATATTGGTGTACTGAGAATGAGAATTCGAATAATAATAATGAAACAAAACTTGTAACCCAAAGAATTATTAAAAATTATTGGAATAATATTTCTGAAGGGATAGAAGATGATTTGGCAAGATCTTTATCTAATAGTATTTATATTGGGTTAGTCAAGCATCCTATATGCTTAGTTCAGGCAGAAAATGAATTATTGCTGGTAAACACAAAAAAGATGGCTAACTTAGCTATTATTCAATCTATTATAGATAGACTTGGAAGACTCCCAACATTAAGGTTTAATCCTCCTATTGATTTAAGAGAGATTTTTAGTCTTATGGAAAACCATTATAACTCTAAGTCACAGTTTAAATACAATGATAATTTATTTAGTAAATATACTAATTCAAATTTACGAATTAATTTAGAAAAATCTGTGATTTTATTGAATCACTATTCTTCTTATATTTCTTCAATATTTGGGATTTATATTAATGTTAAGAATATGCAACTAGAAACATTCCCACTATGTTTTGGTGATTACTTACCCAATATAGATATGTTACCAAATACTCTCTACCAAATAATTTCCCTATTAGATACATTTTATGATAGTATATCAAACCTTTATCAAAATATTTTAGAAAATAATCTAAAACCTGAAATATTGGAATCAAATTTAGATAACTTTGCAAATTCTTTATTAGAAATTGTAAAAGTAATTTCTTTATGTTACATTTCTGGTCCTGAATGTAATAGTGAACATTTATTCCAAGCAATAAAGCGTAATAATTGTTTAGTAATACCTTCAAGTAGTCTTGATAGTACGACAGTTATACATGTAACTAGTTTGGAAAAGTTATACAGGGTCTTTGAAAGATGCTAAAAATACATTATCCATAATAAAATATTGTGCCAAATATACCTATATAACTCTAATAATGTTATATACTATTGTTAATAATGTAGATACTTTTTTTCGCTTTTTCTTTTTGGAAAGACTAAAATTACTTTGTATATACTATTGAATGTCTTAATGAATACTTTATTGTTATAGTGTCTTATTTATCATTAATTTTACAATAATTTCTTGTTTATTTCTTCTTTATCTATGACTTCTACAGCGGCTTTAGCAAGAAAATATAAACAGTGTATAACATCTTCACCTTTTGTTGATATATTCAAATGATCAAATTCATTTGATTTATCTGCATTTATTTCAATATCTTCCTTGATTTCTTTTATTTTTGGTTCTTTTTTTATTTCATAATGATGTTCTAACTGCATATTTATCTTTTTAAAATTTGTTGTATCATATTTCGATGGGGTTGGAATTGATTCTTCATTTCTCTTTCGTTTTGTAAACTTTGATTTACATGAATCACTAAAGTTAAGTGGAAGTTTTTTATGTTTATTTATATACTGAAAAACTTCTCTTGCAAAATTCCATGCATTAGTTTCTCCATATTTATTAAAAGAGTAAGATTTTTGATGTCTTCCATTCTCACTTAATATAGGAGAGTGCTTAATCCTATAAACCAATCTTACTTCATTCTTGTTTATTGGTTTGTATATTTGTATTGCTCGGACCTCCATGTAAATATTTAGAAATTACTGACAAAATTCAAAGAATTTTCTAAGCAAACTTATCTTCTTGGTATTATGGTGACATTTTCTTGGGATATTGGGACACACAAGTCTAGTCTTATTAACAAGTGGTAGCAACCAAAAATAATTTATTATCAAAAAATATTATCGATATATCTTTGAGTTATCATCTTAAAACTTCTTATTTTGCTTCTTCTTCTACTAAATATTTTATTCTATTATAATTTTTAAATAAAACATTAATACTGTTATTATTACTTAATAAAACAAAAAAAAAAAGCAGCCAAGTTAAAATTCACGCAATTTCTTAGTAAATAAATGTTGATTTGTATTTATTTGTTAATATTCAAAATAATTACAAAAAAAATCGCATGCATGCATTTTAGGTAATATTTTTTTTGTAATTATTTTGAACATTAACAAATAAATACAAATCAACATTTATCTTTTTTTTAATAATTAAAATGTATACCTAAAGATTATCAACCAATTTTATTAATTCTATATAGTAATATGCTGTAATAGATGTTTTAAACAAGAGATCAAGTTACTAAAGTAAAAAGTGATTATATTTATACAGGGACTATTTTATAATTCTCATAATATTTGGTAATAGATATTAAAATTAATAATTCAACCAAGATTTTCGGATTATATAGTGTCTAATATATAAGGGAATTAATGGGTTAATATTATAATTTTAATTGTTGAAATAATATATATATATATGTTTATATAAAGATGATTGTCTATATTTACAATAAAAATAAGTTGAAATTTGAAATATATTTTTGTTAAAAAGTAATAATTATTTAATATTAGGTTAATAATAGTTTATGTTCATATAAATACTACTTCATTATTTGAAATAAGTACATAGGTTTTTTTAATGGTAAATTACCTAAAATTAGAGTTCTATTGATTCTTAATATAAATAAATTTGATAATATATATTTAAAAAATAAGATATTTTATTGATTTAGAATACAAATATGACATTATTCATATTCGAATATAGAAATTATTGCTATAATACCGAATAATAAAGTAATATCAGATATGATAAATATTTTTAGAGTTAAAATATAAACAAAGTGATAAAAACGTAAAATTTACACTAAGATATAATCGTAGTATTAATAATAAAATAGCACTTGTTTTACAAATATATATTATTAATTTGTTTACTAATAACATCTAATAACATATTCCAATTATAAGTTGATATTTACGTGATACATAGGCATAAAGAATATGATATTCTGTTTTCTCTGTAATATCTACTTTAATTTCTAAATATTATATACTTGAGTAAACTTCCCTCAGTGTTAGTACCCAAAGTCACTAATAAATTCTATTCTAAAATAACAAGTCTCTATATATCTATAATAATACAAAGTACTAAATATAATAATAATTACACAGCAAATCTTAGCTAATATTACTTCTATTACTTCTTATCCTTAGAAATTCTAGTTAATAAGAAGTGGTAAGTTACATCAATATAAATATCTCATTAAATAATAGCTCCCAGAACACTTCTCAGACCGTGGGTGTAACAAGGTAGATAATCTTACGGCTATACCACAATATATCGTCATATATAACATTAGAAGGTGGTATTCTTCCTTGAAGGTTTAGAACCGGGAGGATCAATCCAAGTGAGTTCTTTAACAGTCAAAATGTATATAACGGGGGAGACAAAGCTACATACCGCCAAATGTAGACAGCGATTATAACAGAGTACATGTCTCAGTTAAAAGGTTTTAATATGATCTTCTTTTACTTTTTTCTCCTTTTTTCCTCTTTATTTTTTTATTTTTTTCTCTTTTTCTCCTTTTTTATTTTTTTTATTTTTTTTTTCTCTTCTTCTCCTTTTCTTCTCTTTTCTATTTCTCACTTTTTTCTCTTCTTCTCTTCCTCCTTTTCTCTCTTCCTGTTCTCTCTTTTTTTTTTTAAATACTTCTTATTTCATATGTTATTAGAAGTAACTCGAATTTCCTCATTTGAATGCCTCATTGCTAACTCAATAAGTGTCTTTACTCCAAATCCATTGCTAACATTCTCTTTCCCAGAACAACCAGCCATATCAATGTGAGCATATGAAGTACCTTCACGAATAAATTCACTTAAAAATAAGGTAGATGTTATAACTCCAGCTACAGATCCACACATATTATTAAGATCAGCAATATTAGATTTGATATGTTCTTTATAATCTGTATCTAGTGGTAATTTGCAAAATTTCTCTCCAACATGATGACCAGATGTTTCAATAGTACTAACAAATTCATCTGAATTTCCAAGTAGAGAAGCATATTTTCCAGAAAAAAAGCTCATACTAAGGCCAGTTAAAGTTGCTAAATCAACGATTTTGTCTACTTCTAAATTGCATGAATAAACCAGGGCATCTGCTAAAGTGAGTCTACCTTCAGCATCTGTGTTTCCAACTTCTATTGTCTTCCCATTAGAAGCTGTTAAAACACAGCCGGGAAGATAAGCATTTTGAGAAATTGAGTTCTCACATATTGCCGAAATAAAGTGAATTTCTACATATTTTGGTTTAATTAATCCTATAGAATATGCAGAACCAAAAACAGCAGCAGCTCCTGCCATATCACTTTTCATATATTGGATATTAGGATGAGATTTAAGATTGTAACCTCCAGTATCCATAGTAATACCTTTACCAACAAAGGCTAACTTGTGATGAATTGGTCCTTCAGGTTTATAATGTAGATGTACAAATTGGGCAGGATACTTACTACCTTGTAATACACCAATATAAGCTCCCATTCCTAATTCTTCACATTCTTTAGTATTTAGAACTTTGTGTGATAGACCTACTTTCTTCGCCATTTCTAAAATTTCATGAGCCATATTAACAGGATTACAGTAATTTGGAGGAGCTGTGGTTAAATCTCTAGCAAACAGTAATCCAGTAGCAGTAGCAGTTATAGATGAAATCTTTGAATTACACTCACTTAGAATTTGTTCATTATTTACTAGTAAGTGAATATCTTCAAACTTTCTATTTTTATTTTTAGCATGGAATTGGATACCCTTAAAACGATTATCTTCAATAGTTTTAAGTATTAAATCAGCTAGGAAATTTAAGAGAATTCCTGACTTTGTTTCAAATGGTATAGCAATCATTGCGGAATTTATATGATATTGGGAAATATGACTCTGTAAAGTGTTAGATAGTTTTACAAAAAAATTTGCTGATAGATTCAAATTGGTTCCAGTAGAGACAATAATTAATGATTCATATGGCATACTAGGAGGTAAATTTATTGAAATAGCTGAACATTCAGAAGCAAATAAGTTTGCATCAATGGCTTTCTGAATACTTGATTTCAAAATTCCATCCAAATATTTATCTATAGATTCAAAAATTGGATGATATTCAAAAGAGCCAGAACTAGGCATACATACAACCAGACAATTTTTTTCAGATAATGGTAATTCCTTTGAAATTAATGAAAATTGAATATTAACCTCTGGAAAGGTTGAGAGTGGGATTTTAGAAGGTCGAATACCATCAATATCATGTCCAATAGCTCTTTTCTTAGAATAGGATTCCATTTTTAATATTTAATTGACCAAAATGAAGTTTTATTGTAAACCTTGCTAGTTATCTATAAGACTTTGAGTATATTTTAGTATGAGATCTTACTTAGTGGGCCTTGATCCCCCGCAAGTACTACAATATTATGGGGGTATATTGCAGTATGAGATCCTACTTAGTGGGATTTGATTCCCGCAAGTGCTACAATATTATGGGGGTATATTGCAGTATGAGATCCTACTTAGTGGGATTTGATTCCCGCAAGTGCTACAATATTATGGGAGCATATTGCAGCTTCTTGGATTATATATAACATTAAACTTCAAATCACTTCTTTATATAAAGAGAACTTCTATTACATTTGATTTTTTTTTGGGAATTCTAATTTTTCCTGATAATGTTAAGTTATTAAATTTACTTGAGATATCTTTAACTAGATAAAAAAAAAAGAGGGGGAGGCTCTAGAATTTTACATTTCTGCTAGGCAAAATGATGTATAGAAATATGCCAGTAGATTTAGTACTAGTTCGTCATGGTCAAAGTGAGGGTAATCTCGCTCAAAGGTTAGCAAGGCAGGGCGAATTACAGCAATGGACAGATGAGTTTAGACGAAGACATAATAGCTTGTATAGATTAACTGATAGAGGTAGAACTCAAGCTAGGATAGCTGGTGAATATATAAGAACAAATATTGGAACTACATTTGACAAGTACTTTACTTCTGAGTATGTTAGGGCTATGGAGACTGCTGCCATGCTAGGACTGCCCAATTCATTATGGAATACAGATATATATTTAAGAGAAAGAGATCGTGGTATTTTGGCAAATAAAACTCACCAGGAAAGAGCTACTTTGCACTCTGATGAAATGATTAGGAAGCAGAGGGATGCATTCTATTGGCAGCCATCTGGTGGAGAATCTTTGGCTAATTTATGTTTAAGAACAGAGCGTGTTTTAGAAAATTTAAGTCAAAATTGTGCAGGATTGAGAGTAATAATAGTATGTCATGGTGGAGTTATTAAGAGTTTTAGAACATTACTAGAAAGAGATAGGAATGATAAGAATTCAAAGATGAGTAAAATTAATAATTGTCAGATTGTTTGGTATACTAGAAGAGATCCAGTAAGAGGTTGCATAACATCTTCTTACAATTGGGTTAAATCAATTTGTCCATGGGACCTATCTTTGTCTTCAAATTCATGGAGATATATACAAAGACAAGCATTTACTAATGAAGACTTACTACAAATAATATGCCGAGTACCTCAATTAGTTAATGCACCTGCAGTTGATTTGTTAGAAGAATTGGACATTCCGAGTCTACCGTCATCTCCCCCTAATCAGATTTTACCCAAAAATACTTTAAGTGAAATTGATAATGTTCTTCCTCCAAAGATTCAGACAAGTAGTGATTTAAGGAGTAGCATTGATGATCATATTATAGATACAAGTGATGGCACAGATGAGAATACACAAGATATTGATTCAGATGAATATAATAATGAAGACTTCGTTAACAATAGTGCTAAATCTTTTGTTTATAAATACTTTCAATTATATGCAAACTATACTATCTCAGATGAAGATTTCAGTGATACTAATGAACCTGGGAATTAGATAAATTAAATAAGTTTTTTGTGATTTTTAAAGGTCAAGTAAACTTAAATATATCGAAGATAGGATGGTATTTATTTTTGAGTTTCTAAATTTCTATTACTTTGGTTTTATAAAGATTTTAGGAGATACTTTTCTAGTAATTCAATTCCTGTAGTATTTTCTTTGTTCATTTTCATTTTATGTAGAACTTGTTTAATTTGGGGATATATGATATCTTTAATGCGTAATCTCCATATTTGACACCTCTGATTGTCTGCTAATTCTGAATTTTCCCCAATCATCTCCACTATGATAAATACAGCTTTAGTTGAAAGAAGTTCATTCATATCTTTTGAAATAATCAATTCAAAGAGCTTAGTTTTAAATTCTTCATTAATTTTGATGATTTCATCATTATGGTTATTTCTGATAAATTCTGTTAATATCTTTAAAATCCCAACAATTGTTCTATGACCAATGTTATCTTTCAAGATGTCATAGTTACTGTTCAAACTTGAGATAATCTGGAATAATAAATCATTCAAATATGTCTTAATATAAAATTCGGATTTCATTATAGTGTATATTATAGCTAAAAGCGTATCCTTAGAATTTGTATTTAGTAATGTACTTTCCATTACTCTATTTTTAGTAAGTGTATTAATCAAAGTAGGGAAACAAGTTACAAGCATTTCCTCCTTTCTAGTAACTTCTAGTTTCAAGGTAGCAGGAGCTCTAAGTTGCATAACCCAAAGTTCATATTGATTGAAAAATCTCTTTGATTCTCCACGAGTTAAAGGATACAATACTAACTTATTTGTATAGGGATTACTTAATAACTCAGGGATAATGTTGTTATCAGTAATTAGTGAATTCCAAATAATTTCTTTCAGTATTTTTGTATCATCAACTACAGCAAGTAATCTCAGCAATAATGCATAGTCTATAGGGTTTTCAGCTAACTGTAAAATATCTTTTTTAATACTTTTAAGTAATTTCTTCTTCTGTTGAGCTTTTGCGAATCCTAATAAAACAATGAGTGAATTTACGCCTTCTTTTGTACTCAGTAAATGATATGAACCTTCAAGTATTTGTTCTAATAGACTTGTTAATGCTGCAGTCCCTTCTTCACTTATATTATCTAAACAAAGAAGATTATTTTTGCTTGAATTTGTTTCATTCAAAGAATTTTTTACTAGTAAATTATCTTTATTAGTTTTTTCTTGAGGAATAATTGTATCCATCTTGTAATATAGAACACAGCAACTAATATAAGTCCAAATTACAGTATGAATAAAGGCTTTATCTAAGATCTCATTATCAACATACTTTTGAATTACATTTTGACAGTTACTCAATATACTTAGTTTAACATCTGGCTGAATTATAGATGCAAAGATATCAGTAAAAGGTTTTGCAAAATCCTTAAATGTATTTTTAGTATCATATACTCTTGATAAATTTGTACCCAAGAATTTATATAAAAATTTATTTTTTAGGATTTCATAAGATTCAGATAGATTCTTTTTCTCACTGAATACATGATTAAAGACTCGAGATCCAAATTTAGAGTATACTACTTGTTCAGACTTTTCCAAAATTATATTCCGAGTCTTGTTACGTATCTCAGAATCTCCATACGTAAAAAGTTTTTCAATAATTCTATAAGAGTGACTATCAATACACAATGTAATTATATGATTTTCAATAATTTCAAAGATGAGATTCTTGTACTTGTCATCACCCCATTTTAAGATAGATTGGATCCCTCTAGAATAAGCTGGTTTTCTACATACCTGCAGGAATCTATCCTTAATTAAGGACCACATAGTGTATATTACCTGTTCATAATCAGAATTCTTCTTCCCTCTTCCTATAGCCTGAAAAAGTGATCCATTTGCTACTCTAAATGCTTTGTCCTTCGGATCTACCTCTCGTTTCAAGGTCTGGATTTTAGCTACCTTAAAAGACATCTTGGCTTCTCAAGGAATTTGATAAAATAATAAATCCTCTTTTTGGTTAGAATAGAAGTATAAAAGCCACTATTTAAGAGGATTTCTTTAGTATTAGGTAAATAGTCAGTTACCGACATTTCAAAGACTCAGACGCTACAGAGGCGCTATATATCTCGTGATTGGGCAGTATTTGGCTCTACACATCCTATATATAGTAATTAAGATTATCGGAATTTAGAGCTAAAATTGTATACAGCACAGAATTTATTATTAATAACTATAAATGTCTGAAACAGGTCATATATTAAGACCTAGAAGTGAGGGAGATACTCTCAAAGTAGCTGAAGCAGTTCTTCGGCGAAGGAGAATTCCAGAGAGTAATAGGATGTCTAAATTTAGGGAAGAGAAACGCAAATTGAAGAAAGAACTTCATAAATCTCCTATAAAGAGCTTGAAAGCTATTTTGAAGAGCTCTAGGGATAATATCTTAGATAAGAGAAGATTAAGGAATATGAATAAGAAACCTCTTTTAACTCCTAAAACAAGTGATGGCAAAAATCTCCTGATTGTCGTAAGAAATAGTAGACGTTGTGGTTCTGTCAATTCGTTTAAAATACTGAAGAATATGGGTCTAGTTTCTAAATTTTCTGCAATAATTTTGAGTCATTCTCAAGAATCTTTGAAGTTAATTCGAAGCGTAAAACCTTTTGTGTTCTATGGATTTCCAACATTACAGTTACTAAAGAATCTAATACATACAAAGGGAGCTTTCAAAAACGATGAAAAACTTGGAAATGACAAAGTATTACTTACAGATAACCTCTTAGTAGAAGATAAATTGGGAGAAATAGGGATCTTGTGTACTGAAGATATAGTAATGTGTTTATGGAATGGAAGAGAACAGGGTGAGAAGTCATTTGATGAGATTTTACGAAATATGGCTCCATTCCAGTTGTGTGATCTTAAAAAAGCTGAAGGTATAGATGCAAGAAGGTTTGAGATGGGATTTTTGGGGAAAAGTGTGACTAAGAAGATCCAGAGTATTCTCTAACTGGAGCTGGTCTTATTAAATATAAATTTAATATATTACAAATGTTTTCTTTAAAGTATTTTATGTAAAGTTTAGATTTATAAGAAATATCTTACTAAAAGAGCAGTGGCAAAATAAAGGTATGAGTTAGATATTGATATCAACTATATACCCTCAATATGGGAGATAAGTACTCTTGGACTCTATATATCATTATGTGTTTGACATTCTACTACTCACCTTAATATTATATATCACATGTATTTACTTTTGGAACAGTTATATAAATAATAATAGATTAGTCTTTCTATTATTTCAAACTCCTTAAAGTTATGAATCTTTGATATAGGTTTAAATTTTTTTTTGATGTAAGATAGCATTATTAAATTGACTTAAAATAATCAAGTTTTAAATGAGGAATTTTCAAAGATTGGAACCTCTCGATGATTATATTTTAGATCCTTTGTAAATTAAATTATAAGATTATTAGTATTGAATTTAAAGTTTCTTAATGAATCAATGAAAGTTTTTCTATAGAGTTTAGACTTTTTAAAATTAGAATTAATTACTGGTCTTTTTTTCAAGAAAATAAGAATTTGGCAATTGAATAATTGATATTATTTATTATTAATTAGAAAGTTGATAATTTGGAAATATATCAAACTTTCATGAGTATGTAAATATAACATTGGAATAATAGCAAATTTTGTTTAAATTATTGATTCTGATTAATTCAATATTATTTGCAATGTATATAATAGATAGTATTTTAATATTTAAAGTATAAACTTTTATTTTCTAGATATATCAGATGAAATTCATATATAATAATAATTGATGATAACTTGTCTAAAATAGGTCGAAGATTAGATAATTTGGTTTTTGGATATAACTTACTAATAAATTAGTAGTATGGTAACAAATTTATCAATAACTTTGGCAATTTTCAAGATATCTAATAGTATTGGATAATGCAGAAACACCTTAAGTTGGTTAATATACTAAATATATTAAATTATGGTTCACTTTTTAAATACTAAACTTGTTAATTGAAAACTTTGAGCTATTTTCTTTTACAATTGACTTTCTTTCTATTAAGTGAGCGTAATTAGGAATTTAATGACAAGTTTTTTATTGGGCACTATTATCTTTGTATCCATGTTACTTTCTTCCTGTTTCAATCAAATTAAATTCAAACTTTAAAATATCTTCACAATCTCATCATTCAAGTATTATTTTTGTTAAATTTTAAGTTAAAGGAATTTAGGCTAATAAAATGACTACTATAAAGTTTTTGATTCTGAAGAAGCAAGTAATAACTAAAAGTTTTTGCTCAAATCCCTAGACTCACTTTAGTATTATTCACTTTATATAATTTGAGAGAATATGCATATTTTCATAGTGGAATGTCACTGCCTTGTTTTAGGAGCTGAATTCTGTGAAATAATCATAAATACACTTGATATATGTTGTTGGGATAGAATCTTGTAAGTACTCCTCAAATGTTCTTCAGATTGTACTCCTTTGTCTCAAATATACATATTTATACTCCCTGCATAGTACTTACAAATATATATGGATATGAGTTGTCTCAATATACATTCATTACTACTTTTAGGCCCTAAATTCATTTAATCTGCATTTCAAACTCCATACCCCTAAGTTCTCTATTATTGAACTGGTGAGGGTTACATGTGTTACTTATTAGTCCCATATTCCTACTTCTAGAGATGTTTCTATTGTGAACTACTAATTAGTATGGGGGATTAAGGACATATTCAGTATATTTAGAGTAATTTAATTTCGAAATTTGATTAAATTTATATATTTAATCTTTAGCTGAATGAAACTATACAATATTACTCCCGCCTATTTATTTATATAGGCTCCAATGTATTAATTATCCCAATGCCGGTATAGAAATGTCAGTGGCGTCTCGAGACGGGACCTATGATGCAAATTGCGGGAGTGAAATTAATAGCCAATATAGTTTAATTAATAGTATGTGGAGTGTTTAGTCAGCATATATGGTGGGTGCAGCCATGGTATACTTGTAATCCAATTAGCCAGTATTATAATTTGTGATCCGGTACCTCATAACTGCATTGATTAATCATGTGATGCACAATTAGTGCTAGCTGCGTTTACTCATTTCTTTTTGTTGATATAATGCAAGTTAATTAATAGACCTTTAATTAAGTTGGTGAAAAGTCAGGTACTGCATCTTATAAGTAAAATATAATTGAATTTGTATTGAGAAATGTTATTTACAACTCCAAAACCGAGACCTCAGTACTCCCATCCAAGTATAATTGGATTAGATTGCGATCTAAATGAATCAAAAATTGAATACAATAATAATAGTGAGTACTTTGGAGAGTTGGCATGTATGATTGAAAACTCAAATCTTGACACTCCTCAGAATAATAATCATATTAACCAATCAGGAGCTAATAAGAACTGTACAAGACTTGAGCAGAATATTGCTATGGGTATGAATATATTCTCGTCTCCTAAGTCACTTGGATGTACAGTTTCTTCAACTAGATCAACTGTAGCATCTTATACACCTAATGTTGACGAAACTTCTCCTTCATGTGTTTTACCAGCTCCTCCTAATTCAGATCCTTTTATTTTGAATGGATTTGGGGTTGATTCTAATTCAGGAGATATAAATAACGATTTTAATATACCACTATTGAATTATTTGAGTGAAGCTTTGACTAGTAACTCATGGGAGTGCTTTCTACCTTCATCTAAACTTACAGACTATTGCCCTGAAGATGTGAATACAGTTACTGAAAAATATAGTGGAGAAAGCAATCATAATAACAATCTTAATTCACTAACTATGATCAAAGCAAAGGATCTTACTGATAAATTGGTAATCGATCTTGTTAAGGAGAACCAGTCTTTAAATGTTATAGAAGCTGCTACAGAAATCCTCCAATGTGCTTTAGCAAATTTGGGTATTAAGTACAATAAGGACTCATTAACTTCAGGCAACTGGAGTCCAAATACTCTTGGTGTTGGAGGTCCAAATTTTGCAGCTCCAACTATGCTGGCACATCCTGATGAATTTAAAAATCCTTCGTCATTTCTTAAGATATATGGTGATCCTTTATGTGGCAAGACCCCTAGTAATACTCACCAAACTCAAGTATTAAATCAAAATAACTCGTCTACCTTTAGTGGAGTGAACCCTATGAAGGGTCAAAATGGTAATTGGGCATGTGTGAAGTGCAGTAATGTCAACTTCCCAAGGCGCTTTAGATGTTTTAAATGTGGTGAATACCGAGATGAAACTGGAGATCGCATTGTAGCAGATTATGCTAAACAGGTATATCTCCATCACTTAAAGGCATACAGGTCTTTAAGTTACAGCAACAATACTAATGTGAGCTCTAATGTAACTCAAGGAAGTACGAATGGTACTAATTTACCAACTACAAACTTAAACAATACAGGGAATATTAACAATATTCCAAGTTGGGCACCTAACCAAGCTTTTCTAAATGAATACCAAACTCCCATGTTACTTCAACGTTTTAATAGTAGTCCTGCAAATTCTTCTTGTATGAGTGGTTGTAATAATTCTGGTACTACTAATAATATTTCAAGACAAAATAACTTGTTTTCTTGTAACTCTCACAAGAAGAATGTCAAGCACTTCATAAAAAGTAGTCAAAATAATCCAAATGGAGTTGCTTCATAAACATAAATTAAGGCTTACATATCTGTCTTTAATATATCGTTTTATAGAAGCTATATCCCTATGTAATTGTACTAAGTGGGAATTCATATGAATTACTTTGTCTTATTAAGGCAAAACTAGTTTTTGTAAATTTCTACTAGATATTTGTCAAAATATGTACTCCAGCTATAACTTTGTGAATATAAATGTAGAGACTAATACATGAAATAACTACTCAGTTTAAATTGGAAATTCTTATATCTCTCTCTTTGCTAATTTTATAACAGATCTCACTAGAGCTCTTACAAAAAACAATCAAAGATTAATTCTTAGAACTTAAATACAGCTACTTAAATTGCAACAGTTTTAATTAATTGGATATACGTCTTTTCTTAATGTATACTTGTTTGCAATATTTAATACTACTAATAAGCTTATTGGGAACTAGAACTAATAGTATATTTTTCAAAACATAGAATCTTTTTCAATTGGGTATTTGTAAATATGTAGAGTGTATCAGTAACACAGCAAATATATTTATCCATATCCTAAGTCATAATTACAATCTTTCTCATTAGAAATTATATAAATCCATCACAATTACAAGGTGAATTCTTTAAATTGAATTTTCAAAAGCTTTAGAAACAAGATTGATAGAGTTCAACATTCAACAACCATCATCAGACATCTCAAATGAGTTATAGCTGGAGATATAGTTAAACATTACTCCAAATTAAGAGGTTTAACCTTATGAATTTATGGCTATTCATTTGTTAATGACTCTATATTTGCATAAATTCACATTGTAATTGGATATTTGTACTACAAAGTAATGTTTATTCTTCATATAAAATAAAAATTGCTATTATTATTGATAGAGATATAGTTATTTTTATAATTCTCCTTTAAAATAACTTAATTTTCTGGGGTTCTTCATCTATATAACTCAATAATATAGTGTATATTAAAAATACTTATTGGAAATTCATGTTCTAGATAAATTTCAAAATTTGGATATACAAGCGATAGATCTTAGTGTATTTACTAATATAAACAGTCTTATATAGTTGTTAAACCCTGAATTTTCTAGGGCTTGGAACAAGATCATTAATCTTGTATAAAATTCACAATATAAACCAGACAAACTCACTGACTGGATCAAGATAACTAGATACTTTTAGTTTTGAAGCTGAGGATTGCATACAAAGTGTAAGGTGTCAATAATATTTGTTATATACTGTCAATTTCTCACTTGACTTCAATTTCTCGAATTTTAGAAGTAAGAATTCGGTAATTCCTAACCTTTGAGTATATACTCTCACAAGTCTATTATTACTACTAATACATTATTTTACTCTAGATAAAGGTAACTGAGCATCGTCTGATCTGACTATTGTAATGTAGGGTATTTATATTTTGGTTTATAATCTTTGAACTTTTTAATATACATTATTAAGTAAAAGAAATGTTCATAAATCACTAAATCTTTATCTATAGATGGATAATATGATTGTTGAGGTTCCCTATATTTAATATACCATAAAAGTCACTAAAAGTAATATTGAGCATAAAATGCTTTGGTTACTTTAAACTACATAGATATAAATTTTTAAATATATACTTTAGTTATACTATAGAGAAATAGTGGTTGACAACACAGTCTAACTTTATCTAAAATCTGTAGTCCTCAATCCTGAACTTTTATCTATTTAGAACTTTGTGTATCCCCAAATATCTTGTGCACCTATAGTATAGGTATATCACTTATTAAATAATATTCAATACTCCTATTTGTATTATTAAGTAAAGGAGTTTAAAAGATTCAATAATTTTATATAATCTTATTCAAAATTTTGTTTCTGAAATCTCTTTGAATTTTTCATATAAAAATTCCGGTTTTTATTGAGACTGCAACAAATAGTAATGAACATATTAAATATTAATAACAGAAATCATAGATATAATATTTTTATATATATTTGTATAATTTTGAATATTATTATTCCAGGATTTGGCCTATTTATAAATGGTATACAACAAAGATCTGCAAAAAGTGTATTTCTAGGACTCTTAAGCACTTCAATTTCTTGTTTTTTAATTCTGATAGTAACTAATGGGAATTTTTTTGATATAGAGACACATATTCAAATAATCAGCTTATTTAATAAAGGGCCACATTGTCATATCTCAAAACTAAATACTATATCATTAATTACATTAATTTTTATTTGTACATTATCAGCCTACTGTGCCCTATCACTTTGGATATTATCTCTACAAAGTAAGGAACTAAAAAAGGTGAAAAGTACAGAGTAAAAAATTCAGCTTTTAATGTGAATATAGAACTAATTAAAAAGTCTTTAGATTTATAGGTTTTAAAGTTGTGAGAAGTTGAATATTGAAAATGCTGAAATATACCGCTAGAATGCAGTAGAGATACTGAGACATTTAATAAACTTAGATACCCAATATGACAACTCTCTTTTTGAATCCTAAAAGACCCTATAGGATTATTAGATTCATAAATTTGGTATTTAAAGATCTTAGGGATTTATATATTTTTGTTGTCTGCTAGTTGATATTACTAATAGTACTATTCAAGAAGATTTCAGTAATTCTGTTTAAAGACTTTTAAGATTAATAAATAACAGTTATTTAAGAAATTATAGTTTATTTTTTTTGGACATTTGGAGCTTCTGAAACTGTCAGATTTTTGGATTTTCAAGATATCCTCTAAAATAAAGCTTAAGTTGTGATTTAAAACGTGGAATTGATTATAAACGATAATGCCAATAAAAGCATCAGATGTATTCAAGTCTATGATTAGATCTAGAAGACGCCCTCAAGAAAAGCCTGTTAAGGATATTAAGGTAAATAGAGGAACCAAATATAAAACTGCAAAATATTTTGACTTTTCTTATCACCAAGAAATCAAGAAAACTAAGAAACACTTAAGTGAGGATAAAAAGATGTCTCCTTTAATTAGAATGCTTGAGAAACATCAAATATCTCGTTCTACTCCATTAGATCCAAGGAAGGGCTCTTATTATGAGTACAGTAATGGATTTAAAGTAAGTATTGTGACATATGAGGGAATTGAAGCGAGTAGTCTTACTATGAGTTTTGATATATCTCCAGATATGATCCAACAAGAGAAGATTCCGGGATTATATCACCTAACTTTCCAAATAATGTTTTTAATGGAATTTATAGTAGATAATGAAAGCATTGGTTTGGTTAAGAAACAATCCTTTAAAGAGTACCTTTATAGTATTAATGGAAGTTTATCTATTAAATATATGCCTTCTTGTATGATTGTAAGCTTGAGTAGCCCATCAGCTCATTATATTCAGGTAATTGAATATTTTTTTGATTCCATTTTCTTAACTTTTAAGGGAAGGAAACGGAATATTGTAATTAATCAAAATGTGGTTGATGCAGCTTTAAAAGAGCTTGATATGACATATTTGGACCTTATCAATGATGATACTGTGCTAAGATTTGAGTTATTAAGAGATAGCATTAGAAGGAATGAAAATAGTTTTGTAAAAACCAATAGCTATAGTGCAATAGCTCTAACATCTCTTTGGTCAATGGGAACAAATCAAACAGTTAGATCTTTAATTGATGATGATGTATTACAGTTGGAGATGATGAAAGCTTACAATCGTATAGTAAAGGCTGATGGTGCCATTTTAGCTATCCAAACTACAATGCCCTATAAACAATTACTTTCCTTGTTAAAAGGGAAGTTTCAGATCCCCTTTTTTAGTGAGGTGACTTCTAAGGATTTTAATAAAAAAAAATCATCTGAAATAAATTTTGATAATATCGAAGATAATCTAAATTCTAAAATGTCAATGCCTATTATGGCAATACCCCAACCCAAATCGATTATTATAGAACATACTAGTTTGAATCCAAATTCAAATAGTATCGAAATACAGTGGATTTTGCCTTCTTTCCTATCATCTATTGCAGCTTCTTCTAGCTCCAAGCCTCTTAAAGTATTAGCTCATTTGTTTGAGTCAGGTCCACTTCTAGATTTTCTCTTAAGACGAAATTTAGTAGATGATATAAAGAGTGGAGAGATTTATCTAACAGCTTATTCATCAGATAAATTTGGATTTACAGTCTTTTCAATTTTATTCAGTATACCTGAAAAAATAAATAGTTCGGCATCTTCACCTTTGGTACAATTTATAGTTCAGGCAACTTTTACCTATATAAAGAGTTTGATTAGACAAATAGATGAGAGTGTAAAGGTAGGAAAAGTCATTAAAGAGAATAATACTTGCAATATTTCAGATATTCATCCTATAAAACGACTTATTAAGGATATACGTATTATAGAAAACCAAATAGCTAATTCTATGTATTATAGCTCTTTTACCAAAAATTCACTTTATGATGTTCATCAGTCTAGTGAAGACTTTACTGAAATATTGGTACAGAATATGAAGGTTCACAATCCTAGCGAAGTTATGATTGGGAATAATCGTTTTTATTCAAGTGACCAAGGTATTCTTCAAGCTGTTAAGCATGCTCTTGTATCCAATTTTAGAGAAACAAATTTTAGGCTTTATATTTCAAATAAAAATCTAGAATCTAGACTTGATGCAAAGGTATTATCACTAAAGTTAAATACTACACAAAGTATAAAATATTTGGAGATAGAATTTGATCCTAAATTTATTTTAATGCTGAGAAATAATAATTTAAGTCAACATCTGGGGTCTTTAGATCCTTTAAAAGATAACCAAGATGTAAACGACTTATTTAGTGAATATTTATTTAATTCAACTCCAAACAAAATATTGGAAACTTCTGACCTCACTTTTGTTGATGGGGATTCTGATTCTATGAGATATAGTAATAACAAAAATAAAACAAGACGGATTCCTGAAACTGTGCCATTCATTTCAAATCCAATATTAGTCTCAAACAGTTCAAACATAGCTATTTATTATTCGAGTATAGCCTACTCTAATAAAACAAAAGATATCATTCAGAGTTCTTTATCGTCATCCTATATCAGGTGGTATGAAGGGACAAGAGATTACTTGCCTTCTCAGTCCAATTTCTCTAAATCGGAAGGTTCATTATCTTTGTATTCATTCATATCTAGATTTCTCTTTGCTATTTGGATGAATATGATGTTGGCCTCTCCATTGTTTATGTATAAAAGTGCTGGGGCTTATGTTAACTTTCATTCTTGTTCTCAATCTGGAACTGCACTACCATCTAATTGTTTTGAGCTTTATGTTGTTGCACCTTCACCAACTTTCCCAACAATTTTGCGTGACTCAGTTCATTCTATAAATCTCCTCGCTTCTTTAGATATTAGTGAGTATATGGCTAACTCAATTAGAGAAGCTGCATTAGAAGATATTGCTGAAATTCTAAATGGTGATAGTGCAACATATTTATGTGCTGAAAAGGTTCAAACTCTTTTATTACCAGAAATGACGACATTGAACCAGTTAAATGAAACTTTAAGTTCATTATCAGTAGAACAGATTATATCTCTTATTAAAAGAAATATACATCCTTTAGAGAATCCAAATATCCGGCTTATTGGATTAATTTCTCATATTGAAAGGATAGACAAAGGTGCACCTCTAGTTAGAAGTATTCTAGTTCCAATATCAGACGTTTCCAAAGTTTCGGATAGAGATGCAGTACTTCAAAACAAAATCTCAACAAATCCAAATTATTCAGAAATTACCTTGCAATATCCTATTTTGGAGGTAGTGAGAAGTACTAAAACACGTCTATATTTTAACTTGGATTCTAATAGTTTGGACAATTCAGATAAAGGTAATGCATCAAGTTTATGGATTCATATTCCTAATAGAGATCAAAAAGGAAATATATTTTCATTACTCTTGAGCAGAATTTTGAGGCTTTGTTTCAGAAACTATTACATACCAACTAGTCTAATAATTAATCACACTTTAAAGTCTCAGTTGCAACTTATTGTATTTCCATCTCCTTACATGAAGCAACTTGGACTAATGTTAGTACTTGAGTCATCAAGTAACGAACATCTCAACATAAGTTTATCAGTAATTATGCTGGATTTTCTTATATTTATGAAACAATTTATATCTGAGACTTTTATAGAAGATTCAAAGTGGGCCCAGACGAGTTTTATAAGACATTTCTATCCTTCTTTTAAACAAATATCCACTGAAGTCATACTACAGTTACTTAGATCCCAGATTCAAATTGATGAACAAACTGCCTTTATGTTTGGTAGAATAGTATCCAATTCAGAGCCCAACAAAAATAAGGTACTAAGTACTCTTTCAGCGGAAGTCCTGAATAATATTACATTTGAAAAACAACGAATGTATCGTTCTGCAGGAAATATAACTATTGCACACACAATGAGCTATTTAGATATGCTTATTGATGACAGCTCTATGGTTTTAGTTGAGAAAGGCTTTATAGTGGAGAGCAGAAATAATCTTAGAGATTTACTAGACAAGCTGAAATTCGAGTCCTAAATCTGTTAATCTACATTATCTGTTATCCCAAGCTCAAGGAAGCCATATTAACCCTAGTAATATATATTTATTAACTTTATCTTTTTTTTATAAAGAAATATATCAAATTAATTCTGCACTCAATAAACTGTTAAAATAGACATAGAAATTTCATGTTTGAGCTGTGTAAGCCACACTAGGTACTTTAGCTTAGGAGACAAGACAAAAGGCGGAGAAGGGGGTTCTATACTAAGTGGGGTTATAATAAAGCTGGGTTCAGATTTAATTGTTTATCTAGTTTCTGAAGAGTTATCTTTTTATTGAAGTAAATATGCCACCATATGAATCTGTAGGGTTTGCAGCTATGTCTCATAATTCCGAACTCGTTCTTTACAAATATAAAGTAAAGGATTTGTCCTCTGATGATGTAAAGATCAGGGTTTTGTATTGTGGGATTTGTCATAGTGATGTACACCAAGTCAACAATGATTGGCATGAAGGGATATTCCCAATGGTTCCAGGACATGAAATAATAGGGGAAGTTTTCGAGGTTGGCCAGAGTGTTGTGAGATTTAAAAAGGGTGATATTGTTGGAGTAGGATGTATGGTCGATTCTTGTGGAACGTGTAAACCATGTAGTATGAAAGATGAACAGTTCTGTCCAAAATTATCACTTACTTACAACAGTAAGTATCAGGATGGAAGTTTGACATATGGTGGTTATGGCAAATTTGTAACCGTGAATGAGCACTTTGTTTTAAAAGTTCCTACAAATTTAAATTTACCTGCAGTAGCTCCTTTACTATGTGCAGGGATTACAGTCTTCTCGCCTATGATGAGATTTAAAATGAATAAGCCTGGCTTTAAATTAGCTGTTCTAGGCCTTGGTGGATTAGGTCACATGGCTGTAAAGTTCGGCGTGAAGTTTGGTTGTGATGTTACAGTTATTACAAGATCTGAAAGTAAAAGAGAGAGTTCATTAGCTTTAGGAGCTAAGGACTTCATTGTAGCTACAGATGTTGAAGAGCTCACTAGACGAGCAAGTACATTTGATGGTGTAATTGATACTGTGTGTACTCAGAGAGATGCTCAGTTATTCTTCAATTTACTAACAATCCATGGTGTTATGGTCTGTGTGGGGGCCCCTCCAAAGGGTGCTATGACATCTGTTGTTTCATCAAGTTTAATTTTTGGTGAGAAGATTCTTTCAGGTGGTTTGATTGGGAACATTGAGATGACTCAAAAGATGCTTGACTTTTGTGGTGAACATGATGTTGTATCCGAAATAGAGCTCATAAAACTTTCGGATGTAAATGATGCATACAAGAGACTAGTGAAAAGTGATGTGAGATATCGTTTTGTCATTGATGTTGCCGGATCTTTGGACTAGATTTAATTATAGTGTGGGGACTAGGTTACTTAGTATTTAAAGGATTGTAGAAAAGGTTATCACAAGGGGTAGCTACTTAGGATGTTCATGAAGAATCAACCCCCCTAATTACAGCTCTGTTATGTGATCCGGCAATTGGTCCAGGTCTATACTACCTCCAGTGGCTGCAGAATCTTTGTTGCATCTAGAATCTTTAAGCTGGATACTCTTAGGGATAAATGGGAATGTGACAGCTGTGTAGGAGTTTAGTGACTGTTCTTTAGTAGAATCACTTGTTCTTGGTGAGTATCTATTGCCCTGAAAGTGAGGTCTAGAAAATGCCACTATCTCAAGGTCAGGAGGTATGAGTCCAATTAAATGTGAATTTTCTGTTAATTCCGGAATATCATGAGAATTCATTGTGCACCTTAGATGTCCTAGAACAATTGCTGACTCTAAACTCTTGAGATCTTCCAATTTACTATCTTTATGTTTGTATTCACAGAGGAGAAACGAATTGGGAATTTGTTCATTGAAACTTGATATGTTTTCTATTGGTTTAGATAACATGTTTGTTGAAAAAGACATTAGATAGTTCTTTGATGTAGTGAATAGGTAAAGGAATATTGCCAATAGTGAAAGTGCCCCCACAGCTGTTGCTAAGATCATTGAAATGTACCTTCTGACACGCCATGAGCCTATGAATGAATAATATGCATAATAAATTATGCTACTAATTTCCGGAATTGCAATAGGTAAACCAAGTTTTTTAACAATTTCATCGTGATTAGCTCTGCAATACATGTGAAGTACACAAGGAGCACTTTCTGCATCTTTATCAATTAAAATACCATTTAAATATGTCTTAGAATACTCTTGTTCAGCTTCAGGTGTAGCAGCTTCTCCATTTGAATTCTTTTTAAACCATGAACAATACTTCTTCCCTGCAATATCATGAGGAATAATATCAAGACAAGAACCATCTAGATCTCTTGATAAATAAAATAATTGGCATCTATAATCAATATCTATATTAATGCTATCCATTTCTGTTAATCCACAAGATTCAATTATTGCTTTCTTCGTTTCTTCGTCTCTAAATTTTCCTTTAGATATGAGATAAAGTTTGCTGAGCCATTTCTGGTCATTTACTTCATTTTCAGGCATAATTGATAGCATACGAATGGCAAGTTTAGCAGTAGTTATCCAATTACCTGAGTTTAGATATCTTAGGTCTAGTTTTTCTGGTGAATCTTCTCTCCTATCAGGCCATGAAACATCTAAATCAGCTCTAAACATACTATCATGGAAAGCATCAAGTAAAAATTGAGATGATGGTTGTTCACCACAAGATAATATATCCACTCCTGTCATTAAGTATCTCTCAACCAAAATATGTGGGGGCTGTAGGAAGCAGACATCAAATGCATCTACATGAAGTACTAGGTCATTCGGTGGCAATGTCTTACAAAATTCACGAACTTTAACTAACTTCCACCGAAAGTTTTGCCATTTTTCACCAAGACCCAAAATGTGAAGTCTATATCCTAACTTCTGTGCTGACACTAGAAGAGCTGGAAAGTACATTTCACAGTGAGTAGCAGGAGTTAAGACATGTAACCTCCGTCCTTTCATTCCCGGAAGTTTAGAGACCAGTTCATCAGCCCCCTCAACACTAAGACTTCTATCATTCATCTTAAAGGTTTTAAAGAATCTTTTTAGTTCTAAGTATTGAAAAAGACTGTGGAAACGGGAGCAATATGGAAAGGCGGTTTAATTTACTACCAATAAATATAGACATCTACATGTATGATGATCTCTTTTCTTAGAAAAAAGATGGAAATATAGGGTTATCTGTAATCTAGCTGATTTTCTAATTTAATTATATATTAAGAGGGTAATTTTAACTACTATATCTAGAGTGATTTTGTATTTTTCTAACACTTGAGCTCCATTGTAGCTGTAGTTTTACTAGATAGAAATATAATTCACTATAACTGGGGCATAATATATTGGTAATAATCCTTTGCAAAGTTGTTTTAAGTATGAATTTAAGTTCTTAATGACTTTAAATATCCTATTATACCTATATATATATGGGTAGGTTCTGAGGATTGTAGTAATGTAAGAATATATTCCCAGACCTAGGGTTGAAAAGATAAAAGTAAAGTGCATGGTTTGGATCTTTCATTATATAGGAAACAAACACTTTTAAAATAGATAAGATAGGAATTTACATAATTTACTAATGAATTTTGGATATTTTCGGATTATATTGTTATTTCTAGTTGTAATAGCTGTACCTTCCCAGTGCATGGAAGTAGGTGAAGAAAACAATACAATAAGCTTAGAGAAAGAAATTGTAAATGTAAATACAACTGAAAACAACTCAGAAATTAACAAGATAGTTAATGATGTACGAAAAGATCTGAGTTCTCCTTTGGTGCAGAGAATTCTTAATGGAATCAGAGACTTTTTTAATGAAATAGGTAAACTAATTTTGTTACTCTGGAGAGAGATAGAAAAGAGTATTAATAAACCAATTGTAAATAGTCAATTTACTGGTAATAATAGTAATGATGAAGTAGATGCGAATTATAATAAATTAAACCGAGTTTTATTAGACTTAGTCAGATTTCAAAATTCATCACTTTTGGAAGACAAAGATACAAATTTCGCTTTAAAAACTACTTCTGGACATCCATCATCTAATATGAAAAAAAAATATTTGAATAATTTTCAAGAGGAAGAAGAATTATTATCACCAATAGTTCTATCATTAGTTTATATTGGACTTTTTATAACCTGTTGGATTATTGCCTTTATAAGGGATAGAGTAGACTGGATCAGTATTTATAAAAGACCACATACTGTATATCTTCAACAAATACCGAATAAAATTATGTATGAAAAAAAAGTTCCATTAATTGAGAGACAGATGATATTACCATGGATATATGTTCCGTCTGTAAATGTGACAGTAGGTCATATTAGAATAATCACAATGGTGATTCAAACAATTTTTTTTCCTGTTTCAATAGTTTATTTAATATTATCGGGATTCAAATATCAATATTATAACTTTGGACTTTTACATAATAAGCTTAAAGAACTTTATGATAGTTTGATAGATAATAATTTGTATCCTAATTATTACTATATAATTGGTTTCATAACATCATCTAAAGATATAGAGAACAAAAAAAAACTTGGGAAAATTATGGATAATACTACAGTTCAGATGTACAATAATTGGCTTGATCAAGAAAGCTTGCTACTATTAAATGTTGTCCGGGAGTTAAAATATACAGATGAAACAGAGAATTTTCCTACTTCTTTTCAGGTACACAAATGGAGTGATGATTTCTGGTTTAGGTTAGATTCTGCCAATGTAAATAGAATTGTAGAACTATTACCTAGAATAGCTTCTATTATCTTACTTACAAAAATTCAGTCTAGGGAACCAGTATCCTTAGATTATTTAAGAAGGGTAAAAATGTACATGATTGGTATAGAAAATCAGGGTATTTATGTACGTGATTGGTTAAATAAAAATATTAAGCAAAATAATCCAAAACTGTGCATACCATTTAATTGGATACCAAGAAAACCTATTGGATCAATTAATATATTATTACATAATGATGGAATTAATGTTCTAATAGAGGAGTATCGTAAAAGAATTGGAATTTATGCAGAAGCATCAATACAACTGTTTTTTGATACAAAATCAAATAAGGCTGCAAATGTTGAATGTTATCTTTGGTTTTCAGATGAGATGCAAAGTTTGTGTATACATCCTACAATTCTTTGTAATTGTACAAAGGGAATAGATGCTTTAGATTGGTTTGGACCATTTGGATTTATACCATTTGAGACAATTATCTCTACCCCTCAAATAGATACTATAAATGGGACTATTACCCTTATGAGAAAAAAGAAAGCAATATTTTTTGATAGAATTGATAAAAATCTCTCAGTAAGTTCGCAGGTATTTTCAACTATACAATCTGAGTATTTGTTACCTTCAATCCAATTTTCAATGATAAATAATAAAGATGAAATATTAAATGTTACAACAATACTGAACAAGTTTAGATATAATTCTAGAACATATTGCAAACCTATTGGAAATTTGAGTATCTCTACAGAATCAACATGTTCTTTTGAAAGTGTTTTAACTAAAGTCTCATATTTACCAAACAGTGTTATGAAATCTAATACAAATGACGTCTTCTGGGGTGATAAATTAAATATAAAATCAAATTTAGGAACTCAAGATTATTTATTTGACAATAACTCTTATTTTTGGGACTTTGATATGCCTGTACCATTTACAGCAGTCCCTGTAATAATTAATGGAGTTTTAACATATTTATGGCTAAATTATGATTCTCTTTTATTGTGTATACAGAGAAAGGATAAGGCAATTCAAGAAGATTGTAACCAGCAAGATAACTCAAATAGTGCTACTGATGAAAGTATTCAATGTTCAACAGATAATAATACTATATCTTTGACTCAACTCAAAACATTTGATAATAGGTTTCAAATAGAAAGTTGTTCAAGCACTCCAAATTCAGATTTTAATTTTGAGGTTATGGAAGCTGAAAATATTAGTAAACAAAAAGATCCTGATTCATCTTTGACAAATGAAAAAATAATAAATAATGTTAAAGTAGAAAATCTTAATAATGAAACACAATTACTTAAAGGAGCTAATATATGGAAACCATTCAATCCAAGCCTAACAAAGATACTAAGTATTTATACAAGTAACAAGATAGTGAATTTACATCCAATATATGGGGTTCCAGGAGTTTTAGGATCGGTGATTTGCACTAGAGGTTATGCTATTGGGTCAATAGTTAATACTAGAATTTTAACAGATTCAATTGAAGAAATTCCAGAAGAATATAAAAAATTTATAGAAGCTCAGGTTTTATTGACTTTTGAGGGTGGGTTTGTATTAAAAATATCTACTTTTACTCTTGGAATGGCTAATGCAATTAAATCTAATTTGGATGAAATACTTAAAAATATGGAAGATTCAGTAATGAATTCAACAAAATATTTAACTGAATCTACTAATGAAAAAGAAGTATTATCTAATATTAATAATTTAGCTTCTACATTATTGTCAAATGGTATAAGTCCTCCTGATATTGCTTTACGTAGCCAAAAATTATTTGAATTTCAATCTCAATCCTTTAAAGCAAGCCTTTTTAAATTCTTTATGGAATTTCATCCAGTATCAGGTAGTCTAAATTGGAACTCAGCATCTCCAAGAATATATCGTTGGCTATCATATGTTACTAGTTCTACGATTGCACACTTTTTTACTTTCTATATGCTTAGTATAATGTCAAGAAGGCATCCCATATGGAATGGAATTATAGTTGGTTATCTAGCATATTTTATATTGAATATTTGTAAGTCAATTTTAAACAAATGCATGAATTTCCCATGTATTCTACAAACAATGAATATTAGGCAACAAGCAGCTCATATGCATTATCGTTTATGGATTAATTGGATATCATTCAGTACTTCAATATTATTATTTATCATTTTAACTATCCTAACTATACTACAGTCTATAAAGCAAGAAAATAATACAGTTACATCAAATAGTATTCTGCTTAATGAAATGTACTTTGCTATTGGTACATGGATAGCTGTTTTAGTTCTATCTGCATTGTCTCTCATTTTACAACCTCTATTTTTGGCTTTGATACATGCAATTTTAATTTATATATCTCAGAACTACAATTATTTAGATGGCATTATGGTTAAAATGAAATATATTAGATCATCTGAAGTTACAAAGACTGGTTACTTTCCTGTAAGACCTGATGGTATAATTAAGATACAAAATAATATTTACAACAGATATTAAGATTTTGATGTAATAAATACTAGATAATACAACAGATACTACCGGTGCTAAAAAAGAATGTATTATCAGACTATACAATCTATGAATAATTTTTAATAGTAACATTCAAATTGATCACTCGATTAACTCGAAAATTCCGCTATACATTAGAGAGCGATTATTTCTTTACAAGTCTGCAAACTACATGGGCTTTATATGTACAGGACAAATATCTCATTTTGGTATTGTTGCATAGGAATTAATATATATTCCAGTGTAAATTATAGTCAATACTATAGTATCAATTACAGTTACTATGAATAACCAGATATTTAGGCTGAATGTCTTAACTTTATTATTTTTTATATCGCCATATTATTTGTTTCATTATACTTCTTGTAGTGAATATTCAGAATTAAGCGTGTTGGAAACAAGCTCTGATTTACCAGTTAATTCTGAAAGTAGTGAGAAGTTATTAAATGTCGTAGCTTTTGAAGCTCATAAAGGGTATGGAGATAATCGATCAAAAAGTTCATCCAATAGTCTTGCAACACAAAAGATTGTAAACATGATAAACTCATATACACCAGATACTCTAGAGAAGTCTGAAAGATATGCTGCCAATATGATTGCTATAGCGAAGTTAAGGGAAGAAATAATGTTAGATGCAAAGGAATATTTAAACTCAATAATATCTCAGACAATGGTTATTCAAAATAGTACTATTCTTCAAAAAAAACTACTAGCTGCTGAAGAAAAATTTAAATTATCTGAGAATAATTATTTAATAGCCAAAAAAGCTTCTGAAAGGGCTGTAGCTATATATATTGAATTCATAAGACCTAATATTGATCCTAAAAGCATTAAAACAATCCATACAGAGGGTGAAGCTTTGATGTTAGCTCATAATCAGTTAAGAAAAATGGATAGAGTGTCATTGCCTGACATGGATGCTAGTGAATACGAACCTCTTAATATTGATGATTCAATTTTGAGTTTTGCAGAGAGCCCTGCACTCTCTGAAGAGACACGTGAAAATAGGCTTAGAAGAGTTTTGGATGAAGTATCATCTAATATTGAGGAGAAAGAAGAAATACCTCAACATAAATTAGAAAATTATGAAGAAGATATAGAAGAAGTTAAGAGTATAGAGGATAATACGCAACAAACAAGTGCTAATTTATTAGCTGATGAAGGAAATATTAGAGATAATGAAAGTATAGATTTAGCAGATGATCAATCTAATGTAATAGATAAATATCAAGAACCAACACTTCTTCATAAAGCTGAGAATGAAATTGATGATATAAAAGAAGAAGCTAAGATAAAATTAGATGAACTTTTTAATATAAGACCTACAGAATTAAATACTGCAATTATGATACCAGGAGATGTCCCTTTATTTCTACAATATGCATATAGACGTTGTTATATTAATGCAATGTTAGGTAATTTTTTTCTAGAAGTGTATGTCCTCCCAAACTTAACATTTCCAGATGGAATTTCTAGTGGATGTGTTCATTTACGTTCTTATAAGATGTATGAAACAAATTCCCTTTATGGAATAGCTGGTATGTATCGTAAAATTATTATTGATATGCGGAGGCTTCCATATATACAAGATACAATACCTCTTGAAGAAAGTATTATGAAAATACAATTAAAATTAGATGAGATTAATGAATTATTGTGTATTTCTCTAAGTACAGCTCCAAAATCTTATAGGAAAGTTGCTGAAATTATTAAAAAGTTTCCTTACAATGTAAAAAGTACTTTAGTTATGATGTCTCCAGATGACAGAAGGTCACCAGATGTAGACTACTCTTTTACTAGTCAACAGTCTACATATGCTGCTCCAACTATCTTATTACCATCACTAACTCCACACTCAGAAGTTAAACTAAGGGAGTTTGATAGATTATTACAGGCAAATAAAATTCCTACTTCAGAAATAAAAAAGAAGCTTAAGCTTCTCAAAGAAACTCCTCCATGGGTTAAAGATTTTGTTATTAAAAATTCAAATTACAAATACCATCAGTTTCAATTTAATCCTTCATTATGGCACTATGTTGACTTCTTCCAATTCGGGCTTCAATCCCCAACTAATCCTAATAGTATATGATAGAAATAATTTGTTTAAATTTTAATCAAAAAAGTGCATTGATTCTCTATCTATCAAAATAAATACATTTTTAGTTTATTAGAGACAAAATTTACACTACTATCTTCACTTTATACAACTAGATTATATGAAATCACTTTTTTCTATTACCTAATAGCTCATGATGCATCACGGAAATAGCGCCTTATCAACGATACCTTAAGAGTTTATTCTAAACAGAAGTCGCACTTTATTTAGAAATAAAAAAAAAATAATACTTAACCGTCCAATGTTATTCTCTCTAATAATAGCTTTTATCTCATTTTCTTATTATATTGATTGTTGCACAATCAAAAATCTCCCCAAAAGCTATTATTGGAATCAGAGTTTACAACGTTTCAGTCTGTTAACAAAACAATCTATAAGTGATGATGATAGAATAAAGTGTAGAGAGAGTGAATTATACATTACTCCATGGAGTATAAAAGAAGCTGTATTTTCAAGTGTTGAAGAGGCAGAGGAAAGGCGTATATTTCTAACTAAATGTATTACATATTACTCTGAATTATCTAGAGATTTATATTTTAAATATTTGGAGAGAAAATATAGCTCTAAATTTTATCAGAAGATCTTTAATATTTTTGATATATATATAATAAGGGAGAAATATCTTAAGTCTATTGTGACACTTGGACGTTTCTTAACTAGTTTAGGTATTCTTTTACATAAAACATATGAATATGGTTTTAATCAAAAAGGATTGAAATATCCTCCAGAACTCGAACGTGAAATTGAATCATTAAGTGGTATAATTTCAGTTAGAAGACCATACACTTATTCAAGCTGTAAGAAACTTGTAAAAGATGCTGGTATTTATGAAATACTAATTAATATTTCATCTGATGATAAAGTTCTCTTATCTAGAGTTAGGAAATGTTCGATAGTTAGAGGAATAATAAATGGTGCTATTCGTAAGGCTAATGAAAGTGCTATGGAATTTCTTAATAGATATAAAATATCTCATAATGAAAGATACTTGCATGAGTCTTCGAGATGGAAAAACAAGAAGGAAAAGTTGTATTTACTACATGGTATTGTTACAGTAGCATTAGCTATAACTTCTTCAGATATATTAGTTAGTAAGAAATGAATATAATCCCAAGATAACATATTGAATTAATATTTACTATATAGCTTCTATTAGATATAAAACTTTTAATATTTAGATATTTTATAACTTTTTTTTAAAGAAAAATATAATTCTTTAAAATATCCAAGTATCGATAATATTCATTTATCTACATAAATACATATAGAAATCTTTTTATAGAATCAATTATCTATATTTTTCAAAATTATATTTCTAATTTCCTTAATACATTTTTTTTAAGATTTCACTATTTTAGGACTAATTTCATATTATAGCAAGTAGCATATAAATTATAACATCTCTTATCCTTGCTCATATTTACTAGAAGAAATGAAGAAAGTATTCTTTTACTAGTCAGGAACTTCCTATGATACTTCAATTACAATAATATAATTATTACATATATATTCAAAAATTAAACTAAGGTTTTGATTAAGTGTTGCAGACAAACAAGTTTCCTACTTTAGAAATAAAAAGTTTAAATTTCTCAAAGAAACACCTCCATAGGTTAAAGATTTTGTTATTAAAAATCCACATTACAAATACCATCAGTTTCAATTTAATCCTTCATTATGGCACTATGTTGACTTCTTCCAATTCCGGGCTTCAATCCCCAACTAATCCTAATAGTATATGATAGAAATAATTTGTTTAAATTTTAATCAAAAAAGTGCATTGATTCTCTATCTATCAAAATAAATACATTTTTAGTTTATTAGAGACAAAATTTACACTACTATCTTCACTTTATACAACTAGATTATATGAAATCACTTTTTTCTATTACCTAATACTCATAGTACATCATAAAATGTGACACCCTATTTATTAATGGTACCCTTCCTGAAAACTTAGATATATAATTGTTTAATTTGAAATAAAATAGTTTAGCACTATTATAAATAATATCAAAATTAATAATAATTTCATTTTCATCTATTTATTATGTAAATTGTGATAATAATAGTACACCATGGTTTCATAATATGGAATGAAAGCTTGGGACGTTTGTACTTGTTAACAAGGCAACCTACAGATGATTATCATAGAATAAAATGCAGAGGAAGTAAAGTAATGATTACTCTATTGAATATAGAAGAAATAGTATTTATAGATACTAATGAGATAGAACAAAGACATCTATTTCTAACTAAATATATTATATATTACTCTGAAATATCTAGGGATCTATATTTCCATATACTAGATTAAAGTTGCATGTTAATAAATATGTACCTATTATTAGTCTTTCTGAAGTTTACAAATTAAGAAGAATATATCTTGAGTCTATTAAAGTACTTAAATATTTCTTAATTAATCTAAATATTCTACATAAAATATATGAATATAATTTTATTCAAAAAAGATTGAAATATCCTCCCAGAATTGGAATGTGAAGTTGGATAATCAATTAAGAATATCTCAATTAAAGAACCATATATTTATTCAAAATATAAAGAACTTTTAAGGGATACTGGAGTTAAGGAGATATTAATTTGTAAAAGTAATGAACTTCATTATACCTAAAGCTGAAAGGTGTATAATAGCTAGAAGAGTAAGAGTAATAACTGTTGCTATTCAAAAAGTTAATGAAAATTTCATAAAATTCTTAAATAAATGTGAAAAAATCTCATAGTGGAATATATTTGAATAAGGCTCTAAAGTAGAGAAAAGAGAAAGTTATATTTACTAAATAGTATTATTGAAATAGTATTAGCTATGATTTTTTTCAGATATATTACTTAATAAATGACTTGAAAATTAAATTAGCAAATTACTTTAATATTTGTTACACAATTCCTGGTAAAAATAGAATTTTGAGCTCTTAAATACATTGCCTTTTGATAATTTTTTTTGTTAGGTGACATAGAAATAGTAATTCCTTAACACTTCCAAGCATTGTTGATAAAATTAATTTACCTTTAGAAATACATTTAGAAGCCTTTTTATAAAGTGAATTGTTCGTATTCTTTAAAATTTTATTTTTGATCTCCTCAATACCTCTTTTTAAATCCTCATCATCCTGGAACCAATCCCATGTTCTAGCAAGTAACATATAAATTGTAATATCTTCTACCTTTGCAATATCTATTAAAGCAAATAAATAGAATACCCCTTCACTAGGATCAAGATAATTATTCAACTTATTAGCTGGAATATCATTTACTTTAATATATGGATTAAATATAGTTATAATTCTCTTTTTATATTCTTCTAGAAATGTTAGGATTGCTGCTCGTGTCAGCTCAGTAGCCTCCAAAGTACTTAAATCCTTTCCTACTTCATTATAAAATTCCCGTTGTTTATCAGGAGAAAGTTCCCTTCTAAGATTTATAATTGATTTAAGTGAATATTTTTCTTTTAATATTCTCATAGATTCTTGTAATAAGTTTTGGTCTATATTTCCAGTACTCAAATTATGCACCCTCAGTATATGCTCATGTAAATTTTCTATTTTGATCAACATATTATCATATTTACAGAAGGTACAAATGGTATAGTCTTCAATATTTTCACAAAAAAAGTCCTCCTGATAGTCTTCGAACATTTTTCAAGTGTATATAAGCCTTTTATATAAAATTCCGCTCGATACAAAGGGTATACTCGCTGATATACATTGTATAGATGTGACTAGAATTAGTGAATATTAAATTAGATTAGTATGTCAATAAATATAAGTCAATACTTCCAGATTTTTGGAGATATATGCAATACCATATTAATATTATTGGTAATTCCACTGAAAAAAAAGGCAGTTGTTAGTTAAAAAAACAAGGTATAGTGAAATATTCCTTGGTAATTAAAAAAATATTAGTTCTATTCTATATAATCTGTCAATGTGTTCTTTTCTAAGTATCCAATAAATAAGAAAGAAAATCTTCCTCTCCATCCTATCTTACAGGGTATTATATTTTAGCGCTATTGGTTCGCTTATATATTGTAATTTAGGGTTTCACCTTGCAACCTCAGGTTATTTACCTTCAATGGCTGATATGGGTAGTTTGGAATTTCAAAGAAGAATCCTCACTTTTGTTCTAATAGCATCTTTTTTATTTAGTAGAAGTTTTTGCTTAGATTTCTATGGAACTGATACTGAAGAAAGGGAGACTATAAGAGCTAAAGTGAAACTTACATCTAGTGTATGTAAACTTAATGATTTGAAGAGTGAATTGTATAATTGTTCATTAGATTCAGGATACAATAGAGTAGGTATATTAGAATTTGAATGCAATACTCTGGAAAAGGAATCAGATAAATTGAAGTTATTGTATGATTGTAATGCTTTAAGTAGAAATAAAAATAAGGAAATCCTGGCTAAAGAATGTAAACGTTTAAGATGTCCAAATATGGATAAAAAGATTTATATATTAGTCTTCAAGCTTTCTGATGATATTGAAGAGAAGAACAATTTCCAATTATATAGGAACAATTATAGATTAATAAACTCTTCAAGAAAAATAAAGATTTCTCCAATACCTATAGTTCTATTAACTAGAAAAGATATTATTGAATCTCTTTATAATGATAGAATAGTCGATTATAACTGGAATTCTCCATTTTTAGGGAAATATATGGTGTATATAACAACTTTAGATACAAATGTTTCTTCATTAGCTTGGCTTTTGAATGAAATGGAAAGTTTATTTTCAGAATTGAAAGGGAGGTTAATTGATGTAAATTCTAATTCAAATGTTAATTTAAGTCTTATATTTCAGTCATACATGAGTTTGATAAGTTTATCCTTATCATTATTAAATTTAATGGAGATTTATTGGACTAGAGGTTCAGAAGTTAATCAAAATCTTTCAGGAAGAACTGAAATTTCAAAATATGCAAGCCACTGTAACTTGGATTTTGTAAGTATTTTGTTAGATTGTAGATTTGCATTAGATATTATAAATAATGATAAGGAAAGGGATTTAAATATTATATTCGCATATTTTCAAGACAGGTTAAGGTTTGATATTAATAAATTCCAGATAATTTCATCTACTTCAGAGATTAATAGTGGAAATACAGGTAATATTTCTGATTTGAAATCATTTCTAAATGATCCTTTTTTATGTACAAGATATAGAATAAATTTTAAAGAGAATGGTTTGCAAAAGTATTTTTATAATGAGCAAAGATATCAAATAAATAAGTTTTTAAATTTAAAACATGTTCTCAAAGAGGATATTGTATTTTTAATAAGTATAATTTCATATATTTTGGAGAATGTGGCTCCTAGATTTTCTGAGAACATTCTAGGAAAGTTTAGTTCTTTGAGAGTCTATATGAATCGAATAAACAATTTAACTAAGAGGCTAAATGTCATAAAATCTGAAGTTTACAGTGTGTGTAGTAGAAAATCATTTGAAAGATGGAGTAAAGGAGAGGATTTGACTGATTTAGATGGGAAAGTATGTAATTTACATTATAGTTTGAATGTAACAGAAGATGTTATGAAATTACTGTACTCTGAATTTGAGAAATCTAGATTATTAGCTTTAATGCCTCCAATACTAACATACTCTGATAATAAATCGGTATCTGCTGCTTTGTGTTTGCATAGAGCTTTATACAAGTCTAATTTAAAGAATATTCGAGGTGAAATTATTGTTAAGGCTATAATACTATCTTCAAACCGTTTTGCACTTAAAACAGAGTATGAACAACTCTATGAGGAATGTCGTGGGTTTTGGGAATTTAATTTTAATGATTTAGTTTCTTTAGAGAGTTTGGGAATAGTTTGTAATATATATGCAACATGCATGGGAAATAAAAAATTAAGTGATATTGTTGAAAGAATTTTGACAGACTTTAGAAATATAGATATGGAAGGAGCTCTACATAAGAAATCTATAATGGCTTCAAAATTATGTACAAAATACAGAAAACTTGTTACTTTTGTTGAATTAGAATATAGAGATGAAGAAGAAAGTGTTGACATTAATACTTTAGAGTGTAATACTTACAGAATATTGCAATTAGCCTATAGGGGTGTCTCTTTTTTAACAATACCATCAGAATACCAAGTGAATCTGAGAGTATATAATAAGAGTGGATTTATGATGAATTTACCAGATAACTTCGTAGCAAATCAAATTGTGATTAATGATTTTTGTGTAGATCCGGAGATATTTACAATTTTAGACTGCAATGTAGTAGGGAATCAAGATCTGGATATCTCAGGAACTAAATATTTAGATAAGGGTAATGGGGTCTCAGAATCAAGACATTACAATACTTTTTTATTAGCTGATAATATAGTAATAAGAACATCCTTAGATTTTTTTAAGGGAAATATAGATGAATACGAGTACTTGTCAAATGGTGTTGTATTTGGAAGGATACGAAATAAACATATTGGTAATCCTGTTAAAATTGTCAACTTCTCATATTTACCTGAGATATTCATATATGAAAATAATAATATAGGGGATAATGATAATAGGGGTAATACTAAATTAATTGAATATGATGATACAACTAATATACAAAAATTGGTAGTTCTTAAAGCTGTTTATTCCAGCAGTTCACTTGCTTATGTTACACTTCAGTTAGGAGAATTTAGCACTTCTTCTTACTTTAAAACTGTGAGGACGTTTAAAGAGAAATTTCTATTACCAGACTCAAATAATCTTCAGGTTCCACTAGTTCCTACAATTTTGCAAATATTCAAACAAAATAGTGAATATCATTTCGATTCATTCTTATATCCTACTATACAGATCCAAGAATTTGTCAATCCCTTAGTTAGCACATCAACAGTTAGCAAAGACATATCTAATCAACAAGAAACTCCAGGACAATTATTAGATCCATTCTCTATATATAGGGATCTTTGTATTACTAAGCAAGAAAGTATGGGAGTTTACACCATAGAAAATATGACTATTAGTAATTCAAAAGATTCATTGAAAAATTCAGAAGTTCCTTCTATAGATTATCCTATAGGCTTTGATACTTTATTATCATTAATAGAAAATATTGATTTAGAGTCATCAAGAAGAATTGCAGAAGGAATAGGTTGGGAATATTTGGCATTATATTTTAAAGCTAAAGCATCAATATCTTATTTATTAATTACTCAAGCAATAACATTTTGGACAGGAGGATCAAAGTTTAGACAACACTGTGATTTTCATCTTGGAAATATACTTGTAAAATTTTCAGCAGACTGGAAAAATAAGGAATGGTTAGAAGTTATCAAAGGTATTTGTGAATATTTGAATTTAAGTCATTTAGTAATTGTAGATTTGGATCTTTCATATGAATCAGATAATGAAATTAATAATTTAGAAAGGGATATAGAACTTTTTGATACAATTTCTCCTTGTAAATTAGTGCAATTTGAAGCTACATTATCTATAGTATTAACAGAAGATGACCATATAAATCTTTCGAAAGATATAATTGAGAATTCTCTTGGCATATCTTATATTATTGAACAAATTAATAATATAAAACCTGATATAAATGTTATTCATGAACTTAATAACATGTATCCTGATATTATGAATATTTATGATAATTATTACAAGAAATTGAGTGATATACAAGATAATATAAATAATTTAATTGGGAGTGGCAATTTCATATTCTCAAGAGCTTTTAAAATTTTTGTGGAAATTAGATATATACTTAGAAATTTCCTTTTAAAGCTTAATAACTTTGTTAATAATGTTCCTGATTACAATTTATTTGATTATTTAATATTAGATATGTACCGAAGTGGAGTAGAGAAAAAATATATCTATTTCTCTAAAATTGGCAATAAAAATGATTTCTCCAAGGATATAAGCTTAGATATAAATATTAATAATAGTTCAAATAAAAATCCTAGTAATCTAAAGTGGTTACACATATTACCAGAATCTCTACCAAATTTGCAAATATTCTCAAAAGTTATATATTGTATTATAGACACTTTAGCAGTTATTTCATTTTATCCAAAACTAAAATTTAGTGATTTAATTAATTTTCTATTACAACATTCAGTAAACATCATTTACTTAAGAAAAATAGACTATGGAAGTAATATTAAGAACTTAGAAATGATTAAAAGTAAGCTAAATAGTGAGAAAAAAACTTTTTTACAATGTATAGATAATTCTTCTATAACAAATATTATTGAAGAAAATGCCATATTAATTACTAATAATGCATTTCAGTTATCTATGAAATATCAACCAATACTTTCGAACTCTTTATTACCATCTCAACTTGAGCTAATAAATAATTCAAATATATATCAATCAGTTTTACTTGCTTATATGTATCATTTTGATTTCTTCATTTCGGATTCTATGGCATCTATTAACTCAATTGGTAATTCAAATTCATTTGTAAAACTTAAGGCTGATGTAATTATCAAAAATAACTTAGGAATATCATCAGTATCTTTAAACCTTTCTATTAATCAATGGAGAAGCTTGTTGGAGCTACATTATTTTTGTAATAAATATTCTCAAATAGTTAATTCTAATAATTATAACATCAAATGTAAATTAATTTCTAATTATCAAAAATTAAAACTAAATACCCCAGGACTTATTATTCTTAGTTGGATAACAGAAAATTCACGAAATTATCATAAAATTGTCTTTCCCTGGGTTTATAGTAGTTCATTTTCAGAAGTTATTGATCATTCTATGAATTTAAATCCTATTAATGGAATTACAGTTCTAGCAGAAATTTCAGGGGTCTCAAATACGTTCAGGAAAAACTCTCTAAAACCTAATATTTTTATTCACAAAAATTATGTTTCTATTTTTAGTTTTGGATCTCAAAGGATAAAATATAAGATTCCTTCTTCAATTAGTGAAAGGTACAGTATTCAAACGATCCCACTATTTTTTGATTCATATTTAGGATTTAAGAATCTTCCATTGGATTCTTTGGTAGCTTATATATTACTTGAAAATGAAGTTACTTTGTACAAATGGCTTCAAAATATCCTCTCCAATTATGAAAGTACTTTAGACAAGCACACTAAGAATATAATCAAAAATAAAGTAGCTCAGATTTTTGGAGCAGTTGTTCGTACTTTTATATCTATTTGGAAATCTTCTTCAAAATGTAGACATGATAAAAGTGAGTTATGCCTTCCACTTCTTTGTGGTATCTCTAGTCATAACATAATTTTATTTATTAACTCTTCTCAAAATATAGATAGTATAAAATTTGCATTTATGTATGATATGGAAATGCAAATTATAAGTAAATCTGAAGATCAGAAACTTCAATACTATGAACAAGATTATGAACAAGATACTAATAGCTCTGAATATCTTCAACAATATACAGAGTTTATTTCATATATATTACCTGAATATTGTGGTCATGTGAAGTGGAATTTAAATGACTTATTAACTGTTTTACATTCAGCTGATAACTTAATAAAATTCCTAAAAGATGAAATTGTTACTCTCAATCCTAATGTATTATTCTCTAGTAAGGTAAAAAATATAAATAAAAAGTATGTGAAAATTTCCTTGTACGAAAGTCTCAAATATATAAATTACAAGTGCAGAGAAATTCAACAGCTTGTTAAATCTCCTAATATAATCTGTTAATCAGGCTACTTTATTAAATTAATTATATAGAAGAAATTTATGTAATTATCTATATTTATTTCTTAGGGATTATTGAATATTTTGTATATAATAGAAAGTTGCATAAAATATTCTTCCCCATATCCTTTAAACTATCTAATTATGTATACCACAAAATTCTTCAAATCTAATTAATATTACACTATAAGCTGCTAAAATCTATATACCGCCTGATATCCGATACCTATATGTTTTGTATTAGGTGGGTTTAGTCATTCTCTTACAAAACTTCCCATGCAAAAACTTCAGAAGTTTAATAAGACAATAAATATATAGATACTAGAAGTAATATGCCAAGAATATTGCATTTATTATTTAAATGAAGAAAAGAAAATTAGTAGGTAATTTTATTCTATTGATCTTCTGTTATCTCCAGGTTTTATACCCTCTACTTAAGGTACGTATATAGTAATTATAGAAGAAATTACTCTTACGAAAATATTCTCAATTCTTACCTTTTTTTTAGTATAAGATATTTACTGAAGCTAATAAGAATAGATTGAGTAGTCTTGAATTAGAAACATTTTTAATATTATCAGAATCATCTACTTCTATTATTAAAAATCTACCAAAAGAATTCTTTTCTATATATAAGAAATCAAATGGGACACCTCAGAGTATGTTTACAAATTGTCTTGAAACATTTATTACTTTATTAGATATTAAAGACTCCAAACTGGAAATTGAGACGACTGTACTTAAAATATCCGAAGATTTGTATGTTCCAATAACAAATTTAAAAGATAAATATCAAGTGAGAAATATATCTATTTCAGAAGCTGTAAAATATTTTTGTATGAGAGCTATATCTATTTTATTTTCAAGAGATAAAGTAGATTTATTTATTAAAAGGTTGAATTCAGAAAGTTTTCTTTATAAAGAGGATTTAAATAAAGATTCAAACTATATAAAACTTGGTGATTATGCAGCTGCTGTTAAAGCTATAAATATGCTATTCAAATATGATTTAGATAAAACTAATTATAAACGAACAAACAAGCAATATAAAAGGAAAGAAATGAAATTACCTTTATATGAAAGTAGATTAAGGAATAGAATAGGTACTATTGTTCCTGGTTCAAAGAATTACTTAGGGGTTCCAAATGAATTACAAATAATGAGTGATAAAATTAAAATAAACAAAGAGAAAAAAATGTCTTTGGAAAATATGGATGTAAATAGAAGTATAGATTTGAAAAAAGAAGAATTAGTAGCTAATGCATTAAAAAGAATGAAGAGTCTAGATAAAGTTCCAAAGGCTTATAACAAATCATTAAATAAATATCCTTTAAATTTAAATTGTAAATGTGAGAAGAGTACAATTTGTGAGTGTAATCTTATGGATATTTATGGTCAAACTCTTGGTCTACCTATTTCTCTAGAATTAGAAAAGGAATTTTTTACTCATTATCAGGTTAAAAATACTATGAAGAATAAAGTAAAAGAAGAGATTGCATATTATAAAAAAATAACAGATCCTACTTCAGGGGAATTTAGAAAATCTCTTAAAAGTCCTAGATTAGATGTAATAATCCCAGTTTCAAGTCTTTCTAGGATGCAAATGCAAACTTTGGATCAATTAGCAGGATTAGATGTTGAGACAGTACCTGAAAGAGTTAAATCTATTCCACCAATTAGAGAATCTGATAAGAAGAAATATAGGGGGAAGATAGAACCTGTTCCTGTTATAGAAGATCTAAATTTTCTCTCAATTTCAAATAAAGGAAATAAAGATTTAAAGTTTTTATGAAATAATTGAGGTTAACTAATAAGTAATATTTACAAATGTATATATAATTTAAAAAAAAAGTTTATAATATCTTAAATAAATTGTGTAAATATTAACTTTTACTTATGTACTTATATTAATACTTTCATGTCACATTTTTTATTATTTTTAATTTTGTAAATATCACCAAAAACAAAATTGGAAATAATAGAAATAGTGGAAATGTCATTTTTTTTGACTTTCTATATAAAAATTAATTCTTAATTATAGAATACAAATTGGATAAATTCTTTAAACTTGCATGTAAATAAATTACGCGGATAAGATACCTTCACGTAAAAATTTACAACCGTATACTGTGCATCATAAGTAAGGTTCTTTTTTTCAATAGGCTACTGTTATTTTGAAATAATGAAATTAAGATGGTATGTTGTTTATATTACTATTCTATTGTATCTGTTTTATCAGATAGATAGTATAAGTAGCCCACAAACAGCAGAAGAAGAATTCTTAAATGAACAACTTGAAAATAAAGCTTCAAATTTAGTACATTATTATAGTAAATACTCAGGATTAGTTCCTAGGCATGAAAGAACATCTTCTTCATGTTTATATGGTCTAGTATATGTTTACACAAGACATTTAGTCTATAGAAAAACAAATTCCTTTGGACCTTTACGTTATGGTCTTAATAGCGATGATATGCATATTACATTATATAATTTCGTAAACAATATCCGTTTTCATATACCAACTCAGAAAACCTATTTACAAGAAAGGCAGAAAAAAGCTAGAAAACTACGACGTCGTTATCTATACTGGCTTTGGCATAGATGGCGTTATTTAATGACTGCAAAGGAAAGGATGCCCATACTTGTTCAAGATAGTGATCTAACTATTTTACCTATTGATCCTTTAGAAAGAGTATTTAGTTATGCTATTGATATTATAGAATTATCAACTCCATATTATTTAGAATTAGTTTATTGTATGTATCAGGGAATTCGTCCTTATATTAATGGTTTATTAGCAAGCTACTCTCTTCAAGATCTGATTGGTGCTTCTTTATATTCAATTGGTTCTAATAGTAAATTTAAAATACACTACTGTAATCAAGCTGTTAATATGTGGAGTGATGATCAAATTGTTCCTCATACTGAATCTATATGCAATATTATGAATACATGTTTGGAAAAGAAAGAATTTAGGAATAAAGTTAGTATTAAACCTTTAGTAGAGACTTATATTCAAAAAATTGATAATTTATATCAGAAAAAAAAACATATTGGTGCAGATACAGCTAGAAAATATGTTACAAATGCATTTTTTTCAATTGTACAAATTTTTCATCATTTTCAAGCTCACAAAAGACCGGATTATATAGAAAAATTATTTGTTATTATTAGAGCTGCAAGATATATGATATATGCAAATGAATTACTACTAAGATCCGGTTTTAAAAAGAAACCAATATTTAAATCTGCATTTGTATCTGATTTGATTCAATATACTGTATATCGTACAGATCCTGTATCTATGATGCGTTATTGTATAAAATATTCTCTTTTAGAAAGATTTAAGTTACGTAAAAAGATGGGAATTGCAATTGTTGAAGAAGCATGTGCTCATACACTTAGTTTTGGGTTTATAGATGATACTGGAAAACTTCCTTCTAAATTTACTAGAGCTCAAGCAAGGCAGATTGTAAATAAGCATTTTAGTGATTTACAAAATACTCATAGAAATAATTCTTCTGATTTAATCACATTAAAACCGGAAACTCCTAGTACTTATATAGATAATGGAGGATCAATAGATGATATTCGGCAGAAAATTCGTGCTATACAAGAAGAGATTGTAGAAAATCAAGAAGATACAGATGGTGAATCAATAAGTATTGATATAATAGACTTAGATAATAATAATGAAGATAACTTAAATATATGGGATAAGGTAATTAATGAAGAATTTATAGAATAAATTTATTTAGTTTAATAATATAAATTGGAGTACAAAAAGTGAATTAGTAATTATTCAAATAGGTACTTGTTAGTTTGTTATATAGAGCTAAGCTTAAAGATTACAACTTTTTTTCTACAAATTGAATATGTAGTGAAATATTTTTTTATATTATATTTAATATTTAGTGATATATGAGGTTTTTGAATATTTATATTGAGAAATTAGAATCTAGTTTACGTTGCATGCAATAATATTAACCCCAAAGACTCCAAATATTTTGCTGGCGCTCGAATGTGTCTTACTGTTGCCTAGTTTGATATATTTGACAATAAATTTGGAAATATAATGCAGAAATGGAGCCTTAAACTTATAGGCAATGTCTTTTTGTTTTTGGAATAATCTGATAAATAATCTTTGTCGTTTCTGTATATTTTCTTTGTTATTATCAGTCTGTATATGTGTTGAGCACGAGGATATTGTCAACTTAGCTATAGACGAATGTTTAGTTCCCTCTAAAAAGTCTCTAGCATTGATATCATGTACATATACAGAAGTGTCAGAATCTCTGGTTACTCTTGTTAATAATTTGGAGATTAAACAAGATGTTGATTTATGTCTAATGAGTACGAGTTTTCAACGAACTATTATTGGTCTAGCTTTATCTTTTGAAATATATGATGAAGGTAAATTTTATGGGATAAATTGTCCTAGATCTATAGCAGCTTTATTGCGTGATAGGATTCTTGGTTTTTCTTGTCCAAATTTAGCTAAAAAAAGTGATATTTTTCGCTATAATTTAGAGGATTATGATAATAATAAATTATTTTATAATACAGAAGTAGATATGGAACATTCGAATAGGCTACCAACAATATTTACTAGTGCATATAGGAAATTATTACAAAGTTGCGATAGAATTCAAGTTTGTATGGAATTATTGGATTTACAAAATGAAGGAAATAATAATAATGCTATTTCTAGTCCAGCTATATCTAATTTAAATATTTCATTAAGTCATTCTTTAACAAAAATTCTGGATAGGTTTAAGGTATTTTTACCAAGTATAAAGACTCAATATATAAGGGAATTTGCTCAAAATATTTTTCAAAGATGTATAATAGAATATCAAAACAATATTTCTAGAGAAAGTCCATTAGATCCTTTTTGGATTATCCAAGTATATAGGATGGTTTTTTTATATTTTATAAATTTAGATGGAATTATAAATGATTTAGAAGTAATAAATAATTTAGTTTACTTGACATTTCGATATTTGACTGATATAAGTCCTTTACAAAAGATAAATTTACTACAATTACAGACAAAATTTATTGATATAAATAAGGAATCTAAGAAACAATTATTATTTATAAGAGCAGCTTATACCTTATCTGATCATTGTTTTTCATTTTGGAAGTATATTAATACTGAAGACATGTTAACTATAAATACTAAGAAACAATTTAAGAATGATATAGATGTTGCTCCTATATGTCATCAAGGTCTTCAATTACCTTTAAGACAATCAATTATATTTCTTTATTATATGGGAATAGATAGACATATTAATCCTGGAGGTTCTCATTTACTCTCTAATAATACAGATCTTTCAAATTTGTCTGGAAATACTAGTAATTATAACATTTACATTAATAATTCTCTGAACAATAATGATAACCAAATAAATAATAGTGTACCTTGGTTTTTGGCAAATAGTAATATTGTTTATCCTTTTACAACAGTGAAAGAATTAGAACAATCTAGATTAAAGGAAATTAAAGCAATTATTCAACAAAGTAAGCCAAATATAAATAATAAAGCTACTGTATTAAATCTTTCAGAAGAAAATTTAGTTAAATACTTTGTTGGAGGTAGTGGTTCAATGATGTTTAAAACTTGTACATATTTTCTTAAAAAACAATATATACTAGATAAAAGTATTTTGACTTTGGCTGAAACTCATCAAATTAATAAGGATGGTATTATATCAGATATTGTAACTCCATTAGATTCTATTAGATTCTTTTGTTGGAATGTATCTGTTAAGGTATATGAAGAATTGAATAAAGATTTTTCATATGAAGAATCATTTTCAACTTTATCTCCTATACAAGGTGAATCCCAAGTAATACCTAAAAAAACAATTATTTCACCACCTCGCCCTGTTAATTATGATGATATAGTGAATTTATCATCTCCTATTAGAAGCCCTTCAGTTTTCTCAGCAAATGACTCTGGTAAAAGGAAAATTTCACCTGAAATTCTTAAGAGACGTGAGGAATTATTACGTAGAATGAACCCTAAGGCTTCACAATCTTATTCACATTCAATTGTTGCATCCTTAGATAATTTACCAGAATTAAATATTCCTAAAATCAAACGATATATTTCAGGCAAAAATATTATTAGACAGAATAATATGGTAGATAATTCCAAACAACTTAGTAAAAAAATCAAGAAAATTGGAGCAATATTAGCTGATAGTGATGTTGCAAAAAAGCATGGTCTTGTAATGAATGAGCTTCTAAGTAAAGGTAAAAAGCTTAGAATGACTAACTCAGATTATGCTAATGATATCAGGCAACAATTTCAGAAACAAATAAAAGATCAGGCTACTGCTGGTGATATAAGTTTAATTTCTAGTCAACTTTTTGCTACAATGGAAGCAACAGATTTTGAACCTCCTATTGTTGATACGGCAATTTTAGATGAAGTTTCTTCTGATCAGAAATTAATATATGAACAATAAAGTTGCGAAATTTCTTGATAAGAACTCTTTCTTAATATTCAAGTATAGTTTTTAAGAGTTCTAATACAGAGATTTAGTAAATGTATTTGTCAAATTAATTTTGTTTTAATATCTTAGTAATTTGTATTTAATTTTTTTCAACTAATTATTATCTTAGATAATTATCTTAAATAAAAATGTCTAAATTAAATTATGTTTAAGAAAATTATTAATTACTCATATTACTTAAAATAATTAAAATTTCACTTATAAATGAAAGATTTATACGAATTATATACTAATAGATTTCATACTATTATAAATTATATATAAAATTAAGTATATTTGAAGTGAAATATAATACTAATTCTCTTTTATTCTCAATATTTTAATAATATTCTAGCCTCTTAAAAAAAAAAAAATTTCTTCAAATAATAAAAGATTTTAATTTAAAATTTTTAGATAATAATTTCTATTCATTTGGAGCTTAAAATAATATAAATTACAATTTCCTCAATAATTTGATATATTTAGAAAGTAATATACTATACTAAACAATAATAAACTTAAGTGCATCTACTCTAAATTATTAACAATAATAATTAACTGCACTACTTATTTTGTAAATGTCAATAAATTTCACTAGAAAAATTCTTATTATTTATTTTTAATATTAATATTAATAACTAATTCAATAAGGGTACGTCTTGATGTTGGAATTCCTTGCAAATTTGACATTCATCAGGATCATGAAAACCCGTAATATTCATTAATTTTTCGTGTAATTTATCTGCATATTTTGTAACTGCTTTTGTTATATTTTCATTATATGTAACACAATATGTTTTGTATTCATCAATAGTCTCCTTTTGATGTAACAACATTTGGTTAAAATTTTCTCTAAAACTTTTAGTAAATTCATATAAATTATCTTGACAAGAAGAGTGATATAACTCTTCTTCAATTTGAATTTCAGAATTTTTCTTTTCAATTACGATATTTGCAGTGGCTACTTCATCCTCCTCATGCTTAAATGGTATAGATGATTGGTGATATTCATTCATATTTAAGTTTTCTTCTTCACCAATATCATCCAAAATAACTTTTGTAGGAATCTTAAATATGGATTCCACATTTGTATTTGCATGACTAAATTCTCTACTCTCGACTTGTTTAAATTTTAATTCCTCATCCCAAGAATTTATTACATTTGGATTTTCTTCAATCTCATTGTTAGGATGTACTTCTTTCTGAACTTCAGTTTCAGATTCTAAATTCTTTATAGAATCTTCTTCTCTTGTAAAATCTTTATTTTCTTGAATTTTATTCTTGGATTCAACCCCTATATAATTCTCACCTTGATTTTCTTCCATACCATGTTCAGTCCTTGGTATATTAGATTCAACTTCTTCTCCCTTTATTCTGTTACTATCTTCATTCATATTTTTTTCAATTATTTCTTTCGAAAAAGATTCAACAGAGGCTAATGAAGCATCTTCTCCTTCAATTCTTTTCTCTAAATTACTACTTAATTCAGTATTATCTGATGTGAACCTTATTGACATCTCCTCAGTTAGTCTTTTAGATTCCTGAGCTGCTAAAATCTCCACTTCCATTAAAGCCTGCTTTTCGGCATTATATTGTAAAGAGTTTTTCCCTGACATTTCTTTGTGAAATTCGGTCCAACTTCCTTTTTTCTAACTTAATAATTTACTCTTACATGTAATCGATACCCGTTCGTGTCTCTGGCGCTCAAAAATGGTAAATCTGAAATCTATTTTTTCAATGTATATTAAATTTCAGTAGAAAATTGAGGAAATGGTTATATTACCATTAGTAAACAATTGTTCTAAGTATTAAAATTTGTATAGGGAAAATTGTTTGTAACTTTTTTTTCTAAGTTCATTGTTTTATTTATTCTATAAAAAAATTTAATAAATAATTTAAAATAGAGTATATACCTGACATCAGTCTAACTTTGTAACCAAAATATTATTAGTCAAATAGAATAACATTCCAGATCTATATGTAGGATATATTATTAATAAATTATTGTTGGTCTAAATAATTCTGTATTAAGATCACAAATATCTAATATTATAAAATATGGATATCTAAATATTTGTAAATATATTCTATCATGGTATTATTAAATTAAATATAATAATAATCTCACAATATAATATTATGAGCTCCTTAATTAAATACCATATTTTATGTATAATATTCATATATTATTAGAATATTGATATCTATATCTATTGGAATTGTTATATATTCCCAGTTATTGGAAAATTAAGTTGGCTAATTAATAGACTATAATATTGGGTAAACCTGTATATAATATTTTACAATGTTATAAATAAATTTAGTTTTTAAATATTATTTCTATTTAATATATATAAGAAATATTATATAATAATTTTTAAGGATATTATAACTAGTGTTATTTAATTTTCCATGTTGAGTCCTATAATGATTATACATTAAATCAATATTTAATAACTATAATTATAAAGTTTTATTTATATTATCAGAATAAAAATTTATAAAAATTTTTAATGAATCAAAAATATTGTTATTGAATATAAAAATATAAATTTTTTACTTTCTTAATTAATAATGGATTATCAGATATTTTGTAATTATTAAATCTTTTCAAAATAATATTTCAAGCATATCAAATTTTAAAACTATAAAGAAAATAAAGACATAATTTATATTTTAATATATTATATTACACTGAAGGTATTTATAAGTTTATTTGGTTTTCTTTTTAATTAAAGTACTATTTTCCTAATATTAACAACTGTAAGCTGATAATATATATTGTTATTGTTAAAATAGGTTCAATAATACAAAATATACAAAATTAGTAATTCGATAACACAAATTATAATAGTTAATTGGTTATAACTGTAATATATATATATATATATATATATATAATCTTTACTTATAGTAAATATATAAATATATTTTATAAAACTTAGTAAAAAAAACATGTAGAAACATTAATTCAATAATTAGTATATATATAATTTATAAGAAAAATTGAGTTTAAGTAAATGAAATATTATATATATTAAATTTTAGTATAGAATACAAAGAGTTTTTTCTAATATATCTATATGGATATTTAAACAAGCTGGGTTTTATGAAATCATTTAATAACAAGAAGAATTTAATGATTGAAATGACTTAAATAAATATTTATAGAATAGTATCATATTTATCTGTCCATATTAATTACAAAATTGTATATATTTCTAAAAACAGTGATAAATACTAAAAGAAATAGACAGGAAAAAAAAAATATTTAAGTTATAAATGCATGGATGCATGCATGCATTTTTTTAGATGGTTATGGTTATTTGGATATTAGACTTTTTAAGAATATATGATTTTATTTAACAAAATTAAAATAATAAATATTATTACATAGTAAAGGTAAATATTTTGAGAATAATATTTACAATAAATGGCAATAGATATTTGTTTTAATGGTTAAATTAATTATTTGTGGTGTATAAAAAAATATTGGGGTTTAAAAGAAAATTACAGATACAAGTTTTTTATAATTAGATTTCTAGTATTATTTTTATTAATTTAATAATAAAATAAATATTTAAAATCTGTACATAAAGTGACAATTTTATCAAAAAAATACCTAATACTTAAATTATAATATTTATCAATAAATTTAGATGGCGCTAATGGGTGGTTAGTACCTTGAGAATGATATTTGTCATGTAATATAAAGATATAAAAATACTTGTTCCATATATTTATATTTAAATATATACTACAGTATATGAAGCTATTCAAAACAGGTTTAAATGTAATTTTTACGGGTCCAAAAGGTTCAGGTAAAACAACTTTATTATATTCAAGTTATACAAGTAACTTTGTTAATATCCCTACTTTTGAACCTACAAAAAGCTTAAACTTCGAAAGAATTAATTATAATAATCAAAAGCTATATATATGGGATGTATCAGGTCATGAAGCTATTAGTAGTATGTTATTACCAATACTCTACTCATCAATAAATGTAAGAGCAATAGTCTATGTTGTAAATCTACTTGAAAATAATAGAGATGTCTTAGATGTTGTAAGTAATGAATTACGTGGATTATTGCATAGTCAACAGTTAAGTACAAGTTTGTTTTGTGTAATATTTAATACATTTGGTTCTGAATCAGATTCTTGGCCTTATTCTGGAGCAGACCTTGCCGCTCTTCTTGAACTTTGTCACTTACCCCCTGAAATTGATATTCGTACAAAGTGGTATGTTGTAAATACTGCACAAGGAATAGCTGATCCTGGATGGAAAATGGCACTAGATTTCATTATTACAGCTAGAGCTCCTCCACCTACATATTATTCTAATATTCCTGATGCAGAATTAACACCAATACATTTATACTTTTCACAATTCCAACAAGGTCAGATTCTACATCCAAGTAGATATAAGCAAATAATACCACCTTATAATAAAGTAGATCAAACTCAATCTGTTCAATCTCAGTATTATCAGCAAGATGCTATTGGTTATAATTTGCATAACATAGATCAATCAAAACATAAGTCACACATTAGTAAGTTAATAAATAAATTCAAGAGGAAATAAAAAAAAGATATTATAGTATCTATATGTTCATTACTTATAATTAGATGAAATTAAACTTTTTTAAGATTACAAGTATACTATTAAAAATATAAGACTAATATTGTCAAAGATATAATTGGCGCTATATATATTCTTATATTTAGTGAGGTATTATTCTATTATATTCTATATACGGCTAATACTGTCTCACTATTAGTTATTGACTAGAGAGCCAAGAAAACTCAAATGATTTTAACAGATCTGTCTCTAGTGCGACAGGCTGTGGTCTTTACATTTAATAAATTCTTTTCTTTCCTATCCCTTTTTACCTTTAATAATATACAATGTCATCTTATGCTGTATGTGGTTCTAGAGCATCTTTGGTACCTAAGAAAAATCAACGTGCTATTTACTCATATTTATTTAAGGAAGGTGTAATTGTGGTACATAAAAACCCTAATGATCTTAGACATTCAGAATTAGACATCTCAAACCTACAGGTTATGTTAACAATGAGATCTTTATTATCAAAGGAAGTAGTAACTGAGAAGTTTACATGGCAACATAATTATTATTTCTTAACAGATGAGGGTATTGAGTATTTACGTCGTTACTTAGATCTTCCAGCATCTGTCTTCCCAGCAACTCATACAAAAAAGACAATAGATCGACCAGGGAGATCTGAAGGTCATACATTACGTGGGTATGGAAGAAGTAGACAGCACCATTAACTTATAAATAGTAATGTTAATAGATATGTTAGTATAATCTAAAACTAGCTTTCTACAAAATATGTTGATCACCTGATTATACTTTATTTAGGTATATAAGTATATGTCTAGAAATAATAGTTTAGTTCAAATAATAGATCTAAACAGGAATTTCTTAAATGAAATATTATCTTTCATTTAAATTACTCCAAACATATCTGACCACTCTTGGAAGTTCAGTGTACCTTTAGAATTACTATAACTTGGTTTTACAAGTTTTAGAGCTTTATCAAAGTCATGTATTGATATAGAACGAAATGACTTTACATCTGGAACCAAGTTTATACCTCCATATTTTTCAATAGTCTCATCATAAGAAAATTCTGCAGCTTTAACGCAAAGATTTTTTATATCACTCCCATTCCAACCATCTGTAAAATTACCTATAGTAGCTAATTGATTATCATCAAGTTTACATCCATTATAAGTACTAGAATTCAATAGATATTTTATTTGACCTATCCTACTTTGTATACAAGGTAAAGGAATTAATACACGTTTACTTAGGCGTCTTAAAGCAGCATCATCCAACATATCTGGACGATTAGTTGCTCCAATAACTACTACAATTTTAGACATATCACTCTGTACTCCATCTATCATTTGTAAAAATTGGTTTTTAATTCTTATATTATTATCATCATCTTTCTCTTTCCTTTTACTAAAAATACTATCAATTTCATCTATAAAAATAATTGAGGGTGACGAAAATTCTGCAATTAAAAATAGAGCCTTTATAATATTTTCAGTCTCACCATAAAATTTACTCATTATACTGCCAGGGGAGACATCAAAAAATGTAGCTTTACATTCATTAGCTATCCACTTTGCTAACATTGTCTTCCCTGTCCCTGGGGGACCAAATAATAGTATTCCTCTAGGTGCAGAATGTAATCCAATATGTAAATCTGGACGCTGAATTGGATTTATTATTTTATCTCTTAACATCTTCTTAACCTCCTGTAAGCCAATTACATCATTCTCACTGATCAAACTTTTTGGTCTTATTCTTATACTTAAAACCCATTCAATATATTCTGATTTCACTTTACCATTTAAAAGTTTTAAAAATTTTTCTACTTCTGAGTTATTGCAATTTTCCTTATTAGTTTCATCATGTAAATCTTTCTTGTTTGTCAACAATAATTTACTATCTGGATTACTTTTTGCCAATTCCTTAAGACCTGTACTAAATCCAGGACTTGCAAGTTTCATTATATTATTCTTACAAGAATTCGCATTATTTTTATTTTGTTTTAAAACATAATGATATAAATTTGGTTCTTGTGATTGAAATAATTCTTCTAGTTCACTGATCTTACAACGTTGACGTAAATTCTCCAATAATTTACTTTCTGACATAAAAATCTCCTCAATATGGTTCAAAACTCCTAAATTTTCTACTGATCTAGATTCTCTATTAAATTTTGGTGACTCTTCATCATAATTCATTTTAAGTTCGGACCATTCTACCAAAACCGATTCCTCTTTATAGTAAGGATTGTTATTGTTATGAAGTAAAGATTCACATTTAAAATTAATATACCCATTTGTACATAAAATATATAATAATTTAGTTAAAGGAGTATCAAAATCTGCCCAATTTTGTGATACATGTTCACATAATTTTTGCCAGCATATCCTCTGCTTGACTCTAGTACTAATAGAATTGCTACTGAGGATATCTTCAAGTGACTTATTTAATATTTCATCCATTAGAAAAAAAAAGAGATTACAAGTTAAATCATGTGTTGTGATAAATTTAAATCAATAACTCCATTCCCACTTTAAGAGGGATAAGGGGGAAGATAATCTAAAATTCAAGTGGCTCCAAAGTGCATAATACAAATAATATTATTAGGAAGTGGTTAAAAACCAAATTAAATAGGTCCAAAGTATTAACTACATCATATAAACCTATCTATTAAGGTTCTCGATTCATTATCTATCAAGTTAGTGATAGTATTAGCTACCTAAAAGTACTCTCTTACTAAACTATCAAATGAAAGATCAGATTTCTCAGAGGCTTGTAATAATTTACCATGCACACCCTCTAACTTTTTAACAAAACCATCTTTTGAAGAAGCAAACACCATTCTATCCTTTACACTTGCTGCTTGAGGAGTGTACATTATGAATATTAGTTTCGAACTTTGACCTTTGGGACCTGGTAGATCAACAGTAGCATACATACATTCAGAATCGGGAATATCCGCTAAAAATTCCTCATAAGTTGCTTCAGGAGAAGAAGATTTATATAGTACTACGTTCTGGTAGTCTTCAGACAAGTTGTAGAGAATGTAACGATGTTTCTTTCTTATCTTCTGCATCTGAAATGCTTCTAAACATGAAGGATCCACAATTACTCCAGATGACATAGCTCAGTATTTCTCTAAAATGGTTAATACACGGTTTATTGAAATAAATATCTCCCTTAAGAGGTATATTACAAAGATGCCTTCTAATATCTTATATACATGTAGATATTTTCTAGACGTATGATTTTTATTATTTGTATGTCTCCTTATATATTATTATAAGGCGCATAATGTATTCCTGGATAATTATTAGTTAAATTGAGTTTATACGTAATAGAGGACCTCAAGTATCTTAGTCTATTAACAGAAACTCAGGAAATCTTATTGACTTTTTTTTTCAAAAGTTATTTTAGATATTTGTACCGTTTTATCTCAATATTTATAACTCATGAATTTCTAACGACCTACTAAATGATCCTTGTATATTCACACTGGAATAGTTATAAAGGTGTAAGTATATCTCCTGACTATATTAATTAGTAATACCTCCCCTTATTTTTAATATAATATTGGGAATTTAAAGGAGATGGAAAGAAAAAGTATTAATAGAGCTAGTAAATTTTTTATTCTAAGCCTTGTGGCGCCAAAGGGCGCCCTTTATTTATTTTTATAATTCATTGACTTAATAAAATTTCGAATTCCTATAAAATTTACCATAAGCTTATTATACATGTATTCTATATATTTATAAGATATGAGGAGAAGAAGGTGGGAGGAGGATTCATTACCATCAAGAATTATGGCTAATAGCGATTTACTTATTCAACATATTTTATTAAGCACCACTGGTAAGAATAAATCTGTAGCATCTTTTAATTTGGATAATCTTCCATATATAAAAGGTAAACAGGCACTGTATTCGTGTATTGATACGAAGAATATATTAATAGATACACAGCTAATACATTATGATACCAGCAGCCCATCTATAAATTTATCGGAAAGTACCAAAAATGGATGGCTACCAAAAAATCGTTTTGTTTATAATAAGAATGAAAATGATTCCTTGAAAAGATCCCTTGAATATTTTAAGTATGTAAGAAAGAGAAATGATCACTTGGAAATTTTGGATAGACAATTATATAACCTAGCTGTATGTGAGAAGCATCTAGATAATGAAAGAAATGACTTTAAACAGTTTGTATATGGGGATTTAGAAATATCTGAAAAGGATGACTATCAGCAAGAGAATATTCTGATAGAAAGTAATAATATGAAATCTCCAATGGGACTAGAACCAGGTGAATATAATAAAGCTTTGACATATTTATCTGGTGAATATCCATCATCCAAAATAGTTGCAGAACATAAAAGAACTAATTTAACTTTAACTATAGCTTTAATCCAATGCTTAAGACCGGCTCAATGGCTTAATGATGAGGTAATAAATTTTTATATGGCACTCCTACAAGATAGGTCTAACTTATTTGAAAAAACATTTTCTTCTAATAATACAAATAAACCTAAAGTATGGATATGGAATACTTTCTTTTTTAGCAAATTAATGAATGATGGTAATTCAAATGGTTATTGTTATAAAAATGTATCTAGATGGACTCAAAGAAGGGAAATCGACTTATTTGATTATGATATAATAATTTTACCTATAAATGTAAATAAAGTTCACTGGACATTAGGATTAGTGAATTTAAAAGACCATTATATACAATATTTTGATTCTTTAGGTGGATCAGATCAAGCAAATTCATGTTATAAAAAGATTTCTATTAATTTTTGTGAGAATATAAGTAAATATATAATTGATGAATATAGTGACAAAAAGAAAGAGGTTTATCCACATAAGTTAATTTTTTTACCTTATGAGGGTAGAGTACCACAACAAAATAATGGATCTGATTGTGGTGTTTTCACTTGTATGTTTGCTGAATGCCTAAGTGATAATCGCTGCTTTGATTTTGTTAGTTACAATACAGATGAACTCCGCTTAAAAATGCTTATTCAATGTATAAATGGCTATATCAGTGCTCAATAACTTACAATATAGAAATGATTTCAAAATTTCCTAGTTTTATTATTATAATTATTTCTGTTTATAAGTTACCTTAACAATTCTATTTTATCTTTATTAATTAGTATATTAGAAATAAAAATAGTTTCAATAATTTTTATTTTATTAAGAGAAAGTCGCTTTTTTTAATAATCAAAATCATATAAATGAATTATTAATACAAACATCTAAACATTATACTTGATAAATAAACAATAATTTGTGATTTGAACAATTCATTTTAGTTTTGAGGTCAATTAAAAAGTATATTTCATATACATACTTTTAGATATATTTATTAAGAACAAAGGCATTTCCAAACCACTGTATTTATAATACCAATCATATGTAATTAAATGTATATTAAGTAATAAAATTATGGAAATTCAATATATAAAAATGCTAATTAAAATAATAAATAAGAATATAGTTTACTTTTAATATGAAAAATACTTTGAATCTAAGTAAAATATCAAATAATTAACTTTAAACAAGACAATATAATCATAAGAATTAGTTTAAAATATATAAATATCTTTAATATTTACCTAAATAAGTTATTTAATTTATTTCTTAAATTTTATTATTTGAAATTTAAATCGTAGTACTAATAATCCTTTATTTCTTTTTTTTTTTTTTTTGATAAAAATATTTTATTATAAAATATTAATAAACAAGGTATTTTAAGATGGTTATTACTTATGAAATATCATAGTAATTTTTTAAAATAAGTACAAACATATACTTGCATTAAGTTATAAAGTAATTGTCTATATATATATATTCATATCTACCCAAACTGGACAACTTGATACAAACGAAATTGCTAATGTAAACATTGATAAATTATTACCAATGCATTCAAGGGGATTAGAAAGATTTATATATATAGAAGAACCATTTCCAGAGATATCTGTTGTAAAAGATGAGGTTATTAAACAATTAAATGTAGCTAGATGATTTATATTATTTTTCCATGTATATGGATTTTTATTAGCACTTTCAAAAGGTATATAGACTGAATAGTTATTATATAAAATATATGGATTAACAGAGACATTTTTACATTCACAATTTGAGTCACAATAAAGATAAAGAACTAATGACAAAGTGCCCATACTACCATTTTCTAGTTTAGTCATACCATATTGTAAAAGTAAAGCATTAGGAGTATTATAATTTGATGGAGCTACTGGTAAATAAAATTTTTCACTAAAGTTATTCCAGCAGAAATTAGAAGAAGCATTTGAAAAGTATTGAGTTACTGTTGCACCCAATAGAGTGGGAGCTGAATAAACTGAAATACTGCATAAATTTAAGATGATAAAAAGTAAATAATATAAAGGGATCAAATTAATCATTAAGTCATACACTTTTGTTATTGAAGGAGTAATTTAAGAATTTCCATTATAAACATTTATATTAGAAATTAATACCAATAGTTCCATATCTTGAGCGTGGAATCTTTTGGGCGGTATAAATAGTCATATTAGAAATGTTGTATTGTTTATAAGGGTAGTATAAAATACGTCAAGCTTATTAAAAATTTAATTAATACTAAATATAATGGGATATTTTTTAATATAATAATAAAAATAATTTTTTAAGTAATTTATACAATTATCTATAAAATCTCAAATATTCAAGACGTGATATACTGAAATAAATTAATACTTGAACTAATATTAGATCAATTCCATTATTTATATGAATATTCTATTAACGTTAACATCCATAGTAATTTTGAATAATTTTACTTTTAAAGAGTAGGAATTAGAAAAAAAGTACATTCTACTAATAAAAATATTAGATTGGTATTTAGCTTATATGATAGAGCTATATTTCTTAGTTTTATAATTAAACACTTTTTTGCACCTTATAAGTAGTAAAAAGTAGATACTACTTATTTACTAGCACACGGCCCACTATAAGGTACCGCTGAGTAATTTATCTAAATGAGTAGCGGTAGTATTGAGATGTTAGAATTTGGTAAAGTTCTGCAAAGTTTTGTTACTTAAAATTTAGATTAGATCGCTCATATTACAGTATTGGATATCTATAAATTATGAACTTTTAAGTGGATTCTGGACATTTTTTAATATAAATCTAGAACTAGTCCTAATATTAATTAGAATTAAGGAATTGCATCAATGTTTGATTATTTAAATAGCATAACTGAAAAAATTTTATATTCTGCAGTTAGAAATGCCTTCGATTCTATATTTGTAAATTTTGAAAGAGAGCAATTATCAGCATCACTAACAAGAGGATGTTTTGAAATACGCAGTTTAAATATTAAACGAGAATTATTTGATGGGATACCATTTCCAATAAGGCTATGTGATGCATTAGTTGGGAAAGCAAGGATAGAGATATCTTGGACAAAGTTTTTTTCCGGAGGTTTTTTAACGATAATATTGCAAGATATCTATATAATTTTTAATACAATTGATATTAAGGAATGGGATGTTGAGATATGTGAAAAAAGTTGGTCAAATTTAAAGTCAAAACTTTTACAACAGGATGAGGTATGGATGTTTCTTAAAAGTCAATTTGCATCAAGTTTAATAAGACGAATTGGTTATTACTTTGCATCTAAAGTGCAGATTGAAATTGATAATGTAAATTTGAGAATTGAAGATTATACTAATATACAACCTTTTGCAGTAGGAGCAATAATTAGAAAGATCACTACTCAAGATTGTGATGAGTTTTGGTTTCCAACTAATATAAATAACTCAAAATCTAATACTCGAGGAATATTTAATACTTTTAGGATTTCTAGTAGCTTAAATGAAAATATTAGTATATTAGGAGCCAATAATGAAATGAATGGATCTCAATTAAAATCACTGATTTCTCCAGAACTTAGTTTAAAGAATAAAAGTAGAGAAAAGTTGAATACAGATGATATATTAAGTATAATATTAGAATCTAATGGTTATTTAAAGCAAGAAGAATTTAACTCGCTAAATCAAAGGACATTTTGGAAAAGGTTGAGAGATAACTCTCCATGGAATTGGTATTGGAATAAACAATCAAAAAGTGATTTATTTGAAGATTCTGTTAATGAAAATTTAGATTCTAGAGTTATATATCCATATCCAAATGGAGCTGGGGTTCCAATTTCTATTATAGATAAATGCATATACTTAAAGGAACAAGAAGAAATTAAGTTACTGAGGAATAACCGAATTATTACAAATGATGGTCTTAAAAAAGGAGATTTTTTTTTGAAATCCTTTATATTTAGTGATTTTTCTGTATATATTGACAATATTAATATTGAATTATCTGGAATAGCTTCAAATAGTTGTAGATGGACTTGTTTAGAAAGTCAACCTATGTATACTGACCAGTATAATGTAATTGAACGGCTAACACAACTAAACGCTTTATCAGAAGAAATAAGATTATCAATGAATTATATTATATATCCTTTAACTTTCGAATTAAGATTAAGATTAGTTCCCTCAATATTAAGATATGAGGATCAGAAATTTGTATCTGCTTTAAGTGATAGAGTATATTTGGAATCTAAAGATAAGGAAGATAGTATACTTCCTTTAATTACAGTTTATTTAATAATTGATAGTTTTATACTGAATATACAAGATATTCAACTTCAAAATATATTAAGATTTATAGATTATGGAGTATTTCTTTATGGTGATTTTGTGGCTGGAACCTATCCTAAGGATTATAAAAATATTCCGGATGGTGAGATCAAAGCAATATATAGAAATGCTTGGTTTAACTTTTTAATTGGGGAGATACCTCATGATGATCCAATAAAAAGTGAGATTGAAGAGAAATACAACGTATATGCTTTACTAAAACTTCGTAATGAAGTTTTGAAATGTTTAAGTTTTGTAATCCATCAAACTCTTATGAGGACTCTTTCAAAAAGTCATGACAAATTTGATGAGTCAAATGTTATGAATAATTCGAAGAATATGGAAATTAACACGAGTGAAGAGCTTAAAATAAAAGATAAAGCAATTCAAATTATTTGGAATTCCATTGTTGTAGGACATAATGAATATTATACAAGATCTTTGAATTTTATGGAGAATTCAGTAAATCAGAAAAATAATACATCTCATTATTGCTGTAATATATCTTCACAAGAAGGCTTAAAAAAGGATTATTTGAATCTTAATTCTAATATGATTGATGAGATTGTTAATCAAACAAAATTGATTTTAAATTCAGATACACTTCCTATTTATATATCTTCCCATGACATATACTCAGAATTATTTAGTGAAAATGATTCTTTAGATAATCCAAGCTTCCACACATCTCCTTTTGCTTTTATTGTATCTATTCAAAATTTAGGTATGAATTACTCAGTAAGTAACTATAAATTTTCTTCAGATGAAGATTCATTAAATAATGCCAATCATTCAGGAAGGAATACTCTCAAGCTCTCATGTATGGATACTTATTTACAGTATAAAGCTTATATGAAGTCAGAAAAGTCTAAAATTTCTTTGGCTTTTGAAAATTTATACTTAATTTTTGAAGATAATTTTATAAGTGAATATCCCAACAATTCAATTTGTCTTATTCGATTTGGACCTGAGATTGATATTGATACACCTCATAAGACCTCGAAACAGTTCCATCCTTTATTGCATCGTTACAGTATATATACTGGAACAAGTCTTTGCAATAAAAGGCCTTATACTATTAGTGGTTGCATACTTAAGCATAATAATAAATTGTCAAGTAATGAGTTTGATCAGAGTGATAATTCATTATTTTTTGAAAACCACACTTTGAAATCTCATCACTGTTCAGGTGGTTTATGGTTAGTAATTAAGATGAATAACTCCTATTCTAGAAATACCCCTAAAATTTCATTTAATGGGCAGACATATGGAGATATGTGTGTTTATGCATCTTTTGATATTATTTATCAGTTTATTTTCCCTATTATTAGCCAAATAAATAATCAAAAAAGAAGTTATTATTTTAATAAGGCTAGTAGAAATATTTGGAAAATTGTTAATAAAGGACAAATCTTGGTGAATAAATTCTTGACTATAAATAATGAGGACAATAATAGTCATATATATTTAAATGTACAGTCTTATGCTAAACCACTAATATATATACCTAACTCAGGATATTTTAAAAGAAATGAGAATATAAATTATTACGATACCCCAAATTCTCAGCTTAGTAAATTACATTCGGAATCTAGTTCGATTTGTATAAATTTAGGTAATTTTTTTATTGAAACGAAATATACTGCACAAAATTCTGAATTAAATCAAAACAATTTTAAAAATATTCGGGATCATGAATATATATATATTGACTGTATCACCTGTAAAGTTAACAATTTGGCAATTTATTACGTTCCAGATTTAAGGTTTAAAGATCTTTGCATAGTACATAAGTTTCCTAATATCAAATATAATAAAGATATGAATGAATTTATATCTGATAGTCATGGAAAATTGCGTTATATTCTTTCTCCACAATTCTGGTCTTTTACCTTGGAAAGATATATAAAGATCTTAAATAAGACTTCTAAAAATATCTCAGATTCAGAAATCCAAGTCAATTCAGTGGAATTTAGAACTTTTAAGAGCTCTGAAGATGGAGATAATTATAAAGAGTCTGGGAAGGAGCTTTATAATGAAGATATAAATCACTATGGATATAGTGAAGACTACTTACAAGCTGAGGAATCGAATTTTAACAATATATTAGAATTATCTGAAGATTTAGCTTTAATGTACTTGGTTAGAAACTCAGAATATATTTATCATATTAATTTTTATTTAATTCCAGAAGATAACTCAAATTTAGAATTTTGCTTATTAGATCAAGATATTCACTATATATCCGAAGTAGCTGAGAATTTAATATTTTTCACTAATCAGCTTTATCCTGTTAAAAGTAGAGATACAGAGATCACAATAACCCAAGAGCTATTGGAAAAGACTTTGGAAACACCTTATTTGAGTTTAGAATCTGAAAATTTAAGTCTTGATAATAATAAAAAGGATAATAAAGTTAATTCAGGTGGGGAAATGACAACAAATACAAATGATTTTAATAAGAGCTTGAATTCTAGAGATATGTTTCTACGATGTGATGATATTTTGGATGAAATTAGCGTCACTTCAAATTCACTTATTTATTCTAATATCCATACTAATAGACAAATTGGATTTAAATGTTGCATTCCTAAAATAAATTTTGCTGTAAAAAGCACTGAGGAATATCAAAAAAGATTTCAACATACTGATGATTATCAATTACTCTTTTTACAAATTGAAATTATAAATTCTCAATTTTTTGCTAAATTTAACAATTTAATATATTCCACAATTTATATATTAATAAATTCTATCTGTATATCTGGAGGTATAATTTCAGATCAATATCCTTTGTTTATAAATCCAATAATTTCTCATACTGTTTCTCCACTTTGTAAGATTAACATTTCAACTTATCCAGAAAATAAACTACATAAGAAAGATTCTCAATTTATAAATTCTTTATCAAATACAGGATATCAGACTTTAGAAATACAAAACTCTAAAAATTTAGAAGCCATTTCAACATATAAAAGTACTTATTTTAATGAGAATCAAACATATAGATCCTACTCAGAGACAATTATGAAAGTAGAAATATATAGCCCAAAAATTTTGGTTTTTTGGGAATTATATGGGGCAATTTTAAATTTGGTAATGACTTTGTATATTAGAAGTTTTTCAAAGTTATATAATTACAGTAAACTTAATTTAGATGTTGATACAAAAAGTTCTGGGAATTTGGAAAAAATAGACCATTTAGAGTGTCAAACAGATCTTAAGTATAGTAAATCCATAAACAGTGATGAATTTTCATCTACATTAATATCTAGATTTGATTTAAATTTAAAAGATTTGAAGTTCATAATACCCTGTTCTCTACCAGAACCAGTTAAAATATTTGCATATAATTATTCATCAAGTTCTAAACTTCAAACTACTACTAAACTAGATATTTTGGGTTCTCCATTACTCCATATAAAACTATCTCTTAATTATAAATTTGAAAGTGAATGTTATGACTCTAATAATACCTTAAATAGCAAAGCATACAATAACAATAGTAATATAGAGATATTTAAGATGAGCATTAAATTTGCAAAACCAGTAATACCTTCAGATTTAATGGAACAATTAATTAACATATCTAAAAATTTAAGTCAAATTAAGGGACGTGATGTGAATTTAAATGAAGATAACTTTCCATTATTGGATGATTATGTAGCTATACCAATGATTAAAAGCCTATTTATACATAAATTGGATAACAAATCTTTCGCAAATACTATATATGAAACCTCAAATATTGTAAATTTAAGTTTATGGAGATTCACATTAGAAACTTTGGTTGATATTCCAATAGTTTTGCCATCTTTTAGAGTAAAAGTAAACTTGAAACAATCTTCATACTACTTGGATGGATATACTGAAAATACTACAATGGCTCTATATATCTTCGTTGAATCATTAGATATTAGAATTAATGTAAAATCTTTGATATACTTAACACAGATAGGTAACATGTATTCTAAATACATTTCAAGTAATCTTATTGAAAATACTAAATATGACAATCCTGATATAATTTCAAACTCTGATGGAGCTTTATATAACTCAACAAACTCATTACTACATTTATTCCCCTCATTATATATGCAAATTAAAATGAATCTCAAGAAATTTACAGCTCAGTGGAGAACTGAAAAGATAATTCTTCACTATATCCCAAATACACTAAAATCAATAAAGAATGGTATATACTTAGAAATATTTAGTATACAAGGAGGAATTTATGTCAATGAATCTGCTCCTTCTTTGCAGTTCATTACTAACATATATCCATATTTTAAAGATTTAACAGATATATTAAATAATCAAAATTTTCTTAGTGAATCAATAATCGAAGATTCACCTTTAATTATACCTAATTTTACAGTTGGCAACTTCCCTAGGCTTCCTATTTTACCTAGAGATACAAATACAGTTTGTAGTTTAGTTTTCCAAATAAAAAGATTTTTTATATCTATATTCAATAACCAGTTAATGTATTATAATAACCTTATAGAACCCTTTGACATTTTATTTAAGGTTGTTGGTGACTCTGGTCAGATTAATGAAAAAGCTATAGAAGAAAGAAGTCAAGCAGAAGAATTAAATTCAAAAGAAGCTAATAGAATACTTTTAGAAGATTATGTTACACATTTTAGAGATAAGGACTCTACAAAAACTGAAAATAAACTTGAAAATGAGCTTAGTGAAAATTTATCTTATACTGAAGAAGTTTCTGACGATGAAGTTATACCTGAAAAAACCCTTAACTTGAAAAATATTCATTTAGAACAATATAATACATGTAAACTGAAAAATATACTTTATGAAGATAAACAAAGTGTTCAAGATAATAATAATTCAACTAAGAGAAATAGAACAAACTTTGGAGATACAACAGAATCATTAGAAAATATTTTGACCCATGAATCAAATAGAAATGAGCAATGTAAAGAAATTATTAAATCAAACAACTTTGTCAAGGGTCAGATATGTATTTCATGGATTAATGTTACCATATGCCCTAGCTACATATCCTATGGACTATCTTGCATGGATAATTTTTTTGATTCTTTAAGTATATACTCATCTAAATTAAGTAATTTAAATGACTCAAATAAGACTTTATTAGCTTACTACTTAACAAGAAATAATATAAACAATAATTTATTACAAGATACAACTGAAACTAATATAAGGTACAATACTAATTCAATTTTCACTAATAGTAGTATGCTTAGTTCATCCGAAAGAACATTTTACCCAATTTCAGCAGATATAGAAAGTCAAAATAACTCTCTTTACAGCTTTAAAACAATATTTGGTAGTAATAATATAAGTTCTATTTCTATTTATAATGACACAGGGCAAACAATTGCTCTATTAATCCCATTTTGGACGAACAATGCACTGTTAAAGGGTAAAGGAATTCAAAGTAACTTTTTCAATTCAAACAGCTTTATATCTTCTAAAACTAAAGAAGATGAGGCGAAAGAGGTCAAATTGGCAAATAAACAACATAAGACAAATGTAGAACCTTCTAGTAAGGAAAAAAAACTTGAATTTAATACAATACCAAGTCAATTACCAACATTACCAAACAGTAAAACTTTAAAAAACTCACTTTACAATGAATTTATACATCCTAAAGTACTTTCTGATAAAGCACAAGGTATTAATGTTGTATCATTAAAATTTTCTATGTCAAACTCTCTAAGTACTTTGAACTCAAATAATTCTGTTCTTTCTTATATTTCATTGAAAAAAGAAGATTGCAACGTTCATTATGTGTGGAAGTATATCCAACCATATAAAAAAATATCTGTGGATAGAGGACCAAATGGAGAGTTATATCCAATTATGCTTAGAATTAGATTACTAGATGATGTATTTGACTGCTGTAATATTGTCATGGATAAAATTAACACAGATGTTACATATCTGGATCTTGAGTATGGAGATCCATTTAAGATACCATTGATGATTAAAACATCAATGCTAAATAATCAATCCTTTATGGTGACAATTTCATCTCGTATATTTATATCTAACAATTCTAGTAAATCACTACGCATTCTTGCAGATCCAAGTTTAGTGAAGCAGTATACTGATATGTCTTTCTATACTCCTCCAATCAATTCAGAAACTATCCCTATTCCTAAATTAAGCTCCTTAAAAAACACATTAATATCTGGTATACCAATTGAACAAGATAATCTAAATTATAGTGATAACAGCAATAAGGAACCTAAATCAAATTTCCTTTTTTCATTAATTTCTGAATATATTCCGCAGCTAAACTTAGATACACATGATTTACTAGTGAATAATTGGGATTTTGGAGAATTAACTGTAGATATGTTTACCCTTACTATAGACCCAGGTAAATTTATCTGTCTTCCACTATGGATGTGCATTCCTCTAATTAAAAGATTTAATATTCAAAAAATTGGCAATTATAAGGATAATAATTTGATATATCCACCAGTTAAAGTAATATTAGAATCTTCCTGGACTTATAAAAAGGATGTATATTTTACTTCAAATAATGTAAATTTACGAGTTTCCAAGATTTTCACTAATGAGATTGGAAATAATCCTAAAACTATTACAAATAGTATGCAGGTATCTTCTGTATATCTTTGTTACCTAGATATCTATGAATTAATCTTGCAATATTTGCAGGATATATTACCAACAAATTCATATTATCGTTTACTTTCATCTAAATCACATAACCACAATTTTGCATCTAAGATTTTAGATTTATCTGAACCATCATCAATAAGCGAAGTTACAAACAATGTTTATTCTCAAAGTAATAGTGAAGGGAAACATGAAGCAATAGATGAAGATACTGACCAGAAAACCTCACATATAAGTTCATCTAGAATATATATCAGTTCATCTGTATATGGATTTTCAATACCAGATAATATGGATACAAGTCCTATTATTTTTGTAGTGCGATTTGAACCTCCTTTAACTTTGACAAACAACCTACTATATCCAGTATATATAGACCTCATGAGATCAAAAGCATTTGATACTTTAATACCTATAAATAGGGGAGATATTAATGATATAGCTTCGGAAATTATGCAGCTTAGTGGAATAAAATCCGACATTGTATTAGCAACAAATCAAACTCTTTCATTGGAATCTATTCCTTCTCAATTATCTATATTCTTGTTAGATGTAACTCTAAATAAATTTTATGGGTTTTACATTTCATCACACATTCCGATATCATATTCCTCTTCAGTAAAAAAAATGCATAGTGAAGTTTCAATACCCCTGAAGTTACATGGGGGCTATAAAATATCTCAAGAAAATTCTAATAAAGTAGAGAAGATTCCCCACTCTAGTGCTATTATCATGAATGAATTTTTACCACATTCCACATCTATTAACTTGTTTACAGAATCAAATCCTAATCACTTCATCTCCAACGATTATACACTTCGTCAATGGCCAAATTATATCACCATACCAAATTCAAATAGTTCCGATAATATGGCAGCTTCTAATAATGCCTTAAAGCTTACATATGAGAATAAAAAATTTGACTCTTATACTGGAACAGTAGAAAATGGAGAGTCTATAGCTCCTTGGTTTGGTTATCAATGCTTTTCCTACAATACATGCAAGGTTTCAATGAATTTATATTCTCCTTTATGGATTAACAATAGACAAGGTACTCCAATATATCTGTTACAGAAATCTCACTTGGCTTTTAAATATAGGCTAGGTTTAAATGAATGTCGTATACTTCCATCTCAAAATGGAAAATCTGAAATTGCTTTTGCTTTAACTCCTGAACTAGCAAAACGTTGTAGATCAAACTACTTTCATGTAGAAAGAGCAAATATGGTTGGGTATGTTACTATACCTTCTTCGAATAAAAAAGGTTTAAAAGTCCTCCAAGATACCTTAGATGCAAATTTACTTAAAAACAATCTAAATAATAATGAACCATTTAATAAACTATTTGGTACAGGAACTCCAGGTTTAATTTTGGGATATTCAATTACATCTATTGCAACTGTTAGTTCATACATTACCAGCTTTATGATTAATATTTATGATAGATATACAATTTCAAATTATCATAGTGTACCTGTATGGATCCATCAAATAGGGAAGATGAATCCATGGTTATTAATTCCTCCTCATGTATCGTGGCCTTTTCACCCTGTATTAAACAATAGGGATCATCCACAAATTGAAATATCATTTGTAGATCCAACTTTACTTAGAAAATACAAAAGTGATTTCAAAATGAATCTTTCACAAATACCATATAAAACACTTCCTATAGCAATTAAGGATGTTTATGATGTTCAGTTTCGTCTTATTGATAAAATATGCTTAACAGACTTAAATACATATATTAGATCCCATTCAAATGTAGAAAATGGAAATTTTACAGAATTATCAGATAAATTGTGTTTGAGTCTCTATTCTCAGAATGGAGAATATACTAATAATTCTGCATATCTTCAAAAGAAACAAGATAATAAAACAGAAAATTTCAAAATTTCTGAATATACTGAGCAAAACTTCAATGATAATCTTTCATTTGGGTATTGGAAAAAACCTAATTTATCTTGCTATAGTGGAAAGGTGTGTTCATACATTTTGTCTTCAATCTCGGTATTTTCTGTCCATTCATCTTCTGCTTACCATATCAACCTTTATCCACCACAAACTCCTGACTTCCGTCTTGTTAATGAGACTCCTAACAGGATATATTTTAAGCAGAAAGAAACTAATTATTGGAATACTTTGGAAGCTCATTCCAATATAGACTATGCTTTTCTAGATCCTTTTGGGCATCATTTTTTGGAAATATGTATTGGAATAAAGACTAAACTAACTAAAGCTACACTTAAATTGAAAAAGAAGGTTAAAAAACTTCAAAGTGAAATTTTCAATAGGCATGCAAGTGAAAACATACCTATGAATGAAGATATGAACAGATCAAAATCTAGCAAAGTTTTGCAGAATTTATTACGAAAGACATTTCAAGAAGACTCTACTCAAGCACAAAATTTTTGTAATGAAGCTACCAATGATGACACTATAGTTTGGTATCGTTTCCCAACACCTTTAGATTTAAATAATGTACAATCTCACTCTAAATTATACATTCCTGGTCTTAAAAGTATAATATATGCTGTACTAATAGTTGAAAGTGGAACCAGAGTAATTAATCTATCTCTTGATGGGAGTCTATATAGACGTAGAAAAGCTGAAACAAACCATAATCAATCTTCAATTTATTCTATACAGTCTTTTGGTAAATCAGGACTAAAATATATCGGTTCCAAATTTAGACAAACTATTGGGATAATAGATAAATTTGAGAGCTTAGCTTCTGATTGGAAATCTAATGAGAAATTGGAAATGGATCTCTTGAGTTCCGAAAAATCAACTAATAAATTTCTTTTGGAAGCTCCTTATGAAACAGCACTATCTCAAACAGCATTTTCAGCCAATACAAGAATACATCCATGCACTAATGTGAATGAAAGTCTAATACCTAGTTATAGAAAAGAAAGTGTTTGTTTTGATTTGAGTTTATTTATTGAAGGGTTTGGAGTATCCTTTATTACAATGATGAGTGAGGAAATAGTATATTTAGCTTTCCAAAAAATAGATTCAAGTATTTTCAGATATCCTAGTGATATGGATTATATACACATAACATTTAAAATTTGTGAATTTCAAATGGACAACCATATAGATGGATCATCAGATACAACATTAATTAGAAAGGTAACTCCAGAGGAATTTTTGAGATTAAAAAGTTCATCAAGAGATAATGATAACAGTAAAACAAATATAGAAGAAGGATTAGATTCTCTTCAATATATGATGTCAGTAGGATTTTTAATAATTGGAAATGGATCCAACCGTAAAGAAGATCTTCATTGTATTTATTACAAATTATCTCGAATGTTGGGGAATTCATTCAAAGATAAAGAGTCAAAGCTCTCAACAAGTTATTTCTTAGATATTAGGTGCTGTTTCGTTAGTGATGTGAATTCATCCAATGACTCGTATGGATATAATGGCGTATTAGAAATTCCCTACTTTTATGTTTGGATTTTTCCTTTAAGTATTCATTTGGAGATAGATGCTATGAGGGAAATTGTATTAATTATGGAATCTATTATTAATAGGTTGTTTTCATTTTCTGATCAATCTGAGGAACAATTGAATAATGTTAATAAAACATCGACAGTAGTAGAAAATATGAAGAATTCATCTCGTTATATGTATATTCAAGTCCTCATAGTAAATCCTATTCAAATACTATTCTCTACAAGTAAAAGTACTTGGAATGTATTTACTCTAGATTCAAATAATCCTTTTAACACACATATCCAAAAAGATACATTTTCTGCTGCAAACAAATTTGGGATTGGTTCTATATCAATAAAATCTTCTGCAAATTTAAAAGGTGTTGGTGGAATTCAAAATATCTCATCTTTCAACATATCTCAGCAAGCTGTATCTAGTCCTAATTATTCATCTAATAATGGCACGACATTTATATTAGGTCTAATTCAATTAATTGCTGCTATGCCATTCTCAAATGTTCCAATTGAATTTAAAGGTATTATTAGTGAATCTTTTTTTGTTAACAGTGAAAAGATGTCCATGCAATTTTTTAATATATATAAGCAGCAAGTATTTTCTCATATTGGACGAATCCTTGGATCTATAGACTTACTAGGTAATCCTATAGATATTTATATTTTATTAAAAGAGGGAATTTTAGCTTCTAAAAACCATTTTAAACTTTATAAAGCTGCTTTTGAATTGAAGAAAATTATAGATAGTTCTAAAAATAATGATCATTCAGATATACTTAATGAAACTGAATATGATAAAACGAGAGAATTCTTCTTAAAATCAAGAGCTACATTTATGATCAAATTAATTTTATTTTGTATCAAAGAAATATTCATAGGAATAAATACTTTGTTTGGAACTGGAATTGCAGCAGCATGTCAAGTAATTGTCCGTATAACTGCAACTCTAATTCACTTAATGGAGATAGTATATCTTTTTGACCAGGATGAATTAATGAGTATTTGGTCAGGAACTCCCTTGTATTTGAATAGACATATTGCAAATTATCCAAAAGATTTAATAAATGGAATTTTAACAGGTTTAAAAAGAAGTATTATTATCATCTTAGGAACCTTTATCAATTTATGGCTTTTACCAGCTAAAATGTATCATAATTCTGGATTACTAGGGTTTATTTTTGGTATTTTTCTTGCATTAATACGTATCTTACCTGCTGGATTTGCCGTATTTTTATCTATAATCTATGGAATAACCTCTGGGACTGTTCAGAGTCTCAGAACAAAAACGCTTGTTCATCATATACGTCCTTTAAGAGTAATATCAAAAAATAAACCAATTCAGCCATATTTCATCCCTAAAAATATTTCATCTATCACACTTAAATCTGCAGGATTAATTAGTGACTTAAGGTATGTAGATGTTATTACATACTTTTCTACTACAAATACACTTAAGGAAAAAGAAACAATGACTTTTGAAAATTTATTTGGTCAAAATAATGCAACTAAACAATTTTTATTATATAAAATCTTGAGAAATGAAAGTGAAGTTGGTATAAATATTTCTAATGGGTTAATTGTTATGGCCAAGGCAATTGCTTTATTTAAGGATGGAGATATGGTTTGGACAATTCCTATATCTCAAATAGATACTGTTACAGTCATACATATAATTAAATGTAAATCAAGGCAAGATGATTCTTATTTTCAAATAAGAAAAAGATCTATCTTTAGTAGAAGTTATTTTTCTTATTTTAATCGAATTTCTGGAGATCCAGATTCTATCTGCACTTCTCAAGACAAAAACGACTCTTTTAGCGAAAAATCAGTAACAAACCCACATGTTATAACTCAATTAGATTCTACTATAAATGGAATACTTACAGGGATTTATGAATTTGAAATACAATTAAAACAATCTTCTAATCACGACCATATGTTATATTCTTCTAAAAAAGTTACTCGCAGACTATTAATTCCTATTCCATCCACTATACTGGAAACTCGCAAGTTACATAATATACATATTAATGTAAAATCTTCAGAGATAATGGAAGATACAAGAAATAAATTTAAATTAAATCTTAATACTCATAGTATTACAGAAAAGACTTCTTTAAATTCATTACATCTTGCTAGCACAAGATATTATCCAGAAAAACTCTCATTCCGTATTGAAGGAGAAAATAGAGCATTAAGCTTATTTTCTCTATTAACAAGCTTGATCAATCCTAACTAATTAGAATTTTAAACTTTGTATTATTATTTTGCATGCATGTATAAAAGGGGTATCTACTTAGCGCTACATTAAACTTAGACAATCTTGAGTTGTAATTTTAATATTTTAGTATCTAAACTTAATAGTATATAAAGATATCATTAAAATTTATTGAGATAACTCTAATTTACTGGATACTTTTTTTATTATACACTAGTGTAAAGTATAACTGCTTATATTTATGGGATACTTGAAAGAATTTTATTCAAATCTATTGAATAAAATAGAAACAGATTCTGAACTTCTTTATAATATTGTTATTGGTAATACAAGTGCTGACTTGGTATGTTTTTTAACTTTAATTAGTCTAGTACACTTTATATTGAAGTTTCAAACAAGTGGAACTAGTTTTTATGAAACCCAAGAAATTGCAAAACTGAATAAATTTTTATTTAAATTAGGATTCTATATGTAGTTCTATAGCATATGCCATATATTTATCAGTAACTAACTCTCCATCTGATCCTAACAAGAAATTTCCTGAAAAAAAGTCAATTCATATTCCAGTAGTAAATTGTTCAAGACGTGAGTTAGAACTGAAAATTCCATTCAAGTTATGGACCAGTTTCTTTCCTGAAAAAATTGGTAATGAAGAATTACAACTAATTTGCATAGATGACTATATAATAAGCAAAATATTATCAAAAATCAATGATAAAAGTGATGAAAGTGTCTTTATTAGCCTTGTAGACCATAACATTCTTGATATAAAACAAATAGAGTAAGTTTAAGTATATATATTAGTTTATTGGATTTATTTCAATTATTTAAATTTACTAAAAGTTTGAGTTTTATCTTAAACTATGACTAGTTTCTATTTTGAAGATTAGGGAAATAGAAGTGTAAACTTTTTATACTTTATTTTTTAATTTAAATTATGCAAAGTATAAAACATAAAACATAATAAAAATAATTAATTTCATTTTGATAACTTTTAGATGGAAATCGAAAGTTAGAAGAATTATTGATCACCATCAAGATAACAACGAAACTCAAGCAGTTGAAAGGATATCTCCTGGACCACTTGTTGGAAGTTGTTCAAGCTTAGTTACTCAACTTGTAAGTGAAGTAATCAAATTGATAATTTTTTCAATATTTAATTTTCATGATTTTAAAAAATTTTAAACTTTTAAGTGGTCAAATCTACAGAACTTTGAAATTGATACAAGTGTTGCTTTGCTACTACTTGGACCAATAATAAAAGGTAAGTTATTTAAACTACAAAAAAGAAAAAAAAAAGAAATTGAAACATTTCTCATTTTATTTTTTTCCATTAATTTATGTATAAATAATTTGTTTAAAAGATACTAGATGTATATCTAAAGATTTGTATAATAAACGTTGGAATAAAATAGATGAGGAGTCCTTTAACTTTTTAATTAAAAAGTTGCATTTAAACTATCAGGACTGTTTAAAATATCTAGAACTTTTATATTCAGAATCCAATAATTCCAAATTAATATTAAGTCTAGATATTAGTGATATTTTGACTATGGATTACAAATGCTTTTCATATTACACAAGTTCATATGATATTATGGTAAGTTAATATATTTATTAATATTATCTTGTATAAATGAACTTTATCAAAATTTAGGTTGGGTATTCTAGTTTTGAAATAAAACTAGTAGATATTATTGATCACTTTGGGTATCAGCAATTTTTAACTAAATGTGTAAGTTTACTATTATATTCGATTAAGCTGTAATTACATCCATATATATTGACCAAAACTGACTTTTAGGAGAATTTCATCAAAAATCAAGGCTTAAGTTTAATTATTTTATTAAGTACTTTTACAAATTCCTTAAATATTGAAAAGAATCTAGTTGTCATAACAGAAAATAAAAGTGTAATCCACAAGTTAGATAATCATATCACGCAGGACTCAATAACTCAAGCAATATTTCTACTTAAAATGACAAATAAAAGTGGATATGAAATGCGACTTTATAAATTACAAAATAAATATTGTACTAGAAAGCTTCTCGAACCTTTTTTTCGAGAGATATTAAGTAAATAAATTAGGAATTTTCGATAAGCTCTGGTTGATCAAATACTCTGCATATAAATTTGCATAGTCCTTGATAGTTTTCTGTAATTCATCATTAGTACCATAGTTTAATGAATATTCATTTTCAATATTCGATATATCTCCATGTGATACCTCATGATCATATATCAAATTTTGATATTCACTTGTTTCTTTTTTGCTCTTGGAGATAGAACTTTCCGAAGAACTTCTAGACACATTCCTTTTGTCTTTTATTCCACTTACTTTTTTACTCTTCTTGTTTCCATGTAAGCTATTATTAGACAAAGATATATTTTCTTTTGTAGATTTACTATTATCTTCATTTGTTTCTGTAATATTTTGTTCTATACAATAATTCTCATATTTTTCATATTCACAATTTTTTAGAGCTTCTTCTTTTAATGGATTTAAAATTATTGCATCTTTATCACCACTATTGCATATTAATTTATTAGGATTTATAACAAATATTATTGATTTTGGAAGTTTAAGTTTCTGCTTATTAAATGGATTAAGCATATCTACTGATATCTTTAGCTGTCTAGATAAAGTCCAGTATGCATAACCACTACTTTTTCTTGAGTTATCTAAATTTGTCCATTTATTATAGTCTGTTTCATAAAAATCACTTATATCAGATTCTTCATTTCGCCATTGGTAAACTTGTTTTTCAAACTCCATAATTGAAGCTGAGGTGCATTCAATACTAGTATTTATTACATTTATCAGTTGTTCAATCTGATTATTTAAATTTTCTATATTATCTTTACGTTCATTTACTAAATCCTTAAGTATCTCCTCAATTGATTTAATAGCTATATCTTTTAAGTATGTAAAATCTCGATGCATTTGAACTTTGGAGTCATTTAGTGCCTTTTTCCAATTTAATAATCTATCCCTCATACATTGGAAATCAGATAATGAGTCTTGATACATTTTAGTTGCAGCTAAAAAAATACCGGAAGTTTGTCTATCATTTTTTATATTATAATCTTTATGTTCCATTTTTATATTTTACTTTTAAATATCTGGTCAAACTTAAACTTAGAAGTACTTTTATGCATTTTGTGTGGGAGTAATTATGGCCCGCCCATCACGTCTTGGGAAGTACAAGGTTTCTTTTTGCAATATATGCATGCAAAAATGTAGCGCCAAAAAAATAATTTTGGATAATCTAAAGTTTCATAGAATATTTATCATGTAATATAGCCACTTTCTATAACTAATATAAACATAACAAAGTTAAATAAACCAAACAATTATCAGTAATATATTGGAAAAGTAAAAGTACATTCATATACAATAATGTATACGTTTTTTTTTTTTATCTATGGGTCTAATTGATTTGAAAGACCTAAATTAACTTGTTTACATAATGTAATCCAATCTCTATCAGAATTTTCAGAACTGAACTTCTCAATTGTATCATATAATTGTTCTAATTCTTCGTGAAGTTCTTCCAATTCTTCTTGTTGGCGATCACATTGATCTTCCATATTTTTTATAACCTTCTGAAAGGCCCGAATCTCACGATCATGATTTTGTATATCAATATCTAATCTAAATGTGAGAAGTGCAAAAAAACCTATATAAGGCTCAGGAGCACGGCGACCATATGAACTCAAAGGTCTTATTGTCTCTCTAATTGAAATTAAATCATCCTTATCAGCTGTATATGGATCTGGAAATTTTTGTAGTCTCTCAATTAATTGATTAACTTGTTCTCTCTTTAGAAATTGATCATTATTATTTATGTTAACACTAACTAAATTTTTAGATATATCTGTATCTGAAATATTGCTCTCAATTTTATTATTTGTTGATTTTGATGTTAGTAACTCTCTTCCAGAAATTACACCTAACCCAAGCCTTGTTAGTTCTTTCTCAATTTCACTAATATAAGAATTCTCTTGAGCAAAAATTAAGGATTGTCTATCTTCCTCCATATTTATGCTATGATCAGTAGTTGTTATTAATGTTTTTATTCGATGATATATTCTAACCATTTGTTGTAATTCACCCAATAAAGATTGTTCCCGTTCCATTAGTCTTTTCCATTCTTTATATAAAATAAAAAAAAATTGTAAAGTTCCATATTGAAGTACTGGATAACTATCAATTGATTTATCTAAGCCCAAATTTTGTATATTAATTTCATTAGTTATTGTATTAAATAATTTAAATATATGATCAGTTTTAGACAGTTCAATAGTTGAAACTTCATCCTCATACACTATTTCCTCCTCAATCCATAATTTTAACCTAAGAAAAGATATTTGAATATCTTTCATATAACCATATTCTTTATATTCAATATTGCCTATTTTCAAATCAACATCTTTTTTATCAGATGTTAGAGCTAATTTAGCACTTCTTGGTGTTATAGAAATTTCATTACGATCAAGTAAAGTTCCTTTAGATATTGTTCTAGCACTTAATGAACCTTGGAATTTTGGAGCTAATGAATAAGATGATATAACCAAAATTTGTTTATTTATACATTCTAACAATATTCTCAAAGATTGAGAATACGAAAAATCTTCTTGGTTAGATCTAATCTTGTTTAAAATATCCTGAATACAAAATTTGAGAGGATTAAAAATCAAACGAATCTTTGCAGCAATTGGACCTAAAAAACCAGTATTATTATTGTTACTATATAATTTTATTTTATTATTCTTTATTATATTCATATCTTCTATATTTATATTATCAAAAATTTCCTCTTCACAAGATTTATGGTTTTCGTAAGTAGAAATTCCATTTTTTAGCATTTGATCTTCTTCATGAATAACAAATTGTTGAAATAATTGCATCCTGCATATAAAAGGGACTAATCTACGGATTTCTATAGGAATTAGCCATTCAGAATTATTACTGAAAGAAATACTTTTTTGTGTATCACCAAGTTTTTCTGGAGTATCATTAAACAAAACATGCTTATTAAAAGATATAGAATCACTATCTTTTGGATGAATTTCAAGAGATTGTGATGAAGAAAATAATCCAGCCATTAATTCATCTTGTAATGTAACTACTTCAGATCTTGGATTACTACATAAATCATCGTCTCGTGTATTTACTGCCTCTCTTCCTGTCCATATTTCAAAATCATGATTTTCTTCTAATTTACTAATCCTTTGTTTATATACTTCTAATAAATCTTTCAGTTCTATTACCATATTATTTGCATTTGATAACTCTTCCTTTAAAGTGGATATCTTATTCTCATTATTTAATATGATCTCTTTATCAGCCAATGATTTCTTCTCAAGTGTTTCTTTTTCATTGTTTACACTCTTTAATCTTTCTTTTAGTGCAGCTATTAAATGTTTCTGAGTTTCAGATTCATCGACTTTATGCTTTAAATCTTTTAAAGATTGTTCGGATATAACAACTAAGGTATCATTTAACTGGTGTGTTATAATTTCATCTCTACTAATAACATTTGAAATATCAGATAAACTACTAGCTCTATGAGCCATTCTACGATTATCTTTAGTATCATCGGGAAATTCGCATCTGCAGAAGTACAATAAATTATAAGGAAATTGAATCAGTAAGATTCCATTTTTTTTTATTAAACTCACAAGTCATCTGAAAGTCCTAAAATATCTGTATCTCTATTATTCCATGCAGATTTAGATCTATAAAATTGAACCATCTGCCTTTAACCTCTAGTATTTCTTTAATTTAAAAATTTCTATATTCCATCTGCACAAATCATTAGTTGAATATGGCGCCAAGTACCACCTTAATAATGGCTTTATAGATCCTCAATAATAGTTTTTTTTTCTTTTTTTTAGAAAAAAAATTAGTTACTAAAATTATATTTAATACATGTCATTATAGTATACTAAATAAAAACAGAAAATTATGATTCGTCAGAACTGGTAAATACCTTCAATGGAGGTATTACTTTCTAAAATACCTAATTTATCACAATACAAAAAAAGAAGTTATTTAATATGTGGACTAAAAAAAATTATATATCTAATGTTGTAATTTGGTTAATTCTCCATCAAAAAAAGAGATATAACTTTAATTGGAATTTTCGTGGCATTCTCATTGAGTAGACACAATGTAACCCGCCACCAGTATATGGCAAGTATGATAACTTGCTACTTTTAAGTGTGGAGAATATTTTTAACCGTATTATTAATAGTGTGGTATATTAGTTATTATGGTTTATAAATTAACTATAGTTCTTTCAAATATCAGCTTGTGATTTAATAAATATTTGAAAGACTAACCACTTGAGTAACTATAGAACAGCAATGGCCTGTCCAAGATTACTAAGTGACAGTGATTTATGTAGATTCCGCACCAAATCATGTCGTAGATCAAAACAGCTTGGTTGTGACTTTGGTATTACTCGCTGTCAATACTCACATAACGTTTATTGGCCAAGAAGATGTCCATTTTATCTATCTAATGCCAATACAATTCGTTATATTCCAGTACTATGTCCAGATATTACAATAAAAGATGATGAAAGCTCAATATCACGTTGTACAAGGGGTGGAGGTTGTCCATTTGCTCATTCATATGAGGAAATAAATTATCATCCATTAATGTATAAGACAAGAATATGTGAACAATTTCAAAGAGGAGATTGTACAACATATTACTGTCACTTAATACATGGTTTAGCAGAAAGAAGAGAGACAAAAATTTATATATTGCCATATACACAAAATATTGATGTTCCAGATTATCCAGGAGTAATTATAGCAAGTAAGATTGATAAACAGCAATCTGGAAAAAGTAGTATTTCTATGTTCCTATCTAAAGATAATATTGATAATCATAAATCTTTCAATAGAAAATGGAGTGAACGAATACTTGATGAGGATAGTAAAGGGCAGTGTGAATTTCTGAATGAAAAGGAAAATATTAGTTGTGAAGATAAGGACTCGAATTTAATAAATGTTATTAGAGCTTTGGTTATGGATGATGATAAGGGTAATGGATCTATTAATACTGAACAATTATTATCTAAGGATTTGGATAATACAAAAACATCAAGATTAGGTTACAACTCTGATAGTAAATTTAGGGATAGTGAGAATTTTTCATCCAAAGTTCCTAATCAATATTTTAATGATGAGAATAATAATAGTAGTAATTTTTTTACTAGAAGATAATAACTTTTTTTTTGAAATAAAATGAATTAATTTATAGATATATCAATTATAGTTATATTATTTGGGAATAATAGATAAATTGTTGAAGTTTAAGGTGTAAGAATTCAATATGAATGAATAAATTTGGAGTTTTAGACTACATCTTATTTGTGCTGATATTAGAGTTTATTTTTTCTTCTTTTTAAAGGTTGTTTTATTTATAATATTTGGACTATTCCATAGAAATTATAGTGTTATATGTATATATATTTGTATTTGCTATTTAATATTATTGATTGCAATTTTAGGGTATATTTAAATATACTTTTTTTTTAATAATAATATTATCTTCTTTATTTTATTTAATTATTACTCATTACTATATATGTAATAGATCATTTTAATATATTACTAATTATACCTATAAATTTCGACTCATTAATTATATGCAGTAAGCAGAATATTTGAATTAAATCCCAAGAAAAAGTTGAGATAAAGTATGTATTATTTCCCTATTAGCTTCAGAGTATTACCTTAAAATATTAAGTAAATACATTTTGTTTTAAATAAGAATAATTTTTCTATACTCTTCCTTTTTTAAGAGAAATGTGTAAATTAACATATGTAATAATATAAAAGTTTTATAATATTCTTAATAATAATAGATTTTCAATATATAAATTCCATTTAGATTTACTCAAGATGCCATTTAAGTTTTTGAATATTCCCTAAAATAATATAGTGAGAAGGAAATTCACCTTGTTCAGAAAGACCAGGACACCAAACCTCGATTGAAGCAAGTGGAGTATTATTATTGCTTAGATATTGAACTGATATATCATCACTTAAAGGCTCTTCATGAACAGCTCGAATATGAATTATACCAGCTAAACTACTAATTGCAACGTTAGATGAATTTTTCGAATTACTAATTCCAGCAATAGCATTGATAAGACTTTTTAAAGGTTTATTAAATGGTACTACTTGAGTAGTATTTGCGATCATTGATACATCCTGATCAGCTGGTAAAGCAGAAGCAGGTAATGAAGTTATTTGTAGCTCAACAAGATGGCACCAAGTACTAGTTAGAATAGATCCAGGAAGGATTGAAGAAGTACCATCATCTTTCATTGGTACTACTTTTAATGTTATTGTATGAGGTCTTAGTGGATATTCTGGAGATCCAAAAAAATAAGATTTTAGACATTCTCGACGAATTTCAGCTAGTCTTTGTGAAGTAATACTAATTACACCATCAGATTTCGAGACTCCAACTACTGACACCTTAGGTAAAGATGTTAATACATCTTGATTGTTTAAAGTTTCACTTTCTTCATTTTTAGATTTTAGTTGTTTTTCTAGATCTTCATAATTTACAGGTTCTTTATAATCATATTTATCTGCAAGATAATGTTGAGTACTTGGATCATCCATTACAATAACTACATCAATATTAAAGATTGAAATAAGTTCTTCCAGTAATTCAGTTGAAGGTTGATATGGAGCATTAACTATAAAACCAGAGATGATACTATTAGTACCTGAACTATTTTGATTTCTTAAAAAAATAGCACCACTTAGTAGATGGCACAAATATAAATACAATTGAATATCATCAGTAACATTTAGATGACCAAAAAAAAATGCAAGGGAATCTTTAAGCTCTTTTCTATGAGGGAAAAATTCATCTACAATTGATGCTCCTATAATACCTGCTGGAAATTGCATATTAGGCTTATCTGTAGATCCTCGGGGATCTAATTCCACATACATATGTACATACCCTCTTCTAGCAGCATAATTACACAAAATTTGGCATAATGTAGATTTTCCTGAATTAGATGAACCAGTTATTAAAACCCTAGGGCCATATGTATTATGAAGTTTTGCATATTCTCTACGACTATCTAAAACCTGTATAACCTCCAGATAATCCTTCATACTTTTATTTATACCTTGATATTCTTGCTGTACCAGACCCTTTATTTGTATTATACATCCATGCCATGTATATATAGCTAATCTCGAAGAAGGAGCTATATTCATTTCTACATCAGGAGGTAGTTCAGCACCAAAGATCTCAGCAGAACTCATTATTGCTCCATCGTTAGTAGAAGATAGTGCAGGGGAGTATAGACGAATTGAGCATGGTTGATTAGAGTGAGCTATGATACGAAGCTCATTTCCAGCTTCTATCTTGTAAGCCCTTACTTGTGACTTTGAAATAGCATTAGAATCTAGCATTTAATTCATTTATTTAAACCAAAAAAAGAGAATTACAGCTAAGTTTTGTTATCTTCTATTCTTAGCTGAATAGTGTCTCAGTGTTCTCAGGACACAATATTTTGACGCGCCATTAGCCTTTAGCTTTAATCAAAGTTACAATTTTCTAATTAACCTCTGTTGTACCTTTGTCGCTTTCTTACTGGAAAATTGGAAGGATATGAATGGCTCTGTCTCAAAATAAGATAAATAATGGCATTTCTTGATATTGAAAATATAGACAGAGGGGGTTCACTTCGCATTTTAACTGCTTTCCTTGGAAGTGGATCAGTAGGAAATGACTTCAAATTACACTCCAGTGAAGCTGACTTTATAATTCTTAGATACAACATAGAGAGCAAATATTTAGTTGATGAATGGCTTGACATAAATAATTCTATATCTCAACAGTTCAATGTAATTTCTGATATTCAAGCCTCAGTTCTCCATTCCTTTCTTTATCGAATATTTGCTATATTCTACAAATTTAGTAGTAGTGTATATGAATGGCTTGGGTATAATAAATATCGTATAAAGCTTGAAAATACTTCTAATATTAATTTCGAGATATCTGACGAATACAACTTATTGCCACAGAATATAAATTTTTGGGAATTTGACGTCAGGAGCTGTAGCACACGGATAAGTCGTTTAATTGTAGGATCAATAAGCTTCACTTACTTTTCTGATAGGACAAAGCAGATGACTTGTATTAAATCTCTTCGATATTCACTAAAGGAATTAGTATGGAAAAATTTTCTTAGTGAACTTTTAACTGGTACTTATGATATTTCACAAGAAAATTGTACAACATTTGTGAATTTATCCAATCAAATGTCCATTGTATTAACAAGTACTTTTTATTGTAATGAAACTGAAGAAATTTTATCTTTAAATGGGCATGGGAGGCTTATTCCTTTATGTGGAGATTCAGTACATCCTTCGAGTCCCTGTTTTAAGAGTAAGGCATGTACACATATTCTGGATCACATTACATTTACTCAAGCTGATTTGTTTTATATGAATTCTGTATTTCCACCTAGAAAGGTCCTTGGACCAGATTTTCAAGAAATTGTGGTCCCTCTAGCAATCCTAGGCGACTTTGATAGTAAAACATACCTTGGAGATTCTGGTTACTTTGCATGTTCTAAACATCGTACAACATTTAGATTGGCCACTTCAATTCATAACCAACAAGTTTGCAAGGTGGAACATAATCAATCACATGTTAATATTGTGTTTATTTAGTTTCAATTTAAATTTACCATGTAAGAAATAACTGAAATTTCACCAGAAGCTAGGCGCTCTCTTTACCCGCCTTATTTTATGTTGAAATAAAATCTACATATTCTATGATTGAAACATAAATGTGGAATTTTGCTTCGGAAATTGTGTGTGGGTGTTTTCAGAATGATAATCCAATTCAAAGACTAATAGATGAAGTAAATGAGTTGAATATAAGGAAATATGGAGAGCTGAGCTTTGTAGGGGCAGCAGTTTCTACTCAACACAGACTTAAGCAACAGAAAAGTGGTATAAATGCAGATGCATGGTTGGTTTCTTGGAATCTATTAGGAGTAGCTGATGGTGTATCTTCTGTAGAATCGGAGGGTTATGATCCAAGTCAATTACCTCAGGAGTTACTTCGCAATTGCATTGAACTTTGCAACTTGCGTGAAAGTAATAGGATGAGATTTGATAGTGCTAGTGAAGCTATTTTTAGGAAACATGAAATTCCATATATATCTTATGAATTTTTGAAACAAATAGTTAGTAGATCATGCTGTAACTGTACCTCATATGGCTCAACAACTTGCTTACTTTGTTTTTTAGATGGAAACCAACTATGGATCACAAATGTTGGTGATTCTCAATTAATTATACTACGACCATCTAATTACCATACATGTGAATTACCAAAAATTCCAGATATTTCAGATTCATCCATTAGAAAACCTTTAACTGGCAACTCGAGGTGTAGATTACCGAATAATGTTATAATTGGTGGTTATCAAGTAGTAGCAAGGAGTGAAGTACAACAACACTTTTTTAACTGTCCATATCAATTAACAATAATGCCAGATCTTGACTGTTCAAGTGAGGAAATCCTTAAAAGATCTGCTAATTCTATACAGTCATTGCGTGTTGACGTTAACGTTGGAGATATGATAATAATGGGTACTGATGGTATTTTTGACAATATATTTGATGAAGATATGATCGATATTGCTAATAGAGCTGAGAAGAACTACAGTAATATTTATTATCATAATCCAATTCTCCTTGCTGATATTATTGCTAGAGAACTTGTTAATTTTGCACTGAAGGCAGCTGATCCAGTAGCTCCAGGATGCAAAGCAAAAGTAACACCATTTAGCGAAGGTGCACTAATTGATGTTAATCGTCATATTGAAGGTGGAAAACCTGATGATATTACCGTTATTGTAGCCTTTGTTCATTCAAATAATTCAACTAATAAGACAGTCACAGAACCAGCGATTTATAGAATGAATGACTACATCGGTAGCTCAACAAAATTTAATGATGATCCTTCAGTTTATATCATTAATGGTCAAAAATTCTCAAGTTCATGTTTTAAAGAGCCTTTCTCTATTTTGGATGACTTTTTTACAAAATCACACAGCGAAGATACTGGAAATACTTGTTCTAACGAAGCAAACAATGTTAACCATCTTCAAAGTCATACTTTAAAGCTAGAAACCCAGAATTATACTGACTTGAATATTAAGAGTTGCGATAACCCAGTTTCTCATCTAGAAGTGAAAATTAATGGTCGTAAAAGTTTCAAGTTATTTCAGCATCTAAAGAAGAAAATTTAAACATCTGTATAATTAGGTATGCCGTCTAGTAACAAGGTATTATAGTTGATTATATCTCATTTACTCGTTAATATGTCTTTAGTATCAGTGCTGATTCCTTTGGTATCAAGACTGTTAATTTATCCCCGACTTTCTTCCTTCTTTTTTCTGTCTCTTTTGATGTATTAAGACAAGTGCATAAAGAGACATTACTTGGAATGCCATTTATTTCTATTTCTCTATTTTCTACTCCAGAATTTATTGCAACAATCAGGTATTTTTCACCGTCTTTAATATATCTTGAGAATATTAGCACATGATGGTCTAAATAGTGCATCTTAAAGACTCCATTTGCAAATATATCTGAATTTACACTTCTTATGCTCAATAATTTATCAATAATTAATAGAAGCTGTTTTGAACACCATCCAGATGAAGTGCTTTCATATTCACTTTTAGTTATATAATTTACCCATTCTTGTGGGCATAAAGGGGGTTGACTTTTACCAGTTTCGTCTCCACATACAACGAGTGGTATTCCTGGGATTGTGAATAAAAGTGTGAAATATAATGCAAAATAAAAGGGAGTTCCAAGTCTTTGAGAAATGGAAATATTGAAGTCGGATGTAGTAACAAATAATTGATTCTTGTAACAGCCATATATTTCATTAAATTGTCTGTCTATATTATGTCCAATTTCATACATATTATTATCAGCAAAACAGGACCATAAAGCTTTCTGTATTTCAGTATTTAACACTGCACTAAATTTTTTATTTATAATATCTCTTGGAGAACAGGAAATAATAGCTTTTCCACTTAATAGTTCCCATTTAGAGGCTATTTCATCATGCTTGCTTAAAATTATTCCATCGAAATTACTGTAACTAAACTCAATTTCCGAATAAATTAGTAGCTTGATAGTACCATTACTTTTACTCTTAATCTGATTAACAAACTGCTCTATAACACTTTTATAAATTTCCTCTTCACTACTTTCTATATAACCCAGAGCTATGGTAGGAAATTTAAGAGAGCAGATATATGTTGTAAAAGTATCAATTATGTTGTAGTCTGTTCCTATACGTTTTACTGGTATATAGTAGATACTTGTATTTTTAAACCAACGCATCACAGACTTCTCTTGTTCTATATATTTATGTTGCTCACATTCATTTTCTTTTGTTTGTTCTTGTATCTCAATATCACTTTGAACTCTTTGGTTAATCAAAGTTAGCGATGGCGAAAGTAATGGTGGTGTATTAACTTCTTCTACCCAGTAAGGTTCCAATTCCTTCACAACAGGGCTTCCGTTAGATTCATTGAATGGGAGTATTGTGGGTATATATCTTACATAATTTTCTTGTGTATATGATTTCAACCTTCTATAACATAAATTAGGTAAAATTGTTGGAATTATACATCCCCAAAAGGGTTGTAAAGATATATTGATATCTCCTTCCACACTTTTATATGAATTTGTAGGATGAAGAATATCTCTCCAGTAACCATTAGGACCTTTCCACTTTATTTTGAGGTCTTCAATTGGTAAGGAATCAATATTAATTACTATTAATACTTCAGTCATATCTACTTTGCGTTTGAATGCAAACTGCTTCTGTGTATTGCTTATAAATTCATACTCACCTCTCTGTAGAGCAGGGCCCAGCATTTCATCATCCCTCAAAGTTGATAGGAATCTTACCAATTCTAGTAGACCACAAAGTTTGCTTGATCTAATAGTTGTCAATTCTTCATAGCTTAGTGCTGGTCTTAATGGGAAATCAGCTTGTCTTCCATGTCCTTTCATCCCTTGCCAACCAAACTCACTGCCATAATATATTGATGGTGAACCAGGTAGAGTATATAGTAAAATGAAAATAGTACCGAGATAAGCTTGTCTAGATAGTTGGGACGCAATTCTAGTGACATCATGATTGTCTAAAAAATTATATAACCAGCCAAATTTAAATAAGTTATCTTCCCTTTGTAATGTATGTACTAGTTCAAATAAATTCAGATCATTATGACTAGACCATAAAGCCTTCCACAATGCATAGTTTGTTATCCCATCAAAAGGTCCAGTTTTACTTGAGGTTTTTGATTTAGATGGGCTACAATTAACCCAAGTAGTATAATCACCATGTATTATCTCTCCTAAAATTGCAAAACCTTCCCCAAAACTACTTTTGCAATAATCTCTAAACAAATTCCAAAATCCAATCGATATACAATCTGCAGCATCTAGTCTTATCCCATCAATGCAAAATTCGTCATGCCAATACTTTACTACTTCAAATAAGTACTTCTTAACATTTTCATTCTCATGGCATAATTCAGGTAGTTCATAATACCCTCCCCATGCGGAGTAATCAAAGTTGTCGCCATAAGGAGATTGTTTATTAAAATCAACTCCTTTAAACCAGTTACAATATTTAGAATTCTTGCCATTGCATCTGAGATCAGCAAATGCAAAGAAATCCCGGCTTACATGATTAAAAACTGCATCAACTATTACTCTAATTCCAATAGAATGATACTTTGATACGAGGGTTTTAAAAGTGTCTGAATCTCCTAGTCGCTGGTCTATTTCATAAAAATTAATGGTATCATAGCCATGTGTAGATGATTTAAACAAAGGCCCAATATAAACCCCCCCAATATGTAAATCTTTTAGATGATTAAGCCATTCATTACCATAAAGAACTTCCATCCTTCTTTCTATTACTTCATTTTTATTATACCTTGGAGCTCCACATAACCCTAGTGGATATATATGATACCATATACTTTGTTTGTACCAATCATCCTTATTATTATCCATATAATAATTGAATCTTTTCATTTTAGAGATAGTTTTTACTGATACTATATCAAAGCAAGTAAGGAAAAAGAATAACCTAAAAATACAAGATACCGGTGCATGCATGTATAAAACCGCTCTAGGAAGACTTCAGACCACATAACTCTAGAAATTCCGTTTTATATAATTTTATATAGAAAATGGAATTTTAAGATATATATAATTAATATTAAGATCTAAACTGCAGATATAGATGGTTTTAAATGATTGTGAATCAGTAATTGATAATCCCCGTATTTGTAAGGCTCCAGAATCTGCTTCATCAGAGGATGATGTCTCTGTAACAAAACTAATTGAGATACTAGATGATTTATCCATTAGTAAATTTAGAGAAGAGACAATTAATTCCACTGATATTTCTCCAGATAGTAGAGTGCAAAGTAATAAAAAAGAATATCAAAATAAGGATATTTACTCAAAAACTAAATGCAACTACCTTTCAAATATCTATAATTCTAGAAAGCCAATTAAAATAATAGAAGACTTAGCTTTAGTTCCAAACAAAACCAAACAGGAGTCTGTAAATGATGGAATCATAGCTAACCAAATTGATGATTTATTCTTTTCTACTGTCCCTTTGTCAAAGACAAGTACAATTGACAACTACTCATTAAATACTTCAAATAAACCCCCATGTTTACTAGTTAATGGCTGGTATTGGAGTCCAGAGAAATCTGAGTACTTTCTAGCGAGTCATTCAGGTAGGTTGAAGCGTAAGCTCTATGTATCACCAAAGATATATTGTAAAATGAAAGACTACCCACACGAATATGATGGAATTAGATGGCTTTGGGAGAGGGTACGTCAAGGAGAAGGAGGAATATTAGCGGATGAAATGGGACTCGGAAAAACTGTTCAAATCTCTTGCTTTATTGGAGCTTTATTTAGATCAGAATTAGCAAATTTTTTTCTTATTATACTTCCTGTAAGTTTAATACAGCAATGGAAAGAAGAGTTAAATATTTGGTGTCCAAAAATACCAGTATTTATATATCATGGAAGTACTAAAGATAGGGAATTGGCTTTAGAAGAATTATATAATTGTGGACATGGTGGCATTTTAATTACAACATACAACACATTAAGACATGATGAATCTAAATTAAAATCAATTCCCTTAAACCTTACAAAATGCCAATTTTTCCGGAACTTTAATGGGTTAAAAATTTCTTTAGAACAGTATACTTTAGAGATAAAACAAAATCAAAGGATAGTTAAGGATAAAAATATTGGTAGCTTGAGGGATATACAGACTCCTGGAAATATCCTTGAGATACCATGGGATATTGTGGTAGTTGATGAGGCTCATAAACTTAAAAATAACAAGACAAAACTGTTTGAAACTATATATAAAATTCAGAGCCATTCAAAAATATTATGTACTGGAACTCCAGTTCAAAATAGACTAAGTGAATTATGGTCTTTAATTCAATGTGTAAAACCTGGGTTACTAGGAAATACTTTACAGTCATTTAATAATAAATACTGCAGATATCTTAATAAGCTTGGCGATAGAGATCTAACTATAGAGGAGAAAACTTTATGTCAATCTGTGATTAATAATCTCTGTAATACAACTAAACCCTACATATTACGTAGGACAAAGAAAATCATTGACCAGAAAAATGAAACTATTAATAAGCTAAATAGATCAGATAAATATAATATATATCAAGCTTCTACATATTTAAAAAGTGAAATTAAAAAATATGATATAGCCTTATGGCACAATCTATCTGCTGAACAATCATCTATATATTTGGAGGTTCTTGATAGCTGCATAGTAAGGAATATATTGGAATTTCGTGAATTATCAACTAAAGAAAATAGCCATATTCTGGAGATTATATCAATACTATTAAAAATATGTAAACATCCTGCTTTTGTATTGCAAGATCAATTTCAAATTTGGAGAACCCTACTAAAAAATAACAACTATTTAAATTGTGAACTGCAAGAACAAAAAGTAAAAATAAATAATTTGATTTCACCTTCATCTATAGTCTACAACTTAATACAAACAGATATTAATCTACTGAGGGAGCAAAGCATGAAGTTACAAATATTGTGGGTACTTGTTCCAGCACTAACAGCTAGAGGTCATAAAATACTCATTTTCAGTGAAAGTCTTGATATGTTAAATTTGATAGAATTAACTATTCTTACCCCCAAGCAAATTAAATGGATAAAATTAGAGGGAAAAGTCCCAAAAAAACAAAGAATTTCTAGCATTAGATCTTTTAATGAGCAGAAGGTATGTTAAAAAAGGTATATTTTGTTCTAAGGAAATTTAAAACCCTTATACTTGATATTTTAGGATATTCTAGTTTTATTACTATCTAAACAAATTGGATCTGTAGGCTTAAATCTAACTACTGCAGATAGAATTATAATCGTTGATCCACACTGGAATCCGGCTCAAGATGACCAAGCAATAGGAAGAGCCTTCAGAATAGGCCAAAAAGAAGATGTAGTTGTATATAGGTAAGAAAACTTCATATTCTAACTATTAAACTGTTTATCGCACTTTATATTTGCAGATTAATATCAAGTGGTGCAATAGAAGATTGGAAGTTTAGACTTCAAATTCATAAGGCAGGAATAGCTCATTTTTTTTTACATGGTCAAAAACAAAAGGTGACATTTACGAATGAAGAATTAGCTTTTATCTTTTCTTATTTTAGGCCAGATAGTTGTGAAACACAAAATATATTAAGTTCTATTAGTAGTGATACAGATTACTATGAAAAGTTGAAAGAGGATCTTGGTGATGAAATAACTAAGTTAGAACCAATGGTGATTGGATATCTCGATTGTGCAAATATCTGATGATGAGCTGATATCCTAGTAAATATTTTCTAAATACTGATATTAATATTTTATAAAACAGCTATACTTTTAGCTAAAATATTTTGAATAAGTTGGCGCTTCAATGGGTATTAACCTATATTAGTAATGTCTTGACTGGCATTATAGATTAAAGAATGGATAATCCCAATTTTTTACAATACTTTTGGGACTTAGGTAATTGTGATGAAGAATCATGTATGTCAGCAATAGAAGGAGTTATATCAAATATAAACTTGTCAGGAAATACTGAAAACAAGGATTGTGACAAGATAGACAGAAATAGAAATCTTGTAATACTACCATCTTCTATTGAAGGCAGCAGAGATTTAGAATATACCATAAATCGTTTAATAAGAGGATTAGAGTCACCTAGAGAGTGTGTAAGGCGTGGTTATAGTGCCTGCCTATCTGTATTACTTTCTAAATATACAAAAGTTCCAACATCAACTATTTTATCAGGTATTGAAAAACACTATTTGGAAAGTATTAAAAAAGAATTAAAATCGAAAGGTAAAACAAGTTCAAATACAGTAGGAGATTTAAGAGATAGAATAATTGGTCTTTTATTAGGCTATATAGTAATAATTCGAACTGGTTTCTTTAAAACAAAATTATCCCAACCTTATATAGAATCTATATATGAAAATTTATGGTTAATATATGACATAAAGATTTATCTACAGGATATGATATGTGAAATTTTATACAGAATAACAGTAGATTTTTCTGAAATTGATCCAATACTTTGTATTAAATTTGTTTCCCAGAAGATCCAGAAATTATTTGATAATATAAATCCCAATAATGAACCCATGATATATGCATCTAGATTATCGATATTGATGCTATACTTTAGATTAAGACTATTTGCTGAAAAAAAAACTGATTTTATAAAAATTACATTACCAGAATATATGAATGATTTAGACGACTTGGCAAAAATTACTATCTCTACTAATTCAAGATGGAAAGATTGGAAACAACTTTTGTTTTCTAATAATCCATTAGATAAACTTCAAAGTAGTATAATTTTGAAATATTTGGAATTTTGTACATTCTTTCATCCTAGATTACCACTAGTAATTGATTATCTTTTGGAATATGTAATACAATCCCCATATACACCTTCACCAATTGCAAAGCTGGCTATACATAACATTATTGACTCAATAGAGAAATTTTATTTTGATACTAACTCACTACATCAAAAACACTTTACTGGAGCTAGAATAATTCTTCATATTGCTCTTAAATGCAGATATTTTTTTAATTTAGGGAATTCAAATTTAAATATCAAAGATATAGAAAGTATATTTAGTAGATTGCTATCTTCTGAATCAAAATGTACTACTTGGTTTATGAGATCATGTATATATGGTAACAATTCATTATTATTTTTTGCAATATTTTATGTTGATACATTAATAAATATTGTAATTGGTAAAGATCATAATACAAAGGAATTTGTAAAATCCAAAAATAATGAAAATATAGGCAATTTTTCCTTTAATAGTGAATATACTGATATATTTGGAAACCCCAATAAATTTAATGATAAACCATCTCTACAATCCCTTGACTATAGCACTATATCTCAAGTATTTTGGGATAATTACAATTCTTTAGATGATTCAACAGTTAAAAAAGTTGTAGAAAGTACACAAATGATTGAAAAAGAAATAAAACTACCCGAAGAAATAAGGAGTAAGATGTTTTGGAGTTGTATCAATGCTATCTTTGGTAGATCAAGCCAAAATTTGAAAATATTATTGAAGAATCTTATACGTATAATTCCCAACTCCGAGCCATTGGAGAAAACAATAGAGTGTGGATTTAAACTTGTAAAAATAGCTGAAAAAGCAGACATTAATAAGTATATTCAAGATAATAATGAAGATGATACAAATCTAATTAATACAAAGTGGCGTAAACGCCAATGGGTTGATAATGTTTTATTCGAGATAATACAATACAGAGAAAATATACTACAAATACAAGAGGATATATCGGGACTTATCCACTTACTTTCAGATTCTATTGAAATTATCAGAAGCATTATATCTTATGGAGATAATAATTCTGATTGGTCAGAGTTATATTATCAAGCATCTTTCCCAAGATCAGAGAAGACAATTTCACGTTTAACTCAACAAATTTTAGAAAAATTATTGAATATAAATGATAATATTACTTCTGATATACTATCAGAATTAAGCTTGTACAATCAAAAAGTTTATGAACTTATAAAAGACTTTAATCCAAATAATAAAAACAGTGATGAGAATATACCTTTCATGAAAAAATATAAAAATTATCAAATGAAGAAAATAGAAAATTGTACTCAAATAGGATTGACACTTTTTACAAACTCTTTATCTATTTTATATATAACAAATGGATCAAATATAATTGAATCATTCATTATGGAACTTTTTGAAATTAGTGAAAAAGAATTTTTAAATAAAACATTAAGTCTTTTGTTTACTTTAGAAGATAACTTCAAAGAATCTAGTGTATTAATAGCTGGAATCCAGAATATGGTACAATGTTTAATAAAATTCCCAATAATTATTAGTGATAATGATGCTGAACAAATAGTTTTGATATCTCAGAGAGTCTCACAACTTCCTGATTTCTGGAATGTGGATGCAGGAACATTTGGAGAATATGAAGATGAAGAGGATATTGAGATGAATAATGATAATTGTGAACTTAATTCCAATACAAATTATTCAGATATTGAAGATAATTCATATATTGAAGATAATACAGATATTGAAGTTGGAGAAAATCTATCAAGTGATATACAAATGGATCAAAATGACACCATTCTATTTGGTCAGGAATCTACGTTAGCTTATTTATTAGATGATGATGTACCTCTTCCACCTATACACCAAAAACAATTACAAATCAAGGATATGGAAAAACAGAATATTGCAGATATTAATGTGATTATGCAAAATAAACTTCGAGCATTAGATATGATATATTCCATCACAAATACAATCATTATTTGTAAGCCAACATCTAATTCTATATTAGCAATTTTACGTTCTTTAATATTATTACTGGAGGGATATCGTGTTGGATGCAGACATTCACTTTACTATTCAATGAAGAATATACTTTCTGTATTTTATGATTATACTAATAAACTCAAGAATATATTTACTAAAATATTACAATTAAATATATTCAAAGATCCTATTTATATTGATGGTATTGGAGATATTGCAAAATTACTTATGCATATTTTAAGTAAACCTATTGTTGAATCACAAACATTAAATCGTTGGAATAAAAAAAAAGGTGATAAATCCATGAAAAATAAATTAGATCATTTTACTAAGCAATTAGAAAATATCTCTATTTCACTAATTACTATTCTAATCAAATTTGATATTGATGGAATTCAAATGGGACATATATTTAATAATACAATTAAGTCCTGGATAAACCAAAAGAAGTGTGGAATTATTACATCTCCTTATATTCTTAAACTAATACAGCGTATCCCACCAAAATTCTTAGTAAAAAATACTCTTTCAAATTTTAATGAAATTACACAGTGCTCAAAAACATCGTTTCAGCTCCGTGGATATCTCTTTATTATGAATAGAATATTATCACTTTGTAACAAGGAATTAATTGCTGAAGATATCTCTACTAAGGAAATTATTCAAACTGTTAAGATTCTCATTCTTCATGTAATCTCAGATACTGAACAAGATCACTTTACTAATATTAAATTCAATACTTCATTACAGAAAATTGAATTTTTAAGAATAACAATACTACTTGCTAATTCATTGTCAGTACTCCCTAATAATAATATGCAAGTATGCGAATTACAAGATGTACTAAAAAGTGCATATGAATATACAACACAAATTCTACAAAGTACTAATCAAAGTAAAGTGAAGAAGCAGCTTAACAAGGTTAAAACTCTTCTACCTGATCAAAAAAGGATTAAGTTGTAATTTAACTATTATATATCTATAGATATCCTACTGAGTCTTTATTAATAAATTAATTAAAATAAATATACAACTTATTGAGTATTTATATTATCATATATATTATTAATGATTCTAGGATAATAGGAGTTAATCTAAATTGGCTATTGAATACAAATCCCAAAGATATTTCCTAGTCACTTTGTAATTTTAATATTAAATATCTCCTCAGTATTAATATTTTTATTCCACTATTCCTTACTGATTCATATAAATATTCTTGATCATTTAAGTTCTACAAATAATTAGCAGGGAACACGATATAACTAACTTGTCCTTAGGTACAAAATCTACTTTTTGTTCAACTAAGCGCCTAAAAAACCGCTGAAATGTATTTAGGATAAGGGTGTGATTATTATACTTTATACATTTTCGATATATGAACTTATAATGGCAAAGTGTAGAAAGAAGAAAATTGTTGATAACACTTCTAATTATGGGGAAGTAGTAAATTTTTGTCAAAATGGAGGAGAAAATTTTGAAGTCTCTGATATAGAACGAAATTCTATTTCAAGTGGATCCCCGCCTTCTGTGGAAAACTATAAACTTGAGAACTGTTCTTTATTCTCAAAAACAAAACTAAATAAACTGCAAAGATGCTCTAAGAATAAAAAATTTATAAAAGAAGATATCAAGATAGTAAATAGAGACTTGGATTTTTTAAGTTCTTATGATATTAGAAAGTCAACAATATCACCCTTCCCGTATCACACACCTAATAAAATATGCATGCTTGAAAGTTTATCAGATAAACGATTGTTTAAAATAGATGTATACTCTGAGGGACTAAAAATTGGTAGATCTTCAGAAAGTGATTTACCAAGTAATATAAATCATTGTAAATTGCTAATATTATCCAGAAATCATGCCTGTATATATTGCAAGTATGATAATTTTGGATCTATAAAAAATATTTACTTAGTAGATTGTGGATCAGTAAATGGAACATTTGTCAACAATAAAAAAATTAAACATGTTATCCTTAAAAATGGAGATATTATCAGCTTTGGATCAAAGCACAAATTTAATGAGAAATGTACAAATATATCAGCAATATTATCTGAGTATAATCCTTGGACATACAGAATTATTATATAATAATATCTAAATTAATATGTAGACACTTTGATTTTATTTAACAATAAAGTCATATTTATAACGATGAAGTACAACACTTAGTCATGACTTTTTTCTTCCTTGAAATGAGCCATAATTTAAATATTTTATTTCATGGAGAATAAAAAATAAATACATAAAACTTGTTATAGATTAGTATTAGATTTATTTAAACTACTTATAATTTTCAGTTAATAAATTCTAGAGAGTTAATTAGTAGATTTAATGATACTCTCAGATATCAATAAAACTCATTAAAAATATATAATTACTACCTATTCTAATATTGTTAGATTATTAAAGTAAATGAATTTTGTAAATATTCTTCATTTGCAATAATATTAAGTACCTATAATAATATACCAGAAGCTAACTGCTACTTTTGAGATATCAAGATCACTTCAAAGTTTCAAAATTCACAAGTACTAACAAATTTGTAACTTTTGTGATTATCTAATATTGTAGATATATATTTCAAATAAAGAATTTAATATACCTGATTATATTTTTAAGAAAATATTATGTAAAATTGGAATATTCTGTTATTAATAGTAGGAAAAAGTTAAAGTCTTGCAAAAAAGTAGCTTATTTAAAACTATTAGTAGACTTATTTTCTGAGTAAATGATATTGAAAGTTTATTAACATTCTTAAATCATATTAATTATATATATAAATTTTAATTTACTGGTATATCTTTTCTTGAATATTTAATAATAATTATATCTGAATTTGAGTTATATTGTTAATCTGAAGTCAAGAGTATTTAATAGTAATAAATTTATCTTAAAAAAAAGATTATATATTGTATAATATTTTTTTGTGGAATGAAGATATTTTAGTAAATTAAATGCTTATGATTATACAAAAGAAATATAATTGAATTTATGTTAATTTAAATTACATTTTATCTCTTAACTTTAGATTTTTTAATTATATCATTAATCTTTATAGCAGCATGATCCATTTCTTTTACATGAGCAAAAAGTTTGTTCCTAGATTCAAAAACACTAGTACAAACCAAACATTTCCAAGAAGAATCCTCTTTTAAGCAAGATTTCTCATTTGTAAACTTATCTTTATTCTTATTCACTTTTCTTCTCTGTTTTTTGTTAGTTTTAAATTTATCATCAGATTCAGATAAAATTTGAAAAATATTTTCATCATTTTCTGCTGATTCATGAACAGTAGAGTCATCAATATTTATATTTTTAATTAAATCTAATACCTCCCCTGCTTCAAACTTATTTTTATCTAAAGAAATTGATGAATATTTAACTGAATCTTTAAAGTTCGGTTCTGAATATTCTGTTTGACTAATACAATTTAAGTCAGTATTATTCAAATGTAAATGATCTTTTTTATGGATATTTTTAGTGGATGATGGTTTCGATAATTCAGTTTTATTTTTAGGAACTTTCGATAAATGCTTTTTACTTTTTATATGAGTGTTGTATTGGGGTTCACTTTTGAAAGTTTTATTGCAAGGCTTACAATAATAAATAATTTGTTCTTCTGCAGAACTTTGTAAATCATCTGAAGACTCATAAAATTCTCCATATGCAAGTTTACGCTCTTTTTCAAGCTCTTCCATTCTTTTGATCTCTTCTAATCTAGCTTGTTCACGTAACTCACTTCTTCTAATTTCTTCTAACTTCTTTTTTTGCTCTTCTAAGTTTATCTTTCTATTAATTTCTTCAGTCTTATTGCGCATATACATAATAACTCTTGGATCACGCTTCTTAACATAATCAACTAGACGTCTGACTGTCTCATTAAAACTTTTTTTGGCTTTTCTCCTTTCTTTTATATTTTCAGCTTCCATTGTCCTTCTAACCTGTCTATTAGGAGCCTCAGTTAAATTCCATAAATCTTTCCAACCAAAACTCTTATTTGTAATGAAATTACTCCAAAACCTATAAAATATCATTATATCATTTAGATCTGTTTTAGATGTCCCGAATTTGGGTGCATTTTGCCAGAATTGACCTTCTGAGCTATTTTCGCCGACATAAAATAGTTCATCTTTGACAATTTCTTCAAATACATTATAATATACGTTATAAAAGCCTTCAATGCTATCATCAAATTCTGTAAAAGCATCTCTGCTAAAATATTTCCATAAATTTAAAGTTGAAACACTTTCTATATCTTCATTTTCTTCTTTACCAGATAAGATTTGTTTCCTATGTGAATCATACCAAGCTCTCTCTTTAGGATCGCTGAGTACTTCATGTGCTGCAGATATCAACTGAAATTGATGTGTAGCTTCTTTAACCCTATCTCTATTTTTATCAGGATGCCATAATAAAGAGAGTTTCTTGTAAGCTTGGCGTATTTCTTCATTACTAGCCTTTATATCCACTCCCAGTATTGAATAGTGACACTGTTTCATTGCTATATAATAGTAACAATAGTTTTAATTCTAAAGTTTTGATTTTATTATATGAAAAGTTAAGCGCAACTCCAGAAATTATTCAAGACTGAACTATGATTATTAAATATTGGAAGTCTAAATATCAATATTCTATACGAACCAATAGTTTTAACTAATACAATCTCAAAATAATCAAAATTTCTTTTCCTAGTACCCTTTTATTTTGTAATTTCACTGTTTTTTACACATTAGATTTAGTTTGTCTCAAATATCATTCCACAAGACTTATGAACTGCAATCTGTACTCGTTTTCTTTAAGTTATAAGGAGATTATACAAATTTAGTAGATAATGAGACAATCTTAAAACTATCTATACGCTTTTCAAGATTTACTAATTTCACTTAATATACTGGTTTAGGGTTTAGCTAGATAACATTTTTAGGCGCCAATATAGTACTTTAATATATAAGGGTATCGAAAATTTTCAAAGGTACTCCCGAGTCATCCAAGACAACTTTTTTTCTATGTTGTGAAAAAAGAAAATGGACGAATATGAGAAGCATAAGAGGTTTGCATATAAATTCAATAGTAATTTAGTCATTCAGACAAATCAAAGAAATCGTGAAAATGCACCTAGTGGAGAAGCAGAAAGTCTTGTAGGCAAGATAAAGTACAAAATGGGCGATTTAGCTTTGTCCTCTAAGCCTAAGAAGTCTGTTGAGAAAAATAATGTAAAACATTTACGAAGGAATAAAATAGATAACTCTGAAAAGATTAACATTTTAGATATAGATATCAATAGTTACAACACATATACTCCTACTACTGTGGAGACAAGAGTAGTATATGAAGAATTCTTAGATAATCTAACCGATATTATGGGATCACAGCCTGGAAATATACTAAAAGATACTTTATTTGAATTGATGACTATATTGAAGGATGAGGAAATTGTTGAGGATGAGAAACTGAGAAGATGCTCTGAAGTTTTAGGTGATATATCTATTGATGATTTTAAAAAAATGTCTCAACTAGGACGTAAACTAACTGATTTCAATCCAAATTTGGATGATGAAGTTCCAGAGAATGATGATCCTCTCGGTGTTGCAGTAGTATTTGACGAGGATAACTCTAATGACCAAGAAAGGGATTACTTAGGTATAATCCAAGATGGGAGTGATGAGGATTATGTTGAGGAGGATATAAGTGAAGATGAAGTAGCTGATGAAAACAATTTAGAACAGGAGTATGTGCGAAGAATAGAAGATAAAAGTCAATCTAAGACTGAGAAAGATAATTATGAAGTAGAGATACATAAAATAGATGCTTATTGGCTTCAGCGAGAACTTTATAGTATATTTAAGGATGCAGAAAAATCACTAGAAATGGAAAAGTTGATTTTAGATATTTTAAAAAATGATGATTCTCAGGAATGTGAAAATTCTCTAGTAACTCTCTTTAACTATGAACACTTTTCATGGATAAAAACTATATTAATGAACCAATGGAAAATATACTATTGTACCCTATTAGGTCAAGCTTCTTCTGAAGATGAACGTGCTAAAATAATTGAAGAAATGAAGAATCATCCTGAGGGTGCAAATGTACTTGATTTAATAAATAAACCCACCATTTGGAAAAGCAAAGATTTCGGATTTCTTAATTCAATAAAGAAACAGATAGAAGAGAGCCATATAGTTTCTGCTGAAGATAGAGATGTTAATAGTGAAAATAAGAAGTACATGAGTGATATTATTGACTTTGATCAGTTATATATGGAACAAACTACGAATTCCAATATTTCATCTAAAGTAGTACTTCCAGAAGGATCAGAGAAAATAGAAGGAAAGGAATATGATGAAATTATAGTACCATCCTTAAGGATTAAACAAAATGAAAATATCAAGGTTGTTTCAATTGATGAATTACCAAAATGGTGTCATCCTTGTTTTAAGAGTGTTGGAATTGAAAGATTAAACTTAATTCAAAGCAAAGTTTGCAATGTAGCTTTAAATGAAAGTGATAAAAATATTTTAGTATGTGCTCCTACAGGATCGGGGAAAACCAATATTGCTTTATTATGTATTCTGAATACTTTGTCTCTATTTATGAGAAAAACTTCTGAATTTTCAGTTAATGAAGAATTTAATTTTGATACTTCTAAATTTAAGATTGTTTATATATCACCTATGAAAGCTTTGGTTACTGAACAAGTTGAGTCCCTAAGGATTAGACTAAGACCACTTGGAATTGTTGTAAATGAAATGACTGGTGATACTAGAGTGAGTAGATCATTGATGGAATCAACTCAAATCTTTATAACTACTCCAGAAAAACTGGATGTAATTACAAGGAAGATGAGTGATGGATTGTCAGATGTATTAAAACTTATAATTATTGATGAAATTCACATGCTGCATGATGCACGTGGTGCTGTATTGGAAGGCTTAGTTGCTAGATTTAAAGATAATGAAAGTCAAGTAAATTCACTCTTGAAAAACAAAATTAGACTGGTTGGACTTTCCGCTACATTACCAAATTACCTTGACGTTGCAAGATTTCTGGAAGTTGATCCAAGAGTTGGTTTATTTTATTTTGGACCTGAATATCGTCCAGTTCCACTTAAACAAACTTATATTGGGATTAGAGAAAAGAAAGGTTTCAGAAGGTTGCAAATGCTAAACAGTATATTATATGAAAAGATAATGAAAAGTGTTAAAGAACACCAAATACTAGTTTTTGTTCATTCTAGAAAAGATACCATACAAACTGCAAAGTTTATACGTGATAAAGCTACAAGTGATGGTTTGCTTAACTCTTTTTTCCCTGGAAATAGCAACGTTAGCCGGGAAATTTTACTAGATGAATTAAGTGGTATAAAATCTGATAATTTAAAAGATGTATTACCATGTGGAATAGCCATTCACCATGCAGGACTTCTCCGTACTGATAGAAAGATAGTTGAGGATTTGTTTGCTGATGGTCATATCCAGATTCTAGTTACAACTGCAACACTAGCATGGGGAGTCAATTTACCTGCACATACTGTAATAATAAAAGGAACTCAAGTATATAAGCCAGAAACTGGGCAATGGAGTGAATTATCTCCACTGGATATATTTCAAATGATTGGTAGGGGAGGGAGACCTCAATATGATATAGATGGTCATGGAATAATTATTACAGATTATCAGAATCTTACTTACTATTCTTCTCTTTTTAATCAACAATTTTATATTGAATCGCAGCTTATAAGTAAATTACCGGATCTAATTAATGCTGAAATTGTCCTTGGGAATATACAAGGAAAATTGGATGTGCTAAAGTGGATTAAAAAGACATTCTTATATATTAGACTAAAAAAAAATCCGAAGTTATATGGTTTGAATGTGGACTCATCTATAACTATAAATACATGTATAAGGGATACCACAGAGGACATTACTACTGAATTAAATGATGAACTAATAGAAAATTATTGTACTCGTATGGCAGAATCTGCACTACTTACTTTAGATAAATTAGGTGCTATACAATATGACTACAGAACGGATATTGTTATACCTTCTTTACTTGGACAAATATCTTCATTATATTACTTAAGTCCAGAAACAGTACAAGATCTTGAAAAACAATTATACCCTCAAATAAATGAAATTCAGCTTTTTAGACTTTTATCTTTCTGTAAAGAATTTAAATTTTTACCTGTAAGGAGTGAAGAAAAATCTGAACTGGAAAAGTTAGTAAATAAGGTACCAATACCAGTGCAAGGTACAGGCGAAGATATTGACACAAGCATGAAGGTAAATGTCTTGATTCAACTTTACCTTTCTGGGTCAAGATGGATCAACTCTAAGTTGACATTATTAGCTGATTTATATTCAATTGTACAAGCATCTCCAAGAATATGCAGAGCTCTTTTTGATATAGCTTTAAGAAAAGGCTGGTCAGGAACTGCAAAAAAGGCATTAACAATAGCAACGGTAAGTTGATTCATATTCATCTAGCTTATATCTCCTAATAATGATGAACTCAACGTTAATAATCTTGTCACTACCATTGATAAATAAAACTGGAACAAAGTTTCAGAAGTTTTATTAAATGAAACTGTTGACGTTTTAAATCTGAATTTTCACTGTAGTACATATATCTAATATTACTACAAACTACTATTTGTTCTCTAAATATATAAAATATAAAATATTTCTTGTTTCTAGATGATTGAAAGGCGATGTTGGGAAGCAATGTGCCCTCTTAGACAATTTAAAGGTGTATCTGATGATATAATTAAAAGATTAGAGAAGAAAGATATCCAATGGAATAAGTATTATGATTTTACTTCACAGCAATTAGGTGAATTATTGAGATCAAACAAACTAGGTACGTTTAATCAACTTTTTATTTATAATATAAAGTGATGATTCAAATATATTTGACAAGCATATGGCTGAATCATTTGATTGAATATCCCATATGGGATATTATCAGATATACTGATGCAATATTTGATTCTGATTTACTTTATAAATATTAATCTAGTGTCAAATGAGCAAATTATACTTTTAATTATCTTTCCGAAAATTATATAGGTCCTGGACTTTATAATTTAATACGTAAAATACCAAAGATAGAACTATCTGCTACTGTTCAATCAATTAATAATACTATATTACAATTTGACATATTAGCTAGACCAAAGTTTAACTGGGATTTTAATATTCATGGTCAACCAATAGATGGGAGCACTTCAATTGAAACAAATACTACTGGAGAAACATTTTGGATATTTATTGAAGATTGCAACGGAGAAAAACTATACTATTCAGAAATGATTATTATTAAGCCTCCACCAAATCTTTTTAATTATACAGATGAAGTAAAGCTTGATCAAAAACATTTATTATCATGCCATATATTTATTGATCATCCTCTACCACCAGTTTTATTTATTAGAGCTATTGCTGATCGTTGGCTACACTCAGAAACTTATATTCACATATCACTTCAAAAAATAATATTACTACCTAAAGAAACACCATTCACTGAACTATTAGATTTACAACCTATGAAAATTGAAAGTGCATTTAGAACAAAACAATCTATATCATACATAAGGAAAGCTATTGAATTTGAAGATATATATATGGATAGAAAGGAATTTAATATGAACGAGATTACTACATTTAATGCAGTGCAAACACAATTATTTAATATATTGTATAATTCAAATACAAATTTATTTATAGCAGCTTCACCAAGATCTGGGCAATTTATATGCACTTGTATTGCAATATCAAGACTATTAGAGAACCTTGAAGAACCTAAATTCTTCAAAATATTGTATTTATGTGGAAATCCAGAAATGTTACCTTATAGAGCAAATAAACTCAAAGCAGTATTTGGTGATATAGTTGGTGAATTTGCTGGGAATGTTAATGGAGATGTTGAAAAAACAGATAAATATCCTTTGATTATATCAACATTTGATTACTGGGATAAAGTATCTAGAAAGCTTGTTAAAGCTAGAGCACTACTGAGAAATCTGAAACTATTGATAATTGATCATATTGAATTATTATCAACTATTAAATATGGTCCAATTATTGAGTCTACAATATCTCGTATACGCTATTTGATATCTCCTCTTGATATTGAGTTACGTATTATTGGATATTCTATGAGTATATCAAATGCAAAGGATGTAGCAGAATGGCTAGGAGTTTCAAAAGATGGTATATTTTCTTTCCATCCATCTATACGTCCAAATCCAATTCGCTTATCTATAAAAGGATTTGATTCTTATTATAGATCTGGACGTATATTATCAATGATTAGACAACTCCCAAAATACCTACAAAAATATGTAATGAAAACACAAACAAAGATAAGCCAATCTAAAACTGAATATAAGGACAGTCAATTAGATAATAATGATATAGAATCAGCTTCTACATTACTAATCTATGTACCTGACCAGGAAACTTGCACAATGGTTGCTAAAGATTTATCTTTTAGAATGAGTGAATTAAATAATAATAATTATTGTACTTTAAGATCACAAACTTCAATAAATTTTGAAGAATTTATAAAAATTTATGGAAATGAAATGAAACTAGGAAAGTTGTTAGAAATATGCATGATGCTTGGAATTGGATTTCTTCATGAAGCCCAGTCTAAATATGAATTCACAATAGTTTTAGAAGCCTATAAAAAAGGTGTAATTACTGTTTTAATAGCTACAGAAGATTTCAAATGGAAATTAAATGTTCAATTCACAACAGTAATAATTATGGATACACAACGTTTTGATGATGATATTTTAGTCTCAAGGAACTTAAGGAGAATTATTAATTACTCTGCCATTGATATGAGTTGCATTGTTGCAAGATGCATTAGACCAAAATTAGGTGATATTGGTAATATTATTTTACTCTGTCCTAGCAGTAAGAAATTATACTATGAATATATATTAAATAATGCAATTCCATTGGAATCATATCTTGAATATGGAATAATTGATTCTATAAATACTGAAATTGCCTTAAAAGTCATTAAATCTAGGCAAGATTCAATTGATTGGATTACTTGGACATTTTTTTACAGGAGATTATCAAAGGTAAGTGAATTACTTATTTGAATTATAATATAATATCTTCCTCTAATGATGTATGATTTACTATGAAGTAAATTTGATAACTTTATGATTACTTAAATATTATATTCGTACTGCCTGAAAAAGAAGATATTTATATACATTATGTAAAACCAATTTGTATTACTTATTTTTTTTTATTTTTTAGAATCCTACATATTATGGACTATTAGATTGTTCACCAAGATATATATCTGAATATTTGTCTGAAGTTCTTGAAAATGTATTAGTTACACTCGCATCAGCTCAATGTATTACTCTATCTGGGGAAGAGAGTGAATATGATGATGATTCAGTTAAAAAGGATAAGTCAACTACAAGTGATTTGATCATTCCTCTGAACTTGAGTTTAATTCCAGCATATTATTCTCTGAAAGTTAATAGCATTGAATACCTAAGTCAAACAATTTCATCACAAGAAACTCATATGAGTATATTGTCAATAATATCATCTGTACCAGAGTTACAAGATCATTGTTTATTAAGGAAAAGTGAAATATATATATTACAGAAAATGTCAAATTACACAAATATGAATAACTTTGATTCAATAGATATATCAATTAAAATATTGATTCTATTAAATGCATATTTAAATAGGCTTCCTATGACATCAATTTTGCATAATGATACAATGGAGATAGTAAAATTAGTTATACCTATAATATATGCTTTTGTTGATGTATCTTGTTCAGCTGGATTAATAAAATCAAGTATTAAGGCTATGGAAATTGCTCAACTGATCACTCAGGCAATATCAAACCCTAAAGATAAACTATTACAACTTCCACATTTAAATAAAAGTCATCTTCCAATATTATTAAAGTATAATATATTTGATATTTATGACTTAATTGGAGCAAATGACAATATTAGAATATCTATATTTAATGAATTAAATTTATCTGATGAAAAAATTCACGAAATTGCAATAGCTTGCAATAGATTCCCAGTTATTGAAGCTAAAATTGACATTGATGGTGCAACTAAACAACATGAATATAAGAGAAGAAAGACTGATAATAACAAACAAGAAGTAGGATCTGAACTAAATGATCAAGGACAAAATATAACTTCAAGTTATCACTGTAGTTGTGGAACAGATCTTGTACTTTTAATAGATATAACAAGAGATTTGACTGATTCTGAAGATGAAAAATTAAGTCCTGTTATTGCACCATATTATCCATTAGAAAAGGATGAACAGTGGTGGATTATCTTGTTACAAATAAAAGATGATGAACAACTTATATCTGGGATAAGGAGGGTCAATCTGAATAAAGAATTAAATCAAATAAAGTTACAATTTCAAGCATCATCTAGTTCTGGAATTTATAAGTACCAATTACTCATAATTTGTGATAGTTATATTGGTTGTGATCAAGAATATATGATAAATTTAAAAGTGAGTATGAATTAAGTAGGAATACTATAAATATAGTATAAGTACAAAGAAATTTGAAGTTCATAAATTATATATAGTAGTTTGTAGAAAGTTTCATTATCAATATTAATTATATTTTTATTGCTACTAAATATAATATCCTTAGTATTCCAAGTATATATAGAATTTACATTATTTACACTTTAATATAAAAATAATTATATAATCATTAATAATTAAATAGTAATAATTTCAATTTTAATCTAATACCCTAAAAACTAGGTCTTTATTACAACTTTTAAGTTATTCGGCCTATACAAATAATTAAAAAGACATTATTTATATCCTTAATTATTCAAACTTTCAAATTAGATTAATTATTAAATTGTGATATTTACAAACTATATATAATTTCTTTCAGATATATGGTGTTTAAATATTTATGTAAAATAAATTTGAAAGTCAATATTTATGAAAATTTGTTTTACATAAATATTTAAACACCATATATTTCATATCTTTCTAAATAAAAAATTCCAAGACTATTGTATTTAGAAATAAATTACTATTAAATTTGATAATCTTCATAATTCGAAATATATAAATTAAGAAATAATTAAAAATTGAAAATCAGTTATGTATAATAAAGAGTTACCAACAATAAATTTAAACTAATTATATAATATTTCACTAACTTTTTCTTATAAATTACTAATATTTCTTAATCTTTTTATTCTTAATAAATTTAATAATACCTTCCATTCCTTTATCAATCTCATTTGATTCAGAATTTTTGCTAAGTTCTATATCTAATTTGTTATCTTCAAAATATTGTGTATTATTAGAATATTTATTTTCCTTTTTTTGTTTATTAGCTCTATTTTCTGAAGAGTTACTCAAAATTTCATTATTTATATTCTTATTCTTTATTTCAGGTTCTTCCTTAAGAATATCACTAAACATTATCCTAGTCTTAGTTTTCTGTGATTGAGAAATATCCCATAATTTCTCATCTAATTCTAAATATAATGGAATTTCACATCTCTTATATAATGAATAATTTCTTGATTTAATCACATCTGCTCCACCATTTTCTTTATCTAATAATTCTTGTACTATTTTCCTTTTCATTATTTTATCAGAGGCTTTATACATTGCTGAAACTGCAAATGATCCATTATTATTAAGTCCTAATTCTAAAAAATGTCCAGAAAATGCATTAATCCATCTCCTAATTATTGTTATAGGTATCTGACTATTAATTCCTACCATAGACTCTATCATCTTAACACCATATTGTTTCATGCCTAATTCTTTAACCATTATTTCCTTAAAATGAGAAATAAAATATGTTATACCTGATATCACAGGATGAATAGTTTCTGCTGGAAAGTGTATTAATGAATTTATTATATTACATCCATAAATAGATGTAGAAAGTCTTGATAATTTATTCTCATTTGATCTTTTAACTATCTCAAATGAATCTTTATCATCTATTATTGTACTATCATTTATACCTCCTATTCTTTCTTCTAATTCTCCTTCAACTTTATCTATATTAATTTCTCTTTCCTCAATTATATTCTGTAATTCAGATCTGGTTTTACAAAAAATTAAACAAGCAAATGCATACTTATAATCATTACTACTCTTCAATTCTATAGCTTTCCAAATATTTTTTGTTACTAATTTATAGTGAGATTGAAATTTCCTACATGTTTCTAATATACAATTAAGGACTCCTATATATCCAGATTTAAAAATAACCTGAAAGTCAACCACTTTTATTAATTGTATAAAATCTGGCTCATTAAGGCGATTACTTTTTAATATCTTCTGTATTATATAATTACCATAGCATGAGCTAACCATTTTATTAATTAAGCTTATTTGAACATCTTTATTATCTAAATTAATATCCTTTATCGATTCTAAATTATCTGTATTACAGTGACTACTAATCCATAAAGTAAATACTTCATCAGGTATTAATTCAATTAACATTTCTAATGTACAACTAGCAATTTCAGAGTTCATCCAATTAATTGAACAGTTAACTAAGTATCGTTTAATTTTCTCTACTTTCTTTACTGGATTCAATATATCTTTTGATTTCTGACCAAGAGTAATTATACATGATAATAATTCATAAAGTGGATTATATTTATTTAACTTATTAACCCCTTTTTTCGTAGGAAATTCATCTTTTATCTTATATAATGAAAAACATAAAACTGATAATGTTGGAGATGCATATGGATCATATATAATACCTTCTACATCAGATCTTAAACATTCATATATTTGACCAGAAAGTGAATCTCCATCAATATCACTAGCTTTACATAATAGAAATTCTTTAAACATTATAGGGACCTTTAAAAGAAAATTTTGGTTATTAAATTTCAAATTTAATCTTGAACCACGATTTCTTCTTCCTAAGTGTGATAAAATATGTTCTTCTAATCCATTTATATCAAATTTTATATCTCCAATACATGATAATATTATTGTTCTTGCTACATGACTTCCACAAGGATCACATATAATCTTAATCCATCCAATATTACGAGTTAAATTTTGCAAATTTACCATCAATGATATTTGTAATAATTCTAATTTTTCTAATATTATCTTTATTTTACAATCTTGTAAATGTGAATTTAATAATATAATACTTTCTAGTGTTGTTTGTATAATGTGAGATGAATATTGATTAAATATACAATATTCCATCTTATTCAAAATCTTTATACATACAGTTACAAAATTTGAGGTAGATTCCTCCAATCTATTAAATAAATTATCTTTAAAATCATTAGATTCTAAGTATTCATCACTTTTTTTTAATTCATCTTCTACTTTAGAAAAAAGTCGTATAATACTTAATGTACTAATTCCCAAAATTATTTCCACTACTTTACTACATCTTTGATCATTTAATAATAAATTATCCAATTCTTTCTTATTTATATCTTCAATAACATGTTGAGTAATAGTTTCACAACCTATCTCATCTTTTAACAAATCTCCTTTTAGAATTAAATCCTTAAGTCTTACGTAGTACATAATTATCTCAGAAGAATAATGTCCCGTATCCCTGATTTTTTTATATATCTGCTTATTATTCTTAAACTCATTTTGCCTATTACTATTCATTATTGTACTAATGTCAAACAATGACAATATACATCAAAATATTCCTACCCTCGTTACTTTATGTTAATATTGAAATTTAGCGCCTTATCACTGCATTTTTGGACCGCCCAAAAAATTTCTTGGGTCAGGAGCATTACCACTAAATTCTGCACCTGAGAAGTCAAATCCTGGATTCTATAAATTTACAGTTTTTATATTCTTATTTATTAAAAAAAGAAAAAAAATATTACAGATTGCATCTTAAAAAACTTACCTCACGTTGGAATCTCTCTAACATCATTTGTTTTTTAATTGTCTCCTATTAAGCAATATAATATTAGTGTTAAATTTTATTATTTTCCTTAAAAAAAGAAAAGTTAATAGTACTTACTACTTCCAATGGATTTAATTGTTCCTCTGATTTAAAAATAGATGTCCAGACCTCTGCCTTTCTCATTTTTGATAGTTGAATGAATAGCTGATTATCCTCTAGAAATAAATTTATTAATAATAAGGATCAGAATTATTTATTTGAAATTTATGAGGAGGATATTTACTTTACCAATATACCAAAGAGAATCAGATGTATCAACTGTACTAAATAGATTTTTCTATATTTAAGGATATGAATTTTAATATATATCATTTTATAAGGTATACCACATTAAGACTTACATTAATTATTACTTGATTTATCTTCTTATTAATTACTTTCAGGTAATTTGCTCCTATGTTTATATCTAAATCAAACTTATTAATAAGAATGTTACCCGAATTTATAGAATAAAGTATTTCATGAGGAATAGATAAATTAACATCGTCTAGTGTTTGATCCCAATAGAATAGGATCTTTCCTATAATATATATAAATAAAAGAAATTAAGACAATATTTAGACTATTAAATAAGGAAATAATATAAATAAATTTACCTGAAGAATCAGTATATGACTTTTTTGTAAAACCCATATTAAAATATTCTTTTTTTTGTGATACTAATAGCCTATTGGCTAAGTGTAGCCGCAGGTAAAGGGCGGAGAAAAAGTGAAATATTTAGAATTAGAACCTATTAATATAGATATAAATGAAATGTTAATATATAGAGGTAATTTTTAACCATTTTATATAAATATAGTGGAATTTGATTATTATTAGGGCAAGTTTTAAAATATCAATATTTTTAGGTTATCTCAGTATATAAATTCTAATTTCAAGAGCCCGCTCTAAAATTTTATTTGAAACCCAATATTAAGAATATTTTAGCCTAAAATATTCTTAATAACTGTAAATAATATGAATGAGGGGATATCTAATGATACTAATTGTGGAGAAGTTGGGGACTTTGAAATTTTAGACTTATTAAGAGAATCTAGGAAAAGGGCAGCTAGAAATAATACTCAAGTTGAAACTGATACTAAAGATGATGATGATAGTATAGAAGATGAAGATAATGTAAGTAAGGACTTTGTGGAGGATGAAGATGGTGAAGAAGAAGAAGAAGAAGATGATGATGATGATGATGATGATGACAATGATGATGATGATGACGATGATGATGATGATGATGACGATGATGATGATGATGAAGACGATGAAGATAATGATGATGAACTTGAGGAAGGAGAAGATGAAAATGAGGAAGATAATAAAAATGCAAATGTTTCAAAATTGCCAGAATTTGAAATAGAAGCTGAATTAGCTAGAAAATATGCTGAAGAGGCAGAAGGCAAAAGAAAATATGAACTATTACATAAAAAGAGAAAAAATGAATTAACTAATAAGCGTGATTCAGCATTAATAGAATTAAGAAATGCAAGGAAACGAAAACATAGAGACTTTTCATCTTCTGAATCAAACTCAGATACTGAATTAGAATCAGAAAGTAATTCTATAAGTGAACATGATTCTGATGCAAGTGATTATCTAAAATCTAAAAAAAATAGAAATATTAGAAAACAACAACGTAATGACAACTTGTTTAGTAATGAAAAAGCACAAGAAAGATTACTTAAAAGATGTGAACGAATATTACAATCCATATCATTAAGAATGATGGAGGCTGTTCATCTTAAAAGAGATCGTATTGAATTTATGTTAGAGCATCCAAAATTTGATGATTACTTACGTGGAAGCTATGTTAAAGTTCCAATAATAAACAATGAATCAAATGTAACAACATATCTTATTTGTGAAATATCAGATGTTTATATTAATAATGATGGAGGGTGTATACTTATTTTACGTAGAGGAGGAATGGATAAGGAGTGGGATTTATCAAGTATATCTAATGAACCATTTTCTGAAGAGGATCTTTTAGAATGGAAAGCTATGGTTAGAGAATTTAATATATCTGATATTCAATCTATAATTAATTTACCTAAGAATTTAGAATCAAAAGCTACTATGCTACGTAATTTTCAGTATGGTGATGATGATATAGCATTTATATTACAAGAAAAACATCGTAATTCTTCATTAAATATGATATCTGGAAAAGTACTTATAGAAAAAAGGACAAATATTCAGACTCAAATTCGTCAACTTGAACAGCAGCTTAAAAATAGTTATTTAAGTACAAATGATAGGATAATTAAAGTTAAGAAAATAGAAGAATTAAATGAAGAACTTGATGTAACAATTAGTAATATAGAGAAATTACAATTAAGGAAAGAATTAACACACCCTGATAAATCATTAAAAGTTACTTCAGCTCATTATATTGGGGGTCAACAAGGGAAGGGAAGTGGAATTATAGATGCTAGTGGTATGGCAAAACCAAAGAATACTATTATAAATAATAATAGTATGAATACATCTGCTAGTAAACTACTTACACCTGGGACATCTTCTACATTAATACGTGATTCAGGAAGAAGTAATTCTATTGGTATTATTTCACAATCAAAGACATTTGGTAGGAGAGAATGTAGGCCCTCTGTAATGTGGGAAACTAAACGCATAAATAAGAATTTAAGGTTAGATGATCAATCGGTTAATCAATCATCTAATTCAATTCAAGAAGTATTAATAACAATAGATGATCCAACAAGAGAAACTGAAACGACAGATATACCTGGAATTTGTAAAGTAGAGAGTTATCAAGAAGTATTTGTTAAAATTTTTGAAGAAATAAGTAAGATAAATAGATCATTATCTCCTATTTCACAAAAAACTTTACTACCGAAATTGGATAATTGGTTACCATCTAATCTTAATATTGAATCTAAAAATGGTAAAATTTTAGATACCTTAGAAAATTTTATTAATATATTAAATGTATAATAGAAGATTACCTTTTTAGTAGATATGATATAGTTAATATAATACAGCTAATACTGCTATAATATGCTACCGCTAATATTAGAGAATGCCACTTTTTTTTTAATTTTTAAGGGGGGTCTGTTAGATATTCCCAACTTTTAGTAATTTTGAGTTTTAGTATATAAATTAATATTTATAATTTTTAAATTAGTGCTTAATATTTGTAGGAGACAAATTATAGTAGGTAATTTATTAGATCACTTTTATTTTAAGATACTTTTTCAGTATATATATGTATTTAAATCTATAAATTTATAAACATCCACTTCATAGGTGGGGTTCGCTTAAATTAGCTAATATTAAAATTACAAATTATATTTTTAGGGATAATGGATATAAAGTGGAATTCTCAATGGTGTGACTTAATATTATCTAGTAAATTAGATTCTTATTTATCTACAAATATAACATCTGTTAGCTTTATATCACCATTTAAGATAAAAAAAAGTTGGATCGAAAGTTTATTACCATCTATTTTAGATAATCTAGAAGATTTATTTGATGAAGAAGTTATTATATGTTGTATATCAACATCTAATGGGATTATTAGATTTCTAAGTGAAAAATTTGATTTTAATCAAAATTTTTGTATTAAAAATAGTACAACAAATCAATATGAACCAATATATATAAATAAGATATATACATTATCTAGCTTATATGGAATAGATGAAGTTTATAATTCATCAGAAGATTTAATTAAGAGTAAGATATTTGTATGCTTTAGCTCTAATGATATATTATACTGTTGTGATATTCCATTTTATTTCATATTTGCCTCTTATCTACGAAATACTATACAAAATAAATATAAAGATTCAGATATAATAAATCAATTGTCAGCTATTGTATTACCAAATTTAATTGAAATTCCACTTTATAAGATAAATTCTACAAGTTCTAATTTATTATCTTGGTCTCATAATTTATCAGATACTCAACCATGTATTCTTATTGCTCAAATTAATGAATATTCAGATATTAATATTGCATTATTATTATTCACAAAATTTTATGATATCAAATTTCATTTAAACTTTTATAATAAACGTTTACCTCCTGTTACTATATATAAGACTGTTAATTTACCAAATATAGTTAAATCAAATAATAGAACTATACTTATTCCAAATGGTATAACATGTTATCCCTTTAATAGACAATATTTATGGTTATTTGGAATAAAATCTGATACATTATTAGATGATAATGAATATAAAGAAATGAATTTGAATGAATTGGATTCAATTACTCAAACAACAATTTATATTTTAGAATCTAATAAATATTCAATTGATTTGATAGGACAAACTAATTTATCATATAATATAACACATATAAATATATTAGATATAATAGAAAATAATAAAGATTTATTATTAGAACAAGATAAGAAAGTAGAATTAACTATTCGTATGATTTCTGCTACAGAAGAACCATCTGGACTTTTAGGTTGTGATATGATAGTTAGAAAACCTATATCTGGAAATATTCAAATATCCTCATCATTATGGAATTATTCTACAAATATTTCATCTATAATATTCATGCCATTAAATGAATTTGTTACTAAAGAGAAAAAAACTAATGATGAAAATTTGTTAGGTTTTTCATTTGGATTAAATGATAAATCTCAAAATAAAGATTTAAAAAATACAATAATAATAACTACATTATGTACTCTTCCAATGTATCTTAATGAGTTAAAATTAGATCAAGTTTTAAAAATATTTCCTGCTATACTTTGTGGTTTATCTAATGGAGAATGGAGAATATATACCTTACAAAATGAAGATGATATTCAAAAAGGACATCAAACAATACAAAACAAAACTATATTTAATTCTAATTCAATGATGCCATTGGGATATTTTTCATTGAAAGGCTTACATACCCTTATAAATATTACATCTGAATCTGTTAATTCAGGTAGAGTTATATCTAGCTCTTGGAGTATTTTCAAGACATTAAAATCCAGCTTTTCATTATCTATTGCAGCAGTTACAGATACTGGTAAAACCTATACATGGTTTATAAATAACCAAAAGAAAGGGGAATTATTAAAAAATAAAATTGGAAAATCTCAAATAGATAAAGATGAAATATTTAAAGATCATTCATTTAATAAAATACCACAGAGAATATTACGTAAGAAATTAATTGAAGATGAACTTTTTTCAGTTTCAAATATTCAAAATAATATCCTTAAGAATTCAAAAAAAGAATTAATATCTAAATATCAAGAAATTAATAATATTAGTATTGTTGAAATTATGGATGAGCATATTAAGAGAATAGATAATAGATTAAGACAAGTAGAAGAACAAGAATATAAATTAATAAATAAATCTCATTATGAAGAATTTATAACTCAGCTAAAATCAGAAAATTTAATAAATAATAAAAAGTCATTATCTCAAGTTCCTGAATGTTTAACAAGATCTATTAGCCCTAGGAAAGGATGCAATGTTTGTTATCGCCCAAAAGAACATAATTTAGAACCTCGTAAACTTTGGACTTCATCTAAGTATGCCACACTTCCAATTCGTAGATACAAGGGTTATGATAGCGAAAATGATCACTATAATATTATATTGCAAAGTCTTAATTTTAAAAGTATAGTGTCAACTGGACTTAAATATATATCAATGCCTAATTCTACTGATTTAATTACTGAAAAACCTGAACAAGAGGGATTGATAGACACTCTTGTACAAGATTGGCTTCATAAGATGAACAATAGCGCTACACTATAAAGAATTTTTTAATTTTAAATATTACTTTAATGTTTAGGAACAAGATTTGATATTATTATTAATAAATTAAAGATGGTATTATCTAATTATACAATAGTAATATCTACATATATTGATAGTGAATTATCTCATTCTTATCAAGATGTAAATGGGAGTATTTCCCAATGCTTAATTAATGCATCAAAAGAAGCAAATCTTTTTTTAACTCAAATAGTTAATCAAACACAGAATTATTCAAAAGATAATATCGAATATAATAAGACTGAAGATCTTTTTCCAAGTGATTAAGATATATTGTGAATAGTTCCGAAATCTTTAAATACTAAGTTCTTAATGTATCACTCAAAACTTTATATTAAATCTATACATCTAATTGATTCAATAGTATGTATTTGTTTACTTATCTGGCTATCTTTATCCTCAAAGTTCTAAATTATCTAAAGACCAAGTTTCCCAGGGTAACAATTAGTTGGTGGAAACTGGAATAAAGCTTCTCTATTAGTTAGTCTCTTGTAAACTGCACCAAAAACATCAAGTTTATCAGCAATGTCCTTATCTTTATCTTTAGGATCAAGTAATACCTTTAATACAGTCGACCCATCCACACGATAACGTAATCTTTTACCTACAATGTCACCTGGTCCACAAATGTCCTCTAAAAGTGCATCATGAACAGCCGTCAAAGTCCTTGAACGTGGACGATTCTTAAAACCAAATTTACGGTAATTCTTAGGTAGAATTGTTCTTTGAGCAATCATTACTACTGGGCACTTTAGTTTCTTCTCAAGTTCAGCAATAAGACGACCTTGAACTCTTCTAATATATGCCATGAAAATTGCATATGGCACAAATATCGCCACTGCTTTGCGATCTCCACAATCAACTTCCTTTGCTGTAGAGAATGTTACAGAGTGTATAATTACTTTCATTTCTTCATCACTACTGGAAGTCTCAATATCTTGGAGACATCTTTCTACATCACGTTCCAGTTGAGTAAGTTGACTATTATCCCTCTTTATACATTTACACCTCATTATCAATTATAAGTATAATTTTATCTAATATGCCAAGGTAGTTGTGATTGTAAAGAACTAAATTTCTCGTTCTTGTACTTTGTGTTGCCAACTCAATGCTGTCTCAAATTATATTCAATATTGCTAAGGTACTATTGCGCCGTCTTGGCTAAGTTTTTTAAAAAGTAACTGATAATTAGGAGCGGTTATTTACTTAACTGATAGAACTATACAAATAAATAAAATTAAGGCTTAATTTGTATTGGCGCTAATAGTTCTGTCTCGTCTCTAGTAATAATTGTGCCAGGTATCAAAAATTTTTTTTTATCTCTAGATATTAGTAATAGAAAATTACTAATAATTTGTTTAAGCCTGAAGATACATAATTAATAAAGAACACTATTTTTGAATAAATACTTGTTATTAAGTAATTTCTAAGATAGGTACCTAGCAACTTTTTTGAGCTTATATTACTATTTATATATAGATTGTTGAAGACAGTCTTAATACCTCATATATTACAAATCAGCATTCCAAATACATAACTATTAACTATTTATTATAGTTTATAACTTCTTTCATTAATTATAAGATATTACAATACTTTCGTTTCTGCAGTAATGGAATATAATATATTGACATTGTACTCAATATTATGACGAATATTTACATAGAAACTAGATATTTTTTAATATAAAGAATTTCTGATATGTGTACTTCTTAAAACTCTCCATACTTTTTATATAGAAATACCTTATGTGTGCGTGTGCATTTAAAAAATAAGTCACTTTGTTTTAGAAATTGAATATGACAAAATTTACATGATCTTTTAGAATAAAAAATGAAGAAGGCAGCAAGAACTAATTGTGGTATATCTTGCAATAATTATGAACCAGATGAAGAAGATATTCTTTTGTGGCATATGAATAAAACAATTATTGAGCCAGCAGTTAATTTATCTACAAATCTAAATTATGACAAACCTGAAATAAAACCAATTAATAATATTTCAAAATCAAAATCTGCAACAATGAAACAGAAAAATGGTGTATTAGATTTAAAAGATACTACAAATACTGAAAAATTCCCTAAAGAAACTTGCCTACCAAATTTAGATTTAATGTCTGAATATAATACAAGTGATTCAATGAGTGAAAGTTTACAAAAATTGCAAAGATACAATACACTGACTTCACTTAGTAATACAAATTCAGTTTTTGATCGTCTAATGGATCCAAAATTATTTACTGGGATACATAAGTATCGTTTTGATAAAGATGGTCATGGATTAGGTAAAGCTGGAAGAGAATATATATATAGGAATGATGGTTATACAGAGAGTGAAGAAAGAAAACACGAAATTAAGTCAACACCATTAATAAAAAGATCATTGACTAACTTTGGCTCTACAAAAGTGATTCCAAGAGCTAAAGTTATATGGCTATATCGTAATGGAGATAAATATGACCAAGGTACTATATATTATGTAAGACCATATATTAAAACAATGAATCAATTGCTGAATGAAATAAGTCGTGTAAGTTTTTGTTTCCTAATATTATATTTTCATTAACAGTATAATATATACTTTTTTTTTTAGAGTATAAGATTAATAGGAGGACCAGTTAGAATGCTATTTGATCAAAGCTTACATTCTATACATAATGTAAGTGATATTATTGATGGAGCTAAATATTTGTGCACTTCAGGCGAACAACCAGCTCCAATTGAAAAACTTGAAAGGTTCCTTAGTTATTGGATCATTAAATCGTAAGGTAATATAAATGGAAATAATACAAATTTCAATGCATTTGTAATTTTATTAACATTAATTATTATCCTAGCAATATTATAGTTAATATGTAATTAGTTTATCTATAAGTAGATTCTGAATTATATCTTGTTGATTACCAATTACTTTAAGGGTTAATATTATCCAATACTAAAGTTTATCAGCTTTTATAAACTTCAATAATAGTATTTGGATGGATGAATATATTTGTGAACTTTATAATTTTTTTTTGAAAATTATAAAACAATATTAGATGAGTCTAATCAACTTGAAATTTGATTTATAACTTAATTCTTTATATTTATATATACAATATATTTCTAATATCATAATAATATCCAAATATTTGTTCTAGAGATGACTATAAGCAAATATCGTGGTTAGTAATTTACTATAAATATCACAATTTAAAAAGCTTATATTTAATAATTATAACACTACTTTTTAAAGTAATATTAGTTTATTTATAAATTCAAATATATTATTACAAAGTCTAATTCTTTTAAAATAGCAAATTTGGAGAAGATTTCCACAACTTTCAATTAAATACATTAGTAATATTAATGTTAAATCTAATGGTTAGTAAATATTAGATAAAATTTTTATTACTTCAGTTTTAGAATAAAACTAATTAAATATGTTACAGTAACTAAAGTTATGTAATATTTAGATTGAAAATAATCTTTTTACTTGTATATTGATAATGACAAAGTTTTTAAGCCTGAAATTATTTAATTTAAATTTCAAATTATATATAATAAATTTTATTTATATACACTTATTCTAAAGTATTATAAATATACATAGATACTTATAAAATATTATCTACTTTCTAGTTTAGTATTCATACAATTTAATTTCAATTAATAATTAATTATTAGCTTTACTATTATTTGAGTTATCATATATTTATTCCACTAAATATACAATTTAAATATTATTCTTATATTAAATAGTTATATATTATGTATATATCATTTTTCTAGAGAATAATTGAGAAAAAATAACTAAAATTAAGAATATACCTCAATTACACATAACTTTATTTGTAAAGTTGTTCTTTTTTTCATCTAAAAAAGTCATAATTATCTACTTCATAATAGTTCTAATTATCTATATTATTATTATAGCAGAATTATAGAAAAAAAAAAAAAAAAATAAGGAATTCATCTCCACTTTAAAGTTTTCTTTATATATAAAGACACTTTCTTAAGAAAATGAAGTACTAGATGCAAAATTACATGCATCTAATCTTGATTTATTCTCACATAAGCTGCACCATTTTAAATATGAAAAATTAGATATAATTCCAGTACTTTTTTGCCTATCACTTAAAGAATCCTTATTTGTCCAAATTACTAAATCATCTGAATTTAATTCAATAATACGGTTTGGACTATGTATCATTATTAAACCATCTTTAAGTAATGATAATAAGCAAAAGATATATAAACAAGTATTAGAAAATCCTTTTTCTTTATCTATATCCAAAACAATATCCCAAAATTTTAATCCCTTCTGATTTCTATCACACAATTTTAACCATTCATATATGTTATATTTTGTTGCTTCAATTTCTTTTATATTAAAATTATTGGTATCAGTAAAATTTTCGGTTAATTTAGTAGCATGTATATTATCCTTATGTGCTATCTCTTTCCTCTTCTTTATTACTTTTGATGGCATATCCATACTTATTATTCCTTGTAAAGTGTGAAAATCAAGTGTATTAAGTGGAAATTTATTTATCCCATAATTATCATCGTACCATCTATTCCAATTGAATATATCAAATATAGAATTAGAATGATCTAATATTTTCGTATTATCATCATTATTCTGAGAATTACTAGATGGAGGAACTATCATGTATTTCCATTTCCATTTACGGATAATATCCTCTAAAGTAGAATTTTGGGTTTTTTTAAAAATATTATTATAGCGTTTCTCGTTAATAAGAGCTTTTACAGAGCCAAATTCACAACACATAGCAAATGATTCGTGATCGTTTTCATTCATATTATTTAAAAAGTTCTCATCCTTATTTACATATTCTCTATATTCTTCTCTTTTTAGAGGATTACTTAATGAATCCTGTAGTTCCTCAATAGATTTTGTTATGTATTTAATTTCATCATATAAATTTTTCCGTTTCATAAAGAGACATATACATCACAAATATATTTAAATTATACTGTTTAAGTTAATATTTAAAAATTATTGGCCTTATTATATTTTAAAATATTCCTAACATGAATTCATAAACAGAAATATAATTTGAGCTTAGTAAATTATTTTAGCGCCCTAATATTTTAAATTTAAATAATATTTACCGCCTTAAATACGACAACCCATTTTTACCATGCAATTTTCGATAGTATGAGAACCAAATTTTTTTTTAGCTCTATTACTTGTTTGTTAGTATTTAATACTTACATATTTTAATACACAATTACTTAAATATTTTAATTTAATAAAATTTTCAAGTATATTTAAATTTAAGATAAAGATACACAAGCTTAATATATTCTAAAATAATATACTAGAATTACACATAGGTCACTAATCCAATAAATTTTAATAATGAATCTTTTAAATATGACTCCAATGATTGTGGGTATCATTTATATTATGGTTATTTTAGGGGCAAAGGTCATATCATGTATGGAAATTGAAGGGGTACAACTTATAGGTCATAAGAAGGCAAATGGAGTTACTTCATATTTTAATATAAGATATGCTAGAGCAAGTCGTTTTCAACCTCCTCAGCTATTAAATATTACTGAAGCTGTTTCTATAGATAGTGGATATACAACGAAATTTCCTCAAGTATATGATGTATCTGAAAATAGAGGTTCATCTTGCCCTCAAAATTGTGCTGATATTCAACAGACACTAAACGACACATTCTTATGTAAAGGAACTGAAGAACAAACACAATCAGAAGCTTGTCTAACTTTAAATATATTTACACAGATGCCACCTTTAGATATGTTAAATCAGGTTTCAATAATGGCAAAACAAGTATCTGCGGCTGCTTCTGTATCTAGTGCAAGTACACTTTCACAAAATAGTAGTTTATCTAGATCAATAACCTCACTTTTACAACAAAATAATTCAACTTTAAGACCAGTTTATGTATTTCTTCATGGTGGTCTTTATTTATTTGGTTCATCTAATTCGGATATAAATGTGGGGGACAAACTGGCTGAGTCAGGAGCTGTTATTGTAACAGTTAATTATAGATTAGGGATATTTGGATGGTTAAAATATAAAAATATAGCTAGAGGTAATATGTCTTTTCTTGATCAGAGAGTAGCTCTTCAATGGGTGCAAAAGTATATTTCTTATTTTGGAGGTAATCCTGATAAAGTAGTATTAGCCGGACATAGTGCAGGAGCAAAGGCTGTCTTGTGCCATGCTACTAGTCCTGAAAGTACTCCTTATTTTTCAGGAATTATTTTACATTCTGGGGCTTTAACTCAACATGAAATATCAGTTGAGGAAGCAGAGGCAATGGGAGAGATTGCTGAACAGGTTGCTATAACAAAATGCCCAGCTACTATTCTAAGTTGTAATACAGCTCAATTATTAGAAATTCAAAAAGAAGTTAGAAGTCAACTAATAAAAAATGATGTATCTAAATCTTTACATTCATGGTCACCTGTTATAGATGGATATATAATTCAAGAATCTTGTTCTAAAAGAGCTAGGGAAGGAAAAATACCAGATGATATTTCCGTGGTTTTAAGTACTACTAATATGGAAGGAGTTCAGTTTTTTAGATCATTTACTTCATATCTCCCTTCATTTTTCAGAAGTTTAGCTACAAGTTCAGTGGCTCTTCGTTACTTGTTATCAAGAATATTTGGTTCTAGAGCAGGAGATGCACTTAGAATTTATACTAATCAAAGTGTTAGAACACTGAATTTAGATGAAGCTATGTTCTCAAATATTACTGAAGATAATTCAACAGCTGAAGCTAAGGGATTTCCTAGTCCAACTAGTTCATCAAGTTCTGGTTTTAATTTATTTGGTAATTCTAGAGATGGGAGTTCAAGAGATGAGAAAGTTACTAACATTTTAGAAGACCCCGTAACATTGGCATATAGTAGACTACTCGGGGACTTTATATACAGTGTAAGTTTTGATATAAACTAAATTATATTATTATGTACTATATATTATTGATATTAATTTTATTTTATTTTTATTATATTCTTTGTAGTGTCCAGTTCGCTTATTATTGAAAAGATTATCACGAAAAAATAACAATATTTATGCTTATTTTACATCTGAAGGATTTAAATGGGCAGAAAATTTGAAAAAGCCTTATGATGATGTTAGTACATCATTTTTATCTGGTAAGTTTGGATGAAATAAATTCTGGTTAGTTTAGGAATAATCAAAAAGAGCACTATACATATTCCAAATAAAAGTTCAATTAAGTTGAAATATAAAATTAAGAGAATTTACAATATAATAAGTCGATTACAACTTATTTTTTTTAAATTTTTTTCTAATTTGGGAAAGTATAAGAAAAAAAAATATCGAATTTTTAGTTACTTTTGGATATTCTATATAGCAAACTTGAAATTGGCATAAAAAAAAAAATATAATTTTAAGAAACCACCAATATATTATCAATGTTTTTGTTAAAGTAGCTATAAAGTCTGGGTATTAAATACTTGCAACAACTATCTCGTATTTCAAGAAAAAATTCCTTCTACTATTTAAGTAATTACATCTAATTATTAATAATAAAAACAGTTAATTGAAGCTTAAGAAGTTACAGACTTTATGATTTGATTTCATAAGATTGGTTTAATAATTTTCAGACCCTAAAATTTATAAAATTATGAATATTAAAATTTTTTCCATCAAAGAATAACAGTTCTCAAGTATTCCTATAAAAATCATTTAATTTCAATTTATTCACTATATTTATTTCTTTTCATATATGTGATATACTTAAAAAATTGTTTTTTTTTTATAGATGCATTACAATTTCCTAAATTATCTATTAAAAGTGCATCCAAAGGTTTAACTTGTCAAAGTGATGATGTAGCATGTAAAACATTTGTAAATGACTGTAGTGATCCCAAAGTTGTATGCCACTTAGAAGATTTAATATGGCTATTTCATACAGCTCCTATTCAAGCTCTTGATTTTGGTGATAAACAACTCCAAGAGGAAAATACAATGTCGTCTAATTTCTTTCCTCATCTCCTAGCACGTGCTTTGGGCACTAAAAGCCTTTTACAAAATAAACAAATATTTAGGAAAACGTTTTCAACTCCAACAGATGCTCCTACTTCTATAATTGAATGGGATTCTTTTTCAAATTCTGGTTAGTTTAAAAATAAGTATTCAATAATTTTGTTAAAAAGACTAAGAATATAAAAAGATATTTAACTATTTTATTTTCATCAGAAAAAATTCTTGAATTTAATAGGGATACAGCAAAACTAATTAATGATTTCAAAACCGAAGAATGTGATTTATGGGAATGGAGAGATCCAGAACTATCAATGTCATTTAGTCAATTAATAGATTCACGAACTCTTCCAAATGCAGAAACTACATTAACAGAGAGTAGTAATTCATTTAACTTCAATATTCTTAATCCATCTAGGCGTCAACAACTTCAAAGTAATCCAGAACAAAATATTACAAATCCTAAATCTTTTATCAAGCTACCTATTCTGGGGATATCAAACGGTAATGAATACAATGATGAACCTTCTGGTTTATTTATCTCATCTTCTAGTAGATCTAAAAATGGGAAATACGATACAAATAGTTCTCAATATGTTGATACAGAATCTATACATAGAGAAAGTAAATTTCGTAAAAGCTAACAATTTGCAGGATTTCCTGATAGATGTTAAATATTGGATAAATAGTTAGAATAAGCAATGTAAAAATTGAATTAGATCTTCTCAAACAAAAAAAGTCAAAGTTGTTAAATGTGTAGGAAAATAAGACAAATTTAAGAGAGTTACACTCATTAGTATTAACAATAATATTAGCTAATTGAATATTTAAAAAATAACAGTTAATATTGCAAAATAAGTGTATTTAACTTTTGTATTAGTGTAAGTTCTGAGATCCCAGCAAATAGAAATATCCTTGTAAGAGTGGATTTGGAGATACTACCACAAATTATTTTGAAATAAGGATTCCTTAAAATATTGACGAGCTTAAGAAGTTCATAAAAATCAGAAATATAAACGAAATTTAGAGGGTTAAGGAAATTGATTATTCAACCTCATAAATTAAGATATCTAAGTATTATTGCGGCAGAGTGAAATATTTACAATTGTCAAAAAACCAATATACAAGTGTTTACTTTAACAAATATCTTATTATTTCATCTTATATAAGAATAATTATACATTCAGTAAAAAAATTATGTCATTATATTATAAATGCTTAAGTCTATTGTTAAGTTTGAAATATTCTGCTTTATAAACTTGGTTTATTATTTGCTATATAGTTGGAGTATTAATAAAATAAATATATAGTTGAAATATGTGATTGTGTTGAGTAAAATAGCATTTAATAGGCTAGTAATCATATTTATGATAAAAATTATTACTTTAAAGCTATTAGGAGCTATTTCTTGAAATATAACTTCATAAAATAAGCATCTTCATTGTCAGCATAATATTTAGATTCTATACACTGTGATATATAGTTCAAAACACTCTGATAAAGATGTTTTGCAGCTAAATTTGAGACTCTAACATGTAAACTGCAGTAAGGAGTATTAAATGTATTCTTCATTTCATAATGTGTTTGCTCTAATAACTTCCTAGCAATTCCAAGGCATCTGTGAGATCTTAGTACTGCTATAGATGTAATATGGCCATGATTTATACCAGATTCATCTTCTATTTTAGCTAAGACATATCCAGTTATTTTGTTAGTTTCTGCACTATCAGTAGCAACTTGTAATAGTTGTGGCCATGTCACACTATGAAAGTAGTAATACTTTATTTGATAGTTCTCAGGAAGGCAATACAGATTGCATTGTTGCATAGAAAAAACATCATCTATTGTAGCTCTACGTAAACATGCCATAATAGATTTTATACTAATTTCCTTATTACATAAACAGGCAACTTTTTTCACTTTTATTTTTAAAGTGTCTTAATATTATTAATTAAATAATAACCGCCAAATTATGGCGCTAATTTACCTAAAATAATAAAAATATATTTATTTTTGTAGATTTTATTTTAAATAGCTATTTACTTTTAGGTATATTACAAGATTTTTTGAAGGTCAGATACTTTAGAATAAATGGTTAATAATGAATATTCAAGAATATCCAGCTGGATGTAGCAAAGGAAATGAGAAATACCAACAAGTATTAGGAGATACTATTTTAACAGAAAATAACAATAGTTTAAATAGTGCTCTGCAATTTGTGGATTGTAATTGTATAAGGCCTATGATTTATTTTCTTAAGTCAATTCCATCTGGATTTGCACCTCTTTCTCCAAATTCTTTGGCAATTTTACTTGAGCATAATGAAAATGAGAATATCACTCTAATTCAAAATAATTCACTTTTAGCTACAAATTGTCTAATTAAAGATTCAGATGCTAGTTCCAACTCACCTAAATATAGTCAATGCAGTTTGAAATTAGAAAGTGAAGGTTTGAAATGTGGAGATCGAAATAACAACACTTTAAATAATAAAAGTTCAAATAAGTCATTAAATATTATAGATGATGAAAGTACAAACACTCAAGATGAAAAGTGCTTTATCAAGGATTCTGAAAGTTGTAACTTGGGTGATAAACATAGTAATTGCAATATTCACAAAGAACCTGATGCTATCAATAGGCAATTATTATATTCAACTCAATCACATAAAGTGGAAGATTTTCAGAATAAATGTTTAATCAAAGTTCAAAATACTAATAATAAAGGTATTCTAAATAGTTTAGAAAAAAGAAATGATATACCATTTAATAATATCTTTACAAATTCAGATGGGAATTTAAATTTTATACAGAATCATGTTAATGTGAGACAATATAAAACTGTAATATCATTGGAACAGATGATTTTTATCTATAATCTTGGAGGTATATCTAGTGAAAATGTCTGGACTGCTTTATTTGGATGTCATGATAAGAATAAAAAGGGTAAAAAATTTCAACTACCACCTTTTATGACTAATAAAATTCTTATAGATGCATATACGAAGATTCTATCACGTTCTGAACCACAAAGTAATGCGATTCATATCTATATGTATTGCAGAGGTATATTTAAGGGTTACTGTACTGATATAGTAGCTCCAAGAATTCTTATTCATGCAAATATTTTTCTTTTGTGGAATAATACATTGAAAAATGGAATGATGCAACAGGACCAACAATCTGACCTATCGAATTATATTCATCCATTATATTCAAGTTTAGTACAGGGAACACTTCCTAGTTTGCTTGTGTTGCGAGCTTTAGAGGAAGAATTTTCCAAATATAATGTACTAGTACATTTTATTTTGAGAATATTCTCATCTTTGGATAGGAATTATACTCATATATACTCTCACTTTCCTACTTTGGGAATTACATCTTTGCTATACTTTTACCGTTGTGTATTTTTACCTTTGGCTTCATCCTTCACATCAGCATTTCTGAATATTGTTACAATAGAAAGAGATTATTTTTTGAATAATGTGCTTAAATTACTACTTATACCAAATAAAGAGAACTTAAATTATTTAAACTGCTGTAACAATTTAGATGATGTGCATTCATTCATGAGATTTTCAATATGTAAAAATCAACATTTACCTCGTTATCCAGATAATATTAACGAAGTAGCTAAAGATTGTCTCAATTATATTTCTCCCCGTCCTTTTGATTTGGTTTTATATGAAGTTATTAATAATATAATTGTTGCATTAAGTAATAATGCAAGTAGTCAAGCAGAACTAAAAAGAATAAAGACGATATTTTTGAACTCAGATATGGTTAATAATGATAAGAATTCTAATATTGAAAATTCCAACACAATGAAGTTCAATTATACAAGAGATAACAGGATTTCTGTCCCTATTGACATATCAACTGACAAATCTTTAGATCATCCTTCAGGTTTAGTATGGTTTTCGTCAGGTAGTAATGATACCAGTATATATGTAAATACTATAGAAGAGCCATTTTTAAATAATACACGCTCTTACTATTGTGAGAAATTGGATAATATATTTAAAATATTGGACCTACATAAGTGTTGTATATTAATTCACTGGATTTTAATTGAAGAAGCTAGAAGACTTCATAGATATTTCCCAATCAAGACATTTTCATCTCTAATGAAGATTGTAGAAAGTGTGTGTTTTCATTTTTTAGGTAAGAAAATTTTGGATTATCCAAGATCTATTGATACTCAGATTTCACAAATATCTATGATACCTAAGTCAGTAATAGATCCAGGTACTTTAAAAGATTATCTTCATAAAAGGAGTTTATGTTACTTGAGATCTATTTATGACTTGGTACTTAGAGATCCTCTTAAAAACTCTTCTTATAATATAATAAAAAAGTTACTTAATGAAAAGGAATTTGACAATAAATATAAAAGACTCGAATTTCCTTTGAACGATGGCTTTGTAAATTTTTCTAAATTAAGTGGCAAAGGTATTAATAGAATTTCTTGTATGATTTCTCTATTTTCTGTAATATATGAAACTATATTAGATGATGTGCTAATAGCAATGAGAACTTGCAGAGATTCTTTTAAAAGTGATTCTATTTGTACACTTTTTCAAATTGGAGATCGATTTTGTGGTATACAAATTGTCCTCGCCATAATGAAACAATATAAACTAGTTGCTAAGGCTTCATTTAAAAATGATTTAATTATAAATAGAGTTATAAATAGAGGAATATATGATGGTCTTGTTTTATATATACAAGATTTAACATCTAAAAGTCAAAAGTATATTTTAATGCTAATATCTTTTTGGATAAACTCATTTATAGATACTAGAGTTTTGCAATTATACAGACTTGTATGTGATGTGGCGTTAGAAGAGGATTTTCCAGGAACTAAGGAACATAAACAATGTGACTCAAATGAAAAGTCTTCTATTAAGATGTATAAATCTCCGAAAAAGGTCAGAATACATATTGATAGTTCTAATAATTTTGTTAATACTTCAGTTGAATTATCTAATAACTACTTTAACTTGGATAAAGTTTTACTTACTGATAATGAAGGATCTATAACATATAATTTAGATAATTCAGAAGTCTTATCTTGTATATCTAAAGAATTCTCAAAGAAAACTAATTTAAAATTATCTTCTAAAGATGATCAATTGAACTTCTCTACACAGGAAAGTAGTTTTGAAAATATATTAAAAAAAAATTGGAATATAGGATCATTTGAAAGGAACGGGTCACTTTTCGAAATAAAGGAATCTTTGAATACTTTTGTTGACCAATGGTTTATTTCAATTTCATCACGTTTGTCTATAAATTTAACTGGTAAAAAATATTTAATTGATGAAATAAAGTCAATAACTACAAAATTAAGAGATCAATCAAAGTTTGAGATTTTTCTGGATCAGACAATCTCAAGTATAGAACTTTTGAAATTACTTCCAAATAAGGAGACTGTAATATCTCAATTTAAAGATCGTTTTTTGAAACGTTTAATGGTTTTATTATATATTAACAGTAGTTCAATGATTAACGAAAATAGATTTACTAACATATTCTGTTTAATTTGTATTGAAGATTTCATTTTATCTTATATGAATGATAATCCAATATTTCATGAAAGCTACAATTTTGATATAGATCATTGCTATAATGACTCCTATTTAGGTTTACCGTTTAATGTTTCTGTAAAAAGTATTCAGGGTATTTTGGATGATTCACTCAATATGATACTTTCATCAGCAGTAAATGATCAAATGATATCTGTACTGTTAACTACATATTTTAATTGGCATAAGAACTCATCCTTGAACTATTTTGGCGATTTAATAAAATTATACTCAAAACTCAAATTTCCAAGAGCTGTAGAACCCCATATAATAAATTTTGAGCAGCAATATAAATTAAAATATCCATATAGGAAAATATCTTGGTTATGGGATTGTGGTTTTGCAATTATACAAGTTTCTGGATATAGAGAACAATATAGTAATACATCTTTATCTTTTATATTTATAGCCCCTTTATTAATTGTTCTTGTTTTGAATGTATTTAATAAAAAAACTTCTCAAGGATTTTCATTAAGTTACATTCTTGAAGTTACGGGACTTACGTTAATTGAAGGAGTAAGGATTATTTTGAGCTTATTCCTTCCTGATCAGGATTTATTAGAAGTGACTAATGCTAAAACTAATTGTGGAGATATACAAAAGTGGAATACATGGCTTCATCTAAATACTATACTTAGATTAAAGGCTTACCCAAATCTCAAATTAAAAGATGTTATTTTCTTAAGATTATTACCAAGGGACTATCTAAGTAATGATAGCAGAAATTCCATATTTAATTTAGGTTTTAAATTAAACGGTGACTTTTCTACTAAAATTACTAGAAGATTAAGCTTTAATAATTATGTGCATAATAAAGATAATTACTTATCTATTTTTAATATTCCCAATATAAATCATTCAATTGTAAAATTAGCTTCACCTTGGGAAATATCAATTCATATTGATGATGACTCTTATGAGGACTATTTCAAGATTTCCTCTAGTCTTACTGAATCAGATAACGGATATTTATTGTATATGAAATCAAATTTAGAGGATGCTGACAGTTCTTACAATATTTGTGCATCTGACTTTGCAGATGGCCATATTTCTGAAGAGAACTCTTCAATATTTGAAACTGATTCATCATATTGGGCTAGGGATGAAATGGGAGTTTCATGTGAAGAATCTATTCGATATAATTCCTCAGCTACTCAGGGTGAAACTGAATATTTATATGGCTTCATAAAGCGTAGATGTATAGATCTTCAAAATACAAATAAGTCGAATAGTCTTAACTATACAGAAACAAATCTATTTGATTATATATGTATTATTGAAGGTCTTATAGTTCGATTAATTAAAAAGGAAAAGTTACAAACATATTCTCAAATAACTCGTTATATTGAAGAAAATTGGCGTTTGAAACATTTTGTACCCACAAATCAAAGTATAGATCAGGCTCTTGAGAAACTTATTTCTAGAGAATTTATTGAAGTCCAAGATCTGGAAAAAAGGAATTCCTTTTCCAGCAATACAACTTTTGTTTATATACCTTAAAGTAGGAATTATATAATAAATATTATAAAATATCTCATTTATTATTTACTATATTTCACATATAAATATATAAATATGACAATTTTTTCATTTGGTTAGTTACAGGTCTTATAGATGATTTTTATCTAATAATTAGAAAGTAATAGATTATGTAATTTTGCTTATTTAGAAATATTTTAGAGCATTTAAATATTCCTTTCTGAATATATATAGAAAATTTGTCTATAATCTCAATATTATCAATTAGATATATCTTAAGTAATTCACATATTCCTTTGTTCCAAAAAAGTTCACTTTTATCTTTAGTATTCAATTTAACATCCTCAGTTTTATCTTTACAACCTCATATTAATCTTAATAATTAGATACCTAGAATATATATACCCAATTATATAACCTTAATATTAAGATTTAAGTGGGAAATATTTCTAAAGATACCTTCCTATCTTGATCTATATATTTCAAAAATTTTAAATAAACTTTCTATATAATTGTGTGCTACTGTGTGTTCAAGTTTGTGAGATACTTTTGAAACTTCTGTATCTTTATAATCAGCACTTTTAGTAATAATATCTATTCATTATAACATGATGTATACTAAAATATTTCATACTATTATAGAAGTAGAAATTTATCTACTTGCACTTCATTTAAGAAATATACGTACTTAGGAAATCCTTTTGGAATGATTGTCCGCCATCTCTGCTAATTCTGTTAGGCTAGTGTCTATAGCTGTAGAAATATTATTTTACTTCTTATGGTTTTAGTGTATACTTGAAATAGTGTATATTACAAGCAAATGCTTGAAACAATTCTTCAGAGAATACTGGGAAGATATTTGGAGCCATATGTATACAATTTAAGTCGAGAAAATTTAAGGCTTGGAGTATTATCAGGAAATTTGGTTTTAGAAAATCTGAGGCTTAAGGAAAATTTAGGAGATATTTTACATCTGCCAGTTTCACTGATTTCGGGGTCAATCGGTCATGTATCAATAACAATACCATGGACTTCTTTAGGATATAAACCTCTTGTAATAAAGTTAGAAAGAATTCATATAATTATAAAACCAAAGGACTATGGAAATATTGATGAAGAATCTCTAAAAAATGAACTTCGTCAAGCAAAATCTAAACTTATTGAGCACAAAGAGAAGTTACTTTATGAAAAGTTGTTAAACAAAGAAAATACAGAGCTAAATGATAATGAATCTAACTTTAATAGAACAGAGGATTCAAATACAAACTTAATTTGGAGAATATTAAAGAAGATTGTGGCAAATATACAAATAGATATAGAGGATATTCATATTTGTATGATTGGTTTTCAATCTAATGTTAACCAGACAGATATACATAATATTGTAGATACAAATTCAAATGAGATAATAATAGGAATAATGATTAAATCAGGTTCACTTTTTTCAACAGATTCTTTTGGAAATAGAACTATAGATTCCTTAAATTCCAGTGAATCTATTGATCCATCAGCTTTATTTAAGACTATCCAAATAAAGGATACCAGCTTATATATAGGCCAGTTTTTTCCATTAAATTATATGAAATTTGAGACATCTCCTTCGAATGAATTACCGTATATGTTATTCGATATACAAAGTATATTAAGTGGTGATAACACTTTAGAAGATATGAATGAAACTAAAGAAAGTAATTTAATGGTTTCATCGAAATATCTATCACTAAACTGTAAGAAAACAAATAAATGTATGGGAACATGGAGATTAGAATATATTTTAAGACCTTTAATATTACATTTTAATATATCTCATTCTCCTACTAATAATGAATTAAGTGCATATCTTGAAGTTAAAAGTGCTACTACTCACACAGTAATGCTACGGAGGAGTCATTTAAGACCAATAATAATTAGTATAAAGCGTTTAGCTGAAAAGCAAGCTAAATATCGTGAATTGTTATTACGAAATTCACATTTAGTTCGCACAGATCCTATTGCTTTAAGTACTGTAACTCAAGATGAATATATTGGATTATATTCAAGAAAACTTAAAATTTCAGCTATTTGTAATTCTAAAGATATCTCTGAGTCAATTAACAATACTGATCAATATTCCATGAGTACACAAAGTATTACTAAAGATGGTAATGCTAATAATGAAGTTCTTTTGAGAAATAGTTCTAGTTTTTTTGGAGTACCAGTTCAAGCCTTTTCTGAGGAAGATATTGCTAGGCTTCAATTACTAGAGGATGTAATAAGCGTTAGGCATTTAGCAAAGTGGCGTTGCAAAGCTAGAGAAGCTGTTAATAGGATTTCTATAGAAGCTGCATCAAGAAAAAAAAACCGGCAGATATCAGCAGAACCACGTTTAGCTTCAAATGACTCAAAAAATATTCGTGAATCTGCTGAGGATAATATAACCAAATCTAGTATAAATTCAGAACTTATATATAAACCTTGTAATATAGAGAGCAGTTCAAATAATATGTCATGGACACAGTGGGCCATTTCGAAATTATTGGGAAATAAAAATTCTAAAGAGAAAGAAGATCTTCATAATATTTCATATATACATGATGCAGATACTGAGTTTAGTGGTGGATTAATTACAGAAGATGAGATGAATGTTATAATGACTGCCGTAACTAATGAGAAATATTTTGAAAAAATTGAAACTCCCACGAAATTTTTGTTATCTTTTGGATTAACATACTTTGGTATAACTATTTTAGACGATACAACTAATCCAACTAATCAAAATGCTATAGATAAGGAGATATTTACAAGAGAAAATTCCGGGACCTTGGCTAGTGCTGAATTGAGAAAAAAAATTACTGATTCGATTCCTAATTCTTCAATAACAAGCAAGTATATATCTTTAGAACTTTTTGAATTTTTGGTACAATTAAGGATTCAATCAGTTGTTGATAGAAATGATAAAGATACTCATGAATGGGAATTTTCCACTGGAATAAAGAATTTATCTCTTTATCATTATGAACAACTAATACTATTTTTCAATTCTGAAATATACAGTGAGATATTGAGTACAAAAGAAGATGTAAATAATGAAGAAACTGGAGGAAATATCTTAACAAAGTCTACTTCAGTCTATCATATTGGTTCTTTATTTCGTTCATCTGTAAGAAATTCTCTCAAAGATAATTCTTTCAGAGAAAAATTAAAAAATCTGCGCTTACTTGAAGATTCATCCTTGCATTTACATCTTTGTCATAAAGTTGACAAACGGGGTAATACATTAAGACTCCTCCTTAAAATTGCACCTCTAGATGTTTTATTAACTCCAATATTTTTCAATGAAATATATTCTCTAATGAACCTATATGAATCTATACTTGTTATTCCGAAAATTGAAACTCATTTAAAAACTAATAACAACTCTTTGGATATTTTAGAGGTTGAAGTATTGGAATCTATATCACAAGAAATATCTAATTGTGGAGATTTGAATGCAAATCAAGCTTTCAATATTTCCAGCTTTAAAAATACTGAAATATATGATTCAACTGAATTAGTTCAAGATTTCTGGGAACGGAGTGAAAATGTTAAGGAGTTTGCTTCTACATATTCTCTTCCTGACTTTATAGAGTTTAAAATTCAAGTTTTATCACCAGTATTTGTTATAAATTCAAGAGGTATAGAAGATCACATTTCAGAAGTTAATATGAGTGAATTTAAAGATGAAATTATGTCTCTAAAGCTTATATTAGGTAACTGTACAATTTGCACAGATGGAGTTTGCAATAGAAATAAATTAAATATAAAGATAGACTTAGATAATACTCAACTTAAATATATCAAATATAAATCTATTATAAGACCTGAATTGGAAACGAATATTAATGAATTTTATAAAGATGATACTTCAAGAAGAATTCACCATTTTCAAGAGTATACAAAAAAACTTTCTAATTTCTCTCTTAAGTGGCAACATGAAGAATTTGTGATACTTCATCCTGTACCTGTTTCTTTTGATATTTTTATTGATTATAACTCTTCAAATACTTCAAACTATAAAGGGTCTATTTCCTTAAAAGTTGATATTACACTGCAGCAATTTATTTTTAATTTAGATCCGGAGTCAATAAGATATCTGCTTCATATTCCCTTTTGCTTTTACTCAGCTTTGGTTCTCCCAACAGTTCAAGGTTATTATTTTGTACCATCAAACATTTTAAAACTTAGGGATTTTTCTTCAAGAAACTCATTTGAACAACATCTTAGCAAACTACCTGTTAGATCATTAACAAGAGATGCAAAGATAACTGAAATAGGAAGTAGTGAAGTGTATGAAACTATTAATAAGCAATTTGAGAGTTCTATTAATCAAAATACTGAATACAATGGAATATTGAGCTTAAATTGGGATTTAAAATGCTCAATACATACAGAAACTGTAGGATTTGCAATTAAATCATGCAGTCAATCTACTCAGGAACAGATTCTTCAAGGTTCAATAAGAGGTATTTTATCAAAAATTGAGTATGACTCTACTTCTAGTATTTTAAGAGGTAAAATGGATCTTCATAGAGTTTTATTATTTTCACCAATAACTAAAATACCTCTACTGTTTACACTAACAGAATATGACCCTATTACTCAGAACGTTAGTGATATGTGGTGTAACATTGAAAAAAGAATATCTATTCAATCTGAAAACCTTGGTAAAAATGATGATTTGATGTTTGTAGATGCCATTGAAGAATATGAGAATACTATCGAGATATCATTTGTAAATTACTCAAGGATTGATGAAGTAGATAATGATGATGGAGATTCCCACTCTAAACTGATACTCCCATTTCAGATATCAATTGTTGCTTCTCCAATTGAAGTTTACTGGGATAAACCTACAATTATAAGCATATTATCATGTCTTCATGAATTCAAGGAAGTTATAGCTAGTACTATTCAATATAATTCTGGTATTATTAAGAAGATACTTGTATCAAATAGATTCTTTTGTTACAAACTGGAATCTTATTGGCAATCTTGTTTATTATCTACTTATGCCAAGACATACTTTGTTAATGATATTTCAGATTATAATAAAATTAAGTCTATGATATTTTTGAAAAATAGTATGATGACATATCATGTTCTAGATAATGATGAGTCCAAGAAATTTATGTCAGATATTGTAAGTGAAATTGATAATTCACCATCTATATGGTTATTTGGGATAATAGTAATGCCTCCAATGGTTATTGCAATAAATATAAAAAAAATACAAAATTTATTGTCAAATATATCCAAACATCTTATAGAAGATACTGATAATAATATTGACTTTGGAAATATAAGAGACTATATATCAGATTATGAAGAATGTAATACAAACAATAACTCTTTAAATAGAAGTTTTATAACTGAACAATATACACAAAGCACGAATGAAGAATATCCTTTAAATAAAAATAAATTATATGAGTATTACCACAATTGGAAGTTGTCTGGATTAGGTGATTTGGAAGATTTTAGTGAATTACCAAAGTTTTCTTTTGAATTAAATAATGAGAATAGTGAAGAACCCAGGAACCCAACTTGGAGTCTGACCTGTATTTTAAGAGGAGGATCCCTAACTTTTGTACGAGAAAATGAGTCCTTCATTATAATTGGAATACATGATATAGGTATAGCCTTTGATGGATATGATACAGGAGATAAAAAGTTTTATATAGAAGTTCAGAATTGCTCTTTAACAATAAACAAGCGTTGTATATTATCAAGATTCTATGAACCCTCGGAAAATAATAGAAAGTGTTTAGCTTCTTTATCTGCTAGAATATATTCCAAACCTTTGGATAATTTTAATGAAGATTTAATTAATATTGCTTTAAAGGGATATCTAGAATCTTTTTGCTATATCGTATGTTATCGGGATATAATGGAATTTATAGAATATATAAATGATGGAATTCTTGACTCTTTAATAACTAAATCTTATGAGGCAGCACGGGAAATAACGAAAAGTAGAGTTTTTCTATACTTCTTTAATATAAATAATTCCATTTTAATGTTACCCGAAGATAAATCTGTACTAAAAGAAATAAATAATCAAGACATATATCTAAATTTGAAATCTATGGATGTACTTAATCAGACAATTCATAATCCACTAGATATATTTGATGAAACAGTTAATAGATATAAAAAGACACTTCAACAATTATTGGAAGATATGTACTATAAAGCAAATAAAAATTTGAATAAACAAAGTGATTCCCAATATATAAACAAATTCGATGATTACTTATCTACGAAGAAATGTGAATTTACTATTAATACATATGATGAATCTAACTTAATATTTGACAAAAATAAATCAATTGATAATTTAGATAAATATGAATTCAGTTACCATCCTAGTGAGTTGATAAAAAAGAACTCTGCAGAAGATACTCATACTATTGATCATTCCCAAAAAATAAGAATTTCCCCGTTATTTTTGAGTAGAATTAAAGATCTGGACACTCTTACATTACTTGAAAAATCAACTCTCGATTATCCTAGAGCCAAGTATTTTCTCAGAAATGCTGATTTTAAGTCGTCTTTAAACTCTTTCTGTAAAGTAAGCACAAAACAGTTTCAGATCTACAATCAGTTATCTCCAGACAATATTGTAAGTAAATTCTTAAGAAAAGAGAATTTATTAAATAAATCTGATATTCCGGAGTTTATTTGGAATTTTGTAGTTAAAATACTAAATGGTCAATTAGGAATAGTCAGCCATCCAAATGGATCTAGGTATATTGATGGGAATATTCTATCTAATATTAATGCTGAGATATCATATGGTACTATAAAGAGTTTTCCTAATTTATGTATATTTGAAATATCTAATCCAGAATATTACATCAAACCTTATCACGAAACAGTATATTTAAACGTTAATTTATCTCCAATATGCATTAATTTATCTAGGCAACAGCTTACATTTCTAATTGATATGATAAGTCAGAATTTTGGATATAAATTATATAAGGATACAACTAAGGATGATATAAAACACCAATTAGTTGTAAACTCAAGTTTAGAAGAACAAAATAATGATAGTTTTAATGAACACAGTTCTATGGATTCCCAGGATGCAAGCAGCTTTATAGCAAATTCAACAGTATCCATAAATATTTCACTACCATTGTTATCTTTGGAAACATCATTTTCTCATACTGATCACTCTAAAGAACCATATAGAAATGTTGCATTACCTTTAGTACTGGTACAATTACATAATTGCTGTATTACAGGCTGGGTAATCGGATCATGTAAAACTTCTCAAAACTATTGGAAAGTAAATATAGTATCTCAGAAGTACTTTTTTGACGATATTAGATTAACAACTAATTTAAGGTATAGAAGAATTATACACAGCTACTCTTTAGGCGATGCAATACCAAGTGCTGCTATATTAGATAATGAAAAAAAAAATATCTTGAACTCTTCAAAATGTTCTCTTCAATTTATTTGGGAAAGTTCTACGTTAAAGGGGCATACTTTAGTTTTAAAGTCCTTTAATCCAGAGGTATACCTTGGTTTTAACGCTATTATAGACTTTTACTATTATTTGAGTCATAGCTGGAGATCTTCAACTATGGCTAGAATGATATCTTCAAACTACTCAAATAATGAACATAAGGATTCACGAGAAAATATTAAGGAGAATGAAATATGTGAGTTAAAAGATGAATTTGAGATTCCACACAAAAATATAAGTTCAAATGACTTACAAGAAATATCAGATACATCATCTTTTTCCCTTAGCATAGAAATAAACAAAGGTAGATTTGGATTTACAAGTCATCCTCAAGACAAACTAGAAATTTCTGACAATTTGGCTGAGTTGTCTATGAACAATAATTCAGATAGTAACTCTGTTTGTAGTGGTAATAATGTATATACAAACTCTCCTAATAATGCATGCCCAATCCTTATTTGGGAAACTGACTTAAAATGCAAAATTGTTGTAACATCTGATGAAACCTTAATAAAATATTTGGACCTTTTAAATAGTACTGTAAGATATACGGACATATTAACTGAAAATGGTGATATATCAGAGGATAAATACAAGGATTGTGATCCTAATATTAATAATCTTAGTACTATGCTACATGAGAGGTGTCTTTGCAATCATCCTATTCCTCTTTTACTAGAACCACTTTATCAAATCTATGGAAAATATAGTCAGAATATTCCATTTGCTCCTATAAATTTCCAAACTCCGAAATATTCTCTTGAATCAAAGAAGTCCATTATATTAGCAGAAACTTTCAGCATTACTAGTAAAGGAAGTTATACAAGTAATATAAGGAATTTACCAGATCTCTTTTCAATTCCAGTATCTTTGAGTGAGATACAGTATTGTTTTAATTTTTGTCCAATTATAATTAATATACCACCATCACATCTAGTTGAAATTACATCATTAGTGAAGAATCTTTTTGATGATGGTCCCTCAATATCTCCTCTATATACATCTACAGTAGATTTTCAAAATGAATTGCATAGTGTTGATAACTGGCTGAATAATAGTAATGAAGAAGAGGAAGAGGAAGATGACTTAAATTCTAATATAAACATATTACCAAAAAATAAATTAGCACAACTTCCTACTGTGAACCTTTCACTTGGACCTCCCCCAATTCGTCGAATATTTGAACTAAAGTTTTCAATGGAATCCTTGAGATTTTTACTATTAGATGATCAAAAACCTACATTAGTGCCAATATTAGATATAAAAGTGAGAACTAGTCTGTGGAAGCTAGAAACTACACCAATTAAAACTAATCATACAATTAATGACTTGGATCTTCTAGTTGATGTACTAAATTTTAAAACAGGAGATTGGGAACCTGTAATTGAAAAGTGTAAACTGTCAATTCACTATTTCCAAGAAAACCCAATTCTATATGATCCTTATGCAAAACCTTTACGAAGGTCTTTAAGAAAATATCTTCATATTGCATCTTCTCGAGCTCTTTGGTTAAATATAAAACCTACACTCTGTTATACTTTAAATTGGTTCATTCCATACTGCTTTTCATTTTTCAAAACTACTAGTGAAACCCAAATGGCAAATAACTCTGAATGTTATTCCAGACCATTCGATAGATTGTCAATTGTTGATAATGAAACTAAATCTAATGAACTTCGGAATCGAAATAACAGTTCAATATTTGTAATACCTCTTGAAAAACTTACTAAATCATTGAAGAATAAAAACTTGAATAGAATTATTCCAATAGAAAGGCTAAAATTTGCTAATTTGGATTCTAACCTGAAAGAAAATAAGGAACAATACGAATTACCTCAGCTTATGTACCTTAATTTAACAGGTTTACCATTTTATGCTTTTACTATATCATTTAATGGGGAAAAAGATCGAAATATAACGTATCTAAATTCTTTGGTATTATTATCTCCATCTTCTATTTCTACTAATTTGAATTTCCTTCTTAGTAATACTAAGCTATCCACTTTAAGGACTTCAAATATTTCTGACTTTACTTCATGCTCTTTTGTCACAGCTCAATGGCCTATAAAAATGAAAGAAAATTGTATATGTTTATTATCAGCTCCTGTAAATGAAGATATATATAAATTAAGCAAACAATTCCCTCAACTTGAAATAGAATTGATTGCAAGAGTTCTTTGTATATACAAGTCCTTTGAAAAATCTATTGAAATACTTACATCTTATACAGAGATTCAATCTGAAAAACTAAATCCTAGATTTGGACCTTTACCTAGTGGAATCAAATGTATATACTTCAATGCTGAACAAGTATCAAGTGCACTACTTCCAACAATAACACCCAATTACAGTAAGCAAGATCAAACATTAGAAAATCTACTCAAAGATAAAATAGAAGATAAAGAGAGAGGCTCTGAAGAACATAATAAATTAAATAATAAGACAAATCATGTACTAGCAGAGATTCTTTCACCTCATCCAAGTTCTAAACTACTTTGTCTACTATCAAGCAATAGAATTGTCAATAAGACTGGCATTCCATTGGAAATTTGTTTTCTAGATACTAATAATATACCTATTAAAATGTATGATGTAGCAATGATTTCAACAAATATGGAAAATGCAAATTTAATTTTTAATGAGGAAATACTTCATCATTCTAGAGAATTAATAGGAAATAATGGAATGAATATCCATACTGATTATATGAGTAATATAAACAAAGTAAATACTAATTCACTTGATGATAACTTAAATAATATAAATTCAGCTTTTTTGGATCAATTTTCTCAAAATATGGAAGATGTTATTAAGCATTTAAAAAAGCAAGATGAAATTTCTTCCAAGTATAAATTTACTAGAAAAATAAATGATAGAGATTTTTTAAATGATATCATACCTAAATTATATAAAAGTACTGAGAACAAAGAAGAAATTGCTTTAGATTTAAATAACTTTCCAGGCTGTGATGAGTTTATGAACAAGGAATCTAAACCAATTCCTTCTTGGCTCGGTAATACTGATACAGTTAATACTATTATCAGCAGTATACATGATGAATACAATAAATCTTGCTCAGATCCAAGAATTATGTTTGAATGTGAAAATTTTAAAGACTTCGATAACCTAAATCTTAACAATATTAATTTTCCCGAAAGGAAATATTACTATTATTCTTATTTCTTACCAAATGAATTTGTATTATCTGTTCCTCAAGTCGCCTTAATTTCACCTGGGAAAAATAAATGCAAAGTATTATATAGACCTGCATTAATAGGACTAGTTGAAATGTTTTGTATTATTAGACAGCTTGAAACTATTCAAAACGAGATAATTACAAATAATACAACAGAGGAAACAATGAATCGGCAGATTGATGGTATTGTTGATATCAACTTATCCAATAGTTCTGAAGAAATATTTGCAACAAATGTGATATATAACGAACAAAATACGCAGAATTTTTATGAATATTTACTCTCTAATGAAGGCTTGGCTTGTATATATTCCAAGCTTATGTCAAGTAGACTTTCTGAGACAACAGATAATATAAGTGAAGAATTACATTCTATAACTTATAAATTGTTACGTATATTTAAAATTTGTAATGGAAATTCAATTTTTATTCAGTACTATAACTTTTGGAATTATATGATACAACAATTTTTTGATTCTGATAGGAATGTACTTGATTTATCTTGTTTGTCATTAAGAGGATGGATATCAAATCCTATAGATACGGGGAAAAATATAAATAAGACTATATTCCATAAATTGTCTGTTAATTCATTCATTAATCGTAAATTAAAGAACAAAAATAAGACATTCAAGATATGGTCAAGAACTTCTAGTAAATTATCTCATTTAAATACTAATACAATTATTGGCTCAGACACTTCGAATTTAGACAATATGTGTAATAGCTCAATAAATGACTATAATGTTTTATTTGCTGATGGGGAGATACTTGATTCTGGAATATCTTACAAGCAAAGTAACTCCATGAGCTTATCAGATAAGAATTTCACATCTCAACCATTATATTTCCAATCCTATATTCAACTATACAAATCTATATACCCTGGTGAGGTAACAATACGTAATCTATTACTTTACCCAAGTTATCTGCTAATGAATTTTATACCCACTTTATTGGAATGTCAAATTAAATGCTGGTACTCAAACAGTAGCTTAAAAACATCGAAATATTTTTATAGTATGCAACCATTTCAATCTTATGCATTATACGAATTACCTAGTTCTAAAAGCCAAATTAAAGTTAGAATAGCACTTGATAACAGCCTATTAGATGATCGCTTAAATCACTTCTCATATAGTACTCAAGCTGATAAGAGTTTTACTATATGGAGTTCCTCTTTCGATGCATTTGGTAGCAGTTCAACTCAACTAAATTTAACTTCTAGTTCTACATCTTGTGATATGTCATCTATAGATCTTGAATGCGTCCAAATAGATAAGTTACAAAATCGTAAATATTCCTGTAAATGTATTGGGTATATGCAGAAACATGTACTGGCCTTTAATTCACAAAGATGGTTCATTAATAAGACAAATCACAGTTTTATTCCTCTTGATGACAATAAGGCATTTCCAATTATTAATGTTAAGCTCTCCCACTTTTATAACCATGATATACTCAAGAATAGAGACAAGGAATCTCAAATAGCTTTACTAAATACAAAACATAGCTACTTACAAATATGTTTTCAACCAAACTTAAATAGAACTACTAATAAGTGGAAAGTGCAGTCTAAGGATACTGAGAGTAGTCTAAGCTATTCAAATTTTAAAATTGTTAAAAACGAACCTCTACGTTTAGGACTAATTGAAATACCTCCAATAGAGTCATCATATTCATTTCCAATATTTATTAATTCTGAATTTAATCAAAAATTAGAACTTAATGAGTCAAAAAACATAAAAACGAAAACAAGATCTAAAAGAGGTATGGAGGAATCACTCTCTACTCGTTCATCTTTCATACAAATATATTATTTTACTATTAGGACAAATACTTTAAAACTAAATAATATAGCTGGTTGTACTACTAAAATTGTTACAGTATTACCAAATATTATTATTGATAACAAAACAAATGAAGGATTTTACTGGCTTGCATTTTACATACAAAATAGTTCTAGTAATACAAGTGGACCTTCCAGTATGTCAGATTTAGTTCATAATTTTTTGGATGAAATAAAAAATAAAACAAATGAAAAATTAAATATATTTTCGATTGAGCCTTTTACAACTGAACATATTGTGGCATATAGCAAAGTAGATCAAGAATCTTCTGTACATTCCTCTAATTTAATATCTGGAAATCCCTTGTCATTATTTGGATCTTCAGAGGTGATTCAGAACTTAAATAATCAAACTAGCAATAATGGCATAAATGTATCTGGAGATCAGAAAATTATATTATTTCTTAGTGGAATAGATAATGAGCAAGATAATAATGAGAAAAATGGGGTATTTAATAGTAAAAAACAGTTAACTTCTGACTCAATAGATGATTTAAATATAAATGACAAAGTGAGTAGAAATGAAGATGAAAAAATTGAGATAAATCAATATTGTGCAAGATGGTCACAACCAATCGTAATATCATCTGAATCAGCTGGTATCTATTACATGACATTTCCAAATGTTGCATCTGGTAGCAACTTAGTTAACCCTAAGACGTACTGTATTAAAATAATATCTGATAATGGGGTATTTGTAGTCAGAATAAAGAATACAGACACATATAATCCTTGGAGTGGTGTAGTTTTTACTAATCACTGCAGCTATCTTCCATGCATAACATTGGAGACATTTCACTATGAATATAAAAATAGCAAAGATGAGTCTCATTCAAAACTCGAAGCTCTATATTCTATCTTTGATAGATCTCCCAAACCATTAACAATAGGTTGGCCTTCTCCTTTTCTATATACATCTAGAAACTGCAAATTGTATATAATACCAGAATCATCTATTGATAATAATTCAAGTGATCAGATTTCAAGTGAAGATAAACTAGTCAAAAATCACAAGAGGTTGCTTTCAAAAGGAATTATTGCATTTGAAGTTAATTTTCACTACTCTCAAACAAACCCTTACCAGTATAAACGTTATATCTTATCATTACCTGAACAAGATATCCTTAAGTTATGCTCAATGTATCCATACTTAAATTCTGCATATTTTCTGAATAATGATAATAAGAAGATGTCATCTGATCATTATCCTATTGCAGTGATTTGTATAGTAGCTAGAGATAACGGAGTATATGTCGATGTACTTCCTCCTAGAAATCAAGCATCTTTAGTTATTAATCTGTTAACTAGCTCAAATGTAAATATTACAGATTCCTCATATGAAAATGAATCTAAGAATCTAAATGTAACATTACCTGGACAAAAATTGATACTACCCAAATTATTCCAAAAGCTTATGCATAGAGTGAATAAATATACAAATGATAAAATATGGCTCCTAACTTGTATATGGCACAAAAGACTGATAATAGATATTGCTCAAATAGGAATTTCAATGATTTCTGAACGTAGAGAATCTGAAATTTTATATCTTGAGTTGAGTGCAATTCAGTTTAGAAAACAAGAGAAATCTAGAAATGGAATGATTGAAAGTTATCGATTTATAATTGGTGATATACAACTTGATAATCAATATACCTTTGGAAACCCAAAATCTGGTCTCAATAGCCCTGTTTCTACTAATAAATCAAATAATACAGGATATAATAATAATAATAATTTAGGACTAATACCTTTTGTACTTTTGAATAACAGAACTTGTTGGGATGAAGAAAATCAAAATTACAATCCTTTCATGATTCTTAAATGGTTCTGTTCTACAGCACGTTCTAGATGGGAAACTATAGTATATAGCTTAGAAGGCGAATTTTCAGACCTAGAATTAAATTTTGACTTTACTGTTTACAAAATAATTTCAGAATTTATTGATGACTGCAAAATGGGGATTGCTGAAAATATCCCTGGTATAAATTTTGGCTATATCTTTTCGGATAATATTCTATCAAAGATAACACCAAATATTTCGTTCAACATAGAAAAAATTAAACTTAGTTCATTAACTTTGCATGTATGGTGTTCTATTCCTCTCGATGAACTTCAGTATATTCCTGAATGGTTTAGGATAGGACTAAGAATTCTTACTGTATCTAACTCACTTGAATTAAGAGGAGCTCCAATTCATTTAGAATCTCATAATCTTAATAACACTATTGGAAATACTTCAAGTATTGTAAAAGCATTTTATGAATACTATATGGCAGAAATTCTCTGGAGAATAGGAACTGTACTAGGTCATAGCTCTTTTGTGAATATTCCATTAGTACCTTTACAGCTAGGGAAAAATACACTAAATGTTGCATTTTCGACTATTTCAGCTGTTAATTCAAGTCTTACAAACTTACTTTCCAACTTAACAATGGATTCAGAATATATTAATGCCAGACAACGTGAATTATATTCTACTCAATCATTATCAAGACTAAATTCTAGCTCAAATCAATATCCTACAGCTAGTTTGAAAGAAGGCTTCTCACTTGCAGGCCAAAATATTACACAAGGTTTACTAAGCCTCAGAAATATAGTTACAAAACCAATAGAAGGAGCTCAGAGAGCAGGATTTACTGGGTTTTGCACTGGGCTAATAAAAGGAGTCACCTCATCAATCATTAAACCTATTGATCATATTGGACAAGCTCTAAATAATGTAATTGATGGAATTCAAGCAGAAGTTAATAAACCTTTAGGAGGCTATAAACAAAGGACGTGCAGACGAAGAATTCCTAGGTTATTGTGGGGAAAGTGGGCAGGTATTGTCCCTTATAATTCCCAAGATGCACTACTAAGGAATATTCTAGGCTATAAATTAATGAGACACGTAATATACTACTTTATTATACCTACAAATAAATATGGAATACCATTATTACTCTTGTGCTATCCCCAAAAAATTATATTGGTTAAGTTACTCACAAAGATTAATCCTACTGATAATAACTTCAACAACACAGGATTAATCCTTAAGGACTATTTTAAAATTTTATGGGTTGTTCATACTAATCAGGTGAAATCAGTTAGACCAAGTTCTCATGGAATTCTGATATATACTAATAGTAATGAAGTTGGTGATCTTCAAATTCCAACATGTTCATATAAGCAAATAAGTGGTATTACATCGGCAATAGATAATATACTTAACTTTTCATCTTCATGTCTAATTCTTAGATAAAATCATAAATATAACCTTTCTCATTTAACTATTAAGACAATTAGCTCTTTTTTAAAATTTCTATATTTAATAATAATTATTAATTAGACTAGTAATTTAAATTTTAAAATCTTAAATTTGTATAATTTTCAATAATACTCTAACTCAATACACTTTCTTAGAAGTATGGAAACTAAATATACACTTTACTTTAAAATTCCTGATAAATTTAAAGGTAAGTGTATTTACATTTTATGAATTTCAAATACTAAAACTGGTACAGATTATCTCAGTATTATTGCAATATTAAACTAGTTTTATAAATAAATGATTTTCTAATAGTATGAATTATTATCAAGTCTAGTCTATATAAATGATATTTAGTTGAGTAGAAAAACTACCAAGTAGTAGTGTGTTCAAGAAATTGTTTATTTTCAAATTAGATAGGTAGATAAGTATTAATAGATTATATAAGACTTTTGGAATTATATAAATCTAATTTTTGTTTTGAATCTGGAGCAATCGGCTAATAAATCTAAAAATAAAGAAATATAATACTTAGATTATATATAATATTAAAGTATTGAAACTGAGAAAAAGAAATTAATATAAATTATAAAGATATTTCACCCAGCTAGAACCGTGTTGTATTTATAAAAAAAACTATTTGGTTAATTTAAGCTAATACTTAAATTGAATAATAATTAATAGTTTCTATTTAATATAAATCATTAATTGAGACACTTAATATATTCGGAACTCCAATTTCCTCCAAAATTTGAGTTATTTGGGTATTTGAAATTTTCAATATATAGAGAAGCAATTATTTTTGAAATATTCAAATGATTTTTTTATGATGTAAATTACATATAAAATTGTAAAAGTTGAATTAAATAATTTCATAAAAAGTTTGATTATATACTCTATAATTAGGACAATTAAAGATGATAAATTTTATAAAGTTACAATAATATCTTTGATATAATGAATATCTTAAATAAATTTATTTATATATGAAATTAATATAAGATTTATGACTCTTATAAAAATATCTAAAAGCTTGATTTAACCAATAAATTTCATTGAATTTTGAAATTAATTTACCAAAATTAATATTGCCACTCAGAATTATCAAGACCAAAAAGATATGGATCTTCTTGGGCTGAATAATTTGGAGGGGGAATATTACTTGATTGTGGTAACGGTTGAGCATCTAATTGTTCATCTCCATAATTAGCAGACTCTGCTGTTGTTACAGTATAATTAGCAATGAAAAGTCTATAGATTGTCCCAGCCATGAAGAACCCAATAATTATAAATATTGGATAAATCCACCATGGAATAATGAATTCATCACAAATTTCACCCTGATAAAATTCACTACAACTACATATAAATTTGCTATGTGGTAAGCTTGTACATTTACCATTATGAAGACATGGGTTAGGAACACAGGGTAAAGTACAAATTTTAATCATACAACTTTGTGTTCTTGATAGATTATCAGGGCAATTACCACCATCACTTTGAGATAATATAGTTATTCTAGAGCTCAGTTGAACACCCTGACCACACGTAGCTGAGCAGATGCTCCATTCAGACCACTGAGATAATACACAATTAGTTGGACATTGAAATGTATTGCAAGTATTCATTTCAAATGTCTTATTGCAATTGGCACCTTTTTTCTAAGACCTTAAGTATATCTCTTGTCCTTACTGATGTACCAGTTCCACAAGATACAGAGCAAGAAGACCATGATGACCAAGATCCATAGATACAATTAGAACATGAAATATCTTCATTACATTCTCTAGACTCAATTAATAATGGACAAGCTGTTCCGTTGTTCATTTGTGGCATTATTACGTCTCTTCTACGTACTTTCGAGCCTACAGAGCAAGACTTGGAGCAAGTAGTCCAAGCACTCCATTGAGTCACCTTGCAATCTTCAATAGAAGGAATAATAATAGCTGAATAACCATTATCCACTTTTATAACTTTGAGTGGATCTGACCAGCAATCTTGCATATCTAGAAGATATCTTCTATAGCCATTGGTAAATAAAATAAAACCATAATATCTACGTACAATTGTAAGCTCTATCCAATCACCACTACTTAATATCCAATTTGAACTATCAATTTTATTTAAAACAATACCATTCTCATCTGAGCATGCTGTAGTAATTGTTTGAAGATAACTATTTAATGTAACAGAATAATATATACGTGTTGGGGATATCCCAGTAACTGTTACCGTAAATAGCCCATTCATAAAGTATCCACAAATAAATACCATATGATTTATTGGCCATGTTTCAAGTGAGTAACTTCCCTGATCTGTTATATAATATATATATGGATTATTTATATTTGCTAAGTAGTTTAGAGGTGTATGGTTGCTTAATACTCCTTGTTCAAATATTTTAATTGGAGTGAGAAGTTGACTCTGAGGATTATATAATGAAAATTCATCTTTATTAGAAAGTAAATATTCATTCAAACCAAAATAATATGCTTTAAATGATGTAGATATATTATCTGAGCTTTCCAAAACAGTATAATGCGAAGCCTTAGTAAGACTATAAGTACCAGTCAATGAACTATCTTGAATTTCCAATGAATCAACCATCTTTTCAGAAAATTTACCACGATTTATTTTATTTGTTGAATATATATCTTCTTGCTCAGTTCTTATATATTCAATATCCAATAAATCATCTCTAGTATTATATAAACCTCCCGTTGGTAGCAAACACATAAATTGGAAATCTGAGGGGAATAGTTGACCATATTTAGGATAAAGTTCCCTACAAATATCAATGTTACTTTCATTAGCTGAGTATCCCCCAACTACTACATTGTCAAGTATTAGCCCATTTTGTTTTTCAGTACTAAATTTTGTGTTATCGGCATAAATGAAGCATAACAAAAATAGTGTCACTACTCTCAAGGTCCATACTATAGGCCAAATAAACATTTCCAGTTTATCTTAAGTGCTTTATTCATATAACATTAATTTTCTTAAAAGATTTTACTAGTGTCAGTATCGCACATTTCTAAGTATATACTACGGATTGCTGCTGCCACCATTCTCTCCCGCTCTTTTGTGTGTATCTTACCAGGTACTGCTATTTTGTTTAGAATGCATAAAATTGTTATTAAGAAAATATAATAATAGCGGATAATTTGTCTCATATATGATACATATTTCCTAGCTACTACAGAATATCATATTATACACTTTTTAATAGATTTTCTTTTAAACAAAAAGAAATGTCACTTGTAGAATTCACCCGCTGTTTTATGCCATTTATTTTGATACTCTAAATACTCATTGTTTATATAATCCAACTGAGCTTGTTCGTATTCTATTCCTAAAGTATTTAAGAAATTGTCCTTTGGAGATATTAACATATTCAAACAGAAGAAATAGTCAAAGATATGTGTTTCTATTGATTCTTCTAGGCATGGATATAGTTCGGCAATGTCATTAGAAAGTGTATCTTTTTCTATGGCTAAAATAATCTTACATTGACTTAAAATAGATGTTAATGTGTGTGATTGATCAATAAAATTTGTAATATAGTCATTTCCAACTAGATCAAGACTGGTATTTAAATTAAACGATATATTTTGCTCTTGAATATTACCAACAATGTTTATCCAATCAACACTTGTATCTTTTAACTCAAAGACAAAATAATATTCTTTTTTATTATCTAGAAGTACATCAATGAATATTCTTAATAGATAATGCGTAAACTCAGTAAATATATCGTAAATAGAACGAATGCTATTATACAATATTTTACTGATATCATCATCTTTGTCTAATAATTTGAAAAATTTTGTAGAGAGTAGAATTATTGATATATTTAACCTTAATATTAGTATTAAATAAGTTTGATCATAATCTTGAATATATGATTGGAAAATAGCTTGAAAATATGACAAGTAAAAAAGTCTATTCATATCAATTAGGAAATTGAATGCGAGAATTATCCATATTTCTGGGTATTGAAAACTGATATTTATATTATTCTCTATAATATTGAGCAAACCTTTAAGGCAAATAAATGGGATATTAAGTAGCAACTGAGTATTAATATCATCTTTAATCTTTGTCCTTTCAATTAATAGCTGAGAAATTGGGATACTTAATAAGGAGCCCCAGAGATCGAAACGAAATTTTCCAAAGCCCAAGCATAAGTACAGTGGAATATATATATGTTCTATAAGTGAACTTAATATCCAATTTGTAGGGTGTGAAATATTGATAACTTTATTTAATGATTTAGAGTAATATTCAGATGTATCTGAATTATACTTGCGTTGCAAAAGTGCAATATATCCTTTAACAGAATTTACTGAGTATTTCCATTTAATAGAAAGTGAACCATCAGTAGACCTATCTATTCCAGAAGTTATAATACCTGAAATGAGTCCCTCTTTACAGTTACACATGAAGAATCGGAAATGCTCTTTGTTTGGTCCCAGTGTTACATCCTTAAACCAAGAATATTCATTAAATGAAATAGGTATACCTATAAATAGTAGATAATGAAAAAATATTTTACACCAGTTTGATGCATACAAATCACTATATTTATTAGAGAAGTAATTAATTGAACTTCTTAAGGCTTTTGTAAGACTTTCATTCCAGCAAGAATTACTTAGTGACAATGTGTCACATGAAAGTATTGAACTATAATACTTTAGTACCATTTTAACGAAATCAATTTTTAATTTTTCAAATAAAATAGTAGGATTTATATTATTTTCATAATGTGAATACATGTTTTCTTCATAAATACCCAATTTGACAGATATTGATCTGATGAAACTATATAATTTATAAGGATTTAATTTTATAACATCAATGGCTCCAAGTATATATAGAAATTTAAGTAATAAGAGTAATGAAATTTGTTTCAAAGTTACTTTATCTTCTTTAATATTTAGTTTTGAAGTTAAATGTTCTAATGATGAAAGAAGTATTAAATAAATATTGACTGATATTTTACTATGATCATGCTTTACTTGTTCAATTTTCTGGGAAATGTAATTAATTTCACATAAATATACTGATAAATATGACATATTATAAATAAATTTTGCTTTTTCATCTGAGTTTGCACATAAAGTAAGTATTAATGCTACAAATGTTGAATTTATACTCACCAAAATGCCAGTAAATCCATCTTCTGATTCTTCTAAGTCCAAAAGCTGGAAGTTTTTGTTAAAATAACTGATACACTTTTTGTGTTTACAAGAACTTCTTGATTCAGTATTATTTGTCTTTGATATTTTGGAATAAATATTTAGACTAGTACTAGTAATTAAATATAGAGATTTGATAAATTTTAATATGACTTTGTTTATAAATTCAGTCACTTTTGAGATAAAAGATAAACTAATTGATTTACTATTTGGAGATATTTTCAAGTTATGTTTAAAATCTGTACTTTTAGAGCATATAATACAATTTTCTTCAGTTCTTGATAAAGTGAAATTTTCTAAACTTGTTGAATATTCAAAGAGATTTTGCAAAATTTTAGATATATTTTTAAGGTTGGAAAATAATGTATTCTTTAATAAAAACATTTTTAATGTATATATTCGGATATTAATTGTAATTTGTTCATTAATAGCTTTGTTGCAATCACCTAAATATTGTAGATTTATCATATCACATATTTGATAAAAATTATGTATTAAGTCATCCAATGTTTCAATTATAATATTAGCAATATTTCTTGCTAAATCATAGGTTCCTCCTGATTCATATAAAAAGGGTTTAGTATAAAATTTCAAATATCTTATTTGTTTCAATATATTAAGTTGCCTAACAAAAACTGTCCCTTCATGAAATCTTGCAGTATCCTCTTCATTCTGTGATACTGCTGCTTCAGATATTAACATATTAACTATACTGTCTGAATTTTCTGTGTAAATTTCCGAAAGATTTGCCATTTCTTTTAAATAAAATGTAATTATAGTGGAATTACAATGTTTCTGGTTTATTGTCATTGTATTTTCAGAAATATGATATAATATATTTTCTAATATAGTTGTTAGTAAAAATCGTGTCATAAACATGGTAAGATATATAGATAAATCATTATTTTCTCCAAATTTTCTCAATAAATATCTCTGAGAAAAAGTTTGTAATAGTGTCCAATTTTTCTGCAGCTGTTGTTGGTTGTTCAAATTATCCCTATTATCACCAATACCTTTTAAAGTGCTAAATAGTAATATTGAGTACATATGAAGATAAAGTTCGCTTATAATAGCTAATAATGGAGAAAATTTCAATTTGTCTTTTTTTAATAATAATTGATCAAATTTTATGTATGAATTTTTTAATTCAACATCAATATCCAAAAAATTAGAAATAGTAGATAAAACTGAAATACCACTTTCTTTAGTAGATATCAATTTTGTGAAGCAATCATCTAAGTAAAAATTGAAATAAATTATTTCCAACATTGATTGATGATAAAGTTGATCACGAAATAACCAAATCTGAATACACCATAAAATACTGTTTGAATAATCAAAATTTTTAGGAGCTAAGTACGAAATTAACCCAGAATTATCTATCCAATTTAACCAAAGAGATAATTCGGAACTTTGACCTATATATAAAGATGTATATCGAAGAATATTACCAAATATCATCATCTTTCTAATTGTAACACTACTTTTAATTTCTTTCTCTAATGAAATACTTATAAACTTTAAAGGTAAAATGTCACTTATACTCTCTAAACTTGAAATTTCCAAATCAAAATACTGATGGAGAAATATTCTGAAAATTAACATAATTTTTTCAAAAAATTGCAAATTATTTTGAATATCTAATATCCAATTGCTGATATTTGTCTTATATATTAAAATATTTAAAAAAATAATTACTTGGAATTTAAAATAAAAAACATCTGACTTTTCAATCTTATCAGATATAAACCCATCAATAAAGTAATAAAATATATCTTTTATAAGCTGACGTAATGGTTTTGAAAATTTTATGTTTGTACCATTACTATTATTTGACTTTATATTGTCAAAGTTAATAGACTTACTCAATAAATTTAATATATTTCTTTCTATCCTGATTATTATACGAATAATTAGAATTAATAGGCATAGTTTCTTCTCATTATTTATTGAGTTGTGCTTTAAACTATCGAAAATTTCCTTAGATATACTTAATACTTTAATATGATTTCGTTGTAATTCTGCTAAATTATTATTCTTTACTTCAACTTGATAATCTGTTGATAAATTTTCAAATAAACATTTCATATAATAAAAAATTCTTGAAAATAATGAATCATCTTGAAATTCGTCTTCCTTTTCATATGTATCATTAGAATTTTCTTTATTCAATACTAAAAATAAATTCATTTCTAAAGCTTCAATTAATAAATCCCAAGATCTAATTGAATATAATTCTTTAGATTCTGTATGGATATTTATATTTAAACATTTTAAATTAATAATATCATAAATATCCATACATTTTATTAAATTATCAATATAATTTGCAACTAAATTATCCCATAAAAGCCAGTCATCTAAAGTAGACAAATTTCTGCTCAAAACTAAATCCAGTTCATTATCTAAATTATTAATTGAATCATCTTCTAAATCATTGTCAGCTAATTGATTTGTCCCCACTTGATTGTCCATATTTTCAAAAATTCTACTATTTTTAGAGTTAAACTCTAAATATTCTGGAGGTAACAAATAATTATCATCTGAATTGCTATTTTCATCAGAATCATTACAAAAAATAGGTGTATCATCTCCTGCTACTAAATTGTGAACTATTTCAAAAGGTGTATTTTCATTTTCATTCTCAAAATTTTCTTTATTTATATTCCTTTCATATAAATTTAATAATGAAGATAGACCATTACCATCTGAATATTCAAGTTTTAAATTACAATTTCTCCTTTTTTTCTTCCTTCTTTCTCTTCGCAATATATTCTTTATCCCTTCAGAATCATCAATTTCTTCTTCAGAACTATATAAATATACATTTTTATTTCTTATATTATTATCACTTGAATTCATATCAATCAAATTGTCTACTTTTCTATAAAAAGCTGTATCATGTTTTGTAATAGGAAGAGCAAAATTATATTCCCAATCTGGTGGTATAGGAGCATCATCTGGTACTATAAATCCATCAGAATCAGACGATAATATGGCATCATTATTTACAGATATTACCTTAGATTTTAGCTTATTCCTACCATTAACTCTTACTTTTTGTTTTAGCCTTTTCTTTTTAGTTAGTTTAAATTCCAATCTTTTTGAATTTGAAAGTTCCGTAATATTATCTTTATTTTTAGTTAAGTCTACCTCTAAAACTTCAGATGCATCTAAAAACTGCATATCAAACTCACTTGGAGCATCATTAAAATTAAAATTCATCCTATTTTCATTTTTTTAAATAAATTCATTCACAAAAAAAACCGGATCGATACCGGTATATGTTTGTGTGTAGCTAGTAACAACGGTATGCAGAATAAAAGATGTATAAAAAGGATTATAATTGTCTAATTACTTAACATTTAACTATAAAAAAAATAAAAAACTATTTGTTATAATGAAATTATAATTAAGAAAGCTTATTATTAAAATTTTAATTTGAGAAACTTATTGTAATAGAATGATCTTACAATAATCCTTTTCAAAATATATCCAAAGTTTCAATTAAATCTTTATACTAAAAAATTATTAAAATAAATAACTTCTAATTTACTGTGAGAATAAAATCTCTTCATATTCTATTAACAGATATATTTACAAACTTATATTTATAAGGAATATCAAATATTTTAAGATCTCCTTTAGATTTTATATATTGATAACATTATATATTCACATTGAATTTACATAGTTAAATATAAATGTTTGAGAATATATAAATAAATATTATTGTACAACAACAAATATAGATAAGTTTTTTTGTGTTAATCTTTTTAATATATATTCAAATATTAGATAATTTATTATGATCATTGAATTCCCATGCTATTGATTAAAGATGATATTTTGGATTATATTACATAAAAACTACTTAAAATTAATATAATTAGATCTTAAATTGATAAATATTAAATTAAAATATGCATTTGTTAAAAAGTTACCCTCAATTTTACAATATAAAGTGGACATATATGCGGTCATACTTCATGTTAACCTCATTCTAAATAATTGTTTCTACATACTTGATTTATAGTAGAAAATTTATGTAGAAGTTGAGATAAATTAATTTAAATAACTTTCTAAATTAATAGAATGGCTCGTTTATACTTTTATTATTCTGCAATGAATGCAGGCAAGACAACATTACTATTACAATCTTCTTACAATTATAAAGAACGTGGTTTGAGAACAATGTTATATACAGCTAAAATAGATAACCGTACAGAAGTAGGAATAATTAGTTCTAGAATTGGTTTATCAAAGGAAGCTAATTTATATTCACTTGATACGAATTTATATGATGAAATTGACATAGAAAATAATAAAAAGAAATTAGATTGTATATTAATTGATGAGTGTCAATTTTTATCTAAAGTACAAGTTAAACAACTTTGTAATGTAGTAGACAAATTAAAAATACCTGTTTTATGTTATGGATTAAGGACTGATTTTAGAGGAGAATTATTTGAAGGAAGTCAATATTTATTAGCTTGGTGTGATAAATTAATTGAAGTTAAAACTATCTGTCATTGTGGTAGGAAGGCAACAATGACTATGAGAATTGATCAATGTGGTGATGTTGTTTTAGATGGTGAACAAATTAAAATTGGTGGTAATGAAAGTTATGTTTCTGTATGCCGTGAACACTACATGCTAAAGGTATCAAAGCAATAACATGGTTTATAAAATTCGAAATAAAAATAATACCAATAACATATTTTGTATATTTTAATATTATTCATTTGAACTATTTTCTATATTGAATAAAATGGGACCAATGATATTTATTTAATATTATATAAATTCTATATACTTATATTCAAAAGTCCACCCATGAAAAAAGTATGTGAACTTTAATCTGGAACAATGTATCATATATTTTGTAAAATATTATGAAGTACTTAATATTTAATAAATTACTATATTATATTTGTTTCCTAGTGGTATTTTATTCTTAATATATAAATGGTATCTTTATTCTAAATTTTAAATAGAATATTAATCTTTGAGAGATATTGCAAATACAATACACTTAAGTATTTATATCAAGATTTATGATAAATCTTTAAATTACTTATTACTTAATAGTAAATTAAAATCTATAAAGTATATTTAAATATTTGAATTAGAAATATCGATATATATAATTCTTTTTAAAGGTTTATATATTAAAGTGTAGAATAACAGTAATATTTAAGAATAATGTACTTACAATATCAATAATAAAGATATCAATAATAAAGATATCAATAATAAAGAATTAATTTATAAAATTTTTATTACCTTTATCTTGAAAAATCACTAATTTATATTAATTTAGAATATTTTATATTAAATTGTAAATTTAGTTTAATATTTTATATTACTTATAGCTAATATGCTATAGTTATAAATATTATGCTATTGAAGATAATGTATTATCTTTAATAAATACCTCTAGATAACTCTTTTCAGTAATATGAAGTAATCTAATTTAAAATATATAATTTAATACTCTAAGTTATATTTAATCAGTGGTATATTATTAAAATACAAAATAGTTCATAGCTATACTATAGTTACATTAGTAAAAACTCTTATTATTTAAATAAATTTATTTTATATTTTCTTAAAATAAATATAACCAAGATTATCTGTTGTATAATATCCAATATATATAATTTATATCTTTGAATTTTAATAAAATCAAATATTTCAAGTTAGAGTGATTTTTAGTAAATTATTTTTTCTCATTGAACTATTAAGTTATAAATAAGATCTTAATTTTAATCTCTATATATTTTTAGTATTATAAGTCTTGTCAACACTATTTGTAAGATTATATTTATGTTTATAAAATTCAGAATTGTCATTTTTCTTTAGCTGTATTATTTTCTCATTAAATAGTTATAAATCATTAAATATAATATAATAATACTTCACTTAAGACCATATAAACTTTATATTAACAATTAATTGTTTAATTATAGCTCCAATTGGTTTGTTAATTTATTGACAGAAATAATAATTTTAACAGTATTGAATATCAATAAATATGTAGATGATTAGATTGTAACTTAACCTTCTATAAAGTTATATTACAAGGAAAGTACATATACTTAATATCCAATAGAATTTATTTAATTAATAAATATATTTAATAAGATTTAATCTAATAATTAAATAATATATTGACACAAAAATGAAAAATATAAAATATTTCTATTTATTTTGAATTCCATCTGTCATTAAAAATTATTAATATTAAATTTTTAATATAAGATAATAAATTTATTATTTAGATTCTAAGGTAATTTTTTTTTCTTTGTGATTATTTTAAAAGTACTTTTTCGAAGTTAATATTTATTTATAAATTTGGCGCCTACTGCATTTATCCGTGATATTATGTTGCTGCATGCATGTGACCTATTCCTAAAGGGTATGGACAAGTGACTAAACCCTAATATGTAATAGAATTAAAGAAAAAAAATGATTTTATCCAACCAGATATTTATGATACAGGGAAATTATAAGGGTATATATATTTTTTTTCCTAAAAAATGCACTTTGTAAGCCTATTAGTAGCATTTTCCTTTACAAGTGGAGTATGGGCTAATGGAACTGAACAATATAAAGGTGGTAATCCAAATAATCTACTTTATATTTTAAAAAATAGCTGGAAATCATTGGATAAAGAATTTTTATTTTTTGATTCATTTGGAAATGAATCGCTTAAATATATTTCTAGCTTAGAGAAATTTCAGGCCCCTAATACTGATCAAATAAAGACAACTATTTTGTCTCCAAAAAAATTATTTTTGGATATATTAGATAAAGTTAAAATTCAAATAAAAAATGATACATTTGCAGTAATAAATGATCTAAATAGCAGTAATGTAGATATTATCGCAATATTAAATAATACAGAAACAAGTCTCGATATATGGAATAATTTGAATAAAGATGAATATATTTGCCAAGGATTACAAAATATGACCTATGAATGGTCTGAAGAGTTCTGTAAATATGAGGAATTTGTAGATAATGGATTTACTAGTAATGATAATATTATTAAAAATAAAGGTAATATATATATTATGGAACATAAAAGGAGTTCAGATATAATTTCTGATAATGAAAAAATTGAAAATAAAAAGAAGAAACATATAAAATGTTCTTGTAAAGGTTCTTTAATTTATTTGATTAAGAAAAAAATAAAAGAAAATTCATCATTAAGAAGCTTGAAACAATCTCTTGTAGGTTTTACATTTCCAGATTTACCACAAGAAAATAAGCTAAAAGAATCATTTAAAGATAAAATAAGTAAAAGTTCAATACAAAAAGTTCCTCCAGTTAATAATATATCAAATATTCCATTTCCACCTTTACATAATAGTGGTAAATTATATGATATTAAAGATGGAAGTTCTAAACCTGAAATATCTTTAGTTTCTGATGAAAAAGTTAATAATCAAGAGATTCTTCCAAATAAGTTTATACCAAAAACATCACGAATCTATGGAAATGAAGATATATATCGAATTTCAAAATATGGGTATAATAATAATAATAATAATAATAATAATAATAATAATAATAATAATAACAGAAGTGTGAAGAATAATATTCAGTTAGTGAATTCAGAAATAAATGATAAAAATAAAATATTTATTTTTCAACAAAATTTTTTAAATGAATCTAAATTAAATACTTATGATCAAGAAATCAAGTCGCCAAAAAATTCAATATACCAAGATAAAATAATAGATGAAAAGAAGCAATATACTATTGTTACTGATATGGAAATAAGAAATATTGATTATGATTCTTTACAAAGACCATTAATTAAGCAATCTTTTTACTTGGGGTTCACTAACCTATTAGCTAATGGAATGAATATTAGTTCTCAAGATATTAATATTATTAAAATATGGAAAGTTACAAATTTATCTCTTAGAAAAAATAAATGCTTTCCAATTGGTATAAAAGTAAATATCAATGTATATGATTATATCTCATCTATAAAAAAACTTAAACAAATGCTTGAAGATAATGAAGTTCCCTTTAATAACGTGTTTAATACGAAAATGTTGTCAATTAATTTATTGGAATCTAACATGAATAAATATAAGGAACATAATGAATATAATACTATAATTGGTTATGATAATAATGGTAAATCAAATTTAAAAACAATTCCTATTAGTATATCTTTGGAAATTATTCCTTTAGATAAAATAAAAGATGAAATTGAAGTTAAGAATAAATTACAATATTATTTAGCTATTTCATTAAATAGTAGCTCAATACAATTAGTGCAATTTTCGACAGAACTAAAACAAAAGTTAAATTCTAGTTTTATATCGGTTATAAATACCGATATTTTAATATATCCAGAAGAAAATAGTGCAAACAGTGTAATTTTAATATTAAATAATCTTTATACTAATATTATTAATGGTAAAAATTCAGCTTTTTCCAATCATTTCAAATGTATAGGTTACAAAATAAAAAATATACCACATACAGAAAATAGTGCAATTTACCCATTAGATAGATCAACATTAGATACATCATTGGGAAATTTAATGCAAGTAAATCAATTAGATTTACTCGAAGATATATTTCAAAGTGAAAATACTTACATTTCTCAAAATCAAGATAATAATCCAGATAATCAACAAAATATTAGTACAGTCAATAATATTAATTCAAATCCCAACAAATATCAAAATAATACTAATAATTCGCAGTATTTATATTCAAATAATAATCAAAATGAATTTTATGTTGACTATACTAATGATTATCTAAATCAATATACTAATCAATATCCAGCTTTTCCAAATCCACCCTTAGCATCTACATTTCAACCATATGAATACTTAAACTCTCCTCCAAATGATTTCTTTAGTGGAAATTATTTAGGCATAAATGGTCAATATACCCATATGGAAGAATATCCAATCAATAATATTTATGACTATTCAGGTAATATACCATTTAATCCATTAAATAATCAACAATGGGACCCTGAAAATAATAACCAATTATTTTATACCTAACTTACAGTACAAAATATAATTAGTAAGAAAAATTCATATTTTATAAAGTAACCAAATTATTATGTAGCTGGTATTGCGCGTTAATTTCTTTTGATTTTTGTTTTTTTTAATAGATCTATATTAAAAGAAATGAAAAATCCGATATTACACTCATCATAATGGTATTCTTATATTCAAAAAGTAATTGTAGTTTTATTTTGATATTATTACTTATATGGTTGTACACTAACAAAGTGTGTCACGGAAATAATTCGGTTGAAACAACAGAAACAAGTCAAAGTGAAGAGAGTGATAGATCAAATAATAAATATAGTGATAATATTTACTTTCCAAATTTGAATTCATTATTTTTATGGCTTGGAGAATTTGGGGAATCAGCAAAGGGAATTACATCTGATATTGAAAATAAAGAGTATGGACCTGAGGAAGAATTTCAAGCTACTCAGCTTGATATAGTTGAGTCATTAGTAGATTCTCTTGAATATGCTTCTAATTCTAATATTGTATTTCAAAAAATATATGAAGATAATATTATGCTTAATATTGAAGGAGAATTTAGTCTAAGTCAATTAATTGAAAACTTAGAAGAAAATCGTAAATCGATGTTAGTACTTTATATAAAAATATTTAATAAAATACAAACATGCGAATCTGAATATAAGGATTTATGGATCGATCTATGCGAACTTTCAAAATCATGTTATTATATATTATGGGATATATATAAAACTATATATGCATATTATAAGATGGTACAAAATCAACTAGAAGATGTAAAGGCTATGAAGAAGTTACTTAAAGGATTACTCGAAGATCACAGATCCAGAAATGTCAAAGTTAAGTGTAGAAAAGACTTAATTGAAGAAAAAATACTAAGCACAAGATTGAGAGAAAGTGTGTTGGAAGAAAAATTATTCAAATTGACTCTTTCTTCATTTGAAGGATCAGCAGAATCGATTAGACAGCTTAAGAAGGTAGAAGAAGAAATTAAAGTGCATTCAAATAATACTCTTGTTGAATTAAGGTCACTTTTAGATGAAATAAAAAAATTAATGGAAAAAAGGGACAAAAATTCTGAAAAATATGAGGATCTGGAAATTTTACTTTCTATTTCACAAAGTGAATATGATAGAAAATGCGAGCGCCAAAAGTTATATTATGAGGGTGGTACTTTACAGATTATTGAAGTAGACCCTTTAGTGAAGAGTATTGAGAGATCTCAAAAATTATTTGGTGACAATGAAGATAGTGAGAATAAGTTAGAAAATATTGAAGATAAAATAATAGTGAGTGAAAATAAATCACAAGATAGTGAAGATAATAAATCCAAAGAAGCAGAGACTGCAAATTCTTCAAAATATAAAGGAATAATAGATAAGATAATACCATTATTAAAAAGAAAAAAAGTAACTTGAAATAAGAAGGGAGAAATACAAATCGTTTTTTTAAATAGTTACTTTAAATTTATGAAATAATTAAATAGCAAATATTTTATAAGAATAAAAAAGGAGATATTGGAACTTTATATTTTTGACATAATCTGAAATGTTTGAACTTGAATTCAAAGCAAAATATCAAGTTAATTTTAACATTATTGATGTCTGTGAGCTAATACAAGACTTTGAATATATCCCCAATGTATCGAAAGATATATGTATATTAAATAAAAGTACTTCTAATACATTGGAATTTGAAAAGACTGAGAATGGTGATATTTTATACAATATTAGGAATAATGATACATCTGATTTATTTTTAGTATATTCAGAAGCAAATTATTGCTATTTTAAATACCTAATGACTGGTTTTTGTAAAATTGAAAAGTATAGAATAATACTAGAAAATATAAACCTTAATAGTCAGGAATCACTATATAATACAGTAAGTAATATAATGAATATATTCTGTGAGATTGAAAAGAATTCAGGAATAGGTTTCAGTTTTGCAGGATATTATAAAAAGAATGAAATGGATGAGTATTTAATATTTGGACGTGATAGAATTGGTACATCAAGTTTACTTATTACACGGATGTGTAAAGGTGGTCTAATATTATCAACAGCTATTAATGAAAATATATTTTTAAGTAAAGAGTATAAGCCAATTGAATTGCCACCTATGGGATTCTATATATTAAATCTGAAGAACTTAGAATTTGAAATAATAGGATGGAAAGAAGTATTACCATATTATACTAATTCATATTGGAATATTAATTTAAATAATATGAAAGATTCTACTAGAGAAGATTTTGGTATATGTAAAGATGCAAATCTTTTATTAAATGAGTTAAGGAAGAATATGATATTGAAGTTGGGAGATCTGATAAGTTATTCCTTTAATAAAGAAGGAATTTATGGATATATAGGAATAATGTTTTCTGGTGGTTTAGATAGTACTTTAATTACTTACTTAGTATTAGAGACATTATTTTATGAAATTAATAATTATGAGAAATTATGTAAAGATAAACTATTGAATATGAATAAAGGAATTAATTTAGATGAATTCAAAATATACTTTATAATTGAATTATTAAACTCAACATTTTCTCCAGAGGAAGCTCCAGATCGTTTAACCGGTCTATGTAGTTATTATGAATTGAAATCAATTTTTCAGGAATCTTTTTTAAAACATAATAATGTTGAATTGAGATTTATTTGTATAGATACAAATAAAGATACTTTATTTCAGGAAGAAAATATAATATTAGGACAAATATATCCATCTAATACTCATATGGATTTTAATATTGGCTCGGTTGAATATTTTACTACAAAAGGTATTGGTAGATTAATCAAACCAATATTTTATATGGAAGAGTGGTGGAATGAAATTATTAATAATCAAAATGATCAAACACTTTGGTGTAACATATATGATATCAATTTATTGAAAGATAATTCTTATGAAAATACTGAGAAAGATTATAATATAGATAATAAAAGTCATAAAATAAAGTGTCCTTATTGTTATTTTAGACAACATCCAAAGTGTTTTAATAAATGTTGTAAATCATGTTGTAGAAAGATACAACAAGGTTTATTAATTGTAGATAATTGTTCAAGTTCATGCAGAGTTCATAAAATGAAAACAACTAATTTCAAGGGAATTCCTGCTACTTCAAGAAATATTAATACTAAGAATTATTATTTAGAATCAAATTTATATCATTTATCAATTTTACCTGGAGAATCTATTAATTGTATTTATAAAAGTGGAGATTCATCTTTATATAAATCTCAAAGTAAATGGATATTAATTGGTAGTGGTGCAGATGAATTTTTAGGTGGATATGGTAGACATATAACTGCAAAAAAACACTGTGGAATTCAAGGTATTAGAGATGAGATGATAATGGATATTAGGCGTCTTTGGATAAGAAATCTAGGACGAGATGATAGAATATGTAAATATCAAAGTAAAGGAGCATTTTATCCATTTTTACAGATTAATGTAATTGAGGTCATTGGGAAGCTTAATTTTTGTAATATTAGTGGATTGAAAAATGGACCTACAAAACCAATATTACGTTATATTTCTAATTTATTGGGATTGAGATTTGCCACGAAATTTAAAAAGAGAGCTATTCAATTTGGAACTAGAAGTACAAGACAAACTAATTTGGAACATTTTGATAGTAATAGAAAAGCTACTGCAACTGCAATATACTGTAAATCTAGGGTTAAAGATCTAGAAATATAGATGTTGGTGTATTGGCGGTTATATAAATATAAATATACCCCACTATATTGCATTATTTTTAATTATGGACTTTTTTTCTTTTAAAGAAAAGGAGATATTTCGGATTTCTATTAATAAACTTAATATAACTCTAGGATATTATACTTGATATTTATTATTATGGATAGCCATGTTTTAAAGTCCAATATATTAAATGAAGAAGTTACAAATTTAGAGAATAAAGTTCAGGAGTGGTGCAACAATATTAATAACTCAATTGCTAATAATATGGGAGATTTTGAGAATAATGTGAATATAAATTTGAATTTTATACGGGAAGCTAAGGTTAGGATTGATGGGTTACAAAAGAGAATTGGAGATTCAAAGGAATTATTTGAGATTAGAAGAGTTATGGAAAGTGAACAAGAGCAATATCAAAAACATCTTAATACAAATTTGCAGAATATGTTGGAAAAAGTCCAAAAACTTGAAATGCGTATTGCTGAAGATAGAAATAGATTAGAAGGTGAAAAAACAGCATATGAAAATGACTTACACATAGCAAAAATGCAATCTTCTGAAAGAGAGAAGAGTTGTAGAATATATAGTGATAATTTAGGATTATATATTAATAAAGTCAATGGTAATAATAGATTTACATTTATCTATATAGATGCTAATAATCCACTCAGAGAATTTTATTTTGATTTATATTATAATGAGAAAACATCAAGCTATAATGGTGTACATTGTGAACCTTATATTCATGAATTTCAAGATTTAACTAATAAGTTAAATAATAGATCAATTTGTCTAAGAAAATTTATTTCTAATATGAGGCAAGCATTCAAAGATTCATTATAATATAAGAAAACTTATTTTAAAACTTATTAAATTTGACATTTATTACTAATTCTCTTAATTATATAGATATATATAATAAACTACCTAGATTTCACAAGCTGTATAACATCTTCATCATTTAATTTATGAGTAAGCCCAACACATTGAGGATTATGTTTAACACTTGTGCCCCAAACAAGAGCATGTTTAAATTCACTTATTAGATCCTTATGAATAAGTCTAACTACTGTCTCAACATCAATATTTCCTCTTTGAGGAGTTAGGATAAGAGGATCTGAAAAATCAGGTAATTCACCTTTCTTCTTTGTATATAATCTAACAAGTCCCAATTTATCCCATATTAATTCTATCATTGTATCTAGATTCCAACGTTTCTGTGATGATATAACTACACTGTTTGACCTTCTTGCAAGTTCATCTATTTCCTGAATATTTAAATTATCTATTTTATTGTATACATATAAACATGGTATATATTTTCTATTACCTTCAATACAATCAATAAAATCATCAATAGTACAATCCTCTTTAATTAGAATATCTGCATTGTAAATTTTATATTCATTTAATATATTTATGATCATCTTATTATTAAGGTGAGTCAAAGGTACAGTTGAATTAAAGGTTATTCCACCTATTTTCTTAGGTCTAATACTTATCATTGGAGGTCTCTTATTTAATCTTATTCCTATAGATTCCAATTCTATTTCTAACTTTCTTTTTTGGCTCTCATCTTTAGTACAATCTAGAACCATTAGAATTAGGTCAGCTGACTGAGCTACTGCTATAACCTGTCTTCCTCTTCCTCTACCACTTGCTGCACCCTCTATTATTCCCGGTAGATCTAAAAGTTGAATCTTAGCATTGTTGTACTTCATTACTCCTGGCACACATGTAAGAGTTGTAAATTCATAAGCTGCTATTGCACTTTCCGCACCTGTTGTTTCACATAGTAGCGTAGATTTACCAACAGAAGGAAATCCAATCAATACAACACGTGCATCACCTTGTTTTATAACATCAAACCCTTCTCCTTTATGGCTACTGCTATTCCCAGCTTCAATTAGTTCAGTTCTCAATTTAGCCAATTGAGCCTTTAATCTACCTAAATGATATTCAGTTTTTTTATTTTTCTGGGTTCTAGCCATTTCGGCCTCTATATCAGCTATCCTTTCTAAAATCCCCATTATGTAGATTCAGAGATCTAAAGAAAATCGTCTAAATAAGTATAAAGGAATTTTCTCAATTCCATTAATTTCTAAGGTACAATATTATTTAATAGTACATGGCGCCTAGTGAAAATATTGCGCCAATTTTTTTTTTATTTTTATATCAAGTAGCTTAATTTTACCTTAAGTAATACTTTAAATAACCAGAATTACCAAAATTTTAAAAGTTAAACTAACAAATAATAGGAGATTATAATACTATCTGCTAAATATCTGGTTTATATATTATATACGACTACTTTAATGATCTAAGGGTTAGGCTTCATTGTATTAGTAACTATCACTTTATATACTATGGAAAATCTAAATACTGAGGAAATAAACCATGATTCTTTATCTGACACATATACTTTAACTAATGAAAGTGTCCAATTACCAGAAATTGATTTTTTACTATATAAGATAAGGAATAAGTTATCTGAATCTTTCTCAGATATGAGTTCTCAATTATATAAACAGGAAGTTATGGATGTTACATCTAATTTAGAAAAATATCAAGAACAACCATATTTATTAGATAAGTATTTGGAAAATACATGTTTACCTTTAACTAATCGGTTATATTTGGAATTAATCAGTTTAGCACAAGTTCTTCACAAACAAGTACTAGAATCCTGTAGATTAACTGAAGTAAATTTTAAGAATCCTAATATTGATGAATTAATAAATTATAATTTATATCATCTTTCATATTGTATATATATATTGTGTAAAATACGTGGTTTAAAGATTATTTCATTATATTTTCCACAAGATGTTAAGTGTCTTGAAATAGTTATAGATTTTTTAACAATTATAAACCAAGCAGACAATGACACGATTTATAAGGAAGATTATGAATATAATATAAAGTGGTATTTAATATATGTACTATATATATGGCTAACAGTATTAGTTCTTACTCCTTTTCCTCTTAATATCCTTGATTCAAAGTATACAATAAATTCAAAGTTAGAATTATTTAATAGATTACTTAGTATAATAATTCCAAAAATAGTAAGTTGTAATGCTTGTATTACAAAAGAAGTTGCAGCTCTTGTATTTGCAAAGATTGTTTGTAGAAATGATTTTATTAATTTATGGGATGAAAATAACAAACAATATTGCAATTACTATCATAATATTATTAGTAATGCAATACTCAAGGATTCAAATACTAATGTGCTTTTAACATTTAAATATATGTTGAAGATTGCTCCATTCGAAAATATAGAAATATTTATTCCTTATATTAAGAATTTTTTAGAATGGGATAAAGAAAATTTACAAACATCAATTTCATCAACTTGTTCTACAAAATATACAAAATATAGATTAACTTGTACTTCTAGATTAATAATAAGGCTATATCAAAATATGCAAGATATAAATCAACGCAAATATTTATTTGATGTAATACCACGTACAATTAAAAATATATTAAGTGATTGTTATAATAGTTCGAATACAATTAGATTCATAGCTGCAAAGAATTTGGCTAAAATTCTTAAATGTATATCCAATGAAGATGAATTCAATAATATTATTAATAATATCCTATCAATGTTAGTTAACTATAATGATGATATAGAGAATATATTTAGCCATAATTCAGGTGATCTGACTGTAGACGATCCTAGAATAAACTTATGTACTATACAGTCATCAGAAAAAGATACAATTAGCACAGGGAATTTTAAAGAAGTTGGAAATTTAGAAACTGCAACTTCTAATATTAATGATTCAAATAATTATAAAAGAAAATTAGCAATATATTCGTCAAAATCTGCCTATATATTACATGGGAAGTGCTTAGCACTAGCTGAGATCATTAGAAATAATGTACTACAACTTAATTTACAATATATGAAAGATATTATTGAAATACTAAGACAATGCTTAGAGTATGAGTTTTGGTTATCTAATAGGTCAATTAGTAGTCAAATAAGAGATTCAGCTTGTTATATAGTATGGAATATTGCTAGATATTATAATCCAGATATAGTTAAACCATATATTCAAGATTTAATCAATTGCTTAATACCATTAACTGTCTATGATACTAATATTAATGTTAGAAGAGCTTCTTGTGCAGCTTTACAAGAACTTATTGGACGTCAAGGTGCAAACTATATATTATTTGGAATATCTATTGTAACTATTGCAGATTTTTTCAGTATATCATCAATTAAATCTTCATTTTTGATTGTTTCTAAGAAGCTAGCTGAACTTTCACCAAATCCAAGAACTAATATTACATTATATGATCAAAATTCCAATATAATTAATGATAATAATACTTATACATTTTCTGTTATATTGATTAAATATTTACTTAAAAATGTATTTGTGAATCCAAATCCTAAATATCGATTACTAGGACTTTATTCATTTGTTGAACTAGTTCCATACGCAAGATATTACTGTTATAAAATTATTTTACCACATATTCTTAATATTTCCAAAAAAGATTTTGAAGTTGAGGCATCATATGATGATAACAATCCAATAAATAGACAATGGACTATAATTGTTATTGCAATACTTATTAAACTTACTAGAAATTTAACAAAAAACTTTTTTAATGAAATAATTGATAAAGATATAGCATTAAAGTATAATGTAAATAATTGGAGTGATGTTGTTAGAAATATTGTGGTACAAATTGAAAAGAAACATTTATATAGAGGAAAAGGTGGTGAATTAACTAGGAAGGCAAATTTGTATTTGATTGTTTCTTTAGCTGAATCATTTGAAACAATTCCATTTAAAAAGGCTACATTTACAAGATATATTAAAATTGTTTCAGATGGTCTCAAACATCTAACTTTATCTGTTCAGATGTCTGCATTATCAGCACTAGAAGCCCTAATTAGATGGAGAATAAATTTTAATGATTTAAATGAACAAATAAGCTATCTTCCTAATATTGAATGTTTACTAGATGAAATAATAGAATATATTAATAAAAAATCTACTCATATTGTTGCTATTAGAGGCTATATTTTAGCAATTGGTATTATAGTTTCACAACTTTTCAATCAAATAAATATTGAACTACTTAAGAGATCAATCAATTGTTTGATTAATATATTTTCTTTTCAACTAAAAAATAGAATTCTTTGCGACAATTCAAGAATATTTATAAATTCTAGTAGTTTTGATGCTGAATGTAGAAGGAATTCTATACTTTCTATTGGTATTATATTTTCGAATATAAGTGAATCCATTTTAAATCACCTTAATGATATACTTGGAATTATTTCATCTATATTGTTAAATGGGTGTCTAGATTATTCTATCGATAAAAGAGGTGATATTGGATCTTGGATTAGAGAAATTTCCTTAGAAGTTTTCACCTTATTATATAAAAATCCAATTATGAATAAATTTATTAAAAAAAATCATGTATTATATTCTTTCCTGTTTAATATTTTTAATCATTCAGATAAAATTAGAGTTAAAGCTTTACTACTTTTTTGGAGAATCCTTTCAAGAGATGAATACAATCAACCTTTTACCTACTTGAATCCATACTGGTTTTATTATCGTATATTTTATGGAATTCCATATGAGTTATTTGAAGTGCAACTCATAAAAAAATATAATTTAGTGATAAGTAATAGTAATAATTCTCATTTTAAGGAAAGCTTAAAATTTATAGATTTAAAAGAAGCTTATACCAAAATTATATCAAATGAAAGAATAAATCAAGCTTGTGAATATAACTCTTTGGAATCTTTTTTTACAGATAAAGAAAATACTTTTAATTGCTCATGTATTTATTTTGATCAAATAGATTGTATAAAAAAATTACCTGAACTCCTTCTTCCATACATAAATTTTGATAAGCACTTTATAATAGATCATATGAGCAGAAATATTCAGATATCAAACTTTTCCAATATTTCTCTCGTTTGCAAAGAGTTTCTTCCTATTTTGAATCATAATTTGTTTAGATACCCTATTTTAATAGGTCTGCTTAATTGGATTAATCATTCATCTACTACTCTACCCTCATCAAATATTGCAAAAAATGAATTTTTATATTATATGATGCATTCAAATAATTCAGATGAAATAGTACAGAATATTTTTATTGATTTAAAGTTAATTTTGACATATTTTTTAGAGATTGAGTCTTTAAATAAATTGGATTTTATTTATATATCTTCAATATCTAAACTTGTTCAATTTTTCCTTGAATGGGAATTTGTAAAAATAAATCACTCTAACATTCTTTTAGAAATTATAAATATTCTTAAACAAAATCTGGAAAATACCAGTGATATTTTATTGCTAAAATCTTTATCTTCAACTTTTATTTCAATATTGTTTTATCCAGAAATACTTGACAATAGTATGATTACTTGTGCTTTAAATACAACAATTAAAATTTTAACTTGTGAGTATCCCTGTCTTCGTATTTATGCTTCAGAATCTATTTATAAGGGTATATACTCAAATAATGAAAATTATAGTGAAGATTTATCTATACTAATTACTAACACATCTTGGAATCGAACTTTTTTAAAAGATGAACTCATTCAGATAGGTAAAGAATTTGAAAGACATTATTATAAGTGGAGAAATATATAAATGATAATTACCTCTATATTTGATTAAAATATAAGCAATATTAAAACTTTATTTGTTGTACTGAATATATTTTAGCTTACTATTAGATATCATTGGCATTGAGTTATTAAACATAAGTAAATTAGATTTATTTTAAATCTAAGGCATTAGTTTTCACTTTTCTATACCTCTTTTTTAAAAGAATAAGATATATGAGTCTCTGTAATATTATAGAAGTGTTATGAATAAATTCCTAATTTATGAAAAAAGAAAAAAGAAAGTGCACCATACTGTCATGGAGCTTGTGTATGCACACCCTCTACACACAATTGACATATTTTTGGAATATTCTTATTAAATAATAGAATTGAAGGTTAAATGGTGTTATTTCAATGGCAAAGCGAGTATGAATACTTATTGCATAAGATATGTGATATGCTAGATGAGTGTAAACAGCTAGGTTTTTTAATAGTAAGCACGGACTATTCTAATGCATATTTAAATACCTCGGTATTTCAAAATTATGTTTCTATTGGATCAAGTGCACTACGTGAGGATATAAGAAAAATTGTAGAATTAATAAGCTCTTTTTCTACTCCTGGAATATTAAGTTACATGTCAGCATGTTGTGTTGATGATATAAATCTATCTCATATTTTTTCTCTGTTACGCCTTCACACATTATTAGAGCATTATCCTAAACCTTTAATACTACATACACAAAGAGCACAAATAGTCATTGCAATGTATGGAGAATTATCAGCAGTAAGAAGGGATTTAGAAACAGGAATATTAAAGCAACAAAATGATAATAACTTGTTGTTAACAAGAAAGTATAATAATGAACAGTGTATTGAATTACTTAAAAAAACTATCAATCAATTTACAGGTATTATTGTAGATTCTGGTAGAGATCGTTCTACATATATTAAAGAAGCTTTTTGTGCACCAGCATTTACTCCACCTAGAACAAATATTGCCATACCTGTTGACAATGACCTACAATTATCAGATAATCTAAATAACCGAATAAATCATAGTATTTCTCTTATTCCATGTTCTAATAAGGGAGACCCTTTATTAGTAACAGCATTATTATGTGGCTCAACGTTATCAATATGGCAAAGACTTTATTTATTATATGATCCTGATAGAGAAACATCTAAAGAATCTATTGTTCATGCTGTAGCTTATGCAGTTCCTAAGATGGACAGAATGCGTCAATTAGTATTTACAAGTTTTTTACAGGCTTTATGTAGACCTAAATGGAATGAAGATAATACTCACAAATTATCTAATAAAATGAAGAGAAATCAAAATCAAAATACTGAAATAATTCAGTTAGTTATACGTGGTTTCTTATCTTCTGGAATTTCAGTCTGGTCATATGAATATCCACAACAAGTATATGATATAACTTCAAGCCATGCATTATCTATTAGAGAGAAAAATAAGTTATTAAGTATATTAAAATTATTAGATGAAAAACCTTTGATAGATGATGAGATAGATGAAAGTAATATTATTCCTTCTTTTGAATCTGTTATACGAGAACTAGCTAGGGAATTCTATCATAATTCAAACTGGGAAATAGAAGATACTGGGTTTTTATCGGCATTAGGAGAACGTAAATCATTTAACGATAAAGGAAATGTTTTAAATGGAGCCTTAAAAATTAGTTATTACCAAGAAAATATTCATGGGAAACCTTTGGATTCTATAGTATCTGATAGATCTAAGTTCTATCATGCTATGGGGTACTTTAAAAGCACATTGACAGATTCATTAGAAGGAGTATATACAAAATCTGATTACATAGTTAGTGCAGATCCAACATTTTTTGAGTTTGAATCAAGTCAAGTATAATTAATAAATAGATTCTTATTATAAACTTAAACAATCACTTAGTAATTATAATTTATTGTCATTGATCTTAATATTATCAATATAAGTTCATTATCTCAGTAATTTGTTTAACTTTCAAAAAATAAAACATATTAAGGCGTGAACTAACAACTTATTTGTATTGTATAGGCTAACATTTTCAATATTGCAATTTATCCTATATAATTATAATTCTATGCTTACTTGTTTTTTGTTTAGTAAAAATAGCAAATAGGTATTTATAGTTTATTTTATTAAACTAAGTGGATCTAATTATTGTTTGTAATTTTGTCAATATTATCTACTATAGATTGCTATAATATACTTTGAGATACTTAGCTGTATTCTTAAGAGTAATACTGAATTTTTTGAGTAACAATATTTGTCATTTACCCTAGAATTATCTATTTACAATCCCTCAGTATGTACAAGTAACACTACTACTAAATACTATACTTATAAATTAAATAATTCCACTATAATTCATGTATAATACTAATGTATATGTATAATGTAAATCCTAAATACTTTTTTAATATGTCTTATTAGGAGTATTGAGAAGTTTTAGATCCTTCTAAAAGTTTTATGAGTGAATTGTATATATACCACAAAATTGCCAATGTTAAAAAATAAATAAATTTCTAATAATTCTATACTATTTATTACTAATAATTACTTATATGCCATTAGATATTACTGGAATTTACAGTGTATAAATGTATTATATTTTCATTATATCTTTAAAAAAAAATCTTGCTGTTTTAAATAAGCGGTTAATTTATACCGCTTAAATTCAGTAATTATTAAAGCTTACTTTTACTCTTTCTTTTACGGGGAAGATTATCTTTATGTTTCATAAAAATCCAAATACCTTTGGAACTACTGTGGGGATATCTGATTCTATCACAGCTGGGAATTCTTACATTAGTGAGTTTGCAAGGCTTAACAATAGGCTTAAAACAAATGGCTTCTCTACAATTCCATTTATACCAGACTTAGTATCCCCCTCAAGATCTTTTGTTCCATTTGGTAAAATAAATGAGACAGATGTAAGATCTACTGTTATGAATGAGGACAAAAAATTTATAGATAAACAGGTAAATGCTTCGACTTCTATAGGGATGCTAGCTAGCAGTAGTGTTTCACCAGATAAGGATACTGAAGATCATGATAGGATTGATGAGACTCCAGATATGAAGAAAGGAAGATTATTATCTGATTTATCTCTACTACACTCAGATGAATATCATACTGTTGGTTCTATATTACATGATTTACGAGTATCTAAGATGCAGGAAGGTGAAAGAGATATTGAATCAATTGCAACAATTCCTGACCTAAATAAAACTGCTAACAATGATTTGTATAGTGACAAGTATCAATTACCTTCTAGTAATCCTATTTTTATGTCTTCAAATACTTTATATGAAAAAAATAATGTAGAATTGACATTTACATCTGGTATGGGTGTAACATTACCTCCTCAAGCTATAGCAGAACCACAAAGACTCTTAGTAGATGGTAATAAACTCATTGAAACTATACATAATATTTTATATGAATTAGAGTCTCGTACGCAATATACAGCTGAGGAATTGAATATTGAAAGGTCTCAAAAGCATGGGATGTATGAAAAATTGCAAAGTATGCGAAAACGCTGTGAGATTTTAGAAAGAGAAAATTCAAATCTGAGATTATTAAATAAACAAAAGAGTGAAGATGAAATTTCTAGAACAAAAAAACAAAATAATAATGCAGATATTTTATTGGCAATAAATAAAGTTGAGAGAGAAAAACAACATCTCTTAGTTGAGAATAATAGACTGAAACAAGAGATAGAAAAATTACATGAAGCTGATGATAAGGCTCGAGATAAAGCTGATCACTTTTTGAGATTATTAAGAAGCAGTTTAATTAATGAAACTTCAAAAGATATCCTTTCGAATATAAATAATTTTACACTTCCGAATGGAACCTTAACAAAATCTGAAAAGAAGAAATTACTTCAATCACACTACTTATATTCTATTTTAGTTGGGATGGAGAAATCTATACAATACTGGAAATTGAAATCAAAAAATCAATCTAATAATGATAATATAAATCAAGAAATTGATTTTAGCAACTACAATAATATAAACGAAGAAGATAATGGTGAAAGTTTTATGAAATCATGGGAATTACCACCAAGTGATTTAATGAAGAGGGATAAGTTTTTATGGTCCAATGGTCTATATATATTACAACATGTTGATAGAGAAGAGTTAGAAAGTACGATTAGATGGTGTTGTCGTTTATTGAATACTTCTGACTTCCGGAATATACCAATATATATAGGAAAAGTTATATCTCAAGCTAATAAACAAAACAAAGATAAGGATAAAACATTGAATGAAAGTACTCCTAACGTAATTAATTCAGAAATAAACAACTTAGATATTTTTAATAATTCAGAAGAAATATATAATAGATTTTATACCCACTTTAAAACTTTATTTGATGTTGAAGATGAACAAGATATTATACAAGTGTCAAACTCTATTTATATACAATTAAGGGACTTAAAATACTTATTCAAATTAATTTGTTCCTTTTTTAACTTGGATTATAACTCAACATCTATTACTAATTGCCAAAAACATCTTAGTGAATTCATTTCATCATATAATACTAGAACCACTGGATATATTGGAAATATACAACCTCAGATTAGGAATTCTCCTAATATTCCCTCTAATGTTATGCATGTTATAGAATCTCTTAAAATAGTTCTGGGAGTTAATTCAATTGATGATATATTACCTTCACTCAAAAAACACCTAGATACTCAATCTGCTGTGCTTTTAGCTCTATCAAATAAATAATAGGGGACTATGTAGTCCTTAATATATTCCATTAGTACACTATTAACTATAAGTACTTATATTATTAATGTATTCATTAATATAATGGTTGGGATTATTTTTAAGATATTATTGTAAATGTTAACTAGCCTAATAACTACATGCATCTTTAGGTTTGGCGTCTCGTCCCGAAGATCGATACCTAGTATTTTGGCGGTTTAGATGACTAAGTCAGTTTATTTATTAATAAAGTACTTAATTAAAAAGCATGAACCAGGATATTGATGAGTTATCTTTGGAAGAGATATTACGTAGTGATAGAAAATCTATAATCTCTCAGAATAAAAGCAAATTTAATAGTAAATTTGAAGATATTCAAAAAAGACTTTGACGAAATTAGCTCCTAGAACAAAAATAGCCCATTAGAAGTATCATCCCGTAGAGAAAGTCTACCAGAAAAAACTTTAAATGAAATCAACTATATAAAAAATAAACATATAAGAGATAATAAAGGTACAGATCCTAGATTTAAGGATGTATCTGGTAATTTGAATATTCACTTATTCCAAAGATCATATGAATTTCTAGATAATATGCGTGAAAAGGAAATTGAGCAGATTAAAGAGAACTTAAAGCTATATAGACTTATGGAGAGATCAAAGAAAGCAGGTACATGGTATAAGATTAAAAAGAGGAGCGAATTTAGAAATTCCAATATAGTTCATATGACTAATGAAGATTATGAGAATTTAAATAAACAACTACAAAGATATGTTGGCGAAATTGATCGTAGAAATACAATTAGACTCAAACAAGAAGTTATATCTCAATATAGAAAGGAAGAAAATAAGAGGATCCAAAAAGGTAAGAAACCATACTTTTTGAAAAAGAAAGACATTAATATATTAGCATATAAATGCAAATATAATAACCTTGATAAAAAAAGGAAAAGGAATTTAGAAGAAAAACGAGGGCTTAAACAAAAGATAAAATTCAAACCCCCAGTTAGAAGATAATTAGTTATTAAAAATAATTATAAAATTAGATTTGTAACTTATATAGTAATATTAATCCAAATATTATCTAAAGTGAATATAAACAAGCTCTAATTATATATATATATATATATAATAAATATATTATTTTGTCTGATAAAAGGGCCATGAAATATGTACTACTGTATTATCAATATTTTAAAAGTTTTTTTTTTCGAAATAACTAATACCTAAACTTAGAAAATTCTCTTAATAAGTACATATAAATTTGCAACTAATAATATAATAATAATGATATATAATATAAGTCTCTCTATTAGCTTTTGACGATATAAATTGTTTGTTAGCTTGCGACTTTCCATCATATTGAAGTCTGTATAATTTAATCCATATTTAGTTCTTGTTAAGGTATCTCTTTGAATAATAAGTGTACTTAATGAATCTTCTCCAACTTTATGTGTTTCTTGAGCTAGTTTTGTCGTTATATTTAGATTATCATTATTCCTACTTATTAATTGATTTGTTATTGTAGCTGTTGGTGATGAACTATTATATTTATTTAGATTATAAGTTATAGAATAGTTTGATATATCAGAATCTCCATTTGTTAATTGATAATTAGCCTTTTTTTTTGAGTTTGTTTCTATTTTTCTTTTTAGAATATTACATTGTTTATTAATATCAGTAAATGCCTTTACATATCTTTGATATGATTGATATTGTGGAGCCTTATTTGATAATATCTCAGTCTAAAATAGGTCAATTAAAAAATTTTATCCTATTGAACTATTTATAAAGGTTTACAGTATAAATATAAATTCACTTACTTCTCTTTTTAAATTATTCAAGCTTTCTTGTGCTTGTTCTAATAATCTATCCAACTTTTTAATATTTTCAAAATTCAATTCAGTATTTGAATCTTCTATAGTAATACTATAGCTATCTATATTATAATTACTTGATATTATTTCTTCAATCTCACGTATATATCTTGCAAAATCCTCCTCATACATATCAAAATATTCTGAAGCAATTAACATCTGTATATCTTACAAAATAAACTAATTACTTTAAATATTATATTTGAAATATTTTCTGTTAAAATGAAAGTTATAATTTTGAAATAAAATTACTTATAGCCACTATTAGAGTATCTCAACAACTTAAAAATCCAATTTCAATATATTTGAAGAATATTTCGTTTAATAATAGAATATATTTCAAAATATATTTCGTTACAATATTGTTACAAATCTAGTTATATCGTACAATCAAAATTTATACGTCATAAACAAAAAAAAAAAAAAAAGAAAAATTAGCTTCAAGTTTATCAAATATATCAAAGGACCATTAGAAAGTATATATAACTACTTATTTAATAATTAATAAGCTCAGAACTATTCTTTATATTATCCTACCGGGTTTATCCAATATTTTAGAACCACTTTGGAATACCTGCCTCCAGTTTTTTGTATTATAATTGTTATTGAAGTATTTATATAAAATATATTATTCAACCGATTGATTTGTTCCCTAAATAAACACAAATTTTTTATATTTTTATCTCTTCTAAGCTATGTTTACTGCATTCTTAAATTATCTGAAAATATTAAGTATATAACATATATCCACCTACATATTAAATCACTAATTCTATAGGAATATACTGAACATATAATTAAATGTATAAGTTAATGAGACATTAACTTAAATAATTAAAGAAGACGTGTTAAAATTTTAATTATATGTAATACACTAGATTAGTTGAAGTTTAATTTTACATAAATTACATACATATTGTATATTTTGATCATAAAGTTTATTTAATACCCAATAATTTAAATTCACACTTTAATTTATCTAGAATTTCATAGAGATTAACTAATTATACTTTTTTTTTCTTTTATTGTATACAAGAGTATTATTATACAATTTTCTATTGTAGTATTCCTTCTAATCTTGATTTCTTAATTAAATGTACAAAAAGTGTTAAATTTAGGATATTTACAATTTATTATTTTATATGCTATTTTTTTATTGAGTAAAATTTTGTATCTAATTCTAGGATTGTTAATGTAGTTGGTAATTTTTTACATCTAGATAATACAAAAATAAAATAAAAAAAAAAAAGTAGAAAATAAAATAAAACAAAACTCTCCTTATTTTACTATTTTTTAATAGTTGAACCATTTTTTTTTGAAGTGAATTAATCATTTCTATTTATATTATTGCAAAACTTGAAATTGTATTTTACTGTAAAAAAGTATACAATTATGTACTATATATTTAACCTTTTTTAAAATTTAAAATTGATCAAAATTTATATAACATATCATAAGAACCTCATAGGTTATTAAATAGACTTAAAAAGACCTCTTAGATTATAATTCTCGATCATTTCACTTACTACACTATTGTAAAATATTCAATAAATTTTTTTATTTTTATTTTAAGAGAAATATAATTATTCTTAAAACTTACTTTAATATTTATGATTTGTCTAATTAAAAATATAATTGCATTTTGTTAGTTTTACAAAATATTAAAATAAGTATATTTTATTTTTTTGCTTAATTTATTGATTTTCCATTACAATCCTATATAAAATAAAAACTGAGCTCTTTTCTCTTTCTTTAAAAAATATATAATAAAACATTCAATTCAAACAATATGTATACTAGCACCTTTTTTCATTAAAAAGTGGATATTTTGTTTCTGATAGCTTACTTTGATTTAAAAAAAAAAAAAAAAAAAATATAAAATATAGATAAATTAAATTCCATTAAAATTTTTCAAATTCTATTAAAAGTAAACCATATTTTATTAACACAATAGTCTGAGAACATTAATATACTCATATAACATTTTAATTCCATTTACAGTTATATACACATGTATCTTCTACTTTGATACTTAGCATTTAAATAATGAGTATTTGCAGTAATATGATCCTGGAGTGTTTATACAGCATTGCATAAAGAGGCATGGGTTAGATATTTCTGTACATTCATTAATGTCATCACAATAAAAACCATCTCCATTCCATCCTGGTGAACATATACACTCATATTTACCAAGTTCATCAGTTGTATTAGTATTATGATGTTTTTTACATTCTGCATTTCTAGAACATTTCAGACATTCTTGACTATAATACTTAAAGGTCTTCTCTGGTAAAAGGTACCTTTTATCAGTAAATATGTGATCACCACTAATCCAATTGGCTACTAAGTCAGTGTTTGCTCTAAACTCATGCTGCTCCATAAGGATTGCATGTGAACTCACTGGTGATGTCACCATGTATTCCAGTTCACTGTAAATTGCTGTATTTTTTCTTAAAGCTATAGCAAAAACTTCCGTTCCTTTTTTTAGTTGAATTACACTTGGACAGCTTTTTGGAGAAGTACAACCAGTAAAGCCAGATGTTATATAAACTAATTTTTGTTTTGGATTACCATCATTCAAGTAGTAATTTAAATTTCTTTGTACAACTCTTTGTAAAAATCTCTCGAGTTTCGTACTTCCTTCGAAGCTATCAATTGATGATAACAAATTATTTCTAAAATGTGGATCTGAATTAATATTATCGGATTGTATTGAAATAATTTCTGTATGTATACCTTTATTTAATAGTTTCCTGTATAATATTTTAGCAGAATAACTAATCTCTTTAAGATCATTAATATTTGGTACTTTGGAAAGATCCATTACTAGAGATACTGCATATTTTGGTGCTTCTGTTGTAGTTGGAATAGTAGTTGTAGTTGTAGGAATAGTAGTTATAGTTGTAGAGATAGTGGTCATAGTTGTTATAGGGATAGTAGTTGTAGTTGTTGTAGGAATAGTAGTTATAGTTGTAGAGATAGTGGTCATAGTTGTAGTTGTAGGGATAGTAGTTGTTACAGGGATAGTGGTTATAGTTGTAGTTGTAGGAATAGTAGTCATAATTGTAGTTGTAGGAATAGTAGTTGTAGTTATAGTTGTAGGGATAATATTCATAGTTGTAGGGATAGTGGTTGTAGTTGTAGGGATAATAGTTGTTGTAGGGATAGTAGTTATAGTTGTGGGGATAGTGATCGTAGTTGTAGTTATAGGGATAGTGGTCGTAATTGTAGTTGTAGGAATAGTAGTTATAGTTATAGGAATAGTGGTCATGGTTGTAGTTGTAGGGATAGTAGTTATAGGAATAGTAGTCATAGCTGTAGTTGTAGGGATAGTGGTTGTAATTGTAGTTGTAGGAATAGTAGTTATAGTTGTAGGGATAGTGATCGTAGTTGTAGTTGTAGGAATAGTAGTTGTAATTGTAGTTGTAGGGACAGTGGTTGTAATTGTAGTTGTAGGAATAGTAGTTATAGTTATAGGAATAGTGGTCATGGTTGTAGTTGTAGGGATAGTGATAGTAGTTGTAGTTGTAGTTGTAGGAATAGTAGTTGTAATTGTAGTTGTAGGGATAATGGTTGTAATTGTAGTTGTAGGAATAGTAGTTATAGTTGTAGGGATAGTGATCGTAGTTGTAGTTGTAGGAATAGTAGTTGTAATTGTAGTTGTAGGGACAGTGGTTGTAATTGTAGTTGTAGGAATAGTAGTTATAGTTATAGGAATAGTGGTCATGGCTGTAGTAGTTGTAGAGATAGTAGTTGTAATTGTAGTTGTAGAGATAGTGGTTGTAATTGTAGTTGTAGGGATAGTAATCGTAGTTGTAGTTGTAGGAATAGTAGTTGTAATTGTAGTTGTAGGGATAGTGGTTGTAGTTGTTGTAATTGGTTCCTTATCTGGTATAGGATTTGTTTCAATTGTCCAGATTGTTGTAGTTGTTGTAATTGGTTCCTCATCTGGTATAGGATTTGTTTCAATTGTCCAGATTGTTGTAGTTGTTGTAATTGGTTCCTCATCTGGTATAGGATTTGTTTCAATTGTCCAGATTGTTGTAGTTGTTGTAATTGGTTCCTCATCTGGTATAGGATTTGTTTCAATTGTCCAGATTGTTGTAGTTGTTGTAATTGGTTCCTCATCTGGTATAGGATTTGTTTCAATTGTCCAGATTGTTGTAGTTGTTGTAATTGGTTCCTCATCTGGTATAGGATTTGTTTCAATTGTCCAGATTGTTGTAGTTGTTGTAATTGGTTCCTCATCTGGTATAGGATTTGTTTCAATTGTCCAGATTGTTGTAGTTGTTGTAATTGGTTCCTTATCTGGTATAGGATTTGTTTCAATTGTCCAGATTGTTGTAGTTGTTGTAATTGGTTCCTTATCTGGTATAGGATTTGTTTCAATTGTCCAGATTGTTGTAGTTGTTGTAATTGGTTCCTCATCTGGTATAGGATTTGTTTCAATTGTCCAGATTGTTGTAGTTGTGGTGGTTGGCTCTTCTATACTCGGAATAGGACCTTCTTGTTCTGTCCAAATTTCTGTTGTGGTTTGAGTAGGAGCAAAAGTGTATATGCTTGTAACAGGAAGTGTCGTAGTAGATGTACTGAAATTAAATGCAAAAAAATGTTGTGAATGATCCCAAAATGAATGATCCCAAATATGATCATTATTATGATGGTGAAAATTGCTTTCTATGAGTTCTCTTTCTTCATAATAAGGTCCTATAAAATAATTAAAGAATTCAATTAAATATTCCATCATTATAGTACATATTTTCGAACTTACGCTGATTATTATATTGATAGTATTGGTTATAGTTATTACTTCTATAGCCATTGTAATGATGATGATGATGATGATGATGGTGACCTCTGTATTCTAGTAGTTCTCTACCATAATGTTCGAATTCTGGAGGGGACCAGGATTCTTCAGAATCTTCACACCTAACCTTTTGGTATACAAAGTGTAATACAATAAACCACAGAAAAAGTAAATATGTTATTCCCTTATTTATATGCATATGATATTTTATATATCCTAATTATTCATATGACAAATACTATAATTAAAAATCAGAGATAAGAAAGATATCTTTATTGATGAAATTTAGTGACGTGGCAATATGCATGTATGACATACATGCATGCATAATTACTCGCGCAAAAAAAGACTACGTATATCTCTTGAGGACAACTTTACAAGTGCTAATCGAGTAAACATTAAGGTGTTATTAATCATAAAACTCATATAAGTTCAGTATATAATGAATAAGAATTTAAATTAAAAGCAAAATAGGCTAATTACCTACTCTATATTTATAAGAGACTTCTTTAAATTATATAGTAAAGTGTTTAGTTGCCTGAGAACCTGTTGGGGAACACCATTGGTAAAAATTGAGTGTTCCATCCCACTGGGCAGTCATAAAAATTCCTGGTGAGCCTCCAAGATTAGTAACTAAACGGATCTCAGATCTATCATCTGGAGTGTGAAACTCCAAAATATTATCAAACAATGGGAGTGTAATACATCTTAAATGACCACTTTGTTGTCCCATCATTAGTAAATGTCTACCAGCAGCTATATTAGAACCATCCATACATAATATAGGACTGCCAAGTGACTTTCTAAATGTCTCATCTCCTTTTGAAGATAATACTCTAATTATTCCTTGTAAACTACACAAAACAAGATGATTTTCATACTCTAATACCGACATTACTGGTCCTCCATCTAGTGATATTTCACGTATTACCTGGAAACTGAGTAAATCAACGATTTGTATAAAGCCACCTCCACAAATCCACAAACAATGTGAGCAGTTTTCTTGTCCAATACTTTGTCCTAAATTACTATTATTTATATTGTTATAAGGAAAATACCTTAAACACTTTATATGCTCCTTTACTTGAATCTGAGCATATATATTGAACATCCCCATACTAGAATCAAATTTCCAAAATAGGATCTTCCCACCCCAACATGCAGATACTAGAATATTATCAATAATGAGAAGTTGGTGTATTTCCTGATTATGTCCAAGTAGGTCCATATGAGTACCGGTTGGTCTATGAAAGGCACGGATTATCCCATTAATTAGGCCACAAAACATTACATCTCCATATATTAAACAACTACAAACTTCAGCATTACAGTCTATAGATGATTCAAGCTTTACAGATAGCATTGTAGCTCCACTATAGTCTATACCTTGGTACTTCCCACCATTATAGTTATGAGGTCTTCTTTGCCCACTATTTCTAAATGACTCATTATTAGAAGTCTTCTCTACTGGTGTAATCTTCCAACGCTTCAATTTCCCATCACAACCTCCAGTAAATAATTCTAATTCACCTGTAGCTAAAGGTAGTGTGATTGCGCAGCGAATACCTCCATTATGGGCTCGTGGTACATGAGATACTTGTCTCAAAATATGCGAAAAATTACAGCTGCTCCCAAATTTACAGTTTCCCTGTAGAACAAAGTGTCTACATATCTCTAAGACTTTGACACTTCCTTGGGAAGAGGAGAGATTAGAATGAATCCCCTTCCCACCCTTCCAACGACCTCTCATATTAGTTATCTCCTCTCAATCTGATAACTAGTATACAATATATCGAAAAGCAATAATTATAAATCCAGATCCTCTTTTTCTTTCGATTTCCTTTGAATCAAAAAAAAAATGAAGAGGAAAATGAGAGTTTTCTCTTAATATAAACCAGAGTTCGAGACGAGACGGGTAAACCACAGGGAATAATAGCGGCAGAACTTATCCGCTAATATTTGAATCAATATTTATAATACTATTTGCTGTCCAAATGTGAAAGTCTTGTAGGTGGCTAAATCAGAATCTTTTTTCCCTATACAAAAAATAGGCAAGTCCAAAAGACCACTAACTAGCGGTACAATTTCAAACTTTATACTTACTTGTATATTTGGTTGCACAATAACTGTGTCACTTTTTGGGCCTAAGAACCACCACTTCGGATATTTATCTGTTGGATTTACTTGTGAAATATAATAATTAAAGGTATCTGAAGTATTACCACAATAATTTAAGCTAATATATAAAGTACTAGATTCGTTAATTTTGCCATGAGGCTTAAAATTTACACTAGCAAGAGTAAATAATTGAGAATTAGTAATATAAGTGTCCGGAATTTTTGGACAAATACTATTCTGAAAGAATATATTTATTTCGAAGGGTCCTGATATTGAATATTCCGACATATCTTCTTTATATCTGCTTAAAATATAAATATAGGGATGTATTTTAGATCTCCATAAATTCTCCGTAGATAGCCAGATAAACTTAACACGGCTATTACGTGATTTCATAAACAAAGATGACGACAAAGTGTGTTCGAATGAAATTTTATTACTAGGGATAAATGGGTAGTTGCAGCTTTTTGTAAGTAAAGATACACTTGTTATAAGTTTGTAGCTCAATGATATATCCTCTAAGTTTTTATTATTAGGAAATGATGTAATTAAGCGTTCAATATAGATCCCATCATCAGAAGAGATTAGAGAAAGCTCATAATAAGAGTGAGAATCTATTTCCAGGTCATCGATTGCAGGTTTAAAATTATCATCAAGTGTGACTTGAGGTTGGACACAAAAGGAGAATCTATGCAGGTTGGAAGACTCTACATTATGTTTGGAAATGCGACCATTTAGATTAATAATCAGTTCAAAAGGTGTTGGTTTGTTTGCAAGATATAGAGAAAATTTTATTGGTATCTCCAAAATACATTCATGTGAAAATTTAGGAAGTATAACTACATTTTTACATTGCCTTTGTTTCAATGAGCTATTACTTATATTTTCAAGCGTATTCTTTAATATGTTTTCACTTCCTGGATGGTGTACTGGTATATCTTCCTTAGTTGTAATATCTTGAGATTTAGGTAAATTAGTAGAATTACCGAATTGACAATCTAAAGTGCTTGCTAGTGTATAAACACCTTCTTCTACTTGAAATATTTTAGCTTTATCTTCAAATATTAATCGTTTATCTAAAGAAATAATAGTAGCTTCATGAGTATAAATTTGTATATTTGGATCACATGCACTAAAATCCAATTCAATTACAAAGTTCGAAATGCTAGATTCTAACCAATCTTTATCAATCTTAATTAAGAATTTATATTTCTTCTTAATATTACCTGTTACTGAGAGAGTATTTGAAATTAGTGTTGGAAGTGGAAGGGAGCAATCAAGAGACTTGATTGAATCCATATATAGATCATTATTTTCTGAAGATATCTTCAAATCAAATATATCCTTTAGGGATAGAACATTAAATAGGCAAAGAGTAGTCCAACGGTTCAAGGGATACCAAGGATCTTGGTATTTGTTTTTAAATTCACCTTTCGACAAACTCCAAGATCTAAATTCAATTCCTTGACTTCTCTCACTTTTCATAAATTCATAAACTATTTTAGGCATTATATGAGGAGATGGTAATGTCCCTAATGGAATTACCCATAAAAAATTAATAGGTAAGTTAGACTTAATATGTTGAATAGATAGACCTATAGAGTCTATAGCAAATTCAAATGGAACCAGATCATGACATACAAGATCAACCTGAATATGATTTACACCTGGATTCAACTGGAAAGTACTACTCAATTGCTCTAATGGTAGCCATTGACCTGTCTGAAGTCTAAACCATATAGAAGAGAATGTCAAGGGATTTGAGGAACCTAAGTATATGTATAAAATAAACTTTAAAGGGATATTGGGAATGATAACTCGTTTCATCCATGTATTTGGAGATGTAGTAGGAAGAGTCCTAGAGTCTCCTGGTGAAGCAATATTTGGGCTTAGAGCAACTGTACGGCGTGAACATGACTTTGTTCCTTCCGTAATAACCCAATTAGTTGGGCCTGGAGTTGGAACAGTTATAACTTTGGCTGGAGAGTTCTCATCTGGCTTGCAATTTGGGTGCCTTATTTCAGGAGATAAGGAAACCTCTAATTTACCGCTATTTCTATTATCCGTGTCTTTTTTACACTGAGCGCTATATTGGGTTTGAGATAAAAATCCTTGACTCTCTATGGAATTGGAAGAGTCATATTTGTTTGAAGTACTACTACTTGTACTATTGGTAGCGCCCCACCTTAGACCTGTAACTAGATCCCATACCCATTGCCTGGGAGATCCATCCTTTTTCTTCGGTGATGTAGATCTGTTATTTAGTGAGTTATTGTTTGTAGAATTTGTAGACCCACTCTCAGCCCAAGATACTTTCCTATTAAACCAACTTCCCTTAGAATTATTTCTACCTAAAGCCTGATCTTCTGTATAAGTTTTACTTGATATAGCCTCACTTGTTTCTACCTGTTCTATACCTTCTGTTTTTTGTTGACTCATGTTTACATTAGAATGTTCATCAACCTTTACTTTTATTGGACTTTTTATAGTATGACTACCTAAGGGACTTTGCAAAGGTGACAATATTGAAGGAGATCTTAATAGAAGCCTTCCACTAGGTCTTAAGATTTCATGAAATACATAGAAGTATCCTTGAACTGGTTTCCAAGGATCAAGTAAACCACAGCATGGAAGAGCTTTTCTTGGAAGTCTGATAATTCTTCCTCCACCTAAAAGAGCCATTAAAATTTGTTTTTCAGCTACTCTTAAAGTATTTCCCTTGTTAGATTTCGGGATTTCTAGTGGTTCTTTATTAATAAACGGTATTTTAAGTACTCCTGACAAGGTTGCATTTTGAGCTTTTGAATTTGTTGATACAAACTCATTAGCAAAGTAAGTCCAAATATTTGGAGGAGCTGGGAATTCCCAATGTAGAGATTCCTCATTTTCTAATTCAGATTCTTCCAAACATTTATTGATATATGCTTCAATTACCTTATCACTTTCAGTTACATTTCCATTTATTTGCATTAAAAAAAGTCTAATTCCTATTTCAGCTTGAAGTAAATATGAATCTGTACTGTTAATATAACTCAGAACAACAGGAGTTACCTTTTTAGCCAAAAAAGTTGTATACATGTTATGCGCAATATCAGTTAAAAGACTCCATTGAAATGGGATAGGTACTAATATAATAGAGAAATCTAACCAAAGACGAACAATTTTATAACAAAAGTTATGACTCACTAAATGTTCATTATAATCAAGATCACACCCCATGTACTCCTTATTCTCATTAAGTCTTTTTTCATGTACCAATTTAATATCACAAATATTGTTAGTTTCATCTTTAATTGCTATAATCCATTCTAGGAATGCTTCACTTTCAAAGAAAATTCCCCATGGCAAAGAGACTACAGACCTAACTTGTCCATGTGAAATATAATCCATACCAGCTATACCAACTATTTCACATAATATTTTAAAAGCTTTAGAGGGACAATCAAGACTTTTACACAAATCTGAAAGTTTATATAAAGTATCTACATCATCATGGGTATTGTTAATATCCAATAACATATAACTCTGCCAAATAGGATTCTTTTTGTAATACTTCCATATATTATTCCAATATATTTGGCATAACAGTGCAAAATATTTAGCAGCTGAGTGAAAAAGTGATATACCTTCAATAAAAGGCCAAAAAATATTTTCTAGAGGAGTTAGTGAGTTTCCATAAGTTACTTGCTCCATTTTATAAAGTTCTTCTTTATTAAATAAAGTATTTAAAAGGATAGAAGAAAAACAATGAATTCCCCATTGAGCTAAAGCTGTCTGTACTTCCATAGATGATACACTTGTATCAGGAGGAAGTTTTGGAGTCGAAGGTTTATGTTGCCATACATCCATAGATCCAGAAGCACCTAAAGTATGGATTAGTTTGGGAAGAAGAGATGTTATAATGACTGTTTTAGCAGGTGAGATAGGAGATAGGAGTTTATCTAAATGACTATTTAATAAGTTATGATTGTTATCTTTATTTCCAGTATATATCTCCATTCCAATATAGAATGTAAATCTAAATAGCCATAAATAACATCCTAATTGAAGGTCAATATCTTGGATTCTACTAAGAATATCAATTACAAATCTCTTGCTCATTGAAATCGTTAATTTATATATTTCCTTTACATCATCCAGAAGATTTAAAATATACATCTGTCTTGAAAATGAAAGCATTAGAATCTCAAAATATGTACGTCTTTTAGGATTGTAATCTGGGTCTTTCAATTTAAGAGGGAGTACAAGTGAATCCCTAGGAAGTAAAGATGCTTCATCTAAAGAGTGAGTTTTGCAATCTCCTAAGCAGCAATCAGAAGGAAGAAGTAGTAGAGGAATGTTTGAATTAGTTACAGGAGCTAAAATGCAAGTCTGAATCAAAGGGTCATTTTCTAAGAATTTGGGGTGTCTAGTATTAGGCAAAAGAGTTTTATAAATTAGTAAAGCTTCCTTAAATAATCCACATTGAACCAAGAATATAGCATATAAATCATTCAAGTTGATCATTTCTAATATCCATTGATACCAGACATCTGAAAGCTGCAATTTTCTACACTGAGTATTACATGTATTAGGAGAATCCTGGTTAGGTGATACCTCCCCTATTGAAGGAGATAAACGTCGTGGAGTAACTTTAGGAGTTGTAAAATCAGGAGTAATTATTCCTTTTGTATTATTCAAATTTGCAGGCTTTGGTCCTTCATCTCTAAGTTTTTTTATAGCATCTATAATTATTTTAAGTCTTGAATTTATACACGAACTAATTAATTCTATAATTTTTGATTGAAATGAAGTTGATACCACATTTCCAGCCTCATAATTATTATACCAAATAAAATATTCTTTGAATTTACTTCCTAAAAGTCTTCCAATTTCAGATTTACACTTTTCAAAAAGTTTTTTGGAATGTTTCTCTATTTCCTGATACTTACTACTTGAGAATCCAATAACTAAAGATTCAGATACTTCACAATTAAAATTGTTTTCACACCACTTAGATAATGGATTTAGTATACTATTAGTTAAAGAAGATGAAGTATGATCAAAACAACATATTATAACATTTAATAAAGGAATTGATAGTAAATAGTGAGATTTTAAATATTCATGCTTATCTAGGCTTAAAGAGTCTGAATTAAATATTTCACTAGCTCCTTTAATATATCTCTTTAACTTTATATTTAAACTTTTTAAAGTAGTAGATTCTGCAGTAACACGGAGAGTTATTGGAGAACTTATTGATGGAAATTGTTCTTGAATTGTTTCTACTATGTGATCTGCCATAGAATTTGATTTTATAATCATTGAATCTTCATCTTCTTGTTCAGAAGTATCCCTATCAACTGTCTGTTTTGAGGATGTTGTATATAATTGAAACCATCCACTCCCTGAAATGCTGCTCACAACATTCACATTTAAACCTTTACGAATCTCATCACTGTTGGAACAAGATAGTAGGTCAACAGATATTATAAAATTTGGAATAGAGGACACCATTGAACTCAAATAACAGTATTACCATTCTTTTTATAAAACGTTGGGGTTACAGGTTCCCGCAGATTTAGCCCTGCACTTTTAGACTGAAATCACTTGCATTACTAGAGTCTACCATATCTCAGCACTATTAAATTAGATTTATCCTACACCCTATTACTATAAGTTATGCAAGTATATGCAGCAAAAAGACATATCTATAAACAAAAGTGCCATAAAGGAAATAAATGAGTACATAAGTTAATAAAATTAATAAATTACAGAACAGAAATAATTCACATTAGATTGCACTCTAATCCTAGAAGATCAAATAATCACAAACGATTCAATAAAGCTGATAATATTTGTCAATGGACAAATAGCTTAAAGTGTTTAACAACATCCTGAAGAAGTTCTGCTTGGACGAGATGTGTTAGTTGGAGATGATGCGATTGATGAATAAGTTAAGTGCTGTGATGGTACAAAACCATAAGTTGCATAAGTTGCATTCATCTGAGGACTAGTAGCCATAATGGTTGGTGACAGCATGTATGAAGGAGCAGATAATATTGGGGTAACGCCAACTTGAGTAGTTGTACCATCCAACTGATAATGGGATGTTGGAATTACAGAGTGTTGATTTGCAACAGTTACAAACTGTGTCTGGGGTGTTGTAGTAGTTGGATGGATAACAACTGGAACTGATCCTACAGTACTGGTATATGGGCTTGATATAGAAGTGCTAACATACTCAATACCATAAGTAGAGCTTGGATGTTGCTTAGTGTATACAGATTTATTACCGGAAGACTGAACACTACTTTGAATTCCACTATGAATATGGCTTTGTACAGCTCCTTGTAATCCTGAAGTTGAAGACATTATGATCTTATTAGTTTTCCAAATATGGCACTCAGATAAATATATTACAAATTTTTACCCAAAATAGGATGAACTGATCTATAAAATTTAATTAAGTTTATATTTAAAAGTTTATGGATACCCTACTACGAGATATTGTCTAGAATTATCCCTAAAGCGAGTAGTAACTTCATGATTCGAGTTCATTAATAACAATAAAATGAAGTTATATAAGTGCTATAGGAACCTTATAATTATATAAAGTCTCATTTTTTTCTTTTTATATCTCAATGATTTATTTTAGGTATGCTTAAATTATTATATATCTGAAATAATTATAATTAAGATAGTTTATGTATTATTAAATTTACATGAGATATATATATCCTCCAAATATTCTATATCACCTTCTACTTAACTATTAATTTAATTATTGTTAACTAAATTAATCAATTTGTATATTATTACAATTAATTACAAATTTAGGGATGAAAGTATAAGTAGAATTACGCATGCATGCTGCATGCAGACATGTATTCGTTAGAAACTAGTTCTAATATTTTTCCCCCCGCTATTAAATAATTTTTATAGTAATACTTTTTATTTATAGTTATTTTTTAATTTTTCCATATCTTATTAATAAATTTCCATCTATTTTTAAATATAATAATAGCCATTATTATCTTTAGATGTGATGACTTTGTTATAGCATCAATAGTAGAATATGGTTTAAGAAATGTATAAGGTAGGATATATTATTTTTGGCTATATGCTTCTGTTTGTATAATTTTATTATTCCAATAAAAATATTGTAGAAGTGAATTTTTTTTTACTAATATATACTTTATTTAATAATAATAGATGCAGTTGGACTATTATTACCAAATTTACTATTTGTAGATTTTGTCTATTCCAGTAACTAAAGTAACTTAGAAATAAGATATTTATTTATAAATAGTAAATGATGATATATACATTATCATTAATCCCTAGATTCTTCATTTTGTTTTTATTTAAATATATATATTGTTATCTACTAACTTTTTTTTTTTTTTAAGTTCAACGTACTAATCTTTATTATAAATAAGTTGTACATCCTTTATATAATAGATTTTGTACTGATAATATAATAGTAGTAATATAAAGAATCATGTAATAATGATACTAAATTATAAAATTTTTAATATAGAAATTTAGTTCATATTAAACATATATATAAGAAAGGTATACTTTGTTAAATAAATAGTTTAACTTATTATATATTTAACCTATTATCCTTATTTTAAAGTTAGACATAATATTATACTTTTAGTATTTAGTATAAACAATTAAAATTAAATTATATATTAATGGAGTAATATTTATCAGTTAGATTAGTTTCAAAATTAGATTACATAGTACTTAGATACTAGTTTTAATAGATAATTATATACTTTAGCGAATTGAATAGTAAATTTCTATTTTAATAAATTAGAAGTATTCTTTAGATAACTAATTTTTATAAATATAGAAATAAAACTATTTTCTTAATTTTTAATGTATTAAAAGTAGGCCTTAATTATCACCTTTTTGTATGAATTCATACGTAATATTAGAAAAACGATCAGAGAGTAGTTATTTATAAAATAGAGTAACTTCTATATTAAATAAAAAATACTTGAAAGTTATTTAAGCTGTATTGTAAATATTTAGTAATTTATGCTTGTATTATAAGGATAAAGATAATTTCAAATAGTTTTATTTGAAAGTATTTTACAAATATTTTAAATTCATCAGATTTGACAAGACACTTAGGTTTTCATTTACAAGTAAATAGATTGAAACTTTTATTTAAGAGTTATATATAAAAGTTGTCAAATTACTTCTCTATTATTATATTTTTATAGTGAAATTCTAAAAATTATTAAAAATTGGGCGCTTATCCATGCAAATGTACCACCGCTATTATGCATGTACATTAACTGCCACGTAATGTTATAGGTTTAATTACTATTTCAATAGCTTTTCAAATAATTACAAGCTACCTTTAAAATGAGTGATAGCTCAACTTCTGTTTTAGTTTTGTCAGTTGATAAATTTAAATTATATCCTGGACTACTTAATAATCTACCAAAGACCTTTCAAGTGGCTCTATCTGTGGGACTTCGTCATGAACCTATAAAAGATATCATTTTTAACCCAGAAAGATACATAATAGCGACTTTATCACCAATAAATAATGAATCTTCCAATTCTCCGCTCCAAGTAGATCATAGAGTAAATCATAACTTTTATATTCCTATTCCAAATTGTCTAAATAATAAGGCACTTTTAATTCGCCTTGTACTTTTTCTTATAAACTGTGATGGATATAAAATTCCAATTTGTAGATCTATACTACGTCTGAGTAGTATAAGGGATCCTACAACAGTGATGAAATGGTTTCCATTTATACTTTACGATAAGTTTCTTAGTTTCTTCGAACAACCGGATTATATTAATAAAATTGACAAGGCTTATTTAAATAATAATAAATTAAAAGTAACAAATCCTGCAGTAGTTAAAGTTGAAGAACAGGAGACAAATACTAAGTATATAGTTGGCTCAATTCGTATATCAACAAAGCGAGTTATTCAGAATAGATTTGAGCAACCAAATTTTAATGCAATGATGAGCTTCTTAACACCTGTAAATACTGGTGATGTGATGAAATTATCTTTGAATGAATTATATAATGACTCATTATCTAATGATACTGATTCTTCATTTAATAAATCATCTGAAAATTTTAGTAGTAATGATAAATTATTTAATGGTCCATATAGTTCCCGTATAACTGGTTGTTACTTAGAATCATCTAATGAAGTAATGGAAGATAAAATTAAATATCCTTTTTTTGAATTTAAAGAAATTATTAGTAGGCATGTACCACTTGTGAAATTACACCATGAACTACCAGTTTATTACTACATGCTAAAGAAAGAAATTAAGAATATGAACGAAAGAAACAGAGATAGTCGGATAGTTTTAATTGGTAAAGATTTCTTTGAAAAAAATAGAACTGGAACACAAATACCTTTGAAAATACCTAGCAAAATAATTGATATTTTGAAGTCAAGTTTAGATTGGCAGAAATGGCTCAATAAATGTATGGATGTAGCAATAATGCAAAGTATTAATGGTTACAGTATAAATAGTATGAATTCAACATCTTTAGGTTCAGAATCAGGTTTACAGAATATGGGAGAAGAGTTTGTATCTAATATTAGGGCTAATGAAAAAATAATCCACAATTTTGATAGGTTAATAGAAGCGATTCATTCAAATATAGATGTATTAGTTGTACATACTACTTTTACAGCAGCAGCTACTGAATTTGCAAGAGATGTAATAGATGATGTAATTTTCAACAATGCTAATCAAACTACGAAATATAATGTTTATAGGAATCAATATGTAATATGGAATTATCATTTAAAGAGAGTTTACCAAGAATTAGGGATGGATTATTTAACAAATAATAGTGATCAGAATATTTCAGAAGGTAAAGTATCAGATATAGAATTTGAATCTGATTTTGAGGGCTCTGAAGATGAAGATGAAGTTTCTATTGTGTATATTAAAGAGAAATCATTTGATATATTAGAAAGTAGTGATGATATAGAAAAGAGTAAAAGTGAGTATTATAATAGTTTAAGTACTAATTTAGCTCTTGACATAAGCAGAAAAGATCATACTCAAACAATACCTTTATATAATTCTCTCAAAAGAAGACTTGTTGAATCAATAGAACGAGATCCAATAAAACCCTTAGATCCATCTCATCCATTTTCAGCTTTACGACTATTTGAAAAAGATCTTGTATTTATTCATCATAATACAATAGGAAAAGGATTACTAGGTATATTAGTATTAGGAGATGAAGAAATATCCCCAGAAGAAGCCTCTAAAATATATACAAGGGAAATTACAGCTCATATGTCAATTAATGAAGCAATTGTACATATGAAGTTACAGAATGCTATAAGAATTTATAATTCTACAAATTCATATGATGATGAAATAGAAAATAATGACAAAATAAATGAAAATATACTTTATATTATGGGAAATAAGGAAAAACCAAATCTAACATTAACTCCTACCAATCAAGAACTAGCAGATATATTAATTAAAGGAACAGATATGTATCATGATGTAGTAAAAGATTTATTTCATCCAGCTATAAGATTATCTAGAATTAATCCTACTTTAATTACAAGTGTTGACTACTGTGGATTTCGCGTGGTTATACGTCCATTACCCCCTTTTCCATTTACATTATGTGATTGGCCTTTACCAATACAAAGTATAGAAAGAAATGAGGTATATAAAATTGAAAGATATCTAAATATAGGTAATATGTTACACCCAACTAAGATGTTGCATCAGTATTATCACTTACCTGTGTTGCTAAAATATGCTATTGGTGCCCAAATTTATTATAACTTTCATCATGTTTACAAAGTTTTTCCAAAGGATCCATGGAAATCAAATTTATCAAGAGTTAGTAATAATTTATATGTGAATAACAAACGTAATATAAATAATAGTAGCTTTTTAGATGAAAAAATTGATAAATGGTGTAATTTAAGGCCTTTACTGATCCGACAAAGTGATACAATTGAACAATTACTAAAATGTCAAGGCAATATAGAAATAGAAAAACGTTATCATTATGGAATAGATGATTTAGAATTATTTTTGGAAAGTCAATTAGAGCCACATGGCTTGTGTTTACTCTGCTCTTGTGCTTTACAAATTCAGTATTATGGCTACTTTACCAATTGTAATTTAGATAAGAATGCTACTAAGGATGATACTCAAAAGATTAAATATAATAAGACGAACTCTGATACTTTAGTTCTAATAAATAGTGATACACATTGTAGTTTATGTGGGTCATTAATTGGAAATTATAAAACAAAGGGCTCAAATAATAAAACAGTCGAATCCAGTGAGTTTCAAAAGTATATCGTAAAAAAAACACCATATCCTATAATTGGGAATAGTGATGACGGAATAGGAATTAAAATGAGTAGAGTTAAATTATCAGCTGCTTTTTTCCAAATTCCAAACGAATATTATGGTGAATGGAGAGTATCTGAGGGTAATATTTTCAGAAGGGATGAAATTATTTGGGAACGTAAACCAGGTATTTATTGCTTACCAAGAAGTTGTATTAGTGGTGGTGGCAACTTACTAGGAAATGGTTTGGATTTAATTAGATATACACTATCTCAAGCAAAAAGAGCAAAGTATGAGGTTAATAATAAGCAACTTGATTCTAAAGTGGATAAATTAAGATTTTTGGATATTGATGATGGTTGTAATTTACTTAATCCAATAAAAATAACACCAGATGGTATCTCAAGTGATCAGAAAACGTTATTACTATCTAATTCTTTACATACTAATTGGTTAGGTATTGCATTACATCAATTAGAAAGTATTCCAGCATTCTTGCCATATGACTCTATAACTCTGACAAATTTTATGCACTCCCGTGGGTTAAACTGTCATTTGTTTGGTAGAATGATTAATTGTACTCGTTCACCTTGGCTTAGGCAACTTATTTCAGTGGAAATAATTGCCAGATCTATGAAAAATCTCATACCGAATATTATTAAAACATTATATTTATCAAGTGCGCTGGCATCTATAAAAGGTGAAAAGGGAAATTATGGTAAATATTGTCCTTGCCATGTTATAAGCCCACATTTATTAAAGTTACATACAATATTCAAACTTTACATAACATCCATTAACAATCGCAAAGAAAAGAAATATAATGGTACTTTTGCACAAATAGGTATTCAATCAAACAAAATGAATATGCCATCAAACCAAACATATAGAAAACAAACACCATTAGTTAATACTTCTCTAATGAATAATCTCGATAAAGCAACTAATATACAATCGTTAACATGGTCTATACAATCTCCTGTATATTGGAATGAGATATTCCATGCACTTAATTCAAATAAATGGAATGTATTAAGTACCTATAATGTCAATATTCTTGATATATCAAGCTTTTTTTTTGATTGGGGTTCAAAATTTTTTGATATTGAAGATGATAATAACCAAACGATTGATATAAATAAATATTCAAGCTCAGTAAAACCAACAGATAATGAGTCACGTAAATTAAAAAGTGTTTGTAAACATAAATATCGCTTAAAATTACCATTATGGATACTCAAATGTTTATTTAGTATTAATGATAAAGATATAATGAGTATAAAAAGATACCGTTTTCATCAAATTACTATTATTCAAATTATAATGACAAATCTATTTAATTTAATACTTGGAGATTCTCCAAATTCGCAGTTATTTTGGACAAAATTTATATCTTATTGTTGTTGTAAACAATTTGATGTGGCTGATAATAGTTTATCTAAATATAAAGTCCCTATTGGTGCATTGTTCGTAGCATTGCAACATCACAGTGGGATAACATTTTTTACAGATATTAAGAAACTACAAGAGAGACTAGTAGAAGAACCATCAGCTCCATTGAAGTATGATGACTTCAATATTTGGCTACCTTGCACAAAAAAGTCTATGGAGAGCAACTATACAGAGAGTTTACCAGTATGGGCATTATTAGAAGTGCCAGAAATTATAAAATTACCAAGATATAATAACTTTTCTGTTATATCAACTCCTACTTCTTCCCAAATACTGATATCACTAAGTATGAAATTATCTGTAACATTTGCTTCAAATCCACAAATGCTTAATGATTACATTGGTCACTGTGAAGTATATTGTGGTGCACAAAGAAATATGAGAAGGCAAGATTGGATAGTCCAGGAATCAATGCTTGAATTAGCTGGATACTTTTTTTGGTTAGAGTCCAGTAAATCTTGTATTAAGATATGTAATGAAATATCATATTACTATCCCCAGGATCACATTGCAGTAATTCAGACAAAAGTATTAAAAATGTGGTCTCAAGCAAGGCTTAGAGATTATGCAGATAAAAATACTATAGATTCGGAAGATTTATATCAAAATCACATTTCATACACAGCTATGTCACCGGAGATATATACATCGACTAACATATTAAATATAATAGAATTATATTGGTCTGCATCACATCCAATAATAATAGATGTATATAGTGCAATTGCATTTATGTACTTCATACGTGGGAATTTACAATCGGCTCAAGAGGTACTTGAAAAAGCTATAACGCGTTCATTAGTTCTTAGTAGTTCTTTGGAATCACCAAATGATATATTAAGATATTTTGGGAGAATTTTCTTACCTAGTATACATAGGAATTGGGAGTATGAAAAGCAAATATTAGACAATAAACAAAGAAAGTCATTAGGTTACCCAAATAAATTGACAAATGAGATAAGTTACTCTTCACTAATAAATAAAAGTAAAAATGATTATAATTCGTATGGTTCATATTCATCAACATTTATTAAGACATTATTTAAAACAGTTGAAAATCCAGATATGAACAAGTTACCTAAATCACCACCTGTACTACGTATTGCTTGGTTATTAAAACAGTTGGGGAAAATAAAACTAATAAATTCATTTAAACTAAACAAAAAGCGGATATTAGAAAAAGAGGTATTATCAGATGGCATAGCCAATAATGGGTATAATGCACTTCCAGTGGCTAGTGAGACAATAGAAAGCTTATTAGAATCAGCATGCTTGACAATGCAATGGGCATTAGATATATTTGATTTTTATATTGGACCAACCACTTTGGAAACAGCAAATTGCTGTCATGATTTAGCTCTTGGGCTATTATTAATGAATGAGGTTATTGATAATGATGAATCAGTATTATTGAAAAGAGCTTTAGAGTTACTACAAGCCTCACTTAATGTCACAACAACTTTACTATCACCATTTCACTATTTATGCATAGAAAATGTAATTCTACTAGCCTTAATATATGAAAAAACTAATTGTTACAATGATGCACTATATATGTGGGAAATAGCTTTAGAACAATTAACTTCATGTAGCAGAAAATTTCATGGATTTCAATTTAGGAATTTATGTGAATTTAGTATTTTGGGATGGTGTACCCCAAATAAATACTTCGTATCACCTTTTTCATTTGAGTTATTAATGAATTATATTAATAAAAAAAATATAGATAAAGAAAATAACTATGAAAATATCAGTCAATCAATGGAATTAATGGAAATATCAAAAAATTATTTAGATATTATAACAAGTAGAAATATTTTTGATTTATCATCTATCTGGTATATGAGCAATTTGATGTATTTATTATCAGTTACAAAAGAACGAATATTTTATTTATTTATGAATATATGCAATGAAAATAGATATCACAAAAGATTATATCGTTTATTTTTATTGGCATCTTATTTAAAAAGAGGTGATAAACTTGTTAATTTACAAAATTGGAATATTTCTGATGAAACGATTCTTGATACAAAAACTCAGATATTTGGAAATAAAGATAGAAGAAATAACTCAAGTACATCGTCAAATAATTCAACTTCAGGATTATTATTCAATGTTCACTATGAACATGATTCATGGTTATTTGAATCTGAAGAATCAGATTTAGCAGTAATATCATTTATTAATGAACATCCAACCAAAATAAATAAGAAACAATTATTTAGTGGTGACGGCTTCTCAGGTCCTTTATCAATATTGTTTAATAACTATATGTCATATAATGGAAATAATAGATCTGTTAATATAAATAAATTAGTTAATGTTTCTAAAAATATTGACAATTCAGAAGATGGTGCAGATTTATTGTGCAATATGTATAGTGATAATTATAACTCTAAATTAAATATATTAACACAACGTCTACTTTTATCTTCAAAATCAATAAAGAGCGAAATATCAAATATGGAGAGATTTTTTGTTAATATCATAACCGAGGCTGAAAATGATATAAAAATAATATGGCTAAATATAAGAGAACAGATGATATCATACAAGACTAATGCTTGTAAAAAGTGTATGAAATTGAAATTAATGAAGTCTAGAACAAATCATGATAACCGAATAGGTAAATTATCAATGAGAAGAATAAAGCAAATCTTGAATTGTGATGACAAAGATGTCAATAAATTAAATGATAAAAGTGATCAAAATAATATTGCTAGTATGTTTGAAGTAGGTTATGATTCAGATATAGAAGGTAATATGGCCAATATACAAAGTGGTAAAGATAATGAAGTAATTACAGGACTCATAAATGTTGGAGACATGATATCATGTCCTGCATATAAATGCTCATTATTATCAATAAAGAAAGAATCAGAAAATACACTCATGAAATACATTTCAAAAGGCAATATGCGAAGTACATCATGTGATGCTGATGAAGATAGTGATGGTGATGATAATTATAGTGAAACAGATGAAAATAAGCAGGTAGAGGATACTTCAAAAGTAATACATGATGCAATTGACTCAAGTAAAACTAGAGGAACTAAAATGACTCTAGATAAAAGTTTACATGTCTCAGGTAGAAGATTGGTTAGCCTTGAAGATTTAGAAACAGTAAAGTATACAAGAAGCTCACCACTAGATTTTAGAAGTGAGTCATTAGATGTAATTATTTCAATCATATACCATACCACAAATATAAAAGATTACTTTTCAAATTGGAAGGAAAAGGACAGATCTAAAGAAATTAATTAAAATTTAGGGTATCAATTAAAATTCAGAATTAAGCTTAGGAAATAGAGAAATAATGATGGCAAATTTAATAACAGCCTGTATAAATATATTTTCACATAGAATTAGATATACAATTTCATTTAATACCATTTCCTTATTATAATTCTACCTATAATTTGTTTATATCTCATTAGTTTATAGCTGCTTGCTATATATTACTCAAATCTAGCTTTTTTAGTAAAATATCTTTGATTACATTCACTATCATCATCAGACATATGGTCTTCTGTGTACTCTTTGTAAATTCTATTCTTCGATGTAGTTAAGGTAGGTAAGGCAACATTTACTAACTATAAAACCAGAGATAAAGTATTGATATGTCATAATTGTATGAAGTGTGAATAATAAATTTTCATTATATTTTGTTATAAAAAAAATATAAAGAAATTAAGAAAGCTTACCTTATCTAGAGCATAGAGATAGCTCGTTGTATTCTTGTAGCAATTAGGTTTGCATATAATTTCACAAATCCTTTGTAAAGTAGGAGGGGGCTTTATGCAATTATACTGAAGTGTATTAATAATATCATTTATAAAGTATTTTACAAATTCTCTATTGCATTTATTGCAACTTGAAGAGTTATAGCATGAGCTTCCATGTTTTATTTCCACTTTTGTCTCATTGCTATTTTTGAGGATATCGTGTATATCTTGTTTATTATAATTAGATGATGAATAATATAGCAGCATTTGATTATTCAAACCTCCATATTGTTCATACATCCAATAACAAGATTCTACAATTTTACTAATAAGCGTCGATTTAAAATGTTCCCATGAAATAGTTAAAGTTCCAGTCTCTGCAATATCTTTTATCAACTTAATATTACCATCATCTAGTACATTTACAGATGAGTCATCTATTATATTCTTGTTATCTTTGTATATTGTTACTTCACAGTCAGAATATAAGTTATCGTCTTCTTTTTGAGAATTTCCATCATTTATGTTATTATCTACATTATCCATTGTAGACTAAGCATTAGGGAGCGTCAATTATCCATTAAATCTTAATTCTACCTATTTATCTATCTACTAATACAGTAAATATAATAAATAGAAGCCTTCTAGGATTAGTGACTATAAGATGGCAACTTCTGCAGTCTGAAGCTAAGTCGATACCTGCACAAGTTTTGTTTGGTATAATACCGCTATAAAATGTTATACTAGCATTTTTTTTAAAGCGCGAGAATAGCAATAGCTACAAGCTTTTTTTTTTGTATTTAATTGCCCAAATCTACCGCGTACTAACCAAAATTTGTAGAGTCTATTAGGCCTGTAGATAATGTTTTGGTGTATACACACAAAATAGCGCCAATATAATGTTAAAATTAGAGAATCACAGGTTTAAAGTATCTATATTAGAAAATTACCTCACCATGTGAATACAAATAAGTAGAACCTATGACTAACTTAAATAAAGCTATTGATTTGAATTCATACCAGGAGAACATTCAAAATATAAGTACTGGGAATATACCTTTGGAAAAGCCAAAGCTAGAATCGAAATTATTGAGCTGGTTCAAAAAATTAACTCAAACTTTAAATAAAAACGAAATAAAAAGTAAAGAAAAAGATGAAATTCCAGTGATAGATATCCGATTCAAAAGAGCACTTGGTAATTCAAAGTGGGAGAAATTATTGGCTATACACCACGGAATTGCAGTGTAAGTCTTTATCTACTTAAATGTTTATGTTTATTAATAATTAAGATACCAATTATCAACTGATTTTATAAATGCAAGAGCTGATATAGAATTAAACAAAACACCAGAATCAATTTCAGATGAGATGGTTGAAATAGAACGTACAATATTACATGATATTGGCTACAATTCGTCAGTTTATAAATCCGAAGAAATTAATCTTTCTAATTGCTCAAAAGAAATCTCAAGTAATGATATTGAAGATTACCGTAGGAATCTGGATGCTTGTAGATATCTTGAAATAGAAGCTAGAAAGTGCTTTCTAAAACATCGTCATTCTATTAATCCTGATAAAGTAAGTCCAAATAATGAATTATTTGTAAACATTTAAATATTTAACTATTATTAATATAAATATCATGTTATTAGGCTATAATGAAGTGTCATAAATACCAAGTTGAGTATATAGAGTGTTTATGGGACCAAGAGAAAGTAATTCGAGGTATTTCATCAATAGAAGTGCCCTTTTCAAAAAAAAGAAGGCCTTTTATATCAGCTCCAAATCCAAATTCACTAGGTTTATAAAAAATAGATGAGGGTATGAACTACTAAAGCAAAAATGAATACTTATAGAAGTTTTATTTTAATTATATTGAGTATTTACATAGGCAAAATTGATTTTTTGCAATACAAAGATATTTAGAGAATTGAGGGAATTATAAATAATACATTTAGATAGATTGCAATAAATATTAAGTGACTTTCTATAATGTATATATGGAAATATATCCATGAGTTGATTTTAATTAACTCCTCATGATATAAAAAAAAAAAAGGTAGATTGTATGGATTTTTCATGAATTTTGTGTGAATTTCGTATGAACTGTCACCTCGATACCATTAATCATAATTTATCTCACCAAATTCAAATTTAAGTCTGTCAAAATAAGCAGATGATCTAGGAGGAGTTGGAGGTCTATCCAACAAAATATCTTCATCCCAGATATTTAACATATTTCTTTGTTCCTTAGGGGCAGGTAGTAAAATTTTAGGGACAACTGTGAGATCTCTTTTAATAAAAAGTAAAGCCCCTGCATTTTGATGTTTCCCACAATAGTCAGTAGCTGAGAATAGTGTTACAAGCTTACCTCCAGCAAATCTTTCAAACCCATCTTGGACACATTCATGGGCCCTAATAATTAAATCAAGGTTATTATTGCATAAAAATTGGATTACTCTGTCAGGTCCAAATTTCACAATATAACCACAGCCATCTGGATCTCTAGTGTCATTTGAAACAACTCCCTCTAAACCATCATTATCCGTAGGATCAGACCACAATAAATCCAAGACACGTTGTTCACTTTCACTTTGAGGAGTTTGAGAAGGCTTTAAAGGTCTTTGTATTTCACGAATTTGTTCTATTTTATGTATAGAACCCCCAATTCCTCCATGTATACACAAAATCTTATCTTCTATAGTAGCACCCACAGACATATATTCAAATACCCTATTGAAGCAATTCCAACAAGAACCTGGATCATCAGGATCTTCTCTTAGACGTCTTCTACACTCATCTTTAAATCCATATAATGAATTCACAACTGGATCTTCATGATTACCTCTAATAAGATGAATTTGTTTGGGATAACGTATCTTCAGTGCAAACAGAAGACAAATAGTTTCTAAACTGTGAGTTCCTCTATCTACATAATCCCCTAAAAAAAGATAATCAGTCGAGTCAATATCTCCTTTAGTATCAAATACATCCTCCAATTCTTCTGATATGGGAGTTTTATAACTGAAAAATAGACGCATTAAATCATAATATTGACCATGTATATCTCCATAAACTTTAATTGGAGTTCTTAGTTTAAGTACCATATCTTCTTGTCTAATTATCTCATAAACAATCTCACATAATTGAATAACTTCAGACCAAGCTAATGCAAATAAACCCATAGGATTAAATCTAGCCGATAATTCTATCGGAGTAATCCTAGGATGCAAAAATAATTTTAGACACTTTTCAACTAGCCCAGTACCACTACTTCCAAGAGTTCCGGGAGCAAGAGACCAAGGTAACTCAGCTAAAGCTTTTTTTGCTGCAGCCTTATCTATCTTTCTACCTTCTTCTCCTAATTGGTCAATCGAAACCCTCTGTACTAGTGATGAAAAATCATTTTTAGCTGAGTCTACGGTTATGTGAACCTGGGAACTTACTTTAGTCATAGGTTCAGCAAGACCAATTAAGCCTGCAGTTGTTTTGTGATCCATCCTAGGTTGATAACGTTTTGGATCACTTTGTAATTGTGCATTAGCACGGGCTATAGCTTTCTCCACATTTGTTAGAGGCAAAGCACTTGTTCCATCTGAAATTCTACATTCCTCCGTAGATGCATTATCAAGATCCGTAGATTGAGAGTCTTTATTTTTATTACTAGTTGAAGACTCCTCAAAACTCCGAATATTTACTGATAATTTAGATGGAACTCCAACAGTATTTATAGGTACACTAGCAAGACTCTTACGGCGGATACTTCGTTCTTTTTCATTATAGAAATTTGGCTCAGAGGAACAATCTAGTGATATTAGATCCATTGTAGGATATGTCTGTATCTTATGATCAAAGCCTGCAAAAATAAAGATTACTGATTTTATAGACCAAGCTGAATGTCTAAATCTTCCAATATGAGGTAAGTTACGCCATTCACATGTCTCGGTATCATATAACATAGTAGGAAGTGTTTTAGATACATCGTCCCCCCTACCTCCTATTGCTAACATCTTTGTTCCTATAAATAGAACTACGTGCTGAAATCTAGGAACTGGAAGTCCCCCTTTCTTGCGAGGAGCCTCAATCCAATCCCATCTACCATCTCTATGCTGTCTTAGACCCCAGATGTCTTTAAGATAGCGAGAATCACTAGCTCTACCTCCATGAACTACAGTCATACCAGCAGCAGGACCTTCTGTACAGAGAGCTGCACTATGATAAACTCTGGCACAAGGAATTCTTTCATCTCTTTCAAATAATACCTGGGTCCATAAAAAAGGACTTTCTTCTACATTCATAAACCAAACATCATTTAAAGTTCTCTGACCATCATTTCCTCCAAATACAATTAAATTTGGTTTGCTATATACCATAGAGTGTCCATAACGTCTCCCTGGAGTTCTACCACCACAAATTGGTACACTCATCCAACTGTAGTGAGGTTCCTTCCTCAAATCTAACAAATATAACTCATCACTACTTAAACTACCTCCACCTTAAATTAAATAATAAAATCAGGTCAATATATCCTAAATATATATCAATATACAAACAATATGTCACATACCTGTAGCTCCTCCATAAATAACTAATTGCATAAAGTCAACACAAGCTGCCGAGTGAGCTGCTCTAGCATTGGGAGGACTATCAGCCGTTATTTTCCTCCATTGAAAGCCAGCTGTAAAGTCCAAAATATAAGTATCAGCCGTTATAGTATATCTCCCACTGTCTCCAATTGCTCCTCCAAACAACACAACTAAAGTAAATATTAAAAAATCTCAATTGCAAGTTCAATGATCAGAACCGAAACATTAATATAGCCCAAATTTAAACCTTATGAGCTAAATATACAGGAGAATATTATTACATACCTTTCGAGTTTCCCACAAATGTTGTAGAATGTCCAAACCTAGCTGTTGGAATATCTCCAAACATTTGCTCATGCTGAGCCATCTTCAGTCACAAATATGCCTATTAATTCCTAGTAACTAACTAATTATCTACATTTGTCTTATTCTCTATGATATTTGATGAAGACATCTAATTTCTCCTTTTAACTTTATTTGTCACAAACATAAATGTCTCCAAGGCCGTATTGGCGGAAAGACAGGATATCTCAAAAGTATAAATTTTAAGGAGGGTAAAGAGGGGTGGATCTAAAAACATTGTCTAATTTTGAGGAAATTTAGGTAATAAAAAAAAGTAATAAAAAGGTAGTATAAACATCATCTACTATCACCATCTATTTGTAAATATTTAAAGAGCTAGGTTTTCATATTGAAGATCTTGAAAGTCGTGGGGTTGGAGTTTTATAATAAATAATGAGAACTCAAAATAATTACAATTTATATATTTGAAGTAGTAAATCTTAACTTGTAGACTTCTTCAACTTATTATATTGTGGAAGTTAATATAAGATATCCTAGTTAATAAGAAACTCGAAGAAATCATTAAAATCTAGATATTGTTTACCATTTCTACAACACTCTGTAAGAAAAATTTCAGTCCAATGAATATGAGCACAATATTGCACTTTATCATCAGTTCCGTCATCTCTATGATAAGGTTGGTTACTTCCAAGTCTTAGGTACTGTTCATACTGTTGATTAGATACAGTTTCAGAACATATTATAATATCATCTTCCCAACCAAAAGAGGCGAGAATATCTTGAACAGATACTTTTCCATCAGAGTCCTTATCAAAATTTCGGAAAACGGCCTTAACAATATTTATATTGTTGAGGTAGATCTCTGGAGGCATAGATGCAGCCATAAATTCAGAGAACTCCCAAGCTCCACTTTGATCTTGGTCAATAATTCCAAAAACTCCCTCAATTCTATTACATAATTCATTTAATTCAATAATTTCATTGATATCAAATTCACAAATAATGTCCATTTTAGAAAAAAGTTTTTCATTATTGCTTGGGTGTTTAGTATCAAATACCATAGAATTTTGTGGTATTTCTTCAAAGCCTTTTAGTCTGCAATTTAAATCTTTATCATGCTGTTCTTCTTCAGAATTTAACTCGTATTCTTCAATATCACTAGCATCAATATAGACATTAGAATGAGGTATTAGGGAATTTATAGAATTAATTAGTAAATTTGAGTTTAATTCTTTAAAGCTAAAATTTCCCATATTTCCTGATTTTACCTTGTTCCCACTAAAAGAACTTTGCATACTAGGTAATAATCCATGTATGGTTCGATCTCCAAAGTTAATATATCTAGAAATAAATCTGATATGCCATATAAAGCACAAGACACATTGTAATTCAGCAAGAGATAATACTCCATCTGCAGCTACATCTAGATTGGAAAATTGTTCTCTTAGAGGAATATAGTCATCAGATTCACCTAATCTAAGAGCTATAGATACAAGTATAACACGTTTTAGTAAGGAATAAGAACAAAATTGTTCCCATTTACCTAGAAGTCCTAGAAGAGACTCATAGATTAGCGTAGAATTTTTAGAAAAAACCAATTTATAGAGTTCCTCCGCATCACAAACATTAGATTTGACCATTGGTAATTTTACAAAGTTATTTCTTGATCCAGAAATATTGTTAGATGGAGAATTTAATGCTGTTCTACAATAGTATTGCATCATCTGTTGGTTTGAATCAGCATTTGTGTATATATATTTTCCCTCATTATATTTACTAGAGGTAAAGCTTGGAATAGGATTGCTTAAGAAATTCGGTTCATCAGAACTAGCAGTTACAATATCCATATGTGTTGATTCCGTAGATATTCTATTTTTTGTAACAATATGTAACATATTAAATCGATCATCCAAAGAGCATGAATAAGATCTTCTAAAATTTTTAAGGGAAGGGCTAAATAGTGATAAACTTGTTGATCTTTGTTGTCCTACTTTTGCGATAATACTAGTGTTACCACAGTGACAGCCAAAGTGGAATCTAGGATCACAAGGGGGTGATAACATAGCATATTCACGATTTAACATAGCATTAATTGTAGCCTTTGTCCTAGGAGTAGGTTGACGGTCCAATTCTAAATTAGTAAATGACATTTTACGGGTAACTGGAGATTTAAATTTTCCTAATGAAATATTAAAATTGTCTATAGATAAGATATTGGGATAAGCATTGTTCATACCATATAGTAGAGGAGTACTGCAAGATCTTCTCAATAGAGAAGAACGATGTGATGATCCTCTTTGTATATTATTTAGTGTCAAATTAGAAGATAAGTCAGTATCCGATCTATTTTTCAATAAAATTGAATTATTATCCGTATTGATATACTTGGATTCTCTATTTGCAGATAAAAGAAGTGTCTCATCTTCCATTTCTATAGTCTTTAGACTATTGGAAGAAAAACTTGGTGAAGATATACTAGATTTAATTCGTAAATCGCTGATGCTGTTTGATGCTCTCATTTTATATAGACGAACTCTTTGTTGATGCCATGGCCATACTACTACCTTGTTGAGCATGCCTATAGCACATGTAGGAATACTAGGGGGATCCCATATCCTTAACCATGGATGCTGTAAAGCTTGAAAAGCTGATATACGTTCTAAAGGGTTCTTATTTAGTAATAATAATATAAACTCTTTTGCTAAAGGTGAAATTTCACTCCAAATAAATTCATTAAATCCAATACTACCTTTCCTTACTCTCTCAATGATTTCTGCATCTGTATTTCCAATAAATGGAGGAACTCCGCATAATAAAATATGAGCCATTACTCCTACTGACCAAATATCGCATTTCTCGTCATATCCTTTACCTAGTAGAATTTCTGGGGCAATATAGTACAGAGTACCAACACAAGTACGGAGTTTACCAGTTCTTGTTATTCTCTTAGCCAAACCAAAGTCAATTAATTTTAAAGGGTTTTGTATATCAAAGCAATGACATGGAATCTGATTCCGACATTCATTTAAATTTAAGTCCAAACTTGTTATTTCAGCTGATCCATTCAAGGATGATGAGGGAGTTAGACCAAGATATGTGCCAGATCCTGGACAAGCTAAAGCAGCCATACTGACTTTGCTACAAACTGATGAATTCTCTGGTACACTTTTTATACTATCACTTAGAGTATTTCTAGCCAGAACTGAATTCGGTATACAAAATAGATTCTCATTAGATTTATTATTACACTTATGGCATGATATCTGAGATGGATGCTTTACAAACAAAAAGTTCTCAGGCTTTAAGTCTCTATGAACTATACCTTTGGAGTTACAATAAGACACTGCAGAAAGTATTTGTTTTAATAAGTGAGCAGCGACTCTTTCAGGGAAAATATTAACTTGAGTTAGTCTATTAAATAACTCTCCGCCTTTACATAGCTCCATAATGAGGTATATAGAATTGTAGTCTTCAAATGATTCATATAACCTTGCTATATTAGGGTGGTCTAGAGTACTTAAAAGTTGCATCTCCTGTCTAAATCGAAATAACTCTCCAGTACATTGTTTTGGAATTTTCTTTGCTGCACGCATAATACTAGAACATCTTTCTTCAGCAGTATAAACTGCTCCCCAAGTGCCTTCACCTACTCTCTCTCCTATTTTATAAAAAGAGTGGATTGGTAAATAGCTAGTCCCTACAAATGCATTTCTTTTGATGGGGGGTTTAGGTATTTGGTTTACAAAACCAAACAAAGTAGAACTGGAAGTTCTACCACCTTGGTTCTCATCGACACTTAAGCCACCCTCTTCACTGAAATCAGACTGATCGTCCTCACCTTTTTTTATTAATGCCATCTATTTTTATTAATAGGTTATACTATCCAATTATACTCAGCATAAATAAATTAGAGCAAATAGCTAAAATAAATCTCTATATATAAAATTGCATTAAGATTTTTGAACAATTAAATAAAAATCTTATTTAACTCCAATTAAATATTCTATATTACCAAATTAAGAGGTTCTCTAGCTTCTGATTTTCTTTTAGGACAGCTAGTCTTATTAGCTATTTAATACTTTTTAGGCGCTGAATATGTTCTCCCTGGAGACTATATTGAATACTTTGAAAGTATATAAATACTTATTGGAATTGATATTAACTTTTTCTACTACTATTATCTCTAAGAAAGCTTCTCTTTAGACTATTTTCTTAGTTATAATTCTTTTTATATAGCCCATACTATAATTTATAATGACAAATGATGAAATCTGGAGTATTCCCTTAAATTATAGAAATATTCATCTATTAAAGATCTTATTATATAATATCAATAGTAGTTTAGTAAAGTCTTTGTAACAAAACTTTTATTTAAAGTGATTAAAAATTTTTTAAGATGTTACAGATCTTTGTAGATAAAGACCGCCATTTGTGTGTAGTGTGTGTGAGTTTATGTAGAATATATAAGGTAATCTTAAAAAAGACTTAACAAAACCAGAAGGCTAAGAAAGAAAAAATAAATTCTATTAATGAGAAGCTATAGATTTGGATTTTAAGGCTGACTTTGGATTTTTAGGCCCAGTATTTGAAATTTGATTTGTTATGAACTAAGCTATGGCTGCAAAAATCGTAAATAGTATTAAGTATTTATTATTTTCAGCTAAACATACGAAAGTGATACGAACTCTTATAAAATCATCTTATCCTAATGGGTACAGAAACTTTGGACCTGATTTAGATATAATGATGATGCCTTTAAATAAGAAGTATGTGGACACGAGTAAAATAGAAGAACATATAAACTGCAATTCTAATACAGCTGAAGAACGTTTCTTAGCATCAATGAAATATATAGTACAATATATTCAGTGGGATATTAAGAAAGGTAGAAAGAATTATGTGCGATTTGGTGTATTATTATTAATTGAACTTATAAACAAATCTCAAAAGCACTGGATGAAGCCTAGTGAACTGTCTAATTACATTAAATTGATATGTGAAAATTGGTTAGATAAAAGAAATGACTTGGAAATATATGCAAAATGGCTGCTAAGATCTAATATTGCTAGGAATATTAATAACATATTTGGAAAAATTAATGAGAGCCAATACTATAAAATTCCTTTAAGTTGTTGCTCTTTAAACACAAAAATTATTCAAGATTTATGCAAATGTATAACTAGTTTTAGCAGTTGTATAAAGAAATTTCAAAGAGACTATGCAGAAACTTCTGCTATTCAACGAAAAAAAACTATAAATAAGGAAATTATGGATTTAAAGATTACATTAGATTGCATATTAATGGGTTTACTAGTAGAGACAGATGTGATTGATTCTTCCCCAGAAAAACTAGTAACAGAATATATCTTACCATCATTAGCTTCATTTGCAGAATCTGAATTCGTAGTGACATATGGAATGATATTTCATAAAGTAAAGTACTATCAAAAAAGCTGGAATTCAAATTCAGTAATTAAGGATAAAAAAGTTGAATTAATTGAAGATAACAACATTTTTTATCAAGGAGATACATTTAACTTCACAACTTTGATTGAAAATGTATATATAACATATTTAAAGATCATTGAAACCCTTAGTAAAACATCACTTAGAGAATATCAAGAAGACATAATTAATAATGTTGAAAATTCGGCATTATTAACAGAAGTGGAGTTCATAAATAATAGCTCTAAGCCATATAGTGATTCAGCAGTATTACCACCACTATTTAAAGATATAAATTTTAGTTTGCAATCCCAATTTTTCTTCCCATACATTTTAACTTCAGATATATGTATAAGTATTTGTAATGGAAATCCAGACTATGGAATGGACATTATTTCGTCTATTACGAATACAATAAAATATTACTCATCTCCAAAATTTTTATCTAATAATAATTCCTTAGAATCTAATCAAGATAATATATCTTTACTATATATTTGCCAGCCTTATTTCATTATGGATGAAGCAATAGCAGCTTTGGTTCAGCCTGGGGAAACTCCAGCAGCATTACTTAATTATACTACAATCCAATACTGTTATAGCTTATTACGTTCCTTACATCGTGTATTGTGTTGTTGTCCAAGAAGTTCGAATATCCCTAAAGTCATTTCTGTCTTATTATCCACTATTGATATTATACTTCCACTATATGATATAAATGGTATTCTCTGTATTAAGAATAAGTTAAATGGAAGTGTTGTTAAGGGTAAAAATAAAAACTCAAGCTCTGCTTTAAATAACACCTCTTCCGGCAAATCTGCGCTACTATTAAGAGGTGCTGTATTTCATGTTATACTAGACATTATGTGCATATTTAGTGAGACTTCACAAGTATTTAATGTAATACGTGTCCTTGTAAAATTAAGAGACTGGTGTGGATCTTGTCTTCTTGATTTAATAAGGAGGTGCCAGAGGTTATCTTTGACATCGGAAAGCTTAAATAATAGCAATAAAATGACAAATCTTTGTAAGAATACTACAAAAAATACCACTAAAGATGATCAATTAGACTTATTTTTTTCAAATATTGCTAATCCTTCATTTTGGAGTGATACTAAAATTCAGGAAATAGCTAATATTAATCGTAAATGGATATCTGGACAGAATAATCACTTTCACCAAAAGCAGAAAAATCTATCAAATATTGTCCCAAGAGCGGAACATTTACCAGAATTTCCTGTTACAGGTTCTTTACAACTAGAATTCTCTTTATCTACTCCTTCAAGTACAAATACGAACAGAAATAATAAGATTACTACGAAAGAAAAATTTGTAAATGAGGATAATAGACACAGAGAATGGAATAATTGTTTTCCACAGGGGTTAAGTAATGAAATGGATGAAAATAATTGTATTGATCGAAATGATTACAGTAATTATTATGATAATCAATATGATAGTGACTGTTCTGATGAGAAAAACAGCGATAATAGTATATACAAGTATTATAGCGATGATTCTGATGAGGAACAATGGATAGACGAGAAACTTATTGAACTTATCAAAAGAAGGCCTATTAGCTCAATCCTTAATGCAGAGCCACCTGCTAATGGTATTTTAAGAAGGTCAACATCTGAATATCCCCCTAATGGTTCTTCTAGATCGGGATTTACTACAATATGGACAAAGTATCACTCAGCTGCACCTAAAACATTTCCTTCAATGAAAAAAGTGTGCTTTGCTGAGATGATAGAAATATATTGAAAATATCATGCTTCATATTATAATCTATATATTTAAACAAAAAATTGATGACTTAAATCATTAATATTGAGATTTTGCATGTTTTTCTTAATGTTCGATACCCCGACACCAGTATTTAAAAAAACATCCCGTCTCCAATATTCATTCTACTGATTAGCGGTATCTGTATACTAGATCTTATACTATCAATATATTCACTATATTATAGTTAAATGTTTGCAGGTCAAGAAGATTTTTGGACATCAGAAGAAGATGAAGGGGATTACTCTTCTGTAGACTTGAACTCTTTGGATGATGAAGATGAAGATGCAAAAGACATTGCTTCGATGTTATGTGAGACAGTATTAAGTGAAGAAGACACTAAACTCACAATAAATATTGATAGATGTGATGATTTATCAACAGATCTACCCAAAGAAGTTCATGATATTGAACCAGATATATGTTTAAAAAAAGAACCCTCTAAAATGATTAGGAAGCGATGGAGCATTGAGGATACAAGTGATACTTCTAAATTTATTGAAATCATAGGTTATAATCCATATATTGACGATTCTGATTCTATTTGTAATATCGATCAGAGTAATATTATACTAAAGTATCCATTTAAACTTGATCATTTTCAAAAAAGAGCGATAATACGCATTCATCAAGGAGATCATGTACTTATAGCAGCCCATACTTCTGCGGGTAAAACCGCAATAGCAGAATATGCTATTGAGCTATCTAATAAAAATGGTAAAAAGACAATATATACGTCTCCTATAAAGGCTTTAAGTAGCCAGAAATATCGTGAATTTCAAAATAGATTTAGAAATTACCCATCTCATCCTACAATTACCCAAAGGAATCGAGTTGGAATTATTACAGGTGATATTAGTATGAATCCAGATGCACAATGTGTAATTATGACAACTGAGATACTTAGAACTATGTTGTACCGTAATGATCCATATATTGATCAATTGCAGACAGTTATATTTGATGAAGTCCATTATATCAATGACCTTGATCGTGGTGTAGTATGGGAAGAAGTCTTAATCCTTCTACCCCCTAGAATACAACTTGTACTTTTGTCAGCTACTATTCCAAATTATCTGGAATTTGCAAATTGGCTGGGTAGAATTAGACAAAATACAGTTTATTGTATTCGAACTCTACATCGTCCAGTACCTTTAAAACATTATTTGTACATCTATGAGAAGTGCTTTCTTATTATGGATAATAATAACAAATTCAATATTTCAGGATATAAGGAAATGTTAGATCATATAAAATCTGTTAAACAAAAGGGTAAAAATATTACAAGCCGACAGAATAAGGCTTTAATTAAAAAGCAAGGATTACCTAAAGAACAGGAAACAAAGCATCAAGAAAATACCTTTCCTCATAAAAATCAAGATGATGTAAATTCATTATCTTTATGTAATAATGCTACTAATAATAAGAAATTAGAAGATTCTCATGAATTAAATAATGAAATAGAGGGTGAAGTAATAGATAAAATTTCAATCATTGATAAAGATTCTTCAAACTCAGATAAAAACTCCAATATACTCATTAATAATAGTACTAATGCTAGTACTTCACTAAATATCCATTCTATATCAACTAACTCTTCTTACAGTACAGAAACAAAGTTTAAGACAGAAGTATATAGACTGCAAATTTTTCTTCGTTTACTAGAAAAGAATGACCAACTTCCTGTTATTATTTTTGGATTTTCACGAAGAAAGGTTGAACAACTTGCATCTTCAATACCAAATTTAGATTTTATTGCTAATCACAATGAAAAAAGTAATGTAGTCGTTTTTATTAAAGATTCTCTAGAAAAACTTAGGGATGAAGATAAGCAAATTCCTCAATTACTAAAATGTAGAGAATTAGCTTTAAGAGGGGTTGGAATCCACCATAGTGGAATGTTACCAATAGTTAAAGAGATGACTGAAATTTATTTTCAAGAGGACTTATTAAAGTACTTTTTGCTACTGAGACAGTATCAATGGGAATTAATTGCCCAACCAGATCTATTGTATTTACTAGTATTAACAAGTATGATGGTAGGAAATATAGATTATTACACTCATCAGAATATACTCAAATGGCTGGAAGAGCTGGTAGGCGAGGTATTGACACATTTGGAAATGTATTTATTTTCAATTCATCTTATGAAACTATTCCAGAATGTATTGATATTGTTAAGATGATGCTCAATACATATATACCAGTTCAAAGTCATTTTCGTCTTACTTACCAAATGTTATTGCAGCTATCATGTAGACATAGTGTTACAATTGAAGATATGATGGTAAAATCTTTTAAAGAAATGTTTAGAGCAATCCATTTCCCAATATTTCAGAAAAACTTAAAAAGAAAACTTAGAGAAAAAGAAGTAATTGAAAAACAAGTTCATGAACTTCTTTCAACTTCTTTCATTAAGGATATTCCCTCTGATATCCCCAATTTTAGCAGTGATCCAACTTTAACTTCTAGTTCATATTTGGCAAGTATTGAACAACTTGTTACAGTAATTGAGGATATGATCGAAATATCTTCAAAACTATATCCTAACCTCTTAAATACTTCAATAAATAAAAATACCGTTTTACAAAAAATATTTAATCCTGGAAGACTTGTATTACTAGATATGTACTCTATAGCTAAAACTCTACCATTATTTTGTATTATCCTAGATTATAATGATGGTAATTATAAGAACCAAAACATAACGCTTGATAAAACTAAATGTTCGATGGAAGGTATTCAAAAAGGTTCATTTAGAATTTTGTTACTTTCAGAGGAAGAAGTAAAGTTCCTAGATATTACAAATACCAAGGAGTATCAAAATTCTAATACTCTTATAAATAGTGAAATAACGGATACTAATCACTCTACATCTAACTTTGCAGGTGATTCAACTAAATATTATGATGTAGTTGAGCAAAGTATCGAGATGTATAAAGGTACAGAGAAAAAAAAACAGATACAAATTGTAGAAGAGTTAATTAATAATGATCGTAGAAATAAGCAAGTTAGCGGTAAAACTTTACCGCTTTGTGATTCTCAATACGTGACATCTAGTAGCATTAAAGTTATTCATAAAGGCATACTTGAGAGTGATATATTACCTGTCAATCCATTAAATTTGTCTAAAGGAAATGTAGAGACATGTAAAAACTCGTTTTCAAATCTAAGGTATTATTTAGTACTTGAGAATGTAGTTGCTGAGCACTTTTTGCTCATATTTGAAGAGGAGATCTCAAATATAAACTTTAGAAACATAAACCTGAAGGATATATCTGTTATACATCAGATTGCAATTAGTTGTAGAAATGAATTAGCCAAAAAAGTACAGGGGGATATTGTGGGTAATACATTCAAGAATTCTAGTACTACCAAACCAAGAAATAGAAATAAGCAAATAAAAGTTAACCTTAATGAATTTATTAGAAATAGTATTCAGAGTGAGGATAAGAAATCTATAGATGGTGAATATAGTGATCCCTTCCCTTCATTAAATACTAATATTCATGGAATATCTAAGAAAAACTCTAAGAGCAATATTATAGATAATTCCAATATTTCGACATATAATTATAATCAGTTAACTACCAACAATAATGAACAAATAAATATTAATAAATGGCCTAAATTGTTTATATATTCTAAACAATTAAAGTATATTGAGATGGAATTCTATGAATTATTACATAACCAATCATCACTATACAATAGTTATATATCTAACATATGTCATGAATATCCTATATTACATAAACATATTTATTATATACAAAGATTGAAAAATATTGACAGAGATATACAAATATATAAGCATTTCATGGATAATGAAAGTTTAGATGATTATGAAGAGATGAAATTAAAATTAAATTTACTAATTGAAAAGGGATTCCTAGATACAAATCACACTATCACTACAAAAGGACGTATTGCAACTGAAATACTAACATCAGACGAACTAACTCTTGTTGAAATATTACTTAGTGGAGTGCTACATAAACTAGATACAGCTGAAATAGCTGCTATTTTATCTTGTTTTGTTTTCCCAGAAAAATTAGATGATAATAACGGCAAAGATAGACCGTCTTTACCTACAGCTGAATTATTAAATGCTCATAATGAATTATTTAGTATTCATCGTGAATATGAAAATTTTCATTATAAATTTGGAATCAATCTAGATACTGAAAACTATTGGAGTTTATGTAATGATGGTCTTATGTTTATTGCATATAAATGGGCTAAACAAGAATCTCTAAAAGATATTATGGATATTATTAACTCAAGTGGTATAAATTTACATGAAGGAACAATAGTGAGAAGTATACTTCGACTTGATGAATTAATACGCAAACTATTACAAGCTGTTAATATAATGGGTGATAATATACTTAAAGATAAGCTTGAACAAGTACATAACGCTATTGCCCGTGATATTATATTTATGACCTCATTGTATTTATCAAAATAAAAATAATATATTTAAATAATTAAGTACTATTATCTTTTAGTTTTAATGTTAATAATGAGCTATTATAGCTTTTATTTATATTATTTATAATACAGTATATTGATATCTGATATTTCAGATATTTGTCTCTACTTTTTATATACTCCAATAATCTGTAGCAAATTCAAATGGATCGAGTATAGTTTCATCAATTAAATCAATATCATTGTAAATTAAGTCACTATTTCCAATTTCATCTTTCATTTCATCATTTAATTTATATGAGGATTTAAGTTTATCTATAATTTTCTTATATTCCTTACAATTACATTTACTATTATATATATTGACATCATCTACTTCATTATATTTTACATTATTTTCCTTGATTAAGTAGTCTCCAATATCTGATTTTGAAATCTCATTATTATCTATTATTATGTTCACTTTTTTAATACCTAAAATCTCCAAATCTTCATTAATATTTATTAGTAAATTATCACTTATCCTGCTTAATATATCAATTCTTGTCTCATTATTTGATGAGTTATATACTTCAGTATTTTCATATTCTATTTCAGTAAATTTAACAACTTCATTTCCATATAACAAAATTAGAATATCCAAGACTGTATAAATACCTCCTTTCATAATAGTATTATTAGATATGCATGTTGATGCATCATCTTCAAGATTATTAATAATAATTTCAATATTACCTAATTCCTTTAATAAAACTATTAATATATTGAAAATTTTTATATATATATATAAGTCATCAAAGTCACTTTCCTTATTGTATATTTCTTCAGATTTCCTTGTTTCATCCTTAATATTTAATTCTGAAATTAATTTAAAATATTCAATTTCACCATTCTGAATACATAATTTCTTGATATTTCTCAATTTAAATATAGAATAATTTGTTAATTCATATAATAAAATACGTACAAAAGCTTTACTAATATAGTTCATAGATATTTTGAATTGAAATGAATATTTTAATGTTTCTTTAAAATATAATATAACATCTAATATTTCACGTTGTATATCTAATACTCTTTTATATTTATTCTTATTAATATTTAATGAATCTTTTAAAAATTTACCAAACATAAATAATCCATATAAAATACTTATGAAATTATTATTATCATTATTACTCAAATTTATTATACTACCAAGAATGATAGAAATAATATCTAAATTTAGATCTATTGCATAATTATATATATTATTTTTATTTTCTATAGAAACTGTAGAATAAAATGATTTCATTATCTTGCTAATTAAATTCCATATATATTCATATATTTCTATTGTTGATACCCTACTATAAAATAATAAATGAATTAACATATTTAAGAACTTTACTCCAATTATATTATCATATTTTTTGCTAAAAATATACCATGGATATTCTATATTATTATTCAAATTATTATATGTATTATAAATATTATGAATAGATTGATTATTATCTTGATTTACATTAATATTAGTATTGGTGCTTAATGTATCAGAGCTTTTTTGATATTTCATCAAGCTTATAATACTATCATTATTTCTTAAATATGGATGTGTATTACCATAAAAACTTAATTCATTATTAATAAAACTATACTTATATATATTGAAAATATCACTATTTAATTGGTAATCGACCAAATATTCTTCATTTTGTGAATATATTTTATTATCATTTAATATATACAATAATGTATCATACCCAAGTAAATATTTCCAAAATAATATTTTAGTTTGCTTCTGATTATTATCAAAATTTTTATTTATATTTTGAATATTGAATATTAAGTCATTAATACTAACTAGTGTAATTTGTATCATGTTCATGATAATTTTTAATAAAGGAGGTACTTTATTATCACCTAAATTGCAAATTTTATTTTCTTCAGTTATTAATTTATTTATTATTCTATTAAGTCTATTAATTAAGTATAACAATAATAAATAATCCATTTCTATACATTTTACACTCTTTTCGCTTTGATTAACCAAACATTCATTATTTTGTAATTTAAAATAATAATCTAAATATATACCATTAACTCTTCTTATTCCATTAATTCTTGAACAATAATAAAATATCTTATATTTTTCAATCCAATCTTGAGAATCACTATTATTAAAAAAATTTTCTGTATCTTGTTCTTTTAAAGACATTATAATATTACTAATTATATCTTTTTTAATATATTGATTCCAAACAATTATTAAGTCTTCCTTTTCAGATATAAACCAGTTCAAAAACGTTTCTGGTGTATCACTAAATATTATATTATCAAATATTTTAGGTAATTCCTCATTAATAAATATATTGTAATATTCTATACTCTGACATAATTGTTTGATATTACTTTCAATATCATTATCTTCATAACATTCAATAAAACATCTTTTAATCTTATTATTAGATAAATTATATGTATTATTTTTTTTATAATCTACTATTTTGTATTTTTGTTTTTTAATCCAATGTTACTTCTTAATGGATATAATATAAATGTTAATAAATCATAATACTTTTTATTTATTAATATTATGCTTTTTAGTATATATATGAGTGATAATACTATTTCCTTACATTTGATAATATAATTGTCATCAAAAAAGTTTTGCTTAATATTTTTATTATTCAGGTATATTAATCTATCATACCAAAACAGTACAATTATAATAAATATAACCAAGTCTTTACCTATATCTTGGATATTATTATTTGTTTCAATAATATTTTTTGAAGAAATTTCATTTATTAATATTTTAAGTATTTTATTAATAATATTAATCACTTTATAGTTTATATTCCCATTATTATATTCATTATTCAAATCTTCAATAAATAAATCTTGTACTGATATAATCCATCTATAAAAGAAATATTTAGTAAAGTTTATTATGTCAATATTAATAGTCTTTTGTTCATTTATTAATATATTGATTAATATATCGTAAATATAATATGAGATATCTAATTTTGGGTTTAACAATATATTAGATACCTTAGGTTTATCAATTATATTAACAAAAACATTTAATTTTGGCATATAAGATAATAATGTTTCAATAATAATAATATCATTATTATCATTATTATCATTATTATCATTATTATCATTATTATTATAATTCATTAGTTTAAATAGTTTATATATACAATATATATAATCATGCAAATATTCTTCATGATTATTTTCTATATATAAAGTAGAATTCTGATTATATTCAGACAACTTCTTATCACTATCATAATTTAAATTTAATATATCTTTTTTACTTCTTAATTTTTTGCATATATTATAACATAATTTCCTTGGATTTGATATTTGAATTATTCTACACATATTGCGTACATTATATATACCATTGCAATTCATACACTTAATAATTCGATTGATATTATTATTATTGTTACAATAAGTAAAATAATGTATATATGTACCATATATATATATATCATCCTCAAATTTATATTGGCTATTAATAGTTGAGAATATTTTTGATTCTCTTAATATTTTCCCATATGTATTTTTATATGAATTTTCATTATCTTCAAAAATATTTAATATTTCATTAATTTTATGCCAAACATTACATTCAAAATCTGATGAATTATCTAATATTTTATTCAATATATATTTACTTTCTTTAATACACCAATTTATCAAATATAAATACATGTCTTCTGTCCATATTATATTATTTGATACTGTATTATTCATTATGAGTATATCTAAGAATACCTGCAAACTAATTCTATTTGAATAGTAATCATCTTTAATTTTTATATAACTTTCAGATTTTATCTTTTCAAATTCAGCTTTCCTACTCATTAATGTTAAAGAAGATTTTCCTTTTATTATCTCCAAATCATCTAAAAATAATCCATGGGAATTATATGATAATATATTACAAAGTGAAGGAGTTAATATTCCAGTATATATACAATAACACTCATATGTAATTTGATCATATTTAATATTGTATCTTTTAATCAACTCTAAAATATAAAGAGAGGGTATACCAAGTATTGATCCTAAAACTTCGGCTATTAAAAGATTTTTTTCATTAATAAAAATTTTTAATTTTTGTGGTATGTAGATTTAATTTCTTTTAAATTGCTAAGTAATATTGGTACTATACCATATGATATTGCCATATGTCTAAAACTTGACTTCAAAAAAAATATTTGTAAAAATCGAAGCATCAAACTCCATAATAATAATACTGAAATTTCATTTTCATTGTAATATTCAAATAGAATACATGATTTCTTTAATATATCTTGAAATAATACTTTTTGGTATTTTTCATTATTTTCTTCATCAAATATACAAAAAATATTCAATGCTTTATTATAATTGTAAAAATTGAGTATAATTAGAATATAAATTATATATATATTTGCGAATAAAACATTTATATTATCAATCTCATATTTTTCTTCGTTATCATAAATCCAATTTATAAATAAATAATATGGATTAATATAAATAAAATCTGATTTATGACTTTTTTTATTTTTTTCCTCAAAATATTCTTTATTAGAATATTTACTGGAAACCTTTTCTTTGTTTTTTTTTAATTCATACTTAAGTAATATTTTGATACATTGATGAAATATACTTTTACATATTGGAATTTCTGTATCTATATTATTACTAATCTTGTAAAATAAAATCAGATTTAGAACTTTAAAAATATTATAATATAATTGCCTTATTCTTTCATTGTCATTTTTATCATCTATGATTTTACTCAGTAAATAAAATCCCGATAGATGACTTGTATATAATGTGTTACAAACTTGAATATCTTTTATTTCAAATAAATCTCTATAGGACTTGTTACAATCATTACTAATATCTTTACATTCCATCTTAATACCACAATTAATAAAAAATGAAATTCCACATAATAATAGGGAATGTTGTAATTTGATGATATTTGTTAAATAATTAAATAAAATATTTTCTTCATTTATATCTTTGTTTTTAATATAAAGAGTAAAATAATAACTAAAGTGTCCATCTAATAAATTCCACATTTCCTTATATATAATACCATACTCATTTTTAATATTTTCTATATCATAATTTTTTGATATAAGATATTCAACAAATAATTGGGGTAAACCATCTGGTGATAAATGTATTATATCCATTAGTTTAATACATTGTTTGATAGAAACAGATTTCCATATTTCAAATATTTTATTCATTTCTAGATAATTATTATTGCTTTTATGGAATCTTTTCTGAATCTCTGGATAAATGTTTTGAATACAAAAATCAGTACTGAAGTTAGACATTTCAACTATATAATAACCATATATATATAATTCTTCATTCATGAGGGTTTTTTTATTGATAATATTAAGATTTTCTTTATATTCAATTATATTACATGGAAGTAATAAACAATGATCAGAATCCAATCTCAGAGAATATGGATGTATGATATTAGATATATGATTAAGAACATTTATACGATCTGTTATAGACCACTTAATAGTTGGGCAATGGATGTTGCAATTAATAACTTTATGAAATGATTTGATACAATAATTTTCATCTGTATTATCCATTAATAATAAATGTATCAGAGATAAAGGAATATATTTAGTTAGATAAAAAGTCCCTAAACCATATTTAATTACACAGTATTTATCCATTAATTTTGAATATTCCTGATCATATATATTCTCAATAATGTTAATTTCTTTATTATTTGATATTTGATATTCATGAGTGATTTGCTTTTTAGGACAATCAATTTTCCCACAGATACATTTATATTTTGAGCATACTGGAAAATGAATATAATTTAATTCGTCATATGTATCAATTACAATAGAATCAATGAATTTTAAACTAGTACTACCAAATTTATTTTTATTTAGGTATTCCACTTTTACTAAATTATTCAATACTTTAACATAATTCTTTAGTAAATATATTAATCCTTGTTCAATATTTACTATATCACATGATATATTATCTGAGTCGATATATATTTCTTCGTTATATACTGAAATACTTTTAAATCTTAAAAGAGCAAATAATAACATTTCAATTCCAAAATTATTGACAATATTGATAATAATAATTGGACTTTTATTTATTAGTTTGTCTATTATATTGATAATCCAGTACATGTGATAATATTGATATTCAGATACTGATGTTAATTTAACTAGTAACAATTTTATTAATTGAAAAATTAAGTCATTATTTGATATTAAATAAGATACCCATTCATCTGATATATTGATGCAATTATTTACTGTTATAAGCCAGTATAACAATGGACTATGTTTAATTGAGGAATTAAGTGTATTTCTAATGGATCCATCCATTTTTATATTATTTAAAATATTCTTATCTAAATATTCTAGAAAATTTGGATATTCTACTCGACCAGTATTCATTTCGGTAATATTATCATGGTTTATATAATTATTTGGAGTACTGCAAAATGGTGAAGATGAATTTGAGAAATCTGATGTATTTGTTAATGTAAAATTAGAAGATTGTAGAACACTATCTTGTCTAATTGGAAAATTAGGAACTGGAAGTTTATAATCATCCATATATTTCATATATTGATCATGATCACAATTTATGGAAGATGTCTTAGATGACATAGAATTTAGTAAATAAATACCTTTACTTTGGGTAAGAATATTAAATGGAGGATATAATAAAAATATTTCAATATTTCGACTTTTTATATAATCATCACTATTACGTATAAAAAAATTCTTATTTCCAAGATCTTTCTGATGTGAATATATTATTAATTTCAAATTTATTAGCTCTGGTCTATCTACAGTTAATTTACGTGATTTATTCATATAATATTCATAATATGCCTCACTTATATATAATTTATATAAAACTTCATTAAGTTCACTATCTTCTGTATCATTGTCTGACACTTTAATAGAATTATAAATACTTGTTTGCTTACTAAATGAATAACATATTTGAAGTTCAGCTATATGATGAATTATTAATTGAATTCCTCCTAAGCTTAAAAAATGGTTTCTTGCCTTTTTATTTAGACTCAACATTAAATGAATTACATATATTATCTGACATTCTTCATATTTAATATCAATATCATAACTTTTAGTAGGACTTATCATTGACATCATGTATGGTAAATGAGCTACAATTTGCTCTTCAGTTATAAATTCACAAAAATTGATAATTAAACATATATAATTACATAATAAATATGTTTTAATAGCTGGATTATTTTCAATAGTAATCCTTTGGTATATTGATTCAAAGATATATCTGATTTTCTGTGTTGTTTCAATACATTGAATATATGGTAATTTACTCTTATTAAGTGCCTTTTGAAGCCTTTCGTCTAACACTATATTATCATTATATCCTCCTGTAGTATTCTCTAAATCTACTAAAATTTCCCATTCTCCAAATTGACTACTAATATAACTGTCCCCTATCCCTACTTTTTTATCTTCAGTATATTCTTTTTTTGATTTATTTATTTGATTCACCTTTATTGTTTCATTACAAAAATATACTTTCTTAATTTCCATCAAATTACCTAAGATATAATTTATTTTATTTTTAATTATATTTTCAATAACTTTAACAGCATTATTTTTATCTTTATGTCTCACAAATTTTACACTTAATTGAGAATAATCTTGTTCATAAAAATCCAATTTTATGGGTAATACAGTATTTGGATTAATTGTACCTATTTCACTTGACTTTGATATATTACAACCATACATATAACCAATAAAGTGACATTTTTTTTTGTAAACTTCATTACAAATAATAAAAAAATCACTATTATCTTCTTTATTACTTTTTTGTGAAAATATTCCTATGTATTTTTTTAAATAAAATAATGTTGGTAGAAGTAACCTTACATAAACTGAATCAGCTATCTTTAGTTCTTTAGAAATTGATGGGATGGATGGGTAGAAATTATTGATATTCCAAATATATGATAAATTATTATATGTTTCTATCCTCTCATATTCATTTACAAGGCAATATTGTATGTCTTTTTTTACATTTTCATTCCATATTAAATCTATTTGATCATCATAATTGTTGTAACACAAATCCCAGAATATATACCATACAAAATCTGGATAATAACTTGTTTTATACTTTTTATTATTAGTACTAAAAAATAATTCTTCATAAAATATCTTACTACCATTACAATATTTAACTTTATCATTAGGATTAGAAACTTCAGAACTAATTTGCTTATTAATAGTCTGTAATTTTGATATACTATAATTTAATAGTAAATTCAAGTAATCTTTAATATTACATAAATTCCAGCCTTCATTTGTTGTGCAAACTTCATTAAAACTATCTAATCTAGAAGTTTCTGAACAATATCCAGATTTATTAACTAGATTAGCATTTAAATATATACTTTCTATATATCTTGATATTTTATTTTGATATTTAAATTCTTTTATTGGTTCTATATAGGAATTAGTTGTATACCAGTTACATTGAATTGGTAGCCATAGTAATTTATTGGAATCTTTTACATTCCCATTAGTTACACTGGAAAATCTTAAATTTTTAAGTATACTAGTAAATTTGACAGGAAATATTCTGTATAAAAAATTCATAATTTGACTGTCATGCTGACATAGTATTGATATTATTTGAGTATTCAATATCCACTTATCTAATAGCTTAGTATCAACACTATTAATCTCCTCATCAATCAATATTTTATTGCTGAGTGGAGTAAACAATGCAGCAAAAAACAAGAGAATCATGCCATTTTTCTTAATTTCACCTAATATGAACTTAATCTGTTCTTCTTTAGAATATAATATTATAGAACGAAGAATTAAAGAGGCTGGAATACTGAGATTATCATATTCACATAGTGAAAGACCAAAAAGCTTGTTTATATAAGGTCCATTAACAATATCCAGGCAATACTCTAATAGCCCTTGACTAGTAATATAGCGATCATAGTGAAGTATAGTTGCAAATAACTCTAATATATACGATGTAAACAAAATAATAGTATCTTTATTTAGTTTTGAGGCAATTTTTAAATGGCTGAAGTTATGTGATAATATATATGGTTCTGTAATTGAAGTACTTTTTAGAACTGGATGAGTATCCATTGATACTGTCCAAAGTAATTTGAGTTCTGACACTTTAATTAGTGTATATCTTAGTTTTAAGCAGTATATACTTATATCTCCAGCTACTTTATATGTTATTAACTGTAGTATGTAATAAGCAATACTACATCGGATATTCAGTGATATTTTGTTATTTATGGCCAGACATACAAGATCCCCAATAATACTGGGATTATTTATACATATACTACTATATAAATATTCAGAAGATAAAATAAAATCTAGACCATTAATAATTAACTTTATGTTATTTTCCAAAGATGTTACACTTTCATTATCTATAGTATCTTTTCTCAATTCAGAAAAGGTCCAATGAAGAAAAGTAGCAAATATATCAGAAAATTTTAAACTCATTTTGTGATTAATATCCTCAGAGTTTAATTTATAATTCTTAATAATTTCTTCAACAAACTTTTTATGGTCATCCATATTATATTTAGTATCAGAACTCCGAATTGAAAAATATTCCAAAAAATCACCAATTTTTTTTTTTAAGGAGCAATTCCAATAGTTATAGCTTTGATTTATTAGTAAACTTTCGTTATATTTATTAAGCTTTGAGGATTCCATATTTACACAAGTTTAACTATCAAATGCTACAAATTAGTACAATATTCAACTGTATGGCGCCTATTGGCCACATGTATTATTGCATGTAATAATGCATGACAAACAGTCCAGTATTTAGAATCTTGATTTCCTATATATATTAACATATAAATCTATAGAGAGTGTAATAAATTTTATATTAATTTGCTTTTATATATAATAAAATAAATTCATTTTTGAGATATCTTTCTTTTTAAAGATGGACATATCAGAAACTAGTAAATGTAATCATGTTGATGTTAAGACATTAGCAGCTACTGAATGGCTAAAGTTACAAAAAATTAACTATATAGACTCTACTGGAAAATCTAAAACATGGGATAGAGTTATTAGAACTAGTAATAAAGATAAAGGGGTTGACGCTGTTTGTGTATTAGCCTATATAAAATTTAAGCAGAGCATAGAGATATTAGTTGTGAAGCAATATAGACCTCCAGTAAACTCTTTTACACTGGAGTTACCTGCTGGATTAATTGATAAGGGTGAATCAATACATGAAGCTGCACTAAGAGAGCTTAAAGAAGAGACTGGATATATAGGTGAAGTTACTTCAATTTCTCCTATGGTTTCTATGTCTCCTGGTTTATCTAATGAATCTGTAAAAATAGTAACTGTAGAAATCGACTTAAATAATCCATTAAATGTACACCCAAAGCAAGATACTAATGATTACAAACAAATTAGTGTTATTAGAGTTCCCATAAATAATCTAAAGTTAGTACTTGATGAATATTCAAAAGAAAAAAATTGCATAATCCATATAGGCTTATACTCTATAGCCCTTGGATTAAATTTAGCTTCTATTTAATTTTAGTAAAAGCTAAGTTAGGTATTCAGTACAAATTATGAGCTACTAAAAGTGTAAAATTAAATTAAACAAATTATCATCATGACATCTGTCTCATTAGACTAATATTAAATTAGAGTCATTAAAATAGTAATAAATTACTTAAGGAAACTGAGTTTCTATAGAAATTAAACACATTGATGTATTTCCAGTAGAGACTGCAAGTTAATGTTTCATGTGGTTTGAATTATTTTGTTTCGCATGCTTAATAGATTTAGTATTGGAAGACTGGGGAGGTCTCCATCTTTCAATAGATACTTCAACTCCCCCCAAATAAAGGTTATTCATCAATAATGTTTTGCAAGATAGCTCCGAGTCTAATTCTAGTATTCCCCAGTGTTTATTATTCATTCTAGCTCTCTCAATATCAATAATATAGCCTCCACCATGGATTTTCAGTTGATTTTGTACAGCTTCTCTAATTTGGGAATCAGTGATACTTTGGGGAATAGAATGCACAAATATTTTGCGTCTATTTATTGTATCTTTAGAAGCCCTGCTTTCACTGTTCACTCCTTCAATATTATTACTTGAATCTGGTAGTTTATTATCATGAGCAGGGATAACATAGCCCTTTACCTTAGTACTTGGATTCATAAGACCACCCATCAATTTTCCAGCATAACTGGTAGAGACATATTTTGACTTTGATTTATTTTCATTCACATCACCTGAATTAAGGGTGTCGCCATTCATATTTGCTACTTCAGTTTGGGAAGATGGGGGTTCTATTAATTCATGTACTACAGCTTTTTTGGGTTCAAGATTGTCAGAGATACAAACTTGATTATTTGAAGAGACTTCTACCTTAGAAGTAGTTACCGTTTCATGATCTACTTGTTGATCAGTAGTATTAGAAGAGGTATCAGGCATATGACTATCTACTCCATGCTTAGACAAAATCTTATCTGGTAATAAAGGTAGATCAGAGTCTAGAAATAGTAGACAATCATTTCTGACAAAATACCACCTTGGACGGATTTCAGTTAGTAGAAAATTTTGAACAAAACCTCTTCCTACACCTTCTGAATCGCCAATGTACATCCTGCCTTTGGTTGTAATACAAAATGAGTTACAAATAGATCTAGAACATTCTAAAACCTCAACATAGGTTGTACAGTCATTCAAATTCAATAAATTTATAGCCGAGCGGATTTTTTCCTTAGTCTCAGCTCTCAAAACAGAAGGTAAGCGAGTCTTATTTCCAAGAAGAACATCAGGCCTATATCCAGCCCATATTAAACTTCCAGAGTCGTGGTAAAGTTCATATAATGTAGTAGGATCTTTCTTAAGACGGCTATAATATTCAGTTACAAAAAAGTCTGCGATCTTTGAAGCACTACAAATCCCAATATCCCTCTGTGTATTGGACGATTCCGCCATATTATAAAACCTCCTATAAATAAAAAGTATGAATAAATACCAGTAAAATAATAAAGTTTGTAATATTAGTATACAAGGGGGGAAAAGTACGGGTATAATTTTCAAATATATTAACCCCTCTTTAAAACGCCTTTAGACGAGAAACCGCTTTCAGCGGGTTTGAGTAAATAGAAAGCTAAGTATTAGTTTATTAAGATGTGAATTAGTTTTTATATAACCTTATAAACCTTTTTAATGGCCAAATAGTGTGTGTTACAACTCCTTTAATAATTCCAAGAGGAATAACTCCAAAAGACCTGCTATCTTCAAAAGTAGAACCATTGTGATCTTCCACCCTATAATATTAAATATATACAAATTCACTGATTAAACTAAATTATTAAATACTCAATAAAACTCACCAGCAATGACCTTTCGGCACAATAATTGATAGTCCTGAGTTTAAATGAACAATATCATTTGATAATGCTATAATGGGCTTTACCAATAATTCATAATGTAGTTTCGTGTCATTAATAGTTGGGGAGTAAAAAGCTACTAAGTCGCCTTTTCTAAAGTTTTTCCTATTTGAAGATATAAAGTAAATGTCTCGATTTACAATCTGAGATAAACTTAGTATAAATCTGTCAAGTAATAATTTAGATTTATTGAGTGAAACTGAAGCATTATCTTCACATAATCCCGGTTTTATTGAAGATGAATTAGCCTAAAAGTTTGCATTGTCTCATACAAATTTCATATAATTTATGTTACATTATAAGATAACATACAAAACTTAAAAATCCCATATAATCACGAAACATAATAGCCAGTGGTATATTTAGAATGAGTCTTGAGAAGTTCTTCATCTAATTTATGAAAAGACATTTAAATGTCACTTTTATTTCCATAGTATATAATAAAGAGGAACTGCACAGATGTCGTTGTTCATTTATGTTAGTATCTGAGAATTATATTTAGGTAAGCGGAGGCGGGATACTTAGCCATTTTGTGTTGTGAAAATTTGTATATATTCTACCAAATATGAGAATTGCAGATTTCCTGCTGTAAATAATATAACTGTAAATATAGCTGAGTAGGTATAGTTATCAAGCGATTTTTTAAGTAATAATGCTGCTAATGTCTATTTGGTCAATACCTTTTTGAAAAGCAGTGAAAATTCACATAAGTGAGACCTTTCTAACTAGTTATTTAAGGTTATATAGTAATAGCTTGATGTGATCTAAAATTAACTTCGGCTGATAAAGATAATAGAAAATGAACAAAAATAGGATATAGTGCAGCCAAGGCGCACTAATACCGGCACTGCATGCGTCTTTGTGGAAAAATTCTAAAAAAATTTGAGAGAAAAGGAAACTAGGCACTAATTTGTTTTTGTTAATTTTAGGCAAATGTGCAACCTATTTAAACGATTTTTAAGTTTTATTGAAGGTCCTACTGATATTTTACTTTGAATATTAGAAAATGGGGGATCTAGTTGGTAGCCCAACTCCAGGAGTTTCAGATTCCATTAAAAAACACATTGGAAAAGAGTCAATAGGGGAATATTCAGGTGATTTATTTGGTGGCCATACTTTTTCTAGAGCTGCATGTACACTAGACCACTACTTTATCATTGGAAAATACAAGAATAAGCCTCAATTATATGCCTGGGGAGAAAATACAAACAATGTTCTTGGGTTTGGTATTGATACAGATAAAGTTGATTTACCAACAAGAGTTCCCTTTTTTTCTATTTATGATGTATTTCAAGTAAGTTGTGGCTATCTACATACCGCTGTATTGATAAAATCAATAACAGAAAGTGGAGGAAAGGTTTATACTATGGGATTAGGCAATAGAGGAAGGCTTGGATACACGAGATCTGACACAGAATTTGGATTAGAAGAGGAATATCTTGATAAAAATGAGTCATGGTACTCTATAAGCCCATGCATAGTAAAGTTCCCATCAAATACTAAGATAAGTCGAATTTGTTGTGGTGCTAATCATACACTTGCATTGTCTGATAATGGTCATTTATATTCATGGGGAGTTGGTCAATTTGGTTGTCTTGGGACTGGAAGTACTGAAGATGTATTTTTTCCTACAAAGATTGAAATATCTAATAATTCACTAAAAGTGCAGCATATTGCTGCTGGTTCCAGGCATTCTTTATGTTGTACTGAAAATGGTAATCTATTTGCTTGGGGAAGCAATGCAAATGGAAGATTGGGGATTGGAGGTGTAAATGGTATTAAACTTAAGCCAACAATTGTACAATCTATGCTACCTTATCATGTATGCTTTGTTGTCACGGGAGAAGCACATAGTGGCTGTATTGATAGAATGGGAATAGTATTTACATGGGGAAATGGTAGTAATGGTCAATTAGGTCATGGTTTGCAATTGGACTGTCCTATCCCTAGGAAAGTTCATGGAATAAGTTCTATTCCTTTCGTTCAATTAGCATTTGGTGCATTTATATCAATGGGATTAACACAGTCGGGAGATGTATATATTTGGGGATCTAAACAACATGAAATATTTTCAACACCTACAAAAGTAAAATCATTTAAATCTGCAATATGTCATATTGCATGTGGCCCTTATATTTCATTTGCAATAGACGTCAGATCAATAGCTTACTCATGGAATAATAGAATAATTGCTCAATCTATTAAAAATAGAGATGTATCAAATATTGAGGAAGAACTTGTTTTAAAAAGAATGAACAATCCAAATCCAGTAGTATTACCATTTTTTCAGGGTAGTAGTTTTGTGGATGATGCTATTTTTCTGATGGGATTTTGTTTAGTGGATTCTAACGGTAATAAGATGAACTACACAGCAAAAGAACTAGGTGGAGTATATTGTACTAGAAGAATATATGGACCTAATAACGATTCTTCTGGTTTAGGGTCACTAATTTATAAATCACTACCTCCAAATACTGTCAGACAAATAGCATGTGGAGAAGCGCATAATATACTGTTAACATATGGGGGTTGTGTATATACATGGGGTGATAATAGTTATGGACAACTTGGAATAGGATCTTTACATAGGGATTTAGGTGAAACTTCAAATAAGAACAAAACGTTTGTTTCTGAGCCTAATGAAGTAAAATTCTCTGGTCCTATACGTAGAGTAGCGTGTGGATATTGGCATACACTATGCTGTGATTATAGTGGAAACTGTTTTACTTGGGGTCGTGGTGATTATGGACAATTAGGTACTGGTGCAATATGTAATATGTATGAACCTGTAGGAATTATATCATTAAATAATGTAATTGATGTATATGGAGGGGAATCATATAGTGCTTGTATTATAGCTACAGGTATTACAATATCTAAAGATTTGGATACAATAAACTCAGGTGATTTATGGATATGGGGTAATGGAGATTTTGGGAAGTTGGGATTAGGCGATGATGTTAATGGAAAGTGCATAGCTGCTCCACGGTACTTGAATTTGGGATATCCAATTGTCAAAGTTTCCTTAGGTACTGTACATACCCTTGCATTAACTGCAAATGGCAACTTGATAACATGGGGTGCAGGATATTATGGGCGTCTAGGTGTTGGCACAACAAATAATCATAATAGACCTATTATAATTAAGTTTCCTATTGGTGATGTAAGGATATCCGATATTGCCGTTGGTACAGATCATTCAATGGCAGTATCAGTAGACGGTGACTTGTGGATATGGGGGAAGGCTAGTGTAGTTTTAAATGAAACAGATGTTTTACAACCTCATATATTTGCAAAACTTGAATCTGCAACAGGTGTTCCAAAGGTATATTCAGTATATGCTCATGCTGACATATCTTATGCAATAACTAATACAGGTGAATTGTGGACATGGGGTCCAGAAAGTCTGGATACCCAAAAAAAGAGGAAAATGAAGAAAAAAGATAAGGACTACTCACATACGGGAAGAACTGAACTAGTTTTACTTCCTGGATCTGTTGCAGGAGTCTCTGGTGGCAGCTGTCATAGTATGTGCTTGCTAGTAACTGGTGAAGTATTATCGTGGGGAAGTACAGAATCAGGTAGATTGGGTCAAAATACTACAAAATCACAAAGTTATGTTTCTTTTCCAACCATGGTAATACCGAGATGGAATATTCCTAACTCCAACCTTGATATATCTAAAAGTTTAGCTGCTAGTTATGGTGCTGATGAAAATACCATCAAAAATATGTTCAATATAAATGAAGAAGTAACAACTATTGAAGATCTCGAAAAATTCATGGACTCTTTAGATATTAGTATCACAAAATATACTAGGGGTAATGTTTCATTTGAATATATACAGAAACTCCTACAAAAAGAGGATCCAAGGTCAAAAACTGAATCTATTCAACTATTGGAAGAGGATCTAATTGCATTATTTGCATCTCACTTAACATATTTTGCTAAAATGAAACAGAAAGAGGAAAGATTACAATATTTAACATTCTTGGCAGAGGTTCAGCTTCGTAGGCTTATTTTGGTAATTTTGAAACTAACTGATCAATCTATTAAGAGCAATACTTTCAACAACTATGGAAATAACAATGATGTGCTACTAAATCATTCAGTCTTACGTTACATGAATTTACTAGAATATATTATATCTATTATACGCCTTCAACCACTATATATTATAAATATTTTACTCCAATGCGAAATAGGAGAGGAATTTCGTTCAATAATTAATTTAATATATGGAATTTACCCTATAAATTTATCATCTTCATCAATCTTTTCATCTTCTAATTTTAATGGCTTATTTGATACATCTTTAATGTTAGAAGTAATTGGAGAAGCTTTGTGTAAGAGAGAATTACAAATGATAGAAAGTACTGTATACGCATTTTTTCCAGAAAATTCAAGATTCTTATACTTTTTCAGCTCAGTAGTACTACGTGGACAAGAATTACGTAGCATTATAAAATATCTATTAGATATTGGAACTCCATCATCACTAGTTGCACTATTAAAAAACATGCCTCCAGAAATATTACTATGTTTAGACTCTAAGTGTTTAGCTCAATATTTAGGTTTATCTCTCCATGATGAAACTTTACCTAGACTTTATGCAGATATGATAAAATTCGTTAATTTGGCCCTTACGACAGGTATGGCAGATAATATTAATCAAAAAATGATTTTTCCGAAGATTATGGAAAGATTGTTATATAAAGTGTGGAAATTAATATGTAGTATGGATATTCCAAACTATAATCCTTTGTATGATAAAAAGCAACAGAAGGACTTATCTGTACAGCAGCCACTACTACGTTTAATCTTATATGGAGTCATTATACCAATTCTAGAACAATGTAATGTATATTGCACTTACTATTACATTCCTGTTATATCTGATCTGAGAGTATACTCTTGTATTCAAACCATTGCTAATGCATTAAAATTCTATTTAAATGGCACTATTCAAACTATGCAGCCATCAAATGGTTTTCTTTGGATAAATATTATTGCAAGTGCATGTAATATAATAACAATGAAATTAGCTGAAATGGTAAACTCACAAAGAGATGATACAGACCTATCACTTACATACATGGCATACAATACGCAATATACTTTGAAATCAGGTTATTATAATATTGTTTTAAACCTCGCTGATGTAATGATACTTGTCAATTGTATACAAAAATACAAGTACTTTTTGCAACTAAATATTGTTGATCCTTTAATATGTTCAATTGAATATATTGAAAAGAGGGATCATTTGTCAGTGCCTTTTTTTACAAAAGAGTATATAGACTTAGTCAAAAGTAAAAATTCACTTGGAAACAATGCTGAGGGTGGAGTATATATTACTATAAAACTCAATCCAAGATGGATAGCTAATAACAACGATAGAGGTTCAAATAGTTATACTAATTATACTATTATTGACAAGATGAATAATAAGCTTAATCAAGATTTTAAAGATCAAGTTGAAGAAGTTAATGAAGAAGAAAATTATATGGCTAGCCTTGATGATTCAATGATGTTTTGCCCTATAACAAAGGTTGGGGTATCTCAATCCTTATTACCACGCTACGAAGCAAACAAGAGATCAGCAAATGGAATAGCAGAGTATGGTTTATTTATTAGATATTCTGAGATACCAGATAGAAGAAGATTAATTGAGGAGGGATTATACATCTGTCCAACTATAACAGCTGGGAGTATATATGAACTTTTAGAATCGTTTGATGAATATATTGATCAGTATAAAAGGAAAGAGAGCGATTCATATGAATATCAACAACTATCAAAATTATTGGAGGTTAAAAGAGTAACTGATGACTTACAAAGTACTTATCGTGATTCTATATTACCATTACTTAAATGGATATCCTCAGACATGTATAGAAGACTCAAACATCGTGCATATTTAGAACATTTAATGGATATCCAAATAAAACTTATGGATAAACAAGTTCTTTATGAAAATGAACTGCAAGAATGGGAAGATAAAATTGAGCAATCTGTAGTTGACATGACTATATGGGGTTATACTGATCCATCTATTATAAAATTACTGAGGAAATATAATAAATCTAATTCAGTAATGGATAAACTGAAGAATACTTTACTCCAAAGAATTTGGAATAGTAACAATCAGACAGAGAAACCAAGTTATATTGGAGGCAACAATGAAGAACAAGTTATATATACTGAAATAGTTAAAAATAGTATTTCATTACCCTCATTGTGGTTAAAAATGGGAATCTTAATTTCTTCGGGTATTATTTTGGTCAACACGGAGAACTACTTTCTTAAAATGTGGTTTAATCCACACAAGTTTTATAATAATAAGATAAGTATTAATAACTGGAATATATGTCTTACATGTACTCCAACACTTGGAATAGAGTGTATAGTGACAGTTAGTCAAGTTCAAGATATGATTAAAGAATATGTTGATCAAAGGACAATATGTAAGTTCTACATATCACCAAGAGATATATCATATGCTAAACTATCCAATATTTCATATACTAAGATTTATGCAAATGGTTTGATTGAAATAAACTTACCAAATTTGGTCAATTTCATATATTTTAAAATCTAACTCCATAAATTAAAAAAATTATTTCTTAAATAAAGGGCGGATTTCAAATTTCCCAATTCACTGTTGATTTATTTACAGTAATATTAATGTAACAATAAGATTTTATAATACTAGTTTAAAATCGTTAAAATAAATATATGTATATATTTTCGCTACTAAGTAGTGGTACTTGCCAATTAAAAATATAATATCTCAGCATACCACTACCACGTACAAATTTGAGTGAATCGAGAATTTCGGAATTATTATGAATATCTAACACATTAAATACGTCATATTTCTGCTTATAAGCAATAATAAGAGCTTCATTATATAACTCTGTAATTGTACAAGTATTGGGAATATTGTAAAATCCATAAGCAGCTTTAAATAACTTGTGTCTTGGATTATTGAGGACTGTTGAATTTATACAGAAGAAACTAAATAGATCTGTAATATTACCCTCAGAATTCACACGAACATAAGAAGTAATTACTTCCGGAATATTAATAAAAATATGTTTAATCATTTCAAGATCAAATATTGGGTGAATAATAAGTTTATCTCCAAATGAAGTATCCTTAATTGTGTCATAAGCTTTAGTTACCAAACTTATATCATGATTGATAGTATCATAATCGATTAAATTATTATATGTATCATCACTAACATCTTTATATTTATAATAGTATTCTTCAAATAACTTCAAAATTTGAGGAGCATCGTCAATAGTTGCTGGTCTAAATCCAGATAGTACATGATCACTTGGTACTCTATATAATTTTATAGCTCTGCTGATTGTCATATTTCTAGTTAACTGTGAGAAACCTATTTCATATAACTTCTTTGGATTTAGAGATCGGTGCCAGTATTGACAAGCTGCAAATGGCATTGTCAAGTCTTTTCCACAAGTGTAAATTGCTTGAAAAATACCTCTACATCTAACACGTCTTGTAATTTCTTTAACTAATACTGGAGCTAATCGCTTTGATCTCAATTTTCTATGTATACATAAGTAGTTGACAATTACAACAAGTAACTTAGAGTTGTGAATACGTACTTTGTTTGGAATAGCTGAAATAAAGGCAACTAATTTATTGCTTTCTTCAAGTTTTATACCTAAGTGCCAATCTTCGTAGTACCCCGGTACACATAGTGCCCAGTGTAGAAATTCCTTACTGTATAAGAAACGAAATTGATTATCATCATCTTCAATATAGAAATCAGCTAGTAGTTGGTATACATCTTGGAAATCCTTAGTATCTACATTACTCAAATTACATGAGTGCCATATATAACCATTAGGCAGCTTATACGGTTCTCTACGAAAAGAATTAGGTTCTAGTTCAATAGGCCCAAACTTTTCAACTTTTTCATCGTTCTGTATAACTGGTTGAGTATTCCAAAATTTGTGTTCTTCAGATTGAGGTTTCATACGATTAAATAAGCCACAGATACTCATCTCTTGAAGTATATTTTGAATTTGCTTACATGAAGACTGATTTGCAATATTAATAATATCAGCCTTACTTTTATTACCATTTTGAAAGGTTTGTTGATGTTGCAAATTTCTATCTTTCATATCTTCTGAAGATTTAGTAATAGTATGATCTCCATACGTATCCCTCATATAAAATAACTATACTGTTAAATGAGATCCTCTTAATAGAAATTTGAAAAGTTATATCTAGTAACTATCGTATACAAGAATTATGACAGGATTTGGATACTCCTCTTGTGATAAATAACACCACTTACTGATATTATTTTAGAGCTGTTTCTAAATAGGCGCTTTATGTTTGTTATTACCTGTCTCATTTTGCATTATAGAAATCTAATGATTGATCTTAGGCGCCTATGACTTATTTAGATTAATATTGTAAAGTGTGACATGAGACTTTTTTTGCACGCAGTTTCCTTAGTAGATTTCAGATAAAAAAATAAATCCTGTACTTATTAGTAAGGAATAATTGGACATTAAGCTTATTAAATATAATGATATTAGAAGGTCGTGTAGCTATAATAACAGGTGGTCTAAGTGGTCTAGGAAGAGCTGTTATCCAACGTTTAATACAAGATGACATTAAAGTTATCTGTATATTTGATTGTGAGGTACCAAAATCCTCAGTATCTAAGCCATCTAATGTACACTTTGAAAAAGTTAATCTAACTGATTTCTCATCAATTCAAGAAGCCTTAAAGAGAGTAGTTAATATGTATGGAAGAGTAGATATATTGATTCACTGTGCAGGTATAACACATTGTGCAACACCTATAATACAGAGGGAAGTTGATGGTAGTATATTAGACAATAATAGAGATATTCCAGACATATGGGAAGAAGTTATCAAAGTTAATGTTATTAGTACACTCAATACAATCCATTGTATAGCTCCTTACCTAGCAAGAAATACTGATGATGAAAAGGGTGTAATTATTCTAATCTCAAGTAGTGTTGCAAGAGATGGGTCTATTCATAACCAGGGCTATATAGCTTCGAAAGGTGCAATCAATTCAATTACATTACCAATAGCTAGAGAATTAGGTCCAATGGGTATACGTGTAGTTACTATTGCCCCAGGTATATTTGATACTCCAGTGATAAGGAGGTCAATAACAGATGATGATTCATCAAAGCTATTGGATTCAATCCCTTTGGGTAGATTTGGGGATCCAGATGAATTTGCACAAATCGTTGTAGAAACTGCTATTAAATCATCGTACCTAACAGGAGAAATAATTCATATTGATGGAGCCTGGAGATCAACATTTACAAATGTAAGCAGAATGCAAAGGTTATCTGTAAATGAGAGTAATACAAATGAAATTCCTAGTCAAACAGAGGTTGAAGAGAATGTACTTAACTAGTATAAGCCATGAAAATTAATGAAGTATACAGAGCTATAAACTTATTAGTAAACCAATATTAGGGAATAAATATTTATAATAGCTCATTTTTTTTTATAAAATTCTATTTGTAAATGATACAGGGTTAGTATTAAAGTTTAATTTTGTATATGCATATAACATGCATATACCATCGGTAACATTTGCAAAGTAGTAATTTACTACTTTTAGGATATTTTCTAATATATTTCTCTATATATTTTCAATTTATATGTTAATAGGAGTATCATTTAAGTATAAAGACAAGTAAAAAAAACACTAATAAATGTTTCAAAATTTGTAATTCTCTCAACTGACAAACTCAGCTAAGTATCCTAACAGGAGGAGGGGATATCGTGGCCTGGTAGCTCCAACGGTAGAGCGTCTGACTCCAGATCAGACGGTTCAGGGTTCAAATCCCTGTCGGGTCATCTTTCTTGCCGGCGCCATTTCTGGTGGGAACTGCAACTAATCTAAATATTAATAGCTAAAGGTTGTGTTTGAACAGAAGTCAGACATCTCATCTGTGAGTAATAAATTGCTACACTTGCAGATATTCTAACCCTATAACCTTTACCAAAGAAGACAAGAGAAAGAAAATCATTTGAGATACAATAAGAAGAGATGGGACCCTTTAAGTGGATTAAGAAAAAGAGAGATGAGTTCCTATTTTCATGGAATAGACGAAGATATAGTTACAGAATGGGCTGGTATTTTGCAAGATTGTGTATTGTATCCGTGGTAGTTATTTTACTAAGTTTTATTTTGTTTTTTTTACAGCGAAACATAGGCTGTAAAGGTACTAAATGTGGATATTTTATGACATTTGCGTGTTCCCCTTGGCAGGTAACAATAATATCATCGTCGATAATAGCTCTTGGAAGTATTTGTTCAATACAAGCAGCACTAAGCTGGGTATTATCCCGATTACTATATAATTTTGCAAATTACAGAACTACTGACTTTATGGCATTAGGTAAATGGGCATCTCTTTTAGGAGCATTGGTCAAACATATACCTTTTGTAATAGCAGCATGTACAATATCAATTGGTATAATTTGTATATTTGGAATAATATATATATTGGCAGCAAATGTATGCCAAAAATCGTTTTTACCCCAGACTCAAATACTAGTTAATAATTGTCGTCTATATAATGCAAAGTGTATATATAAACCAACGATTAATGACATTTTACAATGTAACAATCCCAACTATATTATATCATCCAATTTTTTACAGATGAGATGTAGTCCTGGGATAAACGAAATATGTTCATTTGTTAATAAAACAATGGAGGGTAAAAATCCATGTCCAAAAAGCTACCTTGGCCAATATTTACTATTAAAAGGCAATGATTCTATTAGTGAAAATATAGTCAGTTTAAATTCCAATAGTGGTGTTAACATAACAGAAGAAAGGAAGTATTTAATTGACGAATATTCTCATATTAATAATGGTAGTAGTGTGTTATCGAATTCACCATATATATCATCTATAGAAGGGATACCTAAGCAAGAATTATTAGATTTATATTTGTTACCCATTGTCCCATCAAGCATTAGTGAGTTGACAAGTAGTACTGGATTCAGTGATTTATACTCAGTATCAAGATTGTGGATTGCAGTAGCAACATTTATTTTTTTATCAACTACTCTGGTATTTATTTTTATAAAAGTTTATAGCCCACAAGATTCATGTTTTTCATTTGTTAGAAAACCCAACGAGTTTATATTATTAAAAGTATTAAGTGTATTCACTCCATGGCAATAATCATAATAAAAAAGTATACAATAAATCTTCAACCTTAATAAATATATAAAAAAAAAAAAAGTCACCTTAATAATGTATTTCAATAAAAATATTAATGTTTAGCTATAGAAGGTAATGTTAATCCAAATCCATAGATTTGTCCTTTAAATTTGTCGTCATCAATACAGGAATTAAGATATAATTGACATAACTTAAAGAAAGTACAACATGTAATTAAAGCATCTGAACCAGCTTGGTGAGCAATTCCAATCCTTTGTATTTGTAAATGCTCCGATAGCTTCTGTAAAGAAGTCAAGTTGTTCAAATTTGTTAGTTGCTTTAGTACAAATTTTATATCGTATAAAGATGGAAATAACATATTAACTAGTGATATAAATTCACTCTCAGTTTCTGGTAATGGTGAACATGTTAATATTTTAATCAAATAAGCAAAATCATAACAACCATGAAAACTAATCCATTTGATTTTAGAATTCAGTATAAGGCCACTCCCATACATAAGTTCACCAAAATAAAAGAAATCAATACCATGATCTTGGTGTTTATCAAAATCTACACCAGAATGACGGAGAAATTGAATTGACTCCTGTGAGTATATATCATTATCCATATCAAATTTCAGATTAAACTGAAAAGTAGAAACGACAGAGCTTGGTGATAACCCGTACTTATTACGGAAACTCATTCCAATTTGGATAACTTTAAGAAGGTCAACATTACACCTTACTGTTTGATAATAATATTCGTAAATATTATTTGTTGGACGAACAACTACACCTGGAAATTCAGTATCAATTGCTACATATGGATATTCATCGATTATATGTGAGATATATTCAAATGCATCTTTAATATTATGCTGCCAAACTTCATATATAGTGGATTCTTGCTGGTATACATTTGGATTCATTATATTATTAACTTGCTAACTGTTAAAACAATTAAAATATTGAGGTGAGACCTCTTGTCCTAGCTCAAGCGCTAGACCTTATCCTTATGTAACCTTAAAATTGTTCATGGGATATTTATACAATATGAACTTTATAAACAATTTATTTACTTATACCTTGTGTGATTTGAAGTAAAACATAACCACATAACCTTTTATTTAGTGGAATTTTTAATTGTTCAGGTTTCAATTAGTGATATATCTTTGGATTCTAACCAGGTACACGATACTAATATATCCAAAATTTCATATGAGAATCTATTTATGGAAGAAGAAGATAACAAGAAAACTAGTAGAAATGTGGATATATTATGTAATGATTCTGTGTTTACAGATATATTGGATAACCAGAAATTAAATAATGATACTGCAGATACATACGGCATATTTGATGAAAAAGTATTTGAAAAATCAAAAGGGATGATTACTGAGATTACTCATAAACCTGAATTTTTCAAGCTAGTTGCTGAAGAATTATATACTATGTTTAATGAGAAGTGTTCAACTGGATATATATCTGTGACAGATTACAAGGATACCAGCTCCAGTATAATTAAAGAACAAAGACAAAATATACATGAATATGAGTTAAGTGTTGGGATAGAAGATACGGTGCTTGATATTTCTAAATTGAATGAAGTATTGGGAGAGAATGATGATATTATAGATACATTTACTGATTATAATGGAATTTTAGGTGAAGATAAAGATCAATTGGACAACTTCCTCCTATAGAATAATTTAGATGGTACTCAGAATTAACTAAAATTATGAAGGGGTATTTATAAATGAACTTAAAATGGTTATTTTACTCTTAGTGGTGAATAATGAAAATTCTGCCTGAGAAAAAAAAAACCGCCTAACACTTGTGTTCGGCGTCTCGTAGAAAAGATGCGATGCACAGTATTTGCTCTTCATTGGTATAACAAAAATTTATATGGCCTTCTAGTTTGAAAGGAGTCATTTGATACTAATATTTGCCCAGTTTCAACTCTTTTTGTTCATTGGTTCTATTGAGGAATTATCTATTCTGTTAGATATATAAAAGGGATACTACACAGAGAGACAGAAAGAGCAAATAAAAGAAAAAAGGTGTAAGAATAAAGAAAACCTTAGATAAGAAAAGTTGTTCATTGAAGGTAATGATAATATTGTTCAATCTGTAACCTATTTGTGTAATCAGACATATATATATATATATCTGGAATATATATTTATATATGTATTTGCATATATGGACTAAAGAAAAATTCTATAGTGTAACTTATTTTGCCTATTTGCCTAATAAATAAAGTCGTTTAAAAGTAAATTCCATTAATAGGAGTTGTAGTACAATAATGGAGAAGATAACATTAGAAGGTAGAGAAGATAGTGGTAATACAGCTTCTGAAGAAGTTAAGATATCACTGGAGAAAATTTTAAGCCGCAATAATATATTAAATGATGTACTTTTACAGGAAAAATTTGATATTAAGAAGATGGCAATTTCACTATCTTCTATCTTGAGCTTACCGAGATTTCAAAGTCTTGGACTAAAGTACTTTGCATTAAGTAATAATGGATATGCAGACGAACAAGATCTGGTACATGGTATCTTAAACTCATCAGATAATAAGAAGCAATTGAATAATATTAACGATCCATTATTAGATGCAAGTTCAAGTAGTGTAATTACAGAACCATGTATGAATGAATTGAATTGTAATTCCAGCGCGATAGGAGATAGTAACTTGTCTACATTAACAGTTGATATTGAAGAAATGACGATAAATGAGGAGACTAGGAAGATTGATGAAGGCAAATTTATGTGTACATTAGTTGAATGCTCTATAGCTTCATCTTTATTAGATTTATGTTTATGTAGTAAGGGCGTGGAAATTACAATAACTAAAGAGGACATCTCAAAATATAAAGATATTCTTGATAAGGAGCATATAAAGGAGAACTGTGATAATATTTATATCAAACCAACTTTCCATATTGAGAGAACAACCCTTATATTAAGAGAATTGGATCCCAATATTACAGAGAATAATATACGTGCATTACTAACCAGATGTCCTCATTTTACTGATATTGACAATAATTCTGCACAAGTTTTGGAGAAATATATTGCAAATATAAGGAAAGAGGTCCATGACACTTGGTTTGTTACTTTGGTAAATGAAGACTTAGTGACATCTGTAGCTCTATGGCTGCGAAGTCAGAAACTTGGTAATAAGTTACTGCGCGTTGGTGTAAAGTCAGAACATCCAATTGGTAGTTTACTATCTATATTATCAACTCATAAACCTAATACTATGAATAAGATCTCTACAAATAATATAAATGGTAATGTAAATATTCATCAGAATAAATTGAATCAAATAAATACCCTTAACTCTGGCAACAATTCCCTGTCTCATTCTTCTAATAATAGCACCTTTCATAAACATTCGCCCATACCAAATCCAATTAGTTTGCATAATCCAATGAATTTATACCCTTCTCAAGTAGTGTCACCTTTTTTAATAATTAATAACTCTAACATGAATGATACTTGCAAGATTTCTTCATCTCCTACTAAAGATATAAATAGCATGTCATATATGAATACAACTAATATTATTGGTCCCTATACAATGTATAGTGGAAGTGAAGCAAACATAACAAACATTGCAACTTTATCTACTTCACCCTATTATATTCAATATGGAGCACTAGGACAAGCTATTCCTCCATTTTCAGCAACATGTGCACCTGGACAGAGTCTACCTCCACCACCTCCCAATTTAACGGACAGTGTGGAAGATTCACTAGAAGATAGAGAAGTCAATTTCAGGATTAATTCTGTAGATTCGAGGGAAATCAATTCAAATTGTATAAAGGCCACCAAGGGATACGATATACCCACTGAAAATAATGAAGATATAAAGGATTCAAGTGACAAGAAAAACCAATTAAATACTGACACTAAAGGCAAGTCACCAATAATGCATAACCATCCAATCGTAATATCTCCTCCACCTTTGAATCCACCATACTTAACACCTTATGGTACTTACTATACAGCTGCAAGTCCAAATATCCCTACTGTAATAGCTAGTGTTCCACAAACATCATTATTTGGGGCAGTACCATCTATACATTGTGGTCACCACCCACATCCTCACCATCCTACAGGTCACTTTGGTGGGCCTAGAAACATATCAAATACTAAGAATAATTATATTGCAAAGGACAACATGACTCATATAAGTAATGCTAATCATCATGGACGATTGCATAATAGAAAAGTGAACTATAATAGAAATAATAGTCGAAGGATATCTTCACCAAATAACATATCTTCAAATACTAACAAGTCAAATAGATCAATTAACTCAAATAAGAAGATAATTAATATTAATGATGACAATAAGAATGACAGCAACACTAATAAGAACAGTGGAAGTGCAATAGAAGTAGATGACCTTTTAGCTAGAACTGAAAAGAATGAATGTGTAACATTTAATAATAGAACTGATGAATGCAATGCTTCTGAAACTACTAACCCAGTAGAAACAGTTAGCAATGATAAAATTAAGAGTAATGCAAGTAATTATACCAACACTTCACCTAATATTTCTGGCAAGGGACAAAGCTTTAAACATGAGGATAATAGAATTCATGGAAGAACGGTGCAACCAGCATATAATGTAAGTGGCAATATTCGTAATTCTGCACATAAAAGACCAGATAGTCATAATTCAAATTACTATTTTCAATCTAATAACATAAAAAATAACAAAGGTGATGTAAATGAAAGCTATGCATATCAGAGCAATTTTCGAGGGAAACCAAGAAATGTAGGAGATTTCTTGAATTTTGTTGGAGGTAATAGCGAGGTTTCAAATTCCGCAAATATTCGCAGCTATACACAGAGTGATTCCAACAATGCAAAGTGGACACCAAATACTGATCACCGTCAGACAACAAGTGGTGTCATTCCAGATGCTGGAGGCACAAATTCACGCCTATCAAAAACGTCTCACGGTACTTTTGTAGAGTATTTTCCATCTTTATCTGATGCTCTTAAGCAACCGAAAGGGATGAAAAATCCGAATAATGAAGAATAAATTCAAAAGTTAAGCAATATTCATAACTAGAGATCTTTAGTTTACCTAGAACAATTTAGGAAGGACTTTTTTTTTATTTTTAATAGGAAAAAGGATTGCGATATATTTAATCCTACCTCTGAGGGAAATGTAATTAATTAGTAGGAATTACTTCATATATAAAAGGATTTATATATCCACCCTTACAAATTCCGTCCGGATTCTCTCTTAATTTTTGAATGTGACTCTTCATCTTCTTCCAATGCTTTGAGTCTTTGTAATAAGTTACTTCCACTTCTCTTCAGTTTGTTTCTTAGTGACAGTGCCGATGAAAAACCCTGTCTATACTCTATAGACTTGTTTAGTATGCCTTTTGCACTAGCAAATGAAGAGTTAATGACTTTTGGAATATCGGAATTTGTACTTAAGCATTTATTTCGATATAAGAAACTTGATGTTTTTGATTCTTCTAAATATTCATATTGTGTATTATTAATATCTTCCAAATTCTCATAATTATAGCAGTATTTATCAACTGAGTAATCATCTTTAGGTTGAATTATAAATTTTTCGGAGCTCCAGTGTATTTTCTTCTTTTTTAGAAAAGTACCTACATTTTTAGGATTTATATTGTTTGATATGGAAAACAACAGGAGAATATCTGCTTTGTAATTTGGGAGTTTAGTATCACATACATCACAACAAGGAGTAGAAGATAAATGCTTGTATTCTTCACCGAAATAACTAAGGATATATTTTCGCCTACATTGTCCATAACGTTTCAAAGACTTCTCATATTTCACTGGGTCTTGAAATCCTTGAATTTTGGTTTGAGAATCCCCTTCATAATAATGTGTGTCTTCACTTAAAATATGACATTCTGAGTACTCAACTATTTTCCTAAGATTTTCATTAAATATTTCTAAACATTTTTCTGCCTTTTTTGGATTTTTAGTGTACAAATATTGAAGTGACTTCCGTTTTATACACCGCAAACTCTTAACATCTCTATAGCTGTACAAGAGTACAACACTAGAACTTTTTGAATCTCTCCCAGCTCTACCACTTTGCTGGTAGTAAGCATCAATACTATCTGGAAGAGATGCATGAATTACATATCTAACATTGGACTTGTGAACTCCCATACCAAATGCAATGGTTCCAACTAATACATTAATCTCATCCCCAAGCCAAAGTTGTTGAATATTATTTCTAGATTTTAATGATAATCCTGCATGATATGCACAGCTCTTAATACCATTGCTATTCAAAAATTCAGAAATGCTACTTGCAAGCTTTCTAGTGTTTACATAAACTATTCCTGTTATCCCACTCTTAATAACTGCAGAATCGCTTTTTAAGTCTTCTTTACCATGTTCCACTTGTCCGTATAATTTATTATAATAGTGGATAAGATTAAGTATAATATGTTCAGTCCTGTATTTCGAAAGAAAAATATTCTTATCTACATCAAGAGTTGTATAATGAAGATTTGGCCTATTAAATGAATTTATAGAAATAAATGGATTATCTAAATTAAGGGAATTAATTATATCACTTTGAACTGTAGGTGAAGCTGTTGCAGTACAAGCTAGTATAGGAATATCTGGATATAATTTTTTTATATAGTGCAATCTCCTATAGGCCATTCTAAAATCATGACCCCATTCACTTATACAGTGAGCTTCATCAATTGCGAAACAGTAAAGATTTCCATTTAACTGTAGAATATCCAAACATGCAAGTACTCTTTCTGTACCAAGACTCTCTGGGGTTATAAATACTATGTTATTTTCAGGAATTGGTTTCTCCAAATCTTTATGCAAGTTAGTTAAAGCTTTATTAACACTTTCATCCGCTTCCTTCCGAATTATAGCTGAACTTAATCCATTGGATTTGATCTTCCATTTTTTTAAAGATTCTATTTGATCCTCTATTAATGCTATTAATGGGCTTACTACTATGGTTACCATTCCTAATGATATTGGTAATAGTCCAATCTCATTTTGATATTTTCTTAACAGTGATGGAAGTTGATAAACTAAAGACTTACCTCCACCTGTTGATAAGACTAACATTACATCTCTACGTTCACACACTAAAGCATGTATTGCTTCTTTTTGACCTTCTCGATAGTTAGAGAAATTGATATGATTCAAACACCACTCCAAAGCTGAAATTAAAAGTTTTTTTGATTCAGTATTATATGATACTCTGTGATTATCCTTATTTAGTTTTTTTCGCTTAGCTAAATATGAGTTAAAAAGTTCTTCAGCACTAGAATCTCTTTTGCTAAAAATGTCATTTGGATCAACAACTCCATATTCACTGTATTTTTCAAGTTCATCTGATCGATTATTTATACAGAGGTCATTATTCTTAGTAATTTCCTTATTATTGTATATTTTATTACTTGGGGTCTTTATAAGAAAATCACTTAAAGAAGTTTGCCTTGAGTTTTTGTCCAATTTCCTGACCTGTACAAAATCTTTATTTTGCATTATTCTAGATATCACTGATATTACTGTCAAAATAAAAATTGACTAAATATTTAAGACTTCTATATCCTACTTTACTTTTGTCATCACTAACACTATTATGTAAAATATTTGGAATCTGGTTCCCTTAAGTATTTACTAGTGGGTAACCTCCATTAAAAAGAGATGCATGCAATATATGGCGCCTTATTGCGCGTAATACTTTCTTTACTAATACCTGTCATTTCTAACTTACCTATCTTGTATTTATACAATTTATCTCTTGGGTTTGAATTTCATAAAATAGAATTCTTAGATACTTCCATAAGAGATATCTTAAGTTTATTGTCACCAAATTCTCAGAAGTCCATGAAAACTATACAAAGTAGCTTTACATATAAATTAAGTGAGAAAATATGTTTGGAACAACTTAAATTAACCAATTCTAGCTTTAATAGTAAATATATAGATATATGGAACTATATATTAGAGTTAGAAAATTTGGGAAATGATCAAACAGATAAAAGTTTTGAGCTATTATTGAAGTCCAAAGAGACTACTCCGATGGAAATACTCCTGACTCTAATACAAGCAATGAAAACCACTATAGTTCAAAGAGAACAGATAGATAGAATAAATTCAAGCTCAGAAATTGGCAGATTTGTCCCAATGTTACATATTACTAGCAAATTCCTTGATATTATCCCTTTAACTAATATTTTTCTGAGTCTACCAGAATATATGAAAATAGAAGAAAATTATAACAATGATAGTATACTAAACAAATGTAATGAAGTTACAAATGAAATATTATCTTTAGATATAACTTCAGAAGGCTATATAAAATATCTAACTAGAATCTCACCAGATATAATAACTGCAAAAGATATATATCAAAATATCCCAATAAATCTAACAAGTGAAGAATATAACAAGAATTTATCAAAAGCAATCATTAATATTTCCCAGAGTAAACTGTTTCTTAATATAAGAGAATGTAGAATATTTACTGAAAATCTTGTCACAAGATTTATGTTACGTGGAAACACCAGATTTTTATCTTCATCAATCTTAAACTATACAATTGAGTACAATAGAGATTTGGAATTAATGACACATATATTTAAATCTCTAATAATCTTAGTGAACAGGGAATTACAGGGTAAATTAGTATTACACACTATACAAGATGTTGTAAAAAATCACTCTTCAATAACAAAAAATGGTGACATATATATTAGTCGCCTTTCAATATTCCAAATATATGTTATAATATCAAAGTACTGCATTATAGAATCTAATACTAGAAGTTTAGACAAATACTTCTTGAAAAAATCAATATTTTGTATTAACAGACCATTATTCTCAATTGAATGTTCTTTACCTTTTTTAGATGCTATTTTATTTAACATTACAAAGTCTATGGAGCTTCTTAGAATTGATAGCTATAAAGAAGAAAGTGATATTCTAAACTTTACTAAGCAAAGTTGCAATAACTCAAAAGAAAGATTAATATTTGTTGATTTCATTAATATTATTCTTACATATACTTGCCAACAATGGGAATCTCAAGATTCACTATCCTTTTCTTTGCCTTTGGCATGTATTATTGTTAAATTAATGGCAATAACTACTTATCTACATCCTATTAATAAAAGTTTAGAAATATTCATGAGAAATTATCAGATGACTACAAATGGAATACATATTAGATTGAGACATATTGATCCAATCATAAGATGTTCTGCCATGCATCTTGGACAAATGTATTTTAATATATTAGATGATTTAAACCCAAAAGTAAGTAATGAAAATCTTACAATTGAAAAACCTCCAAAATTTGAAGAACTTGACTATTTAGACTTGGATATTGTCAGTACTCTGGACTTAATTAAGCAATCACTTAAACCAGTGAAAATTAAGGATTTTCCCTCAGATAAAGTTATAATTAATTCAAATGTTCAGCAAATTATACAAAAAAATAATATTTTCAACCATGAGTGCAAAAATAGAAATGAAACTAGTGAATCTGTAGAAAATTTCAATAGTTCACAGGATGATGAATTATTCTGGCAAAAATATCCGGATCTTGAGCCACTGAGTAGTGCTAATAACGATGATAATACAAAATTTCCTAATAATACTATTTTTGGGGAAGTACAAATCAGGAACGTAAAACAAGCTTTAGAATTTCTAAATAAGTATACAAAAGAAACACCTCAAACAGAATTTAACACTGAAACAGTAGATAATATTATTAAAGTATTACCTCAAGTTATTAAAAGTGATAAAAGTGATTATAACTATATAATTCAACCGTTAATTAATAAATTACTATCATTAAATATTTCAGATGGAAACGACATCGATATTATAGCTGCATTATCTACTCTTGTGGAATCAAAACCCAATGAGACATCAACAAGACTTATTAAATACTCTTGTAGTTTAGATAATGCTATTTCTATGGATAGAAAAGTTATTATAATAAACTCCCTACAAGTTGCTTGCGAAAACTTGGCAAACTCACTAACTGATACAGTTAAGAATGTACATAAACCTATTAAATATCAGAATAAAGTTACTAATTTATTCTCACCTTTAGCTCTACAATGGTCATCTATACTAATTGGTGAAATGATCAATTTAATAAAGATGTCAGATAGCAATTATGATCGTGTTCCATCTATTTATATTATAGCTTTGATAGAACTCTACAACAAGATCTTGTCCAATTTGGGAGCTAATAATATTGACAAGGATCAAATCAATATATTCGGATTGGAGATTTGTTTTGCTTTTAATAATACTCACTATATGTGGAAAGATACAAGCGTTAGGAAATGTTTATATAATCTTATAATACGTATCTTACTAATCTCAGCCAACAGTACAGATTCTGGACTTTTGAGGAATCTGAAAAAACTAAAGCTTTGGGCAGAAATGTGTAAAGATTATGAGAATAACTCTGATTGTTATACACTACTTGATAATATTTGTTCGTATATTCACAAAATCTAAATAAAGCTAAATCTTTTTTTTAGTATAACCCGCACGCGGTTATTATTGAGATACTATTTTACTTTTAAAGAAGTAATAATCAAAGAAATAAAATATAGTAGTTATATATAAACCATACTGTCTGATAATATTGTAGATTATTATTTTTATCTTTATATTATGTCTATTCTTCTCTTCTTCGTCTTTTTTTCTTTCTTTTATATCTAAATAATTGGTGCACCCATTCCCCCGCCTTAGTCTTTCCTAAATATGTCCAAACGTATTTTTTTCTTTTAACTACTCAAAACCTAATAACAGAAGCTTATACTCTATTATTGGACCAACATAGTGCATATACAATAGTATTCAAGCTGTTGTAGCTGTTATAATAAATAGAGATATCTAAGATTTACTAAAATTTAGTTATATTTGCATGCAGTTAAATTAACACTTGTGAATCCATCTAAAAGCGAAATAAGAGGTCATTTAATTTTAAAATGGGAATTAAGAGGCTTGTAGATAATGACCTGACTCTGAATAGTAATAATGAGTACTATATAACACAAGAAGATCCTTTAAAGAAGAAGAAAGGTCAATCATGGCTTGAATATTTGTACTCTCGTATCCAATTTACTTGGGTAACAAAATGGATGTACTTAGGATGTATTAGAACATTGCCAGCTTCTATCTTGCCTCAATTGAGTAGATCAGATAACACTAGATATTGGTCAAGAATATTTGAAGATTCCTTGTTAATTGAACAACTCAAATGCGTGACATCTTTTGATCGAAAGATTCTAGTTATAAGGGCATTATGGAGAAGTTTATATGGACAATTGTTAGCAATGATGGCCTTAAAAGCTCTTTCGGAAGCATGTGAATACTTAAATAATACTGTACTAAGAAATTTTCTTGAATATAAAGAGAAAGAGGATGGTTTAAATTTAGGTGATATACCGAAGGAAGATAAAAATATTATTTTAGAGAGTGGTCTACATTATGCTATTATCATGATATTTTTTAATATAGTTCATGTTTATATATCTACTCAATTTAATTTCTGGTTGTCTCGTGTGATTTTGCGGATTCAGACATGCTTAAAGACATCAATATTTACTAGAATAATCAAGAATAAAGCTTGTAAGCAAAACAATATTGAAGAAATTGATAGTAATAAGTTGATACCCAATGATGAAATAGTACAATTAACTGAACTAGATGATAATCGTGCATTAGCTATAAATAATAATGAAATAAAAAGCTCAAGCCTTGAAGAAATCGAATTCACTATATCCAAAACTTCAAATTCTGATAATATATCTAACGATAGACATGTGAATAGCTATGCAGCTTCTACAAATGTATTTAACTTATTAATGGTTGATGTTGATGATATTGAAGATCTTCTAATGGCTATTACCCAATTTATACTTTTACCTTATCGCTTATTTATAGCTTCGCTTATTATGTATCAGAATATAGGAAGCTCAGCCTTTCCTGGAATTATGGTTATGGTTGGTATTATTAGTTTAATGGTTGTTGTTGATATAATTTGTGCACTTTTAAAAGGTCCCCTTTTACTTTGGAGGGACAGAAGATTAGAAAAACTCCATGAATCCCTTAACCAAATCCGAGGAATCCAAATTTTAGGATGGGAATACTTTTCAGAGCAAAGAATACAAAATGAACGTAACAATGAAGTAAAGTATTTATTTGGAATAATATCACTCACCTCCCTGTCGCATATGTTATTTAAATTGGCTACTTCTGGAGCTGTAGTTGTAGTTATAATCTTTCATACTTGGAACTTTTTGTCAAATTCTGAAAATAACCACTCTAATTTATTAGGTAATGATATTTCCCAGTTAAGAGCTTCAACAGTAATTCCTCTATTGCATATTATAAATTATGTTACTCATATTCTTGAAACTGTACCAAATTCCCTTAATATGTTAATTGAAGGTTGGATATCACTAGAAAGATTTAGCTTTTATCTCGGTCTATCTAATTTGAAAAATAATGATTTATCTCAAATACATAGAGAAATTTCAACTAGATCAAGAGTAATTTCAGATACAGAATTTTTGGAAGATAAATTGCAAAGTGAATACTTAGTTTCATATTTACAAAAAAAAGTAGATAATGAAATATCTTTATTTAATGATGAAAAACTAGAAGAGAAAGATATCCTATTGCCTAATTCATCTAACATTAATAGTGAAGGGTCTCCCCTACTTCAAATTAAAAATAATTCAGCTATTGATACAAACTATTTAAATAATGTTGATATTAAGAATGATGATGTAGAAAATGATAAAATTCAAATTTACTTGGAAAATGTTAGCTACTATTGGGAAGAAATAACAAATAGTAATAAAGCTAGACCTAATTTGTATGTACCTAAGTTTGTTGTTGAAATTAATACCTGTCACTTTATAATGGGTGATCCTGGAAGTGGTAAAAGTACCCTTTTATATGGGATTTTGGGTGAATTAAATTCTACAGGACTTCAATTTAATGCGAGTAAAGGTCATACAATTGGATATTCTAGTCAAGATCCTTGGATTCCTATTGGTACCATCAGATCTGTTATTCTTTTTGATCGACCTTGGGATCAAAGAAGGTATCAAAGAGTTGTAGAGGCATGCCTACTTGTTAAGGACTTCTCACTTTGGCCAGAAAATGATCTTAGGATGCTTGATGATGGAGGTCATATTTTATCAGGTGGTCAAAGATCTAGGCTTACTCTAGCCAGATCTTTATATGGTTATCTGTCTGAAGAAAATTTAGTAGATGCAGATATTTATAACATGAAAAGAAGGCTTGATAGTAAATTATTTTTATTAGATGATATATTTTTGTCACTTGATCCAAATGTTGGACGAGAAATATTTTGGAATTTATTTAATAAAAAGACTGGACTTTTAATTAACTATGCTAGTCTAGTTGTTATTAGTCCAAGCGTTATTGATTACTTTTTACATGATGAAGTGATAAGTGGAAATTTTGATAGATTTGGTATCAAGTTTATTTCTTGGAAGATTCTTAGTAATGTTTTGCAACCAATAGAATTAGAATCATTAATTGACAAATATATTCCAGTTGCAACTCCTCATACTATCACCAATGAAGATAATACATATATATGTACTGAAAAGAATACTCCAAATCCATCTCTAGAGTACATTGATGTTCAAATTTATACAGATATTCAGAGGCATATCGTAAATTCTAATAATTCTCAAGAAAATCTTTCAATTGATTGTGATAAGCCCAAACCCATTCTTACATATGACTTTTATAGTGAAGACATTGTATATATGAGTACAGAAGGTCAGAGGACTATACCTATACAGATCTATTTATGGTATATTAATAAAACCAGCAAATATATGTTTGCACTCACTATATGCTTTGCATTTGTAAGTCTCGTTTTGGAAAATAGTAAAGATTTATTCCTAGCAATGTGGACCGGGATATCACCTAGCGGAAACAAAGTTATTGAATCAAATAAGGTTACAAATGTTAGAGTATCAGATATCGATCATGAACATAATATGAATACATCTGAGTATCTTTCAAATCTTTATTACCTTATCCTAATATTTCTATTTTCTATACTTTGTCGTTTTAGCGCTCAGATTTTCCAAGTAATAGCGGGAATTATTGGTGCTAAAAATGTTCATAATGAAATGTTAAGATGCATGCTTTCAACATCTTTACAATTCTTTGACAAGGCAACTGTAGGGCAGATTATTAGCAGATTCTGTTTAGATCTAATGTCTGTAGACCGCAGCATTATGTTAAAGATTTGTACATTCTCAATTATTGTATTTGAGATATTGATTAAGGGAAGTTTTGTGGTATATGTCTTCCCCTGGATATTTTTATTGATTCCTGTGGTTGGATTATTTGCATGGTTCTGGTTATTCCAATATTATAGACATACTTCAAGGGAGTTATTTCGGTCTAATCTATCGGCACATACACCTATATGCAATATTTATACAGAAGCCTTAATTGGAGGAGTTACTATAAGAGCTTTCAAGTGTGAGGAGACGTATCTTAATAGAAACATTACATATATAGATAATTTGCAGAGAATCAAATTTATGAGATCAGCAACTTCACAATGGATAAGTGTTCGTATGCAAATGTTAGCTTTACCCTTTACAGTTGGAATTACTCTTTTTCCAATTATTCTCAAGTACTTTGGGATTTCGATTTCATTTCTAAATTTTGGATCTAGTGGAACCAATGCTGGAACTTGGGGATTAGCATTAATATATTCTATGTCATATGCTCCATTGATTAATAATGCATTCTCTTCCTTTATATCTGTGGAGAAATCAATGTGTGCTGTAGAAAGGATTTCAATATTTCTTAAAGACTTGCATAATACCAAACAGCAAACGACTATAAATGAAGTAGCTAGAGATGTATTAGCATATCCTTCTATTCCATCATTAGGTTTATATATTCATAAATTGAATGTTTTATATGAAGATAACTCTTTAGGTATTGAATTACAAAATCAAATTGTGAATTATGGTGAATGTGTAGGAATTATTGGAAGAACAGGTAGTGGAAAATCAACACTTTTAAATGCAATTTTAGGTTTAACTCCAATAAAGAATAGTCAAGTTTATCTTGATGGTATGTGGTTATATAGTAATAAACTAAAGCTAGAGAAACATGACTATATTGGAGTACTACCACAAGATTCTATTGGGTTTAATGGATGGACAGTTAGAAAGTTCCTTGACCCATACAATGAAATATCTAGTGATTCAGAAATTTGGCAAGGTCTAAAGATATGTGGATTAGAGTCAATTATAAGGGGACTTTGTTGTAACAATCAATTAGAAGCTACTATTAGTGGGTTTTCTTATAAATCACGTTCAAATAGTAGTGAAAGAAGTAGGTTACTTAAGAAAAGAAGCTCAAATAATTATTTTAAGTCAGATTGCAAGTTAACCCAAAAGTATCTTAGGCAACTTGCATTAGCTAGACTAATTATTCACAGGCACAAGTACAAGATAGTCCTGGTTGATGAGCCTCCTGAGGAATTGTCATGTGATGCATCTTTGCATCAAACCTCTGAATTTTCTCCGGATACATCAGTAGAAGAAATTATATTTACTTATATGAAGCATTGCATTGTATTTATTGTTGCACATAATTCAAAATCTCTCAAAAGATGTAATCGGATTTGGGTTCTCTCCTGTGGTCACAAAGTCACAGAATGCAGTTTTGGTGATGTTGGAAATCAGCAACTTCTTGCTGAATTCTTGAGAGAGAATCAATATGGGGTGTTCCGAAGTTAATTACTAACTCTTATAGTTTTATTAGCTTTTCGATAATTTATTATTTTATAACAGAAATGAGGGGAATAAATAATCAAACATAAATTTTAGGACTTGAGAAAATTAAAACCCTAATTTTCCCGCTTAATATTTAGGGATAAATAACCTTAATGTAACTTCTTTACATATATTCTACTATAAACTAAATTGATGTTCAATAATGTCATAGAATCATTTGAATCTCTTTTAGGTAATAATAATGGAGGGGTGGATATTTTATTTACTTCTGACTCTATTAAAGAATGTCTTGTAGCTCAGAATATACTACCTAGTCTAATATATAGGAATTTATACTATTTAGACTGGGATAAATATGACAAAATACTATTAAAACTAAAGAAAATTGGGTCAATTGCCAGTATAAATTTTGTATATCTAGAACCAATAATTTATATACTCAAAGATAGAATTTTGCGTATTATAGAATATATGAATAAGAGCCTAATAACGAGAGATAATATTAAAATAAATATTATTGTACCCTATAATTCGAATATTTTGGAAGAATATACTAAACTTGCTGGTATAGATTATATGGATATTTCTCCAAGTATTAATCTCGCAAATTTTGATTTTAAAAGTATAACAAGGACTCTTAGGGAAAAATATGATCGGTATGACATTAATATAGTATGTATAAAATCTTTATTTTTGTTTTTTTGTAATAGTTCTAGTATATATGATAGCAAAAGAGCTATTTTAGATAATATAAACTTGAATACAAGAGGTAATGTGCATTTATTTTGTACATGTAAATCAGATGGCCTATTTCCAATATTAGAGGACGATATAGATGAAATATACAAATCAGCTGTGCTTCAGAGGCGTAATATGAATAAATTACCTTATGAAATGCCTATATTATTTAGTCCTGAAAGCATAAAGAAGAACTTAAATCTTTTAGAGCTTGAGAATTTACCATTTTTTTTACGAGATAGTTATTCTAAGCATATTATTCAAATAATGACATTTATTATGCAGATTTCTGGAAATAAAAATAGTAATTATACAGGAGATGATCTAAATGATTGGATTATTCCAGTTACAGATATTTTTTCGCTTGGGCCTTCTTCTAGAATAGTTGCTACACACTTAGCAAAGAGTTGTAGAAGAATTGCTAAAAATAGAAACTTCCAACTTTCTAATATCAAACTAGAATCAAAGGATACCTTTGATGAAAAGATTACACTGGTTATAATGGACAGGACTATGGATTTTGTATCCCCAATATTTTCTCCAGTTTCCATCACATCAACTCAAGATTTAAATGTGACTAAGTTCAATGAAGAGATTTTGGAGTATTTAGATAAATCTACAACTTATAAACCAGATAAATTAGATATAGACATAAGTTCAGTATATCAATGTGAAGAATCAACTGATCCAACAGTACTTTCTGTATTGTTAGATCCTGACAAACTTCAGAAGGATCTTATATTATCTGATCAATATCCAGTAATATCTTTTCAATTCATTGCAATATTAAGGGATTTTCTGAATAAAATAAAGAATAACAAAGACCAAGAAATAAGTTATAATAATTACATAACAAGAATATTAATGTGCATATCTTCTCCATTATATCAATGTAATCGAGATGAAGTTCCAGGATGGATTAAGGTTTTAACCAGTATAAATCAATCCAATCTAAGCTTGAAATTATGGAATCAAATCTCAAATGATTATAAAGATGAATCTAGTCGCTTTATTATTCTCAAATATATCACAAATAATTTGGCAAAAGTATTTGATATTGAATTGCCAATAGAAGTAAGTATTAGGAATTACGAGAATCCTGAGAATGACTTCATTCATATTCTCGAGATATTAATTTATATACTTGAGCAATTGAGATTTAAATTAATGCCACCATCTGTGGTACTACCTTGGATATCAAAACCGAATAATGCAATTAACAATTATGATATTGACTTAGATACCATGGTATTTATATCTTCACTTCACATATTTTTATTGCCATTAATATTTATGAATTCAAATCCATACTTTGCAATATTTTCTAAACATCTAAGACGTAAATTTACTTGTACAGCCTTTGAAACTATAAATGCTAATAAAGATGGAGTGGAGTATATGAAATCAGATATAATGAATATATTAACAATGGCTATATCCTGTGCTTGCTATGAAGGGCCTGACTGTAGATTATCATCGTTTAATATTAATATTCCACAAATTAAGGAAATTTTGAAACTCCAACAACGTCTTCTAAGTATTAGGTCATGTCGTTCTAGTCTAAAACATCGTTCATTTAGAAACTTTTCATATGCTAATTTATTGGCAAAGTCTAATCCCTACTCAAGTCTTATAGCCCAAATTATTGCTAATATTATGTCGGAAAATTCTAAATATTTAGATGATTTATATTATTTACAACTATCCAATACCAATGCAAAAGATAACCATGACAATTCAACGATTATATTGAATATTATTGGTGATATATCACTTGCTGAAATTCATGAAATCCAAATTTTGCTAGATAGTTACAAAAAAAATATAGCATTCAATTTTTACATTATTTGTGATAACATTACTTCTCCATATAGCTTATCAAGAAGAGTACTCAAACCAATATCGAAGCTAAATGATGAGATTTTATGAGTTTAAAAATTCATTTGTACTATCCTTTGATCTTATTTATTTTATAGGATATATTCTAGTATAGAGAATCATATTAATGAACATATAACATTTTTCAACTTTACGAGATTTGCTCTATTGTTTGAGTTTATCCACTTGTAGTGAGGTAGGGCTGTATTTGGATGCACAATAATAACCATACTGCAAATACCATTAATTGCAGCTGAGGGAGGTGATGAAGATGATGCAATATCTTTTTGTCTTCTCATCTGGATTATTATTTCAGATATCATCTTCCCATTAAACAACTTGTTCAAATTTTTTTCCTCAGATTTACTATATGGGCTTGGATATATTTCTTCTATATTATATGTGAAACCATGACCAGAGACACTACCTCTTGTTTCATTAAATCTCCCCTTAGATGTTGAATCAGATGAGGATTGAACTTTTAGAGTACCAATAAGTACATATATAATATCGTTTAGTAATATGTGATGATCTACAGATATATTTTCATCTGTTAAGTTATTAGTAATGTTGCTATCAAAATTTAAAACTAATAACGAATCACTTGTAACTATTGCAAGTTTAGAACCATCACCACATATGGAAGTATAAAGTAGACCACCAATTACTTTACATCCACTAAGATCATTTATTTTGTTGAGCTCATTATTACTAGATATTGATTTAAAGTTATATAATCGTTTTAGTAAATTACAAACGAATGCATGTTCAATTGAGTAAGGTGCAATAATACCATAATTTGTGTAGAAGACCCTTGTAAATCTATGTTGACATGTATTACCAACACGATCTACCGTAGATGCCTTCTGAATACCCTGTGCAGCTTTTTGAGTAAAGTCCAACACTCCAGTAATAGGTTTAACTACAGCAGCAACTAATCCTTTAGTTAAACCAAGAGCCAATGAGTTGGGATTTCCAGTTGTGGCTCCTTCAACTACTTCCCCTACAAGACTAGAGAACCCATCAGTAACAGACTTTCCAAATGCATGAGCACCTATGCTTAAGCCATCCATTAAATCACGAGGTTGTTGTCCATGTACAAATCTTCTTCTCTCTTCTATATACTTCTCATCCATTGTCAATACTCCAGCAATTTGGCTTGCGGTTCCAGCCATCTTAGAAATTGCTTGAAAGGCTCCAAATACAGAATGATTCATAAAAGACTCTATTCCACGTTTAACACCAGTAACTACACCATCTTCACTTCTTCCAGATGTAACTGCATATATTGGCTCATAGAACAAGTCTCCAATTCCTGCACCAATATTAGTAAATGAATTAACAGGATTTCCCACTGATCCTAGAGATGTTGCAATAACATAGAGCTGATTATATAATTCATGCTCATAATGCTTTTTTATTTTAGTAATTATATCTGATAAGTAAGAGGATTCATCTAATTCAAATTGATTTAACCACAATGGAGCATCCTCAATAGTTGTAATAGACCGAATTAATGATGATAACATTAGTCCAAAGGTGTGAGCAAACTGCTCCAAACTGTGGGATAAATTTAATGAGCTTGAAGATAAAGCTTGATTAATTTGTAAAGTTGAGTTATTTCCATCTTTTTCCGTTGACAAAGAAAAAGATTTTAAAGGGTCCAAGTTAAATGTTAAGTGAATTACCAAAGGATAAATCCTGAATTTTCTAATATATATGCGTTTCAGCAATGAAAAACCTTCATTTTTGTTAGATGAGTTTCTATCTTCATCTATTTCGGCTTTATTTACAAATAAGTCGAAGTAGTGATTCATCATTGTTAAAATATATATAAATTGAGCATCAAAGCATATGTTAATACCCATAAGTCTTATAGAGAAATCTTTTATAACTATTATTGGTAATGATCCATATTTTTTAGATGAATTGGCTATTTTATTAATTTTTTGTTTGCTTAATAATATATTTGTATAGCCAGATGATTCTATATAGTCACAAATTTCTGCAAGGCAACTTTCAGCTAAGGATTGAGTAGGAGTAGGGACAAATAAGTTTTTGAATTTATAATCTGAAGGTTGGATTTTATCTTTTCTAAAGCTCAAAGATATTATAACTATAGGTAAATTATTTATATCTTGTTCAAATGAAGATGATGAAGATAATGATGAATTTGTAGAAGATAATTTCGAAATATTTAATGTTTGTGAAGCAGTGAGAAATTTTTGTTCCAAAGTATTCAATGTCCTTGAAGAGCTTGAAGGAAGCCTTTGCAACAATACGGGATATATTGAATCTTTATACTGCAAATCAACTTGAATATTACCTATAGCTAATTGTAAATGTTGACTGGCAGTTTTAGTACCATGATCATAGTTACAAATCACATCATCCAGAACTACCAAAAACAATTCTTCCGGGTAGCTTACTGTATTCAAACCAACTATTGAGCATATTATCTGTCTCATAAATATGTTTATTTCATATTCTATTGAATATTTATCTAATTTGATTGTAGTGAATCTAGAAAGAGATAAAGAAATTGAATTACTTGGTATACAGGCTATATTTGATGAAGATGAAGTTGAGGAAATCTTTAAGGGAACTTTTACTGGTTGTAATAAGGATAAAGCATAATGTATTTTTCCATTTAATCTAAACCAGTCCATAAAATCTGTATATGAAAAGATGCAAAATACCCAATGGTCTTTTTCCAACCTACACCATTTATATATCAGCCATTTATCTTTGTTAGATGATACGAAGTCATAAACTTCAAATGAACTAGTTTCAAGAGGCATTTGAATAAATCTTCTATTTACTGGAGATTTCATATTTGCTAGGTTATTAATATCCCCTTCAAAACTTGAGTTTTCACTAAGTATTATTAATTCTCTAGGAGAAAAATAATCAAACCATATATATTCACGTATTGTATTTTGTTGAAAAGTTTGCAAATCACCTGTCCTATTCATTCTCTGAGTAATATATACTTTTTTATTTGAGCAATTGTAAATAAATAAAGATGGGCTTGATACGTTATTAATATTCACCTCTTCAATGCAGCATTTAGATATTTTCAGTATTTCTAAATCAAGAAAATTATCGTATATTGAACTTACTAACAAATAAAATTGCTTTTTATTATCAGGAAGCTTATCAAAATTCGGAAACTTATTATCAAGCAAAATTTTCCATGATTGACCCTTGTTAAGCCCAAATGGAAGTAACACTTTAGAATCCACTGCAAGATTCAGTATTTTTGTACTAGGTTTTAATTCAGAATGATCTCTACACACATTTACAGAATTCAGATTTGTCATTTTGTAGATGAAAGCTGGAAAATACGAAATCCATGTTTTTGGTTTTAACTTCAAAGTAAATGATGAATTTAAAATTTCAATATTCATTGAAGTATCATTATACACCATTGATTGAGAATAGATAGCAAGCACTCCAACTATGTAACTAGTATTATAATTATAATATGGTATTGTGATATTTTTTTCTTGATAACAAATGTTAATGGGAATAGACCCCAACTTATCCTGAATTACAAGACTCTTTACTATTTTATTAGATACATCCTTTTCTAAATTTAAGTCAATAGTAAATTTTTGGTTTTTAATGTAAACTACTAATGAGTCTGATATACCTTTAGTTATCGCAGGATTTGTCATATGAATTGCTCCAGTTTTTTGAATAATTGGGTAGGCAAATTGAGGTATCGAAGAATTCTCCACAAACAGATTTTCTTTAGAGTTTATCCAATTATCAGATACTTTAACAAATTCTAGTGCTGAATCTAACTGTGCAAAGTTCACCAGTTGGATATCACTAAGTCTTATTTCAGTTCCTATAATACTCAACCAGTTTTGAGAATGAATAAGCCATTTCATTGGATAACCCTTTGGAAAATTTAAAAAGTTGTATATAGTGAAAATGCCTGTTGGATTTTTGCCAGCTACAATACTTCCAATACCAGAACTTAATTGATAACTACTAGTATTGCGACTACTCCAATATCCAACTTTGATTCCAGATATTAAGTCTATTGAACAAGCCCAAAACATCAAAAATTCACTCTGTTTATATTTATTATTGATATCCTTGTACACTCCCATCTCAAGTCTAAACTGATATACTACTGAATTAGTTAATTTTTTTATTCTGTTTCTAATTGGTACGTGTAGGTGCTTTTGTTCTAAGTAATTAATATTTCCTGAATCAAGAATAACTTGCTTCCCCTTATCTTCAGATTCCTCACCAATAATCCTATAATTTAACTCAATAGGTAAGGTTGAAATGATTGATAAGTAAGGGCAAAATCTGACAATATACTGATAATAGTATGAGTTTCTTGATAAAATTAGTCTACTTTCAAATGTTGCATAAAATCCAACAAAAGAATTGTTTAGATTTTTACTACTACATTCCAAATATTGGACATAATGGATAAATTGTCTATCTAAGTTTAACACTGGCTCTTGATTTTTTTTCTCAGAAGTAATTTCATTTAATATATTATATATAGGTAGTATACCATATTCGCTATAATCTAGATTTTCAATGGATCCAATATCTTCTTCAAAGTGGATTCCAAATAAAATATCTATATTTGAGTTTGGTAAGGTAGTTGTTGGTAGTGGTAAAGCTGATGCTGCAGGGATAATATACTTTTTTTGTGCTATTATACTTTCGTCATTGCAATTCACTTCACAATATATCATATCCAATGTAAAATTTAAGTCGTTTATAAGTTGTATTGGGCTGCTCAAAGTTAAAGACTTTGTTATTGCTATATCAAAGTCACCACAATATTCGACTTTGCAGAGAATATATGGAGATGAAATAAGCGTGATATTTGTACTTTCTTTTTTATTTGATATCAGTGGAACTACAAAGTTTCCAGGATTTTCAATAGAAATAGCTCTTCCCATACGAAAGAGAGTATTAAATTTTAATTTACTTTTGTCAAAGATGCCAATATCAATACCCAAAAGTTGAATATTTAATGGGTGAAAACAATTGTCAAACTGGTTTAATCCCTTCTCTTCACCATTTAAGATAACCGTTGAAAATAAGAACATATCTTGATCATCATTTTTAATTTCTCTCTTAGATTTTTCGTGAAACTTTTCAAAATTAGGATAGCCAAATATATGTATATCAAAACCAGTGTTATTTATTATTTTATAAGATTTATAATTTATCAGCTTTTTATATTCAACAAAAAAGCAATTTTCTGTTAAAAATTTTGAATGAAACAATAAAGTCTTAAACATAATAGGTGACATGTTAAAACTAGTTTTCGTCGGAAACTGTGCATTAATCTTAACAAGCGATCTACCAGTAGAATTACACTTTGTAGAGTGAATCTCATTAGTTGAATATTTCTCAACATTTAAAATGAAACTGCATTCTTCTATAATTGGTTCATAATATCCATGTTTAGGGTTTAAAAACCATAAAGTGATTTCTGCATCATTGTTTATATGTTGAATTGGGAGTTTAATCTTTGAGTCTTTATTTAAATTCATAGAGTAATTAAAGTTATACGATTGAATGTGAAATTTTAAAAGTGGTATATTACACAAATTATTTACTGAATTAAGTAAAATAATGTTGGATTTGTAGATAATAATGTTCCAACTTGTACCACCATCTTCATATGAATCTGTCAATGTGGTATTGATATTATACAACTCTATATTTTTAGATATTACTTCATAAGAACTACAAATTAATCTATATATTAGAGATATATGTATATAGGAGAAGTTTATTACAAATGGCTGAGTGATAAATTTCCCACTTCTTTTTAATTTTTTAGTATGAATTAAATTTTCATCTGCTATTGTAGAAATATTGTAGAGCAAATGACCTTCAAAATTTTTCCAAAATACTAAGTCATAATATTCTTTTGTAGATAATATAAGCATAGATTCAGATAACATTAAATTTGTAGTGGATTCTTCATTTTCCAATATTCTAGTTGTGTTAAATATATTTGATGATTGGGACGCTAGTGTCTCTATTATCAAACTTTGTTGCCTTTTATACTCAGTATACTCAGAATTCATATTTGTAGTATTATTCTCGACAATAAAATCATTAATTAACTTCAAGTGATTAATCTCATAATTTCCTTTTAAAATCAAGACAATATCACTATTAGAGTACGATATATTAACTTGCTGTAGCTTAATACTGAAATTTTTATTTAGCAAGATTTTATTATCGCTCTTATTTTCTTGTTTTGTTTTATATTTCTCTTTTTTAAATAATTCAAATTTAGTGCTTTGATATTCAAATGTTTCCATAAATGCACAAAAATACTTGTATATTTCTATAAAAGCTTCCAATTTGTAATCAATATTAATAAAAGGTGATATCAGATTTATATCAATTAGTTTCAGCATAGAAGAATTTTCAGTATTTGTAGCAGAGTATTTTAATAAATGGAAAGGGTATTGAGTCCTTTTAAATATCTCAGGGAAATACTTGTCTTGATACTCTACGCATGAATATATTTTAAATTCAGAACTATTGTCTACCATTGAAGATAGTGGATTAGAACAATTTTCTTGTAAATCCTTTGCCCCATTCACCTCAATTAATGGTAAACCTCTTTTATTACTTAAACTAAATTTCAAAAAACACACACTAATCACAGAGATGTTCTTGGTAAAATATTTGTTTATGTATATGCCCAACTCTGTAAAATCTAAAGTAATAAAATCTTTAAACCCAGATCTATCTAATTCGACTTCTTTTACTTTATGAAGTAATTGGATTTTTAACTTAGGAAAAAAAAAGTGTATAGCATGTGTAGGTTGAGTGTTTACATCTTCAATAAAATAATTGGAACTTATTCTTGATTTGTAGCATTCAATTACCTCATTTCCAAAGTATTTGAGTTTTATTAAGTGAGGAAAATATTCATTACTTTCTTCATTACTTTTATTATAATAAGGATCTGAAATTGTTCTTTTAGATATTCTCCTTAATTCCAAAATATCTTCATCATCATACATTATATTCTGAACAAATACACCAACTAATAAAGATATATATTTTGGTTTAAAATTCAACTTTGCTATTTCAGAAGATCCGAAAAAACAACTCAAGTCAAAAGGGTAAGCTTTATTTGTTTTCTGGCATCTTCTAATATGGAAATTCAAACTTGGAAGTGTACCTATTTCATTGTAACTTCCTACAGAATTTTTATCCTCACCTTCGAAATAATATAGATTTACCCCACAAAACTTAAATATATATAGAAGCAAATTCTCACCACAAAACTTGCTAAAAACATTGTATTTGTTATGAAAGTGGAAATGATCTATATTTAGTAGAATCTTTGGTTCTTTAGACGCATATTCTTGATCTGTTGATGCTGGAATAATTACTTTGAAATTTTCAAGTTTAATATCTTTTAGTGATATATAAGAATTTGAATCAGATATCTCATTAGATGTTATAGACTGAATATTTTCCAATATATTATCAAAATAGAATATTGAATGCAAGAATTTGTCAAAAAATAGTATTACTGTTACTCGATTAGCAGTTACAAATACCTGAGATGTAAATGTCATTTTATACATTGTTTTTATTTCATATCCCTTTATTAAGTGAACTTTCTCACTTAGTACGATTTTTAAAAGTAAATTTGCATCTAGAAACTCTTCAGGACTTACTTCAAATATTAGAATATTGCTGTGATCATATATAAAGTAACAGGATATTGACTTTGTAATCGCATTAATTTCAATGTTTGATTCTTTTGTTCTTCTAATTCTAATAATGTTAGTCATATTCATTTCAAAAAATTCTCTATTACGCTGATAGCTAATTAATCCAAATTCATCAAATGTTATTTCCAATGAGAACAAATTTGGGTTTGAAACTTGGTTCTCCTTACTGAGGCTACTAACTAAAGGCTTACATTGAGAAATTTTATTAAAAAATTCAATTAAACTTTGCAGAATTGTAGGCCTTAAATGAACTTTAGTAGCTTTAGAGTCCAATTTTATTATCAAGTTTTTATCAGTTTCTCTTAGTGGAACTTTTGTATACACATGCACATCTGAATTAACAAACAAAGAAATAGAAGATGCTTCAAAATCGTTATTTATTATACAATCTCCCAAAATCTTCTCTACAAAAATATTTACAATGGAATTTTGATCATAATTCAAGTTTAACATTGAAATAGAGTTCCCAGACAACCTTAGACAAAAATAAGTATCTAAGGCACAATCAAAAACTAAGTTTTGAAGTTTAACGAACCAGAATAATTGATAAACCTTATTAAATTTATTTATGTTAGATGTTTCAATAGGTATTTTATTTTTTGTCCAGTCAAATATATCAATACCAGCATATTTAACGAGATTTATAAAATTTGTGTATAATTGATTGTATACTTTAAGATCAAAATTCAATGTTATACTTTCAATATTAAGAGATATATATAAATTATCTAATAACTCACCATTTAAATAGGTATCTGAAGATTTCACATCTAGACAAGATGAATTTGTAGCTAATGCCAGATTTATAAATGATTTTTCATTAAATAAATTACTACTAAAAATATCCAAATGTGATAAAGCGTCAAGAAGTTTTACATATTTAATACAAGTTTCGTCAAACATATTGTATTTTTTGTAATTTAGTGAATATAATTTCGCATCAATACAATCTATATTAAATAATGTATAGTTATTTGAACATTCACATTTTACCTTGCAATTGTCAGTAAAACCCTGATTACTTTTCTTATTTATTGAGCCCTTTTTTGGGTACTTGTAAAATATTGGATATGAACTACTATATGTACATAAATATATGTCCTCTACTTTAATATAATAATTTTGACTATTAATACATTTAAACCAAAAAACTTTACTTTTTGTTGGAGAATATCTATAAAAGGTTGGAAATTCCTTATTCATTAAATATTGGGAATCAAAAGCATTTTCAGTATTCAATCCATCAATTTCCAAGCAATTTTTTTCCCAAGGACGTTTGTTAGTTACGGATATCTTGCCAAAACTAACAACCCCACAGATTGACTCATTCAACTCAGTTTCATAACAAAAAATAAGAATTGGAGTTGCAATATATATGTCAAATTCTACTAATTCTGAATCTACAATAAAACTATTTTTATATTGATCACTTTGTTTTAAGTCATCTCTAGTGTTCTCAACTTCTGTCTGACCTTTATCTACCCTGACTTCCTGAGGCCAGTGATAATTCTTGTTCTTAATCAGTTTTTGAGACCATGAATAAATCGAAAAAATTACATTTGAATATATATTCACACAACATTTCTCTACATTTAGACAAATAGATTGCTTATTTTCACTCTTAACAGTTTCCATAGAATTATTTGTTTCTAGTATTGCATCTGAGCTAGTACTAGCTGATGCACCACGCCTCCTAATGGAACTTCCAGAAATGAATGAATTAGACCTGAATACATAATACCCAGTAAACCATCTATTAAATATTTTCTTATTAGATTGGTTATCTGGATATATTAAATGATATATATCATCATTCTTATCTGCATAATCTAAAGAAAATTCCTGTAATACTATCATTAATGACAAATTTGACTCGGATTGTAGGAAATCAATACCAAAATTGTCTATAGCTCCAACAAGAGTAGCTGAATTTGTCGATACTGGCTTATCTAAATCATCTGTAAGTAAAATCTCTAACTTCATTTTCTTTAAAATTATTCTTATAGAAATAAATGGGGATTGTGTATATATATATGGTGTACTGGAAAAAATAGATGTTACATGTAGTTGGCTTTGAGATTTTTGTTCAGCTTCTTCAGAATGGCAATCATAAAAAGATGAAGAATCAATATCTATAGAAGTGCACGAGCTAATAGCATCTACTACTTGTAAATTTTCTTCATAAAAATCAGAATTAGGTTGACCCATTTCTTCATTTAAATTATCAAAGTTCTTTCCTTCAGATGCATCATAGAAAATCTCCGAAGAATCCACAGCTGAAGGAGATAATAATTTGTGAAGACTAAGAAGCCATTGCTTCCATCCTATTTTACTCATTTGAGTATTTTCTAAGCATTCCTTTTTAGATAAAAAAATATTACTACTTTTTTGGAAACCTTCTTCAACCCACTTATGAACTAAAGATGTATGAATATTCAAAAATATGTTAAAGGGTATACGAGTACAGTAATATTCACAATTCTGCTTGGAAAATTCTAGTAATGAAGTGCTAAATTGACTTACATTAAATGTAATATCACACCTGTTCATAGATTCTTCAAAATATTTTTGAAATAACTCCGAATAATCTTTGCAATACATTAATATCTTTGCATCTCTGTATGTGTCCTGTACTTTAAGAAATGCAGAACAGCTACTATTAGATGAACGATTTAAACAATTTAAATCTTCTCTTAAAATACAGCCAGCTGCATACTTCCACCAAAGCCTTGCATTACCCTTAATTGGTACATTTGGCCTATATAGATATCTTCTTTCTAACCTAATTTTACCAGATTCCATACAATTATTGAAGTATTGAAGATAATCTAATAAAAATGAAATATGTGTAATAATATCTTTAGAGATAGTAACAGTTACTTCATCCAGAATTCCATAAATTGTATAAAGTGGCTTCTTTTCATTATCAAAAGCATCATTATATTGCCTAAGTAATAACTTACAGCAGAATGGATATATTAAAGGTTTACATATTGAAGAATGTCCAGAACTTTTTAATATATCTGCATCTGAAATACCATCTGGATGAAGATAAACTGTAAGACCGTTTAATTCTAATAACTTATAAGAGTAACTTGAAGAATTTTTAAATTGAAAGAAATGATCAAAATATATTGAATTCAAATTTTCAGAATCAATTGTAAATAATTCTCTTGATGAGTCTATTTGTCTCTGATAACAATCTAGGAGCTCGGGTCCTAGATTTATTTCAGTACTATTATGTAAATCTACTGATTCGACAGTATCCAATACCTGATTTTTAACTATTAAATCATTTATGTGAGGAATTGATCGGATCTCCAATGATCTCAAAATTATTCCCAAAAAAAAATTATCTTGCATCGTAGTGCTTTGCAGTCTGACATGAATATGCCGAAAATGAACTCTAATATCCTGAATAAGTCTAGATATTATTCTCCTCCAAAATGGTTGACTATTTTCATGTTTGTGAACTCCTCCTTTAACATTAAATTCTTCTTCAGCTAACTCAGTCAGAAGTTGCAAGTTCCAATGCTCAATTAGTTTTAGTCTACTCAAAGCAACCAAATTTTCTATATGACTAGTATTCATTTCAAATTCATCTAGAAATGTTGCATTTAAATTTAATTCATCAATTTCAATAACTAATGGAGCATTACTATTAGATCTTAATATATTACCATATGGTATTGAGATGTTAATAGTTTTTATACTACCCTGAATAACCTTTATAGGTAGTTTCAATTGCTCAATAATTCCTTTCTTAATTTTTACACCCCTTAGTTGTAATTTACCAGAGTTTAATCCCAATTCAAAGCTATCCTCTGAGACATTTTCTAAATACTTGCCAATAAATGCTGTAGCCCACTTAGCCACAAAACTGGATACTCTAGAAACTGCCCTCTTCATTTAATATCAACCAATCAAATTTGTGATTGTCCCATAAGCTTTGTTTATATTTAGTTCCAACTGAAATGTTCCAAATTTTTTTTTGAATTTTTTTTTTATAAATTCTTTAAATATGAAACGATTTGTCTGAAAACCTACCCGCTACAAAAGCAAAAATTGCATGCACCATTCCCGGTCTCATGATGTATATGTGGCGCTATTAAACTCTAAAAAGTTCATTTTTTTTTTTAAATGAACCACTAGTGAAATTATTAACAATACAATCTACTCTTATTTTCTATTTTATTGAAAAGGAGTTATTTAGAACTATTGTAGTACTCTAATATCTGCACTTGATGATATATTATGATATATAGGTAATATCAACATAAATTTAAATTGGTATATAAAAAAGAAAAAAAAGCCTAATCTTACTTTACAAAAAGATATTACACTAAAATATAAAATTAAATAGTTCCTAAGCTATTATATATAGTAGAAATATAGTAAATTAAGAAAAAAAGTGGAAATACTTCATTATAACTATAATCCCTTAAGTCATATATAATACAACCTTCAAAAGCTACCAAAGAAAAGAAGAGGAAATTGGCGAATTTATTTACTGGAATTACTGTCCCCACCTTGAGAATAGTAAAATTCGTGATACTTTGCACTTTTTAATGCATTAGTTTTAAAATTTTGACCTCTAGTATCATAATGAATAGCTATATTGTTATTTGAATGCAAATTTAATGCTGTAGCTTGAGATTGAGCAACACAAAACTGAGGTTTCCCAGTTTCAGGAGTCCCATTTTGGGTTGTATATATAGGTGAAAATGTTGTATCTTCAATTGAAATAACACTTTGATCTGATTGTGTTAAATTTACATTATGATTTACTGATTTGTCTATAATCATAAAGGCTGGAACACTATCACTACATGCAGGTTCCAAAGAATTTTCTCTAATTGATGAATCCATAGATATATTACTGATCTGAATATTTCCTTGATTTTCACTATTAAAATCTCCATCATTATCTTTATTATTCCTACATGCTACACAACACAATATAATTGAACCCAATGCAACTGCACCTCCAACAGATGACCCTATAATTAATGCAGAATTTGCTGGTCTATCAGATAATTTTTGTAATGATTCATTATTTAAATCAACCTGTACTGTTGTATTTATGTCATCTTGGTATCCTAATATTTCTTGTGAGTGATAAGGGAAAGAGTACTGACTCATTATCTCATTTTCTTCTTCACCAAATCCCATCAATGATAAATCATCTAACATATCTTTACTTTCATAGTTTGGCTCAGAAGATCCAATTATTAATTGTTTTTCAATATAATTTAAAGTATTTACTATTGGTACACTTGTATATTCTATTGTAGTTACAATATTACTACTGACTGTAGTAGTTGTAGTTGTAGTAGTAGTTGTAGTAGTTGTAGTAGTTGTAGTAGTTGTAGTTGTAGTAGTAGTTGTGGTAGTTGTAGTAGTTGTAGTTGTAGTAGTTGTAGTTGTAACTGCTGTTCTAGTACTAGTAGCTACTGTAGTGATTGTAGTTCTACTTGTAAACTCACTATTAACTGTATTTGTAGAAGTTCTTGACATATGTGAATATTTATTATTTTCTATAATATCAAGACCATAGTATTTTTGACTAGTTACTACAGGTAACAAAACCATTGAATCCGAATTTTCGGAAATATTTTCAGAAGATGACCAAGAATACTTGCCCTGTTTTAACCTAATATCATGAGGATTAGTAGTATTATTAAAATTAAGAAGATTTCCCTCTCCATATTTTGATTCTCTCCACTCAAAATTTATATTTGGAGTACTACTATGAGTATTTAAAATCCATGCATTGTTAATAATATTTGAAACATCATTGCAAAGCTCTGTACTAGCATTATTTGACCATAAATCTGAACAATTTAAACTACTAAACTGAGGAATATCAAATTTTGGTTCTTTATTAAATATTTCATCAACTTGTTGAATCAATTCCGAATATTTTCCTGGAGGGCCCCCTCCAGAATCATATGCTACAGTTCCACAAATAGCACATGATAACTCTGAGTCTATAAGCCAACAAGGCCTCCTTCCAAGGCCCCCCTCATCATAAAAACCACACTTTTCAAAAGGAAATGTCAACTTAACCAACCAATTTGCTGAATAATTGGAACTCCAAGTTATATCACTATCTTTTATAGAAACTGGATGTTCTTCATCTATCCAATACCAACCTGGTGGATACCTAAATAAAGTATATTTCCTTAATCCTACAAAGCATCCATTGGCTGTTTTGTATGTATTTGGAAATTCATTCAAAACTCTCTTTACTGCTTTATCATCTGTTTTTTTATGTACTGTTGCTAAAGTCACTGGATATTCATGCATATTTGCTTCTCCTAAGTAACTTGCCTTAGTTACTGCTGTAGATCCTAGTTCATTACATACTCTAAATCCATAAGAATATGTTCTTGGCTTATCAAATGTTACAACTTTAAAACATCGAGTATTTTCACTATTAGGAGTCCAACCAACAGGACAAATTGCTCTTCCAGCAGTATTTGAACTTAGTATTCCATGAAATAACCATGTTAACCAAATTAATACTAAAAAAGTTAGATGTAATTAAATTTCAGTAATTAGATCTATCATTTATAATTTTAATCTAATTCATTAATCTTACCTATTGCCTCATCACGTATAAAGCCATTAATCATCATACTTTAAATGTATATTGATATTTAAACTTAAGTTTTTTTGGCCCTAATTTTATTTGTGTCATATATTAGCGAAGTCTATCTAAAATTCCATGCTTAATATATTTTCCGGGACCCGGTACCGGGTTATCTTATAAAAAAGCCCAAGATAACATTAGCGCCATTCCACTTAATAATTTGCAAAGTGGAAACTAATAAAATGTAAATTTTAGAATTAAAAAAAAAAAAAAAAGAGAACATGAGCAATACTAAATTAGATGAATTTGAGACAGTGGTATGTAAATTTATATATATAAGATTTTTATTTAAGAATTTACTTAAAACTTAAATATATTTTAAATAGGATGGAGTTTATTCCTCAGGATGTATAACCGAAGTTGAATCTATTGCACAAGCCCTAGTTGATCTTGTAGAAGGATTTCCTGAAATATTAGAGGATAATTGTAATATTGATCTTGAGGTGCGTTAACTAAATTTAAATCCTATACTTTTTTCATTATCAAACTTTATATTATATATTCTTAGATCGAAGGTCGAATTGGCACAATTATGAGTGATACCTCTCGTGAAAGGATTAAACTTCCTTGTGAAGGTCTAACTCTATTAGCTCCTTCCGATAAAGATTTCCCATATCGTTTTGTTCCTGGTGTACAAAAATGGCAAATGCAAGCAGTTATAGATGAGCTTAAAAGAAATCTTGAAGAAACAAAAATTCCTTATAAAGTTAATACAAGAAATACTTCAGATTACTATGTATTAAATTCAGAAAATTCTAGTCATTCTGATAAGTCACTTATTCGTGTAAGCTTTATTTCACCTAAAACAGCCACAGATAAACCAGTAGATGCTATTTGGAAAGAGAAAATTGCTATATTTGATTTTTATAGCCCTGGGTATAATAATGATATTGATGGACATTGTAACTATACTGATCAAACATTTAAAGATTTCCGTATAGCAATTAATATAGAACATAAGGAAAATCCAACACTGATTATGAATTCATTAGTTGGACAAATTGAAAATGTATGTGTTCTAGAAAGAAGAAGAAATCGTGAAACACTTGATGTTTCTACTTTTATATTAGATGCTACAAATGTAACTCAAATAGAAAGTCGAAGAGGTTATAGGCATAATGAAACATATGAATTAGAGCTTGAACTAAAGTCATCACACTTTTTACCTTTATTAAAGTCTTATGTAAAGGAATTAAATAATGGGAATTTAAAAATAATTGGACAACATTCATTTATACGTCTTTTTAACAAATTTCCTTAATTTATCATTTGGGATAACTTTATTTTTAAATAGTCAGAAACAAAATAATCAAATTAATGTAGATAATCCAAATAGCAAAAACTCTGATATTAGTAAAATTATAGATCTAACAATGTGTACTCAATCCGAAGAACTTATCGAATACTATAGGAAATATATTTGCCCTATAACCCCTATCTTAGGTGACTATCTATATAGAGCAATAGCTAAAAATAAGATAGAATATGGAAGAGATGAACCATTATCAGAAACTGATATTAAAGTATCTCTTGGTATATTACCTATTAAAGTTGATAAAGTGGAGACATAATATTATATTTATACAATTTTTCCTATTAATGAATATAATATAGGTAAATTTTTGTCAGACTTTATTGATAATATATTCAAAAGTTGATTCCTATCTAAAATTTGTATATTATCTAAACTTTTGTTTTCTTCTGAATTTATATTCATTCCAGATTCACACAATAAAACTGAACTACTACTTGAATATCCATTATGCATTAAATATTCATAAATAAGAGAATTTATTATTATATTTTCCTTTGGAATACATGGTTTAGAATCCTCCTTATAATCAAAAGGAAATTACATTATAATAATCATAATTTTAATATTAAAAAAAAAAAATCTACATACCTCATCATTAATTGCAACAAGGATCTCAGCCATTAACTTGGCTTTAATTTCATTTAAAATACCTCTCTTGTCTAACTCACACCTTACCACTAAAATAGTCAAATCCACATTATTTATAAATATCAAGTCAAGTCAAGTCAAGTTATACATACCATCCTTTAAGTCATCTAGAGATATATCCTTTGAAGCCATTATATTCTTATATATTGCTTTTTTTTAATATATAAATTCTACTTTTATAAGTATTATTACTTATTTTAAAAATGCAAACCCATATTTTGCCGCCTAAAAAAATAGCGGTATTAAATTTATTGTAATATTTTATCTTAAAATGTAATAAAGTTCATAATAAAATCTAATGGGAAATTTTATATATCCTAGAACAGCTGCAAATATATCACCAGATAAATCATTTTATGATTATACTCTTAAAACACTTGAAGGAGAATTATACCCCTTATCATCACTTAAAGGAAAAGTTGTTATGATAACAAATGTAGCATCGAAATGTGGCTATAGTTATAAATATTATAACCAAATGGTAAGAATGCATTCTGTATTTGCTCCTTTTGGATTTGAGATATTGGCAATTCCATCAAGAGAATTTCTAAGACAAGAATATCTAGATCCAAAAGATATTCGTAAGGCTATTAATTCATTTAATGTTGAGTTTCCTGTAATGGAACTAAGTAATGTTAATGGTGAAAATGCCCTAGATCTTATTAATTTTTTAAAATTTAATACTCCAGAATTATATGATAGAAATAAAAATGAATTAAAAGCTATTAGTTGGAATTTCTCAAGATTCCTTGTTAATAAAAGTGGACAAGTTGTTGCTTTTAGAACAACAACAACAAGTCCTGAGGAGTTAATACCAAAAATTGCAGAATTACTTAATGTTAAAAATTATCAAGAATTACTTGACAAATATGATCAGGATTATCCTCAAACTATAGAATATCAAGCAGATACATGTAGTTTAAATTGAAATATAAAGAAAAAAAAAATCATAAATTATAATAAACATTTAGACTTAATATTAATTATACTATTATTTTGATTTACAAAAAAAGTTCATATGTAGCAAATATTGAAGATAATGAAGGTCCTATTACAGATAACATACTGAATGAAATGATGATGAAGTTTATAATAAATGATTTACTATTATACCATAATATATAGTATACAAAAACTGGATATATAGCTGCAGTAAAAGCATCTATATAACCACAAAATAACTCCACATATTGAGTACAACTCCTTGCAATATGAGATAATAATATTGCAATTAGTAAAATACTAATAGATAAATATACACGGTAATTTCTAATAATCCTGTATACTTTAGCTGCTTGTTCATCAGTTTGTATTGATATTAATTCAGAAGAATCCAAACTTCTAGCTTTATATTTATAAAGCTCCTTATAAATAGATGTCATTGTTGATTCTGTTGAATTACTTAATTTAACACACAAAGTATAGTCATGTTGATTCCTATCCTTAAAAAGTACTTGGAATACATCTTCTATTGCTAATTCTGACATATAATTAATAAGACCAATATCATTAATTATAAAATTAGATAGAGATATAGTAAAAAGAGGTATAATAACACATAGAGAAATGCAACTCAAAATACGTGAAAATCCCATTATATGGTCACAAGGAGAAAAATTCTGGGTAATATTATTCATAGTTGCTTCTCCAAAAGTATAATAGGCAGATATTGTCATTAATAATGAAAAAGATAATAAAAATATCATAGAAGCAGAAATTACATAAATACAACGTTTTGAACTACATTTCTTGACATTTAATACAGCAGGTACCACAAGACAATGACAAAGAAATGCATATGTTGCAAAAGAAAACATTTTAGATGCTTCAAAAAATCCATGCGAAGGTAATAATGCTGTTGGACCCATAATTGGAGGCATTGGACCATCATAAGGAATAATTATAGATCTGAAAAATACTGCACTTACAAGAATAAAAAATGACAATACAGAAAACCATCCCAAGAAATCTAAATCTGAAACTTTAGATTTTATTGAAAAAGGTATAACAATAAATAAAAATATAATTGAAAGTATATATTCATTTTTTAAATATTCCAAAAATTTTATTTCTGGATAACTGAAAGTAGCATGTGTTAATAAATCTATAGTAAAACTTCTTAATAATATAAAATATACTGGAAGAGCATAAGCCATAGATAAGAAGCAAATTATAGAAATAGCTTTAAAATGAAATTTCATATTTAATCTCATTTCACTAATTTCATCATTAGAAAGAATTATATCAGTTGAATTTGCTAATAAATATTCTTTTGTAAATAATTCACTTCTCTTTCTAATAAATTTTCTAAGAGTATGAAGAGCACTAGTACGTACCAATAAAGATGATAAATCTACTGCTCCTATTTCAAGAGATCCAACAACAAATATTGAATGGGTAATAATTGCAGATATTGCACAAATAATTAATGTAGAAATACCAAGAATAAAACCTGCCATCTTCATGCCATATGTTAAAAATACAATACCAGAACCCAGACAACCAGCAGTCATAGTAGCAAACGCTTTACTAGCGCTTCTAAAGCTATCATCATTCCTTTCTTTTTCAATATCCATTTTTTTCTTCTTCTCCTTATTTTCATTGTCAAAATAAGAGGGGATATTTACAATAGAAACGAAAATATGGCGCTTTTAACGTTATCCTCGTTACCTTTTTTGGCGGTATTTGTGTGTAGATAATGTAAATTATTTTTTATATTTTATAAGGTGTGAAATTTTAATCATTTATGTGCAATAAATCGATGTGTGCAAACTTTAGTTGAAATTTTAAATATAATATTAAATTCTATTATTAAATAATTTGGATATGGCCTTATTTTATCTTAAGGAAGTATTTTTTTTTTAAAATGAAAAATATTAAAATACTTCTTTATATCCTTCCTTTTACATTATTATTTCTTATACAGGATTCAGAACAAAATTATTATAGTGATTATAATTCTAAAATGGATACTGAAGCCTTAGTAATTCAAGATTTCTTGAAATTTCTAGTAAATAATGCTCTTTTCCCATTAAGTGCTGTTTCTCGAGGCTATTGTCTATACCAATCTGTTATATATTATTCAAACGAAAATTTATATCCAAATTTTGAGACTACAGCTTTAGGGGCTATCTTATTAAGTATAAATTGGAAACATACAAATTCTTTTATAAGTAAATGTAATAAATCACTTAAAATTATTGAAAATGATCTTTTAGGTATTAATCGAAACAGAAAGAATAATTGGGTAAATAAAACAATAAAAAATAAAACTATTCGTATAAAAAAAATAAAAATTTGCAATTTAATACATTCTTGTTTAAAATCTCTTGAAAAATATAATCAAATAGAACATTTACGTCAAATATTATATGTTGAAACTCATTATAAAAATCTTTATGGGAATTTAGCAGCTGAAGAAGAAGCTTGGAAAACTATTAAAATAATTAGACAATTATTGGAATCAAATTTATTAGATGGAAATATATATAATTATCTTAAATCATTTATTTTACATCATTATATAAATAGAATTATTATATATGCTAATTTAGAACCAATATCACTTTATGCTTCGATAGGACTTCTTAATACTATGAATAGAGATCATACTTTAAATAATTGGATTTTATCAGCTTCAAAATCTTCTATACATCAGTCTGCATATGATCCTGTTACTAATATTAGATATGATCCTAAAAAGAGTTTAAAATCTAATATTTATAATTTTAAGTATAGGACATGTATTCATGTTATATGGTCATCTAGGATATTATTAGAGAATAATGAACAATCACATTTATTTCTTGAAAGTTCAATGTCTAATTTAATAACATTTTTTCAAGATAGAATTGAATGGTTATGTTATAAATTATTTACTCATACAAAATTAGTTACAAAAGGTAACTAAGAATCTTTTTTTTTAATATTTCATAGATTTTCTATATTATTAAATTAATATTTAATTATAATTATAAATTATTATATTATTTACTAAATTATTAGATAACTATAAGATTAAGATTCTCCTATTTTCTTTTTCTTTTAAAAAATTAAAAATACTATTAATCTTAATAAGGAAATACATTATTTTAATATTATATATATATTTCTTCTTTGTTAAAATATCAGTCATTGAGACTTTATTATCAAGTTTTAACTTGGATACATTATTAGATTATTGGGTGCTAGACTGAATATATCATTATTAGTAAATTACACACTTATTAACAAATGTATAAAAAATATCTTTTTAAATACTTACTATATCATTTTATTGTTATAATAGGTATGTTAAACATATTTTAAAACTTCTAGGTAATAAATTAATCATGAGTTAAAAGAATAACTTTGTTTATTTTTATATTAACTCAACATAAAAGATCTAAAAAATACCTTTATTCTTATTTTATAGTTTCAATATATATATCATATGGAAAAAAAATTGATAACTTTATACAAAATTGGAATCATATTGGAATATATGAAGTGAATGTTCAAGGTTCTAATGATCATAATATAATTCAGAAAGAATTAAACATAGATACTGCAATAAATAGACAAAATATAACATCAAAGGATATCAAAAATAATACAGAAACATCATATAATCATATTATTACTGATGATATTATATGTGAATGTCAGATAACGGTAAGTTATATTTTTTATAAAAAAAAAAAATTAATAAAACAAGGGTATTCATTTTGTATGGGAATATAATAATTATATTATTATTAGTATCTTATATATTAATATTATTTACTAAATTCCTTAATAATTACAAATTTCTATTCATTTTTTTCTTTTTTTTAGAATGAGATATGTTGGCCAAAAGCAAGATGTATTAGTTTAGCTTCTAGTATAACTATTTTATCATTATTCTCAGTTATATTAGTTGCTTGGGTTTTACAAATACTAGTAGCTTATATTGCTAGTAAAGAATATACAAGAATAAAAGAACAGATATTAAATGAAAAAAAAACCAAAAAATTAGCTAAAGATAAAAGGTAGTTTATTACTATAATGCAAATTAGCTTAGTAAATCTAATAAATATTTTCTATTAATATTAAAAATATAAGAAAAAAAATCCCAATATATTGAAATATTTTAACTAAATCAAATCTTAATATCCTATACGCATTAAAAATTTAAAGTTACCTTAAAATAGATCTAATAAATAATTTCATTAATTTTTAAAAATAATCTAAAGATCCTATTATTTGAATTATAATAAAAATATATTCTGCGCCCCCCACCCAGATCTAAATATATATTTAGATCTAGATCTAAATACCTTTAAATAAACAAAAATTTCCTTCAGAAAAATATAAATAATAAGTTCTTTTAAAAATATAAACTATAAATAATTGGATTTTATTTAATGGCACATTCAAAATCAAAGAAACAAAGTTCATGTAATACTTCAGCAGAAGAAAAACAGGATGAAAGATTTATATCATTCATACCAAATTCAATTACTAGAATCTTGGCAATATTATCTTTTATTATAGCTTCAATTTCTTCAGTATATTATAATAATAGTGTTTTTAAAGGTATTATCAAATTTCCTGTATTTGTTTCTTGTATTCAACAATTTATTGGTATTATAATAATGTCAACTGCTGCTCTTATTAAAAATATGGTAAAAAAAATTAAAGAAGATGAATTAGTAGAATATAATAAATCTAAGGATGTTAACTCATTAACTAAACTTATTTATGCAGCTCCAGTAGCATTTTTCTTTTCATTTAATATTTCTTTTAATAATATATGTTTAACTCATGGTAAAGTTTCTACTTATGCAATGGCTAAATCTACAACTTTAATGTGGTCATTACTTTTACAATATGTTCTTCTTGGTATAAAAGTTAAATTAACATCTTTAATCTCTTGTGTTATTATTATTAGTGGTGTATTAATTAGTGCTTTTGATCCAAAATCACTTTTTTTAAAATCTTTAATATATGGTTGTATTTCATCATTTTCACAAAGTTGTTATAATATTACTCTTAAATGGATATTACCAAAAGTTAATAATGATTCTGTATCATTATTAAAATATGTACAATTATTTTCTGTTATTTTCTTTTTTATTCCAATGTTTGGTACTGGAGAATTAATACCAGCATTTACAACTTCTGGTTGTTTTGATTTTAATGATCCAAGAAGAATGATATATCTTTGGGGAATTATAGCAATATCAGCTATATTAGCTATTTGTGTTAATCAAAGTACATATATTGTTATTGGTTTAACTACTCCTGCTACATTTAATGTTTGTGGTTTAGTTAAACAAGCATTACAAACATTAGGTGGTGTTGTTTATTTAGGTGAAAAATTATCATACAGAACACTTGTATCTGTATGTTTAACTTTCTGTGGTTCAGCTTCTTATACTATTACTAATCATTTTATCTCAAAACCAAAAGTAACTGAAGAAGAACAAAAGATTATTGAAGAAAAATACAAGGAAATTGCAAGAAATTCCATTGGTACAGCATCAGATGTTTTTGAAAATGCTCAAGATGATATTATTAATATATCCAAAGTAGATGAAGAAATAATTCCACTAAAGAATGACATTGAACAAGGTCTATCTACTTCTAGAACTGATAAATCTATTCACTAAGATTAAGATCTACTTATTTATTTTATCAAATTATTATTTAATATCATTTAAAATATTAAAAGCTAAGGAATTTCTGTATTTCAATATTACCCAAATATTCTAGAAATCGTGCAATAAGATTAATTTATTTTATCAAAATCATCTAATTATATAAAAATTTATGTAGTTAATATATTGTTAATATATTTACATATTATTAGATAATTATAACTTCAATAAAATCTTATCAAATTTATTAGAAGTTAATAAAAAATTCTAAATTTGTCCATATCTAAGTTCTCTAAGTAACGGTATCTTCGAGCTAGGCGCTAAAAATTTAAAGTGGTATATGCGTACTATAGAAATATCTTGTAATACGTAATATCAATATATGTAGATAAGATCATTATTAAAAATCTTTTTTTTTATTGTTTTTGCTAATTAAGCTTTTAAATATTATTTAAGTTTACTTTTTTTTCTTCTCTTCAATAATAAGATGGCAGTAGATAATAAGACCCCCAATGATATATCATTTATGGGTCTCCCTAAATTTGCAACTGCCTCAATTGCTATTATTGTTTATATGAGTTGTTCTATTGGATGTGTATATTTAAATAAGTGGATATTAACTTATGTTGGACAATGTAATGGTTTTATACCTCTAGTACAGCAAGCTATTGGAGCTATAGTTATGAGAATTTGTATTTCTACTATGAATTTTTTTGGATATAGTGATTCTAATAAAAATAATGAAAAAAATAAAGAAAATAAGGAAAATATTCAAGAACCATCTAATTATTTTGTAAGGATGTACAATAGATATTATTATATTTTTCCAGCTGCATTCTGTTTCTCAGCTACTATTATTCTTAATAATGCATGTCTATCACTTGCAAAATTATCTACATATTCAGTAGCTAAATCTACAACGTTAATATGGAGTGTTTTATTTCAATATATAATGTTAAGAATTAAACTTCCTTTAAGTACTGTTTTATCATGTTTTATGATTATAACTGGAGTTACAGTTGGTTCATTAGATCCTACTACTTTAGCACCCCTTGCAGTTTTTGCAGGTTGTTCATCATCTATTTTCCAAGCATTATATAATACATGTATTGCGCGCGCATTACCATATACCGGAAATGATACTTCTGAAGTTTTAGTTAGAAATCAGGAACTTGCATCAATTATATTAATTATATATTTATTAATATCAGGTGAGATTGTATTTTTATTTCAGAATTCCCCTTGTTTTGATATATATTCTGCATTATTTTTAAAATCATGGTTAATGTTTATATTAACAACGATACTTGCTGCCGGTTTAAATAAATTTACATTTATGGTTATTGGTTTAACTGAACCATCTACTTTTTCAGTTATTGGTTTTACAAAAGCTGCTCTTCAGACTACCGGTGGTTGGTTAATATATAGTGATCCTTATACAACAAAGTCACTACTTTCTGTAACATTAACATTATCTGGTTCTCTAATTTATGGATTAACAAGATCCAGTTCTAAGAAGAATGAGAAGGAAGATATTGAACAGATTCGTCGTTTAACTAAATGTTCAGTTGCATCAATTGGAGATATTGAATCAACTCCATATTTAGAAGAGAGTATGGATAAAGATAGTGATAAATGTGAGAAACAGAAGTTAATTGTAAATAAGATTTGAAGATACAGATTTATTTATGGAAAGTCTTCTATTCTTATTATTATTAGATTTATATTGACTTTTAAGACCCAATTTTTGACATTTTTTAGTTTTTTTTCCTTTTTTTTATCTCCAAAGTTACCAATTTTCTGTGATTTTATTTTTGGATTAAGGACTTGTAGTTTGACTTTTTCATAAATTAGTAAATACGTATGATAAAGTACTAGTTGTAAAATTATTAGGATATTTCATTAAAGTGATATATTTTTAGGAACTAATATTCCCTTTTTTTTTTTACAATATTATATAATATTAGATATCTCTGATTTATTACTAATATCTAATTTTCTCTTCTCCCCCCCTCTTTTTTTTTTACTTTTATAAATATTATACGTTCTAGGCGCCCTTCTGAGACATAACTTATTGAAATTTATTATTAACTAAATTGCAAATATCCAATGGTGATAAATATTGATAATAGGATATATAACTAATATCTAATTTATAATATAATACGTTATTAGACACAATAGATATTGCTAGACTAGACATTAATGATATTATATTTACTTGTTATTATAGTGGTTTGATTTATTATACATAGTGGGTATCTACTACGATAATATATTAGATAATATTATAGACTACTAATAATGCACTCCATTAGTGGAGAGATGCAAATAGTTACCTCTCACTATGATTAAGAAGACGACAAGTTAAACTATCAGATCCTAACTTTACCTATATTTTAATTCTTTTTAATTCAGATTTTCTTATTAGAGTTGTTATAAGGATGACTGGAAGTTTTGGAAATAAATCTAGTTCTCAAGATGAGGTTAGATACTGTTGTGGTTTATCAAATATGGTAGCTACTCCAATTGCTATGGTTGCATTTATTGCATCTTCTATTGGATGTGTTTACTACAATAAGATGTGTTATCATTCAAATATACCTTTTCCTATTTTCATGTCTTGGGCTCAACAATTAATAGGTATGTTGGTGATGTCTACATTTTTAACTATTAGAGGTTTAGTAAGTGGTAATAAAGAAGTATCTGCTAATATCCCTCTTAGTAAACGTTTACATAGATATAAATATGCAGTATGGGTTGCTTTATGTTTTTGCATGAATATTTCATTTAATAATCGATGCTTGATGTATACTAAAATATCTATGTATGCTATTGCTAAATCGACTACTGTATGTTATTCCTTGATATTACAGTATTTATTACTTGGAATTAAAGTTAAACTATCATCTGCCCTATCATGTTTTGTTATTGTTGGAGGTGTTATAGTTAGTCTTACTGATAATACATTTGGACTAAATCCTAAAGCTTTCCTTTTAGGTACTATATCTTCATTTTTCCAATCTTTTTATTCTATAGCAGTTAAATATACTGTACCTCATTGTGATAATTCTACAACAGAATTATTACTACATGTACAAGAACTTTCTTGTGTTATTTTCTTAATAATTGCTTACTTTTGGGGTGAGCTTACAGAAGTATTAAATTCTCAGATATTTGCCTTTGTAAGTGCTCCATCTGTAGCTTTAAAATTATGGTTAAAGATGGCTGGTTCAGCTATATTAGCTATATCTCTTAATCAATGTTGTTATTTAGTTGTATCTTTAACAACTCCAGTAACTTACAATGTTATTGGTTTAGTTAAGCAAGGTTTACAAACAGCAGGAGGTTTCATATTCTGGAAAGAACCAATAAAACCAGGTCCAGTTATTGGTGCATGTTTAACTTTCACTGGTTCAGCTTTTTACACAACTACAAAATTGTGGGATACAAATTCATCTAAATCAACTAAACAAGAAGAGATTGTAAAGGAACAAGCCCGATTATCAGTTGGTACGGCATCTGATGCATTTGAAAATCCAATACCAGAAACCGAAAATAAGACAACTGAGAAACAACCACTTATTGAACCTGATAAGTGTGAGAAAGGTCAATCTTAATTCCAATTCTTTGAGTATTTTTGAAATATTAAAAATTGACATTAATTCGGAAAAATTTAGTTCTAAGAGTTACATATTCAAACTCTTTCTAGAACATGATTAGTAATAAAAGAATTGGTATGAGGTAGGTTCTAGATTCACCTCTATTGTGATAGATTGAATTCTAAGTTTGATTTATGGAATACTGAATTAATTTCTTGACTACATGTATTAGAATATTTAATGAGATGTTACATATCTACAATATCTTTCTTCTTTTTCTCTTCTTTTTTCTTTTTCTTTTTTTTTTCTTTCAAATTTATTAATATTTACTTTACACTTTTTTTTATAAGTTTAATATTCATTATATTTCCTAATATATGGTTGGTTATTTAAGGACATAAACCATAAAGTTTCTTAATTTTATGAGAATAAATATTAATTGATAATTATTATTTCCGTTATATTTGAAGAAATATTTATTTTATTAAGGAATTGAAACACTTATTTATTCTTAGTTTTTTTCTCAAAAGAGAGAAGTACTAAATATAAAGAAAGATATAAGAATTACTCCTAATGATGGCACTATTTTCCATGCTTTAGATATCATTGAAACATCAACAACTATATTACCAGCTGTAACATGAACCAAAGTTTTTGAATATGAATCTTTTGAATTAAAAGGTATTTTAATCGGTGTATTAACACCCATTACAATTACATTACTATTAGGAATGATCATATTCATAATCTTATAAAAAATATTTGCATTTGAATTATGAATTGAATATAAGATACAATTATACGATGATGTAAGTATAAAGACTAAACAATCTGAATATAAATTGCAGTATACTTTACAAATTTGATCTAAATGTTCTATATTAGTTGAATTTAATTGAAATTGTTCAACTATATATAAATTCTGATCATTAATATCTACAGAATATCCATACCAAAAAGAACTACAAACTGAAGGTCCAATAGTTACATTAGGTAAATGATAAGAGAATGTTTCACCTGGTAATACAGCTTGTTTGAAACATGTATTTGAACTAGAATTATAAAGAAAATATGAATTTAAACCTGTCATATTAAGAACTAATGCTTGACAATCTGCTGCACTCTCTGCATTTGTCTCACTCATTTGTACTGAATAAGGTTCCTCTAACAGCTTAGTATAAAGCCCTACATTATGGAAATAACAAGGGCATGCTATTGGACCTGTTATAATTCCTAATGTATGTACATTTCTTTGAAAAGAATAATTTTCACTTGAATAACCACTACAAATATTTTGTTGATTGTTATAACTCCAAAATATACAATCACTTGTTTGACTACAAGTATTTTGACATTGACCTGGACTAATAAATGTAGGAATTGAGAATATTAAAGTACCTGAAAATCTTGAACCATATTCATAACAATTATTGGAAAATTTAGATATAAATAATGGAGCCCATGAATTCACTTCAACAAATATTTCAATATTAGAACTTATACATGGAAAAATTTCTGTAATTACTACATTATTTATATATATTATTGCTGAAGAATCATAAATAGATCTAATAAATGTAAATTCAATTGTCATACCACTAAAAATTTTGAATGGCATACTTTGAATCTGAAATGAATTATGAGACTTAAAAATATTCAAAATATCTTCATATGTCCCAGAAGTAATTTGTTGAGCTATAGAAAGAGTTCCAGAAGAGCTTAGTGATAAAAACATACTTAAATTATCTTTGGGACATTTTAATATTATATTAGCTTCTGCAAAATTAATCCCCATCAAAAGACTTTTAATATCATCTGTAGATGAAAGCATCAATCCCCCAATTTTCCATGCAGATCCAGGTGTAAAATCCCATGTAAATGATGAAACTTTATTTTCTAAAGGTATATTTATATTTGGAAAAGGTATTTGATTAGAAATCCATGAGGTACCAACAAGATAAATTTGACCCCATGAAACATTATCAATAAAAATATCACCAAGTGAAAAAGGACATGAAATTCCAATAGATTCTACACTCATAGTTGCTTTCTCATTTCCTATTCCATAAAATTCAAATGTATAAAATCCTTCTAGTGATAGAACAGGGACTAAAGTTATTTCAAAATAAGAATTTTCTCCCACATAAGGAAATATTCCATAACCCCAACCTTTACTAAAGTCACCCTGGGAGTTAATAACTTCAAAGGTTCCACCAGAAATATCTATTATTCCACTACTAGATAATATTGGATTACTAGTTATTGTTAAATTCCCATCTGTAGGATCATTGCAATTTAATATAATTTTTACACTACAATTAGCTAAAGATGAAGATGATTTATTTTCCATACTGCATATACTAGCTCCTACTACTTTGATATATGTAAATGGTGATAACGCTCCATTTAATATCTCAGCTCTATAATTCGTAGAGTCTGAACCCTTACTTGTTGGAACTACTAAAGGAGGAAAAGGACCATTATCTCCATAGTTAGGTACATCTAATAATGCTAGTACCTCATTATTTTTAATAATATATTCTAATAATAGTAAGAACCAAATTAATATAAGCCTCATAACTTAATCATATATAATTGTACCTATATTTACACCTTAATATTATTATTATTTATAGAATTACTATTTAAGAAAATATTTAGATTAAAAATGGGTTAGTATCTTCCTAGAAGCCAGAATACTTAATAGTGTGGATAATTTATAATACATATTATATCATTTGTAATTAATATCTATGTATTATATATCAAATTAGCTACAAATTTATGCAAAGAAAGTGAATTTTGAAAACTATACTTGATAAGTGTAAAAAGTTACTTACCCGCCTAATAATTATAGTCAAACAAGAAAGACCGCCTTTATTTTGCAAAACTCGATATCTAAAAATAGTTACCGCATTATAGTCAAATATTAGAGACTTATATGAAGTTATTCAATGAGGGTTAATATTTACTGCAATTCTATCGCAAGTTAAGAATAATAGAGGTTAATTTAAGTTATTATTATATATGTAATATTGTATATTCCTGGAGTTATTAAAGATATAAAATAAGACAGGGATATGGAAAACATGATCTTCAAGATTTTAATTTTATTTATATCTTTATTCTCATACATTATATGTTTAAAGGATCAATATTCCTTAGACTTACATAATATAAAGGGTAATTCAGATTATTCCAAAAGTAAACTGGAATATATAGATGAGTTTATTATCCCTGTTGATACTACCATCATAGAATATAATTATAATTATCCTCTAATTAATGTCAAAGCAAAGACTGGATTGAATATTAAAGATTATGAATTGAACACTAGTAAGGTAGAAATAACCAATCATTCATTATTAGACAATTTTACTTACATAGAATATAAAATGAAATTAGATAAAAATGGCCAATTAATATTTGATAAAGTGATTCATAATGGAAATAATAATATTCATTTAATAAATGATAATATGGAAAAAATAATTAGTGATAGAAAGGAACTAGATAAACGGTCAATACTTGATATCTCAGAATTATATACTAGCTCAACTAAAGTCAAAGATATAATACCAGAAAATCTATTGTGTGAGATTTTATCTAATTGCACAGATATAGAATTTTTTGAAGTACCATCACTTATGAATAATGAATCTTCTTATAAAGAAGAAAATATACCATTTAAAGAAAAAAAGATGAATAAACATTCTAGACAAGGGGAAAACTCTTCTATTGTGGATAGACATTTAGAGTTTAATGTACCTATTAATGAATCAAAGAACTCTACAGTCGATTTTATTATAGAAGATAATATGTTAATATTTGATAATTCTACTGAAAATATTGAAAATATAGTTATTGAACAAAATACTGATATTGATATTTTAGAAAATAGACAAGTAAAACCTGATAACTTAAACAGGGTAGATGATTTATTTTTATTAGGAGCGGTTACAGAAGAAGAGGAAGCATATTATAAGAATTTTCTAGAACCTGTTATTAAGGAAGTTCCAAAAGTTGCAGATATCTCCTATAAAGATACTCTAATTGTTGTACTTGTATATAATGCTATTAAACCCACTATTCCTAAAATGACCATATCTACTGTAATAAATAAACTTATCACTGATGATAAGAAACTTACGGGTAAGAATTGGATTCGTCAGTGTCCCATTAAGATAAAGGACTTGTATAGATCTGCTAAGGTTGTTGCAACAACAAATATCCAATTAATTTGCGATGATCTACTGAGAAGGTTAATTATACTCTCTAGAAGATATAATTAAACCCTTATAATATAAACTATATAGTGTCTTTTTCGTTGTTGGTGATGTATATTAGATAGATTATTTTGTTTACTTTATAACTAATTTATATAAATATTTGAATGACTTATAAAAAGTATTGGAATTTATGCGGCACTTAGGTGGTGGACATGTATATTTGATGCATGTAAAGTCCCGCTATATGGCGGGTATACGAGTAATATTTACTATTAAAGATCTTTATAACTAAAGAAAAGCTAAGATAAGGAGTTTTTACAACTAAGTACCCTTATTGAATTGGTTTATAAATATTATTATGATATAGAATATAATTATTTGAAAAAAGACTAACAAGGAGAAATTAGGTAGTGCTGATAATGTTCAGTGGTATTAACAGATCTTCATGTTCCATTCTATTAATATTACTGATCTATATAAAAAACTGTGGAACATCAGATAATTCTTTACTTAGTGGAAAAATAAGTCAATTGGATACCTCTGATTCAGTTGGAACTGTCCCACAACATGGGTATCAACTATCAGTAACAGAGGAATTGAGTAAAGAAGGTAATCCAATGGATTCAAGTATATTTAGAAGTGACAAAAGTATTCCGGAAGAAAGTGAGACAATGACAATTAAGAAAATGGGTGAAGTTTATTCAGATAGTTTAGAAAATTCGGAATTAACAGGTATTTCTCCCACTTCATATAAAATAGGTAATGAATTATCTAATAAGTTTACAGGATTATTAAATCAAAAACCAGAAGATATATTAAGTAAATCAGCTAGTTTATCATCGAATTTTATTGGAATACAGACATTAAATTCAAATCAAGGTCCCAGTTCATCATACAATAGTTTACAAGATAATACACCTGAAATATCTGCTTCACAAATTACACAGGCTCCAGTTCAATTAATGCCATCAATGAGAAAATTTTCAGATGTTTCAGATCCTTCTATAATTCCATTTACTCCAGTAGATTCAGAAAATGATGTGTCAAGTCTTATAGATGGTAGTGTTAACCCAGAAGATTCTTCAGAGTTACTAGATAAATCTATAAATTTGGAGAATTCTATGTTAGAAGCATCACCTTCTATTATTCCTGAAATAGATGAATCTATTCCAAGAACAGATGTTACTTTACATAGTTCACTGTATGGTATGACAGCTTTATCTGGTGATCCTCCTGATATTCCTGAGGAACTATTGTTAATAGAAATAAATATTAATGAGGCTCTTTTTAGCTCTGGTTTACCTATTTCAAGTGCAGATATAACTTTGTTTACTAATAGAGTGATTGCACAATATCCAGATGTTAATTTAAAGTCCTTTGCTACTAAGATAGCTCGAAGTAATTTCTTTGAGAATATTCCAAACAATCCTAATTATTTTTTTAATATTTTGGAATGTATTTATCAGCTTGAGAATATTTTATTTCAAACAAGATTTGTGTTGAATCCTTTATATATAGTAGACATTATAAATGGATGTAATTCTATTCGAAATATTCTTAATATTGTGGATAGTAGATCTGTTGCTAGTAGTGCAATAAAATTGGGAATCAGATATCTTACATTACGCTTATATAATATATCACAAAAGGATATTATAGACATTTTGAATGAAGTACAACCTCTTCCTGGTTATTTAGATCAGAAAGTTTTTTCTGAAATTGAAAAGGCAATTATAAATGATTTTGAAAAAAAATCACAAAGTGTACCATTCCTATTTAGTTATTGGAGATTAATTTTAATTGAACAACTTAAGCTTATACATCTGGAACCTCAAATACATTTTGAACAATTGTCAAATAATTCCTTAGGTTTATTTGATATTTTACTCGAAGCTTTGTATATAGATCCAATGAGAATGTGCCCTTATGTAGTTGCAATTATAGTATACCATTTACAACCTTTCCCTCATCAGGAGATACGTTTAGCAATTTCAAAAATTCAGACTATTTGTCTAGCATTACTCAAGGATGTAGGATATGCAGAAGGAGCTATATTAAATTCTTTAATTAAACCAACAAGTGAAGGTTTTGAATTTTTGGATATTCATATAAGTGGGCTGCATTCTGGTTATGCATCTTTAATATATTTTCATCCTAGTTTCCCCAGATCTCCTCAGGATTTTTCATGGGAATTATGTTATAAGATATTTACTTCAATTTCTATGGTATTATATAGTGATAATACAAAGGTAATTTCTTTATCACAAATTTGTACAGCAATTACAAATATGCAGCCATCTAAACTTGTAAGAGAACGTCTTATGAGCATTATTAATGTGCCAAAGCAGATAATGAATAAGATCATTAATATTCAAGATGAATCAGAATTTTTAAAAGTATTGGCTACACGATTAGATCTTAAGTTAAACTTTATTCAAGATATATTTCAAAAATTTGTTTTAGGTAATCCAATATTGTACATTAAATATTTCCAGAATATATTTAACAACTCTGTTAAACACTTCATTGGTTTAAGAGGTGATTCAAGATATTCTACAACTTTAAATAATGACAGAATACCACAAATATCCACTAACAAATTATTTAAAAGTATTCAAAAATGGAGTTCTATTCATTCTTACTTTTTATCATTTTCATGGTCAGTCCCAAACTCTATAGAAATATTAGGTGGTTTCTATAAATTCACCTTAAGTAACTGTGAATCTTTAATGTTTCAAGTGTTTCGCAGATCATCTTATTCTATCAGAGGTAGTATAGTAGACAGTCTGATATTATGTATGTCTATCTATTCAGTTATGTATAATCAAAATATATCTCCAGTTCTTATTCAAAATTATAGTATTGATAAACTCCAAAATTCTTTGAATATAAAGATTGGGACATGGATTCCTACTAAAATTGAGTGGATGAGAGCTATATATGTGGTACTTGAGTCTAGGTTAAGAGTAATTCCTAGTATTTCAAATTCTCAATTACTTAGTAATGCAATATCAGAGGATATTTTCATGTGTCATTTCTTGATTTCTAAATACATGCATGGATTACTGCTAGTTGACAAATTCAGAAAAGCTTTAGAAATGCAGCAAATTCAATATTTAGTATCGGATAATACTTTTATTTTTAGTCTATGTTCAAATATTTTTATGGGGGCACATGCTACAAAAGAAGAAGTTATAGAATTAATTTTAATATCTACAGTTGTTGAGGCAATTAGGCAATTTGGTTTTAGTCCAGATTTTCAAAAGATAAGGGAAATTATAAAACAACGAAAAATTGAATTTGCAGAGAATAAAAAAAGTCAAGGATCTATTCCAGAAGCAGGCGTTATTCTTGAAAGTATTACTTCCTACTATCCTCAAAAGCTTAGGAATGTTATGTTAAAAGCCCTGAGTGAAAATCTTGGATTGCAACATCAACCTCCGTATTATATTAGAGCTTTATCATTTCTTAAGCAATCTTTAACTCAGAATGGTTGTTCCAGCCATGAAGTTTTTGATTTCTCTTATTTATCTCCCAATGAATCTTTGGAATATTCATCTATTTCATCTAGTAAATTCAAATATTTGGTGAATTCCTGTTTATCATGGAAAAATTATGGCTATTTTAATCTTATTTCTTGTACAATGGCTCTAGTTCATGCAAATCTTTGTTCTACATTGCAGCTTGCTCTATCTACATCTGTGAGTGTAGCTAGACAGTTAAATTGGCCTGATGAACTTATATATCTTGTTTTATCTGTTGATAATATACTTGAGAAATCAAATCCAACAAAATTACAAATGATTAATTTTCTTAAGCAGTATATAAATACATATCATTTATCAACTTTTGAAAATATTAAACAAGAACTTTTGCTTGTACAGCGAAATTTGGGACATATGGAATATGAATTAGCTAATCCTACACAGCCAGATCAAATTGTTGAGTTATCTTTGAGTGAAAATAATTTCAGTGAGGATAGCTCACAAACACAGGCAAATGTAGATCTTCATATTGCAATGGGGCTCTGTTCAAGTATATCCAAATCTGGAATAGAACTTTGGAATCATAGAGTTAACTTTATAAACAAGTTTCAGGAATATAAAGTAATAAAAAGTGTAGAAAATAAAGATCAGATTCCTAGTGTTGATTCATACATAGATAATCTTGATCTACTAGCAGCACCTCCCACTTTTACATCTTATAATATACAAAAGCTGTTTAGTAATCTTCAAATTATGAAGTCTCTTTGTTTCCATAAACCTCAAGGAGCTTTTATATGTGATATAAATACTAATTCAGGATTACCAAAGTTAATAGTTAGTAATCCAAACGACATTGCTACGCTTGGGACAATTTCTATAATGATCCCACCTCCTGGTATCCAGGTTCAGTCTTCAATTACTCTGGAAGTTGCTAATCCACCTTCCTATGCATCTGTGTGGACAAAGATTACTCCTAAAGGCAATCTTAATCTTTCAATAATTCTAAGTACCACCTGGAAATCAGATTTAATTAAATATGAAACTTTATCAACCATGTATTTTCCTTATAGTGGGTTTTATATTCGTTTAATACCCCCGGTATTTAGAATTACGATTAATAATATAGATTCTTCTGTAAGTAAAAGTGGTTCAAATGAAAATATACAGCTATTAGAAGGTTCATTATCTAATTTAGATAGATCATTATCAGGTATTGGAGATAAATCATTAAAAAATGAGATATCTGATTCTAGTAAATTACTAGAGAATTTTGAAAATAAGAAAGAAGTTTCTGCTTCTTTATCATCATCTTCATTCTATTTATATTCTCCATCACCTGATTCACCTCATACTAGCGTCGAAGAATCAACTTCCGTTTTATCAGGATCTAAATCTACAGTTCTTCCAGGTATATGGCATGAACATTTGGGGTATATTACTTTTAAGCAAGTTTTAGATTTTATTGATATATTAATGAAAATTTCTAATTTAAAAATTTCAGTAGAATCTGTGGTTTTAAATGTATTATGGACCTTGATTGCATCTCTTGTCTCTTTTTGGTCTGTAAATGTGAGCCATTGTAAATTGAATTGGAGTGTATTATATATTTATACTGGGAGCTTAACGATAAAAAAATTTTTATTCCAAAGACTCTGGCAAAGTATCTTATTAAATTCTAAAGATGTCTCCAAAATCAAAATTAACGCTGTCGAATATATAGCAAATTTTCTTCAATCAAAGCTTTCTCCAACTATGGTTAGACTCTCAGATCTGGGGAGTGCTGATCTAAAATCTCAGGAATCTTGCAATGATAAAGATATTATTTTACAAATGGCAAGGAATCTTGCAAGTAAGATCAAAAACTTTGAAAATTTAGTAACTAATGATATTGCAACAACATGCCAAAATATTGCACAAATAGAACCAAAAAAAGTCGATTGCAGTAAATTGGCTTGGGGGGATGAGTATAGGAATTATCCTGAAGATCTTTATGAGTGGCCAGTAATAGATACCCCAATTATAGCTCCTGAAACAAAAATAGTTAAACTTAATGTTACCGAAACAATGGATTCTAAATCAGAAAATTCCAGGATTTATACTAATAATAGTCCAAATTCTCCTATTCCATTAGTACAAGAACTAAGTAGTCCAAATTCTCCTATTCCATTAGTACAAGAACTAAGTAGTCCAAATTCTCCTATTCCATTAGTACAAGAACCAAGTAGTCCAAATTCTCCTATTCCACTTGTACAGGAGTCAAATACTAATAATCCATATTCCCCTATTCCATCCGTAAAAGATTCCAGTAATCAATATACTATATTCAATGTAGATGATAGCTCTCCTAACCCACTTAAAACGAATAATGATAATTCACCTGGTGTATATGGTACAAGCTATCAATCTCTAATTGAGTCAAATCAATATAGTCAATCGGCTGTCCCTGATAATAGTGCTAATATTGCTAAACTAACTCCTCAATTAACTCCGCCAGAGGTTCCATCAAAGTCTACGGAAGATCTCTCTAAATACTTTACAAATAATGCATTACCTTCGGGAGAGGTTCAGAACTATCCGGAATATACAAAAATATATAAGGACAAAACAATAGAATCAGATTCTATCTATTCAGCAGAAGACTTAAATGATTTAGTTTTAGCTCAAGTTAGTACTAAAGATTTATTACAGCTTCCAATATTCCCTAAATTAGATATAAGGTTATCTGAGCAAAATAAGTATGAAATAATGCAACTTCAAGCAGCTATAAATCCTTTTGCTCTTAATCTTTTAAAACAATTAACTTTATGGTCTTCTGAAAAATCAGGTAAACATCCAGCTAATGTACCCAATACAAGCATAAAACCTTACTTTCTATTTATACCTCCTACTCCTAATAATATACCTGACTCCATTCCAAAACTAACGAAATATTTCATGATAGGTGAAGAAGTTCTCCTGTTTACTCTACAACAATTGCAGAGGCTTGAACTAATAGAGGAGAAAAAAATTAGTGATATTAGTAATGTAAAAATAAGCAAGGCTAATCTTGCAATAATGAAAAGTGCACAAAGTTTACATAATATTCACATCACTGGAACTTCAAAAACTTCAGTTAATCCATATACTAGTCCACATCAATATGCAGAAGTAAATATAGGGTTAGGGACTTATGTATCGTCAGAAAATAAAGATATATCTCCTGTATCAGGCTTTAATCAGGGAATTGATCAAGCAGGGCATCATATTAACTCTCCACAAAATAATTTTGGAACTCATATTTTGACTTCTGATGAAGTGACGCATCCTACATATTCAACTTCTAACTTGTCTCCAGATCTTAAATATGATGGATCACCCAATCTTCCAACTTCATCTGGATTTGAACCTTCTTCATTTTCATATTCAGAAGGTATACAGTCCCCTGTAGAACAAAGCCCATCATCTCAAAATACTATGTAACGACCTATTTCTGTAGTTATATCTCAATTATTTTTAACTAGTTAGTTAAGTATCGCTAAACAGAATATAAACATTGCTAAATTATTCTCCTGCAGAAGTTAGAGAGGTTTCTAATGTCATTTCAAATGATGTATGCGAATCCAATTCTAATATATCCATAGAATCTAGTTTATTTTATATAAAATCTTTATTTTGAATATTTTAAACAAACCCCAAATATGAACATATAATGATGTCTTACAATATAAACTAGATTTTACTTAATGATTATGATAGGAAATGTAGGCATTTGAAAAAGTTCTCTTCAGTCTTTCCATATATAATGCAATAGTAACAGAAGATAGTATTATAAATATATTTAATAAAATAGCGTCAAGTGTAATATAATGCAAATTTCCTAGATTTAGCTGAATGTAAGGATCTAAAAAGCTGTAGCCTAAAACAAATACCCCTGCAATAGTAGATGATACTCCTTGCAATGTATTTAGATGGGTATAACCATATGTAGACGTAAAGAAGCTATAAGGGCATCCTATAAAGTAGGAATAACAAAAAATACACATTACTAGACCTAGTAAATGCAAATATAAATTAAAAGGAATTAGGGTCGAAAATACCAATAAAATAACCAAAGATGACACACTAAATAAAATCAAAAATACGAAAATTCCCACAAAGTCTACAATCATACCTGTTAATATTGCAGCCAAAAATGCAAAACCTAATAAATATCCAAATATATTATTGATAAAATCTGTATATTCTATATTACCATTAGTCTGATTTATAATCATTGACTTCATATTAATTGTAAAATATAAACGTAGAAACCACATTATAGAATATATAAATATAAAAGAAATAGTAAGGAATGAAAACAATTGCTCCTTTAATGGTAATGTCCATAATTTCGGGATAGAATATTTGCATCTATTAATCTCAATTATTGGAGTCTTCTTATAAATACACATAGTACTTTCCAAATCTTCTTCACTTTTATATAATGAAGATTTATACACCTTTTTACAGTAATCAATTTCTGGAGTTACAAAGGGTACTTCAGGAATTATATAATAAAACATAATAAGCCATAATGTTGATAGGACACAATTCAATAATATCACAAATTGAACTATAGTTAAACCAGGTATTAAGTTATCTTGGTTAGCAAAAATACGAGTAATTAATTCAATTAATTGAGTATATATAAAGTTTAGAGCTATAGAACCACCAACTAATGCAACAACTAAATGTCTTCTAGATTCGTAAAAAGCTGATATTGATGATTTAGATAATGATAATAATTGAGTAGATACTCCCCATAAAATCATTCCCAAAAATGGACCATAATAAAAGTATTTTTCGAAAAAAAAACAAAATATCCAACCTAAAATATAAATAATTGTACCTAATAAAGCAGTCCTCCTATTATTAATATATTTTATGCTATAACTACCCAAAATTCCTGATAATAAAAATGAAGAAACCCCAAGTGTACAAATATTATTGAAAATCATCATCCTTTCTGAATTAGATAACCATCCATATGAATTATTTCTTAACCATAGTTCCTTTAATGCTGTAGGTAATAGAAATGGAGCTCCAATAATAAATGAAGATAAAACATATAGGAATACCAATATATTAGAACTAAATCCAGATAATGTTTGGCTCTTAATATCTTTCATAACGTCTTTTCTATCTAAGATTCCAGATTAAATAAAACATAAAAAGAAGTACTGAAATCTAAATAACAAGACGAAGTGGATACCGTGGCGGTGCATATGTCGTATAGAAGACAATAGATTTAGTAAAAAAAAAAAAAGAAAAAATAATTCAAGTTCACTATTAACAAAAAAGAGACAAGTCTTAAAGGAGGCAGAAAACAATTTAAAAATAATCCTCGACAATTCTATATTAATTCTTAAATTATATCTAGTATTGACTCTTGTCAGGAGATATTTCTAGTCAATATTCCCCGTCTACTAAGGGTTAAGTCCCGCTAAAGTTTCAAATTAATAGGAGATCGAATGTATAGATTAGCTTTTGTACTTTAGTGAGAAAGAGGCAACTAACTTGTTAAATGAATAAATCTCTAAATACTGAGTCCGAAGGACTAGTTCCCCCTGAATTAAAAGAAAGTCCTACTCTAAGAACTGAAAATAAAGGTTTAAGCATATATGAAGAACTTTTTGGAACAAAGGAAAATCCTACAGTGATTCCATTTCCATCCATAATAAAGAATCCAAAAATTTATTTTCCTTTAATTGCAATCACAGCATCCTTAACTGCAGGCCATATACAAAATCCAGATGCTGTAAGGGAGTTATTTTTCCGTTGTGGAGGATTTTCATATGATCCTGATATAATTAAATCTGGAAAGGCAATTATATATATTAACAATATTATTGCAGCTGCTACTGGTGTAGCTTTTCTTGGAAATTTCATTGCTGGATCAATTG